TTTAGTCTATTATACTCCACAAATGTGTGCTCAGCTTGTTACTTCCAGCTGTTTTGTACAATTTTTACCATGTTACTTACATTACAGAAATTTCAACATCAACCTCTTTTTCACCTCCAGCTAAACTATATGCATTAAAAAATGTTTCATGCATACATATTTTTTATTTATCATTACTTATGTCTGAGCTGCATCAGCAGATTATAGCTCCTGTTAGGTTTTTATGTTGATGACATTCAGTGAAATTCATATCAATGCTGTTTTATGAAATTTAAAAGCAAACCAGACCAACAGCAACAAGACTTCAGATTTTTATGATGTAATTTTTAATACATGGAACAGATGTGAGGGAGTTGGTGTGAGCGAGCTGATGAGGAAACAGCACTGCCTAACTATTTCCATGTTAAATACTCACAACAAATGATATACTGTGTGTGTCAAAAAGCAGCAGGATGAGATTTTTGTCAAAGTTCATTACTCAAGCATTGAGAGGACAAGAGAAGCAAAGACAACTTTTTCCACAGGGGGCGCCAAATCTGACACAACCTCAAAGTTTCTCACAGGAGCTTTAACTTAAGTAACATGTCCAAACCAAGCCTTCTGTTTTACTTGAACAGGACCTGAATGATAGGATTTGATGTGATAGTGAAATACGATACAACACAACATGGACCGATTTCACAGAATACGGTATATTCATGATACGATCTGATATTAAGGGATCCAATACAATATGGTATGATACAGTATGATCTGATACCAAATGGTAAACCACTAAAGTTTGATCTGATACAAACTGATTCCATACAACGGGATATAATACAAAACAATACATCAGGTATGATATGATACAATTAAACACTATATAATACAATACACAGCGTTGTCTTTGTAAGAAAATGTGTCTTGAACTTAAGTGCTGCATTCATTTATCTGCCTCAACAGTGGTGCTTGTTGATAACTACTATCATTGACTAATTATTAATTTTCACTTTATTTTGGGATGGAATTTTATCTTTATTATCTTTAGTATACACAACAAAAATAACTGAATACAATTTGTGCAACACATAACTGATTTCAAGGTAATGTGACTTTTAATAAGTTATACTTTGATAAACTTTTTTCAGTTCAGTTCAATTAAAACAACTTTATTCAACCCTGAAGGGCAATTCAGTCTCTCACCTTCCTCATAAAAAATGAACAATCACAATAAAAAAACTAGACAGCATACTCAACAGTAGCATTTAGACATGTCAGTGACAACAGATGTGTAGTTGGGGGTAAAACACTCAATAATATACACGTTTTTAAAAACGGGCATATGCTCAGCACTCACTAGAGTTTAAATATTTGTGAGAGTTCAGACATTTTAACACAGAGGAGAAGTTGAACCGACTGTGAGGAATCCTGAAACACGCTTAATATAATACTCTTGACTCTATATTACGTACAAAAGCAAAAATGACCAACATAAAAGATTGATATATTTCAAAGATTGATAAGTGAGAATTCCATTCATGTTCAGGACAGGATCCATAAATAAATAAATATACCACTCTGGCTGCAGGAGGCGCCAAATCAACAGGTATCATGACAACATGGAGCAGAAAATTATGTTTGGGAAACCTTCAGGCCTGGGCTTTAGGGAGGACTCAGACGCAGAGGTTCAAAGATCAAAAAGCGCTTTATTTTGATAAATCGTCTTCTTTCTCGGTAGATAGAGTGACAAACAAATAGGCTATGAAACCCTCTAACTCTCTAATAATAGCAAACAGACAAAACACAGAAACAAAATAAACCAAGACAGAACAAAAATTCACTCCAAAAGGGAGGACAAATTAACAGGCTGCTCTTCTCTTATCTTCAGAGGAATAACTATGAAAATGTATAAACAAAAAACACTCCAAAAGGAGGGAAACAAAAAAGGCTACAAACTTGACTACACTGCACTACTAGGCTAAAAAAACGGTAAGAAAACAAAGTCACCCCAAAAGGGAGGAAAAAACAGCAAGGCTATGAAACAAATGCTAGATCTAGAAACTCGACTGGAAAAACTACAACAGAAAATCTCTCTTCTAAAGAGGAAACAAGGATTGTCCAAAATACAAACGTGGTTATCGGGCAAGGCTGTGGACATGAAGGCTGGAGGCACACGAATAAACGAGACACTCTGGCACAAGACAAAGGGAGACGCCGACTGTAAGACACATGAGGTTAATTAAAGGGGAACAGGTGGAAACAATCAGGAATCAGGGGAGACGTCAGACCGGAAACACAAGAGGAAGGGCAAGTGACCTGAAACGAGTTATTTTTCAAAATAAAACATGAAAATGACAAGAAAAACCAGGACAAGACATTCCTCACCGCGTTGTGACAGGAAACATAGTTATCTTAACAAATGACGACTAAACTATCCCAGAAACTACTTGAGAAATTTAACTAACAAAGTTTTATGGTCTTACTGTTATCACTCTTCTTTGTCAAAGTGGTCTCTGACTATGGCTGGAGAACTCTGCTACAAATGGTGTCACCTTTTGGTTTCTGAGTGTAAGTTATGAAGCCAGACAATAACAGTCAGCATATTGTAAATGCTGATTGCAACGAACTTCATAACCTCATCGAATCCAGGAACAGGCAAAGAGGTGGAGTTGAGATGGGCCATCTTCAGCCACCTAGCAAACAGCAACTTCAGCCACCCCTCTTAGTGTGCCTAATTATTTATAACTCTTAATAAAGTTGGATGAGTTATAAGAACAACCTTTCCCCACCTGCACAGCTATGTAAAATAAGGGAATAAGCTACAGAGACCAAAACCCCAATTACTGTACCAGATGGTAAACCGTTTAAATCCTGCTGGGAAAACTCTACAGCAGGAGGCTTTTTAACACAGTGCTTCCCAGAGTTCCCTTGTGGGCAGTCTTATAGGACAACTCAGAAACTGTACATTCATATACTTCTGCACTGGCTTCATTTTTCAGCACCAGATATGTGTCCTTGCAAAAGATTATGTCTGTTGCTTTTTAGCTATTTTGGAATCCCAGTAAAATTGAAGGAAAATGTTAACTTCATCTAATACTTAATACTTCCACGTTTTTTTTATTTATTTTTTTAAGTTTTGTCGTGATCAGAATGAAAATACTGATTTATTTATTTTTATGTTTTGTGTTTTTCAATAAAATAGAAGAAGCAAACAATATAAATATTTTGTGAGACAAAAAATTAGGTAATTAAATATCATACGGGCAGCTTGTTTATTAAAAACAACCATCAGAGTCTTGGCTGTTGTATTTTAAATATGTCTAAAGATCCAGACATAACTTGTAATACTGGGGAGAGTTGGTGGAGGGAGACAGAGACTATGTTTTACCAAGACCCTCTCTTGTCCTCTTCGTCAAACATTGAGAGGGGATTAAGTCTCAAGAAATGAAAGATAGTATCTAAAAGTATTTCAACAAGCAATTGCAGTCTTGCACCATCTTACAGAAAATAAACACCCATGTGGGGTTAGTATTTTTAGAGAGTGCATCAAAAATTGAAAAAGTTCAAATTTATAAATGCTATGCTTTGAGTGAATTGACAAGATGAAGTTCGTTCCTCAGTTGTTTTTTTCGTTTACTGTGGCAAAAATCAAAGTTTTGTGCATAATCTCAACACAGATTTATCTTTACCTTTGTTGTGATTGTTGCTTTGGGCATCCTTAATTTAATTGCACATTATAATAGAGACATTTTGGCATTTAGGCAACACAAAATATCCTATAGATTCATCTAAATCTGTCGTGTCCGCTACATGTTCAGAGAAAAATTGTCACCTCTGATTTTCCCAATCTAAAACAATGACGAACTGTAACACAAATACCAATTTCACTTAAATTTATTGCTGCATCATCTATCTTGCATGACATCATCTGTCCTCCATCCATGCACCCCTGTTTAGCCTGTGTCTGAGCTTACACAGGATCTTGTTTATTGCCTCTCAGGACCTGCTGTCATGTCACCAGCATAATCCTTCAGCTCACAGGCTCAGTGTTAACAGGGGACGGTGAAGAATGAAAGATCCAGAGCAGCTGAAGGTATCGTACAGTTTGGATGCTTCTCATGACATTGATGGATCAACGTAACAATGCTCTAAGCTTACTTTTATAAACTGTGACTTTTCACCACAGAATAATGCAAAACAGTGAGGTCTCATGTGTCCTATTGAACGATATTTTCAAGAGCTTTCATAAGGAAATCAATTCACCTTTTTATTGAAACAAAAGTATGCATATTATCAGTATTGAAAAGTTGAATTTGATTAATACTGATCACACTAAGGTTCCACAGTACGGACACTCTATGTAGACATAGATTTTAGTTATTGTTGTTTTCACAAGAACATATTTCTCATGTTAACATATGATTTTTGGGATTTAACAATTGATTTAATTTATTTTTATAGATCTTAGCTCACAGTTCTGGTTACTTTGAGATAAAGTTTATTTTCTCTTGGTTACAAAATCTCAGTAGCTTAAGGTAAGCAGAAAAATAAGTCAAGATTCGAGAAAACAACTGATTTTAATATGCTAACTTGCAAAAACAGAGCAAACAAAATACATGAGTGGATGTCCTCAAGGGCTTCTGTACTCCTAGACAACCTTAAACTTATGCTGATATTTTGTACATAGCTGTAAAACTAGATATATTCAAATAAAATGATACAAATGTACAAGCTCCAGAAAAAAAAAAACTATCCAACTAGAATATACAGCACACCAAATTCAAGATATATGACAGCACTGAACAATATTTTACATGACCTTTTTGCAAAATAACATCTCGACTGGTTGAACAAATAGCAGCCTCTTGATATTGTAATTTAAAGGAATTTTAATCAATGCATTTTTTTTCCTCAAAATATGAGCTACATATTTAACATGTTTCATTTTTTGTTTCATTGTAAATGAGATTTAAATGGAAATGTTAGAATATGTAGCAGGATGATCAAACTCTTTGGTATTATGCTCCGTGTTTAACTAAGAAACATGATGACTTCTGTCCCACCCAGAAACCCGCCATCATCTTCCCCTTAAAGGAGCTGTTAATCTGCTGCAGCAGCCTGATCTCCTGTCTATCCTCGCTCTCCTCTTCTGTCACATCATCAACCCCATAAAACTTAATGACACCAGCTGGCTGGTCGAGGTACACCCCGATGGTGCTGCACTGAGGGATATCCCAGATTTCTGAGCTGATGCCGTTGAACCACACCTGGTAGTGAGATCCACCCCATCCGAGACCCCAGGACTGTTCGTTCTCTCCCAGCCCACAGGGTCCATCGCTCCCCCTCCTCCCTGCGCCTTCATAGGCAACTCCGACCACCACCCATCCTGAATATTTCACCTCCCAGTAAGCTCTAAAACCCAGGATACCCTCCTTGGAGAGAACCTTAAAAAGAACAGAAAGTGATTGAACCATCTGATCAGCAAAGACGTGTGAAAGTTTGCACTCAGGACTTCAAACCTACTTGGGGGGTGTGTTCATATCTCTCTGGTCTGTCCAAGACAGGACAAGTGAGCTCATCAGTCATTCTAGACACCTTGGTTCCTCCTTCTGTGATCCAAAGCATCTTATTGGCTGTCTTGTCATCAAAGGAAAGATTGATCCAGTCTGTTGAATGATGAAGATTTGACAATAAGGAGAAAAAAGTAAAAGAGACAGAGTATTCATCCAGTCAGTGTTCTTTACATTTGAGAAGATCAGCTCTGCAGGTGGGCTCAGCGATGTTTGGCTCGTACTCTGGAGTATCTTCTGAATAGAGAGAAAAGTTGGATTGCAGTTAGCCAATCAATAAATTGATAAGACTAAACAGGAACTAAGAAAAGCAGTTGCATAAAATCTTACCTTTAGGTGGGTCCACATTTTTAGAGTTTGCCCCTACAGAAATAAAACAAGTATGATTAACAGCCAATCTGAGCTAGTTTAATACTTGATTTTAAACTCAGGAACATCCAATACATTAGAGCAATAAAAGAAGAACCTCCATTCTCCATGTTCAAAACTGTTCAAACTTGATCAGAGCTGTAATTAAAACGCTATATTTCTTTTTTTTTTCCATCTTGCATCATTAGCTGAAGAGAAGTTAGTTTAAACCTTCAATATCTGAGTTGTCATGCATCATCTGCTTATGACTTCACTCACCAGGTCCTCCAGCAGCAGGCAGGATTCTTTCATTGGGAGAACTGGTTGGCATCTTTATCACTTATTCCCGTGTCGGGGTTTCCTGAATGTTGGCTTCTGTCAGCGGTGTTCTGCTGCAGTAATACAACTGACCTCTTTATATACCTCCAGGGAAGAGAGTATTAAAAGATTTCGGAGGGGGGCACTGGGACCACTTACAGAACTTTTGGTCATGTATGTCGAAAATGAGCTCAGTGATGGGCGTGCTGCAGGGCTCGCCAACCATAGATGTGCTCGGCAGCGCCGACACCTGACCCACTGACACATTTTTTATCAGAGTAGATCTCACAATCATCCTGTAATCTCTTTGTAGTCAGAGACACTTCTTAGAAATTGTTATCTGCGCAGAGATGTGGTGATCATATGCAGAAAAAAAGGGTTATGTAAGACTGTGGGGATAGAGTCAAAGAGGATTAGGAGTGCTTTTGAAGATGGTGATGGAGAGGATTGACGGCTCAGCAGAATTTCCTCCAGACAGAAGTTAATCTTTCTTTCTGCTCATTTTTTAAAACAGAAGTTCAAGGTCAACATGAAATATTATTCTTTAAAAATGGTTGCCCTGCTCTCTGAGGCACATTTTAAATACTTAGCGCCTCTTTTTAAAGTCCCATTCCGATGTGTTTTTTTCCTACAAAAAGTGTTATCAGTGGTCTTTAAGTCGCGATTATGAAGTTTCACATTACTTGTGTTGTTTTCATGGGCTTTTCTTTGCAGAGCACAAGTAGCTCAATAGCAATTTGCCTCTGAGTCGTGGGCAGAGACAGTGCTGCTCGGCACACTTCTCTTCACATTAGCTTGCAGCCTAACATTGCCAGTGTAGAAGAAGAAACAGGTAACATAGGAGCTATTCAGCTTTTGGACACTAATGTCTTTAGGGACATGATGAAAACTTGTTTCAAAATTAGCTTTCTTACTGGCATTTTAATCCGCAAACACAGATGTTTGTTCCACAATCGTCATCTCTATTTCTCGGAGTCTGGCCTGCATAGCAGGGCTCTGGGGGCGGAGCTTGGATTGGTTATGTAGGAAATGTCATTGTATCTGATCCTGCCAGAGATTCACAGCGATTTGAATGCAGAAATACACAGAAATGCAATTTCACACTTTTTTTCTTATATGTCCTTTAGCATCAGAAAAATGCCATATGAACATGTAGACAACAAGAAAAACATGATTTTCATCAGAGTGGGTCTTTAATTATCTTATTTCTTATATCATAGACTTGTAACTTGTAAAAGTAAAGTTTCCCTCTCATTAAAATATCCAAATCTAACTCAAAGGTGAAGTTGTGGCCTGTCCAAAGCAGCCCATGAGCAGGGTCACATCTCCACCTTTTTTCAAGTATTACACATCTGTCAGCAGTGTTTCAAAAGCCTGCTGCCTTTGGTTTCTACTCACTTTATGAGAGGAGAAAACTGACCTGTTGTTACCCTACATCCCCTCTGTTTATTCATTTGTCAATCCCGGTGGTCAGTCTGGGTTGGAATGTGCTGTTTAGTGCGCCTGTTACCCTATAATCGGTGCTACAGCCATCTGCTGGTGCATGCAGGAATACTAGAAGGACAAGGCATCCTTGACTAGCGGTTTGGCACAGAGCCGAAGCAGTAAACACCTCAGATAGCAGAGGCCATATCAGAAGGAGGGGTTTACGACCTGCAACATGCTCTTTCTTTTAACCTATGCCATGTGCATTAAGGCATTTGTGATTGTAAAAGACCGATGTGATTACACAGGTCAGGTGCACAGCTAAGCCTAGTTGACCTGAGGAACCAAGTGACTGAAAGTGATGTTTGTATTTAGGTTTATGGGCTGGATGGATCAGTGTTTAGATTTTGCTTACAGAGTGTCAGACATAGTGCAGTGAGGTTTGTTTGGAGAGGTATGAAATATTTAACAAACTCTAGTTTGATCTCTGGTACGATGTGAAAAGGGGGGTCTTATCTTAGTTGGCTTGCAAGTTAACTCTGGTTTGTTTGAGGTGTGAAAAGCCAAGCAGAAAAGCCTACCATCTTGTAGAGCAAAGGCAGGAAGTTGCACGCAAGGCGACGCATCTTTAGCTGTGCCCCAATTCAGGAGCTGCAGCCTTCGAGGGCCACATTTAAAGATCAACTACATCCCAGTAGTGCGTCGAGGAACACCTCAAATTAGAGGATCCTCCAAATGTGGAAACAAATCTGTCCTACTTATCCTGAGCTGTGAAGGCTGCATCAGGTCATTAACATTAATGTTGTCCAGCATGTTTGATTCATTTGATCTATTTATTTGTTGATAGCTTATGAGAGATGCTGCCTGGATCAAAATAAAATATATACACAGTTCAACTTGACTGTGATTTTCCCCTTTTTGCATGTATTCAGTGAAAGGGTCCACTTGAATCATCATATTTCTGTGATTCCATGTATCCAACGGTAGAAATGAACATTTCTACCGTGATTCAGAGGAAATTAAAAAATATCTAGATAAATAAAAATACTGCATGATTCGTCATTTATCATATTGCCCAGTCCAATTAATTTCTATTTACGATCTACAAAAGCTAACAAGACCATCAGCAAAGGCTTGATTACAGATGTATTTACATTGTATTCAACCAATAAGATTTAGATTTGCATACTGACATTTTCTATCCCTGAAACTGGTGCCAGGAGGACTGAATTAGCCAGCATCCTGTTTTTAAACATTATCATAACTTAATCAAAATAAATGATATCTTCAACTGTTGAAAGTTAAAACACACATTTTAAGCATGTAAAGGACAAGCTTGTCCACATGGTGGTGCCAAATTTGACACAAACCAAAAGTTCCTTACAGGAGCTTTAATCTAGTGGTTCCCAAACTGGAGGGTGCAAATCCTTGGGGTGGTCCCAAGTTATGACAGTGGGAAGGACGTCAAGGTTAAACAATAACTGCACATAATTCTGCACTTCTAGCAAAGCGTGGCCAATTTTGTGAAGTACTGCCTGGTAAGTGTAAGACTGACACTGAATCTGCTCTGAAAGTCACAACCACCATAAGAAAGACAAGTAATTGTGAAGTCATACCTCAACCCAGCTTGACCTTCACCAACAGTGGGCCACTGACAGGTTAGAAATGTTGAGGCTGTATGTTGCAGTGTCTCTTCAGTTGCTCTCTTTGTAATAAAAGTTGCATTTGTTTTGTTGTTGATGCAGTTCTCTATTTGGACTCACCTGAGAGTGTTTTAGTGTGCATGAATGAATACTTTTGTATCGATGTGTATAGTGAGGGGTTGGGGGTGTTTGAAAATACCTTTTCCCCAAGAGGCCCTATAGAAAAACTAAGGAAACAACTGCTCTAATGACAACTCATTACAAACATGCAATTTTAGTGGATTATTTACCTTTTCTGAATTATAATCTCTACCAAAATCTGAGAATTGATTTATATCTGCTTAATCAATGCAGATGAAGGTGAAGTTTACATATTACACGACTTCACAGTAATGATTTCTCTAAAAAAAAAAAAAAAAAAAAGTGTTCGCTTGCTGCTTACATTTGAAACGTTAAAAAAGTTACATAACTGTACTCTAGTGTTGTGGCATACCTTTGCACATGTTAAACCACACACTGCTCAGAGTCTGACAGCAGGAATCCTCCAATGAAGATTTAAATCTATGCAGCTGCATTCTCAGTGGGTGGGTGGGTGTGAGCTTGTGTGTGTTTTGTGTGTATATTTTGTGTGTGCATGTCCATATGTGTATGTTTGCAAACACTTACCACCCCATCCATATTCAACGCATCAGTGCTGTCACTGTGCAATGTCGAGAGATCAGTGGTCGTGATGTAAGCAGCAGGTGGGCGGGGTTTTCCCAGTAACAGGGTGTCGCCCTCAGTCATTGACACATCCATGTGGCCTTTTTAAGGAAAAACATATATCCACAGGTCCAGTTACAAGCCTCCTTGGTCTCCTCCTTCTTATTATCTCACGTTTATGTCCACGCCACCGGCCCTTCATCCTTCACCTATGTCCTGCATCAAAGGTATATAAGAGTGGCATGAGGGGTCTGTCCCAGGAGGGTCCTCAAATCTCATACTGAGATCATACCTAGAAAGACCAGTAACATCAGACTGAGGAAGGCTACCAAGCAGCTTCAAAAGACTCAACCAAGATGCCCACCACCAACAGAATCATTTCTGACAGCAGGAAGACAGACAGAGGTGACACTTTCTGCATTTTTTTTTTTTTTAATCTTAGTTCTATTACTTTAAATCTAAGACTTTTCTATTGTATTGCATGTACAGTTAACTCCCTCTGTCATCTTCAACCCTTTAATATGAACTCAACATGTGTGCTTTTATATCCAATGCAAAGCTCATCACTACTAAAGCTTTAAATGAATTGATTTAATAACCTCAGCATGCGTTTGCAGTAGTGAGTTATTTTTTTTTTATTACTGCCTGTGATACAGACTCCAAGAGCACGGGTCATCAGGCTTTATGTGCGTGTGTAAAGCACAGTATTTCACTAGCTGATTTCATGCTTGTCGTAACCAGAGGCATTTAATGGTTTTACTGCCTTGAAGCGAGGGTCTGCTTGTGTCAACACGATCAGCATTTACAAAGATTGAACAGCCTATGCATTGAACACTATGCATGGAGAGTATACTAGCAGTCATCGAGCAAAGATGCAGCAGATATCCATAAATTGCAGTCTGGACTCACAGCTGTTTGCTTGTATAAACTATAAAACAGACTTAATTGAAGCAGTTACATAATTTGCATGGAGTGTCGTTTTTGTTTTAAGTCATTTTTGGTGTCATGAATCTATTTAGCGCTAAAGATCATGAGTTATGGGTTATCTTCTCACTCTGTCATACGTGGAACAAATGCAGTAGGACAGTAATAGCCTATTATCGCAATCTTTTTTCAAATCTCTTCACAACTTGACTAATGAGTTCTGTATAAGTCGGCTCCATGGAGGGTTTGGAGTTGCTTTAAAGCTTAAATATTTTGTATGGTGTCAGGTTGTGAAGAGACCGGACAATGCAGCTTATTTCCATCACCTTGAGCTAAATTTGGACAGGTGGCTTAAAATTCCTACATATTATCTGTCAGCCTCCAGTCAACAGAGAGATAAATATCAGCTCATTTAGACATGACGCGCATACTGAGAGACAAGAACTGTTAGCCTTGAAAAACAGATGAAATTGTGACTTAAGCTCTGGTGGAGAGCACGTTCACCTTTACGTCTTTGTTTCAATATTTACACAAAATTTAATCTGCCTCACAAATCCTAAAATGATGCAATGTGAACAAATTAGATTGTATACTTTGGAGATGGTGGTTGGTAAAAATAAAGCACAGAGTTATGTTAGTCTATGTTGACATCTTTATGGTGACAGGGTTAGGTGTCTCCTCTTTTCGATGTCCATCCGGAGACTGCTTGTTAACACATGAAGGCTAAGATAAAGTTTCAAAGTTGGCATAGGGCCCAATATTGTTATATAAGCGTAGCACATCGATTATTGTTTCTAGGAATGCTACAACAGCACTGCACCTCTTACTGAGCTTCAATTCAAGTAGAAACACCAAAACACTTATTGATTCCAGTTTGCAATAAACTCTTTTAATCAAACAAAATCAACTTTGTTATCATGATCCTGCATGCGCAACAATTTTACTCTATGATCTAAAGCCAAACTACTTTTCATTTCAGGAGTTTGTTTTCCTTCACTTTATTCCTCTCGTTGTTATTTGCACCATGATACCAATGTTGAATCTATTTGAACTTACCCAACCTTGGCTGGCAGCTTGTCTCACTCTTCTTATCCAATTAACAGCCGTGAGCTTTACACGCTGCTCGGGTGTGACCACAGCCAACCCCTGCAGCATCAGGGGTGTCTGGATCATCCTAACAGCCTGGCATGAATCAACTTCTGGCTAAACAAAAGCACGCACTAGCTGATGTGATGATCTGACAGAGGCAGATGGTTTGCTAAATATAAGCACCTTTTTTTTTTGAGCCGTCTCACTATCATCAGTTGAGAGACATGCCGCTGCTAAACTGCTGTATTTATAACGCTCAAGTATGTCACCCCTGAAGTAAGTTCCTGTTTCCCTCTAATCTTATTTCAGCAAAGAAATCCAAAGCTGAAAACTCGGGTAAGGCAAACGTTCTGCTCCAGCCTGTATAAATGTTTTATAAGCTTGGATAAAATCTTCGAACATCTTCAGTTCCTCTGACCCTTTTCTGCACCCGACTGATGTTGTTCTGTTGTGCACTCCTCAGAGAAGATCCCACCATATGAGCCAAATATCCCTGAACCAACAAGCAGAGCTGAACTCATGAAACGTAAGATTTATACATATATTTTTAAAACATCTACATATCTATATCTATATATATATATATATATACATATATATATATATATATATATATATATATATATTATTATTATTATTATTATTATTTTTTTTTTTTTTTTTTTAAACTAAGGCTGCACATACACAATTTTACCTGATCACTGTCTGAGTATTCACAACAAGGGCCTGTGTCTAGTCCATTAATCAGTGCAGTTCAGCATTTCCAGACACAAAAGTGTATCAGCTGTTTAACCGTCTTAGTTGAAGATGGTTCAATTACTGAACACTGCCGCACTCACCAATGTCCCTTTTCTAACTGGCCAATTAAATGCAAGACAAAGCGGCATCCCTGATACCCACTTTGTCAACAACACTGGTGAGGGTCCATATCAAGAAGAAACTAGGCACAAGTTTTTACTATGAAAAGCCATTAAATCAGGGCAAACATGAACCATACAATGCATTTTAAAACCAGGCTAAGCAGTCACTTCTATGTCAGCAGGAGCGCAAGAAGAGAAGACAGCTGAAAATGGACACAGGCCCTAAAAGATCTGATAACTTTGAATTTAATGCCATAACTCAGAGAAGATATTTAATGTAAACAAAGTTTCAGTGAATAAATGTTTTTTGTCCAACACCAATAGACTGGATCAAGCTTTCCCTGGATGACAAAACAGCCAATAAGATGCTTTGGATCACAGAGGGCGGGGCTAAAGTGGCCAGAATGACTGATGAGGTCACTTGCCCTGTCTTGGACAGACCAGAACGCTATGAATATGCTCCACAGGTAAAATATGAAGATGTAAATGGACTATTTAAGTATGAAATAACAGAATTTACAACATGTGTTTTCTCATGTGCCAAGACTCTGTCAACACCATTCCACAGCAGGTAGAGTCTTACACGATTTTGACACCCAGGAAACTGTTTTATGGAACTGAGGGCTCTCCTTGGTGTTTATTTTAATCCTGAGGTGTCTGGTTTGGCATTGCAAAGCAGAGAGAGCCAAGCTTCTCTGCATTCCCTGCTGTGACAGCAACAGTAAATCACGGGTTGTGTTAGATTATCTTTGATTTATGTCTGTCTTTTCATCCTTATTCCAAAAGGTTCTCTGCAATGAAGGCATCTTGGGCTTCAGAGGCTACTGGGAAGTGGAGTTCTCAGGATGGGTGGTGGTCGGGGTCGCATATGAACGAGCTGGTAGGAGGAACAATCAGGGACCCTGCGGCCTGGGGGAAAACGAGGAGTCCTGGGGTATCGGCTGGAGTGGTTCAAGCTACTACTCATGGCACAACAGCCAAAGTGTAGAGATCACAGGGATCCCCAAATGCTCCAGAATTGGTGTTTACCTTGACCAGCCTGCTGGTATGCTTAATTTTTATGTTGTTGAGGAGATGAAGGAGGGAGAGGAGAGTGTGGGGGGGAAGGAGGTGAAACTTCTGCAGCAGATTAAGAGCACCTTTGGGGAGAAGATGTTACCAGGATTCTGGGTGGGGACACAGTCACACTGTTTTCTCGTAAAGAATGAGGAATAAAACCTGACTCATAATATTGCGTCTAAAAGGGAAAACATATCTTTCTATTGGATCAAAGCTTTAATCAGGGGAGTTGTATGCACAAGATGACCTTACGGCAGCAACGTGGTCACATAAACACCCGTCTTCCATGTCATGAAAACGCTAACCAACATAATGAAGGTTGCAAAAAAGCCTTTGCACATTACATCATCTTCAAATATTATGGGGTTGATTCCAAGTACAGACGTAAATTCTGACAGGTTCAAGATGGGTTAACCCTCCACTATTTTAGACTTTCCTGAACCCATCGGACCACATAAGGTTTGTAGTAATATATATTTATATATTTATATTCCTCCATTGTTATTGTTTGATAAGACTGTATAGTGTTACCTAGTTTGATATGAATGTACTAATAATGTCACGTTTGCAAAAGTGTGAATAAATAAAAAAACAATCAGACTTTTGTTGTGGTTTGTTCGTTTGCAGATTACTTACCACTACACAATGCACATGTGGGAATAGGTGTGTTACATTTGAACATGTATTGATTGGGAAGTAGAGTATTAAAAATCAAACAAACAAAAAGAAAAAAGACACTGCCTCTTAAGTCCAACATGCAGAAAAAAACCCTTGATAAGCTGATCTCTGGATACAGCTTTTCGCCACATGAAGTGATATTGTCACCCTGCAGTATCAGGAAATCTCATAGCACTAGATTTCATCACACTTTGTCTTATGAATATTTGCAATCTAAACTTGGACAGGTAGAGATGTTTGAGATGTATCAGAAGGAATTCTTTTTTGAGTATACAGATATATAAGAATATATTATATGTGTTTGTCGACAAGGAGACAAGGAGGTTTTGTGTTTGTCTCCTGTGCCATAGGGCCTTTACTTCCTCAGAGTGGGATTACTACTCTAGTGTGGCAATACTGCTGGTATTTTAACCATGGGGTTGCTAATGCTAACATTACAGACTTGTTTACACCTCATTTTTGAACTATCTGTCCCTGAGGAGTTATGTCAGGTGCCACACAGCAGTTGTTTTTGTAACCTGACAGTCTGTGCATATATGGAGTTCTGCTTTGATGTCCCATTTATTTAGGGTGACCACACTGCCTCTTTTACCCAGACATGTCCTCTTTTTTGGGAGCTGTCTGGGCTGTCCGGCTTTGTCCGGGGAAATTTATAAACTACTTCAAATGTCCAGGGTTTTGTACAGAAGTTTCAAGTTTATGTCCTGTGGATGTTCTAATTTAGAGGTGCGTAAAAGACACTCGATCTAATCCGAAAAACTCTCAAAATGGAGCACGTGCGACTCTGTGACTCTGCCCCAACATAGTTGTGTCCTCTTTTTGGGGATTCAGAATATGGTCACCCTACATTTATTATTTTGTTATTAAGTACAACTAGGTGTAAATTTTGCTGGATGACAGCTGACATAGATAATCAGGTGAGATGGCCGGGATAAATGTTCGATTACCAATCCGTGAGAGAATGCAAAGATCAGCTCTGATCTGATTTTTAAGATTTGGATTCTCCTGATAATATAGTTGTAATGTTTTTGACATCAAACCTCATTCTGCTTTCTTTCAATGATCAAATATTTGCTCATCAGCCTGGAAACAGAGAGATGTCTGTTCCCGCGACATGCAGCTAACCACTTTATCTGATGCATTCTTGGCAGCAGCTGTCATGAGGCTAATTGTCACATGTTTGCTTTAGTAGGTCATAGGAAGGCACAAGTATTAGTTTCAGTCTGTTTCATAACCAGCTAAAAACTCCTCACAGTAGCTTTAATTTGGGCAGGGAGAGTGATGCTATGTGGAAGAGTCAATCGTCTAGCTGCCAGAGAGTTGGGGGTTGGATTTCAGCTCTAGCTGTCCACGTGCCGAAGTGTCCTTTGGCAAGCTATTTAACTCTGAAATTGCATCAGTGGTGTGTGAATGGGACTAGCTAATTGCCTCAGTAGTTTGATATAGTGGTCTCTGCTATCAGTGTGTGAATGAGTCATGCAAAGGTGAGTGTGACAAGGGATGTGAAAGTGTTTTGGATGGTCACAAGACTAGACATACAAAGAGGCTATTTACCATTTATTTTAATTAGCAGCAGGTATTTATACACACGCTCTTTAGACCATACAAGCCAGATCATAGGTCTGGCCTTGACGGCTGAAAAACTTTGTATAAATTGGGCTGTAAGTGATCTTTGACCCACACAACACATCTAGGTTGACATATTTTTACAGTTTGTCAGGTTTGACGAAGGTGTCTTTTTTACTAAAGGGGTCCTGCCTCCATCTCTACCCTGTGTTGACAACGCTAGTCATGTGTGCGCCGACACCTTCTTGCTTTTTTTGATCACACTCCTAAAGTTTCAGGGGTGTCAAATTCCTGTCCTGTTCCAGTCTCACTTCTATCCATACGTCAAAGTCAAGTGCAGACACCCCATTGACCCCCCGCAGAGCCCCCGTTCCACTGACCTCTACACCTCCTCCAGACACCCTTAGCCCCACTAAGCCCCCCTGCCTCCTCTCTTAGGGGACTATAAAAGACAAGTGGAAGACTTAGCACCTTTACTCTGGAAGAATCTGGTTTTCTGAAGAATCTAGATGTGGATTATTGCTCCACAGCCCCAGGATGCCAGCTAGACCCAATTCTGCAGTGATCCTAATGGAGACCAGCAAACCAGGTACAAAAAGTATAACTTATTTTAAGTTGCACTGCAATGTTAACTGACACCTTTCTTTAAAAAAAAAAAACACCCTCTAAAATGAGGCGACTGTTCATCTGCTTTGACAGCATTTGTGGTAACTGTGCTCCAGCAGTACAAACAAGCTCCTCACGAACTTCTTGTATTTACAGTTGTTGCCTCTTCAAGCTCTCACTCAGAAGATGTCTTTTTAAATACTATACAATTGGATTTATACGGACATAAAAGGTTTCTCATGGGAAGAAAGAAATCAAGTCAAGAGTGTTGAAACTAATTGAAAAATACCCACTTGCATTTAAGGCCTCCAACTGGAGCACATAGCGTACTTTTAAGCCGAAAATACTTTACTCGTTTGGAAAACACTTGCATTTTTTAAAATGAAGTATAAAAGGGTTGTAAGCTAAAACTTTTGAGAAGCACTTAATACATGTTTTTTTGTTTGTTTTGTTTTGTTTATGGGTCATCAAGGACAAATTAATTCATTTTTGAGCGTTTAGACTTTAATATCTTGGCACATCCTGCTCTAGTTTTTGGCAAGCGTAAAGGTTGTTCATATGATACGTGGTGTCATTAAATGAAACATGAAACTACTCTTCACATTTTTCCTGATGAACCTTTGGCCTTTACTTTTTTTAGGAAAGAAAACTAGGTCCAGCAAAAAGGCCAACCAAGGTAAGATCATTTCAGCATTTTAACTCTCTTCGCTACTTACTGGGTTTGTGTTAAAGTCAATTTTCTTCCATTACAGATCAAGTTCCTGTTTATGTGCCAAACATCCCAGAGCCAACATGTCGAGCGGAGCTCATAAACTGTATGAGATTTTTTTTCGTCAAATCAATGAAATCAAATATAATTCATGTGTATTTTTCTGAATTTATTAAAAACAATAATGCTTAATTTTTCTCTTGTAGACTGGATGAACTTGTCTTTCGATGATAAAACTGCCAACAAGTTGTTGTGGATATCTGACGGTGGGTCAAAAGTGTATCGCAGGACTGAAGAAGTTTGTCCCGTCCTTGACAGACCCGAGAGATACGAGTACTCTCCACAAGTAAGTCAGAGAATGACACAAATACAGCCGACAGCCAAAAATAACAAATATTCTGTTCTTACTTGTTCCTTTATTTTTGTCAATTTTTGTCACCAAAGGTGTTGTGTAAAGAAGCTATCTGGAATGCGAGGGCTTACTGGGAGGCGGAGTACACAGGCTGGGTGGTAATTGGAGCCACCTATGAAGGAGCAGGACGCAGGGCAAACTCTGGGCCAAGCGGCCTTGGCGAAAACGAGGAGTCCTGGGGTTTGTGCTGGTCTGGGACGCGTTACCAGATTTGGTTCAATGGCTTGAACAAAGACATAACCAGCGCCCCTTATAGTCCCACGATAGGAGTGTACATCGACCAGCCAGCGGGGATAATTAACTTTTATTCAGTAAGTGGGGAGGGAGCAGAGAGGGAAGTCAAACTGCTGCATAAAGTTGAGGCCACCACTGATAGAAAGATCCTGCCAGGTTTCTGGATGGGAGTTCAATCCGCGTGCACGTTACTGAAAAAACCTGAGTGAATAGTTAGAGCAAAATCACGTCAAACAAGATGTGATGATGCAGCAACCGGGTTATGACAATGAATTCTGTGAATGTGACAAATATTTTTAATCAGCGGATGCCTGCAGTATGAGTCAGCTAAAGTTTTAAGAAACTTTTTTTTTTTTTTAAATTTTTGTGTATTTTTTTTTGCCCTACACTCCTTTATTGTGTTCAGTATGTGTTGTTCGGTAGCATCAGGTTTCATATTTATTGACTGTTTGTGATATTTATGTGACTTTACGAAACATGAAATAAAACCTGAAATAAAACAAATGGAAGCTTCAATTTATTCATGTCAAGTTCTTAATGAAGGACTGTAAAGATTTGACAAAATTTACAGCCCAACGTGTGAGATCCACCATGTATCAAGTTCAAGAATCACATACGAGTTCAAGGTTGCTCCTCTGTTTTGGTCTGTTTTTAACATTACCAAATGGGTGAAGGCCTTTGTGTGCTCCTAGGATATAGTTGCACATGCAGGGCAGAGGGGTCAAAGCATCGATCCCCTCTGGATTTTTTGGCTGAGTGAGGTGGGGGCTGTGAGAATCACCCCACTCTAAGTTAGAGGAGCTCACTTTGATATGTAAGGAGAGACACCAGCCTGCAGATCATTTCTCTGCTTTGACAGGTGGGCCCCCCATCTTCTACTGCTTTCACACCTACAGAAGGAGCTTTACAGGAACTAAAAGAAGGGCCCACAGACAAACACAGAGTCTTACACTCAGAGGTCAGAGGTCGAATGCACTACGCAACCTCATTAAACTAGCACTAAGAGGAGCCCCAGCAGGAGATGACTTTTATGAGTCTACTAAACTTTGTTTACAGTCTTGTAGGTGTGGCACATGACCGGTTTAAGTGACCTAAAAACAAGACCTACACTCAATTTTGTATTTATGTAATCTTCTGGCCGAGACAAATCCAGGACTCTACTTACACTCCATTTTTTTCCCAGTAAAATTATCTGAAATTATTTGGTCTTAATAACTCAAATGGGAGGATTTGCCATTTTTTTCATTTATCACAGTAAATTAAGAGTATTTGGGTTCTGAACTGACAAAACAATCAACTTTTTTAACTAAATTGCACATTACTGTGAATTTATACCCTCAGTCCTGTTGTGTTTTCAACACTGTAACCAATGAAAGCTGTATGCTCCTTTAACCCCATCAGCTTTTGACAGGCAGCTAAATTACCCATCTACACTACAGGGCCTTACCCCTAAAAAGTCCCCATGCAACTCAGAGGGGTTGGCACTCCAGGGCACACATACAGATCCTCATGTTTCTGAAACAGTTTTAACATGTGGTCCTAAAGGGCCGTATAGTTGTACACACCCCTGCCAGTAATCGACATCTTCAACATCTTTTTCTCACAAGAAACTGTCCCACAGGCCTTCAAATAATTTGTCATAGTGCACTTGAAGTACACTCCATTTATCTAGAATAAATTCCTGTATTTTTTACATTGCAATACATATTTTCCTAAAAGGAAAATAAGCTTTTTTTAAAATATGGTGCAGCCCCTCCACTCGGGACAAGAACATCACCATCAAATACGCAGATGACACCACCAACCTGAGACTCGTTAAGGGCAGAGATGAGTCCCCATACAAGGATGTCATCCACAAGCTCATCCATAGAGAGGACAATGACCTTGTCCTTAATATAGTCAAGACTAAGGCAGGGGACCCCTCAGCTCAACTGAAGTCAAGCAGGTTAACAGTCATAAGATCCTCAACTTTCACATTTCTAAGAATTTTCTTGACGCTAACAACACTGCAACAACTGCAAAAACAAAACACAGGCTAAGCTGGCTGCTAAAAAAGACAAGATCAATACATACAGGCCGCAACCTGATTTTGTGATGGCTGGGCGCCTTCAGTTTTAAGTCCTGGGTTAATCCCTGCATGTAGCTGTACTACTCTGCTGTACGCCAATTGCTAAAATGTGTACACACCCCTACATGTGCCATCATTGTTTACAAACTGTGTAGAGATTTTTGGAGCAGTTGATGGTGCAAACCAACAGCAGTCGACTTAGCAGTAAATGTTCACATACGGACTGAGGAAACAAAGCAAGGCAAGACGTCATACTGTCACCACTTCCTCATACCTCATATGTTTCACTGGAACCAGCAACTGTACAAGCTGATTGATGGTTCTATGGTCGTAAAGACTGCGGCCACAACAAACAAGTCACGTGACTGAAACCCATGATGAAGCACGTTTTTTTCTGGATGTACCATAACTATCTGCACCCAGTAGAAATAGACTCAAAACAGCTAAAGAGGGTGCAAAGATAACGTATTTAAAAATACCACACTTGCCCCACTTATGATGGGAAAAACAAAGATCATTACACAACTTTGTATTTATAACTGCTGAAGTACACTTAAGTATGATTTATACAGTGGCACTTGTGATGAGTAGGGTATAAGTGAAGATTTACAGTCAGTGATCTCTGCTCTTAAACCTACCTGACAGTTACAAACATCCGTCTGGACCAAAGAAAACACAAGTGGAGCCCAGAATAAGCTCTTGCATGGAGCACCAGCGCCCGACATGTTTGTATGTGGACGCTGGGTATGTGAGTGAGTGGTAACTCTAAGCTGGTGTTATGAGCAATGTGGTAAATACTGTATAGGTGACACTTATAGCATGACATACAGGCTTAGGGGTAGAGGCATCCATATTTTATGTTATGGACACTGCTTAGCACACAATCTGACAAAATCTCAATAAAAACATTAATATAATTGTTTGTCAGAAAAACATGCGACTTCCTAAGTGTGAAGACATCTGACTCGAAATAGAAAACTGCCATATCTCTGCAGTCAGTATTATAGCACTATGAGTACCATGTGAACACTTGTGCAGCAGCTTGATTAATTGTATACAGCTGCTTCTGAATCACATGTACTCCATCATTTTATTCCCATCTGGTCCAACACTGCCAGATCAATGATATATACACTCACTCATTCAGACACTATTGGTCCCAACAGATTTACTGTCATGTAGCTACTGGCTCTCATGCAAACTGTCCACAGTCTGGCATGGCCCAGTGGGAGCATCACTTATATGTTATTCTTTCCCTCTTTGCCAATATTTATATGTACAACTCCCAGGCATGAATACTTGGGCGCTTGTTGAGCTTTATCCACCTTCACGTTGTCAGCCTTGTGCATGGTTTTAATACTCATCTATACATGGTGCATGTATACAGTCCATGACATTTGGATAACAGGTCAGGGTCTGCTCATGGTTTCATGAGGTCTTTGTTTTCTGGTTTTGACACCATCAGTTCACTGCAAACTTGGTTGTACTGAAAGGAGGGATCTATATTTACTCGGAGAGCTGACAGGATCCTTTCAAAGAGGTCTTGATTGAATTTTACCAACTGGTCTGTGCCCATTTGGAAATAAGACCTTTCCATAAGCACATGTATAAGAGCAGTTTTTTTTAATTTTCATTTTTATAATCTATCCTCCAAGTAACTATTTTTTTCTATATTTTCAAGATTTCAAAAACAAGTTCATTACCAAATTGATTAAAATTTGTTTATTTTTGACTGAAACAAGATGAAAAACCTGTTGTGTTTGCGTCAGGTTGTTGCCATAGTTGCCATGGCTCGGTAGGCATTCCGCCTTGGTCGGCTTGCTTTCTAGTAGGCTATCGAGCTGTTTCATGTGGCACAGGACAAGAGTACATCATCGGCTGTCATCTATAAGCATATTAAGTGTTGGCAACTTGGTCCAGTTTATCCTGCACACTAAATACAGATAATAATGTAAATTAGCTCTTGTTCCCTGTATCTACTGCCTTTCTAAACTGAAGTCTACATTGCTTCACTGTGGCTGTATGCCCCTTTCATTTTTCTATCATGAGGGGATGACCTTGCCTCACCCAGTGCAACCACAATAATATTTTATGAAATACTTTAAGTTATCACACAAAGCAAATTACATAAGTAAACTGAAAAGATGGCAGTTTGACAAAACTACCCCACCGTCCCTCAATGCATTGATTTGTACTGCTTTTTCCATCGGGAAAACTTCTCTCCCCTGCTTAACTCTCCTGTTCAAAAACATCTTCTTGCATTTCTTCTACACAACTGTTTTCAGCGCCCCTGTCTGCACAAATCTTCTCTGGACATCCTTCTATGCCTGAAACAGTCTAAATAAAGTAACCTGCAATTGATTTAGGGTCACTGTACTGACACTTTCTCAGGTAACAAGCTTTTATTAATTCAACACTTTATGGGTTAATGTGAATTGCACTAAGTTGTAGCCAATGGTAACCATGCATCTGTCCACTGGTCAAAATCTCATGTTGAACAATAGCTAACACTTCAGCCAAGTCTGTCTGATACTTTCTTCTGAACAGGTCTTTTACAAATTCTCTTTAGAGTTCAGACACGTTTTACTATCGGATTGTTATGTGATAAATTGCAAGTATTCTGTTATTACTGAAAGAAAATCTGATGTTGAGTTTGATTAAATCAGCATTATTCTATTAGAAACACATTTGTACAGATTTACATTTGTTGGCAGATTTATTCATAGTTTTAATTACAGTTAAATTCCAATTTCTACTATATACTGAGTTATGCTGTATTTAATCCCTCAGGGATTTTTGTAAATATTTCCAATTTTTGGAACAGGTGAAAGCTGTGTTTTCAGACCACAGCCACCAGGTGCTGCTGTTATGCTTCTTTTCCCACAACTTACTGTAAACCAATGCCTACCCCATGTGACACAGTATGAAGAACAGCTCATGAAAAATACATAAGCAACAGAGGACTTAAAAACTCAGTAGAACGATATAAACCTGTTAAAAAATCTTAAATATCTGGCTTTTTTATTTATTTTTTTTCCTTTGGCCTCATAGCATCCCTTTCATTACCTCATATTTACTTCACATGAACATGGAAGTTAAGTCTTCTGGTCCATTTCTTTCTAAAATTTTGCTGAAGGTACTGTAAATAAGGAGCATTCAATGTTCTCTTAAAAGCTCATGCTGTATATCATTACCAATGACAGCAGCACCATCTAGTGTCACAAAGTTGCATTACAAGACTAGGATGTTCAGACTAAAACTCAGATTTCTGGGGTAACAAAGTACCCCAGAAAATACAGTAGTATTATGGAGCTTTTGCGTGAATTTGAGCAACATTTTCTTCAAATAATCTTTAAGTTAACATTTTTTTACAACAGCTACTAAGAGCCATGTATGAATCACAAAATGAATCAGCAGCACCACCTGCTGGATTTTTATTGTTTGTGCATCTAAAAAATACACAATCTACACATTTACTCAGGATAGAAACAGACACTTTCAATGTTTTTCAAAAATAAAAAAATAAAAAAAAAACACAGCTCTGACTTAACCAGTAAGATACCGTGTATTTAACTGATGTTGATAACATACAGGGTCACATTAACCTGTTATAAATGAATCAGTCACGAAGACACATGCATGAACACAGCAGTGAAATTAGGAAACTTTTAAAAATAATTTCCCATATTTTGAGATCAAAATGGGAAGGATGCCAACAGACCAATCAAATAGTTGATGCATCAGCCAATGGTCATGCTTACTCACCTCACAGAAACATTACTTAAAGTATTCAGTCATGAAAATATCAGCCAGATTGACATCTCTGTGTTTATGTATGAACTACATAGTTTTAACGCATGGATGTGTTATTGCAAACGTCATGGAGTTTAGACCACTTTCACCTTGCCCAGTCCTTCTTGTTTGACATCATTGATTTTTACGTTCTCTTGCCAACTGCAGCCAGCAGTACACCTTTACCTGATATTGCTGGGCAAGACAGCACTGTAAGGTGAGTAACAGGCCAACCAATGGGAGAAAAGTAAATTGTGCTTAGAAAGAAAATAAAAGGTCTGTTTAAAGGTGGTGAAGGCAGGACTTCGTTCAAGAAGCATCTTTTTTGTGGTGTATATACAAAAAAGCTCTTAACATCAGTCAATAGCTATTAGTCACTGATGACATTTGGTAGTACAACAATATCGCTGTGTTTTGTTTTGTCTTTGTAGTCAACATTTTACATTTTTTGAGCGGCCCGCTCTTTCTGACTGTAAACAAAGCCATTCTTTGCCTCCCCGATCTTGATTGGTTGTGAGGCAGACGCTGCTCCCCCATGTAGTTCAGGAGCCCAAACAAAGTTAGTGTGCTACAATATCAGACAGTAGAAACCAACCAGAAAGTGCAGAAAATTGTCTGAATCCTCTTTTAGCCACCACCACCAACACAAGCAAGAAAACAAAATAAATACCGGAGACTCTGGCCGAATCACGGGCGCTCAAAAAGGAGGTAGACCACCCGGACAAGAGCTAAAAAAGCCGGGTCAACAATGATGGGGGACGCTTTTAGATCTTACGGACCCTGTAACCTTTCTGCTGGACAGGTAAACTGCTTTAACAAAGTAAGACAAGTGTCTGTGTCAGAACTGTTTCTAGTTATAGAAGTCCTGCAAACGTTGTGTTTGCTTGTAGTCTGTTGATATCTACAGTAGCACCAATGCTGTTCACTTTCACATTGACTGGGCTCCATTTGTCATTATCTGAAGTATCTGCATTATATCTGAATTCAATTGAAACAAGAACAGCAAGGAAGAGTGTCTGTTCGTGGGCGAGGCTTGCTGGAGCAGAGACGGCGAGGAGAGGAGGAGCTGTGGGAAAAACCGGTTTGGAGGGGTAGCGTTTATATTCAAAATTTCTCCCCAAAACTGGTACTTCCTCAGATCCTGCCTACCCCACCTTTAAGTCTTCCATACCATTGGAGCTTACTGTATTTAGTCCAGGACCACATTTCCCATCACCACCTGAAATCACTGTTACTGCTTCCTGTGTGACTGTGCCCCACAGGTTGCCTAATGTGAAACAGGAGCTGATGAGTATCCACACAGCTGTCAGTTAGCACGACTCATTGTGTAGTAAGCTAAAAGGGAGGGGTCGTAAATATCTGGAGGCAGACTGATTCGCCCCCTGAGAGAACTGGACATCCCGTCTGAGGTCACGACCCCTTTGGTGAAAACCAAATGGTCTGGACATGTGAGCACTAAGTATAAGATGATGGCATGATTACTATGTGAGTGATGAGCAATGGTGCGAGTGCTGTGTATTACAGTATGTGTCGTGGCTGCAGTATTTCAACAACAGCATTTCTAGACATAGCACTGCGTATTTATCTCTGCTTTATTCATGAGTGTAAAAATGGTGCCACCAACCAGCCAGGCCTTCAGGCTGCTTTCCTTTGAGAGTAATTTTAGACTTGACTTTTCCCCCTATCCCCTTGTTCTTATCATAGCTCTTAAAATGCCTTTGATATCTTCCTCTTGCACAGCATTAATGCCAGGTCTCCTGAGGCATCCACGTTAGCCTGCTGCAGAGCACCAGCTCCAACTTTTTCTTTGAGTGCTCTTCTTTTTGTCTGCTTCTTTAAAACATTATTCATGACCAGACAAGTTCTCACTTTCCTTACCTCAAAGCACTGAGCACCTTATTTCTTTCAGTTTGAATCCTGATGCACAATCTTTCTTGTGGACTGCAGGCAAGTCCAGTAGACATATCTGAGGGACTGAAGTCTCTATCAGAAAAGTTCTGGAACTTTATAACTTTAGAAGGTGCTGACTCAGTGCATGAGGAAAACTAGAGCCAACATTTGGGTAAATTCATTTTTATACAGTTGGTGAAAAGTCTCAACTCCCAACTAACTAATATTGAAACATCTTAACCATTTTGTTAACTGAACGTCAGAGATGTCTAAATCTGAAAACAAGTATACTTGTACTTAAAAAATGACACTGACTTTGAAAAACGAACAAGTGTAGACCACATTTTTTCATTTTTTTTTCAACAGTTATTATTCCTACACAATACTAAAAAAGACAAACTTATGAATACATCTTGTGTCTTTTTCACAGGGATAGTTGTATTTAAATGTGGGTTGTACTCGGTACTTATTTGTAGTAAGTATAAGGGCCTGTTTCCATTGACAGCATTTTTGTGCTTGCAGTGCTCACAACATCAATTTTGGAGCTCATCTCACTGCCACTTCCTGTTTTGAGGTCTTGAAAGTAATCTATTTCCTTAATAGAGACTATAATTTCTTTATAATTTCTTTGTATACTTTTTAAAACGTAAAAATAATTGATAGAAACAGTGTTCTGGCATAAGTCCTGAGATATCAGAAGTCCTACTCCTTCAGTCTGATGTTCGTCTCAGTCTTTAACTTCAAACCTGTGTATTCTGTGCCACTCACTAATGACAAAAATACATATGTTACTAGTTTGTCCATGCTGTGCCCCTGTAGAAATATGGCAGCACATTATAGACGATTCATGGAAGAGGACATGTACCAACATTATTTTCTTTAACCGAGAAATACTGTATTTTATGGCTTAAATTGGGTTTTTATCATCAAGTTTACAGAATGTTTTTAATCCAGTAGAATCTTGTGCATTGAACAATATCTTACATAATTAAACTTTAAATTTGACCAATAAATTAACTTACTGTATAGTTAATTTATTGTTTTAGCAAAAAATAGGTTGCACCATATTTATTACAGTAAATTTCTGTCAACCCAGCTGCCAGTATTTTACCGTAAAAAATACAGGATTTTTGTTACAGTATATATACACATGAAAGATTCAGTCTGAGTTAACGAAAAAACAAACATTTTTATATTCAAACACACCTATGAATGTTATGTTGAATTTCTACAATTTTCTATTGTTGCTAAACATGACACTGTTCCTTCAGATTTATATAGCCAGGTGTTGCAAAGAGCCCTTCATATTATAAGGTCTTTATCCAGGTTAATGGTTCAGAGCTGCAACCCAAAGCTGTAATTAAGTTGAGGAGCTAGATCTCCAAAGCTTTAAGATAAAATTCAAATAATGCAAAGGGCAGGGACAAAGAATGAGAGACCAGCTGTTTTCAGTGAATTCCTTAGTCACAAACCCACACTCAGCTAAAGACAGAGAGGCTGTGAAGGGCAGGGTGAGAGGGAGGGACACTGAAGAAGAAGAAGAAGAAGAGGGAGAACAAGGAAGGGGGGGAGGAAGAAAGAAGGGGCTCACAGAGAGGGCACTGTCAGAGAACAGAAGAGCAGAGTGAGGGTGAACAGCTAGCGTAGGTTGTCTGATCACTGCTGCCGCTGCTGATACAAGTCAGGGCCGAGTTGGAATAGCAAGAAACAGAGAGGGAGATCCAGAGACGAACCGTACAGGGGGTGACTGGTTTGGGCGACAAGAGCTGGTGGCGGACAGGAAAAGGGCAGCCGAGCAGGAGGAGATGCTGTGAGGAAGACTGCCAAGTGATGGAGAGTGAAGCAGCCAGCAGGCGGGCGCAATTAGTGAGGTACAACAATATAGCACTTATAATTATTATTATTACCACAAATGTCTTACTGAAACCCGCTTTGTGGTGTCTTTATGATTATTGTGTATTTGCTGTTGATGTTTTATTGTACTTTAAGGGCCCAAAGGGGGACAGGCATGTTTTTCTATCTTAGGCAATTATTGTTCTGTGTTATCAGTTTCCGTGCAATATTCCAGACCCCAACTTTATTTATATAATTTTTTTAAGACAATTTGAATAAGGATGTGATATTTTAACATATTGTCAAAAATATTCCAGCTGAGAATATTTTGAATTAAGTTCAGCATCACTTTATTTTTCATGGTGTTTTTAAATGTAGTATATGAAGAGAAAAAGTGCCTTTAATGATTGTTTACACTATTTTAAAGCAGCTTTGTGACATTGTATTGGTGACTAAACATTAACAAGCAAGCAAGGTAACTTTTTCTCAGCTTTGCAAGTCTGTGAAATTGAAGCTACATATATCCGACTGCTTACCTAAATACATATAAATCAAGCTCCATAGGATGATATTGTATCTTTATGAGGGAATCTTCTCAGACAGCCGCAGTAATGTTTGTATAAGAGCCTCACGTCACCACTTTGCAAATCTGTTTTGTGATGATTTTGTTGACATTCAAACAATCAAGGATTCAGGAGACATGCAAATGTTTTGGTTGACAGCGAAGGAGGATAGTTGACATGCCAGTGTATTAAACATGCCCATAGTCTTACTTCACATGATTCCCCAGAGTCCCCTGGGCGCCACAAAGCGCACTCTGTGTGGTACACAAACCCACCGTTTGTCCTTCCATCCATCCCCTCTTTAGCATTTTAAGTCTTCTCCTCCCCGAGCCAGTGACCCCGGCTGATAAAGAAGGAGATTTTCCAAATATTTCACAACACCCACGTAACCCCCAGCGGCCGTGAGGTTGTGAGTCTTTGCTTTCATCACTCACAAAGACATGATTGTATTTTCTTGTTTACTGTGGGTCTCACTTGTTGAGGGTTGTGGTTGATTCTGATAGAGATTGTGTAAGCTAAACCGAGTCCAACCTCTTGGTCACCCACGAGTGCTTGTGGGGGCTCAGTGTGAGGTGATTCTCATGAGCTTTTATCTTGAAGTGCATCTGTAGAGCTGTTTCATGAGAGGTCAACAAGTGTGCGGTTCAGATAAGCTGTTTTGTTCAGTGACACCGGCTCTAACACACTGTGAAAAGATCAGTTTTAATATCTAAAAATGTTATTTTAAGAGAGAAAGTGATCTTTTAAATGAAGTTATTATGTTACCAGTTATTACACACCACTTACAGTATAAAACATTACACATACAGTATAAATACTAGGGATGCTAGTGATTTATCTTCTTAACCGAGATTCATCAGTTAATCTCAGCGACTAATTGCGATTAAGCACTTTTAAATAACATGCTGTCACTGTCAGAGACCTCATCTCTAAATCTCTAAAATTAATCATTTTAAAAGTTCTTAAGCTCATATTAAAGCTCCTGTAAGGACCTTTCTATCTAGGTTGATTTTGATGCCCTCTTTGCATGAAACCCTCAGATATTTTTGTTTAGTCCTTACATAGCAGACTAAATTGATTTCAAAAATCTCTTTCAGTGAATATTTGCGGTGGGAAAAGTAACAAATGTTTTTTTTTGTTTTTTTTTGTGTGTGTACCTACCCCCTTCCAGCAGTTATAGGAGTCAATCTTGACTATGACTGTCTTATTTGCTTTCATGCAAAAATGGGATGCATCAGTGTTCATTTTAGCATGTTTCCTAACCCATCAAAAACTCCACAATGGAGCTTTAAGCATGTAATGAAATGAACTTTCCTTATTACTCGTCCTGTATGTTTAAAACTTGTTCTCCTTGATAGTGAGGGATTTGACTGGTAACAACACGCCAATGAGAGGATAGTCTTTAAACTTAATTGTTCCTTAATGTTGACTGGCCTGCACTTATATGCCACCAGTTGAGCAATCTCTGAAGTTAACCTCTTCAATCTAGTGGCAGTCTCGCGCTCCAGAATAGTGCTCCTCTGGCTTTTTCATGTGGTTGCCCAATGATGTTAGTCCTGTTGGCTGCACTTGTACACTTGACTTGCTTCAAGCACACATAATATTAAAGCTCCTGTAAGGAACTTCTGGTTTATGTTGACTTTGGTTACCCCTTGTCAATAAAGCAACCTTTGCTGATTTTGTCAAAGTGTACTTCATGTTTATTGACCAAAAACCTCTTATTTTGTGTCCTTAAGTGGTCAGTAGTACTTCATCAAGAGTCTCTGCCATGGAAAAAAAAGCTTCAACACCATGTTGCTGTTCAGTTTATCTGACACCCACCCCTCTGCTAGAGATAGTCTCGTAGGGGGGTCCCATTACTCTTTGATGGCCTTGTTTGTTCTGAGAGGCCTTGAAGAGAGAAGAGTAATAATTCCAATAAGGTACATAACCAGCCAAAAACTAAAAGTTGCTTTAACTTGAAAAAAAATCAATATTTGACTGAAAGTTGGTTGGCACATAGAGGCAAATATACAGTACATGTCTAGAAAGCATTGATGAAGCATCAGAAGAACATTTTTGTTAAATCGGTAAAATGTGAGTTAGATTTTAAAAGGGGGACACATCTTTCCTAAAATGTATGGTTATGCATCATTGTTCATTTTTATAAATAGGTACTGGGTTGTACAGTAGGTGCAGGTGCTAGTGACATGCCTCTATGTGACCTCATGCTGCTAAACCTGGTGGTCACGTGTCTCAAGAGACGGCATGACTCTACAGAAAAACACAAACCTGTGACACCACCCCTTCTGACACATTTGTCTTCAACGTGCCCCTAAACTTCCTCCGTTCGGCTCCGCTCTTGTCTTTAAGCGTTCACACTGCACTTCTGAGGTTCTGTGGGACACATTCCAAATCTCTCTCAGTCTCATAATAGCAGCCCGTTCCTGCTGCCAGATTGGTTTTCACACAGTCCCGGGCCCCTCCCTGCTACCACGGCGACGCAGCTGTCACCTGTCAATTTCATGGTAGGGATGCACACCGGCCTGTTATGGCTCAGAATAGACGTGTGGGAGAGTTTAACTGGAAGTGGGAAAGAGCACAACAGCAAGTGTCCAAGAGGATGAACAGTTGACCACGGGGAAAAATCTCAGCTATATGGAAATGTAACATATGTGTCTTTGGAGGAGACAGTGTGCTGCATAAGGGAGTGACTGACTGCTTCTACAGAGAGGGACTGAGGCAGATTGCGTTGGTAAGGCCTCACATGTTAGCTTCACCGAGTGACCAGCTATAGCCAGTTCATTCAAACGTGAGCAGGGTTGTCATTTGGCCATTGAGGAAACAAGGATTTAAGTGAATATAGCTGGATAGTTGTGCATACAAGTTCATGATCGTCTAATCTATCTTTTTTATTTTAATCAGCATTTTTAACCAGCCATTAGAGTGGGCAAGTATGTAAACAATTCTTTCTGGTGTATTTAAAAACATTGTCAAACAGAGGAATCCTATATATACAAATATAAATAGAATTATAAATTGAAATCCGTACAAACTCAGTTGTAAAACAAAGATTTAATAAATATACTAAGTTAATATGACTTTTTAAGGTTATACCTAATAGAATACGTAAGTAAATGCCAAAATATGTCCAATTAAATAAAGATAAATACAATCATCTCAACTTTAATTCACTTTCAATTTTAAAAAGTTTCTGTCACACTTTTTTCAATTGGAGTTTCTAACTGAATATTCTTGTTTCTACTGCAGAATGGATGACCAGGACAGAGTTAGCCAAGCATCCAGCGTGGCCACAGTTTCCTTCTTTCCTGTTTCAAAGGTCTGCTTGAATTCATGTGTGAACCCTGACATATTTTTGTGACACCTTAAATGCTTGAAAATGTGTAATTGCTTTTTCATTATTAAACAGGAAGATGACGGGAAGGTGCAAACATTTGGGAAAAGATGTCAATCAGCCAAGAGAGACCCCAACTGTCCTGTGGTCATCAGAGGATGGCTCAACAAAAAGGTAAAATCACAAACATAGCCACCTTGACATTTACATTTTTTATCATTGCACATAGAAGGGCAGGAAACAGCCGCTGATTAATCTCCCCCTGCAGGACAGCTCCGGTTTGAAGCTCTGGAAGAGGAGGTGGTTTGTTCTCTCCGACTACTGTCTGTTTTACTATAAAGGTACTCAGCCTGTAGCCCAGCACTGTGTCTACATAAAACCGTTTTTTCTCTGTGCATTGATCTGTACAACAATCCTTTAGTCCTTTTGTTCACTTGTTTTCTTTTTTCCTGTTTCCAAACAGACAGCAGAGAAGAATCTGTGTTGGGCAGCATCCCACTTCCCAGCTACAAAATTCTGTTCTGCACGCCACGAGAATGCAAGAACAGGAAGTTCACCTTCAAGGTATCACCATCCGGTCACACGTTTGAGTTAGACATCATCAGTGTGTAGCAAATGTTTGGGCTTTTTTTCATCTGGTCTGTGTGTACAGTGAAAGCTGTAAGTAGTTTAACATTGATACTTTCTAAAGCTATGGTTCACAATAACAAACTTTTCTACTATTTTGTTTTCTATCAAATAATTACTACCATTGCCAGTGTAAAATACTGGCAAAACAATGTGTCAACATGCCTGTTAATTGCCAAGAAACATTCTGTCATTGATTGTAATGTCCAGAGATGGCAGCCAAAAATAAAAATAAAATGTGCCCGTGAGTTAGTGAGTAATGTATGCTCATTAGAGGAGCCATCAACCATCAGATAAACTGCTGGTTATTCTAATTTTCATGGTATTTAAAGGCACTGTAAGGAGTTTTCAACTAGGTGAGAAACAGGCTGAAACTGACTCTGATGCCTCTTTATGACCTTCATATCCAAATTAGATTTAAAAAAATACTTTTCATAACAAATACTTAAAGTAACCAGTACACTTCACTCTTAAAAGACAGCAGGTTTATGTATTTGTCCAAAAAGACTACTTTTACATGTACAGGACAAGACATAAAAGGTATAACTTTGTCCACAGGGGGCGCCAAAACTTAAACTAACCAAAAGTCACCCACAGGAGCTTTAAGCACTGAAACCACAAGTGCTTCATTTACATACATGATCCTTTTGTATTTCATATAAATCTAACTATTTAATTCCAAAAGGCATTTCAAACAGCAACCATATTGAGTGCGTTTTATCACTGTTACAATTTAAAACTGTTTTCCCGATGAAAACAAAATTTGGCCCTGTAACCAGGGTTGTTTTCTATCTGGGTCAAGACATGGCTAATATCGGCCTGTTTGGTATCCTTATATATGTCTTTCAGTGTGTCCCAATGTCATATTAACATAAAGCAAACTTAATACTCATCAGTTACCATCATGTCACAGTACAGCCTCTGAGAGTGACAGACTTTTTTTCAGCCCTTGGGTGACTCAGATAATCACCTGGGACCAGCTTCTCCAATGACCAACTAGCTAATGTAAGAATTCATAAAGAGGAATTCATAAAATATCAAAAATACAGAATGCATGATACTCCAAAAATCTTGTTTCTTACAAAGCTATTTTGTATTTATTTGCCAAATCTATTAAAAGTGAGACAGTTTTATATAAAAAAAGTATTTTTCTATAGCAGCATCTGATAACATTACACATGAAAGAGCAAACAGTGGTGAGGGATGGCAGTGACTGACAGAGTAGAATACTTCTCATCACAGTTATATGTTTAGGGAAGCAGTTTTTTGAGTATCCATAGGTCCAAAACCTGTTAAAAATACACACATTAAAGGTCTATTTTCATTCCTGTATGCTGTAGTGATGTGAATTTTGTGATTAAAAACTGATATCACTTTAACTGTCATAATGTAATATCTCTATTAAGAACTACTGGTCCTTCACCAGTGATATATGTGAGTAGAAAACTGTGATTGATTTCTGTAAAACTAGGTGGTGCACCAGGGAATGCGGTCTTACTTCTTCAGTGCTGACACTCAGGAAGACATGCTGGGTTGGGTCCGAGCCCTCAGCCAGTCTGCCACAATGGAGCAAGACAGCTCTCTGAACAGGTAAGCTGCACTGCTACCCACTACAGACACTGGGTGAAATAAACACTGAGCAACAAACAAATTTCCTGACTGCATCTCTGATCCTTTCAGGCGTTGCTCGAGTTATCAGGATTTCACACAGATAGGTGGCAGCAGTGAATCGGTGGACTTCCCTAAACCCCCTTCCGATGGAGAGGGTCCCTCCCAGAAACACAGGCACGTCAGCCGAGCTCTGAGCGAACCAAGTCAGCTGAGCGGTGGGAGGATGGGGACGTCTCGCTCTGAGCCGAGGGGAAGGCGGAGTGTGCGTCAGAGAAACAGCAGGTTGTCAAGTCATGCCTGTGTGTGAAAGGCGCATATTTAAATCCCTGTGCTGTACTTTACTTAAAAGAGAAAATCATCTGAAAGAGGTCCCAGCTTTGTCAATCTTTGATGTTTTTTTCTGCTGCAGCCCTTCAAACAGAACTCCCAGCCCGCCTGAGTTTAACAGGAAAAGAGCCTGCATGCCAAACCAAGAGGATGATTCTCTTCCAGGCCAAAACACACCACCCACTCAGACTGAAATGATGGGAACAGGTTCACTGACCTCAAGGGGTCAGCTGGGGTCACGACCTCATACACCAGTGGGAAGGGTTGACATCCGACCTCACGATGACCCGGGCATGGTACCACAGACTTTGTTTTATGCACCTGCCTCACCTAACCTGGAGTTCAAATCCACCCCGACCACTCCACTTACAGAGAGGTGGCAGAACCTGAGCAAGGTCAGAGCCTGATTGGTTTACCTTGAACATGACACATCGTCTGATGGAAATGTGCACAACCTTCCCTACTCAAGTGAAAGAAATTTAATGTTTCAGTTGCTCCGTTATAGCTTTTGGTAATTCTTGACTCTTCACATACAAACAGATTTAAAAGAAAACACAGAAACGTCAGAAATAGGACGATTAAAAACAATGACTAGGGCAATAGTATTACTACATAATAAGGTTTTAAAAAATAACCCAGATGATCACTGTTGAACTGCATCATGGGAAACATAGATGACAGTATTTTGGGAGCTTTGTTGCTACCCGATCATCCCAGAAACCCAATTTGTACTGCGCATGTGCGAAACGTACATCACTTCCTCTCTTGGCATTTCAATGTATTTTACAGCAGTGAGTCGCTACTTACCTGATCCATACTGCGCAAGTGCAAATTTACTTCACCTTAAAAACTTTATTCCAACTACTGATCGATTCAGAAACAAGCTGGCGATGTGACAGGCTAGCTAGCAGTAGGCTCCAGAGTTAATGCTGAGGCATTCGCCCGAGCTCCTGCCCAGCACGGTGAGACCTTTTGGGCCACAGAGTGTGGCACCACCCGTCAAAATTATGGTTCTCTGACTTTTCACAGTATCAAAGGAAGGAGTTTTTAAATTTATTTTGTAAATTAAATATATTAACAAGAAGACTACAGAATATGGACAATGACTTTCAGTGTTTTTATACAGCGTACAATTTCAACACTGAAATATTCGCATACATTCAAGCCTTTTATAACTACGTTGCAATTTTACAATTATGCTGTAGTAGGAACCTTTAATCGTATAACTGGGCGCCATTCTCTTGACTTTCCGGTGCTCTGCTTCAGTCGCAACTCTGTTCAGGAGAAAAGAAAAGCATGTGGCTGGTGATAAACTGAAGCATCCCTTTTGACTGTAGCGAGGTCACAGATTTTGAAGCTGTCGAACAAGTGTTGAAGCTGTTGCGAACCGTGAGGGGTAAAGAATTGCTGAGCTGTCGCAATGATGGCTAGTAGAGGAAGTGACATACATTTCGCTCATACGCAGTATAAATCGGGTTTCCAGGATGGATCAGGTAGCGACAAGCTTAATCCAAGGTTGAAAATAAACATTTTTCCGATTTAACTCCTGTTTTTATCCATCAGGGCATGCTCTTTAATACTGGTTAGCCCATTTGTCAAACAAAACATCTCCTCAACCTTGTCTCTTCTTCTTTCTTTTTTTTTTATAGCCTACACCTACATATGGTTCCGTCCATCATATCCCAAGTGGAAGAAGACCATTAGGAAAGGTGATTATGAGCAGACAGGAGAAAAGTTCAAACTGATGGTTGTAAAGCGGGAAAACTTAGCCAAGCAGATTGTTGTGTGCATTGCTAGTCCAGATTATACGCTCCTGTAGCTTAGCTCAGCATGTTTCTTATAATGCCATGTGTTCTCTGTTTTTTTCTTCATACACATGCTGTCTCTTCCCCCAGAGCTTCTCCACAGGGGCACATGCAGACTTACTGCCCCCTTTGCCCCCCTCATCGAGGGCAGCACATGCTCCCCATCCCCCACACCACCATCACCACCACCATCATCACCATCACCGCAGCAATTTGTCTGTTTGTGTGCTACCGCCAGCTATGGTACAGCCAGCCCTGTTGCTCTCTGTGTTCTCACAATGTCTTGTTGGGTTTAACTTTGAAACTTTGCAATTTGTGTTTGTGTCTTTTGGTGTCACCTTTAAGTGTACTAACTTTGTGAAAAAATATATTAGTGTGAATGACGGCGCTGAAGTTCAGAGCATGTTAACAAGGTCTCTCAGTTGTTTCATGTTCATGTTACTGATCCATGTCGTCAGTAATGTTTGTTGTCTTAGATTTTGTTTGTGACTAATAAACACTTTGTGCTGTGCTCGTTATTCCTGTGTTTACTTTCTGGTTTTGTCTTTGTTTTGTCCTAATTAATATGATGCATTCTGCCATGGCTCTTGATCAGTGATAGAGTCACTCAACACTCAATCTCAGCACCTGCTGTCACGTGCCAGAGTGTCGTTAGCATAGACTGTATATACTATGGACAACTTGGTTCCGCCTTCTGCCTGTATACGGATTTGAAGCCAAAAACCTCTCGGTATTTCTGCGTTTTTACTCCATTTCCTGAAACCAACATCGCACAGTAGTGTTGTACGCACTTCACTACTTGGAGTCACTGATAGTAGCTGTAATGACGCTCGGCTCAAACAGCGTATCCCCTGGGTGAGCTACACAATCTTTGTACACCCATAGGCTGTATCAAGTGTCAATCATAGAAAACATGAACCCCCTAATAACTTTTAAAAATAGAGCTTCACAGAAAAAAGAGGACTTAAGCACAAACCAGTCTTACTGTAACTACATGTCAACATCCCAAGCAGGGGGGAGAAAAATTTATGTTCTGAGTAATTAATTTCTAAAGTTTGTCCACAGCCCCATAAGCTTTGCTGGTGGAGGTGAGATTTATGACCTGTACTGCAGCCCATCAACAGAGGGTGCTGTTCTCGGAGTGGCTTCACCCAGCGAGGAGGCAGATGCTGTCCATTCTATATACAGTCTATGGTCGTTGGGCAAGAATCTGAACCCTAAATTGCAACCACTGACAGAGTCAGTGTGAATGTGTGTAAAAGCATTAAGTTAACACTGACGATCCATGTGCTACTGCAGACTCTAACGGTTTGAATGAGCTGTAAGTGGTCAGAAAGACTGGAAAAGCACTTTATATCTCCAAGTCCATGTGCCATGATGTTGCTACATGAACATGAGTGGTACATTACCTCACTATTTGCCACATTATGCCAAAGATATTCAATGGAAATGGCTAAACTCAGATTGTGGCCTATGTTCTGTCTGTGATTAATGCTGGGCCCAATACTTTATCCCTCAAATATGTGTGACTGTGTTTTATTTTGTGAACATAAGGAAGAAAAATAAAAACACATTTCTAAATAAATAATGTATGTAAATTATAACCTTGATGCTTTGTAGGCCCCAAAACCAGATCCAAGAGAAACCCCACCGCTCAGGCCCCTTGAAAGCGATGCAGATGTGAGTATTCACACGTGTCTCTCAGAGTATGACGCAGCTCTTCATCATCATGTCAGATGTTTCTCTCTGAGTAAACATCACTTTGATTTTCCCTCTTCAGGCTGTGTTGACGAGGTTATGTGGATGTGACAAGCTACTGCAGTCTTTGTCAGTTGAACTAGCTCAGCTACAGCTGGATAAGGTCGGTAATTACTCAATAAATCAAAAACTAAAAGGCCAGTTAGACAAGCCCTAACCTCAACAGTCTGGTGTTTGTTTTACTCCTAAAGCACACAAAAAAAAAAATTACAGAATATATTTTGAAGTGTTAGTCACACTTGATCTGTTAAATAGGACACTAATTTTCAGTTGTCTGGGACTGTATTTATTCCATTTGGGTAAACAGCAGTTACATATGGTTACAATAGCAGCATGTTTGAACTGCATTGAGAATAACAATACTTCTTCCTTCTTCCCTGATGCAGGACAGTGTGCATTGTGCATTAGAGGTGTCTAGACTGCAGCTGGAGGACTGGAAGAGTCAGGGTCCCAGGGCCCATGAAGAAGCACTGACCCAGAAGGCTTTGCTTCAAGAGGAGCTGGTTACAATTCGAGCCAGGATGTGTGATGTTTCATTGGTGCGTAAGAAGCCTTTACTTTACGCTTTAGCAAAGGATTAGCTTTTAGCTTTTACTAGCTTTTAGTGACTCTGCTTTCTCTCACCTGCCTGTGAATCTCTTTCCTCAGGAAATGGAGCGAGTGTGGAGTCAATATGAGAGAATGGAGAGCGAATTGTCTGTCATCCGCTCACACCTTCAGCACATCTGCAACTTTGGGATGCCTCAGGTACATAAAGCTTTGCCTTAAGAAATCTATCTCTTGTGAATCCATCTTTTTCACTTTTACTGTGAAGAAAGACAACTATTTCTTTCTGTGAATTTGTGAGGCAAGTTTTTAAATTTTACTACTGTTAAACTTAATGTATCTAAAAATGATGAAATCTCACAAAAAAAGGGTCAAACATGTATTTTTAATTAACTAGGAGCAGTCTCACGCCCAGAGGGAGCTCTGGATGATGGAGGACATCTTGGCTGGACTAAAGATCAACAGGGATAACTTCCGCTTCCTTTTGGGACTACAGAGGCACCACAGTAAGATAACAATAATAATAATAAAAAAAACATGACTCACTTAAATGCTTAGTCTTTGATGCCTGTTTATCTGTTTCTTTGTATTTAAAGTATGATAGAAATATAAGGTTTGCTTTGTGGTTGCTGCTGTAATCATTCAGTATATTTTAGTATATTTTTTTAATTTTGACCAATAGGGGCAGTAATAATCAAACCTTCATGTTTTTGGCTGATTATCCCAGCTAAGTTTTGTACAATTTTTATACAGTGTTTTATATACAAAATTTAACAAAGTTAAACAGAAAAACGTAATACACTAAAAACAGCTCATGTGATGTTAAAAAAAATAAAAAATAAAAAAAACAATAAACTGTTTTTCTATTAGCCTCTTCCACAAAGCTTACGAGCTAATAAGAGCCCCTCAGTTCAACTATATGAAAAAATTACACACAATTCATTATTCAGTTTTTCAGTTCAATAGAAAGTCCAGATTAGAGCTCTCATTTTTATTCTGAAGTCAGTAAAATTCATTGACTTCCAGAGTCCATTCATCTTCACTGTGCTCATGCATGTTTGTCAAACAATAGATGAACAGAGTCATCGCAGTGACCTTTTCCTGTCTCCCCCTCAGCATTCCAGCCAACGTCTCCACATCCTGGATCCCCTGGCTCTCCCACAGAGAGGCTGCACAGCGGACTGCCAATGGTATGACTCCTGTCTATTGTTCCCGTTGATGTCAGTGACCTCTAATATTTCTTCTCTACTTGTGACAAATATGGGATTGTTGTACACGAATGGCAAAGGTTAAATCCATCAGCTGGGATTTACAGACTGGCTCTTAAAGACTCGCAGGTGTTTTCTGACAGCACGGCTGTAGAGTTTAGTTCAAAAGACAAAAACTGAGACAATCCAGGTCAGCAATGCTTCTACAACAAAGAGATCTAAGTGTACCCCTGTCTTTATAGTTGATACATGCTTGAGTCATAGTAGTCAGTCGGTTTTGTATTTATAGGTAGGATAAAAAGTTCTTAACCTGAAGTTTTTAAGTTGTTTGTGTCCCTGCTGTTGGTGAAGGAAGCTGGAGCTGAGCATCTTAGCCATTAGCAGCATCTTTATCCAGTGAAATGTACAGAAAAGTTACCTGAAAAACAACATTATAACAGTTTAGGCTGCTCATACTGAGGGTGTTATCAAAGTAAATGGCTGCTGTGGGGATATGGCATGTTGCTAATAATTTCACCAGGGCTTACACCAGATCTGGTAATCATTTAAAAACACACCTCTGTCAATGTGCTGCAAGTTCTTCTATTGTGACTTCACAGTCGTCATTGTAACCCTTGTGAAAATACTCTTATAAGGACATGGAGCAAGAACCACCTGTCCGCCCGCCTTTACCTGAGGAGCTACAAGAAATCCACCTGAGAAGGGACCAGGGCCATGGCTGGACAGAGTACCCCTATGAGGTGAGAGATATAGACCTTATCAGAAAAAAAAGAAAAGTAATAAGTCTGATTTTTTTTTAATTGTCTGCCTTTTTTCAGGGAATCTACAGTCACGCTGTTGATCCTGTGCACAGAAGAGGAAACAGCCAGCCTGACCTCCTTAATGTGAAAGCACAGAAAGACTTTTTCGGTTGGCATAGATACTTAAATTAACAGAGTCCACAGAAGGACTGATATTAGTACAATAGGCTGCACATTCATATTGTGTGACTCATCTGCAACAAAACAGCTCTAAGAGGTGTTTTATGCAGAAGGGTAAATCATGTTGCTTTCTTTGGTCCTCCACCCTCATATTTCCTCTTCTCCTCTTCCCTCTCATCCTCTCCTTCACCTATTTGCCATCCTTTCCCCCTATTTTCCAATATTTCCATCTCATATTTAGAATCTGGTTCCAGGTGGATCCCAGCAGATACAGGAAACCAATCAACCAAGGTTTGATTTTTCAAACTGTAATTTCCTGTTTGCTGGTTAACTATATCTGGATGTATGTGATGTGAGCCAAAAGCACTCTAAATAAAGAAGCAGTCAAAGCTGATTTTTCCTCTCTGCAATCACAGCCAAATTCCAATTCTTTGATTCTCTCATCTTCCCTGCAATTAGGGCATGTTGCAGTGCCTTTTGTAGGCAAGGGGGGGAGGCAGAGGCTCATGTGTTAGCACAGCAGCTCAGCCTTCTCACTTTTACCACCCAACCCCCCTTTTCTCACATGCTCACACACATACATCCAATATATACCAACATGCAGGGGAGAGCAGCTGTACATATAGTCAGGCACACATAAAGCTCTGCAGGAACAGATACAAACACACAGCCATAAAAATCATATATCTGTACATATTTAGACATTATTTGACATCCAGATCGTGGATCGCATACGTATTGCTGAGGTGAAGGGGGTCATAAATGACTCATACGCTCTATTCTGTCTAGAAGATGAAGATGAGTGAAGAGGAGCAGATTGAGCGGATGAAAAAGAACAAGGAGAGGTTGTCTAATAGGAAGAAACCCCCAGTACCCTCTCCAGGTGCCCACACTGGGAGTTCAGGGACAAGAGAGGAGGTCTGTCAAAACATTAATCCTCATAAATCACTACATTCTATTATGAACCAATAAACATTTATTCATCTGATATTTCTTTAGGCCCCCTTTCCTCTGAGGGTGACCCGAGTTGTCACAGCTGTACTACCCACCTCTCTCATGGCAAGACGGGTTTCTGTTGAGGATCCCCCACCTGAGCTCGACAACCCTCTCCCCGAGCAGGTCCCACCTGAGAGGCAGGAGAGACTCGCTGAGCAGAGCAGAAAATTGCTGGACAGGTCACCGAGGCATCTGCTGTTGGATAGTCCTGATCCAAGCAGGACCTCAGCAGAGATGTGTCTGGATCAACCAGTTAAGAAAACACGCAGACAGGAGCACCAGGGAGTGCTGAAGACCTCCATGAAAGACAGGCGGTCAGATACAAGCAGAGCTGAGAGCACTGAGACTTCAAGGAGTCAGTGTCGAGACCAAGCAGGTTTAGAAAATGGAAATGCCAGCGCTGACCCCAGGGTAAGAAAAAATTATGTCAACTGAAGAAATAAAAGATGGTCAAAATAAAGTCAAGTAATTCCACAATGTCCACTCCTTTTATATGTATTTTATTTTTGACTAAACAACTAGCATTTGTAGCCACTGATCCTGATTTATTCCTGTGTGCTGTCACAAAATACAAAAATATTCAAAAATGCTGAAACTGAAAAGTCCAACTTTTATTTCCCCATCAGTATTTAAAACTCAGTTCAAAACTTTTGCACAAGACAAAAGCTAAGCCACCAAGAAAGTACAAAGAAAACATTCAGTTAATTAACAAATTGATCTTACTAATTACAGTTTTTAAGTCTTTTAGGAAGAAGGAACTTCTCGTCCCTCAAATTTCAGGTGTATTTTGATCTGAAAATTTGTCAGAAATTTTCAATTTGATGAAACGAATCAGTGCTGTGTTGAGCTGTGAAGCATCACTTTCCAAGTAGGACTGATAAACCATGAAAATAAAAGAAAAACTTTTTACAGTTTTGACTTATTGAGCCTTAAATGACATAGTGTTGTCTGTTTACAACATGCAAATTCTCCTACTCAGCACAGGCAGCTTGGTAAAGTGCAGTTTTTTTTTTAGTTTTTCATTTAGAAGACCTACTGTTTGTTTAGCCCATGGTACGTATCAGTGTGCTGGGTCTGTGCATTAAAACAGTATTTACAGGAAGTGGACTCTCAGTGCATTTTAGTGCACAGCTGGCCCCAGTGTACACACCTTTTGAATACCATTGTGAGTTGCCAGGTTTCAGAGAAAGAGAGGCTTTTAATTGTGATGTTGTGCGGACTGTGAAAGTGTACTGTGATCCAACAGAGTTAGCATGTATGCACTTGTGCCAAACTCCATCAAAAAGATTTAGACAAACTCCTCTGAGACTGGGGATTGCTGTGCTCTATTAAAAGCACTGTCAAAAGCTGAAACACACATTCCCAAATAATGTTTATTGACAATTCCTGAAACATGGGGGAAAAACCTAATCAATAATAAAACAGTAACACATTATTAGCTATTTAAAAAGAAAAGTCTGTCTTTCCTATGACCATCAGAGAACACTTAACTTACCTGCTGTTGCATAAGTGTATCATTGACAACATTTTGCAGGCTGTCAAAGTGAAGTATACTTTCTATACCTTCTCACATGAAACTGTCTGAACAGACAAAGGAGCGGCCAGCTGCTCTTCTGACCCCTGACATGGAGCCTGATGTCTGTCTGACCCCTGAGCAGCGTGAGGCCAAACTGAGACGTGTGGAACGAATACGGGAACGAGTCATAAGGAGGTGGGATTTTTCTCTTTGTTATTCAAATGTCTACATGCATAATGCTGTAATTTGTTGTTTCATCTATCTATCTATCTATCTATCTATCTATCTATCTATCTATCTATCTATCTATCTATCTATCTATCTATCTATCTATCTATCTATCTATCTATCTATCTATCCATCCATCCATCCATCCATCCATCCATCCATCCATCCATCCATCCATCCATCAGTGCAGCCAGAGAGGGTGCCACCACCCAGAATCAACTGCCAATCAGGGGGGAGGAAGTTCATCAGATGCCCCCTGATCCAGCTAGAAAACAAAGGATAAAATCAGGTCTGTATTTTCAACATACACTAGAAAACAAATGAAATATCTTCTGTTACATTGTGGATATGTTAAATATCAGAGTTTTTCTCAGTCGCTTTGGTGCATTCCTCAAATCAGTATTTACATTTCCTTCCAATAAATTGCAAATGCTTTTGGACATGGATCACAGTTTTTCGGTTGTTGTATAATATTATCATCGTCTTATCATTATCATTCAAAATGAACTATATTTTTGAATACTAAATAGTCAAATGTTAACAGTGATGTGAGAAATGCACCAAAGCGACTGAGAAAAACTGTAAACGTGTGAGTACTAGGCTTCTACAGTGAAGGTTTTGTTGTGCTCTTGTGAGCCATCTGTATATGGAATAAAAGAGTTGTGAAGAGATGTGAAGAAAGAGGGCCCCATAGAGCAATGGCTGAGTCAAAGTGGGATGGGATGAGGTTGACTGTGGTAGAGAATTGTAAGAGATCTGGAATAAAGAGAGACAAAGTGAGGTGGGATGAACCAGGTGAGGTTAAAGTTAAGGATGGAAAATCAGGGTTGAGGTAAAAGATGGTTGTAGATTGATGGGGCTAAGATTGTTTTGGATGATATAGGGTCAGAGCTCAACAGAATGAAAGGGGTTGAGTTTGGGTGGGATGTTGGGATGCCAAAAAAGGTGGAACAATATTGGTGGCCCACAACAGATAGGATGAAAAGGTTCTAGGTTAGTGTGCAATGCGGTCAAGTCAAAAAAGGTTCATTTGGTGAGGAGGGTTGATTGAGTTGAATGAAAATGAAATGAATCAGGGTGGGATGATATGGAGTCATGATAAAATTGGATACAAATGATTGAGGTTGGATATGGGAAAAGAGTAGGAAGGCTGGAAAGACCAGGGTAACAGTAGGGTAGGGTGAAAAGGGGTTAAAAAAAAGAGGAATTGAGGAAGGTGGTGGAGGTAGGGGATGAAGAGTTTAAGGGGGTAGGACAAAGAGGGTCAAGAGAGGATTGGAAGAAGGGGGCCATGGTAAGATGGGATGATATGGAATTGAAAATGGTGAGATAAAAGGGTTCAAGGAGGGGTGGGATAAAATGGTTAAAGATAGGGAGGAAACAATGTGGGATAAGTTGGGGAAGATAATAGGGGATCAGCTTAGAGGGGGGTTCAGGAGGTTCAGGTAGGATTAGATGGAAGTGGTTGAGATGTAGGGTAGGAAAAGGGGGTCGAGGTACAGTGGGATAGAAAGGGGTCATGGTTCGGTAGGGTGGCAAGGGATCCAGGCAGGTTGAAATGAATGGAGTCAAGGTTGGGGTGATGATAAGGATAAAGATTATGTATAAAAAGGCCAACAGTGGCTGGATAAGAGGGGTTTGAGTAGATTTGGATAGGTAAGATTCAAAGAGGTTTGGTTTTTCTTGTTCAAGGTATAGGGAGGGACGAAAGGGGTGGATGTAAAGAAGGACCAATTAGGATGAGGTAGGGTGAGATAAAAGGTTTGACAAAATAAAAGGACTAATGGTTGGATGGTGGAGTACAATAATCGTCATGGTAGAGTTTGGCCATTATGGGATAAAATGAGTTTGTGGTTAAGTTTTATCTATTGGTAATGTAGCAGTTGAGACCTGAGGTGGGGGCACCTCTGGATGGATGTCAGGTTCAGTATCCTAGAGTTCCCTTATTACTGTAACAAAGGAGGAAAATTATTGGCACAGAGTTTAATGTTATGGAATGTGATTTCCTTGCAAGACACAGGTGATAAAAAATAGTGTGGTCCTGTCTCTCAATCTTTGTTATAGCTTTATTTAGTGGAGATTTCTCTTGCTTTTTTGTTTCCAGACCATTACACAGATCATGGAAGCTGTGGGGATAACATCAGAAGTTCTTTAGAGCTTCAGCCTACTGGATCTTCTCAAGATGAACATGAAAGAAGCAGACGTGTGAAAAAATCTAAAAGCCAAGTCAGATTTGGGAACAAAATACAACAGAAAGATCACAGTGGGCAAGCAGGGGTTGCCAAATCTAAAACCAAACGCCCAGATTCACCCTATCATATCTCATCTATGACTATCTACCAGAAAGATGGAGGAAAGGGATTCACAAAAAGCCAGGATGGGGAGGAGCAAAAACTTGAAGAACCTGACCCTGATGAAAATAATGTCCCATCTTCTGATCTCAGAGCCAAGTGGTTCCTCTCCACTAACCAGTGGCAAGGGTTCATACCTTTGCAAATTCCTGGTATAGACTCCGTGGGCAGTGAGGAGACATCAGACATGGAGAACCAACCAACAAGTGCAGATGATATGACTGATTCCAATGAAATGTCAGCCGCAGTCAGTGAAAGCTTAGAGAAAATGAAAGAGAACCATTCACTCTTCTACAAAATTGCATGTGATATTAGTATTTCTGACTCGGATATCACAAAAAATGATGGGAATACAAACACCCAAACATTGTCTAGGCCAGAAGAAGAGTTGGTAGTTAGTGAATCTGCACTAGATGAAACAATTGCTAATGTTGGGGAATGTACTAAAGCAGAAAGTGGGGATTCAAGGCTGCATTTGTCATTGGATGAAGATGAAAAAAGAATAAATGTCGTCAACAACAATACTCAAGATGTGAACCAGGATACCCAAGGCAAAGAAGAGTTAAGTATCTCACCTAATCCAGTGAAAGAAAATTGTGGAGGTGTGGAGATCCCTCAAAAAGAATGTGAGGACATTTGTGAGCAAAAAACCCAAGTCAAAGAAAATACTGAAGGAGCACCTGTTCAGGACACTGATCCTGATCAGGTGCAGGTTGAAAGTACAATGAGGAGAGGAGAAGACAACAGGTCTAAAGAGTCAGAGGACCGTAAGGTGGACCAAGAGAGATCTGAAGAGCTGAAGAAATGTTTGAGCGAAGAGACCAGCAACAATCACTCCAACACTCCACCTAGCTCTGTGTATGAGGATGGAAAAGTGATTCGGAGTGCTTCTTTTGGGAAAGCACGAGTTACAGTTTTAAGGACAAGTTTGTAGAGGCAAGAATGGTGACAGCTTAGGGAGCTTAAATGAACAAACTTGGGAAGGACGAGGGCATAGTGAAGTGATTTGTAGAAAAGGAAAATGATGCTGAGTAGAAGGACACTAAGTAACCGAGGGAAGCTGGGCCTTTGATTGGGAACATTAGTGTCAGACATTATCATGATTATTTTGTAAACTTAAACATTTCCATGATTTCTGATTTGTGATTTAAAATTGATGCATGGTGAGCAGAAAGTCTTAAAATATGTCATAAAGTCAAAAACGATGCAGTTGATGGTTAACACTTTCATTCCCCACATATGTAATAACAGTGCATAGAAATACATTCATAATGGCTGCTTGTGAATGGCAACATAACCCTGTTATCGTCACTTTAACAACACGTGTTTTGTATCTCAAATAGGCGGATTAATAAACATGCTGTGTGTCTGGAACAAACACTGAGACTCCTGATTTGATTTGTATGTGTAAAAAAATCCCGTTGTATGTTTTATTCTCTCTTCATACAATCCTTTTTTCCTCAATGAAGGTCTTGCGGGTGCTTGCTCCGATGCTGCTCTCTGACAAGCCCTGATGCAGAATTACATGGAGACTCAGAAAATGCCTTTGTCACTTTAAATCCTTGCCGTGTCTCAGCCGATGACATCATTGTCTGAGAACACATTACATCACCCCTTCCCAGGCTCTCTCTCTTAAAGACAGCACCACCTTATGTTTACTGAGCTGCACACACACATTCACACACACACATATACAGATATGCGCGCATACACACAGAGGGAGACCTGCTTATCTGTTTACAAATGTGATACCAATATCAACGTGCATATTAATAACCGCCATGATGAGATTACATCCTAAGCATGGGCTGGTGGATTTCTATTATGTGGGTGTCATTATATTCAGAGGCAGCTTCAGTGTGGCCCTCTCCACACATATGTTAAAGGTACAAGTTAGCAATTGGATGTAACGCAAGATTATTTACATATTTTGATTATTTTATTTATACACTGTGGGTTGAATATTCAAACATGAAAATCCTCATCCTTAGTTTATGTATGTCTAAAGAGGATTGGAAAAAGGTGCTCCTGGAGTTAGGGTGAAGTTTTGATTTAAGGAAGATGTCTAGAAAGTGATGCTTGAGGGTTTCATTTAAAAGATTTTTTTCTTTCGGTTAAAAGTTGGGCCTACACAGATAAAACATTCTTTAGATAAGCAGATTTTAAACTATTTTAAAAATCACGTTAACTTTTATTTAGATTCTTTGAAATAAACTTTTGTTTGACTAGGGCAAAATCTCCTCAGGTAACATCTCTTCTGTGGAGTGCGCAGTTGTTCCTTCTTTACAATAATTAATCAGGTGTTTGATTGGCTTGGCAGTGCGCGCGAGTGCGTGGCGCGCGCGTAAATCACAGAGATGCGGAGAATGCTGAGAGAATGTTTCTTTAAGACCCATTACCTTCCAATTCGACAGAGGGGGAGTCTGTGGTAAGGTGGCGTATCGTCTCTCTCCGCGTCCCCCCCCTCTCTCTCCTCTCTCCTCTCCTTTTCCTCTCCTCGCCGTTTACATGTGGAAAAGAGGGACAGAAAAAATTGCCTGTGCTACATTTAATGTGCTTTACTCTGGTTTCGGATGAGGGGTGGCACACACACCGAGGCACGATCCGCGGAGATGGAGCTAAGGGATATTTAACATCAAACATGGACACTACAGGCTCCCCGCGATGACTCTGGTAAGGATGCAACTTCACACCGCCCCATCGTTACCCAAATTTCCTCTGAGAGGGGGGGATTATAGGGGAAATACATGCATGCTCTGATGTAACCAAAAATGCATGTGTGTGTGTGTGCACGATAAAGAGTAGGCTACTTAACATTGTGTTGTGAAGGATGGGGGGTGTATAAGTGTGTGTGTGTGTGTGTGTGTGTGTGTGTGTGTGTGTGTGTGTGTGTGTGTGTGTGTGTGTGTGTGTAAGGGGAGGGAGGGGGTTACTATGTGAATTGAACGAAGAGACAAATAGGCTTATATTAGGAAGACAATGCAGCGCCTGGTGCCTATGTCAGTGTCAGCCTTTGACAGGTGTGTTGGCAGCACACAGCACGATTTATTCAGGGCGCGCGTGCTCGCCCCCGTTTCATACAGTTAGGTGAGGTGGTATCTACTTGAAGGGGGGGGGGGGGTTAATAAGACTAAAAGATACCACTGTATATAGGCCTACTATGTGTTGCTTGCAATTAATCATGGCTGAAACTAAGCTCTCTGCCGTTGGGTGCTTTGTAGTCAAACATCCCGGCTCGCCTCCCTGCTGTCACTGGGCCTATATGGAGTTGATTATATTCCATAATGTCTGGCCTATTACTGAGTGGTGACGGCACGTTTTGGGCCATTTCCCCGACAAGATGCTTAACGTGGTCCAGCAAATATTCAAAGAAGTGGGATTTTCTCTCCCTTTGTGCTTAAGTGGTCGTTTTAACACCTCGGATGCACAGCTCCTAAGCTCCTTACTATGAGAATGTAGATGTGCGCGCCCGTGCGTGCGCGCGCGTGCGTGTCATCTCATGGAATGGTCTTTCCTCAATACATACATCCAGAAATGGAGGTAGCCACACAGCATAGACCAGTCGAGCTGTCATCTGGAGAGCCTCGTCATTTTCCCATCAGCCCGGTGTGCGGCGAAGATGCCAGCGCAAATAAGAGCGGGTTACAGCCTAGTTCAGATCCCGATGCTCTCATTCCCTCTGCCCAGCTGCCGACAATCACTTATCGATTCCAATGATGCGTTTCTTGGCCAGGGGGTACTGTTTCATGGTATTATGAAGAGGAGTGTGTGTGTGTGTATGTGGAGGGGAGGGGGGTGAAGAGGGGAGGAGGAGGAGGGGTATCCATTATTAGTCGCTACATGTACATATGGACTGCTTTTATTGAAATGTCAAGAATGCATCCAACATGCACGCATTGTTTTCGCATGGCAGGCGATTTAACATGAAACCGGATGTCAAAAACCCTCTTGCTTGTTGTAATTGTCGGCGGTTGAGGGAGCCTGCACACCCCTCTCCCCGCCCCAGTGTCTGGTGGAGGAGAGCTGTTTTTGCTGCTCTCTTTCTCTCACTCACATACACCCAAACACACACACACACACACACACACACACACTCACACACACACACACACACACACACACACACACAAGGCTATGCCATCTTCCTTCTGCCCAATTTCGGGCATTTTTAGTAACATGAACCTAATTGGGGGAATTATTCTCCTAATTGGTCATCTAGGAACCAGATAATGCAAGTCTGTGCACTCCAGGGTAAGTGGGTGTAAGCAGGATTCAGTGTGACTTTGTATGATGATGATGATGATGATGGTGATGATGATTATGTGGGCAATCATAATATGAAAACACCCACATGTCCAAAGAAAGACACTCAGCTTACTTGATCGATTTTTGTGTGGTGACACTCTGAGTCCAGTTTACCTGTAACAAAGATTAATCTAGCACAGCCTCCTGGATGTAGCTGTGTGGTAGTGCTACATTATCATCTGATTTGGTTGTTTCCCAATTGTTCTACCTCTTTTATTTGGGGCTTTGAGAATGGAAATCGGTTTATTTTTTTGTACAGAGGGTTCTGTTTCAGAACATCCAAAGTTTTCACATGTATTTTATCAAATTAGTACAGGGGCAGTTTTCTTTCAATGGCAGAGTGCAAAACTCAAATTCTGTCACAATATTTTACTATTTAATATAAGAATTGTTGATCATGTAATCTGGATTCAGTTAAAAAGGTGTATTCCTCTTGCTTTGATGAAATGAAAGGATGCAAGGATGAAATTTGATAGCTCAGTAGCCCTAAGCTATGCTAAGTTTCTTCTCATTTATCCTAGCTAAGTTTCAGGCTTGTGAGCTCTTAACTAAAAGTAGCTAATGGATTCTTTTAAAAAACAAGTTGTTGTATCCTTAAATGTTGCTCAATTTTTTAATTTTTTTGATTTATGATTTTTTCCCTGTGTTACATCAAGTGACACTTGGCCAACAGCATTTAGCAGGGATGTTACTGTAACACACAATATATTCAATAACATTTATGATTTGAGATTATGTGAAACTAAAACACTTCTCCACATCATTTCAATGGATTTTACCCTAACCAGCACAACTCAGGAAGACAGAGAGCAGCAAAAGATGCCCAGCCAGTCCTTTTGAGCAAAAAGTGACTATGTATTATTAACACAGTTAAATAGTGCTAATCTACTAAATTTGGAAAAAGCAACCTAACTCTGCACCAGCTTTATACAGACACAGACACAGAGCAAAGGTTTATAAGCTTCATTTGTTGCCTTGTAATCAAGCAGCTAACATTTAATTTTAACATGGTTTTTACATAATGCTACATTTGTATTTATGTATACATTTATGGGTCACCTCTTCAGGTTGGAAAATCTAGAATTTTCCTAAATCATCCCATCTCTGATTTGAGCTCACCACCCAGAGTGTGATATGAAAAGGAAATGACCAAAATTTAAAAATATGGTAAATTAAAAGCGCAGGAATCTGGTCTTGACCTTGTCTCATGTCCTAAAAGTCTTGATATTATCACACTTAAAAATTATTTGAAACTACCTTGACTACTATTGCAATGCTCCAAAAAGACCCCATGATAGTCTGCTAGTCTACAACTGATTTTCCACCCCAGACCTGTAGTAGATATCTAGTTCTGTGTCTCTCTTCCTCTCTCTCTCTCATTTGCACACACATTCATAAACACACAGGTCCTGAAGCTCAGTGACCTCACAGCTGACGCTTCAGTCAAAACTGCTGGCTGCACAGTTATGTTTGGCCTGTACTGAATCAGGACTCCAGCAATGAATGCTTTGTTTTTTTCTCCTGCTCAGCCTCATCACGTGACTCAAGTGCAGTGAACTATGACTGTGAGATTTGCAGTGAATTTTACAATATGCGCCATAATCTGCAGAATTACATTACTCTACTCCCCTGCTATGGAGAGCTGCTGGGAATGAGATGAATCACTCTAAAATTACCACATACTGAAAATTTTCTTACGGGCCATCCTTGTAGGAGTAATTCAGGTGCTTCAAGGTCCTGTGCCAACTCAAGTGAATACCAAAAGGATATTTTTGGTTACTTGGATCACGGGGAAGCAATCAGACGCTGTTGTAGTCTTTGGTCTTTAAGAACCCTCGGGGAAAAAGTCTGAGCAAACATCAGAGGCACTTGGCTTAGTCTGATCAAGAAAGAGGCAAATAAGTGATACATTAAGACCTGAGTCATCTATTCAGAGCAGTGGTGCAATCGCCTAATGTGTCCCTATGTGCTAGACTTTTCTCTATTTAAAGCAATGAATGTCTTTTCAATCTATTTTAATCTAGTTTAGTTATATTTTAAAGGAAAAGTAATTAGTAAATGATCCAAAACCTCAAGAGGAGAGTAGATTCAAATCGCATGGCATTGGTAAAAAAATATGAGTGTTCATTCATCTGTTAAAAAGTTTGGTAGGAATCACAAATGAAAGTAGAAGACATTTAGCAGGAGTTAACTTAGATGTCTCAGTGTGAGTTATTTACAGCTGAAGGTGTTTTGGAATAACACTTTTTATGAACCCACCTCTCATAATGCATCATAAGATCATTTATAGATCCTTATTTGAATCTATAAAGCTTTATTGGAACCCTTATAAGTGATAATAAACTTTTTAATTTTGCATTATAAACCATACCTTTATGAGACATTATGCTCGCTGCTTAAAAACACTTATAACACGTGTTTTGTTTCTTTGTATCATTTAGTCAAAAGTTAAAAGTACATCTTGGACATTTGATAAAGCAAGGGGCTCAGCTGTCAAGGTTGATTATTTTTTCACATGTACTGTAATTTTGGCCCAACTCAGTTTACTCAATCATATTTGGCTTCACAGTGCTCAGCTTCAACTAATAAGTTTTGAAAGGCACATTAAATCCCTCTGTGTCTGTCTCCATGAGTTACATTTCAGTTAGCGAGCTGGGGGAGCAGCTCAGCTTGTAGCCCCCGAGCTCCTGAGAGCATCAGAGACACACAGATTTTCAACTCGGATGAGGACTTTAACCTGTTTAATTGCCTGTTGTGTTTGTTTGCAGAGACTTATGTACATTATCAGCTCCTGGTTAATATGATGTGACCATAAGTCCTGAAGGAGAACAAGCTAGCGCTAGCACCAGCTAGCTCATAGACCCTTTGGATCCGAGGATAATTTGGCTCATGGTAAATAATCTGTGAGGGATGAGATGAAGGGTGATTTGAGACTTGTTTTACTGAGTTTGTTGCCTTACATCCTGACACAGAAGTTTAAGACATTTCTTCAGTCTGAGTCTTTATTTTGAACTCTTGGCTGTATATTAAGGAAATGCAGACAGTGCTCAGTCTTGCATCAGTGATAATCCATCAGTGAAGCTGGGAAGGAAGTAAGTTGTTTTTTAGTGGGCCACAAAGTGACGTTGCCAAGAGCTCCAGCCAACTCACCAGCATGAGGATCTAATTCAGTGTCTGTAACAGGCCCCAAAATACCAGCTACCAGTCCCCGTCTTTAATGCTGGACATCCCTATAATAATTATAATCATGAGAACACTAGCCTGACTTGTTTTTTACTGGTGCTCAGGCCTGTGTGCTAAATAGGTTTGATTCACAAAATGGATGATTTTGGTTGGACAGAGACACTCTGTATTGTGCTGCCCGGTCTCACTGACGTAAGGAAGCCTGCATGGGGCACTAAATCAGTCCAAACCACTTAAAAGTATAAAGGCCAGTGCAAGCCCCTGAGTATTATAGACTAGACAGTGAAGAATATGGAAGGAAAGAAGAGAGCGACACAAGGCACTATAATAATGCTGATTGCCTGAATCCATACCATTTTGGCCCACAGTTTGCAGCGTGAGCCAGAGCCTTTATGCAGTAAAGAAAGTAAATTAAGGTATGCAGACAATTTACTACAAAGCTGATTAAAGGAAGTGTTTTGAGTGTGATTCACCATCGGATAGCCACGTTTTAAAATCAGTTTTTGGGCATTTTTGCCTTTATGAGATAGGATGGCTGAGGAGAGAGAGAGAATGTGGGGAGTAGAGAGTGGGGGAGGATATGCAGCACTGCATAGAGGACTAAAGCTTTTATATAGAGGGTGTGTTGAAACCGCTAAGCCATAAGCACCTCCTGATAGTTACTTTTTTAAAGAAGTAACAATATGAATAAATTTAACTTGCAGAATTGCATTAATCTTAAAAAGTTTAAAACTTTCATCAGTTTAAAGCCATACTCAGCTCATCTCAACCACAGCCAAACTCTAAGCTAACACAAATCCCATATACTGATCTCGTATCTGTCCCCTGATCATACTACAAGGCCACAGCCATACAACAGATGTACAGCTTTCCCAGGACTGTTCAAAGCAAACTCTATGTGCTTCTGATTCTGCACTAATCAGAAGTTATCCAACAACCATTAAGCTTGAATAGCTCAAATTTGATGCAACACAAAGCAAGGGGACTTATCTTTGATGGTTGACATTTAAATCGGAAACATGGCTAAATAAGGGGTTTCGCTTTGATGCCAAATCTTGTGCTATGGTCTTGTTGGTTATATCTTATCAAGATAAGCATGATCTGACTCTTGTTACTCTGTGCTAACACTTGTCAGAACAACTGTATAGGGGTAGCAGGGCGAGTCGAAAGCTAACAGGCTGTTGTATTCAAGTACAGCACATGGTTGCACAAGTTCAAACTTAGCCTACAGTTAAAATACAGATTCTAATACGAAATGGTAATATTTTATGAGTAGACCGTTCACATGTAGTCCTCCTGAAAACACTGATTGTCAAAGTGCAGACTCTTGAAAGATGAGATCAATGAGGAGGAAAACAGGGTCTCAAAGTCTGTTTTTCATTTACACGAACTCAATTAAAAACACATCATGAATTTAATCAATAACTCGACTTTTATTAGATCATTTCATCGGAGTGATAACAGTTCTGACACATAAACGCATGTTGTAGTTGATGTTTCGATTTTACTGTTGAATTTAACGCTGGCTGTAGATTATATTAGACCTATCATAATGCTTGTCATATTTAACATTTATGCTACTGTTACTTGATTAATGGCAGATATTTTTAGGTAGTTATTTATCCAAAGACAATTAGGTATGAGAATCAGCTCCAAACACTCCATTTGGAAAATAGCTTTTCTCTTATTGGCCAAAGGAAGTAATGAGATTATACTTTTGTTAAAGCTCCTCTAAGGAATTCTTGGTTTGTCCCAATGATGGCGCCCCCTGTAGACAAAGCTGTCTCTGCTTATCTTGTCCCTTACATGCCTCAGTAGGGTCTTTTGACAAACACACAAAAGCTGAGTTTTGTCAGTTAAATACATCATTTATATGAAGGAAAAGTGGGCTGTTTCCCTCTCTCACTGGTTGGAGATGGTAAGAGTGGCTGATGATGGTTTAGTGGGTGAGTCCTGTCCCAAATCAAGACAAAGTTTTTACAGAAACAGTTGAACAGGTCACAGATATTGAGATGGGCAATCATTTCACTCCATACTTGCCTTTTGTGTTAATAGATAGAGAAATTCGCTGATTTTTATTAGCACATCTACTATTTGTACTCAAATTAAGCTGAATTCAAAACTATCAGTGTTTCTTGAGACCTTCCTTAAGTTGCACAATTTGTACATGCCACTCAAATAAATCCTTTATTTCGTGAGAGAAACCAGAGATTCTTGTGATTGACAGTGGCTGTAGAGTTCTGATCATACTAATATGTACTTTCAACCTGTTCTTTGTGTCAGGATGCTAATTGTGTACCATGTAAACTCCTATTTTGTCATATTTTCATAGACTTGCATTCATCCCTGTTGTTGTCTCAAACTACCAGCTCCCTCTTGCTGTGTCTTTTTAATTTGCTTAATGCACACTGAAGTTTATTGAAGTGGACCTAATGCTTGGCCTGTTCTCTTTTCCAGCTCTTAACCCCAATGCTGTGAGGAGCACTGCCTCGTGGACACAATTTAGGAGCATCAGCCCTTCTTCTCTATCCTTTCCTCTCCCACAACCCCTTTCCTTCCCTTCTTTACCCTTCGCCAATCCTCGCCACCCACACAACGGCTTCCCCACAGATCCTTCTTCCTCTTGCATAACATAGGAACACGTTAGCATTCTGATCACTTACCATGCAGGGTGGGACTTTGTAAAGGAAGACAAGTGAGCAAAGGTTTACAGAAGAGAGGAAGATATTTAAAAAAGGCAATAAAAAGAGGAAGACATACAGACCAAAGGAATGATATTTTTGGAAAACCTGAAGATGTAAAGATTTATATTTTGTACATTAAACTTTTAGTACCAGCTCATAAACAAATCAAGGCACGAACGACAGACACTTTGCACGCACAATCCACTAAGTTTTCTTTTCTAACTCAAAACACACACACGCCACGGTCTCATGATGATGTGCGAGGTGATGCCCACCATTTCTGAGGATGGGCGGAGCGGGACCAGTGGGGGCCCCTCCTCACCCGCCGGGGCTGGAGTCGGAGGCCCCGGAGGTGCAATGGGAGGTGGGGGATTCAGAGGAGGGGAGCCCAGAAGCGGAGGAGATGAAGGAGGTAGCACAGGAAACCTGGAGTCTTTAATGGTCAACATGCTGACGGAGAGGGAGAGGCTGCTGGAGAACCTGAGGGAGACACAGGAGAGTCTGGGGACAGCTCAGCTCCGCCTGCGCGAGCTCGGACACGAGAAGGAGTCACTTCAGAGGCAGCTTTCTATCGCTTTGCCACAGGTACATCTGTCTGTATGTGTTTGTACGTGTGTGTGTGTGTGTATATACACTGATAGTCTGTGTATAGCAATTATGTGAGTCTAGTTTTTGGAAGGAGAATACAGTGAAATTTGCTGATGTTAAACCCTCTTCCTTGCTTGGTCTTTGTTCTCAAATTGATGAATGCCATGTCTTCTTAAGTTTGAAGCTTGTGCCAGTTGTTCCTGATTTTCTCAAAAGATGCAAAGTCAAAAACAGGTGCAAAAAGTCCAAAAACAAATGCAACAGTGGAAACACCCTGAAAAGGAAACCGTGTGCTGCAAAAAAAGCTGAAACAACTACATTAACTACATTGCAAAAACACAAATGATGCAAAACACAATGTTTGGCCCGTCTTTGGCGCAGGAGCTTTAGTGGTAGCAGCCCGGGATGCTTGGAGCTACAGCCACTGTGCTGCTGAGTAGTGTTTTCTGTAACTGCAATCCACAGTTAGCCACAAACTAGCAGTATAATCAGCTCGGTGTTTAGCTTAGAGAACAAGGACATGTTAGCTACAGTCTCCATCAGTGGTTTGCACAAGGCAGCCAAACAGAAGTCCTGCTCAGGTCTCAGAGGTGAAGAGAAATTATGCCTGACACTGCCCTCACTCTTCTCCTATCCCAACTGTGTCGTTACCATTACCGGTGTCAGTCCATGTCAGACTTCCCTGGTTACAGTGATTTTAACATTACTCCCTGATATCAAACTGTGCTGTTTCCTCATCTTAACAATAAGTTAAGTGTGCGGCCGCCTTCTCTGTTCTGCCAACAATAAAGCTGTTGAGTTAAAGCCCCTACAGACCTGGAGCGCTTCAGTTAGAAGTCTTGATTGACAGTGTTTTATGTGTGTTTTTGACTAACCACAATCTCTATATTTGCAGTGATTTTTGGTAAATGGAGCCTGTGAGCTGGTTCAGGCAACTGTAACTGCTCTGCCTATGCACTCACAGGAAACATGTCAATCTCCTCCATCATATGACATTTCCTCCTAAATTGACAATATGTATCAGCTGCAAAATTTCTGCCCCCACCACTCCAACATCCACCTGAAGACCATCACCCCTCAGACTTTCAGCAGGTTAAAAAAAAATAAATGTGAGGAGTGAAGAGCTTTGAGCCCAGACTCTAAACAGAAACAATGTTATGCTGCTGTAATAAAAATATCAAATTATTATGCACGCATTACTCCTCTGACTGAAGCGGCTATTTGCAGCATGTTTTTGTCATTTGCAGTGTGTTTCCCTCTGCTTGTGTTTTTTATATTTGCATTATTCAGGCATTTGCCACACATTTCTCCCAGTGAAAATTGTTCAAGTCATTGCAGATTATTACCATTGTCAACAACATTGGGACACACCCTCCAATATCCATACAAGAGCATTAAAGACATGGTTGACGATGTGAGAAGCAGGTGAAAAAAACTGAGCTGTTGAGGCAGATTTAAAAAAAAGTGTCCCACCCCCCAACACAAAGCTCTCCCCCCTGTGCTCCACGGTAACTCTCCCCCCCGAACCTGTATCGCCCTCCCCACGACACACCCCCTGTGGCGGAGTAAGAAGCCAGTCAGAAGACGATCCTACGCTAGCTTCAAATAGGATTCACCATGTCGGATTGCTACTGACTAGCAGCAGTAAACACCAGCTCACTAGCGAGCACTGTCTGCAGCTGCCTGGACAGCTACTGTGTTGACATTGCAGAGACTAATAAGAGTTATTTATATGGCATGTGCCACCATAGAAGGCAAAAATTACCTGTTCAACAAAACTCTGCTGTCTCGGCGCCTGTTTTCAGGCCCAAATCCCGGCAGAGCTTTTTCCACCGCTCGAAGGATGACCCCGATGTTTATTTGAGTTAGATTCATTGCTTGGTCACATTTCCTCTTTGACTCTGCCCTTTCTTCTGTCGGCTTACATTATCTTATCACTTTTGGCGGTGGGGCAAGCAAAAGTGTTTTTTTTTTGCGTCCTTCTCCATCACAGCTCCTATAGCTAAGCTGCTATGCTACTTTTAGCCGCTCAGAGCTCTGAGAAGGGCCGGGAGAGTGGGAAGGGACGAGTTGGTCACACGAGAGAGGGGTGTGTCGAATACAGCGAGGTGAATTGATGGAGAGGCGGAGCAGGAGATTGACCAATAGGAGCTGTCCGTGACGGAAGGCTCCCATTGGTCAATGTTTTTGTAGCTCTGCACCTGCTAGAGTAAACAGATTTTTTCCATCCTTTTTTTCTTCACTTTGTGGAGATCGCACTATAGGACCATGATCGCCATAGAAACAAGGTTCATAATAATGACCAATCTCTCCAATCGTCAACCATGCCTTTAAAATGGAAGGCTATGTGAACATCAAAATCAAAGCTGTGACTGCCAAAATATAAGTAACTGCACTACAAAGTTTTTAGAGGAAATACAGGAGTAACAGGATATACCATTCCTGGAGATATTGCAGCTTAGAATCAAAGAAAAATGTACCCATGATAACTATGAAATGTTTTGTATTATGACCAACAGAATCATATCATACGGTATAGTGTTATGTTGTGTTGCATTATTTTTCACCACATGATACCAATTTCTTTTGGAAGTACATGACAAACTTTCTCATCTATCTTATTTAGACTTTATTACATTGAATAAAATAGGGAAACCTGAAATCTGAGAAAAATAAGCTGTAACAGAAGGAAGACGTGAACCACTTTTCATGTTTTTCAAAATTAATACAACTGGAAGGTACTTTTTTATGACAAGTTGTTACTGTAAAATGATGGACCATCATCAGGATACCTATGTGGAATGACAGGTTATTGTTGATGTTGTCTTTGTGTCTTAAAATATTGAATCCAAGTTGAGTGTCAAGTCAAGACCAAGTCTGGGTTCAAGTCATCAATGAAGAATCAGAATTGAGTTGAATTTAAGTCCCCATCGCCTCAGACACCTCTGTAGGCTTTCTGGCAGGAACTGAAGCTTTAGCATGTGAATGTGCTCACAGGTGAACACACATTCTGAATAATTAGGGCCATAAACAAAAACAAAAAAATTGTATTCAATAGTAAGTCCAAGTCCTCCTTTTCAGCTTTTGAGTACAAATTTGATCAGTGTGTCGGTTCTAGTTACAGCCATCAAAGCTCAAATCTTAAGAATCAAGACTGTCAGACTCCAGTCAAAGTCCTGGACATCAGTACTATAACACTGGTTTAGATCATATCTTGCATAATCAGATTCAGTTTGAATATAGTTGGAGGTTTACATAATCATGACAGCCCTGCCCTACCAGTCATAGCTGCATATCTTCACCCATTGCTCCCTTGACCTATACAGCTGCAAGGACCAGCTGACACCAGTCAAAGTTAAGGACACATTTAACATTTGTTGTCGCTCTCTTCCCCTGTTTCTAGAAATAAGCTACGCAATGTTGGCATTTGGTAGTGTTAGGAGACAGTGGTCTCATTTTTCACAGATTTTTAAATGCTGCAGTTTGTTTTGTAAAAAACAAACATCACAGGCATCTGCACAAACAAGAGGTAGAATCAGGGAGCAGGATCCACATTTTTATTATGTATACAGGGATATAAATAACCAGGTTTCTCTTTAAACATGTACACACAATATCTCAAAGGTGATCAAAACCAGGATACTTGAATCCATTTGAATGTACCCAAAGTTTATCAGTGGTTCTTCTGGGTGAGAGTCATTGTTAGGTGAGCCTTTGCAGTGACAGTTTCTGCAGAGAAACAGCTACAAATTAGAAGTTAAATACTTTTTTGTCTGCATGTTCAGAGTTTTCTTAGCAATGTTGTTCAAAGTAATGCTAAGGGTTTATGTTCCTATCATCCTCTGGCTGTTTCGTGTGAGTTGCATCTGCAGTTTTCCTGTTATTGTGTAATCAGGTTTTATTATGTTTGTTGAGTGTGTGGTTAGTGGATGATTACTGATGCTGGAAGCTAATATTTGTTTGTGGCTTTGAATATGAGACTTTCTTAAAATCTCTTTTGTTTGCTGGGTAAAGTAGCTAATTAATTATAAATTGAATCGAAGATTTTATAAATATCAGAGAAATTTTGCCTTTTATTGTTTTTTTTTTCAGCATGCATATTTTCATCCACACTTTCTTGTTCTTTCAGCATTATTTGTGAGGAGCCTTCTTTTTTAAAGCAGCTTCGAAAATGTGTTAGTGCAAATTAGATTCCTTGTGAGCTTCTGATTTGTCATACATAACAGCTATGACTGGCTGATCCTTCATTAATAAGCCAATATCGAGAAAAAAGTCTGCAATTATTGGAAGTTTCACTCCTAAAAGAGGCAAAAGGTATTTTTACCCCAAGCTTATTATTCATAGAGAAACAGGATACAAGAAAAACATTAAAGTAAACATGGAGCATAATGAGTCCTTATTATTATTCTCATTTCTTTTTACAACTTACATTAGACTTCAGTGTGTATTTTTGCTTCTTGTACTATTCTGTCATAGTTTTAGACTTTAAAGAAGTGGACACAAAGCCCTAGAAACCTATAAAATCTGTAATAATACAGTACACTTTGTTCCTTGTCCATATCTTCTTTAATATTTTATTCAAATCAAAAGTAATAGAAAATATAAAATGCAAACTCATGATAATTATTCAGCTCTAGAGCTGTAAAAAAGTGGAATAAAACATTCCCTTTTTCTATAGCTTCTCATATGTGTGGCTTTGCTGCATGTCATAATTGACTGTATATATTTGTGTTCAACACTCTTGGTCCAATAAAATAATAATTTTAAAGATTCAGTTTTCAAGTTTAATGAATTAGTCTTTTTTTCTCTATAAAAAGATTAAAGAGTTCATTATTATTTTTACCAAAGAGCAGAGACATGTCCAAACTTATCAGACTAGAATGACCCATCTGGGGCACTGTGCAGGGGTGGCATTAAGTATGTGCAAACACACATGAATCAGAATGAACTGCGTTTAGTAACCGTTTCTGTCTTCAGCTTTTCATGTTTACTAAAACTTCTAATATGAGAGTGTTGAAGTGTTTTAAATTTTGAGGGAGCTTTCCCAAAAGTATCTAATCTAATCTAAAATAATCTTATCTAAAGGCATTTCACACATGTGCAGGTTTGGCTCAGCAGTCCATAAACTGTATAAAACAGGAAGTAGAGGTATTTTGAGGCTTTTTCGCCGTGGTTGTCAAGCTGGTACTTCAGACTCAACTGAACTTTTGGTCAATTTACCATAAAGCAAAGAGGTGGAGTTGAGGCAGGCCTGCTTTCCTTGGCGTCCCTGCTAACAGCTACTGTGTACCCACCTGTCAGTCAGGTCAGCCATGCCCCTTATAAGTATTTTTAATATCTTTGGGACTAATGAGTAAAAACAAATTAATTACTCCCTGTACAGAGTTTCTGGATGTGCATGCAGCTCAGTTTGCAGCCAAACTCAAGTGGACACTTGAATTGCAGATTTGAGCACTTCTGCAATAAGTCCAATTGTCAAGACCAATGGTTGCCATTTGATATAGCTGTGTGCCCCATAATCAGAGGCTACACTCCAGGACTAAGGTATTAAAGTACAAAAGTAAACCCTAAAAGTAAACTTAAAGCTAGCCATGTAACAAAAAATCACTTGCCTTAGTTCTTTGAGGATTTAAAAGTGAATGAACAATGTGATGCTAAGATACCGACTTGCATCAGTTGGAACAAAGCCGAAAAAAGTCAACTACACTTGTTCCCCTTCTGTTGAGACCATAGACTGTATATACTATGGACAGCTTTGCTGGCGGAGGCGGGATTTATGACCTATACTGCAGCCCATCAACAGAGGGTGCTGTTCTCGGAGTGGCTTCACCCAGCAAGGAGGCAGACGGCATCCATTCTATATACAGTCTATGGTTGAGACCAACAACAGAAGGGATGGCCAATCAGATTTCAAAGGGAGGAGCTTACCACCCCTGGCCACCAGTGTACTCAACCTTGCTCAAAAGATATTGGCAAATTAATTGATGATGAAATAGTTGCAGTGGTTGAACACTTGATAAAGTCTTTGTTTAAACTACTCTAACCATTTAGAGTGTAGGGTGTGCTTGAGATATTTGTTTTTATAATCTGTGATTAATGTCGCTCTCTAAATGTCCAAAATGTATTTTTTTTTAATTTACGCTGTATAGCTCAGAGTTCTTGTACGCATGGAACAAGACTGCAAATTGTTCAAATGAATGTAGGGCAGAGCTAATAGAGGGAGATTGAGATAAAATAGAAGAGAAACTAAAAAGGGACAAGAGTAGCCAACAGAGAAGCTGACCCCTGTCCAAACAAAAAAGGATCCCACAAGGCCAAGAGCCAATGGACCCACTGTGTCACCATCTGTATACAGCCCGCTCTCTCTTCACTTATCCACGCAAACACAGACCGATCTAATGAGTCTACTTTCAGCTGTTTCTGAGGTAATCCTCCACCATCATTCTCCTAACCTGCATTTGCCTCTGAGCTGGAGGCTTTGATGCTGTTGTATGGAGACTTAAAGATATCAGCGACAGTAGATTCTGCCAGTGTTTCTTTTTTAAGGAAATGTAAGACACGCTCGCCTGTTTGTGCTCTTGTTTCTTGCGTTAAGCAGGAGTTTGAAAGTGTATTCCCAGCAGTGTTGTAAATGACATATCGATGCTGTGTTTTTTGGGGCCTCTCCTGTGCATTCCAGTGCAGAGCCATTGTGTAACAGTGTGATGTAATCCATCCGTGAATGCAAATTCACAGAGGAGGATGAGCAAGAGAGAGTGGTGCTAGTGCTAGAAATTGTGTCAGTGATTTACATGATTATTATGTAGATTTACATCATGTCCGCCTTCATACATGCTTGGTCTCAGGTGTTTTACGGAGTTGGTCTCTGGAGGGCTTTAGCTATGTATGTTTTTAGTGTTACATATCCACATACATAATAAATGTGTGTTTGAAACGAGCAGCTTAATCTCTTAATTTTCAGCATCACTTGATTCAGCTACATCTGGCCTAAATCATTATTCATTCCCTTAAACTTTCATCGCAGCTCGAGCAGCTGAACAGACACCACTTCAACTATTAAAGCGGCACATTTAAACAGTTTGTTTTTCTTGCCCCTGAATGCATCTTGTGTGTTCCTCAGGAGTTTGCTGTGTTGACTAAAGAGCTGAACGTTTGCCGGGAGCAGCTTCTGGAGAGGGAGGAGGAGATTGCTGAGCTCAAGGCGGAGAGAAACAACACACGTGTAAGATGTTTAGCGGCCATTTTGCCTATTAGCACTGCCAGCTTCAGTGTTATCTCTCTCACCCATTGTGCTTGTGTGGGTGTGACACTGTTTCTTTTGCTTTTTTTTTTTTTTTCCTCTTCATGACTCTTTTTGTCCCTATCTGCTCCCATCACTATCTTTTACAACTCTTAACTGCTTTGTGTCTTCACTGGGCCTTCTCCATCAATTTTTACCCTTTACTACCTCCATCACATCTTCTGTGCCCCCTGTCTTCTCTGTCTACCACTCGCTGATCACCTCTTTATATTCTCCTATCATGTACCCTTCTCCTTCCCGATCAACCCACTCACTCCTGTAGCTGTTGCTGGAACACCTGGAGTGTTTGGTGTCTCGTCATGAGCGCAGTCTGAGGATGACGGTGGTGAAAAGACAGGCCCAGTCCCCAGCTGGGGTCTCCAGTGAGGTGGAGGTCCTCAAGGCCCTCAAGTCTCTGTTTGAGCACCACAAGGCCCTGGATGAGAAGGTGGGTAAAAACATTATTTTAGGCAATGCAGACTTGCAAACTCTTTCATTAAAGGTATATTTCGGCGTAAAATTGAGTTAGGGTCAAACACACCATAACACTGAGTTAGACACCTCGTCGAGAGATGAATGATGCCGACCGCTTGCTTCTCTAGTTACCAACTTTAGTAACAACTGTAAATAGCAATACAGAGAGCCACTCGCTCAACCAAAAAGCCACTCCATAGCCACAAATAATGCTCAGATCAGCACCTAACTAACATCAACAGTACATATAGGGTCATAGTACTAGCCACCAAACATCTTTTAAGCTTTGCCTGATTTCTTTAGCAAAGAGACTAAACACAACTCACCCACTGTCTTCCAGCAGCCACTTGTTTGTACAGAGGTGCGTCCATTGACTGCAGTGGGGGTACACAGCTCAAGGAAAAATATTTATGATCATTTCCTTGTGGAAATGCAATCAGACCGAGACGCTAAGGCAGAAGAACTACTGCGTCTGCTGTGCAAAATGATTAATATGATGATTATTACTTCAAGGAAATGATAAAGTAATGATCATAAATGTATAATGTTCTTGGTTGAGCGTGTGGTTGTGTTTAGTCTCTTTGCTAAAGAAATCAGGCAAAGTTAAAAAGATGTTTGGTGGCTAGTGCTGTGGCTGGGACCCTATATGTACTGTTGATGAAGTTAGGTGCTGATCTGAGCATTATTTGTGGCTATAGAGTGGCTTTTTGGTTGAGCGTGTGGCTCTGTGTATTGCTATCTGCGGTTGTTACTAAAGTTGGTATAACTAGAGAAGCAAGCGGTCGGCATCATTCATTTCCTCACGGGGTGTCTAACTCGGCGTTATGGTGTGTTTGACCGTAACTTAATTTTATGTCAGAATATCCCTTTAATTTCACTCCTACTTTAGTAGGTATGAAGGATAGTTTTATGTATGTGAAGGGGTCACATACAGCAGTAGACCCAAAAGATCAACCAGTTCAGCAGCATGTTTCCAGGCCTAGATTAGTCAGCAAATCTACTTTGATAACCCAGCAAGTCGAGGTCTGCATTATTAGCTACTGTAAACACTAGGGGTGTGACGGTACACAAAAATCCCTGTTCGGTACAGAAAGGGAACCTGTCCATCCATCATCAGAGCGGCAGCAGATGCCTCGGACAAGTTGTGCACATCAGCAGATTTTATATGTTCATAAGTGGATGGTATGGCTTGGTTGCTCTAGCTCTATCACCTTTAACATATTTAAATCCCCTGTTCTCAAAAACTGAATATGATCGCAGATCAGCTACCATAAGAGGAAGCTGGTTCTGAAAAAATGTTTTTTAATTTTCCTTTTGGTAGTATGTTTACATTTGTATGGTACTGCTTCAAATGTGCTTACAAGTTGGAACTGTTGCCATAACTGACGGCCACTGAACAGTGTCAGCAAATTCCTTTTATCTTATTTACTTGTCTTTGTTGTATTTCATGAGGAAACTGAAGTGTTCTCACATAGGAGACCTGGATCTGAGGGTTGGGGGGATCCTCTAGTTTTTGCATGTTGTGCTGGCTGTACTGCACACATTCAAATTGGTACAGAAGTCCTGTACCGAAACAGTCATATGATTATACTGATATTTGTACTTTTGCACCCCTAGTAAACACCAAAACTTATTTGCCACAGTTCAGTTCAAATTCCCTTCTCTTTTATCTGCCTTTAAAACAACTTAATTAAACAAAATCAAATATCACTTAAATAGCTCTTTGATTAGAACTTTAAAGTCTGATGACTTTTTTAAGTTATACTGAAGGGCGTCAAGCCACTTATCAGGATCACCAGACCTAAAATGTAGGTGACCTGCTGTAGGATCAAAAAACAGCTTTACAGTGTAAAGTAAGACCGAATGCACCACATGACGGTTCAATTCAACTTATTGGAAAGCACCTTTTCATTTTTTAAACAGTCTAAGTACAATTAGGACTGTGTAGTTCATTTAGAGGGGTAAAAAGATAAATCTAACATACAGCAGTACTACAAACACAGCTCCAGTCCCCATAAGGGCCATCTTACTGATGTCATCTCCACCTCACAGGTTCGAGAGAGGCTCCGTGTGGCCCTTGAGAGAGTGTCCATGTTAGAGGATCAACTTGCAGCGTCTTCTCAAGAGGTAAATAATCATTGAAGTCTCTTCTATGGCTCACATGTGGTTCAGCTTAGCATGGAGAAAGAACATTTATTTGCATTGTCTGTTTCCTCTCCCCCCCTCTACAGGTAATCTCTTTAAGAGACCAAATTAAAAGACGTCAACAAGGGGTGGACGGCGGGAAAGATGTAAGGGAGGGTTTTATGCATGTTGGTTCCAGTAGTTTTTGTGTTTGTGATAGCGACAAGAAAGCCAGTAGAAAAGTAGATGTATGGGTACCATGGTGTGTCATTGTGATTTTAGTTCCACGTCTTGCCTTACCCACATGCCATTAATGCTTAATTTACCTCCATAACGGATCCTAACTACTTATTTTTCTTCATCACTTTCATTATTTCTATATTGGCATCATTGCAGCGACTACCCAATGGTCCCTCCACTGGTGTGGAGGATGGTGAACTTGAAAGGCAGAGAGAAGGAGAGATCGAGCGACAAAGAGCTGAACTCTCCCAGCTCAGAGAGAGACTGGCCCTCATGTGCCGACAGGTTAGTGTTTTTGTTTATTTGTCAGTGTGGGGACCATACCCATTGCTCCAGAGTGGGGACATTTTCTGCCAGTTAAGGACAATCTCTCCACAAGGAGAAATTGCAAGGAAGTCTGATGTGGCACCAGGGTTAAACATGAGTTTGATGTTTTTAAGTCAATGGATATCGCTGCTATATTTGCATATGTAATGCAGGAAAACTTTTAAAAAATCATTGATTTCCTGTGGTTGGACATTTTATCCTTTCCTTGCATTGAGAATTGTTTCATGCGCCAGTTTTGTCTAAAATTGATGACTTATAAGTATGATGTTGTTTAACTCCTTGCGGAAGAGTCAGAATTCATAAAATTTACAAGTTACTGTGTTTTGGGGTGAAACAAACATTAAATGTTGAGGAAAGTCCATAAAATAGATTTGCTATTTTTTTGTCTAATGTTGGTTTTACCAATTATTCGGTATCAATCTCCTTATATAACCATTAGCAAAGACAATGAAAAAACGGCATTATCAAACTTAAGTTTTAAAATTATGGGCAGTAAGTACTCAGAAATGTAACAGCCCTCACAAGTGTACAGAAAACCAGTGTGTGTGTGTGTGTGTGTGTGTGTGTGTGTTTGAACTGTATTGCTACAAGTGTGTTTCACTGTTGTACTCTGTTATAGTCCTTATAATGAACACTGACTATTTTAATAAATAACTTTAAGGTACTCCATTAAATAGAGCCTCTCCTCAAGTAGTTCTGACAGTATATCCCAAGAAGGAGGGGCTCCCTCTGTTCAGTGTTTCCACTGGTCTCCCTCCTCCCTCTAGTGGCCAGATACAGTTTTGCAGCTTCTCTGAAAAGCCAGATTTGATCTGTATTGTGCACATTAAGACACCAGAGACATTAAATCATATGGTATAAAGCAGGTCAGACGTCGCCTTATGTTACAAGCCAGCAGTATTCAGGTGAAGATAATGAACCGAAAAACGTGCCCCCTATCATTCTGACTGTCTGGACACAGCATGAAAAGACACATTCTGTCAAGATTACAGTGAGCTCAATGCGTAAGACTCCCTGCAAGTTACACTTATGTTAGTGAAGCTTTTTATGGGTGTAACTCTGATCAAACAGACATTTGTGACTGAATTAGAGGCGTGTCTATTTACACTTGGTGCTGTAGCAGTTCAGACTGACTCACATTGACTCAAACTGTGTCATATTGTATCCCTTTGTTGTGTCACGTCAGGTTGGGGAAATAGAGGAACAGCTTGCAGCCGCCAGGAGGGAGGTGACGAAGTCGGAGGAGGCCAATCAGAAGCTCCAAAGGGAAGTGAAAGAGGTCTGTAGGGCCAATCTGTCTCTTCCTGGCCAAGACCCTGAGATCCCTTGGGTCCTTGAGATCCAAGTGTATATTTGACCACAATAGGCATATGTCCAATCAGAAATAAAAAGCATTATTAGTCCTAGAAATGAAAGGGGAAATTAAGATAAATTACATAATAATGAGTCAGAATTTTTACACAGTGGTGTTAGCGTAGGCATGAAAGTTTAGAAAGTCTATATAACGTGGAAATTGATACTTATGAAAATGTACCACCCAAACAAGCTTTCCAAACATAGAAATTCCTCCTCCTGTTGGTATCTTACCTGACCGTTAGTTTTCTAATAAATGTGTCATAAAAACTGTATGTACTGTATATGTATTTTGTAATTGTGTACTATATTGATTTATGAAACCATTTTGCTTCTCCCAGGCCCTCTGCCAAAGGGAGGACATGGAGGAGAGGATAACAACATTAGAACGCAGGTAACCTTTACTGCTTTTTGACAAATCTATTCTTAGTTTTAACAAGGACTCACATCTCACACTTTCCAAACCAGATTTAAACACATTTGCTTTGCTTATGAAAGCTTAAGTCCCATATGCTTCACCTGTTGACTGACAGTGTCTTGCAAAGGTATTCTGACACCTTATGATGAAGCTTAAAGTTGTTTTACCTAATTATCATTAAGATTTCAGCTGTGACTGAAAAGTCTTAAATCTTCCACAATGTTGACTAGCCTGTTGTCAGTTATCACTTAAATTGCAAGCCCTGAATTTAAGTCCTCTTTGGTAGTTTGCACACTCCAAGATAGGGCTCTGCTGGCTTTTCTGATGTGGTTCCTCGCTGACATCAGTCTGATAAGCTGTATCTGTATGTTTAGGTGATTGCTCAGACTCAAAGTACTTCAGTGATATTTTAATATGTTTTACACCATGCACATGTTACACTTAATCTGCCAACTGAGCCGCCAGGCTGTTTTAAAAAGTGAGATGTGCCATTGAAAAGCCAGTGGGGTTGTTATTTTTCATTACTTTAGCTCCAGGATGAAGGAAGACGCTGCGTCTCGAACCTGTTACTTCTGCACTTGAGTTGCATTGTGACGAACACTTTAACACTGACTGCCCTACAGGAGTTTTACAGCCCTATTAGAGTCTGTAGGCTTCCCTACAAGCAGCACAAGGGACTCAGTACTGCTTGTAAAGCTTCATAAAGCCTGAATCCTGTCTGTTGACAGGAATAATTGGAGTGCTCTAGGATTATCATTTATTAACAAATAAGAGGGTCTTCCATCTTGGACAGTAAGAGGACATATCTACATTGTGTTTAAGTAAATTAATCAAGCTGCAACTGTGCAGTTGAGCTGAACATGCTGTTGCTAATAACATTACATGTTGGTTGAGAACTGCTGCTCCACTGACATAATGGCGGCTGGGTGGTGATTGCAGGTACCTCAGCGCCCAGAGGGAGGCGACTTCTCTCCATGATATCAAAGACAAGCTGGAGAATGAGCTGGCCAGCAAAGAATCACTGCACAGACAGGTAAAAAACATCTTAAATACTGAAAATACATTTATGATGTTTAATCGGGTAATGAGAGGCTTCGGGATTTCCGAATCTTAAAAGATTTTGTATGGCACTCATTTTTAAACAGGCTTTTTCTCATGATTATCATACTTGACATGTATGTTTTTGTCTTTGTCCAGAGTGAAGAGAAGAACAGACAACTGCAGGAACGTCTGGATGAGGCTAAGCAGAAGCTCCAGCAGACTCTTCAGCGAGCAGAGACGCTGCCTGAGATCGAGGCCCAGCTAGCTCAAAGGGTTGCTGCTCTCAACAAGGTATCTAGTGTCTCCATACTGCCTGTGACCGACTACAGAACCTGTCACTCAATTCAGTGCTCTGATACACAAAAACCATTATTTTATTATAAACTGATCACTGTATGTATGCTATTATGACCCTCACCTGTCCATCTGTCTTTTGTAATGTCATCCCTCAAACTGTCATTAAGTATCTCCAGTATTTTTGTGCATCTGATTTGTTTTCATCTGCTAACTTAGGCAGAGGAGCGTCATGGAAACTTCGAGGAGCGACTACGACAAATGGAAGCTCAACTCGAGGAGAAGAACCAAGAGCTTCAGAGGGTACTTCATTAACTTTTCTCTTCTTGGCTTTACATTTGGCGTTAATGTAAAGAAAATTCAATCTTGAGCGCATCTTGTGGCTTTTCTTTGATTCTAGGCGAGGCAGAGGGAGAAGATGAACGACGAACACAACAAACGCCTCTCTGATACAGTGGACAAGCTTTTGTCTGAGTCTAATGAGAGGCTGCAGCTTCACCTCAAAGAGAGGATGGCAGCCCTGGAGGAGAAGGTACCAGGCACATTAATTACTGGTGAAGAGTGATTTTTGATGTTATGGAAAATTTAGAGTGGTTTTTAAGTGACTTCTGCTTCTGCTCTGCTAGAACGCTCTCTCAGAGGAACTGTCCAATATGAAGAAAATCCAGGATGATCTTCTAGCTAATAAGGTACTCCCCAGTTGTTTTCCTACCCTTGTGAAGAAGGATTCAGGAGAATGTTTAATCTTGTGTATCAACGAAGGTGTTTCAACACCGAATCAAGTTTCTTGGGAAGAAAATAAACATTCTTTCCTCCACTTCCCACTAAGGACGTTCACTCACCGAACAGCAAACTTCTTCCATTTCTCAAGAATTCCTCTTTTCTACAAAAACACTTTGCCTCATGTTTAACAAAGACGGGCTGTTTTCCCACAGGAAAAAAAAAATCCAAAAACAAATCTTGTGTATTTTTCTCCCTTGTGCTTCAGGAGCAACTCCTTGCTGAGCTGGAACGAATTCAACTGGAGCTGGATCAGCTGAGAGGGGGCAGGCCAGGCTCTTCTTACTCCAGGTTAGATACAATGAACTTTTACGGGACTTAGTTCTTTAAATAGGTCCCACATTTGCTGAATGCCCAAATACAAAAAAGTCCCCTGAGAAATAATATGTGAATAAGGTCTCTTTTTAGCACAAATATTTGTTTACTACCCTGTTGGGCTGTATTGTACTTACACTTTTTTCCTGATACATTATTCATACTGTACCCGGAGTGTTTTGCTCTCGCTGAAATATATGCAAATTCACAAATTTCTAGTGTCTGTCATTTTACTCTCAGAAAATGGGGACATTGTGATTTCATGTGCTGTGGTGTAACAACTGAATTTTGGATCTCACTGTAGGGCGGGCAGCGTGAGCTCACTTCCCTCCACCCTTTTTCGAAGATCTCTTCCAGGGAGCGCCTCGGAACTGCGATACCCTCAGGGTGGAGGCTCCCTCCCGTCTGGCTACGGCAGCTCCTCTAGTGGGGTGGTGGTCAGGAGGACACACCGCGGCCGGTGGGGTGGTAGTAGAGATGATGGCGGCAAGGTGTTGATTTTTCGAACATAGTCATGGCATAAGATTATAGATACTATTTGATATTAAGATGATGATTAACCTCATTATTTCCATCGTTTTTCCTTTTCTTAAGTATGGGGAGTGGGATAGTGGCTCAATGATGGGTGCCGGGTATGAGGGCGGTGTGGAGGGAGGCTGCTCTGATGACGAGGACGACAGGGAGACTCTGTTTGGATCGGAGCTGCTTTCACCCAGTGGACAGACAGATGTACAGACTTTGGCTATCATGCTACAGGAGCAACTGGAGGCAATCAACAAGGAGATCAAGTAAGCTTTATGTCGATAAACTCTACACAGAGATTGGGGGTCTGGGTCTTATAACGGGAAGGGTTCTGAATTTCATTCATTTGAATTTGTACATTTAATGTGAAATTTTCTCCTTTCCTTTCCTTTCCTCTCCTTCCAGGCTCATCCAGGAGGAAAAGGAGAGCACAGAGATGAGGGCAGAAGAGATAGAGAGCCGGGTCAGCAGTGTTGCCCTCGATGCCTCGCCTCTCCCTCCCTCTTCACTGGGAGGTCGGGACAGCGTTGGGAGGGGTTACATGACTCCCTCCATCACTTCCTCGACGTTGGCGTCTCCTTCACCGCCCAGTTCTGGACATTCCACGCCCCGTCTCCCTCATTCCCCTGCCAGGGAGTCTGAAAGACAGGTAACATCTTAGCACCCAAAAGATTTGCTATGAGGATAATTTCAGGACACTGATCCTGTTCTCTTGACCCAGCAGAACAGCAAAGAGGGCGAAGAATGCAGAGCACTGGCCCTGATTGACTCCAACCCTCCTGTTCCTCGAGCACTGCGACTGGACAGGATGACACACACTCACCCAGGAGCCGGCCTGGATGACCATCGTGAATTTCGCAGGTATGCTCAGGACAGGTTACTCACACACTAGCCTTTTAATTCAAGAAAGTCCCCATGCTGATTTTAGTAAGTTTCCCTTTTCTGCTATCATAGTCTCTCGGCTGATGGTGCCACCACTGCTAGCCAGGATTCCCTCCACAAAGCCAGCAAAAAGAAAAGCATTAAGTCATCCATTGGCCGTCTCTTTGGCAAAAAGGAAAAGGGGCGGATTGGTGCACCGGGACGTGAATCTGCATCACTGGGTTTGTTTGAAACAACTGCACATTTATTTTGTGGTCCAGCTGTAATTTCTTAAAGGTAAAAGAACCATAAATAGTGAGGCTGTGACGCATGGTAACTCCTTTTTAACCTTTGACCTCTATAGCCTCCACCCCCTCTGATGACCTGGGTTCAGCTGACCCCTTAGGCCTGACTAAACTTGGTACTGGGACAGTAGAGAAAGACCGGCGCAGCAAAAAGAAGTGAGTTCAGTCACCTTTTTACACATTTATTTATAAAGTATTATGCTGATGACACTGTGTTATGTGTTCGCTGAGTTGTACAAATAGTGTAATACTATTAACTAACTATTCTTTATACATAAATTGGTAGACTCTCTGAAAGTTCATAAGATTTTGCAGTAACATGAAAGGTTTTTCCATAAATCCTTTTACAAAAAGTCAAAAATTTCGTTCCTCTTTCTCATTGTGCACCTATATGCTAATTTTTGGATGTTTCATTCTGATGGAGATATCTTATAGTATAATAAAGGTTTGTTTACACTGTTTTGATTTTAGGTTAAACCAATTTAAAAAAAAAATAGATTCCTCTCATTCACTCAGAGTTGTCCATACCTTTGTGTTTTCTGGTCTATATTTTGCTATACCTCATACATGATATTGTTGTGCTCAACTATACTTCCTTCACATATAGAGACCTTCATTTTTAGTAATGTTACTGCCACGACCCACATACTCTTTAATGTGCTGTTAGTTTGAATTGGTATAAAACAATGCATCCTCTAGAACAAGGGTGGGCAATCATGTGTCATGGAGGGCAGAGAGGCTGCAGGTTTTCCTTCCTGCACCAGGTGATTTCACTGATTAGTCCCTGCTCTCTGCTTGGAGGTAAGGTAATCAGTGAAATCACCTGGTGGAGTTTTGGGTTGGAAGGAAAACCTGCAGCCTCTCGGCCCTCCATGGCACATGATTGACCACCCCTGCTCTAGAAGGCACTTAAACAAACAGTCTCACTGCAGACTTTCACTATCCAAAGTATTTGTTTTTTATTTTGCTTTGCTAATCTGACCTTAACTATCGGCAACACGGCAAAACTCTGCACCTTGATTACTTGTAGTATCTAAACACTTGATCCATGTCTGTAAGCTTCTCACTCATGATGAAATGAAAGCAAAGTATGGTAATAAAAAAAACAAAAAACTGACCATATTTTTATGTGCGGTGGAGGAAGTAGCATATAAAAAAAGCCTTTGATCTAAACTTAAATGCCGAAATACTGCTGCAGGAATTGTGACAGTATCATAAATTCAGGATTCTGGACTCTCAGTACCGACTTTAAATTTATTTTTACATTCACTTAAAGAATTTGTTCACAAGCTTTAATACTTTCTCGCCTTTACTATATGAAGACCCACTAGGTGCCGTCTTAGATTAGTTTAATCTTTTGGGTAGGGACTTTGTAACATGGTAAGAGTTGCTTTAAAGGTGGCGGCCAGGCACAAATGTCATGATTTTTATCACCTTCAAAATTTAATCTGTCAAACTTGTGTTTCTCCATCCCTGCCAGGCACGACCTGCTAGAGGAAGCCTGTCGTCAGGGTCTGCCTTTTGCCTCATGGGATGGTCCAACTGTTGTCACATGGCTAGAGGTACAGCATGAATCAGATCTGTTAAATTGAGGGCTCAGTTTGGGCCAGGGTATAGATATAACGTGTCACTAATGTGTTTATATTGCATCCTCACTAGGATAAATCAAAACAGTTGGGGTTAATTTTAGTAATAAGGTTATGTTAGGGCACAGTCAGTCTGTATGCAGCTAAAAGCGACCCTCACTTGATAGTTTGTGAAGTATCATCATAACACTTACATCCTCCTTCTGTTTATCCAGCTGTGGGTGGGGATGCCAGCTTGGTACGTTGCAGCGTGTCGTGCCAACGTGAAGAGCGGCGCCATTATGGCCAACCTGTCTGACACAGAGATCCAGAGAGAGATCGGCATCAGCAACCCTCTCCACCGGCTCAAACTCCGCCTGGCTATACAGGAAATGGTCTCCCTCACTAGTCCGTCTGCACCTGCAAGCACTCGCTCTGTAAGGCTGTTAATAAGAACACGATCTAGCTCTAAACACGAGCGAATCAGTCACATGTTCGCACAGATGAGGCATCAACAAATCAGTATATTCATGTGAAGAGAAAGAGTCATTTGGGGTTTTTTGTTTGCTTTCTTTCAGTCCACCAGTAATATTTGGATGACACATGCCGAGATGGAGTCTCTCACTGCTGCCACCAAACCAGTAAGAAGATCACATTTCAGATTTGAATTAAACCTAAAGTCTTTTAGGATATTAGATGTGTAATGTTTACAGCTGTATTATTATTTTGGCCTCTTAATCCTGAGCAAAGATCCTCCGTTGATCAGCTTTTCTGTTCTTTTTCTTTGTCTCTGATTAGGCGTGTTTGGCTTCCCCTTTCCCTTACTATTCCTGTAGAATCTGTTTCGATGTAGTGCTTTTTCCAACTAATTCTCACTCACTAACAAAACTTTTCCCCTTCTGCCCCCCCTCTCTTCTTCTCATTTTGGTCCTGATTTTCTGTAACACACACACAAACACATGCTCCTCCTGGTGATCTTTCCCCCTTCCTTGCAACTATCTTTCCCTTTTTTTCTCTCTCTGATGACTTTTTTCTGCCTGAACCACAAGGAGCAGAAGGAGTTCAGCTGGGACCAGGTGAGTTTTCACCGAGGTTATTAAGTCTATCATACTTAAAGATAATTAAACTGTATAGCCATACCACTTTCAGCGTCCATGTAGTAAAATTTCTGTGCAGCATGTTCATCTATTATAGTTGTTGTTTTGATTCTTTATGTTTATGATTAGCATCATGTAATTTCTCTCGTGCATTTGATTATTCACCGCCATCCAGATCTTGGCCTATGGAGACATGAACCATGAGTGGGTGGGAAATGAGTGGTTGCCCAGCCTGGGTCTGCCGCAGTACCGCTCCTACTTCATGGAGTCCCTGGTGGATGCTCGAATGCTTGACCACCTCACCAAGAAAGAACTGAGAGGCCAGCTGAAGATGGTGGACAGTTTCCACAGGTCTGAAATCAACATTAATGGTTTAAACTCACATTGTGGAGGATGTTAGTTTTGAGTCTCTCATACTGACTTAATGTAAAAAGTAAACGTAATTCTTGGTTTTCAAACTGAGGCTAATGTAAAGGTGCCTTAAAGCTGCCTTATTTGTGAATGACCAGCAGGGGGTGACTGAACTTACTGCAAAAAGAAGCATTTCTTCTCATAAATGTATTGAAACAAATACAAATTTTAAAACTTAAATGTGCCTCATGGGCCCAATAAATTAGTATGGACTTGGTGCCTTAAAACAGCAATCATCAAACCAATGGGTGATGCAACTGTGTCTAAAATATGTCTACGAATTTTAAAAGGTCTGTTGTTTTACAGCTTCTGCCTGAATTATAAGAGGAAAGTATTTATTTTACATCTCTAATATACAGGGTGAGTCTTCATTATGGCATCATGTGCTTGAAGCGCTTGAACTATGACAGAAAGGAGCTAGAGAGGAGGAGGGACGAGAGTCAACACCAGAACCAAGGTGAGGTTTCTTCAGATGTGATATCAGATTAAATGATTGTACACACTTTCACAGTCTCTCAGCTGATCTACGTCTCTTTGTCTTTCTCCTCAGATGTAATGGTTTGGTCCAACGAGCGAGTGATGTGCTGGGTGCAGTCTATAGGTCTGAAAGAGTTTGCAGACAACCTACTAGAAAGCGGAGTGCACGGGTCCCTGCTGGCCCTGGATGACACCTTTGACTACACTGATTTAGCCCTCCTGCTCCAGATACCCAATCAAAACACACAGGTACACTTCTTTGCACCACTTTGGGATGAAATAACATGAGAAACATCACCTCTGATTCTTGTTGATCTACCACAAAATCAAGAATGAGGGTCAACCCTAACCCTAACCCTAACCCTGTCATATTGAGTTCCCAATCCTGTTTGCCATGAGTACAGCAGTTGAGCTCAGCTTTTGCTAACTCTTGTTTTTATGAGGTACAGACCTGCTAACAACATCAAGTTCACCCAGAGTTGTGTCCGAATATGACCAAAGCAGCTGATATGTAGTCTGTTCCATGTTGCTACACATGCCAACTTACTTTGTGCAGGAAATCTTTACAAATGTTTAATTCATGTGCATGTGCAGTAGGGGATGGTGGTTGCTGCATTGGCAATCATAATGGCACATGATAAAGCTAGCACAGTGCCATCTTCTGGGTAAAATACCATAAATCTACACAGTACCCCCCTTTGCATTATATGGTATTCCTCTATTCCTCTATGCATTCCTTTTTAAAGTTGAAGCACTCTTTTAGCTAAAAAAAAAAAAAAGGTTTGAAAAAGGCTTCTTAAAGAGAAAATTTTACAGTGCTCATGATCTATTTTGTTTCTCTGTATTAGGCGAGGCAGCTCCTGGAGAAGGAATACAACACTCTCATCTCCATGGGAACAGAGAGGAGGCCCGATGAGGTAAAGTAATGCAGACCATCAGTCGATAATTAACCAAATTTTAACCGAAGTGAAATATCCATCTTCCCTTTAAAAGATAGAAGCAGTGAATGCACCACTGCTGGTAAGTTAAAAACTGTGCGTCTGCGGTGTAATGTCACAAAATACCCTATTTGTCAAATACTACTTTGTTGGACCTCATTAATGCTTAGCTATTGAACCTCAACATCTGTGGCAGCAGTTTTTAACCGCTGGTTGTTGTTTTCTGATTTCTGCAGGATGGCACTAAAACATTTACACGGTCACCTTCATGGAGGAAGATGTTCAGGGAGAAGGACCTGCGCGGGATGACTGCAGACTCCTCAGAAACATTACCTGCCAACTTCCGTGCCTCTGCCATCGCGACTCCCTCTGTCACCCTGAGAAAAGTCCAGAGTGAAGGTGAGGGGATGAAGATCTCAGTGGTTAGATGAGAGTTTCAAACCTGCAAGAGTTGAGGCTGGGGAAAAAACTGATTGGACAAACTTGGTTGTTAATAATTAGATGTTGAGTTTTGTTAAGTTTCTCAGCTGTGTTATGTTTTTGTTAACTAGAGGAAGTCACTCACCCATAGTTTATAGCACGAATGTTGGATGGGTCTTAGTATTGAGAATCAATCTTCTTGTACTGTCCCACATCCTTGTGCTAATTTATGTACAAGTCAAAAAAGGACACTAGACACTCTTTAATGTGGCTCCATATTTTAGACATAGTGGTTAATGCTTGACTGGTTTAACCAACCACCGAAGGAGATAGAGACTGTGTATTTTTGACTCATTAGATCACTAATTCATATGTTTAACATTCCTGATTTGTTGATTTGAGTTAAAGCTCTTTGCATGTGACTTTACACTTAGCTTAAATGCTGTTTCATCATACTCTCTTGCTGCTGGTTGTAAGTCAGGAAAATATTGACCCCAAGGTTGAAGCCATTTATTTGTTGAATGTTGAATTAATTGAATGCCAAAGTAAGTAAAGCATACACAGATTATCAGTTTTTTTTCAAAAGGGTATTTTTGGTCTTATTAGTGGCTCTTTTTGAAATCCAATATTTGGTCAGGTTTTTAGTAGTAACATATTACCTTTCTCTACCCATCAGTAAACTCTGGTCCAAGAGGGGAGTCAGCGTCTGTGAGGACATATTCCTGCTAAAAGACAAGCACATGAGGTGAGACAGCAAGCTTCCTTAATGATGATTTTGATCTGAAGCTGATTCAAATGTTTTACCCATGCAGATGTTACTGTGGGTATTTACGTGTTTTTTGTTTTTTTTTTAACTCTTTTGTATAGAAACCCTCCTCTTTCATCCTAATCCAAGAGGGAAAAAAACAAAAACACATTTTCAAAGAAGAAAAAAATCAAAAATGGACACTAGAAGATGACCAACGACACCTGAGGCAGACACCTCAAGGAATCAAAGACACTGAGTGAATGCTTTCTAAAAAGATGTTAAAATAATGAGTGAATGTCTGTTTATCCATCTCTCTCTCTCTCTTCCTCTCTCTCTTTCTCTCTCCCTTTCTCCTTTTCTCTCTCACTCCATCTTTCATCCATTGTTGTGGCATGATGCTGTTTGACTCTGTAGAAAGTGGCCTGTAGAAAGTGACCATCGTGAATACATCTTCTGTTTTTTGAGTGTGAGATGGCACTATTGACACAACCAGTTTATAGATTTTTTTTAAATTGGAGAATGCATTCCTGTTCAGATTAAGAGAACAACAGCCCCGACACGCATCCTTGCAGGCAATTTAGACTGCTGAGAGAACATACTCTGCCTAGTAACAACAACGACAAAAAAATACTCGGGTTTGGGGAGAGGGCGCTCGAAAAGGAGAGTGACCGTGTACACAAGGGAAAAGAAATGTATGTTCTTAAGCCATAATAGACATGAGATGCACAAATGTGAATAGGACAGACAATGAGACAATTAGCAAAGTGCTTTTATGAAAAAATCCTGTTCAAACTGGATTAAAAAAAAAGAGTTAAGCATTTGTGTTAATATGCATGCCAAAATCAACCATTTTAGAGTGAACGTCATGATATCAATCATCCAATGATGTGGAAGCCTGAGGACTTTGTAAAATGTGTGTACTTTATTTTTATCATTTTTTATGATAACTGCTATTGTATGTATGTATGTATGTACAGTATGTATGTGTGTGTATTAAACTGTACGTTCATTTCATACTTAGTTTTAAGACTGACTGTAATTTCATTTTTAGGTTGAAAAAGGAAATATGTTTTAAATTATGGACATTTAAGATATGCTACTTGTATGTGTACATTTTGAAAAAAACAAAACAAATTGTGTTATGATTTAAATTCATATTATTGGAGAGTAGTGATGATAATTGAATATAATATGATATTAATGATGATGATACTGATTGTAAAAGCTGTAATTAAAAAAACATACCTGTAAAAATGCTGCTGATAGACTTCATTGCAGTCTTACCTCAAAGGGACAGAAGATACCAGGTAAGTGCTGAAAGTGGACTGAACAAACATTTCATGACTGTGGATTAAAATTATGGCACACACCTTTTCATGACAGTATGTATTAACGCACATAGGAAGCGATCGTTACTGCAAGATCACAGCTTATATGTATTCACACACATATATCACACACATCTTGGGATAATGAATGGTGTGATTTGGTGCTCTGTAGATAAAAACTGATTGATTGACTGATTTACTGACATGCGCAAACACAAAGACCTGATAGTAATTTGTAGGTTTTACATATAAGCGTTGCTGTAAATATCAGTGTGTCAAACATAGACTGTATGTACTTTGTACAACCTGGCTCCGCCTTCCGTCATTGTACGGTATTTCCTGGAACCACCACTTTCACAGTAACGTTGTACACATTCAGCGGGAGAGTCACTGTGATGATGCACTGCTCAAACTATACCTTCCCCGGACGAGCTTCACAATCTTTGTATGTTCATAGGCTGTATCAAGTGTCAACCATAGGAAACCTGAACCCCCTAATAACTTTTATAAAAAGAAACAGAAAAAAGAGGACTTGAGCACAAACCACTATTTCAATAACTACATGTCAACATCGCAACCAGGAGGGAAAAAATTATATTGTGTATAATTAATTTCTAAAGTTTGTCCATAGCTTCATAGGGATTGCTAGAGGAGGCCTATACTGCAGCCTGTCACCAGAGGGTGCTGTTCTCATGGAGGCTTCACCCAGCGAGGAGGCATACACTGTCCATTCTATATACAGTCAAAAAAGGTCCTCTTATAAAGCTATCTCAACAGTGATAGCTGTGTTGGAACACTACAGCACCATCTTCTGGTGTAATTGGCTTTCAAAGCTTGAAAACTGCATTTTTTTTAATAAGGTGTAGTTTATTGTATTTTAATGGCTGTCATTTTTTTCACTTATCCATGTCCATGCCACATCAATTTCCTCTGAGGGACTTCCACCAGCAAAAAGACACAACATTAAAACACATGATAGAGGTTTTATTAAAATGTTTAAAAGCTCTTAATGGTGTCATGAATCAGTTGTTTTCTCATAAAACTTAAAAGCCTATCAAAGTTTAAAATACGTCAAGACTGTAGTGGTAAGACTGTTTGTTTAACATATGAGTAACTGTGAAACTTTGATGTGAATACTTCCGTAGCGTCACAATGACAAGAAACAGCATTGATGCACTGTGAGGAGGATGTAACCAGATCATGCACATTGTTTCTTCCATCATGTGTTTACAAGCTGACAGTGAGCCTCTCCCGTGACTGCACAGCTGCGCTTACATAAACACTCATCTTCTGCTTGGAAGTCCTTTGCACCCACTCGCTCCGTCCTTCTGACAAATACTTACACTTGTTAAATAAGATAAACACCATAAAACTTCACTCAGATTTGTTTGTTATAAATTATTCAGCTGATGACGTGGAGAAATGTGTTTGTGCTTCATTCTTCTGCTGTGGTGAAATGTGAGTATTTTTAAAGTGGAAGCCTGAACAGGAAGTCCTGGTAAGCTGTTAATTTCCACATGTGACACAGATATTCACGGTAACTTGTGTGCGTCAAAATGAGGTATCTTAATGAAATGAATCGTTTTAAATACTATATAAGATAAATAACTGAGCATTTATAGGATTTAGAAACAGGGGGTATTTAAAAATTCTTATTGAACTAATGAAACAAATATAAATATTTATTTTGTTTGAGTAGCACAGATGATAGTAAACTCTTCCTGGGGTTCAGATTCACATGAGTACAGAAAAAAAGATCTGAATTTTTTTGTAAAACAATATTTTATGTGAAAAATGTAAAAACAGGGCTGTTTCTCCTAGGCTGCTTGGCTGACACCTACCCCCTTACACCAGTTTCAGCCATCAAAAATTACAGTTTAAAAATTGATCGTTTTTTTGCTGATGGTCTAATTTGTTTTTGTGTATCATGGAAAAGGAAATCTCCATGACTTTTGATCTGTTTTGTTGATGACAAAAATTCCTTACAGTAGCTTTAATTCCACCTTTATTTCCAGAACTGAGAGAAAAAAAAGTCATATTTAATAGACTTTCAGAGCTTTTTTTCACTGCCTGTATCCTCTTCCATAAGGAGAGTTTTGAGTTGACTAAATTATGAAATGCTCTTATTAAAGTTATGGCACTTGTTGTGTTAGGGTCTGTTGACCCAGTTAGATCAATATCTAATAATCAGAGTTAAAAACTGAAATCATAAGTGCACTGTCAGGCACCACACTGACAGACTGATCCTTTTCCAATCGTGACATTTAGGAAATTCTCATTTTGCCTTGTTTTTCCCTGCACAAAAACCAACCTCAGGCATGTCCAGACATGTGAGATCAGTTCAGTATGGATGTCTGTGTGAAGGGTATACTGACAAAGAAAGGCCCAGAGGACCACTACAAAAACTAATGATGAAGCCTAACAAGGTAACCTAGAGATAAGCCAAATTGGATGATAGAGAATTGTTTTAGTGTAATTTACAGCTGATTTAATACACAGGTCAAAACCAACCCTTAACATGGTGGGTGTGTAGGAAAAGCTAACACAGGAGGAAGGTTAACTGAATTTTAAATACTCCCTATAACCTTTATAGTAAAACAAGTTGAATGGCAACAAGATTGAGTATTTCTTTATACTGAATTTTTGTGCCTGTGTTTTCTTGTTTTTTCCACAAAAGATCTGAGTTGATATTGAGCAAATTTTCTGTGTTCAGATGTTTGTCAGTGAGAAGAAAGTAAACAAGCATTTTTGGGAAAAGTTTCTTGTTACTAAATTTTTCATGCTCATGGATGAAACTGGGGCAGGATCTGCTAAAGAACTATTGGAGATGTGATATTCTACAATGAGGGCTTAGCAAGGTAAAAGATTAAAATGGTCATGAAAAAGTTTAAAGGTTCATTAAATGTTTCATTTCCCTTTATGGACAAAAAAGTAAAACCATGTGCATATTTATGTTTTCCTGACATTTAGAACAATAGAGCAGACATCACACCTGAGCTGTGACAGGTGACATTAAACCATCAGAGCAGACCAATGATAATAAATCACAGTTAACAGCAGTAAACAAAACATAAATCTGGATTCATTTATATGCTTTCAAAACAAGCAGAAGAGCTACATCTTTACCACAGAGGGTAATGGTGGAAATTCAGTCTTTATCCCTGAAAAATACAACAGCTTTTGTCCAGAAATCAACACAGCACGCTGCCTTTAAGAAAAAATATTCCATCATTACATCTATACTGAAACATTTGTTATCATAATGATTACAATCACGTGGAGGCATCTAGAATAAAATCCAATAACCTTACCTCAAGAGTGTAAAAATAGCAACCGTGCCGAACACCACATCAATATTTATCCTTCTTTTTGATGTTCCGTTGAACCCTCCTGAATTTTTTGACCTTTAACAAGTGGCTCTTACAGTAAAAGACCCGGAAGAAGCCCTTACATAGAGTCCAAACAGAGGTCTTCCCCTCTACCTTAAATCACAGCCTAATTATGTAGAAATGTCTGACTCATACGTTGCACTCAGGATGTGGGACCTCCTTCTTCAAACTCCTTTAAAAGGACCCAAAACATGCTCCTGTTTAGAATTTGAACAAAAACCACAGGCTTAAGACTCTATTTATTTATTTATTTATTTTATTTATATGTGTTATTAAGTTACTATTTATCTTGTGTTTTAAAAATGTTGGTGACTCTGTATGCCTCAGTCTTTTACCTGTATATTTTTGTCTTGTTAGTCTCACTACCTATGAGTCTGTCATTTTACATCCCTGACTCTGACCCACTTATGCACTTGAATAATCAAGTCAGAGAGGTGCACCTCTACACAGGTATTTGTGATCATATTATTTTAGCAATCTTATACCATTTTTGTCATATGTTTGGAATAAGTTCCTTATCATGCGGATTTCTTCTTCCTTGTTGCAGAAAATCACAGAAATGGGAAGTATCTGCAGATGTCTGTGGATGGGAGAGTGTCAGGAAGTGACACTCAGACTCTCAGCAGTGAGTATTTGGCTTAAGATTTTGAATCAGGTCCAATTTGAAACCAGATCAATCTGGCATTTTTTTAAACATTTCCTGTGTGCAGGTGTGATGGAGCTCAAATCAATCAAACCAGGAAATGTTGTCATCAAGGGACGGTCATCATCTTTTTTTCTGTGTATGGACACTGAAGGTCATTTAAGGGGGCAGGTACAGAGAGCTTAAAATAAATCATGATATCCGACAGTGTCTGTCCTTAAAGTCCCTCTCTGAGTACTTAATTCTGTTGTCACTTTCAGAGGCAATACATGGAGGCTGACTGCACCTTCAGAGAGCTGCTCCTGGCAGACGGATACACTCGTTTCCTCTCCTCACACCATGGAGTCCCGGTGTCTCTGGCATCCAAACACTCCCCAGACCAACACGTGGTCCCCTTCACTCGGTTTCTCCCGCTCAGGAATACTTTGGCAGGCGAGAGTCTGTCTGAACAACCACCAAACAATGAGAGGTATTTCAACGTGGACTCTGATGATCTTTTTGGAATGGGTCAAATCGGTGTGGCCAGTCCTCAGTTCTCCTTGGACAACTAAAGAGCGGATCTAAAACTGTGGATGTGCCCTTTAAAATCATATTTTCACTGACCTGGTTCAACCTGCACTCTTGGCTCTGTTATGAGATTAGTGGCTGACTTATTTTGATTCTCCACGTCTCAGTTGCATCATTGTAAACATATTTATTAACTGTGTTTTTTCAAGTGTTAATTTAAAAACTGATTTATTTATTAAGAAGTATTTAAACGTATCACTATGTCTTGAATTATGCAAGTGGAAATTATCTAAAAATATTTATGTGACTTTTGCACTTTCTCTAATTTTGGTGTCACTGAGGAGACCAAATTGTTCTGTTTTTGTTGTACTCTCTGTTTGTGTCTCTCTGTTTGAAGGAGGATCTGAATTGAAATAAACATGATGGACATTTCACCTTTGTTTGTCAAAGTCTAAATCAAAAAATCATTGTAACCTCAACAGAAGAACGACCATGGAGTGAGGAAACATATTAATGGAAACAGGGGCTCCCTCTAGTGGACATATAAGAAATAACTGAAGTAGGCCAAGCCCCCTCCACCACTCTGTAGGGCCTCTGGTGATCATTACAGTCTCTCATGTTTGGGTTGGGTAAACATAAGATAAAGTCTGGCTGTCACATAGTGTATATACGTTTTAGACTGTGTATGTGAAGGAAAAATTGCATTACATGCAGCCAGAAATTTACGTCATGGTTTATATAAAGTCATGACAGCGATGAGAAGGTGATAAAAGAGGCAGCTCTACAATTCTCTAAAGGCATGAGGCTTTTAAGATGTATGTGTCTCAAAGACTGTTAGAAGACTTTTAGGGAATATCCTTTTTTGATGTTTGGCCTCTGTGAGTAAAACATACTTGAAACAGTCAGTCATGATGTGTGTTGGCCTGGTTTCCCAGGCTTGTTTATTCTTAAATTTTTTACTGTTTTTTTGTTGTGTTCAGAATCGGCTGTCATGTGCAATTTCATGTCATTTGATGTCAATCCTTTTTTTTTGTGTAATCCAGTTTATGGAAAAGACCAAGGAAATAATAAGATAATATTAAGTCCGTCTGCTACACAGAGGTCACGATTTCTATCCTTCACTTTCTTTTTCCTTTCCTTAATCTAAAACATAAATTGCACAAATTTGTCTTGAATTAGTTTACACTTCCTCTGTTTTTGCAGCACACATACCTCCACAGGGTCATGGCAGACATGTGGTGGAAAGTCTTCCAGTGAAATGGAGAGTGATGTTATAGGAAGCTTATAACAGATTAGTAGCTGTGGAAAAGGTCAGTCACGGCCACACAGACGTGACACACAGATTTCATCCAGCTCATTTCAATGACTGACTGTGTTGAGAGACAACATCCATGGCACTGTTTAGTGTTCTCGGAATAACACTGCGTTTCACTGGACACCACTTCTTTTTAGTGACGCTCTTATATTTCACCAGGCATGAATAACATCACTCCCTTAAAGAAAATTAATAAAATATAATCTTTATTAAAAATACTGAGTGCAGAATGAAGCAAGCACATACAGGACTGTTGCCCTAACTATCCAAATGCTCCTCTGCAACATTGCATCAGCTAACAGAGTTGTATTACAGCATGATAAAGGTCATGTCAGTCGCTTCAGGTCACATAAGCCAAAACTACACAAATGTGAACTTTGTACATAAGTTACAGAAGAATGTAAAGAATGAAGGGTCGGTTTACGAGAGATCTGAGTCCACCCGAAGTGAGGGCGCTACTTCTGCCACTGCTGGTGTCTGGTTTGGTTTTGATGAGACCTGACGTCTTTACTGGCGATTATCTATCTGCTTCCACTTCAAACATTAGGCCACAGAGTGACAGTACTAAGACATCATAGTTTTGAGGCACAGAACGGACATTCAGAAGGTCACAGACAATTCAAACACAAACTGACTGCATTAATAAATAAGAGCGAAATCATGACCCTGAGAATACAAAAGTCACAGAAGTCTTTTTCTGCTTTTTCAAAGCTGTATCGTACAAAATCACCTTTTAGCATCACCTGACTGGCTAGTGCTGTTATAAAAACTTTTTAAGTGTAGGTAATAAAAATGACTTAGAAGGTATAATAATGCTATATTTATGATTTTGCTAAGTAAAATTAGCCATTTCCTCTTGGTGAGTTGCCTCTTTCCCTATTTCCTTTCCTCGGGACCTTCACACTCATGAACTTTATCCTGCTTTCCTCATTCGCTTTTGTCATATTCCTCCTCTTGTCAGATGTTACAAAACTACACTTGTGTGACCAGTGGCTCCCTCAGATACATGTTTCCTCCTCTGAACTCTGGGCTCTGCCCCGCACACAGTCCACCCAGCAGAGTCCCGTTCAAAGGGTTGCAGATTCCTTCAATTGCATAATAATCTCCCTCAGGATCCCTCTCTCCTTCATCTATCTCCCCCCTCTCAGGCTCCTCATCCTCCCACACACTCTGGATGTGGGTGTACTCAGTTTGATCCACACACTCCGTCTCACGATGGTAGAAGTAACTAAAGTTGGACACAATGACGGGGACAGGAAGTGAAATGGTCAGCACACCTGCGATGGCGCACATTGAGCCCACTAGCTTACCCCATACTGTCTCTGGGTACATATCGCCATAGCCAACCGTTGTCATTGTGACAACAGCCCACCAAAAGGCGTGCGGTATGCTGATAAAGGCTGTGTTGGTGTGGTCAGCCTCCGCAAAGTAGATGGCACTTGAGAAGAGGATGACACCAATAAACAGGAAGAAGATCAGCAGGCCGAGCTCGCGCATACTAGCCCTCAGAGTCTGACCGAGGATCTGAAGGCCCTTAGAGTGACGGGACAGTTTAAAGATCCTGAACACCCTCACTAACCTGATGACTCGTATGATTGCTAAAGATGTGGCAGGAGAGGCGTCATTGTCCTTGGCCAGCTCCGTTCCAAGTGTGACAAAATAAGGAAGGATGGCGCTGAAATCAATGATGTTCATGACGTCCTTGAAGAAGTGAGTCTTGCTCGGGCAGCAGAGGAAGCGCATCAAGAGCTCAAAGGAAAACCAACATATGCACATGGTCTCCACCAGGAAGAAGGGGTCATGGAAGACACTGTGTGGAGGGGGCATGTTCTCAGATACATTCTTGGCTTGGGCGTGGTACTTGTAAAAGTATTCCTGTAGAGAGAGGAAAGAGAGCAGACAGGAAAGATGTAAATCATGCTGGTCAAGTATCAGCTGAGTAATAGAAATAACAGCAGCTTACATACAGTACTTGAAAGAGGGGGCATTATGCTTATTTTTTGTCTTTATATTGTCCCTCTGAGAGCTTCTTAGCAGCTTTATACATTTCAACAAATTCTGGACATACAGTATTACAGGCTGCTGTCATGGAGAACCCTCAGTTCATTCTCTGTCTGAGACGCTCCATTTAAACTACTGTCTCTTTAAGAGCCCCAACACCACCACCACCTCTTAAAGTATTTTTGGGAGTCTCTGTACTTCACTTCAGTTTTTTACATTTCTGACAACTTCAACATTTACTTCACCATATTTTTCAAATAAAATGTGCACTTTTACCCCACTACATTTTCTTACAAATCTTTAATACTGATTTCTATGTATTCAGTTAATGATTTTGGATGATTTTTAACTGACTACAACAACAAATAAAAAGAAACGGAGAGGCAAAAAGAGTTCAAGAGGCAGCTCAATTACACTGTAGATGTCAACCAGCATAAAAATCTTGACAAGGAAGATGAAGAAAAAGAAGAAGATTGTAAACCTTGTCTAATCTTTACCCTTTGCATATCTTAACCATTACCTACATATTCCCAAAAGACAACACAACTAAGTGTCTTCTGATAGTTAACAAAACAGCAGTGAAGTTAAAATTAGACCCTGACACAACTTCTCAGAAAATCTCAGAGATTATGGATATTTTTCTTCATCCTGATCTTTAGGATAGTTTGTGGAGAGACACTAAAGGCCAGAGTGAGAGAAATAGAGGAGGATTATTACAGGATGAGAGGTGAACAGTGAACAGTAAACTTTCTTAGCTTCATGTGAAAGTGTGTGCTTGTAGAAAATTCCTTTATCATAGAAAATCAGCTTTATGATAACATACATTTTTCGTCTGAAGACATGGTGGCAAGATGTACCCATTAACCTGTTTTTTATATATCATAGTTAGTGGGCCTTTACTCAACACTGGCTTATAGGTAGGCTACTTTATTCACCACATTCAGTACAACAGAAATATCGTGGAAAGTACACAACTGTGTGTAATTGTGATAACAGTTCTTTGAACTACACGTATGCTAGGGCAAGGCAATCAGCCCTAAACTCAATCAAACTAAGCACAGTGTTAGATTTGGTTTATTTTAGTATGAATTACACTATTACATTGGAGGTGACCGAATGAAGCTTATTTCATCATTATTTTAGGCATAATTTATATTCCTATGTGTCACATTTATGTTGCTATCTTAGTTCCCCTTGTCTTGTTCTAAAAATAAGTTCCTACCTGTCATTGTTCCAGGAGGGACGGATAAAGGTGTGATGGTGTAAAGTGACTTCTGCAATTTAAGTGCCTCACCGTGTTGTGATCCTCGAGTGCAGAGCTATGCTGTAATGTCTTGCCAAGAACAAAGAGGACAACTGCTGCAAGATATGTAGCCTGCCTCATGTAACCTGCCATTACCCACAGCCAGACAGTACCTTTAGCCATAGCCAACATAGCCAACCTTTCTTGATATATACACATAAGATCTGCTAATGTTGCTTTTGAACTTTTTTTAATCCTTTTTATCCCACAAAAGTTTTTTTGAAAAAAAACTTTGCAGCAGTATGTGGTTTGTTGGCTAGTTTCGTGAACACTCACTTCAAATGTTGGCAGCCATGCTGTTATGTGTGTCTCTGTGTAAAGTAAACAAGGGGGAAGGGTGTGAACGTTGGGAGCTCAAAGAGAGCAGTAAGAGCAGATGGGGATAAAAACTAGATTATCATTTTCAAAATAACATCCTTTACCGCAAGTACTAATAACAAATAATTGATTTGAAGTTTCTATTATACCAAATAAGGATTAACAAATTATTGACCAGCCCTGCTTTATTTATGGTGACCACACAGAGGTCATCATCTGGCATTTTAGCAAACAGCCTGTGCTTACTTGCTTTTTTGCAAGAAAACAGATTAGAAAGATGATGCTGTACCACTCAGTGCGTTGAGTGGGCCGTTACAGTCCAGTACGCATTACCATTACTTCTAAATTTAACCACCCGGTGTGCCCTCCCCTGTCCTCTCTTTATTACAGTTTCTCTCAGCAAATCATATTAGCTCCTAAAAAACAACAACCATGGCACATTACCTGATGCTTGAGTTCATGACACACACCAAAGCTACTGTAGATTTGCTTCTATTTAGTTTATACAGTGTGATGGAAACTGAGAAGACCATGGGGATGCAGAGCTGCAAAGATTTCAATAAACATGTATGGTGAAAATTAGCATTACCTTCTCGGCTCTTTTGCTTACCGCAGAAATTTAGAGCACAATACAAATAATTTACTGAAACTAGTCATACAACACACGTTAAGTACTTATAAAGGGTAGTACCAGTACTTGCTTATCTCCACTTAAAGTACTGGTACCACTTAATAGTTTAGTGAGCTAAAACCGGTAGCTTTTTTAGCTTAGCCTAGCATGAACACAGACGGCTACATGGATTTGCTGGTACAAGTTACACTTTTACCTCACCCTTTTTTTGTCTCTGCTGTTGTCTACTGATTTTACTGCATAGCTACCACATTTTAGTCACTGTAGTTTAGTAATGGGATCATTTTGCTCAGGACAACACAGTTCTTCAGTGTTTTCGTGTCATGTGGCATATTTAGCGTCATATGAAGGGACAGTGTCATTTTCTTTGGATCTAAACTCAAAAGCTGTGCTTTAAAAGAATACTGTTTACATTTAGGTGTCAATATAAACTATTCCTGAGAGTGTATGGCTATTGTTTTATATTTTTATATAACTTTTATACACTTTTAGGGCTTCAGTATGTTGTCCACCATGCCAACACCATAGAGGCGTTTGACATCTGTGGTTTTACATATCAATCATAACTGCACCTCTCTCCTTTTCAGTCCACCTGTTTCTCCATCTTCCATGTCAGTTAGCGTCACATTCAACATTTGAGCACCGGAAAGAGGCTGCTGAAAACATCTTGCAAATAACACTGAGATATTTGGAAACGAATGAGTCAGCTATAAAGGGATCCGTTTAGTATGCTGTAATGGGTGGTGTGTAATGTATACAAAGTTTCAGGGTGGTTGAAATATCCCTGGAGTATTCCTTTTGACTTTCAGTAGCAGGTCAGTGATAGTGTTTATTACTAAAGGTGGACATCTATGTGTTGATCCGCTCCAAGGGCTCTCCTAAGACTAAATATAACCCCGTGAGATCTCTGAAGAGAAACATGAGAGCGTCTCGCTGCACTGCTCCTCATCCATCTCCACCTTCGTCGCGATCCCATCTCCCTATGGCCTCCGCAGCTGTGTAACATTGCCAATGGTTCAGTGGGTCTGCCGTGGACTTGGACCAGAGTGAGTTACAGTAGTTTTCCTGGCAGTCCCTCCCCCTCTTGTGCTACAGTGCCCAGCAAAGCAGTCCTGGAGGAATGTGTTAACATGACCCGACGTACACTCCTCATCCTGTGAGACCTTTTAGTCTCTACTTCTAAGCCTCCGGGAGGCTTTGGCTCACCTTTGTGTTTGTGTTCAGTCACTTGTGTGACCTTTTATTAACACACCTTTCTGTCTCCTCTCCCTCTCTTCTCTTTTTCTCTCCTTGTGTTTGAATTCAGAGCCCCCCTGCCTGCTACTCCCTGCACCCCTGAGCGCTTCCTGAATCTGAGTGTATCAAATTTAACAGCCGACTAAAATAATCACAGCATAAGCTTCCCACTGCCGGTCTCACTCTCTCTCTGGTCTTCTTCCAGGCGTATTGGCAAATACTTGTCCCCATGTCAGTGTTTTTCCTTTTAACACACAGTAGTACTCACCAAGTGTGTATTAGCCTAAACACCTGCTTCCCATGGTATCAGGTTTCTGCTTCAGAAAGGCTGTCAAAAACATCCCATTCAAGTCCTCATACCCAGGTGCTCCATGTGGACTTTGTAGAAACTTTGTAATTTTGCAGATTTCAGAGTCCAAAAATTTTACTTCTGAACAAACTTTCAAATCTGACTGAGCCTCATTAAAACTTACTGTCAATTTTTAAACTAATGTTTTTATGGCTGTAGAGGTTGTGCAATACCTCATGGTGTTGTTACCTCATTTACATCCACCACTAAACATGTGCTACTCTGCTGGCAAGCTTGCAAGCTAGCCTAAAAGTCTGGCCTCAGATTTTCTTGCAGATTAATAAACCTCTATCTTATCTACTGTAGAGACAGATACATGTGCGCACTGTGCAGCAATTGACTCATTTAAATCGTACTTTCTGGACATTTTAAGTATCTTTTTATGTTTCAGTAACACACAACATTTGGATAATCTCACCCAACATAACTGTATTTTATAGACAGTGTTTGCAGCCTCTCTTAGCATCATCTTCACTTTGTTTCACAGTATATTTTTATCATAAATTTTTTTTTGGTCAACAGGAGGATTTCTGTGGATTCCAGTTTGAAACAACCTACCTCTCGTGACTCTTTCTCATGCCTGAAGTCTGGCAGCGTCTCCAGGCAGAAGATCAGGATGGACACCACAATGACCATCACACTGATGATGGCTATGATGCGAGCTCCCGACGAGGACTCCGGGTGCTCAAACAGCATCCACAGTCTCTTCTGGATTTCATTGGCTGGCAGCGGCCTCTCCTCCTCTTTGGGAAACCCTTCATCCTCCTTGAAGCGGTTCATGATGTCCTCTCCCAGCTCATAAAAAAGCAGCTCATCCATGAAGATGTCCAGTGGGATGTTTGTGGGCCTCCTGAGCCTCCCGCCTGACTGGTAAAAGTACAGAATGGCGTCAAAGCAGGCCCGATTTCGGTCCAGGAAGAGCTCATTTCGAAGTGGGTCAAAGTACCGTGACCTCCGCCTAGGGTCACCCAGCAAAGTGTCAGGGAATTGGGCCAAGGTGCGAAGTTGAGTTTCATATCGCATCCCTGAGACATTAATGGCCAGTCTTTCACTCAATGCCCATCCATTCCTCCAAAGAGAGCCGGACCGCCGCCTCTCTTTCTTTTTCTCCTTCTCGTTTCCTTTGATCTCCTTCTCTCCTTTCTCCTCACTGTTCAGCTGGTTCTTCAGCTGTTTATCTTTCTCTCCATCACCCTCTTTCTTTTTCTCTCCTCTGTCATCGTCCTGGGGATCACTGCCGTCCATCCCTGTTTGTAGACCACGTCAGGGAAACACAATGAACCACACTCCTGAGGATTTGTTGGACAACTGGACCCAAAAACCAATCTGAAACTAGAGGCAAAGTTTGGGTTTGCATTAAAGACGATATAAGAAGTAATTAGATACATCTGCAGAGTTTGTTTATATAATCATAGTTAAAGATACAAGATTGAACAAAAGTTGTTATTGTAATCATGCCTTATCATTTAGCTGAAAAAATTATACTGTGTGCGTAAGAAGCACAAAAAAGCAGAGTCAAAACAAAACCAGTGAGTTGAAAGCACTTACTCACTATGTGTGAAATAGCTGCTGACAGAGGCTAATGGCCAGTTGAAAAATCACATTGTTCGTCTCTTGTGTCTCATTAAGTTGTCTGTCAACCTCTCTGTCATCATGTCCGCCTGTCACATAAACAAAGTTCCTGTTTGACCTCTTTTGTCCACCTTCAGTCCGCTCTCTGACCAGGCCGCACACTTCCACTTGCTTGTTCGGGGAACATCCACGATCTTGTCCAGTTCCCTTGCTGCCTCACGTTGTCTGTCTTCAAAATTTTTTGGGAATGCTGTCCTGTTGAAATTCAATCTCCGTTAAAGCCCTTCAACCCCTCCCTGTCCTTTCCCTCCATTTCAGCTATGGGGCAAGACAACCTTCAACCTTCCTATCAAATGTCATCTCTGCCTGGCACCTCCTGAGCGGTGTAACCATCTCTAACAAGCGTGGTGCTCTGACTGACAGAAGTCCCTCACTCTTCATTAGCTCATATCTGAAAGTGAATTCATTCAGAACAAACAGTGAAACTCTATTAATAGACACAGAGGAAAGTATGCATTATAAATACACCATGATGAGTTGGCTTTATTACATTGCCACTGAATATAGCAGATATCAAATGGTAGATAGTTAGTTCAATTCTGCACCTTCAAATGGTTAAACTTACACTGTATTACATTGTGTTTTAGGGTTTGAGATTCTCTGGTTTATTTATTTCTTTATTTTTAAGTATTTTTAACGTTTTCAAAATTTCCAAAACACTCATTTTACATCATATGATAAGAAAATTATAAACCCAAAAAGTTTTCACTGTATGATGAAAGGCCAAACATTTTTAGAGCTATCTTTGAAAAACGTGTATAAATGAAAATACTGGAGACCAGTTGAGAACATGACAGAACATGCCAGAGGGTGATAGAATTGCAGTTTTTTTCTTAATTGATTTAGTCTATCAGCCATCAATAATTACTTACTCAAAGTAGAACATCAGTCTTAATTCAAACTGCTTAATCACCAAATATAGCACTTTAAACATTTGTTTTATTGACAAAAAAAGGCCTATTAGAGCCCAATTGCAACAATGACCCAAAATGTTATTAAAAAAATAAATTAATAAAAAAATATATATATAATAATAATAATAAATTATAAAGCCCAAAATGTAATAGTTGGTTAATCATGTAACAAAAGTGTTGAGCAAAAAATGTAATTAAAAATGTAATTAAACCCAAAATGTAACAAGTTCCTACATTTTGGGCTCAGCATCTTTTTACATTATTGACTAGTTATTACATTACAGGTTTTATAAAAAAAAATTTAAATTAAGTTTTGGGTCACATTACATATCAAGCTCTAACAAGGCCCATCCTTGAAAGGCGTCAATAAAAACTGACTAGTGTTTTATCAACATGTTTAGAGAAAAATAAGCTATTGAAACATATCAACAGTAAAAAGCAGCACTGTGGTGTAACAGTGAACACTAATGCCTCATGGCTCGCACTTTCTTTGTTTAAACCCAGGCAGGGTCTTTACTTTTATTTTATTTTTTTACCACTGCAAGACACGATTATGCTTTTGAATCACGGATGTAATGTAAAGGCACAAGATGAAACTAAAAAAGTAAGCCCTGCAAAGCAGCAGCTTAGTTCACTGATTAGCACTGACGCCTCATGTCGAGCAGATTCTTGCAGGTTCTTAGTGCCTCTGCCTTGGAGTGAAAAAGTACTAGGTACAAATTATGGCTTGTGAGGTGGACCTGAGACGTTATACTCAGATTATAGACGAAGCAGTTTTTTTGTGCATGCACCCCAAGGCAGGCCTGTGATGTTGTTGTAAGTGCTGCTGCCTTTGAGTGAAATAGTCCTGGGTTCAAATCCCTCTCTTCGTTTTATTTCTCTGCCTGTGTGAAGCCTCAAGTGATTGTTACAGTCCAGATCCACATAAAAAAATATTTAAAAAATGCAGACTTCATAAAGAATCTAAATGAAGCTGCCAAAAAAGCTGTTTTCATTGCATTTTTGAGAACATCATCATTCATTCATAAACCTAAAGCTTTCAAAAAAATTTGACATGTGTTATAAATGGCATATAGAGGGGGTGCTCTTATGGTCTTTTTTTAATAATTATGGTAAACCAGACCCCAGTAGAAGGCACAATCAAATTACTCACTGAATCTCTCTGTAGCCCAGCTGGGCTACTTGCATTAGTTTAGCAACTGGCCTCACTCTGCAGTAAATTGTAGTTACTGTGCAGTATATCATGTAAACAATATTACCATATAAGCTTGTTAGGTTTTGAGGAGTTTTGTGGTACAATGGACTGTATATTTTTAACTGGACTTTAAAAATCATTGATAAGAATAAAAACACAATAACATTAAAAAAATAATAATAATCAAAGGTGCCAAGTGATATAAAAGGAGTTTGATATTCAACTGTCTTCTTCAATTTAACCCACTGAACATGACCCTGAGATACTGAACAATATGCCCAAATAAATGACCCTTCAAAAAACAATAACAGTTTTTTTTTTTTTTATTTGCTGTTATTAAAAAAAAAAAAAAAAAAAAAGGAAATACAACAAAATAGAATTGCTTGGATAACAATTAATCTCCTTTCTCTTGATGATGAACATAAAGCAGTTTTGGAGTTTTTTAACTTTTAACTTTACCCCCTTTTTTTCAAATAAATTTGGAAAAAAATCCTTAATAAATGAAGAGCAAACTAGCCAATAACCACTCAACGTTTTTCATCTATCTGCAGACACTACTGTGTTTCACCACCAGAGGGAGGTAATGTTTTGGCACAAAGGAGAAAAAAAACTGAATTGGGCCTCTGCAGACATTTTTTAGAGCTGCCTTCACTCACAGAATAAATACACTGCTCACTGGGCCGATACATTACAGTCCCATCCGATCACATGTCTTGTCATCAAATGATATAACCAAGGCTGCAAATAATGAGCTGATGAGCCTTTATGTGAGTGTGGTAGTAAGCCAAAGAAAATATGCAGGATATTAATTAAATAAATAAATGCAGAAATAATGAGTATCTGTTAATGTGGTGGCTTATTCTTTGAGTTCCTTGGGTGGAAAATGCTCCACAATGTTAGGTGACAGTCTCTGCATCACTAACTTGAATAAGGGGGTGACTGTGACAGAGTGGCTGCTCCTGTCTGTCCTCTAAAAATGACTCAAAATTATTTACCTTCATGCAGCTTTGCAGTGCAATCATAAGATATCGTGACTGCCATGAGATGGCTCACATACCAACATAGATCCATTACCAGGTAGAACAGTATGAAACAGGCAGCGGGTGTCCATAAGTAGAAAATAGATGACTCATCAGACTACATTACTATTTCTCACCATGTTGTCCTTTCACCAGTGTTTATCATGCAGCTTCATAATGGATAGAAGCATCTTCATGTAAGTACTGCCAAGCTTTTAGGTCAGTTTGCACCATTTGCACAATTATAAAATAAGCAGCGTAGCCCTGATTTTGTAAATATCTTACCCCTATTCACATCAATGCATACATCATTAAAGACCGACTCTTTACACCTAATTCATAAAACTAACCTACCTATTGTGGTGCGCATTTCTTTAAAATTTGAATCATGTTGCTTTTTTCTACATAACAATCACTGTCACTATGTTCAAGAGCAGGACTACCAGTATCTGAAGAAATATAGCCAATCGTTTTACATCTAAGTGTCCAATTTCAGATAAATTAGAGGTTAAAATTACAGAAATCTGATATCAGTAAGGAAAAACAGGCTCCCCCTATTACCTCATTGTTCTCAAATATCTTGACACAGTCACAGTTGACCTCAAAATTATAGATTACCATTACTGTAAAGTCATGTCTTTATTTTAGAAGCTCTAAATGGCTTCAGGGAAAACTCATGGGTCAAATAAACAAAATAAGTCAACCTTGTTTCAAAGCATGGCACTGCCTCCTTTAACTGAATGTGTCATCCTTCAGATCGGTTTAAAAGTTTTTAACTTTTCATTGTGTCTCCACTTCCAGTCAGATTATATCAATCACTGTTTTGTGGCGTTGTGTTCCTGACGGGCTGATGAACAGTGTTACATGTGACAGGCTGAACAGAGTGTTATGGGACAAGCCAGTATGGACAGGATGTTAAACAAATGGACACACTAGTGATGTCACTTTTTCATTTATTTTTAAGTTCATTTCAATGATTTGAAGCAATTTTAACGTCTCTGAAAAAGCATCTCATGACTGTTAATCAGTTGTTCATTCAAGCTGCTATGGAGATTAGTTCACATTAGATCGCATTGACATTCATACATTTTAAGTCTCAATAGTAGAAATATGTTCAATTATGACACTTTATTGATATGTTTCTATTTTTTCTTCAAAATATAAAAAGATAGATCATGAACATTCCATTGAAATATACTTTATACAGTTCTTGATGAGTTGTTCTTTGTGTTCCAACATTTCAAAAATAAAATCCGGCAGATACTCCAGTGACCACCTCCTCTCCCCATTCACTCTCCTACTTAGACCATAGTACAATGGACCAGTACCTAAGTCTGTTTTATACTATGTGATGGCATGTAAAATGGACACACATCTTTTCATCTTTGGAATGCTTATATGAATGCATAATGTTAGCCTGTTAGAGTATATCTATGTGTGTTAACATGAATTTTGTGTTATCTGTCATTTAATTTCTAAACAAAATAACATTGAATATATCACAAAATCTATTCAGTATGATAACATTTCCTCTAAATGAACTCTGATATTATTATAATTTTGTAAAATAAAATATCTAAGCTTAGTATGATTGCCAAGTAGTTTTATGGAAAGCCATAAAGTGATTATAAACGTGTTGCAATCATCTGAATTGATGACAGAATATCTGTGTCTCAGGGAGAATACAGTTAAGTGTCGATCATGGCATTCATGGTGCAGATTGCATACCGTGTCCCCAATGTAAAAAGAAAAAGACGAATTTCACAGAAACAAGCACATAGAGAAATTAAATGGAATATTTTAGAAGACATAATCCAAAGTCCACATAATACCATCCTAACATCAGGTGAGGACTTAATTAGTCAAAACACAAAATAGTTGTTTAACAGTGGCACTCACCATTAATAAAGTGTTTTGTTCTTTTGGTTAATGAGTGTATAACTTCTTTTTTTAACATGTTATAACATATTGCAAACTGATTAAGTAAAACAGACTTAGCACTCTCAACATTGTAACACATTCCGTTCAACATGACTGAATCAAATGGCAGTATTATGCAATAGAAAAAGGAAAGACATCTTTTTCAGCCTGGTTTTGACAGAGCAGTCACAATGTAGAGAATGAAGAAAATAATGGCCAACTCAACAGTGAAAAATCAGGAAAGACAAATAGGAACAGCACTTGGCAATGAATTAACGCAAACAGCTGGTCGAAGCACAAAGTTTTTGCAAGTGTGCACAACGTTGCTAGAAGTTGACCTTTGAAATATTCATAAACATCTGACCATTGAAGCCATACTTGCTTAATGCCTTCCGAAATGGGAACTGAAATTGGGAGTTCTTAAAAGACAAGGGACCATAACAAAATCCCACGGACCAGAAATAGAAGTTCTATAACCTGTAAAACCTTGACTCGTCTAAACAAGACTGCTGAGTCTCTATTATTCTGTAGAACCTCAATTTGCAATGCACTGGGAATGGACAGAGGACCATTCAGCTGCCTGAGCTAAACCCTGGACCAGCAGGGCCTGGAACTCACTTTGAATACTGAACCAAGGCTGAGGCGCTTGGAGAGCACTCAACATTGAGATGCTTTTTATAGCAACATTTTTTATTTTTTACATCAATCTCCCCTTGGTGGACACTGGTGTCTCTCATCCTCTCTTTTTCGCAACATTTAAAGTACTTCACTGACATCATTTTGGAAGCTCTGGGTCTCTTTGTTTGGTGCTCACATGACTGTGTTGTGTGCGATAATGAGCTGCCAACTAGCCAGCTGGTTCACACGTTAACTCCATGGGTAATGACGGATGCAAAGACCTGACCATCTTTAAAAAAAAGAACTGAAGACGAGCTACCTCTGCACACTCATGCTGACACCGTGAGTGTGAGTAGTTTTCAGTTGCCTCTCGGAGGAAGACGTTTCTGCTCTACGACACGGCACAGTGTTCATAGTTATCAAGACTGGATTTATGACAAACAATGATAGGAGGCTAAGGGGTTATGTCAAGACTCTGCTCCCCCTCGAGAGATTATCAAGTCATAATGCATGCGTTTTTTACACATCACTGTGAGGTGTTCACATTATCTTCATCTAATATATACTAAAATTTATTATGTTAGAAAGGAAATAGCAAACACCTACATCCACACTCACCATTGACACACCTGAGTCCTTTAAACCACACACAGACTTTGGAATGGCAGTTGGTTCCATGCAAACCTGAAATCTCTCTTGATTGTTTGCCAATATATTATATTTCATATCTGTTATTGATCATTATTGGAAAACCTGCACCTGTATTCATGTTTTTATACTACTAAGGGCAATGGAACAGAACTGCCTATTCCAGCAAAATCCTGCCATGGGACGTCCAAGGCTTTTACGAATCTCTTTACACTGAGGCATTGAAGATACTCTCGAGGTTCTCTGTTTGCCCTGCTACAATCATGTGACAATTTTTGTATTATTGCCAAAGAAAAAAGCAAACTATGAGTACTAAAAAAGCAATCAAAGTTGGGGTATGGAAAGCCTTTGTGTTAGATCTGCTGCTGCTTGTTGCTGCTGCTGCTACGGTAGTTGTGCAAATGCTTCAAGGAGGAAAACATAGACTTAATGATCAACAACAGTTTCCTTTGCGCAGATCCATTAGTTTGGCAAAGTCTTGAGCGATCGCTGTCGATCGAATCACTTTAAATTATACTCTGGATAAATGAGTAAAAACTATGGCAGCGGCTGATAACACTTGAATGAGGGATGTAGGGCAGTAGTAGCAGAGAGATTTCATCAAACGAAACATAGTTCAGGGTGTACTTTGCAAACATACATGTTTCAATATTCACATTTTTTTTTACTTCTCAAAACAAAATATAGCTCTTCTCTTCATTATAATCTTTTTTTTAAAACATTAATTGCATATAACATTTTTTTAATTCATTTTGTACATACTTTTTTTGTATCTCTAGCACCCTTGTCTTCAACTAAGGGCTTGCAGAAAAGACAGTCATGCAAAGTACTCATGCTGGTAAACAAAGTTACAAAAATGCATTATCTCTTTTTTTAATTTGTTTATCTCAGCGTCCATCCTTTGTCCCGTGTCTTTGTAGGCAAGAGTCTGTCATTGCTCATAGTCTCTCAAAATCCATTTTCCTGGTGCTTGCAGGGCAAACAACTTCGCCCACCCTCCATGACAAAAGCTTTACTACCCATTTTTTTTTCAGGACTTTGTCTCCATTTCATGATGCCACATTTTCTATTAACATTTGCATCTGATTTTTTTCTTCCTTCTTTCTGTTCTGGACCCTCCATTCTGCACAGAAACGGCCTCCAAAGCCATTGATAGTTGATTTGTTTATCAAAATATAGATTTGTTCTCTTTGTACATTTCCACACTTGCTCTTCTCGTGGTCCGTTTCTTCTCATTTTCCCCTTTGCCTAAAAGGCTCCCCTGATGGGCCATCTTTATCCCAGCATTGACTTGCCTGTCAAGCAGTCGTTGGCAGCAACAGGGACAAGAGAGGGATGGGGCAGTATGTGTCTGGGAATTCTTGTGCCGATTTGGCAGTGTCGGCCTTCATGTGAGGGGGAAAGTTTATCTGATTGGTCCCTTTCAAAACAACAACGTAATTTCCAGCTAATGGGCAGTTTTGAGCAACATAAAAAAGTGTTTCGTGGTTGGAATGCTGTTTTTGTTGTAATTTAGGCAGGCCAATATCCATTGATATTGAAGAAAGGCTGAGAATAAGTCAGACTTTTGTCTCCGTGGTCGGTCCTTTTACTCCTTCCGTCTGAGCACTGTCGCTCAGGCATGGGGGAAATTCTCACATGTGCATATAGGAATGATATAAGTGGCAGTGAAAAGACTATGGTCTTTAATAGGAATGACTATTTACTTAACAAAGGCAATGGTCAGCACAAGGGTGAGTACAAACCTCATCCTAAAAGGACAAGTCCCCCTAATCTATATTACATTACAGAAGGTCTTGTAGCAACTGCATGCTCCAGGACCTTTGGTATCCCACACTGATTTCAGGGCGAGCCCAAGCCAGTACATAAGAGATAAAGATAAGTCTTTTCCACCATTTTCTTATGGCGAATTTTCCAGGTGAGTCTAAATGTAAGCTTAATGCTGTACATGACCTGTGTGAGCTGATGCTACATGTGCTTTCTTTGTTTATCTTCATAGTTAGTGCTGTGTTTGATTATCTCTATTTGTGAGGAGGGCAGTGTTTCAGACTTATAGAAGCTAATGGAAGACATAAGTTTAGTGGCAAACATGCATTGTAAGAGCTCAACTTGAATGGGGGACTGTATGTTTGTTTAGCTCTGTGCCATAGGAATTTATTTCTTTCGCACTGTCTGAATTTGGTGCATCTTTTTTTGGAATGTCAAGTATTTAAAGGAGTTAGACCAATCCTTTGTCTCTCATGTACTCAAAGAGATTTTTTTTCTTCACTTTGAAAGGAACCCAGGAGAAAAATGACATCTAAAAGATCCTTGAATGCATAAATTCCCCTCTCTTCGAACTGTTGATGGATTGAGTCAAGTTATTTCCCAGCCAACAAATGCTACAATATGTTAGCAGAGATGCTACATTGTTCATTCGGTCCTCTGTGAAGACAAGTGTTTTTTTGTTTTTTTTTCTTTTTCGGAAACTGGTGAAGTTGCTCAGTTGATCAGCACTGTGGGTGGTACTGAGTAGGTCATCGTACAAGATGGCGAGTATAATGTTGTCAGGGATATGTCATCTGGAATGTGTAAACAGGAGTCCTGTCTCTCCAAAAGTGTGTCAGTGCAATGCTCAGTCAGTTTGCCGAAAAAAAAGGAAGGAAAAAAAAAGGGGGGGGTCTGTCAGACAGCTGTCAAAATGTGGTCAGAGTTCCAAGAGGCTGCTTTGGTAACAACATGAGGAGCAGACCGTATGATTTTTTTAAATTCATGATTAACCTCTGGTCTCTCTCTTGTCACCCAAAAGATCTCCTTTAAACCATCCATCCATGTCACACCGGTCGCTTATGTGGCTCCCGCCGCAAATTTGTGTTAACCGCTTACTGACTCCTTATTAGAGAGAAGGCGAATGCTAGAAACTTAACACTGTGAAGACAAAAACAGAAAGCCATTAATAGTACCTTTAGAAGACAAAATATATTCAGTAAAAATCATAATAATGAAACTGTAAAAATATAAACATTAAAGGTGAGCAATCAATGTGTGCTTAACTAATTGAAACCAATTTCAGTGATTGTAAAATTACTTGAACACATTTTTGGACTAAGCAAATAACATTCACTTTCATAATACAGTTCAACAGTGTTGTTAATATTGTGGACAATACAGAAGTAATCAGGGATCACCATTACCTGTAAACTGCTGGTTAACTGTGCATGTCAGAATAAAATGCACAAATTTAAAATGTAATGACACCTCGAGTGCAGCTAGAAAAACATCCTATCATATATAGACAGACAGTTAGCACATGAACAAATCAAGATCTACATAACAGTTCTGGTGGCTGACAGTGTCAAACCAACTAACCAGCAGTCTGACCTCCACTCTGCCAAATTTCAACAGACAAAGAAATCATCTTTACAGGACTGAATCATACACAGAGCATTTTAATGTGAAGGATTAGATGATATGCAGACGATGACCCGTTATTCACTCGAGTTTGTTAAAGTGTGAGTATGTGAGGAAACGCAACCATGGAAAACAGATGGATACATGGAAACATACCCAATGCTGTACATGGACTTTTTCATATTCAAATAAGAGAAATTCTTGCTCTGGTGAAATCACACATTGTTTGACATCTTTCAGGAAGCTCCACCCCCAATTAACGAAAAACATCATGAATGCAAATAAGTATACTCCAATAACAGAAGTTTAACCATTGTGAATTCATCATGAAAAACACTTGTTTGAAACACACATGATGGCATTGTGTATTATCTACTAGGTGATAAAACACCTCTGTTGTGGTCTCACCAGCAAACATCTAGTCAGTATAAACATAATCCCTTGTTGCAGCCACGTTTGTTTTCTTCATTTACTCTTCATCCACCACTTCCTCTGTCAATATCCACTGTATAGATGCAGGTTTCTCCAGAGAACAGCATGACACAGTTCATTTTTTCAGCGGACAAGTTGTACTCTAAACATTAGGAAGTAAAATGCCTTCATACATCCTGCCAACACCTGTGGTCTTCATCCATGATTCCCAACCTTTTTCTTTTGGACCCCTCTTCTTGTCTTGTTGAAAAGCAAGGCCTGAGGCCCTCAAAGACAAAACTAATGCATAACTGCAACATCAATTTAAATGTTCTTGCCAAAGGAAAGAGGAAAAAATATCATTTTTCCACTGGCAGAACTATCCAAACTATTCAGCAAGTGTTCTGTAATGATTTTAGTTAATATATGCAAATTAAGTTTTGATAACCTCAGAGCAGACAAAGCCTTGCAGGCCCTCCAGGGGGTCCTGGACCACAGGTTGGAAACCAGTGGCCTACATTATAATGAAGAGGTGACACCTATTTCTTTAAGCCACAAGAAATGAGAGCTCAGTGAACTTACATTTGAAATTGAACTAAAATAGTACTTAGGAGTAGTTAAAATGAAGAGGACAAGTCCAGTTCCATAATTCTTGCAAAGTGTAATAGGATCATCTCCTGGTGTCAGATGCGTAAATCTGTATAATTCCCTAAATCTTTAATAAGTTCAAGAGTCTTACTCTAATTTGCAGATTTGTAAATATCTATGCCTGCGTTGTTTGTTGGTATATTTGAGAGCTAGAAAAAGTTTAATGACATAAGTAAGGGCATAAGCAGGATGTGTCTTCCTTGTCTGACTTTTATTTGACACAAGAGAAAATAAAATTCCTGCCACAGCAGCCTCAGTGCAGTATGCACTCTTACTGATTATAGTACAAGAGTCTGGGTGCTTAGCTCCAATTTTTTTGGAAATGTTGTTGGCATCACATTTAAATAAAGACACATTTTTAGGGGGCAATATATTTCAGTTTCAACAATAAATGTCTTTCACAGTATTTTCCTTTCAAAAATAAGGTTTATATTATTTACAGAACTGGTGTTTTACTTCCCAACTATTTTTATATTAATTACGAATACTTGCTCAGCTTAACCTCAGAGTTGACCTTTTTGCTGTTATTCCAACTGCAATTAACAGCAAGTAATCCTGTGCTTATTGCTTATTGCATTTACCACACGCAGGATCATCTTAGAAAGAAAACAAGAATGCACTCGCAAATTTTCTGAAAATAACTCTAAAAACATTTAAACAAATGTACTCTGTTTAAAGCAGGGTTTTGTCAACCTGTGATGTCATTTGGTAAGTTTTGCCTAACTTTCAGAATAAACCTTTCCACCCTTCTATTTACATATGAACCACTCGCCCCGTAAGAAATAGCTTTTTAAATTATGCCCCACACACAAAGAGTATGCATAGATATATTAATGTCATATGACTTTAATGTATTCACATGTGTAGATACAGATATGTACATATTCAATAATTCTCACTGACCTATTAAGCATTGCTCGAAAGGTTTAGCTAGTTAAATCTAGCTGGTTTGCATGACCTCCTAAACTGACATCAGAGCCTAGAGGGGCCTCATAGAGGCACTAACATCTGCCTGTTTGTTTAATTAAACAATGTTTACATCGGAATGTCCTGGGTGATTTGCATTGGCTGCAAGTACAGTACAGGCCAAAAGTTTGGACACACTTTCTCATTCAATGTCTTTTCTTTTTTTTATATATGACTATTTACATTGTAGATTGTCACTGAAGGCATTAAAACTATGAATGAACACATGTAGAATTTTGTACTTATAAAAAAAGTGTGAAATAACCGAAAACATGTTTTATATTCTAGTTTCTTTAAAATAGCCACCCTTTGCTCTTGATGACAGAAGTACCTTGTCAGGGATACTTCAGGCACTCCTGTGAAGTAAAAACCATTTCAGCTGACTACCTCATGAAGCTCATTGAGAGAACAGCTAAAGTTTGCAGCGCTATCAAAAAAAGCAAAGGGTGGCTACTTTGAGAAATCTAAAATATAATACATGTTTTCAGTTATTTCACACTTTTTTCTTAAGCACATGATTCCACATGTGTTCATTCATAGTTTTGAGAATCTACAATTTAGATAGTAATGAAAACAAAGAAAATGCATTGAATGAGAAGGTGTGTCCAAACTTTTGGCCTGTACTGTATGTGATATGACCCTTTAAACTCAGAAATACAGTTATGACATTCTTCAGATAAATCTAGATAATAAACAAGGCAAATCTGAAACATAAACATCCATAATCATCCATGTAAAAATTCAAGAGGTGGCATGTGAGAAAAAGTTCTCCTCCTGTATGATCATTCAGTTGTTACATTAAAGAAAACATTCAGCTGCAGATAAAAAAGGATGCATGGACATATTTCTGAACTGTAACAGAAAATGTACATTCCATATAAAGTGGCATACCAGTATAATTCAAGTATCAGCAAATTAACGTCCACATTGTGGAGTTATTTTTAGATTATACAGTATGCATGTGCGCTTAAAAAGCTGTATGAAGTTTTGTGCACTGAGTGAAGTGATGCTCACAAAAATTACAAATCACATTTAATGTCTGTTGATGTCGATGAAGATTAGCTCAGAGGATCTAACCCAGGCCAATCAATGTGTATCATTGTATGATTTTTTCAACTAAGTTCATAAACACTGCACTGCAAGTTAAATCTATCTATAAACCTATTACTCCCATGTTTCCCTACTGTCCTTCAGGTTGGGTTGACATTACACATTAAAAAGCTACTGTCAACACTTTTTGGAGTCACTGAGGAAACAAAGCTCAGCATGCTGTTTCCAATATTTTCAGACAACATCAAATTATTGTAATTTTTTTAACGTCATGATGGTGAAATGTATGAAAATTGGAATATTAACACAACTATTGACAAATACTTTTTGAAAATGTGTGATGGACTTCAAAGCCAGTACAGGTTGAAGCCTTGCAAGCATAACTTCCTGCAGTGACTATATGGGAGGGTACCTCTCTCTAATAAGACATTTTTAAAACACTGGTTGACAAAATATTCAAGCAAACATTCAAATGATGTTGTAGCTTTCATCTTAATACTGCATATCTGAGTTCTCATAGTTGAGGGGTCTGGAAGCACATCGATTCTTTTAGACAAAATGAAATGAGGACCATATCAGGACCTGACATTTCTTAAACAAGTATGGAAAGACCCTTTCTTTCACCCACAAACCGTGTTTGTCCTAAAGCATTTACAGTTTTTTCTAGTGATTTCAGGCCTATTACATTTCTTTTTTGTTAATGATCTCAAAGACAGTTAAATACAACATTGTATCTTATTTTAGACAATCAGTGGTACAGAAAAGAAAATTCCTTACAACAAAGTACACTTTACTAATACAAGTGAAAAAATGTGAAATAAACTCCAGAATGAAAGACTTGGAAATGGCAGCAAGAGTTAAAAAACAATGACCAGTAAGACCACATTGACTTAAAATAAAACAAGACTAAATGGCTCATGTCATCACTGTTGTAATTTCTGGGACAATAAAATCAATGATAAAAGGTAGACTTACCAATTCTGTGCGTTTTTAAGGTTAAAAAATAGATCTGCATATTTACACATGTATGAACAAATCCTGCTAACCAGCACTAAAATAGTTTTGAATGTTTATTGCATATACGAATGTGGTATAACATTTATTGTGTATTTCTTGTTTGTTTGTTTTGATTTTTGTCGAACATTTGACATAAGAACTATTGGAATGATAATACAATAATTAAACCTACTTCTTTCCCCCAAAATATTGTTGCATTGTTTCAGTTATGGTGGACAATAACATACACACTGCTAGTTTTTTCCAATAATTTACTAACTTTTTAGACAAATGGTAATTTGTCAGAACAAATGTTTGAAAAATGTAAAAACTAAAGATTTCAAGTCAATAAGTAGTAAAACAGATACTTAGAAAAGTCAGACATCATATATCGGAGGTGTGTTTGATCAGTTGGTCTCACAGGTTTGTTTCTTACATTTATTTGTGTAATTTAATTTTTATACCAACATGCAAACTCTCAAGGTTAGTTAATTTACATTGGATATTAGTAAAGTGCTTGCATCTTTTTGAACTATACAATTATTTATAGGTACATTTGTTGTTATAACTTTCTACATACATTGCATTGAGTTTTCTTTCAAAAATTGGAAGCACAGAAGTAAATATATGCCAGACAATAGCTGTCCTGATTAGCATCGTTTTAGAGTTGAGTTGTTTTTTTTACTAAGTCAAGTAAATTCAATTACTAAGGTTGTAAAAACCAGATTCTGACAAATATTGCAGTTAGTCTGTAGTTAGCCAGGCAGCTCTACCTGTGAGCTCCTTAGCTGCCATTAAGTATTAACAATCATACTTTTAATGTTGCATGCTCTCTGGTCAGAAAACTGAAGAGTTAAACAAAAAACAAAAAACTTGGCTTATTCAGGACGAGGTGATCGCTACGTCTTCTTTAGTTAATAATTTGATTCCAAAGCATGAAACTACATTTTCCTTAGCCATCGCTATTTAAGTATCTTACACTTATTTTGCTGCCTCTCTTGATTTGTAGATCCATGTCATGCCCCCCATAGAAAATAAATTTGAACAACTAATTTGAATTACCTGTCATTTAAATTTTAACACATGCAATGGTTGAGACTCTATTTCTGGATTTTTTTTGTTATGAAAGTATTTGAGATAATCAGAGACATTGATTAAGGCCTTCTCCAGGCAAGGAGCACAATAGCTGCATTACAGCTCCTGTTTGTGACGGCTCCAGCTCATGTCAACATGGTATTCACACAGACTGCATGTGGGCTGCTGCTGCTGTTGGATCTGTCTCTCCAATTAGTTTTACCCAAAATAAGGCCTTAAACTATCTGTTATTAAAATGTCTTGGCTTTACAGATGTCACAGACATTCATTCTTTGCAGTTAAAAAGCACATTATTATGGCTACAGGTACATAAAATGAACATATGCAGAATTGTCAACTAACAGGTTGTTTGCCATACTTATGCGGGAGAGGTAAGAATGTTTTAGAAAATGACCTTATGAACGTTACATACAGGTCCTTAGTTTACATTTCAAATAGCTGTGTGAGGCAGAGAGAGGTGGTGGTAGACTGTTTGATAGGTGAAGTTTTGTATCTGATGCATACATAAGTTATGACTGATTGTTTTCACATGACACAGGTTTTGAAGGTTGGTCCTAACACATAAGATGGACTTGAGAAGCACTCCTGAATGGTCTGATCTGTTAACGTGCATGCTGAAAAGAAAAATCCCAGCCGTCATGCAGCCAACATGCCTCCTGCGTGAGGCCTTCATAACACAGTTAGCATGAAATCATCAGAGGCAATGACTCAACAGACTTGAAACTGGCCACTATTACATGTATCTCAGCAATAATGTTAAAAAAGAGTGTAATTCTAAAGGTTTGGCTTTATGACTAAGATAGCTCTTATGGTACAATACTTTAAAAAAATTTTCACTAAACGTAAGTGTTTATATCTAACTTTTGACATCACTTAGCGTTGCCGTGGAAACTACTAACAAAGTGTCCTTTTTTTTTTTACTGTCTTTAAATGCAAAATTAGGTGCTAACACTGAGCCATAAAGAAGTGTTCAGTTGTGTTTTGTTTTAGAGAGAGAGACAGATACCAAACTAAGATCTAGACTGTACATACATCAATATCTGCAAAGGACAGAAAGTAGAAACCTGTTTAACATCAATATAATCTATAAATGTATTTTTGTCTTTGGCTAAATGAACTGAAGTGTTTTGTTTCATGGTTGTTGCTCTGGACTGTGTTTCCAGCTTTTATTTGTTTGGTTCAGAACACTTAAAAATGGATGATCATCTACACACTTAAGTTTTTGAACATAACTGTTGTTGTTTTCTTCTTTTTTTAACATCTGATACTATTTTAGTCACTTCCAAATATAAATTTTTTTAAAATGTTTCTTCTTTGACCCCATCAGCTAACCTGATGCATGCAACATAAACGTAACAACCAGATTCACAAGATGAGTGGTCATTCCTCCTACATTCAAGTTCATGTTGATGTTATTGCTATTGTTTTTGCACATTGTTCGATCCGTCACTGCTGTCAGTCTGTATAGCTAATCATCTGCATTTTCTTTCATTCAATCATTAAGAGCCTGTCTGCTACAAAATGGAAGGGATGGGGGACCGACAGCGACGGAGTTGTCCTGGGGTCTCATAGTTTTCATACGGTGGGCTAGTGATGGGGGCAAGCCGCAGTGAGGACCCCGCCATTCCGGATATGTTATTAAGACTGCGAGATTTCTCATAGCCTGTTGCTTTAGTGAATATATTTTTTTAAAAATTATAATGTATTAATATAATGTGGTTGATTTTTTTTATATAATATGCAAATAAAGAGAAATCATAGTTGAAATGTTCGGCCATGTTATCACAAAATTTCATATCCAGGTGGTTTGTTATGAATTTCAATAGTAAAATAATATGACCATGGTTTAAGATGTTACAAGCAGAAAATCAAAATACAAAAAGAAGCACAGAAGTGAAGAGAATAAAGCAAGAACAAGTTGTTGAAAATGTTAAATCATAAAGACATTTAAAAGACATACATGGACAGACACAGACAAGACAAACAAGACAAGACAAAACAAGAAAATGAGAGTTATGATATGTTTTTTTTTTTTTTTTCACAACAGGAAAGCAAAAGACTCTTTGATATTAAAGATTTTACTTCTATAATGGGCCCATTGAATAAAGCACCTAATATATGAAGCTTAATGTGTGAGTTTTAGATGCTTTAGACAACCATCTGGCCGAAACCTTACAGTTACACAAAAACACAAAAGAGCAGATATTCAGAAATCACTGGGACACTGAAAGTGTTGACCACATGAAGTTTCAGGTCACAAAGTTGAGAAATAAATCACTGTAGAAGTGATGTGTTGTTAGTATATGCCTTAATTTTTTGTTCATAAAAACCCATTCAGTGATTGATTTTGGTTCCTGTAAACTCCAAATGGCCAACACAAAAAACCCCTTCCTGTAACATTTAACAGCACTTCCTAACCCCTGTAATCGTATCCTGTAGTGGAGATCAGCTCATATTCCTTTACAGCGGGAAATGACACATGGCAGGAAAGCTCAATTTATTTCAAAATGTCTGTACAAGTGAGAATGAAAATTATTCATTGTTCTTGTACAACACACGTGTTTGTAACTAAACTGATATTCAAGAAAAGAAATGAACACCTCTGTGTCCTTTCCCGCTGTAGTTAAAGTGTGAAAAATAGCATGCAGACATTGAATTACCCCTGCAGCAGCCACATAGAGTTGAATGCTGAGTTGAGTGTTGTTGCATCGGGTGAATTGGTAAACACCATTGGTAGGTAGTCATTATTCTGCCCTAACAATGGCTAACTGACCTGAAATGAGTGGAGTTTAACAGTTCTTTAAAACTTAACATTCATATATAAGGACTCAATTGTGCATCAAACTGTAAAGCAAACATTTTTTTGGGAAATGCCAAGTTATCAGTGGGAAACTTTTGTCAAACTCCAACCATCACAAGGCCACAGTCAGACCACAAAAACACCCACTGGTGCACGCACTATGACACCCTTTGTGCCTTCCTGCTAAAATGGAAAAACACGCCAATAACTCCAGCGTTCTGGATTACGCACCATTTGAGCCAACCATGAATAAAAGTTCTTTTTTTATTCTGACTCGCTCAGGCGCATTAGTCAAATGGCAAGGCGGTAAAATATTAATGATGCATATTTTTTTGTTGGCTTTTCTCGGGCTACATGTCACACAAAGATTTCTGTGAAGCTGTACGGCCAATCTGTGGAGCCTCCATTCTCGGGTTCAGCTCCAAAAAGTGTTTCTCTTTGCCACCCAAATGTATCAGGACAAACTGTCGGGTCGCATTAATTTTTAGAAGTCTATTGAGTTTTTGCTAAATCAGAGTTAAGGAGTCAGCATTAGAAGGAACAAGAACAAAAACTTCACCAGTTTTTATTTATAGTGTTAAAACGATGCCTGTTACTTGACGAGCACAAAACCTAAACTTCTTAGGAAACTTAGGGATTAATTCATATCACGTGAAACCCTCTACCTGAACTTTTAGAACGTTGTATTATAGACTATCATGTTTTTAGCAAAATTTACTGTCTCTGTCATACCGCCACTTTTTGCGCTAGCAGCACCCACAACCTCAATTTAAGAGTGACTTTCACCAATTCATACAGTTTATTCCTTGCATGAATTGTCTGTCAAAGTGACTGTTAAGCCTGTTTTACAGTGTTCGATTGGCTTCCTATTCTCATTTATCCAACAATATTTTAAAAAGGCTATGTGCAATAGAAAATATGTTACGGCATGAACAGCAGCTCAGAACAGACCTCAGCATTGCACCACAAAGAGATAAGTGTGGTTATGGTGCCAGTTTGGCCAAATGGTGAAGTTCTGTGATTGTTAAAAAAAAAAAAAAAAAAAAAAAAAAAAAAAGCCTGGCTAATCTCCTCTCTAAATGGACCTCAACCATTGCCACTGAGGCAATAATCTCAGAAGTCCCACCTCTTCTTTATTTTATTTGGACAGTGACAAGTATGGCAACACTTGAGTGGATCTATGTTCAACTGAGGGAATCATAACCACAGCAACATAGAACAGCTGAGGTGTTTTTGCATTTAGGATGCTAATGCTGCATTACAGTTGTACTCGTAAATCGGGATTTCCGAGCGCCGAGTCGGAAATTAATCAGGAACGTTCTGACTCGGAAAGTCAGACAATCCTCACCAACTCTGATTTGACAGCAACATCATCATCCAAGATGGCAGCGCAGTGCATCAATAGTATAGAGTAACAGTAAAAGTTCTTTTAATGTATTTTTATTAGCACTTCTGTTTTGTTTTGGTGAAATTAAATAAGTGGTATATGTTGTGTTGCCCAACGTCTAACTGTGAACACGGTGCTACGGTGTTTGTAGAGTAGAATACTGTGTTGTGCGTTGTTTACAACTGGTATCGCTAACAACACCTGACAACCGCTAACAACAACTGATAACGGCTAACATTGGGTAACTGTAGGCGTCCATCTTGGTTTTAGGACTTGTTAACTGGAACGCTGTCAACTCGGGTGTAGCATCATTCCCAGCTCTGACATCAACTTCTGAGGTAACTGGAACACAGCATAAGTGCTGATTGAGTTTGAATAAAAAACAGGTGCTGCTAGTGCAAAAGAAAAGAGTAACCGACAAGGTAGTACTGCACACAGCTCTTTACACAGGTAAACATTTGTGTAATTAATAAATCATGACTGAAATTTTAATCTACCACTTCAACCTAATTTTCAACTCTAATAATCTAAAGTGTTGATTTTTTATCTAAAGTTCAGTATTTGTGAAATAGACACCCATTGAGTTTGTGTTAATGCAGCTAAAATGATCATACCTAATAAAAATTTAGATATAGTTTTGAGGCACATTCAGAACAGCTTGACTGACTATGTAGGGAATTTGTTGTATTGTTTATTCAACTGCAATTAAGCTTTAAGCTCTGTTAGTTTCATTAGATATTAAAAAAGACTAAACATGGCTGCTTTCTTGTATTAATGGTGATGGATGCCCACAGATTTAGAGTAAGCATTCAGGGAGAGCAGTGTTTGTGAGGACTTTGTTTGAAGCTACAACAAAAGGTTTTGAAACCGGAACAGAGTCCTTTGGATGTATTCTTAGTACCTCGCAAAAATCAGCATGCAGCATAGGGGAGAAGGGAGATGGCAAGAGACGAATATGCACAGCTGCTACAAGGGAGGTTATAAATCATATACAGTATGTTATGATTTGCATCCATACTTTTTTTAGATTTAAATAGTATGACTGTATTTCTTTGAACAGATTTGCTTTAATTTTTGGTCCAAAATTAGAGGATTTAAAACACTTGTCGAGAGTAATATGAGCAGATGGATAGGAGAAGAAAATCTGTTGATTAGGTGAAGGTGAAACTGATGAAAAATAGTATAAACTTGGAGGTAAATTAGCTCTTATTATAGAGGTAGTGCTGACTGGAATAGGTTTCAGAAATTACAATAAATCTGCTGATGAAGCTAATCATGTCTCAGCCACTGCAGTCTGTCACGCTCTACTAGCTAGCTCCTCTCTCTGCTAAGTACTGTATTTACAACATCAACAGGGGTTTGGTGCTCTGGGATTGTCTATCAAGGGAACCAGCGAGTCTAGCTGTCACCGTATTCAGTGATGACATAATTCCTGTCCAAAGTCACACTTAATTTACGCTGTGGAGGAAGTAAGTACCTACCTACAGTCAGACTTTAGATACACTTGCACTGCAGTGGCGGCCTGGGAATGGGATGAAGAATGAGTGTTAATCACAGGAGGAGAAGGTTGTGGAGAGGGAGGACAGACACATACAGAGAGGGAGAACTGCAAATTTTCTGACCAGACTTCACCAAGGATATAATCACCAAACAGATTTAGATTCAATCGTTCCAGTAAAAGAGACACAGAGCTTACTCTGCTGCCTTACTCTGTTTCTTCATTCATATGTTCTCTTGTTTCATGAGTGTATGCTGGCCTGCAGTGCACACACATGATTTGCTGACTGTTCAGATGCTATTCTCGGCATGGCCACATACTGTATCATTACACGGGATCAATTGCCTGCTTAAAGATGGTTTAATATCCAGTTACCCATAATTAGATTTATTGATCCCTTTATGAGCATTATTGAAGCCTGAATGTGTCCACACAGAACATGCAGTGTCTTGAATGTCTTTTGGGGAAACTCGATGGCATGCAGCTACATCCTGCATCTTCTTTCTTAGCTCCATATAGGTCATACAGACTTAGATACATCTGCTGTTATCATCTATTTAATATTTTATATGTAAACCTCTTATACAGACACTGACTTAAATATTTAACGTATGTACACATGGATAGCTATTTTACATAAGTACAACCTCAAATCGGAAGAAATCAGGATGTTGCGTAAAATGTTAATGGGGACGGATTTTGATGGTTTCTAGTTCATTTCAACCCTACATTTCTTTAAAAAAAATAGCACAAAGGCAACATATTAAGTGTAAGAATTGAAAAATGTAATTTAATATCAGCTAAATGTTGAAAAAGCTGGTACAAGGGCATGTTTTTTATTATGTTGCATTACCCTTCTTTTAACAAAAACTCCCTCAACATTTGGCAACTGTGGAGACAAGTTTCTGAAGTTTTGAGAGTAAAATGTTGTATTCTGACCTGATATGGGATTTCAGCTGCTCAGTAGTTTTAAGTATCTTTTGTTGTATTTTTGTTTCATGATGCCCCAAATGTTTTCAACGGGTGACAAGTCTGGACTGTAAGCAGGCCAGTGTAATCCCCTGACTCTCCTGCTGTGGAGCCGTGCTGTAATATATGCAAAATGTAGTTTTTCACTGTCTTGGTGAAACACTATGTAAGGTCTTTCCTGAAAAAGGGTACTGTTGGGTAAGCAGCACTTGCCGCTTCAAACCTGTCAGTATTGCTATTCAGTACTGGTTTTCAGACGTGTCTCTTTTGCACAGAGATTCCTCCAGATGTTTAAATAGTCTGAAAATGTAACACAGTTGAAACGATGAAATACCTAAACTCTTTTCAATGGTGGTGGTGGAGAGATCTACACCGAGGAAGGTGGAGACTATTCTAAAGAACATGGATCACCCACTTCACAACACCTTAATGGACCAAAGGGCCAATGGTGGTGGACGGCTCCTCTCTCTTCGCTGCAGGACAGAAAGATTCAGAAGATCTTTTGTACCAACAGCCATCAGGCTTTATAACTCATCTTCACTACTCCCTGTAATGCCCTTTTCGTATCCAGTCATGTTGCTTGCCTGTTTCAAATTAAACTCATCTGTTGGTGGGTTGTCCTTCCTGTTGTTTTTTAGTATTAAATAATTTATCAGTGTCGTGTTGTCACTGCTCACGTTCTAAACCACCAAAATCTGTTTTTATCAACATTTCATTCAGCATCCCAACTTTTTTGGAGAGAGGATTGTGTATCTGACATCTCATTACTTTTCTGGGGTAATAATCTGGATCAGATAGGAGAACATTTGCAGTGTATTGTGATGAAGCAATACAGAAAAAGACAGTGATAACAGTACACATGTCAGAACATGCGTTACAATGTTGGTTATGTTTTTGACCACAAACAAAGACAGCGACAAGTGATACCACATAAAACACATTTTACACACACTGCTATGCACATGAGAGTTTAAGCAGTAAGTTTTGGGGTTTTAGAGAATAAGAGAAAGTAGAAGAAATCTCGTGGTGGCAAGTGACAATAAAAAACAATTCAGCTATCATAGTGGGCATTATAACCACTATTGTGAACGTCACAATAAGGAAAGATGAAATATGAGCAAAGGGCAAATAGGCAAAGGAAATCGTCATCGCTAGTTATACCAGGATTCTATGTTAAGGGCAGGTACAGGATTCCGTTACCATTGAGTCATTATTGTTTCAGATAAGTGCAGATATTCTATCAGCCGTCAAGTCAAGATTATATAATCTACATTTAGGTCCAATAGCAAAACCCTGTATAAGGTCAAAATTAGGGGATGAATAATATGGTTGAAAAAGTCCTGAACCAGAAAGTTTTGAGCCATTTCTTTGTAAATTAGTTACATTTTTTTTTGTTCATCTCCTTTTTCCAATTCATAGAGGACAGACATTAAGTGATGGTGAGAGACAGGAAGAACACAGAGGAAGTCCAAACATCAAACACCAGAACACAGCTGAACAAAAAATTTAAAGAAACCTTAACCACAGACAACATCAAAATGTTCATGAAAAAAAGATACAATTCAACCCTTAACACATTATAAAGAAGTAAAAAATATATCACTACAACACATTGAAACAAAAGCACTGCTTAAAACAACACAAAAATACACAAAGTGTTAGAATCACAAAAGAAATTAACCACAAAACACAAGTAAATAAAGAAATACTACTTCTACAAATACATTAAGGATAAGGAGAGAGTAAGGAAGTGGAGAACAGGAGTGAGAGAGGAAGAGATGGAAAGAAAGGAGACCCTTGAAGGATGTCTGGAGGAGTGACTAGGAGTGGACAATCAAAGAGGAGATTGACCATTTGACCTCAGTGAGACATGCATATTACATTTGGTGCTTCGGAGGTTATGGCCGACAATTAAAGAGAATAAACTGAAAGGCTAAAATAATAAGTCAGCAAAGACATCTTTATGCGCGCATTTATAAAATAAATCACAACTGAAGCACACAAGAATGAGTTTCTGACAGCAGCAGAATCCCTCTTTAAAAACAAGGAGAATCTTTTAAGTGGTGCTTTTCTCTTCTCAGAGCATTTTTCAGCTGATTGTTAGAAATGTTAGTTTGCAATGTTAGACATCTAACAAAGATGTGGACTACTATATAGTCAAGTTCACCAGACTCGACATAATCCAGACTGATCTTTCAGCCATGCGAAATAAAACCACCAGTCACACAGCTTTACTTTAAGAAACATCAGCACAAATTCCCCTAATATGGACTCCTGATTTGCTTTAAAGAGGGATTTTTTTGTAGCACTTAAATTGCAGTTTATACACAAGAACCATTAGAACTGAAGCAATGTTGAGGAATCTCTAAATGAAGGGCTTGGATATCGCTCGAGGCTTGCTTACCTTAGACATCATGTAGCCACTTTTCAATCAAATCTGTCATAGCATTTTGTCTGTCTGCTCAGTAAGTGTTTCAGTCACCGAGTGCAGCCTGCAATCCTTTTTGATTTCTATCCAGGTCTCCACAGTACAAACACAACGGGTCCTGAACTTTGGACTACACTTGGCACTGAAAGCACAAACACTTGGTCTAGGGAGTAGTATTTCAGATCCATCACACGCTCACAACACAGTCTTTTGAAAGTCGAAGTTAAGCTGTTTGCAAAGATTAAGGAATGATGTTGGCTTGTTATTAGCGTGGCATGTTTCAAGAGGTACTATCCCCTGACCCAGGTGGCTCCACATGACCCAAGTGACCTTTGGCCTTGGGAAGATGTACAATTTACAGCACTGCACTATAACATTAATATGTGACACTTTAAAGGCTGATCAATTGATTTTTACAAAAATACATGGCACTTATTCATGTAAACTCACACATCTCAGCTCCTGAATTGTATTCTCGCAGAGAGGGATTTAAGTGCTTTTGAAGGTTGAGTTAATCTGTGCATTCGCAACTAATACATTCTGTATATTTTGCAAGACCAGGCCTTTTTAAATTGCAGTGTGTGCTTTTGTTTGCCAAGGTGGAGGTCCGTGGGGTTAGGGAGCGTCACGAATAAACACAGTAGAAGGGAGAAAAGAAATTAAGCCACACACGACAGCACAAACACAACACTCAGACGGCATTGAGAGGACAGAGACACAGTGTATAACACGTAAGAATGAAAAAGCCCACATACACACGCGTGATATGACACAACCTGAAGAGAGAGACAACAACAACACAGAGGCACATCAGACAACAACGTGACCCGCTGTTCCCGTTCAATCTTCTACAGTGTATGTTTTATTAGTTATTGACACAGGACACGACAACTGGGTTATTCTCAGTGGAGCTGTTGGATGTTATATTTGAAGACGTGCACGCCCATATGGAAGCGCTCGTGAATGTATGCAAATTTCAAACTCTGTTACAGACACGTGATCACAAATATACACAGATTTGTTGTGCTAGTAGATTACAAAGAATTCCCAAAATTCTTTCCAAAATATTTTCACATATTGTTCAGTGGACTGAGTTCACAAAAGTGTATGCTGGTAGGATACTGTGTTGAGGTAAAGTTTCATCTGTAAGAAAAGCTCACAAAATGGTGAACCCTGAAGTGCTACATACGCCAAAGTATTGCTCAACTCTTCTGAATGTAATACATAAAATTAGGACAACACTTTCTTCACTTTAAGTCAAAGAGAAGACTCCTCTCAGGTGACCCTTCCATTGGACATGTAGACACAAAACTGTGGACATGGTGGTGTATCTGTGATCTGAAGTAATGCATGCGTTTATGTCAGGAGTAAGTGCTGCACTGATGTTGTGTAGTTTGTGAAATACATGCTAAAGTAAAAGAGAGCTGGATCAAAACGTCTGCATAGTTTGTGTAACAGGTTCTCTAGGCTAAGGTCTCCTTCGTTTTAAACTTTTGTCAGTGTTACCTCTGGTCTATGGTTTGATCCAGGAGGAGGTGGAGTTTGCATTGAGGTCCTGCTGTAACAGAGACCCTTCCATCTTATACCAATCCTCAGTCAGAGGGGAGTCTGGGCTGGGTGCCAGGGCTGCTGCCTCTAGTTTGTTGTCAACAAGGGGGGTGTTGAAAGTTTGGAGGGAGTGTAAGGGAGTGTTTTGGTGCAGGTTGGCGGCAGTGGTGGTGGTTGGATTTGCAGTAGTAAATGAATAAAGGTGTTAGGATTTGATGAGCACGATTATAATGCACATTGGGTTTTAAAAAAAAGGAAAGGGGGTTGGATATGGTGAAGCACAAAAGGAAAAGAAAAGGGCATTTAATGCATGGGTTTCAAGATGGGTTAGAGGAGGAAGGAGGGAGGGGGTGAGGAAGGGAAATGTGAGGGGAGTTAGGGGGGGAAGATACCACAGGGGGAGGGAAAGGGAGGGAAGGGCAAAAAAGAAAAGGATGATGCGAGGCAGGAGAGAGAGAAACAGAGAGGGAGAAACAGAAGTGACGAGAAGTAAATTAATGCATGGTCAACTGTCTGAGTCCAGAGACAGAGAAAGACAGATCGTTAATGAGCATGAATGATTGAGACATTATGAGACACACAACTAAATTCACAGACGATGTAGAAAGATGGGAGAGGATTAGAAAGGAAAAGGAGAGAGGCAGAGGGACAGAAAACCTTGTAGACAGAAGAAATCAAAAAATGATACCAAGCGGTGATGGAAACACTGACAACATGAGTGTGAAGAGGTGGAAACAAATAGAGCAGAGCAGAAAGGCTACGTGTAGATGCATTTGTTGCAGCTGAGTGAAGGAATACTGTATGTGTGTTAGCTAAAATTGGAGCCTTCGATCTGTAGAGAAGGCTTCTGATATCAGGTTGATATGTAGTCTTTTATCCAACCCACCTTCCCTAAATGTTCAGACCTGATGTTTTTTTGCACAAAGTAGCTTATGTGTACTTTCTGGATGTACGTATTTAATGTGTATGTTAACAATATGTTTTGCCTGGCATCTTGATGTGTTTATATAAGATGTTTATGTATCCGTCCCCCAGTGTGAAACGTACCTTTCCGCACATTCCCATCTGTGGCTCGGAATTCCCTGGTGTTGAGCAGGAAGCAGGCGCGGTCCTGCTGATAGCGTTCCCTGGTAGGCCCTCGCCCAATCGGGCTCCTCTCGTCTGGGCTCAGCACCTGGTCGATGGTGGGGCAGTCCTCATTAGCTAGGGCTGCCGAGGCTGCGTCACCATTCTGCTTGGAATCTGGAGGGTGGGTAAGGACAAAGCAAAGGAAACTATTGGTAACTTTTAACTTAATAAGAAATACACAGGCTACAGCCACTAAAGAGTTTCCAATTTTGATATATAGGTATGACAGACATTTAATTATCAGTATATAAGAAACTCAATACAATGAAACGACTCATGGATCAATGAAAGAAAACTAATTGTTGCCAACGATGACGTTAATAGAAAAACTACCAACTTACTACCTAGATTGTATTTCTGTTTTGCATGTCCCGAAGGCTTTTTTCTTTTTTTACTCATTCAGTTTGGGCTCCGATCACAAAAATATCCATTGGCAGCCAATACTCGCTAATGGTTTGGATTGACTTCTGTTGTGCTCACCCACACATTCAATAAAGCATTATACTGAAATATGTAACCAACCAAATGTGTTGTTCTGTGATTTGTTGAAGCATGTGGCGATTTCACCGCAGAGCAAACTCGGAGCCAGTTGTAAAAAATTTGATACATACAAATTCTGACTTAGAAAAAAAACTCCAGACACAACCTACAAGGAGCCTCTTCTGTCTGGGAGAAAGCCAAGCATAGAGGATGTAGTAAAAGCACTGATGAAACCAATATTCTCTGTCTTACTGATGACTAAAGCAGTAAAGTAATGCATTAAGGCTGCATCACTGTTACATGTGTCTGACGCCTGCTGCTGCATGTGGAGACCAAACAAAGAGCGAGAAATAACCACTCGTCCTCATTTTAATGCTCATGCAAGGAAGAAAATATGTGTAGTCAGCCTAAAATGAGAAGCATTAGGCCGCTTTAACAGATAATTGAGTTCATTTTCCTTGTGCGGTGTTTGTTTTCCCACTGACAGATGGGCGCCCTTAAGGCAACGGCAGACCTACCAGTTGATCATAAATTACATATGAGTTCTGATGGGCCCGTGATTTCTCCAGGGTGGATCCAGAATCAACTATGCATCACTTCTTGACAGTACAGCCACTTTCTCCCTCTTGATACTCTAATCCTTAACCTGACCCTTGAAATCATCACTTTGAGTGTCTGCCAGCAAGAAACTGGCATATACTTTAGGGCATGGTTGTCGGATTAATTTGACCGCAAATTATGACCAATTCTAGAGAGGTATAATATCTCTTTCTAAAGAATTAATAAATTTAACCCTTGAGTAATTTAAGTTGATGAATTAAGAAACAAAAACCTCAGTCCTAAAACAAAGGAACTAAACTTAAACTGAGTGTCTTACCTCTGTTAATCTCTATAATTTCTTCCTGGGCCAGAGGGCAGTCACCGCCGATGCCTCCAGATCCCATCACTCCACCAAGGACATTTCCCAAGAGCCTTTGCGGTGATGCAGTAGCCATTGCCAGAGCATCTGGCTTGCAGTAGTTGGGGGACCCTGGTTGCGGCGCTCGTGGGATATGTTTGTTTTTCTTTTTAGGGAGCTTTTGTTTGGCCATGGCCAGAGAGTAGTACATGCCAAAGTTGTTGACGATTACAGGAACAGGCATAGCAATGGTCAGCACACCAGCCAAGGCACACAGCGCACCCACCAGCATCCCTGACCACGTTTCGGGGTACATATCTCCATAGCCCAGGGTGGTCATGGTTACAACAGCCCACCAAAATCCAATGGGAATGTTCTTGAAGTTAGTGTGGGCACTGGCAGTCGGGTCATCAGGATCTGCGCCGATTCGTTCAGCATAGTAGATCATAGTGGCGAAGATGAGGACACCAAGGGCTAAGAAGATGATTAGCAAGAGGAATTCATTGGTGCTGGCACGAAGGGTGTGGCCAAGGACACGGAGACCCACAAAGTGGCGAGTTAGCTTGAAGATTCGAAGGATACGGACGAACCGGACAACACGTAGGAACCCCAGGACATCCTTGGCAGCTTTGGAGGACAGACCGCTCAGACCTACCTCCAGGTAGAAAGGCAGGATAGCCACAAAGTCGATGATGTTGAGGGTGCTTTTAAAGAACTCCAACTTGTCTGGGCAGAAGGTGACTCGAAGCAGGACCTCAATGGTGAACCAGATGACGCACACTCCCTCCACGTATGTCAACCAGCTGTCAGTCACCACTTCGTATACAATCTCCTCTTGGGTCGTGTTGCCCACTGAGATCGTCTCTGTCTTGTTGATGATGGTGTTGAAGGCCTCATGCGTCTCCATGCAAAAAGTGGAGATGGAGATGAGGATGAAGAAGAGGGAGCCAAATGCCACATACTGGAAGAAAGAAAGCAAAGACAGCAAGAGAAAGAGAGTCAGCTAGATATCACAATAGGGTTCTGAAAAGCAACATACAAGTAAAAGCATTAGTGAATGGAAAGGTTAAACAAACATGTGCTGCCTGATTACTAAGAATACCACCAGGTACTTCTCAGAGCCTTTGATTTTCACCAAATCTTGAACAAATGAGTTTTTTGTTGCTGACAAAGGGGTGAAGTGGACCTGCCCTGAAAAGGACCTTGACACAATTTGACTGTTGTTAACAAAGTCCAAGGATAATCAGACTCATTAAGCCTGATCAAATGATATGTGACAGTCATAAGTGATTGTAATGAAAGATGAAGCCATAAAAATAGATGTGCTGTCAGTATCTTGTCATATCATGTGCCATCAGCAAATGAAGACAGCATTTGGAAGTTCATCAGATCATAATAGTGCTATAAATAGTCTATCCAAGGGTTGGCTTGGAATTATGATATCGTATCCTTATTTATTTATTCAACAATGTTCTAAAATTAAATAACAAGCATAATAATTCACACAGAACAAGTGTTTTAGGTTCAGAATCATCAAGCACTTTTTCTGTGTCCTAGCCGCAACTTTTATTCGGTCTGCAAGGACCATTTAAAACCTCTGATCTGCACAACAAGTGAAGAAACGCTCAAAAGAAAAGGGGGAGAAAATTGCCATGCATTCATGTAGTCCTAAATCCAAAACATAAAAGGAAAGATCAGTCAAAAATGGTGCTAACTTCTTTGTGGTAATCTGCTAGAGCTGATTGCTGAAGCTTAGCTGTAAAGATAGCATCAATAATTAACTGATAATCTGCATGCAATAGTCCAGAAAACCCTGCACTTCAGCCTCATAGCTCATTGTCACAGAGCTTGCTCATAAGTCTATGTTATGAGCCTCAAAACAGGAGTTTGTTGACACGGTTTAAGTGAGCTGCAGTTTTTTTTCTGCCAATTAATGTCCAAGAACAGAGGAGGAACAAGATGTCACACCGTACAAATGTAAGGTTGACTCAGTTCAGTTGTTTTAAAATCTTTTCCTTTAATATTTAAAGAGACATATTTGCATCCTTGAACATTTGTTGTTGTCTAAACAATAAATTCAAATTCACAGGATAACACAGGTTCATACAGTCTGCGGATAAACAAGAGACTAACAGAGACTAACATTTGTAGAGCTAGCACCACCAGTCTTCAGTGCTGCTTACAGGTACATATCCACATGCCTGTATTGTTAAAGCCAGTTAAACAAGACACTGTTTAGATACAACTTTATCTCCATTATCTGGATCAAAATTCATGCTGCTTTAAAAGACGCCATCTGTCATCTGTGATAGTAGAACACCTCCTCAAGCTACAGCCTCTGTTGGTGGTGGCTGCATTCGAGCTTAGACACGACATAGGACCAGCATTTTGAGGTTGCAAGAATAAAAATAAATTGTTGCTGTTTCTTTGATTGTAGAGTTTATAAACATTTGCATCTCTTCCCTTAAACTTGACTGATGAGCCAAGTAAGTTTCAGATATTTTGAGTAGTCAACATTCAATACAACATTTGATTTACGCTCTGTGTTGAGTACAGGCTGAAGTAAATGTTTTTGTTGCGCACACGTGAGGCTGAAGCTGCCAGTTACAGCAAACCCAAAATGAAAGTAACAAGTTTAAATGTGGTAATTACAATTTAACGCTGTTCTCTTCTCAGGAGGGTTGTATCTGAACCCTTTGGCATAAATGGCATCCTCTCTATACTACTATGTCTCCCAGCACCATGTTTGTTTGTTCACTTCCAAGACTTTATCCTCGGGGTACATTTCCTTGGCAGGAAGCAGTAAAATAATTTAAGTATCACCAAAGAGATCTCTGTTGTTTTCTCAATGAGGTTATTTTCCTGGTCTTCTTCCTTTTCTTTCATCACTCAGAGGCAGCTTTATCACTGGCCATCTGTATGATCTGCAACTTACTGTCTATATTTACCCAAGCTTTTTATTCCGCTGTAACCAATTCGATTGTCACTGAATCAATTAGAGTAGCGTGATAACTCCACTGTGTGTGTGTGTGTGTGTGTGTGTGTGTGGACTCTGCACAATCTTCCCCTGCTGCGGTCCATTCCTACATCCCCTGCAGTGTATTTATAGATGCAGTATACTTTGTGCATTATCAAATAAATAATAAAACACAGACATGGCCTGAAAAGCAAAAGAGAAAGGTAATTCATACTTGAGCGGAGCACATATATAAGAAGCCTGAGTGCCCTCAGTATACTGTGCGTGTCATCATGTATTTTTGACGTCGTGTGCTTATGTAATATCAAGAGCTACATGTTTATAAAAGACAGCCTCATAACTACGCAAATGGAGGGAAACAGTTTGCGTTGTTTTTCCTGAAAGGCCTCACTTTTCTTTTCCAGATTTGCTTTGAATTGGATTTTGGATGGGAGCCTACACATTTTTTCTCCAAGTGCCTCCATGACAGAAAGCAGAAGACTTAAGAAGCTGAGCGGCTGTATTTATGCCGGAGATTAGCTGATGAGGATTTAGCCAAGAAGTGACCTTCCAGGAAAGTCAGGAATGCAAGAAAAGTCAATATCCAATTTGTTGGACTAATTTTTATATTGGTGTCCATTAGTTGGGAAATTAGCATTATAATGTTTGTAATTAAAGCGGTTTTGTTTGAGAAGAATTTCCTTAGGGAGGAGGGATAAAAGGGGCAGTGAGAGAGTCTTTTCGCATCTTTTCAAGCAAATTAAGACAAATGATATTTTAAGAATGTCACTGGATCATCTGGTTTACTCCAGGTCTCACATCCCTCCATCCAACCAACCCCCCACCCGTTCATTATTCCCGGCCTTTTTCCCTTCCCTTTGCCATCTCCTCTTCGTACCTCTTTTCTCCTCTGCTATGTTTCTTGCTAGTCGATGTCTGACCTACTTTCTCAGATTGCTGCAGTGCTCTCTCCCTCTGTATCATGAAAACACACACACACACTGAGGTTCTCAATCACCCTCCTACCTTAACTCCCCCCCACACCACCTCCCTCCCTGTCCCGGGGAGGCAGGATAGCACTAGCGGGACCTGCTCAGGATGCTCCCTCATTGGACGAACATCATAAAAAGCTTCATCGGTACAAATCAGGGCAACGAGGAGAATTGTGCCCTGAAGTGCTATGCACTTACTTTTTACAATGCTGCTGCCATTATTCCTTATGATGACATTAATGATAAAAGAAATAAAAAGATGGTAAGACTTGGGAGATTAGAGGCAATGAAACTGAAATGTTATGCAAGATTTAGGTTTGATTTTTCCTCAAAGTGAGTTTTTTAATGATGCCGCTATATGTTTACGGATACACACATTCCAGTATGAAAACTGAAAATAAAAGTAAAAGTGGCCTAACATCATATCTACTGGATACACAGGTGGAGACACAGGAGGGGGCGGACTTGTGGGAGGGAGACCAGACGATGTGGATCCATGCGGAGAGGCACAAAGAAGAAAAGTTGAAGAAATCCAGAAGAGGACAGAAAGAGTGAGAGGAGGTGAGGAGTGAACGTCGAAATAGAGAGTGAATTAAAATACTGACAAAGGAAGGCATCCTGAGCTGAGTTTGGCTCGGATAAGCTGAGGTGGCTTGTTGTTCTGGTGATCATGAGGGGATGTGACTGTGTCAATGCCAAAAGGTCTTTCGGGAAGACAAGGAGGAGGAAAGAAGGAGTAGGAATGAGGAAAAAAAAAGAAAAAGAAGAGAAGCAATGATGGTTAAAGGTTAATAGTAAATGACATGTCCTAGCCATAAAAGTGACTTCTGCAAACTAAAGCAAAAGAAAGAGTCGTCTGTGGGGTTTTTTTCCTACATGTTCAGAAATGGAAGAATTTTGTCCACAGAAAAATCAAAACGGATGAATTTAACTTAAAGCTGCATCCTGTAAGATGCAGTCAAATACGACCATTTAGGACAGAAGTCAAGCTTCAAAGAGTGTCTACAGGTGTTGTAACAATGGAGTTTACCATTTGAAAAGGTTCTATGTAGTCCGAATTTAATCATGAGTTAAATTGTTTTATATTTTTCTGTGTAATAGCTGTTTAATGAACAGATCTCCCTAAAAAAACAGGCAGAATATAAACTAAAAATACTAAAACTACAATCTGAAGAGTTCAAACATTGTCCTATTTAACTCTCAAAACATATTTTTTTACTGACAGAAAACACCACCTTATAACAAATATAGTTGTAGGTGATCGTAAACTAAAGAAAAAAATACATAAAAATATAAATGAGGACTCAAACATCTATTCTAATATTCAGCTTTAAAAAAAAACAGCCGATAAAACAAATAAACAACCACAGTGTTGATCAGTTTTTATCCAGGCCATTATCTAATTTTTCACTCAGACACTGCTGAATTAACATACTCCCACACAACAATAATACTCCCAAGACATTCTGTCTCTCTCGTCTGGCTGGAGCTGTATGAATACAGCAAAAACACTCGAGATTTGTGATGCAACTGTAAAGCCTCTCCTGATTTGCAGACTCACTCTCTCTCTCTCTCTCTCTCTCTCTTTCTCTAAATTAAACTTTAGTGTCAGGTGGGAACTCTGCAGGGAAATCTTATACGCTCAGGAAATAACACATCAGTATTTTAATCTGACAACCTGAGACTGAAACACAAAACGTGTTCCTGAACAACAGTGAGGAAGCAAAGTGTGCAGAGGAACAGAGGTCTTCTGATATCATTGTCTCTCCTGATACCAGTATCAGACTGAAATACTGGACTGTACAGAGTACCTTCATTATACCAGTTTAACAAGAACTTAATACACTTAATACAATAGTGTTAATTGTACAGATACCAATTCTGGTGCTGATATTAGTATCTGTATGTATGGCCATAATGGTGCAGGTATCAAGGCAGCTCTACAACCATCTCCCTAAAGCCAAAAGCACTTTGAATTACAATATACTCTGAAAAGTCCCTATAAAGACATATTTTGATTGTGCTATCTATTTAATGTTTTTCTTGGGCAATACACATTGTGTACTGTGTGCTATACAAAAACCTAAGCGCAGTAAATATCATCTGTAGTGCAGTATACACCGCTGACTGTGAAAAACAGTGCACATCTACTACACTCCCCCTAGTACGATGCGTTTTGCTAATTGTGCAATATCCTTTTCTGGGGCAAGACACACTATCCAGAGTGGAATATACATTACTTACTATGAAATATACTATATCTACAATGCAGTATACAATACATTCAGTAATGATAGCTGTCTGATACACACGATCTACAGAGCAAAATATATTAACTACAGCGAAATGAGACTTACTCTGAAATGTGCATTATCTGCAGTATGAATTATAATATTATAATATAATATAAGTATAATATTGACAGTGAAATAAATGCTGGTAATGGTGCATGATACATTATCTACACCGCATTATATCATCTGGTTAGTTTTGTTTTGTTTTGGTGCAATACCATTTTCTGGGGGAAGATACATTAACTATTGTGCAGTGTGCGACATTTATTATAAAATAGCATTATCTTTACTGTTCTGTAGCACAATTTGTGTCTTACTTTGTTTCACTGAATGCAATTATTCTGTTACTACAGTTGCCCGAGTCTCAGTCTCAGTTTAAAGTTCAAAATTTGAGAGATCTTTGCAAGTGCTGATCCAACTACGAAATCACTAATTTAAGTGGATACCAAGAAATGTTTCTCTAAATTTGATATCTCTATTAATAACATAACACTGATGAGGCTTGTTTTAGTTTTACCACAGATGTTTAGTAAAATGACGGATGGAATATGCTGTTCATGCAAAGATACTGGGTTTATACAGATGTTATAGCTGTGATGATTATTTTTGCAGGTATCTGCATTGGATACAGAGTAATTGATGCATTACTGCACCTCTTATCCAATTATAATACAGTAACATGATAATTACAGTGTAACTCTGTGGTGTATTAAACTCATTGTTAATTAAAAAGTTAATCTGGAGGTAGGTCATGTTCTCAACACTTAAACACCAAAAATCACCTGGATTATTACCTGTGATATTTTGGTCCTAAATTTTTCATCCCACTCACTCTCGACAGATTACAGCAGCTCTGAACTCTGCTATTAATATAAAGCATGATGCTATATTATAAAAAGCCATAATTAATGCCATTTATTGAGCCAGAGGACTAAACTCCCTAAATAAGAACCTAAATGTCTTCGTACAGTGTATGATGACAATAAAGGCTTCCTATTTTAAGCACAAAGAGAGCTAAATCTATTTAAATCAAATGGATCACAACTTTACAACAGCTTAACCGGGGTACAGCCAAAAGCCACAATACAATAACTCTGGAGATTTAACAAAGGGTCACTCAACGTTTCAGTGATTTAATAAAACAGTGCTTCAAGATGGCAGAGCACAGTGGATTACACTGTAGATCTGAACATCTAATCAATATTGATCAATCCATCACAGCAGCTGGTTAAATATGCAGCAGCATGTCAAGCAGAGATCTGTTGTGTGAGTAAGGAGAGAGGAACAAGCATCCCCATGATGACAATGCTCAGAAAACGTACCTAAAACTACTCGTATGTAGCTCACAGGTAAAGGTGAGTTTGTGTTTACACTGTATGTGTGTGTGTGTTGAAGTTAGTACCAGGCAAAGGCAGTGTTTGTATGTGTGTGTGTGTGTGCGTGTGTGTGTGAGTGTCGACATGAGTCACAATGTGAGAGAGACAAACAGCTTATAGGCACAGGAGGTGTGTGATTGCAGATAGCGAGTGGTAGCTACATGAGCTGCATTGAGGTGATGGAGAGTGAGACAGGGAGAAAGAAAAGAGGTGGAAGAAGACGATAAAAAGAGGAGTAGCAATCTGTCACTTCACACTTATTTATCTCCTCAGGCACTCGTCTCTGTTCTCTCCCTCTATCCCACCTCTCTCTGCTACATGAAGGTATGCACGTGTGCGTTAATGCTGTGAATTTATGATCCTGAAGCACACTGTCATTTTGAAGGGAAGTTATACGCGCTGAATTTCCTTAAGGAGCGCTGCCATGTGTGACACCTGCAGCCCCGCTGACCTTCAAGGCCCAATAGAGTCTCCCTCACGCTCTAGACTCTGAAATTAGATTTGGAAAGATCATCAACATAAATTTAAAAGAGCGAGACTCAGAGAAGGAGAGAGAGAGAGAGAGAGAGAGAAAAGAGAAAGGAAGTTGGTGATGGAGAGCGTTGATTGTATTTCGATGGATGAATGAAGAGGAGAGAGCAAAGGAATGAAGGAAAGGAGAACAAGGAGATCAAAGTGGGGAGAACACAATGACGTGGGGGGACGGGAGAGAGTGAGAGAGCAATAAAAGAGAGATAAAGGAGAAGAAAAGGAGGAGGTGCTGGGGGAGCGTGAATGTAAGTGATATAACCGAGGAGAGATTGTCGGAGGTGATATTAGCCCTACAGGCGTTTTGCATGCACGGCGGTGCGCCACGCTCTTCCTTAACGGGACCCTAGTGGCGCTGTGTTTACTGCGGCACCATCCAGAAGAGCTTTATCATTACAGTATTACCACAGCCCTGCTCCGGCTCTCTGTCACCATGACAACCACTGCGTTAGCCTCTGCTTTCAGGCACCAAGGACAGGACTGAGCCAAATACTGCTCCTACAGCTGGCGTACAGAGTTGAATGTAGAGGGGAGAGAAGATTGTGATCGTTGGCTGCGGCTGCTGATTGCTCAATGAAAGATTGTGAGGTGAAAGCTGAGTGACCTTGACAAAAACAAATAAGGGATTTTGCCTCTTATTAACCGCATTTCATACACTGATAGGCGCGTTTGATCAGCATTAGTATGACAAGCGGCGCCCGGTAAGACGGAGGATGTGGAGTCTCTCTCCCAGAGGGCAAAGCAAATGGGTGACTGCAGCTGCAGAGTCAGCAATGATAAGAAGACATTGAAGGATGGTGTAAAATGGGCACATGAATGAGGCATGAAAAATGAACGCTTAAATGATGGGAAATACAGAACGTTCTCCTGAAGGACAAGCCGAGCAAACGGTTCAGTCTGGGATCGGGTGATTAATCTATTATCTTAGGTGAATGACTGCAGCCATCACTCAGAGACTTTCAGTGGAGTCACTTAGTGTGCAGCGTGAGTTTAACCTTGTGTGGCTTGTAGGAGTAGCCTCCGCATGTGCCATCATCATCACCATTATTGTTGTCATCAGTTTTTTATATCCTCAGAAACACTGCTGAGGGAATGAAGGTGCTGCTACTCAAGACCGATGTCAGTAAAATTGATAAACCCAACGGTCCCCAACTAGACAGGGCTGGAGTTTCCGTTCAACACATGGCGTGTAAAATGTACAGGCAGAAAGAGAGAGAGAGAGAGGCAGTACAGAAAAAAAGTCTTTCATTTTTTCACTGTTGCATTTTTTTTTTCTATGTGTTGAATTATGAATCACTTTAGTGGCTTTTAGCCGTTTATGACCCTCACCCTCAAGGCTGCCTCGTGTGAGTTTAAGCTGTACTGGCATGATCTATAAAATGTGTCCAACGATGTTAACCACAGTTACGGTAATCAGACTGTCGTTGGGTGTCAAGTCTGCTGACTACAGTTTGTATCACTTTAAAAGTAAATTCAATGTTGGCCCATGATTATCAACTATATGAGTGACTTAACTTTAACTGAGTCATTATTAAGTTGAATGCTAAACAAACGCTGAGTAATTACTGGCCTAAGTTATGGATCTTAAACAGCAATAACATCTTGAAGCTGTTTTTCTTTGGTTCAATCTTTGGCCCTGGTCAACATCATTTTAAATCACAGGTGTAGCAGATTTTTATTTATTCATTTGTTCCTTTATTTATTTATTTATTTTGGGGGGGGCTCTAATTAAGCAGCTGTAAGTGGGGCATCTAAACACCTAAAAACCGGACTGTTCAAGGCAATCATTGGACCAACTTACATCAGGTGGATCCAGTCCTTTAATGAATTATAATTTTGTATAATGTGTGTTTATACAGGATGCTGTATCAAAGATGACAATATGTATTGTGTACTGTAAGTGCTTGGTTCACCAGTGTGTTTCCCCTGAAGTAAATTCACCCAAAACTACTTTATTAAAGGTTTTCCATCTATACTTACATCACTAAAAAGGAGACATGATAGCACATGACATTTATGCACTTTTAAAAAAAATTGGAGATAAAATAACATAAATAATGTTAGATCAGATATTCAAAATCCATTAAATTATTTGAAAAGTCTTCACAACCTCAGCTTTGTACAGCAAACCTGACAGTTTTCTGATTACAGCCTTTCTGATATTCAGGAGAGTCTATACTTCAAGGTGATCTCATGTCCCCTCAGCTTCCTTGAAAGAGAGGATCCATGACAGCTGATAATAACAGACTGACAATATAGAAAACAATATCAAGGCAGATATCAAATTCTTGTGACCCTTCCTCCCTCTCTGTCCATCTGTCTATCTGTCTCAGAGGAAATGCAGCCAAGTCTCACTTCAAGGCGAATGCAATCAACATGGAGGACGCCGGTGTCCGAGCCAGGAGGGGCGGTTAAATCAGAGGATTGCGAGCCCCTGCTTGGGGTCATGCAGCACCCAACGCGGGACACTGCGGGATAATGAAGGGCAGGAAAGGTGAGACCGTGAGAGGGGTGGGACTGGTAGAAGGCAGAGGGGAGGGATAAAGCGGTATGGTTGCGTGTTGTTGCATGATTGCCTATGTGTAAAACGTGCAAGACTCACACACATGCATCAGTTCTATCTCATTAAACACCTGAATGCAGCAGGAGACGAAGGGGGAGGAGCGTTGGAGGTTAGAGAGAGGTGCCACTGAACTTGGAGATATAATTAGCTTCTGCTCTGGGTAATCCTTGCGTATATTTTACTTTCTGAGTGCTGGAAACACTGACTCTCCGAGGTCAGTGCTCTTGGAAGTGATCCTGGTAAAATTTCAATCATAAAGCAGACTTCGCTTTCAGACATTCCCTGAATGACTCAACTCCCTGACACGCTTATGTTTAAACTGGTAAGCTTTTAAACACACACACACATACACACACACACAGCCTGGTGAACTAACACGTCACCGTGTGCTCTGCAGTGGTCAAGTCCCCCGTGTTTAATTCCCACAGCAGTCCTTCCACTCTTTACCAAAGACAAACAATTACAGCATGGATGGAGGTTCACATGTGTCCATCCTCCCCTATCTGTTTTGTATTCTCTCCAGATTACTGCAGCATACCATGTGCATTTGTCCTTGCGACGCAGCCCCCTCCCCACTCCCAGCTATGCCTGCCTTCCTCCCCCTTTCTCCGTTCAACCTCCTCAGCCGTCCTGCTTGTATTTTCAGACACGTAAAGCAAGTACAGCAGAGCTGTCCCTGTCCTGAAAGCATTGACGATTGCCTGCCTGCCTGCCTTTTTACTTCTCCTCCTCCTCTTCTCCTAGAACCCCTCTGTCCTCTATCCCCCTGTCCTTTTTGTGCCTCAATAACTTTCCTCCCTCATAGCTGCACCATAAAAGACAAAGCGAAATGTCATGGGATAATTCTGGTCAACCAAAAAAAAATGTAAGCGATTAAACAGAAGAATGTTGAAAAAATGTCAGTATCCCAACAATCTCCAGAGGACATTTTGACACATTTTTATCCAAATGGACTCTTACATCTGGTGAACACACTTCTTTAGATCACATTACCATCTAAAACAGTCATCCACTCTGCCTGCACTCCACTGCCACTTGGACAGGAGGGACAATCACGAGGAAACAGATGGTCACACAGGAATAGTCCAAGTGACGCCCTCCTCGGTCATTTTCCAAAGGAATGAGCAGGGAGACTGTTTGTAAATGCCACAAGCCATCGATATTGTGGTCACCCGTGCATGAACATGACAAAACTGTTGTGTTATCTATCTGGCATATCTAGCAGTCAGATTTGAGATTGAAACACTCAGCGACTCCTATGACTTGAAGCTCCAGCATCTACGATAGGTACGATCCTACATTTGTCAAGTTTTACCATTGAAATATCTATTGAAGCATTTTTTTTTCTCACACAACAGCTACTCTCTTTAACTGTATTGTGATCCAATTGTTGTTGAGGGCTTTGTGTGGCCACTCAGTATAAGAAAAATACACTTGTTCCTTGTATGTGTCCTCTATCCTAATGTAGAAACATGCAGAGCAAGGTGGCAGTAGAAGGGGACCCACTCTTTATGATAGTACAAATAAAAAGTCTTGTGTTAAGTTGACAAAAACAAATTAATTCAGGTTACCATATGCTAACTTAAACATACTTACAGCTATTACATTCATTTCTACTAAGTCTGTTCTCCCATATATAATATACTGTAGGCATAGGCGGGGCAAGGGTCCTTTGGGGCTCCAAGCAAGAAATTTGTGGGGCCCCCACCCCATCCCTGCACACTGAAAAAATGTGTTTTTTGCACACAATTTCTGGGACATTTGATATGTATACTGAAGGCAGAAGGGGTGTGGGGGCCCCCAAGGGGGTTTGCTACGTCGCTTTTTCGTAGTAAATGCCTGTTGTTGTCGTTGCCGTGCAGTACATTTATTAGCACTTGGGGCACCCGGTCACTCAGGAGGATGCCCAAGTGGGGGCCCCCTGGAAGCCGGGGCCCCAGGCAATTGCCTGGTTTGCCTATTGGCAAACCCTGCCCCTGACTGTAGGCTACCTTTAAGACCTGGAAGATTGTGATAACAGCCGATAATTTAGGAGTTCTGACTTTGAATTTTTGAGGACCCTATGGGCTGAGATGTATATCTTCTTGCTTTGCTGATCTTGTCCTTTACATGCATGGTAGGGCTGGGCGATAAACCGAAAATTTACCAATACCGAAATTTACGACAATAACAGACATCATTTTGCCCATGTCAATGAATTTGGTGTCAAAAACAAATAAATAAAAGTTGGTTTTGGATGTGTGTAAGTAGGCTACGGTCTCATGTCCCTTTAAGACGCTGTTCAACATCAGAGACGTGACTCCACCCCATCCAGTCCATAACAAAGAGGGAAAGACAGGTGAGGAGATGGAGGACGGTTCAAAAGTTGAAGCGGCTGTAGTAGACGAAGTTAGTGTGGGAGTAATCCACAGTTAGTAATCCAATTACTTTTTATACAATACCAAAATCCTATAAATCATCACTTATGTAATTATAAGACTAAGAGAATAAAAAAAATCACTTAAAAGCAGATTATTATCAAGATTTCAAATTTGGATTTATTAATGTTTCAATTAGAATTGTTTTAAATCTGATTTTATTCTGAAAAGATGATCACGAGTTATTTCATTTTAGTCCATCAAACTGAGGTTATTCCCTTGCATACTGGGAGTTTTTTTTTCTTTTTTTTTTTTTTTTTTTTTTTACAAAGCAATAAATGAATATCTTTCTTTTCTTGGTCATTCATTAAAGAAGATCAAAAGTCAAAAGTTAAGTGAATCAGAAAGTACAAAATAACACCATTTTACATGTTTACACTGGTCCATTTCACAAAGTTCAAGTCATACAATAACCATGAAGAAAACAGGCTGAAGCCCAAGGTTTATTTTATCTGTCCTATAAATTATCAAGTGTAAAAAAGGACGGATCAACAATTATAAAAAAAAAAAAAAAGTATTAGAATATCTCAGAACAACTTGTTGCAGTCTCATCTGTCAGCTCACCATTATACAGTTTACGGGTCTATGTCTCTGTTAGCGACAGGTCTTTGGGAAGTTGACATGTGTGAGAGTGGTCTGCAGGGTTACATGTGGAGGCGTGTCAAACTGTGATTTATATTTGTGGTGCGAGTGTGAACGCTCAGCAGAATGGTTTATGGGCTGCTACACTTACAGAGTATGGGCAAGTGTGTAAAGGTGAGTGTACTAAGAGTGATTTATGACCCACCAGGTGTGTGAGGGGGTCAAATGTAAGAAGCCTGATGTAATGAAAGTGGGTAAATGTACTCCTTAAAGCACATTAGGTCTTCCTTTAGTTACAGTGTGTTCCGGATATCGCTCATGAATAATTAACAATATTGATGCAGTGAAAGACTTCTAAATCAGCACGCGATTACAAGTATTTTTGTCAGTCTGTATTTGCACAGTGTGTGGTTATTATACTTCTGCTTATGTGAGAGGGGGACTAGAGCACACAATACTGTGCTCTCTCTTGTGATTCGACAAGATTTGCCCCATTTAGAGAATTCAGACCCCCAGCTTTGTAATCTGCTCTGGCAGCGTGTGAGCTCTGAACCACGCCAACGTCCTGATTCTATCCAATCTCAGAGCGGAGCAGCAAAAAGTCCTGCGTTAACCACAAGGTCCAACTAATCGACTGTCTGTACGGTGTTATGGAGTCCTGATTCAGCACTTAACCAGCACCGCTAAATGGGCCACGGAAGAGGAAGAGAAGGGTGATGGTTGGGGAGAGTATAAAGAGAGGAAGAACACTATGTGGATTGATGGGGGAGCAGTTTTTGCAGCATAATTACACGTTAAATGTTTTTGCCTGGAAAGTTAATGGAATGCCTGAAGCTAAAGGTTGACATTATTGAAAATATGCTTATTTTCTTTCATACCAAGAATTAAATTCGAAGATCAATACCATTAATGTGTGTGTAGAAAACATGGTGCTGGAGCTAGGACTGGGCAATATGACCTAAAAGTATCTATAGATCTCATTTTAATGAGTTTTTCTTTTCCAACTTGAAAACTCAAACACAAATGATTAAAAAAAATACCCAACACAAGTCTTTGATCCTCGAGCAATTAGCTCACCTTTGCGGCCATCAGGGGAGTAAACAGTTTGAAAAGCAGAGCCTATTCGTCATTGATCAAACACAATATTAAACTCATATAAGGCCACCAGAGTTGTGCGTGAACTACTAAAGATGAATGCGTTAATTGAAAGCGCTCATATTTTCATGAATGGTGAACTGAACCACTCAGGAACAGGAAGGTGAGCGTAGTTCACTCCTGGGGCAGTGAATGACCGCTCACATTCAGGGAGGTGAAGAAAAGTGCCGAGAGATACCGAGCACTGTGTTTTACACCAGCAGAAATCAGATCTACAGCACCCGAGCATTCATGGCTAATCCTGCTAACAGTGCTAACAATGCTGTTGGCAAAGCATGTGAGATAGGTTGAACATTTGCTAAAGTTTTATGAACAGTTCATCAACCCAGATGCTAACAGGAAAAACCTCACTGCGTATCTGTCTGTGGTGCTACCAAAGCATACAGTGATTCAATTATTTGGAATATTGGCCTGAGGAAGGGATTAAAGCATAGATGGCTCTTCTGAAAAAGAGAATTTTTAGCTCAAGAGTTAAAGTAAAAAAGCAGCTCACTTTTTGTTTGAGCTGCCACAACACCGTATGGTTCAACTGAATGAAAGAGGAGACCATGCTTCTTCATTAACGCTAGCTGTCATGTCGTTGTTGAGAATGTCTCTGGAGAAAGTTCATGAGGGGGTAGGGTGTGAACTGCAGGAGCCAGGAGGAGGAGGAGCTGAGGATGAAGTCTGAGAGAAAAATCTAGATTTTGATTTTAGAAATTGGTCAGTGACATCTAATTATTACTCTGTTAAACATGGAGCAATAGGTTAGCTTCAGCTGTAATAAAACTAGCCTAGCTCCTTTCATAAAAAAAACAATAATCTGCCTCCCAGTACTTCTTAGGTTTAGGTCTGAACACATTATGGCTTTAGTTACTTTTCCCAGCCAAAAATTTATCAGGACTGAGACACACATACAAACTTTCTGCTGGTACTACTGTTTTTACACGTTATCCAATAATTGCCCCATTATAGATTAGATGCTTTAGTATATTTCTGAAGCTCTCATGCTAATAAAACCTTTGGAATAAATGAATATATGAACACAAAAACTTCATTTCAAGTTTAATTTAACTGTCTATCTTACAAAAAAAACATTAACATGGACTGAATAGTTTGACTTATCACAGAAGTCTCAAACTAATGCTTTCACAAAGACAGAAAAGTTGTTCACCACTTGATACAGTATCCAGTAAATACTGCTAGTAGGTTGAAACCAAACACCTCTTCCTGTTTTCACCCCCTCGTAGTGTTTTCTCGCTTATTCAACACAAAGATCTTGTCCATGCCCTTGTTATGAGACATCAGGCAACTGCCCAATAAAGTATTGCCAACATATAGAGCTCAAGTTACAGGACTTACAGAGGGACTGGGACATTGGAGGATGCAAACACAACATGAGAAGGCCTGCGGTACAAAACCTTGTCAGGAGAAATTTAAACAGATCACAGGACACATATCAATCCTAGACAGGAAAGGCGGGTTGACTTGCTACAATGCCTCTGCCAACTTCCTACTTCTACAAACAAACAATTTTTACCTCTATCTTCTTTGTCTCTCTCTTTAGGCAGATTCAACACTCCTGTTTTCTGACTTTTGTTTCCTGAGCGTGGCTTAAGTTCTGAGTTATCCTTAAAATACAGAGTCTCGCCCTTTCACCAGTAATGGACGAATATATTTGCCACCAGCGAATGAAATTAAAGGCCTCCTTTCCTTCACTTTGCTATTTTCAGATGCAGTCCACAGGGAGACAAGCAAGAATGGAAGTGGGAAATAGGACTACAGATGGGTCTGGGTTTTAATGGAGGCAACTTGGAAAATATGAATACAAAATCCTATACAAAGCAAATTTAAGACTTACTGATTGAGGGGCATCAAAGTTCTAAAGTTCACCTTCATTTCAGACCACACTGGGACACTGTCAAGGAAGCTAAAGCTTAGAGTTGGAATGTGAACTTAAATGAGGTATTTTTGTTTCAGTTTCAAGGTAAGAAGGATGTTTTTTATGATAAAAGCAAAGAGAGCCTATCTGGGGTGTGTGCAGTGGACCAAAATGGTTAAAATTTTTAGACGAGCCCTACACAAACAACTACAAGTCACCTCACCAAAGTTCCCACATGGAATTGGGAGGTACTTGACTGATGATGTTCCGGGGCAAGCGAAACTGGTTCAAAAATCTCACTAGACTATTCAAAATTAGAAGTGACCTAGGATAAAGTCAAAATATGAGTGTCTTTTACATGTTTAAGTTTAAGAAGAAGGACGACATGCTTTATTCAAAATTTAAATGTTGAACCACCAATCAAGAAGTTACAGTGGTTAATTACTGTCATCAAAACCTTTTTGTGTTTCAAAACTCAAACTAAACTTTGCTCCATTCACGAACAGTCGCCTTCCCTGAAATGTGATGCAATGTCCTCCACAAAAATGGTAATGTCAACCAAACCCTGCCAAGGGCAATGTTCTCTTTCACCCAACACCATATCTATATATACACCTATCATTACATCTCTTTTTCCATTTTCTGTCCACCACAGTGATTTTCTACCCGTGGATGACCTGTTCTGAGGCTGTCCAACGCAACAGCAGGAACATTGATGTTCAAATGCTAAACACTGAAGAAAGGGTGAGCTAAAAGATGTGACCTTCAGGGAGAGGAGAGTGGGGGGTCTTTGGATGCAATAACATAAATGAACCAAATATGAGCACACATCATCCGAGTTGGAGAGGGCAGAGGGGCATCTTGTACATGCTGAGCTACAAATGGTGCTTTGTCAGGAGAGTGCTGACAAAGACAACTGTGCCCTTCTGGTGCAAAAGTGGAAGTGACCAACACACAGCTAAACCTGTAGGATGATGGTAAAGGAAAACATACAGAGAGATTGTGGTGAGAATGTCAAGGCTGAAATTTCCTTTTTTTGTGAAAATATGTGGCTTATATATCAATTTCAGGAAGAACTTGTGTGTGGCCTGATTGATTTATTCAACTTTAACCCTTTAATGAGTGCTTTAAATGTTGCAATATCCTTTTTTTAAACGTTAACATAAATCACATTTAAATTACATAAATAACACATTTTATCTTCAATTTTCACTTTTTCTTTGAGTACTTGTACATTTCAATCTATAAAAGATTCCAATTTAAATCTATGATACACAACATCTTGTCAGAGTTTATCATGAGATAAAGAACCTGCAGAATATGATTATAATATGTTCCATAACATAACATCTACAGTACTTAATAGTGTACAATTTCATTGATAGTTTCTTGTTTATTCACTTGTGGTCATTGTAATTCTGGCAGATCAGCATTTAAAATATTAAATTAGACTTAAATTTTCCTCCCAACTCTCCTCACATCATTCATCCATTAATGTAACTGTTATTGTCTCTATGTATCTGTCGATCGTCCCATGTTGTCTATCTTTAATGTCCTTTGCTGTCATGTTTTCCAGCCAATGACAAGAACAAAAAAGACCAGATTCTGTCACATATGATCCAACAGCTCCATGTCGCTGCAGCTGCACAGCAAGACCCATGTAGCCCAGGCACTGATCAATAAAGAAATCAGATGCAAATCGTATTGCTCTACACCTCATCAAACAGAAACATCTACAGCCATAAATTTTGCTCATGTGCTAACAGCCATGTTAACATCCATCTGGAGAGCAGAATGGGCCACTGTATGTTTCAAAGCGGTGGTGGTGAAACAGGGATTGGCTTTTAAGAAAAAAACAAAAAGAAGGGATAATCAATTGATTATCAATCAATAGATATGCAGGAGGAGGAGGGGGCTCGGGTGGAAAGATTGAATGGCTCGATCCTTCACTGATAATTGAAGATGCAAAGACAAGGGTCCCCACCCCCATCATGCCATGTCTCTCTCTCTCGCTCCTCTCTGTTGCTGTCACCTCCTCAGTGTTTATCTCAAACCCCTTCTTCTCCGTCTCCCTGATTCTCCTTCTCCTCTTTTCCCCCTTTTTCTCCTCTTCTCCATTTCCCTCGCTTTCCCTCTCACTCAACTCCCACCCGATTGCATCCACCTCTTTTCTCCTCCTCCAGTGCTCCCCCTCCACCTCTTCTCTCTCTCTCCCTCTCTCTCTCTCACTCCCGTGTCTACTGCAGCAGAAAATCCAGCACAGACACCAGCATGTGTGTTTCTTACATGCATGTGTGTGTGTATGTGTGCCACTATGGTAGATCCACTATAGCGAGCCTCACACGATCAGAAGGTGGGATTTTTGTTTCAGTTTTGGAAAAAAAACGAAGAAAAAAAAAGCCCTGCTTCTTGTGTCCATCGCTCCGATCACAACACTGATTGCTGATGTGTTACATCACAGCCATGCAAAACAAAACCCCCTGAAATCATTAGAGGAACATCTCTCCATCCTGTCTCCCTTTATTTCCTCTCGTCTCCCTCTTCCTCCCTCTGTCTCCCTCTCATCTGTCTCATTGTATTTCCACATCAGCATCTAATTTTTTTTCTCTCCTAACCTCTTTCCACCTCTCTCTCTCACACACACACACACACACATACACACACACACAAACACAGGACAGACTGACCAAAAGCTTCTTGAACATCGGACAAGGGTGGAAAGAAATGCGAGTGATCTGGGTCAGAACACTGTTTGACGTACAGCACTGGCACATTAGACCTACAGGGAGAAATGGGGCTGCATTCACCCTACAAATAGAGCTGCAGCTACTGAAATGAATCCTACCAACTATACCTGCTTTGTACTCTGCATAACCCCAGCATGGTGTCACACACACACATACACCATTTAAAGAAATGACACTCAATGAGTGTTAGATTTTGTATGATTCATGAGATCTGCGGTGTGAAACTGTACATTACATAATAAACAGCATTCTTGCAGCAGGTACAGTAGCTGAAATCCAGAGTGGAAAAATGCTGCAAACGCTGCCTCCTCTCACCTTTATGATTAGAATTCAGCACCAAATCCCCTTGTATTTTTTGCCGTATTCTAGCTTCGCTCTTCTCTTATCCTCTGTTTGGACATGGTGCAATAAAACTTCCCCACTATGTGATGTTTTATTGGCGCACAGGTGGGAAGGGATGGGATGGTAAAAAAAATCAATTATATCAGGACAAGAGTGACACTTCAAGAAGCACTTCCTGCCTGATCCTGAGTCCAGAGAGGCAGATCAGGTGGCCTGGATAAGACTATCTGCCCATCACATCCCCTTTCCTCTTGAGGGAACTGAATCCAGGATCTATACCTGGTGCAAGAGGAGGTGTGTGTGTGTGGGTGGGTGTGTAGCTATTGTCTTGGTTTGTTTTTGTAGATACAGTATTGCTGACTGTGCAGTGATTTAGTTTCCAGCTTTTTTTCAGTGTGGTTGCATGAATTGGCCACTGCAGGTGTCTGCTGACTGTCTGGTTTTGCATGTGCGCCCACAAGATGCATATGTTCACAGCATCCAGGGGTCCTCAAACACCCCTAGAGTAGATGAGTGGGTGGTAAATGGCAGAAGTAGACCGAGTGATGATCAAAATCCATCACTGGATTCACAAAACTAGACGAATCAAAGCAGCTGTGATCAAGCAGCTGGAGGGTCTCAGAGAAAAGAAGCCCACTGTTCACTGTTTTCATGTGACATATCTCAAAAACACAGTCAGGGGTACTTGTTACTCACACACCTGTATGATCAAATGTTTGCTTCAAAAGGCTGGATCATGAAGTATTTACATGAAAACAGTCAATGCAGATTCAACACAGAGACAAGTCCTGCGTAAAAGCAGTGAGACCCATGCGTAAAAGCCATGCACTATTCAACTGGGACAGGAATAAAGGCAGAAACAGCCCAGCAGACTGAAGCTCTACCAAGGGCAAATGTGGGAGAAGAGATGCACTTAAACACTGACATTTCAGCGTCCTGTGAGCCTCCTCAGTGAGCTGCTACAATAAATAAGGATATGATGAAATACGGCGCACTGATGTGCATCGTAAACGGACAAATACGACCCTAATGAAGGCGTTTGGATGCAGGGAGCGCAGCGGATGGCGCGTTTGGAGACTGATATGTATTAAACCCGCTCAAGGAGCAGAATACAGCGATAGGAATTATGATAGCAATAAAAACTGCATTCAGTGTGAATCCAGCGCGTGTGAAACGTGTCATACATCAAGTGTGGGACATGTTCGGGTTTTGTTGCATGAAGTGGCACCCATCTATCATGAGATATCGGTGGAATACTGCAATACAGTTTTCCATTTTCCAATGTTATCAGCATTAATTATTCAGCATCAGTATAAGTATATATCCTGCTACTTAATAATAATAAAAGATACACTGTCACATTCCGGCGGTCAGTCTACCTGCAGGTAATTATACTGCACTGCTTTCTCAGCAATGATGGGAGGAGATCATTAAAAAAACTTTTCTGAACTTAAAAATAGTCCTAAAGTGCTGTGCAGCATCATGGAGAGGAGGATGCAACAGTACAGAAAGAAGTTAAGATGTAAGGGACTCACCCGGGCATATTTGGACGAATAAGGGTCTTCAAAGAGTGCCCAGATTTTGGGCTGCCAGGTTTTCCACCAGCCCGCCTTCCTCGCGTCCTCCTGCATGCACAGTCTTTTCAAGTCCCCGTCCGCACCCCCAAGCGCCGGGTCGTCGTCCGGCGCGTCCGGCTCTGGAGTCTCGAAGCTGTCCAGCGCCTCCTCCGCATCCCGGTGCTGCCGGTAATTCATCCAGCAACACGCCTCCACGTCCGTCTCGTCGATGCCCCAGAAGGCCAGCTCCTCCTCGAACAGGGGGCCGCACACATCGTTGGGACAGTGCAACTTCCCAGTGCGGTAGTAGTTGAGGATGAAGGAGAAGACTGACGGGTGGCGGTCGAAGAAGAACTCGTCTAATTTGGGGTCATAGTCGAAGTTGCTGAACGCGTCCGGCTCGGTAAGCCACGATAAGCGGGTACCGGGCAGCGTTTTGAGGGTGCTCCGGTAGGTCTCATGCCGCACCCCCCCGCAGTTTATCACGATTTTCTCGCTTTCCGACGGACAAGTCATGTCTGCGCTGTAACATGCTTTGTTGGACGACTTGTTCCCACCCTTGCGTCCTTTGAAAGAGGATACACACACCGAACTGAGCATAGAGGACCAGGGGGGGAGGGAGAGGATGAGAGAAACCGAAGGGAGGAGGAGGGAGGAGTCTGAGGAGTCTGCGGGGAGAGAAAAAGGGCAGAAATTTTAACAGAAGGGAGAAATAGATCTGGAATGTCAACATTGCAATACAAATAAAGAATCACACACTAATGCTACATGCATGTGCAGTCATTCATGTGATCATCAGGTGAAAGAAGGGCATGAAATGACCTTGTGCAGGTGCAGTGGGTGAGGGGAGGGAGGAGGGGGTGGAAAGATGTTTTTTTTAACACAGCATCCTGGTGCACAAACATTTCTGCAACTTCTTTTTGCAGCACATGACAGCAGGTGAATATGAGTCGGAGTTCAAACAGTGTCAGAGATACTGCACACTTCTTCTGTGTGATGTCCCAGCAGTAACGACCCCCCGCCTCACCCCTACACACACAGACTTTTTCAACTATTATCCCAAGCTTCATCATGCATCTCCTGCAGCAAACAATGTCTAAATTGATCCACTCCAAGCTCTGGTCGGTGTTCATTCAAAATCCTCCCCCTAATTAGGCCACTGTGAGGCTTGAGTGTATGCATCCTCCTCCCCTCCTGCTCATCCTCCCTCTTCCCCATCGTCTTTTTCCCTCTCAAGCACCGGAGTGTGAGTGAGGATGGGAAAAAAAAGTGGCAGAAAGATGGGAGTAATTGTGTTAAACAGAGTTATGGATGCCTTTCTGATATAACCTGCAGCATCTTGTGTGTGTGCTTGTGTGTGTTTGTGTTAATTGCCTCCCGAGAGTGCCATGTCCGCACTAATGTTAGATCTCCTCAATCAGCCTGTGTGTGTTGCTACACACACTGCTGCAGCCCCCTCCAACTGCACCGAGCTTCATGTGATGCACAATTATGCCAGTGCTCCCTCTCTCTCTCTCTCCCTCTCTCTGCTACTTCTCCAATACAAAAAAATGTGTGTGTTAAGAGTGTGTGGCAATCGAGAGGAGGAAGAAGGGAAGATAGAGGTTGAAAGAGAGAGAGAGAGAGAGAAGAGGGACGAAGAGGGGGAAGCTATAAATCAGATATTTAAAGGAAGGATGGAGGAGGACAGGAGAATGAGGCAAAGACAAAAACAGCAGCGAATGTAGCACGACCCCTCCAAGGCAGTACAGTTGAAGAGTAATATTGTCTCTGCACTGTTAAAGATAGAAGGGGGATGAAGAGTGAAAAAGGGGGGAGGTGGGTAAAGCATGAAAAAGGAGAGTGCACTATAAAAGTGAATGAATTCTGCTGCAGTAAAAAGCTGGTTATTTGCTCTCTCTCCCTCTCTCTCTCTCTCTCTCTCTTTTACTCCCTCCCTCTAAAGACATGCGTCCATACATGCTCTGTATCTATGTTGTTAACCTTTTTCTCTATTCAAAGAAATGCACCACTCTCCTCTACTCTCCTCCCCCCTCCTCTCCTCTCCTCTCCTCTCCTCTCCTGTGAGCTCTCACCAGCCCTCCCCCTTTCGATCCTACTACTTTCTCTCCCTCTCCCGCTCGCTCTCTTATTCCGCATAAAGGATTCACATTTCATTGAAGGAGGGGAATCAAGGCTTCATTTCTCCCAACACTTCCTCCTCTCACAACACTGTCTTGTCTCTATCCAGTTCCCTCTTTCTTTGTCATTCTTTCACTTCACTTCCTTCTGGTCCGTTTCCTCTACCTCTCTTCTCCTCCTCACTCTCTCTTACTGCATTTAACTCTGCTGCATCTCCCCTCCATTCTTCCTCTCTGTTTTCTTCCCTCCTGTCCCATTCCTTTCAGAAAGTAAGCTTCCTTCACTTTGGGTCAACTATCTCCTCCTCCCTCCCTCCTCCCTCCCTCATCCTTCTCTCATACTTTTTCCTCTCTGCCATGTAGGACACTGCAGTCTTTCTTTTTTGTACTTCTGCCTAACGTTTAACTCTGTTGTTTTGGTGATTTTACTTCACTTTTTATCCAAGGAGACAACTTTTTGTAGATGGAAAAGTTTGCTTTCACTCTTTTCTTTTAAGATCTTACTTTGACATGAGGGTTTTTTATTTGATTGTGACCTTTTTGGTGGGATTTCTTTCATTTTGGAGATCCAGGGAAAAGACTTAACGCCACTCAGGTAAGATCTACTTGGATCAAGGCTATTGCATGAGGTTAACAACTCTGAGGCAAAAAAAATGTCACTGTACAAACTAAAACACATGTTTCTCATGTGCAAAAAAGAAGAAAAACCAAAATACTGCAGTGTCACATGTTTTAAATTCCTACTTTTTCTCAACTCCTCAGTCTCTGCAGTGTTTTCTGCAGGAGCTTCAAGCCTTCTTGCTTCATTCTAGAGTTGCTGAATTGCTTTGTTCTGGGAAAAGTAGTAAAGTTAATATATTTGCAAAACTTTTTGCAGTTCTGGTTTAATTAAGAAAGTAATAAAGATGTGACTGCACTGGGATACCGCAGTGCTCTACGCTTTTGTACTTTCTCAAGTTTTTGCAGCGTTTGCTGCAGGAGGACCAAATCTGATTGCATGCCAAATGAGACCTGCATGCTCCAGTAACAGAATAGCATCACTGCATCACTCTGCCAAAGTAGTTCAGTCTGCATCTTTGCATCTAGAAGTCTAAAAACAAATGAAGAGTAAATAAGGGAAAAGCAGTATTCACATTTTGGTAAATTATATGTCTACATCTCAGGAAAAAAGAAACATAAAAACAGGGATAGTTCCATGCAGTAAAAAAATAAAGATGTGGAAGCTCTTGAACCTGCAGCATTTCACACTTAAAATAAGTTTTAATGTCTCAACGATCCAAAATCTTTGCAGTGTTTGGAACAGAAGCTCTAACTTTACTTGTCTGTCAAAAACAGCCATGCATTTCAGAGTGGCATGACTTTCTGCATTGTCCCGCAAGTAGCTTAGCATGCATCTCTGGGACTAAAACGAGGCTGAAGGATAAAAATGCTGCAATGTTACATGCCTTCAGTTTTTTCTTACTTTTTTTTTCCATTTTTAACAATTTTAACTTCAGGTGCATTCAATCTGCCTGCATACCGCAAAACTAAGAGTGCCTGAACTGCACTGCAGCAGACTCAATTGAACAAGTTTAGTCTGCTTTTCTGTAGCTACGAAGTCTTTAAGTGAGTTGGATCTGAACTAGTTTCATTGGTTAGGGAGCGATCATATTAAATGAAACCGTTTAAGTGAGGTCAGGCAGGGAGAGTGGGAACAGATCTGTGTCTACAGTCAGCTCTGTCCTGTGGGGTTTCCCTGCAGGACCACTCATGTTGTGGGATGGATACGATTTCAGCACCATGGACAGCGCTGCATTCTCTCCAGTGTCCCGTCTCTCTCAGATGGGATCCTGCAGTTTTCCACCAAAACTTTCTATCATCTGAATTTTTTATCCATGGGATGACTTTTTTAACTTCACTTTACTTTTGCGCCCGTTTTATTTCTACTTGGTCAGTTTCTGTATCTTACCGGTGGACTGCTGAATATTTTATACTTGGACAGCCACAAGTCTGTGACTGTGGTCTAGGGCCTTCTTGTTCCCCCTGAGTCATGTGTGGTGAGTTTATTGATTTAAAAAAAGTACATAAGTGTTGTTTTATTCACCAAGGGCAATTTAAGTTTAACTGATGGGGGATGCTGTCGGGTCCTACTCAGGGTTTTTTTTTACAGTTTTGAATCTAAGAAAGATAAAAAAATGACAGAGATGAGCAAGACTTCTGATCTTAATGATTTTAAAGTAACTTAGTTTCAGGCTTTCTGGTTGCATGCAGGAGATTGTCCGCAGTTTTAGGCTTTCTGCTCAAAAAAAGGGGGGGAAGGTAGGAGCATCTCTTAAAGGGCCAGCACTGCCACTTTTATCCCTGACAGCAATGCAATAGCCTGAGAGAGAAAAAAACAGAGGAGAGCAGGGAAACAGGATGTGGAGAGAAGCTACACAAGGTGAGCATCAGATGGAAAATGGAAAGATGGAAGGAGGGAAAGTCGAGATCAATAAGAGGAAGATGTGAGCGAAGGCAGAAAAGAAGGGGGATAAAACTGAGTGGGGAAGCAGAGGGAGGACGAGGAGGAAGAGGAGGGGAATCAAGCAGAGAGATGGACCGAGAGGAAAAGCAATCTCTTCTACCACCTTTTCCCCCATCTCTCTCTCTTGCTCTCTTTTACTCTCTTTCTCTCTCCTGCAGCATTTCCTGCCTCGGCCACCATGTCCTGCGCCACCCTGCTACTACTGCACTCACACAGGGGGAGGGAGAAAGAGAAAGTGGAGGGAGGAGGAGGAGGGAGGTAGAGACACACATTCACCTGGCTGCAACAAACAAGCTCAGAAAAAAACCATTTTGTGGGTGAAACGAGGGCTTAATGGTTATGAAGCTGATCATTTCTGCAGTGGATTGATAGATAAAGAGAGGAAAGAGGGATGAGAGAGGAAAAAAACATACACATGGCTCATGCACGGATCCTGCACTGACGCTAATATATATTAGCAGAAACACTGCAGCAAGAAGGGGGGAGGAGGAGGAGGGAGTGCAGGATTATGGGATGCCTTGACTGTGAGGTACCAGCAGCAGTAACCGGGGGGAGGGGAGGAGCGCAGGCACTAGAGGAAGAAAAAGAAGAGAGAGAGAGAGAGAGAGAGAAAGGGAGGAATTTGGAGGAGTGCTGACTATGCGGTACAGAGTGAGCAGTTGGAAGAAGGGAAGGGAAGGCAGGTGAGGTGGAGGAGAGAAATAGGGGAAGGAAAAATGTGGGGGAGGAGAAGGAGGTGAGAGAAAAAGACTCGGGATTGCACCTGAATGGCTGATAAGGTCTAAGAGAGGGGAGAGGAGGTTGAAAACGGTGTGGAGTGAAGAAAAGAGCAATAAAAACAGTGCGGCGATGGAGAGAGAGGGGGAGAAATGAAGGGGGAGAGTGAGTGTGTGTGTGTGAGAGAGAGAGGAAAAGAGAGTGGGGGAGAGATAGCACAAATTACGTATGTGTTTCTGGTGCGGAGCCATTTTTTTTCCCACCCGCTACCTCATCAAAGGATGTAACCACAAGGCTTCACGCTGCTCCATCCATATCGCCTCCCTCCCTCCTTTTCCTCATTCCTCTCCCCCTCATCTCTACCTCACCTCCTCTTTCTCTCACATTTCCCAGTGCTGAGGAGACCCCAACAGGAGAAAACGTGGCACTGCAGCAGCGCGGTGAAAAAACGAGCACTGCGGTCACCTCCCCCTTTAAGTGCGGTGTCACAACACACACTGCCCCCGCCTCCCTCCTCTTCCCCCTCCCTCCCCCTACTAAAAATCATCATTGCACCTCATGTGTAACTCCACGAGACGAGGGGAAGCCAGATAAGAAAGGAGTGTGAGGCGGTAGGAAAGTAGGTGGCGTTTAAAATTGAAGAATGAAAATGGTAAAAATATCATGAATGGATGCTGCGCAAGACAGAAACAAAGAGAGAAATCTGGAGGAAAAGGAGGCCACACATGGAAGAGGAAAAAAAAACAAGGCATCTCTCATCATAAAAAAGGCTCAATTCCCAAAACAAGCATTAGAGAACCAATCAATTAAGCAAGCAAAAAAAGGAAACGGACAGTCTACAAGGAGGCAGCTCCTCTACTCAGCAACACCAGCAGGGAGATTCTCCAGGGGTTGGACCAATCCAAACACACTGCAGCACAGAAACACACTCTAGGGGCTTGTGCATATTGGTCAACCCCTAATCCCCCCCGCCTAAACACTCTGCTGCTGCTTCTCACTTGCTAAGAGCCCCTCCAGTGCACTTTTTCTGCACAAGAGGAGAAGAAGGAGAAGAATCATCACGTGCTTCTGGTTTGCTCCTTTTAGCAAGCTGGCGATGATTAATACATAAGGCCATATTCAGGAATAGATGAGCAGACATGAAGCTCACAAAGCTCCACAGGAGGATGTATGTTAAGGCTTTAGGAGGGTGATACACCCACAGAGTGAGAGACTGTGAGAAGATGGAGTGAGGGGGAAGTGAATGGTGTAAGAGAGGTCAGAAAAACCTGAAACACCACTGAGTGCAAACAGGGGAAAGCAAAGGGGTAGAGTGTCATGTGAGGAAAGGGAAGGGGCTCTATTTTTGGCGCTGGGTAAAAATCGGAGCCTTTAGTGCACAACTTTTTGAATCAGCTTTCACCCCAGAACTTCCCCTCGCCCTCTACAGTCATCTAACGCTGTCGATTTCCAACTGATGACACTACTTTTGATCATGATTAGGGATATTACGCCCCAATAATGCAATGATTTGAAACACAGAGGCCAGCCTGGCAAAAGTGTGTGACTGTGCTGACTCCAGACCAGTGAACTAGCCTGGTTTTAGACATAGGGGAGAAGTAAAAAAAAAAAACAAGTTAAAGATTAGGATCTTAGATGTCAGAGGAAAGTGGGTTTTGAATGGAGGAGACAAAATGAGAGAAAAGAGGGAAAGTTGAATGAAAGGTGAGGCTCAAAGTCAAGAATGGGGGTTTTTAAAAAGTCGGACTAGGAGATGAAGGGAGCTCTCTCAAGGAAAGAGAGCAACCATCACAACCGAGGCAAGAGGAAAGGGTCAGAGAGAAAAAAAAGAAACCCAGGACACGACAGATCCGTAATCAAATCACAGCCTCAAAATAGATTTTATTCCCCAGGTTGCTTCCACAGCAGCGCCCTCTTTTTCTAACCCCATCACAACTCTCCCGTCCTCTGACAGCATGCCACTGTCTGTCTCTGGTGGGGAGTTTTCTTTTCCTTTTTTCTTTTTTTTTTTTTTTGCTAAAATTGAAGGGGTGTTTTCTGGGTTACCCTCGATCTAAAAATAGCATGAGCTGTAGATTCATAATGCAGGATTTGAAGAGGAGGAGGGTGCAAATGGAGGGAGGAGAAGAAAAGCATGCTGGAGTTAAAGCAAGGCATGTGCTTGGGGGTGATGAAGAAGAAGAAGAAGAGGGGTTATAAAACTCAGGATAGAGTGTGTGCTGAAAAGGGGGGATGCAGATGGAGAAATGAGACAGGGTTCAAGACCAAGAGGGGAAGAAGGACCACGTCTAGACTGGTCTTTAACTGCCCCTAAAGACTTCCTGGAAGAGATCTCAGTGACACGATGTCCTTCCTGTTGTTCCGCTCCACTAACCCGCTCTCCATCTCCATTCCCATCTCATCCTCACACCTTCTCCTCCTCTCCCTCTCTATTTCAGTCTTTCTCCCATGTGTTTGTGTGTAAACCCTCTCACCCTTCTTCCCCACTCTTATGCGCTCCCTTTATCAAACCTCCATTTTTTTTCTCCCAAGGCCTTGACACTTACTCACTGCTGCTGCTGCTGCACAAACACACATACATGTACAAACACAAATATACACACACACATAGAGACAGACAATGGTGCAAGGGCATATGTAAGTAAAACAGAAGCATGCTTACAAATAAACACAGCAGGCAGGTACGAAATGATGCCAAGAGGGGTGTACACACACACACACACTCACACACACATTTCCCTCAGAGGCATGGAGCTGCTCTGATCTAGTGGTGTAGATGGGGAAACACCCACCATTTATGCAATGAAATGTTAGGATTTATATAATTATATTTTTAGGGTACAAGTCAGTTTATTAAAATTCTGGCTGCGTAAAAGTACAGTTTTCTGTGAAATATATCAACAAGAAATAATGACAAAAAAATTACAAAAAAAGCAGACATGTTTTAAGATTTCAATTTGTCCAATTTGAACACGTTGTGGTTTATCAAAGCACAAACAGGCGACAAGAATACAAAAATAAAATCGCAGCTAATGTGGATTTAACGATACTTGTTGAATGCAGGCTAGACGCTGTATTTTCTCCTTCCGTCTTTTTAGAGCTGCCCAATAAAGACCTGCTGTCTTACTAGAAGAATAAACGCAGAAGAAAAAAGCCACCAAAAAATACAGACATAGATACACAGACACGGTTCATACTCACTTGCTTTTGGTTCAGGTTCGTTTCGAGCGCGTGCAGAGACACGCACATCAAGATCAATCTTACAGCTTACAGATCAATCACAAATGTAGTTTTTCTTTGTTAGATCGCTCTTTTCTTAAGATTTCACAGAGTATCCAGTTTCTCGCAGGCATTCAGTTGATCTATTTCCCCAGAAACGATTAGAATAAATCAAAATAGGATTGCGCGCGACTGCTGCTTAGAAAAAATCTCGTTATTGCCGGTTGTTACTTATAGCTTATGGTCATGCTGATGATGGCAAAGGGATGAATCTTTCGGATGAAATGAAGCAGAAGTCCCCCTGAAAACTGGCTCTTTTTTCCTCTCTCTTTGCTATTTGCCTCGATTTCAGAGCCCCTCTCCCACCTCTTTGTTATTGCCAAAAATAATTGCCAGCCTTTGTTACAGTGTCTCTACGCTTCCAGGCGCAGGGTGTAGCTACCATTCAGCTTCTTCCTCTGTCTCCCCCTTTTTTTTTTCCCCAAAATGTTTCAATGGAGATGCTTCCCTCTCTCTCTCTGTGCCTGTTTTCCCTCTCTGAGCCTCTCTCTGTTCCTTTTGAGGAGCGTCACCTTCTGCACTATTTTTTTTCCCTCAGACGATACATGTGGGCGGATTAGAGAAGAAGACAGAGGGGTGGGAGGACCCCGGTGAATACAGAGGCTAATTTCTCTCAAGGCTGCTGAACTTCAGATATACACACGCAGGAAAAACACACACAAACACACTTCACGAGAAGGAAAATGTGATGATTAAATAAGATGTGTTTAATTTTCTCTCTCTCTCTCTATTTTCCCCACACATGCTCACTCTGCTGGACGGACGCACAAACACCATTTTGTCTACAGGTTCCCAGCCTTGGCTGACATCAGCAGTCATGTGGTACAGCAGAGGAGCAGGTGGGTGATATGACATAGTGAGGAGTAATATGTTCAATTACAATAACACTGATAACAAGAAGAGGGAGATGAGAAACTGACACTCTTTTCATGGAGTTACCCTTGCTCTGATAAGACAAGCTTGCAGGAAGAGATCTGTAATATCATCACCCTTATAAAAAATGACTTTTATTTGGATTTTTTACATGGGCTATAAAGTCTGGGTTTTTTAGTACAGCTGGCCTTGTATTTGAGTCACATTGCTAAAGAAGAACAACGATTAGCTATGTTGCTGATGCACTTCTCGGCAGGAAACTCATCAAACATCGCCTCATAAAAATTACAACAGTAGTAAAAGGCCAAAGGACTATTGCCCAGCTGCCCGTAGCATTTTCCTCTGACCACAAAGTGTTACCCTAAGAGGAAAGCGCAGACAGAAGGAGGATGAGCAAGGCAGGAAGATGGATGGAATTTTTCTCAAGCCGGTCAGAAAGACTCTGTTACTTTTTAATTCCCAATCTAAAGCTGCAAAAAGGCTGTTTGTCAGTAATCATTGAAAAATAATAATACATTAGACCTTTTCTATTCAAAGGTTAGGGCAAAATCAAGCAATATACATAAGGCCTCTAGAGCTGACAATTGGACAAAACACACCAGAACAATATTTAACAAGAGAGAGGTCAGGTTATGTAGAGAAAGGTTATCCTCTGCGTTCCCTGAACTCTGGGTTTTTGTGGAGCATACAGAGATGAAAGTTACTACTAAACACAAAGAACTGGATAAATATAACATTCATTTGTGTGACTTTTCTCCCTTTTCTTCTGTACAATATTACTGTCTATTGAACCACTTCATACTGTTTACCATGTTTTTTTAACCCCAGGGGCAGCATGTAGATCGTATAGCATTACAATTTGAATATGAGTTACCGTCATTTGACTATAAAAGTACTTTATGTACAGCAGATTTTCTCTGTAGATGATACTTTATTTTTGTATCCATCAATTATTTATGCATGGCCTCCTACCAATGCCTGGAAAAGTGTGAGGTTTAATGCTATTTCCTGCACCCCCAGGAAATGATGCATAACTCTATTTTGCACCACATAACTCCCTGTTCATTTACAGTCCCCCACACACCCCCATGGCAGTATCTATTGTCAAACAGGATTTATGCAGGTGTTGAATTTCAATATTTGGAAATGGTTCAAGCTGTTGAAAGAGAAACACTTCCGACAAAGTCTGTTGGACTCTTTGTACAGCATCAACAGTAAAATGCTGTAGAAAATACTAACATACAGTATGAGCAGATCTGAACTGACCACTGAGTCCAAGATCGTCTGGAGGTATTTGTGAGTTTATCAAGCTGCAGGGGTTTATCATGAGTTAATCGTCACCACAGCAGAAACTGAGTGTCCCTCCATTTGGAGAGCTGTGGAACACGAAAACACACATCCCTGTGCAAAAACTCACCAACAGGATTTGTCAGAAACTAATAAATGAAGTGATTCCAACACATCCTAAAGGTCCTGTACAGTCAGTCCAGATTCATACAGTGACCAGTTTGGGGTGAAACAGAGCTCCTCCTGATGATTTTTAAGGTTCTACTAACAAGGAGGACTCAATCTGGATTCCTCTTTGCAGACTTTGACTTGAATACCATGGACTTAAGGCTAGACCTGGACTCAAGATTTTTCATGTAAAAGCTCTGCTCCATCAAAGTTTGAATTAACTCAATATTCATTGAATAAGATTACACTTTAGCAATAAACCAAAGTGAATTAAGCCACGGCATCACCGGACCAGCACAGACGAGCAGGAAGTAGTCTGCTGAAAAGAGCTGACGGTGCTTCATCACCAACACTCCATAAATACTGAATGTCCAACTTAGTCTGCTTTCAGGACGAGTGAACATTAGCCTGCACAGACACTTCCACTGTCAGGCTGTTGGCGGCAGCATTGTGCAGAACATGCACAAGGAAGTAGAGACTGAGAAGACGTGCTGTGGTCAAAAGAAGAAAGAACAGCAATGAAAAGCAGATCTGAGATAATAGAAACAGCCTTAATCAATGCTATATGTTCTGTTTATCTACTGTGTTCTGTATGTTTGCATATATGGTGACTGTACTGGGATGTAAACAGAAAGGACCACTGGCCTTGAGAATGCAAACACTAAGACTGACAATGAGAAACTGCTGGGTCAATAATCTGTACCATTGTTGTCCATCACTTATTGAAAAACAGCATTCACTGCCTCTATGCGGTGAAAAATGCCTGTCCAGAGATGAAACTCTGAGTGAACGTCAGGTATGTATGCATCTATTTATGTCAGTAGAGGACGGCTGCTCTGGGATGGAGAATTGGTTTTGATTTGGGAACTAAAACAAGCAAAAAATAATGATAACACTTTGCAGAGCTGCCGACCACATGGAGAATGTCAATATTGACTGTAATCCCCTCTGAGACAGCAACAATGTGGAGCAGTATGGAAGACTATAAGCTACATTTTAATGGATTATGAACTCTACAGCATGTTAGTGAAAGTGGTTATGCCTTGAATCCCATCATGAGATTTGTTAATGAGTGGATGTAGTCCTATTAACATGTTATTTCCAGCACTGCAGCTATAAAGAGGAAGATTCCAGCAAGCTGCTCTGCAGAGAGACTCTACAGAGCGGTGTGCCTCTGCTTTGTTATGATCGTGGGAATGTTTTCTGCAAGTCACTGCTGTACACAAATTAGCACTGCCTGATTGGTTATGGAGAATCAAAGAATCATTTAGAATTGTATTTCTGGAAAAAGCCTGATCAAACCACAATTTTGTATAATTTGTAAATTTGCGTGTGATTATAAAAGACCTTGCAACTAGATTTATATTGGAAGAGGTTGGAGTTTTGATATCCATCTGAGTCGTGGTCTTCCAGACTCTGGCTGAACTTTTTGCCAATGATTACTCAAACCCCACCACGAAAATTCTCGTAAGCTCACAGGATGTTTTGTTGGAACGAGATAGCCCTGTTTTTGTCTCACTTCAGTATAAAGAAAATCCCACCGGTATCACTGCGAGGAAATGTTTTTGTAAAAATTTACTGGAGAAAGTGGATGACTGATGGCTGTTTCTGTGAATCTTGATTTCTTTTGTACAACCTTAAAATTAAAACCGTGTTGAAGTCCTCTTGCGTAATGATTCTTTGTCTTGAGTGATCGCTGTTATTTATTTTGTACTTTTTACATTTCTGAATTTAGATTAAATTTGAGTTCAATTTTCTTTGATAAAAATTTCAATTCCAAAAACAGTTGGGAAGCTGTGCCAAATCAAAATAAAAACTGAACTTTATGGTTTGTAAGTCATTTTAACCTGATATAAGCTACTCATGGGACAGTAGATGTTTGCTTTTAAGTCATGGAAGAGTTCGTGATCAACATGTGAGTGAAATTTGGATTGTCAGACCAGACCACAGAACAGTTTTTAACTTTGCCTCGGGCCATCAGAAACAAGGAAACTTTTTGTGTTGGAATTTTAAACCTTTATTTGTGAATGAAGCAATGAACTGGGTTCACAGACAATGGTTTTTGGAAGTGATCCCAGCTGTTCAGCAATTTGTTTTTCTCCTACACCAGAGACTCGTCTAGATTCCCGGAAAGTGTTTGCATGCAGTTTGCTAAGTATTGATCTAAACCTTTTCTGAGGACGCTATGTTACCGTAACTCTAATGTCAACAAGTCAGAACACGCTGACCGTGATTTAAGTTTTATTTAACATTATGTAGCTGTATTAGTCTGTATAGACATGGAGTAATATTGATACACATGTCCCAATTGCAATGTTTTATTGAATCATGTGCTCTAATTGTAATTTTTTTTTTAATTTTAGGGTTATCATGAAGGACTAAAGATGATTATTCAAAACATTTACATAAATTTCCCAATATTAGTCATTTTAAGTTTACCAGTCCAAAGGATAGCCGCCCACATATGTTCACTCAAATATTTATCAAGAAGTTTAAGATTAACTTGTGATGACACTTCCAAAACAAAACCAGCCTGTAACTTTTAGCTGATCAGGTACGCCCAACTTGGCTCTATTCTCTACTAAACTGAGGTTAAAGGGATATTCCTGCATAAAATTAATTTAGAGTCAAACACACCATAACACCAAGTTAGACACCCCCTCGAGAGATGAATGTTGCCGACCGCTTGCTTCTCTAGTTATAACAACTTTAGTAACAACCGCATGATAGCAATACACAGCAGTCTGAGGAGCCATACACAAGCCTCAACTGAAAAGCCACTCTATAGCCACAAATAATGTTCAGAACAGCACCTAACTTCATCAACAGTACATACAGGGTCTCAGCCACAGCACTAGCCATCAAACATCTTTTCAGCTTTGCTTAATTTCTTTAGCAAAGAGACTAAACACAACTCACCCACTCTCTTCCAGCAGCAGCTTGTTTGTAGTGAGACCTCGGCCGGTCCATTACGGACTGCAGCGGGGTGACGCAGCTTAATGAAGAACATTTATGCTCATTTCTTTATAATTTCCTTGAAGTAATAATCACCGTATTAATCATCTTGTACTGAAGACGCGGTAATTCTTCTGCCTTAGCGTCTCTGTCTGATTACATTTCCATGAAGAAATAGTTCACTCTTTCAGATTCCTGGGAAGTGTTTGCATGTAGTTTGCTAAGTATTGATCTGAACATTTTCTGAGGACACTATGTTACTGTAACTCTAATTAATTTTACACCAGAATATCCCTTTAATACTGATCCAAGGGTTCTTGCTCTTGTTTTTTTGTCATCAGTCAAAGTCTTGTTTTGCAACATGACAAACCATATTAACCATACTGGGATCACTGCTGTATCGAGTTGACTGTTATTCCTATTTGGTGTTAAGCTCAGATAGTTTCATTTAGGTCATCTAAGTTTTATTTTAACTCAGATAATTGAGGAACAGAGGCACTAAATGTAAATCAAACATGAAATCCAGAGTAGCGCTAAATCTCCTCATGAATGACTTGGTATGATTGTTGAGTGTTCTCTAATGCCTCCCTTCTTGAAAGGCTGCTTTTAGCTTTCATTATTTAACAGTTATGGGCCTCCAGTCTGTCTAAGTTGCTCCTCCAAGTTAAGAACTAAAAAACAAGCTGAACACAACAGAAGATGAAGAGGCCCAACATTGTTGCAAGTCTCCTAGATGATACATCTGAGATTCAGTATTTACTTGTGAGCTGATTTCTTGTTTACAGATCAAATGTTCATTCATCAGTGGGAGGGAAAGTCAACTGTTTTGCACAGAGCTCCATAATATTTAATGAAGCAGCACCTGGTGTCACACAAAATCTTTTTTCAAAAGTCTGGTATGATCAGCCAAGTTCAAAGTCACGCCACTGTGTCCTGTACTGCTTTTTATTTGCCAGAAGCCTTCAAAGCATCTGCCTGAACTCTACGTAGAGTCTAATTTAGAGCCCCAAGGCTACAGATCAAGGGCGGCTACATTTCTGCAATGTACGGCGGACTGTGCATCTGCTTCTCAGCAGCAAATCACAGTGTCACACTGCAGGCACACAAGAGTCTAAATCACTCACTTCAGCACCATGGCTGAAACAAACAAAAATAACAAGACAAATCAACACCAGCTTTGCAATTGTGTAGTTGATGCCAGATCTATAACAAAAATAAAAAAATCTTGGTTTATTGCTTCTTTGTAAAATTTTGTTTTTATTAACAGAATTTTCAAACTCTGACAGGAAACTCTTGTTATTGTGGATCAAGTCTGCCATGACTTACATTTCTGTACTAATCCTCTCTCTGTGTGTTTATTGGACAGATATAAAAAGAGTTTTCTTCTCGTTAAAGTTTCATGTCTTTCCAAAATCAATTCAAGACTTTGATCTAAAATTTAAATATGACCATAAAACAGGGAAGATCCTCCATTGTTTGGAAACATTGGTCTAAGACTGCACAGCTTTGGGAAGAACAGATCAAGCAGAAAAGACTCTCTCAGGCCTTAATATTGCTTGGGTCTTATTTATGCATCTCAGTGATGCATAAAAAACATCATCAGTGTTATTTAAACAACTGGATGAGGATTGCTCTGGAAACCACATCCCTCTGCTCCATTAAGGGTTTAGATTATGGCTAACCAAGGACTCACTTCTGTCATAAAAAAAAAATATATATATATATGGCTTTATTAGCAATATAAGCAATATAGCAGAGTGAAAAAAGCGCCTCTCTTGTTTGAAATATATATATATATATATATATATATACATACATACATACATACACATATACATATATACATTTATATATATGTGTGTGCGTGTATATATGTGTGTATATATATATATATATATATATATATATATATATATATATACATACACACATCCTTTTAACAATACAACTTTTGAGAAAACCAGGAAACATTCATCATTAACCAAGTAAGAAGTGGCTGTATATCAAAGCAAATAGTTGATAACACTTTGGGACCACAGAAGAGGAAACGCTCCAGCTGTGCTGGTGGGTGTATGATTGTGAAATCTGAAAACACTATGAAGGAAATAGGATAACTCATAATTTGAACACCTGCCTCCAACTGCTGGGAACATCACAACTGGAAATGACGACTGAAGATATCTGAAGGGAAAACATCTGGGTAGATAAGTCCATGCTCTCCCACGCTTTCATTCCTTTGAGTCAAAGCCTGAGCTTCTCAGGAAGAACACTTGTGGGTTTGCATGAGTCTCTAGCCTTGTTATGCGACCGAAGAGAATTAATCACGAGTCTCTCAGTCCCATTATGATTCCATAGCAGCATTATGAATGCCAATAGACAATCACAGTATCAGAAAATTGCAGTGTCCGGTGGCCATTCACAGATCCAATTGATAAGTTTCATCAGATAAAATGATGAAGAAATAGGACGATTTTCATTGTTTTTTCCACATAGATTTTCATCTATACGCTGTATTGACAGTACATCCTCCTTTCACCTGTGCAAGAGTCACCTTTACCATCTTTCCGAAGTTTGAGTTCAGTTTTGCTTCTTCTAAATCTTCTAAATCAACACTTAAGTTTTGCCACTCTCACCGCACTGTCAAGACTGGCGATTGTGAAGGTGGGGTTTGAATTTATTCAACCCTTTGCATGCCATGTTTGAGAATTGTTCAAAAAAGTTTTTTCTGAATAAATGACAGTCCTGATAAATACTATTATGAGAGTAACTAAACTTTTCATAACCACAAGTGTAGCCGTTAAGCTAAAGGCTGTGCAACCTGAGGAATCATTGATGTTTTATTGGTCAGTTTATTGTGTCTTTTGTATAGAGACATGATAACTGTGTACGATGTCTCCACCAACCGATCAGCTACACATTTTCTGGTCCCTAAAATAACAGCACTAGATTTTGTGATTGCTTATTGCCTTATTTTTGTAGGTAGAGACAAGCCATCCACTGTAGAGTCACTGTCTCAACATAACAGGCAGTAACCATTAACCATAACCATTACCATCAGTAGGAGACATGAACTGCAGACCATTTTTGTTTATGACCGATGTAATAGAGGGATCAGAACCTTCCACATCAATGGCAGCCATTAGACTCACTGGTGTTTAAATGTACAACACATTAAATTGTCTCAACTTGTGTAAGAGTGAAATGAATTGTGTTTGAATTGGAGGAAGACTACACACATCTGCCAACTAAAAGAGATCAAAAGCACCCAAACAAGTCTGGTTATTCAGTCTTTACAAAATGCCAAAAAGTGAAGCCTCCAGCATCAAAAGCCGACACAGTTTGTATTATTCTTGCTTCCCAAGACCAAACACAAACTTAAAACGTCTTCAGTCACCTCCGTTCTGCTCCAGACACTTCCCATCTTCTTGGAGTCTGGAATTCATAATCCTGTGCTCTTCTTGCCCCTGTTCTTAGGAAACTTTGGCTTCCTCTCACTCTTCTTGTTTAAGTCTTTGTTGTTTTGATTTGCTTTTATCTCAGCCTCCCACTGTTTTTTAACCAGAGTGTAGAGCCGCATGGTGGCCTGTGCATCCTGGACCTGGAGGACAGCGTGGGAGAGAGACAGGGAATCAGTCTTAATATAAAACAGCAGATGCATCACACACTAAAAAGAAAGTAAGACCTGGACTGTGTGTGTGTTCATGACTTACGGAAGAATGTTCACCCTGCTGGACTTTCACATTAAGTATATCTTTACAGAGGAGCTTAAGTGAGGGTCGGTTAGTCTGAAATAAACAGAAATCAGTCACACTGTTTACACTGATTTTGAGAAATGGTTCTCAGATTCTGTGAGGTCTTATTTAGGGCTTCATATACACAACATCTTTAGCAGTGTAAGTACCTTTACAGTCTTCCTGAATGGTTTGTACTTCTGGGTATCCCGAATCTTCTTTCTTGGGTGATCCAAGAGCAAAATCTGAAACCAAAGTTTAAAATAGTTGAAGAGTGTGAAACTTTATCTAAAGCTCATTTAAGTTCCTTCCCGGTTGTTACATCCAGATTACCTTTAAGTCATTGTGAATAGCATGTCCAACCACTACTCTGCCTTGTAGGATCGCTGCAACCTCCCTCTGCACAGTCCGTACGTCCTCTCCTGCAAAAAGGTAAAGTTATGTTACAACAGTTCCTCAAGACTGCTTTGGGTTTGTTTTTGAAAAGAAATCCCCACTTGATTCATTTCCTCATTTAACAGTTCATTGCTTGTTACAATTTGTCTGTGACTCACCATGTTTGATATCTTCTGGTCTGATACCACTGACAGCTGTCCTGTAGTCTGTCACCTTCTCTGTGGGCTTCACAAATTTGTCATAGATGCATTTCCCAAACTGATTCACCAGGGACACACGCGCCAGTATGCTGTCCTCTCCATCGGGACCAACTCCAACCATCTCGCAATCGATGGCCACGGCTTTGGTGAGGCTGACATTTGGCAAATGGCAAAAAGGGCGTTAAGAGAAATTGTCAGCTGCTGTGAAGAACTGCCAGAAGAGTTTAAGTAGGGAGAGTGGGCAGATCTGTTATCTGTTCTTTTAAACACCGACATTTTCATTCATGTCTTATATCTTCAAGTGTATTTTAATCACAGAAAGAGAGAAAGAGAGATTCTATTTTCAAGCTCACCTCTTTTTCTGAGATCAGTGAGTTTGAAATGTCAGCAGATCTCATATTGTTGTTGTTTTTAACCGTGTATGCCACTTTTGTCACAGTCAAACTCGTTATTTTCAGACTTTATTGTTTTCCAACAAGCGGGCTTTAAAATTATTGAACAACAGATTTTTTAGCAACCCCATTTTGCATAATACTTCTTGTTTTGTACTTGAATTTACTTTTTGTTTGAACCCACCTGAAGCAGGTTTATAGGACTAAAACATCACTTCTGTTGTCACTCACCCCTCAAAGGCTTTCTCTTTGACCAGAGCGCTCTCCGTGTCATTACTCTTGCGAATTCCCTGTTTCTTCCTCATTATATCTGCTGCCTCTGCTCCCACTGTAGCCTCTAAGTCATCAGGGTCCACATCATCAAACCAAAGGTCCTCCCTGCAACAACAAAACAAAGATACAGTCAGCATCCACACTTCTCCCTGACCTAAATATTGGCAGAAAATAGTAGGGCCCAACCAATTTATCGGCGAGCCAATTAAATCAGCCAATTTTAGCCCATTTGAGACTAATCTGTAATTGGTGGGGGGCAGTTGAAAACACTTTTCTGGTCTGAGTTTGATCAGTCGGTGTAGATATCTACAGTATATATGTATCTTTTAGAACTTTTAAAATGTTTAAACACCCCCCCCCCCCCCAATTGGCAGCGCCCCCGAAAAATCCATATCGGTCGGGCCCTGGAAAATAGAGCTGTGCACTCACTCTGTAACTTTAGGCTCTTCAACCACAGTTTTCTCCTTCTTCTTCTTGGATGGCAACTCATCATGCAACTTTTCACCGTCCCTTTCCCTTTTAGGAGCAGCAGACTGTCCTGTTGTCACTGAAGCAGCAGGCAACCTCGAGGTCACCTCAGAGTCTTTTGAGACAAAACTTCCAGAAGCAGATTTGTGCCTTACTTTTTTCCCCGCTTCTGTCTGTGGAGGTGGGGCCTTGCTCTTTGACATATTTTGTAAGGGACTGTCTTTGGCCTCCTTTCTGTGTTGGATGCCATTCTCTTTGGGTGGTACAGGCTGCTTCTTCTCTGCTTGAGAAACCTTTAAAATCTGTAGAAGTAATGCACAGATGAAAACAATCAACAGGAAGAATTAGGTGTGAAAGAATCTCATTCATTTTGTTAACTTAGCAGCATAAAAAAATTGAGATCAAACCTCTTGTAATGCCTTCCAGTTTGTAGAGAACTGTGTGGCATCTTTAGGGGGTAATATTTTCTGGGATTTCTCCTTTTCTTCTTTCTTCGGTGGAGGCTTTTTCTTTTTAAACTTCTCTTTCATCCAGTTTTTCCTTTTTATTTTCGCAGTGCTCTTTTTTTCTGCAGACGAAGAGCTCTTCTTTGGTGTTTTAGTGGGATGGTCAACTTTCTTAGCCTTCATCTTGGACTCAGTGAACACTGCCAGTGCAAAAGTTCAAAGTAGTTCTTGATGGATTAAAAAGTCTGTTCACGTCCTGAGCCACGCTACTTCTCCAGAGCTTTACTTAGCAACAAGGTAGCTTCAAATACGTAACAGTCAAAACCTACTCACCAATAAATGCTCTTTCAGGACAAGTTAATCGAGTGACCGCGCCAAAGAAGTCAGATTTCTCAGACAGCTGCTGAATATCTTGAAAAAACTCCACACTGTCCACTCCTGGTGCTGCAAGCCATGCTGGATTTGTGTTTCCTCGTTGTGTAGCAGCAAAATGAGTCCCGTAAAAACATCACCCCATAACATCCGGTGCATAGTTGGCATAGAAAGGAAAATCTTGTGATACTACATGGAAGGTTTTTAATTTATTTGGTTCAAAAATAAATCTTAATCATACATAAACATGACAGGAAATGTGTTGGGTTTTTTTTCTTCTGTGTGGAGTTCCTCTTATTCTGGATGCGGAACTTTTCGTTTAGGACTAATCTACCGCGGGACTATATCTCATGTTGGACTACAGTGTCGGATGTGGAGTCTAAAAACAAGCTGGGAACTGACTTGATATATTTTTTTCTTGCTGTATTATTTAATTTGAAAGTCAAACTGTTGTACATTTTGTTAAACACGTTGTGTTGTGTAACCGGATGAGATGTAAATAGGCACAGTCAGGCTGCGCAGGCAGAATATATATGATCACGATCTCTTGACACCTTTGAATCCGAGTGTCTGAGAACTGGTCAGAGTAATCGATCTAATCAGTAACTGGTTGAGACATAGAGGTAGATCATGGTGGAAAACTCTCCCTCTCCTCTTCCCGAGAGAGCCATTTATGGGTTTGTCCTCTTCCTCGGCTCACAGTTTGGCTTCTGTAAGTATCTTTTTTTCTACTTATTGATCATTAAAATATAAAAAAACATCTCATTACAATGAAAAAGTCTATTTCTATTAGGTAAGAGTGGATTTGATCTGCTCTTTTAATGCTCTTCTTGTGAAATAACTACGACCCCAATATAGTTATGATTTTAACATGTTTTTAACTGGTCTAAAACACAAAATTCCTGTAAGATGTCTGGCAGTGTTTACTGCGGTGGTTCTCAACTAGTTTCACTCTGGGACCCTCATTTTCCCATGGTCCTTCAGTTGCGACCCATTTTTATAAAATTCAAACCAAGCCAGTTTATTTTTATATATATATATATAAAAAAAAAAAACTTTAAAGACTGAAATCCTTAACATAAATACACCCATTTTATTGAGTAAAGTGCATTTCAGAGCACATGAACTGAAGACGACAACTACTAAAGTTGCATATACAGAAAATATCAAATTGCACAAAATGAAATATTTGACTTTTATGCATCTCTGCATTCAGAGCATATTCAGAAGAACCTGAGGAGGACCATGCAACAGCATGGAAAAAAGGGAATAAATATCAAATTGCACAAAATAAAGACCAGAATAATAATTTTTTTTTAAAAAAGGATTTTTACTGCATTCAGGCCACATTCATAAGAAACCAAGGAGGACCACGACATTACACGTGCCTTTCAAAATAAGCTAATTTAAAAAATAACAGACATGTCAAACATCAGATGCTCATTTAATATTTACTTTTTTGACCCGCTTTTCGTGACCCATCCAGAACACATCCACGACCCACTTTTGGTTTTGGGACCATAGACTGTATGTAGTATGGACAACTTGGTTCCGCCTCCCGCCTGTATATGGATTTGAAGCCAAAAAGCTCTCAGTATTTCCGGGATTTTTCTTCATTTCCTGAAACCAGTGCTGCGCAGTAGCGTTGTGTGCTTAGGCGGGAGAGATGCTGTGATGACGCTCAGCTCAAACAGCGTATTCCCCGGGTGAGCAATCCCTGAACTCTATCAGGTGTCAATCAAAGAAAAACAGGAACCCCCTAATAACTTTTAAAAACTGAGCTTCACAGAAAAAAAAGGACTTGAGCACAAACCAGTCTTACTGTAACTACATTTCATCTCCACAACCAGGGGGGAGAAAAATTTGTCCATAGCTCCATTTATGACCTATACTGCAGCCCATCAACAGAGGGTGCTGTTCTCAGAGTGGCTTCACCCTGCAAGGAGGCAGACGCTGTCCATTCTATATACAGTCTATGTTTGGGACCCACTAGTTGAGAACCACTGGTTTACTGTATGTGTGCATCTAATATGAAGATTTGTTTTATCAGTGTGTAAATATTCAGGAAAAGAAAAACCTGCTTAGCCTACCTATGCTACTGCTGATTCTCCACAGTTCTCTATTGCCTGTGGGCATTTGTGCCAGAGGAGTGGCTTCATTCCATAGGACTTACCTACTGGCCTCAAAAGTAAGCAGATACTGAAGACCATACATTTATCTAATGTCAAATTTACATCAAATAATGTCAGATACAACACAATAGATTAGCACATTAGCTGTATTAGATACAGCTTTCCAAAAGTTTTTGACCTGCTGACTGAACTCATTTTGTGTTGAGGTACTGGGCCCTAGCTGTGCCAATCTACCTTCTGGTTGCGCTGGTGTTCGCTTTGGTGTCGCTGCTTGGAGTGAACATGAACAACACAGCTCCTCTAGACTCCGTGGACACCATCACAGGTGGGGTTACAGCAGTATGCAGTAGTCTGACCTTCATTTACTCATTTTACTGGTTAAGTGACAGTGCACCTGTGTGGAAACATGTTAATTTTGTATTCTATTCATAGTTTGTGTTTCAATATGTAGTTAATAAGAATACTTCCACTAAAAGTTTGAACTGTTGCTGTTACTGGGAAGCATTGTGAAAGCTTAAAATATCATAAATTGTTTTGTATAGTTTAACTTAAATATGCATGATACTTTTAAACCCACCATCCATGTGTGGATTCCCTTCTTGAGTTTCAGCTCCCTGACCCTCACCTTTGAATGTCTCATTTATTACAGATGTGTATGCTCAAGGCCAGAGTACGGAAGACACGCGCAAAGGGGGAATACCAAGACTAAAAGATGTTTCCATTAGTGAAGTCAACCAAATGTTTTATTTATCACCCAAACTATAGCAAGGACTGGTGTTAGCTGGAGACAAGAAGAGGGGAAGCTGCTACAGATTCCTTGTGGTGTCACTGTTAACGTTGTATTTTGTATGTTTTTATAAGCATGATTTATTTCTTCTGAGGAACCCTTGGATTATATTGATTTTGGTGCGCTCTTTAAACAAAACTGGATCACTCATCTCTTAGCTGGTCTTGTCTGTGTCTCACTAACAGGGATCTGTCTTAATTTCTGTCTGATTAATGAAGTCAAATCAACTCACAGAAGCTATAACAATTGTGACATGGGGTAAAGATTTACTGGATGAACTGACATGCTGTAAGTGTAACAGATCTAAATACGCAATGTTGTTTGCATTGTCTGAGAAAAATGTGTTATGGGAATATATTAAAACTGTATTCTTTTACAAAGTCCTCATTTTTTAATAAAACTTAAAAAAAAAAAAAACTTAAAATTTCATGGGGGGGCTAACAATTTTGGCCACAACTATATGTAGTATTGCCAGAGACAGTTCCACACAGTCTTTGGTCTTACTCATAGACTGTATATACTACAGACAACTTGGTTCCGCCTCCTGCCTGTATACCGTTTTGAAGCTAAAAAGCTCTCTGTATTTCCAGGATTTTTTTCATTTCATGAAACCAGCGCTGCGCAGTTGCGTTGTGCGAATTCGGCGGGAGAGTTGCAATCCCTGAACACCAATAGGCTGTATCAGGTGCCAATCATAGAAAACATGAATCCCCTAATAACTTTTAAAAACGGAGCTTCACAGAAAAAAAGAGGACTTGAGCACAAACCAGTCTAACAACAACTACATGTCAACATCACAAGCAGGGGGGAGAAAAATTAATGTGCTGTGTAATAAATTTCTAAAGTTTGTCCACAGCCCCATAAACTTTGCTGGAGGAGGCGGGATTTATGACCTATACTGCAGCCCATCACCAGAGGGTGCTTTTCTCGAAGTGGCTTCACCCAGCGAGGAGGCAGACTCTGTCCATTCTATATAAAGTCTATGGTCTCAATTTAGTGAATGGTTGCCAGTAATAGACTGTATTGCCAATGCCATCAGCTTGTAGTTTTTACTCCTTTCCACTAGGTCGCGATACAGGGCAGCCTTGCGTGCGGCTTAAACATTAAAGAAGAGTGCATCCCACTGACTTTCCGCTCTTTGAATTACTCGGTAATTTTCCTGCTTGTATTGATCAAACAAAGCGTAAAACAAATGGCTTATGCTCTCCCCGTGTGGCTCGCGGTCCAAGAGGAGCTCCTCGGAAACGACGGAGCGGACTTCGAGTCACCGAGCTGTTTCGACGACTTTGACGATGAGGCTTTGTTCCGTCTCTTTCACTTGGACAAACCATGCATCGCTTTCATCCTGGACGCTGCTCGCATTCGCATGAAGGGTGCGGCCCTGAAGAAGACCTCGATGTCCGTGGACGAGATGGTCATGGTGACACTGAATTATTACGCACACGGAGCCTCCTCCTCGACCATTCTGCAGAGGGTTGGCCAGGTCCAGACAGACTGCCTCCCCGTCATAAATACAGTATCCGGGGTCATTGCAGGCATGTCGGATCAGTTCATCTCATTCCCAATAACACACGATTCCAAAAAGAAGGTGGCATTAAAGAACAAGAAGTACTGCGGGATACCCGGCGTGCTGGGCGTTCTGGCTGCAGCGCACTTTCGGATCAGAGTCTCCCCCTATGAGGACTCGTTCAGGTCTTTTGTGAACTCTTCGGGGTACACCTCGGTTGTCAGTCAGCTCATTTGTGACTCTGACGGAAACATACTGAGTGTTGAAAAGTGCTGCCTAGGCAGCATGTTTGACCAGAAGCTGTGGGAGTCATCTTTTAAAGGGAGGGAGATGGAGGAGGAAATACACGGACCATACTCGGTCATTGGTAAGACATGTATTAAAGGTACAGGGGGTAATGAGTGGTGGCGGACTTGAACTTGAAGTATATTTAAAGTTAATTTCTGAGGTGGCTGAGAACCAGCACTGCTGCAAATAAAAAAGAATACAAAAAAAGAGGACACAATGGAAGTTAACAACGAAAAAAAAAGAAAAGAAACCGAAGCCTGCTGCAAACAAAAAAAAGAAAGGGTGCAGATTTTTTTTTTAAAAAAGGCCACAACGGAAGTGAACGACACACACAAAAGTGGTGATGCAAAAAAAAAAAAAAAAAAAGTTACTTACAGTAAAAATAAAAGGATGTAAATAATAAAAGCCGCAACGGAAGTGTGCTGCCAGGGACCAGTGATGATGATGCACTGGCGTTTTACCATCTAGGCACAGAAGACGGCAGCAAGAAGACAAGCAAAGAATTTAGTGGAAAGGTTAATTGTTTAATTTCAACTTTTCAATGTGTCATGTGGTTAGACCATGTAGCGCCTGAGTTGATATGAAGTTGAACTGGAGGATGCCGGTGTAGTGTTAGCTTTAGTTTAACTTCATATTGATTCAGGCACTACATGGTCAAACCAAATGACAACTTTGAAAAGCGCACAAAGCGAAATTAAACATTAACCTTTCCACATAGTTCTTTGCTCATCTTCTAGCTGTCGTCTTCTGTGCCTTTGTCATAAAACACCAGTGCATCATCATTATTGGACCCTGGCAGCTCACTCCCATTGTGGCTTTATTATTTGCATCCTTTTATCTTCGCATCTAGTCCCTCTTTTTTGTGTGTGTTGTTAACCTCCGTTGTGGCTTCTTTTTTTTTATCTGCACTGTTTATTTTCTTATCTGCAGCGGGCTCTGGTTTCTTTTTTTGCATCAGTGACTTCCATTGTGACTTCTTTTTTTTTTGTATTCTTTTTTTATTTGCAGCGTTGGCGGTTCTCGACCACCGTAGAGTCCAGTTTAATCTCCACTTCTTATTCAACTTACACTCTAAAACAATCATAAAAGCTCCTGTGTGAAGTGCTGGGCCAATGAAAACAGATTTAAATGAATACTGATGACTTTTAATGATTCACAAAAGCAAATTAGACAATTTGCATAAAGTTTGCACTGCACTGTCAAGTGTACACAACCACTGAAGCAGAACACCCGACTCCAGCGCTTACAGTGGCCTCAGTAGTGACCATGAAGTCCGTTTTGAAGTGCTCAGAGTGCCTCACTTTTGCTTTAAGAATTTGGCAAAAAAAAAGGAAAAGTCACATAACATTTTGTAACATTTGCAGCTGGTGTAGACAATGGAAACTTTACCTTTGGTAAAACAATGAAACTGCTTCTAAGTATGCTGAACTGCATTGCAAAATAGGAGCCCGCAAGAGACTGCAACACAAAATAGGCAGGGCTAGTCTAACAAATGCTGTTAGAGGACACAGGCCCTGACTGTTTCTCTATTGTTAATTTTGTTATATGAAACCACATCCTTTGGGTAGAGATGAAAAAAAAAAAAAGATAAACCATGCTCCTAACTGAAAAAATATACATTTTTTTAATCAATATTCTGCTTCCCTGATCAAAAAGTGAGAAACTGTTTTTAAAAAAGTCATAACATAAAATATAGATGTTATGTCATCAACATTTTGCAAATGTGCTTGTGTATTACAGTAACCCTGCACCTCACAGAGGGGGGGTTGGTGCATGTCTGTTTAAAGGGTATTGAGCTACAGAAACAATTCTCTGCTTCTTAGCATTTAAAGTACAGCACTTGTGTCTGCTTGAATAACTGTGGTTTCCTCTGTGTCCGTGAGCATCTTCAGTTCCTCAACTTAGTGTAAAGCATCAGTGGTTCTTACCTCTTACCTTGTTCCGTCTATTTTTAAGGTAGTCATCACAGCCTTTGTTTTAATGTGTTTGTTAAAATAATATCAAGGTTTGTGTTTCTGATCCTGATTTAATTGCAATCTCTTGTTTTTTTTCAAAGGTGGGAAAGGCTACAACTTAAGCAAACATGTCCTGACTCCTGTGTCGGAACCTGCAAATAGCAGTGAGAACCGCTTCAATGATGCCCACGCAAAGATTCATAATGTCATGCAAACAGCACTTGGGTGCATGAAGAGCCGTTTCAGGTGTTTGATGCAGCTTGGTTTTACACTAGAAAGCACTTTGGATAAGAAGTCCAACATCATTAAGGCGTGCTGCGTCCTGCACAACATCGCTAAGAAGTTTTCTGTGCCTCCACCACCCATCCTTGGAAAATTTGAGGCCCTGAAACCCGGCAAACAGCTTTCTGAACCAGAAATAAACCCTGAGGCCGTAAAAGCCAGACGGGAACTCATCATGGCTCACTTTTATAAGCCCTCCTATCGCAGAAGTGCTCAAAGTTGAAGGATTTTAGAGGAAGTGAGGCCAAAATTGTTTTGTTTTGATAAGCTATGTGACTCATTTATATGGTGACCCTTTATGGCCAAAGACGAGGACCAATCCTTCATTTGGGCACAGTTTTAGACAAGCTGGTGCTGTGTGATAGCAGACTGGTTTTCATTTTGCTTGTTCTCTGTGTTGTAACACATTTAAGGGCTTTTTTTTTAAATAAAATCATTTATTGTACAAGTTGAAGATCATTTTCATTTTATCTAATAATTTCATTATTTACATTTCTTTACTTATTGTCTTATTTCAGTTTTAAAACATTCTTCTGTCCTCTGAAGTTTCCCCCTCTATGATAGAATTCATAATCATGAAAATACATTAAAAAGATGAAACACAAAAATTAGAGTTAAATAAAATGTTAAGGGTAACATGGAAAAGGTGAACATAAAATAAGTCTTATATTTTCAGTGCTTAACCAAACCTAGCATGTAGGATTAAATATCAACTCTTTATTAAGTGCATCTAGACTGACAATCAACTCAAGCTTGGGAGCCTTTGTGAAACTCTCGAAGTGCAGTAGCGTTCACATACATCATGTCCTCGTTCTCATAAATGTTCTCTTCGCTCTTCTCATTTTGGTGCAGAGAGTCCATGATGCATTGGTGCAAGAAAACATACTGGGACTGAAAAAAGGAAACCACAGCAGCTGGTTATTTCAAAAGCAGAACTGTGAGCGAGGGGTGCAATAAACACATCATGATCTGCCTCACGCTTTCTTTTGTGCATTTAACCACAGCCTCAACTGGTTTACCACAATCAACTGCAAACAAAGATAACTTTTTATTTATAAAAAGCAGTATGCAAGCCTTCAGAAATATGACAAAGCTATGTAGAGGAAGCCTGCATTAGAGAAATATAACGGTACAAATATAACATTGTGATATGATGTGCAACCCTGACAGTGGATTTATTCATGCGTGGTCATCTGTGCGTTTACACATCTACTTTGGCAAAGTAAAGCACAACAACTAAATGATCAGATTGGTTTGTAAGAGGGAAAATGGGCCAGTAAAGATTGCAATATTAACTTATTCTTTTAGAGGATGCAAATGCACCTCAATATTAAAATTTAACTTTTACATATGGTTTATTAAAGGCAGCAGAAACAAAAGCAAAGCAGGCCCCTGCTTAGGTATCTAATAAAGGAAATAAAACCTCAGGGAGGTTTGTACCTCTGTTTGCACCATGTATGGTCTGCTCAGCCTCATTTTATGCACGAAAGGGTGAATGCCCACTGCACGCTCTTTCTCAAGCTGCTGAAGAAGAACATCCAAGGCAATGATCGTGCCTGTCCTCCCAACTCCAGCACTAAAAGAGACGAGGGGGAAAAAAGCCATTTTATTCTTGCCAGAAATGCTTGTCAGATGATCCTTGTGGTGTTCAAGCGAATGATTTTTATTTCATCATGCGACTCAAAAAAAAGCCATAAAATGGATTGCTTTTGCAGATCATCAGGAACTTTCTGTTGTGTACCTGCAGTGAACCACAGTAGGTGCTCCAGTCCCTTCTCTCTCAATGTGCTGTCTCACCAGACCTCTGAACCGGATTAGGACCTCTGTGCCCTGCGGGACTCCATGGTCAGGCCAGGCTGTGAAGTGAAAATGTTTCACTTTGCGCACCTCTGAGTAGTTTTTCTGTGGAAAAGAAATACATTGCGGAGTTAAAATACTGTAAGTCTAAAATTCTAACCAAGTGAATGTTAATTTAAGGAGTCAAACATCCTCTTGGAAATCAATTGTTAACAAACCAGCTATTCTGACAATTTCAACAAACTGTATTTAAACCTTTTTATTTCTGATTATTTGTGCTCTGAAGGAGATGGAGTTAAACATAATTACTATTTTTATTTACATATTTAACACTGTTGTTGCCCATCATGTTTATGTACATCGTAAATATTTTATATATGTTTACATACATGTTTCAACGTAAATTCCCTCAGTGTCCAGTTAGGCTCCTGCTGTTCATTTGTCATGGTGACTAAAAGCTCTCCACACAGGACAGGTTTTTGGTCTCCAGGCCAGTATTGTTCACACTTGATCTGAGGAAACACAATCGGTAAATATGTTTAATTAAAGTGTGTAGAAAGCAATCGATCAAAATGGGAGGTAACAACAGGACATATTGGCCTTTGCCATTTGTGAGAATGTGAGTCATTAAAGTAAATGATTTACAACAGCTCACAATATTCAAATCTGCACTGCCTATAAAATCTGCTATTTAAAGATGAACCCTCTACCTGGACTCACCTTTCCACTCTCTTTGCAGTTGGTCACCATGACAATGCCTTTCACTCTCTGCTCCCAGATCATCCTCCAGAAGTCATTGACAGTGGAGGGCAAAGGACCCTGAGTGGCAATGTACTCTCTGCTGCTGTTGTAGCCCTGACAGGACAATGGTGGAACACAAATGAATATTGGTGCAACCTTGGCAGCTTCCCTCATTGATGGAATTATGAGTGATGTTGGTTTTTAAAATTTGGTCTTACAAGCTAGAGCTTATTTTGGTAAAACATAATGGATCACGTATGGTGTTCAGTTACTGTAAAAACATCTTCACTTTATGATTGTTAGTCATAAGGTGATACCTACAGGCATGTAATTGGCATTGATGTAGTCTGACATCCCATCTGCATCTGATGAAGTTAGCTTCACTCGACACCAGTCATCTAGGATAAAAATAATAATATATGGCTTAATTGTGTTGCGCCACGACAAATAAAGATCCAGAATGGAAAGAGTCAGTGTATCTAGACAGTTTTATGAGCATTTATGGTCATTATTGCATGACGCAGCTGTCAAAGGGTAAGCTTACACGGAAGGACGTTGTTGAAACGATTCCTTGGTTTGTTTTCAGGGAGACAAGCTTCCTTGCGAGTCTGCTCGGTGCCTACAGGCGCAAGGTTCTGTACAAAGGTTGATGGATAGCATGGCAGGTGATTGAAACAAAGGTCGAAAGATAACAAATTGATACCTTAACTAAAACAGGAAGTTTTGCATTCTTACTGGAAGAAAAATGAGGAACAATAAGATTTTTTTACATACCTCATATTCCTCACTGAAACCTCTGTTTGCATCTGCACTTAACTGGTAGAAATGGTCGGGAAACTTATCCACAGAGATAGTCCTGGGGGAAAAAAAACCTCATTTGTTATATCAGTGATTTTAAATATATTATGACAGGTAGGAAAATGAGCATATACAATCAGTACAGAACAAAGACTGACTTAAATTACAAATCTGATGTATTTAAACCTTGAAACTTGGTGGAAATCAGTGCTATACAAGACCAAGAGACTGAAAGTATAGTATAAATAAAGAGATATTCAATCTATACTTACTTGGGCTTTTTATTGTTTTGTTTGGTACCGTTGATAAATGGTTTGTTTCGCCTACAGGAAATAGAAACAAGGTCCAGTAATTTAGCCTGATTCAGCAGAGTTCAGAGTAGGATAATCTGACTGAAGTCGCTGAGGCAGAACCAACCTGATTAGATCTGGTCTCTTAAACAAAATGAAGGCAACCAGAGCAACAAAAAGAAGCACACCAATAACTGACCCTGCAATGACCCCTGCAAAGAGAAAACTTTGAAGTAAATTCTCTGTAACAGAAATTCGATATGCGATTAGAGTGGTTCCCATTTATATGACAGTGACATTATCCTTTTTCCCTTCTAGAATGATAGACGGAGCAAGTCTAAAGCCCTGATAACAAATAGTGTAATAAAAAATTAAGAATAAATCACAATGAGGTTGTATTTTACAGAGCAGTAGTAACATTTTATACTCACCCCTTGGATCAGTGGTACATGAAAAAACAAACTCTGGAGATTGTCTTTCTCGGGATCGTGTAGTGACATGCACTTTATACGTTTTTGCAGGTTGAAATCCAAATATTGTGACAGTTCGATCCATATCGGAAGGTATTGTGCGAATTTCCCCACTCATAACAACCTTCACTGAATCCCAGATGCCCGGTGGTTCATTCCAGCCAATCAAAGCAGAATATCCAGATCCACTGTACTCACAGTAAGCTTCAACAACTGGAGGAACTGCGGGAAACAGCAGGAAAGAAACATTTATGAGACAATAAGAAAATAGCTCCACCAACAGTGAGTAAATGTCTCATTTTTCAAACACATAAAAATCAATGCATGTGCAGTATGTACTAAACACAATGAGGTTTGATAGGAGTTTTTCAAAGTGTACCAAATGTCAAAAAAGAACATCATTAAGGCCAATACAGAGGCGTAATAAATAACAGTCTTGCACTAATGTGAGAAAACGCTATTTTACTGAGGAGCACCAATGTTTCCTTAGGGGTTTATATGTTGATTTTAGGAACATGTCAAATATTGCTAATTACATGACAGCTCATCTCTTCACAGCTCTCACTATCAGTATGCAACAAAACAGACCTTAATTTAAAAAATATAATATATAAATAATTTTTAAAATATGTACAGTACATAAACAAACATAGAAATACAGAGGTCTCAGTAAAAATGCAGACAAACACTGAGTTAATATGGTGGAACAGGTTGGTACTTACTGGTGGTGATAGTAAATGTGTCGTCACATTGATTAAAGCGTCTGGAGTCTTTCTCAAGTACCAGTTTAACCTCATAGGTTTCTCCAGGGTAAAGACCAGTAAATGACACTTTCCCACTCCCAGTACTGTTATGAGTTTCTGATTTGTTTGATGCTGTTGCATTTGTAAACTCTCCATTAATCATTCCTGTGATCGTTGAGTCGGTGACTTGCCAGTCTCCACTTGCACAGTGTATGGCTGAAATGAATGACAAAATAATTGCACAAAACTTAGTGAAAACACAACTTTTTCAGAGCTATGACTTGTATGATTTTTATCAGTTTACACCTAGAACAGTAGTTTAACTCAAAGGAAAAATCTCCTTCAAGGCAACAACTCTGAACTTACTTGTCACTGTAAAGTCTTCATAAGCTTCACTGCTGTGTCCAAAGAATGTTGTGGTCACATTGAATGGATACACTGTCCCAGGATCAAGAGAACGAACTTCAATCTTCACAACACCATCAAATACACTAGGTTTTGGTTTGTAAGACTCCCCATTTATGTGGAGAGAGTAGCTCCAGTCTCTCCGCAAACTTGTCCACTCCAGGGTTACCAACCTCACAGAGCGTCGAGTAACTTTGACAGAAGTCACCTTCGAGGGAACTAACCGAGAGACAAAAAGCTTTCACTCACCACCAAACAATAATACAACTCTTCAATCACAAAGCCCAAACAATCACTCCTGTGTCAGACACTTTGAACATTGACGAGTCATTAATTATGAATTAAATAAGATGGACTGGCTGAGACAATGTTTGGTCACACTTCTAAACTTTCAGTTTTGTGTCCCTTTTTTTTTTTAACTCCCTGTCCAAAAAAAAGGTAAGGTGTTAAGAAACAGTATGAGAAACAGTTGAAAGAGTTCATCTCACTAACAGTAAGAGACAGTTACTCTCTTGTTTTTACAGAGCTTTGGTTGTAAGCCTATAAAGAAGAAAACGTCTCACCTGTGGCTGCAACTAAGTTTCGTCCGCTGCTTCTGACATTTTCAAATAGAGCAAAAACTCTGAAAGTGTATTTAGTCCCACTTTGAAGTTCAAGGACAGTCGTTGTCACCTGTTGATGTTCTTTTGGTGCTGTGATGTTCGTCACATTTCCACCAAACTCTAGTGCATAATTAAGGATTTGACCCACTTTTTCCCACTGCAGAGTGATGCTGGTCTCGTTTTGGTCAACTTGACCAAAGTTTTCTGCATTTGGAGGAGCTGAGATTTAAAGAGACACAGTTATGAAAGTGTCACCAGATCGGGGATACTCTAATTATGATAGACAATTTTCTTTTCCTTAATTTTATTAATAGTCAATGTCATAAAAAAATGTAATATCATAGAAGACAAACACATTCTCACCAGTAGCTGCAGAGATGTGAGCTCCACTGCTTTTGACATCTTCAAACACAGTGAAGAGGATGAAGTTGTACTTAGTCGTATTAGTGAGATCTGAGACTGTCACATTAGTTCCCTCCGATGCAGAGATGTTAATCTTATTTCCATCATACTCAAGGGTGTAATTGAATATGCCCTCTACTTTAGTCCACTCCAGAGTGATGCTGGTTTCATTTTGTTCAACAGGGCTTATCTTATCTGTGTTGCGAGGAGCTAAATTGTAAAGAAAAGAAGGGCAGGGTTACAATTTTGGAAAAAATACAGATCTAAATAAAGGATTCATAATGTAATCTAAATATTTAATCTGCTGCAGTCAGTAATAGAGAGCACTAATCTTGTTTTTACATTGAAAATTTAGATTACATTTTACACACAGTTCTCACCAAGCTCTTGTTTCAGATGTACCAGGGGGAAAATGTCTTACCAGTGACTGCCGTAAACGTCACCCCACTGCTTGTGACGTTTTCAAACACAGTGAACACACGAAATTCATATTTCGTCCCACTCTGAAGTCCAGAGGCTGTGAATGTCACCACTGAATCTCCTCCTGGTGAGCTGATGTTTTCTTCATTTTCATTGTACATGACTGTGTAATCAGGTAGGCCATCCACCTTTTTCCACTGCAGAGCGATGCTGGTTTCATTTCGTGCAGCTACGTTGAACTTTTCTACATCACCGGGAGCTGGAGAGTACAGCAACATGACAAACAGCATGAATTTTTACTTTTATAAGATGAAAGCTGACAAGATAGTGCTGACATCATATTACACTTCAGCAGTTTTCAACCTCACAGAGGTCATGACATCTTAAAGTTAGTAATGATAATATGACTGATGATAGTTTGTTGTCATCACTTTGAACTATATTGTAAGCCTTTAACGGATTAGAATCAGTTTACCTGTGACTGCAGTGAAGGGAAGTCCACTACTGCTGACATTATGAAACACAGCAAAGAGACTCAAGTTGTATTTAGTCCCTCTTGTGAGTCCGTGGATTGTTTTTGTCACTGTTGCTTGACCTTCTACAGCTGGAATTTCCTCCAGGAATGTCTCATTGAACCCTAATTTGTAGCTGAGATTACCCATTCTCTTCCACTGCAAGGTTATACTGGTCTGGTTTTGTCCAAGTATTACTAGGCCGTCTGGATTTGGAGGAGCTTGGATGTAAAACAACATGGTGAAGAAACTGTTAAAATTGGGGGTTTAATTAAGAAGTATGTAATATCCGATGTTCAACATTTTCATGTTTTTTAATGTTTTTTTTTTTTTAAGCACGCTTATGCAAATTCAATATTATCAAAGCAACAACAACAGATGAGAGCTTGCATTTCTGTAAAACTTTCAAAAACAAATAAAGCAAGGTCATAAGAAAACCACACATCTTTAAATCTGTGTATTTGGTTATGGATTCTGTTTAATGGCAACCAGAGAGGAAAATCATTCTCTTACCAGTGGATGCTCTGATGCTCACTCCGGTGCTTCTGTCATCTTCAAACAAAGTGAAGAGAGTGAAGGTGTACTCAGTCGTATCCGTGAGATCTGAGATTGTCCTTGTCACCGTGTCCTCTGATACAGTGAAGTTCTTACTTCCTGAATTATACCCAACTTCATAGTGGTCGTTTTCCACTTTAGTCCACTGTAGAGTTATACTGGTCTCATTTTGATCTATGTATTTAAAATCGTTCGCATTACGAGGCCCTAGGATACATAAAAAGTTAGTTAGTTCCCCTGAATGGATGAAATCATCAAATCTCTATTGTATCTTTGGTTTTGTATACAATCTCTAATGCAAATTTTATTTTGAATATCTCATAGATGACATCTATTGTGAATGTTGTATATTTAAGCAGTGTATCAAGTGTTACTTACTGGTAAACGTTTCCTTTATTGTTCCAGTGCTGTTGGCTCCATTTAATGTAGTGATGACTGTGAAGTCGTATTTTGTCCCAGCTGTCAGGTTAGTGACTACATGTGAAATTGTTGGCCCTGTGCTGGTATCATTAATGAGTACCTCCTTGTTGCCGTTGTGTCGATATTGAACAAAGTAGAACGGGATGTTATTGACTTTGTCCCATTCCAGAGTTATACTGTTCTCAGTTTTAATTGTCACGGTAATTTTCCTGACATTATCTGGGGCTTCAAACGGTTGCATAGATGTAAGAAAAAGAAAAAAAAAACAATATGAATCACTAACATTAATGACATTGTGGCTATTCATGATGGTTGTTCACATAATTCTCACTTACGTTTGAGTGTGGTTAAAACTGTGGTTATCGGTGCTGTTGTTACCGCTCTGATTGATGATGTGCCTGGTGTTGATTCTGCATTAGAGTCGGCCACACCCTAAAGACAAAATTAAACACTGTTGTCCCATCGTTGCAGACACATTCATTGGTTTATACAGTGTACAAGGTTGGGAAAACTTCAGTGTAAATTCTCTGTGTCTTCAAGAAATGTCACCATACCATGCAATGTTCATATCATACTCTATCTACCAGCCTTTAAATGTCAACTTATGTCAAAGTTTAGGACAACACTACTATTTAGAGGTGTTTGACTCTGTTATAATGTTAAATCCTGTTCAAAAGTGAACAGGCTTATTGGCAGGTTTTTAAATCCTCTAACAGAAACATATATTTGTTGTTGTTGTGACCTTGAAGTACGATTGACCGCAAAATAATTCTTGAAATTGTTTCAGAAATGTCTTTATTTTACCTCGACCTCTAAATCATCATGTTAAAGTTAAAACACCCCAGATACAAAACTAAAAGAAGTTGGCAAAAGAGTGACACAGAAACTGCTGCTAACCACTGTCTTTCAAAATGACAGAAAGTCCCATTTATTGAGTTCGGATATTTTTGGACCATGCTGACAAAATACATCTCCCACGACCTACACTTTTTTTTTTACCAAATTATGACTACAAACGTACAACTTTTTTTTTCCTCTCGAAAAGCAAGGACTGGTATAAAAATTTCAAGCCACGTAACGCTGTCTAAAATTAAAGAACGGAAAAATCAGGGGGGAAAAATGCTGAATGCACAGCTTTTGTTAATGTTTTATTCAAAGCCATTTCCTCTTAAGGGTTTGTTCCCCTGAGGAAGTCAGTGAGAAAAGATAACTGCTGCTGAGAAATAATAAATTCTCATGTAACTATTTCACAATCTGAAAAAATCCATCATCCTCAGGTTAAGGAAAGTCTGTTTTTATGTAATTAGGCTACTTATATTCCAAACAACTGATTCTATTGTCTAAACTTTGTCATGAGTGGTATCATGAGGGGAATCTTAACTGTGGTTAAGTCTCCTTCTGTTGAGGGTTACCCTCTTCACTGGATTGATCATTCATTATTTGAGGTCTACTGACATATAAGCTTACAGAAAAACTTACCCAAAGAAGAGTCAGGAAGACACACAGCAGAGTCTTGTCAGAGATGATGTGGAAAGATAAAGGCTTCATCGTGCTACAATCGAAAGCTATACAGATTCTGAACTTTTCATTTTGTTTGTCCTCGCAAGATCAACCTTAAGTTTCGGTTTTCAGTCCTTTCTCAGGCGTCTTGACAAAACAACAACCCTAAAGACTAGCAAAGTAATTCTTTATGCCAGGCCTGACACAGTTCAGTGTTTCTCTCCCAAGGTGTTGACTTTTAATTCCAAACCACGTCCTCCCTCTGTCGCCTGGGTCTCTTCTCACATAAGCAGATAGTGACTTTGTATATAGCTGCTTCTCCTTTTTGGCCTTGTACAACCGCAGGGACCTTTGCCCCGCCTGTTACTTCCTTATTCACGGTCAAAGTGTCTTGCGTTTGCATACCTAATGGAGGTTATTGCTTTATTCTGGCTGTAAAATACAAACCTACTTCAAAGATTAGGGTCTATTTAGCTTCATGATGCATGGGTTCAAAATCTCAAGAAAGATGGTCATTCTAGTGAGTCTCCAGTGAAAATCACCATTCTCTTCAGACAGGGATTTCACAGCACAGTAGATTTGCTTTTGGTTTCTTCAGGTTGTCTTGGGGTGACAGTGATGAATATAGTTCCCGATAACTTATGAAGAACTGTGCTTAGAGAAGCATCACCATTAGTAAAAGTGTTTATAATGCAGAAATACCATGAAAGAGGGATGTGTCAAAGAGTTTATTGTCCAACAGTCTACTGTTTGGTAGCATGAGACGGAAGTTATATCTCGCAAATCATCGTGATTTCCCCTGTTATATTACCTACCATAAAATGATCTGACTTTTAAAAAGAACAACTAGAATGAGCCTCTATATACTGAGCATAACTTCTGGTTGTTTGAGGGGCATACGCCAGCGAAATTCATGCAAACTTACAATTTTTATTATGCTCAGCCCATGTCTGCATGGAAATTTAATTTATATGAAGACTTCCACTGTCCTTATACCATCAGGTGTACAAAAGCTCATGTTGGCAACAAATGTTACTCAATACCAGTGCTTTACATTTAAGTACATTTTAGCGACAAGCAATTCAAAGTGCTTTACAAAGACATAAAACTCATTACAGAGATCAGGAAACATACAAAAAACATAAACAATCATAAAAGGAAAAAGGTGAATTTGGTGTTCAAACACATTTGCAGGTAGTAAACTTTACAGCTCAAACACGGTTACATAAATTCGTTTTAGATGATTTTGTCGGTCTGGCAAGTTGAGGCAAAAATGCCTGATTTCCTAATAAGTATAATTAAGTATACAACTGAGTCTTATTTGTCTCCTTTATCTGCCGAATTATTAAACTATCATGATTAAAATGAGGTTGTAGTAGCTATAAAGTGAGACTTAATGTTGTAGAATATGCCATGCATTCCCCAGTCCACGGGGTGGCAGCAGAGAGGCACACAGACTGAGATTACACAAACGAGACAACGAGTCTGTGGCGTGTAAACAAAGATAAAGCCACTTACTCTCCTGGTGCATTGGAGTAGCGTTACTATCACAGACAAGGTAAGTGAAGAGAAACTTCAGTGGTTAAAGTGAGCCGAGCGAGAAACTGTCAGGTATTTCTGTTCGGTAGCAAATATCTAGTTAATGCTGTGCAAATGTTAATGTTAGCTAAACAATGTAGCCTCAGCTAAGGGGTCAATGTTTGTTTACACGTCAACATATCAGTCGCTGTTTAATCGTGTCTTCACCCAAATATCTCTCTGACTTTTCTGCTAATGTGGACAATACCTTTGTTTTGCTCCAGTTTCACCTCACTCGGGTTATTTGGCCTTCAGTTTACCATGGTTGCTAAGTTGATATGCTAATGTTAGCCTCACCTCTGGAGCACCTGACCACAAACGGTTCAACCCCCTTGAACCTAAACCTCGCAATGACACATGACGACTTGGCTGATGTGACAAAAGCTGTTAAATATCGGGTCCACTAAGGCAGGCAAGCAAATAAGAGCAGAAGTGAACCAGTGAACCAAGGCATCTGATAGTGCAGTGATCTGACTCAGAGAGAAGGTGCTTGAAATAGTTATTGACTTTTGTCTCTTTTAAACTAGGACACCTACCCGATTTAAGTGAAGTAACTGCATTGTCTAACTCTGTTTTACTCTTTTATGTGTCTTACTTACAGAAATGATGTCTGTGGTCAAACAAAACCTCCATGCGGAGACTGAAGGAGACATCAACAAGCTGATCAACCTGAAGCTCAATGCATCCTACACTTACCTTTCTCTGGTATGAAGACTGTAACAGGAGCCTAAATCTATAGTAAACATAACAATAATACTTTATTTGATAGGGGTCTTCTTTCTTATATAATCTGTACTTGAATTCTGATCATGTAATTCTTCTATTTCTTCAGGGGATGTATTTTGACAGGGATGATGTCGCCCTGCCAAATTTCTCCAGCTTTTTCTTGGAGCGCTCAGTGAAAGAGAGGGAGCAAGCCGAGAAGCTGCTGGAGTATCAAAACATGAGAGGAGGACGAATTCTGCTTCAGAACATTGCTGTTAGTACATCGTGTTCCTTTTTTCTTACATGGGCTTAAGTGTAGTGCTTCCCTACTTTTGAATTTGATCTGTCTTCATTTTAATTTTGAAGTAGTTTCTTCAAAAGCCAATTTTAATATCAGTTTAGTTTGTTTGATTTTTCCTTTTTTGATAAAGCATGGTGTAGTTTACGTTTCACTAGCTGCACTGTTTGTTCTAGTCTTTCAGCGGCAAAACTGAAACTGATTTGAACGAGAACTTGAGTCTGACAATCTAGTTTTCGTTATTCCACAAGTTTTTATTTATGATCATCTTAGTGCCATTTTTAAGGCTTTTTTTTTTAATCAAGTTTTGTATTTCTTAGTGTAATAATTATTTCCCTTTTCTGTTTTAGAAACCAAGTAGAGAGGATTGGCGAGGTGGTCTGGATGCAATAACTTTTTCTCTGGATTACCAAAAGTCCCTGAACACATGCGTCTTGGATGTGCACCGCAGAGCTGGCAGTCACACTGACCCTCATGTAAGTGTGACACAGCGTGATAGTCAAACGGCCATGTTTTCATCTCTGGTTTTGAGCTGATAGCAGCTTTTAAAGAAATGACACTGTTGCATGCTGTCGTAGGTTCTGTGTGAGAAAATAGATGTTACGTGCTGAGAGCGATCCTGGTCTGGGAGATCCTAGGGTTGCTTTACGGAAGTTCTGGAGATTTCAATGTAGTCACACGAAACTAGAGTGACCATAATGCTTATTAGGTCCAGTTAAAAGTTTTATTTTCTACATCCTTTGCCAAGTTTATGACATTAAAAATTTACACTCTTTCATTCACACTATACTATACTGTACTATACTATACTATACTATACTATACTATACTGTACTGTACTATACTATACTATACTGTACTATACTATACTATACTATACTATACTGTACTGTACTATACTATACTATACTGTACTATAATATACTATAATATACTATACTATACTATACTATTTTTTGTCTTCCTTTTTCTATAGCTGTGTGACTTCCTTGAGCAGCACTTCCTCACTGACAGTCATGAGACCATCAAGAAGTTGGGAGACTACATTGGCAGTCTCACCCGTCTCACTTCGTCCGAGACCCACGGTCCTATGGGAGAATACCTCTTTGACAAACACACTCTCTAAAAGTCACATCAGCGCAGTGACACATGCTCCACATTTCAAAAGCTATATAGAGTTGAGAGGGCAACATCCCTCAAAATGGGCTTTGTACTCCGTTAAGAAAAAGTTTACCATGAATTTCAATTTTGTACCAGCAGCACCAGCAGCACAAGCAAAATAACAGGAAATACCTCAATTTATCTTAAAAACCATGTTTGAAAAATAATCTCACTGAAATGGTGCTTCAAACTACCATTTTCTTTTTGATGGGTCATTTGTCCATTTGGAATCACTCTTATAACTTGTCATACATTCCAGTCTGTCATAAGTTTCAATATGCAAAAACATCTTTGTAAAAAGCATAACATTTTGGGTTACACAAAATTATGTATAAAAAAAGGGACTATGATTGAAACATTCAATAAATTAGATTATGCGAACATTGACTTTTTTATTTTTATTTTTACAACCAGTGCAAAAGCTAGATTATGTGTGTGAGTCATCTGATCTGTTGTGAACACCTTGTTTTTTGACTAATATGTCTGAACATATAGAACTTGTGGAGATAACAGCAGGACTTTGCTTACTCACTGCTGGGTGGGAGCTTAATGTTTAACAATAGCCCGCCAGACACTTAGTGGTCCAAGAAGTCTAGTAAATTGCATGTTCTAGCACTGATAAGAGTCCGCTGTAGAGCACAGTATGTCATGTGAGTGCATCACAGCTACTGTCCTGTTTTTTTGCATATAGGGCAGCAACACATTAAGTTAAATTAAAAACTACTGAGTAAAGAAAGAGGGCAAATCAATTCAGTTATAACTGATTTATATCAAATCAATTAGTTCTTGATTAAAAAAAAAACAAAAAACTTGTTACTGATGAATCATGGGTTTGCTGACAGAACACCATTAAGGTTAAATACTTACAGTTTAATCCAAGGGATAACGTTAGAATAGGTGTTCCATTTATTAGAGTTTCCCCTTGTAGTTCAGTAATCAAACTGCTAAAGGAAGCTGTTTTATGTCGGATTGGAGCCCCCCTGCGATCAGCAGATGAAGCAATGCAAGCACATGGCAGCATGCCTGCAGATTACACTTCACAGCGCTCTAAATATGGATATGTGAGTTTCGTACAGTAAAATGGTAAGCCAAGTGATAGAATATCCTCTCAGTGAAAGTTGTGGGTAGATTGACTGCAAGGACAGCTATGCAGGGGGGATTAGTGGAGGGCAGGATGCACACAATCTCTTCAGTCTAATGGATGAACAACCACCCCGCCACGTCGCATGAGTGTAACGAACAATATTACTATTCAATAAGAGGAATTTCTTCATCGATGTGAAAGTGTGAGATCTTCAACAAAGAAGAAATTCATGAGAAGTTAGTTTTTGCCTTTTAAGCATCTCTGTGAAAAGACATAAAGCAACAGATGTGTTGTTAGTATTCTAATATCGAGAGGAGGGCTGGAGGGGGATTAAATCACAATGCTGCTCTAGTGATTTGCCAGCGCCTGGGCTTTGATAGACAGGGTTGAAAAGAGCATGTCAGTCAGAGTCAACAACATACAGAAGGATGTGAAGGGTGTGAGGACAAAAGGAGGCAACAAGAAAAATATTCCAAACTTCTTTGGGTGTAGAGGGAAGGAACACTAACAGGTAAGGAAAAAAAGAGTTTCAAACTTTTCTTTTTTTTTTTTTGGTTAACTGAAGAGCATCACATTTCAAGCAAACTGAGTTGCTTAGAAAAAAAAACATCCTTTTTTTTTAAGAAAACTCAATTTTTTTTAGATATTTTTGACAATCTATGATGGTTCTACTGATGAGATGTTTGCGATATCTGCTGATAATGCTCACTTATGCTCATAATGGTCCAATTTAGTTTTTTAAATGTAACATTTCCCCCTTTGTAACTTGACAAAATACATCAGTTTTTTTCTATTTTACTAATAAACAGCTAGATAAATATTGTAAACAATCTTTGTTTCCACTGATTTATTTGGTCGTCTACCAGGCTTCCTTTAAAAAGTTGTGATCAACAGCTCAGGGCTATAATCAATGGATATTATGGGCAGTGTAAACACACTAAAGTACTTCTCATAATATAAATTATACTCTCATAAAACCCTGTAATGATAACTGTGGGACTTTGCTTAATCACTGTCAGGTGGAAGTTTAATCTTTAACGCTTGGCTAACAGACAATTTTGGTTCAACATATCCAATAAATTACATGTTTCAGCACAGATAAGATAAGACCCATCTTTAGAGCACAGTACGTCAAATGAGTTCATCCGGGATGGGTCTCACTTTGCTTTGTAGGTGTCTCAATGTCGTCTAGTATAATACAGTGCTGATATACAGTTTACTGTATGCGGAAAATAGGATTGGATCAATTCTGCATTTCCTTTTTATTGTGGACTAAATTAAGTCTTTGACTGAGCATTATATAACATCTGACTGAGAACATTGGTAGAGCGTAATCAAAATGCCCCCTACAGTTGGTATTTATGGTTCGAGTCTACAGCATTGCCTTTGAAAGCATGGATCTGTTTACTTGTTGATACCATAAGACTGAGAATAAACCTCTATTAGAATTTATATTTGGAGTTTTCCTTTAGCTTGGCCCAGGGTGTCACTTTAAATGATAAACCAGATGGCTGTTATTCAAGAGAACTCAACATGGAGAAAAATTGATGAGGGAGACTATCCCTATTTGTTCAAGCTATGGGGATCTGGGATTTTGGATTAATAATGTAGTGCTAGAGTTTAATCCAGTTACATGCAGAGAGTGAAGGGAGGAAAATGGGGATGGAACAAATGGGGGAGTGAACGCCTGAGTTATGGGAGGAGGAGATGACAGAGAGAATGAGAGTAACAGAGGGATTAGGGTCAGCCATGTTGAGCATCTGGCTTAGAGATCTCCAACTGTACTGCAACGCATGGACATCAGGATTACATATGAATACATATGAAAGTGTGTTATTCGTCGCAGTAGGGCCAAAATGACAGAGAACATAGCAAATCAACACCACCTGAATATTTACTCAAATTCTGTGGTTTTCACAGCAGACATGAGGGTGGTCAGCATCCGTGCCAGGAGGGCTGCAGAGTCACCCGAACCGGAGTCAGAGGAGGCAACAGAGCCAGTTCATCATGAGCACTCAGAGCACCACACAGAACACCGTGAACACTCCCACACAGAACATCACCCTGGACATGACTACAACCACATGAAGGAGAAATTTATGAATGAACTTGGTCATCTGCCAAGTAAGCACCTCCCTCCAATGGTCAACAGAAATACATCATTTAGTTAACTTAATGAATTAATGTATATTTTGCCACTGAAAACTAAATAACTTTATTTTTAGTGGAAAGAAAAATCAACTTCCTGTTAATTTTACAATTTCAAGTGCTGCATTATAAGTCTTTCTTTACATTTATATTACACTGTTAGGACTAAAAGAATCTTTTAATTGTAGTATTAGCCATTTTGAACAGTCAGTCTTAAATAAATCAGGATAGAAAAGTGAAGAATTTTACAACTGCTGAAGTGTTGTAGTAAGGCACTAAATGCTGGCGAGCACTGTTGTTGTAGGGACACTCCTCAGCCAGGAGTGTGTTATTATCAGATTATGGTCGAGGGTGTTGTCTAGATCCCACTTGCCAGCTAACTGTCCAAAGATAAACAAGTGTTAAATTAATTTTCGGATCATGATAGAGCTTACCAAAGAACCCTGAATTTAACTGTTAGAATTACATGTTATATATTTTACATTAAACACTTTCTCTTCTAAGCTTTGAGGGATAAGAAGAAGTTTAAATGAAACCTTCAACAGTTTTGTTGGACCCTTTCTGTGTTAGAAGAACAAGCTGACAAGTGAAAGTGGTTCTTACTTCTTTTAAAATATTAATGGGAAAGATTTATATCCTCATATTGGTCATGTGCAGTTTTTAGAAAATGGTAGACAGATTTAAATATTTTTTGCTTATTTAGATATTAATGTTTACAAATAAATGTTATACAATGTTTTTTTGTTTTTTTGTCTGCTAGTAGTCAAAGTATTTTGTAAATCCCTGTATTTAAAAGTACTTAAAAGTTATTATTAAATAAAGTTATTATTTTGTAGTTATCTGACATCTTGTTCTGTCTGACCGACTTTAATTCTGCGCAGTGGAGACAAATGTGTGAACTAACCTCCTTTAATGTTGCAGTTCCCATGTGGGCAGTAGCTGCCATTGTTGTGGTAGTCCTGGTTTTGGTGGGATGCTTCATCTTCTGTCTTTTCAAAAAATGCTTTGGGAAAAAGAAAAAACCCAAAAAAGTGAGGGAGAGGAAGACGGGTCGGCGCAGGAAGGAAAAGGAAGGTGACGGGGAAGCAGGAGAGAAGGTATGTGATCTTCGGTTACCTCAACTTGTGTGTTTTAGTGAAGATGTCAATCTTCACAATGATTATCCAGTGCATTGTTGCTTTGATTTTGTAGGAGGGTGAAGTGAAGAAGCAGGGTGAGGAAGAGGAGAAGGAGCAGGAGAAGCTGGGTAAACTAGAGTTCTCCTTGGACTACAACTTCACTGATGCCCAGGTAAGTCTCCTAAGGGAACAATGTTATTTTCAATTTAATCCCATTTATGACAAAAAGAACTTACAAAATCTATTCAGGACCATTTTATGATTCTTGTTTTCTCTCTTCTAAAGCTTATAGTGGGCATCCTTCAGGCTCAAGACCTTGCTGCTATGGACATGGGAGGGACCTCTGACCCCTATGTCAAAGTGTTTTTGTTACCAGACAAAAAGAAAAAGTACGAGACCAAAGTTCAGCGCAAGAATTTATGTCCTGTTTTCAACGAGACGTTCATCTTTAAGGTACCATGCACTGACATCAAGTGTTTGTTGTCTTGTTAATGTCTGTTTGTTCTTTATCTTGTCTTATGTCTCTGTCGCAGCATGTGTTCGTGTTGATGACATGTTACTTTTTTACCCTCAAGAGACAGGAGTTTGGACTATGTGTCTACCTCCCCTCGTCTGTTGTCTGTCCTCTTGAATGGCGTCTGTTAAGGTATCCATCCCCCTGAAAAAAAGTGTAGTATGTTTATAGCTGTCTCTTGTCACTTTATGTCCTCTGGTATTGTCTGGATCTGGAAATTGAGTAGTCTTCACTAATGTCATGACCTCTTCCCCCCTCTCTAAATGTATTTTTAAAACTTCTCTTTTTAGATTCCGTATGCTGAGTTAGGAGGAAAAACCTTGGTGCTGCAAGTCTTTGACTTTGATCGATTCTCCAAACATGACATGATCGGTGAGATTAAGATTCCCATGAACAGTGTTGATTTGGGCCAGCCAATGCAACAATGGAGGGACTTGGAAAGTGGAGAGAAAGAGGAGGTATGATACGCTGTGTTTTTATCCATCCATGTCTAAGTTAGTGAAAATGTAGGCATAGATAAGCAGACTGAAAAACACTAAATAGATAGTTTTGGCCATATTTATATTTCTTCAGTGACAAACTAAAACAACGCCCAGAATATCCAGTTTAATAAAATTTTCTGTAGTTTTATTTTTGAGGGCTCATTTGTAATTTTTTTTCTTTTAGCAAGAAAAATTGGGGGACATTTGCATTTCTTTACGCTATGTACCCACTGCTGGAAAACTGACAGTGAACATCATGGAGGCTAAGAATCTGAAGAAAATGGACGTTGGTGGCTTATCAGGTATTAAAGCTACTTGATATTGTTCTCTCATAAATCTTACCTTTTGTAAGAATGGGAAAAACCAACAAACTCCTATAAACATAATAAAGTCACAATTGTAAAACCTCTTTTCTCTCCTATAAGATCCATATGTTAAGATTGTTCTACAACAAAACGGGAAGCGCATTAAGAAGAAAAAGACAACAGTGAAGAAGAACACGCTCAATCCATACTTCAATGAAAGCTTCAGCTTTGATGTCCCTTTTGAGCAGATTCAGGTATGCTGTCTTTTTATCTCAACCTGTCAGACATTTTACAGACATAGAGAACCAGCCAAAAGTTTGGACACACCTTTACATTTAGTGGTTTTCCTTCATATCTATTGTTTTTTTCATGACTACCTCATGAAACCGAGTGAATGCCAAGGGTGTGTAAAGCTGTCATCAAGGCAAAAGGAGGCTGCTTTGAAGAATATAGAATCTATTCTCGTTTGTTTAACACTTTATTATTCCCTACATAATTTCACATGTGCTTCTTCATAGTTTTGATATCTTCAGTATTAATCTGAAATGAAGAAAGTAATCGTTTGCAGGGAAACCTCTGAATGAGCTGGGAAGTCCAAACTTTTGACTTGACTTGCGAGTGTTGTTGGGGTGGATTAATTGATAACACTCTTTTCTTTGTTATCTCAGAAAGTGCAGGTTGTCATCACAGTGTTTGACTATGACAAACTTGGAAGCAATGACCCCATTGGGAAAACTTTCATGGGTTATGGAGCAACAGGAGTTGGCCTGCGACACTGGTCAGATATGCTCGCCAATCCCAGACGTCCAGTAGCCCAGTGGCATACGCTTCTGCCAGAGGAAGAGGTTGATGCAGCAGTCAAAGCAAAACCACGTTAGAGTTTAACTGCTAATACACTGTTCATCTTGATGTCGTCTCAAATTTGTTGTGCTTTTTTTTAGTAGCTTTAATGTCTTTGCACGCATGTGTATCAGTATGTGTGTGTGGTAAAGGTAACTTTTGATATTTGTTTGCTATTGAAACCTGAGCTTCCTTTATTCATTTTGTGGCGTAACCCTCTATGAACTCTATGTGAAAATGTAGAAATGTATATTTTGTGTATTCTCATACACTGCATGGCCTAGTCTAATGATAAAAAAGAGAGATTTCACAATCACTGTGTTGTGAAATTTATGTAAGCATTGGGATCAGAAAGCATCTACATCTCACTGTTGATAAACCAGGTCCTCTTGCCTTTTTTGTTGTGCTGTGGTGCAGCAGTTTTGACAATGTCTGTTGTAATGTTCTTGATCTTGTACACAAAATAAAAGCAAATTGGACAGTTTCCCAGCAATGTCTGTATTATTATCTGGTCAAAGTAAATAAACAGTTTACACAAATGTTGTTTCATCTGCGAGAATTAACCAAATAAAAGCTTTAGATGTTGTAGAAATTACTCCAGAAAACTACATGTATGTAGTAATATTCCAACCGCACAGTTCGGTCTATCGCCAGGAGATGGCGCCACTCTTCCTCATTAGGTACCTGTTACCTAGCAACAGGACTCAAACCGTTAGGTCAGATGGTTAGCAGCAAACTTCCCATTGCGGACATTAAACAGCGATTTGGGTGAGTTTTCCATCATTTTATGTTTCATGTAATAGTTTTTAGCTGCAGCCTACTACAGGTTTTTCTTCATACTGATATCAAAGACAGCTTTGAGCCTCCGCATACCAGAAAGTACTACTGTTGTTTGCATGAGTTAACGTTCGTGTTAAACTGAGTGAACCTAATGTCCGTGCCAACTGACACTGAGTCGGAGGGCATTAAAAGTCACACCAGTGCATGAGTAATGAGCTGACAAGTCTAGTCCACAGCCATGTTTGTCTGTCTTTGGGACACTTTACAGGATGAGTGCTGGACAGGCGAGCGAGGGTGCCGGCTGCGTCACCTGGTGGGGCTTTAGTCCCGCGCGCGACCTTCTGAAAACCGGTGAGAACTTTTTTTGGCACATGAGCGCGCACATGGTGCCGCATGTATGCGACAAATCGCCTGTGTGAAAATGGAAATTATTGACTTAGCTGAATTTTGTCATGCTGGGTTTTAGTGTGGCACGGCAGAAGTAATCTACTTTAGCTGTGTATTTGTAAGAGACAACACCACTTAGAGAAATAACGACCAACCTCTAGCAATTCTATCATCAAGTATAAAACATGAAACAAGTTGTAGGGAAGACCGGGGCTTGTTGTCACATGGGTAAGTTTTCACATTGCATTTATCTTTGCAATGAAGGCACAACTAAAAAGTGGAATACTAGTTTTCTTCCTTTACATGGTCAGGGGTCGTGTCCTGTCTGAGATGAGAAGAGAAGAGCAAATTGTGAGCTGAGATAAGAACCAGTAGACCATTTTGCACAACCCAAAGTTAAAAAAAAAACTATATATATATATTTTTTTATTTTTATTTTTTTATTTTATTAAATAAGCTTCTTCCAGATAAAAATCATAGCTGTGATACACATGGACTTCTTAGAGGAGAGACTAAGGCATCCTGTCATACCTCAGTCATTGTTCTATTTTAAGCTAACTTTAATCCAGAGCTAGAATTAGCAAATATGATAGTTTGGGGCAACATGTCTCAGTCATTTTGGGGTTAGTTGTCACATGTTTAAAAGAGATTCAAATTAACATAGAGAGTCTGCTTATCAGCAGTTTGACTTTATTTTTAGACATGGTCAGGAATTACACAAGAAAAACTGAACATGGTAGTGCAGTACCTGACGTGTTGCTGAGGACAGTCAGACAGGTGACCCTATCTAATAAATCAATCTGGAGTACAATAAAGGACTTTCATGTCAACTACCAAACCTTAGCTTGGTACTGCAAAACATTCACCCCAGCCAAAATACAGTCAGACAGCTCTCCAAACTCCAGAGCATGTTGCATAATATTTTGTGTTAACGTTTATTAGTGGCTATGTTAAACGACTTTTTCCAGCTCAATGATAAATATTATTTGTGCCTGACTTTGACATTCACTTTTATGTAAAAAATGAGAACAACAATAATTTTGTCCTTGTTTTATTAGCTGCAAAATCCACAGTGACATCTTGTAGTAAGACAACTTACCCGATGGTGGGGCAACATGTCACATAATCACACTCTCTGTTTGATTGCTTATAACTCTGCACTGACACAAGATATGAAAATGACAGGAATAAGAAATATATACCTGAGACTTTGGTCTTTCATCTAGTATACATTTTGTTTATATATGATGTATTGATTGCAAGAAATATACAAGAGTGTAAAAAGTGTGACAAGAAGCCCCATACTCCCCTGAATACTGTTCTGAATGTGTGGCTTTACTTGTAATGAACCATATTTGACATGGTATTGTTGGCATAAACTTTATTGTTGTGTTTGATATTTTATAACTGTAACTAGACAAATAGGTTAAATGTCTGAGCAAGTGAGGACACAAAACTTCACTTTGCTTTCCTCTAAACAGCCTTGTCATGGGCTTTTAATGCAATTTTTTTTACTTTTAATCATACATACTGTGCATTTTATACTCTTCAAATTACAATTGAAACTTGTGATTGATAGGACATTTATATATACAATTAAAGGATAAGTAAACCAACAAATGACCATACATTTAATGTTTTCTATAACACTGCCAGGTGCCAGTTTAGCTTAGTGGTTAACTTACACACCCCCAGTCTCCCAAGTAGAGTACCAGGCAGCCTAGATTTGACTCCAGTCTTAAACAGCCTTGAACTTCCAACTTAAAGAAGAAGGGCTAAGAGCTTTGTATGTTGTTTTCAATTGCTCTTTTACCAGTATGAATTCTCTCTGTGTGTCTAGGTCCTGTTAGACCCGAACAAGCAGCCAATGTTTTACTGGTTGGCAGTGGGGATCCTCGGCATATTCTGAAAACCATAGCTGGATTGCAGAATGAAGAAAGCCTTCATGTAAGTCTCAGTCTCTTAGGTTTTTTGGTCATTTGTCTTTTGAAGACAAAGTTTTTTGCTCCACTATAAGCTACTAAAGTTTTTTCTTTACTATACTATAGGTGTGGGTAGTAGAGGACAGCATGGAGGTGGTGGCTAGGCAGCTGCTGCTTCTCTACCTGGCTCTGATTCCCCAAGAAAGCATGGGAAATAATGGTGACTTGGGTTTTGTTTGATTCTTTTATTTAACTTTAGTGAGATTTAAAGTCTTTTTTTTCCAAGTGTGTCCTGGTCAAGATATGCAACAGCAGTTTAATAATTTACAGTACCAATATTCAATAAAGATATTAAGAAAACTAGAAGTATCATATGTATTGTAATATATTTATGCTAATTTACCATGTTTTTACTGCCCTCAGAGAAAACAGAGATTTTCCTGGAGGTGTTTGGGAACAGTGAGATCCGTTGTCAGACAGATGAGGCTCTGAAGAGTGTTGCATCACAGCTCTCTTTAGGTGTCACTGAGACATTAGAGAAAGCAGCACACCCATGTCTGAACACAACTCTTCTTAAGGTACAACTCTAAATGACAGAGGTTTACAGATTCAGGGAAAATGGACTTATGTCAGACTCTCTGAATATTTCTACAGTTTAAAGAGAGAGATGAACTTGCCAGAATATTCAAGTCATGGACCCAGCCTCAGTCTTCTACTCCCATCTTAATGTCTAAAGCCTGGGATTATCGGGTCAGGCAGCACCTCGGAACCCGCTATGACTCTAAGAAAGGCAGCTTCGACTGGGACCTTTCGATGAAACTGCACGAAAAAGGGGTATTTTAATATTTATCGTTATTTCTTTTTTGTGGATTAAACTATGATAGATTTTCAACAGATCAGAGTAATTTTTAGGCCTGTAATTTTCTACTCTTTATTTGCAGTGTGGCATCATCAACAAACAACAATACATGCAATGGAGGGAGCGAGGTGTAGCGTTTGAAATGAGAGAGGGTGTTTACCAAATGACCAATCCAAGTTTGCTGTCCTCAAGAGTATTTAGGCAGGTACGTGCCTGATTTTATCCACCATACTATAATGAGACAACAAGGAAATGTTTAAATTTGTCTTTGTGTGCATTTGTATGCATGTGTTTGGACAGAAAGGGGACAAAGTGGCTGTCAGGGGTTACTGGGGAGACATTGTTTCCAGTCCCTACCTCTCCTTCGGCATTGAAACTGATGACAAAGACTTACTAAAGACTCAGAATGGGCAACATACCAAGGTAAAGTTTACAGCAATTATTGCATAGTGCATAGTTGCATTTTTTTTTAAATCCCTTTTATTATATACGAGTACTAAGGTATGCTTAAAATTGGAACCATTCCTGTTTTTCTGCTCCTCTTTCACACTCTCAGACTGCTCAGGATGTCTCCTTTGCAAATGTTAGTACATTGTTCCAGTCCCTGTCCAGCAGACGGGGCCACCCCACTTTTTCTCCTTCAGATGCAGAGGCAGAAGAGCCATCCACTCAGAGTGACCAAAAATCTGTCAGCATTAAGGGTAAATGGTCATTGACTTTGGCAGGCCTGTAGGTTCAGCTGATTGAACAGGAATAGCAGTTTATGTAAGAGCAAAGCCATTAAACTCAGAGTTTAAGAGGTTGAGACTCAGGTGAAAGACTGAGTTTGATTAAAATGCATCAATTTTTTTGCAGTGTGTTAAAAAACTATCAATATTCTGAAACTTTCCACAGACCTGATGCATCTGAAAGGGATCTCGGTTACCTTTCTGCCAATGGACTCTCTTCAAAAACTGCCCCAAAAACAAAAATATTCCCATTTCTTCAACCGCATCTACTTCTCTGCCAGGTGAGGGAGATTTCTACATTTTTTCTACGATTACATTAGAGATCATTTTAAAATAAGAGACCAATTAGTGTTTGCCTAAATGTAAATATAGTAACTTAACCAAATTTCCCGTGAACTTGGCTGCAGACTACTGAGATCATGTTTTATCTCTGTTCTTGTTTCCTTCTATGTAAATGCTGTAAAGCTTAGTGCACCAGTTGGGCCCAACATTGAGACAGATTGCTGCACCAGACGCTGTGCTCGTCGTGGAGTTGGCCAAGTGAGGGTTTTTATAGTAACAGAGCTTGTTACCATGGTGATTGAACAGTCACTAAGAGTACAGTGACTGTGCTGTGTTTTTTATTTATTTATTTATTTATTTTTTGTGCATCTGAATTTTTGGGTCTCTTAGATATTCCACATATAATCCCAACAAGATAGATAATAGCTGTGGTTGCAAAGTTTAAAGACAAGCTGCATGTGTGTATGTGTGTGTCATTGTGTCTCTTAGGTACATTCTGGACCTGAACAAAAAGCAAGAGGCAGGCTTTGCAGAGAAAGTCAGTAGTATCGCTCTCAAGGCTGAATTTGAGCCTTGGCAGGAAGGAAAGAGTGATGACGTCCATGCTGTCTTTGTACCACAGAAGAAGTAAAAGGTGTTTTTTTTTGTTTTGTTTTTTCTCAATATAATTTTCCTTTATAGGAAAGTTTTCAAGCCAGTGTTGAGTACCTGTTAGTGGCCTCAGACAGACTTTATTTTTAGAGTTTGTTAATTGTTTTGTTGACATTAAATGATTTAGATAATAACATTTCAAGCTTGTGAACACAGGCCTTTTATTAATTTAAACTGTAGTTGGGGTACTTAAATAAATGCCACACATTGATTTTTCTGTTTTGACACGTTCAACACTGCAAAAAAAAAGTTGTCATCTTGCTCTGAACTAGTGCGCGATCTTATTGTTTCTCCATGTGAGTTCATTTCCAACGTCCTCCAACCTTCCCTTTTCCATGGACCTTTTTGCTGCATTTAAACAAGAACAAACACACGAGTTAACACACAACTCATCATTTACAAATAACTTGTAACTGTGGCTGATGAAGGACTTAAATGTGTGTGAATGACATATGTGTAAGGGGGTAATTTCCTGTGTTTTTTACATGCCATTCATTTGTGTTTAGTTTGCAAAGCGGCTATTTTAATTGCCCTGTTTTCCGCTCGCGTTTGCGTAGGAGATGTGTTATGGTAGATTTAGAAGAGCAGATTGACTCACAATTTCTGGGCATGTTGGATTCTGTTCAGGAGAACATTGATCTGAAAATTGAACACATTTTGACGTCACTCATAAGCCTTTTTTCAACAAAAAAAAAAACACATGGCATTGTGTTGTTGAAGCCAAATGACTCACTTCATACTTCTGCCTTCTCATCTTCTCTGTCAGATCAAATTTCTCTGACTCCAGCTGGTAGATCCATTCCCACATCTCCTTGGCTCTCTCTCTAAAACACATCAGTAGTAATAACCCGTCACAACAGAATTTAAATACCTGATAACAATGTTTACAACAGCTGCTGGTTTGTTAAATGGTTGTGAATTAACCTAAGGCCATCTTCTCGCAGATCTTCAATAGCCAGCGGTTTGCGTCTCTCCGCCAGGGTCTTCTTCTTGATCTCTCTTGCAGTTTGCTTTTTGCCTCTCCTCTGCTCCACCTGCAGGGAAAAAAAAAACAAAGACATCTCAGTTTACAAGAGGACATATTCTTGCTATTTGATTTGAACTGTCTCATAGATGGCAAAAGAATATATTCAAGCTGTAGAGACTGACAAAAAGTGCAAATATTTTTCTGTGACCTTTGCCAGGAACCCTCCAAAATGAGCCCCCATGTTGGAGAGCACCTTCTTCTTCTTTGCCTCGTCATCTGCTCTCTTCTTGGCCTCCTCGTCTTCTTTCCTCTGCCTCTCCTCCTGTAGTTGGGATTTTTAGTTGATTACCAACTTAAATTGCTCTTTTAACATGTGGAGGGTAATTATCCGACCATATGTTGAATTAAACAACATATGTAATACAATGCTAGACTTTAATTACAGCAATTCGGGTCTGTCTGTCCCGTTCCTTTTCAGCCCTCACACGCTGCTGCTCGGCACGCTCTGCCCGGCGGCTCTCCTGAAACAAGAAAACATGCCAGCTGGCTTTTAATTTGGTCGTGTATGGCTGGTGTAACTCTCTTTTAGGCAAATACTAGGGTAAAGTAAAGAAACAGGGTTTTACAATCCTGTCTTTGAGTCCAATCAGCTCCTGCTCCTCTTTCTTCCTCTGCTCAAAGTGTACATCAATCAGAGTTTGCAGCTCCAGGAGATCCTTCTCCATCCTTTTTCTGTGAATATCCTGACAGGCAGAGGCAAAAAGACTGATCAAGATTAATTCAGCGCTTTCATTTGTTTCTGTGATCATTTAATAATTTTATTTACACTGATCTAAACATACATCAAAATCCACTCTCTCCCCCTCTGGGATTTTAGGGGCAGCAAGCTGAGTGACTGGTCTGTAAAAGAAATAAAGACACATTCATATCTGTGTTTTTGTTTCTTTATATTTGATATGTCTGATTACTTTCATTATATTTGCAATGCACCTCCTGTTTCAATCTGACCAAGACAAGAATTTCCATGCAGTCTTACTTGTACTTCGGGCGTTCTTCTTCAACACGGCAGCCAGATCCACGACAAAAATGTAAATCAGTTCATTTTGTGTATTCAAACAAAGAAAAATAACAATTTTAAGTTCAAATGAGCTAAGTGGAATAAAGCAAATCTGGTTTAGAAACCCTAAAAACACAACAACGTGTTAATCTATCTATTTAACCTCTGTTTGTTTTAATGATGTCAGATGACCTTGAGTGTTGAAAAAGGAGTCTATAAATAAAATGCGTTTTTATTATGAAATTAGTGCGTTGATTTTATTTATATTAAAATAGCTGAATGTGGCACTCTCACAGTTTGGTGTTTCAGCTTGTATACTAATGAGTTCTTCAAAAACAGTTCATAAAGTTCATCATACTAAAAAAAAAAATGACCCAGTTTATGAGCTTGGACTCACCTCCTTCTCCCTGCTCCTCATCTTCTTCTAGAGAAATGAATTATCACATGTATTCAGTGAAGAGGAATCAAAACACTGCTGATTCATCAAATAAATCAATGCTTGTGCTCACCTTCCTGATGACCCCTGAAAAAGAAAAGTAAAATGTATCAGGCATTACATACAACATACAGCATATACTATGTGTTTAAATTAAGCTGCAGTACAGGATTGACTCACCCATGGTCTTCCGAATCAGACATGGTGATCCTGAAACAATAAAAAACCAAAGCTGTCAGTGATGCACATTTGTGAAAGGTCTTTAAATTGATTTTCTTCTGCACATTAGTGGCTAGGACACATCTCGAAGGATTATAAAACTGGGTATGTTTATTGTAGTTGGTTTAGCTATCGGTTGTTATAAATGATTTATGTACTTATTTACTCTATTTATGTTCTATTTTTTGTTAATAAAATGTAAATAAGTTGGAGGATGACTGTTTATTGAGTAGCGGATAAGGGGTAGGTTTAAAAAAAAGGAAAATGCTTCATCCTACTCCTTTTCAGACATGTTGGGATCATATAATAATTATAATTATTAGTAATTTTTATTTTTAACTGTACTTTTTTTTACTTTTACTTTATTGTGTTGCACGCACATGTTTCTATTTCAGTCTGTTTTATTACCAGCTACTCCTCACAGAAGCTGCTAATGACTTTTTGCCTCTCCAGATATATATATATATATATATATATATATATATATATATATATATTATATATATATATATATATATATATATATATATATATATTATCAGCACGTTTCACCAAGGGAAGCACTGAAGGTTCATTGGAGGTGAGTGTTATTGTTTGAGGAGTGAGATCAAGGGGAAGGCCATTTGTTGCTAATGATCTAGGAATAGAAGAGGCCAGTGGGACTTTGAGCTGGAGCAGTGTCCTGTTACCGAGGATGAGAGCAAGCTATCAGCTGGCCTATCCTTCATGTTTAATTTGATTAACCAAAGAGAATGTGGGATGGAGAAATTAAGCTGGATGTCTGACTGCTGTTAACACCAGCCAAGTCCTCTATTATCATTTGATCTGCTTGCGGTTTCTCTGAACTGGAGTGAAGTCTAAATGCCTGGAGCCCTATTAGTAACCATTACTTACAGAGTCTATAAAAGCAATTCAAGGTAACTTGTTACAAAAGGCAAAGTATGATTATTTAAAACAATAAAAATAACAAATGTCATGAGCCTAACTTGAAAACCCTAATGTGTTTTTAAGCTGATAGGCAAAAGACCAAATAGCAAAACACAAATTTTAATGCAAATAACTAGAAGCCTTCCTAGGATGCCTTGCTTTGAGTCTATTAGCATGATAGATCAGACACTGAGGCCCACAAAGTCTCCCAGATCCCTTCAAAGTTATCTTTTAACCAAGATCTCAGAGTATGAGCTTGTGGATCTGAATAAACACAGGCACACAGACAAAAGGCAGATGAGGGATTGGGAACTCATCAAAACGCTTCTCTGTTGAATGTTTTTGGCTTAACTGAGCAACAGAGACACAGGCTGACTGAAAAGATGAATTTTTACAGTTTAGTCAAGTATTGAAAACATCAAGTAATTTCTAACATGATACAGTGTCATCAAGAGACTGCAAGATGCAGATGCTGGATTTATAAAACTTAATAAGGATGACAATTATTAACATAGACATTTGAGTCATTATTTGATCGCTTAATATTTGGAATTTGAAATCATTTTCAAAGTAATGATTGAATTAGTTTATTTTTATTGACCAAGCCAGAAAACACTTTCCATTTATACATACTGAAGACATGCAGTAATATTATCCCCCATTTGGAAGCATTTTTTGAGCCACATTATGAAATGACCCTGAATCTTTATTCTTCTAGCTCTGGTTTCAGTCTCTTTCAACCCCCAGAAAACATAGCTGGCACTAACACATACTATGTTCATTTCACAACATCAGTTACTAATTTTAGCTGGGAAGGTGGCATGAAATGGAGAGGATTTATGCCAATAAGAATGTTGAGATTGGATCAAAATGTTGAAGTTGGGAGCCAGGAAATGAAAACAAATGACTGAATGGCACTTATGTGCTGAAAGGGGGACACAGAATTGGATCTCATGATCATTATCACTGATTTCATGTGGTTCAAAATCTTATTTCACATATCAGATATTTTCTATGCAAGAATGTCATTTTAAATGTTTAAAGTTTGTATTGTTAAATCCAGATTTCCAGATTTGGCTGATGATGAGACACATTACAGAGCTGAAAAGCCTGTGTGGATATGTTTATTTTTTTAGACTTCAAATATTCTAGAGACTACCGCTTGTTGTGAGTCAAACATTTCAGCTATCAAACCTTTAAAAGTGAAGTTAAAGAAAGTTGAAATACCTACTTGAACAGCAATAGAAAAGGATGTCCACTGATGAAGAAAACAACTGAGAGTATGAGCCAGAGGGGGCACAGGGCTTTATATAAGGGGTCCTCTTGGCTGACTGAGAGGTTTCTTGGAATAAAATGTGCGTGCGCGTTTGTGTATGGGGAACATGATTTGGAGAAGAAGGACGCAGACTATGTGGATTATTTGTGGCTTTTGGGAGCATAAGCTGAAGTCTGACAGGCAGGGTAATGAGCAGAGGGTTTGTTGCTGACCTCACTGTTAAAAGAAGAGGCAAAAAGACAGGTGGCAGACAATCAGCAGAGACAGAAGAGATAAAATAATGAGGCGAAAACAGCGCAAGACAAAGAGGTGAAATGACTTTTTTGACCCTAGGGGTTTTTTAGGGGGAGGTAAAAACCGAACACTTAAAAGGAGGAATCATAGACAATTTTTTCTTTATTGATTTCCTTCATTTATGTAAAAATACCAGTCTTCACATTTAAATAACTGATCAGTCTTTGTATTTACATGACTTTAAAACCATACATGCCCAATAAAGTTACATTTGAAAATCTGTCATGAAATCTGATATAACATTGATTATTTACAGTATATCTGTTTGTCCATTGACATGACTGGTACAAACATGTTATGTTCATTTAAGTCAGCTTGCTGTATCTGAGTTGTGGATGTTCATACCTCTGTTGTTGACATGTAAATGTAATTTGAATAAAGTTTTATGCAAACAGCTAATATGTAAAGACTAATGCAAATGCTCTTAAAGAATGACCGAAGCACTGCATGTATGAACGACGACAAACAGAAAGAGTAAGAACCCACAGCAGCGGTTGTTCCTCTCCTGAAGACCTGAAGAGTCATCAGAGCATCAGGTAAGCGGGATAGTTTGAATTAAAAAAAAAAAAAAAAAAAGCAGAGACTCTATTATGAATACAATGCCCATGATGTTGAGATTCTAGCTCAAGCTGATGAAATATGTTATGTATAAATAAGTTTTTTGTTTGTCTGTTTGTTTGTTTGTCTGTTTTTTTGTTTCTTTGTTTGTTTGCTTGCTTGTATGTTTTTTTGTTTTTTGTTTGTTTGTTTGTATGTTTTTTTGTTTCTTTCTTTGTTTGCTTGTTTGTGTTTTTTGTTTTTTGTTTGTTTGTATGTTTTTTGTTTGTTCGTTTGTATTTTTGTTTGTATGTATGTTTGTTTGTTTTGTTTTGTTTTTTTTTTCAATTTCTGGATGTCAAGTCAATCCTGCCATAACCAAATATTTTGTATTATATTTAGTTTGTCTTTTCTGACTCAATTAAATAAGATGATGAAATTGAAATTGTATTTGGTGTCAAGATGAATTTTGAGGGGAGAGGATAAGCCAGAGAGGGGATCAGTGGTGAAACTTAATTGGGAAGAGGGTAGGATTAAAATTTTGATGGTTTAGGGTTTAGATGGTGATTCCTTCTTCCAACACTCTCATTGTCTTAAACTGTAGAGACTAAATATGCTAATATAGGCTCAGTGGGCTAAAGGAAAACTTACAGAGCCAACAGGGTTTTAGAGTTGGGTGTGTGGATATGATGTAAGATACTTTGGAAAGGGAAAAGTGGACAAGAGAAATACAGAAATGGAGGAAAAGAAAGTAGGAAAAGAACTAGAGAAACTATTTCCAGTGTAAATGTAAGAAAAGGACAGGAGAAAAGAAGTAAATGCTTCTTGGGAGAAAAATCTGTTGGTCCAATGTTGGTGGCGATTTGAGCAAAGATGATGTTATATGAAAATTCTGGGATATATAAAAAAAAAAAAAAAACTGAAAACAGCCGGGGATAGAAATCCACAAAAAATCAGATTACATGACAGAGGGAGAGCTTCAGTAGCAGTAACTCTTAAGGCAAATCTGCTAAAACTGAAAAGTAAGGCCTGCTGACTGTAATTACATTAAATTAATTTAACATAGTCCATAATCACTCATATCCTAACCCTGTAAACTGAATTCATTTTGTTTCATCATTACATGAGCTGTTGTTGTTGTCGTTTCTATGTTGCTGCTGTCCCCTGTTTCTCTCTCTCACCCTTGTTCTCTACTCTCTCTCCCTCCCTCTCCCTTACTCATTCTCTCTCTCCTTCCCTCTATCTTGTTCTCTTTCTCCTCCCCTGCCCTCTCTCCTTCCCCTTATCTTGTTCTATTTCTCTCCCCCTGCCCTCTCTGCACTTCTCTCTCTCCCCCTCTCCCCCTATCTCTCTACATTCCTCCCCAACCCAGCAGCAGCCTGGTGGCTGTCTGGCATGAGTCTGGTCCACCCCAAGGTTTCTGCCTGTTAAAAGGAAGTTTTTCCTTGCCATTGTTACTCGTGTTAGATGAGATGGGCCAATTCTAGTTTGGGTCTTGATAATTCATTAAATAATGAGCGTGGTCTAGACCTGCTCTTTTTCTTTGGAAAGCATCTTGGGATGACCACTGTTGTGAGCTGGTGCTATATAAATAAAATTTGATTGATTTAATTGATTGGCTTTTGACCTTCACATCTAACAGAGCTTTGATTATACACTTCACAAAATTCACCACATCAGCTCAGGTTTTTAACACTTAACGGCTGTGAAATCTTATTGTATAGACATAGTGATAGAGTGAATCCATCCCCAATCAGGCTTTTTGTTAAATTACAGTGTTTTTCTTCACATTTCTGTGAGTGATGAGTCACAGGATTGTGATCTTGAATTTTTACCAACAGGTAAAAAAAAAACAAAAAAAACATCAAACATACTAACTAAGGATTTATATCTAGCTCCTATAAGAGAACCTGCAAGCAGAGACTTTAGAGATATTTTACATTATTTTATTTTCCTTTTTCCTTAAACGTTAAAACCTTTGACCTAGATGTGATCTAAGAGCTGCTTAACCCACTGATATACATTATAAACCTAGAGAAGTCGATATTGCTATTTTATTAACCATGTCAGAAAATGTATGTTTTGTGTAACATTTTTTTTTCTGACATTTTTCCCTTGAACTTAGACAAGATGCTTCATGTGGCAATATTGCTGCTCTCTTCAGGTAAGCTGTTTGTGATGGACTAAAGTCCTAATGCTTTTACCTGCTCTACTTAACATATTCATGGGATTTCCTTTCCAGGGTCTATTACTTTGTGCTCACACTTTCATCGAGAGTATTACCTTATAAACCAGACCAAGACATGGGAGGAGGCCCAGACTCTGTGCAGACAGAACTACACTGACCTCGCTGTCATCGGCAGCCATGACGACAGAAAGAGGCTGGCGAATGTGGCAGCAGCTAATGGTCTTAAGGAAGAAGTCTGGATTGGATTAAAAGAGATTGTCCATCCATCATCCTGGATGTGGTCTATAGGAGAAACTCCGACTAGTCATGGATCAGCTGAATACACAAACTGGGCCAGTTCCCCAAGTTCCTCTCATCACTGTGGGGGAATGAGGGATGATGGGAAATGGCTGAGTGCAGTCTGTGATACAAAACTTCCATTTGCCTGCCAGGAAGGTTAGGCTTGCTTTGAATTGACCCACATGATTTTAAATATCTGTTAGAACAAGATGAACTGATGTCACTTATGGGCTATTATTAAAACACAGTAATACCTCAAATGTTATTTACTTTCTTGACACTGGTTGGGTTATCCTAAGAGCTGGGTTTTTATTTATGGAGCATCTGTGTTGGTGTCATTGACCCGACTAAAAAAAAAAAGGGGGGGGGGGGGGGGGACAGATTATTATTATTATTATCCAATGTCATACATAACTCATTGGAGTTGCCTTAAAAAAGCTCACCTAAATGATGAGACTGTGAAATAACACAACTTAGAACCTGAAATAGTGTGGCATTATGGCTCAGTCAGGGCCATCTTGTATAGAGTAAATCAGTTATGTCTCCCTTATTATAACTGGAAGAGAAGTCCCAAAAGGGTGGCTAAAAGCTCTAAAAATTTATCAATTTTCAACAATTCTCCACCAATAAACAGTAAATCATCCCCTGTAGCTTTAGAGAGAGCTCTCTAAAGTCTGAATGCCCCACATTGTCTGGGTTGCCTCAGGTAAGTAGAACTTTGTGTTACTGTTTTAATGACAATGGTGTTATATTGTGGGAATTATGGTAATTGACATTTAAGCTCATACTGACAGTATCTCAGCCTCTCAGCTTTGTTTCAGACCATTGTTTGTTAAAGCTGTTTTGGTGGCCTACTTAAAACTGCTGAATTTCTTTGATTTTAACTTTAAAGCAGAAACTGTAGAAACTGTATTCCCTGTTTCTCAGCAGTTGAAACTTAATAATTTCTCTCATACTCACAGATATGGAATCAAGAAATATTCATGTGGTTCCTGAGGAAAAAACTTGGAGACAAGCCCAGATGTACTGTCGTCTGAACTATGTCGACTTGGCCACAGTGAGGAGCCAGACTGAAAATCAGGCATTACAGAAAGTAGTTGAAGAGTCTGGGTTGTCAGTATCCATGGTGTGGATGGGTTTGTTCAGAGATTGGTGGAAATGGTCAGACCAGAGTGACAGCTCCTTCAGGTACTGGCAAAGTAATCAGCCAAATGATGATGGAGAGTGTTCATTATACAACCCCACCTCAGACGCATGGTTTGACAGAGGTTGTACTTACCCACGTATGTTCTTCTGCTACAAAAGTAAGAGGACTTTGTCACATTAATGCTAAAAGTGTGAAACACATACTTCTGTAACCTTCTGTAACACTTTACATTCACACAACATGTCATCCTTATAATGTTTTACTCCTGTTTGTCAAACCATAGGAGTGGAAGTGAAGAGGCTTACTATTGTGAGGGTGGGGATGAAGTCAAATGTGCTCTCAATTTTAAGTGATCTTTCTGCGGGCAACGCCATATTGAAAACAGTAAGTTACTGTATTCTGTAAATAAGACACAAAATTATAGCACCAGCTCATGAGAATGAATGCTTTGTTAGCATATTTTGTTTTTTGCCTTTAGATCCAAAATAAGACTGGACTGGTCAAGCTCCAGTGGAGGCTTCAGCCAGATGGGAAGATTTTCCAGAAAATGAAGGACCAAACCTGACCATGTTTGTGAGAATGTGAAATAAAGTGAAGCTGGGTCTTAATACATAAAAAGGGGCTCTCTGGCTAGTAATTTTTAAAATTGTGTTAAAAATGATTGCTTGTTTTGTTAAAAATTTGGTGGTTCTGAGTGTATATTTTTCTTAAAACAAACAGGTTTTGACAAGAAAAGGAAAAAGCTTTTCATAGCATTAAATCTGTCAATTTTACAGGCGTTTCTTGCTAAAGCAGAGGTGTTAACTTTCCAGGTATCATGAAGACACACACACATTTTATCTTTAAGAAGGACTTTATGCTCCCTTGTATATACTGCATTAAAAAAACCAACACAACAAGCTCAACTGATGTGGAGTGAAACAGTAAAGGCAATAATTAAAGGAAAACATCAGAGGAATCTGCGTCACGGCTCACACGCCATCCCTTCAATCTGATGGCTTGGCTACAAAATGTCACATGAAACATAATCCACATCTGACCTGCAGCACTGACTGAGACTTCAAACTTGTTTTATACACGAAGTTTGCATTATTGTGGTACTTGTTCAAAATCATGAATGAAAAACAAATTACATGAATAGAAGGCAGTGATACATATTTTCAGTTCATTTATAGTCTTTAAAATAACCTGTTACTTCTGAAATGCCAAAACACTGAATGTTCAGTTTAGTCATGGTTTTAAAAATAAATTACTCCTGGTTGATGTGGCACCTAATAGAATACAAACATACACGTTTATTAGAGTGAAATCATTTCACCATGTAAATAAATAGCCTGGCATTCTCAGTACAGCATTACAATCACAGTTTTGTAATAAGCAAATCTAAGTATAAGTAAACACTGAGAAGTCACAGACTTCCAAGATTTTTAAATACCTGGTGTCACTGGGATAGAAAGTTACCTTCAGCTGATGGCGACTCGTAACCTCAACAGTCCTGCATTGTATCACACACTTTTAACTTTGCTCAAAGAACTAATACAAATGAAAATTTATGGCACAAAACTATCAAATCTGTCCAAGCCTACTGTACATCCAACACACCTAATCCAAAAGTGAAGACTGTCTTTTCTATCTTTAAGAGGAGTACAGCTCATACTGGCTTCTTAAAAATAACACTATGCCAAAATGTTCACTTTTTCAATGATTGTACAACAAACAAGACACAAATAAACCCCTGTTTTTCAAATTCATCTGAATACTTTGAAAAGATAAGAGCCTATGTCATTATGAGACAATTTCTCTAATAATAAAGTACAAAATATTGAAATTATTTAGACATTTTTCAGACTGACTCTGTATTTGGGATGTAATGATACACTCACTGTTTGTTTTTAAGTTTAAGGGATAACATTGCTCCATAAAATTGTCCATTTTACTGCGACTGCAAAAGAAAATAAAAAAACAAACAAACAAAAAGGTTTGGTGTATCAGCAGAGGCTGATGCTTTGTTTTAATGTTTCACTGTTACCTGTGACTGTTGAGACTACTAGCCAGGAGTAGAGTAAGAGGGAAATCACTCACTAGTTTATCAATAGAAGGCAGAAATCTTTGGATAAAAGAAGAAAAAAAAGGCTTAAATGATCAGTGAATGTACTTTGGCAAGTTGCAGTTACCGCGTGTGTGGGAAACACTGGCAGTGCATCCTCAAACCTGCTGCAACATACATATCTGTCTCAGCTACCGATGTAAGAGAAGAAATGGAGAGACAGAGAAGTCAAAGGCAGATAGTGTCCTCTGCTGTTTAAAAAACAGGGTGTCATGATTATGTTTTAAATGAAAATAAAAAGTGATCTAAAAATCATGAAAATCTTTTACAAAAAAATGACCAAGAATTTATGATAATCTGTTTTAAAATTTAACCATTTTCAAGAAATGACTTGGCATGTCAAAATAATACTGTCGCGATGCAAAATCATGAAAATATTTCCCAAACTTATCTTGGATTTATCTTGTTGGATAAAACTCTGCTCAGTATCTCACAATGACAAACTTTTTTACACTCCTTTCTGTAGTGTACCAAAATGTTTTGCAAAACTATGCCATTCTTTTCACTAACCTTCCCTAAAAATGACTTTTAGGATAATTATTTTTCTTGGATCTGCAGAAGCTGGCTCCTACATAAATCATTATTCATCATTTATTATTTCTATGGACCTTCCTTCTCACACACCTTTCTCACAGTTAAGAAACAAACACAAAGACAGATGCGGCTCCGTTAAAAAAGTTACCTCTATTTCATCTGATTCCTTGTGAAGCCATCCCTGTAATATCATGTGGCAGGCTTCAAGTTCTCCTAATGCATGATGGAAAAAATTTGTCTTTCCTAACTCCAGGTTTGCACAACTTCCCTTCAGCATCCTCTTTCCCTGAGTGACCCCCTACAGGTCTTTCTTGACCTCTGAAGGTTTCTCCTCCGTCTTGTTGGACTCATTTTGGTGAGGGCTCAGCAGTTTTAACAGATCGTGTAGAGCTTTCTGGATCTCAGCACCAAACTCATGAGCATCCTGGAAGAAGAATGAAGAAATTCATGTTTAAATAAGACACTTTTCTCATGCAAGGTAGCATTAATATCTTTATTTACACCTTTTTCATTGCTTGTGGGAATGCAATATAGTCAACAGTTTCCAGAAGAAACAATCTATTTTTCTTGAATTTTGAAAATATAAAACTTGACAAATAAAATAAAATTTATAGACCCACCGTGTCTGGACATGAGTGCTTGCAGGAGAGGTGGAAGTTAATCCTGTTCTCTCCGCAAATACTGTAGGAAACCCCGTAACCATCATCAGCCACCTGGAAGAGGAACAGGCAGCATTTATAATCATGGCTGCTAAATGACAGTCTGAATGCAGAGACACAAGAGAGCACTGACCGGTCCAAAGCCCCCTCCACAGGAGATGTACTCTGGATGGTTAACTAAGTCAAACATCTGCACCTGCATGGCAGTCTGACTGGTGGACAGCCGCCAGGGCTCTGACAACACCTGGAGTACACACAAGAAGTCACGGCATCAGTTTGCTGCAGCCTCTGCTTTTTGGGCTTTTTGACAGAAGTAAATGAATAAATGCAAACAGAGTGAAAAAAAAAGATATTCCACCTCTTTTAAGAAAGGAGACTCTACTCCCAGGTACTTGGACACCACGTAGAGACAGAAGAGGTGTCTGTCGATACCTCCTCCGGTCATCGCCATGCGGTAGAGGTGTTGGTGCTTTTCAGATGCTGCGCGGAACAAACGCCTGCACACATCTGCTGCCTGGTGGAGAGTAAACATGGGATATGACATACATCAAAAACCAGTAGAGTGTGTTGAATAATACTGTATATCTTATAATGAGTCTTAGGAAGATTCTGCTTCTGCAGAGGACTTAAATGACGTGTGAAACCCTGTCCTCATGTAGTTAAATTAATTTGAAGTCGGTATAATCTTACGGCCTTGAAACAACCTTTTCTCTAAGCCCCTGGTGTAAGTAATTAGGCAGGCAGGAGCTTTAAATGCATTAAAATCAGGAGGTGAGAACAGAGATGACGTAGTGGAAACACTCTAAATCCAGTTTACATATGGCTGTTATTGAAACTCTTGAAGGGTCATAAGACAGGAGGAGTTGTGTCCTGCAAATATTATATCACTGGTTTTACTCCTCTTTTCAACTCTAATTTATCACTCATGATTCAGCGTGTTAGCGAAACAATTTTAACTTGCTCTCCTTCCTCCAAAACTTACACCACTATTTGCACCGACTCACACCTCTGCTCACTGCACCTGCCTGTGTCTCTTTCCCTTCACAAGCCTGCTGTCACGGACTCACCTCTCCACCCTCCAGCGCTCGTACGAAGGCACTGGTCTCATTGGTGCAGGATCGAACTGTCTCAGTCCTGCCCTCCCTGAACAGACGGGTCATGGAGGCTTCGTATGTCAAACAAAATGTCCCACGGTACTGGAATACAGAAAACAAACTCAACGCGGTGGAAAACACTGAGCCCCTAAACATGTCAAAATGATCTGTACACAGACAGACAGCCTTCCTCAATGCAATGCATGAATGTAATGTACTGCCTTATATTTAAGAGGTAGACTCACCCTGTAGTAAGCTAGCTGAAGAGCAATCTGAATGAAGGCATCTGGACTGACTTTGCACTTCTTGATCTTCCCTTTGCCAAAGTCTCTGAAGACGAAAACGTGGAAGTCCAGATCGTCAGCCAGGGCCTGGGCCACTTCTAGAGATTTAGTAATCTGCTCCTCGCACTGAAACAAACACACCAAAATGATTTACTTCAACCTGACCTGGGCACCTCAAACCACTGCACTGTTGTTCCATAAAATAAACGCCATGCCTTATGTTTTTAGGTCAGAGTAAAATGTATGTTAGAGCCGAAACTTATTTTTACGAATTCATTTTCTGTTTCTTGCCGAGTGTTTCTCAAAGTTGAACTCTCGTGTGTAGACACCATTAAGCCAGAGACTGCATGTGGGAATTTGTGCAACTCATCAAATAAATTATTAAACATTGTCCCCCTTTGCTAGTCAGCACCAGAATTATGAGACAGTTCAACAAATTATTTCTATTTTTACACCAGGCTAAGCTGTAGTTGGGCCACCTGCAACTAGTCCGGACTCTACCTTGGATTAGTGGCTACAGTCTGAATGTTATAATGCGATGTTGCCTGGATGTAAACCAGCACAGATGACAGATGGAATCTTAAAGAAAAAAATGGTATCTAGTTTTTGTATCTTTGACAAGTTGACAGATAACTAAACATTAGTTTAAATTTTGACCTCTGGATAAAGCCATGCTCCTGCTCTATATTTATGCTAAGCTAGGCTAATTATATACTCCTGTTATAATCATATTTAGCCAAAAAAAAAAGAGCTTGATATTGATCCAGTAAATTCTTATCATTGCCGTTAAAAAACCTGCATATTTCGAAAATTGATTAGTAGGGCTGGAACGATATGCTTTTTTTCCCCGATTTAATTCGTGTACGTTTTTTTGGATGCCGATTCGATTTAAATTGTGATTCCACGATATCGTCAATTTTCTCGATTTTTAGTCTGCATTTTTAACACCAGTGAAACCGCTGCATGATTATGATTGTCTACTGACTATTCCAGGAACCATATTTCCCCAAAAATACACATCACATAAGATTTATTCTTAAATTTGAAAAAAAAAAAAAAAAAAAGGTTTTGAAGCAAAAAAATCGATTTAAAAATTGTAAAACAAAAAATCATGATACTTATGTGAATTGAGTTTTTCTCCCACCTCTATTGATTAGCTTATCTACGACCTTCTGTTTCCCCACATTTTGACGTTGCTCAACATTGTCATTAAACGCATTAAAAGAGTATTGATGCTGCTGTCTCTCAACATAAACAACAAAACTAACAAAAACTGCTTATGTGCTAAAGTATTTGTTGAAAATCAGAATAATGGCAGTTTTCTTACGTGTTTACTGTCAGCACTGAAATATGATCAGATATGAGATATGATGCAAAAGACGTAGAGGTGCTCAGGGAAATGTTTGAATGTGGATAACTTACCTCTGGAGGGATCTCCCACTCTAGTTTCTGTGGTCGTAGTAAGGATGAATCTATATCACCTTTGCAGTGACCCTCTGCATTGTAACCAAGCTGGAAGACGTCAGTGGCCAGCGTGCTCTGGGAATACACAATCCTTTTTTTAGAGAAGGTTCTTCTCAGAACACAAATACCAGTGAGCGACATTTTTTTCAGGTCTGTACCTCCCACAAGTGTGCCAACACAGGTGCGTCAGCCCATGAGTGCTCTCCATTTACTCCGGTCTTTCCGTTCTTAAAGTAAACCACTGAGAATGACTTGTCAAACCATCTGCAGGAGGACGGAGATTATTACACCACTTCAACAACCTCAAATACAAGTTCAACAGTTCCATATTGACATGTTCGGTTAAGCAGTAAGTTACCTGTCATAACATTTGCCATGTAACAAGGATTTAGCATAACGGTCTAAGCTAGCTACTGGGTCCTCTCCCATCATGCCCTGTTCATCATCATCCAGGGTTACGAAGAAGGCGGCTTTCTCAATGCAGTCCAGAGACCGTTTGTTGACTCCACTGCTGAAATATTTTGTCCTGGTGTTTGCCCATGGGATTCTAGGAAATACATTTCAGGAAATAGAGATCATTAAACAACATCAGGACACATAATAAGTCTTTAAAACTGACATGTGCTGGTTTGTTAAACTGACCTGTCTCCAGCAGTCATAGCCCCCAGATAGACCTCGCCTTGGCAGGGCGGTGATGGGTCATCAAGGATCCTCTGGATCTGGAATTCAATCTCTCTGGGGCACAGGAGTCTGCCTGCCTGGTACACCTTGAGGCGAAAGTAGCGCCCTCTGTGGTAAACTGCTACGTAGTCGCTGTCCTGCCAGTGCTGGACCGTGTCTTCACACACACACACACACACACACACACACACAAAAAGAAAGTGTGTTACAAAAGTATGAACATATTATGTACTAATTCAATGAACATGCCAGCTTAAGACATCAGAGATAAGGATGTCATCTGCCGAACTGTGTGAATATACAGGCTTTGAATAAAATCAGAGGAGGATTACCAAAATCATTCACTTTTTTTTTAACAAAATGGAAAAAGCTTGAAATTTCTCTCTCTCTCTTTATATATATATTTTTTGCTTGAAGCATTTAGTTATTTGAACATTTCTTAAATCACAGCTTAACATGATAATAAGAGTTGAGATTAAGGCTCTTCATTCCCATCGTGGTGCAGTAACGTTACTGATCGACCTCAAGCATAGACTGCATTCGCTCTAAGCATTATAGGTTAAATATGGGTATAACAGCAGAGGTTTTTAATGTCTCTGAGTGTTAATAGATTCCACTTAGTTTTCAGTTGCTAAAGACATAATGTTTTTTGTTACACTGCCTATCAAAGGAATGCGGCACCTAAAGAGGAACACATACCTTTGCTCAGTAAAAACATAAGAGCCTGTTTTAATTGTTCAGCACAGAGATAAAGTAAAAGGTGGGTCATCATTTAACAGCCTGGAATTACAGAGCGGTTGTCTTTAATGACCATCTAATGTGTTTAATGGTCAAAAGGGGGCTCATAAAGACCTTGAGAAATTCAAGAACTGCTAGCTGCACAATTTTTTCTGGGGTATATAGGTTTGAGTTTCTAGTTCAAGTGTTAGAGTCTTTGTTCCCTTACACGCTGTGAAACAAAGCAGCTCCTGCTGCTGGAATAGATGACAGGGAGATTCTGTGATCTGACTCTACTCAATAAATTGTCTAAAAAGCTGAATGAATGATGGATTCTCCTTTAACAATAAAACTCTAATGGACAGTTTTAGGTCAGCCTGGTCTATCTCGTCCAACGAATAAGTCTGGAGGTCTATAGAAGGGATGTATCCTACTATTCATGAGCTTAATCAAACTAATGATATAAATATACTCTGCACACATTTCCAGTTTTACCAAACTGGTTTGAAAAATTAAGATTTTGAACAATGACTGAGAGTTTTATAAAAACAAAAACTACCTGTCAGTGTCCCAGGGATTCGACAAGTATCAAACATCCGCTCAAACTGATAGGAACAGCAAGGAACTGCAGACCTCATCAATAACTGAGCAGGAAAAAGTAGGATGGACCAGAGCGAAACAAAATAAGGGGAAAGAAAGAAAGAAACAGAAAAAAAAGGATGATAAAAAAGGGAGCAGAGTGTTGGGATGAAATAGAAAGAAAACCAAGAAGGAGAGAGAAGAGGAGATGAGAATAAAATTGCGTGGGCAGAAGAAAACAGGAATTACTTAGAAACAGACTCTTTCTAGACACCCAGACAGCCCTGATGGAAAGGAGAAGGCGAGCAGAGGTGGATGAGCGAGGCAGGATGTGCTGTACAGCAGCTGTTTTATGACTCAGACAAAACAGGCTCACTGTCTTTCACAGAGCTCTCTACTGTGTGTACAGGTCAGTCTCTTTACCCGTCTCCACTCCAGGTATGCGTGTGGTGTTGAACAGCCGCTCACACTGAGCTGAACACAGAGGAATGGAAATGCCGGGGACAAGAATCTGGGAAGGACAAAGGTGAAGGTGGGAGAACAGAGGAGAGAAGTGAAGGAAATGGAGAGTAAAAGGGGAAAAAAAAGATGTTTGTGGAAGAGGAAACAAAGGTGGAAAAAAAAGATGAAACAAGCAAGAGATAAAAAAGGATGAGAGGTGAGAATGGTATGAGAACACAAGGGAAACTGAAAAACAGGTGACACACATGCTAACCATCATAAACAGTTATGGCACACAAACAGGGATGGATGAATGATGCTCGCAAACCTTAACACAAGCACACATTACAACCGTGATTCATTTCAGGAGAGTCACATTTGGAGGCTGAACTGGTGAAATATTGTCTAAAAATGCGACACATTGATTCTTGGAGTGTTCCGTTGCCATGGCAAAGAGATGTGAATGATGAACACCTCTGTTTTCAAAAGGAGCACATGGGCTGTTTGGCAGGTGAACTCACCGGCTGAAGCTCTTCTTTGTTGAGTTTGCGGCGGTATAAGAAGAAACCATGAATGGTGTTTCCAGCCCGAGCTGCCTGGATGGGAGTGGGAGTCACATGCAAGAAGTCCTGAGGAGAGAAGAGGAGGAGAAACATCAGAGATCATCAATCAAACTGAACATTTAACATAGTCAGTCTGATGTATAAGCAGCAGCAAATCAAATCATTCTCATACCATGCCATAATAGTTACTGTTGACCATAATTGGGCCCCGTCCACGCAAGTACACATATTGTTCCCACCAGTCGCTTACCTAAAGAATTAAACACACACATGTACAACACTTAGAGAGGAAGCGAACACTGCAGCCAAATGGCACTCAAATCACTAACATATTCAGACAGGATAAATTATTCAAACCACACAACCCCACAAAGAAATACATTGTTAATGGAATTTTAGATTTCCATCTAACTGCTTTGCTTTGGGTTTATGAGTGACACATGTAGCTAGGACGCTGTGGGTCGACCACTTACATAGTTAGAGGCCCACAGAGCTTTGAGTTTGAGGTACCACTGCAGGCGGTTACCCAGGCTGCTCTCGAACTCTGCCGCTAGCTGGGTCATACGTTCGTACTTTTGGTCGTCCATTAGCGGACGCACAGATTCCAAGTACTGAAAAAAGAATCAGAATCAATTAAGCAATGTTAGAGAAGCCTCTAGTGGTTAAAGAATGTCAATAAATCCAAGCACCTTCTTAGACATTTCATAGAAAACAACAAAGACTCATAAAATGACAAAAAAAAAACCCACAGAAGTGGGTTCAGAAGTAGAGACTAATACACCAACAGCAATAAGATATCAGTAGGTTGAACAATATATTAATTTTATAATCAATACAAAACTAACACACAGCTAGAGTGAAGATCTGAAATTTTGGGAAATGTGTGTTCTTCTCCCGGTCTTTGTCAGCACTCATGCTACAACATTTTGAATTGATTGCAGCTGGTTTATTGCATTCTTTGGTAGACCAGGAAGAGGAGCATTACAGCAGTCCTCTAAATGTGTGCATTAGCAATACTCTACTTAACAGAGAAACAAAGAGAAAGGTTCATCACCAATAAATTTGCATAAATTAACGCCCACAGTCGGAGAAGTAGATGTGTCTCCTACCACTAGTGCTACATCTGATTCTACAGACACAACATTAAAAGCCTCATGCCAAAAAGCTGAAGCTAAAATGGTTGGTATTATGCATTTTAATGCAGCAAAATACATTGAAAACATTTTTTTTTTTAAACTAAAAGTCTGACAATAAAAGGTGGAAATTTCGCAGCAAAAGAGGCAGAAAAAGGATGAATGTGAGAAAACTATCCATCTGTTTTGTGGTCAGATCTCAGCGTGTTGTCATTTCCTTTGCTTTCTGTGACGTCTCACCCTCTTCACAGTGTCCTTGATGGCCGGCACAGGCAGGTTTGGCAGAGACCCCTGGTAGCTGTAGAGCAGAGGCTTCCTGCCAGAAAAGATCCGCACCAGCGCCTGGCAGAGACACACAGTCAGCGTACTAAGGTGAGGACATACAAAGGGCTCAGTATTTCAGCTTTTACCATCCACAAGTCAACTCAAAGTTGAGGATTAATTCTAAAAGAAAAGAGACTAGGGGGAGAATTAAATAACAAAATTGTGAGAAACAACACTGACCACCCAGACTTTGGTTGTGTTGGACATCTTGCCGTGCTGCTCGAACATCCAGCGGTGGTAGGAGAGGAGCTGCTTGAGGCACAAACGCATGGTGAGGATGAGGAGGAGCCAAAGCATTGTGCTGAAGACCACCGCTGACACCAACGCCTGGCACTGAGTGCTCATGGACTGGCTGTAAATGGTTGAAGCAGAGGGAGGGATGTAAAAGGGGAAAGAGGGGGAGAAAACAACAGTGAGTGAAACAAATAAAAAACTTTGAAAAAAAAAAAGAAATGGAAGGAACAAAATTGAGGAAAACAGAAAGCACAAATGCGGATCAATGAGAAGAAACCAACACTTATTTCAAGTATTTCAAGATCTGGCTGTTTCACAGTTGTATTGTAATATCGAGTCATTTAAATAAAGCAGAAACAAAGGAAGGGAAATAAGAGGGACTATGTGAACCTCATTAAACATCTTTAAAGATCTCTTTGTGTGAATCATGACATTATCATTCGACTTCAGCCATTTCACAGGCTCGTCGTTCATGTTACCTGACAGGCAGGTGCTCTTGTATTTTGGCGATGAGTCCCATGGAGGGGTCAGAGCGAGTGTACATGGTAGCCAGTACTGCTATGACCACAAACAGCCAGGAGGATGGACTGGAAGGATAGACTCCTGTCATCACACTGTTCTGTATGAATGAAGAAGAAAAAAAAGAGCAGACTGGTTGTAAAGCCCATTCTTCCTGTCATGCACAGTGATGGCTAGATGCATAACCTTAATTTGCCCTGTGTAAGACGGGATTAAAAAACAAAAAAACAATGAACATGCAGTTAAGAATGTATGACTGACTTTATCCAATCCAATCCATTTTATTATACAGCACGATTTAAGCAAACGCAAAGTTTCCAAAGTGCTGCACAGCAAGATAAAAATACAATAAATAACACAACGGAAGCACAATAGATAAGGTAAAAATAAAATGAGAGAAAACACAGTACAATCAAATAAAAACAAACACAATAAATAAAATCAATAAAATAAAATAAATGAAGTCAACCTCCTACTGGGTGTTAAAAGCCAAGGAGAAGAGGTGGGTCTTAAGACGGAATTTAAAAACAGGCAAAGAGGAGGCCTGTCTGATGTGCCGAGGCAGGTTATTCCAAAGTTTAGGAGCTGCGACAGCAAAGGCACGATCACACATCAAGCATCGCTTTAAAAGCACGAGGGGGGAAAACGCACCATAAAGCGCAACACTCCTTACTATTGATCAATTGCATGCTTAACAATGGGGATACACTCAATGAGAGCAGGCTGTCATTTTTGTCTTTTAATGAGAGCTCTGCTTAAAACAAAAACCTGCATCAAATCTGCCAACTGAGAAGAACAAAAATAAAAGCTGATTGAACAAAATACTTAAAATATTCCTCTGTGTGCTGCTCTGATTCAAATGCAAGTGCTGACATGCAGTGAGAAGAAGGAGAAAGAGCAGTGCAAACCAGGAGAGCGAGAGAGGCACCCAGTCAGGATGACAGAGATTTTTATAGACAGTTTTGGGACAGAGACAAAGGCTAAGTATAAACAAACTTCACAGCAGAACAGGAGTTTGACAGCCAAAGAAGATATACCTTAAGTCGGATGATGCGTTTTTTCCATGAGCGCACACCTGAGAGGTAGATCTCAGTGAGGGCCTGATGGGACAGCTGCAGATCGATGCCCTCCGAGGTGACCGTGAACTGGAAGGCCACGGCCTGGTGGGCTTCCGCCATGACGACTGTGCACAGCGAGGAGAGCGGAGGCAGAAAGAGTGACAAGGCAAAAAGAGAGGAAATATAACCTGTGAATTCAAAGAGTCAGCAAACAACCTGGAGGCAAGTGTCAAACCTCAAACATCCTTGACACATAAACATGATGTAACGAGTATTACCTCAGGTGCACACATAATCCATGTGCAAATACTTCTATTCCTAAAGGACTAACATTTGCTAACAGCTAAAAGCAGCCATGCTCACATGGACAAACAAGCTTGTTTAAATGTCTGGGGTATTTTATTGTGAGTATAAACAAACAGGATTAGCCTCAAGTCAAACTGTTATTGAAGTTATAATGAATGTAAACGATCTAAAGCATGGCAAAGGATCTTTATTTGTTCTCTTTAAACTCAGAGAAAATGCGACCAAATCAACAGCTGTGATATTTATGCACCCAGAAGGAAAAAAAGGGCCACAGAGGGCACCCGGGTCTGAACATCTGAACATCTGCTTTTATAGCACAAAATGACCCACTTAGTCGCAGGACAGTGAGTGCTGCATGAAAGCTGATAATGATAAATAAACAGAGAAGAACAATGCAAACAGCCAATGCAGAGAGAAATGTGAGAAAAAGTGATCATAATTCAGAACAGTGAAACTGATCTGCAGTGGCTGATAGGAAACTGAGCTCTGTGAAGGGACTCACAGATGATTCATCAAACTGATGATGAATTGCATAATTTTGTACGTGTGTGCCTCTGTGAAACACATCCATCTCATCCATGAGCAGTTCTGAGAGAAGCTCATAAAGAAGAGAAACATTATTTCAGAGTTCTCTCAAACGCAAAATCGGCTTTAATGTGATCAAAAAGTGCTGACTGGCTGCTGATATGACTGGGTATTTTGTTAATGTTTAATGCAAGAACAGCCTTCTCCTCACAAAGGGAATTGATTTTCCTCCACAAATAGGCTACGGATAATGCCCCGAGGTTTAGTCACTCTGACATGACTGGACTGTAGCACCACTGAGGCCACGTCTGCTCTTAATGTGTGATTAAAAAGCCTACACACACTATTAACCTTATCACACTCATGCTGACTTTGTGCTCCTTGGGCTTAGCCTGCACTGAACAGAATACAAAAGCTCCTTTCTTTGTATGCTAACACAGACAAAACACAGCTGATTACACAAAAGAAGTTTACTATAAAAGATTAGCTTCTAAAATTTACTATCAATCTCTTTTTAGGTGAACTGAATGATTCAACCCTATGAATGTTTTTTTTTGCACTATGAGAAGAATGCTAAACAAACACAGAGCTTAACAGAGACATTTCTGATTGGGACACAGACAAGACCTTAAATCAACCTTATTCATACTGCATCTTTACTCTTCTACTGCATACCAACCTAGAGTTTCCAATCAGTGCAGTATCATTTGTGTATGTTTACAATAGCTATACTCATCCTAATTTATCTGAAAAATATAAAGTTCAGACTGTTTCTCAGCAGAGTTATAGCTTAGAGAAGCCTCAAACATCGACTAGATTACTCCTAGCTCTCTCTTCACCTTCTTTGAACTAGCTGTTTAAGATACTGCTGCTTCATGTGACCCCCCTCTTCACGTCTTAGCATTGGTTCAAGCACCTGCTTCTGTCAAATAGCTGCTGAAGCCAGAAAACTCCAGCAGAACCCGAGAGGTCTTCAGATCAGACTCACACCAGATTTCAAATTGAAGGAGGCTGTGGTTTTGAGGTGGAAGCTCTTAAACTTTGAAACTGTTTTCAACTGGCAATTGATGAGCCTTTTTTTCCAATTAGTTTTTTCTTCCCAATCTCTGAGTTTTGCCTTTTTATTGCAAAGCGTTTGGTAATGTTTGCTCTTTAAATGACATATGTATATGGCCTTTACTTATAGTGCCTTGAAAAAGTATTCACGCCCCTTGAAATTTTTCTCATTTTGTCACTCTACAACCACAAACTTAAAAGTATTTTATTGAGATTTTTTGTCATAGATCAACACAAAGTAGCACATAATTGTGAATGGTAACGAAAATGATTCATGGTTTTCAAAACTTTAAACAAATACAAATCTGAAAAGTGTGGTGTGCCTTTGTATTCAGCCCCCCTGTGTCAATGCTTACGTCCTCCCTTTAATTGCATTTTCCTTTTTTTAAACTATTTTATGTTTTTATTTTGGTCCTCATGGTCTCATTTTATGTTGCATGGTTCTTGTATTGTCTGGGTTCCTCATGACATATGAAAATGGCCTTCAATTCCGTTTTTACTGAGCTTTTTGTTTTTATTTGTCTTTTCCATGTGCTTTACGACTACATGTCAAAGCACTTTGTAAACATCTGTTTTGTAAAAGTGCTATACAAATAAAGTTATTATTATTATTAAAGATATTATTACTTTGTAGAGCCACCTCTCACTGCAATTACAGCTGCAAGTCTTTTGGGGTATGTCTCTACTAAAGGCTGGCTCTGTGGTAGGACTCAAGCTGGACTCAGTGGAGGATGTGATGGAGAGATCTACACTGAGGAAGGTGGAGTCTATTCTAAAGAGCATGGATCACCCACTTCACAACACCTTGATGGACCTAAGGGTTAATGGTGGTGGACGGCTCCTCTCTCTTCACTGCAGGACAGAAAGATTCGGAAGATCTTTTGTACCAACAGCCATTAGACTTTATAACTCTTGTGTAAACAGTAGATAACTTTTTAGGAGACATATTATTATGTGAGACAACAGACAACTGAATTTCCCTTCTGGGATTAATAAAGTTATTCTTATTCTTATTAGCTTTGAACATCAAGAGACTGAAATTTTTGCCCATTCTTCTTTGCAAAATAGCTCAAACTCAGCCAGATTGGATGGAGAGCGTCTGTGAACAGCAATTTTCAAGTCTTACCACAGATGCTCTTTGGGATTTAGGTCTGGACTTTGACTTGGCCATTCTAACACAAGCTGTCCCATACAATGAGTGGCAAAGCTCCTCACATCCATACATGCCAAAAAGCGTCAGTAAATCCAGGGACTTTCTCGTTGGTTATTAACACAAGTAAATCAGCAGCCTTAGCAAACGTAAAGACTATCATGCAGTTGTACACATATGATAGCTGGCTTGCACATACAGTTCTACTGTTTATCAATACACGTCCTGTTTTGGCTTTGACAACGTTGACAATTGATTCAGCAGTGATAACAATGATAAATCTCACATATAAACCCTTAAACGAATTTTGTATTATTTGTACGCTAATATTTGCTCTTATGACGATAGAGCCGAAAGCAAAATGACTGTCATTTGAGCTAATTATGTGAAATATAAGCTGCAGTCGGTGTGAAAATGACTGCTAGCTGCTGCTAGTGCAGGCTAGCCGCGCACCCTGCCCATTATGGACACCAACGGCCGCCGCTCTCAGAAAGAGGCGTTCATGTTCCATGGCAACGCACTACAAAGATGTCAGCACTCTTGTTTGCTTACCTGTTGTTGTTGCTGTTGTTCACCAAATTTCGACAGTCCAGAGCAGCATTAACCGACGGTTAAGTTGCACCATCAACCAAGTATGCCGGTTCTGCCACGGGTGGGTCGGCCCTCCTCCTCCTCTCTACTGAACAACTGTAACGTTACTACAGATGCTCGCCTGGATGAAGCTGATGCTGCATTCAGCGACTGTCGGAAATGTCACCATCACGCAGAAACAGTCGGTCCCCGTGTGATTGTGCTGCTACGTTCAAGGGGCGGGGAAGTACGACAGCCTGTGTTGATATATCATGGTAAAATAGAAGATGTACGGTATACTAGTGTTTGCACAGGTGACGGTTTTCATATTTTGAATAGTTTCGTCGGCAAATAGACAGTTAACATTTTGAAGGAGGGATTTGACCCATTTTCCCAAATTTGTTTTAACCAAGGAACTAAATAGACACACACATGAATTTAGGGTTTATTATTGTAACCATAACAATAAGGTGGATCTCTCTTTATTTTGACCATCACTTCAATCATAATTGTTCTTTTTATCACAGGCAATAGTTATAATAGTGCACTTTTTATATTTAAATTATGATACAGACATTTCTTTTTTAAACACCTTATTCTACTGACCCTTATGAATGGAGAATAGTTTACAATCTTAGCCAGAGTTGGGTCAATGAAAGTGACTGTGATGTGGTGATGAGAAAGATGAAGAGTGGTGATGGTGAGCAATCATAAATTGTGTATGGATTGTGAGGCAAACAACTTTGTACAGTTTCTCTCGTGATGATGGGCCACACAACAGGTGAAGAGGCAGACAGACAAGTCAAAGGGACAAGGCATTTAAAAGCAAGAGATGGAGCGAAATTAGCAAGCATTCACTGTATTGTGAGAGAAATCACGTGCCTGTTAGGGTTTGAACATGTTACTATTTTGATGATATTCCTGGGTCAGTCCAAATCTCTGTATGGTATCAGCTCAAATGCAGGTGCTGCAAAGTTTTCAGCTCATTCACACTCAGCTGTCATCCCACATACACACACACGCACTCCATTTATCAGAGAAAACATTACAAAAAAGAGAAGTGAGTTAATGAAGAGCACTGGAACTAACCAGAACTGCCATAAACATTTAGCATGAAAAAAGGTGTTCACAAAAACAGAGTTGATGAGAAATTATATAGACCTTGTGTCTTCAAAGTTAGCTCTGGATACGTTTTTGGCATAAAATATAATCCATAAACATTTACGTAATAAAATAAAGTGACCAGACAAATACATGAGTAAATCAAATCATGTCAACTGCCAATCAATAAATAAATACATAAATAAATTAATAAATAACTGTGGAAAAATAAATAAATAAAAGTATAAATGAACAGAAAAGTGTCTTAAATCTCACTGAAAACATTCTGCACTTTGTTGCATATTGTGCTGTATGGAAGACTGGTGATGAACATCGACTAGTCTGACAGAGTGCTGGAGTATTATAACATGACTGTCCCGAGCTGCTACGTCCGCTTGCAGAATGGTGCGACTCTCCGTGGTGAGCGTGGGTGCAGTGATGGACTACTTGGCTTGTTGGTGAACAATGACGTGAGGAGCACGGGGGGTTAGGAGACTCTTTTGCTTTCTTCCAATTTTTGAAGTCCTTTTCAACAAAGAATTGACATCGCAAGCCTGTAAAGTTAAAGTCCGGCACTGGGAGAAGTCCACCGATGAATATCCTTTTTTTTGTTGTTGTTTTTTTTTTGTTTTGTTGCGAGTCAGTATGTGAATACTATGGCAATAGGAGACAAGCTCATCAAGAAGGGTGGCTTCTGTTTGATCGCTCTTCTCATTCAATCGGGGCACAAACAACTGTGATGAGGTTCATGGAACTATTCACGCATAGTGTTTTTGTTTTTTTTCATATAGTAATGTTCATATTTCTGTTCAAATCAAAAAATACTTTTCTTCAGAGCAACAGAGGTCCAATGCAAAAATCATAGGTGCATCGTTTCAAATTGTCTCTGATTGAAAAGAAAATACAAAAAAAAGCAAAAACTAGAACAACTGGTCAGCTTCCCTCTCCTCTTAAACACAGGTGGAGTGTTTTTCAGTCTGTCTTTACTGCTATCTCTGTGCTACTGACACCCTCCAATGAAACATGTAAACACAAATATAAAGTAAATAAAAAAATATTTTTCACATTCACTTACTTAGCTTACTTTGTTGGTTTTTCTTTACCTCAGAAGAAGACACTGCTGGAGTTCCAGGATGCAGTTTCTCCTTTTGCTCAGCTCCTTACTGACTGGGGAGCGAACTCTTACGGTGCATCTATATTTCTCTCAGTATGGACTAGTATTGGCATGTTGCTTGATAATGATATGAGCATACGGGTTAATTTTAAGAGACTTTTTTTTGGTGTCAGATACTGTATTATGATGATATGGTAGACTAGCCTATCTGATCGTTTCAGCATCCTTTAGCAGGCTGATTTGCTAACTGGCATGCACATTAGCACTTCAAAATTCCTAGTTTGTTTGATCTGTGAAGCTGTATCTATGTTGGATACCAAACTGCTCATTCACATATTATTTTCATTAAAGGGTGATTCCCTAACACTTCCTTCTCATTTAAGGGTAGGAATCCTGGTGGTCTAAAAGATCAAAAGTGTGTGAAGTTGGGAAATAAAGCATGACAGAGGGAAAAGGCTTGATCCCTGCAATGGTCAAGCACCTTCACAACGTAGTCAAGGAAGAAAAGAAGTAGCTCATGGCTTGCAGGGATACTTGGAGTTGGAGTTACACTTTCTTCTGTCTGGTGTAGTTCAGGCATCCTGCTGCGCAGTCTCACTCTTTATCCTACGGTTGGGACTGGGTTCCGTTGGAGGACAGCAGTCGGGTTCTCTCTTTCGCTGAGCCTCTGCGCTGCAGAACTCCCCCGCTGCCTCCTATTCCTCCGCCATCTGCCCGGTCGCCCCACTCACACCTGTCGCCCCCACCCTCGGAACGCCTCGAGTTTTGGCGGGTGGGGGTCCCGTGGGGCCGGCCGTTCTTCTCATCTGGGAAGGGATCTAGAGAAGAGAACAGAAAAGTCATTCTCACTGTAAATATCCAGATGTTTTTATGTCACTTGTGTAATTTTTAAATTGCAAATGAGTTGAATTGGCTAATAAAAATACAAAGAAAAGGACTGTTTTCCAAAAGGTGTGTGCAACTGTCAGTATAAGCAACCATTGATCTTTTAGAGGCATTCTAAGAAAAAGAAAACTGAGTTTGTTTAAGCAGAAAAGAAAACATGACAAACCAGTTGGATAAGTTGTGTACAGACAGAAGAAGGCGATAAGATACCATAAATTCTCTAACTGAGGCCGGTATTTGATTTGCAGCCAGGTCCTGCAGTACGATCAAAATCCTGTCTTTTATGAGTGAATAAAGGCCTGCTTCCAATTATTGGCCAGGACGCCTCTATATTACTATCATGGAGAGGGGCTTGAGTTCAGGACGATCACACATCAGCCACTTTCTCTCTACTATTATGGGGACATCAGATTTTCAGTCACAGGCTTACTCATGGGGCACAAGTAAGGTCCTTGTCGGAGTTCTATGAAGGATTTACGACCAAGGCATCCTGCATGATCAACCTTTGAAAATGTCACTCAATTTATTTCATTTAATTTAAAAGGGACCATGAACCATACTAAACATAAAGGTTATTATCTGATGCCTTACGCCAGTTAGTTTAAAGCAATGTCCAGTTTTCTGCCTGTTTGTTTCTACTGAGAAAAATAAGCATCTCCATGTGGTCTAGTGTCAAGTTGGTAGTGAAACTGGATCACAATCGGTCAAATCGAAGTAAAAACATGATCAGACGACACCAATGTTGCTGGTCACTCTCGCTCTCTCTCTCAGACAGAGACAATTTGATATTAAAGGCCTTATTTCATAGAGACTTGCAACATATAAAGATGTGATACCATCTGCAGTAAGAATAACAAAGCTCCAGTATTTGAGGATTTATGACCCATGAAATCAAAGTTACTAACTGTATATTATTGTTGTCAGTCACTATTATTTTTGTTACTTTTTCGTGTTATCTTGTGCTTTTGTACATTAAATTGTAATATTAATATTACTATATTACTATGTAGCTGGAGGCTTCAAATAAGCCCATCATGTCTTTTTGCCCCTCCCTGCACTGTTTCATTATTACCTATCATGTTTTATGTTGTATTCTTTAAAATTGTTCAAAAAATAAAATGAAAAAACAAGGAAAAATAAAAAATAAACACATATTAACAGATCAAGAAAAACACACCTGATAACTGAAGTTAAAGGGGTGAAAATATCTAAGTGTGTAAAAGCAGTCTCACCAGTTAGGGCTTGCACCATGGGTTGATCATGAGAGCTGAGAAGCTGAGCTTGAATCGTTTCCACCACTCGTCTGAACCTGCGACTCGGGCCTGGAAACGCACCACAGCACACAGGTGTTAAGCGGGGGAAAGGATTGGACCATAAATAATGATGTTCATGCCCAAAAATGGTCATGTTTTTAGATAAACAACACTCAGAAGATGAGGATAAATCATTCAGCTATCCTTCCTGAGTGGCTGCCTCATTCGTCATAAATCCCTCTTTCTCCATGTTGACAAATTGGAAGACCCAAACTTTGGAATTAAAATGCATCTCAAATAAAACCGTTCTTGAATACAACTACTGTGATTGTAAGTTAGTTCTCACAATGCTGAGTCAGGTCCAAGTGCTCATTTTTAAGGCATTTGAATACAGTATTTGATACTACAAAACAGGGTGTTACACCATGACTGAAAACTTTGTTGACAAATGTAGCTCCTGCAGTGTTAACTTCACCAAGGTAGAGAGAAAACACTGACACAAAAGTCACGTATTCAAATTGCAGTTTCAATCCAACTGCAGGTGTTGAATTTAGTCGTCTCTTGCCTGATATGAGGGTGAACGTCACGCTGTAGATCCCTGTCTCCCTCCTGCCCTCCCTCTCGCTCCTCTCCCTGTCCCGCTCCCTCTCGCCTTCGGAAAAAGCAATGTCCACCTGGAACTTGACGGGCTTCTGGAAGACGGAGGGACCGCCGGAGGACTTGTACTCTGCTCGAAAGCTGGTCTGGGACAGGACGCTGTGACTGAGCGACGGGATCTGCGTGGTAGGGCGACAGAGAAGAAGCAGAGAGACCGACAGACTTACGAGGCAGGAGAGGTTCAGGGGCAAACGTGAGTATAGGGAGACAAAGGGTGAGGGTGAGGAGAGGAGAGAAAGAGTGAGCCATTGGTGAAAGCAAAAGTGATCCATCACACGTGCCACAAGTGAGCAAGATTAGAAACAAAGAAAAAACAGAAATAATGAGTAATGAAGTGCGTAAAGTATGAAAGTGTGTGAAAGTATTACAGCTTTTTCAGAGAGAGCCATGCTTTTTGCAAACAAGCTTTGACAGAGAGAGACGTGAGGGACAGACCACGTCAGATACTCACAGACAGGAAGGCATGGACTATGTCAGCTTTGACTGAACTCAGAGGTTTGTCTCTGATCACCACAAAGATCTGCTCCTCTTTCTCCAAGCCGATGAAATTCCCAAACCATGACTTCTTAGCTAGCCTATTAGCAAGACATGAAACACCACAAAGAATCAGCACAAAGCTTGCCATTACAAAATATAACCTGACATAGTAAAGACAGATCTCAAGGACTTACTCTGGGCTGGATTCTGGTGTTAGACTGGACATGTCTTCAGAAGTAGGAACTGAAAAAGATAAGTCACTCTTAAAAAAATTAAGTTTGCTTAAATAGAGCACCATGCTGGGAGGCGACAGAGGAGAGTCGTGGACATTATGTGACTTAATAGATTTGCTAAAGTTGCCTCTCTGAATTGACACGCAGGAGTAGCGTTTGGTGTGCCAACAGCCGAGTGTGACATCAAGCTGGAGGCAAATGAGAAGCTTCTCAAAACTGAAAATCCAATTTAACAAACCTGTGCAAGAGACATAAGTCCCACATTACACACAAATCTCACCTTGCAGTTTGCGGCGATGGAAACGCGGTGATCCCAGCAGGTTGTTCTTGAAAGAATTGAGGCGGGTCCTCCAGTGGGCCGAGCTGCTGGCCGCCATCCCGCTTCCCCCTCCTGGGCTGGAGGGTGGGGTAAGCGACAGCGAACCCACCCCTCCCCCTCCCTCCGCCCGTGAGGAGGACGAGGATGAGGAAGAGGAGGGCGGGGTGGAGGAAGGGTGGTGAGGGTGGTGGACAGGGGTGCCCAAGGGTGTGGGCAACGGAGAGCCCTGGGGGGTGACCTGTGGCACAGAGTGGGCAGAGTTTGGGTAGAAGCTCTTAGTCACTGACTTTAGGACAGAGGACGAGGGGAAGAAAAAACGGGGGATGGGTGAAAGGAGCGGAGAAGGGGAGGGTGAGCGGGAGGATGGGTTGTGCAGAGGCAGGGATTTGATGGGCTGCAGGTGGGGTCGCTCGGCAGGTCCCTTGATGGGCAGGGTCTGGGTCTTTGGGTTGGGGGGAGCTTTGGGTTTGTCGTGAGCCCGTGCGGAGCGTGGAGTTGTGGTGCTTCCCTGTTTGGGCTCCTTTGTGAGGGGGGTAGCGGTGGCAGAGGTGACGTCTGATTGGCTGAAAGTGAAGACGGGGCTCTGATAGGACTGGGGGGAGTGGGTTTGTGGGGTGGGAGAGATGGATAATAAGAAAGAGAGGGGATGGAACATGGAGAAAGTATGGAAATGAATATCATGCTTCATGACAAGAGAGAGAGCATCCTGTGAGAAGTGACAGTGTCAAATGCAAGACATATATAAAAGCTGTCAGTCAGATCTTTTAGTGTTTGAATTTTGATTGTATGTGAGTGAGGGTTTAGTGGCAGTGAAAGGGTTAAAAATGCAGTGACAAACAGTGGAAGTGACTGTGTTACTGTGACGAGATGGTTCATTAAACTTTGTGTTTTACTGTCTACGTAGAGTTCCTTATCATAATGTTTATTTTAATTTACTGGATGTTTGTGCACACAGCTAGCTCATGCAAGGTGAGGGAAAGACAGCGCATGAAGACAGAAGAGGTATCTTTGCTTGCTGGGACATTTAATCTGAGGTGCAGCGATGATGTGTAAAAATGACTGGGGACTTGATAGATGTATTATTCAGGAGTTTGTGAGGTGTGGAAGATTTTTTTTTTTTCTTACAGTAGTCTGACACAAGAGTGGGCAATAAAAATGTCGCAACAACCAGAATTGTGTACAACAGTATGCTGAGGTGGAAATACTGCTACTGAAAAGAGATAATAACCAGTCAAATATAACATTACATCAGAACATAAAGACTGTCTCCCACCCTCCAGAGGTTACAAAGCTTCAATATACACACAATCTAGGTTCTGTATCACAGTTGGGAAACAATGCAGTAAACGTAGTAGGGTTAAAGGGTATAAAGGTTCATATTTTCTACATCTATCTTCAAAAACACACACAGAGAGGGTGGTCATGCACAAGTCATGCATAAAGGAATCTGTGTGGCTGATGCTTTCTCAACTCAAGGAGGCTACAAAAAGTTATCCTAAGGTAGTTAGAGGCCCCCAGTCTGGGTTTATAAAATTAAAGGTACAATGTGCAGCATTTGGAGAAGAGCCTTGACAGAAATGACATTCGACTAGGGCTGGGTGATATACCGAAAATTTACCAATACTGAGAATTACGACAATAGCCAAAGTCATTTTGCTCATGTCAATATATTTGGCGTCAAATAAATAAAAGTTGGTTTTGGATGGTAGGCTGTCCTATGTCGGAGATGTGACTCCGTCCCATCCAGTCCATAACAAAGAGGGAAAGACAGGTAAGGAGGAGGACGGTTCAAAAGTTGTAGCGGCTGGAAGTAGACGAACTTAATGTGGGAGGGGGTGAGCAGCTTGTGGAGTAGTTATTGTCCATTTATCATTATCGAGGTGAACTGCTCAATATATCGTGATATTGATTCAAGACCATATCGCCCAGCCCTCGATTCAACATTCATCAATCACCTTAATAAAAAACAGTTTTGTTTTTGTTCACTCAAACTGAGCCTTGTATTCAGTATCTACATGAGGATGTAAAAGGCTCATTTCATGGGGAGGGCTCAGCAGGAAAGCGTTTTACTCTCAGATCTAACCTCTTCATATCATCAAACATCTCCACTTCTACACGCTGTACCTTTAAGATCTCCCAAAGTTATCTCCATTTTCAGAGGAAACTGCTGTATGCGGAGCTGCACCAGATAGATTGTTAGACAAATCGCTTTAAAGTTGGAGCTACGTTTTGAGAAGGTTAGAATAAATTAAAGGGGCAATGATAATAATAAGTGTAACATGCTTTGAGGTTCATGTGGCCAATGACCCAACATTAGCAAACCTATCCTTTTACTGTAGCCCTCCTGGTTTACAAGGTTGTAAAACAACACAATGCAGTGTATAACTTCATTTGAATATACAAATTTGTGTTATGTTCTACAGTCGTGCAACAGTAATGTGTGTAGAGCTGGTTTAAGACTGGCCAACAGGCCCTTACCCTGGGACTGCTGAGAGGACTGGAGGAGAGACCAGTTGATGCTCCACTTACAGAACGAGACCTGAGGACGAAAGAGAAAAACTATATGACTGAATGTTTTCCTGCTGGAGTATGCGTAATGAATGACTGCAAGCACAAAACATTGTACCTCTGGCTGTGTGCAGCTGTGTCCAGGGCCCTGCGAGGTGGGGTAGGAGACCCCTGCTCAGTGACACTCAGCACCTCCAGACTTTTCCTCTCGGGGCGGCAGCGGCCGTGGCGTGTAAGCATGGGGGAGTCAACACGCTTTCGAGGAGGGTCTGCTGAGGGGCACCATTATTATGTTAAAACAAGATTGATTATTTTCAATGTGATCCTTTTTAAATGATGACATTACACTTAATGTAGCTGCCCCAAGGATTTCAGTCTATATGAATATATCCACCTATTCATCACAGCCTACAACCTCTCATATCCCTGCACCCATACTGGTGATTATGTTGAACAGGCTCTTTCCAGAGGCCCTACACTCTCTGCACCAACTGTGACTGTGTTGAATTTGTCTCTGTTTGCACAAGCACAGTCACAGCCCCCCTCCCGGTTTTGTCTCGCAGAGGAGTCTTGCAAGTCTTGTCTAGGTTTAAAATCTTTGAAGACTATAAAGTCTGTCCTTCCGTTTTGCATCATATTTTACTGCTAACCGCAGGACGGCAGCTGATTTTAAACTACAGGCTATCAACCGTTAAAACATTTGAAATATGACATAAAATAATCCCACATTCATCACCAAAGGCACCTGTGTTTGGCAGACGGCTCATAAACAGTTTTACAGGTGCTTGTCAGATACTGAGGAAAGCAGCTCCCTCCCTTGTGTGGATCCCTCCTGCCCTCTAATGACTAACCTACGTCATTGCGCGGAGGCAAGTCCTCATCCTCATAGCTGGGGTAGCGTTCTTTTCTGTCCAGCAGAAGGTAATAGATCATCTTCTCCTGGTTTTCTCTAAAAAGACAACAAAAAAACAAAACAGAGATGTTAACTCATTTGAAAACAAGTTTAGTTGTGCAAAAGACAAATTAATCCTTTGATTCAAAGTGCAACCAAGTGTTTGGTCTTAATCTTGTACTTTTGTACTTGATGGAGTCATTAGAAAAGACTGAATTGAGTTCAAGATGTAACACAGCTGTCCTAAAATAAACCCCACCTTTTTGGACCATTTCAAATGCTTTCAACGCTATCATGTTTCGATGCAGCTTTTATTTTCTTAGCCACTTTAATGTATTTGTCAAGCACACCCTATCATAGCTTTGTAGAGGAAAAATGTGTTTTAATGCACATAGGTGGATTACATTACAGTATGTCGCACAAACCCATAAATCAGTCAGGCAAAAAGAAACGTTAACATGTTCTGAGTTGGGAAAAAAAAAAAAAAACTTACTCTTCACATTGCAAGTCACGTGTGAGCTTGACTCGATCCCGGAAACATCCCAGAGAGTGCATGCTGTCCAACACATCTGGGTCCAGCTCAGTCAGGGACAAGATTCGCCTCACACACACTCGCCGGGGAGGAGGCTGCTCAGGACATGGCTCATTACGACCACCCCTGGGAGACACACACAGAAGCGCACACAGGTAACACATGATAGAACACACAAATGGCACGTGTATAATGCTTATGATCAAACATGATGCAATAACACTGTAAATAAGTTTCTAATCCATTATATGTATGTAAGAATGAATGTATACTCACTGATACCAGGCATGTTTCTGGATGGCCTCCAGCTGTAAGGGGGGTGGGGGGGTGACAGGGCAGATGGGGCCATTAGTTTCTACAGTCTGTTAGCAGCCAGATGGCCACAGAGCTGCGCTGTGCAAACACCACATACTTCTTTACATACACAAGAGACACCTCATCACGACTCATTATTGTATTTTAAAACATAATCTGCGACTGGGCGTGCTTTTGGTTTGAATCAGGTAATAGATAATGCCTTGGAGCTATTAATGTTTTGTGTGTTTTCAGAATAAGAAACTATTGTGCATAATATAATCAGATAAAAAAAAGAGTACTTGACACCTAGTGAAGACATGTATTCTTGAAGTGTGCTTAAATACAACAAACAAACACCTTCTGGTACAACAGCACCAACAGACAACAACAAACTATTTCAAAAAAAGCTGTCCAGTGAGGCTGATTTTTCACACCTGATCTAACAAAAGAAGTGCCAATATATGAAAAAAGTATCACAGCTAGCTAACCAGGGCTTTTATAGCAAAACATTTCGAGGATGTTGGTCTAAGATTTGAAATTAAGATCATTCACACTGGTAAAATTGAGTACCATTGACATCCTTTGGCAGACAAAGCACGTCAGGAGAGGCTGTAAGAGAACTGACTACTTACTGTTACTGAGAGTGATGTAAGGTTTGGATTTCTTCTTCTCAGACAGAGCCCTAAGTTATGATAGTAGTCGCACTATATTTTTGACTTTACAGGCTATGCTGAATTAACAGTAAACATATGAACAAAAGTAGATTTGTGTTGAAATAGTACTTGTTATTGACCCTCACTGAAGATTAGCTATGGTTAGACAGTTCAATACTTTAGGTTATCCTTTGTTGTACTAAGTTCTGATACCATATGAGATAATACAATATATGACTCAATACAACACAATATTTTCACAGCAAGGGGAATAAATTTTGGACTGAAGTGCTGCACACACGTAGATGCCTCCAAACTATTACTGATACATAAAACCATTATATAAACTAATAACCACGAGGACATTTCTCTGATTCAGTATGGACAACTTATGACAGGCGCAAGCATAGGGTGCCATTCAAACCCCCTGTGTATGAGCCAAGAGTAAACACAATCCCATACCGAAAGCCTTTTTTCAGGGTCGACTTCTATCATGCCCTTGAGCAAGGACTGGCAGTCTGGGGGGATGAAGTGTGGCATGTGAAATACACCGCTCTTCACCTTCTCCAGAAGCTGGCGCAAGTTGTCATGGTCAAAAGGCAGGGCACCCTGTAGGGAGAGGAAAGACAGGGGAGAGAAGGGGAAAGGCACACTGATGATATCATATATTTGTCACAAAATGAGGGAAGCAGGTAAGACCTGTGAAACACCTACCACAAGTAAAGCAAAAAGGATAACCCCACAGCTCCACACATCTGCTCTCCGCCCGTCATATTTCTCCCCCTGCAAAAAGCAAAAATTACAACCATCTCACCCAGCTATTCAATTATAAAGCGGCCACATTAGTGATCTAATTTAGAAGGGAAGCTCATTTAGTTGTTTCTAAGTCGATAAATTGTCTCTCAAAAGAGAAAGAATACAATGAATTTCATTTAACTGAAACCATCTTCTTACTACTACAACTGGATAATTTTCTTGCTGTATGCGGTCAACACTCACTCTTTCTAAAAATCAAAGACAACCCAAATGACAAGCATTAAACTTTTATATGTCTTTGTAAAAACAGGTTTGTGGGTCTAAGACTAAATGTATTTGCTACTCTGTGGAAAGCTCATCAAAGTTACTTGCTAATTTATTACACAATCGACAGACTTACCCGTATGACTTCGGGGCAAGCATAATGTGGGGATCTAGAATGAGAGAGACATTTATTTGAAAAAGAATCAGGAAAAATAAGTAGTTACATGTGGTCATTTTTACAAAGGCACAAATTCTGATGAGTTCAACTTCTACTGTAACTACTGGAATTTGTTTCGTAATGTACATAGAGTGACATTTTGAGTCTCTGAAATACAAAATATGAGTGATCTTTCTATGTGTGTATACTATCATTCATACGCTGATACTCACCCACAGCTGGTCTCTAACAGACTGTCTCCCACCTGTAGGGAGGCCATGCCAAAGTCAGCAATACGAATGTTGTTTTTCTCATCCAGGAGCAAGTTCTCCGGCTTCAGGTCTCTGTGACTAAACAAAATGAAACAAAATCAATTAGTCTTTTGATAATAATGAAATCTGACATATGTCTGCAGGTGCAAAGATTAGTCTTTGGTAATGGTTCATGCAACAGATTCATGCACTGTCAAAAGCAGTGGGAACTTCTGCCTCAAAGTTGCATTGATGCTTAATTGTGCATGAGAAAAGGCAATGAATTGCCAATAAAGCCAATTATTCCCTTTATTTCAAACCAAAGTCCAACAAAGAGCTTCGGTAAGCAGAGGAACCCAAACATTGGACCTGTACATGACCCCTACCCAAATGTTAGAACTGCTGCTCTGTGCATAAATACCAACCAGATGGAATGACTATGGCAGAAATCCAAAGCAGAGATGATCTGCCTGAAGAACTTTCTGGCTTCTTTTGGGGTCAGCCGGCCTTTCTTCACCAGGTAGTCAAATAGCTCTCCTCCTGACACATGCTCCAACACCAGGTACCTGTTCACACATAGGGACAACAGTCTAGATTAAAACCAGAGACTTTGTGGAAAAAATAAACAATAAATCAAGCCCCTGACACTCTCAAAGAGTAAGATATCATCAATTGATGATGTAAGATTCAATTCACCATTTTTATGTACTCTCTTCCTGCCTGTCTATCCTCGACAGGTACTTTACAACAGCCTTTAAAGCATTTTGGGGGTTATTCTTTCATCAGGATAGATCAAAAACTTTTCAGAATAATTGCAGTAAATGAAAAGAAAGTGAAAATTAAGAGTGATGAGAGCAGTTTAATATAGTTCACAGCGTTGTATTAATACCCATCCCACTCCAGAGTTCAGTGTAAAATGCATGCAGGCTTTACTGTGAACATTTCTGAGACGGCAGAGGGAACTCACAGATATTTGTTATTTTCGTAAACATCATGCAGCTTCAACACATGCGGATGCTCGATCAGTTTGAGAATGGCAATCTCTCTCTCAACCTGGTTAGAGCGACAGAACAAGAAAAAAGAAACGAGACAAAAAGAGGTAAAGATGCAGCAGCAAAGCACACAAGCCACTTTCTAGTTTAGGAGTTAAATAAAAGAGAATATGGAGCATTTTTAGGACAGCATAAAACACCTTGCTGTTGACAAAATTAGCATCATCATCATCACCATTAGCAACAACTGAACAGCATCGTGCTGGTACTGTACCTTCATCAGGACTGACTCAGACAGCTTTTCTCTGTTGACTATTTTAATCGCTACCTTCTGACCCGTAATGCAATGGACCCCGAGCTTGACCAGTCCTGAAAGACCAGATGAAGGAGACAAGATAAACAGAAAGGCATCTTCAGCTAAAGAACTTTGAATAAAATACATTAAATATATCCATTCTGATTACAAAAAAAAAATCAATTTTAACTCAAAATAGTTGGATGTACTCACCTGTCTGACCCTTCCCCAGTGTTTTTTCCAGTCGGTAGGGCCCAACATATTGAGCTGACTGACTAAGAGACAGTTCTTTACTCATACTGCTCTCACTGAAGGCTACTACAACTACAACTACGACTACTGCACTGTTTATTGCAACAACTGTAATATTTTACAGCTTATACAGAAGTTACTGTGGCATATAGGACAGCATAAAACTTAGACGAGGGTCTACTCTTAATTTCAGTGATAACACTGCTACTCTGGAGTCATGGGTGAACATGTAAAGAGATGTCAAACTGGTGTCGATAGAAAACATCTGGATGATAAACGGACATTTTTCATCAACACCTGGTTAACAAACATGGTTAACTATTTTGCTCTGAAGCACGCTAAACATGTATAACGTTAATATTTAACACAACAGCTTGCTAGAAGGAGAATTAAGCAGAAAAAACTCAGATGGCAATAATTCAAAAGGCTGTTTTATGCGTTAAACACTGACAGCTGCTATAAAGGTCAACATGGCAAAGTGGGCAGACCTCACTTATGTACATTAGCTTATTTGTGTAACTTGAACGACGTTAACTGTTAATGACGGTTAATATGAAAATCATCGCATACTAACATTGACGAGATTTATCAGCCTTGGCAAAATAAGCTGCGGAAATGTGTCATTTGCCGGTTGAGTATGTCAACCAATCGCTTAATACGTCATGTGGGCGCTCGGAATGAAAATAAACTCAATTTAATTCTCTATGTCAGGCCTGTTTTACAGGTGCAACAACATGCTATTTTAGCCCCGCCGCCGCTCTCCCACACAGCAGCGAGGCTAGCTTTAGCTTCAACGCCTTGACCGACGGCCGTCGCGCTGGCGCCGCCTGTCAAAAAAACCGACACCTCCTGAAGTTTCCAGGCATCACCAAACGGTAAGATTGATCACACTGCCGCCGCATCCTCACAATATTTCCCTGCAAAACAACCATCCTTAGCATAGCGTAGTCCTCCCCCTCCCTGCCTCCCCCAGTCGCTCCCTCTCTACATCCCTGCTGCAAGTAGCGGATCACAGCATCTTCTCCTCTCTCCTTTGGCGTGTCCTCCTCCCTCACCGGCGGATACTCAGGTGAAAAAACACACACAGTGATGCCCACAGATAAACTCGTACAATTATCGACTGCCCTATCCCCCTCCTCACTTCTGATTATAGTTCACGCAGAGTAAAGGCCCCCTGTATTATACTCCCTTCGGTTTTTCTTGCCGTAAATCGATATTTTCCCTCTCCTCTTCCTTCCTTCGTCTCATTCGCATCAGCATCCGGGTCCCAGTCTCTCCCCATCCTCTCTCCTCTCCTCCCCCTCCGTCCTCCTCTGCCTCCTCCTCCCCTTGATCATCTTTTTCAAAATAAGCTTATCACTGCCTTCACCTCCGTCACAGACACACTGTGGGAGCCGCCGTGATGTGCTGTGGACAACAGCATCACTGTCCTCCATAATGTGACAGCAGACATTTGTAAATATGGCCGGACACAGCAGATTGGGATGCGGACTGCGAAGGAAGGCCGGGGTGCTTATACCCCCATCTGACCCTTAAATTAAGACTTTGTGGTGTACCACATGTGGTGTTTTTATTTAATTTGATGAGTCAAATCAAATTTTAAGTGACATGCAGTTGTAAAACGTTTTTAACTATTTAACTTCATTCAGCATTGCAATTCCTTACTGAAGAATAAATTGCTGTGCTTAAAAAGACTATTCAAATGTTTACTTGAATACCAGCCAAAAAGGTCTGAACCTGATTTAAACAACCAAATGTATGGATAATAATAATAATAATAATACATTTTATTTAAAACCGCCTCTCTGGACACTGTACAGGGCATTGAAAACACAGTTAGAAACACAATTGAAATAAATAAAAACAACAAAGAAGTATGAAGTTGGATAGTTAAAGAGAATATTACATGACATGTTAACATGTCACAAAACATGTTATCTTGTACAACAACAGGGGCATCTCCAGACAAGAACTAGGGGTGGCCCTCATTGTAATCGGATTGGCCACCCCAGGGCAGCTGGGTGTTAAAATCAGCTATGATGCAGCAGGCTGTTCCAAGTTCAGCTTGCATTTAAGTGTATCATCTTTTTTTGGTACTTCGATGTACTGTACTTCATGCTTCTGAAGTATTTAACAATAACTATAATTATAAAATAAATGTAGTAATGCATTTATCCATCATTGTGTTTGAAACTATGAGTAAAGGGGGAATTTAGATATGTGCTCATAGATTTAAAGGAGCTCTGTTGTGACTGGCAGAAACTAGAAAAGACATCTTTATTTGTTTAAGGCATACTACTCATTTTCATATATAAATACTTTTTTAAAAGAGTATTTAAAGTTTTCATTAGTGCCCTGATATTCTCTAGAAGTGAAATATGAAAGAGGTATTAGTATTGTGTCGCTGTTTCAAGTATTTTGCGGAGAAAAATACCTCTAAGCTATACTTTGCTGGAAGCTATGAATGTAAAGATACAAAATACATGTAAATTTTAACTGAACCCTTGATTTAATTCACCTTCTATTACATCTGTGGTCAAATCCTTATAACAAAATATATCATTTCAATTCTGTGCATTTTTATGGCCTATCGAATTCTCATAATGCACAATATCACACTACAGGAATGTATCAAGTCATAGGTTTTGTGTTGTTGATAGAAAAATTATGGGGGGAAAAAAATCATGAAATTCCTCAGCTGTAGCAACGAAGAATCTCACACTATAAATACACTTTTTTGATGGGCACACGTTCTGGCCCATCACACCTCCTCATCTGGAAAGGGAACTGAAAAGATGTGTGTTGGCTGTTGATTTAAATGAATCATGTAGAGATGATGGTTTTATTTTTTAAGTAGGACATTTGAATGTATCATCTGTAAAGTGCCTTGAAAAATCTCTAAAATCTCAATTTGAAATGTTGTGTGTGGGCGGATAATTCCCCAAAGCCCATCTTCATCTGCGCCTAGCTGGCTGATTTACACGCAGCCAGAAGGATTTGTCTCCAAACACAGAGCAGAAATAGAACGGGGTGATACTCATCCCACTGTTTTCTGGTTTGATCTGATGGGACAGACGTGGACTTCTTGAAATTTTGCAAAAGTAGCCCTTAATCAGAGTGACACATTCCGCTGTGGAAAATCAATCCAAGCCATCTTCTTTGATGGAAGACCTCATAAAGTTTAAAACATTAACAGACACACAATAAGAACTCTGTTTGGTTTCCCCACACAGAGCATTTGTATCAAAGAACTGAGGCAACAGATGATCCACTCAGGAAAGAAAAGTGGGGGGAAAAAAATCTCAAAGGTTTTGGACACACCATGAAGTTTGCAAAGTTTTTTTTTTTTTGATACTAAGTCTTCTTTCACAAATAAAACTCACTTTTTCTGGTCTCTGCAAAGCTTGCTCTTGTACCTCTTCCTTAGCTTACAGCATGAAAGTCTGATCAGGAGGTTAATCTGAACAAGTTTTCCCGCTCTCTTTAGAAACTACACTTTCAGGTTCTTCTTCCATTCTACTCCCTGCATCTACACCTGCTGCCAATGTTCAGAGAGGTAAAGCCACATTAGACTGATGTGTTTAGGTACTAATGTGCAGATTAAGCAGGGGTTAACAAGCTCTCCTTAAATCCATTAAGAGTAGCTTTACCTTGTCTGAGTGAGGATACAATTGTGTGGTTATACGACCACATAACAAAGAATCCTGCTATAGTCACATTCATGACTAAAAAAGATGACTCTATTTCATATTTGGCAAATGTCTTCTGTTTTTATTTCATAACTTTCTCTGCTGACAATCTTTACATTGTAAGAAAATATATGCATAATAGTGTAATCCATCAAAAGTTACACCTTAATAGAAGCATACAGTATCAGAAGCTCAGTGTCATCCCCCCTCTTCAGTCTTTCACATGGTTCAGTCCAGTGCAATTAGGGAGGAAGGGAATGATGGAAAACTGGAGGATTGAGTGAAAGGAGCACTAAGGAAATAAGAAAGAAAGAAAATGAAAGTCTGGAGGAAGTAAATCTGAAACATCACTGGCTATGATAAACATGTAAATTAGATTTTAATGTGCATGCAATAATGAATCTGTACACAACGGTATTTTTTTACCTCAATATTTACATTGTACTATTTCTCTTTTTCATTTTGAAATGAAATTTCTTATTTCATTTGAATTTCTCAACCCGGGCTCCCTCATTTATATTGTTTTGTCATTAAGCTTAAGACTTAGCTGTATTTTTCAATCATTACATTTTTTATTATTTTCTAGTAAAAAAGAAAAAGATTAAGCAGAATGTACATAACAAAGCTCAAAAGGAAAATCCTTAGAAAGCCCGTTATGATGCATTAAAAGTATCTGTGTGAGCACAGAACTTGTGTTTTATGATCTTTGATTCTGTATACAGTAAAAGAGTATATAATACTGTCATTTTGTGAACTTACATTTTACTAGGACGAATTTTCTTGTGTGTTACGATCCCTCTGACAGAGTTTTTATACAAGCCTGGAAGGCATCCACCAGATCTTTACAGCTTTCTGCTCCTTTCTCCCTGACACTGAAACACAAAACCCAGATGTAAAAAAAAAATCTGCCAGAATTTAGTTTTTGCATACAAGACTTAAGTCAAAGTATCTCAATTTGATGGTTCAGATGTGAAATAAATGAACACATTGGATTTTGTGTCACCTGTAACTCTATGCAGCATTGACAGAATGTCTTTAAACTTAGTCTGCATGTGCAATACACGGATTATAACAGTGTCTTCTCCAGTATGTCATCTCAAAGCCTCACAGCTGCTACTATCTGCATTTGGTGAAGAACAGTGTATAATCTGCACAGCGGCTCCACTCACACTAATCACCACTGCACGTGGACACTCACCAAATGTCTGAACGTAACATGAAGCAGCAAGCAGGAATGTGCTGCCCCTCCCTCACTGCAATAGGTCATACATGCGGCTGCCTATTTTAGACCTCCAATCTATCTGTGCTCCTCAAGACATTTATGTTACTGTAAGGAGCCCCATGTGAATGTCACTATGGTGTAAACAAGATTTTTAGCTCCATTAAATGATCATCTAACAGGGAAAAACAGTTCATGTGGATGCATGCCTATTTATTGACATAGAATAGATAAAACTTGACCAGAGTGAGTTATGAGTTTTTTTTTAACAAGGTACTTTTTAAAGGCACTTAAATCCACTACACCCAAAGAACATGTAAGGATTCATTAAATAATATAAAACTGTACATATAAGCACTTGTAATTGTATTGATTCCTTTCAGCCTTTCAGGACTCACCACTTGTTGATGTCCTCCTTGATGACCAAGCATGGTGCTGGCACAGCTTCATTCGAGTCTGGCATTTTGACAGAGCAGAGCAGAGTTTGTGCAGGAGAGCTGCTGCACAGGCTAAAGTCAAGTACAGTTACAGATTAGTTACAGGGATGGAGGGAAAGACAGTAAGGCAGGGAAAGAGAGAGGGTAGACATGATACTGGCAGATTGTGATGAGCTGGACAGGGGGAATGTATAGAAAGTAAAACATTTAGCAAGAGATTAATCAGAGAGAGTTTGATTTGAAATTCCTACTTTATCTAAAGTGAATTTAGTTTCTTTACTTCCTTCCAGCTTGTATTTTAATCTTTGTTATTCTTATTCAGTAAGGTGAAATCTCGGGTGTTCTTAATTTTTTTCACTCCCATGCTTTGTTTTACAGTCTTTTCAATTAATATGCAGATAGCTGACCTTCTGAGTCATCCACTCTGCATTACAAAGGCCTTATAATACATCTAAAATGCTCACTACAGGGGGGAGCATTTCCGGAGAAAGGACTGTAGAGCCTGACTTTGTCTTTCACCACTGGATTAAAAGATTGAGCTGAGAGCAGGGGGATTTGTTTTACCAATGAATATTGTGATAGCAATCAACTTGCCATTAGAAATTGTGCACGTAATGATGATAACATTACATTTTTAGGCTTTGAGGAAGATAGACAAAGCATATGTAGTCAGAATCAATGAGTTAAACATATAACTCAGCCTGTCCCATTTATTCATTTGTTGTTGAGCACTACTACCATGTTATGGACCATTCGACGATAATCAACTTCACTCATATTTAAAGCTCCTGTAAGGGACTTTTCATTTGCGTTAATGCTTATCATGTCCCTCACATGCGTAACCTCTGATCAAGAATGACAGTTTGCTGACTCTAGACCAAAAAATGAATAATTTGTTGTAAATGCCTCAGGCAGGAGATATGAAAACAGGTCAATTTTTTTTTAGCTGCTCAGTTGATCTACCTCCTGGCACTGGTTCAGGGCATCAAAATTCACAAAATAGATTTTGTCAATCTTGTTGCTAATGGTGTTATTTACTTTGTATGTCATAAAAAGTCATCAATGTGATGACTCTGTTTCATACATGTGAAAAAAAAACTAACAGAAGCTTTAAAGAATTTGTCAAACTTCACTTTAGATGGCTGCAAAACATTTTACTGCAAGTATAAATAAGGTTATTAGGGTTGATAGGCGTCAGATGTCTACATCTTAGTCAGAAAAATGAAGCAGATGAAGTATCATATACTTTGATAAGTTTGGCATAATACAAAAAGTCTTGAATGGTTCTTACCTTTCTGGTTACTTTAGTACTTTAAAGACTATATCATAACCACTAGAGGGCAACAGACGATCACCTACACATCATACATTGCAAATACAATCACAAATTGGCCATCTAAAGAGGGTATCAATAATATGTGTAAATGATGGAGTCCTCGCTTTGAGCAAAATGACGAGTCTGGGTTGATGTTCAGCAGTTGTTGACTTTGTAATGCGTTTTCATTATGGGTGTATTCATTTTGAGATAGTGACAGGCGAAAGTTGTGGTAAATTACAGCACCTATGAAAATCCAGGTCAGGCTCAGTGTCAAACACCAAAGAGATGATAAAGAAGGAAGAGTAGAGCATCGCTCTGATTCCTCTTATTATGACCATTAAACTCAGTGTGCCATCTGCTGGCGGACAGACTAGGTACACAGGGTCCCTCAGACATGGACTCAAAGTACAAAAATTAGCAGATAGGTCTCAAACAGCCCTTTGTTTATTTGCGGAATGTATGTATCTAAAGTAAGACAACACTGCATACTGGTTTGGCACTGAAAGGCAAACTACCGGTTTGACCGAGGCAGGAAATGAACCTGTCTCTCACTCAGGCTGCACAGTTTCAAAGCGCTCGCAGTGGCCTGTATATATCTGGTTATTACTGGAAATAATTTTGCACTCGATTGCGTCTCAGCCAATCATAGCGCACAGCTCAGACAGCTGACTTATTTTTTTGTTCGTGTAAAATTTAACCTAAATTATTAAGAAGCCTATCAATGAAGGGGGAAATGTGGAAAAGCGTGCAGGGCCGGTGAATGGAGGTCACCGCAGACACTGAGTGAGTCTCAGCGGTGAGACAGAGAGGGGGAGAGGGAGGACGGACAGCGGCTAGCCGCCTTCAAAAATGGCGTCTCCGGAGGAAAATGAGAAAAAATATTTAAACGCGGCCTGCTATCTTTACACTTCCTAGTTCGGTTTCACGACTCTTTTCGTACTCTGATAGCGTTCTTCTTCTGCGGGCAAAGTCATTATTGGTTTTACTCGTATCGTTAAAGAAAGGAGAGAAATTGGGAGCATTTGGGGCAATAAAAGCAGCCCTGTTTTATTTTGATGCGACGTTACTGACAGCTAGCATCTGCTGCTAGCCCACAGCTCTGCTCCGGAGGGGGGTGGGAACGATTTGCATGCAAAGAAAAAAATCAGATTTTGAAATTGGGGATTTCTTTGCTCGTCCAAGGGGAATGGTTGTTACCAACGTGGCCCGTCGTTTGCAATCTTTTCTGTTGCTAGCAGGGTAGCAAAGACTAGCCCGAAGAAAGGGGAGGAGAGACGGTGAAAAAGGACGCATTCAAATCAAATGTTTATCAGTAATTCGTCCATCAGCGGCCAAATCCGCGGCATCTCCATCATGACCTGGACTGATCGTGGACTATATCGGCAATCGTGGAAATGATAAACGTGAAAGTCGCAGGAAAAGGAGAACGACTGGCTTTTTTTGGAGGTGGTTGGATTATAACCCCGTAGACCCCCCTCTTTTTTCATCCAGCTTTCTCCTCCTCCCCTCCATTTCTCTTTCAATATGCTGTTTTCCACTCCTGAGGACTTGCTTATGAAACCGGGGAAAATAGCCTGAAACCGAGAACTGGAAAGACTGGGTTTTTACCCGTAATCTGCTCGTTGCTTTCGTCCTCATCGCACACATTGTACAGCACATAAATGGATAGAAATTACCCGGGAACAGGGTTTGGTGATTTGGGCGCAGGAGCAGGATGGAGTTACGAGAGATCGGCAAAAGCAAGGTATGCATTGGAGTCAGACAATGTGCATGCATCACTGGTACTTTGCAGGGCACGGTGTGGCCCATGTAAACAAATTGTCGCAAGTGGGTTCATTTATAGTGCCATGCCATGCCATTATGTGTAGTGCATTGTCATCCAAACAGTTGCATAGTAATAATATAATAAACGGGAACGGAGCAGTGTGTGCGTGTCGTGGGGGTGGGCGGGGTGGAGAAAGGAAAGGTTAGGGATATGAATTGTGAGATTGACAGACGTGGGTTTTAGGTGGACATGGCGGGTTGGAGGTGGGGGTATGTCTGGAGCATCCATAGGAATTATTGTTCCCTGTGTGCAGGCCTGGACACAGACCCTGATAGATAAATCCTCCAGATTGAAGGGAGCTGCAAAGAGTGCAGACGCAGCAAACCCCTAACAGCAGCCCCCATGATAGACATCAACAAGAAGGACAGACAAATATTAACCTCAGGGATGCATTCAATATCAAATCTAGTTTAAAAGAAAAAAGGGAAATACGAAACTCTGGAAATGGACCTGGTGCCATTCTCTTCAAAATGTGTGTTTTGCCCAAGCGTGATCTAAATCTTTGGTGTGTGTTTTGGATGCTAATTTGCATAATGAAGATGCAGATAATTCCCATTAATTGTAACTCATAATACACATTTTGTGCTAAAATATAAACCTATGCTTGTGTAAATTAACAATATGATTAAATTGCCAGGACCTTGCTGGACAAGAAAGCCCTGTTAGCTTCACGTTAGCATGCAAGCTAGCGCTGTATTACATGGAAGTCAGTAAAGGCCTGTGCATTAAAGCATCCATGGCTCCAATTATCCGCACATTTTTCCGGTATTAAAAGGTAAAGTTTCCTGAATGTAAATTTTTTTGAGAGCCAGCATGCTCCCAAGGGAAGTCGTATTTTGCGAAACAAACCAGGCTAGGTTCTGGTGTTTGCATGCAGCTTAGCATGCATTTGCGTCGACTTGCACCATCCAGCTGTTAGCTACATCAACATAATCACTGTTAGCAGACAATTGACTTGTTTGTCTTAGGTATTACTTGAAGGAATTCTGTTTTTCATTAGGCCTCAATCTGCACTTTGATTCTCATGGTAGGGATATACGTTAAAAACCCACTGGCCTTAGAGTGTGGGCCTAGTTTCTACATTTCTTCCATAGCTGATGTGCATTGCTGCTAGGCGGCACTAGCAGCAGCAGAAGTGCTTCCATGTTATCTGGCCAGCCAGGCAGCCACGCATTTTATCTGCCGTTCCTATAGTTAAGTCCTGCAGCTGGCAAACACTCCCGAGTTGGAAAATGAGACACTTTTAGTTAGAAAAGTATTTACTGTATAATTTTGGATTGTAAGGGTTTATAATTACACATGCAAACAGAGTATTTCACGATTTTGCACGACACTTTCCTGGTTTGACAGATTTGCATTCACTGTATTACACTTGTGTATGGTGTCACTAAATCTGTCACTGACACAGTGATCTGACTCACCTCTACTATCATTTGTTTTATGTTTAAACAGACTCATTAAGGGTTTGATTTTGACATGAGGATTATAGCTGACAAGATTCACTAACACAAAAGCATTTTTGAGTTGGCATCAAAAATGTGGATTTTGTGTTGCAAACACAATAGTTGGTTCTTTTCCAGTTTCAAGCAGCACATGCTGAAACAGTCATTTTTAAGGGATTACATATTTGAGAACAGAGTAGGTGCCTGTATATGCTAATAGACTGAAATTAATAACACTTTACAATTTCCCGCTCTCTCTGTAGTCTTGTGTATGGCAGTTCAAGATCATCCCACCCTGAGTCTGAGCTCCTCCACCGACAAGCCTACGCCACCCCACACCCTCTGCAGGGCTATGCCACCAATCACCACCCAGGGAGCTCTGGCCAAGGCGGGGCTTGGGGAGCAGCTGGACGGAGTTTGGGTGAGATAAATGTTATACCTTACATGTCACCACCATAAGGAGCCTTGACCATGAGTAATCTTTCCTTGCAGGCAAAAGTTAGATTGTTAAGTATTGTCTTTGAAAATTTTGCCCATTTTCGCTTGATTGAGATTCTCACTCAGTTTTAACTTAGGTTTGTTTTCAGCCAAACAGGTTGAAGTTGGTTCCAGCTACACTCAGAACCACTGGTTTACATGATGACATGAAAGAACATGCCTGAAGTCATCTACAAATGACTTTTTAAATTTTATTTCGAATATCTGTCATTCCACTCTCTGCATCTTGCAGTTACTCTTTCATTTTTGTTAGTTAATCAAAATTGATGGTTCTGTCATTCTCATAGGTTTGTCCGGGCTCTTTGACACGGGCCTGCACCATGCTAGCCCCTCTGCCCCAGATGCCTCCGTCATGAATCTGATCTCAGCCCTGGAGTCCCGGGGTCCCCAGCCTCCACCCTCTGCTTCCTCCCTGCTCTCCCAGTTCCGCACACCATCCTGGCAGACAGGTGGGGCTGTGTTAGATCTTCCCTCATGTGTTGACATTCAAACAGGCCCCACAGTCAATATGACATTTAAAGACCCTGCCAATGTTTGGTAGAGAATATGACTGAGTTGCCGTTTGAGCATTCCATATCAAACTTAAACACAAAAAATTCATTTAAAACCGTTTTCAATAGTCTTTTGACTTTTAATATTTGATATGTAAAATAACTCTGTGGATGTGAAGTAATTTTGAAATTTGCTTTCCTTTTCCTCACAGCAATGCACACGCCTGCTCCTCCTGAGCTATTCATCTCCGGGGCCCTACCTGGCTCTGGCTCCTTCCCTTCCTCCTCCGCTCTCTCAGCCTATCAGCATCCAGCATCTTTCTCCAGCCGCTCTTTCCCTGCGACCTCCCTTACCCTCCAGGACACCCCTACATTTAGCCCAACATCTAATGGCCTACTTTCCCCACATGATCCCCTACTTCACATTAAGGCCCCCTCTCAGTCCAGCCTTGGTTTTGATAGACTCCTGTCCTCGCAGGGTGCTGCCGCAGCTGCCTATAGGGGTAGCCAGGATCCCACGAGTGCCACTTCAGCCCAGGCCTCCTCTGCCAGGCACCTGCAGTCACACCAGTTCAACCTGCTGTCATCACAGCTCCAGGACCAGTCATCCCAGCTGTATAATGCATCAGTTTTTTCTTCAGCTCAGCCCCAACCACAGTCCCAGTCCCAGTCCAATTCGGCTCAGGAAAGGGCTGTGCCTAGGCAAGACAGCGTCATCAAGCACTACCAGCGGCCTACACCTGCTCAGTCTCAGCTCTCGTCCTCTGCTGCCCACTCCCTTCAGCACTACCTCAGCTGTGGAGGAGCGGGGTACCAGCAGATTGCCACCCACCACAGGCATGCTGGTCTATCTTGCAGTCCACTAGGCGACCAGAGCCCTTCATCTGACCACAAACCCTCATCTCGCACTGAACAGTATCGGCCAATCATCCAGCCTCCCTATTCCTCCTCTTCCTCCTCCTCCTCTTCTTCCTCAGCTGGGAAAGGTACCAAAAGCAGCTCTAGCAGCGGCTATTCTTCTGCCAGCTCAGCCTCATCCTCAAGAACTCCTCACACCCCTCCCTCTGCTTCCTCTACCTCTTCTTCCTCCTCCTCTTCATCTGCCACTTCTGGGGCCCATCCCTCCAATTCAATCCCAACTTCCAGCTCCAGTGCAGCCCCCTCCAGGCAGCAGCCCCCACCTCAGCCTGCTCCTCCCCCTGCTCCTCAGCAGCAGCCCCCTGCGACTTCTTCTTCAGCCCCCCAGTCCCTCCCCAAATCCTGTCTCTCAGGCTATGGTTCTCCCGTGCCCCCTGTAAAGACCCCTACCTCTGCTCTTACAGGCCAAACCCCTCCCCAACAACAGACACAGTCATATTCCCCCAATCAGCCCCCAACCTCCCACCTGGCTCAGTCCTATGGAGGTTTTAGTTCACCACAAGCTCAAGACCTGAGCTCTGGTACAGGAGGAAAAGGCTATGGAAGTTTAGGAAGGAGTCAGTCCTACTCCACTGATATCTATGGTTCAGACTCTGCTTATGGATCCCTTCCATCCTCTCTGGGTGGAGCAGGAAGTCCATCGCTTGGCTATGGTGCACCTGGCCACTCCCCTGCCCTTTTGAGATCAAGCGGTTCTTCAGGAAGTGGCGCATCAGGAGGAGGAAGCAGTAGTGGCACAGGAAGTGGGAACTCTGGCTCAGGGGGAGCAGCAAATAGCATGACTAATGAGAGAGGTGGTGGTGGTAGTGGTGGAGGGTCTTATCATATTCCAGACTCCAGTCCCTCCCCATCAGGCAACTCGGGCATCATCCGTCCAGGGTTGCACTCCCCAGTACCCACTTGCCCCACACAATCTCCAGGTGGTGCAGGCTCTAATAAATACATCTCATCAGTCTTGTCCCCCACCTTCCTTGCTTCCCCACAGGGTTACCCCGACACCCGAGGTCCCAGCTCCCAACCTCAGTCGTATCACTCCACCTCCTCCAAAACAAAAGCAGACACTTCCATGCTTGGAGTGGGGACTCAGCGATCCCAAGAAGAAGTAGATGATGATGATGAATTCTTGATTCAGCACCTGCTGCAAGCTCAAGCTAGTCCCGCACCCCAGGCTGCTCATCACCATTCCCAGCAACAACAACCCCAACAGGCATCACAACAATCCCAGCCTCAGCCTCAGTCAGTGCCTCCGACCACTGATTCAGGCAAAGGGCTGGCTTATGACATGGGTAAGACCTCTGAGGAGAGATACCACCCCCAGAGTGTCATACGTACCCACAGTGCCACATCTTCAGCTGGAGTTGGCAACACAGGGTCAGGAGGGTCCATATCCGGGCTCGAGAACCAGCTGGAAATGTCACTGAAGAAGCAGCAGCAACAGCATCAACAACAACACCACCACCAACAGCAGCAGCAACAGCAGCAGCAAAGGAATGAGAGGTCTGTTGGAGGCGGCAGGAACAGTGGAGGGAGAAGCAGTGCAGAGCAAGTCCACCCTCATCTCCATCACCATGACAACCTGGGGTCAGTAGTCCATTATGGGCGGGGCGATCCATACAGCCAACACTCCCTTGCTGCCCAGCACTCCTCACACAGTCAGCATGTGTCCTCACACTCACAGATACCATCCCACAGCCAAATGGAGCTCCAAAAGAAGCCGCAGGAGCGTGCTGAAATTTCCTACCAAAGGAAAACCCCAGAGCTACAGCAACAACACTCCCAGTCTCAAGCCGCACCCTCCCTCATGGATTCGCCCACTGATCAGTCTCGTCAGCCCCCACATCTGCTCCAATCAGTGTTGTCACACACCACCAGGAACAAGCTGGAGCCCCATCAACAGCACCACAAGATGGATTCCCATCAGCAACATCAACAACAGCACCACAAGATGGACTCTCATCGGCAACACCAACCGCATCACAAAATGGACTCCCACCAACCACATCAGCAGCACCCAAAAATGGACTCCCATCCTCAGCATCAACAGCACCAGAAGATGGACTCTCATCAGCATCAGCAGCACCACAAACTCGATTCTCATTCACAACACCAACAGCACCATAAAATGGACTCACTCCCCCAACAGCAGCAGCACTCAATCAGCCAACAAGCGGTGATGGATGGCGCTGGTGGGACTCTCGGTTCAAGTAAACATCAGGCTCAGTCACAGTCCCAAACCACCCAACTTCAGCTTCAGCTCCAGTCCCAGGCTTTGGAGGTGGCAGCAGCCCACTACAACCATGGCCCACCTCCACATCAGCATGAGCAGAGCCAGGTCAAACAAAGCTCAGTGGTATCATCTTTGGACATGCTGGAGCGCTCCCTCTCTCAGACCTCCAGCACCGACGTAGCTGTATCAGAGGATAGACGGGGGGGAGCAGGAAGTGGGGGAAGGAGTGGGGGCAGCACTGAACGACACCGACAGCAGGAGCAACAGCAGAGGCAGCACCCATCCCACCACCACTCGCAGCAGCACTCCGCCTCAGAGCTTCACTCGTTCCTCTCTGAGCCAGACATCGGCTTAACCCCTCCATCTCACATGCACCACCTTTCCCAGCACCATCCCCAGCAGCAGCAACAACAGCACCCTAGCTCTCAACACCAACAAACCCACTCCCATCACCCTCATACACAACCACACCCTCATCACATACCCCCTCAATCTGCCCAATCAGCCCACTCTCAGCCTCAGCCTGACCCACAGCAGCCTCTCTCCTCTCAGCTCACCCCCCAGCAAAGCCAGATGGACCAGCAGCGCTCAGAGCAGCACCAGTTTGACACTGTCAGCCCAGTGGAGAAAGCAGACCAGAATCAGCAAAGTAACCGCTTTGTACCCCTTACTTCCATCTGCTTCCCAGACTCCCTCCTCCAGGATGAGGACCGCTCCTTTTTCCCAGGAATGGAGGATATGTTTTGTGCTGAAGATTACAAGTCGAGCTGTGCAGGAGGTGCAGGACCAGGGCAGGAGGAGATGAACGAAAGCCACACTGGGCAGGAAGGAATGGATTCAATGAAAGCTGGGCAAAGTGCAGGTGGGGCTGGGGGAAGTAGTGGAACCAGCTATGACATAATGGGTCACCATGGTGGAGATCAGGGGTATGAACCCTACTGTCATGGCCTGGAAGAACCTAGTAATAACACCATGACTCTGGATCTGGACTCCCTGAAAACCCATGAGCTTCCTTCCACCGTTAACACTGAGCAGCTTGGATTGATACAGTCACAGGCCCCAGCTATGGGTATGGGCTCAAATACTGCTGGTCCCAACAACCAGGGAGCCAAGCTTTCTTCTGGGCCTGGAGGGGCTAGCTCAGGAGCAGGCTCTGGAGGCCTCCAGTCACCCATTTTCTGCTCATCTCGTCCCAAAAAGCTTCTCAAGTCTAGCTCTTTTCATCTGTTGAAAGAGCGTCGGGACCCCAACACACTGCCTAAGAAAAGTTATGCCCAAGAATATGAGTTTGAAGATGACGAGGATAAGGCTGACCAGCCAGCTGACATCCGTTTGAACAGTCGGAGGCTCCCAGACCTGTTGCCAGACTTGGTTTCCAGCTGCAGAAAGGGCGGAGCAGGAACTGGGTCCCTCAGTCCTTTAATGGGTGACATTGACTTCTACCACTCCTCTGGATACTCCTCCATGGGTTCACACTCTCTTATGCCTCAGGATGGACCCAAGAAGAGAGGTCGAAAGCCAACTAGACCCAAGAGAGAGGGTCCTCCAAGGCCTAGAGGAAGACCACGCATTCGCCCAATGCCAGAGCCCTACACACCAAGAGGCATGATGGGAGATATGGGTGGAACAACAGTAGGAGGGGGATTCAGTGTGGAGGGACGAGGTAGAGGAAGAGGCCGTGGGAGTCGAGGAAGAGGAGGAAGGAGGGAGGACATGTACATCGAAATGAGTGGGAAAGAGCAGGAGCAGATGCACCACCATCACCTCCATCAGCAGCAGCAGCAGCAACAGCAGCAGCTCCATCACCAGCCACAACAGTCACTACATGAGCCCATACCACCTCTGAAGGTCAGTCTCACTCAGTCTGGAAAGGCCTGAAAGTATTGATCTGCTCTCAGACTTTTCATTCATACCCACTTTTGCATGCTTACACGTATTTGTTATCTTCCCTTTTTTGTTTTTTTGTACACAACTTTATTTGTGGCACAGTTTGGTAAACACTGGTTGTTTTAAATGTGTTTTGATTTGATTTATAAAAAGTAGAGGTACATCTCACTCTGGAGATAAAAAATTATAAGTCTCTCTTTGTATTCTGTCTAGTTAGATTTATCTATTAATGTCCCTGACATAATTTACAGTACTATTAAGGGTGGGATAAAATAATGATATGACAAAATATCACCATCTTAACTTGTGCAATAATATTATTTTACAGTGCCCAGCATAAGTCAGTACACCCCCCTTTTAAAGTAATGTAATACTCAATATCTTGATGAGCAAAAGTACAATTTCCAAAGTTGTGACACAGCTGAGTTTAACACATTTTATTGACCATAAGATGAAAAATTAGGGTAGTATGGTAACTACAATTAAGCTTTCCTCCCTTAACTTTAATTGGGGTCTATTCCTTTTTGCATCCTGATTTTAAATTGGAAAAATAAAAATACTGTTTTGGATGCAACTTAAAAAACCTTGTTTGCAATGAATGGCCTACATTTGGGGGAGTATTTTGTTGTCTAGTCTGACATGGAAAACATTGATTTTGAAAGGAAACTAAACGTTTTCTGACAACTCTGAAGGGGTGTACTCATTTATGCTGAGCACTGTATGTCTCTAAATTTTAATTAAAGAATAATTGAACAAACACCTTACCTCTTTAGATAATCAGATAACAATGTACTATTTATGACATGATTTTCTGAATGTTGATTAATAATTGAAAATTCACAGTAAAGTGATATTATGGTTTATTAAAGCCCATGTATCAGGCTCTGTATCATACAGTGGATTACCCTGCGGTTCACTTTTTAGAATTTTTGAAATCCGATTACTCTCAAATGAATTTTTTATCCTGGTTCCTGAGTTTTGTCATCGACGCACAGTGTCTGCACATTCAGGCCCTTCAATCTAAACATTTTTCTCTATTTTTGTGTAGATAAAGTTGCCAATTGGTACCCTGTCCTCCTCCGACGCATTGCTGAGGACCGACTCTTTGTCTGGCACAGACCCGGCTTTGTCAGACGGTTCAGTGGGCTCTGCTCCCTCGCTCGGTTTAAGCCCCGGACCCCCTTGCAGCACTGAAAGTTCCAGAAACCAGGACAGGAACAAGCAGAAGAGCCAGATGATGAGTGAAGGTGTGGATGAAGAGGGACTGGAGGAAAGGGTGAGAGATTCAGGATTATTTCTTGGCTATTTTTAGCACAGAGAAAAAAAAATCAAATTAAGCTGATTGCTGTAGTGGTTGTAATTGAGCAGTATTAAAGTCTCTTTCTCTTCTGTTCTTTCCAGGGGGATGAAAAGGATTCTGAATCAAAGGCTGGCTTTGTTGCATCATTCCTGAACTTCCTCAAGACAGGGAAGAGACCTCCAGGGTTGGACATCTCACCTGGAATGGAACCTGACAATGGGGAAACCTCGCCATGTAAATCAGGAGGTCTGCGCCCTCTGTCTCCTGCGCCTCCTCCCCCACCACCTCCACCTCCATTCGGGGACAGCGAAGGTAATGGAGGTCTGGCTCTGGGTAACTGCCCAAGCCCAAAACGCCTGGAGGACGAACTGAAGAGGAACCTAGAGACCCTGCCCTCATTCTCCTCTGATGAAGAGGATTCTGTTGGGAAGAACCAGGACCTCCAGAAGAGCATCTCCTCTGCCATTTCCGCTCTTTATGACACTCCTCAGCTCCCCTCCAACATCCAGCCCCCACTTCCTCCCCCACCACCACCCCAGCCTCAGCCCACTCAGTCCCCGCTTACTCCTACACTCCCGCCTACTCTTAGCCCTCAGCCCACATTGCACACGCCTCACACCTTGCCCCAGTCAAACGAGCCTGATGTCCTTCAACCAGAAGATGGAGACCTGGAGGAGAACAAAGAGGAGGAAAATGAAGAGGAGAGGAGCACAGGAGGGGATGAAGAGAGTGATATGACGGAGGAGAGAGAGCAACAGCTGGAAACACTCGGTGCCCATGATATTGATGGTATGGCTGCCAGCGATATTGTCACTCAGCTCATGTCCCATTTTCTTGCACATTGATGTTTTCTGTTGTATGTCATCCCTGCTGACCGCCAGAGAGCGGCGCTAAAAGCGCCGAACGTTACCTTCGCGCATGCGCATTTCAAGTATGCATAACAACAATGTCACGTGACCCGTGGATGACCCGAGAAAGGTAATAAGTTCCGGTGTAACCCCAGGTTTGTTTCCTATTTTCTTCTCGCGTGCCGTTACCGCTTGATGCCCTGTAAAGGCTGCGACTGCGATCTATTGTTTTATTTTGGAGGTTTGTTTTACGCCGCTGTGGCGTCTCCCTTGGTTTAAGACCAGGGTGGTCAAAAGTTTCTCTGACCTCGCTGGACATAAGGTAAGGTTATTGAGTAAACTTAAGTTTTCTTTTTAAGTAAGATGCATGATTATTGACAGTGTATTTAAATTGTGAATTTGTTAGTGTAGACCGCGTTGACGCTCTCTTCCCCCGAAAAACGCGTTCATTCTTCGGCGTTAGTAAAACTGTGCCGGCACTATTTCCGTCCCACTGTCTGTCTTTTGTTTGATTATTGTACGCCTGCAAACCCTGCGGGATGCCGGACGCGTGTTTTCTCCACCCGCTTGTTCTGTTGTAGGTCCGTTTAGCTTAGCGTTGGCGCCTAGGCTGCGGAGGCTCACGTCTCTGCTGTTGTACACAATCCTCCCGGCTGGATTAGAAGGCGTTCGCGCCCCCTTCCTCCAGCATATTAATAATGATCGTGTGAATGTATCTAAAATTGTAGCCTATGCTGGTGACGGTAACGTTCGCGTCCCCTCTCCCAGCTCACGGCGTTGTGTCTGTATTAACAGCAAAGCTATGTTTAATGGCTTTGAGCTGGGTAGGCGGACAGTAAAATTGACCACCGAGCGGGAGGCTGGAGTTCGGGTCTTCGAGGTGGTCTCATGAGGTTACCCGGGAATTCCACTGGGTCCGGAACGGCTCCGCCCCGGACCGGCTTGCGGATCAAACACGCAAGTATTTACCGCCCACCAATTCCGATCCGCCGCCGCCATCGGAAGAGAAGCTCTCATGGCGAATAGATTCCGTGGAATGACACACATTGATAATGCTTGCGGAATTGCCTTCCCTGCCGGAGCAGAGCCACTCCAGATCTTGTCGGTTTTGCTCGTAACGCCTGGTTCACACAGGAAGCGCCGCGCGCGGAACGGAAGCGCCGCGCGCGCGCGCAGCGCCGGCTCGCGCTTGGCTGTTCACACAGGAAGCGCTTTCTGCTGCGCTCTGACATGCCGGTCAGACATCGACTGAGCCCGGTAGTGCTCGGCCGTTTCCGTCTGCCCTCAGTTTTCCACACTTACGAGCGCTTTAAAAATGGGTAAATCACTATTTATTTACGTTTTTATTTCGTCATCCATGAATTAAATATTGACAGCATCTTCAAGTAATGTTTTAAATTATTATATAGGGGTAAACGACGAATAAATTGGGGAGTCTGTTGACTCCGTTGTATGTATAGCCTTGTTAGCTCGAGGCTATTGACTGTATCGTAATAAAGTCCCCCCCCCCTCTTTGTCTCAATAACATCACTGAATCTCTGCAGCTCTCCCTCCGTGTGTGTGTGTGTGTGTGTGTGTGTGTGTGTGTGTGTGTGTGTGTGTGTGTGTTCATCGGAAAAAAAAAATAGACTGACAAGCAACACCGTAAATCCTTTTCTAATTTATCGAAATTTACTTTATTTTGAAAATTGACCGGATTCTCTCGCATCTCCTTCCTGACTTCCTGTCTGGTCCGATCTGCTCTGTTGAGCTTTACATCGGCGCTCGCGGCTCGCGCCGAAAATAGAGAGAAGCGGAGCACCCGCGCTCCAGAGCGCGAGCCGTTCCGCGCGCGGCGCTTCCGCGCGCGTGCTGTGTGAACAGTCTCATAGGTTAACATGGGCGCCGATCCGAAACTCTGTGCGCGGCGCTTCCGTTCCGCGCGCGGCGCTTCCAGTGTGAACCAGACGTAAGTCTTGCTGTCCTGCATTTTGTTCAGAATCTGTGTCAGGAACCAAAAAAAAAAGTAGCTTCAGCCGAATGTTTTTTTTGCCGAGTAGGTGGTGTTATATTCCTTCACTCAGCTGAGGCAATTGTGTTGTCCTTAATAACATATAACTGGCCCTTCTTTGAGCATAGGCCACTGGTGCTGTACATTTTGTGTCTGCTGTGTAGGTGGCGTTTGCTCCACCTTCCCTCTGTTTATCGCAACCAGGGATCTGTTTGGTTGTTCACAATGGAAGGTTCCAACTGTTGTGTTGCCTGTGGTGCCCTCCTTCAAGCCAATGATGGCCAGGACCTCTTCCCAAGGTTCCCTGGCCCCGACAACTTTAGGGAGGGTTTATCTGACGAACCATGTATGAACTGCAGCTACACACCTCGGGCACTGATGTTGAGCCAGCCATAGCATCTCTCATTAATAGGAGTGTGGCTCCCCTGAGTAGGCAGGATCTCCTTTATGCCTTTCCACCGCTCCCTCTGATTTGGCCAACACTGCAGAGAGTACTTCAGGAAGGCCACATACTGTTACTAGTGGCCACCCTCTGGTGGTTCCCCCTGCCGCGCAATCTCAGTTGTGGCGAACCATGGTGTCTCCCTGACAAGAAAAACCTGTTGTCCCTACAAAGGGGTCGAGTTTTGGCATCCCAATCCACACCGCTTTCGCTTATTTGTTTGGCTTCTGAAAGGTCCGAACCGCTGCTAAGCAGCTGTGTGGAACCTGTCATGCGAACCTAAATGCCAGGGCGCAGTCCATTCGATTACAATATGATACTTGGTGGAAATTGTTAAGTGATGCAACAACTGCAGGGAAGACCCTGTGCTTAACCTGGTTCCAACGGTTCTCGAGTTCCAGCAGTCACTCTTGGCAAAAGGACAATCTTCATCCACTATTGAGGTGTATGTGGCTGCAATATCAGACTGACATGCTAGAGTCGACAATGGCACAGTGGGAAGCCACAACCTAGTGTTGTTGTTTCTTAAGGGGGCTCCGAGGTTCCACCCACCCTAGAGCTCCACGTGCACCGGCATGGGACCTGCACTTGGTGTTGGATGGCTTACTTCTGCAAAGCGTGTTAGTGAGCTGCACGCATTGTCAGTCAGTCCGTTGTGCTTGAGATGGCCCTCGATGGTATGGCCAAACGATGCTTTTATCCCAAAGGTGCTGTCAAATTCCCATTCTAATCGGTCTATATGGCTTGCACAGTATAAACCCCCATCAGGAGCTGGTGAAGCCCAACCAGAACTCTTGTGCCCAGTGAGAGCTCTGAAGTGTTATATCGAAGCTACAGCAAGCATTGGTACATCTGAACAGCGTTTTGTTTGTTATAGGGGCCCCTTACAAGGGCTCGGCTCTGTCCAAGCAGTGTTTGTCTCACTGGATCATGGATGCCATTCATCATTCATATCAGACGTTAGACCGTTCGCTACCATCAGTTGTGCACTCTCACTCTACCAGGAGTGTGTCCACATCTTGTGCTGCCCTGAGGGGAGTACCACTGGAGGAAATATGTGCTGCAGCCTAGTGGACAACGCCTAGCACGTTTTTCAGCTTCTGTAATGTGATTGTCGCCACACCTCATCCACTGGGTGTGGGCCTTCAATCTTCAGAGGCTTCCCATTAAGGCTGGTATTTGGAATTCCTCATGACTTAGCTGGTATAAGTCATTCAGTGCTTTCAGCACCAACATTTGGTGGTCAGCAGGGATGAAATAGAACAAAAGTTATGAATGTAACTACGGTTCTATGAGTCCCAAATGACCACCAGAGCGTTCTGTCACTCAAAATCCTCTTGGTCACACGATAAGATTCTGTAGGAAACGAAGCTGGGGTGACACCAGAACTTATTACCTTTCTCAGGTCAGCCAGGGGTCACAAGTGACATTGTTGGTATGCATACTCGAAGTGCGCATGCGTGAAGGGAACATTCAGTGCTTTCAGCACTGCTCTCTGGCGGTCATTCGGGATTCATAGAACCGTAGTTACATTCGTAACTTTCGATTTGTTGAATCCTAAAGATGCTTTAATTTTATAAATAGTATAAATTTATTAAATCCCTTCAGTTATTTTTCAGAGCAGTAAATTGATCTTTCAAATGATTACTCTATCTGCTCTTTCCTCACAGCTCCCCTTCCAGATATTCCTCAAGCACCAGAAACTCCTGAACCTCCTTCTGCCCCTCCGTCTCCTTCCTCATCCTCTTCTCCTTCCCACTCCCCCCTCCCTCCTCTCTCTCTCCCCTCACCCCCACCTCCACCAGAAGAACAAGAAAACTCACAGCCTCCGAGCCCTGTCGCTCCAACGCCTCCCTCTCCACCACCTCCTCAGCCCACTTCTCTCCCTCAGCCGGCTCCTGAGTCACCTCTGCCTCCTCCTCCACCCTCTGTCCCTGCACCAGCCTCCCCTCCTCCCCCAACTTCTGCTCAGAAGGAGTCTCCAATGCCGTCTCCAGAATCTCCTGCCTCTCCAGAAGAACCCCCGCCTCCAAAGATCACCTCCCTGCACCTTGCCCAGAAGCAGGAAGACGCTGCCATAGTTGGGGAGAGTGAGGAGGACGAGAGCGAGAGTGGAGGGGAGGGTATCTTCAGGGAGAGGGATGAGTTTGTGGTGCGGGTGGAGGACATTCGAACTCTCAAGGTAAATGTGTGGAAAAAGTGGGTGACGTGGCATCAAATGAATCTCATAGTTCTTTAACTGGCCAAAAACTAAAAAGAGATGCTTGCTCTCTGGTTAAAAGCAAAAAAACTGAATTTGTCATTATATATTTATGTAACCACAGATAGGTTGGTACTGCCTAAAAGTAGTGTGATGCAAATTTTTCAAAGCCAAAACATGATCAGTTACGGCCACTTTTTGAAGTGTGATTTGAAAGCTAAATCTTGTAGTTGCTATGTTAAAGAGATATGACGTTCTTCTGTGTGTTGTGTGTTGATGCACAGCTGGCCCTGCAGACGGGCCGTGAGCCTCCGCCCATTTGGAGAGTGCAGAAAGCCCTCCTGCAGAAGTTCAGCCCTGAGATCAAAGATGGACAGAGACAGTTCTGCGCCACAAGCAACGTGAGTTCAGCCTCGAGTCCTCTGATCTAACCACACCTGTAAACTGTCATATTGAAGTGCACTCTTCAGAAAATCACACATTACAAGAACTTGGGTTGATTTTGTACTTGACGTGAGTAGATTGACAATTAGTAACCAGATAGTCACAGAATTATAAACTGGTAATGTTGATGCCTGAAGTTCAGCTATCTTAATAATCAATCAAATTTGTTTGATTGTTTCTGTCTTAGTATCTCGGCTACTTTGGGGATGCTAAGAGGCGATATCAGAGGATCTACGTCAAGTTTCTTGAGAACGTAAACAAGAAGGACTATGTCCGAGTCTGCTCTCGGAGACCATGGCGCAGAGCCACACCTGCTCTCAGGTACAGACACTTGCCTTATCACAAAATCTGTAAGTATTTGTCACTGTATCAAAGATTTAGACAGATTTAATCAGGAAAAGAAATCCTTATCCTAATGCAACATGTCTGGGACTCTAGAAAAAAGAAGGATTCATGTACAGCATCCTACCAATACATTTACTTTTGAACTTTGAGGGTTAAGTTCCTGGATAGAGATTCAGTCTTTATTGATTCTCTCCTCTTAAATCAGATTTTTGGCAGTGTACTGTACATATGATCTGAGATATTTTCATCATGTATCACAGGCGCCAGTCCCTCCCTAGAATGGCTTCCCCTCCTGCTCCTCAGGCCCCTGCAAAAGTAGTTGAGAAGGAGGAGAGAGTGGCTCCACCAGTTCAGCGCGAACAGAGAGAGAAAACGAGAACATCGACCACATCGGCAACAAAAGAGCACCGGGAGAAGAAGGAGACTCTGACTGCTGTACCCAAAACCAGGGACAGGGAGAAGGAGAAGGAGCACCAAAAAGAGAAGGAGAGAGAGAAAAGAGTGCAGCCCCAGCAGGAGAAGGTAGAGAAACGTTCTGCAGCAGCAGACCGAGGGAGAGCAAAGGAGGAGAAAAAAGCCGTGGAGAGAAAGGAGAAGCCTGAGCGCCCACCTAAGTCTAAGCCAGCTAAAGTAAAGGCAGAGCCTCCACCCAAGAAGAGGAAGAAGTGGCTGAAGGAAATACCTTCATCATCGGACTCTGACTCGTCTGAAGAGGCAGCCAGTGAAAACGAAAGTAAGACCCTCTTTGGTTTCCTTGTGCCGCGTGTTTCTACACGATTTTTTTGACCTTGATGTAAAGATTGGTCTTCAACACTGAGGTTACCAAGTGTTTCACAAGCTGCAAATAAGTAGGCATGTTATAAAAAACATGAAAGAAAAGAAAAAAGATAACACAACATTCAGAACACAATAAATCAATATATTACGTAATATATTTATATAAGACATAAAGTAGAGTTAGATGATTGAAGTTCAGAGAAAAACAGGAAAGGCTCTCCAATAAAAAAGTGTTGAAAGGGACTCAAAGATTGGGATTTTCATGATTGTTTTTCAAGTAAATTAAAATTTCAACTGTTATTTTTGTTATGTTTGATGGTTTTTAAACTCGAACGGTTTTTAATCCTTTTTAAAAGCTTTAATCGTTTACATGTAGATTAAAAAAACAACAAAGTATGAAAAATAAAACTCTGGTTTTCGTCCACATAGTGCCAGTGAAAGGTGGAGTGAACAACCGTGCCATGAGGGAGATGTTCAGGAGCTACGTTGAGATGCTGGTCAGCACAGCGCTTGACCCTGACATGATCCAAGCTCTGGAGGACACAGATGGTGAGATCTGCACGTGTATCTTAATCATAGTGTTGTTGTTGTTTCAAAAAAAAAAAACAATCTGCCAGCAAGTAGATCCTCCTGTCAGCATGTTAACTGCAGTATACTGTGTGCATGGAGGTTAACCAAACATCAGCATCACAAACACAAGCAACAGCTGCCGAGTTTGAAGCCAGCAGTGGCTGAGGGGATTCTACAGTGATCACATTTAACTGTTAAATCTTTCAACGCTTTCTGAAATCTAAATAAACTAGGTGTGGCAGGTTGACTGAAAGCACCCAGAATACTGATAGATGTGCAGCCAGAAGAAGCTGCTTTGTAACTGCCCTTGGTATCAAAATGATTGGCAAGCACATGAGTGATGACTAATCAAAGTTCCTTTCCCTTGATTGGCCACCAGACGAGTTGTACCTCCCGCCGATGAGGAAGATTGACAGCATCCTCAGCGAACAGAAGAGGAGGCTGTTGAGAAGAGTCGGCATGAGCTCCCAGCAGCAGGTAACCTGTCCTCAATGTACAGTTTAGTTCTCTGCATCAGGACTGGGACCAAATCATCAATTTTACTTTCAGTTTTCATGTAACATTCAAAGTGTATGCAGATAATTTGTCATACAGGAAACAAATCTGGACCTCTAGAGTAAGAGTTGCACATAATGTACTAAATCCTAGTGCTTCAGCAGAGTCATTGTTAGATAAAAATCCAAATACAAAGCAGTAATTAAAATCATTAATCATGCAAAAATGCAGCCCCTAAAAACTGCTTACACAAACTCAAAGGAGCATACACCTCAAATATCTTTGCCTGTTTTTTACTTTTTTTTTTTTTTTTGCCATGCTTTAACAGGAGGTTCTGCACGCGTACCCTCAGATCATTGTGGACCCCCTGGATTCAGGGGTAGTGAGGGTGCGGCTAAGTGGGGACGCTTACAACCGAAAGACCCTCAACAGGGTCAAAAAGACCCTTCCTAAACCACAGGTATGTTTCATGGAAGCTCACGAGCCAGTTGCTAGATTAAATCTCGTTTTCTTTTCAGAGACTCTGCCCGTTGGCAAGGAACAAACATTTTTGGTCAGTATGAGCGATAACTGTCAGACCATGCTAAAAAAGAAATAAGCATCCGTAATTCCATGCAAGTGATTGGACCAAAAGAGGGGGTGGTGTTGGTTCTTCATGCTGCCAAAAAAAACAGGGAGAAGACCCAACTTTGAACGCCATCACAAATCAATGATGATATGAACACCATGAGACTTAAATGGATCAGTATGAGACGTTTTTAGCTTATCTCCAGGAGATTTCTTCTAGTTTCTGGGTCACAGTAACACCACGTGATCAGCAAAGTCAATCATTTCAGCTAACTTCTTCAGATCTTTGGGCAGGTGGGACTAATCACTTAATCACTGGGAGGCACTGATGACAAAGTGATGCCTGCTCTTACTCTAAAGTACCTGCTGAATTTTCGCTTTTTATTTGGAACCAACAGAAAGATTTTCATCTTAGTTCTTTCTGTTAATTGAAGTCGAACTTGACAGGAGCTAGTGAAACCTGACCCCTGATGTTACTCTAGTCAGGTTTTGTTCTTAGTCCATGGTCTTTTTCATTGGTTTATTGTGTTAGTCTTGAAGTTCTACTGAGTTCCTCTTTTGCACCATTATCCAAAGCAACTTTCCCTCAAGGACAATTAATTATATCTAATTCAACCCAGTAGAAATCCTTTTTATTTAAAACTTCTGTAACTTTTAAGAGGCTTGGTACCTTACATACCTTATTTTCTTCTTGCATGTATCAAATTTTATGTACTTTTGATGCAGTCTCCAGCACCATAATCCAGTGACTAAGAACTACCAAATCAATAAATTCTGAAGAATAAAATGACACAAAAATCAAAATGGATTGTCTTGAATTTTTTTTGTTTTATTTTTGTTTTTAGGACCTTAAACTGTCAGCTGACTCGTATCGGATCTACAGTCTGTACCACTCCCTGCATCATTACAAATACCACACCTTCTTACAGTGCAAGAAGGAGGTAAGACCACACATTTCTAATTTACACTTATTTGACACTAACCCTAATGCTCAACAGGTCAAAACCAGTGTTAATTGGTCATACATGGAACGATGGTTAGTGAAATAATAGTAGTCAAAAGCTCTAAATGATGTAAAAATTATTATGATGAAATGTTGATTAGAAATAAATATTGTGTAGCTGTTGTTTATTACAGCAGGATTTGTCACCAGATAAAACCAGCCCGTATATTTTGTCTTTTGGCTAGGAACCTGCCTTGGGTGTTTTTCATCACTATTGTCTTGTGTTCCCATTCCTCTCTTCCAGACCAACACCATCGAGCAGGCTGCTGAGGATCCGGGCCAGGAGGAAGTGGTGCAGCAGTGCATGGCCAACCAGAGCTGGCTGGACACACTCTTCAGCTCTTTCATCGAGCTGCTCACGCTCAGCACCAAAGTCTGAGCTGGATGGAAAAACAAGAGAGAGAAAACAAACGAAAAGCAAGAGGATTTTAAAAAGAGGAATCCAAAAATGGAAAATAGATGGATCCTACTGTACAGCCCCCTTACCTGATCTTCTTCAAATCTCTGAGATCTGAGGATGAATTTTTAAGGCCCTTGATAAACACAAAAGGGTCTGTTCATGTGACCTTTGACACTGGCCTTTGTTCTTTTTCTTGTTGTTGATCAATGACTAAAGAATCGTCGAACTTTGTAAAGAGTATGGAGCCCATCCTACTGGACCAGGAGTCGCCGGTGGGTCAAGAGGGAATTGAAAAATGTTGAAAAGGGAGTGATGGACAAAGGAGGAGCTGAAAATGCCAAGTCAACACAGGAGGCATCTTGTTAACCGTGTGTCATACAGATGGTAGTTTAAAGAGAAACTATAACCGCTTAGTTTTTACATAAATTATTTTTTGAAGACTAACATCAGCTGTCGGCTTTTGAAAAGAGTGGAAGAGGGTGAGAATGCTTTTTAAACTGCGTGTAGAATGTGCCGTGAGCAGCGTGAACATGGACTCGTCCAGGATAGAAACATGAAATGTGATAATAAACGCTCTCTCTCTATCTCTATCTCTCTCGCTCATCCTGTGCTATGTGAAGGGCAGCTCCAGTCCGCTGTGTGATAATATATAAACACATTTTTATTATTTATATGAGGAGGTTTTTAACTTAACTCTCACGAGCGCTGGGTTTGCTGCCCGAACATTTTAAAAACCTTTTAATTTTCTACAGGTTCAGTATACAGTTGTAACCCACATATCCAAACTGTCTTCCCCTCGATACAAATGGAACATGCTGAGACAGAAAATACTGGGTGTGTTACAGTGGGTGTAAAATAAAAGAAGGAAAAGGTAATTAAAAAAAAAAAAAAAAAAAGAGGAGGAGCAGATCTATTTGAAACTTAACATTGTTGTGCTTCAGTTCAATCATCAGTCATGCAGGTGCAAAGAAAAGAAGTAAACTATCCATTTCCCATGTGGGAAGAAGGAGTATAAATAAGTAATATTTAAAGAGGAAATAGTCATTTCATTTTTATCATTTTGATGTTTGTGCATACTATGACTTATTTTGAAAACAATCTAATTTTCCATAAAAAAAGGAAAAAAAAGGTGTGTAAATATTGTACAGTTCTTGATGAAATTCTTTGTTCTTCTGTACATTAACTCTCCTGTATTTGAGAAACAAATAAAATCTGCAAAGAACAAATTTCTGATTTCCCATGCAGTGTGTTTGTTGACTTCAACCAATCTTTGTGACTTTTAGACCTTTCTAATGTGGACATGTGACTTGTTGAGTTAAATTTAGAATTTCAATCCACCTCCAAATTTAATGTGTTGAATTTAACTTGTATGAGGTACAGTTTCAAAATATATCCTGACTGCAGAGAAAAATACAAAATACGCTTGAAAACGTATTGCTTGTTAACTAATATACGGCATCCACATTACCCACAAAAGCCTAACTCAAAGTGAAGTGTTTTTTTTTTATTAATTTTGATGAATGTAGACTGTGGGTTTGAACTTTATCGATTCCTTAAAAGTTCTAAAAATTAAACATTTGTGAGTGCACGCGCGCATGACCGCCATCTTGCGGAGCTCGTCGGTATGAACGTGTCGCTGACGTCACATCTGGAAAACGAAACTGAGACTCGGAGTTTCCCAAGAAACCCACATAGTTCAGCAGCTGTAGGATCTTAGCGTTATTTAAGGAATTGGCAGCTGGATAGAGTGACATATTTTCACACAGTTGTCGGTGTTTTGCGCACAAGTTCTCATTTCATTTCACGAGCATTTACCTAGATCGTATTTCTCACTGTGGGCCTTTCAACAACGACCGAGCGTGAACTCACCACCAGCTGTATTGACTCAAAGCTTGTCATCACAGGTAAGAAATGTGTTTCTTTTGGGCGGTGTCAGTGTTTTTTTCACCACAATTTACTTGAGTTTGAGTCTTATCACGACTGTGAAATAGTTGACAACCATTAAACCGGTCCAAAAACATGCACAGGACATATAACACATGTCGAACTGGTGGCTTTTTGAATATACTTGTTCCTTTAATTACATCCGCATTAACACTATTAAAACATACATTTTAAAACGAAGAAAAATTAATATTTTACATCTTTCAGAAAGAGTGCTTTTCCAGTCATGCTACAGTGCATATAACTTCAAGGTCGAACTTGGAATCTTCCTTCTTGTTTGTGACCATATTTAAGAAGTAGTAGAGCTGCCAACCAGGCTTCCTCTTTTTTTTTTTTTTTTTTTTTTTTTTTTTAAATTTAGATATTAATAATGAAAAAAGAAAGTCCAATCCCCTGAGAGTCAGTGATAGTCCCTTAACAAATAAAATAAAATTAAATGAAACAAACTCTAATGAGGCGTTCAGGGCTTTAGTCTATCTGTCTGGCTTTTGGTCTCTCTGAATTTTGATGATACAGATATATATTGATAACGCTTTATCAAATGAAATTGTAAACTAACCAACTGTGCCCCCTACTGGAAACCTGCACATTCTACCATATATTAATGAGTCTGGCTCACCTATTGTAGTGTTTTTTAAGTTAAGAGTGTTCCTTTTATGATCTAACATATGCACCAAAAGGTCTTCACAATATCCAATAGCAGCAGATAAAATATTAAAGAAGTTAACAGTATCAGCAAAGGTGGGGCTCAAGGAGACAAGTATTACATTTATTGCTTTTGATGATCAGTCTTTTGGTTGGGTGGTATTAGTCAAAAGATTTAAATAATATCAGAAATCATCAAAAACCCGTCATTATGCACCAATACTCCATCTAAATATTACATAGTAGTTTACCACCACCAAAGTGTGACTGTGTGAGCGAATGAATGATGTATCCAATGTAAAGTGCTTTGAGGGTCTCTGATAAAGCGCTATGTGAAATCTGATGCATTATTATTATTATTATATGTAATCCGAGATAATGAAAAATCTAAGAGAGGTCTTCTACGCCAGGTGATCAGAAAATCATGTGCAGTGAAAAGGTTCATTTGTTGAGTATAACAGCAAACAGACACAATGACATAAATGGGATGACATGTACTTTTGCTCCTGCAGAAATGTCGTACTCTAAACCTCTGCTCATCCCGTGGCTGCGGAGTCAGATCGACAGCGAAAAGTACCCTGGTGTTCAATGGACAAACCTAGAGCATACAGAGTTCTCGATTCCCTGGAAACACAAGTTGAGACAGGACTCCTCTGACACTGATATTCTCATCTTTAAGGTAATCATTTGGCTCTGTAAAAACTAATTAAATGATTTAAAAAGAAACCATATGTGTATGTTTCAAAATACCATCTTTTGTAAAGGACTTTCTTTGCATTAACAATACAAAACCTTTTTAATCATTTGTTCGCTGTGTTCTTCTTTTGCCATATTCTTCCCTGCAGGCCTGGGCAGAGGTGAGTGGGAACGGACGAATTCAGGGAGATGCCTCAGTGTGGAAGAGGAACTTCCGAAGTGCCCTTCGAGCCAAAAAATTCACATTAGTTGGTGACAACAAAAACGATGCAGCGCACCCCCATAAAGTGTTTCGCTGGCCAGACGAGTCACCATCAGGAGGTGAGGATCTCCCAGGGTGACCATAAACAAACACCATTTGGTCTTATTCTGTAATTAACAACAGATAGGTAAGAATAGACAGTTTTTTTTTTTGTTTGTTTGTTTTTTTACCTTAGACGAAATGTACTGAACATATCTAACTTAACACCAAACTGGATGAGTGTGATTCTCTGGCATCTGAAATAAAAATGCACCAATAAATGCTCAACAGATTGTTTTCTGGCTTGCAGAAACAAAAACCCCACCGATCTCCAACTTTTTTTATTCATGCTGAGTTATTCAGTGTGTTTGACATCACAAACAATCAAGGGGAAACTCTTTTTTTGTGCTGCGGCTTTACAAAATTTTGGACTTTATGCAGTAAATAGACCGGTCAATGCTAACGTGTGTGTTTGGTTTGGGTTTGATTTTATATGACTACATATCTGATCGACTCTCTACCTGACGACAAGATTTCTGCAGTTGAGCTATCTTGCTGTTGTAAAACATGTCTGTTAAAACTAGTTGTGAGGAGGATTATCTGATTAAAGAGATGTTTCTGATGAGAATATTAATGAAAAGAAGATCAGCAGCAGATTGTAACTGAGCTTTCTTTGTCACAGCAAACTCTTCTGCTGGATCCCAAGACCAGGAGGACCCTGATTTATATGATGATTGTCACCCTCCTATTCAAGAAGTAAGAGAAGTACGAAGAGTTAATTATCAATTTCAGATCAACTTTTTTCTTTTGTGTCAGGATGAACTTATTTAGATGTATGTCTCAAATATTTCAGAGCCAGGTTGTCCCTTGCTATGAAGACTTTCATCAACAGGACACTGCACTTTTTGGTTAGACAGCACACAACTCAGTGTTTATCACAAAATAAATTTGATGGCATGAAATTGGATACGGTTCTCATGCTCTCATTTTTTTTCTGCTCAAATATTTGCCATCAGAATCCACTGTGCCCCAGGATATTCTCCAGGAGTGTCTACAAGGACTGAACATTGGCCCTGATACAGGTAGACCCATGTTTTCTTCCTCTATACTGCAGTATGAGCAGAAAACAAGAACCTACTTTCTCATCAACACTTCCTCCAACTTTTCCACGGAGGGCATCACAGGCTTTGAGCCTCCTACCGAGCAACAGCAGCTTCAGAGCCAGGCTGTGATTGGTGCACAAGCGTTTCCTGGGCAACAGCAGTATCCAGTAATATTTGAGGAAGCAGTCACGGAAGCTGTGTTGCCAGAGCAACCAACATGCCCAATGGAGGGAGCCGTGGGAGGGTCATGTGACAGGGTGGAGCAGTTCCTGCAGATAATGAACCAGACCACGGATGGAAACAGTTTCAGTAAGTTGATGGATGGTATTGGAAATGTGACTGTAACAAATAATTATGAGATACAATAAAACAGAAAATGTGGCATATTTAATATGTCGAGTGAAGCATGTTAGAAGTAATCAAAGCATGTTTTAAAAAGGTGTGTTGTAAAAAGAGCATTTTTGCTTTCCTCAAACACTTTTCCTCTTTCTGAATCCTCAGAGACTTACTTCAAGATACTAGTCTACTACAGAGGAGTTAAAGTGTCGGAGCAAATAGTTGAAAATGAAGATGGATTTCGCCTTGTCTACAGGTACTATAAAATATTATGGCTTTCATCCAAGAAAAACTGTCTAAAAAATGTTTTATTACTTCTACATTGAATTTTCATGTGAATGAAATGGCAGGATAAGAAGAATACTTCTTCTCTTATGTCTGAACTGAGAGTCATAAACTAAAATCAAGAGGAAATAGCCTGGCTTACCAAACAGACCTGAAACATGAGAAATTGGGCTGCCCACCTTTTTGTTTACAACATCTTTTGAGCCCTTTCAAAGATCTTACTTCTCAGTTATTTTTTTTTCTATTTTTTTACCTTTTGTTTGAAGCTAAGCTATCCTGCAGAAATACAGGAGTGGTATCAATTGTCATATTTAATTTTCAGGCTAGAAAGCAGTTTTAGTAGTGTAAGATAGAGGGTGTTAAGCCTCTATTAAAACAGGAAAACAGCTGGACTGGCTCTTTCTGAAGGATTCAAAATGTGCTTGTTTGCTCTAACTGAACTTCCTAAGATTCTGTAACATTTTATTATGTGAAATTCTTGTTTTGTTTTTGGAAATGGTGAAATACTAAGAAGACCATGTCATTGTTATTGCCAGATATTAACTCTACATACATTATAGTATCATGTTTGTTACGTCATTAACCCTGAGGCATAAAGTAAGTATTTAAGTGTAAAGTGAGAGCTCATTACCTTAGCATACTCACTGCCAACAGCTACCTTTGCTTTTCTCAAAGGTATTAAAATCTACTTAGCACCTATCATGTGTCGCATTGATAAAAATTGTCTAATTCGAAGTGTATGGCTTAGTTTTGTGCTAAGCTAAGCTAATTATCTTCTTAATAGAGCTACAGACTCACAGTACAAATATAAGATTGGTATTAATCTTCCAGAGATTTACTTTTTAAACCCCCCTCATTTAAAACCCTCCACTTGAAATCCAATAAATAAAATATCTTATGTTGTCATTTTAGACCTGGACTCGTTGGGACAGTTTTAGATGAGATGTCAGGCCTCTCCCTGGTCTCTCTGCCAAGTCCCGAAGCCATGCTGGATCAAACCCAAGCTAGACTGACCCAGCGCATCCTGGACAAGCTGGGTGATGGTTTAGATGTGGGGGTGTCAGGTCCCGTGGTCTACAGCCAGCGGCGAGGTGAAATCAAAGCTTTTTGGAGCCTCTCCAAACATGACAAGAACAGACAGATCCAAGAGATATCTAAACTGTATCCTGAACCACTGTTTCAGTTCAGGGACTTTTTGCAAGGTGGGTGCAAGGGAATATCACAGGGCTTTTTTTTTTCCACCAGTACCTCTGCAAACATCAGCTGTTGGCATGTTGTAATGATTGTTTGTCCTTTCCCTTTAGGAGTATCAGACTTCATTAATAACATAAGTAGTGACTCTCCTCCCTGCTCCCTCTTCTTCTGCCTCGGGGAAAAGTGGCCTGACCCTGAAAACAGGCCTTGGGAGAAGAAACTCATCACAGTGGAGGTGAGAAGACCTTTAAAATATTTAAAAGTGGTGCACTGCAAGGTAACTTTAAGCAGTATTTTGCTTTGGCCCAGGTTTATTTTTTTTGCTGCACCCACCTTCATCAAATGTCATGACTGCTCAAACCCTAGAAACTGCCTACTCAAGAGAGCAGTACACAGCAAAATCCATTTGAAGAGGCAATTTTTTGTTCTCAGAATTGATTAATTTCACTGACAGAGAAGGAACACTGGCAGTGACAGCTGATCCCTGCTGTGTTAAAGGCTCTGCAAACAGGGTTGCTGCCGCGGTATAAAAGCTTGCACAGAAAGTTGCACTGACTAGTCTGACATGTCTGATGTCTTGCAGCTCAAACGGTCTTTGTTATCATGCTTTTGTCATTGCATCTCACTTCTTTAATATTTCATCTTAGGTTTTCCTGACCTCAATGGAGTTACTGAAGAATATGGCGGTAGAAGGTGGCGCTTCATCCCTGCGGTCTGTAGATCTGCAGATGTCATTGGAAGAGATGATGGAACTGTACTGACTGATGCGCTGTGCTATTCCCGAAGAAGTTGTTGTTTACCATTCCCAGTCTTCAAACTGCACCTGTGAGATCAGCCGATCAGGATGCTTTGAATATCTCATGTTAGGTTTTCTGGGTTAAACTATCTAACACGTTTAAAATGAAACTTGTGGGATGTTTTAACACGATAATGGGCTTTTAAACGTATTTAAGTTGTCATTTTGACAAAAAATGGGACCAATCAGGGTGATGTAACATACAATTTATGACATAAGTGACTTAATTGGTGCTAACACACTCTGCTTCCTTCTGCTGTAAAGACAAGCAGTGAAATAAAAGACCTATCACTCACTTACTCCGAGATGACAACAGTGTGTTTATTCCAAAATGAGAGCACTGTGATTGTTTACATATAGAGATTTACCTTGAAACTGCAGACAGATGCTATTCAGAGGTTGTCTGTCGTCTTGGCAATCATTCTCTTTGATTGTTCTCAACAGTAAACGTGCAGGGAAATAAAGGTGGGAGTAATTTATTGAAGTGTCTCCTTGTGTTTACATCTATTGTCAGTTCAGTTCTTAGTTTCAAGAAAGACAAACCCGAAACTAAACTAAAACAGGGTGTCTACAGCAAGATCAGATCTTAAAAATGTTTATTGGAAGTTATTCTAGGTGATAGTTCAGAATAGATAAACCAAATCTAACAAGACGTAAAGACACAAACAAGAAAGAACATCAGGAGTTCAAGACATGACTAAAATAATCTCTTTCAATGCCATTAAATTTACTTTCATCTCTATCTAGTGGGGCCTTTATGCTGCAGTTCTAGTCCAAATTTAAAAAATGATAAAAAGTGGAGCTTTCATTACACCTTATGTTGATTTAACTTTGGGACTTTACACTCTTAGCTTGGTTTTCACGTCTTCAGACATGATACAACAAATATTTATGAGCTGTCAAATTTTCCACATTGGACACTGAATATTAAATATATATTCGTATACATATGTATTAGTATAAATAAAGTTATTCTAATTCTTTTTGCCATGTTTCAGTTCTTCTTCCCCCCCTTTTCTTCCTCGTCGTTCTCTGAATCAGACTCTCTCCCCTCAGTGATGGAGTTTTCTCTGAGCCCCGACATTGGGACGAGCTTCCCCTCTGAGTTTACTCCCATTGGCTGGATTATTTTATCCCTGCAGATCAAATAAAATACAGATATTCTTGACTATATACATTGTACTTATGAACTTTTTAATCTTTTTTATCCTCTATTATTCATTTTAATGAAGTACCGTTACACTGACCTGGACAGCTTATCGAAGAGCATGATCAGCCTCTTAGCCTCCTCCTCCTTCTCCTCCTCCGTCATGCCCTCCATGGGGTCAGGCTGCTCTGCCTCCACCCGCCCTGTTACTGGGTTCACACGATCTTTGACCTGACGATATTCCTCTGTGTCTGAGTCTGAGTCACTTGAATACTGGGTCTTGGAGCTGAGGGTCCTGGACATCTGGCCTCCCAATAAACCCCTGGTGGCAAGCAGGCCTGCAGCGTTACCGTAGCCTGTGTACTTGACAAACCGTCTCACTGGAAGGAGAAGAGGGGGATAAATAGTGCCTCCTGGAATTTTTTAAACTGAAAACAAAATATGTCAATGTAATTAAAGTTTTATCGTCTAATGATACCGTTTTCCTTGCAGAGAACAAAGATAAGGTCAGCAGCACAGTGTTTGAGGTCTGTGTCCAGATGAGTCATGAGACGGATCAGACGACTTTTCACTGTGGAGCCTTCCTCTGGTCTGTGTGATAAGTCTCTCAGAGGGGGCAGGATCTAAAAAATAGAGCAGTAAACATTGGTACAATCCAATAAAGATTTATCAGTTGTTTTTTAATCAAATATCAGTTATTCTTACATGTTTCCTGACATAATGGCGTGTTTCTCTGTGGGCCCTGCAGCTCTCTGTCAGCAGGTTGAGGACTGGTGTCAGTTTTTCTTTGACCTTGTCACCCTAAACATGATTTCAAAAGATCTTTTAGTGTATTTCAGCCAAAAGAAACTGTTTTTATCAAGAATAAACCCCTGTTTTCCCACAGCCATATAGCCCCTTCTCTGCATTTCTGCCTTACCGACTCCAGACGTCTTTCCATAAACAGCAGCAGGATGTGAACACAATCCATGTTGACGCCCTGGCTCTGCTGGGAGTCTGCCTGCAGAGGAGTCACCAGCAGCACATCCAGGCACTGCAGAGGTAGTGCTGTTAGCAGGTTGACTGTGTGACTGAGAAACAAACACAGAACAGAGAGGAGGTTTACAAGAAAAGAGCACAGAGCAGAAGTATGTGATTAAATTTGGCACATTGAATTCATAGGTTTACTACCTGCATGCACTGAAACTCAGGAAGGGTTATATACAGAACTAATACAAGGGAGGAGGGAGAAACAACCACATCTAATGTTTGTTCTTTGCTGATTACAAATTCGAGACTTAATTCAAATTAATTGAGATTAAAAAAATAAGACTTCCAGAGATGTGGGTTGGATTGCTGAAAAATTCCATATAGAAGTCTAAGTTGAGTAACCGGTAAGAAAAATAAAGTCATATCTAGAAATATTTATTTTTATTTATTTATTTATACAAATGAATAAATAATTTAAAAATCTATGGAGAGGACTGTGATTTTAAACTTTTGATTTACGTTCTGTTACTGTTGTGTTTTGTTTATGCCTCCTGTAAATTTAAGACAGTGTTAAAGGAGCCTACACCTCATATTGACTTACACAAATCTCTTGTTTTTTTAATTCAGTGAATCAGAAAACTTATGAATACTTAAGACTGACTGTCGAAGATTCTCTCTATTTACCATTTTTGTACCATTGTTGCACATGCTTTTAACATCTCCATAGTATCCAGATCACCTTCATAACATTGTATGATTTTATATGGGTCTATTTAGCTTATTTCAACCCATGATTGACTCTGATTGTTTTTTTCCATCTTTGCCCACTCGATAAATGCTCACCCCTGCAGTTCATCTGTGTCATCCATAAGTGTGCACTTCCTCATAAGGCAGAGACGAAGGATTGCCACCAGGTGACGGTAGAGGGCTGCATCTTTCTAGAAGAGAATAAACACAGACACAGATTATCCCTCTTTCTTTACTCCTGGTTGTTCTGGGCTGATATAACAGAAAAAAATCTCTTTCTCAGTACAGCTGAGAGTAAAGAAGGGCAAGATTTTGTAAAGTCTGTCCTTTGTACATTTTCTCAAACATGACGGCTTCACCCAGTGACCCATGACTGTCACTGACCTCACTTGGCTCCTGCCTGTGTGTGCTGTAGGTGATGTTGAAGAGGATTTTCAGGATCTCTATGATTCGCTGAGAGGCTTCCAATGAGATGGGTGTCACTGCTGCTGGGCCCAGCGCACACTCATACTGGTCCTTCCACTGAGCCTCCAGGCTGCTCTCTAAGGCTGCAGTGAGGATGGACACACCACCCGCCTGTTGTGACAAAACCAGTGTGAGAGCTGGAGTGAAGCCAGTAGAAACACTGGTTATCAAAATAATTGACGCATTTGTTACCACCATTGTAAATAATAAACTATATTTGATACGGTATCTTTAAGAGAGGTTGAGTGACCTGTTGAAGCTGAGTCCTAAGCTCTGGCCGTAGTGCAGTCATGAGGAACATGAGGCGTAGTTCATAAAACTGAACACTGGAGGGAGATGAAAAGCATGCACTGGAGGACAGACGCTCTGTGAGGCCACACATCAGCCTGATTGAAGAGAAAAACATGAGCAGGTTTAGAAATAAGTTGATGGGTATAAAAACTTAGGCCTGGGCCTTTCACAATCTTTTCATTTCTCTGAGTTTAGAATTGTCTTTTTTCACAATTACCTTCAAGCTGGAGTTTGTTTTTTTTCAATGAAATTTGGGCATAGCACAATCTTTAACTGTGGACTCACTTTTTTTCTGTTTGATAAGGTTTGGCATTATTTTGGATTGCTCTGTACGCATTTCTCTGTCTTAAGAAGCCCACCTGAGAGCACTGAACCTCTCCTGAGCCCAGGTGCTGTTGTACACCACGTTACACAACACCTTCATGGCCTCTTTCCTCCCCATCTCCTCTCCTGACCCCTCCTCCTCCTCTTCATCTTCATCCCCTTTGCTCTCTCTGCGATCCCTCCTCCCTCGCTCTAGCACCCTGTGATGGTCGCCAGCTTGGTGCATTTCATTGACGCTGGGCCTGTGACTCCCGCTCCAGCTGATGCTGTCATCGAAGGCAGAGTGCCCTTTGTTTGGGTCATCAGCTTCACCGCAGCCTCTGTCCTCATCTGTGCGACTCTGCAGCACTCGGGCCTTAGCCAGAGAGGCAATGGTGTTATCATAGAAATCAGTGTCAGGGTCACAGACTTCTTCACTTGCATCACTTGTGGTCAGCCCGGCTACTCTGGCCAAAGTGAGAAGGGCACTGTCAGTCACCAGGGGGCCCAGAACCTTTTTGTCCCTTGAGAGGATTCTCAGGGAGCGTAGACATAATCTCAATACATGGCAGCTCACTTGTTTTCTAATGAACCTCACAAGGACAGCAGCTAAATTCTAGAGAAAGGGGAAAAAAGAGAAAAATAACTCAGTTTAAGATATGCTTCCAAAGAAAAACCTCTTGAGAAGCAGAGTGTGACAATGCTGGTACCTGTCTGGTGATGAGGTCTCCTTTTTCCTGTTCAAACTCATCACAGTCTGAGTCAGAATCAGTGACCTCCCTCACTTTGTTCTCTCTGAACTAGAACAGAAGAGCAAAGAAATAAGATCAAATGTTCCACACTTGATTGTAGTATTTGATTTAGAGTGCCAGAGTGTTAAAACCAACATTATTATCTGTACCTCTTCTAGTTTTCTTTTCTTTGAGACGTGGACCGCAGGATTTCAGTAAGCGGGGCAGCAAAAGAAGAGACAGAAAATTCGATCAGAGCTTTTTTCTGTCCTTTTGGTGTCCTTTTCAGTTTTTTTGTCTGCTCTCACAAAGATGCTCAGGGCAAAGTTACCCTGTGAGTGAGAGCAGGAGCTGGATCAAGCTTGCTGTTGTGTGTCAAAATCATACAATATTCCTGGGCTAGATGTGTGTGTCAATAAATATGATTTGTGATACTTAGCAATACAGAGAGGTAAGACAAGACAGGGCAGGACACAAATTTATTGAAAAAAAAAAAACTGACTTTCTTAAACTTAAAATCAAATAAAAAATGCACTCAATCACTACAAAGATCCTACATACATATAATTAAAAAAATATTTAATGTAAATAAGGTGTTAGATTTAATAACTGAAGTCGGATTCACTCTGACAAATGTATACATGTTGAATACATTTGATTATCATATTGTAGCGGGCATCTTTGGGGTAGTTCACGATTGAGAATAAAAAATATATATGATATTTGAGTAGAAAATCTCTGTGATTACCCCTTCTTGGCCTTGATGACAGAAACAGTCGAAAGCTTTTACTGCTCAAGGCTTCTGAGGACAGCACTTACAGCTATGCTATTTACCACTATATTACTGCCCTGTATAGTGCCAGATGTTATAAACAAGAATGATGGTTGAACAACAAAGTGATGGCCCATCTTAGGTAAGACAGGTAAAATACTCACATTTATGTTGTGATTAATACATTATTAGTTATTTAAAATCTTCGGTCACAGGATGGGGTCATAGATCTCGTTTGATCATAAAAACTCTTACATTTTGAACTTTTTTTCTAATGTTACATTGTTGATTGCTGATTACAAAGATTAATGTGTTTGTCTTACAGGCCATTGAATTTGGGCTGTCAACAGCCATTTAATAATATGTTTTTCTTATTTCAGGACATTTGATTGCCAAAGGCCCAGAAATTCACACGGATGGATTCATTTGGATGGGCTACTTTCACCCAAAAGGGGGCGTGGTCAGATTTATTTATTTATTTTTTAAAGGGGGAAATGTTGTTTTGACATCTATTACCTTGTTCAAGTGTGCTCTTGTTCAAATGTATACACATCAGGTATGCACTTTTAATCCAGTATTACCTTGCTCAAGCGTGCACTTGTTTTATTGTTCTTTTCAAGTGTATACTTTTTGATCAAGTATAAACTTGTCGAAGTGAGCGCCTAATAAAGTATTTGTGCCTCTAACTCCTCCAACCAAAAACCTCAAGTGTGAATACCTAACTCGAGCAGTTTAAGCTACTTTTCAGCTGAGAGATGTTTACGAGTAAGACCTCAGAACGCATGTACAATGACAGTAATAACAAAGTGATTGCTGAAGAGATTACATGCAGTGTTAGAGTGTCAGTCACTCTGCTTGTGCTCAATCTGCCTAAGCATTGAAGGAGAGAGGATCAGGGTCAACTCATACAGCAGAATTACTAATCACAGACGGACTGTAGCAGGGAGAGTTCAGTTAATGAGTTAAGTAACCGGGTAAGGGGAAGAAATCCAGGTAACAGGTGCAACAAACATTAACAGGCTTACTTTCCTTTGCTCTCTCTCCTCTGCATCAAGGAAGAAGCACTCTGCGTACTGTAATGAAGATGAGAAGGCAAAGTCATGGGCTGAGATTGTCACAAAATACCTGACGCCGTGTGTGAGCTTTTATAATGTGCTACCTCTTTGTTGAACTCCTGCAGCAGTGATTGAATACCGGTCTCATCCCCCAGCTTGATACAGTGGATAATCCCTTCCAGATCCACCACCATGTTTACTGCATACAAACACACACATGGGGGAGGAATAATCATACAGGTCATAATAAAATTAAGGTTACATAACAGTGAGGATAGTAATTAAAGAGTCAATATGTCAATGTCTAAAAAAGAAAAAAAAAAAAACACCATATGAACAGAAAATTTTCAGAATATAGAAACAAAATCCCTTAATTATGATATTAGAAGATATAATAAAATATTTTCCTACCACCCCATCACAAATGTTCAAGATGCTGAGAGCTAAATCTGCAGTTTATGCCCACTGACTCAGCTCTAGGATGCATTATAAACACACAGACAGATTCAAAGAGTCTTACCACATATTTTTGTCGCAGCTTACCTGTGCTGTTCACGATACCAGTCTGGTGATAAACCACGGATGTACAAAAATTTCAAATCAAGCCTCCCAGAACCAGAATACTTTAGCTGAGCTTGTCCTCCAGCGCCGAGTCCAATTTCACACAGTAAACTCTGCTCTGCTTTTCGATTCGATGAATACACTTGCTTTCTAGTTATTGCACTGTTACTGCACTTGGCGTATCTATCACACTCTGCTCTTTCTGCACCTCTTTCTCTCTCTATTTAATCCCAGAGAGGTGCAGGACTCATGGAGTAGCTATGGTTATAATCCACTAATGGACTCTAAGCTTATATCACTGTGTTGACCCTTTAACCTACAGGTTTACTAGACATGCGTGGCACATCTCTCTCTCTCCTTCTCTCCTCTTGAATCTGACACACTCTTTCAATAAAATCTCTTAATGGCTTGAGGATGACTGACCTACGTAATAGTATTAAGACTTTAGTTTTATCAGGGAATTCAGGTTGTTGTATAACCATGCAGGAGCTTTTGACGGCAAAGATGAACCTAGAAACGCAGCATAAGTAGGCATCAGCACTGTCACCTTAGATAACGTCATTTTTCCCCCCCTTGTTTGTAAAGTCACTGTAAAAAAGATGTGCATGCAGTTTTTAAATGCAGGCTGTGAGCAGCACCACATGATGGAGCTATTTCATGGCTGAGTCAAGCTCATTAAAAGGTCCTCAGGGATATTAGTGTTGCACAATAAGTGTAGTAAAAAATTTCCACTGAATGACAACATCGACTGCTTTTTTGATCATAAAAATTTGACTCTATTCATCAACGACAGACAGTTAAAATCTATCCGCAAGAAATCAGAGCACCTTTAAAAAATGTAAGTAAATAGATCAATCAGGTTGCCCTCGTGTAAATCTGATGTTTTTTGTTTTCAACCTGGCTGTACTATTTTAAACCCTGAAACAAGCAGTCCTAAAAAGAAAATAAGGTTAGAGTTCACACACTTGTTGTAAAGTGTCTTGAGTGCCCTCAGAGACGTAATGTGTGAGAAGATGATGTGCGAGTGAATGGCAGGCTTTCCTGGCAGGATGCTCGCTCTCGTACCCGGTGGGTAGAGGAAACACAGCTAGGAGGCTGAAGTGGCCGGCTGGTGTTTGCAGACTAACAACAACAGGATGTACGCTACGTCAGGGTTAGTGGGAGAAAAGTCTTCTCATGGAAGGGAACCTGTATTTCTTCAAGATAAATTAAGACACTTGAGATGGAGGACATCAACAAGTTAGAGCTAAAAGAGACAAATGACCCTCAGTGACCTTTAAAAGGAGTGGAAGAAAACAACAGACATCCCTGATGAATCAATCCTGGACCACCTGCTTTAATCATCCTGATTCCTGACACAGAGCGACGTCATGAGTTGCTGTTGTAATATCTAGGACACAAAAAATGACATGTAACCTAAACTCCACTGGCCTTTGTGACCTTTTCAGTCCACTTATGACGAATTGTTTTTTGCCCAACATGGAGCATAAACCCCTGTTTTTGTGATAGCTGTGAGAGCCGAATAATAGTTTGACTCCTCCATGTTTTGGCTATATTCCATAAGGTGTGGAGGTAATTTACAGCATTTCCATTTCCCTTCCATACTCCCAATTAAGAAAAGTTTGGATGCCGTGTAAAATGTTGCTAAAACAGATTCAAATGGTTTGCGAGTCATGTAAACCTCTTATTAAAATGAGTATGGTGCAAAGACAATTCTAACTGAACACATTAATTGTAATCACATTCACAATATTCATAATAAAGATAAATGATTAATTCAAATTTGATGCCAGGAACTTGTTTCTGAAATGCAGGGATAGGGACAACAGGATCTGTTATGTTAAAACGTTGTAATGTAAAAAACATCAACAGGGACGTCTCCTGACTTCTCTGGCCCCAGTGCATTTGAGATAGACTGATTCAAAGTGGAAAACTGTCCCGTAGCGTGACCGATCAAAATGTATAAAACAATGCCTTTTTTCAGGGATGACCTTGCACATTTCAGCAAGACAATGCCAAACAGCATCCTGCTCGGATTACAGCGGCATGATTCTGAAGATGCTAAACTGGCCCGCCTGCAGTCCTAATTCGTCACCCATTGAAAACATTTGGTGCATCACGAAATAATATCTGACAAAGGAGTCTGCAAACAGTAGAACCTATCAGGTTAGAGTGATACAATATTTCCAGGAACTGGTCTCAAAGGTTTACAGAGAGTTGTTTAAAAATGAGGTGACGTAATATAATGGTAAACATGATCCTTTTTCAACTGTTACTGGGATCAGGTTTTTAAAGTTCAGTTTCAGCACCATTTTCAGTTGAATATATGGTTTCAATGATTTTTCAAACCATGATATTCTGATTTTTAGAGTGGGTTGTGACAAAATGTAGGTACTTTTCATCACTTTTTCCTGTGCTCATCACCATCACAAATTCATGTACAGAGGAGCAGTCTAAGATTGTTAGGACTGATTATTTTGAAGTTGCCCTCAACTCAAAATCATGGATTGTAGGGCCACAAAATCCTGCTTGTAAATTCTTATCAATGTGTCTCTAAGTGCTTTACTATGATGGGACGTTCTCTGAGTTGAGAAATTATAATTTTTTTTTGTTTGATATATAGAATGAATTCTTTATAAATCCTAATAACTGGGTAAAGTTGTGAGAGTTATGTGTTATCTAACCCAAGATTCAAAAGACACAGTTTTTTCTCTTGCATTAAGGTAAAATACATTGTAAATCATTCAGTTATAATACATTATGCTCACTTCGTAAACATTGCTATAAGCTTATGAACACTCAAAAGGGTTGTCATAAAGACTGTATATGCATTTAGAAGCCTTTATAAATAAATGTAAGAGGTAGGTTCATTTTTTGTGCATCAAAACACATTTTTTTTGTGACCCACTTTTTATTTCATTTTTCATACATACCCACCCACCAGACACCCAGGGAGCAAGTAGTTATATCTTGCATTGTACAATGTTTTTCACAGCCTACACTTGTATTGTTATGGGATGGAAACCAGCAATAAATAGATCATATCTAAGAACAGACAATATATACATGATACATTATACATATATACATATATACACGCACGCATACCCATGTAAAGGGCAATAAAACAAATCAAGACCACATCAGAATCACTGAAGGAAAAATAAAATCAAATGATCAAAATTAGATTAAACTCAACAGAATACATAAAAAAACATATACATACACATACACACACATATATATATATATATATATATACATACACATATATACATACATACATACATACATACATACATGAAGTACCATCAATGTACCAATCAATGTAACATTGCAACTAAGGATTACGTTTTCTCTATTTAATATTCTCTTGATAGATTTTTAATTCCATATGTACCATAGTTATCAGTGAGTATTGAAAATGTACAAAAAAGTCAGCACTAAACAACCTAAAGCTGTTTATTTCCATTGACTGGACTTGTCTGTTGACTGGGGTTCGTCTTTTTTTGTTGTGGTGATGAAAGCCTGCTATGCTTCACTGAGTGACTGCTTCTTTTTGTCACGCAAGTTGTAAGATTTTGTTAGTTGATTACTCATGAAACAGGTAATCAACTCTAGACTTTACGGGGAATCATGAGACTGCTTTCTCATTCCACTGCGAACGTTTTCTTGTGCACGCGCGCTAGTAATGACTCAGTGCACTACTCTGACTACACACAACCTGCCCAGATGGTCACAGGAAGAGTAGACAATGGGCTCCAGAGGGGAAGTTGTGATTCAGAGAGAGAATTAGAGAAGCTGGGAGAAATTTAGTGCGTGGTAAGAAATCACTAAACATGATGCTCACCCTTTGGGAATTCCTGTATTATCAGAAGATAAAAAATTATGAGATAACTCTCCGGATGTGTTTATATTTAGGCATGTGTTAAACCAAAAAGGTTAGAACTTTTTTAAAATGAAATTAAGGGGCTATGAACAAGCCCTGATAGCACAGTTATCTGAAATTGAGTTTTCTACATTTATTTTTACACGTTTGAGGAAAGACCAAGACGTTCTGTTTGAAACACTGTATGTGGGAGGGGGATTGAGTGAAGGACACTTCAGGAATAAACACGCTGATGGCCAAAGTGACTCAAGGGAAAAAGGCACAGGAAAAATGAGGCGATAAAGAAAAGCCTGGAGGAGAATCGGGTTATTTTGGGCTCTGTCAGCTTCCTGCAGGTGATGGGGATGAAAGAATGATTTCTGGAACAATTGCTCAGCAGCGAGTGGAGAGAGGGAGCTGAGGGATGGAGGAGGATGTGAATTGGGGGGGTTTAGGGGAAGGTGCAAAACCAAGATATAAGAACCAATGTAAACTTCAGCAAAAGATAAGACGTCCCTGAGTTTATGTACAACATAATATTGCAATCAAACTGTTAAAGGTTTGTTTACGCTGGAATCCTACCTGTAGTAAATAAACAATAAAACTCCCACCCTGATTAACTGATTAATCATGAGCCTGGGAATCGGTTTTGCCAGTATGACTACAACATGGACACACCCCTTCACCCTGCTACCACACTATAAAGGACCTGAGGTGGAGAGGGATGTCAGACTTGAGCATCCGACCATAAACAAGACACTACGAGTGGTTCACTCCAAAAGCCACAGCTGATTTTCTGGTTTTCTTGGCGGTAAGTAACATTCTGGATTGGTGCCTGCGATGTTTTGACACATCTCTAAATAATTATTGTCATCTTTTGTTGACCTTTTTCCTTGTAAAAAGAAATGGAATCTGTTATTTATTGGTAATATTGACTTGTACAGGCAATTTATAAGGAACAATTCTGGTTAGGAGGGTGCTTTGTCCTCAGCATCACTAATGGTTTTTCTACCACAGGCCTGTGCGGTATGGAGATAGCTGTTCTGCTGCTACTGACTGTGCCTTTGACTGCTGCCTCACCACTTAGACCACTTCACAGGTTAGTGAAGACATCAGTAGATACAGTTTATGATAATGTGAAACATTCATTTAATAATAATTAAGCGCAATTTACAGTTGCACATATAATTTCATAACTATTTTGGCACAAAAGTGTTGGAAAAATACATTTACAACACAGACTCCAAAGAAACTGTGATGCTGTAGAAAAAGTGACTGAAGCGTCTGTTTTTTTTTTTTCTTGGTAACAAATTCTGTATGTTAACGTACCTATTTTCTGACCCACAGCAAGGAGGCAGATATTGCCCTTCAAGAGGACACTGTCAAGGTCTCAGCTGTTGAAAGCTCAGAGGACACCCAGAAGCAACATTTTCAGGCACTGAAGATCATCCCATTTTATCCAGAGGACAAACAAGTGGACCTGAATGCAATGAAACACAGGTGAGAGCATCACATTAGTAACCACTTAACACTGCTGGCTATAGTTGAAAACACAAGTCTCTGTGTTTGATATCCTATTTCAAAGTAAAGCAAATCTGTTACCTCTCAAAACTCAAGATTATTTTTGAATTATATTTTAATTTTTCACTTTTTTTCCTCCTTCGACAGCATGGCAATGAAACTGCGTCCAAGGCGTGCACCCCAGCGCGGCTGCCAGCTCGGGACCTGCCAGCTTCACAACCTGGCCAACACTTTGTACCACATCAGCAAGACTAAAGATAAAGATGAGTCTGTGAAGGCCAGTGACCCGCAAGGATTCGGCAAATAGGGACAGGAGGAAAGAAAACTATTGAGGAGTGAAGAGGAGGACAGTTCTCAAAATATATGTACAACCAAACATCAGTGTCAATGTTCAGACTGACTGGTACTTTTCATGGATTTATGCTCTGTAAGCACACAGAATGTGGATGTGTGAATGCTGCGTTAAATGCTTTCTTTTAATATATTTTTAATATAAATCCCTCAATATTTATATATGTATATTGTTTAATAAATATTTTATATCAACGTGTGTGGCTTTGCATTTTGTTCAGATCCCTACCAGTTGAATGGAGTTTCTGTGGGTACCTATATGTGAACCATTAACTTTATGTTTTGTTGGGACACTTTTCCTTCTTTATTCAAACTAAATGAACATGATGAAAACATTTTTGTATGACAGGAACATGGCTTTGTCTCAGATGGTGTTTCAGTACTTGCACCGTTGGAAATCCAGGTCTTATAGTGTGGTATTTTTAGCCAAGAGGACACATGAATGTTACTCACAGCATAAGCTTGCATGTCCTCAGTTATCTGTCTGCGACAGTAGTAATGTAATGTGTGTACCATTAGCGACCAAGAGCTTTTTTGCCCCAAAAGAGGGGATCTTGCCAGTGAAATGAAGTCATTTTGTTAGTGGATTATAGTCTGGCTCAGCTCACACCCCAGGTATGCAGTCTCTGTGGTTTTAGCTGGCCCCTCCTTTATTTTCACAATGTGCAGTTTGCCTACCTCTTGTAAAAACCACACCCTCACCTGTGTGGTGTGTCTGATCTGCACCTGGTGTCCTGAAATAGCATGTCCATAGTTTTGGGGCACATTATGTGATATCAACTCAGAGAATGAATCTGATCACTGAAAAATGGTGAGAAAGAAATCTTGAAGCCTTCCCCCCTGTTATCTGTCACTGAGGCGATCAGAGAGGAAGACAACAATGAGAGACACAGGAGGAGAAGGAGGAGGCGACGGAGACAAAATCTCTAAATCTGAGAAGGACCAAGTAAGTAGGGTTTCTATTACACCACTTTTGTCATGTGGGGTAATCATGGTAGTACTGTGACAAAGTCTGCGAGTTGAAAAATAGGACTCGGTAAAGTGAAAGTTGTGATGAAAGTTGTTCTGAGTCAGTGGCGAGCGCTGCAGCACAAACATTTCCTTCTCATCGGACAGCGGCTCATATCGTGTCTGTGTGCAGTAATATGATACTCACACTTTAGGGTCTGTTCTTGGAAGACCTCCGAGTCACTGTAGCATGGCAGCTGTGTGTAAACAGCAAAGCATGTCGAGCCACTCGAAGCTAAGTCCGACTACTTTGAGCTCATGTTTATAAACAGCTGTGAAACCGGCGGAAGTGAAGCTAGCTCGACATAATTGACAGTTGTACAAACCAGCTAACAATGCGGTGACCACTCCGTTAACAGAGTTAGACAGAAGAAATAATCGGAGGGACCTTTTAAAACTGCGACGCTCTCTTGAACATTGTTTATCTGGAACTTAGAAAACACATGAGAGTACGCCTATTGTTGTCAGTGACGTTAGCTAGCTTAACTACATTACAGTCAATGTTAAATTGAAGCTGTGCGCTAACAACTACAGCCGTTAATACCATGATATCGATATGCAACAGCTGAATATATGATTAAAAAGGTCTTAAATTTGCCCTCTCGGCCGATAACCTCAATTGACAACAGGTGTAATTAAATACATAAATAATTGCTGCATTCCGTTGAGGTGTGCCAGCCTGAGGGCTCCGAGATTGCGCCCTAGGTTGGTACAACAATGGCACGGAGCCATGTCCAAACCAGCTACGCACGGATTTTCCTAATTACCACCAATCAGAGCGCTGTGTAAGACTGAGTAATTCACTTTAAAATGCATTCAATGCTTAATTTTATAAACTCAGAGTAAATTTTAAGACGCACAAAGAGTATCTCACTTCAAAAAAATAACCCAGTAGGATTCATTTGCCTTTGTAATTAAGAATGCACTGGACACACTGAGGATACCTGTACAGAGTGGGACTCTAAACACACACACACACACACACATGCATGCCAACACGCTCATGTTCCACTTCTCAAAAACTGAAGGTGAAATTACAGCACCTACCCAGAAGTCACAGTCAGGTGTCAAAGCACTGCATACCTCACCAAAGTATCACCAAGTTTCTCTCAGAGCCAGAGCCAACATTTCACATAGGAGTGGTTTACTACAGCTCACAGCTAAATGAATTCCAGGCGTAAAAGGGTAGAGAATCAAACTTTTTAAAAATTATTATTTTTCTGCATAATATGTTTATTAACCTGCTCACATTTTTCAGAGCTGGATCCCAAAGATCATCAAGAAGAGAGTGTGCACCACCTTTGTGGAGGATTCCTTCAGGTACCGTGGACTCTTTGTAGCACTTTCCTCTATGGTAGAAATGTCTCTTTTGACTGATCATGTTTTTACATGTGCTATCTTTTAAACTCTGTCAGTAATGGCGCTCTGTGTCAGTGTGGAGGTGCGAGGGACACTCATGCCTCTGTGGCTTTGGGTGACTACTTCAGCACAGCCATTGTCAACCACTGGGACAGCGCCCAGCACTCCTCTGAATACCCAACGGATGCCTTCGGAGAGTTGCAGTTTGCAGGAGCCAGCAAAAGACACAGCTATGTGGGTGAAATTTCTATTTGTATCATTAGTGTGTCAGCTCTTCATAAGTTAAGCTTTCTTTATTCAACCAAAAGTCAATTTTGTCTCCCTTTGCTAAATCAGTTTCTGCGTCTCTCATGGGATACGCCCCCATCCATGGTATACACCTTGATGACGGCCCACTGGGGTCTCCCCGCCCCAAACCTGGTGGTTTCTGTGGTGGGTGGAGAAGGCAGGACAAAGGTGAAGACTTGGGTGCGGGAGGTGATCAGGCAAGGACTGGTGAAAGCCTCACAAAGCACAGGTAAACACATCATGAAACAAAGGGTAGGTCAAAGGTTACATGCCGGTGAAAAAGATTGTGCAACCCAAATGCAATGTTTATGTCATCATTGCTGTTAGCAAAAGTTTGCCCATATTAAGCATGTATTATATTAACTGTTCCTCTTGACATTCAAAACATTTTTTGAGTGGTTCACCTCTAATTTTAGGATATCTGGTATGAAAAATTCCCTAAAGATGGGAACAATGAATTGTCATAATAACCAAATTATGCACATTTTATCAATGCCTGTCAAGACTGAGCACCCTTTCAGGATTCTCTATATGTAACCAGTTGTTCACTGTACATTATCCCTTACATCTTGGCTGTCATTGGTCATTACCAAAGTATATTAAAAAAATATGAATATTTATAATATTACAAGAAAAAAAAAAGGTAAGTAATATAAAGTATTGTTACAAATGAAAATTAAACAGATATAAGAAAAAAAAGAAAGCAAAAGCACAATGAGTTTTATTCAGCATGAAATATATTTTCAACAATGATCATAGCCCCCACAGTACCTGTACTCAACCATCTAATGAAACTGAAAAATGCCATAAATTCATCTTGAAACAGCTTGTAGAAGTAGCGTATATTTGTGAATGACTTAATATCTGATTGCAACCTAGAATTAAAAAGAAATGTCTGACTATGACTGGATTGTATGTGCAGGACTGTGTGTCATCACTTAGTGGGTTAGGAGTCATCACGAGTCAAACTCATCACTCAATAAATTTGTCATTTATTTTTCATTTCTTATATTCATCCTTAATTGACCGTCATTGTCCTTCTGAGCCTTATCCAATTTTATTTATCTGAAGAATAGTTTCAATTTACCACATAGTAATAGGCCCTTCTGTCCCATCAGGTTTCCCATCATATTTATTAACTCATGATAATGTGAAACAGTCTGCCAATTGGTAAGTTGGAGGTTCAGTCCCTGGTCCCACTGTCTATATACTGAAGTGTCCTTAAACAAAGCATTTAAACCTTAAAGTGTCCCCGCTGACTGCTAAAAGCAGTGTGTGACTGGGATTAGTAAAAACTAATAGGTTCTTTGCATAGCAGCCATTACTGCCATTAGTGTACAAATGTGGCGTGTATGGGTGAATCTGACATTTAATGTAAAAGCACTTTGAGTGGTCAGAAACTGAGAGAAAGCATTTTATGAACATGGTCCATTTTCCATTAACAAATTCCTTTTTACTGGCAAAAAGGTCTTAAAAAGTCATAATTTTAACTGAATTTATCCAGAAAAGAAAACAGTTTTGCTAATAGAAGATCGTTCCTCTTTGAAGCCTTTGAATAGATGTTATATTACTCGGTTCACTGTTCTCATGTATCAGAGCTTGGTTTTTAAAATACCATTAGTGATATTTTAGCCTATAATGGCTTCTCTGGAAAGTGGAAGTTCTTATTGAGGGGAAAATCCCATCAGATTAAGTTACTCTTTTCTTAAAACTGATTATTTCTGTTTTTCTTTTTTGTTTCTTTTCTCTATTTCATTGCCTTGGTTTTCCAAACAATTCTAAGGAACAGGCTGAAAGAGTTAAGTAATGAACTAACCCCTTACTTGGAAGAAAGAGAAGGGGGTTGTTGTGGTTTTAGTCTGGAAAAAAATGGCTGTTACAAAATATATCAGTGTAGTGACTCCCTATGACTCCCTGGGGGTCGGATCCTAATTCGGTACCACAATGGCCATTTCCTTCTGACTGCTGTGCCAAGAACAGGTGGCACATGGCGATACTGATCACCTGTTATTTAAGGTCAGTTTTAACTGTTCTGCCCTCTCAGTGGACCCGGATCAAAGCAAAGATAATGAGACACATGTAAAAACACTCAGTTGATAGACTGCTGCTGCTCTGCCTCAATACAAAGAGGGTTGTTTGGAAAGTACTCAGAGCAGTGCTATTGGAACGGATTTGTTGTTATGTTGTCAAAAAAAAAAAAAAAAAAAAAAAAGCAGTGTTTTCTGTCTCAGTCTACTACTGTGGGAAGTATCTCCAATGATGCAACACTCATGTTTCCCCTTCTTTAATAGAGAAAGTATATAGTGTACAGTTTTCTTTAGTCTGCATTTTTATGCTTTCTGTTTAAGTTCCTTTGAAAACAACATCAACCATTTTGCAAGTAAGTTCTACTTAAATCTGCAAGGGGATAAAATGTTCAGCTTTGTCAAAAAAAAAAAAAGCGCTGAAATAAGCACAAGCCAACAGTTCCTCACAGGAGCTTGAACAATTGAGGTAAACCAAACAATCTCTCTTTTCCTCTCTTGTCTCCTCTACCAAGGGGCTTGGATCCTGACAGCCGGCTTGCGCGAAGGTGTTGGCAGGTGTGTAGGAGAGGCGGTAAGAGATCATGCCACCGCGGCCTCCTCCGTCTCTCTCAACAAGGTGGTGGCACTGGGCATCGCTCCCTGGGGCCTTGTGCACAACAGGCAGCAGCTGGTCAACCCTCAGGTTGGAGTGGACAGGCATTCACTTTCTGTATTCAGTTCCCCCAAGCTCCTAAAATTATCATGTCCTTATAGGAATCACAGACATTCACAGAATAAACACTGCGGCTGACAAAGGAACCCTGCTTTATCATGTATTTTAATTATTCATCTTCTTACAGGGAAGCTTTCCTGCAAAGTATTATGTCCAGAACACATCCCGGGACTCCTGTTGCCTTGACAACAACTACCAGGCCTTCCTGCTGGTGGATGATGGAAGCGTGGGGCGCAGAGGGGGAGAAACAGGGTTCAGGGCCAAACTGGAGGACTACATCTCTCACCAGCGCACAGGCATCTGGGGTGAGGAATTGAATAATGAAATATAAGAAAAGTAGACTTGTTTTCGTGACAGATCACTACATTTACGCCTGAGGTCACAATAGGAGAATGTATTTATGTGCGTAAACAGAACACAAATTCAACCCCTAAAAATGTAAGCATGTTCCTACAGGTTCAGCCTTGTTTCCGAGCTCTTTGTCCCTCTCGTGGTGATTGTTTATTAATACATGTTATGATAAGAAGATGTTTTGGTATCCACTGGAGGAAAACCTCTGCATGTCCTTGCATGAGTTTGATTCCTGGCTTCTCGACAGGTATAATCAAGCTGAGATTTGTCTGAAATGTAGCAGAGTGCTATTCCAGTATCTCTGTTATCTCTAAGTTCCTGTATTACAAGAAAAATATGCAGCTTGTTTCAGTTAAGTTTGCAGGAATAATCATTTAAAGGAGTCAGTCTGAAAGAAAAATAAAATGTTAGATTAAAAAAACAATGTTCTTTGTTTGTTGTAATAGGAAGTGGCAGCATTGACATTCCTGTCCTCTGTATGCTGGTATCAGGAGACACAAGCATGCTGGAGGTAGAGATTTGAATTTCCCCAATAAAAATAAAGATAGCTTTCATGCCCTTTTATATGTGAAAGCTTCTCTCTTTTCCTAATTCCTGTCAGAGAGTAGATCTGTCCCTGAAGAACTCCATGCCCTGGCTGGTGCTGGCCGGATCAGGAGGACTGGCTGACTTCTTGAGCGACGTCCTAGAGAATTTGTCGTCTGCTCAGGTGGTGCAGAGTTCAGGCGAGGGAGATGGCGAGGCGGGACCCAGCGTGGATCTGAAGGACAAAGTGACAGAACGGGTTAAGAGGCACTTCCCTACTGAAGCGGAGCCGGACAAACTGGTTGAACGGGTCAGTATGGATTAAGAGTTATATTTTTTGTTGCCGTCAAGCGGAACAGGAAGAAGCTGTGTGAACTTCTGGCTAGGTTTCAAAGAATTTAACTGCTGATGTCGAGGCTTTTCAGATGCTCTCCATTGTCTCTTTTTATAGCTTTTGATGTTTATGAGCCTTTGTACTTAAATAGTTTTCCTCAGTATTGTGGACTAAAACTTAAAACTGGATGTTTTTAGTATCATTTTTACCATGTTGCTCTTTCCACTCAGCATATTTTGTCACATGCATGGGAACTGAATTTATCTGGCCTCTTTTGGTTTTACTACCTCGGGCTTTTTCTTCTCAGACTTCATCCTGTCTCAGTTTGACCCAGATAACTGGGAACCACAGGCTGCGATTTTAGTCACTCTCACTTCTACACGGATTGTGGTTTAGTAGACACTTTCAGTTCCCATGCAGAAGAAAGAGGTTGTTTTTTTTTTCTCTTTTTTTTTCCCCATAACAGAATAAGCTGAAAATCTGTACTGTGTTTAGCTGATAACTCCCACTTCAGGAAAAGCCTTAATTTTCCCTGAAACAGATACTAGAGTTCTGTTTTTTCTTTGTGTAAAATTGTGTGTTTCCTCACTGAGCTCGCTATTTCGAAGAGCACTAAAATCAACACAAGAAGTGTATTTGTTTATCTGGTTATTGACACTCCCAGACAGTAAACTAATCAGTGCGGTTAGTTTTGAATTGCTGTGCTATGATTGGCTATCTGTTGAACTAGAGACTGATTAGATACAAACTTATATCTTTTTTAACTTGCTGGTCTTTGATGCTGTTAGAGTACAATTCAACAGCATCAGAGGTTATCAGTCAACCATATCATGAATATAACAATGCCCTTTGACATCAAATCTAGGCACTATCTAGCCTTGTTCTCTGTGCGCTCTAAAAGATGAGAATATCTGCTTACCTAAGAAGATCATTAAAGCACTGAAGCCCTGTGTTTTTGGAGAATGTCTGCACAGATGATACTTAAGTTCTTATTACTTTAATTCCTTTGTATGACTGACTATTGCGCTTTTTGTTTAAGTATATTTCTCTGTCTTCCTGCTCTTTGTGAGCAGACTCTGAGCATCTACCAGAACAGGGACTTCATCACTATCTACCACGGAGAGCAGGAGGGTCCAAACGACTTTGACACGGTCCTGCTTAAAGCTTTGGTGGGAGGTAATGCAAATTACACAAATAAACTATTTAATATATTAATTATGAAAGAGATTAGTATTGACAGTGATGCCTCAATATGACCCACATAAGCAATAAGACTGTTTCTAAAGTGTAATTAAAATGCATGTAACCACTATGAGATGAGCCAAATGATTGACAGCAGGCCGAATAAAAAGCCCTCTCAGTTTTTTATTGCAACAAATCAAAGATTGCCGTCTTTGTTTTACACATGAGGTTTCAGAAGGATGCACATCTTTGTTCTAATGTTTGCTCTTTCCTGTGTCTCAGCCAGCAAGCATCGTGCTTCAATTGATGCCAGCCCTTACAATGAAGAGCTGAAGCTGGCAGTCACATGGAACAGAGTGGACATCGCCAAGAGTGAACTCTTCAACGGAGACATCCAGTGGAGGGTGAGGACAGAAAAACATCTTTTCAAGCTGGCATTTAGAAAAAAAACATTCATTTGCACATAAACACATAAAGTTTGCTTGCATTATAATAAGAAAATTCAATGCTGACTGACAAACATTTTTTAAACCCATTAGTATGAGGACTTGGAGGACTCCATGACGGACGCTCTGATCAATGACAAACCTCAGTTTGTGCGTCTCTTCACTGAAAACGGCCTCAACATCCTGGACTACTTGACATATGGCAGGCTTGAGAGCTTCTACCGCTCTGTGGCTGACGGCACAGTGCTTTACCAGCTACTCCAGCGCCGCCTAGCGTTCAGAAAGGGATATGCAGCAACCTCATCAAACCCACAGGAGTCTTCTTCCAAAGTGGCAGCAGAAAACACTCAGAGCGGCCCTGTGACAGATATCAGCCTCTTTGAGGTGAGTGTTTTTAAGCTTGAATCTTTTTTATAAAAAATGACAAAAATCTATTGAGTGGTAGTTACTGTTTTCCCTCCTTTTACTTCAGGTTTCAGGAGTCCTGGAGCTGTTAATGGGTGATGTCTGCCAGCCATTTTACTACGATGCTATCGGCATGGAGCAGATCTCATCCAAGAGGAGAGCTCTGAAGGCACTGTTTACTTTTAGTAATATTAAAATGTACTCACCACCCCTCATGACTTTCTCACCAGCCTATTTTATGTTTTATCAACTTTAGAGGGCCAGTAAGCTGCTGCGTGGAGACTGTTTGTACAGAGAGAAGCGCTGCCTCTTCCCCTGGGCTTCTCTTTTCATCTGGGCTGTACTGCAGAACCGCAGCGAGATGGCCACCTTCTTCTGGGAGATGGTAAAAAAAAAAAAAGATACAGGAAAAATGAAAACTTCCAGACTGCATTTCAAATCGTTTAACACCTGCAAACTTACACTGCAAAAGTCTTGCAATGATTAGAGCATCAGACAAATTTCAGGGGAATTATCATGCAAGGATAGCTAGACATCAGTTAGATGTAAAACAGGAAATCCAACTGGAAATAGCATGCATGGCTCCAGTTTTGATGAAAGATTGTTTGAATTGGCCAACAGCTGTAAAATAGTTGAGTCCCGTCTGAATTTAGAATTATTCAAAGTACAAATTCAAATATCTGTGTCAGAGCCAGGCATTAAAAACGGAATTTAATCATCTCTTTCTTTCTCCTTGAGCCCTTGCATGTATCTGTATCTCTTACCTCTCACTTCTGGCTTTTCTTGCAACCCTCCCAGGCAGGAGAGTCTGTGCTGAGCGCTCTGAGCGGCTGTAAGATACTGAGGGAACTGTCCAAGCTGGAGGTGGAGACTGAGACCAAACTGTCCATGAAAGAGCTCGCTCAAAAGTTTGAGAACCTGGCTCACGGTAAGACCATGGCTGCATCATGCGATTATGTTGAATTAAACAAAAACTTGTAACAATCGGAACAACAAAAAAGATGGCCAGACAATAAATTTGACTTTAAATTTTTCCCTCTCAGACGTCTTCAGCTCTTGCTATCGGAGCAATGAGAGTCGCTCTTTTACTCTGCTGATCAGAAAGTCTCCTGTGTGGGGCGGCACCACCTGCCTTCAGATGGGCATGGGAGCTGACGCACGACTTTTCTTCAGCCATGATGGAGTACAGGTGTGTAACCATTTTCATCAACCCCAAGAAACTCACATAGGAAAAAAACACTCTGACTGTACTTGCTTTGAGCTGTAAACAGTGTCAGACAGTATCAAAGTTAATCTACTTGACTACTGCACTTTAGTAGATTTTCTTGAGTAGCCTGCCTGTCTGTACTTCACTTGAGTGTTACTTTGGGAGGTAATTTAGCTCCTCATTTTACTTTCATAGCACTTGTGGCCTCTGCTTTATTTTCATTATTGCTGTGTTTGCTCTAAGGTCAGCTTAACAGTTTTCTTTCCTAAAAACCAATTCTCAAGACAATAATAGTTTTGATGTTGTTCTACCTGTAGTTTGTCTAAGTTTTGTGTCTCTGTGGTTGAGTATAGAGCAAATGCAGAGCAAATGTAACATCGATTAAGTGTGTAGATTGTAGTTATGGTTGCTACAGCAGAGAGGGATGACGATTGTCCTCTTGTGGTGACACAGTTTTATCTTTAGCCCATGTTTGAGGTTTTTCAGATGAAGAATGATTCATATAACTTCAGGTGTTTGTCACAAACTTTATAAAAGGTTGTCAGCCTGTTGAGGCTTCTTGCTACACACATTTATTTCCACATGAAAATTAAGAATAAAGTTGTCTACACTTCTAGTTTCTTGGTTGATGTTTTTATGGCAGCATTTTCCTTTTATTGTTCACATTTGTTTGGAGTTGCAAATCTGGAAATCTGTATTAAGCAAGTTTAAATATAGAAAAATGTCTCCTAGATAGTGTTGCTCCTGACTACATTCATGTTTTGCAAAAATGCAATATCTTGAGATATTTTATTTAATATTTTAGTGTATTTAAAACAAAAAAAAAATCTGTACCTTATCTCAAATAATAATCTGACACATAAAATTGGGAGCAAATACATTGAAAGTCTCTTTTTTCAGTCTCTGTTGTCACAGATCTGGTGGGGTGACATGAAGAGAAACACCGAAGTGTGGAAGCTCATCCTCACCTTCTTCTGCCCCGTCCTCTGCTACACCAACCTTATCTCCTTCAGGTAAAATCTACAACATTATCATTATTTCTCTTTTGTAGCTGTAAGAGGAAACGGATATCAGAGCTGATATTGTTTAACTTTATTCATGTTGCAGGGAAGAGGAAGAGCACCAGCAAGAGGAGCAGAAGCCTCATGAGGAAGGACCGGGCAGAGACAGCGACAGCCTCTACGGCACAACGATCTTCTCTTTCTCAGACATCAAGCACATGTAAGGGCCAAGATTTCCCAAAGAGCTGGTTGCTGAGGCGGAGAGGTTTATCCTGTCTTAGTAATCATGTTTATTTGATGTTCAAGTTTCAAAAAGTAAACATTACTTTGGAGCATTTTTAGCGTTTTGATTCATTAAAGATGTGTAATTGTTCTAGTGAAGCAGATTCACAAGGATTCCACTCTCCCAGGACAGCAACCATAAAAGGTGAGATCCCTTCAAACCTTTTCAGCAGTTTTTTACTCTATCTGGTGATAAAACTATGACCAGTAATCTTTGTTTTAGGCATACCTCATTCTCACAAACGGCCAAAGCGTCCGTTTATCGTGTCAAGATGGCGCCAGTTCTGGTTCGCACCCGTCACCTCGTTTATGGGCAATGTCCTGATGTACTTTCTCTTCTTGCTACTGTTCGCTTACGTGCTATTGGTGGACTTTGAGCCTCCGCCACCTGCAGGGCCAGCCATCACTGAGTATGTGCTGTACTTCTGGGTGTTCACCATCGTGTGTGAGGAGATCAGAGAGGTGAGGGCTGAGGAACATGTTTCTATGTCCCATTTTACACTTGAAACAACCACTTTGTTGGATACAACTTTCATTTTTTCATAGAAATGAAATTTACAATCATATTCATGTGATTCTAATTGTCGAATGCTTAAGTTAAATCATAGAATAAATTATTACAAAACAGATGTTCTCATTAAAGTAATTGTTTGTTCTTCTCAAAGACGTTCTTTGTAGGGACAAAGACCTTGCGACAGAGGATCAGAGTGTACATTCAAGACGTGTGGAACAAGTGTGATCTCATTGCCGTCACATTGTTCATCATTGGGCTTGTATGCAGGTACAGACAACATTTACGTAGATTATACAATATCACTACAAATTTAGAGCAAAAACTTTATTTCTTTGTCTTAAAAAATTCAGCAATATAGTTAAGTTTCTTTTGATTTAGATGATTGTGTATTTTGGTTCCATTACAACATGGTAGACCAACACAGCTCAGCCTAATTAATAATAGTAGGCTGTCATAAAAGCCCTTTTTAATCTGTTTTTTCAAAGAAGACTGGAAAGGATAAACCTGATCACAACACAAACTTTTGAAGATCGTCCAATATTCATACTGTAACCCTGCAATGCAGACAGGTTGGCCAGTGTCATGTCTACCATCCTCTGTCAAAGATATATGAAACACTGTCTGGCATGTCAAGTTGATACGAATGGGTGTACGTACTACAAACTTTGTCCACTCAGGAGCATTAAAATCCACATCAACAGGAAGACCCTGACCATGTAATTTAATCAAATGTTCGTTATTTCATGTTTTCAGTTATTCTTAAAAAATTCACCCATCTGATTACATTTGAGCCAGAGTATGAGGAGGTTCAGATGTTATCTTTTTTTATTACAGGGATATTGACAGAATCTCCATTAGTTAATTCATCATGTCTCTTGTAAATTTGACTGTTTACACACTCTTACATAATCCTCTCACTGCGTTGGGCGTCTGCAGTTGTTCTTCAAGTTGACCACCAGCAGGTGCTGTTACCTCACTGTAAGCGCTCGATTGTGTTTCAGGATGTTTAAGTGGTCGTATGACTTCGGCAGAGATGTCCTGTGTGTGGACTACATGGTGTTCACCATCCGTCTGATCCACATCTTTGCCATTCACAAACAGCTGGGACCAAAAATCATCATCGTTGGCAAGATGGTGAGGAACATTTCTCTACAATTTCTGTTTATAATCAGTCTTTTTTTATCACAGGAAAAAGTTACTTTTGCCCTTAGTTGTATGTTTATTTCCACTGTTTTCTGACCTTTAAATCTGAAGTGTTATGCAGGAAACTGAGTGTATTGATAAATAATGGAATCGTAATGAAAATTCAACTTTTCTCTCCTGTTTAGATGAAGGATGTCTTCTTCTTCCTCTTCTTTCTCGGGGTGTGGCTCATGGCATACGGAGTGGCCAATCAGGCTCTGCTATACTCCTATGACCCTCGACTTGATCGCATTTTCAGGCGGGTGTTCTACCGGCCGTATTTGCACATTTTTGGACAGATTCCTGTAGAAGAGATGGACGGTATGTTTTTCTGTTATTTTTCCTGCAGCCTTTGCTTGAAATTTTTTTCTGCTTACATATCTGAATCATAACGGAAAAATGATTGGAGATAATAGAAGATTTTTTTTGTGCTTTGGGTCCGTCTCAGTGGGGAAGCAGTGGGACATGCCATGCACAAGCAATGTGACGCTAATTCAGAGTGGGGAAGAGCCGTGCAGAACTATGGAAAGTAACTGGCTTGTGGTGATCCTTCTTGTTGTTTATCTGCTGGTCACCAACATCCTGCTCATCAACCTGCTCATTGCCATGTTCAGGTAAAGAGCTAGAAGACCAAGGTTCATCAGATTATTTTTTGGCTACAGGTCCTGATCTTCACCATGTTGTTTTCCTTTTCCGCTCTTAAGCAACACTTTCTCTGAAGTGCAGGCCAACAGCGACATCTACTGGAAGTTCCAGCGTTACAACCTGATTGTTCAGTACCACTCCCGGCCTTCCCTTGCGCCCCCTTTCATCATCCTCTCTCACATAAATCTCTTTATCAAGAGGACCATTCGGAAAGTGCCATCAATCAAGATTCATCACTTCGGTTAGTGTTTCAACTGAGGTTTCGTTAATGTTAATGTAATTATTGCTCATTACTTACTTTGGAAACCAAAAATGTCAATGAAGATCTTGGCCACTCCTGCTAGTTTTGCAGGTAACAGGAAAAGCAGCTAACAGGCTAACGACGTGGGAAACGATCCAGAAGGAAGATTTTCTGACTGCCCAAAACAAAATCCAAAAAAGCAGTGACTCTGAGAGGCTCAAACGGATGTCTGCCAAGTGAGTATACTCACCCACACCTACACTGTTGGTCATTCTTTTCAGCTGGATGATGCCAAGTTAAATGCGTCTGTCTGTTTTAGAGTGGATGGCGTCCTTAAGCATATATCAGAGAGCAGAGATTTTGACCACAGACTGAGGGCTCTGGAGAATGAGGTAAAAACACAAAGCTTTGCACTGATTGCACTCATTACTCTGTGCTTTAAGAGTCTCCTTCATACATTCATACTACAGCTTTACAGGAGCATGTATGCTGAGTAATCCCATCCTATGGGAGGGTTGAATAAATGTCACCCCTCCACATGTAACATGGTAACTCATATCATGACGACTCGGACTCAATGTTCTGATATTGATATCATCGGTTGGGGATTTGAGGAGGTTATGCCATCCCCCTTGTTGGCAAAAGAACTAAAAAGTACCTCTCTGTTGATGTGCAATAGATAGCAGTTGTGTATGTATAGAAAACACACTTAGATGTTGAAGCAGTGACACACATCTTTAATTTCTTTTCTGCAAAGAGTGAGACAAGAACATTTAAAGAGACACTTTAATACGGTTCACAGCCAGTTAGTGTATCATAATGTGAGTGGGACAATGGGGATAACAGCTATCAATCTAGATAAGCAGGAGATTAGCTATCGTTCAAGAATTAAAGGGATATTCTGGCATAAAATTAATTTAGGGTTAAACGAACTGAAACACCGAGTTAGACACCCCCTCAAGAAATGAATGTTGCCAACCGCTTGCTTCTGTAGTTATACCAACTTTATTAACGACCGCACGATAGCAATACACAGCGGTCTGAGGAGCCATAAACAAACCTCAACCATAACTACAATGCGCAGAACAGCACCTAACTTCATCAACAGTACATATAAGATCCTAGCCATAGCACTAGCCACCAAATATCTTTTTAACTTTGCCTAATTTCTTTAGCAAAGAGACTAAACACAGCTCACCTACTCTCTTCCAGCAGCCGCTTGTTTGTAGCGAGACCTCAGGCCAGTCCATTACGGACAGCTTTGGGGTTACGCAGCTCAAGGAAGAACATTTATGATCATTTCGTCATGGAAATGCAATCAGACCAAGATGCTAAGGCAGAAGAACTACTGCGTCTGCAGTGCAAGATGATTAATATGGTGATTATTACTTCAAGGAAATGATAAAGAAATTATCATAAATGTTCTTCTTTGAGCTGCATCATTCCGCTGCAGTCTGTAGTGGACTGGCCTGAGGTCTCCATACAAATAAGCGGCTGCTGGAAGAGAGTAGGTGAGTTGTGTTGCCTAAAGAAATTAGGCAAAGTTAAAAAGATATTTGGTGGCTAGTGCTGTGGCTGTGACCCTGTATGTACTGTTGATGAAGTTAGGTGCTGTTCTGAGCATTATTTGTGGCTATAAAGTGGCATTTTAGTTGAGGTTTGCTTATGGCTCCTCAGACCGTGGTGTATTGCTATCATGCAGTTGTTATTAAAGTTGGTATAACTAGAGAAGCAAGCGGTCTGCAACATTCATCTCTCGAGGGGGTGTCTAACTCGGTGTTACAGTGTGTTTGACCCTAAATTAATTTTGTACCGGAATATCCCTTTAAGTTCTTGTTTTTACACTGAGCTATATTTTTTGCTCGGCATTAGAATACATGGCTGATAACAAGCTCTGTTTAGTGACTGCTGAAATGTACAATATCAAATGTCTTGAAATTCTAGCACAGTCTGTAAAAAGCCTAACTGATCCTTTCTCTCAGATGGAGTACTGCTCCGCTGCTCTCAGCTGGATTGTGGAGACCCTGGCACAAGGCAGCTCAGTTAAACCTCCTCGACCTCCACCTACATTGAGAGGTAATGTCACAAATATATCTTCACAATCCAAATGTTGGAATGTCACATGTTTGCATTTCCTGAGCTTGTCTGACTAGTTGATTTGACTTTTTTTAGTGTTTCTTCGAGGCATTTATACCTCGCATGTCACTCATCATATCTTTTCTTGGCACAGATGCTTTCCCCGCCTCTTCCAGCTCCTCCTGATTCTGCCTTTGTGATGCATTTACTTACTCATGGTTGGGTTTAAAAACAGCCACCTACTGGTGATACTATTTTCCAGCCATCTTCATCACTGGAATATGCAACCAAAAAGATCAAACAGCTGTAATAGAACAGAGAGTAAGAAAAGAAACCTACTCTCCTTTTTACAGTATTAAACAAAATACAAAGCTGAAATTTTAACTGTAGAATTTTACTTTGATGCCAAAGTCAAGTGTATGTATTTATGATGTGGCATGATATATATTTGTATTTGATGTCATTTTTATGCTGTTATGTGTTTACTGCTGTAGTTTGAATATGATGGCTGTAAATCTTTATTCTTCCGGGTTTATAAAAGTGATGACTGTTACAACGAGACTATGACCATGTTACATTGTCAGTGCTCATTTTAATGCCTTATATTTTATTAAATCTGGCCAAATGACATTAAGTCACAGAATATAATCTTGTAACTTGTGTTGTAACATTATTTTATTCTGCACAATAAATTTTGTATATAGTGAATGAATGAATGAATGAATCCTCTTTGTTTCTGTTAATAAAAGGAAAAGGACTCTCTGGTTTCTACGCAGTTAGAATTTTCATACTTTTCCATACCCTCTTTTTAGAATTATTTTTGGAAATACCTACTTTTCTATATTTAAAAAACAGTATTTTAGAACTGTGGTAATAGTCTGGAAACATACATCTTTTTCCGTATTTTATTTTTTATTTTCCATATTTTTTAAGACCTGGAAATACAATCCAGGTTTATTTATAAAGCACATTCAAAAATGACAAAACGCTGACCAAAGTGCTGCACAGTAAAATTAAAAACAATTAAAACAGACAATTAACATGAACAATAAAAGAAAGACACAGGAACACATTAAAAACGGGGGGCATAGATGGTTCAGTAAAAAACATGATTAAAAGGCCAAGTTGTCAGGAGTGTGGATCAAATTTCTTTCCATACTTTCATACTTGCATAGGAACCCTGTAAAAAAACAGCAGACACTCAGGCTGAGCTAAATTAAGAGGGTTCAGTTTGGACTCTGTGTTGAAAGTTTATAAAAACAGAATTTGATGGTTTTAAAATAAACAAAGTTTATTTATACAGCATTGAGACAAATAATCAAACATTGAAAGTAAAAAAAAAAAGAGGAAAAATATATTCACATTTCAAATTTGATGCTTGCATGTCATCACCCTATTAAAATAATGGCTTAAGTCATTTTTTGATGAAAATGAGTTTTTGGCCTAAATCATCTCTTCATAATGCTGACCATCTCTGGTAAAAATGCCTAAATCCTTAGTTGGAAGGATCACGCCATGATCCTTTCTTGACACATTATTTCAATAGGGTGACAATGTGTAAAAATAATTGAGAGTCATGCAATTGTAACACTGCATTTGTGTCTCCAAAACGTATATACAGTATTTGTTTTAGAGTTAATAACTTCCCACTTATCCATCCTTATACCATGCTTGCTTTTAAGCTGTGTGCTCAAAACAAGCCAGAGGGTCCCTCTCCTCTGAGGGCCAAAAGAGGCAGCATCCATGGACTCCTGGGAGATTCTGGTTTATAAGACCTCAGGAGTGTTCTTAACTCAACCTGACACCACCTTTAATGGTGGTCTCCTTTGTTGTGTTCACAGACAGTGTTTTCGGAAAAGATTTTGAGTCCGTGCAGTGATTTCCACAGCAGAGTTATGTCTGTTTTTAAAGCTGTGCTGCCATAAAGGCCCTTAGATCAGGGCCATCCAGGATTTGTCTCCTGGCCTTGGCTCTTTTGTACCCAGATTTCTCTGCCTTGAATAATGACACAGTATGACTAAAGCAAAGGAATGAGATAGTTGGCTGCACTGTAGAGAGGAGGTATGGGTAGTGTGAAAAGTGCACCATGGTGCTGAGTTTCAGCGCAGCAGAGCTCAATTGAAGGTCACATAGTGGTGCTGGGCTATTGAAGGAGCCTTTACTGTAAATAGCCGGCTGGGCCACCTGTCAATGCACTAGCAGCTCAAACTGAGCCTGACGGTGTCATCGCTTTCTGCCTGTCGCTGCCTGATAGCTGCATGTGCAGATATGTTCTCATGTAAGTGAGCATGTGTGTCTCACTGCTCACTCCTCCTGACCTGTCAGTGTGAATTTAATATGAAAGCCTCTGATTACACGCACCTCGCAATGCTGCTGAATAGGAGTCTCCTTTTTGTCTCTACAATCAAAGCCCAGCAGGAGAAACTTACTTACTGAACTTTAGGTTTAAATCATTTATGAGGAATGTCAGCTGCAGACAAACACACTTGTGCACATGTGCAGACTGCCTTCATCTTGTTTCCTTCTATTTACATCCATCCCATACATCACTCTGACATGTTCTCTGCATGGAGGTGGGCAAGCACATTTTTACTTGGCTGATTAGTCTCTGCTGAGAAGTGCTAAACTTTGTAGCAGTATTGCTAGATGTGAATCACAAAATTTCAATTGTCATGCAATCTGACAGTGTTTTTTAAAACTACATTTGCCTTAAGAATAGGCACTCATTAGCCCTCAATTTAACAAGAACTACTTAAGTTTAAGATAAAAGAAGATAAACAGCTGAAGTTACATTTTTACAGATGCATGAATCTGTTCAAAAGTGCATGTTATGTACCTTTCATTTCTACAGAATCAACGATTTGATTGTCTTATTTTTTTTCTCTCCATAACTTCAGTTATAGGGGATTTATCAATCAATTAGTCTTTATTTATATAACACTTTTCATACAAAACCATGTAGCACAAAGTGCTTTACACAGAAAAAGGAATAAAAGAAACGAAGAATACTCAAATCTACCTCAACCCAACCCCTCATTCCCACCCCACAATCAAAGCACAACAGAAACATGTATTAAAATGCATTAACTTGAAAAGGGCTCGATTTCATAGAAAATTATAACATTTCCTGTGTTGCATCATATCAAATTGGAGAGGATAAATAAATAAACTAAGTAATAAAAACGAAGACTGTCACAGAAGTGCAAACTTAACGTATATATGAATAGCATTTACAGAGAGACTTCAGCAACAAGACAACAAAGTTAATATTACTATTTATGCAAGACATGATACTTTTATGTTCTTATATGTTCCTTTACCTCTTCTTCCCCCTCCCTTCTGAACTTCAACCCCAGCCCCCTCCTGTCTGCCATATGCACACACCCACCTCCCTACACACTGGGTTGAGGGCATCAGGAGCATTCTTCTGCACATGTGCCTCTGTCACTCATGCCAAGCAGCCACACAACTACACCACGCACCCAGCTGTGTTTCCACTGTGTCCTCTGTGTTCCCAGCACAAGCCTGGTCAGTCAGTGCGACCCTCTGTAGCTTGGCACAGCACCTTGACAAGATCTCTGGATCAACAGCACTTTGGTTACACGTTCTCAGGAATTGTTTGTTTTTGTTTTTGTTTTGTTTTGTTTTCTAAAGTTTTAAGACTTTACTTTTTTTTTCTCTGTGGAAGGACCACACTGAGGACTTTCTTCTAGGAGTGGATTTGTTTGTTTAGAAAAGTCCTTGGCTGTGTGACTTTTCCAAAATGGCTCCTGTGAGAGGCTGGGTGGTGGGGCTCCTGTTGGTTCTGCTGAGCCCCCCTCAGCTGCAACTTTCTGGAATAGTGAGCGCCCAGGACGCCGCTGAGGAGGACCTCTACGCCAGATATGAAGAGGAGGTAATGGCTGATGAGGGTGCAACTGCTGAGGGTGATGATGATGCTGGGGAGGAAGAGGAAGAGGATGCAGAGGAGGAAGATGAAGGAGAAGAAGAGGAAGAAGAAGAAGAGGCGGAAGAGGAGGAAGAAGAGGAAGATGCTGAAGAAGAGGAGGAAGAGGAAGAGGAGGAGGATGCTGAGGAGGAGGAGGCTGAAGAGGAGGAAGAAGAGGAGGAAGAGGAGGAGGAAGCAGAGGAGGAAGAGGAGGAGGAGGAAGCAGCAGCGGAAGAGGAGGAGGAGGAGGAGGAGGAAGCAGCAGCAGAAGAGGAGGAGGAGGAGGAAGAAGCAGCAGCGGAAGAGGAGGAGGAGGAGGAGAAGGAAGAAGAAGCCGAAGAAGAAGCAGAGGAGGAGGAGGAGGAGGAAGAAGAAGAAGCTGAGGAGGAAGCAGCAGAGGAGGAAGAGGAGGAGGAGGAAGAAGAAGAAGAGGAAGAGGAGGAGGGGGAAGCTGCTGAGGAGGAAGATGAGGCTGAGGAGGAGGAAGAGGAGGATGAAGTAGAGGAAGAAGAGGAGGATGCTGAAGAGGATGAGGCTGAAGAAGCTGCAGCAGAGGAGGAAGAGGCAGATGACGATGAAGAGGACGAAGATGAGGAAGAGGAGGCAGATGAAGAGGAGGGTGGGGATGCTGTGGAGGAAGAAGAGGAGGATGATGTTGCTGACGATGACGTCGTGCTGAATATCACTGATGTGGATGATGAAGGTATCCCTATTTTTAAATTCTGTTATGTGTTTTGATTCTTATCTGACTCTTCATTATCAACTAAAGTTTCAAACAAAGTTTAAAACATGCAGAATCCTCCTTTAACCACTAGAGGTTTTCTCTGCTGCACAATAGCTGTCTGACATTGTTATGCTAACTGTAGCTGCAGAGAGAAGACTGTCCCTCATGAAAATAAGTCTTAAAATAGACCGGTTTATCTGTGATAGCTGACACCCTGCAGTATCTGAACTATTCATACCTTATGTTGAAGTAATGTGGCTATTTTCAGACCCTAAAACAAGGTAGTGTTCTAGCACATCACAATAACATTTTCTGTCTTCAAACTGAAACAAAACAATCCACTTATCACCTAGAGAAAAAACAGAATATTATTGACCTGAAAGCTTTTAATAGCTCACAATCATCTGAGTCAAAGTTGCGCACCAGAGTTCAACAGTTGAGCACTGCTGATTATAGTAAAGGTATTTGTATTCATCAGTATGTCTGGCTGCCATAAATAAAGTGATTCATTTTATAGCTAAATCAGATGATGTTATTGTAAAAACAATTTGTAGTGTGTCACACCAGCCTAATAATTACCCTAAACCAATTATACGATCCTCTAAAAGTTGACAGGCAGTAAAATATGTAATCCACAAGTACTTGAGTTTCAAGTCTGGTATCACTATCAGAGTTGAAAGTATGCTTTATTGACCCTATATTTATGTCTCATTTTGCCTGTTTGAAAAACAAACACAACGCCAAGCTGACGGCTGAACTGTGATTGGCTATTGGCCTTGTTAGCGGCGGGTACAGTTGTGATGCAACAGCAATTCAATGTCACTTGTTTTGCTCAGGTTTGGACTTTTAATTGTGGCTAAAATGCATCCTCAACATCAGATCGACATACCAGTTTGAAAGGAAGTATGGGTCATGGTGGAGTGGACCAATCAAGTGGTGCTACTTTTCCACACTTTGCTCTTGTAGTAGGCCATTAATATGCATTCAAAGACAACAGCATCGTAGTAATAAGAAAGTAAATAAAAATTGTAAGGTACTTATTTTATTTAAATATTCTTCAGATTTACATAAAGTGTTAAGCAGAGGGGCTGTATAAAAACTGCCCCCCCCCCCCCATGAGTCGGTACCCGAGCTGGGCCACCCCAGACAGAAAAGCCTGTATACGCCCATTCATTCATAATGACATGAATATTTGTGGCTCTGAGGGCTGCTGTACTTGAGCTAAACTCAGCACTCCTGTACGCTCAAGATAATAACAATAGTGTCCTGATGCCAAAAAATAAAAAGTTTATAATCATAATTATGTTTAGTTTTTTTTATGACATGCAAAAAATTGCAGATAAAAAAAAAGGAGTGCTGGGTTTGCACTAGCTTTGCAGAGTTAGGATTTTTTTCACAAACCTCTAGAAGAGGTGAAGATGATCCTCTCATGACCATTAAAGTGTGCTTTCATATCACACTTTGTATTTAATAGTTACTGAGTTTGTTCAATCAGAACCAAAACTGCACAGCTTGCTGAGTATGAGTCACAAATGGTAATCTCTTCAGCCATGTTGTCAGCATGGCTGCTAGCATGTCTTAAGATGGATTTGTTATAACATAAAGTAGATTATGAATTAACCATTGGTTGGCATGCCTTGCAGATCTCAGCCCGGTTTCAGAATCTTGATTTGTGGTTAGCAGGTGACTTTATATAGATGTGTCAACAGGTGACGATGCAGCAGAAGTCGAGGATGATGAAGAGGAGCCAGTCGCTGACCTGCTGAAATTCCATCCGGGCTCATTGTGTAGTGTTTGCTCCATCTGTGAGGTAAAAACTATTACACAGCTTCAACATTTATTTAGTCATCATTGTCTGTGTTAGTTTCACATATGAGAACAATGAATAACATTTCATATATTCCTCTCTAAGCACTGCTCCAAGAACTGTGACAACTGCCCCTGTGAAGATGGAGACGAGTCAGAGCACTGCGAACACTGCCAAGTAAGCCTCCCTGCTGTCCAAAACACTATGATGATTAAAACACATGAGAGGCAACATTTCTGCAGGGCCAGATCATCAATGATACAACCTTTTGCTTTGTCTTGCAGGAATGCTCATCCTGTTACCTTTGTCCCTTACTATGTGACACAATTTGCACGCCAGGTAAATATGGGACGTAATACTGCAGACTGTGCAAGCACCATATATGTCAATGTTATTTAGCCCACTTAGGAGTTTCTTAACTTCTGTTTTTAATCTATTTCAGGTGGCTTTATTGATGAGCTCACTGGATCCCTCTTTCAGTAAGACATTTTGATTATAATATTTGTAAGGGGTGATGATCAGTTAGGAGATTAATTGTTTTAACCAGAAATTTTTTAACTTTCTGCTGCTTTTTAATCATTGTTTCATTATTTTATCCTTTAACTGCAAATATATAGATGTATGAAATGCAGCTAGATGTTAACTCCTTGGCCTTTCATTTGCAGGTCTTTGTCCTCTTTTCTCTGAGCCTCTTACACCCCCGTGTGGTTGCATGAGGTACTGCGTTACGGATTGGAGCTGTCGGGATTTTCATACCTTCAAAGCAACAGCAGGGCTCTCTCTTGAGCTTTACATGAATCTGACAGCTAACAGAAAAGCAAAAACATGTTCAAGTTTTAACCCATGTTTTTACAGATTTTACAGGTTTTGGCTTGCATAAATAAGAGCTGGAAATGGCTCAAGGATTTGCCTTTGCCTATAAATGAACTTAAGTCTGTGCATTTTCAAAGAAAAATAGACAAGAATACAATGCTATGGTTCTCATGTATGTACTTTAACTTTTTGTAGAAATGCTGAAATTTAACATACAAATAAAGTTTAATATGACAGGAAGCTGTATGATTGTACAAGGTAAATGAAAATGTCTACTTCTTATTTATGAAGCTATCAGGTGAATGATAAGCCCTTACTTCACTTCAGTGGTCAGTCAAGGTTTAATCACACCAATGAAAACATTGAAGGTTAAAGTAGGTTTAGCTTTAAGATTTCTTCCATTTGGTCGTTTTTTGCTGAATCTTAATTCTCTGTTTCACATTGTTAAAGTTCTTTTTTGTGAGCATAAACTTCCAATGATGGCCTACATTTAAGCAGAAGCTGAGGTTAAAGTTCAGGACGTAGGCTGCACAACCTTGGTCTAAAATTGACTGATTTTCCAACTATAATTTCTCTGCTTTTTAATCCCAAAAAATTGCGTGCAAAGTATTTTCAATGGGGTTCAAGCAATTTAAATGTTTTTCATTCAGAATGATTCATAACAATAAATTGTGGTGAGAAAAAAAAGTTGTAAGGTGTCATATTTAAACAACTTTTACATTAACAAGCCGGTCGAAGTGAAGGTCTGAGATATACAACATCATGTATCAGTTCTCAACAATACTGAATCCTGATCTTGGTAAATTAAATATGAGATTTCAAGACCTAAAAATTGTCTTTGTGATAAAACAACAATCTCTGATCTTTGGTTTGGGACTTTTTTTTTTTACCTCGTAAACATCTTGTAAAACACTTTAAAACAACTTTTTAAATGCTTTGTTTTATTAAAAGAAAAATCAGATTCCTCCTCAAAGACCTGTGACTGCCACGGTCTGATGGGGGATTAATTGTCCAGCCAATCACATCCTGATTGTTAAACCACATCCAGCTGTGGCTCACATGAAGTGAATTTCTTTTCAACGTGAACTCCTCCTGAGCTCTCTGATTCTCAGGTATTCATCCTGCTGAACGTGTTCCAGGTGAGGTGCAGCCCTCTGTCAAATGTATAGGCGAAAAAAAAAGTATTTTTTATGTCACTGGCTTCATGAGAGACAGATGAGAAATCTCTATCAGTGAATCATTGAATCAACACAGCCTGAGCCAAAAACAGTACGACAGCTACTGAGTGTTCATACAAGAACATTTGACCTTGTCTTTTAGTTTTTATGACATTTTAAACATAATAATTGAATCCATTCAGATGGACTGAATGTAATATCCATTTATCTTTTCTTGTTTGTTTTGTAAAAGACTTTCAGAGTGTCTGTATGTTTTTTTTTGTCACAAGTATAAACACAGACAATTCCCGGAGTAATAAGACGTCAGAGTATGTAAAAGGACATTCTGAGGGCGCTAAACCTGTTGTGTGGGTTCATTTAACAAGCTATGAGTATATAAACAGGGTAGCAGCTACAATAAACACTACCAGGTACAAAAACATTTGGCTCCCTGTCAAAAGAAAAATCTGACTACAGCACCGTGTCTTTATGAAGTTGCAGGCAGCAGTATTTAGCATGGCAAAAAGATCATAAATATGGGGTAGCTGATAGCAAAAGTTGTAGACTCCACCTCTAAACACTCCTTTGCTCGCTACCAAAACTGGTTTTCACTTTTTTTAGTTAAAAAAGTTTGTGAGGAAGTTCACCAGGTAACCAAAAAAAAGCTTAGTTTGATGAGGAAAAGTCTACTATACAGCCACAGGAATCCAGCACACATAATTTCCCTGTTTTAAAGGGGATCACCACAAAATGTAGATGTTATTTCTTTGCAGTAAGACTTCACAAAGGGTGGTTAGCTGGTCCTTTCTTATCATTATAGCTAGGCCAAGCCATCCACATGCTAGATTTACATATTACAAACAAAAGTGACACTCATCTTAATATCAAACCTTTAAGAAGCCAGCCTTCGTATTTCATTGAATTGATTGTATGAAATAAATGAATACATTCATACATTAACTCCATTTATCTTTCTTGATAAGGATACAAACCCCTGAAGGATACCACAAATTGAGCAGCAGAAATAAGTATAATGATACAAATGGTTCTTCCTCAGCCTAAACTACGCGTCTCACATTACTGCAATTTATAGTCAACATTCCTTCAATGGCCCGTGTAAGCTTACAGTCTACGTTTAATCCAATGTTTTGAGAACAAATCCAGTTTAGCTTCTCGGGTATCAGTTTTCAGTAGCACCTGTCAATTAAAAGCTTTGTCCTGCTGTGTAGTATGTTTATAGAGGGATTTAGGGCATTGACAAAATTCCAGTGGCGTGCAATATCCTTTATCTGGATTGTGCTTTTGTATATATGTGTTAAGTCTTTCATTACTGAAGACCGCAATACAGGTGTCAAATGTCACTTCCTCTCTAAAGGGCTATAAAGGAGATAATGGTGTTTGATGATCAGATAATTTTTGTAAAGTAACTTATGTTTGAAAACTGTGATACTCCAAAAATAAATTAGAAGTTATTGAATTAACAGAAAGGACTCCGTCACAGTTGACATTCACAGGTGCAGCTCAAGAAATTCAAACTTTGGTCCTTAGTTCTGATAGAAAAGGAACTGGACAGACCTGCAGCAGCAGAGGACCTGACACCCCAAATCCTTAGACTCTAAAAAAAGCCTCACATTGGACATATGGATTCAGCACCTCCTAAATGATCGTCTCCTGGATAACTGTCAAGTCAACAGTTTTTCCTCATAACAGATCCCTATTGATGCAGTCTGAATAGTGATTTATTCAAACCTGTTACGTGCACCTGTGCGATCATTTAACCAGTACCTGTGCTCACCTGGATTAAGATGCTGATATTAGAATCAATAATGAATCAGATCAAAACTGCTATTGTATTTTAATTGAGGTCCAAACATTGACTAAATGTTACATGAATAAGTTTCATGAATATATATAATGTCTTTATTATGGAAACCTTTTTGTTCCATGTCATTAAACAGGAACAGGATTTATCTGGCTAACTTTGCTTTGTAAACCCCCTTCACAAGATCATTGGCTGGCTCCAAACACCTGTATTTTGATCCCAATGTCCTAACAAAAGAGACCTGTGGACGGGTTACGTGTCACCCCCATGACAATTTAGTGATGTATACAAGAAAGCCCCCTCCCTCCTATTGTTTGTCACCTCCTGCTCTATATCACGAACTAGGAACACACTGGGGGACTTTTTCGACCTCTTCTCGCTGGTGGACTTATTCAGTAGCTGAGGGTGGGTTTGAGTATTACATCTTTTAACCTCATATATTTTCAGGCAAAGATCTCCAGGCCTGGACAGTAAGGTAAGAGCACCTTGAGGATTCCTCTTGATGATTGTTGACATTGTAGTTGTGTATATATACCAGCTTAACACCACTGAGGTAAAATAACTGTTTTAACAATGGGAGGGATCATAGTTTACAAAATGGGATGTGGCAGGTCATCAAAGTAATGCTCTGAAATAGGTGCAAAGCAGTAAGTCCAACTTGTGATTAATAACAGGTCTCCCCCACTTCAAAGATGCATCTCTCCTCTCTTGTGCTGTGCCTGTGTTTTGGAGTTCTGGTGAAATGGGGTAAGTAAAATCTTTTTTTTTTCTTTTTAAGTGAGATGGATGTAAATGTAGATGAGCTCTTTCTCTCCCAAACACAAAGTCACACAGGTGGTTTTAAAATTGCCAAAGCAACTCTAAGACAGTGAAATATCTTCGATCAAACTTCAGCTGGAAGCTTTTGTCCAACACACCAAGAGAAAATCTCAGATCAGATCAGACCTTAAGATAAACAAAATAAGTGGCGTATTGTGGTTTAAAATCCTACTCAACATGGCACTCAGTCTTTGTTTTTGGTATTATAACTGAACACACAATTATGGGCAGCGTTTTGCTGTGAAAGCTGATCTTTGTGTTTGCTACATACATAAAAGTGCTGTTCACTATTTTCCAGCTGGGCTTCCCTGAAGGTCAAACGATAAATCTGAGAGCTTTAAACATGACAAGTGTCAGTTAAAAATTCATTTTCTAACATTACACCTCCTGAATTTTTCCATAATGTTACATAGTGTTATATTTTTACATCTGAAAATTTTTTTTACTTGCTAATTATCAAGGAATTTTCATTTCATTTCTAACAAAGCTGTGCTTGTTAGTTAAAGGCACTATGAGGAGTCTTTTAACAGAGTTTGAAAGTAGTTGATTCCTACACTAATGCGTCTTCATGACTTGGGTGTCTGTCAGCTGTCAGCTGTTTTAGGACCAAAAAAGTGCAGTTTGGTTTGCCGAGTCATGTCAGTGGAGCAGACAGTTAAGTTGTCTAGTAGTCAAAGATGACAGGTTGACCAACTCCCATCTGTCTGCTGCAGACAAGTTCCTGTCAAATAAAACTTTTCAAAGCTACTGTGAGGAGTTTGTGATCAGCTATGAAAGAGACTGAAATGAAGCGAGATACGTCTCCACTGCCAAAATCAACAGAGTTAAAAGGTTCCTCAAAGGCAGCAAGAAGCCCTAGAAAAGCTGGACGCCTATCAGTTAAAGCTAACATAAGCTTGAGATACACAGCATCTGACAGAAGTAACCTGCGCTGACAAACAGAATAAATCCCGCTCATTCAGACCAGCCCTTTTCTTCAATTCTTTTCCTTTGATTATTATCTTCAATCTTGGGCAAAACCATGTTACACTCGTCTTCTACTGGAGGCTGCCACAACAAGTTTTTGTGCTTTACATTACGGAAGCATGATCATCAGCTGCAGGGGCGTAGTGAGTAGATGGAAAAGAAAGAAGACTCCACAGTCACACGGTGTAGTCTTTCAGCTGCTGTCATCTACAGAGTCATTTCAGTAGTCTGACTTTTGACAAAACTTCTGTTACTGCACTATATGATGAAAGCTGTCAAAAAACTATTCTGAAAACGGCAAAGCTCCCACCATGCTGAGAAGATGTGCGTAAACTAACACTACTATTTGCCATACCTTTTCGGCTCAACGCTGATCGTATGTGCCATAAATCACTCTTTTCTTCTTGTGACTAAAACATACTCTATAGATTGAATGTCTTCACTCACTTAACTAATAATAGTCCTTGCAAAGTTCATAGTTTTATTTCATAGAGTATCACTTGACTGTTTCTGTTCCAGCTGCTGGCAGTGATTGGTGCTACACTGGCTGTGGTGAGTAAAGACGCCATTTTCGAATCAAACCAGTAGTAGTCTACTTTAGTTTACAAGTGTGAAGAGCATTTCCAACTTTTACAGAGCACACTCCCAGTCATTGGCAAGAAATGCCTGGAACTTCCTGTGGAGGAAAGAGGCAGTCTCCTATCGATATCGACACGCACCGTGTCAAGACCGACCCCGCACTGCTTGACTTCACTTTAGCCAACTTCTCCTCGCAGCATGCCATCAAATCCATCAAGATTACAGGACACACAGGTGAAGAAACTGAGACCTTTTGTTTTTTTTTCCCCTCTTCTTAATGTTTTTAATGTTTGTGACTGAAGGCCTAAAATAGCGCTGGACTCTTCTGTCCTCCTCGCACACAGTGAAATGTATTTTAGAGGAAAATGAAGTGAAAGTGAGCGGAGGCAACCTTAGTGGATCATACTCTACGATTCAGTTTCACCTTCACTGGGGTGATACAGAACATCATCTAGGTTCAGAGCACTCGATTGATGGGCACAAGTATCCAATGGAGGTAAAGCATTAATCTACATTGATTCTTTAGGTAATGTGCCACTCCTCTTTACAATCTTATACCTCCATGTTTCATGTTTTCACTTCATGCAATCTCTTGTAGATGCACATCGTCAGTTTGAAGGAAGGAGTGGAGAAGCCCACAGAGGATTCCCAGGGGATTGCTGTTCTTGGGTTTTTTATAAATGTATGTCCCCAATTTTAAAAAGCACTATTGAAAAGAAGGTACAGTGACTTCTAACTTCTTGTTAAAAAGGTTGATATAGTCTAAGACATTGCTACAACTTGCTATCTTTGAATACCTGAATATGTACTAGTGGAGGTTTGTTCAATGGAGGACTTCTACATTCTGCCTATCGGAACAATATATCTATACATTAATTTTAGGTGGGTCTATGTCTTGCGCATAAAAAAAAGTCAAAGGTTAAACAGAAAATGTTAGGATTAAAATAATCAAACTATGAGACCATTATGGAATAATTTCATGCATCTTTTTACTATGTTTCAACTGTAAAGAGTTGCAAAATCGGTAGCCAAATCTGTAAATTTTCAATCTAATGAATAATGTGAGCAATGACAGATGTAAGCAAGATATTTTATTTTGGTGGCCTGTTTTTCCATAACTCATATCAAAGATATGGCTCAATTTTCAGTCGACTAGATAGAAATTTGAGAAGTCAACTTTGTGCACTTATCAAGACTTTTAGACACTGACATTACATGTGAATTATCAGAAACATCAGGACATGGGCAACACCTTCAAGTAACAACAGTACAATATCAGCCCAAAACGAGGGAAAAGGTGCCTTGTGTTAACAGAACAACTGTATGTTTCCTCCCTTTAGGCAACTGAGGATGGGAACATGACAGGGTCATGGGGCAGTCTCACATCTTACCTGACAGAAGATACAGGTACATGCTTGACATTTCTCAAAAAGAAACAAGGATCACATCTGAATCAAAATAAGGGCTAAATATTTTACCAGCAACATGGGTGCCCATGGACACACCTGAGACTCGTGAGTCCATGTATGACAAGACAAAAAAAACAGTCACACTTAGATTTGCATAATTGCAATGTAAAAACAAGTCACTCTGCTGCTCAGACAAGTTTTCCTTTATGTTCTACGGTTGGTAATCATGATCATTCATTAAAAAGGCTTAGTTATGATCATTTATTAAAGACCGGTTGGATCAGGTAAGGCTGGTTGTTGTAGATGATGTTGTGACCCCTGAATGTGCCTTTTTTTTTGTCTCTGACATCTCTTCACAGAAATAGGCACAGAGGTAGATTTTAACCACAATGTCTCTCTTGCTGACCTGATTGGGAGTGTAAACCTCACAAAGTTCTACCGCTACATGGGCTCCCTGACCACACCCAACTGCAGCGAAGCAGTGGTTTGGACAGTCTTTCAAGAGCCGATCAACGTCAACAAAAAACTGGTGAGTTTTCTTTGCAGGGTTAGAAGAATAAAGAGCAAGTCGTAAACTAAGGTCTTGTTATGATAGTAAGAGAGGCCAAAAGCAATCTTACAATCCTACCAGCTTTATTGGTGAATGTCACCTGCTCCTTCAAACACGTCAAAGATCTACCATTGTGTTTACACACAAAAAGGCCATAGACATAAAATATCAATGTGTTCCAATAAAAGGTGAGCAAATAAAAAAACAGGGAGCTTAAAGATGGTAATGAAAAACACTTTGACTGTACCCTTACTTGCAATCTCATTCAGCTTCATGTACTTATACATGTCAAATAATAATTACCCAGAGTGCCACTGGCCTGGTAGGTTAAGTGCACACCCTATGTCCTAGTCACAGGAGTCTAGTTTTTTTTTCTTTGCTATTGTCATTTTCTGCATGTCTTCACCCACCATCTATTCTCCACATTTCCTATATTCCTCCTGCTGTCTTCTCAAATGGAGGTAAAAACCGCGAATAAAGTTTGAAAGTCTCCTTGGAGGTTGTTTAAATGAAAATCGATAAAGGAAAAGTCATGTCAGCTGAAAATAACAATTACCTTTGAATTATCTCCATAGGGGATCAATAAAGTTCTTATCTTTTAATGTATTGTGCTCCTTTTTCTTTAGACCAAGCATTAAAGAAAAGAGTTATAGGTAAAAGCTGCACTCCGGATGTTAAACCTCCCTTCAAATTAATTCATTTATGTTTCATCTTTAGTTAGCAAGCACGTTAAGATGCTGCTTCAAGCAGCGATGACCGAAAGGGATCTTTCATTTGATCTGCATTGTCGTCAATCAGACTGACAAGATGAAATATTTAAGATGTTGGCATTCGACGCTGTGACATCGTGACAGCGTTATTAATGCCTGACTGAAGTCAACAAGTTATTCAGACTGAGCTGGGTGGGAAAAAAACTTAACAGAAAGAAAACTGCATGAAGATAAGAATGGGATGAATGGTTTTCTTAGGGGTGGGGAAAGTTTTATCTTAAGTGGACTAACAAATATTCAGGTAATAATAGAAAAAGTCTAAAGCCACCTCTTCCGTTCAAAGTACAAATTCCTAGAATAATGTAAGTTAATCAGGCTCTTTCGTGTATATTTCAAAAATTTAAAATAAAATAAGACTGAACATGATCTTAAACTAATTTAAAAAGGCTTCACTGCCCAGTGTTTCCCCTTAAGGTAGTGCTCACACCAAGCATGATTAAAATCAATTGGATAAGTGAATTACATGTAAAGTCAATACAAAGACACGATTAGACTTGCATTCTACTAAGACGAAGAATGACAGTACTCACAAAGTGAGCGGATCACGTCATTAAGTTGTGTCGCGTATAGCACGCTACTCACTTCAATCGCCTAGTAGTGAGAGTTAAAAAATCTCGACTTAAGCGAATGTTCGCACCACAATAGCCAATAAGCATAAAGATACCCTGGTAACATTTTTACTTGCATTTGGTGTAAACATGACATTACAGCTCAGTTGCCCTCGTATACTCTTTTTGGAGTATTTTATTGATGTCAAGTCTGCATATAAAAGAGATAATCTGAGTTAAAAGTGGACTTGGAGTGGCAAAATCTTTAATTTGTCATATATAAAAATTCTAGTAGTAGGTCTAAAAAAGTAGTCTTTATTGTGAAAATGTATGGTATGGACTTTATTGTCATTGCACTTGTGCACAACAGAATTGCATTTAAGGATGGGGAAAGTACACACAAGAGGGAGGGAGAGGAGGAGGTAAAAAAAAAGAGACTGCTCTCATTAATATGAGTGCAGTGAAAAAAAATAAAATAGTTGTACAAAACAACTCGTCATGTACCATGACAGTGTTCAAGGAGTATCTTACTTGACGTCTTCACCAGAAAACCTGAAAGTTTCCAAAAACCTATAGTGAGTGGAATTTCAAAGGGGAAAACAGGTAGCTGCTAATGGAGGGGAACGTCAGCAGACACAGGGGCAGGGACTCACTGGTAGTGTACGTGCAAGCATCTGCTTTGTCAGACATGTTTGGTAAGTCAGACTTGTTTTTATTTTCTGTTTACTGTAACCACTAGAGAAGCGTTACATGTGATGGTGGAAGTCATGTGTGTGTTGAAGGATGACAAATATGGTTTTCCATTCCATCTTATCTGTTTTAACAACCAGCAGATTGCAAGATGCACATGTCTCTGCATGTGGCCCAGCAGGTGGATCTGCAGGTGTATGACTTTTTGACCTCAACTTCAAATAACCAGTCTGGAAAATATTCTAAACATTTAGAGGTGAAAAGGATTGAAAATAGTTGGTTATGATTACCTGCTGGCTGCAAATAAATTAAATGAAATTCACCAACTGTAAAAGCTCAGAAATGGTTTTACAGAAAGTATTAAAAATGTATCCTTGATTTTTGCTGAGTGTTTTTAGTCACCAGGAAGGAGAGATTTACATCTTCAGTGAGAAATGCACTAACCTCATTGCTCAGGTTTTTCAAAAACTTCCAACTATGTCAATTATTGTCTAATTAGTTTCCCCTGTGGAAAAAATTTAAGTCCCTTTTCAGCTGGTTGGAACAGTTAAAAGTGCATGTGACTCAAAACCTGTTGTGACAGTGAGTTCAGACTACATATCAATCCATCAACTTGGGGAAAAAAAGGCACAGAATAGATTTTGTATGTATTTTTTTTTTTTTTAATGAAACAAATAAAATGGAAAAAACAAGGTTTTGTGATATTTAGAGTTTTGAATCAAGCACTTGATGGCTTAAATTAAATGTAGAGCTTCTCACTGTGAGCTTTTAAGTCAGTTGAAGAGTTAAAATGAGGAAATGTGACATAACCTATTTGCATCAACGGGTTTTAGGATTCTCTGTTTTGGCTTAAGGAGCAACTTCTCATTTCTGTTATCATTTTTTCAACAGCTAATGTTACACCAATGGCTGATATTTACTGCTATTATTACTTTTCTAACCCCCCAAAATTGCTGAACTCAAAAGAACTTTTTATTAAATGTAGATGGAAAAATGTCTCAGTGAAACAGTGCCACAGCAAAATTACATAATTTTGTCTAGCCTTCAAGATTGGAAGCAAAAAAATGCAAGGTAAAACTGTGGTAAATAGACAGTTGTGTTGAAATTCATTGATGGGCACACACTGAAATCTCTTAAACATGGTTATCTTAGCCATTTGCATGAATAAGAACTTTTTAATGAATAACTAATTAATGAAAGACAAGTATGTTGGGTTATGGTTAAGATTTCAGAACATGGTTGATATTTCTGTCAAAAGCAATACTAAACTGCATCATTCTATAAACACTGTGACAGGATCTGTGTTAAAGACTTGCCAGATGCTTTTTTAGATTTGACAGGCTGTCATCAAGGATGAGAAACACATGTCATTTAAAGAAGATGGCAGTGACTTTGTGTGGGTGTATGCCAATGAGATGCGGGTTGTTTCCAAATGCCATTAATGGGCCTGGTTATTAACCAATCTCTTCTTATGACAACACTTTCTTTCACGTTGCAAGATCCCAACATGTCATCAAATCAAACATCTGAATCTCCTCTCTTCTTTGATTTTACCATTCTTGACTGTTGACATTTGCCACTCTCTCAAGATGACAGTAAATAAGTGTGGGCACAACAGTCTTTTATAGTTGTTTGACCAACAGACTGATTGCATTTTATGACTGCCTGCTGGTCTGGTGTGCTTATGTGCATGTGCAAAATAATTTTTTCTGAGACTTTTTTTTTTGTTTGTTTGTTTTGGATGATGAAAACTTGCCAAATGGAGGATCTGTGTTGTCATGCAGCACAGGAGCTTCTTGTTTTAAAAAGTAATGGTCAATTTACCAAAGGGAGGGATGAACAAGAGGGCAATGTTGAATCTGACCACTAGGTACTGTTAAATATTTCCATTTCTACTTACTCTACCTTGAACACAGCACTTTGTGTACAGAAATGGTGAGTGCAACTTCATGGGGAAATTGCCAAAAGAGTGTCTGGTGAGTCAGAGTCAGTGCCAGACCTAGAGCTTAACAATCCTGAAAATGCTGTGTCAATGAGCTCTTTTATGGGCGTCACTGCCATCACATTTTCTCTGCCTCAGGCCAGAGCAGCCTCAGGACAGACGCTGTGTCAGTTGACTAATTGACTAACAACTCAGTGTTTTTTTTTTTTTTTTTTTTGGGAGGAACAGTCAAACTTAATAGCTTGTTAGTTTGTGCCAAATCAGAACTTTTAAGACAGTATGTCTCATACACAAACTGACAACTTCTAGTAGCACAAAGTCAATGAGGAGCAAAGAATCTGTGTTTCGTTTAGGTTTCGGTGCAGCTTCAGAGTATTCTGTTTCTACAGCCTAAACCTGTCACACAGAAAAAAAAACAGGCTATGTTAATTTTCCTCCTCTAATTTTTGTGTGTGAACTGATACCTCTGCCTGAGGGAAGAAATTCCACAGGTTTGTGGTTTCTTAGCGTCTGTATGGACCACACCTATTTGTTTGCAGGTCTTAATCTATCCTACTTTATGTACTTTCTTCCTTCTCAGATTGAGAATATTCCCAGGGTTACGGGGCTCGCCAATGTTTTTCGGCCAATCCAAAAACTTAATGGACGTCAAGTGTTCGCCTCCCCTGCAACTCCTTTACCCCCAAGTGAGTAAGAAATCAAACCCATGAGTATGTTGGTCTAATTTGTGACTCTGAATGTCTTATTTATCACTATTCTTCTTTTCTTAGGCCATTCTTGGTGCTATGATGACCACTGTTGTAAGTATTCGCAAACTTTTGCACACAAAAAATGACAAGAGTACAGCTGATGAAGAAAACTATAAAAACAGATTTCAAACTTTTCTGATTGCCCAGATTATAGTCCATCTAAGTGGCATTTGATGCATGATGCATACTGCGGTGGTGAGCGACAGTCACCCATCAACATTAAGTCGCTTGACGCCAAGGAGGACATAGAACTCAAAGACTTTAACTTTACCAAGTTTGAAGAAAAACATGCAATCAAATACATCACTAATACAGGACATGCCGGTAGGTTTGCTTTTATATGTCTATGCATATTTGTGTTACTACTCATGGCAGCAAGCAACAAATGTTCTCTGGCAAGTAAAACTGTAATTCCTGATTTAAATTAAAATATTCAATGTTTTTGCTTTTTGCCACAAAAAGTCAAAGAATTTGACATTAAAGAGGTACTTGTATTCGTAGAAAAGTACGCTAGTTAGCTTATGCTTTTACATTCAAATTGGATCAGTCTTTTTGTTTTCTTGTTTGGAGTAGTTTGTTTGCTCTTGTCAATGAAGACTAAATAAACCAGCTTAAGTTCATGCCATGCTGTCTTCAACTTTCAGTGAAGTGTGTTCTGAAGGAAGATATGTTGGAGATCTCAGGAGGAGGTTTGGAGCACTCCTACAGCACCATTCAGTTCCACTTTCATTGGGGCTCTATGTCACATGACTCTGAGGGCTCTGAGCACACTGTGGACTCGCACAGATATCCAATGGAGGTATTTATGAGCGCAAACATATTTTTTCAGTAGTTTGGATTTGGCCTGAGTTTTGTCAATGTCATTAATTGCCTTTTTGTCCAGATGCACATTGTGAACAAGAGAAAAGATCTGAGTCTGGCGGAGGCCGTCAAGACTCCTAATGGCTTGGCTGTGCTGGGATTCTTTATTGAGGTAACAAGAAGTCCAACTTTGCCACAAGTCTTTAGTCAGTAACCTGGTATAGTTCACTGTTTGGTGCACTTAGAAAGTCATCCAAACAGTTAATGCAAAAAAAAAAACTTGCATACAACACTCAAAAATGTATAAGGGCTTATGTCCACTTAAAATAAAGACTAGACATAAAACTAGACAGACTTAACAGTCACTATTTAGGAAGGAGAAAAGCAATGTGACAACTTTAGTGACCTTCTAACACTAATGAGAAATCAATGCTTAATGTTAAATTTGATTGACATGCTTTGAAAACGAGGTAAAAATGAGGTTGTGGAAACAGCACTACTAATAGACACAGGCCCTTACCTATAAAAGCACTTTGGATCAACATTTATTAACAATGCGGAGCAAATAATGGATTTATTCATTAATAGAAAAAAAGGTGCTTTGAGATTACTACTTCATCCAGCTAGTGTGTGATCTGGCTTAACATTAACCTACTTTACCAACTAACTAGCATATCTATAATCAACTGTGTTTCCAGTCAGAGAGGCCAAACAAGTCACCCACATGATTTGCTATTGACAGTTAGCTGTAGGAGTTTCTATATGTGCTGCAAGGCTCTGACGTAGTCATGGTATGTGCAAGTTCCTCCAGAGGACAATACACTTGTCACATTCCTCCATACACACACTTAACCCACTTTGACCAGACACCCCCTACTGTACTGGGACTTAAATCAGGACAGGAAGACAACATGAAAGAGGTCGTAAAAAAGTCAGTCAACTGCTTAACTGAACAGGTGACATCGAGTACTGCAACATACAGTGAGAGACAAGCATTTTACACACTATACACACTCTCAGGTATGAAGTTATCTTTCAGACAATAATTACAGCCTCACCTGGCTGGTTAACGATGGGGTTCATGTCTATAGTAAAGTTTGATTTTGGGAGTAAGATGATGGGAGCATGGTAGTGACAGTACTCCATTTGTCATACAAGTTAATTACATAGAAACTTTTAGTACTGCAGCATTTTTAAAGTCATTGTCACACAGTGGTAAACCTTTTATGTGGACATTTATCCATAAATGTAAATGCACCTCTTGAATACCAGTTATGATCATCTGAATCTAAATTGAGATCTGAAGAAGCTACTGATATTGGTATGTTATCAAAATAAAAGAAATAAATGTAGCCGTTTAACGGCTCACCAGAGGCTGTGAGGATTAGTGAACTGGATTGAAAGTGGGTTGTATAATTAGGGTGACTATCAATCGATTTACCATTTTCACTGAAGAGTAACTGGACAGATTACAAGGAAACATAAACCCTGGTGAAATCTGGCCATATTCCCAGTTGCAACAACATGAGTCCATGTGATGACATATTGGTTGTAGGTCTTTACAGCTCAAAATATAGCCAGAGGCTATACAACTGCTTAAAGTTGCTCTTTTATCCAGGCAAAATAAGCAATTGAACATAACTTAAAATGAATTAGTTCTGGTTTAAAGGTTGTACTCTGACTAAAAACTCTTAAAGATGCTGCCGTATAATCTTTTGTGCACCTTCTAAACATATTTCCCAGGCTTCAGATGCAAGTAAAAGCAGCAGTGCACCACACCATGACGAGGTAAGGGGTCAAGCTTCCCCAAACAGCTGAATATTCTTGACCATCTAAAGTTTTTTCCCAGCTCTCACTGTGTTTTTATCTTTAGCCAAGTCCATCAAAACCAACATCTGACATGAAGGCCTGGAAGAAGCTTACTAGTTTCCTTCCACATATTAAAAACATCAGTAAGTATACACGTTTACTCTCATAATAACATCAGGGACATGATGGCTTATGTTGCATCGTTCTGCTTTCTTTCAGGCTCAACATATAATGTCACAGAGGAGATCTCCATTGATGATTTGCTTGGTGATGTAAATAGAGCGTCTTACTTTCGCTATAATGGCTCTCTGACCACTCCAAATTGTAATGAAGCTGTGGTTTGGACAATTTTTAAGGAGTCCATCAAGGTGGATAAAGATCTGGTATGTGCCTTTTTACCTTGGTGCTGAATATAACCAAACAGTCTTTCAAACAACACCTGAATAGGGTCTCCAGGAGATCCAGTAAAATACTGCATTATCATTGGCTTCATGGTGTGTTTATACAACAGTTGCATCAGAATTTGCAATCTTCGTTTTTCATTTCTGGAGAACTGTTTGTTCCATTGTCGTGCTATCTCTGACAATCACATATCAAAAGAATCGTACAATGTTGTCAGGGTGTCTTACGTTAAAGTTAGTTTGGCATCTCTGTTATTTATACACGTGTGCAGATGTCTGAAGATTTTCAAAATGAATCTGTCGCTGAGATTAAAACCTTAACTTTTAAACAGCACAGTTAAACCATTCAGAACTAAAGAACTTCTAATTTCCCTTTTTTATACAAGCACCTCCTTTTGAGTTGACAAAAAGCGAATGGAAAAACTCATTGAATACATAAGAAATCTAGACGTCTCTATTAATCAATAATGTCCTGTACTCCTTATTATTCCTCTAAAATCACCCCAAACACACAAAAAACCCAACTCAGTGATCATCTGTCTACTACAAGTCATTAACCATTAGGAGAAAAAGTTTTGAGATACTTGTAAGGTAGAGTTAAACCATCAGCGGAGAAGAATGTAAAAGTACAGTCAGACCTTAAGTTGTGGCAAACAGCACATCATGTTTGAAGATAATCAGTTTTACTAACTTTTAAAGGGGTGGTTTGACTATTTTAAAGCGGGTTGTATGAGGTAGTTGTCAATAGTGTCAATAGTTGGTGATGGAAAACACAAACCGTAAACATGGGTAGACACTGTGGCCTTGTTTGGACAAGAACTGCTCCGTTGAGAATAGAAAAGTATCTCATCTGTGTGTGTGTGAATATAAAAGAAATGCAATGACTTGGTAGCATTGTGAAAATGATCTCTGTGCAAATTGATGCACAAAAACAAGAGAAAACACTGTTTGTGCCGTTCTTTAGAAATAAAAGTCTGCTGGTGTCTGTTGGTCAGGTGTCACTGACTATTTAGACACTTAGAAACCTGAAGCAGACAGTCAATTTAAAGTAAAAACTCAATATATTCCAATGCTTTACTGCACTTAATGTTATATTTCAAATTCAGCTGTTTTTTAAGCAGTGAAATGAGCAGCAGTTTGCACTCAGTTTGACATCCAAGCACACGCCTTGTGGTGTCCCACCCAGTAGTTTTTAACTATTGTTTGGCTCAGGGTAATTGCATGTTATAAAAATAGATGTATATTCACCTGCAGTTCAAGTAAGAACTACACTCAGTTCAAAATAAATCTCTTCCATAGGCTCACAACTCCGGTGACTGTCTAAATGAGGTTTCACTCTTAAGGGTTGATCATTATATTTATGATAAAACCTAATATAATAACTCAGGAAACCTATCACTACAACAAGAGGTTATACATACAGCAGGTTAGCTGATGTGAGGATGCATTTTTAATAAGTGAAGACTTCTTCAAAGGTACACTTATGAGGTCAGAGGAATGGATCTAACTTCACTCAGTTTGAAACACAGAAACTAACATTTTCTTTAATCCCACCAGATGAAGATGTTCCCAACCAATGCAGGATACCGCAACGTGTTTCGGCCTGTGCAGCCTCTGCATGGCAGAACAATCTTAACCACCACATCTGCAACCAGTCATCCTGGTCCCACCATTTATATTCTTCTACTGGCATGCCTCTGTGCTTTTTTAAATAATTTGCATTTTTAAGATAATAGAAACTGAAGCTACGGTGAAGATCATACATTGCACTAACTAAATGTCTTGCACTTTTGGGAATTATGATTGATTTTGTGGCTTTAATTGTAACCCTGACTACTAACTAAAGTAGCTACTGCAGATATTATTGCAGTCTGTTTATAAGAGTAGTACTCCATTACTGGGAAATCACTTGTAACCTTTTAAAAAGTATAAAATAAAAAGTTGTATCAAATGTGCTCAAATGCTTGTTTGAATCTGTTTCACTGCTGGTGAAGTTTTGTTTCAGAGTAGAAACAACTTAGGCATTTCATTTTGATATTAATCTTATGTCGGGTAAATTAAAGTTAATATTTCAAGCAACAGCATCACTGCTATCCCTTGTTCAGTGTAAAGTGGTGTGCTTGTTCATTTCTGTGTAATGTGCCACTCAAGGTTGAATATATAAGTCTGTATACGTGTGGCAATTTTTTCCCCTTCATTACATGGGACAGCTGAAGAGGGACAGGAAATGTTGGATAGTGGAGAGTGAGGGAAGATATTCAGCATTGTCCTCTATGTATGGGTCTGTGCTTAAACCACAAGGTCAGTCAATGCCTGGGGTAATACTCCATTTTGGACAGAAGGCCTTTACACTGAATACTTTATCCTTCATTTTGCTTCAGAACAAACAGGATTATCACACCATTAAAGTGATCAAACTATTTGTTAACATAGCTAATAAGGCCTTATAACACTTGATGACAGAGTTCAACCACCCTGGGCTTTCAGTAACTTCATGAGAACGTGCACTAAAATTTAAATGAGATAACCCCACCCCTGTTTACTCACATTGTGAAAGCATTTAGAGGTTTCACATGATTACAGTGTTGGCACAGGATAAAGAAGCACGTGCATTTTTTTTTTCAAGGAAATAATAACTCATTTAATTAGTTTGTGTTTTAACTGACGTCTACCATGTAAACTATAACATGGCCATCATAATTATGAATCATGTCTGCTGAATGTCCATCTTGGCGAACAGGTTAGCGTCACGTTGAGCATACAGTATTTTTTATTTTTTTTTGTCTACCTCCTTGCTGACAGCCTTAGTTCCCGAACAGCTGACAAACCTGTTCATTAGAGAAGGAAAACAGTTTTTTTTTATTTATGAATTTAAGAAACTCACTCAAAATAAGCTAATCCATTCTAAAAAGCTTTGAAAGCTGGTAAAGATGTCGAAAACATCACAACCCCCAAGATCCCTTTAATAGAGGCATGTCAAGGGAATGAAAAACTAATGTTAATTGGTAAATCAACAAAATATATTTCTAATGATATAGGCACTGGAAATAAAGCGCACTACCAACCAAATTCTGACTTGAACAAAAGCACAAAAACTTCTTGGTTTGTTTTTTCTAAAGATTGTGATTTAATGAATTCAATATAAAAAGGTACTATGAGGACTTTTTGATATCTATGAAAAATATACGTATATACTGATGCCCTTTTATGTTATGTTAAAGCAGACAACACCATCAGCTTTTATATGTAGTCTTTTTAAATACCCAGAACAGGTGTAAAGCAGCAGGCTATTGGTGAACAGTTAAAGAAACAACCCTGTTTTTTCAGTTCCATATAAAGTATTAACAATAAATGAGACATTTGACTATCAGAAGTCAGAGGGATAAGATTTATCTTCATAAAGGACAAGAAAAGCAAAGACTCCTTTGGCCACAGGGGGTGCCAAAGTTGACAATCCAAAAGTTCCTCACTGGATCTTTAAGATAGGAAGAATAGTTTAACAAGTTTTTGAAAGCCAAGGGTTCCGACTTTGACCTTTAGACGTCCCCCAAAACATGCCTTCTCTATGTGTATGCTTTTTTTTGTACAATACTAGTTAACAAAAAAAAAACCCAAAAAAAACCAGACACATTGTGACTATGCAAAAGGATCAACATTACTGAAATAGTGAAGAAAAAATATTTAATTCCTTCTAACCATCCGTGGTGTAAACTAAAAATCCTTATTTGATGGGCCTGTTCAAAAGTTGTGCTAGTTTTTAAGTAGTGAGTGACTAAAAGAAAACAGGCTTACATCAATTTAGCCAATGTCTGACTGGTAAGGAGAGTAGGAAAATAAAATACCCAGAGCTCTGTATAATGAACATTACACAGCATTAGACAAGTTAAAACATGGATTTTATAATGGCTCTGTGAATTATACATTTGGCATACATGTAGTGTAACCCTCTTAAATAACACTAGTGCTTGAATATTGACTCTTTTCGCTCTTTTTTTTTTTTTTTAATCTGCCTTCCCAGATTGACCTGATCCCAAACAGGGTGTCTGCCAGTTGTTTGACACACCCTGCAACTGGCATCCCATCAATGCACCATCAGGTGTCTCAAACATTTACATGTAATTAAATTAAAATGGGAGAAAAATAACCTGGGGCAATTTAGTACATAGACAACTTGATTGTCCAGCAATGCAATGAGGATCACAGCCTCAGTGCATTAAACACTTACACTGCATGATGGTATGTGTTATGTTCTAGAACCTGTCTAGTGACTCGGTTTCTTAGAATAAGGGCTGTGAGAAGTTCAACTACGGACAGGTTGTGATGAACAAGGAATAAAATCTTGATATGTCACCATCAATCAATCAGCACCTTAGTCTTTGACTCTTGAGCAACTAACAAGAGATTTTTCGTCTTTTAAAATTGGGCAAAAGCAGACTTAAAATGTGTAGGACTGTCTTCACACTGAAACACGGCTGAGAAGGAAACATCCTTTTTATTATCACTTATTGGGAAATCTTGAACTACGCCGAGCTCACAGACTCACACACTGAATCCCTGTTGTCATTCAAGTCACTGCAAAGGCTTTGGGGTTGAGATTGTGACTGGGCCAGAGATCATAGAAACATTAATTTAGTTTTTTCTCCGTAAGATCTAATGGGTTTAGTACAGTATTATGTAATTCATTTATGTTGCTTGGCCTGGACACAAATAGTTAAGATGTAGTTTTCTGATTTAGTCATTTGTAGGCCAGTTCATCTTTCCTTACTCCAGGATACCACACCAAGCTGGATAGTACAAATCAGTGAATTAGTTATGTATAATTTGATTACAGAGCTTTGGTTACAGAAACTAAAAATACCATACAAATCTTGGTCAGGAGTAAAATAAAATCTACAATGTTTTTGTGAAAAGTTACCCAAAAAAATCAAATTAAATTTGCCATAAAATTCCATTGACTGTCAATTAGCATTCAGTCTGAGTCACGCCTATCTGGCTCTGATCTGTCTCTGCTCAACCACTTATCAACCTCCTCATCCATCTGTCTGTCTGTCTGACGTGCTCAGGGGAAAATAATAGTCACATGAACATGCAGCAATCCGCCCCAGCCCTGATCTGAGAGCGCTGACAGGTAACAACACCATGCTACTATGCAAATGAGTCACACTAATACAACTGAGAGGGTGACTGTGGATTTAAGTTTTTATTTTTTTTTAAAGAGATATTTTTTTTTAAATAAAATGTTTACCACATTTAGCTCAGAACACCAACAATCCAGTTTACAGGCAGAAACCTCTAGCAGAACCAGGCTTATTATAGTGGACTGTTGTCTACCATGACCAACTGGCATAAGTAGAGGCACACAGAGACAGATATGTGAAAACAGACTCAGAGATGTGGAAATTATTATTGAGAATGTGGAGGGAGTGAGTGACAAACTTTATACCGGTGCAGGATACAAGTAGTGGTCCAACAGCATCTCTTTCTTTCCAGCAGGAGTTAATGATGTTTGGGAAGGCCAGTCCAGGTAGCCTGGCTGGGCCATCCTGTTGCGTGAATCACTTGATTGCGAATCATCAAGTGTGCAAATCATCAAGTGATTCATGCAACAGGATGGCCCAGCCAGGCTACAGTCCAGGCAGCTGGGATTACTAAACCCTGACTGGCTCTCACCAGATTTGTTGCTCAATTTGTAATACTTGAACTGAAATGGGTTATTTGCTGCATTCCCATGGAGATTTCTTTATCAAGACAAAATCATCAAATTACTGTAAGCACCAAAACCCGCTGATTGGTCAACACTATTTGTACTATGAATTTACAAGAAATAAAACCAGAGTACTTCCTATGGTGGAAATCCAGTCTCCTGAGTACAGGTGAAATGTAAAATGTCAGCGGCTACATGTTTGCAGAATTGTCCAAAACACAACTCTAATGAATGATTACCTTGCTTTCTTAATGCTGGGTTCAACTTTCGCAAACTTGGGCACATATTCAAGTGATGTTTTGCTTTCAAAATAGGTTTTGAGCTGCACCCAAATGGCCAAAAATCTGCTATTTTGGGGTTAAAATAAAAATTTGTTAAAATATTTTGACAATCTCTTTTTTTTCAGTTGTGCCCTCTGCTCTGCTCCTGTTGTAGCCTACTTGGACCAATTGTGTAGCTGAATAAATGAAGAGATCAGGAGCAGGGCTGGTTATCTGGTCTTAATCTTTACCTGGCTGCGACTTCATGCTGATGTTGCGGTGCACTGGTGAAGAAGGTGAAACAGAGGGTTTTTTTCTACCTGCAGCTGTTCGTCATGAATCCGGTTCTCCTGGAATAACTCCTTTCAAAAAAAAAAAAAAAAAAAAGAAGCAATCAGAAAAAGTCATCAGCCCTGAAACATTCTTGCAGTGAGATTAAGTCTTTAGATGTCTGATAGAGGCGGTTTCGGGGCAGCTGCCGGAGGGGCTGAGCGGATAAAAGAGGATGGCTGAGTATTCACAGGTGTTTGCAGATCGACAGGAGGGACAGGTGCGTCAAAGGTAAGACATTACTACTGCTGCAGCAGCTCAGGTTTAGTGGAGACAGCTGCGCTAGAAGGACCTGCTTCCAAGTGTTTTTTATTTTTATTTTTTATCGCAGCTTATAGGTTTGTTCGTGCAATTGAATGCACTAGACATTTGTCATTATTGTGATTAAATCATTATGCTTCCAGTATTTTTCTTAAAACTAGTCAGTAACAAGCAAGTTAGTGGCGTTTGGCTTCATCACTCAAACACGCCCTAAAACGATGAAATCAGCCTAAGTTAGCTGACTCTGTTCTATTTTTGGATTTGCATGGATTTCTCTTGCACCAGACTTGATGACTTCACTTCATGCTCGGTTGTGTCGGCGAATAGCCTACAATTTCTAATGACCTGGTGTTATATTTCAGATGAAGTGGCTTGTAGCTGTGTTTGCTGTGTGCACCTTTGCATACACAGCCCACTGTGCCGCAAACACTGTTGGTAGGTATTCAATTTGAAGTGATTTTCTTTCCCTTTTGATGTACTTAAACAGTTTAAATCTGAATAGTTTCCCTCTTTCTGCTTGTTTCTGCTGTAAGTGAGTAACTGAGCGTTTTTTCCTCCTCCAGCATGGTGTTATCACCTCCCAACTTGCAGTGAGTAATCTTTTATGTCTTAATGTCGCATTGATATTGAACAACTTCACCGCTGCTTCTCGTCAACTAAGTCTTTACCTGTTTTGCAGACGACACCACCTGGCCGACCATTGCTACTCAGTTCTGCAATGGCACACGACAATCACCGATTGACATCGTCACACAGAACGCGCAGGGGGACGCCAACCTGACTAACTTTGCCTTCACCAACTACGACAACACGGACGGCCTTGTCAAGATCGAAAACACTGGAATGACAGGTGTGCACAGAGACCCTCTAAAATCTATCCATATGCGGCTTTTAGAAAGGCTTTAAATGTTAAGAGTGGAAAATATGTGTATCAGAGTACTCTTAGTTGTATTTCATATTCCCCACTCAATTTTTTTATTGTCCATCCTTTCCTCCATCATCGCAGTCAAAGTTGGCCTCAAGAGTGGTCTACAAGTCTCAGGGGGAAATCTGCCAGAGACCTTTGACAGCCTGCAGTTCCACTTGCACTGGGGTAATGGTGTCTCTACCCCTGGCTCTGAGCACACTGTGAACGGCAAACGATACCCAATGGAGGTAAGATGCACCTTCTTTGACTTTTAATGAACTTTCCAGTTGTGATTGTTTTAGTGTTCTCAAACAAAAGTATTTGCTTTCTCTTCGATGCACCCTCAGCTGCACATTGTGAACAGCAAGTCATCTCTCAATGGAAACACTACTTTGGCTGTTGCAGACTCTGAAGGACTTGCTGCTCTTGGTTTCTTTATTGAGGTGAGAAGAGATGCATTTGATTAGTTATGGTTTATTTTGAAACTTCTTCTGAGAGAATTAACCCCCAGAACTCATTATCAAGACTTTTTTTTCCCCTGAATCAAAATCAAATTCAGTGCATCAGTATTAGAGTTATGATTCAAGATGTTGCTGTTTTTTTTAGTGATGATTTTGCAAAAGTCAAAGCTAAACTAAATGATGTGTAAACCTTGCAGGAAATGTCAGGCAATGCAACCAACATGCCTGCAAGCTGGCACAACTTGACCTCCTACCTGGCCAGCATCCCCCACCAAGGTAGGGAGATGCTTCTTTGTGCTTTTTTTTTTTTTTCACTGTTTCAAGACAAACCTGTCAGCTTTTATTCAAAGAATTTTTGTTTCCCCCTCAGGTGATAGTGCCAGTATAGCTCCTGGCTTTTCACTGAATGATCTAATTGCTGGAGTAGATACATCCCAGTACTACAGGTACCTCGGCTCCTTGACCACACCTAACTGCAATGAGGCCGTGATTTGGACTGTGTTCAAGGATACCATTAAAGTCAGCAGTGATATTGTAAGTTTTTTTTGTTTGCTTTGTTTAAATCCAGACTGGCTGTGCTTTAATTGCTTCATGCAGCTCACTGGTTCATTCTCTCCCCTGCAGATCAACCTCTTCAGCACAACGGTTCGCATCGACAACGCAACCTCGCCTTTCATGGTGAATGTTTACAGAAACGTCCAGCCAGCACAGCCAGTCACCACCCAGGTTACCACCACCACCACTGCCCCCACCACCACCAGTTCTGCCACCAAAACTTGCTACTCTTTGGGGTTGATGGCTCTAGGCCTCGCTCTGCGAAGGAATTAAAGCCAAAGTGGAGAAATCAGCTGCTCTCTTTTTATATATGATTTATCAATTTTCTTAACATGAAGTATGCACTGAACTATTTATCGTTGCTGCCCTCAGTTCAGTCTGCAGGAAGTCTTTTCACATCCCAGCAAACCTGAGCCTTAACGCCACTTGAAATTTGTTGCTTTCCACTGTAGCTTAAAATCTGCTTAATGTTATCTTAAAGTAGTTTAAGAAGATGATAGAAAAAGACACTGACTACATAGACTCAATGCTGTCATCTACTGTATTTTTCCTGGGTTGTAATAAGCTAAAAAGAATCATTTATCCTCAATCAGATTTTAAACTGATGTGCAAATGCTTGCGCCTTCTGCTCATGTTTATGTCAATCTCAATGGACGCTAGAAAGGAGCATTTTGTTACGTAGTTAGTGTGACTCGGCCACAACTTGTCTGCTTTGAGCTGCTAAAGCTACATTCAGAGAGGGATGCACTTTAGATTACGGACGCTGAAATGAAGTTTAATTTGAGTGTGAAAGTATTTAATGTAGGCTTAAGGGTTAAAACTCTGTGTCCATCAGTAATTGTTGCAGGTATAGCTGGTTTTTTTCTTTGTATTTTTATGTTACCTTATGACCTGATTTGTTTTTATTTTGTTTTCATTTACACAAACTATTTGAAGAAAATGTTCAACACAGTGCCAAATGCAAACACTCTTATGCAAACCCTCTTTCAGTTGGTGTAATGAAGGATTGACATGTCGGTCAATGAACACCAGAGCTTGTAACGATGACCGGCGTGACGTTGCACTACTTGCACATGTAACAGAATTGTGACCTCTTGTGAAATGTTCCTAAATTAAAATAATTTGGTATCAATCTCATTCCTCTTCTCATTTGCAGATAAAAAAACAATCACACCTAACAGTTTTAAATAATACACTGCAGGACAAGGTAATTCTTTCAAAGTTATGGTAAAGCGGTGTCACATTTGATCCCACTTGGAATGAACTTGAGCCAGACACTTGAGATGTGGCTTTTAGTTTGACATAAAAGCCTGTTATGTTTATTGAAGAGGGTGTAACTTCTTTCAAAGGATTGCTCTTTTGTTCCAAGTCACTTGCTTCCTCATAAATGACACCAGTCACTGTACAAGTGTTCCTTTTTGTGCTTCTAACCTTATCAAATAACCCTTTGACACTTACACCTTCACATTTCCTAGTTAAACGGAAAAAATACACCTTGAGTGACAGCAATTATTCATGTTTTAACATGCATGTAGATAAAGAAATATTTTTTTTTCTAGTTTGAGATCTGAAATGAAATAAAAGGTGGACTTAAGAGAGGACATACTGTCTTTAAAGTCACAAAAAACATGGAAATCACACTGTCGTCTTCGCAAACTTTACTCTGAGACTTCAGTCCTCTGAAGTCAGAGTTGCCGGCTCCAAAATCTGACAGAGCAAAAATGTGATCCGACAGTAAGACACATAACAGCAGTTTGTCAGGCTATACTAGCTCATCTCTCACCTTGACTTGTAACAGACATGATTGCATGTCAAGTGAGATAAGTATGTCAGGACTCAGAGGAAAGGCTGCTCCTAATAAAGATACCAATCAGAGGTCTGCTACTGCACATAGGGGACTGTCACTGGAGAATGAGTAGCATGTAGTCTGTCATAAAGATTTATCATATTGATTGGGTCATGAATGTGGATTGTGAGATAGTGAGTGCTAAGCAGGAATACAACGTCATGGAGGCATTGAGATCAAAAGATTGTTTTTTTTAAAGACAGGTCTGGATGAGGACAAAGATACCACACAAAAGAAAGAAACATTTTAATAAGAGTCAATTCACTGTATTGATTTATTTCTTGCAGACAGACCTGACATCATAAAGTACAAACCTTTAGAATTATTACATCTGATCTTAACTATGAAAGAGAGAGAAAGTAATTGGTCAAGTCTAATATTAGCAGCTCCCATCAGTGCAAAGAAAAACTAAAAAATGAAGAAAAAATATTTCAGCCATCAAACATGCTGCCTGCTACGAACATGAGACCACTTTCATTACATTTAATTCATACATTATAATCTGATCTTCTCATTTACCCCTATATGTTTTTCTTCTTTGTCCTCACTGAGACATCTCTTGATATCTGTGCACTTAAGAGACACCTGCAGCCGCAGTAAAGTAGTTCATCCAATTGATTGTACTTTAGTGAACCAAAGTACTTATAGATACAACAAGATCATCATCCATCTGACAACCTGTAATCCACACAAATCATTCTGGGCAAACTGAGTCTAATTTTTACAATGATGTTGTTCTTTTTTCAATTATTTGTATTTTTGGCAAACTGCCATTAAAAAAACGGTCCTTATGGAGCCTGAACTATACCCACTTTTTAGACCATATTGTTTTTGAAGGTCAAATACTAAGAAAACAACTCTGTGGAAGCTGAGTTGCCAAAAACTTGAGCTTCATGAGAAAGATTAAATGACTTTCGGATGATTCGGATGGATGATTTTGAGCAAATGTTGGCTACATGTCCTGCAGACAGTGCTAGCAAGCAATGTGACTGTACACATCTGCATTTTATGGTCTTCGAAAAAGGATACGTGCTAATATAACTTTGATGGGTCCATATCAACATGAAAAAATATATCAGTCGAGCTCTGTTCTAATCACAGTGAACTGGTTCTGTCCTCCACCAGCACACCTGTTCCCTAGTGTATTTATCTACTCTCTGTCTCTCAGTCATGCGATTCTTTCCTGAACTGCAGCGTTTGAGGTTTCCAACCTGTTTCCCACTTGTCTTTTTCTCCGGTTACCACTAGTGACTGATTAGCTGCTGTCAAACCATGCTTTGAACTCATACCAAGCAAAGATTGATCACTTTGAACTGAAATGCATCGAAGTCAGAGAGAATACTGTTAACCATGATATTACGACCAAGTGTTTGAGTCAAGTTAAAGGTTAAAAGATTTTTACATTGAATCATTAATTAATTTAAATTTAAAAGAAAATATGTCATAAACTCATATTGTCTGTGATATAAAAAGACTCAGCTCTGGTTAAAAAACTTTGCTATTGCACTAAATCATGTTTGTGTCACCACTTAAATGGTTTTGTGAGATCTTATGAAAGAGTAGCCCGTGTTTCTGTGTTGAATTTCAGTGCATTATCCTCCAAAGACTCCATGCAACCTGATACAAAAGGAGGAGTTCAAAACCATAGCAGGAGGGTGGGAGGATGTAAATGTATTGTTTTCACAGGTCAACAGTAATTTCTGAGAAGAAAACGTGTTTTCAGTAAAATAGACTATAAGTCCAAGCAAAAGGCAGAGATAACGTGTGCTTTTATGAGACTGGTTTGAAATTCAAAACTGGCTTGCGTATGTGAAGAGCTTGATTCCCTTCAGCGGCTTGAGGAGATGGCGAAAAAAAAACAATAAAGGCTGTGGATGCTTGATTTTTAAGTCCAGTTGAGCTTTTTTTTTTTTTTTTTTACATAAACACATTAGTCATAAATAAAGCGGAGATCAGGAGTAGCCAGCTGCCTCTTACAAATGAAGACAGTCCCTTCAAGTCACAGCTACATTCCTTGGGTACCTTAGGAGCTGCAGTGGAGGCAGCAGGACATTTGAGCCACTCCACTGCAGTGGATTTGGGAACGATTTCACCTTGGTGCAGTCGTCCATTAGTCAGCACCCAGTAGAGGTTGTCCTTAAAGAAATAAGCATCACCTAAAACATAAAAGTAGTGTCGTTAATATTCCCTTACTTTTTCACCACTCTTTAAAAACCTAAGTATAATGGCCTCTAGGGAACTAAAGTAGAGACGTTTACTTTAAATGTTTTATTTTCCTCTATTTTAAGCATTAGCTCTCTAACATCACCCCTTATAGCAGTTATAGGCATCAAAAATGACAACACATGAGTTTTAATTTGTATTTGATCATCATAAAACCACATAAATGTTCATTTCAGTCTGTTTCATAACCTGTCAAAAAGGGTTTGTGAAGTCCAAGTGTGTTATGACTTTCTCCTGTATTTTTGTCACAAATCTGTTCTTAAATAGTAAATGATAACTAACCATCAGTTTCCCCACATCTGAGTTAATCATAAACTCTGGCTGAAAACAGCGGTACAACACGAAGCAAGCTCTCTGGATGTTGGGTTCTTGTGCTTTGTTTCAATGCTTGCTCTACCTCCCTGTTTGTCAAAGCACTTGTAAACTTTTTTTTTGAACAAGTGCTACAAGAATACTTGTAACTCTGCAGCAAGAACTAACATTTCCATTTCAGTATTTTTCCAACAGCTTGATTGATTTTATGTGTAACTCTGCCTCATGTCTACATTGCTGAAGAAATCCCCAAGTATACTCAAGACTGTTTGTTACATGTGACACTTTGCGAGATGTTATCAGGCCACATACTTGAATCATGATGTTACTATTTTGACTTTGAGGCGTTCTCGCCACTATTTTGATAACCTTCATACCTCACAGCCGGTTGAGCATGACCACTGAAAAAATGTTGTCACCCAAATTAACCTTCTCCACTGTTTTGTTTATTTATCTTAAGCTTAGATCAGATCCTAATCTCATATTTATGCCTCTGAACACAAAGTTACCTTCTCCCCAGCTAATGACATCATCCATATCTGGGGGCACTCCTTCCCATAGGCTGTTGCCACGAGGGTATCCCGAATCAGGCTGCCTTGGCTCCTGTGTGTCCTTACGGCTCTCGTCATACCTCCAAAACTCCCCTCCACTGAACAGGTATGTTTTGCCGTTATGGGCCCAGACGAAGGCGGCGTCCACGCTTTTTACGTCCTTCCCACTTCTTGTCTTCATGCCCCAGTCAGAAAGAGGTCGAGGGTAACCCCTCATAGCCTGTGTGTCCTTGAAGACCCAGTACTGAGACCCTGGACATACAGGAGGAAGGAAACAGTTCTGAATTTATTTATGCTAAGTTGGAACAAGGATTCAACAATTCAACATGACTTTTGCCTTTAGAAGAAATCTGATCAACTGAGTGATTGTATTTCAGGGTTTAAGCCTCTCTTGTTTTCTTTCTCTGTACTAAAGGTTCAGCCAGGACATCAAGCGTTTAGACCGATCTTGTCTATTGGTGGCATACAGGCCCCTTAAATTAGGCTCAAAAATTGTGCATAAAAATACCTGTGTAAAAAGTTGTAGCTAAATACAATTCAACAACAAAAAGAAAACAACAAAAAAGAAATGCAACACTGTGCTCATTTAAATAATACCCTACTCATGTTTTAGGGTCTTTCAATCTAAGTCAGTTTGATCAGATCTAGATCCACTAATGCAAACCTTTCATTGCTTACCGCTGAAGAAGACAATAGAGTTATCACTCTTCCTCTCATACACAGCGTCTATCTTGTTTATTCCTGAAGGGAGGCCCATCCAGAAGTTTTTGATCAAAGCTGGGTACAGGGACACCAAAGACCTGTCTTGCTGAGTCCTCCAGAAGTGTGGCCCTAGAACAGAAGAGGGTAGAAACATGATAAGAAAACTATAAAATTGCTCAAAAAGTTAAAGAGTAATTGAAATGTTTCAGTAGATTTTGTAAGATAGTTCGTCCATACCTTTAAAGAAGAAGACCTCTCCTCGAATGTTTGCCACCGCATCAAAGCCTCCTTGGCAGCGCTCCTGAAAGGAGGGGTCAGATCTGAGGAGGGAAAACTTGAGTGAAATTTTACATTTTACAAGATGTAGTTTGAAAAAAAGTCACTAGAGGGTGCAGTAAGACAAAAGACACCTCCACTTAAGATCGATCAGAGGGCTTTTATCCTCAACCAGTGGTTTTAAATTACTTTTCATCATTCCTTTGCCCAGGGGTAAACTGAGCGCACGGAGAGGATATTCATAGTTTGTTAATGCATATGTTGAAGGCTTAATGTCTGAGTGTCTGTATAGTGGATTTTATTGTTTCCTCAGGCTCTACTCACTGCTGCGTTGGTCTGGGAGGAGGAGGACTAGGCAGATGTGGGAGGTCAGGATCCACACCACCTGGTGGCCCACCAACCTTCACACCTACAACAGGGTAGTGACAGCAGACGATGTTAAAGAGGCTGTGAAAGCTGATGACAGCAGGAAAATTGTGCAAGCAACCAACTTTTCCCCCAGCAGCCTGGGGGATGACACACAGGATGCAAACGCTGTGTTTTTAACGCACAGAGGAGGGAGGAAGGAAGGAAGCTGGTGAAAAACCCAAGAGCCCTAATGCACCTTTATACAAAATAGACCCCCAGTATCAATGAATGTATGATTGTGCTCTTGGCTTGTGTTTCCATGTTTTGATATCATTAGCTGAGTGTTTTATTGAGCTCTAGTATCTTTCAAATAATATGTAAAGCATTTCTCAGCCACTTCTCCATTTTTGAGGAAATGACACTGAAACCCTACGTCAAAACCAGTGATCACATTGACATGATTAAAAAGGCTAACAAATCTAGACAAGATCAGACAGGGACCAGGCAGGAACTGAGAAATATTTTTGGCCGTGTGAGTTGCCCAGAGTGGCAACTTTGGTCAGCCTGGTGGTTAATCGCTTTACCACTGACCCAAATATAAACTTTTCAAGAACCTCTGAGCTCTTGCAGCAAAATCTTGTACAGACAGTTGCGGTTTCTTCGTCAAATGACCTAGCCTCTTCCTTTAGAGTCATCATCAGCTCAAAGTTAGTTAGTGGTGACATCAGCCACTGGTTTGTGAACTCAAGTTTGGCTCACAGGAGGGGCTCAGGAAATGACCATATAAGGAAAAAACTGGTTGAGCCCAATAGATTTAAGTTAACCGGATTACCTGGAGGGACACAGACGAGAGGGACCAGAGATTGCCTATTGCTTAACTGAAAGCGTTCCCCCTTATTTTGAAAGGTGAGCTATGTTTAAAAAAAATAAAATAAAAAACACTTCTGAAGTCATTAGTGCAGAAATGAGCTTAACTGATGTTTGTACCAATGCTGAAGTTTAAACATGCTGGACATTTTTCTAAGGGGGCTCTTCAGACCCTTTGTAGTATCAATAAGTCACGTTTTTTTGGTGGGCAGGGCTAAGCTGGAGGCAAACAATCAGCAAGTTGTACTTTGGCTTTCTTCTTGTCAACATAATGGACAAATCCAAATATTATACTTGTCTTTTACAGTTGTGAACAACAGCCTTATAATGATGAACATGTCTATCTTTTGCATACAGCTATGAGCACATTGCCATGATTAGTACGCTGTTTGTTGTTTGAGTGACAGCTTAATTTCCTATGCAGTGCTTGAAACAGACAGGAAAAAACTAAAGAGAAGCAATTACAGGTAGGAGACACAAATCTGTAAACCAGGACATGGACAAAAAAAGGACATAAACAAATAGTACATAAACAACTTCTTTACATTAGGTGACATTTGCTCCCTCACCGTATAGCTGCTGAATGGCGAGTTGGTCGTCCCGATCCAGCTTGTAGTTTTGGATTTTTCCCACTGGGCCCTGGTAGTACGGCCTCATGATGGATGGATCAGAGGAGGAATGGGACAGGCCAAGTGCATGGCCAAATTCATGCACTGCAACTGTGAATAAGTCTGTGCTGCTGTCATCACCTAAAGAAGTGTGAAGTATAAGTGTGAGCTACTGGATCACATGAACAGAGTGTGATTGACAGGCCTGATGTGGCCGGGTAAGCAGATTCATTATGCCTTATAATTACTCTGTGGGTCACTTGAGCATTACAGTTTGTTTGTTTGTTATTAGTATGATCAGTAACAGGTTATCTACACATAATGATTCCTTTGAAGAAATACCTCCATAGCTCCAGATCTCATCATCATCAAAGTGAGTGTCACCAGCCACTTCATCCCTGGTGGGGAAGAATGCGTGGGCAAGGGTGCCACCCTTCCCGTCAAAAGGGTATCCATCGTTGTGCATTGAGCGGGAAAAAGACACTCTGATGTCCCCTCCAGGACCCGCCCCCCTGCTGTCAACAGCAAGTTGTCTGAATCTCAAGGGGGCCGCATCACTCCAGGCTTTGAGGGCATGAGACAGGATGGTTTCCACCGTACTTCTAGTCAGGGTGGGTGAGAGGGAGGTTGATGGGTAGCTGTGGACGCTGCGGACAAGAATAGATCAGATTTAATTATTCTGAAAAAACAGTTTACTGTTCTTGCCTGGAATTTGTTAGTTTGTGTGGTTTTTTTGTCTATTTGTTTTATATCTGTTACACTTTTTGACCAGTTGTTTAAAACCTTAAATTTCCGTGATATAAACAGATTTTCATATAGCTAACAATTATTATTCCTTGTCCTACAACATTTCACTGCTGTCCAAAACCTTCTTAATAGGACAGGTTTGCAATCAAAAATAAAATGAATGAAAAGCTTAAGTGACTTTGTAAAAATAGAGCATACTTCTTCAGAAACCCAACCTGTGACAAATATAACTGTATGATTCATAAAGACCAGAGCCACAATGAAGCATGACGGGAAACACACCTCCATGTGAGGTCTGTCTTATGCCACTTGAGGCCTGACAGTGCGTATCTCTTCCTCCTCCTCTTCCTCCTCAGCATGTCCTCACTCCCCACAATATCAGGCAGAGAGCATCGGGGCATGGACATGAGTTTGATGGTTTCACTGTCTGGGTGTTAAGTTGATCACACAGTCAAAATCAAAAGAAAGGATGTTTGAGATCTTATTTAAAATCTATAATATATTAATTTTTAAAAAGGTCAGTATAGGAGTTTGTTACCAAGCTCTCCAGTCTCTGCGACCCCACCAAATCTTTGCATCACACGGATAGCCTTCTCAAGTCCCTCTTTGGATTGCAGTTTACTTGTGCGTGGGTCGGGGGCAGGGAGGTAGCCATACCTGCTCAACCAATCCTGGACAGAAAAAAGGGAAACAAAAAGATATTTGGTAATCTGTAGTTTCCCAACTATCACAACGATATATTAATAAAAGAGACAAAAGCTTCCCACAAAGAAGATCATCTGAGGAGCTTGAGTAATGTCCCTTTAAAGGTGTATTACAAATTTAACCACAACAGACCACAAGACACTTCCCTTATGAGCCCACTTTTGGTCATGAGCAATAAAAATTTCCAGAGATGAGAGAGAGAGAGAGAGAGAGAGAGAGAGAGAGAGAGAGAGAGAGAAGTTAACTCACTTAGACAATTTTGTAAAGACGACATGTAGGACATTATGTGATAAGCTGATATGGCAAAAGTGTTTGAGGACCAAATCAGATCATTCCCGTATGAGCCTCAGACTTATATAATTACAGAACAGAAATAAAGACGTGACTTTAGGATCTTATTCTGATTATTTAACTTTTGAAATTAGTATTTGGGTCATTTCCCTGTAAGTCACATGAAATAGTTTTATTGATGACTGTATCTGTAGTAAGTTGATGTACATAACAGTCTTTTCATCGACCTGGACGAATGCTGTGTTTTTATTTCTTAGAGACAACATGGGATCACAAAAGATCTTTGAGGAAGTGAAGAAAATTCCCTGTTCCCTGTAGATTATAAAAAGTTGTTTTGTTTAGGGCTTTTTATACTGCGAAGGTTTTCCTAAAAAATATTGTTCTTGAAATACAACTTCCAGCAAAATTTTAAGGGCGTGTTTAATGATGAGAATTAAGGACTTGGGGTTGCTCATGATGTTAGAAATTTACCATGTACGAACAGGTTTCATGCCACAAGATAACCATGCTGATTTGGGGTCTGGTCCTCCCTTCCAACAAAAATCAGCAAAGTCTGATTTTTTAATGGATTTAACTTTCATCTTGACTAATTTCTTTTCGTGTGACATGTGCTAAAAGTGATTATCCACCCCCAGAACCGCATGTTAAACAACACGAACTAGTGAAGCAGGGAGCACAACAAACACATCCATCACAGGCGAAGTAAATGCAAAGTAAATGTCAAATATCTGTCAGAAAAAGGGGACCAACTTTTTGATTTGTGGCACAACACGAGTGTTTGTAAAAAGGATTGTAAAGCATTTAGAAATCTGTCATGTAAATCTGGCGTGTACTAGTGTCCCTGGTTCAATTGCCCCCATGTTATCCTGATTCTCTTGAGTTTTCCCTGTACTAACAGAGGCAGATACCGACAGGAACAGGTACATTATAGAAACCTTACACATTACAGAAGCACTTGCAAAACAATAACAGCGAATTTACGCAAATAGAGGAAATTATGCAAATACACAGAAGTTTAGAAAAAGTTTCAGTGATCTTTCTTTTAAGTTCTGCAGAGCAATCTCAGGTGTGTGGTGCAATGATCTCAGAAAAGCTACAGTAATGTCAAAAAGGTTCTTAAAATGAGTTTGGACCCAGTGCAGAGCCCAAAAGGACAATCTTATAGTAATGGTGACTAAATCACATCCTGAATAGTAGCTAAAACAATGCAGGAAATGATGTCTCTTTTGAGGAACTTAGCAGTGTGTGAGCTTTTATGCTTACTTCAAAAAAAGGAAGTTTTTGCACAATTTTTAGTGTCATACATCATTCAGTGGGAAAGGACTTCTTCAGAACTGACAGTATTACCATTATTGATCTCCCTCGTTTCTAGGCACAAACATTTCCAGCCATGGTGATGTCATGGCGGCTATTTGATGCTTCACGTTTCTATAGATCATAGACAGAGCGTTTCTAACACAGCAGTTTGTCAGCTAGTTTTTTTTTCTTATTAATATTATATGTTCCTGTCCATGCTGAGTGAGTGGCTTGTTGAGATAAAGGCAGAGCATATTTGATGATTGCAGAGCGTAAGCTAGTTCACAATAACTGGGTTGGTACAGCTTGCACGTGTCTGTTGTATTTTTCTGCTGAGAATTTATCACTGTTACAATCAGTTAAATCTGTTACTTTGAAGTGATTTCGAAACCAGCCCTTCCACTCATACTTTCTCTACTACGGTTATGCTGCTGCTGCAGATACGGGAGGAAAAGGTGTTGGCCCATCAACAGATGTCTTTCAGGTGGTTTCACACTGCAAAAATAATACTAGCAGCTGCTACATGTTTTACTCATGTTTCTGTTTGCAACAGTGGACTACTTTTCACATTTTAAAGATACTACACTCATCCTACTTTGAATTACTCTGAATTCATGTGTTATTTCATTTTGAAAACTAACTCTATTTCGACTTTCATGCATGTGCATCCACAGCATTGGAGTGGAGGTGTACGAAAGATGACGTCTTCTGTAGAGGCAGAAATGAAACTTCATTCTCATACTTTCAAGACCACTGCACTCCTCTGCAGAAAAGCAACATTTCTGTATTTTTGAGGATGTGCGTGACTGGGCAGAGGAAGTCTTGAGATCTTTGAAATGTGTTAATGTTTGTGATTGAAAATATTTAACAACCTCCAACCTCTTCACATGGATTAATTGATTGTGTGAATCTTATAAAAGGCAAACAAGTACATGAATGCAATTGCTTAATTTTTTTAAATTCATGACTCATATCGACACCACTCTATGTATACTAGCTGCTGTACTAAATTCAGTTTTATGTTTACTTCATGTTTGTCTGAGAAAGCCTCACATGAAAATGTCATAAGACAATACAAGTGAGATAAATATTGTAATTTTACCCACAGCTAACCAAACAATTCAACTGAAATGTGAAAAACCAGGAGAAGCTCCGAACAGTAATTTAACTTTTTACACTCACCACGGCTCTGCTGTACTGATCAGTCTCTGATGGTGCTGCTGATGTGCATCCCATTAAGGTCAAAACCAGCAACAGCACAAGACCCAACTCCATCCCAGTCCCTGCAAAGAAATAAAACATCAAAACTGTAGTAATTATCATCCATAAAATATGAATCAAGACTCAAAGGAGATAATCTATTCTTCCTTAAAAGCATCCCAAAGACAGAGAAGTGAAACAAAGCTCACCGTTGTTTCTCCTCTGAAGCTTCAGTCTCTCCCGGGGCTAGGCTGGGCTGATTGATCAGTCGACTCTCTCTTATTCTGCTCTCCTCCCCCATCTACACCTCCCACCCCTCACAGCTGAGAGACGTCTTCCTCCAGCTGTAATGCAAACATCAGTCGTACAGAGTCTTAACTGGAAGAGGCTGCACTTGCATGAATGGCAATTTGTTTTAATCTGAACTCACTCAAGAGCTGTTATTTAGATATCCTTAAGAGCATATGGATAACAAGTCAGCAGTTTGAATAGTTTTTAAAGATATTCAAAGTATGTTTATACAGGCAGAAATAATATGACAAGATATATAAAACTTTACTCTTGTCAAAATTATCTACACTACTTTTTTACTTCTAAGATTTTGAAATATACGTAAATAAAGACATTGACACATTTTAACAAGTTAAAAAGCCATCACGGATATTCAATTCAGCTTTTTAATAAAGCTTTCATATATTTACAGTAGGAATTATGACAAGGAAAAAAAACAGTTTCAAATAAAAGACAACATTCTGTGGATTAATGTCAAAGACCATTTTCAAATTTTGGTATTTAGAATAAAAAAACTACACCTAAAAATAGATCATGGGTAACTCAGGTGAAAAAAAATGAATATTTTGACTATTGTGGAATCAGAAACACGACCAGTTAAATATTAAAATTGCCAGTTTAGTTTTTCAGGAAATGAAAACTTGTTGTAGTAAATTTCACTTGCAGAGCTAAGTTTTAATAGTGAAGTAAAATCCTGCAAGTTGGAACGTTACTGTGATATATTTAACCACTTGTTTTACTTGTATGAATATTTTCACTGGGAGGGATGAAAAAAATAGACATTATCTTATTAGCTGATAGTCAATACACTTTTAAAGTCAAAAGGCCTTCCCACTAGATTGTTTTTTTATATAGCTTCAAAAATGATATTCATTATTGTAATTCCGCAATTATATTAATATTATTGTAGTCAGTATATGTTAGTTGAGCAGGAGTGCTGAATTTTAAAACTTTAAAATGAAATTTTTTATATAAATCTTTTAAAAAATCTAATTTTATTTTGGATCAGTTTATTATGCTGCTGTCATCACCTTTATAAATGAATCAAGCCAAGCCTTTGTAGAAGAGGATTATTTCTAAAATGAAATGTTTTAAAATTGGTAACCTTGCAGAGTATTAATCATACATTACAGCAAAACAGATGATGCTGCATGAAGCTGGAGAGCAGTGGAATCTCATCTCTACCATCACCATCATTGTCTCACGTCCATTATTTCTCTTGGTCATTCTCCCTGTAAAGCATCCCTGGTGTTATCTTTCTCCCACCCTCCCTCCCTCCCTCCCTCCCTCCCCCTCTTTCTCGTCTCCATCTTTAATTTCCATCCTCCAGGGATCCCAGTGAGTCAGGCCATTAGCACAAAATGCTGCCCTGCTAATGGTGGTCCAGTTTCAGTGATGTCCAGTTCATGTTGCTGCACCAGAGGAAGACATAAAAGTCCTCCAGCTGCCCCACAGTTATTACTGAGGATAGTGACAGACATGTCATTCATGCTGTTGTCCCTTTTAAGGCATGAGGTATATAAACCCTCACAGCTGGGCTCTGAACCAGTAAGTGGCTTTACAAAAGAGTTAAAATGTTTTTAAAATCACAGAATCAATCAGCTCTCCTTCTTCTACTTAGAGCTTTGCAGTTGATTCACCTCTAGAAAAAAAATGAAGCAAAACTCAAAACGCATAACACAGCTGCAATTATCATGACTGCTCATAGTGTAAGTTTCTTTGTTATGATCAGTCACCTCTGCTGTTGATTTTGGCACCCCCTGTGGATAAAGCAACATATCATATTTCTTTGACTATCTCTTCTTGTACATAAAAGTAATTTTACTGTATGTCTGTGTCTTTTGAAATTTGAATATACCATATGTATATTCATGTTGTGAATATTTTTTTCAAAGATGATTGTTTATTCAGAGTTTGGGGTCTATATGTTGAATGTCATAAAATCTCCTCTAATTTGAATTTCTGACAGTTTTTCTTGAGGATGAACGTATGTTACTGAAATGCATAGGGAACATAGTGAAAACTATTTAGCCTACCTTTTTGTTTGTTTTGTTTTTTTGGCCGTATAAATTTCTCAAGTCTGCTTTCACTGCTTTTGACCACTGAGGGGCAGCAGAAACACGCTTTAAAGTTAAAACCACTTCAAAACAGCAACTCTTAAGGTTAATGGGACAGTTTTTATTTCTACCTGGTTTAAGTAAGTCTGGTGTTTCTCCAGGGTTGTGTCTTATTGTTCATTAACTTTGACTTTAACTGCACAATATTCACAACCTAGTCATGACTGTGTCTTAGGGTGCTTTCCTTCCTGTAGTTCTTTCTCTCTCTTAGGTCTTGTGTTTATGCAGCAACATAATTGTTTTTATTTGATTTTATTATTGTGTCATACATATATTTATATGCCAAGCCCTCATGGGCTTATGTGACACCATGACTTATACAACCCAGGATCAGAGCACACACAAAAGGAGCGATTTAAACAAAACACACATATACTTTAATTTAATATGCTAGCTCATCTTCCTTTCAGGCTTTTAAGTAAAGCTGTCCAAAATACTTAACATAAAGGGTGTTCTTGTGTCACTACGTCAGTTTTTTCCTATTGACCATGGACACAAATGTCTGTGGTCACACTTTGGACTGTGGGAAGCCAGCTCCATGACGCTAACTGACGTTAAGCTACCAACAAAATGAGTTGTGGGGTTGACCTGGAGCAGTGAGTGGGACAAATACCTCATCAATGTTCCTATCAGTGTCAAATGTCAAAGGCCAAGAGCCTAACTCTGGCTATTCTGCTGATATTAAACTGGATTCACTTGATAAGTAGGCTAATATTAGCATATCTCTAATTGTATGCTAACTGCCTCACCTGCTTTTAGGATACGAGGGGTCCTGCATATGTTTGGTCTGTTGATACCACCACTCCATGGTTTGGTTTAAAGTAGCCCAAGACCACCTCTTCTCTGCAGTGTGATTGCTGTGTTCACACTTGTTGAGGGTTTTCAGAGGTACCTGCTTAGAGCACTGAGGAGAAACAGCAGTGGTGGGGGTGGGCCTGAGAAATCAAACCTGGGATATAAATCCATGTAAAATAATAATGAAATAAATTAAATGTAATGCTCTGTAGAATTTAGCACTCCGGGGATAGGTTATCTTTAGTTCATCAAACTTTTTCCACAAATAATCATTTATTAGTCGTCAATATATGAAGTCGTGAATTTAAGGCCGATTTAAATTTATTAAATTATTCTATACAAATCTATTAAGCTATACACTTCAAAACAACATATTAATGATCCCAATCGTTTGTCCTTGGCCTGTACATGTGAAGCCATACTGCCATAAATCTTATATTTCATTTCAAATGCATAAAGAGAAACTCAAAAGTGTCTTCAGTGTTGATATCAAATTTTAAAAACAGGTGTAAAGACAGCTACTACATGTGGTCTTTTCATGTATATAAAGACACCAGTATTAATTCTGAGAAATAAAGACCCCTGATTTCATTTTCATAACACACATTTTTTTATTTTCATTAAAGGGATCCAAGGCCTTCACAAAAGGGTTGACTCTTGGTGACTATACAGTACTAACACAACTCACGACGACAACAGAAACAACACAGAGGACTTATGTGAACCAGTGAAAAGACAAATAAATAAGAGCTGAAAGATGTTTCATATGAGATTAAAACTGATGCATCAACAAAACCCATAGTCAGAGAACAGAGAGCAGCACTGAACTCTGCGATTTACAGTAATGCCTTTGTACAACACTAGATTCATTTCTGCGATAGCTGATTGTCTGTAGCGGCTGATTTTTGGTCATGCACAGTTGATAATATCTCTGTATTAATACGAACAGTGTTGCTATATTTCATAGTTTTCCCCTTTATGCTCCTCTACCTGAAGCTTTGATTGTCTCACAAGCTTTTGCCTTTTTTGTGCTGTGTATTGATACATGATTGTCACTGGCTCGTAGTTCAGAGTACATAAAGAATCCCTGCAAATTTAAGTATGTGTCCCTGCAAAGACACAAAATGTAGCAAGTGTATGCGTCTTTTCTCAGGTCCAAATTACTCATTTGACTAAACATAGGCTACATTCAAATGGCAAGTAAAAAACTAAGATATTTCAAGCAAGTCCTGAACATTCTGTAACAAGTAAAAATGATCCATTTTTGAATTATAACAATAAATTTGCAAGAAAATTTTGCTAATTGCATTGTTAGATGTTTTTACTTACTACAAGCAGTTCAGGCATGACTTTAGCAGGCCATATCTTCGAATAAGACCTTTACATCTAAAGTGGCCATGAGAATATGGTTTATTTTTAGTCAAATGAGGAATTTGTGACCAGAAATGACGAAAAGACTTGCTGAGATTTGAGTTTTTGTAGTGTACACTTAAAAAAGAAAGGAACAAATGAAACTGCTTTTTCATTTTTTTGGCAAGAAATCTGTGATACCTGTAAGTATGCAATGTTTTTATGTTTAGCCAAATATCAGGAAACATTGATACCAAAACTCAGCTGGTGCATCCTTTATAACTTGTGCTTTGAGGATGAATTGAGTCTACAACATGCTACATTCTTCCCTCCAATAGTATCTGACATTATTCCACAGTTATTTTCATCATACACAGACGTCTGTACAAAAATATGCGTTATCAGTCTTAATGTAATGTTGCTGGCAGGGTAGGCAGGATTTACCTTTTTTTTTTTTTTTTTTGGTATGTATTTTTGAAGTTTTAGTAAAAGTGATTGCCATGAGCAAGTCTAAAATGTTCACAGTAGCCTCAGCAAATACAACGAATGCCTCGGGATCAAGCTTCATATCACAACATCATTGAGCTGCTCAAGTAACAAGAAACCAACTGTGGTTACACTTTACAATACAAACTTTTGCTGGTGTTTACTTAGCACTAATAAATCTATGGGGAAACTAAAATATAAGACTCCTTTTACTGGCAATTACTTATCACACAGGAGCAAACGTGTTTCTACTTGCTGCATTTTGTTTTTTCAAAACGGGTTTAAAGTGTGAACTCTTTGAAAAAATGTAAAAATATGCTTGCAATAAAATAATTGAAGCTCCAAATTCCAAATTTTGTGCATTCTTCCTTTAACTGTTAGTTTCTTGGTTGCATCTCTCCACACATAGAAGAACTTGAACCAATCTCTAGCTTGATCTTCATCCTGACCCTGATTTTATCTTTAATAGACAACTAAAACTGTACACACAAAAAACTGGAAGTACTAAGCAAATACCAGCAGAGTGCAGTCCAGTGCAACCAAAGCTGCTCTTGGCTGATTTTGTAAACATTTAATGCATTTTGGGGTCTCCAACTCCTTGAGGCCCCTTTTTAACTCAGTCCTGTGCCTCCTTAAATACCTGTGTGTCCCCATACTGTTTTCTTGACACCTTATTCTTACATGCCTGCTTTTTATTCCTCCTCCTCATCCTTCTTCGTCTTCTTTAGATTGTCTGTTGTTCACTGTAGTCTGGCCCAGTACTGACCCAGGTTATGACTCATGCTCTGCTGCTCAGTTCCTGGAACCTGAACCGGCACTGAAACACCAGGTGATATGAGCCCTGAGCGGAGGGTGAAAAATAAAAACTCTGAGTCAGTGTAAAGCAAAAAAAAAAAAGAGGTTGATTTGGTATGAATGTATGAATGTCAGTGAGCACACAGAGATAACAGACAAACATGAGAAAGGAAGGTGTCTCTGTGCATGTTGATAACACTCACCGGTGTTGGAGTTGGCTGAGGATGGTGTCTGCAGATGAGGGGAGGAATATGCCGAGGAGTCAAAGCTGCGTGGGGCAGAGGGAGAGGGAGGTAACATGCAGGAGTAGGAGGAGGCCGACTGAGGAGGGATGGACTGAGAGTGAAAAGAGAAGAAAGAATCAGGTTAGATTAATATTAAAACTCAAAATAAAGAAAATCTTATTGTTAACTGAAACCTTTTTAAGTAGTGTATGGTGTTTGCAGTGTTACACACCATATCGCGTGAGGGCTGTTCATAACAGTTGCAATATGATTTAAATTTAACCACAGGGGGGTGCTAGAGTAGTATTACATGATTGCAGTAAAACAGGAGCAGACCAAATTCTTCATGTTGGATATCGAAGATCACAGACATATTTTAACCCTTTTGTTTGAACTACTGTGTGATTTTTGTTTTTTTTGATTGATACTATGCCAAGTTAAATTATTTTTTTAATTACCACTGACGTGTGAATTAGTCAGAGACTGCCAACCCATATAACAATAATCTGTACTAAAATCAGGAGGAGAGGATCTCTTGAATGCAGTTTAATGTGAAATTCTGCTCAACATGACTAATGCAGATTTAATTGAGGTATATTGTGCTTACTTTTCAGTTTGTAACATAAATTTCTTTTTGTGTTTCTGGCATCAAAATCCATTGCCAGAAAAGTGTAAAACAGAAACATAAACTGTATTTTTCAAGCTATTGTTGAGGCTGGTATGGTCAGTGTTAATCACAAGAGTCCTGAGCTTTTCTAAAAAAAAAAGATGTAACTATGCAACTTCAGACAGAAATGTTTCCAAGTTAGGAAGAAATTTGAAAACTATGTGGTTTAAAAAGAATTTCATTACCGTTGAAACCCAAACTATAGTGCGGCCTACTAAGACCCTTAGACCCCTAATTTTGGCGATTTATCACATATTATTCAACTTGATAAACTTTGACTGATTAAAAAAAAAAAAAAACAGTGCTGTTATCTTTGACATTCAAATAAAGCTGCCTCTTCTCTTCACTGGGTGCTCTGCCCATAGCAATGCAAATAAAGCCTTCAAATTGGCAGTCATCACTTAGACTGCTGTGGCTGCCAATAACATAATTATACATAATCAGAGTCAAGATCTGAGAGATTGTTAGATTGTTTTTGACATGTTGGCACTTTTTTTGCCTCTTTATGGCGACTACAGAAACATTCAGTCACCATATTGTTCACATTTATCCATACGCTCCCTCTTTTTCAGCTTTGTGTTCAACATATGAGCTTTGATTTAATCACTGATGGTATTTTGTTGCACTGTAATGTGGACCACACAAATATAAAGTTCTGGTGGACTCATAAATTTACTTGTTTTCGTAAATCTGTTTTTTTTTTTTTTGTTTGTTTCTTTATGTATTGATTTTCAGTTTTGTATATTTCACACCCCTGACATTCAAGAGTGAATAAACTGCCCCTGCTGCATGATGATGACCTGCTCGGCTATGTTTGGGAGGTGCTGATGATGAATGATGAATGATGAATGTCCAACCTGGACTCCGGACGAGAACACTGACAGAGAGCTGTAGCTGGGCAGGGTCGACTCAGCCTGACTCAACATGGACCCTGGAGAGGAAGACACACACACACACACACACACACACATACACGAAGCACACACAGATTTACATGTGTGATGAGAACATCCTGCAGTGGACATGTTGTCATATGGATACGCTCTAAAAGTCAAAGTCTGCCAAGAACTGTCAAAATTATTAACTGGATGTTTTTCCAAACTATGCATGAATATTAATTTAACTAAGTATGTAAGATAATCGAATTATAGTTACCTGAACTGCTGGCATGCTGCTGATGATAGACGGATGTGTTGAAGGAAGTGGTCAGAGGTGCTTGGCTCTGCGAACAGGAAGTCACTCCCCCTGACCTCCTTTGATTGCGCAGCTTCTCCTCCCTCCTCCACTTGGCTCTTCGGTTTGAGAACCACACCTATCAATCAAAAAACCTTCTCTTCACCATGTGTATAAAACACTACGCTACAAAAGACCGCTAAAGGTGGTCTAGGAGGGTTACAAAGACTCCAAAAGGATCTTTACCTGTATTCTGGCTTCGGGTAAATCAATTTTATTTGCCAATCTCTCTCGTGCAAAGACATCTGGGTAATGTGTCCTTTCAAACTCTGTGGAAGATATTAAATAATGTCAGAACCAGTGAAAGCTTAGATCCAGCAAAACAGGGCAACCGAACCCATCCTCGCTGCAGGGATTAACATACTCTGTCTTTTCATATTTAAGTAAAATTTAATCTGCAGATAAAAATGAAATTTAACATTACGACCAATATAACTAATCTGCATATTTGATAATCACTGCTTCAGATGAGCATGTCTAATTATCCTGCCATGTAATATACAAATTCAGGAAGCTGGGATGTATCCTTACAACCATATTTTAAAATATTTATCTGTTGCACTTTGTATCAATTATTTATCATTATGGAACACGCAGAAAGTTCAAATGAAAGGATTCAAGTTGAGGAGCTGCCTGAGCACTCAGGATGACTCAAACCAAACTGAAAGAAACCACTGCTTTAGGTTTCATTTTCCATCACTTCATCCATCAATACGATTTTTTCAAAGCCACCAGTACTGTTATTTTACTCCAATTGTTACACACAGAAAAGTTCAGTTTATGACTCATCAGCGCGTTTGCATCCATGAGAGTTTCCGTATCAAAGTATCATTCCTCGCCGTGTCACTTCATCTAAAGTTGACAAACTGCTGACATTTCTGTTGTTGACAAGTTGAAATGAAAATATGTCGACAGTCTGAGTCACCCTAATGAACTCTGAAGTTTGAGGTCTGTTAATGAAGACATCTTTAGAAATTGAACTGTCTACACGCAGGTTGCCTGACATCAGTTTTAGCATGTTGATGAAAAGAAAACTTCACATTTAATATCAAATTTAGCCTGAACCGAAATGTCATATTAGGATCTGGATCATGTTTGTCAGTGTACACAGATTGAACAGTGTTTAACCCAAACAGATTTTAATTGAGTGAAAATTTCACAGTAAAATCTCAGTGTTAATTAATAAATGTTGCACATGTTAATGATGGCTGTATGAATTAAGTCTGCCTAACAAATTGCTATAATTGGCTGGGTTATAATTGGCGTCTGTGTCAACACATGATTGTTATTGTGCCTCAGCCGTGCACTGAGGTCAGCGTACCTCATTAATGTCATTTGCACAGAGTGACCACAGTGATACACTTCCACTCGGCTGCACAGTGGACATTGCGTCCTGATTTAGCTCAAGGGGCCCTGCCGCAGCCATATCCAGTCAAGGGTGCCTCTGTGATCCCTCTCAGCAGACATGAAGCTACGAGGGCCAGATCTCACTGCACAACACAGCTTCAGTAATGATGCATTATCTAGAGCGCTGCTGTGTGCGCTGCTGGAGGCGTTTTGGAGCTCACTGAGAATATTTGTGGCGTTCAGATTATGGATGATTTGCATGTAAAAGTGATAGTGGAAAGGATCGTCAAAATATTATAATATTTTCTAGTGTTTAGCGCATCATTTGTCAAGATGAAAATACCACCAAAGGGCCTGATTTTTCCTTAAATCTTGTGATTTCTTCTATTTATGTCTCATTCTCTTTAACCAAAGCTCTACTAAAGGTGTAAAGACGATAAAACAAAGGTGTTGGCAGGGGGAAAAAGCAGCAGGATAAAGCTGCGTCATGACACACTCATGGAGGACAGTGATTGGCTAAAGAGAGAGAAAGTACTCGATGTGCGTGCATCCAGTGGCCTGACCTTTCTCCAGAGCCTCGATCTGCTCCTGCGTGAAGCTGGTCCTGTTCCTCTGCAGCTTCCTCTTCAGCTGCAGCCTCAGTTGCGACTCCTCGCCATCGTCCCTGTCCACGGGGACTCCTCCACCGCCTCCTCCTCCTCCTCGGCCCACTCCACCTCCTCCCCCACCCACCTCTCCCCCCATGCTGCCCTCTGCGTCCAGCAGACAGCCGTCAGACACTGGCAGGAGGGGAAGGTGACAAAATGAGGAATAGCAGGAATCAGATGAGTGCTCTATACCAACAAACAAAAAGTTTACCAAAAAATAAAGAAACAAGCTAAAGATCTGTGAGAACTGACTCCCCCTCCATCCTCCTCACCTGTGCTATGTTGTGTCTGAACACCAGTGGGGTCATGGTACCAGTTGTTAGGCCCGCTCCAGTTTGAGCCGCTCTGCAGGTTCAGCATGGTTAACTTCTCATACATACTATGAGAGTCCGAACCACCATGAAGAGAAAGTCAAGGCCCTGTTTCCTTCCTATCACCTTTGGCACCTCTCTCTCTTCTTTGACTCCTCCTTTCTGAGGGGGTGAGAAGGAATGGGGGGCGGTGAAGAGAAGGAAAAGAAGAAGAAGGAGGGGTCCATATTGCATGAGTTCACACATGGTCGGCATTGTGGTGAATTAGCCTCATGATGACAGACAGAAATGGAGTTAGTTACACGGCCGCTGTCATAATGCGTGTGTGTTATACATTGGTATGCTAGTATACCACAGGGAGTTAAGGTACATTAGAAGCCACTCTGAAAGCTATGACATTTATTATGCTACTTGCTTTTAGAGCTATCTCTGCTGATAAGCACGAGAACGAGCACACACACACGTATACATGAAAAGGCACAAATGTGACAACATATACGCAGAAAGTAGCTTTATGAACATTATCCCTTAAAACAGTCCAACCTCTGTCAATCTTTATCTTCAAAATAAGAGCTCTAGTATATATATATATATAAAAAACATGATTTTACAGTACTATTTCAGATTCAATCTACAGATAATAAAGGCTTTCCTCTCCCTTCTGTTCTTTTCTCTGTTTTTGGTAAATTTACTCTTTCAAGAGTAAGAAAAGCAAACAAATGTATGCCAATATTGAGTGAAATCTCAAAACTAACTGAAGCAGCAGGATGTCAAAGGTCAAACTTCACTCAATTGTAAGAAGCAGCCGCGGGAACAAGAGTTAATCTATCCAAATTTTAGCAAAAATTTCAGGAATCACTCGTAGGCAACGTAGGCAGTAAAGGAACTTGCAATGGACGCCGCCGCCAAAGTCCATGTTCATGAAGGGATCTCAGAACATGACGATGCGCCTAAAAGCGCTGCATTTTTGCAAACTTACCCAGCGCCCAGGTGTTATGAGGCCAGTGGTCCTGCGTGATACTTTCCTCCTCCGTGGACCTTTATTCCCCTGTTCCCCCCTTGTCCCTTGTTCTCCAGCTTTGTTGACAACACTGTGTGTGCGTAAAGGAGAGAGTAGGAGAGAGATGGAGAGAGTTAGACAGGGTGAGAGAGAGTGAAAGAGGGAGGGGGGGGCTCTGGAGAGAAATGCGTCTGCGGGCACTCTTGTCCTCCAAGCGATGAGGGGAGAGAGAGAGAGAGAGAGGAAGAGAGAGAGAGAAAGAAAGAGAGAGAAAGAGAGGGAGCCACCGAGGGGTGACAAAGTGAGTCAACATCAGTGTCAAGTTTGAACTTAATGCCAGCAAGAGGAGGAGGGGAGGCCGAGAGAGTGGAGCATAAAGCCACGATAATGGAGAGATAGTAGATGATAAATAGATGATGGGATTTAGTTTTAGGCATTAAGTGCACAAAAATATTGAGAATACATGACATTAAAAGTGTGTGTTAAATAGTTACACAAACACACACAATTAACAAGTGATAAAATGTGCTGAAACTCAATCGCAACATAAGTACAGACTTTTTGGACTAACTGATCTCATAAAAACAGTATTGTATCGTAAAATATTTTCTCCATCCACAGCACACATGCACAGATGCTAAAAAATATTGAAAGTTAATCTTAGGACGAGTGGATTGAGCGAGACTTAATTTTCATATTGTTTTTGTACTCACCAAAACCACTGACGCAACAAAGTTTTTTAAATGATTCTGATAAAACAGACTGATTATGAAAAGTTTTCAGTTCAGTAGATAATAAAACATTTTTGCTTCTTGAAAATGCTCTTTAGTTTAAACATATTTGAAGGTATTGATTACAAGTGATATCAGACCCTAGAATTTATACCTATTTCATTATCTTTCTCCATATTAGAGGCGCCTGTTTCTTCAAGGGGAAAAATAATCAGGTTTTTGTATTTATGAATGAAACAGTCTTTTTTTTTAGTTAGAAATTTGATAAGTGGGATAAATAATGTTCAATTTAACAATACAATTCACTGAATTATTTTTGTTTATTTTCTGTACCAATGGGGATAAGGTGTCTGTATTTAAAGATGTTAAATCCTTTTTAAATGTGAAGCCAGGAGAGAAATCCATCTGATTTTTGCTACCTTTGCAACATAGAAAAATATAGGAATACATTCTGTAATTCAAGAATTGATGTATGTGTAATGTTTTATTATCTGTTACTGTGGACAGTGTTACTTTGAGCTTTAACCTCCTAAGACCTAGCGTCCACATGTGTGGACATCACATTTTTGGTTGTCAAGACCACAATATTAAATTTTGGTCTACAAGGGCCTTCTCTCAAAATTTAAAACGAATGTCCTCATATGTGGACATAATTTTTCTCAGAAACTACATCATGTAAAAAGATCATTCTTTGTTTTTACACTCATCAGGTCCCAGTTAGCCTAAATATCAAAGAGAAAATAAAAATGCATGCCTTGCAAGAGTTCGGGTCTTAGGAGGTTAAAACTGAAGATAAAAAGCTGTATTTAAAACTGACTCATTTATTAATAATTCTAAAAAGCAAAAACATATTGAGAAAACGCCACACTACTTTTTTAAATTCCTTTTTTTAACTGCAAGAAAAAAAAATTGAAACACACCTTAATTGATAAACAATATTAAATACATCCTTCAGATTTGATCATTATTTTTTATTTATTTATTATTTTTTAAGGAAAGTGATGAAATTAAGAAATTATCCATTAATTAAAATAGTTGAGTCGTGCTGTAGATGATCAAATTAATAGTTCTGATAATTATTTTGGCCTTTGGTGAAGACTGCGAAGGGGGTTGATTCTCACACAGGAGCTGCAGCAGCTTCTCACAGCACCTGGGTATTGTTCTTGTCTACAGAGGTATTGTTCTCCTGCGGTAACACACGGGCCTTACAGCTACAGGACAATAAACAAAGGCATTGTCTGGGCCCCAGAGCCTCTTTCAGAAACCCCCTATGATAGACACACAAGGTTTGAGGTGAAGTGTAACTAGTGACGCAGGTATGACGGTATGTATGATCGAGTCAAAGAGCCCGAGAAGAGCAGAACAGAACTGTGAGTTTAAATATATCTCTTTGCAGTGGTGGAGGATAGAAGAAGAGAGAGATGGAAGATGGAGGCAGGAAGGCGGAGGAGAGAGATAGAGGGAGTGAAGAGGAAGTATGTGACTTTGGGGTGGGTGTAGGGGCTTGGGGATGGGGAGGGTGCCAGCTTGTTTTATTTCCGGTTGACAAGACTTTGCGCTCCCTTTCTCTCTGTCGCTCCCTCTCTCTTTCATACTCTGCTATTCTTTCTCCGCTGCCCCCGTTGCTCCGTCCCCCCACCTCCTTCTCTTTCTCTGTTACTTTCCTCCGAGACGTGCCTTGGAGAAAGGAAAGGACTTGACAAGTTCAAAGGTAAAGAGGAAGAAGAAGAGCGGTGAAAGAAGCATTCAGATGTTTCAGTCACAGTAACAAGATAATACAGCTAAAATAGACAATTTTTACTACATACCCGTATTTTACTTACGTTTAGGTAAAGATATGTCACTATATTGTACTTTTAGTTTCATAATTAGTGCCTATAAAGCAGATTGACTTTCTACCATGACATTTTTTTGCATTAGGAATACTGATTCATAGTGCTTTAGGCTGGGTTATATATGTATATATTGCCGCAGTTGAGGCTAAATTTCCAATGCTGGTAAAGTTCATCAGTATCAGCGTAAGAACCTAAACAGCAGATTAACACATTAGAGGACTTTTGCTTAACATCAGCACTTCTCCTGTCTAAAAGTTTAAGTCACACAAAATAGAGTTTAGAATTATCAAGTAAAATATGTTCAATACTTAATAAATACTTCTAAGTGAGTGTGTAAGAGTTAATTGCAAAAATAACAAAAAAAGGTCCAACAAACTCAGATTATAATCCAGATTATGCAGATACTCTAATGCTTAGAGGCTTTTTGGTTAAGTAATGATACTGTGATTCTTATTGCTTTGTCTTTCGATAGAAACATATTTGAAGTTCAATCTTGTTACTAATCACAAAGCTGTTTAAATACTTGACCCTAATTGGTCAAACCCCCACGACGATAGTTCTCATATAATCTCTTATTAAATCAATCTGACACATTAATAAAATTATAATTCACCTTTACCTGTTGACACCGAAGCAAAATCATTTGTTTCCAATTGTGTGATTCATGAAGGGTATTTCAAATATTTCTCTCAAATGATATGAGGAGCACAAAACTTCACTCATGGTTAGTAGCAAGGGAAATAAAACACAGTAAATTAGATATAGACCTAACTGGAGAAAACAGATACAGAGGAACCACAAACATCATCGTGGTGAGGGTTTTAGGAGTGATGTAGGATCTGTTGAGAGAAAAGAAAAGCCAAGAGCCAATACAGACCAAAACACTGATGTTTTTTAACTTGGTAAAAATGTGAAATTTAATGTGATTCACAACAGCTGAGCAGCAAAATGAAAACTTTAACTGTAAAAGTTAAGTTTACTGTTAATTCCAGCTGTGCGTAGGCTGATATGAATACTGAAGGGCTATTTTGTAACTTTTAAATCAATACTTGGTATCAACTAGTTTGTATATTAAGTTGGGAGATGTATAATTTGTGAAAAAAACCTTCAGGAAAGAAAAAAATGCAAATGTTCTCGTTCTTGTTTTGCCACACTGAGATTCTTTTTCACGTCATACATATTATTCCTTACAAGACAAAGATAAGAAGTACTTCTAACCGTGAAAATTATAATTCCATAAAGAAAAAAAATGCACATTTTGTGTCTCAGACATTAGAAAAATAGTCCCAACTTCATATACACATAAGTCTAAATTGCACTTTTTAGAGCTCTTGAACAAATGCACACAATCAAAATGGAGTAAAATAAAACAAAAGGGTAATATGATTTATTTTAACTTAAATGTAAGAATTTAAAACTTGTCCTAAAACACACTCCCTCTTTCTCTCTTCATCCTGCCCCTCCTTTATTTTATTTTAGCTGGTTTCCCTCGTTTTTCCTCTTTTTTTTTTTTTTTTTTCTTTTTACAAAAACCACACTTGAATCTCATTGTGTTCCAGTTGTTGGAATGTGGCTTAACCTATGTGATCTCTATGTGCTGCTGAGTGCAATAATGTGTGTGTGAGTGTGAGAGTGTGTGTGTGTGTGTGTGTGTGTGTGTGTGTGTGTGTGTGTGTGTGTGTTTGTGTGCGGTAGAGAGAGAGTGAGAGAGAGAGAGAGAGAAAGAGAGAGAAAGAGAGAGAGAGAGAGAGAGACGGCGCGTGCTTCACTGCAAAGATTCATGTAGCTCCGGGACATGCATTTTTTTAGTGCATCTTGTTAGTTCATTCCTGTCACCTCTCCCTCTCTCTCTCTCTCTCTCGCTCACCATCCCTCGCTTTTTCAGCGCTGGAGGGGGGATGGGGAAGGGGGGAGGCGGCGGTGGTGGAGGCAGTCACCATGGTTACCGTGCCACGACAAATATTCATCAAGTCGTTAAAATAAAAACAAACGGGAGTGCATTATAATTGCTCTTACTGACTGGCTCCTATAATGCGTTCATATATTATGGAGCAGAGGGGAAGGGGTTCACACACAAAAACACGCTGTCATTGATTAAAAATGTGAATAATCGCTGACTAATCACATTCAAACTGCACACACACATTCAGACGCATATATTTCAACTTTATGTGTACAACTTTATTTTTCATTTACCTGTTTATGGAATTCCCTATGAGTACTTTCGTGAGTCTCTTCTCTCTTTTCTCTTTGTCCCTCCATCTCTCGCTCTTCCTCTACTGTTGTGTAGCCCCAGGCAATACTGTGATGTGTCCTCCCTCTGTCCCTCCCTCCCTCTCCCTCTCTCTCTGTCCCTGTCACCTTCAATTGCTCTGTGAAACTAGACACACGGCCTGGGGCAGGGAGGCAGGGAGGGTGGGAGAGAGGGAGGGAAGAGAGGAAAAACAGAGAAGGAAAAAGAGAGACAGACAGCTTTATAGACAGAAGGAATAAACATTTGGTGTCATGTAAAAGAAATAATGGAAAACCTTGTCCTTAATGAGTAACACACTCTGTAAACCAAATCAGATCAGTCAGTAAAGCCACCAAAATACAGCCAAACTTGTTTCTTTTATTAAGAGTACAATCAAACATACTGAGCTAATTAGGACAGTGTTTGACCTTTGACCTAGCCTAAACCTAAATGTCTTTGAATCAGCGTTCATGTGTTTAAATCAGGCTAATGTGTGTCTTGTGAGTGCCAAATCCCAGCTGCTCCCACTCCTGCTGATACCTGCTCAACTGGTTTACATGTTCCAAGAAACAAGGAGCACTCCTTGTTTAAACAACGACTTATTAAAGCTCCAGTGCTGCTCTAAAACAATTAAAGATTGTGATTAATATGATACTGGGCTGGGATAACCACTAAACAGACATAACCTTAGTGTATGATTGTGTGACATGATAGTGTCTACAATGCTGGCTGTATTTCAAAATTGCAAACATAGGTAAAGGGAGTTAGGTGAATTAATTAGCATTTGCAATGAAGGGATGAGTTTTGATGTCTCAAAACCTAATTTTGATGTTTTTTAAAAACCTTTGGCATGATTGGCTTTTGTGCAAATCTGAACAAAATGAAGTCCATCGTTTGGTAAAACACTGGATTTACAAATGAAGACGTTTTCAGGTAGGTAATTGTTAAAAGGCATGTCCCATTCAAATATAGCTTAAATGATATACCTCTTGCAGTTTATTGTTTGGGCCATTAACAGGATGAATTTTTCACATATTAAAAGGTTATTTCTTTATGAGCAAATATGTATAACTCATATCAAATGTAGGCTTTTTTGCCTAAATATGGCATCAAACACAAACCATAGCCAATTTATAGGTATCAGTTGTCTACTACATGCAAGATTATCGTATTGGAGAGTTGAACACAAGTTACAGACCTACATTACTTACCAATTCCAAGGGCCTGACTGTATGAATCTGTGTGAGGAGGATAAAGTCAAGTGAGCGACTTTTCAAACGCATGGTGACGTTGGATTTAACGCATCAAATGACGTTTTTCAAGGAAAAAAAAAAAGAGAAAAACGCATACTTAACCTGTTACCATATCAAGAGGAGAACATGATTTGTCCTCAGGTACGTTCCTTTAATTCCATTGGCTCAGCTGGATCAAGAAGGCGGGATGAACCTTTTGATTGGTTGAAGTGAGGGCGCACAGCCGGGCATCTGTCTGTAATCGAGGCGTTTACCTGGAATTTACCCGAAACCCCATTTGTTCAAACGTCGATGCGTTAACGGATGTAGTTGACGGTAAAACACACAAAAAGACTGATTCGAGAAAAAAAAGTGCGATTTTTTATAAACTGGGTGCATCCTTCTTGGCTTTTAACATCGCTAGAGGAGTAAAGGACTAAACAGTTAATGTGCAGAAAAAAAGTTTTTCTCGTGTCACAGGTTTTAGAGCTTCTTGACTGGTGTTTCGAAACAGATTTAAACCATTTTCTCTCGCAAAGCTGAAAATGTCTCCAGAGTTCCTGTTTTCTGCAATAATTTGGTGCTTGGCAGGTGAGTTGCAAACCTAATGTCCCCCTTCTTCCTCTCCTCAAACCCACCGCCATGTCTGGTATGTCTTTGTCCACTCTTAAAAACATACAAAGAGCTCACTTTGCCACTCAAACATTACGCCTTGTGTGTGTCATAGTTTATAGTTTGCAGGTCTCTCAGTCAATTTACAGCAGAATTGTCAATTTTGTTTACACTCAGGTGTGTCAGTTTCCCACGCCCAAAAATGTGGCCGAGCTCCGTTGGTGGAGAATCGGATAGTTGGAGGGAAGGACTCCGCAGAGGGGACCTGGCCGTGGCAGGTGGATATAACGATACAGGTAACAATCATCTCCTGCAGATATTTTCTTCTTCCTCTTCTTCTCCAGTCTCTGTTCCGCCTGTGGGTAGTTATATGTATGGGTTAGTCCAGGTCTTGTTTATCAGACTGACCTGCTGATAGAGGGCTTTGGCTGTGATGCTGAGGTGACTCACTCCTTCTCTCCCCTCGGCCTCCAGACAGACTCAAGTCGTCATATCTGCGGAGGCTCCATCATCACAAGGAACTGGGTCCTTTCAGCCGCTCACTGTTTCCCCAAGTAAGGAAAATCTTTTCAGTGCAATTCAGACACACTGTCACCAACTCAAGGTCCAGATAATTGAATAAATGGGAGCTCAAAAATGCCCCCTTTCACAAAAAATAACAACCCACTGTTGTGGAAAATCCAGCATAAACTTAGTAAAACAATGGACAGTAGGTAGGACGAGATCTGAAGAACAGCCTGGGCGTCTTTTATTGTACAGATGTAGAAATCAGTACGGGTGACAAACGGTTTTGACCAAGACCGAGAAAAGCCTCCCTAAGCTATTCTTCTTCTCCCTTTTTTACTGACCAAGTGTATCTGAATACCGTGATTGTGTACTGCGCGCGCACGTGTGTGTGCGTGCGCATGAGTTTCATGATATTCATATACAGTACATATACATATACATATATCATGATATACCCATCATCATGGGTATATCATATCAATTCTCCAGAAGGCTACCCGTGATGATGTGTCTGACCCTCAACACGTTGTTTAGACTAGTCTTAACTCTCACAGAGATTAAATGTTCTGACAGACAGATAGTTTTGGTCCCTGCAAAACAGCCTTGCTTACAACCTTGCTTACAAGGCTGCATGAGCAGGCCGACCTAGATTATTTGTAACTCCTTACTAAAAGACAATTACTCTATATTTCTTAACCTAAATGTATGAAATGATTCTAATACACTACTTTAAGGGGAAACTTTAACAGTGTCTCCAGAGCTGGAATTTACAGTGCTGAAATTATATTGGGGTTATTGGTAATGGTTAATGCAGCTCAGTATAGCTCTTTAGTCAAATGTTATTTTCAAGGAGAAATCTTCTGTGCCACTTTGGGAAACCGACCTTCATTAAACTTATTATACATGTAGATGTGTGAGTGCAAATACAGCCTCTGTTATCATAGAGCATCATGACTGGTAAAAGCCTTGGGTGAAGACAGTCAACATATGCTCCTTGTAGGTCTAGGCGATAAAACAATAATGATATATATCGAAAATTAATTTCCTTCGATATCGATATGAAACATGGTCAGTATACTTTAAGATAGCCAGCAATAAACTATATGAATAGCCAATAAAAAGGGGAGTTCCTCCGGGTATGCTTTGCGCTGAACCAATCATTTGCTGAATTAGAACCAAGTGGCAAACAACTGAGATGTAGCAGGCTGCAGCTACACTCAACCATAGCATTTTAACATGTGAAGCCGACAGCACTGTCGGTGGGGAAGAAAGAAAATGAGTGCTACCCCTCTCAGAAATGCAGATGAAGGCTCAATAGATGATGACATCGTCAACAACACTGGCACGAAAACGTCGGTGGTGTGGAGGTATTTTGGTTTTTTGAGGTCAGAAATGAAGCAGAGTCAATGTTAAATTTTATTTAAAAGTAACAGGGATCATTTAGATTGACAAGCATTTTTTTTATATCGTGATACATATCGGTATTGACTGATATAGAAAAATATATTGTGATAAATTTTTTCCTATATCGCCCAGCCCTAGCTCCTTGTGTTAAACATTGATGGATACAAACTGTAACTTATCCAAAATAATTTCCTTCACAATAGGAAAAGACTGGACTATTTTAAGGAGCAGTTGCTTGGCACAAATCCTTTCAGTGCCCATTGTAACAGTAAAATAGCAGTTTCACGTTTCCAGTATATCAGGTTTTCATTCATCTCCTTTCAGTCCATCAGATGTGGGTTCATACGTGATCTATGCCGGCCGATACCAGTTGAATGGTTTTAACTTCCACGAGACATCACATTATGTGAGGCGGGTCGTGGTTCCAAGCGGCTATGTGGAGCCTCACAGTGGGAAAGATCTGGCACTGGTGGAGCTGTCCACCCCAGTCACCTGGTCAGATCACGTCTTTCCTGTGTGCTTACCTGCCTCTGGCACCCTGTTCCCAGGTGGCATGCTGTGTTACGTCACCGGCTGGGGGAACATCCTTGATGAAGGTAAGCTCACCAAGGGTTAACCCTTTTCACACTAATAATAAGGGATTGAAAAACAAGTACTAAATACTGGCACCACATGTAGGTTCAGGTGTCCAAATAGTGTACAGCAGAGAGTAATAAATTTTAGATGACCCTCTCTTCCCTATAGATATCATTTACTGAACAGATGGGTCATAGAGGCCCATCCATTGAGACCAAGAAATAATCATTGCTGGCTTGTGTCTAATAATGTTCTTGCAAATTGGCTTTTAGAGGTTTGTTTTATCCTGATATGATAAGACTGTCTCTAAATGTTTTCACAGTTAATCATATTTATCAAGTCTCTCTTTTTTTTCCAACATGTCTACAAGTCTGTTATGTGCACATGATTGAATCCCTGAATGCTTTTGTAATTGTTTGTCTTTTAACATTCAGTCACTAACTCAAATAAAGTTCAATAATTGTCAGAATATTGATTTCAACCCAATTTTCTTGTTCTTGAAGCTTTCATTTTCAAAGACTAGTGCATTGTGTGTACTTTGTCTCATGTCTTTAGCATATCTGACTGCAGTGCAACATTATCAGACTACAGATTTGAAACTAAGACACAATGCTCCCTGACACAATGACAGTTTTTCACTGGCACTTGTACTTTTATTCATTTGCATTTCAGAAACACCTGGTGCTTCAGGATGACACTTAGTGTGTGCATCTTAGTGCAAAAGGAGCATTGTTTTGCTCCTTCTTGCATCACTTGTGCTTTGCTAACATTGTACAAAGCAAGTTTGCTTTGCTGTCTGTTTCTAGCTCTTCAAAATACTTTATACAGCTGGGCTTAAGAGTTGTTGGTGCATAGGCCAAGTTATTGTGTGGATAATTAATGCATCTCCATCTTGGCCATGAGTATGAAAGGAAAGTTTTTATATCTGCTGATACTGATATTTGACTTTCACTGTTTAATTTTCCATCAACAATACTTTTTAAAGTAATATTTTTGGCATTTTGCCTTTGTAAGATTGGACAGTTAATTAGAGACCGGGAATCTAGGGTGTAAAGAGTGAGGGAGGACATAGGACATAGGCCCTGACATGAAAATCTACTTTTTAGATTGGGAACAATTGAACAAACTGATGCAAATCTCTGAGAATCTGAAATTTGCATAGTAAACAGGTGCTGCACCACAGACCTTAACAGGTCAAAGTAAGATATGACATAATTTACATGTTCATTGAAAGATGAAAATCTCCCAAAGCGAATCAAATCATTTGCATTCAGAAAAAACATAACGGAAAAAAGACTAGCCAACATTGGAGTAGGGAAATTAAACTTAAAACACTGTAAAGATGTCAGTATTAACTTTTGTTACTGAAGTTATACACTAAAATTGACAAGAAAGTCACTTTTCCTATTAGCAGTTGGAACAGTAAAAATGAATTGGCTGTGGGGTTGTTTTTTAATCAAAATTAAAACTTATCCTTCTGACCTTGTGATCGTTCTTTTTTTTTGCCCCCCTTAGTCCCTTTGCCTGGAGCTGGAACTCTGCAGGAAGTGCAGGTGCCAATCATTTCCCAGAGTTCATGCCAGGAAATGTACAGGACACACCCAACAGAGCGTGTGGACATTCTCCATGACATGATCTGTGCCGGATACCAGGAAGGGGGCAAGGACTCCTGCCAGGTACTGTAGGTTTAGCTGTTTGTACTGCTGTTAAAATTCACAAAATCAGATGAAGACAACATGTCCCATTACTTCTCTACTGTGAGCTCTTTAATACCTCCCACTGGTGAAACCTGAATATGTCTTCTCAGGGGGATTCAGGAGGGCCGCTGGTCTGCCAGATGGTGAACGGGACCTGGGTACAGGCCGGGGTTGTTAGCTTTGGACTTGGCTGTGCTCACTCAAACCAGCCAGGTGTGTATGCCAGAGTGACCAGCTACTCCAGTTTTATTAGCGATACAATACCAGAGGTCCAGCTGTACGGTCGAGCAGATCAGAACTTTTACGGGAGAGCGGCTGTGTTCATCAGCTGTCTGTCCTCTCTACTGATCCAGCTCCAGAGATGAGATGACATGAAGTCGGGCATCTGGAAAGTATATTCCGCACAGGGCAAAATGAAGGAGCACATACATTATGTTTAACTTAAGTCCAAAGTTTGCCTGAGTAAAAACTTATAGATCTGTACCTGACATGCATATGGAGCCATAATGAACATGAACAGTAGTATGGTTTTTAATTTTAGAACTACAACTATGCATTACGATCTTTGATTCAGAGTAGCTTTGATAGGTTTGTATTTTAAATCAAATTATGAGATAAATAAGTAATGGGTTCTTTGAAATAAATTGTTAATCTAAGTTGTGAAATTAGGTCAGTGCTCAGTTCAACTTGTGACAGCTGAGTTTTGAAAAGTGGATCAACAATTGTCTTTTTTTTTTACTTGGACCAAAGCTTCATTTGTACCCCTTCAGAGCATTTTATTCCTGCTGCTGACACAGCCCCTGATACTGCAAATACTAGAGTGGTTGCTTTCTAAGTATCAAACTCTGAATATCTCACAGAAATGCACAGTCTGTCTTCCTTTTTATTCAGATTTTAGAGGCTCATTCATCAAGGTCATTGTAAAATAGCTTACTCCACACAGAATCAACATACATTCAACTATTTGTATAATATCCAGAGGCTTGGACAAAGGAGGACTCTGTTTTCTTTATTACAAAGAAAGCATAGCTTGTTGTCATGGTAAAAAAAAAGACAGTGCTTATTGGTGCAAACTTAAAAAAAAAAAAAAACTTGCCTTTAAATTAATGTGATAACTCTGCACTCTAAGATTTATGCTAGAAAGAAAGTAACATGTACTAAAAATTAGAGGCATTGTCTTTAAGTCAGGCGTCAGGGGGGATCGTGTCAGAGAGAATCATGGGAGAGCCGAGCTGTAATTCCTGTTGAAGTGATTCCAGATCAGCTGGAGTCATGCGGTGAACCTCATTCCAATCAGAAAGGAGGGAGGCCGACAGGGGGGCTGAGTCAAAACTACAAAGAAGAGGGATAAATACAGAGAGTAAAAATCTACATGTACTTTAAGTGCAGAGTTTCATAGTGGGAGTTAGCTGTTACATCCACCTGACAAAAAAGGAAAAGTTTCTCTTGGCTCATCATAAGTAAAAGACATGTACATACATGCATGGTTGAACGAAACTCATCCGGTTTGACAGCTAGGTATAGTCACATGAACAAGCTACACCCCACTGGTACAGAAAAACTACAGGACTTTAGAAGGGGTTGAGACTTTTGTGTTTGATAGATGAATTGTTGAATTAAAATTTTTGCATATTCATAAATGAGTTGATGTCATTGATTTGAACTGGTTTAAAGTTTTGATTTGTGGTTGTGGTTTTCTTTTAAAACATGTCTGGAGGGCATACTACAAGAGCAAAATGATACTACATGCAGCTGATTTCAAGTTTAAAGTCAAAGCTCATCTCAAAGTTTTTCTGCTTTGACACTCTTGGAAATCCATCTATGGTGCAGCTCATTACACTTCGACAAGGAGGTAAATATTTGACCTTAAAGTTAAATCACTGAGGTTCAAACAAAAAGATAGTTGCTCTTTGTGTGTGTGTTTTTTGTTAAACCAACACTGATTTATCATACCACTGTACACTGTCTTTTTCCAACTTAGATTATATACTAGCAACTTTCTGAGGTTAGTTATTTGCTAGTCTTTCTATCCCCATATGTTCAGACATGATTGTAGGGCGTAATTACTGTCTACACCCATAATTAAGTCATGGAAATACTTGTTTCTGTTTTAACACCTCAAACGTTTCTCACTTGTATATTTGACTGTTAATGTTGATAGTGAAACCAGACAGAAGTAATTTGATACATGGTGGAAGAGTAGTACAATAAAATAAAAAACCCAGTGCATTGCGTCATACCTATCCCGGTCACAGTGTTGCAGCTCTGTGAGAGACTGGTTAAGAAGATCATCCAAGTCGAAGCCTACACCATAGCCAGCCCCGCTTCCTTTAGGTGTGACTGAGAACACTGGGGGTAAAACATCCTCCACCTGACAGGGGACAAGGGGAAACATTGGGTCAAGTGTACTGTGTGTTCTGGGGAAAAGCTCAATACCAGATTGTGACATTTAAGCCCAGAGTGTATATGTTAATGCTATGCTGATAAGCTGTGAATAGATCTAGTTCCTCTTAAACATTTCATTGACTGGTGGTTTTTATTTAACAAAGAAGTCATCGAGCAGTAGAAGAACCCTTAGCCATACCTGGGACTTTGACAGCTGCAGTGTTACTGTATGGATATCAGGGGCAACAGAGGGTCCCTGCTGTCCAGTATCAGTGAACCCAAGGCTGGGATGAGGCTGTGCGGGGACCTCTAAAGCCCCACAAAGAGAGTTTGTAGTCTGTGGTCCAGATTTTTCTCCTACAGAGGGACACAGTTTCTCCATCGGACCGGCACCTGAAGTGGGTGGGTTGGGGTGGGGGTTGAGGTTACTTTGGCATCCGACATCCTCGTTTCCCTTCTTCTCTCCAGCTGGAGCTTTGGTCAGAAGACTCTCCAGAGGGATGAGCTGGGACGGAGGCTGAGGGTCGGGCTGAGGTTGAAGCTGTGGCTGAAGAAAGCTTGATGTTTGAGGCGGTGATTTTCTGTTTGGCTGCGGTTGCTGCGGCCTTGCCTCTAATTGTTGCCTGCTCCAATTCCCCAAACAGTTGAAGCCACTCTGTCCGTTGCTCTCGCTGTGAGGTTTAAGAGTGTTGTTCTTAACAAAGCCACCAGTGACGGTCATTATATCTAGCCCTCCACTTACAGAAACGACTATATCCGCTTGAGACTTCCTCTGGCTCACGGGGAAAAGTACTGAAGACTGCTGGTTGCTCGGAGGTTGAAACAAGCCTGGCTGGTTTGGTTTGACTTGAGAAATTAAATGTTCATGGGGCTGAACCTTCATTGCCTCTTTGTCTGTTTTAACGTTTAGAGCAGATTGAGTGTTATCACCAATCCCAACGCCCCTATGCAAGCTTATGTTACATTCTTTATTCTTGGCTCCTTCGTGATTAGTAATCGGAGGTTTGTCATTGCATCTGTCCATCATTTGGGTCCAACGCTGCAGCAGACTCTTGTCATTGTCACTCAGGAGGACCCCTCCAAGGGAGTCCCCCAGCTTCCCCTCTCTTCTCTCCTTTTCCTTCATTTTCCTCTCCCGCTCTCGCGCTCGTTCCTGCCTCTTCCTTCTTTTTTCTTCTCTTTCTCGTTGACGCTCCTGGGCTGTGACAGGCCGACGTGACTCTGAGGCAGAAGACAGCGAGGAGGATATGCCTCCTCCTGCAACAGAGTCAATGCCCAGAGCAGAAGTGCCTCCATCTGCAAAGAGGATACAAAATGAAGATAAAGCTGGTTTATCAAATGTCATAGAATAATGAGTAGATGTTTGAAATCAACAAATTTACCACCTCTTGCTTTGTTTCTAAGAGCTGATTTCAATAAAGCAGCTCGAAGTGCAGCTTTAGTATCCTCTGAAATCGCTCCTTCTTTCCTGGCTCCCTCTCCTGCTCCTGAAGGAGGCATGGCAGTCTTGGACAGGGACTGTGAGAGGGAATGAGACAGTGACTGTACCTGTGCCGCAGAGAGAGAAAGAGAAGGCACAGTAGTGGGAAGGGGTGTCATTGTGGGTGCTGGCGTTGCAGGAATGGAGGTGGGTGCCTGGGTCATGGACTGGCTCTGGGTGGGCTGAGTAAGAGGTGCCTGACTGCTGGTTAGCTGCTCTGTAACCTCACTGTCTCTCATTGTTTCTGGTGCTGTGTCCTGACCCGTCACTGGTGTTGTTAGGTCGATGGTCTCTGGCTGACCGCTGTCTGAGTTGGCACTTGGCATGTCAACATCAACTGGGCCTGCTTCACTTTTGGAAAGGGGAGGCAGATTATGGGTCACAGTAGACGGGGCGACTTCTGGCTCAGTGAAGGTGTGCATCTGATCTAAAAAGGTGTGGTTCTCCTCTGCTGGTGGTAGATCTTGTTGCTGTTGAGGTTTCACTTTTCTCATTTGTTGCTGCTGCTGTTGTATCTGTGCTGCTTGTGAATGTTGTGTCATTGGAACCAGAGTTGATTTACTCATGTTCACTGTGGAGGGCTGAGCATCATGCTGGTTGCTGCTTTGTGCCGAGGCTCTGACGTTTGCCCTCGCCAGGGGCCTGAACTGCACTCTTGGGCGACTGCTCTGTTTATTTTGATGAAAGTCCTGGATCTCCATCAGGATTGCCTCTTTAATTTGCTCCTTGTTCAGGGGAAGCTTGTCAAATTCAAAGTCGAAAGCTGGCACGCAGATTGGCTCATCATCTGGGTCATGGTACTTGGCCAGGTAGCTGTGCTCGAGCGCTTGTGTCACGCTGATTCGCTCCCGGGGGTCAAAGCGCAACATGGCCCCCAGCAGATCCAAAGCCTCTGGCTCAGCCTGTGGATAAAGTTTCGCCAAAGGCACAGGGGTCCGTGAGGGAAGACTCTGAACATAGGAGCGAACTCGGTCAGCTCTTATAGCACCAATCAACCCGTCGGGAGGAGTTCCTAACACTGACAAAATGAGCTGAAGCTGGTGGACATAATGCTTTCCAGGAAAAAGCTGCTTTCGACCCAGCATTTCTGCAAAGATGCAGCCAACAGACCACAGGTCAATGGCCAAACTGTAGTGATTCAGAGACAGGAGGAGCTCAGGAGCACGGTACCACCGAGTCGCCACATATTCAGTCATAAAGGAATGAGATTCCTCGGGGTGGGAGCTTAGACCCCTCGCCATACCAAAGTCCCCAATTTTCAGCTCACAGTTCTCATTCACCAACAGGTTGGAGGGTTTGAGGTCGCGATGGATGACGTTGGCAGAGTGCACATATTTAAGGCCACGTAGGAGCTGGTACAGGAAGTAGCGGGTGTGCTCTGAGGTGAGTGTTTGGGCAGAGTGAATGATCTGGTGCAAGTCACTCTCCATGAGGTCTAGCACCACGTACCTGCACACACAAGAAGAGGGAAAGTGAGCATTGACATTGAACAGAGAAAGCAAAGCCCGAGACAACCTGATTGGCATGTTTCATCACTGCCTGTTGACACTTAAGCAACAATGTTCATCTCTCTATAACTGCTCGGGAGGTTTGGAGTGTCAGTTATAGGAAAGGGTGGAGCACAAGCCAGGTACAAGTCAGGTAAATATAAGTCAGGTAAGTACATGTGGTATGTAGTGATAATACTGACATTTTTCACCTTAAATTCACCTTGACTGTTGTTACCTTGACTGAAAATGTTTATATACTGTAATTTATAACAGCTAAGTATAATAATATTTTTACTTATCTGTAAATTAAAATGTTAAGTTTCATGCTAGCTCATCCTGTAAGGAGACTGAGAAAAATCTGCTGCCATGGAAGTGTATTATTATTAATTACAACTACCAAAAGCTTCTTTTGTTCTTAATGTAACAATAGACATGAGTAAAAAGTCATGTGGTTGAAAAAACGAAGTATCTTACTTGAAATTCTGATTAATTTTGTGACGCTTCAGGAGGCTTCTTGGAATCAGTGGGTGCACAGAGTTTTACAGAGTTTTCTTGCGAAAAGGGAACCTTAAGCCTGAGCTATTTGTCACCAGAGTGATAAAGGGAAAAAAGTACATACACAGACTTGAAGGCTGAGTGAGGGAGGTTTGGCTGCAGGATGTCTTTGATGGCAATTATGTTGTCATGTTTGAAGTGCTTCAGAATCTTCAGTTCTCGCAGAGTGCGTTTGGCATTTGTCACCACTTCAAAAGCATTGGAGATCTTCTTTATCGCCACCTGCTGGCCTGTGAATATTAAAACACCCAAATACAAGAGAAAGTAATGAAGTGCAACTGAGTTAAGATGGCAAGATTTCTTCATTTAACCTTTCATCGTATGTTATATCATCATCTCATCAGCCTCACCATTGTCCCTCCTCCTGGCAGATGAAACAACCCCATAGGCTCCGGTGCCGATGGTTTCTATAACCTCATACTCTTCTCCAACATCAAACTTCACATCCAGAGAGTGGGCTTTAAGTAGAGCCAAGTTTTTTGCTGCTGTGCTGGTGTCTGTTGCGCCCCCTGTTGCCTCGACTCGGTGCTGGTTCTGACTTTCTCTGCTCTCTGTCATTCTTTCAGGCAGTATGGCCACAGGTTGGCCATTTTTACCATCTCCAGCCTCCTTAGCTGACATTATTCTGTAAAGGGACACGTGATAGAAAAGTGAGATGTGTTTTGCAATGCTGACAAACAGGTTCTCAACTGTCCCGATAGTGAGTGTTACTGATCTGATTTCAGCTTCTTGCAAAATGTGATTGTCTTTGCCTTGTCTAGCTAATCTTAATACCGGGGTCATGTTCAAAAAGGAAATTTGAGGGCTTAATTTCAGCAAAAATGCACAGCATTCAAGTATTTTTGCTTGGTCCTGATATTATAAAAAATATTTGGTCAAAATTGTGGGCACTTAGGGAAACTTTGAGGTATAATAGACAAAGGGGAAAACTGACTTGAACACAACCCTGAGTAATTATGTGTCATAAAATCGCAAAGGGGACACCAACAGTCTTGTAGTCCAAGGGCCCCATATGTAGAGGCTTTAGTCCCTGTTGCAGCAGTTGCACGCTCAATCCCAGGCCACAGCCTTTTGCTTTCCCTCACTCTTTACTCCCTATATTTTTTGTCACTTTTCAGACGTCTTATCAAATAAAGGCAAAAATGACCTAAATTATAACTTTACAAATTCACATTGGAATGGTCAATCAGAAATGTAGGGATATATCTTCTGTGTATTTTATTCTATTACATTTTCTGTATATTAAATAATTTCCTGAAGCATCTCACATTTGTGTATTTGCCTCTTTTCCCCTCATGATGTTGGGCTGAGTATTTTTTGATTTTGGACATGATTCTCTTCTTTTGTTCCATAAAAACTGTTTCTGTTTTCATCCTAAATTAATCAAATGGTCAATCAGGGTTTCACTTTCACAACTTTCAGGATACATGTTTAACTGAGATCCATGAAAGCCACTCAAATTAACTTTTTATGTAAGGGAAAACTGAATGAATAAGATGTATTGATAAGGACATCTGCTTTAGAAAAAAAATGTTATGGACCAAAACGTAATGCTTCATGGCTTGGTTTTAGAAATCAGGTAAAAGCCAAGCCCAGAATAAAGCTAACAGACACTGACGTGACTTTCAGCAAGATATATAAACAAAAATAATATAAGATATAATATAAGATTTAAAAAACAGGTAATCCTGTTTTTAAAGAGATCGTTTTCCTGTTTACTGGGTCCATCTCCACAGAAACCTGACTCAGAGGCCCCCAGGAGCCACTTTAGGAGTCTTGTCACAATTTGAGACTTCCCATTCACATGGACGCTAGAGCGACAATAAAGACTTGTCAGTGTTTGAATCGATTGCTGATCGTTTTTGTGAATTAAATGGATTAACATAAGGTAAAAACGAGGCGTGACCAACACGCTGCTTAGCAACTTCACATAACGTTACACTGGGCCTGCCTTTAGTTTGAAGAAAACTGTGGCTCACAGTCAAAGATCGGCTGTAGCTTATAACTAAACTCTGCCCATAAATAGACAAAGAGGATGTGGATCAAAGTAGCAGCTAGTTTTTGTGGTTAAATGAAAGCCCTGACCTGACAGACCTGCAGCCTTCCTTACCCACTGACTCTGTGACGCAGGGGCGTAGGCTAGTTACCTGCAGCTCAGGCTTTCTAGGAACATTAGCCGTTTAACTACGATTTTACCGGTTTGTGAGACCAAATCGGACTACAGAAGGACCCGCATCAAAAAAATATGACTGATTTTACCTTGTGAGACTACCACAGCATCCGTAAATAGGATTTTAACACCGTAGTAATACGGCTATCTCTTGTTATTGTCTACCGCTTCCTCGTGCAGTTCCGCGTCGGATGTGAGTGCCATATGGTGGACCAATGAGACAAAGGGGCGTTCGGGACAGTATCCAATAGGAATAGAGAAGGTGTAGGGAGGCGGGACAGTCCGACATACAGTAGAGTCTCTGTAAGCCTTTTGGTTTTTTGTGCAATGGTGACGCCGTTTTCCAGCATTTGATGGTTTAGGAGGGGCCACACCAGGACGAATACCTACACGTAATGTTGGTGTTAAAACGACGGGCATCTCAATCGTTAATTTAAATGATAATTACGACAAACAAAAACTTCTGCAACAAGTGGTGATGACAACTCAATATTAAAAAAGCTAGTGTAATTTTAGAATAACTTCACAATGTATAACCAATGGGATTGTTCCTTGTCTGATCAACTATTTGTGTTAAAGGTCGGGACTTTTAACACAATTTTTATTTAGGTGCATGCATCACATCTGTCCTTGTTGATACTGTTAGAATATAGAATAAGAATAGAATAAAAATCACACTAAATAGTTGCCAAACGGTGACTCTGCAACCAGTGGAAGACTGTATGATTTCTTACAATGCAATGTGTCCAGAATAAATTTGCGTTTTCTATTACATAAAAGAAAAAAATATTTATATTTTGCTGACAAATCTAAGCCTGTACTTACCGGGTAAAAATATCTTGTTTAACTTAAAGTTGTTTTAAACTTTTACGTTACTAATTTCACTCGTTTTTGCCTCAGTAAAATGCTTTTTTCAACACTGATTAATGTGGTCAGACGTGACCATGTTCGAGCGAATCTACACTGTTTCTTTATTATGGAAAGCTGATGTGGTGTGGTCAGAGTAATGAGAGAGTTTTTTTTGTAATCTTTTCACCCACATACCAGACTGACTGAAGTCCACAGTAAATACCGATACAACACACCTCCTGCTGCAACATCTGTACAGCTGTCCAATGAAACGCTGGGACAAAATCCAGCGGACCAATCAAAACACAGATTCAGATTTTTAACACGTCGCCTCAACCAGAAGGGTCTACCGTGAAATGTGAACGAAAGGCAGGTCATTTTAACTTGTACCCCGGCTTATTTTACCTGAAGGTGAAAGCATCTGTCAAAAGAAACATGGCTATGCCGAAATGGGAGCGAAAGGCGCGTATTTTCCTCTGCGTTTTCGGAATGTGTTTGTCTGTTTACGCGCTTCACGTCGAGCTGTCCAGAGAGAGTAACCCAGATTACAGGGCGATGTGTGACCTGGGGGAGTCTGTGAGCTGCTCCAAAGTTTTCACCTCCAGGTATGGTTCCTATAAGCTCCTCAAGGCTTGTTTCATGCTGTATTGTGGTTCTTATAAACTTGGCCTGTGCAGGGGCGACAGTGGCTGTTTAAGTTCAGTCTTGGGCATGTAACTGAAAGAGCCGACCCCGTCATTTGCCACGTGTTTAAGTACCCTACAAGCCCCATACATCATCTCGTTTACTGTTTGAAATACACCAATCCTAATTTAGGACCTTGCTCTTTTGCACTGCAAAAGGAACTAGAGTGCATGCTTGATTACTTTACAACTGTTCCCCTGTTTTTGGGTTTGATTTTCTTGCCAATAATATGTGGAATAAATTTTAACTCTCCTTTTTGGACAGATGGGGACGGGGTTTTGGCTTGGTCCAGTTCTTTGTTGACAAAGATAGCCCTCTGAACCAGCCCAACAGTGTGCTTGGCATCATATTTTACACTCTGCAGATGGGAATGGGTAAGTCTGTCTCCATCTTCTGCAAATTATAGTGCAGCACTGAATGTTTTTAAGAAAAATAGATCCTCTTGGCAATTTAGCATGTTTGTGAACCAGAGCTGGGTGTGTAATTGATATTTCACAATTCAAAAGAAAAAACTGCACTGATCTTGTGTGACTTTCTTTTGCAGGATTGTCCTTGTCTAAGAAAGCAGCTGTGTTTTTGGTCTTCTCCTCCTGGGTCTCTGTGGCTGGTTCGCTCTATCTTGCATCTATCCTCGCCTTTGTCTTAGGGGACTTTTGCATGGTCTGTGTGTCAACATACATCATCAACTTTGCATTGCTTTACACCAACCTAAAACGGAGGGGAGCTGTTGAAGGAATGAAAGAAAAAACTGGATAGAAAAACTGCTACCTGTGAAATTCAACACCCTCTTTTTCACTGCTGAGCTGAAGCAGCACTGGATGTGAAAATATTTTACATTGTTTCTGGAATTTTTTACACCTGCTGAGAGAATAAAAGGACACTGGGCTGGAAATGTACCAAAGTACATTAATCCCTGATTTAAAAAAACTCAATGTAACTGGAGTCATTTCGGATATAAAACGCACCTTTGATGCTAATACACAGTTTTTAACACTATCTTTTGTACCATGCGGTTAAGAAGTAAATAAATAAGAATGAAAGTAAATGCTTATCCTGCAGTTTGAGAGAACTTAGACAATACAGTGCTATGTGCTTAAAATGTCTACCAGTAGATGGAGCCAAATGCTCAGGATGGTGGTATATCACAGTGAATTTACGCGATCATATCTCAAGGACTTATAAAGTTGGGTGTTTGTGTTACATGTCTTAAAAAGAACAAAAACCTTTAAAGGTATTATTTTAATATCTTAAATTCATCACCATGTGCTATTTGAGCCATAAACTAACAGAAAGAAAGTTATGGGGAGTTGTAATGTTGCATATTATTGTTGGATTTGAGAAGGACAATTCACAGCACCAACTGGGGTCTTAGTGATATATAAAGCAGTAAAACAAAAATACAAAGTACTGTACCACATAAAAAAAGCAACATACACTACAGGCCAAAAGTTTGGAAGCAAGATCACATTTTTTACAAAAAAAAAAAATCATAGTTTCATACATATAATTTGCAACACAACAAACATGACTATTGTGTAAAGAGTAATTTATCAGAAGGAATTTTGACTATATTTATTAGGTATTTGAGTTATTGTTACTTAGACTTTGCTTTCTTTAAAGTAACCTCCTCTGGCTTTAACAACAGCTTGGCATATACCAGGCATTGGTTCCACAAGTTTTCTAAGGTATGTCGCAGGAATTGCATTCCAAGCTTTCTTAAGTTCATTAAAAAGAGACTGCTGATTCGTGGGATGTGTTTTTCTGACCAATCGACTCAATTCACCCCGCACAAGCTCAATTGAGAAAGGTCTGGAGACTGAGGGGGCCAAACCATCTTTAGAATAACGCCTTCCTCTTCTTTTTTGTCTAGGTAACCCTGACCGAGCTTGGCAGAGTGCTTAGTGTCATTGTCTTGCTGCAAAACAAACTTATGAGCCACAAGTCTGAGTCCAGATGGAACAGCATGGTGCTGGATATAAAACTCATGCTGGATTTTAAAAAAAAAGCATTGTGAACAAAAACTTGAAGTTACTCCCAACTGTTCGGCCTGTAATGGCCTTGCTTCCAAACTTTTGGCCTGTAGTGTACTTTTCAAAACCTTTAACTTCTTTAAACTCGGAGGCAAAAAGTCACAAAGGTACTTTCTCATTCATTCAAGTTTCATATGTAGCCGAGTTTAACCCATGCCTTTCTGAACCATCAACACTGCAGGAAGTTCTAAAAAAGTTCCCACTGCTGACTGTATTCTCTGACTGTATTTTGCTGTTACCCTCTTATGCACCTGCACAGTAATTCTGCACAGAAAATTTAGTTGCAACCAAATGAAAACTGCAAAGTTGTGCCTGTTACAAACTGGAATCAAGAAAGTTAAGGACTATGTTTATGATTAATGGATCCTTAGCAATAGCTAAGTATGAGGGTATGGCAAGGGTTGTGTCCAGAACCACAGAATCCCACACTGTGATTTGTGTATTTTTTTTTTTTTTTTTGTCAGAGTCTGGACTTCAGTTTAGACTATCTGGTAGGAATGTGGCGTAACAGGTTGCTGCTGGTAGCTTTCGTTCCTCTCATCTATAGAACATTTTCTTTTGTTGGTACTTTAGGTTATAGAAAAAAAAACACGTAATACCTCAATATTGAAGGAGAGGAAACAGTCCCTAACAGATGCAAACATACTTCTCCACTATCAAAAATACATTTTTCAGGAAGTTTGTGTGTGAAAGTTTGCCAGTGATGTATTTTTCACAGAAAGTTTGCAGGGGTTTGATTGCAACATTTCAAGCACTTTAAACAACAACTTAAGTAAAAGGAAAAAAAATCTCAGATTTTAAAAGGATTTGACTTGGGGGACTCTGATGTTGCAACAACTTTTTTAAAAATGTTACTGTGGAAAATGACACCTGTATGACACAAAAATGTTGGTCAACTGGATATGAGTAATTGAGACATAAAAGATATCAAAGGTCAAAAACACTATTCGACCATGCCTGTGTGCACACATGCATAACTCATGCCACCTCTGCATAAGTCAGTGCCCTGGATGATTCATCCATCAGATTTATTTCAAAATAGTTTTAAATCATGATGACCATTTTTAGTTTTAGCCCTTTACTCATCACAAATCCAAAGAAAAAAGAAAAGAGATTATTTATTCTCTTTTATTAGTGAGATATCTTACTCTTTGCCTTATTTAATGGAGCACAGCCCATTTAAATGAGTAATCCTGAAGTTGTGAAGCACGTATACTTCCTTTATGCCGCCGTCACCAAGTTTCCATTTGTCATGACTGAAGCAACCGATCTGTGTGCCGTCAGAGCTGATACTGTCACAGTCAACAAAGCATGTGATTGTCTATCACACTGTATGCTTGGTTAATGTCCACAGGGCTGCATCATCTCAGCATGACGCATAAACAGTGGCTTGACCAGAGCATCATCTTCTTCAAATCTAAAGTCAATCAGACAAGAAAAGCAATTCAAAGTAAAAAAAAAAAAAAAAGGTAGTCTCCTGGTTGAAATAAAAGAACACATTTTTATAGCCCGGAAAACCGAAGCCTTTTACTTTGACTTTGTTATGTGTTTGCTGCCTTCACCTTTCACAAAATGCAGGAGGGTAATACAAGGAGTGAGTGACAGGAAGGATCAGCAGCTGTTGTCAACGTTCCTCTAACAGGTTGACTGGAAGTGTGGACGGATGGAACTTTGAGAGAAAAAGGCAAAATCAACAAAAAGGTCCCCACAACATGACTCGCATTTTTGCAAAATTCAAAACTACTTTGTCGTCACTCAGGACCACAACCTTATATAACATTTTTATCCTTTGTCATTTCTTTGTTTGGAGTCCCTTCAGTCCTACAAAAGTAATCATCATGAGCGCACAAGTCAGTAAGTTGTTTGGGAAGATTGCCCTCTGTCATTAACCACGCACAAACATTCACTTTTGGCTTTAATATGCTGTTTACTCTTATACTATGTTTATAGTAGTATTCAAGTAGAAAATACTTGTATACAAAAAGCAAAATTCAGCCAACTGTGGGATTATCTTGACATCCACACTTAATTTACGTTCTCTTCAAGTGCTTTTCTGTAAAATCTACTGATTTCCTACAGACTGTGTCATTTACCTTGGTCCCTGTCCCAAAAACATGAAGTGCATTCCTGAAAAAAACATTTAATCCAAACAGCACACCAAGAAGAGTACAAATAAAAGTTCCCAAAATACTAAAAACATCTGGAAAGTGTAATCAAAGTAATTCTTTTCTCTGTATGCTCTTCATTTTCTCTTAATTTTTTTTTAGTTTTCCCCTCAAAAGAGATTTTCTCAAACTTTTACCCCAGGTCTTAAAAAATCCCTCATGAAAAAAAGTTTTACAAACGATATGTCATTGATCCAGCTTCTGTAAACGTGAAAAAACACAAGTCATATAGAAATACTAATGTTCATATGTTAAAAGAAAAAAAACTTTTCAAAGTAGTTTAAAGAATCAACAAAACATATTAAATGTACATGAAATAAAAAAAGGAAACATCAGTGGACCTTGGTTCTCTGTTTTTAAACTGTAATAAGCTCCATATAAAATTTCCTGTGGCTTCAATGACTTTTACAGGTGTTGGTACTTCTCTCTTAAATAACATTGGCAACTGTTGGCAGTCCTTTACATTACTTTGACAATTATTATAGCTCCTTCCATAGTGTTGGAAGTCAGATGTTCTTGGTATTTATCAAGCTTACACAATCAGTTAAAAATTCCAAACAACGTCAAGTGAGGCGCAGGTTTCATTGATGTACGCACATTTTCAGGTCAGAGTGGTATTAGCTGAGGCTGGATAGTCATCATGATACAGGTATAAAGGTCTTTTCGACTATCCTACTTGGCACAATGGAAACAAATCTAAAATTAGAATCATGAATGCAGGAAAAACCCAAGTGACAGAACTTAACACACAGTGCTGTATGGAAAATCTCAGTTAAGTCCATCTTTACATCCCCTGACATACCTGTCTGTCAGGTCACAGACTCTCACTGACACAACAACAGGTATCGTCCCCCTCAAAAGTCCCTTTTATTGGCAAAGGCTTATTTATCTAAATCAATCGAATGCCAAGTCTGTGATTTTTTTTTCCCTTGGGTAATAACTCTTTAACATGGAAACAGTGTTATACATTTTAATCAGTTTGATGTAGGGAGACCAGTTTTGATCTTGGCAGGCTGTGCTGTTGAACTGTTCTTTGATACAGTATTTATTGTCGATGATGATAATAAAAGTAATGTAAGGTAAGACACATATGATAAACACTCTAACACATGACATACTTTACAGTACAGGTATGTTATTTAACAGTATTAAACATAATCCAGCATCAAACTTTCTAACACTATGTGCCTGAGAACCAAGTCATAATTACACAACGGCTGAGAAATGTTTCGTTTTCAAGGATTAGTCAGCAATGTCTGTAAAGACTCCTCTTGTTTGTTTTTCGATTGTGCAATGACCTTTATTTTAAAACTATAACACCACTTAAGCAAGAAGGGCCCTATTTTTATACTGCCATGAGTTGTGTAAATCACTGTATAGAGTTAAACAATATTCAAATAAGGTTTAGTCTGCTTTTCCCAAAAGTTTTCCTCAATCTTAAATCACCAGTTTTTACTTTCACCATCATGTATCCGCACATTTACTCCATAGTCCAATTGGTCACTGAGGACAAGGTGTGTAGAAAATTAAAAAAGCAAACAACATGCGGCCTTGTTTTTAAATCTTACATAACAGCATTTAAAAGGATCTTTTTCTCCTCACTGTCAAAATGCATATTTGCAGTTTAAAAATACACTCAGTGGTGCAAACAGGGTGCAAAGGTTGCAGCCACAGCATGAACATATGCCTTTGAGGTATTGTCTCAAGTAGCTGAGCCATACAATCAACACGTCACCAAGAGCTCTTCATTCTTGTTGAGTTCCTCACCTTTGTGGACATTTTGCAATAGCACTGAAAGACAAGTGCTGGAGTTGTACGTCGTGAGCTGTGGAGTGGAGAGAGTAGCATTGTAATGAATATTAGCACGGCTGTTACAGGCCAAGTGCTGAAGGTAACAAACTTGGGTGTGATACTGTTTAACAGTTTCATTATCAGCATTCAGTATCTAATTGTGGTGAGAAACAACAGAATATTGTCCTTTACTTCCCCATCTCAGCCAGTTTCACGATGTAATTTAAGACTTGACCCTTTGCCAAGTGACCAAAAAATCTTCTTGTTCAGAAGATCAGAATCTCCCTCATGTGCACGTATCTGTCTATTCCAGTTTATCAAATAAGAGATGAAATGAGAGATACCATCATTTAAAATCAATCATACAAACACTGTCTACATCATTAATAACAAACATTATAATAAGTGGCTATGGAAGAGTGATAACTACCATAAAAAGTCTAGGTGATGTTGTGCTCTGTATCAGCATTGATCAGGTACCTCTTGTCCAATCAGATTGTTTTATGAGAACATTCTGTTGTGTAACTAAAAATGACGTACTTCATGGCATTTTAGTTTATGTAGGTGCTGGAAAGAAATCTCTCTGTTGCTATTTTTAAAAGATGTGAGTGACTTATGCAATTGAGTGAATCCAGAATAATCTTCAATTAATTACTTACCAAACAAGATGCCTGACTAATCCAACCACCAGACATCATACTTCAGATATATCCCATTTAATCTGGCCCAGGCATGAGAAGTTTTTGTATTTCTGTGACATAAGAAGTGACACCAGTAGTCTGACTAATATTTCCGGTCCCATGAGATGAATGATGGCTAGTTTACAAGACAACAATGACATAAAGAGGATTTGTTTAGTCTGTAGGATATCATTTTATCTGCATACATACTAATACAAGGTGATGAAATACGAAAGCCCTGCCATTGCAAAATAAGCTTTTGTCACTTTTGTCACGGAAAAATGTTTCACTGTTGGCTGTTTCCCAACCATGGAGGAAAAACTAGAGTTGTTTGCACTGTTTGAAATTGTGTTTCTAAAGGTCTCAAATGTGACAAGTTTGTCCATTTGTTTGATTTGAACAGAGAAAAAGTGGAGGTTCAAGACATTTGAGCATTTAAATCTCTGTGGAGACTGTTTCACTGCAGGTGTTGCATAAAATGGTCATTGAAATTCTTCTTCACTTCTTTTGTAATAAATGTTTTTTCTTATTTTGGTTCAGCAAACTACCCACCTCGGGTCTTCAGATTTTCAAAACAGTGGACGTAATCATAGGACACTGGCCTCTAAGCTTCACAAGGTTTAAGTGTCAGTATTAGAGAGCAGAAGTTTCTATTTTCAACGAGGAAACTACCATTAACTTTCAAGTTATGCTGGATGCTTATGGGAGGGGCGAACCTCATGGCAGGTGACAGGTCAAAGACGGCGTATAAAGAGTCACAACCAAGAAGTGCAGTCACACAATGGCTTTGAGAAAGTGGATCTGCATACTGACTCTGACGAGTCTTTTAACAGGTAAGTGACACTTAATTCAAATGTTGGTTTCGTGAATTTTAAAAAAATAAATGACGTGTATAATGAAATAAGCATAATTATAAAAACGGTAAAATTTCAATATAACTCCTCAAGCTTAAGTAAAAGCAATTCAACTTTAAGAAGGTTACATTTCGAAAAATAGTTTTGGACTGACTGAAAAATTAAGTGACCAGAAGAGATCAACTTTGGCTGTGAGAAATCATTTCAATGCACTTTATATTAAAAATTTCATTTAAAAAAAATTATGAGGTTGACTTCCTGACGGTAAAAAATTTGTCGGAACAGTAAAATAGTGCAACATATCAAGCTAAACCTTTGCTATTAAACTGTTAAAATGTCAACAAAAATAAACTTTACACTGTCAAAACTAATGGCACAATTGATAAAAAAAAGTCTGGTCTCTCCTCCCTGATTAATTTCAGTGAATAAAAGTGAGTTTTCTATTATTTATAACATTTTTTTTAAAATAAAACTGTCATATAGTTTAGTGCTAATTGAATGAAAAAAATATTGATGTAATATCCAAGGCTTTTCCTTTTTTTAAATGAATCTTTTTTAATCAACCACAATTATGTTCTTGAGTTTAACTGTCATTGTTCAAAACTTCATTATAATTACTATGATACTGTAATTTCTGCCTGCATGAAAGTCAGAAACTCAGGTGTATGTTTGATGGTCAGCGAAACATTCTTAAACAAGAAAATGTAAATAGTCAATAAATGGTATTCCTGTATAAACTAATTTAAAAAGTGTGTGTAGTGTGCACAATCAGGTAACCATATCAAAGCAATAGATTTAATCATGAATGGAAACCTGTGGAGATAGAAATTCATGCTATTAAGACTGGCCATGGCAAAAAGACAAGGTATGTTCTTCTTGAGCAAAAAGTAAATATTGACTTTTCCTGCAAATTTTTGAGCACTTCATTGAAAACATTCCACAACTTTGGGATAGATATAACTAACCAAATTGTGTTTTCTCATTTCAGAATTACACGCACAGCTTGATGGTAAGTAGAAATATATCCCTCAAGAGAAGTTGAAGTTGGCCTTTACTTGCAACAAAGAAAGGCTCACACAAGATTTATTTTAGAAAAAAGGGTCATTTTGGCCCCAAAAAGAATACAATAATAATAAAAAAAAAGCCTAAAAATTAGTGTCAGTACTAAGTCAGCAGGAAAAGAAGCCTGTGTGGGTGAAGGACTTCTAGTGTGAATAAAAGACAAGAAGATGAGAAAGATATGTATAATTAAATTGGTTCAATCAATAATGCACTCAAAATGTAAACAAGGTACAATCAAATGAAAAGATTCTGCTCTGATCAATCTGGCTTTCGATTGATGGAAAAAATAAATAAATACAAAAAACAGGGTTTAAATCCCTTTTGATTGTGAACACAAACACAGAACTATGTACTTCAGTAGTAGTAGACATAATACTTCCATATATTTGAAAACTTGGACTAAAATTGTCAATAATAAAAAATAAAACTGGTATGTTTTCTAGTTTGTGGCATTGCTCCCCTGAATACCCGGATAGTTGGAGGTGTAGATGCGCCACCTGGAAGTTGGCCCTGGCAGGTTAGCCTGCAGATATTTGGTGGCCATGTTTGTGGTGGTTCCCTTATCAACAGAGAGTGGGTGATGACTGCAGCCCACTGCTTCTTCAGGTGGGTATCTGTGACAAACTCCCATCAGTCTGCAGTTTTGCATGGCTATCAGTGCCTGTTTTTCCTAAATCTAATGCATTACTGTCATTTTCTTGAACTTTAGCGAGAGTGTCAGCGATTGGCAGGTTTCTCTGGGTCGTCAGAACCTGCAAAGCCAAAACCCCAATGAAGTGTCCAGAGGTGTCTCCGCAATCATTTTGCATCCAAACTATGACAGTGCCACCAGCGACAACGACATTGCTCTGCTCAAACTCTCCTCACCAGTCCAGTTCACAGACTACATCAGACCTGTTTGTCTGGCAGCTGGTGAGAGTATATTCAACAATGGCACTGATAGCTGGGTCACAGGCTGGGGTGCAGTCCAGGAGGGAGGTGAGTCTACCGGTTGCTGGCAAATAGTCTGGGCCATGTGCCACAAACACAAACACACACACACACACACACACACACACACAACAGGTGCATGTTTGAATCATCTCTGCTCTTGTTGCTTCCTCAGAGCCATTACCCTTTCCTGAAACTCTGCAAGAAGTGCAGGTGCCCGTTCTGGGAAACCGACAGTGTAACTGTCTGAATGGAGTGGGTACCATCACCAACAACATGATCTGTGCTGGTGTTCTGGCAGGAGGCAAAGACTCGTGCCAGGTATCTGTCCTTCTTTTTGCTTGTTTTTTGACAATGCTTTAAATTCCAAATGCAGTCAGCAACATTACTTTCTAACCATCACACAGGGTGACTCAGGAGGTCCAATGGTCAGTAAGCAGGGCAACGTCTGGGTCCAGTCAGGAGTAGTGAGTTTTGGTTTTGGCTGTGCTCGGCCCAATCTGCCAGGAGTCTACTCCAGAGTTTCCCGTTACCAGTCCTGGATCAACTCCCTCATCAGCTCTGATAAGCCAGGCTTTGTCACGTTCACCTCCAGTGGGCTGGATGCGGACAGCAGCTTCACCTGTCCTGGCCTGCCACCCCCTGTTGTTACTGCTACTACTACTTCACCAAAGGTGACGCCCACAGAGTTGGGACCAACAGCCTCAAGTGCTGAGTGTGAGTACCTAGAATCCCATGAGCTTTTCAGTTCTATTTTTGTGTCTATGTCTTCTACTAGAACTTTACAGTGTGTGTTCCACTGTAAAATATGATTTTATTGAAAAGCCTCAGTAAGTACTGTAAGCCTTCTGGGCTGCTTCAAGGTCTGCCGCCTGTGATGTGTTATTTGCAGTGTGCGGCAGCTCTCCCCTGAATACCCGGATAGTTGGAGGTGTAGATGCGCCACCTGGAAGTTGGCCCTGGCAGGTTAGCCTGCAGATATTTGGTGGCCATGTTTGTGGTGGTTCCCTTATCAACAGAGAGTGGGTGATGACTGCAGCCCACTGCTTCTTCAGGTGGGTATCTGTGACAAACTCCCATCAGTCTGCAGTTTTGCATGGCTATCAGTGCCTCTTTTTCCTAAATCTAATGCATTACTGTCGTTTTCTTGAACCTTAGCGAGAGTGTCAGCGATTGGCAGGTTTCTCTGGGTCGTCAGAACCTGCAAGGCCAAAACCCCAATGAAGTGTCCAGAGGTGTCTCCGCAATCATTTTGCATCCAAACTATGACAGTGCCACCAGCGACAATGACATTGCTCTGCTCAAACTCTCCTCACCAGTCCAGTTCACAGACTACATCAGACCTGTTTGTCTGGCAGCGGGTGAGAGTATATTCAACAATGGCACTGATAGCTGGGTCACAGGCTGGGGAGCAGTCCAGGAGGGAGGTGAGTCTACCGGTTGCTGGGAAATAGTCTGGGCCATGTGCCACAAACACACATGCGCACACACACACACACACACACACACACACACACACACACACACACACACACACACACACACACACACGCACACATAACAGGTGCATGTTTGAACCATCTCTGCTCTTGTTGCTTCCTCAGAGCCATTACCCTTTCCTGAAACTCTGCAAGAAGTGCAGGTGCCCGTTCTGGGAAACCGACAGTGTAACTGTCTGAATGGAGTGGGTACCATCACCAACAACATGATCTGTGCTGGTGTTCTGGCAGGAGGCAAAGACTCGTGCCAGGTATCTGTCCTTCTTTTTGCTTGTTTTTTGACAATGCTTTAAATTCCAAATGCAGTCAGCAACATTACTTTCTAACCATCACACAGGGTGACTCAGGAGGTCCAATGGTCAGTAAGCAGGGCAACGTCTGGGTCCAGTCTGGAGTAGTGAGTTTTGGTTTTGGCTGTGCTCGGCCCAATCTGCCAGGAGTCTACTCCAGAGTTTCCCGTTACCAGTCCTGGATCAACTCCCTCATCAGCTCTGATAAGCCAGGCTTTGTCACGTTCACCTCCAGTGGGCTGGATGCGGACAGCAGCTTCACCTTTTCTGGCCTGCCACCCCCTGTTGTTACTGCTACTACTACTTCACCAAAGGTGACGCCCACAGAGTTGGGACCAACAGCCTCAAGTGCTGAGTGTGAGTACCTAGAATCCCATGAGCTTTTCAGTTCTATTTTTGTGTCTATGTCTTCTACTAGAACTTTACAGTGAGTGTTCCACTGTAAAATATGATTTTATTGAAAAGCCTCAGTAAGTACTGTAAGCCTTCTGGGCTGCTTCAAGGTCTGCGGCCTGTGATGTGTTATTTGCAGTGTGCGGCAGCTCTCCCCTGAACACCCGGATAGTTGGAGGTGTAGATGCGCCACCTGGAAGTTGGCCCTGGCAGGTTAGCCTGCAGATATTTGGTGGCCATGTTTGTGGTGGTTCCCTTATCAACAGAGAGTGGGTGATGACTGCAGCCCACTGCTTCTTCAGGTGGGTATCTGTGACAAACTCCCATCAGTCTGCAGTTTTGCATGGCTATCAGTGCCTCTTTTTCCTAAATCTAATGCATTACTGTCGTTTTCTTGAACCTTAGCGAGAGTGTCAGCGATTGGCAGGTTTCTCTGGGTCGTCAGAACCTGCAAGGCCAAAACCCCAATGAAGTGTCCAGAGGTGTCTCCGCAATCATTTTGCATCCAAACTATGACAGTGCCACCAGCGACAATGACATTGCTCTGCTCAAACTCTCCTCACCAGTCCAGTTCACAGACTACATCAGACCTGTTTGTCTGGCAGCGGGTGAGAGTATATTCAACAATGGCACTGATAGCTGGGTCACAGGCTGGGGAGCAGTCCAGGAGGGAGGTGAGTCTACCGGTTGCTGGGAAATAGTCTGGGCCATGTGCCACAAACACACACACACACACACACACACACACACACACACACACACACACACACACACACACACACACACACACACACGCGCACACACACACACACACACACACACACACACACACACACACACACACACACACACACACACACACAACAGGTGCATGTTTGAACCATCTCTGCTCTTGTTGCTTCCTCAGAGCCATTACCCTTTCCTGAAACTCTGCAAGAAGTGCAGGTGCCCGTTCTGGGAAACCGACAGTGTAACTGTCTGAATGGAGTGGGTACCATCACCAACAACATGATCTGTGCTGGTGTTCTGGCAGGAGGCAAAGACTCGTGCCAGGTATCTGTCCTTCTTTTTGCTTGTTTTTTGACAATGCTTTAAATTCCAAATGCAGTCAGCAACATTACTTTCTAACCATCACACAGGGTGACTCAGGAGGTCCAATGGTCAGTAAGCAGGGCAACGTCTGGGTCCAGTCAGGAGTAGTGAGTTTTGGTTTTGGCTGTGCTCGGCCCAATCTGCCAGGAGTCTACTCCAGAGTTTCCCGTTACCAGTCCTGGATCAACTCCCTCATCAGCTCTGATAAGCCAGGCTTTGTCACGTTCACCTCCAGTGGGCTGGATGCGGACAGCAGCTTCACCTGTCCTGGCCTGCCACCCCCTGTTGTTACTGCTACTACTACTTCACCAAAGGTGACGCCCACAGAGTTGGGACCAACAGCCTCAAGTGCTGAGTGTGAGTACCTAGAATCCCATGAGCTTTTCAGTTCTATTTTTGTGTCTATGTCTTCTACTAGAACTTTACAGTGAGTGTTCCACTGTAAAATATTATTTTATTGAAAAGCCTCAGTAAGTACTGTAAGCCTTCTGGGCTGCTTCAAGGTCTGCCGCCTGTGATGTGTTATTTGCAGTGTGCGGCAGCTCTCCCCTGAATACCCGGATAGTTGGAGGTGTAGATGCGCCACCTGGAAGTTGGCCCTGGCAGGTTAGCCTGCAGATATTTGGTGGCCATGTTTGTGGTGGTTCCCTTATCAACAGAGAGTGGGTGATGACTGCAGCCCACTGCTTCTTCAGGTGGGTATCTGTGACAAACTCCCATCAGTCTGCAGTTTTGCATGGCTATCAGTGCCTCTTTTTCCTAAATCTAATGCATTACTGTCGTTTTCTTGAACCTTAGCGAGAGTGTCAGCGATTGGCAGGTTTCTCTGGGTCGTCAGAACCTGCAAGGCCAAAACCCCAATGAAGTGTCCAGAGGTGTCTCCGCAATCATTTTGCATCCAAACTATGACAGTGCCACCAGCGACAATGACATTGCTCTGCTCAAACTCTCCTCACCAGTCCAGTTCACAGACTACATCAGACCTGTTTGTCTGGCAGCGGGTGAGAGTATATTCAACAATGGCACTGATAGCTGGGTCACAGGCTGGGGAGCAGTCCAGGAGGGAGGTGAGTCTACCGGTTGCTGGGAAATAGTCTGGGCCATGTGCCACAAACACACACACACACACACACACACACACACACACACACACACACACACACACACACACACACACACACACACACACGCGCACACACACACACACACACACACACACACACACACACACACACACACACACACACACACACACACACACACAACAGGTGCATGTTTGAACCATCTCTGCTCTTGTTGCTTCCTCAGAGCCATTACCCTTTCCTGAAACTCTGCAAGAAGTGCAGGTGCCCGTTCTGGGAAACCGACAGTGTAACTGTCTGAATGGAGTGGGTACCATCACCAACAACATGATCTGTGCTGGTGTTCTGGCAGGAGGCAAAGACTCGTGCCAGGTATCTGTCCTTCTTTTTGCTTGTTTTTTGACAATGCTTTAAATTCCAAATGCAGTCAGCAACATTACTTTCTAACCATCACACAGGGTGACTCAGGAGGTCCAATGGTCAGTAAGCAGGGCAACGTCTGGGTCCAGTCAGGAGTAGTGAGTTTTGGTTTTGGCTGTGCTCGGCCCAATCTGCCAGGAGTCTACTCCAGAGTTTCCCGTTACCAGTCCTGGATCAACTCCCTCATCAGCTCTGATAAGCCAGGCTTTGTCACGTTCACCTCCAGTGGGCTGGATGCGGACAGCAGCTTCACCTGTCCTGGCCTGCCACCCCCTGTTGTTACTGCTACTACTACTTCACCAAAGGTGACGCCCACAGAGTTGGGACCAACAGCCTCAAGTGCTGAGTGTGAGTACCTAGAATCCCATGAGCTTTTCAGTTCTATTTTTGTGTCTATGTCTTCTACTAGAACTTTACAGTGAGTGTTCCACTGTAAAATATGATTTTATTGAAAAGCCTCAGTAAGTACTGTAAGCCTTCTGGGCTGCTTCAAGGTCTGCCGCCTGTGATGTGTTATTTGCAGTGTGCGGCAGCTCTCCCCTGAATACCCGGATAGTTGGAGGTGTAGATGCGCCACCTGGAAGTTGGCCCTGGCAGGTTAGCCTGCAGATATTTGGTGGCCATGTTTGTGGTGGTTCCCTTATCAACAGAGAGTGGGTGATGACTGCAGCCCACTGCTTCTTCAGGTGGGTATCTGTGACAAACTCCCATCAGTCTGCAGTTTTGCATGGCTATCAGTGCCTCTTTTTCCTAAATCTAATGCATTACTGTCGTTTTCTTGAACCTTAGCGAGAGTGTCAGCGATTGGCAGGTTTCTCTGGGTCGTCAGAACCTGCAAGGCCAAAACCCCAATGAAGTGTCCAGAGGTGTCTCCGCAATCATTTTGCATCCAAACTATGACAGTGCCACCAGCGACAATGACATTGCTCTGCTCAAACTCTCCTCACCAGTCCAGTTCACAGACTACATCAGACCTGTTTGTCTGGCAGCGGGTGAGAGTATATTCAACAATGGCACTGATAGCTGGGTCACAGGCTGGGGAGCAGTCCAGGAGGGAGGTGAGTCTACCGGTTGCTGGGAAATAGTCTGGGCCATGTGCCACAAACACACATGCGCACACACACACACACACACACACACACACACACACACACACACACACACACACACACACACACACACACACACACACACGCACACATAACAGGTGCATGTTTGAACCATCTCTGCTCTTGTTGCTTCCTCAGAGCCATTACCCTTTCCTGAAACTCTGCAAGAAGTGCAGGTGCCCGTTCTGGGAAACCGACAGTGTAACTGTCTGAATGGAGTGGGTACCATCACCAACAACATGATCTGTGCTGGTGTTCTGGCAGGAGGCAAAGACTCGTGCCAGGTATCTGTCCTTCTTTTTGCTTGTTTTTTGACAATGCTTTAAATTCCAAATGCAGTCAGCAACATTACTTTCTAACCATCACACAGGGTGACTCAGGAGGTCCAATGGTCAGTAAGCAGGGCAACGTCTGGGTCCAGTCTGGAGTAGTGAGTTTTGGTTTTGGCTGTGCTCGGCCCAATCTGCCAGGAGTCTACTCCAGAGTTTCCCGTTACCAGTCCTGGATCAACTCCCTCATCAGCTCTGATAAGCCAGGCTTTGTCACGTTCACCTCCAGTGGGCTGGATGCGGACAGCAGCTTCACCTGTCCTGGCCTGCCACCCCCTGTTGTTACTGCTACTACTACTTCACCAAAGGTGACGCCCACAGAGTTGGGACCAACAGCCTCAAGTGCTGAGTGTGAGTACCTAGAATCCCATGAGCTTTTCAGTTCTATTTTTGTGTCTATGTCTTCTACTAGAACTTTACAGTGAGTGTTCCACTGTAAAATATGATTTTATTGAAAAGCCTCAGTAAGTACTGTAAGCCTTCTGGGCTGCTTCAAGGTCTGCCGCCTGTGATGTGTTATTTGCAGTGTGCGGCAGCTCTCCCCTGAATACCCGGATAGTTGGAGGTGTAGATGCGCCACCTGGAAGTTGGCCCTGGCAGGTTAGCCTGCAGATATTTGGTGGCCATGTTTGTGGTGGTTCCCTTATCAACAGAGAGTGGGTGATGACTGCAGCCCACTGCTTCTTCAGGTGGGTATCTGTGACAAACTCCCATCAGTCTGCAGTTTTGCATGGCTATCAGTGCCTCTTTTTCCTAAATCTAATGCATTACTGTCGTTTTCTTGAACCTTAGCGAGAGTGTCAGCGATTGGCAGGTTTCTCTGGGTCGTCAGAACCTGCAAGGCCAAAACCCCAATGAAGTGTCCAGAGGTGTCTCCGCAATCATTTTGCATCCAAACTATGACAGTGCCACCAGCGACAATGACATTGCTCTGCTCAAACTCTCCTCACCAGTCCAGTTCACAGACTACATCAGACCTGTTTGTCTGGCAGCGGGTGAGAGTATATTCAACAATGGCACTGATAGCTGGGTCACAGGCTGGGGAGCAGTCCAGGAGGGAGGTGAGTCTACCGGTTGCTGGGAAATAGTCTGGGCCATGTGCCACAAACACAAACGCACACACACACACACACGCACGCACGCACACACACACACACACACACACACACACACACACACACACACACACACACACACACACACACACACACACACACACACACACATAACAGGTGCATGTTTGAACCATCTCTGCTCTTGTTGCTTCCTCAGAGCCATTACCCTTTCCTGAAACTCTGCAAGAAGTGCAGGTGCCCGTTCTGGGAAACCGACAGTGTAACTGTCTGAATGGAGTGGGTACCATCACCAACAACATGATCTGTGCTGGTGTTCTGGCAGGAGGCAAAGACTCGTGCCAGGTATCTGTCCTTCTTTTTGCTTGTTTTTTGACAATGCTTTAAATTCCAAATGCAGATAGCAACATTACTTTCTAACCATCACACAGGGTGACTCAGGAGGTCCAATGGTCAGTAAGCAGGGCAACGTCTGGGTCCAGTCAGGAGTAGTGAGTTTTGGTTTTGGCTGTGCTCGGCCCAATCTGCCAGGAGTCTACTCCAGAGTTTCCCGTTACCAGTCCTGGATCAACTCCCTCATCAGCTCTGATAAGCCAGGCTTTGTCACGTTCACCTCCAGTGGGCTGGATGCGGACAGCAGCTTCACCTGTCCTGGCCTGCCACCCCCTGTTGTTACTGCTACTACTACTTCACCAAAGGTGACGCCCACAGAGTTGGGACCAACAGCCTCAAGTGCTGAGTGTGAGTACCTAGAATCCCATGAGCTTTTCAGTTCTATTTTTGTGTCTATGTCTTCTACTAGAACTTTACAGTGAGTGTTCCACTGTAAAATATGATTTTATTGAAAAGCCTCAGTAAGTACTGTAAGCCTTCTGGGCTGCTTCAAGGTCTGCCGCCTGTGATGTGTTATTTGCAGTGTGCGGCAGCTCTCCCCTGAATACCCGGATAGTTGGAGGTGTAGATGCGCCACCTGGAAGTTGGCCCTGGCAGGTTAGCCTGCAGATATTTGGTGGCCATGTTTGTGGTGGTTCCCTTATCAACAGAGAGTGGGTGATGACTGCAGCCCACTGCTTCTTCAGGTGGGTATCTGTGACAAACTCCCATCAGTCTGCAGTTTTGCATGGCTATCAGTGCCTCTTTTTCCTAAATCTAATGCATTACTGTCGTTTTCTTGAACCTTAGCGAGAGTGTCAGCGATTGGCAGGTTTCTCTGGGTCGTCAGAACCTGCAAGGCCAAAACCCCAATGAAGTGTCCAGAGGTGTCTCCGCAATCATTTTGCATCCAAACTATGACAGTGCCACCAGCGACAATGACATTGCTCTGCTCAAACTCTCCTCACCAGTCCAGTTCACAGACTACATCAGACCTGTTTGTCTGGCAGCGGGTGAGAGTATATTCAACAATGGCACTGATAGCTGGGTCACAGGCTGGGGAGCAGTCCAGGAGGGAGGTGAGTCTACCGGTTGCTGGGAAATAGTCTGGGCCATGTGCCACAAACACACATGCGCACACACACACACACACACACACACACACACACACACACACACACACACATAACAGGTGCATGTTTGAACCATCTCTGCTCTTGTTGCTTCCTCAGAGCCATTACCCTTTCCTGAAACTCTGCAAGAAGTGCAGGTGCCCGTTCTGGGAAACCGACAGTGTAACTGTCTGAATGGAGTGGGTACCATCACCAACAACATGATCTGTGCTGGTGTTCTGGCAGGAGGCAAAGACTCGTGCCAGGTATCTGTCCTTCTTTTTGCTTGTTTTTTGACAATGCTTTAAATTCCAAATGCAGTCAGCAACATTACTTTCTAACCATCACACAGGGTGACTCAGGAGGTCCAATGGTCAGTAAGCAGGGCAACGTCTGGGTCCAGTCTGGAGTAGTGAGTTTTGGTTTTGGCTGTGCTCGGCCCAATCTGCCAGGAGTCTACTCCAGAGTTTCCCGTTACCAGTCCTGGATCAACTCCCTCATCAGCTCTGATAAGCCAGGCTTTGTCACGTTCACCTCCAGTGGGCTGGATGCGGACAGCAGCTACACCTGTTCTGGCCTGCCACCCCCTGTTGTTACTGCTACTACTACTTCACCAAAGGTGACGCCCACAGAGTTGAGACCAACAGCCTCAAGTGCTGAGTGTGAGTACCTAGAATCCCATGAGCTTTTCAGTTCTATTTTTGTGTCTATGTCTTCTACTAGAACTTTACAGTGAGTGTTCCACTGTAAAATATGATTTTATTGAAAAGCCTCAGTAAGTACTGTAAGCCTTCTGGGCTGCTTCAAGGTCTGCCGCCTGTGATGTGTTATTTGCAGTGTGCGGCAGCTCTCCCCTGAATACCCGGATAGTTGGAGGTGTAGATGCGCCACCTGGAAGTTGGCCCTGGCAGGTTAGCCTGCAGATATTTGGTGGCCATGTTTGTGGTGGTTCCCTTATCAACAGAGAGTGGGTGATGACTGCAGCCCACTGCTTCTTCAGGTGGGTATCTGTGACAAACTCCCATCAGTCTGCAGTTTTGCATGGCTATCAGTGCCTCTTTTTCCTAAATCTAATGCATTACTGTCGTTTTCTTGAACCTTAGCGAGAGTGTCAGCGATTGGCAGGTTTCTCTGGGTCGTCAGAACCTGCAAGGCCAAAACCCCAATGAAGTGTCCAGAGGTGTCTCCGCAATCATTTTGCATCCAAACTATGACAGTGCCACCAGCGACAATGACATTGCTCTGCTCAAACTCTCCTCACCAGTCCAGTTCACAGACTACATCAGACCTGTTTGTCTGGCAGCGGGTGAGAGTATATTCAACAATGGCACTGATAGCTGGGTCACAGGCTGGGGAGCAGTCCAGGAGGGAGGTGAGTCTACCGGTTGCTGGGAAATAGTCTGGGCCATGTGCCACACACACACACACACACACACACACGCGCACACACACACACACACACACACACACACACACACACACACACACACACACACACACACACACAACAGGTGCATGTTTGAACCATCTCTTCTCTTGTTGCTTCCTTAGAGCCATTACCCTTTCCTGAAACTCTGCAAGAAGTGCAGGTGCCCGTTCTGGGAAACCGACAGTGTAACTGTTTGAATGGAGTGGGTACAATCACCAACAACATGATCTGTGCTGGTGTTCTGGCAGGAGGCAAAGACTCATGCCAGGTATCTGTCCAGCTTTTTGCTTGTTTTCAGACAACGCTTTAAACTCCAAATGCAGTCAGCATCATTTCTTTGTATCCATCACACAGGGTGACTCAGGAGGTCCAATGGTCAGTAAGCAGGAAAAGGTCTGGGTCCAGTCTGGAGTGGTTAGTTTTGGTTTTGGCTGTGCTCGGCCCAACCTGCCAGGAGTCTACTCCAGAGTTTCCCGTTACCAGTCGTGGATCAACTCCCTCATCAGCTCTGATAAGCCAGGCTTTGTCACGTTCACCTCCAGTGGGCTGGATGCGGACAGCAGCTACACCTGTTCTGGTCTGCCACCCCCTGTTGTTACTGCTACTACTGCCTCACCAGAAGTGGCCACCACAGAGTTGGGACCAACAGCCTCAAGTGCCGAGTGTGAGTACCTAGAATCCCATGAGCTTTTCAGTTTTACAGCAATGTTTTAGGTTAATCCTAAGTCATTTCTAGTTTTTTCTGCACTACATGCTACAACTGTTGTCTCAATAATCACAGTCTTAATTTTTGAGCATTGATATGTTTACTTTCACAGCAAGCTCATTATATTTCTCTTTTTTTCCCTGGACACTTTGCTATTAATCCTGTCATACATTCTGCCTGTGAATGCTCTGCAACATAATGGCTGTATGTCAGCTGTGTGTGGCAGAAAATATTAGGGCCTGTTCACTCTGAAAAAAAATGTTCTTATGATACTGAGAATTTCCTAGGTTGAACCTACTCATGTTTTTGCAATTTTTTTTATCAAATAGGTCCCACTCACCTTACAGAATGCAGTGAGAATTTGAGAGATGCTGCTCTCTGATGGGTGTGGCTGGCTGTGCTGACAGTATATGTGAACACAAAACATGAGACAAAGAGAAAATTCTGTGTCTTTTGTTCCATAAAGCAGTGAACATTTTTTACAGAGTTTACAACCTAACTGGATCTCTGAAATGTTCAGTATGTGTTTTTCACAACCCATAGTGGTGCATGGCTTTGTTAAAATTGTCTTAATATTTATTCAACCATTTTTGATATAGTGTAAATGAAGCTTGACTAAATCTTAGCTAAACATTTTTTGATATGTAAGCCATTGTTTCTCTGAGGAACACTTAAAAATATAATTACATTATGTAAGACAACAAGGCTTTAAGATTTATTGAAAAATTTGAGCATGTTTTTTTTAAATAAATGCTTACTTATGCTATTTCTACTAAAAAGCTTTTGTCTGTTGTATTTAGTTTGACAGACTCTGTAAATGTGCTAAGCCAGCTTAATTGTTTCAAAATTCATCTCATGTGCTGTGTCATTTTCAGTGTGTGGCATCACTCCCCTAAATACCAGGATAGTTGGAGGTGAAGATGCACCACCTGGAAGTTGGCCCTGGCAGGTCAGTCTGCAGAGATTTGGGAGCCATGTTTGTGGTGGTTCCCTCATCAACAGAGAGTGGGTGATGACTGCAGCTCACTGCTTTTCCAGGTGTGTTTCTATCATAATGTGATATAAATAAATAGAGGTAATCTCAGGCTGGTAAAGTACAACTTTTTCTGTTCTATTGTTCCTTCAAAGTAAAGCTATCTTGTGTATTTTCTTTTAGTACAAGCACTTCTAGATGGAGGGTTTCTCTGGGTCGTCAGAACCTGCAAGGCCAAAACCCCAATGAAGTGTCCAGGAGGATCTCGAAAATCATTTTGCATCCAAACTATGACAGCGTCACCAGCGACAACGACATTGCTCTGCTCAAACTCTCCTCGCCAGTCCAGTTCACAGACTACATCAGACCTGTTTGTCTGTCAGCGGGTGAGAGTATATTCAACAATGGCACTGATAGCTGGGTCACAGGCTGGGGCGCAGTCCAGGAGGGAGGTGAGTCTACCGCTTCCTGGCAACTAGTCTGGGCCATGTGCCACAAACACACACACACAACAGGTGCATGTTTGAACCATCTCTTCTCTTGTTGCTTCCTTAGAGCCGTTACCATTCCCTGAAACTCTGCAAGAAGTGCAGGTGCCCGTTCTGGGAAACCGACAGTGTAACTGTCTGAATGGAGTGGGTACCATCACCAGCAACATGATCTGTGCTGGTGTTCTGGCAGGAGGCAAAGACTCATGCCAGGTATCTGTCCTTCTTTTTGCTTGTTTTCAGACAACGCTTTAAACTCCAAATGCAGTCAGCATCATTTCTTTGTATCCATCATTCAGGGTGACTCAGGAGGTCCAATGGTCAGTAAGCAGGAAAAGGTCTGGGTCCAGTCTGGAGTGGTTAGTTTTGGTTTTGGCTGTGCTCGGCCCAATCTGCCAGGAGTCTACTCCAGAGTTTCCCGTTACCAGTCCTGGATCAACTCCCTCATCAGCTCTGATAAGCCAGGCTTCGTCACGTTCACCTCCAGTGGGCTGGATGCGGACAGCAGCTACACCTGTTCTGGTCTGCCACCCCCTGTTGTTACTGCTTCTACTGCCTCACCAGAAGTGGCCACCACAGAGTTGGGACCAACAGCCTCAAGTGCTGAGTGTGAGTCCCTAGAATCCCATGTGCTTTTCAGTTTTACAGCAATGTTTTAGGTTAATCCTTAGTCATTTCTAGTTTTTTCTGCACTAGATTCTACAACTGTTGTCTCAATAATCACAGTCTTAATTTTTGAGCATTGACATGTTTACTTTCACAGCAAGCTCAACATATATCTCTTTTTGTCCCTGGACACTTTGCTATTAATCCTGTCATGCTTTCTCCCTATGAATGCTCTGCAACATAATGGCTGTATGTCAGCTGTGTGGGGCAGAAAATATTAGGGCCTGTTCAGTCTGAAAAAAAAAATGTTCTTATGATACTGAGAATTTCCTAGGTTGAACCTACTCATGTTTTTGCAATTTTTTTTATCAAATTGGTCCCACTCACCTTACAGAATGCAGTGAGAATTTGAGAGATGCTGCTCTCTGATGGGTGTGGCTGGCTGTGCTGACAGTATATGTAAACACAAAACATGAGACAAAGAAAAAATTCTGTGTCTTTTGTTCCATGAAGCAGTGAACATTTTTTACAGAGTTTACAACCTAACTGGATCTCTGAAATGTTCAGTATATGTTTTTTACAACCCATACTGGTGCATGGCTTTGTTAAAATTGTCTTAATATTTATTTCACCATTTTTGATATAGTGTAAATGAAGCTTGACTAAATCTTAACTGCATATTTTTTGATATGTAAGCCATTGTTTCTCTGAGGAACACTTAAAATATAATTACATTATGTAAGACAACAAGGCTTTAAGATTTATTGAAAAATTTGAGCATGTTTTTTTTTAAATAAATGCTTACTTATGCTATTTCTACTAAATAGCTTTTGTCTGTTGTATTTAGTTTGACAGACTCTAAATGTGCTAAGCCAGCTTAATTGTTTCAAAATTCATCTCATGTGCTGTGTCATTTTCAGTGTGTGGCATCACTCCCCTAAATACCAGGATAGTTGGAGGTGAAGATGCACCACCTGGAGGCTGGCCCTGGCAGGTCAGTCTGCAGAGATTTGGGAGCCATGTTTGTGGTGGTTCCCTCATCAACAGAGAGTGGGTGATGACTGCAGCTCACTGCTTCTCCAGGTGTGTTTATATCATAATGTGATATAAATAAATATAAGTAATCTCAGGCTGGTAAAGTACAACTTTTTCTGTTCTAGTGTTCCTTCAAAGTAAACCTATCTTATGTATTTTCTTTCAGTACAAGCACTTCTAGATGGAGGGTTTCTCTGGGTCGTCAGAACCTGCAAGGCCAAAACCCCAATGAAGTGTCCAGAGGTGTCTCCACAATCATTTTGCATCCAAACTATGACAGTGTCACCAGCGACAACGACATTGCTCTGCTCAAACTCTCCTCACCAGTCCAGTTCACAGACTACATCAGACCTGTTTGTCTGGCAGCGGGTGAGAGTACATTCAACACTGGCACTGAAAGCTGGGTCACAGGCTGGGGCGCAGTCCAGGAGGGAGGTGAGTCTACCAGTTGCTGGCAAATAGTTTGGACCATGTGCCACAAACACACACACACACACACACACACAACAGGTGCATGTGTGAACCATCTCTTCTCTTGTTGCTTCCTTAGTGCCGTTACCATTCCCTGAAACTCTGCAAGAAGTGCAGGTGCCCGTTCTAGGAAACCGACAGTGTAACTGTCTGAATGGAGTGGGTACCATCACCAACAACATGATCTGTGCTGGTGTTCTGGCAGGAGGCAAAGACTCATGCCAGGTATCTGTCCTTCTTTTTGCTTGTTTTCAGACAACGCTTCAAATTCCAAATGCAGTCAGCATCATTTCTTTGTATCCATCACTCAGGGTGACTCAGGAGGTCCAATGGTCAGTAAGCAGGGCAACGTCTGGGTCCAGTCTGGAGTGGTTAGTTTTGGTTTTGGCTGTGCTCGGCCCAATCTGCCAGGAGTCTACTCCAGAGTTTCCCGTTACCAGTCATGGATCAACTCCCTCATTAGCTCTGATAAGCCAGGCTTCGTCACGTTCACCTCCAGTGGGCTGGATGCGGACAGCAGCTACACCTGTTCTGGTCTGCCAGTAGCACCCACTGCTGTTAGTATTGTCACTAGTCCTGCAAGTGAGTGCCCTTAGAATTTATAAGTTTGCACAATAAGAATTTAGATTTTTTGAAAATCCTTCCTTTTTTTATTTAATATGTCTTCACATAAACACACTTGTTTTATCAGGGTCAGTGTGTGGCAAAGCTCCCATGAATAGTCGTGCTGTTGGTGACAGTGGAGTTGTACCTGGAGGTACCTGGCCCTGGATGGTCAGCCTCCAAAAGAATGGAGTTTTCACTTGTGCTGGAACCCTTATTGCGGACAATTTTGCCCTTACTTCTGCCCAGTGCTTTTCTACGTAAGTATTAAAGCAATTATCCACCATATTTTATTCAAAGTGTTCAGAGAGTAATTGTACACTCTGTTTTTAAAAGGTCCACTCCAAATGTGGATGAGTGGACAGCATTTTTGGGCCATCAACGTGTGAACGGCTCAGAAAAGTTTGAGATGTCTCTTGCCATACTGAACATCACTGTTAGCAAATCATCTGGCTCCAATATTGCACTGCTGCGTCTTGCTAAACCAGTAAGCTACAAGGATCATATCCAGCCTGTGTGTATGGACACTAACAATGTCAGAAACTTTCCCATTGGAAGTCAGTGCTGGGTGCCAGGCTGGGGCACTGGCAAAGGTAAAGGTTTATGTTTGTTTTTGTTTTTAGATGAATTAAATAGTCAGATGTTATAAGATTTTAGGACTTTAAATTTCTTAATTATATACCAGATATTTAAATAGATAGTTCATAAAGAATTTCTGTATTCATGTGAGTTAATGGGATTTTCTCTGTGCTAATAAAGCTGGCTCAGATCTTCGAGACCTTGAAACTCAAGTTGCAAGTTGTGGAACTGTTTCTGATTCTGACAACATCTGCACTTACACCATGGCTCTTCAACAGGTAAAATAAAGTCTCAAAATCCTAAAATATTTAAGTAAAAAAAAACAAATTCAAGGCAGCTGTTTTCAGTTTGATAATTCTTGTGGTTTTTGCAGGGGGATGAAGGCGCCCCTCTGCTTTGCAAGTCCGATTCATCTTGGTTCCAGGTGGCCGTGGTATCAGTAAGTGGAAGTAAATCAACGCGTGCTGACGTCCAGGTCTTTACAAAAACGTCAACATTTGGGTCATTTTTAATAGAGACAGTTGGTGACATGCCCACTCCAACAGCAACAGGAAATGCACAAAGTTTCTCTGTCTCCTTGCTCTTCTCTTTCACTATCCCCGTTGCAACGGTGTTCCTCTGGTCATGATGTTCATGATCTTTCAGCTAAATTAGTTCATTACAGCACTTCCAAGTCCAGTTTTTGAACAGACTGAAACACTGTTTTCAAGGCTGTGTTTGCAGTCTGTAAAAATGCACTTAACATTCTCAGGTGAAGTGGTGGAAATGTTACACCACAGATGTTTCAAAAGTTTACATTTTATCATTCAGTGACAGATTTTATTTGAATGAATTATGCAGGGTTGCATTTCTCAAAACATCTTTCAGTGACGTCTGTTCAATTGTTCCATTTTTGCCTCTTTTCTTTCAACATAAAAGCATGACTATGACTCTTAAATGAAGTAAAATGATCTTGAATGTTCATGAAAAATGTATTTTATTAATAAATATTGAAGCATAAAAAAGTCTTTCTTTAAAATATAACAAAACATCCATCAGTATTGACAATGTTGCAATTTAGTATTAACAAAGAAATGCACGTCATCAGTATAAGCTGCATTCAAATCAAAGTTATTAGTGGCTGAGGAAATCAACATTTTTTTTTTTTTGGCTTTAAAGCATCACAACTTAACTGTGACGCAAACCATATCAAGCAATTCAGGCCTTTATTAGAATTGCTCCTCTTGGAATTAAAAGGTTCTATCTGACTGTTTTGTCAAAATGAGTTATCTATCTTTTCTTTTTTTTTTTTTTTTGGCAACCTATAAACATTTTCCAATTTGTTTTTGTCTGAGTTTTATAAAGTTTTGGTCTTTTTGAAAACAAATAATAATAATTTCATCTGCAAAGCCAAGGTGAGCGGAATCAACAGGGATCCATGTATTCAACACTTGACTTGAACAGGAGAGGGCCAATCAGGTTCTCCTTATTTTTGATGGCACTGCACTGCTCAGTGAGGGCGGGAAAGGGGAGAGCAGACCACAGACTGTATAATAACTACATGTAGCATGATTGATGTCACCCATCTGTTTCTGAAGCAGTCCCCATACTGGTGATGCTGTCTCTACCGATCATTTGGTTAACCTACCAGAGGCGCACCTTTAGCCTTTAGCCTCCTTGCACAAGGTAACAGTGTGCCTGTCTGTTTTTTTTTTTTTTTAACCAGGCTGTAAACAATTCTACTTTTGCTCTAAAAACTGCCTTTTTGGCAGTGTGTGTACATGGTTTCTGGTGTTTCTACACCTAATCTTTTGTGCCCAATATCTCAAAACTTCTCAGGGTGCAGAGAGAACCTTATGATTCCAGGGGGGCATAGAACAAATAATATAAAATAACATATTCAGCTCACGTACACGCCAAAGCAGATGTATATATTTTTTTGTATGAGGGCCAAGAATACCACCAAAGGAAGGTAACCGAGGATAACAGCTTGAAATGTTTTGAAAAAGTTTTGTTGTTTTGTGTTCTGCTGTGTGCTCATATTATCGTTTATGATATAAACTAATGGGATCTAGAAAAAAAGTGATGTCTGTGAGGCACCAACTTTTTATTATTCTGGTAGGGGTGCAGCTTCATCAGCACCTGGACTCCCTGCTTCACCTGGACTCCCTGCTTCACCTGCCCCCTCACTCATCATGTCCTTGTACTTACTTTTGAAAAATCCAGCCTGAGAGCAGACAACAAAGGGGATTATTCAAAACATGCATAAAAAAATCAAGTTTAGAGAAAAAAATTGTTTTTTCCATTTTAAAAAATCTAAATAGTTTTAAACGCAATGATGTAAATTTACCTTGTACAGGCCAGCAGTGAGTAAAGCCAGGAAAGCCAGACCTCCTATAGACCCTCCGATAATCTCCTTAGTGAAGTCAGGTTCAGGATACACCTCTACCTCTGTCTCAATCTGTCAGATTAAATGATAGATGGTGGATCAAATCCGAACTCTTCTTTTTTATCTCAAAAACCTAAAACTGAGTGCTCACCTTGCGAACAGGGGGATTGTTACTGGATCCTGTTGAAATGAAGATGTACTGGTTTTTGTCGTAATCCAGAGTAGCTGTGCTGGTCACAAGGAATTTTGCAGATTCCAGTCCTATCTGTATTTGAAAAAAAAAAAAAAATAGAGTTTCATGAGAACAAAAATAATTTTGAAGAGAAATTACCCCTTAGGTCAGAGTCCAAGCACAATACTTATCTGTTTAAAATACACAAGATTCACCTGTTCGATCCATCCAGAGCTAAGGTTTGCAGAGATTTGATACTTTTTTGTCTCCAGTCTTCCCATTAAAGTACTGCATCTGAAGACACCACAGCTGGCTACAGAGCAGTCCTGATGTTGTTAAGGTGAGAAAGAAAGCAGAGAGGGACTTATTAACTCTTGTAGCATCAAAATTATCTACAGGAGCAACTCTTGTTCTGTTAGTGCGTCTGCAGCCCCTTAACTGGCCTGCACTGTCAGTCAACACCACTGGTGCTCCTCCTTAATGTCCTTAGTAGGGGTGGGTATTGGCGAGGGCCTCACGATACGAACACGATACATATCACAATACATGTGTCACAACATGATATGATTCAATATGATTCAATACATTATGGCTGTATATTTGCAAGGACTTCATAATACAAGACATATCACTATATAGTAATAATAACATTGTTAATCATTCAAAAACACAAGTTGCTGTAAATGAGGATACTGATCCAATGATGAACTGAGTCAAAACTTTGTTTCAAACGACAAATACCATTTTCCCCTGCTTTACGATGTCACCTCTGCCGACCTCACTGGACAAACAGATGATTTTATTTTTCCATTATCAAAGATTTGACTTCACACAACCAATTAATTTTAAAATATCAATACTTGGTATGTGACAATACAATATATCAGGATATATCGCAATACTATGCTGTATCGATTTTTTCTCCCACCCCTAGTCCTTAGACTGACTTGTGAACACAACACTCAGGAGACAGAAATGATGTCCAATAAACAAGAGTGATTTATTGATTTCATCCTTATAAATTACTAACATAAGCAAACGTGTTTTTATCATTAGCCTGTTGCTTATGTGTTTGTATACTGTTTTGATCTGTAATACGCCATCCTGGAGACAACCCAATAATATCAAGCTAATGTTTAATATTTCAGCTCATACTATGCTGTGTTGTGGACGCATACTTACCACAATCTTATTTTTCTGTACTTGAGGGATAAAATCTCTGACTTGTGGTTCCTTATCGTTCTTTCTTTCACAGTTTGGAATCTGAAACACAGATGATTCGTTTCAGTTCATAAAACAGTACTAATGCATCTGTTAATTAGGCCGTGAGGGGTTCAGTTTCAAATATTTCCAGGGGTCAGTAAATTCCTCTCTTACCTGAAAACTGCTTGAATCCACCCAGATGTCTTTTTTCCCGAGCTTTACAGGCACCATGATCACTACAGTGTAAGTCAGAGGCCTGATATCATTTGTTACCTATTAGAAAGGAGAGACAGAAAAGTGAATGTACAACAAGACAAAAGTCAAGTCTGAAATGAGTTCATGCATTCAAAAACTATTTGCTGTTATTACGGTATGAAAAGGTATCTTACTGTAATTGTTTGCTGGACTGATTTCTGCAGATCATTCTTTCCAAAAGTGAAATTGTTGTAACTGAGGGAACTAAACAGACATATTCAAGGTATTCTAGTAAAGTATCAGCTTCAAATTCTCAAATTTTTGTAAAGTTATATTTCTTGTTTTTACATACCTCTCAATTGTTGCAAAAATGCTGTACTTCACAGCAATATCTCTCTGTATGTAGAGCTCACTTGACTTGGAGTGTTCCTCATTCCCGCTAAAAGACAGGTTGAATTATTAATCAAATGCAAGAGGGTTATTGTGTACAAACACAGTCGGTGACTTTAATGTTTATGATACCTGGTAGCATTTGCAGTGAAATAAATTTGGTTGTCAAGGCGGCTATTGGTGTCAATCCCATAGGAGACGATGAAGAGAGCCTGAAATTAAATGAATGAGCGTAATTAGAAGCGTATTTTCTCAGCAGTAGTGAGATGTGATCATCTTGGTTAAAATCAAACCTCAGTGCCGCTCTTGAAGATGGGCTGGTCAACAGTGCAGTCAGTCTTTCCACGAGATAAACCATCATTACTGTCCAAGGAATTGCACTCAATCCTTCCCTTTATTGAAACAATTTTTCATGAGCATTTTAAAAACCAGTATCTCTGTGCGATGAATCGACTCTGACTTGATTCTAATGCCTCACCTTTAGAGATGTAAACTTTCTGAAAGAGAGCCCGGCTGGGTATGTGAGAATGACTTGAGTATTGTAGGAGTTTTCCTCTGTATTTTTTACCGAGACAGTCACACTCAACAGCTCATCAATACCAACTTTGACCTCTAAGGATCTGAAAGAATATGGGAAAAGAGACGGTAAGGAAAACAAGACTCAAGAGTTTATCCACACTGCCAGCTTAATAAATGTGACAACACTAAACAACCTTAATCAAGCCTATTAAGCCATGTAAATATAAAATACAAACGTATTTTGTAAAATATAAAATGGCTTGAGGGAGGTGAGATGCGGTTTTGTGTTGTACTCTGGGAAAACCTCAAGATTATGCCTAAGTCAGTACGGTTTAACTGAACCACCATCCTGATCCCAGTTTACATTAACAGGACAAGGATCGTAATATTGATGAGATCATGTCAGCCTCTGCTTTCTTTGTCTGTTGATGGCTTGTTTACTGCCTGGCTTCTTAGTAACGCATACATGCAGTTCAACCACCAGCTCAGAGCCCTGGAGTGCAAACACATGGGCATGTACAGAACACTTATGGCATTATCAAGGTATGTTAGTTGGACTATGAGAAGTTTCAGTTAGACTTTTTCGATAAATTGATTATTTTAAGTGCATGTGAATGTGTTGACCCTGGAACAATGGCTAAAAAAAAATCTGACACAAATCAATTTCAGATTCCTGCAATATCAATACCAAGAAAAATACATGTCAAACCACAAAAATGAAATGATGGAAAGAAAGTTTCTGCCTTGACCCTTGTGTCATCAGTAACTGAGACTGGATTATTTTGTTTGCACCATGTAATGCGACACAATGCTCTTGCCTGCTTCAACTACAAGAAGCAACATGGCGTGTTTTATACCTTATCTGTTTACTGGACCTCAATGATTTTGACAGCATCACTGAACAGTCTTGTTATTTCTTACTGCCAGCATTACTCTTTTCTCTATGCTCCCATGCTGCTCTGGTCCCCAACATATATCACTTTCTTTTGCACTCTCACGCTCTTTACCACCTACAAAATCCTGAAAATCCTGTAAGAAACCACCTGTGGCTGCACAACCCAATTACCAGGCTTTATTATTTTGACTTACTCTGTGAAGTTGAAATCCACTTTCAGGTTGTCTACACATTTGTCATCGGTGCCGCAGTTGATCTCAAATCTTAACTGTTGATGAGAACGGGAAATAAACCACAATAGAAATCAGTATTTGTTACTGGGTCAGAAGGGTAACATTTGTGGTAGCATGTAGACATAGTTCATGCTTTGTTGCTCATTTCTTACAATGAAGACCCAATGAAAGCGTTGGCAAATTTAAACTGACCAATAAATGAGTCTTACAAATCCTTGTAGATTACTTACAGGATAAAAAGCTGTTTTCTGAACCTGCTGAGCCAGACTTGAGCGAAGACCACCAGTAGAGGGTAAACCTTGAAAGTCAAATGTGAGTTCATTGCGAAGTTCATTTAGAGCATCTTCCGGACAAGGCTGCAGGAAGAGGAAGTTATTGAGTAAAACTTGTCTTTCAAAATATAAAGGGCTGTTATTTTCCACATTGAACTTCAGTGTGACCTCAAATGACATTAAGAGGCTCAGATTCAACAGAGTCTACCAGATTTTTATATTTTCATCCAACTGCTCACCCGAGCAAAGAAGTTAATGGTACTGCATTTCTGGTTTTGTAAAACAAGCTCAATTGAGCTTGTCCTCTCTCTGATCTTTTCACTGAAGAAAGCTCGGTTCTGTGGTATGTTACGAGTGGCATCCAATGTAATAGTATAGTTGATCCTCGCTTTGGCTGGAGAGAGAGTTTAAAAAAGAGTTAATCGTGGACACACATGAAGGTATTCACACGGATGGAGAAGAATTGAGGAGAATCAGTTACCTGTGCTGACTGTCGAGAGTCTGGTCATAAGAAAGCAGAGTCGAGCTGAAAGAGGTATTGGTGCTGAACAGTCAGAGTTTTGAGTGGGGATTTGGATCGGGTTGTATGACATCATAGTTTCTACCATGACTATTGGCATTGACCTGCAGATTGATAAGGCAGGGGAAAAAGGAAACAACCTTAGTGTTAGGGCTTGATGATCAAACAGAAAAAAATCAACTGATTTAAGTTGCCTGATTTAATCTTTTACAGGTGAACACCTCAGACCTGAATGAGGAGTTTTTGTTGTTTGTTTTTTTGAAATTTACAAAATACTTTAAATTTATATTGGTGCTTTTTCATGATATTCAAAAGCTAAAAGACCATCAGGAACAAGATTTACATTATTTTAGACTTATTACTAGGTTTATAGGGTAGGTGTCACCCTGTTTTTACATTTTACATATAAAATATTCATAATAAATCAAATATTTGCCAGATAGAAGTTCCAATGAGATTTTTGTGTCTGCTGACACTACTTAAGCATGAAAAGGACAAGATATACTAAGACTGTTTTGCCCACAGGGGGTGCCAATACTGACAAACTCAAAGTTCCTCACATAAGCTTTAAGTAATGTACAGTATTAACACCAATGGTACAGAGTTTGAGTTGCAGCCTTTTACCTGAGAAGAACAACTTTCCCCATCGAACCCACTGCCAAGTCTGGCAGATTATCCCCGCTTTGGTCTAAAGAAGACTGACTGATAGACATGCCAAAGAACGTCAGTCCTGACTGCACTTGAGAGCCAGTGATTCTCTATGAGGGAAAGAAGTCAATTAATATGATACAGTGGCAAACTTGAAACTATACATACAGGAAACTTAAAAAGCCATGCTTTTGTATTTTGACCCACTCGAACTTGCTAACCTGTGAGAAAACAGTATTGATTCCTCTTGATCCCCCTTCGCCATGGAATATATAGATGCTGCCTTGATTGTCGTTTTCTAAAGGTGCTCCAACAGCCAGATCTTTTAGACCATCATGGTTAAGATCAGGCAGCACAGCAAGAGAAGACCCAAACCTTGCTTTGTTGGATGCAGCCCCCCTCAGTATGATTGGAGAATCTGGAGCACAGTCTACATGCTGGTGAAAAAAAATCAGGATGTGAGTCAACATTTGCATATTCAACACACCAACAAAAAAAGTGTGAAATAGAGCAGGATAAAAGTCATTCACCAAACCAGTTAAGTGGCAAACAAAAACTCTTCCCTCTCCGTCAGTGTCCACGTACATTGGGGCTGATATAAGGATCAGATCAGTGTTGGGGTCATCATCCAGTTTCATTGCACAAACCTCTGCCCCAAAGTATTCACCGCTCTGAGATTGCGTTGACTGCAAATGATCAATAAAGAAGTTAATTTTTTATGAAATGATTTGCTAAAAACGTTTCTTACATTTTTATCGTTTTATCCTCATTAATTGTGAACACACCTGCCATCGAAAGGGGTCAATCATTTGACTACCTCTGTTTCCTGTGACGACCATTACAGCTCCTCTGTGTCTGTATCTCGGAGCACCAACAATTGTCAATGAGCCTTGCCTGGTTGTAGCTACTGTCATTGAGTAACCTGGAAGTCAAGAGTGAAGTTTATACGTTAGGGTATCTAAAGGTTTGGTCAACTGAGGAAAATAACTTATCTGAACGAACCACTTTTCCCATGAAACCTCTTTTTTTTTTTTTTTTTTGGTGCGGTATGTATAATTTTTATGAGTACAATTTTTATTAGGAGCTTTAATGTTGCTATTTTGTTTCGCTTCATATTGGAAGTGTAGTTCCAATTTATGCCACAAGAGGGGGTTCAGCCTTCCTAAAGAGACTTGCGGTACAAGAGAAGGAGACACACTACCTGTGGCCAGTCTCCTGATTTTTGCTCTTATTTACTGAAAATTCAATCTGGCTTCAGCCCTCACATCTGGGGCACACTAGGATGGGACAGAATGAGATGAGTCTGATGTAACATCTGCTAACAGACTCAACAGGGAGATGACGGCTCCAGTGTTCAAGTTGAGTCAACAAAGTTCAGGTCCAGATATTTTTTTTTTTGTTTGTTTGTTTGTTTTTTTCTGTAAATCAGGATATGATTTCACAGGACACAGTGGGATGTACTTCACTGTGAAATGGTGCTGTGTGAATCTGTACATAAAGATACAGCACACCATGATAAAATATGCTGTGGTTTGATAGTTGGGGCATGTTCCGTCAGAGAGGTTAGTCTTTCTACAGGGACTGAATACATGGAGATATAAGGAGCTGAAAAGCAGGAACTAAAAGGTAAAAGTTACTAGTGGTAAGAAAGGATTCAGTGAAGAAATGCCATGCTGGTATTGCCAGCATCTGCCACCTGGTTTCTCATTTTCTTTTATAGAAGTTTCAGTTTGTATTAAATTTATGTTCTTACCCAGATAACTGTCAGACTCCATGTTGTAATTGTCAGGCTCATAGGAGTCGCTGAACTGGCCATTGAGTGTGTATCTTTCATAGCCTCCCCTCCATGTGTTTGCACCAACAATACCCATCTGTATTCCCTTTATCAGAAAACAAAGACAGAAAATTCCATATAATGTGATTGCCACAGGCTATTATTCAAAAAAATATCGATTATCCAGAGAAATTACTGTAACTTTTAGTTACCTCAGAGGTATACGTTGCACTGAATCCACTTTGAGACATTTCTTTTTTCAGTGTCTCTCCTCCAGTTTGAGATCCTGGTGAAACAACATAGCATGACACTGTGGTCTGAATTGAAGCTATTTTTTATGAATACATTGAATTAATAATGGTGTACCATGAAAAAACTGGGTGGTCATGTGAAAAAAGTTTTGACACGATTTATTGTCTACTTTTGGAACAATAGTAATCAGAGCGATTTCGAGTGAATTTTTTTCACTCTGTACCTTCAATAGCGAAGATTTTCTCTTGCAAACTCTGCTTTACTTGTTCCAGTGCATCAAAGTTTTCCACCTGAAATATGTGGTTTGCTGCTGGTGAAGATGCAATTGTGTCCAGTTCGTCTCTTGCGCTAGTTTTATAAAATGCACCCCCTACCTGGGGATATTCAGAAAGAGTTCAAGTCAATCCATCCTCAAAATAATATATATATATATGTAAATATATATATACAAAGTGCCTTTACACAAAACTAGAAAGCTAAAGCTTACCCCAATTGCAAATCTCACAATCTTGTTCCTTTCTGCAGAATTGACAGAATCTCTCAAGTTATTACCACCATTAGATTCTCCGTCAGTGACGACGATCAAAACCTTCTTCACACCTGTCCTTGAACCTTGACCTCCAAAAATTTCTCGGCTGTAAAAAACAAGATTTACTTTCAGTAGAACTTTCTGTGTTGGCTTTTAAATAATGACATACTGTGTTTTAAAGATGAATAGTAAAGTAGTAATGTTTGTCACTTTCTCACGTTTGACTTTTAACTACACAGTGTTTGAGTATTTATCTCTCATCAATCAACATTAATTATGACATTGTTTCAGAGTTGCAGTTAGTTCAACCAACTTTTTATCTTACTAATGTGAAATGGGTTGGAGGTTTAAAATTCTGAAATAGAAAAATCCAAAGCAGATAGAGACAGGTTGCAAAATTATGTTAATTGTGTTAGGATCCCTTTTTTGTGCTTGTGTTTGAATTTTGTGGTGAATAATAGAGATGTCAATTTGAAGACAATGATAGGAATAGTGGTATTACTAGAAGTATCCAATAAACTTTACATTTAATGAACAGTTTCATCTCTAAAAGGACCAGTTGATCCGCCATTTTCCTAATATAAAAAACGAAGAGGATGTTTGAATGTTAACATTGACAAAATCTCATGGAACATGAAGTGCATGTGAAAAAATGTGCACTTTAAAATCACTAGAGTCTATATTCAGTAGTTCCATACTTTAAAAGCCTGAGGTCATGTGATACCCCTGCATCTTGAGGGCACTTACACAACACGGTTGATGGCAGTGCCTGTGTGAGTGCTTCCCCCAAGCTGTGTAAAAGAGTTTATTACACTTGTCCATCTGGTAGAATCAAGTTTATTCAGAAAAGAATGGATTCTGAATTCGCTAGAGAACTGGGCAATGGCAAACTGCAACAAAGAAGACATGTGTAAGTGTATTTGTCAAATGGGGAAAATGTCACAGCAAGCACAATTATATCTTTGGGACCTTAAGTAGATGAGGTACCTGTGTATCTGTCCCCCTGAATGCATCGATCATTCCTTTCACAAATGTCTTCATCTTTCTAAAATCTCCAGCAACCACACTGCCTGAGCCGTCCAACAGAAACGTAATATCCGCTTGGGTCTGACACTCTGTCAAAAAGAACAGTTGGTGTTTGCAGTTTCTGTTAAGTCACACAATCCCACCCTCTCTTTGATTCAGTAACATTGCTTACAGGTATACAATCTGTCTACTTGCTCCAGTTGTCAAATGTAGTCTGTTTTTAATCTAATACTTCGATTTCTGCTAACATGCATGTGGTGTTGGGCCCATCAATAAAAGACCTCTTCTTCCTTTTCCTTTATTGAAATAATGTGTTTAACTCAGGAAAAAAATCATATTATTACCAGGAAGAGATGACGGCATTGGGCCTCCGATGTCATCATTCCTGGTTATCTTGAAGCAAACACCATTGTACATGGTGATACTTCTGCAGTCCTTTGGGATGGTTGGTCCACAGGCCTGAAGGAAGATGTACCATGATTAATCTATGCTTTGATATAAGGAAGGCACTGTGGCCTGGTTAATACAGTTTTCCAGCTCACCAGTGTGTTTTGTGTCACAGGATCGCTCGCCAATGTCAAACCGAGGGACATGTTGGTAGCAAATTGTGGTTCTTCATTGAAAAGAGAAAAAAAAAACACCAAAAGAGTTACTTAGGATACTGTATTTACAGCAACAAGCTGTTGTCTCAGAAAACAGTACAAGCAGCAGTTATCTTTTCCCATGAGCATTCCAATTTTAACGTCTTATTTTAAATCTCAGTGTTGAAAACAACATGAAAGGGGAACTGCACCAAAAGAAACAGTTTCTTCACAACAAAGTTGGGTAATCTTTCCTGTAATCTGTTTCAAAAAACTCCAATGATGCCCACGTCAGTTTCAAGACAACACTTCGCATTTCCTCTATATACTTCTGAAGTTTAAATTGGGAACAAGAAGTTGCTTACTGGAAACTGTTAGTTCACTGCAGGAAGAGGTAGTGCAGCTATATATTTGACCCCTTCCAGTCCTAGAGTATTGTTCAAGAGGAGCACTGACCAGCAAACTGAGGAAACAAAACCAGAGAATTAAGCGAGAAGGACTGCTGGCTGAGAAAAGTCAAGCCAGATGAGTCACAAACACAAAAAGTGAAAACAGAACTAAAGTGAAAACAGTAGACATTTGACGTTTGTGAACCCAGGTCTTCTCTTACCCGGATTTTCTCTGCACAACCTGGTATCCAAAACCAGCAGCTTCATTGTCAAGGGTCCTCCAGGCCTCAGGCTCGATGTTAAAACAGAGTACAGATTTCAGCACTGAGGAACAGAGAAGGAAGAACTCCTCAGTTGTTTTTCCGTTAGAAAATTCACTGTTCATGAAGTGTGAGTTAAATCCAAACAACTTGAAAACTTTGACCATTCACTTATAGAGTGGAATCAGCCAAGGTCATTCCAAACCTTGCCATTAGGGGGAGTTAAGTCATTTACATTCTGTCTTGTGAACATCTGTATACTATATTACCTTCTATATTCAAAACATTTTACAGAGCCACAGTTTCATGCCCTTCTGAAAACCTGTGATTGTGCTTCTGGGTGATATTTTCCCTCTATCAAGAAATTAGATATTAGGTACAAGAGAAAAGACATTTTCTCAACAACAGGTAACTTTAAATACTAAGAAGTACAAAGTACACGTAGGAGGTCTTTCTATTTTAGAGCTTGCACAGGATTTCCTATATTCAGTGATTTTGTTGCACATTAAAGGTGTCATTTTTTTTGCCTTTTTTGGTCACAGAAGGTTGTCTTCAAAAGGACAGCATGATGCATACATCATGACTAATTACTTCCTTATATGCCTCCAATAGGTTACAAGAGATTGATTGATGAGAGGGTGTGTATTTAGCAAACTTCCTCTGTTAGAGCTGTTCAGCTTCACCTTCACACCTTTTAGACACAGTAATCAAATTTTGACCGTTGTATTTCAGAGTGTTAAAAAATAAAAAAGCAGGTTCTTCTTTTCTTTGTTATTTAGTTTATGAGTTTGTCACTTGGTATCCTTTATGATTTAAGAATATTTCTCTCTCAAACAATAGTCCCCATTCTCCAATCACTCCTGTTATGCATCCCAACTATTTTGTGCTCAGTCAGTCAAAATATACTGGAACAACTTAACATGAACAGGAAGTATCCCAGCAGCTTCAGCCTTTCAATTCTGCTGTTAGTTTTCCATAAGTGGGCAGTGTTTCATCAGTCCTTACATGTATCTGTCTTTTTTGTCTGTGTTTAAAAGAGGACTACCAAATTTTCCTTCACTCTCCCTCGTAGACCCAGAACTGGTATGAAATAAACAGCTATGAAGGTCTGTCAGAGTTAAGAGAAGTATTCAGTTTAAGGTGGGTTGAGTGCCACTATGTTATTCATTGGTCTTATCGGCTTCCTGTTTTTTATTTTGGTGTCCTTTTGAGTTTGTTATCTTGTCTTTATTTTTGATGATTTTTGGAGGGGCTTTTTCACCCTTATTAATGCAGGACAGCTGAATAGAGATTAAAAGTGTGGAGAGTGAAGGAGACATGCGGTAAGGTGTTGTGGCGAAGAGTTAAACTAGACAAGAACTGTAACCTCTGTGTGTAAAAGTCACACTTAAACTGTGTTTTTTTCTCCCTCTTTTTCTCTCTCTCTGCTTTTTCTTTTTCTTCTTCACATTCACGCAGGTGTGACCAAAGTGTTAAGAACTACAAAAGTTGAAAAGAGCTCACACAGTTATAGTTTTGTTTTAGGTTAACTTTTTGTTACGGTGTGAGTTGTAAGTCTAAAAAGCTGTACTCTAGTTTTTCTGCCACTAAAATAAAGAATAGAGTCAGCTGTGTCAGTAAAGATACTGTGTAGTTAGAAACTGACTAATGATAAATGACTTCAGATAGTTAAATTCAGAGAGGATGAAAATACAAATAAGAAACAGAACATTTGAAGCGTTTTTTTACTCTCTGTTATAACAGCTGTAGTTACAAATTGTTTTTAAAGTAAATTAAATTTTCAATGCAGAGAAAGGATGTTAATTTTACTTGTGACACAGATACACAGAAAGAGAGGCACAGGGACATAATATGGAGCAGTTAACTGGTCTTACCTGTCAATAATACTGCAGCAGAAATGATCCACTCCATTGTGATACTCCCATGAGAAAACAGTGTGAGTCTGTATTTTGTGAGCTCATGCGCATTTATTTTTGGAGTGTGACCCAGACTCTGATTCTGCTCCTCAAAGTTCAGATGTTGAAAGCAAAATGCAGAAACTGGAAGGTTACTCAAGAGGAACTTTAAGGTGGGAGGGGTCACAACATGAACAGATGCTTATGGTTGCTTACACACCGGATGTTGTCATTTGATTGTAATAAGTCAAATTATTAATAATTTTTTTTTAGTAATTTTGATGCTCATGAACTTTTTCCCTGCACAACATTGCCTGCTGCAAAATTCAGAGATTATTTCAAGAATGATGCAGTGATGTGCTTTGAATAATCTTAATGGTGGCTTTATTCAGGCAGCATATATATATATGATGTTTCATATATATATATATATATATATATATATATATATATATATATATATATATATATATATATATATATATATATATATATATGATATTTATATATGACCTAAAACATGTTTCAAAATTACTGACGATGGATGCTGACTTTTGCAGCTATTTCCGCCTAACAAGAGAATTGCCAATGAGGAATGAGGATGTGTCCATTTTAATAATAACACCAGTTGTTGCTTTTATCTCCTGCCAACACCAGTTCTGCAAAGAAGAAGTTGTCAGTTTCTAATTTACAAAATCAGAATTTTTTATCTGGTCTGTCATCGCTAGGGGTGTGTAAACACTCCCATTATTTAACTATCAAAACTGGCCTTCTCATGAAAAACCTAAAAATAATAGGGAACATTTCTCCTTTTTTTCTCAACTTCCTCTCCATTGTTTCACCCCGAAGTAAATTAACATTTGAAAGTGTTTGCATTTATAAAGTCATGTACTTTGACCTTGCCAATTGGTCTTCTACACAGTATATGTTTTTCATATCCTTTGCTGGCTGTACTGAGTGATTTTGAAACAGAATAAAATCAGTGTTAAGAGATTCCCACTGAAATGTTTGAAAGAATTCAGTTGACTGAATAGCACCCACTGCTTATAACACTTCCTAAATATTGCTATGAGCTGCTTATAATCACTCATAGAATTGTTATAAAGCCCTATAGATGTATTTATAAGGCTTTAACAATGTTCTAATGAGGCACTATGAGAAGTGGGTTCATATAAAGTGTTACTGAGATTTTATCTGTGAGGAGTCTCTAACTCGTTGTCAAACAGATTTAAATTCTCATGAAATTGAGTGTATCCACCTTATTCCTGAAGGTGCTACTGTTTTTACGATTATGAGTAAAATCGGAAATATCTTTAAGATGGTTTGTCGTGGTGGCCAATCGTAGGGACTGAGCAATGATAGCAGTTGTTTTGAATCTAAATTACCAGCACAGGGCCCCCCCAAAGGTCACTTTTGGCTCCCTTCCTTTTTACCCTGTACACACAACAAACTACCACCTGCAGAAGATCTCGGATGACTCCGCTATTGTTGGCCTCATTGCCAATGATGAAATGGTGGATCCTTCTATGACTCTGTAGTGGCCTCAGCCATCCTCTATGGAGTGGTCTGCTGGAGCAGCAGCATCACAACTGCAAACAGGAACAGACTAAACAAACTGGTGAGGAGGGCTCGCTCTGTCCTGGACTGCCCTCTAGACCGTGTAGCGGTGGTGGGAGACAGGAGGGTGATGGCTAAGCATTCGTCTCTCATGGACAATGTTTTCCATTGTACTTATTATTCTATGTTTGCCGTGTGGATCCTTTGCTGCTGTTAACACTGCAAGTTTTCCCCACATGGAATGAATAAAGGTTTATCTTATTGTAGCAGGTAGGATTAAGAGGCTGCATGCTGTGCTGCCTCTCCAAAAACTAGGTCAACTCCCCCCCCCTTTTCCCTACCCTCCTATTTAAGACACCTGTGGCAGGAGCGCTGCTGCCTTTTCCTTTGTCTGCCTGCTTGCTGCCACATGGTCTGGACAGAGGCAATGAGGACTGGTTCATAGTATTTGACCATTGATTTAGAGTCCCTTTTAATCAGTAGCTGAATTGTGAGTGTTTGATTGCAGTTTGCACTTTTCCCTCTGTCGACGTCCACCGGTACAGAAAGCTTGGATAGATGTACCTAAACAGACTCAATCAGCTGCTGTTTTGTTTTGTTTTGGCCTTTTAGATCCTGTTGTTGTCTTTTGAAATTTGGTTTGGTTTGGTTTGTTTTTTTCTGTTAGTATTTTAGGAATTGCGATTAAAGAGAAATTTTAGCAGAACCAACTGGGTTCTTTTATATAGTTTTCAGCATTTCTTTTGTATAACTCTTTCTTTGTCAACCCCTACAATGCAGTGGTGGATGGCTAGCAGTGGAGGCTAGGCACGTTGGGTGGTTCCCCACACCTTTTTTTTGCAGTGGTAGCCACACTGGGGCACCATAGTCTACACCGGTTTGCAGTATCTGTAGTGATTTGCAGAGGGTTCACGTGTGGTGGATAAGTGCACTCCTGGGACACTTCCTTTGGTAGACTGCCTCCCTCTTGCTAGCTCCCACTCACTGCCCCCTTCCTTTTTTTGATTAGTTTTAACTATCTGGAAGTGTTTTATTAATTGTCAAAAGAATCAGTTGTAACAGTTTTCCAATCCAATTCAATAACAGACTCAAGCTTTTTATTACAAATTCACCGCTAACTCTTTTTTGTTTCTTTCAGCAGACACTTCTAGGTCCAAGCATTTTTTACATTTTTATGTTATAAATAAATCTTGATTTTGCTTTGAACAACAGCTCTGTCTCATAGCCTTTTCTGAATTTATGGTTGAAACTGGGTTAAATTCATTGGGTGAAAGTCCCTCGGTGACGTTGGTGGATGACCTTAGCATTTATCTGAAATTTGCCCTCCCCCACACAGCCACATTATCTTGAGATAAATCTTATTTGAGGCCATTTGTTTATATCGTCCTCCCACCCCTTGATTGATAGGAGGGCAGAGGAATGATAACATTGTCCCTTTTGAAGGTATGACAGCTGATTTTCCCACATTAGTTTTATCCTTGATTGCTCTAATAATCACTATTAGCGTACAGTTGCTATGGAAAATGCCAGCCTGACGCTCAGTGACAGAGAGCATCAGAAGACCTGCCAACAATTTATGCAATTTTTAACAAAACATAGGCAGAGTGACAATGAAAACACAATATTTAGTTCTTAAAACTTGCTTAAATGTTGGCAAAACTTCATCTTTTTCTGCTAAGACAACTTGGGATGAGTTGGAGGGACTAGCAAGCTTTGTACTCTGAACTAGTATCTTTATTTTGGCACTACTAAACCACAATGGTGGTTAGTAATTCAAATAATCAACACAACAAGTCCACCCTGAATAGGTGGTATGTTGGTGTTTCCTGTGTGCCAGTACACATGGCATTATGTGGCTGCACGACTTGTTGACACACAGCAGGAGCTTCACATGCAAACACACTCTGGCATGCACACATGCACATATACATCACCACCTACTTGCTCTGTTGCTATCTGAAAGGGAGGATCAGAAGCAGAAGAACTGTGTTCCTCCAGTTCACCTTTGGTTGTTACACATTGCAGTAACAGGGGTGCAAGTATCACGCCTCTATACGGCAGTATGTAAGCACCTATAGAAACTGCACATTGTGTATTCTGTTGAATGCAGTGGAAGTCTTCACGCAGGAATGAAAACCTGTTCTCCTTTGGGAGTCTCTCAGAAACAAACTGCAACTTATTTTCCAGAGTGAGTTAGATTCCAGATTGGATGGTCATGCTGATGCCTTTGTATTGCTTGCAAACTTAAACCACACCATGAGCAAAAAGACTATTTCTGTGCAATCACTTACAATACCAGGAATTGGACTATGAAATGTGTGAAACAGCATGCTGCCAAAAAAACTCTGTTTTTCTCAGGGGTGCCAAATTGAGACAAACCACAAGTTCCTTACAGGGGTTTTAAAAGAAGCCATGAAGTGCTTGCTACGTTTCTGCTCTGCATCAATACTTCCCCTTAAAATAGGGGAAAAAACACTCTTATCTTTGGCTGCTTAAAAGTTGGTAAGTGGCATGTTGATGACTTCATCTCACAGCATCTGTTCAGGAAGTTGACCTCCTATTCTGTTTCCTCTTTTTTCGATCTGCTCCATAGTGATTAAGTCAACATTTTTAAACCTCTCGAACCTGACAAAAAGAAAAGCTGTTGCAACTCCTTGCATTTGCGACTTGCAACCTTTGCTGACCTCAATCACTGACCCTTTCCTACTGAGCAAAGATGGTCTAGAAAGGTCAAGAAAAGGTTGAGGATCAGCGCACTGTGTCGGTGTGTCTGGATTAGATTTCTACGGGCAGGTTGGAAATGTGGTCACATGCTCTCCAAGCCTCTGTATGAGCATGTGTGTGTTGTGTGTTTGTGTGTGTGTTCTGCTACGAGTACATACTGCAGATACACTTAAAGTTATCTCCCTACACACACCCTTTCAAATGACCTTTCTAGTATTTATTCCTCATACTTTTATTCAATATAAAACAGGTATGAGGATGCACAAGCTAAATGCAAGTTTAAAATAAGATGCACCACACACTGACATCTATATGTTGTGTATATTTCTTGGTGTTTTCTACCAGTCAACCTAGTTTTTTGCACTAAACTCCTATCAAATTTCTACTTGTCTTCCCCGCTCTAACGGCCCCTTATTATGTCACTGTCTTTGCCATTCACTGAAACACTCTTTGCCCTTTCACTAGCTGCTCACCACCGTGCTGCTGCAGTCCCCATCTCTCTGAATGTCACGGGCCGTCTCTGGTTGCGTCCTGTTCTTTTTATAGCTGGACAGCTGAAATGTGAGGGGTCACAATGGGAGGATAAATACAAGGGCCAACGGGCCGCAAGGGGTGTCGCAGACGAAGGTTGGATCTTCCTCCTCTCTCTTCTCTCAGCTCTCCTCCTAAACTCAAAGGTAAAAGAATATACAATATGACTAAGTGATGAATGTGTTTGACAGTTTTTTTTTTGTTTTTTTTTACCACCTGTTGAACATTTTGTTCTTTTAGGAAATGAAATGCACAACTTTTCACACGAGTGCTGTGCCGCTTCACCTATAGAGCTGTGACCAAAATACGTGTGTGATAAGTGCGACAAACAGAGCTGCTTTTAACCCACAGACACCCACTGTCTGACCTGTGACTGGCTACAGCAGACTGAAAAATAGAAATGTTTTGGTATGACACAAATAGGCTGCTCTATTTCACAGCATGCATGACAATTCTTCATCACCCTTGTGTGACGTCCTGTAGCTTCTTTTCACACAACACACTCATTGGTGTTAAGCCCAGCTGCCTTCAATGCATCATCAGTGGTTGCTACACCTTCTTTTATCTGATGGAAAGTTTCCACTGCCTTGTTTCTTGCCAGGCAGAGATGACTCAGTGGATTAGTTTTAACAAAGCTGTCTAAATTTGTCATGTATGTGAATGGCCTATATAACATATGATTAGCATCAACTGAAGATGTGTAATTGTCTTTTGTGATACTCTTTTCTAAGCCAGAGAGCGAGGACTGCAAAGTGGTGGTACGCTGTTTATATTTAGTCCAGTCTATTGATAGTGGAGGCAGGGCAGGAAGGGTGGGTAGGGGTGGCATAGTACTGAAGAGTGGTGAGGGGGGAACAGGCAGTGAAGAGAAGGGGGCAGTGAAGAGGAAAAGAAAGGTCAGGGATAAGAGGCTAGACATTGGAATAGGTCAGCCACATGCTTGTCATGACTTTTCAAGGGTGGGCAGAGATGTGAAGGGTGGGGGGTGTGGGGGCAGAGGGCCCTCTGACACTGGATCTCATGTTCCTTTACATATTGTGCCTGGGGGATAGCATGAAGGCCAGCACATAAAGTTCTTCATAGTTCTCAAGCAATTGCAGCTGCAACAACTGCTGTCATACAGTCACATATATAGCTGAAGTCTGAAAAGGCAGTCAGACAGGAAAACACCCCTGTAGAGATCTCTGTCACCACTTCCTTCTCACAATCTGCTGAAAACTTTGTTCTCCTTTCAATTGCAATTTTCTCATGCGCTATCCAACAAGAACCACAACCCTCAACTACATGCTTCATAGCTTGGTTTAGTTGAACTTCTGCCCTCGCAGGTTTCATACCTAACCACCTTAGTCTTCGGCTTGAAATCAATTCATCTCATCCTTGGTCTTTTTCCTTCTTCTTACCAGAGTCAGGATGCCTCACGCATACCCTTTCCTCACTCCTGAGCAGAAGAAGGAGCTCAGCGACATTGCTCAGAGGATCGTCGCTACCGGCAAGGGAATCCTCGCCGCAGACGAGTCCACTGGTAAAGAGTTTCAATCAAATCACCTGTCATTTAAGAGAGCCAAATGTCAATAAAGTCAATTGTATTAGCTTGCAAGTGAAATTTGTTCTGTGCACCAATATAAAAATAGTAGATAACAGGAATTTAAACAAAATAAAACCTTTAGACTAAAAATTCTGGACATATTAGTTCCTTAACAAGTGTTAGCTTGTTCAGCTGATGTAAGATATGAAAATCATGTTGTGAAATTGTAGGAAATCTGTTCTAGTCTGCTGCTGCATGCTGACTGTTACAGCTGTATGGGTAGCTAGATTAAATCTTAATCACATAATTTTAGCATATTTTGTTATTATATTGACATTTGATACAAAAACAGCTCTCTTTGAGCGCATATTTTCTTTTTTTTATTCATTAAATTGCAATGATTACATACAGCTTCTTGCTAGCTGGACAAGGAATGCAAAAATTAGCTCATCACTAGCCTGGTGATGGACGTAGAATGTCCGCTCTCATATAGAAAACTTAATGTAGTTGAGGCATGTGTGTTGGGCCAAGTTAATAAAGTTAAAGTTGGTTACCACAGACAGAGAAGCTTAAACTCCACTTACCACCTTCTTTGTTATCAGAAGTAAAGTTACATTTACTGGAAAGGTAAAAGTAAATACGCAATGGAACAGTTAGCATAAAATTTGGTAGCTATCTAGAGAAGCCGCCACCACAGAAATGGTGGCTTAACTTCCGGTGGTCCATTGGATTGGTCTGTATTCACAGTGTGTTTATTCATCTTGTGTCTTCCCTACCTCTAGGAAGCGTAGCCAAGCGTTTCCAGAGCATCAATGCTGAGAACACTGAGGAGAACAGGAGGCTGTACCGCCAGCTCCTCTTCACCGCTGATGACCGCATCAACCCTTGCATTGGTGGCGTCATCCTCTTCCATGAGACCATGTACCAGAAGACCGATGATGGCAAGCCCTTCACCCAGTACCTCAAAGAGAGGAACATGGTGGTCGGCATCAAGGTCGACAAAGGTGTTGTCCCTCTGGCCGGAACCAACGGCGAGACAACCACCCAGGGTGAGAAAACAAAACATCTTTGAACCAAAAAAGAGCGCCTCTATCAATCAGCTATCTAGAACTCATATGATGTGTCTTTGTGCTCTGACACAGGTCTGGATGGACTGTATGAGCGCTGCGCCCAGTACAAGAAGGATGGTGCTGACTTTGCCAAGTGGCGCTGTGTGCTGAAGATCACCCCCACCACCCCATCAAGACTGGCCATCATTGAGAACGCCAATGTCCTGGCCCGCTACGCCAGCATCTGCCAGATGGTAAGACTTACACTCATGGATAGGTCAATAGTTAGATGTGCAAACCACTGCGAAGTCTTGAAAAGTCCTCTGATGTAATTTTATAACCATTATGGCGGACCAAAATTTATGAGTTTCTGTCTAACAATAAGCACTTCAGAAAACCGGCTCATATCAGCCATTTCTTATAGAAGCCCATCAAAAGCTATACCTCTGTGTCTTGTATTGTAAAGGCAGTATATAATACAATAAGAATCAGTGTTGCTTTTGTTTTTGCATGGTATGCAGCTAATATTCCTCTGTTGCTCACTTCCTGTAAAGATTTTGAATTGAGCTGATATGATAAACGCTTAAAACCTCAAAACTTCTGCAGTGTCCAAAGAAAAATGTCTAAAATAAGAAGAACTTTATTTAACCCCTAAGGGAAATTCTCACAGTAATGCATACCAAATCTCCTCTCTATAATCCAACTCAAATACATAATTTTGAAATGAATCAAGTACCGTTACAGAATTATATGTTTTTTTCTTCCAGTTGTAAAACCTCATGAGTATTGTGTGCAAAATTGGTCAAATAAACATGTTTACCACTTGTTTGTCTTCTACAGCATGGCATCGTCCCCATCGTGGAGCCTGAGATTCTCCCTGATGGTGACCACGACCTGAAGCGTTGCCAGTACGTCACTGAGAAGGTCCTGGCTGCTGTTTACAAGGCCCTGTCCGACCACCATGTTTACCTGGAGGGCACTCTGCTCAAGCCCAACATGGTTACCGCTGGACACTCCTGCTCACACAAGTACAGCAACCAGGAGGTTGCCATGGCAACTGTTACTGCCCTGCGTCGCACTGTGCCCCCTGCAGTTCCTGGTGAGTTTGATGCACACCGAAAGATCATTATTTTATTATTAACATTGATATTGATTAAATTGTTTGCAGGGGAGCACTAAAAAGCTGTCAAACTCCCTCTGTACAGGCATCACCTTCCTGTCTGGTGGCCAGAGTGAGGAGGAGGCCTCCGTCAATCTGAACGCCATGAACCAGTGCCCCCTGCACAGGCCCTGGGCCCTGACCTTCTCATATGGCCGTGCTCTGCAGGCCTCTGCCCTCAAAGCCTGGGCCGGCAAGAAGGAGAATGGAAAGGCATGCCAGGATGAGTTCGTCAAGAGAGCTCTGGTAAATCTGACTTGATATTTTAATGTTGTAACATGAAGAAATTGTTTAGAAAACTGTTTGGAAAGTTGGTGCTGTATTGTAACATTAATTATTTTATGTTTTTTCCTCTTACAGGCTAACAACCTGGCCTGCCAGGGGAAATATGTTTCCGCTGGAGGCAGCGCTGCTGGTGGCGAATCACTGTTTGTGGCCAACCATGCCTATTAAATAGACGCTCCTCAATTTCCTTTGCACCTTCTTCCCTCCATCGTCAAAGTCACCATGAAAAAGCTGCATTGTCACAGTGGCTATCTAACAGCACTTTTACAGCATCTTGGTAGAAAGTGAAAGAGGAAGGCAAAAGAAAACTTTCCTTTGGGTTGTTTCTGCAGCTAGGAGATCCTGAAAAATGTTCTGCCTCCATTCCCAGACCTTTTATTATTGAACACCTTTTTTCAGGTGAAGATTCCCACACTGTTTTTACACAACATGTACTATTTTTCCCTGGTCTTTTCCACCGAAGCAGTATATGATTTATACTGACACCATGGAATAAAGTATTTACCCTTACTTGCTGTGTTACTTGATGATCTTTTTAGTCTGTCAGTGCAACACTTGCTATGAGAGCTATGACAGAACAAAGCTATTGGGGATCATTACATATTGACATGAATTATTCAAAATTCAAACATATAACTTCTTTCAAATATTTTTTTTCTCAGAGAATTGTATTTTCTTTGACAATATCTACCGAGTATTTCTCAAATTACAAAATTTATCTGATTCAGTTGAAAAATGTCCCAAAAGGACAAACTACTAAAAATTTTCTTAAAACTTTGTTTAAAATTCATAAAAAGTTGACAATATTTGGAATTTTCCATAGAAAACTTTCCAATTTTTTCAGAAATTTTCATTTTCAAATTTTAACTACACATCATCAAAATCCCCATTTCTTTTAAAAATACCACAATATTTAACTTAAGTTTCAATGATATCCTATAAGCTTTCAACACTATAAAAATTTCCAAAAAATACTTCAACCCCCCCCCCCCACAATATGACATTGTCTCATCACTGCCAGGTGGCCTTATGACTGTACTAAATTAACAAGAGACTGATCATCCAATCACAATTTTCATCATGTATGAGCATCTCCAGGGAAGTTACAGCGCACTTGAGGTGAACCTTGCAAATTGACTGAGCACAGCATCTTTTGAAGTTCAGGTCTCTGCTAGCTCAGAACAAACTTTGAGGTTGATCAGATGAATAACTCTTGACAGAAAATAATCTGTTGAGATCTTTATACCCTCTGTGCCAGGCCCTGAAAGTTTAGGATAAAAGTTTAAAAAAAGCAATTTTTTTTTTCTTTTTCTAACAAATATTTAATCAATTCCACTTGTAGGGACAAATAAAGGTGCATGTTTGGTTTTCTGAAATACAACAATCAAAAACAAACAACACAAAACTCTACAGAAAAGACCCTTTACAAGAAGTTCCTGTCAAAAGTCCAAAGACTGTTCAATGTGGCGCCGAAAAAAATAAATCACGTGTAGAAAAAGTCTCTCATTGCTTGTTTTTTTGTGGTGTTCGGGTTTATCCCTGAGAGAGAATAAAAGCATTTTCCTCCTCACAACTCATCATGTGTCCCCGCTTCCCTCTCCTTGTCTTCGTCCACTTTCAGTTTAAGTTCTTCGGCTGTGATCACACCATCCTTATTTCTGTCCTGGTTTTGGAACATGTCTTTGATCACCTGCTCCATGATCATCCCAGGTTTGACACGACCTTTGCCCTCTGCCACCTGCAGCTTGATGAACTCTCCAAACTGAGAAGTGTGAGAGGATAAAAAAGCTATATAAGAATGCTGTGTGGGAAGTTAACTTCATTAACTTTAGCAGTGTCTTAAGAACAATCCTGATCTGTGATGTTTAAATTTGAGCAACTTTTGATATGAGAGTTCACCCTTTTTTACTCCACCACATTGCTGAGTCAAATCTGACGAATATTTACAAACCAAAATTCATACCGCAACAATAATTTGAGTAGTTAAACCCAAGCCTGCAACAAGAAATAACACTTGAAGAAAACAGGTTTACCTCTTCCGGGGGCACCTCTTTGTTCTTGTTAGTGTCGAGGGCTTCGAACAGGTTACCAGGACTCTCCTGGAGCCACACAAACAGGTAACCAGGTGGTACACCTTTCTCAAAGCTAACCAGCTCGATGTCAAAGAGGAGCACCGCGCTGCTTGGTACACCAGTGGCTGGAGGATAGAGAGCGAAAAAACGACTTTTACGATCAAAGACTGTGCACCACTACTCTTGATTGTGTCACGTGTTTGTAACAATTCTACTGTAAGAGTCAAAGATATAATATCACAGGCATAGATGACACTTTTTCAGTCAGAGCTTGAATCTTTTAGACTTTAGCTTCTTATCTGTTGGTGTATTCTGCTTTCTTTATACAAAACACTGCATGAAAAAATGTCTCGAAAACTAAAATGTGACAGTTGTGCACAGCTACCTATCTCAAAAGTACATTATCTGTTAGATCACAATATCACAATCTGGCCTAAAGAGGATAAACAACACCTAAACAGACCTATTAACAAGTGCGCCAAAACTCAAGTAAACCAAACCTTCCTTGCAATCATATAGAAAATTACAGTGCGCAAAAAACAGAAGCTTCACCTCCTTTTTCTCCGTGGCCGAGGTGAGGCGGCACCTTTATTATCCGCTTCTCTCCAGCACACATGCCTCTCAATCCCTCATCAAGTCCGTCGATCACCTTATCTGCACCGAGCACTGCGTCCTGAAGGTTCTCGTAGTCGTGTCTAAGGTTGATTAAGCAGACAGCTTAGTGATTAGTTTTACACTGATGTTACTCTGCAAAATCAGGGTGCGAAATACTGCGTTTAGGGGTGACTCACGAGGAGAAGAGCGGCGTGCCATCCACCAGGGTGCAGTTATAGTGGTAGTGGACTAGGTCGTTTACCTTAGTGGTTTCGTTACACACTTCAGGCTTGTAGGTGATATGGATGTCCACATTGTCATTGGGGTTGTGGAAGTCGATGACGTGAATGTCAAACACCAGCACAGCAGAAGGGGGGATGACACCACCTGCACAGAGACATTAACACATCATCTTTAATGCTTACTAATCCACCAACTGTTTGGAGAGTGTCCGCCTTGAAGTCGTCATAAGGAGGATGCAGGCTCAGCTTGTTTTAGAAGGAGGAGGTTTGATTACTCATTGTTACAGTCAATACAAAAATGACTAAAAATTTTTTGAAAGTGTCATGTTTCTGCTTTTCTGTGTTACCACATGAGCTACACAGGAAACAGAGACGTGTGCATGTGGGCAGACTCTGCAGGCTGGTTAATTTTACAATCTGAGGTTTTAAGCCCTCATGAAACTCACAGACACAAACAGACGTCACTTGAGTGTCCACATGTTGAATTTTTTAAGTCCACTTACTCATACAGCCTAAACATGAAGATTGCCTGTATTCCACTCTAGTTTTCTCTTTTTAATTATTATAAAATAATATTAAGTGGATTGGCTAGTTCTGTTCCATTGTTAATTGTTCATTTAGTTGATTAGTGCTTGCGCATACCTGTGAGCTATATTAGACCATCCTAAATTAGTAAACCATGTCCAGTATTGGAAATATTCTTTTTAAGTTCAAATTTTATAGTCAGTGGCAGGACAAAAATATTATTGCTACCAATGCATTTTCTAACCATCCAGTGTTGTTTCATTTGTTTATCCCTGCTGAATGTGAAACGTCAAACATCTGTGTGACCTGTGTGTGACAGGTTTAGGGGGACCTCTACTGGTCATTTTGTAAACTGGTTATAATACTCTCAAAATGACTGCCTGACACAATTTTAAGTTATTTGTGGATTTCTTTATATTCAGAGCATTTGAAATAATGATACATTTTGTTTGTATATGTTCATTCAAAAAATTCAGTAACTGCAATTATAGACCTAAAAAAATCAACCCCTGTTAATTAACTGTTTATGAAAAGTGGACATAGGTTCTAATTTACATATTCATCTTAGTTTATAAAACCAGATTTAAAAAATCAATTTTTTGATTTAATTATAATAATTATACCAATTCAAAACAAACCATCAAGGATATTTTGTATGAAGTTTTAATTTGGTTTTCATATTATTTTCATGTTACCCCCACCCCTGACATTCATTTAGTCATGAAAGAGACCCTAAATGCTCCATAAATTCAATTAACAAGGATTTTAATGAGTCATTTTTCCTTAATCTAAGCTCTTTAGTAGTGCAGATGTGTGGACTGTTTTCATGTTATCTATCAAAATCCTTCTGATTGTATCACTTTCTGCAAGCTGCAGTAACTTACCTGCTCCCTGCTCTCCATACGCCAGGTGGGGAGGGAGAATGACTCTCCTCCTCTCTCCCATGCAGACCCCAAGGAGAGCCTGGTCCATGCCTGCAATCACATACCCCATCCCAATGTAGGTGTTGTACGTGCTGTTTCTCTGGTAGCTGTTGGCAAACAGGAACAAACACATTTTTATTTCCTTTTATTACAATTACACAACTTCAGAACTGGAAAAAAAAACCTTATTATGTCAAGAAGTCTAAAATTGTTCTGCTGTATATTTACCTTGTGTCAAAGGTGACTCCGTTCAGGAAGGTGCCGTTGTAGTGGTAACGGATGTAATCACCCACCACAGACTTTCGTGTGCACGATTCAGGCACCTCCTGATTCTCAATAGTAATGTTGTCTTTTGGGTTATGGAGGTCCACCAGCAGGATATCAAAGACAAGGGTCGCCTGAGGGGGAATCTCTGTACCTGATAGAGAAATTTCACGACTTCTTACACCAATTTATCTTACACAGTCATGAAACACAACAGTCATGAAACATGTAGAAAAAATACATAATTCTGGGATTTGCTGTTGTAACAGTGTCATATTTGCAAAGCAGGAACCCAACTTCCACTCCCACACCTTGTTTTCCTTTGTCTCACTGTGACTTTAACTCCATTTGAACTGACCTGATCCTTTTTCTCCATAGGCTTTGAAGGGTGGGACAACAATATGTCTGATCTCTCCCACACACATGCCAAGCAGGCCTTCATCCAAGCCCTTGATCAGCCAACCTTCCCCAACCAAGGAGTCTTGGGTCTGCTTCCTGGCGTAGCTACGTAGGGCTCATACAAGCGCAAAGTCAAACACACAACAAACCTGGATGACACAGTACACATAAGAGCTGTCATTTGCAAAGGGTTCACAAAGACATTTCACTGAATTTGGCATATTTATTGTTCCTAGGGCTAAAATGCCAAATTGTCAGAGCCAGAATTCACCTGGAATCAAAGGCGGTGCTGTCCAGCAGAGTGCCATTGAAATGGTAACGCACAAAATCAGTACGCATCACTGAGCGTTTGCAGTCTTTGGGAGTGGTGATGGTTTTTGTGACAACCAGGTCGGCTTTGTTCCACACGTCCAGCAGCTGGATTTCAAACACCAGGGTGGCATCAGGAGGAATCACATCACCTGTTAACATGTTAAAATATTGTAGTGCAAGTTAGAAGACCTGGCATGGTGAACTACGCTCAAAACCCACGTTCAATGACAACCTGAGATGTTAGAGCCAGGACAGGTGGAGACACCTGCATGAGCCAGGCTCAACTCAATCTGTGTGCAGTCTATTAATTAAACAGAATTGCTGGTGTTTCTGCGCATTTCAGTTCTGTTGTTGAAATTTATTTGGTGGTTATTTTTATCAACCCAACACTTTTGGTCAATCAGTATTAGTGGCTAATGCTGATACCAAAAATAAGGCCAATATCAATCAATCAATCAATCAATCAATCAATCAAATTTTATTTATATAGCGCCAATTCACAACAGCCGTCATCCCAAGGCGCTTTCCAAAGAACAAGAGCAGGCCTAGACCACGCTCATTGTTTGATGAATTATCAAGAACCAACCTAAGATGGGTTTTGGCCCATCTCATCTAACATGAGCAACAGTGGTAAGGAAAAACTTCCTTTTAACAGGCAGAAACCTTGAGCAGGACCAGACTCATGCCAGGCGGCCACCATGCCGCTGCTGGGTTGGGGAGGAATGTAGAGAGATAAGGGGAGAGAGGGAAAGAGGGAGAAAGAGAGAGAGAGAAGAGGGAAGAGGGCAGGGGGAGAGAGAGAGAACAAGATAAGGGGAAGGAGAGAGAGAATGAGTAAGGAGAGGGAGGGAGAGAGTAGAGAACGAGGGTGAGAGAGAGACAGGGGACAGCAGCAACAGCAGCAACAACAACAACAGCTCATGTAATGGTGAAATAAAATGAATTCAGTTTACAGGGTTAGGATATGAGTGATTATGGACTATGTTAAATTAATTAAATGTGATTACGGTCAGCAGGCCTAAACCTAGTCAGCTCTAGTTTTATGTTATTAATGTCAGTGAGGCTGATGTTCATGTCTGCAGTAACAGTCCAGAGGAATCAAAGAGAAGAAGGAGCTCAGGGCCTGAGGCGGACAATCATAGACAATGCGGCTGGAGTCAGGCAGGTCTGCAGCAGCCATCAGTCCAGAGCAACCTAGGAGAGTGTCTGTGGCACTCTCCTAGGTTGCATTTGTCTAGCAATGTGTTACATTTCATATTGCATTTGACAAAATCCAACAATTTCATCATAATAATAAATGAAAAACAAAATAGCTGAACTGAAGTGAATATTTTCCTATAACTATTGACAGAAAATAATTTGGCTGGGTGAATTATTGCCACAAGGGACATTTGGATTTCTGATTGTTTTACAAAAGAAAAACTGTACAAGTTAAATACAAAGGTATAAATGATCATTCCACCGGATTGTCCTGTACTCCGTAACAGAACTTGAATTCTAGCTAGTGTCTGTTTTAGATTTGCTATGCTGTTGTTGGGAAAAAATTTGTTTTTCATCTGGAAAGATAAAGGTGATACCTTAAGAGAAGTGATACCAATAGGATGTGATCAAGTCAACACGCCAACATTTATCAGCCCGACACCTTCCAAGCCGCTCTTGTATGGATTTGAGGCAAAGATTAGCATTCACTTCTGTCTTTTTAGCCCCAAAAATATGCATTTTTGTGCTAGAATATTATGACCTCAATGTGAACATCAGATCAGTTATGCTTCTTTGCGATAACTCTTGAGCACAACTGAAACATAAAACATTTTTTAACCTGCACTGAGACAAAAGATCAAGTGCACAAACATGACTTGAATGGCCCAAGGCCTTATTACCAAACTAAAATTACTGAGCAAAGACCCACAAAAAAGGTCATGCATGAGCACTATGTGGAAAACTCTGATGTGCAATATCGATCTAATTATTTTATTTTATATTTTATTTATTTAGCGCAAGGAGGGAACAAAGCTGATAGGCTTATACAGAGTTCCACTCCTGTCAGGGCAGTGAAGGCATAGGGTGCAAACAACAAAGTAATTAGGACATAGACAGGTTATAAATATACAATGAGTAGGGAAAGGTCAAAACATGGATAAATTGTCATAAATGGAACACAGACTAATCATCAACCAAAGATAGAGACAATATAAGTATACATAAAAAGGAAAGAAACATGAACATAACAGATAATGACGTGTTTATATGATTAGATGACATTTCAATTACATTTTAAAAGTTTTGATGGATAATATTGATTTAAGAGATACTTCCAGATCATTCCATAGTTTCAGTCCTCTAAAAGTGATATTAGACTGATGACAAGAAGTTTGACAGAGAGGTAACTGAAGATGGCCATTTTGCCTTGTTGAGTACGGGTGAAGGCCAGATGAAAAAGTACAAAGGTTTTGGAAGGAGTCAGGTAGGTTTGTTTCCTATTGACGAACTTATGGACAAACAAGCAAGAGTGAAAGACATTGAGTTTGTCATTCAGTAAGATTGAGTATTTAGTAAAGAGAGGCGCAGAAGGGTCATGTCTGCTGGATAGAGATTTCACGCTCAAGAATCTTTTCTGGATTAATAATATTTTCTTGAGGTAAATTGAATACGTTGCACACCATACCATATTACAATAGTTTATATAAGGAAATAGGAAGCTATAATACAGAGACAAGTGAGCAGAGGGATTGATCAGGGGACAGACCTTATTAATTAAACCCAGGCTCTTCATTGACCTTTTGCAAACTTGACTGATACGATTTTTCCACTTAAGACCCTCATCTAGGACAACACCCAATTTAATGCAAAAGCTGAAACACAAATAACTGTAAATTAGTATAAATCTCATCCCCCTGCTGCAGAACCTTTCAATGTAATACATGAGTACCTGCACCGGTGCTTCCGTAGGCCAGGTGAGGAGGCACGGTGATGGTCCTGCGCTCGCTCACACACATACCCCTCAGACCTTTCTCAACGCCCGCGAGGAGCCGACCCTCCCCGAGGAGGCCCACCTTGGCCTCTCCTTTCTGATGGCTGTGAAAAAGTGTCCACACAATCAAAGACAGTTCTTAAATAGGTCAGCTCTAAGGAGACGTGAACTCTGAAAAAAAAACTGCAGATGAGATAACAGCTCACCTCGAGTCAAAAGTTTTCCCGTCGAGAAATGTGGCGTTATAGTGATAGCGAACATAATCTCCATTTTTGGACTCTCTTGCACAGATTTCAGGGATGACGTTTCTTTCCACGACTACATCCCCGAGCACAGGACTGGGGTTACACTCCACGAAAGACCACGTAAAGAGAAGGAAATAAGCAATACAACAGGCAAACATCTTTGCAGAGTTGCACCAAATGGTATAATTCTACTTTTTAAAAAAAAAAAGTTACCACATCAAAAACTAGCCAACAAATGAATAAATACAGAGGTCTGCAGGCTCTATGTAAAGTAACCCGGAGTTGGAGATGTGGAGCAGCACAGCAGAGACTGAAGGCTGTAAACGTGGACAATCTCCAGGTTACGGCAAGAAGTTGTTACCAGAGGGTAGGGAAGCTGGAAGTGGGTAGCGCCACCATCAAGTCAGCAATAATGAGAAAAGAGAGCTACTTCCTTCAAAATAAAAGATAAATCACAGCAGAGAGGAAGTGGGTTGTTGTGGAAAAGAAATAAGACTCCGCTGTGTTTGATTGAAAGAAACCTCACCAATTCATCGGTTTATAGCTATCGAGAATATGGGGTATCGTGTTTTTCATAAACAAAGGTTATATGGCCCAGTTTTTCCTCTTTTAATTTGAAAATATTGTGGCCTTTGTTCATAGTGGTGACCTTGACTCTACATCACCGCTGTGTGCAGCTGCAGACCGCTGGAGATCCGCCTTGTCGCTACCCGATCCGTACCGGAAACCCCATCTGTACTGAGTATGTGCGAAAGGTACGTCACTTCCTCCACTAACCACGTGTACACATACAAACATGAGTAGACAAACAATCGCCCTCATCTCTCATCTTGTAATAATGTCTTTTAATATTTTGGAGCTGTAATCAAGCTACGGTGAATCTTCCCTGAGCTGAAGCTCGAGGGTAAGAGGATTTTCCTTGTAGTATCACAGCTGTAGTTTCTGAGTTTTAACAGCTAAGAGTTTAGCTGTTTTTTAGGCTCCTTTAATTCTAGTTTTAACTGTGGAGAAATTATCTGACACTGTTACTCACAGAAACCTCTCTGAAGTCTCAAAAGTATCACAATGAAGATTTCAACATGATCTAAAGGAGCCAATGTTTATTAATGTTAAATAAATTCTCTTTAACTCCACCAGGCTGAAAAAAGGACTGTTTGATTGTATTAAAGATGTATTTACCACAGATTAACAGACATTAAAGTGACATTACTCTGTATTTCAACACAGCAGAGTTAAAAAGTGAAGAGAAGCAGGTCTCAAGTGGCAGATTTATCATTTTTAATGTTACCGTTTTGCATTTAATGAAGTAATACAAACAAAAATACCAGAAACAAAATTGCTTAACTTGAATGAACTTTATTTAAATAATACAGACCCAAATAATTTTGGTACAGTACAGGAAAAATAAATCAAAGTTCTATCTAAATGCATTAATACTAGTCTTATATTAATGTTGATATGATCTAGTGACTTGCTTTACATGTTTATTAAATAATAAATGAAATAGAACAATACAAAGTTGAGTGATACATTTGATAAAATATGTAAATATAAATAATCCATTCAATAGATAAGAAATTGTAAAAAAACTCAGCAATTATCTAAAAAAAAAACATCTGTTAGCCTGATTATTTAGCTGACCAAATAACAAAATTATGGTACAGAACCTTTTTTCAAGAATATGCTTTGTTCTGTTTGAAAAGCAGCATTTACAGGAATATCAACATTCAACAGAACTGAAACAAGACTGCACATGATAGGAGATTAAAAATGTCTGTAGTGATGAGTTTAAATAGATGTCAGGTATGCTTCACCTTAAAAATGACAAATTTCTCTTGTTCTTTCAGGACTCTACACCGGACCGTCCCTGGAGTTGAATGGACCACCATCTTCATGTGGCGGCCTTCCTCCCTAAGTGACCTGCCCAGGTAGAGGCGCTCAGCTTCTCCTGTGATGCTGTTCAGAGTCTGATTATCAGTCCACCTTTTCACTGACTGATCTGAGACTGAGAGTGAAGCTTTGGAGATAAATGGAGACTCCTCTGTAGGTGGAACTACCTCTTTAATAAAGAGGAGTCTTCCTTTATCTCCACAGCTTCACTCTCAGTCTCTGATCAGTCAGTGAAAAGATATGGGGAGAGATTTGTCTCAGAATTATGCACAAATACAAATCCACAATTTCCACATGTGATTATCAGATCCACAAATATATTTTCATGAATTTCACATTAGTTTTTTAACTGAGTGTGTGTGTGTATTTATCATGACTTATCATTTGTAAATCTTCGATTCTGCTTGTGAATTTTTTAAAAAATGTTTTTGTGGATAAACCTGCACATGCGTTTATTTTTGAGACAAACATACTGTATTACACAAGATATGGACACACACAAGTTGAGGATATTCACGTGTGGAGAACACTGCCTCTCCCATCCACTTGGCGGCAGTGTTGCTCCCTCTGTTGAGAGCATAGACTGTGAAGAAGATGATTGACAGCTATCCACCTCAGAAGTGGGGAGAAGTTTTTCAGCTTCTATAGTGGATAGCTGTCAGTCATCTTCTTTACAGTGTATGCCCTGAGCAGAGAGACAGAGCGCTGTCAAAATTCTCAGCAATAAATATCATGACTAAAATTGTGAGTTACAAGAACAACTGCTAAAAAAAACTGTGAATTAAAGAAATATTTTAATTTAGATGTCACAATTCTAATCTAATGTGGATATTAATTTCTGTCAACAGCCAGTGACTCAACTTTTAAAAGATTGTGCATAAGTGTTTGGTTCCCTGTATTTGTAGTGTTTCCTTTAAGTGTAATGCATATAAAGACTTGTACTAAATCATGAAAGAATCACATTAAACACTGGCGTTGAAAGTCCCACATTTTATTGATGTAATAGACACAAGAGTAATAACACCAAACACAGCTGAAGGTTTCATTATTCATTTACTCATAGATATTTGAGACTTAAATCAGCTTATTTGACAGTCATGCAAAAATTTGTGCAAACAGATCTTGAGCACAAATTCACTAAAACTTTTCACTTATTTTTGTTTTTACTGTTTCAAAAGACATCACAGTAAAAAATAACTCACTGATCAGTGAAGAAGCCTGAGAGGTTCTCTGAGCTCTCAGCACAGTCCAGTTTGACATCCTCAGCGCAGATTTTTGTCTTTTGTTGGGTTAAATGTGACCAACTAGTAGTCTCTCTTCTTTTCCTTCAGGACCAACTGTGGGGTTTTTCCTTTTGTGAATTATTTTCTTTGTTCATACTAAGCATTGGGGGGAGTCTAGGTATGTGGTTTATTTAGTTGGCGTACAGTTTAGTTAAGTTAGGTACAGGCAATGAAGTTAAGAGTTTTATTTGATTTCTTTGATACAAGAGAGATCTTGAGCTCCTCTTTTAATGAACATGCTACACTCTCTGATAGGTGGGTTGGAGATTGAGCTACCTATAAAAGGAGAGGTGAATTGTTACCAAGGGAGGAAGATATGCCCTTTTGTAATCTCATTCGAGAATCATTTTGTTTGATCTTGGGAAAAGTTTGTAGTTTTTAATAGAACCTATATACGTGGACTTGACTGTAATTGAAAATATTCACCTCTGGGAAAACATCAGTCTGTCGAGTTGCCTTTAACTACTTTACAAAGACCCTAAAGAGCTGAGCCAATAACACAACCACCAGAGGGGGGGACCCACAAGTTTGTAAATAAAAAACACACAAACACACTGTGACTCTGTGTTGCGTTATTTTAATCAGATCCAACTTGAGTTGAAATTTAAAATCTAGTGTCTGGAGAGCAGAGTGAAATATGAAAAAAAATTCTCCTGTGTGTCCATGTGGCTCAGAGGATAAGAAGACTGGCTGAGGTACTGGGTTCAAACTTATCCAGGGCGAGTTGAAATATAAAGTCTAGTGTCTAGAGAGGAGAGTGAAAAAGGAAAAAACAAAATCCCCCTGTGTGTCCACGTGGCTTAGAAGATAAGAAGACCGAATGGGACTGCTGTGGTCATGGGTTCGAGCCTTATCCAGGACGAGGTCAATTTTTAAGTCCAGGAACCAAAGTACCAAGGTAAAACGGTGCAGAGCTCATCCCCGAGTGTGGATGGTATGGTGTGGTGAATCAGGTTTAGTTTAATCTATGATATATGATATAGATGACTATAATATAATAATATAACCTAGTCTAATATAATATTATCATTAATTTATATTATCGATTTTTTTTAATTAATGATATAATAATATCTAATAATCTATATAGATGACTATATTTTAGTCATGACTATATTATATACATATATATTATAGATGACTATAGCATATTATAGTCATATTATAGTATATTTTAGTCCATAGATGATATAATATAGATATGATGTATATTCATCATTATGTCAACATTTATGCAACCAATAATAATAATAAAAAAGTGCTAACTTATTTTTGACTATAGAAGATGCAATTAATGGATGGTTGTTAACATTTCCATTAGTTATGAATGATGAAATTGACAGACTCCCTACAAAGAATAAAGGAGCAGTGAGCTAGATAATGTATGTAAAAGATTAACTTAATTAACATATGGAGGCATAAACATCCAAGTGATGAAGTGTATACATGGAGTAACACAGATAAATCATTACAGTCTCTTACTGACTTCTGGCTTGTCACATCTAGCACAACTGATAATGTGGAGAGAACAGATATTGAGCCCACCATTTTCACGAACCACAAAGATATTTCAATTAGGATGAACTTGTTAAAAAGACCAAAAATTAACACAGACTACTGGAAATTAAATAAACACTAATTCAAGATCATGACTTTCAAGACCAAATAAGAAAGCTGATTGAGAAGTACTGGAGGCAAGTAGTGACTACCAACCTGTACAGAGAGTCCTAGGAGTTATTAAAATATGAAATCAGATCGGCTATAGAATTGGGTAAAAAAAAATGTCTAAAAAAACAAGAGAAAAAGAACTCCAAACTGTTACAAAAATTATGAACTTAACTGAAAAAGAAAACCCGTCTGAGGATGATGCCAGAGAACTTGTATTTAATTTATGTAGAAAAGACTAGAGGTGCTTTCATTAGATCCAGAAGGAAATGGCTAGAGCAAGGTGAGAAGTGCTCTGAGTATTTCTTTAACCTTGAAAAAAAATGCAGAAATGTCTTCTGTGAGCAAACTTAAAATTAATGGTACGATTTGTGAAGATGAATCAATAATCTCTAACTATGTAGCTAACTTTTATGAAAAACTGCACTCCAGGCAAACTCTGATGAAAAGCAAATGGATGTGTACTATAAGAGTATAAATCACAACATTAAAAAAATGACAACACTCTTAAGGACTTGTGTGACCAAAAAATCTCTAATTATGAAATACTTAAAGCTGCAGTTTCACTAAAAGATAATACATCTCCTGGAAATGACAGCATTACTGGTGAATTCTACAAAAACTTTAGGGATGCCCTCACACTGTTTCTTGCATGTATTTTTGAAGAATCGGTCACCAAAGCAGATTCACACCTTCCATGCAGCAAGGACTTAAAAAATTAAAATAAAACTTAGAAAACTTTTTCCAGCATCATCAGAGAGGCTTTCAGTCTATCTAGTCACTAGATAGATTCTAGATTCTAGTGGATAGAGCAAGGACTTGTTTTGTCTTTCTAGAGGCATGGTGTGTGCAAATTACACATTATCGATAACCCAAATAATAAAAATTCATACTATACAGCTTTATATGGATACATTAATCTAACGTAACCATAGACTGTATATACTATGTACAACTTGGTTCCACCTTCCACCAGTATACGGATTTGAAGACAAAAAGCTCTCAGTAATTTTGCCTTTTATCTCCATTTTCTGAAACCAACATTGCGCAGTAGCGTTGTGCGCATTCGGTGGGAGAGTCGCCAAGAGATGCTGTGATGACACTCGGCTCAAACAGCGTATCCCCCAGTTGAGCAACACAGTCTTTGTACATCCATAGGCTGTATCAAGTGTCAATCATAGAAAACATGAACCCCTTAATAACTTTTATAAACGGAGCTGCACAGTAAGAAGGACTTCAGCACAAACCAGTCTTATAGAAACTACATGTCAAGATCGCAAGCAGGGGTGAAAAATATTTATATTCTGTGTAATAAATTTCTAAAGTTTGTCCACAGCTTCGTAGGGATTGGTGGAGGAGGCAGGATTCATGACCTATACTGCAGCCTGTCACCAGAGGGTGCTGTTCTCAGAGTGGCTTTATCCAGCGAGGAGGTAGACGCTGTCCATTCTACAGTCTATGAAGGTGACACAAAAATCAAGATACTAGCCTATGTTGTATCAATGTATGAGACACTGATATCAACATAAATTCTCACACTGTTGCGTTCACCAAACCTGAGAAAGAAATAAAAGAGACAAGGGCAAATAGCTGATAAAGCATTTTTATGCTCACATTAAAACAGCATCACATAACGACGCCAGTTTGTTCTTGTGCCAAAAACAGAAACGGCAGTAGTGACAGCTGTTGTAAGCCTGCATTGAGAAACCTGAGCCTGTTACCTCTGCAAGGCCCAATCCCTGAATTCCCACAGACCTCTAAGCACTTTAGCAGACCACCACACAGTCTGAGGCTGAAAAACGATGTCAACAGACGCACAACAACACTAATATGTGGACTATCGTCTTATCATGGTTGCATTTTGTTCAAAAGAAGTCGCACTGCTGACGTTGCCTTTATTGTTGAGCTTGGTTTTTAAGACCTCAGCTCAATATGAGAACTACACTTTCAGAAACTTCCCCGAAGAGGAGCTCATGCCCCTCACCACAGTCTACGGATTAGCTTTGGATCATTTCGCCGCAGAGGAGTGGACGGAATCCATCAAATATTTGGAGTTAAGCCTGCGTCTGCACAGGCTCCTTAAGGACAGTGTGAGATACTGTGTGCTGCTCTGCAGTGACAGCAAACACGGTGAACCGAGTTTTACAGGAAACAAGGATCTGAACGTCGTCTGGCACTTTTTGATGAAGGCGACCTGTCAGAAAAAGTGCAGGGCGAAATTCCCCGCGCTGCAGCTCCCCCCTCCACGCACAGAGATCCTTCAGGATTTCAACAGGAGATCTCCCTATAAATACCTGCACTTTGCACAGTCCAAGGTATGATAAAAACTTCATTGTTCTTAATACCTGTAAGTTGTCCAACTGTAAGAACGAATGTAGACTCAATGTATTTTTCCACAAGCTGGATGACCTGCAGAGGGCTATCCCATGTGCCTACACCTACCTACAGAGGAACCCTGAAGACCAAGAGATGCAACGATTGATGGAGGTTTACAAGAACCAGTATGACCTGAGTGGCTATCTGACAGACCATGAAGAGCAACCACACGAGGTGAGAACATCTAACATAAACTCTGCCCCTCATAAACTACTTTCTGAAGAGAACAAAGGATACTTTTACAAGGTAAATCTATATTAAACTTTATGGAGATTGTCGTGCCTGAATGAACGATCTAAAAACCCTTAATTCAGGACTCTTTCAGCTGCTTGTCTTACTACTAACAGTCCCTCTTTAAAACATTTATTCCAGGCCTTTTTCCTGAAAGGAGTTAAACTTGTGAACTCAGGCGACTACAGCAGCAGTGTTGGTCATTTGGAGGAAGCTCTCAGGCTCTACCTCAGAGAGTATGACCTCTGTCAGGCTGAATGTGAAGGGATCGGTCAACTTTCACCAGACATCGATCTCTTCACAGTCATGGCAGGTAAGAAAAAAAAAAAAAAAAAAAAAAACAGTATTCACACAAAGTATCATAATCATAAATAACAATTTTTCGCTTTTAATTAATTAATTCATGGTGAAAAGAGATAAAGTACAGATTATCCTTACATTGCTGCATGACTCAACCATAACTTAAGTAAAAATATTACTTTTAGCCGCATGACTTATGTTGACACTTACAAACTACCAAATGCATATAACATAGTTTGAATACATGGACATTTTAGAACATATAATATTATTTTACTTAATTAATATATAATTTGCTAGTACTTTTATGCTTTCCATTCTGGTTGGATGAGAGGCATAGTAGTGATATACAACCCAACACCACCTGGGTTTTTCCCTATGTGTTTCACTCCGCCTTAGCTAGTTGGTTTGAATACAGTTCATTTACGTTACAGCACAGTGTTGTCTTGATTAAAAAAAAACCTTAAACTTTCATTTCACTGCACGTGTAATTATTAAAAACACAAAAGTTTAAAGTATTTATAAGATATAAAGTTGTTGGTCTGTGGTAACCAAGGGTAAGCCTGCAGCCTCAGTGTAATTCAGTACATCACTCAACAACCTCTTAGGTGATAGAGCTCAATTAAAGATTTTGTCCCAAAAAAGTATTTCTATGTCAGGATCTGAATACCTTTTCCTCCACTGCATCTGGTCTCTCTTAAGTTATATTTTTGAGCACAGCCTCTGTTCATGGGACACTTAGACCACCAGACCGATTTTCTCTCTGTCTGAACTCTTCTCTGCTCTCCACAGACCTCTTTACTGGCATATTACAGTGTCAGCTTAAGTGTGAAGAAAACCTGATGCCCAATGTTGGCGGTTTCTTTGTGGATAAATTCCTGGCCACAGTTTACCACTACCTCCAGTATGCCTACTATAAACGTAAGTTTAACATGATCTCTTCTGTAACAGAGCTTTCCATCTTTACTTGACTTTCCTCATCCTCTCACCAGTGAACGATGGTCGCAATGCAGTGCCCTGTGCGTACAGCTATGCCCTGTTTGAGCCTGAGGACCGGGTGATGAAGCAGAACCTGCAGTATTATGAAGCATACAGCGAACAGTGGGGTCTTCAGCCTGAGCACTTCTCTCCCAGAATGGTGAGAAAAAAAACAGTCTTAGTTTTTAGGGTACAAAGAAGCAAAGTGAAATGCTGCTAAAACCAGAAAGCAGCAAAGTGTGACATATCCACTTACAGCTAAAGACCTACTGTCATTCATCAGTAAATCCACAAACAAACCCTGAAAGTAATCACTTAATCACTGTACTTGAGGAAGTCAGTATAAGAAGATAGAAAACGGGTTAATTCTTGATACCTGAGCCGTGTCCTGTATGATCTGTTTCTGTTTGAACAGGAGGCTCTCAAACTCTACAACCAGACTGTGGCTCTAAAGCAGGTGCTAACATCTGCACAGAAGTACTTTCTAATGGATGATGAGGTGAGATTTACAAATACATTATTCCACTTATTAGCCTGCTACCATCTACGGTCATAAACAGATTGACAGAAAACATTGATATAGAGGTGATTTTACCTCTTAGGATGTTTAGTATATTTAGTCTGTATTTATTGCATATACTTAGTACTTTTAGTAATTTTAGTCTGCACTGTACTTACCTGTTCTTATATTTAATGTTATTTGTATTTTCCCTTTGCTGCTGTAACAAGAGAATTTCCCAGTTTGGGATCAATAAAGTACATCTATCTATCTATCTATCTATCTATCTACCTACCTACCTACCTATCTATCTACTTGCTTGCTTGCACACTCAATTCATGTCTCTCTTTTGCTGTCCTGTCTTGACCAATCAGAATCCAGTTCTTACCACAGCTTGATATAACAGGAACTTAATACCATCTCTTTGTAAAATAGTTCTTAAACACTATGGAGTAGTTGTCTTTAATGAGGTTTCATTTTTCAGGATTTTCTTGGACCAGAGGAAGCTGCTCTTCTGGCCTCCGAGTCTCCTGATATGGAGTTTGAAGGGATGGGGGACTACGAGGAGTCCATCTTTGCTGACTGGAGGCAGCCAAAGGGCAAAGGAGACATCGGGGAGACGGATATCTGAGCAGAGCTGAAAGATACGTCTACCAAATAACACTATGTGATTTTGCTATTTCAATCCTTACTGAGACAGTAATTTAAGAGTTTGTAACACAATAAATAAGTTTTTTATATATATATATTTTAGTATTGTGTCCTTCTCTGTCCTCTAAGTTTAAGAGATAAATGATAGTCAATCATGTTCCCAAGACAAAACAAGTTAAACAAACAACAACCTACCGTCAGGTTCTTCATCGCTGTAACTTATTTGAAGAAACAAACATTAAAAACATTGTAAAAAAAAAAAAAAAAGTCTAAGACAGCAATGCCAAACACAACACACAGCCACTCTTAATCAGATATGTTTATTATATATTCTGATATACAGCAATAGGGTTATTATACATAGAAAGTTAATACCAGCTACCATCCTGTAAGACCAGACATTTGATGACTTGTATGAATAATGTTAAAATCTTCTGATGAGTCCAACTATGACATGTGAGCACAATCAAAAGTGGTTATCACAGCGTGTCCTGAGCTTTGAGCCAACTGTGTCCTTCAGTTAAATATCTTCACTGCGTAAATACAGAGTAGAGAGTATTGACAAAAGGGATATGCAGATATTTGGATTTTGGTCTGAGTTGATAAAGTCTGAGAACTTCACAGCACCTGCTGTTTAACATAAAAATACAGGTTGACAGTTTTGATTTTGATAAAGGAATGTTTTTATTAATTAACCTGGCATTAACTTCCAGTGTCAATATATTCCTGAAATGCTACTGAAGGTGGACTGGCAGTGTAGCTTAGATCATCTCTTCTGGCACAGTCTGTGCTATTATGCAGCTCCCCTGTTATTAGTAAAATGTTGATTTTGAAGCAGTCCAATCTTTTCATAATAAGAATAAAACGTCTATACCTGATTTTAAGCTCTCTGATGTCCAGAGAAGATAAATGAGTATCAATGAACATAATGAACATGTAGAATTTTATTTTTTCTCTCAAGGAAAAATATTTTAGATATTTGTTGTGGTGTTAGTTTTGAACAAGGTATAGGGTTATTTTCTAAATGTTAGTATTTATTGCTCCATTCACTCATAATTAAGTTATCTTAAGTCATCAAGAGATGAGTTTTTTAACTACCATCTCATTGCAGCGGAGTACACTGAAACCAATTCACTAATTTGTGTAGTTCTTCAGATAAAAAACAGTCTGATCTGAGTATGGAAATCCTGTCTCTTATACTCTTGAAGTACGGCGAAACACTCGCATGTCTGATCAGGAATGTGGTCAACAAGAGTCGCTCAGATTTCCCTGAGCCTGCAAAGATTCATACACTCAACTTTAACATGAGCAGTTTTAGGCTGAGAGGCAGGAAGAGTTTTCCTCTCTTCACTTGTGCTTCCATCCAGAGCTGCAGCGAGTCACTGCAGTCTAAATCGGTTTATAATACACTATGTACATCAGCACCCGTGTTCAGCATACGTGTATGCATATTGGTAGTGTACGGTTTAAATATCTTACAGCAGGATATGTTTACATCAAAGACTGTATAAAAAGATGGACGACGTGACAGGCCCACGAAGTGAAGCCAAAAGACTGCACCGGCTAGCATTACACTTGCTCCTTCATACAACATATCTATGATTGAACTGGATTAAAATGGACTAGAATTTAGGCAAAGTGCATCAAGACTAGTTCAGAACCACTCAGACTCATTGTGCACTCTCACGTGAACATTTATAGATTGTTCTGACGCATCACACTTCAATCCACTCTGCCCTCATATCAAAATACATGCAGAAGAAGTGACTAACTTGTAACTTGTATGAGAAAATGGAAAATGCTACCATACTAAACATAAACAAAAGCTGCTGACAGCTCAGAACTGACTGAGCTGACTGAGTAGTGTCTAACTGCGGATGAATTGCTCTGTCTTGGCTGTTGGCCCTTTCATTGATTATCCTGCAAACAAGACATGTCACGACCATGTATTTCCGTGACTGTTACTTTTTCTATCAGTAATTTTTATGTACAAGTGTTATTTTTTTGTTAAAATCTATCAATAATTACTTATTTGATGCCAAAAAAGTGGATTTGGCATCATGTTGGACAGCGCTGTTGACAAATGTAGCTTGAGATGAGAAATGGGCCTGACAACACTTGCACAAGAGTCACTGAGCTATTTCTAACCGTGAGTGTCTGGTTTTGGACTGTACAGAGTTGAGGGATCTTTGGCGATCTATCGGTAAATTAAATGTGTGTTTTCGTTTACAGAAACGGCATGAGGTCAAACCTGCTGCTGCTCTAGTCAGACTTCTCCTGCGCATGGCCTTAATTTGGGAATACCCATGCGTCGTCCAGGTTTATACACAGTCATTGTTGTACATTTGCGACTGTCTATCCGACTTCGCAACTATCAGCAGAGACACAACAAGCCTCCATGCAGCCCTGAACTTTACATTCATACATTAATGCAGATTATGTAGGAGCGTTGTTTTACATGACTACTGGTTCTTAATGAAAGGCAGCGTAACAGGGGGATTTATGGCTGGAATGTAAAGGCCTAGCACACAAAAATAATCGCCAGTTACCAGCAGACACTATTTCTACACTTCTATTGCAGTTAGATTCACACTGCTGAGAGGCAGTGGTTGTCTCGTCCTTAGGATATGTGATATTCTAAATATGTTGGCTGGGTATGAACAGAGGACCTTCAAAGTAATCACTATCAGAAGTAGAAAGTATACCAAACAGTCTATTCAGTGAAAATAAATGCTAAAACCACAGGGTAAAAAGAAGTTGAGAAAGTACACTCCAGCTTAGGGTGTTATTTCTTCATGGATACTTGATACCAGATAATTCCTGACAGCCGCTAAGCTCAGGTACAAATGTGTCCCCAGGACCTTAATGTTCCAGGAGACCAATGAGAGCAAGAAACAGAAAAGGTCTGAGGGTTTAGAAGTGGAAGACATCTTTGTTTTTTGTTCTTCTCCTTAGAGTAGGCTGGACACAGTGAAAGGTAAAGAGGACAGCCAGGAGGTACAAGTCACATCCCCGAAGATCTAGAAAAGGGAGAGGAAGGAAGTGGAGGAGGAAGAGGAGGAGGAAAGAGGAAGAGGGCAGGAAGAGGAAAGAATTGAGGAATCTGAGATCCAACAGAGAAGCTCAGACAATTTAAAGCAGACAAATTACAGTTTTAAAGACTTAATCTGTAAAGACATATACATTTGTATGTCTGAATATTCTTTTTCTTTTTCTTTTTTTACCAGTATAACATTGAAAACCAGTAAGGACTGGCTGGAACAGTTTTCTGAAATCAGAAGCTTCTCCTTTTTTGTTTGATTAATTTTTCAAAACCACAAAAATGTTCTGTTTTTCAAAAAAAGCAAAGGTAGCCACAACAGATAAAAAAAAACAAAGTAACTTAGAGATATTTTGCCTTGAATTGGTAGATTTTATTAAACTGATATTACAAAGTTGAAACTGAAGCTGTGAAGTAAAAATGGCAGCCCGAATCTTGTTTCATGCAACACAAATAATAACAAAGCAATCTTTGATTACAGAATACAAATAGTTAATATAAAGAGTTTGATCACATTTCGATTAAAGTTGTTGTAAATGCAAAAAAAAAAAAAAGAAAAACTTTTGAATTTACTGGATTATGTTAAGTCTGTTTTAAAGGCCCATCTGTGTAAAGCTTTGACATACACAGGCTGCCTAAACGCTGGAGTTTGTGGAGTTGAGTCATGCTGTGAACTTAATTTATTCAGTTAACTATGATTTTAAAAAATGAGTTGAATCAAAAAATAAGTCTGTTGGAGCAGGAAATGTAAAAGTGTGTGTTTATGTGTTAAAAACTACTCATACTGAATTGTGAAACTCAAATGTAAGGATGTTTGGATCAAGACTGAAGAGTGGGATCATACCTTCCCCTCCGGATGTTTCTGGATTTGCAGAGAGGCAGGAACACAACATGGAGCAGATAAAGAGAAACAGAAAAAAAGGGATTTAGAAAGCAGGTTAGACTTTTAACTGTTGTTTTGTGTGAGCAAAAATAAGTTTTTAAAAAATACACATGCGATGAATCCAAGCAAAGCGTTAACAGGCACTGAAAACTTGCAGATTCATTCTCTTTTTAATCGTGAGCTGGCATTGTCAGTGTTCATTCAGGCTGAGTTAATGCTGTCATACATGATACAGTCATAGGGTTAAGGCTCAAGAATAAAGCTGGAGTTGCAGAGATATTCTGGTTTGTTTGCATCCTGCAGGCATGCCACAACAAAGCTAGCAAGAGGTTAGATAGCACTCAAGAGTGAGAAATGAGAAGTCCTATAAAGAAGACCTGGGCTCATATCTACCTGTACAGAGAGGAACATGCAGGTCTCTTTTATTTGGAACATGTGCATCACTATGGTGCACCACCACCAGGTATAAAATAGTACTCCGAATTAGCACGCCTACAAACTGTCAGACTTACAAGGGATTGACTATGTGCCTACATTACCCACAGCGCAACTCTGCTCATGGCTGTTTGTCTGGGGCTTTTGGCATGCCATTTTGGTACTCTCTCTTCTTTATTTGACCACCCACCCCCAGATTTTTTTTTTCCTAACTTCAAGCTCTAAGACCCCATTGACCCAAGAGACATCACTTCAGAATATTATCAGACTCTGCTCCATTTTCTCTAGGGCCACAAAAAACTCACTACAACTTAAACCAAATATGCAGTACACCCAAAACCAGAAACACAAGCTCCCCTGCAAATCCAACTGTTAGTTTGATAACAGATGAGAAATTGGGAGATGTTTTTTATTTTGAAAATTTCCACACACAAAAATGTAAATGTTTTGGTTTTCTAGCTTCAAACTGACCTGAATTGTTTATTTTGTTGGTTTAGTGGGCACACTTAACAGAGTAGACATGTTGGAGATACTACAGAGCTTCCTCTCCAATTAAGACCAATAAATGATGTGTAGATACAGCTTTGAGGCTTTCTTCTTCCAAACCAAACCTGCAGATGGAATTTCATCTCTCCCACAACCACCAGTGTTCAAAATTATCCTACATAGTCTCAGGTTGTGAGCATGTTAAGTACAACAAGCAGAGCAGCAGTCAGCAGCGAGCCGCAGGCATGTGTGTTAGCTGACAGAGGAACACAGCAGGCACACACAGATGGAGGCATGCCACAGCTCTTACTTAAATCCCCATCCAGTTCCCCCCAGGATTATCGCTGCCAGTAGAATAGCACCAGCAACCGAACCTATTATGATATTGGTACCACTGGGACCTGTGGGAGTGAAGGAGTCAGCCAAGGGAAGAGTAGGAAATAAAGCATGTCAGAGTGCTGAGAGCTCAGCATCAAATTTAAGAGAAGAATATGTTTTCCATGATCATTTATCAGTTTCAACCTTTGATTTCTTCTCCTTGGTCTAATTTCAATGAATCACAGGCTTTTAATGATTTGCAAACTACTGCATTTTTTTTTAATCAAAATTTTGCATCCATATTCTAGTACAAGCTATTTTTGCATTTGAACCATTCTCATTTACATATTTTCCATCTTTTCCCTATTTTCAGAGACAAAAGAAGAAACTTTTTTTCCACGAAAAACTTTCACTTTTGTCAAAGTTTATCTCTATCAGACTTCCCATGAGATAAATGTGGCATTTAAAGTGTAAAACACTTGTTGTTGTGGCTGTGTGGCAGAACTGCCTCCCGTCTTCTTCAGAGGTAAGGCACCACAGTAAGTGTGCTGCAAGTGTCTGGAGACAAACTGCTCAGTGTTACCTTTGTACTTATCTTGGCCCTCTGGTGGGGTGGGAATAGGAATTGGGTCGAACACACTACAGTCCTTTCCAGTGTAGTCTGAATCACAGATACACTTAACCTCATTACTGCAGGTCTGAGAGGAAACAAAGACAATTCAACGTATCATTTTTTTAATCCTTAACATTTTTACATCTCTGAACATCAGTTAAGAAAACAATTACTCAAATCTCAAAGTGCTGCACACTGACAGACTCACCCCGTGGTGGGAGCAGATGCGTGAGGAGGAGGAGCCCGGGCAGATGCTGAGGTTGAAGGTGGTGACAGGGAGACAGCGACGATCCAAACACATCATATTTGGCCCACAAGGTGTTCCATCCTCCACATATCCCAGATCCAAGCCGTCATCCAGGACTGCATGGCCACCCCTAAAAAAAATTAAATGTCCAAAACAATTATCTTCCTCCCCCTCATGCTTTTTTTCTGTCACTTTTACTTGTCCTGTTTAAAAGCAAGCAGACTTTAAAATTTTAACCCACCAAGCAGCCACAGGAAGGTTAGCTCACCTGCAGTCCATGTATCTGTTCTGATGGTGAATGGTCAGACTTGTGAGTTTCCCCTGCAGTTCACCAAACTTTGGCCTAGCAGTCAAATTGGTGCACAGCAGTAAACCGCAAAGTACATCCCTGATGGAAACACAAGCAAAATCATTGAAAATAATCAATCATAAACGAACATTCGAAAGAAATTTAAGGACTTAAATCAGAGTTTCCAAAACAAATCAAACAGTGAAGTTCACTCACTGCTTGTTGCACTGCACCCATCCCTGACCGCTGGAGTCTGGGCCGCAGTTTCCTTTCTCTGTACCCTCAGAGTTCAGCTTTTCATAGCAGAATCTGTCGGCTGAGTCTGAGGACACAGTCAGTGTATAACATTAAAAATAAAAGCCCAGAAATCTCAACTTTAACCATCATTCATGTAGTCATACACTGTGGAAAGGTGTATAGAGAGCAGGTTGTTATGGAAGTGAAACGCAGAGCTGTGTTAAATTCTTAAATCTGATTGGTCAACACCACAATACACAGATGTGTTATTTTTTGTTGGCAAAGTTTTACAAATAATTATTGATTTGGTTACAGTTTGTCCACCAGAGTCACTGATTAGAAAGGCATCCCTAGCAACGCTTTATTCTTCATAGCAACAGTCTGCTATCGAGTAATATTAGAACACTGCCATTAACTGTTGACATGCAATGACCAAACGGGATTAGGAACTAACAAAGCCAATGTATGAACAAGACATAAGGGTTAATATCTAATCCAAACCTACTGTAGCCCCAAAGAGACCTGCACTGGCCATCTCTGGTCTTGCAGCGACCTCCATAACATCGACCCTGACGAGAAAGAGAATGGTGGAAATGATGAGGAGAGCATGGACAGAAAAGAGAGGAAACATTTAACGCCGAACATGACTTTACCTGTCCTGCATCACACATGTAGCCGTCCAGTTTGTGCACATTATGAGGGCACTACAAGAGAAAAGAGATGAGCAGTTTTTGATGTACTGCTACCTTAAACATGTGACTCAATGCAGAACTGCAGAGCTTTACTTTACCTGGCTGGAGTCTCCTGTGCAGGTCTCTGGAATATCACAGTCATTCACAGCATCACGGCACGTCACACCTCTGAGCTCGTACTACCAGAAAACAAGCAAAGAAGGTAGAAATCAGAAACATGAAGGGACACAGTAGGACATATAACAGGCTGTGATGTAACATCTTACCTTACAGTCCCTGCAGCAGAGTCCATTGCTGCACATGGCATTGTGGGTAAGGGTACACTTTTTACAGCAGTTGGCTCCACTTCGTGCACACTCCTTTAAATCAGAGAGGGGTTTTAGTTCAAGGCTTAAGGTTGCATGGGTAGGAGGTTTTACAAAACAAGCCGCTCAACTCGAAACAATCATGGGATTCTCTGATGGTGTAATTTCACTAAACTCACCACCAGCGATCCACAGTCACACTCCTCGCCCTGCTCAACGTATCCATTCCCACACTCTGGTGGATCAAACAACTACAGGAAATGGGGCAGGACAGTGTTTATTAATCATACAATTAACAAATCAGCTTCAAGGATGGCGAGTGCCCTCCTCTCACCTTGCTGGGCTTGTTAAAGAGGCAGCTTCCTCCCCCCTGTTGGAGGAAACGCAGGTACTCGTCTATACTGCAGCGTGAGAACTTCCTGGGCAGGTAGTAACTGATGATAAAAAAGTGAAAACAGAAATCACATTTGGCTACATTGGTAACATTTCTTTAACCTGCCAAGAGCCCGAATAAATGTAGAAGAACCTGTGTACAAAAAACTTTCCAATTATTTGCCTGAATGTTTTTTTTTAAAGTTACATTTAACCCCCTTCACTCTGTGGCTCCCTGACAAAACACAAAGTCATGCAGGACAGAACAAAAATGAGAATAATTAATGTCCCTCCTTGTTTCAGCAAACTCCTAATTTAGCACTTTTTAATCCCCATTCTGTCTGTTATTGATCTGTTGTAAATGAAGGTCATACCCTGTGTCCTCCATGATACAGCCCAGCCATGGATCTGGACACCTGCAGTCTCCTGGGCACACATACACACACACACACACACATAAACAAAAACCACAATGCAGAAAAGGTCAGGGTCCGGAAGAAAAATCTTTGAGTGACATGTCAGAATTTCAACACAGCACATCTGTCAGCTCAACACTAGAGGGAGCTGTTAGAGCAGAGGTGACTTTTGTTTGTCTCCTCGGTGAGTTAGCTGTATAATATTTATCCTAACACAACTTGTGTTTCATAGACGCATATGTCAAGGATGGATTATTTTATCTCATAGGAAAGATATACCAACAAAAATAAACAAATTCAAGCCTCTGTTTTTTACTCTCAAGAACCTTGTGAGAGAGCTAAAGCAAAATCTGCAAAGCTTTTTGTTCTCACCAGCAGCTGGCCGCTCTTTGTTTCTCAGCATGCCGATGTTCTGGCCCAGACTCTGGCACAGTGTGATGGCCATGGGGCCCACGCTGCCAAACTGAAGACACACACATAACAGCAAGTGAACAGAGAGAAAAGATAGTCATCTGTCCGTGACTGTTTTGAAACCTTCACTTCTATACATGTCTTTTTTTTTTAAATATTGATCCAATGTGCTGATCTGTGGCCTCTGTCTCTGATCTGAAAGAAGCACAAGTCTCACCTCATTGATGCCTCCACCTCTGGTGATGGAGCAGATGCCTCCGATGTAGGCGGCCTCGCTGCGGCTGCTCATGAACGTCCTCCCACTGTTAAGACAGAGAGAATGCTTTAATACTAGGTGCAGGTAGAGGAGGAGGAGGAGGAGGAGGACAGACACGCAAGAGGAAGAGCATGAGGAGGTAGAGGAAAAAGAAGAAGAAAGTAGAAAGAGGAGGCAGAGTGAGGAAAGGACACAACTGATGAAGAAGAGAGCAGAGCATAAGAATAACACTGATTAAGATGTGGACACTACACTCACGAGAAGAGGTGAACGGCATCGCAGCGCTCCTTTATGCTCTCCTTTCTGTACTTCATGAAGTCTCGCAAGGTAAGCAGAGCATCGTCGCCCACAGAGATCCTGTTCTCAGACGACCAAGTTTCCATGGCCACCAGGACGATGCGAGTGTTGAGCTGGTCTTTGTAGATCTGAACTCATCCCAAATGGGAAAAATAAAAACCCAAAATAAATTCACCATCGAGGAGGTGAGACCAAAATATCCGTTTTTAAAGGAGCAGAGGAAAATCTCACATTTCACAAATAAAAAAGGATTGAAAATCAAGTTTTGGGGCATGGGGAAGTTTTTTTCCACATGCCCACCTGACACAAAAGTGTGAGGAGGCTTAAGGAGTTCTTTTGAGAAACTTTGTAAAGACGCATCTGAATGATATCTGAAGGTTCAATTTTACAGAAAATTTAGTAATAATTGAACAATAATTGATTGATTTATGAAGTAAGTATATTATAGTGTATTAGTATACCAAAAAATAGTATAACCATTGTAATTACTACCCAGCTTTTTGATGCAATAAAAAGGATATTACGCATTAACTGACTGTAATATTGATGAATACGGCTCCTGCAGTGCTGTGTGTATCAGATTAACAAAGTCTATGAGGAAAGGCAAAAAAAAACAAAAGTGACACTCTCAAACATCAGAGTTGTTCAGTTTTACAGTCTCCTTCAAACCAGCATGAGAGGCTTTTACACTGCTGACTTCTTCAGTCATTTAAATGTTTTGTTTTTTTTTGTTAGCAAAAAGGTGGGACATCAATATTATTGTGAATTGATGTGTCCATCTCCACTTCATCTCATGCATGAATTAATGTTAAATAGAGAAAGCTGTGTCGCTCTTCTTTAGACAGGGAGTAGAAAGAAGGCAGCAGTGAGTTGGCATGGAAACCAACATCACTGTGTGCTTGTATCCTGTCAAAGGAGGTTTTCCCCATGCTGATGAAGAGGACACAAGCAGAGTAAAATTTCTGCTGTTTGGAAGATAACTGGATATATGACACAGTAAAGTGTGTACTTCTGCTCCCATGGTTTTGTTGCTATTTTTCTAAACCTAGGGTGAGTGACTTGAAGTTTTTTTGTTGTTGGAAACTTATCAATAGATGGGAGCTGGCTTCAGATCAATCAAAATTGAAGTGAGAGCAGAGAATGCAATCAGATAACTTCCTATGGGCTGTATTTGACTCACATCTGGAGCCTGCCTCTAGAGGCCGTTTGAAGAACTGCACTTTTTGGGACCAACAGATTTCTACTTGATCCTATCTCTACCTTTATTTGTTTCTTCATAGATTTCTTTTGGTTTGTTATATTGAACTGATATCTGATGCAACTATTTTTTCCTTTGACACTATTTAGTAAAGGTGGGATTTATGTGAAATGGTCTGCTACAAGAAAAAAATATTAGTTATTCATCAAAGCAGATTTGTTAATATACTCATGATAGACAACAGCCTTGAGCAAATTTGGAGACTAAAAATGAGGTAATTGAGAATAATTTCATCCTGTCCCAGAGCTTGTGGATTTTTGCAAATGAAGGATGGCAGCTGTCCTGGTCTGGAAAGCTGTGAAATGTGGAAACTGTCCTAATTGAGCTCATGAGACTCCCAAAAATAGATCCACTATGAGGGACTGCCATGGACTTATCTATAACAAAGAAGAGATGATTTGAAAGCTCAGAGACAAGTTATGAACAATGTTTCCACTCACCGCATCCGCCATGTTCACCACCGCTTTGGCAAAGTTTTTTGTCTGTGTGGTCGACCAGCGGAGCTGCGCAAACTAACAAAGGGATAAAAACACTGTTGCTGAGTCACTGTCTTTTCATTTTTTCCTTCATGCTGCAGTGATGGATGTCAGTGTCACACCCACCAGTTCATGGTCGTTGACCACCATCAGCTCAATGTACTTGGTCTCAGTCTGGACGGTGCGCTGGTCTCGCCGCACCTGGAGGAGGGAGAAGAGATCCACACAGCCAAAAGTTTGAGACTGCTGTCATTTCCACCTTCACACAGGACACACACACACAGGACACACACACACACGCGCGCTGACGCTGCTGAAACTCTAGCCTTCGTCCTTGAACGGGAAACAACAACTTGGAAATCAACGATCTCTCATTCATTAAATAAGCTCAATATCTGCATGACATTTGAAAAGATAAAACTCAGATTGTGGTTCAGGTTACTTCAGGAATTAAACAGAAAATAAAACTTGAAAACACTCCAAGGATGCAAAAGAATTCAGTGATTACAACAATGTAAGTGGCAGCAATAATGCTCATGATATAAACCGAAGCTAAGATGAATATGATGATATTGCAAAAAATGTCTCGGGCACATGAAGGGAGAGTCTGTCTTCCTGGTGACCTGAATTTCTATTTCCACAACATGTGTAGGTTGCTTATGAAACACAAACAGTACACAGACAACTAAGGCAAAACAAGCTGCCAAATATAAGCAGTGCAATCCCCACTTCTTGTTGAAGTTTTATGGGGACTGTCAGAGGAAAACAATGATTAAATCAGGGTGAAAATTCAGCTGGTTGCATGTGCACATACAGCCCGCTTGGCCAAGGCTAGGAAACTATTTAGAGCATGTGAGAACAAGGCTAAAGTGAAGAAATCATCTCCTGCTCTTTCTCTTTTTTCATCATCTGTTTCTTTTGCATGAAAGCTGAGACAAACTATCAGCATGCATGTGGAAATTTGGCATCATTGCACAGACTTCTTAAAATATTGATTGTGTTTGCACATCCCAGCTCTGATGTTTCCCTCATGGTGACACTAGCAGCTCTTCATACCACATGGCCATCTGTGTTAAAAAACTGACTTGTCTCTTTGAGCGTCTCCGTCCTTTAGTGAAAACAGGCTTCTGCTCTTCAGACCAGCCGTCTCCGTCTTTCAGCTCACTGTCTCCTTTGGTTTGGCTCCCTGTGTCCTCCTCGGGCTTTGCGCTGTTCACCGTGCATCCTGGGAAACAAAAACACACATGCACAGAGCAAGAGAGAGTGCCAGAAAAGTGGCGAGTCATCAACCAAGAATGGATGTATCTATGTATTTTAATGCACTGATCTACAGGAGAAATCAATACAACAGTCGGAGAAAAGGGAGAGAGTATAAGTGGCCGAACAGGGGGAAAAAGAGACGAGGAGGCAGGGGTTGGGTAACAGGAAGAAGATGAAGGAGTTGAATGCAGAGAGGAACATGAGTGTGAGGGACAAAGAGGAGAGGCAGAGAAGAGGCAACCAAATGAGACGTTTTGAAGGGTGAGGAGGACAGCTAGGAGACCTGAGGAGGACACTGTGAACTGCTGTGTGAGAAAATCTGCCGAAAAACAGACTTACATTACAGATCACTGGAATGTCTAAGATCTTCCCAAGAGAAGGACAAAGCTGATGTCGTTCCCGAGCAAGCAATGACAATCAGCATTTGAGTTTGTTATTTAGGGAGGATTTATGGCTTTGTTTTTCTGGCAGTCATTAGAAAGGATCAGGAAAGGAGATTTTCTACAAATGAAACCTCTGTTGTTGCATGACTTATATACTTTCTGTGACAGTAGAAAGTTAATATGAAGAGTATCTGTGTAAAGTTTTGATTTTTAAGTCTGACAGTGGGCTTACCAGGACAGGAAGGTGAAAAGAGGTCGATATCCGGCATGCGGTATATCATGTGGTCATTGTGCTCCTAAAGAAGAGAAAAACAAAGTAAAAGAGATGAAAGTGTGATTTTTTAAATGCCTCTGACTTGATAAAAACTTATGTTTTGTATGTATCTACTTCTTGTTCTAGAGTTAGGACTAGAAGCGACACACTTTCATTTACAAGTCTCTCAGATTTACCTGATCTGGGAAACCTTTTTAGGATCTTGAGAAACTTTTTCCAAAGAACCTTCCATTTGGGATAATTCCTAAATTAGGTTACAGGTACTGGGAGTATATTCACAGACCTGCCCTTCCCAAGACAATAACTTGTCAATATGAAATTGAAATTGATTTTTACAAAACTAACACCTCCTTTTAACCACAATTTGATAGAAGGTAATACACATACATCCTGATTTTAATCAGTACAAGCCATCTCCTCAGACATAGAGCTTACAGTGGCTGCTTTACCTAGATGGCACTGGCATGGGCATGCAGAGGGCTCGTACTTGTTGGCACTGGGCTTGCTAGCTGTTTGAAAGAGTTATCATTATATTTGAATCATATGCTGCTCGTCACGTTTGTCCACAAGGGAAGGAGGTGTAGCTCTGGTAAATGGCTACTGCATTAATCCTATAATGATCTACTACCTTGATGTAAACAAATACATATGACAGCTAGTATCTTATAGCGCAGTTTGATTTGGGAGTATTTTAAAGTGGCATGTTACCATTTGACTAGAGCAATGCAAAACCAGCACATACATACAGATGCAAACCTACAAGATGGACCAAAGGCCAGTGGTGCTACCTTTACTAATGTAAACCAATTTGACATAACTAACCTGCAGATTTTGAAGTCCCGTGTTTAGCCAGGTCAAGTAGTTGTGCTCAGTTTTGACTGTTTTTTGAGGATTTCTTTACATGCAGATGACGAGCTGGTCAGTCAGTATCAGAGTTACTATTTAAACAACTGAGAAATTCAGAAAATCCCTAAAAATAACTACAGAGGACATCACAAATGCCTGGACCTGGCTTGGGGTTAAAATTTCTGTCATAACGAACCTTCATCAGGTATAATCAATTCTCCCCTCGCACCTGTCATACTATCAGGTGTGCAGATTTTCTTTCCAATAAATCTCAGTAAAAACCAAAAAAAATTAACACACAAGAAAAAAAAGAAAGACCAATAAAACAAACAAAATTCTTTCAAAAAAGCTGAAGTCCAATTTGGTTTGATTTGCTGAGAGTTTAAACTCTTTTCAGCGAAAGCCAACCAAAAAATCCTTTCAGTAACCTCAGATTCATGAGAACTGGAGGAACGGTGGCATCCTTACAAACAAAATGAAATATCTGGTCCTTTCAAATCTGCCAAGTCTCCAAAGCACTTTCTCTCTCTTCCTCTTTTCCTCATTTTCAGTCACAAGGTCTCTGTATGTGTGAAAAGGCTTTGCCGTGTCCTGTGAGGGAGAGACGGATCAACGGGAAGGAAAGTGCTCTGATGCATAATTAATCAATCACTGAGCTGTCATAATGGCAATAACACTGCTGGACACTGTTGTACACTCGAGCTGGGGGATAAATACTTTATGAAAATGACCCATTGGAGATAGAAAGCGGAGGAGAGAGAGAGAGAGTGAGGGAGTTTGAGGATGTGTGGAGAGGAGGCCATTGATCCATCTCTGCAGTCTATGTAATTGAGCTGCACTTCGATTACTGTGGCTCTTAATGGAAAAAAAAAACACAGCCTCTTCCAGTCTAAACACTTTCACCCCATCCCCTTTGGCCATTCAGTTATATGTCATTTCTTAATGCTGGATACACACTCAAATCAAATATGGGTATTTTGGAAAAATCTTAAAAGCCTTTCATACTTTTGTTTTTGTTGATTATTTTAGATTTCTCCTCACTCCCTCCTGCTTCCTGATGGATTGTGTATCCACTCAATACTTTCCATAAAGCAGCCTAGAGATAGAGTATCACTGTCTGCACTGCCCGTAAGTCATGGAGTGATATAGAGACGGGGAGAGAAAGTGAAACAGAGAGCAGCTTCACTTTTTTAGATTTTCACTATTTCCTGATCCAGTTCTTGGACGCTTCTTTTCACATAACGCTGATGTTGTTTTAGTTTTATGCCAAGAAACTGGATAGGAGTGTTTACAAAAGAAGTAGTTGAGCTCGACTCACCTCACCACTGCCGACAGGTTCAATCCCATATGAGAAGTTCCCGTCAGAAAACATCCCCCTGAAACAGACAGAATACGGCAACATGTTACTGAGCGCCTGAGCTGTTTGTGTCCCTTTGAGATGTTGGAGGTGGAGGACTGGATCACAGCCAGGAGGGGTGGGTGGAGAGTAAAAAAGAGTTTTTTAAGGTAAAACTTTAAGGTATAAATACTAGGCCATCTCCTTGTAGTATCAACTTTTGTATTTTACTAAACTTTTGTTGTATTTCTTACACACAGGAAGTAAAAACCTGTATCATTTATATCTATACACATCTACACCTCTATATAAAGCCACAGCTGGCAGGAAGTTAGCTTTAAACAGCATGAAGTCATTAATGTGTAAGTATGTGCATTTTTAAAGACACTAAACATTTGTCTGGATTGGACTATAACAACATATCAGGTAATGTGGCATAATCTACTCTGAGTGTTTGACCTACCGTAGGCCATGGCAGGTGGACAGAGCAGCCCAGGAGCCAGGCAAGCCTCGCACACAGCCATGGTAATAACAGTGCTCACCTCCCTGGAAGCAAAACAGAGATTTCTGTAAGACCATCGTCATCATCAAGTACCATGTGTGCCTTGTAACTGTGGTCATAGACACCTAAGGTCCCCCGACACTAGGGCTGGGCAGTAAAATGATAACGATATATATCGAAAATTAATTTCCCTCGATATCGATAAAAAACATGGTCAATATGCTTTTCAATAGTGGGCATTCCGCCATGTTTTGGTAGACTATACGTAGTGCCAATGGAAAAGAGTTCACTTCGCACTGAACCAATCATGTTATGAATCAAAACCAGGTAGCAATCAACTGCGTAGTAGCAGGCTGCAGCAACACACAACCATAGCACTTCAACACGTGAAGCTGACAGCACTGTTGGCGAGAAAAAAAAGAAAATGAATGCTACCCCCGTCAGAAATGTAGATGAAGGCTAAACAGATGAAGACACTGGCACTAAAACGTTGGTGGTGTGGAGGTATTTTGGTTTTTTGAGGTCGGACATGAAGCAGAGTAATGTGCACTGCAAATTATGTCGAGTACATGTTCTCACAAAGTCTGGGAATACCTCAAACCTTTTCACCACCTGAAGCAGATCCACGTGGCAGAGCACCTGCAATACAAAAGGTTACAATCCCCGAGCCAAGCAAGGAGCCCATGGCACATGTGCAGCCGAAACGCCTTACGACAAACATCGAAGAGACTTAAAAGACCTCACAGATGCAGTAGCTTAACATATTGCAAAAGACATGCTACCAATGAGCACTGTTAAATTTCATTTTTTATATTGTGATATATAGCGATATCTACTGATATGAAAAAAAAATATTGTGATAAACTTTTTACCATATCGCCCAGCCCTACCTGACACTAGAATTTGTTTTTAAAATCTTTGTTTTTATCCTATGTAAAATTGGGCGCATTTAACAGAGGATGTTGGAGATGTCAAATCTGTGAAGTTTGATTTTAATATGAGATTGAACTGCAGTTTTTCCCTGATTCAGCTCATTCTGTCAGTCTATTGGGACTGCTGTAAGGTGTTAGCGTAACAGATAGCATTACCTGATTATTCATAATCCACTTACAGGCCTCAACTGGATGATCATGTTTTGAATATAGAGTTTCCATGCTGCCTCTCACAGTACAGGAATGATCAGATTACGACAACTAGAGACTTGCCACTGTCATTTAAGCGACATGTGAGTGTTTTCAAAAGTGAGTGCAAAAGTTACTGTAAAATAAACCGTGCACAGCAGGAAACTGCAACTAGGAGATTTTAAGGACCATTATAATGCATGCAAATTCTAGAGAAGAGATATTGTGGATGTCTTTTTGCTGGCAGCCACGTGGATCTGAGTCAAGTGTGTATGTCTGTGTGTACAAGAGAGGGTCAGTTTCAGGCATTTGTAATGGACCCCAATAAGTCTTGTCTGGCAACTGAGCCTGCTGTTGTCTGGCACGGCTGATAGGCCAGAGAGAAAAGCAGAGGTGTGGAGTTGCAGTTCTTAATGCTTGGACAACCTTTACTCTGAACTGAAATTTAAACCCGTCAAACCAACAAGATTGGATACAAACTTTTTACAGAATAACTTTCGATTGTCAAAAAAACTTTGGCTACACAGACATTAATACATTAATCACACAACCAGAAGATAAACAGAGTTGGTTTGTTGTGGGGCAGCCCCTTAACAGGTAATATCAGAACATTTAGTTTCCTCTTTTGTGTTTTAAAACTAATATGTTGTCAAAAATTATCAATTGAGTGACAAATTCCCTGAATACATATGAACAAGGAATATCCCTGATGGAAGTAATGCTGGAAAACATTGTCCCACCTAACTGCTTTTTCGGAAGAGAGGCCTTTTACTGAGTAATGTAGTTTGTAAGACATGCATGATAGATATTACACAAGAGACTTAAATGGAGGGACTACTTACAACATTTCAAGTCAATCAAATCTCCTATCTCATTTAAAAAACAGACTCGAAAAATTACAAAGAAGTAATGCAATAAACATCAGAACCAGTCATCAGCTTAACTGTACTTACATCAGTATTGACATCAACCCTGATTTTTTTTACAATCTATACAACTCTGTACCAATCAACAAACAAAAGTAAGACCAAAAAGATCATGCTTTAAAAGCAGTTTTTAGTTCTGTATTTATGCACAGTGTTACTTGAATATTTTTGCCACTGTAAGCACACTGACATGCCCACATGATGATGCTAACATGCTGGGTTTTGCAGGGATCGTTTTTCCTACAATCACAATTTTTAGAGTGGCATGTTTGCAGTTGCAATGACACTTCTAGAAAAGTAGAAAAGGGGATCACCAAAGTCACAAGAATAAATCAGCAAGGAAACATTTTGACATATTCCTCTGTACCCAAATGATGGACCACCAAAAACCAGTATAACTCCACTAGCATAACAAACACTGTTTTTACTTTCAAAATAAGGGCAACATTTAAAATCTTGCATAGTGATAATCGTACAGCTCTTGCAGCGATATCGGTCCATTGCCTTAGACTTAGCTAGCATGATAATCAATCGGTTTTAATCAGAGTATTTCTTAAGGAAAATATTTACATTCACAGTCCATTTATCTGTTAAAGGAGAAACAGACTTGAATCATTCATACCTACCAGTGAGAAAGCCTGCAGCACTTAGTCAGGGGCCAGATAATAAATAAATAAATGGTAGGGTTACAGGGCTAAATGGAGGAAATCAAATTGCCTGACACAGCAGACACATGCTGACTTCGAGAGACTAAGTGTGCTTTTCAGAGAAGACATATGGGCTTCAAATAATTACCACTCACTCCTACAAAGAAAGAAATTGTATAATAAATCATCCGTTAGTCCTGAACGACAGGAGTGCAGTGAGTACAAAGGACAGGTTATCCTGACTCTATCCTCAAATGTGAGTGACTAAAAAAATACTTGCACATAAACAGCAAACGTCCTGCATCATCATGAACTCTAACCGAATAAGGATAAGTCTGGACTTTGACTCAGCATCCTTGGACAGAAAGAAGCAGGGGTAAATGTAATAAACCAATAGGAGCTAATGAAAAGGAGGAGGAGGAAAAGGCAGCAGCACAATAGCTTCAGTTGGGAATATGAGACTTTCTCAGTGTGTTAGAAAGCTATAATGATTACCACCAAGACTTGAACTAATGAGAGAAAACAAAAACACAACATTTCTTGTGGTTGTTTCTGCTTGGTGACAATTAATCATTGACGTCAAAGCATTGAGATTACTATTTAGAAACCCAAACGCACATAGAGCTGCAAACTTGTCTATAATTTAATTATTCTGTGAACAATGGGGTTTTAATGACCTGAAGCTCTGAATTTAAATATTACAAAAACACAAATAAGTGCATATAAATCCTGATGTGTTCAAATAAAACAAAGTATAGTGCTCAAATAGCATGCAGAAGGTATTTTATTTTATTATTAATTCATTTATTTATTTTTTTGATGTTCTCGAAACAAAAATCAATTTATTGCCAGAAATGTGACAAGCAATTATCATGCAGGAAACTGACAAGCTAGCATAACTCAGCTCTCATCAATTCAACCCTTGACTCAGATTCAAATCATCTTTTCACCGTGTTACACTGAGATTCAATATAAACGAGGCAGCCAACCGCTCGATGTAATTGCAAAGATCCACAGGGACCAATAAAAAAGTGACTCACAAAAGCAAGAGGAATTTATTGCACTTCAATAAAACTAAATAAATCAGGATGAAGATGGTGAGGGTGTTGGTGATGGTGGCGGGGGAGGGGCTGCATACATCAGGGTCTCAGTCCAGCTTGCAGAAAGGGAAATGTTCATACAAAGCATTTGTGCAGTCTATTGAGTACTGGATCTAAAGTCAATTAGCCAGACAAATGTTGTATATGATTTGATTGGACATCTGCCAAACCATTGTGTAGTTATCTTATTAATTATGTTGAATGAAAAAACTGGCTCTGTAATTATGTTCTGGATTTTTAGCTTGGGATGTGCTTTAGTTTCCATCTATAGTACATTAGTAGCTTGAGTAGTACTGACAAATAAATACTGTATAAAATAGTAACATTACATACTGTCTGTTGTTAGCATGACACCTTCTTGCAAAAGGGATCATCCACTTCCAGAGATGTATACAACATAGCACCATTTCAGAGATTGGGCACAAATGAATGAAAAGAATTTGAAAAAAAAAAGTTCTTGATTCTTTATATAATCTTGATAACAATAGTAGTTATGAAACAGTGTGTTTATGCTGCCTACCCCATGACATTAAACCCTGGTGTGCCCCAAGAAACAACCGTGGGTGACTACAATTTCTTCAACATGATGAAATAAATATATGAGGCTTTATTGGACACATAGTTTCCAACATGTGTCAAATAGATTTTTAGATGTTCCCCTAAACAGTCTATCCAATTTGTCACATTTAGGTGGAAAAGGGCACATTGCAGATATTTCAAGCCCTATTAAAAGGGACTTTTGCAGCAAGCACAATAATTAGCTGATGCTAATGGGCATTAGCTGCTATCCATTTATGCTTGAATACATCAGTATCTGAGAAACAACCTGTAAATTTTGGCCAAGATATAAACAGAGATAGAATAGCGAGACTATAGTGCCATATGCAAATGAACCTCTGATGTAAATTATTATACCAATGTTATGCATGGGGTTGTAAAAGTCAGGGCAGAGGACAGCTGTAAGATTTGGTTAGGCTGTCTCAGGTACAGGACATGATTTGAATTCCCCTCACAACACAACAAAATAGACCTAGGCTGCTGCTGCTGGTCTCCATGGTAACCATCCAAGGATTGGTCAGGTGGTCTTTGGCAGACAAACAGACACAGAGAGAGTGCAAAAAGCTGGGCAGAAAGAGGGAATGACAGAGTCTACAATATGAAGCATCCCTCGTAAGCTGATGAGAGTCAAGCTGTTGGTATCAGCTGCCTGTCTCTGATGAGTAAACAAACTAGCCTGACATTTGGACACTTTCCACAGATTCAGCAGAATATGAGTAACGACACACGAAGGAAACCAGAGAGCACAGCAACGCACATGAAAATAACCTGCTTATACACACATGAAGCAAAACAACATAACAGCATTGGTCTTAAAAAATCACATTGGGAGTTTGCATGAATAAGTGTCTTAAAGGCATCAAAATTCAGCACTGCTTTGTTTGATGTGATTTAATTTTTCTCTAGGGTTTATACCAGCCATGAAAGTTGGAAATATTTCAGCTAAAAAGTGAAAGTTTGTGAAACAGTCTTACCATATTCTGTGACAGCTGTCCATCCTTATCATAATGACGCTCCACGTAGTCTGTAGACAATAGGTTGCTGCAAAGATAAAGGAATAAAAAGGTGAGAAAGACAATTATTTTCAATCTTACGTCAGTGCTTCAATAACTGTTTGAAAATGCAAGTTGTGTAGCTATTAGGAGCCATTATGTTTCATCATCCTGAAGTGCTTTTTAACGGAGTACTATCAGCATTAAACATGACGACTTCTGTGAATCTGGATCAACAAATGGGTGATTTATAAGCAAAAAGAAAATGTGTCAAGATATTGTAAGTGCCTAAAAGCCAATGAAAGATATAACATAAATACAGCCCATTAGAGCAATTTAAAACTGAGGGAAGGAGAAGGAGGAGGGAGTTTTACATTTAAAGTGTTGTTCAGCCCTCAGTCAGTCTATACACTGCCAACATATAGGACATATAGTACCGCACACTGCTGGGTCGGTGAGAGACAGATAAGGAAAGGTAGACAGTAAGACTGTTTGGGCTTTACTGTCATAAACAAAGCATTAAACATTGTGTCTCTGAGGTAAGGATGTGTGAACGCTCTGAACTGAAGGCAGACTCACTGATTGAGTTCCAGGTCAAGGATGAAAGATTTGCCAAAGGCCTCCACCAAGAAGCTGCTCTGGGCCAGGTGGACAGGCTGACAAAAGGGATGGAGGGTTTGCAGAGTGAGGTATAAAAGGCAGAGAAGAAAAAAGAGACTGGAGTTAACATCAAACATGCTTGCAGCTAAGTTCATACAGCAGCTCTTTAGCTTATGTCATTATTTATGACGACTATATGGGGATGATTTTTTTAGAACTCATGCGCTTCATTTGTGTGGAGGCAAAAGTTTTTACACTTTCACACTATAAGGGGCTTTACTGAATTTTCTGACAAGTCTGCACATTGCTGTTTATCACAGCAACACGGCTAAAGCTTTAAATCCACCACTTTGTCGGAACCTGGTAAGCTGAAAGTTATTTGAAGTCAGCCTTTCCAACATGCTGACTGCCTTATTTGGGTTTTATAGCGCCGCCGCCTCTTCAGAAAACTAGAGGGTGACATTAGTAAGATCACAACCATTTCATACAGTCTGTGGTTCAAACACATTCAAGTCTGCAACTACAAAGCAGTCAGAGGCCTTTAAACAGTAAATACTTATACGACAAGGTCATCCGACCACTTTGGTGCAGTATAATGGTCCTTAAGTAGAAAAGTAGACAGTTAATACTGTGAAAAGACATAACTGTTGTTATTACTGTTCAAACTGAACTGGAAAAAAAGACTTTTTTGGCCAAAGCGTACTCTGAAATTAATAAACCTTGCATGTTTAATTCATGCTTTTGCATTATGTTTTGGCCTATAAGTCACAAAATTGTCAGGAGTCCGTGCTTGTGTGAAATTTTGAATGAAATGATAATGACTAAGTAATGGAACAATGTGGACAGTGACAAACTCAGATAATAAGGAGCCACTACCTTAAGTAACGTCTCCCAGAGGGCAGACTGCCTCATCCATCCTCCAGGCTTGTTAGATTACTGTGTATTGGGGCTCATGAGTTCTGAATAACCTTGTTTCAAGGTGAACTCCATCCACATTATCAGACGGATCCCTGTGGTGGCCCCCATCAGTACTTACTGGCTCGCTGCAGGCCAGGCAGGTCTCATTAGTATTAGCATGCTCTCTCTGCAAACCACTTAGTATCAATCCAAGCCTCCACTGGGTCCACAGACTGTACAATAAAGAGCCACAATGGTGACCCATTAGCAGTGGTAAGAAAGCTGCTTTAAGGCTCCAACTGTGGAGATTTGCACTGTTGTTTTGGATTATGCTTTTATGAACACATAATTGCAGGCAATAAATGTTGGCACACCGTACAATTTCTCAGTTCAACACTACATATATATATATATATATATATATATATATATAACTTAATTCATACAGAACAAACAAGTAATGCAAAATAGCCTCTTATTTTCTTTTTTTTGTGAGAGACATAACATGAATGACATTATTCCAAAATGCATCATTTACTGCTCATAGAGGCTTTTTCCAATTCTACCTCAGTCTCACTTTAATTTCTTTACGGTTGCAGCACTCAGCCTTCTACAGTCTTAGGCTGCAAAGAGATCATGAGGCGCTCAAGGTCAGACCCACTGACCAACAATCCGCTGACTGACAGATAGAGTTCATACCACAGGTAACAAGAGAGGACAGGTAGAGGTGTGCAATATTATCTGACAGACTCCAAAGGACAAGGCAGTGTGTGTGTGTGTGTGTGTGTGTGTGTGTGGGGGGGGGGGGGGGGGGGGGGGGGAGTCCCTGACATGTTGTGTACATGAGTATGTCTGACCACCACAAAAGGGGACAAACAAGGGTGAATACGGTCTCAAGAGAGATGAAGATTAGAGGTGACTTCAGTTTTCAGCTGTGCCAATTTACACCACCAGATCTTGACATATTGTGCAGTATCATTTTGTACTGTATCATATTGTATCCTATCCTATCCTATCCCATTGTATCATATCATATTACAATGAAACAAAACATAATGTGACATATCACAATAAAACTCAACATAAATTAACTCGACACAGATTGTAACTCAACATGATATAATTCAACGTAATTCAACGTAACGGAAATCAGTGTAACATAGCTCAATGTAACAAAACTCAATGTAATGTAACTCAATGTAACGTAACTCAACGAAACGTAACAAAACTCAACGTAACAAAACTCAGTGTAATGAAACTCAACGTAACTCAACGTAACTCAACATAACGTAACTCAACTCAACGTAAAGTAACTCAATGTAACGTGACTCAACGTAACGTGACTCAACGTAACGTGACTCAACGTAACGTGACTCAACATAAAGTGACTCAACGTAATGTAACCCAATGTCACTCAGTGTTACACAACTAAACTTGACACAACTAACTAAACGTAACACAACATAATGTAACTCTATGTAATGCAGTGTAACTCCACGCAAGGTATGTAGCTCATCAAAACGTAACTCAATGTAAAGTAACTCATCAAAACGTAACTCAACGTAAAGTAACTCAACATAACGTAACTCAAAGTAATGTTACTCATAACATATCGTAACGTATAACACAACGCAACCTAGTGCAACACATTGTTACATAAGGATAATCTGCTGCTATATCAGCTCGAATCTTTTATTCACTTTATATTGATCTCTCCACTGGAGGATTGATGTTTAAACAATGGTAGTTACAAATAGTTGGTGAAATGCATAAAAACCACTGACCTCAGAGGTTAATGCCAACAATCTGGTTTAATTAAACCTTACCTGATAAAAAATTTTGGTCTACATGTTTAAAAAGTTGAATAAGGCTCATTTACAAAGAAGCAACTTTTGATGTAGTGTTTTAAGACTGTAAACATGTACAAGTAAGTAAACACACAGTGCACAGCATTTGCAGTTTATGTAAGGGATGTAAGGTAAGTCACATGTGAGCTCACCTGAGCTCCGTCTGAGAAGTTCTTGACCCGGGTGTCCAGTCGGCTGTGGAGCAGCTCCTCCTGGGAGTAGATCTGATGTAGAAGCCGTTTGGGCTGCACGACCTCTTCTGCAGGCGGCAACCTCTCCTCCAGACTCCTCCACTCCCTCAGACCTGCAGAAGATAGGAGAAGGTTCAGGGCACATGGAGGAGGGCAGGCTGAGACTGAGGTTTTGAATCAGCATTCGTGGTCCAGTTGTCTGATTTTTCTGGGGTTGATGTTGAGCTGCTTGTTGACACCAGCGCAACAATTCCCCGGTCCACGTTGTAGGGGCGCAGGTAAAGGGGACGCAATAATAGATCAAAGTCTGCCTGGTCGTTTTTTATATTTTACAACAAGATGTGGAATAAAAATCAGAACACTAACCTTTACCTGTCACGGAGCGTCGTGCACACACTGCAGCGAACAGCAGGCATCTCACAGCGAGCATGATGCTCACATAGTCCTAGTGATGTCCTCGGTGCAGCGCCGTTAGATGAACTGAGGGGAGACGCGCACGGAGCTACGGTTGGACTGATGTTGACACTGAAGACAAACACAAGAGCGAGCTTTCTTCAAACAAGGCACCCGCATCTCTAGCCTTCTTTCACTGCCTCTGGTGAATCAAAAAGAGCCTTGTGGGGTTTTTGTGCTCAGCTCCAGCAGCACAGCGGCGTCGTTGCGTGTGTAGGGATGTGTGTGCGCGCTTGTCAGTGTCACCGAGCTCCACGGCAGGATCACACACTCGTCTGTAGGCCTATCGTCAAAGGCTGGAGAGGCTGAGCGAAGAGCCGTGGACCTGGAGACATGGAGCACGTGGGGCTTCACTGGCCCACCCACTAACGTGCTGGTGAGACCTTGTGGGTCTAAAACCAGGGTACCCAAAGTACCTGTGGGTGCGCGACTATAAAACATACACATAGAAATATTAAGTTTCTGTCAGCCATAAAAAAAAATTAATGAAAATGTAGCTTTTTACACTGAATATTACAGTAGGGGAGAGTGGGGTAAGTTGAGCCAAAGGGTAAGTTGAGCCACCCCCTGTTGTTTGGAAATGGTAGAAGAAATTGATCATGTGACCAAATATTTAGGAGATGGGCATCAAGTCATCAAGTCTGTGAAGGTTAAAAGCACATGGGTGAAGGGGTTACACATTTATTTCCAAAAAACATTTTTCACTCTTGAAAGTGAATTTAGTCTGTCATAAGTTTACATCAATTGTGGTATCTATGAGCTACAACATGAGGTCAAAAACCTAGTATAAAAGTCCACCATTTTAGCTTAGAGGACTTATAAAGTCAGAATAGTTGAGCCAGTGGCTCAACTGAGAAAGTACAGGAGTATGATGAGAGGATCAGAGTTTCAGTTCAGATTGTTGAAATGTGTTACTTTTTCTTTTCAAAAATACAGCTGTGAATGCTCTGAATCACTTAAAGGCATTCTCATGTTAAAATGGCTTTTTACAAAACAGCTTTTTAGCAGTTATATGCAATAATAATAAAAAGTATTATTGTACCAGTTGAATAGTGTATAATAGATAAAAATACACATGAATGTGAAGAAGTGACTAATATTTAGGGAGAGAGAAGGTGAGGGAGGGCTGGGGTGGAGAGTGTGGGGTAGTAGGGATACGGCTCAACTTACCCCGCTCCTAAGTTGACCATAGGAGACCCCTTTTTTTGGCATGCTATATTATCAAGACAGTTATGTTTACAATCATTCTGTTGGTTTGCAGGGATGCACAACATCTTGAAATAAATGCAAATTAACTAGTTAGAGATGAAATTATGACTGCTTTGGTGTAGTGATCTGAAATATGAAAAATGGCTCATCTTACCCCACTCTCCCCTATGCACCCGACAGGTCATCTTAAATACCTGCTTCCTTAAATATCCCAACAGTAATCTTTTTTTGCTCTGAGTTCAGTACAATCATTTGGGAATAGCTTGAAAAATATATAGCAGCAAATTGGTCTGTTTTCTCCTTAGATGTAAACCCAAAACTTCTGTGGGAAATAGGCCGTGTCAGAGTTATAGAATCAAAGATCTAGTGAGCGTTGAGCTTGAGTTTGGTGACCCCTGCGAACAAATTAATTCCTCTGGTCTCTCTGATTATCTTGCCTTTTACATCTCCAGCACTTTACTCATGACGGTCATATTCCCAAACAGCACCTACAAAATTATCAAAGTAAAACTCGTGGAAAAGTGATAAAAGCTGCAGTAGTTTATGAAGTGTCCACTTTAAGTGGGCTCCAAAGGGTATTTTTATGCCCTGAGGCTACTTCCATGTATTATCACTTCAGAGCTTGTTGTGGTGAATGCCATCAGAAGCTCTTCATTTAGTGTTTTAAATTGTCTAGTCTGACACCACAGTGATTTAAGGCATTAAGATTATAATAAAACAGTCAATCTTTTTGCTGAAGGTGAGAGGATGATCGGGAAAGAGAAAGAGTGAGTACTATTTTTGTATTAAAGTATGAATTGGGTCTTGGAAAAACAATATTTTAAATACACATTTCCAAATTTTAAGCAAATGTGGATAAAATCAAACGGCTGGAGGGAGAACGGATCAAGATGGCATAATTGGATATGTTGTTGGCAAAACAGCAGCGCTTGAGCAGTTTGAGGATCTTCCTTTGAGAGATATTACAGCGTTAAAATTTGATGTTTTGGAGCTTGCTGGCATCATTACAATCTTTGCATGTGTTATTCTTTCTTAAGTTATTAAAATCTGTAAAAAATAAAATAAAAAAAAGATCTGATTAAAGATTTGGCATTATAACAGAATCTCATATTCTCCATCAGAAATTTCACTTGCATGAAACACAATTCCAACTCCGACTGAGTACAGACAGTACAAGCTGAATTTAGGCCGGGATTGTACTCCCTTCTCCGGTGACAAGCGATTGTACTTCTGGCCAGTTTTACTCATACAGAAGATCTCACGAGTCAGGCAATAGTGGATAGGTAAGGGTTACGTAACATGGGTTGAAGATTGAATATCAAATATTGTTTGAGTCAGCTGAAAGCAGCGCTGACAAACCAAACAGGACACATCGACCCTCTGCTGCCCTTCCTCATGCTTCATTCCTCATTTAGCTCTCTCAGCCTACAAGCAGAGTCAGCACATATTCTCACAAACAGGAAGAATAATCTTTAGTGTGCCACAACTTTCTCCACAGAAACAACTTGTGACTATACAGGGTATGTTTCTGTTTAAAAGCATTTATTAAAAAAAAAAAAAAACAACTGACGCAGATAGACTGTTTCCTATAACAGAGCTGAGAGCCCTGCACACGCTCAAATCATGAGGTTCTCATATTGTTATATTCTGCATTCGTTTCAAATGTCCACATAAGACACGCCGCACGCTGCATGGGTATCCTGAGCTTGTTTCCTTCTGTTATGATGCGCAATGACCTTGCACTTCAAAAACAGATGAGTGAACGTGAAAAACCTTGTGGCCACACACACACACACACACACACACACACAAACAGTCAGTCCTCTGGCCCACCTTCAAACAGCAGGACAAGCCATTTGACATTAATCAGACAGATTTCTGTCTCGCATGTTGTTTGTGTCCTCCACTCCGCTAACGCCTGAACGCCGGTGAGAGTGGGATCTGATCCAGACACAGCACTTACAGTAATTGAGTAATGCCCCCTTCAGAAATGCCTCATTAAATTCTCAATACCACCATGTGTTCCCGGACATAGCCGCTCAAAGACTGCAGTCAGCATGACACTCACGATATATTGCTAGGGGTTTTCTTCACAAGGTGGATTATGGGTAGAAGAGATGACGATAATGGGCACACTTTAAACTCATTTGAAGTTGCAGCATCCACTCAGTAACGTCTATAAAAAAATAAAACTATGGTTAACAATCTGTCTCTCTAAATATAGCTAATTATTACACTCTAGTTTGCACAAAGTTTTTAATATTTATTAAGTGTACAATTCATCGCCTTATCTTAAGCTCTTTGTCGATTCAAAGTCAAAAACTTTGTATGATTGTTCTTTTTAACAATCCAAACAAAGGAGAAGTCAGTGCTGAACCTCAACAATCTGCACCACAGTCCTGGAAAATGCAGTGGGGTCTATTTCCTCTCCACACAGTGAGGCTGCCGTGTTGGATGGTTGTAGAGCATTGTGCAGGTGTGACTCATAGCTGGTGTCGTGCATCCAGGTGCACGGCGTGTGGAGGAGATCTTTGTCGAGCTCGGGGTTCTGTGTGGTGGGAGACAGAGGAGCGGTTGATGTCGCCCCCAGCCTAGACAGCAAGTCACAGTCCCAGTCTGAGTCTGATGATGACGGACAGAGCGTGGCTACGTCAGGGATAAGGGCCGGCTCAATGCACACTGAGGTGGAGAGGGATAGTGAGCGCTGAGAGTCTTGACTCGATAAAGGTATACCAGTAGGGGAGTGAAGCTGAGGATCCAAAGTCTGTGATTTTAAGAGACACGATGGTTGATTAACAACACCAGTGGTACTCTGACCCAAAATGTCCAGTTGATTTGATGCAACAGAGAAATTCTGTACAGCAGGAATAGAAAACGTAGCAAAAGACTGTTTTGAAGCGTGCGTTTGACTAGGGCATACTGAAGGTAGTTTTTGGTGAGAGGGGGACTGTAAGGGCGGACAGGTGATCTTGTTAAATAATAACCAGTCCTGAGGTTTGGCAATAATGTCTCTTTCCGTTTCTTCAGATTTACATTCTTTTTCTGCAATCCTCCTCCTTTTGCTTTGACTGTATTCAGAACTGCCTGATCTCCAGCGCTTTTTGGGGTTTGTTGTCGTTGCTGACTGTTGAGGGAGGGAATGAGATGAAAACGAGATTGCGCAATCCCAATCTTGCCTTGCATGTATGTTCTCACTTAATCCCAAAAGAGACTCTTGGTTTGATCCTTTTATTTCTTCTGTATCTGTCAGGGCCATGGAGGGGAGAAGCAGGTTAGAGACAGGGGGTGTATCAGCTGAGACAAAATGAGACACGCTTTCAGTGTCCATTTCACAAGCCTGTCCCTCCACAGCATTGTCCTTAGTAAACCACTGAGGACTGAGGACAGGAGGCTCTGAGTATGGGCTGTGTGGCTCCATCTCAGGAGAGGAGTAAGAAATTTGTGGGCTAAGAACTGGAGGAAGAGAGTAAGGGTCCACAGACAAGCAGGGGGGCAGATGATGAGTGGCAGGCTGCTGTCCGGCTAAGTGGTGGCTTTGTGGTTCGACGTCGAGCACAGGCATGGCTGGACTGAGAGGAAGCACACAGTCTGCCTGAGTAGTGGGAGACTGGATGAAAGCAGGTATGAGTGACTGAATTCCTGTCGAGGGGTCGAAGGTGTGAGCGCTGAATGACTGCAGGGCCTTAACAGCCTGCTCGGTCTCAACATCAGTGAGAGGCTCTAGTTCACAGACATCCTCCATAGGCAAAGGACTATGTGAGGAAAAAGAAAATCAATAAAAACAGTCATTTAAACTGGAAAAAATCGACGTGATTCAATGAAAAAGGAACTTCAAATTTTAGGAAATTTTTCTATCATGTATACTCACTGGTCCCCTGTTTCCTCTAGTTGATGAGATGAGGCATGGGTGAATCCTGGCAGCATTTCAGCCACAAGCTGGTCCAGTATACTATAGTTTGAGAGATCCAGCACAAACGCACGGTGCTGATCAGACTGCAAGTGCTGCAAAGCCAAACAAGGATAGCAAGTCAGGTGTAAACACAAGCAAGCATCATAAAATAAAGTCATATGACCTAAGAGATTTCTACCTCCTCCAGGTTATTAAAGGGCTGATGACAGCATTCACAGTATGACCGGTCCTTTTTACGTGGCCGCCACGGTGAAGGGCTGCAGCTGAGTGGGGTTTGAGATTTTTCCTGAATGCTACTTTCAACCTTTTTCTTCTCTCTGTTCAAAGAACAAACCACTATTATTGAAAAATAACTTTTTATAGTCTGGACTGGAGTTTATGTTATGTTATGTTTGATACTTGAATTTAAACTGGCAAATCAGTCGTCTGTGATTCAAATACTGCCAAACAAACCTTGCTTTACTGTGTCCTTGCTCTGTTGGTTTGTCAAAGAGAGGAGGTGGAGATTCAAAGGGACTATATCGTCCAGAGTACCACAGTGTTGGAAAGGTCATAGACTGCATATGCAGGGGTCTGTATTTCCTGTTTAGAAGACATTACAACAAACACATGGTTATGAAATAAAATGCTACAGCAACAAAAGTTATAAGAAAAAAGCAAAATCCAACACATTAACGTATATATGAAGTAAGAAGAAAGAGAGATAGATGTGAATATATTAATGATGACTTTGCATCTTAAACTGAATTTGACACTGGACATCGGAGATGAACACCAGCCAGGCCTATATTCAAATGTTTCAGAGGTCTTGGGTTCAGTTTCTCACAGTGATGGCCTTCGACATTAGGCAGAGCACTTCAATTAACTGAAATGAGAAGGCAAATGAAAAGAGCTGTTCACACATGGAGATCCCCCACAGGAAGAGGCAGTGGAGCTTGCAAAGCCCCATCGAATAGAAACCATATCCTCCTGAGGTCTGGACTCCTGGGGAGCGATTCCACTCGAGGGGGGCGGCTTGTCACGTAACATGATGGTACTCCCTTGCAAGTTCAATTAAGAAAATCATCTGGGCTGAAATGTAAACCTCCAGAACTGGCACCCAGTGGGGTAGGAAGGGCAGAAACAGAGGGCAGGTCACTGGCAGCCATTGTTGTATCACTGTCACTGTACTTGATGACCAAACCGGATACTAAACAACCTGAACCTGGAATTTAAAAGGGGTTCCTGAACATTAATACAATAAGTCAATATGGAAAACCTTTATGGTTACATAGTCAATTTAATGTTTCTGTTTTCTCTCATCACACTCAAAGTGTCTTTTTCAGGCAGCACAAGGCAGCTGTTTCAATCATCAGCCTAAAAACCCACGGTCAACTACTTACTCATCACCAAACAGCTAGTACATAAAATCATCATGTTTGGACAGTACCCTCAGGATTTGGTAGAGCGCAAAACCAGAATGACAAGATAGTGTTTACACCACATGACCAAACCCAAGACTTTAAATGTCAACTACTGGTTGTTAAATTGAGCAACTATTTTCAGATAAGTTCACTTTATAGTAACTTAAAAAGGTAAGGATTTCCATAATGATATTTTGGTCGGAGTCCAAAGCAAGAGTAGAAGATTGGTTACCTCCTTAAGTCCTCCCCCTCTTCTCTAATGCCTCATAGGTGTAATGAAGAAAAAGCAAGGCAACTGCTTAACCAGGCAGGTTAAGCTGTAATCCAAACAGGCCTCCTTCCCTGGCCTTGCATTACCTGTCCTCTTACCAACAACTCTCTACAGACTCCTCTCTTTGCTGTGTTTTGCTTTTTGGGCCCACTGGGACCATGTAGTATGGCAAGTAATCACTGTCTAGGGCTTGCATGTACAGAACCATTGCACTATTGAATGCTGTATGTTTTTTGTTGTAATATAGAGGTTCTGTTAGTGAGCAAAACAGACTGCACACAAGAGAAATGAAACATACCTGCTCAGGTCTTCGATTTTAAGATATGGAGACCTCAGAGCTGCAGCTATGGACATAAGAGGAATGACACCCAATTAATTTAGTTAATAATATCTACAAAGATATGGTGTTGATGGGAAATAAGTCATTTCCAGTACATGAACAAAAACTAACCTTTGACAATGTGAACACCTTGTTTAGCTTGAGTCTTCTGTAAAAACAAATAAAAGTTTGTCTCATTAAGTGTCATTTATATTGAAGAGAAAAGACTGGTGTAAAATATACTTCAAAGATTGTTGCTTTAAAAAAAAAACAAAAAAAAAAAAACACCCTGAGAGCTATTAATGCATTTAAATCACAACCTTTCACGCCTTAAAAAAACAAAAAAAAGCCTCATTTACAGTAAAGCATACAGGCACCTTACCTCAAGTCTCTTGGGTACAGCGCTGATGCTCTCTCGCATTAGCAGTTTTAAGTACAAAAGTACATCTGGTTCAATGTTAAGGACGACTTACAAGACCGTTGCATACTGCTATGTGGTTAAGAAGGTGATATTTTGATGCAGATTTACCAGATTTCTTCAGTTTGTAACTGTTGGATGAAACATAGCAGGGCAAACAAAAGCACTCACCTGGTGCCATCTGCTGTTAGCAGAGAGTCACTGCTTAACAGATGTAAACAAGAAAAGCGGGGAAGACCTTTGCATCAAATGAGTTCCCATGAGTAGCCAAAAGGATACCATCCGCATACAGAATCTTCACTCCCCAAGATCGGGCATTTGCCAAAACACTGTTCCCCAGAAGTCGTTCCTACATGAAAGCAAATAACATCAAAGATAACAAACCATGCCAATCTTGGGTAAATTATCCTACTAAATCATCTGGATATTAAACTGATAAATCTGACATGAAGTGACTTACATTGTTGCGAATAGCTTTTTCAAGCAGGGCCTTCCCACGACTGCCACAAACCTGAGAAAAAAAAAAAAAAAAAACAAGAACTGATTTAAAGCAATTTCAAAATTCAATAACTTTAAAGGAAAAACAAAAATACACTTCTTAAAAAAAGGACATTGGTTTACTTGAAAATATCATATTTTCCATACAAACATCTTTTTCATCGCACATGAGTGTGTGAAGTTTAATACCATCGATCTGGGAGTTCCTGGTCGCTGTTTGCCATTGCTGGTAACATTCTCTCGTGTCATTATGGAACTTGGTGCCTCTCCACTTGTCTCCTTTGCCCCATCTTTAGTGCACTTCTGCTCACTCAGGCCCTCTTGGCTCCCCGTCACAACAAAGCTAACATCTCTGTGCAGGAAACTTTCGACTCTCTTAGGATTACAAAAAAAAAGGAAGAAAAAAGTATACAGTCAGATGTGTCTTTTCCCCAAATTTTACTTGAATTTAATGATGTCTCGAATGGTTGCTACTAGAGCAGCTTGTTAAATCCAAGATTTGCTGAAATTACCAGGGATATTGTGAGGGCTTTACAGTATTTTCTTTTACCCACTTTAAAAGAGAGACAATTTACCCAATGCCTGTACTTGTGTTTTAATTTGCTCTGTTGATTACATTCACATCTATATGCCACTGCCAGGATCAAAACCCAGCCAACATCAGCAACCACTGATCAAAGCAAGATATCTACCAGCTCACACAGTGCATTTATCTTTCAATAAGCCTACCCCTCCAAGGAGAGATATGGCCTCCAAAAGCAGGGCAGTGGCACGTTTCTTCACACTGTCCAGGTAGAAAGTCTTCCCCTCCAACTTCTTCTGACCAGGACACAGTAAACCCAGAAGACCCTGCTCTTCTGCATGCTGCCGATCCCTCATGATCCTGGAGCAGGGAGAGAGCTTACAGCTTAGCAGGAAACAGCAGGATCCTTCTAAAAATACAAGAACAAACAAACAAACCATGATATCATTGAACGTCTACCAGTCAGCTTGAAAGACAGCAAAGACGAGACAGTTGATTATCATACATAATGCTAGTTGGTTAACAGGCATTAAAACTTGTCATGATGCAACGTGTTAGCTTCCACTGACATAGCTAGCTGATTCACTTGAAACTAACTACGCCAGTGTAACAAAATAAGTCAAGATTATTTATAATACGCATTTATTTGCGGTGAGACGCTTCCAGGTACTTGGATTCGGTGTTAATGAAAGTTTTTCACTTACATATTGCAGCTGTACAGGAAAAAAAAATACGATAAAGTGTGACTGCTATTGAATATTGAAGGTGCTCGAGCGAGCTACCGCCGCTTTTTAAAAACACTGGCGGTGAGACAACATAGACATTATATACGTAGATGACTCATTACGTGCTGGAGCGTAAGACAGCGTCACCGCCATATTGGGTGGGTCTTCCCGCTTCGGGTTCTTTCATAAGCCGGACGGTGTCAATGGAGAAAGAGCAAATATGCCCGTTTTTTATTTTATTTTGCACTCTATGGTTGAAAAACCCGATGCAGTATTGAAACCAGATCACGCAGGATTAAATTTCACAAATAGGATTGCAAAATTTATATATATTTTATTTTTAATGTGTGACATTGTTCTGTATTATCGTTACATCCCTGCCGTTGTAACAAACCAAACTGTGAAAATCGAGCAGCGATTCGGAGAGTTATTATCAATATGGTTGGGCATTCCCACTTACCTTAAAGCACCGGAGGCGCACGGGGGACCCATCCAAGATGGCGGCCGCGCTGATACGAGAGCTGCAATAGGCAGTGTCAAGCTTTAATGTGTCTACGTATATACTGTCTATGGAGACGACTATGAAGTCTACGTCACATCCGGGAAAACGCTGCCTTCAAAGTACTAATCCTGCGGTTCTGGTTTCAAAGCGGATTCAGCAAAGATTTTGTTTCTCTAAGGACAAGATTAAGGTTTTGTGAAAGAGCAATAAAGGCTCAGGGGACATGAAAACAAAACTGGATTTTTCTCTTGAAATCCCCCTTAATCTGTCGAAAATTCATTAGTCGGTGCGCTTCTTCACCACTTGTACTGTGTTCATCGCGCGTTCAAAAGTTCCTTAAACCCAGCATAACTGAATACATCCGCAGCAACGGTGGTTTCACCGTCTTCACTGCCTTCTAAAATTTGCATAACTCTGTTTAGATTATCTGATCACAATGCTTGCTGGTGCTGCCAATGCCATGACCACTTGTTTACTTGGTGGTCAAAACCAGGCATCAGCTGGAAGTAGTTTTATCATTTCCTGCCCAGCAGAGGGAGTTGTCCCTGTAAAGTATTTTCGTCAGAGACACAACGACAATCAAGTTTTTACTCCTAACCTTGCAGGTAAACAATGGCTATTTTAGTTACCTTAGAGTTAGTTACATATGCTTTATCTTTTAACACAAAAACACTTCAACTGGTCATTGTGAGGCAAAAACCACATGACAAATAATACAAACTCTTTATTCAAAACATGCACTTCTTGCACTTCTGCTTACAAAAGTATTTTTTCACAAAACACTGGCACAGTTCAAAGGACAAGCCTGAATGACATTTGTTTGGAAATCTGTAAATAAAAGTTACGTCTGAACAGAAAAGAAGCTTATTCAGGGCCTGAAAAAATGTTAACACAGCAGGCAAGATACTCTAGGTTAAAAATTCCCTGTTTATTACACAGCCTTTTTAAGTAAGCTTGAAAGGCTGCATAAAAGAAACTCAAACAAGCAAGTGTATATGGCAAATATTGCAACAGCTCAACAATAACACAGAGACAACAGTTTGGATAAAGGCGTCATTTTAGTGTCTGAACACTCCCACTGACATTAAGTCAAAATTACATGGAAGCCTTTTTCCCCCCAAAAAAATAATACTGTAAAGTTACCAGCTGAAATTCAATCCATCTTAATTATTGGCTGTGGGGAAAAAAAAAACAGATCAAAATCAAACCCAGCAACAACTATTAAAGTGTGCACAACAACAATGCAACTCAACCCCTGTAAGGTTATGCCAAACGTACACAGCATTATCTGTTCACAGACAAGTGAGGAAGACCTGTTGGGAAATACAATGCCTCATTTAACTGTTGTATTTAAAGTGATGTAGAGTCAATGAAGCACTGACTGTTTAAGTAAGGCATCTCAGGTTACCATAAAGAGGCTTCTGCATATTTACCAGCAAATGATGACAGCACCAACTTCTTCCTGCAGAAACTGTGTAAGAAAATGTACAAAATTATTTGGGTATTTTTGCCCTTCACTCCTGAAATATTGAACAGCATCAAAGATTAATCCAGCTTTGTTGCAAAACAAAATGTTAAAATCTTTTTTCACAGATTTTAAAGATTGTAATTAAAGTATTTCAACACATCACAGTCTGTGTATCAGATGTCAGATCCACTCTGAACCCTTTATGACTCCATATTTGCTGCTGCTGGTGCTGCTGCCTCGATCTGCCTCAGTCTTGCTCGTGGTGTGTTTAGAAGCCGGTCTGTGTTTGCGTTCTCGGTGAGGCTTGGCGTGGTTATTATTGTGGCTCTGTGGCTGGCTGAAGGCCTGACTGTCAGCCCCTGGCCTGCTCTGAGGTTGACGGATGTCCTTATGAACACCTCTGGGTGAACCTCCCATCGTGTGCGCGGACAGATTCTCATCATTATTGGTGTACTGCTGGCGCTCCTCCTGGGCAATGTTCACATGGTTCTGCCTGCATGCCATCTTAGCATTACTGAGATCAGTGATGGGTAGAGGTTGTCCCGTAGAGACAAGATGAGGCTTGATGGCGATGTTGTACCCCGGTGGAGCTGAAGGTGCACTCCAAGAAAAAGGGTAGCTGCTGTAGTTCTCTCCGCTCAGTCCGGCCTCGTTTAGAGCTCCATGTCCGTGTGTGAGCCCGTAGAGCTCCTCGTCAGAGAGCTCAGACCTATGGGACCGAACAATCTCACAGATGGTTCCAACACCCAGGTGAAGCATTTCCCATATGTTGAGTGCCAGACAGAGCAGGGAGACAGTGTACATGATGAGGAGGAAGATGGTTTTCTCAGTGGGCCGTGACACAAAGCAGTCTACGCTGTGAGGACAGGGCAGGTCTGAGCACACGTACGAAGCAGGGACAGCGAAACCATACAGGGCGTACTGGCCACACAGGAAAGCCACCTCCAGGAGGGAGCGGGCTAAGAGTTGAAGCACATAGATACGCATCAGTCCATCTGCTTTAATGCGCTGCCGCCCATCATGGCGCACTTTAACCTTCACTTGTCCATCACCACTATTGTCCTTTGCTGCTACTCCACCATCACTCTCCACCTCTGCCATCTCGTAGATCATCGGGTCTTCCTCTTGGTCATCTTCCGCCTCTTCAATGCCTCTGTGCTGCCTCCTGCCTGACAGATAAGGCTTTTTGGATTTCCTTCGTGAATACCCTCCCGCTCCTCCTGTGCCCTCCCGCTCCTCCGCCCGAGTGATTTTGTTGACAGCGTAACCAAGGTACATGAGAGAGGGCGTGGCCACCAGTATGATTTGGAAAACCCAGAAGCGTACGTGGGAGAGTGGAGCAAAGGCGTCGTAGCAGACATTCTCACAGCCGGGTTGGCCTGAGTTGCAGACGAACTTGCTCTGCTCATCGTAGTAGATGGACTCGCCTCCCACGGCTGTCAGGACAATACGGAACACAATGAGGACTGTGAGCCAGATCTTGCCCACGAATGTAGAGTGGTTGTGGATTTCTTCCAGCAGACGAGTCAGGAAACTCCAACTCATGGTAGTGGCAGAGAAACTACAGTAAGAGGCAACCTTCCCCTCCTGTTACTTCCCTGTGGAGAGAGCAGAAATAATTAACATCTTTACCAAATAACACGTAAGAAATATTTTAGCAAAGGAGGAATGCAAGAAAAAGAAATCACTTTACAGCACTCTCTCCTTTCTGAGCTGTGTCTGTAGGGTGTTGAACAATACAAAAACATTTACTATTAACATGTCTTTTTGTATTTGTCTCTTTTCTGCACACACAGACTAAACACCAATATTTCAAATCTTAAAATAAAGACATCCCACACCTTTTCCTCAAGTATTTGTCTCAACATACTTTGTCTTTCTTACAGTACACATGATTATCAAATAGTGCACTTCTCTACCATAACAACACGTTTATCTTTGATTCTTTTAATAGCTGTGCCCTACAGCTCATGTCCAAACACACGCAATAGTACACAAAGGGAAGAGTAATGACAACAAAGGAATGTTTTAACATAATTGCTATTGTTAACTCAATGTCCCTGATAGGCATTTCACACGTTATGTCATTACATAGTCTCACTAGCCAGATATTTCAGGGACCCAAATTTTCTTATTTGTTTTAAATATAAATAAAAATAAGATAAAAAAGAAATAAAAGCATATATAAAGGTCTTTTTGCACAGCAGGTTGAAATATTACTTAAATCGAAAACAGGGACATTCCAGTTTGAAACTTTTTTGCACGATTACATAAAATGTTATGGTTTTATTGCAAGGCTTTTATTTACAACAGTCTGCTATATCTCGATAGCAGACTGTTGCTTTGAAGAACACATCATTATAAAGGTGTGGCTCCAATCACAGACTCTGGAGGACTCAATGTAAACATATTTATTTGCCAAAAGAAGTTAAAATTTATCTTAGTTTGTTTGTGGTGGGAAAACTAAGAAAAGAGTAAAAGAGGGAAGGTTTGAGATACAAAACTGTTGACTAGGACGGAAAAATCTAAAAAATAAATCAAAAGGTCTCTGCATTTTATATGAAGTCAAAAAAATAGAACATGGTGTGAGATATTGGGATGTGTGAGGACTGATGACTTGTAGTTAAAATGTCCCAGATTCTTATATGTCCACCTTGTCTCACCTCACCATAAGTGGACATGATCGGTTTAATGTAAGTGATAATAACTGCTATAGAGTTGATGTCTACTACAGGACAATACTTCTAAATCAACTAAATAATTTCAAAATTGGTGCAAAATGATTGATTTACTAAATCGGTAGTTGTCATCAGTGGGATGACATGTAGAAAGCTTGTTAACCCCTTCAGTATGAGACAAAACCCTCAAGCTTCATGTCACAATTTTGCTCACTTTGTCTGTTAAAACAACCTGCTCATGACACTGTACCAGAATTTGAGTCAACTTTGAATATTTATAACTAACAACACAACAACTGTATGGAGCATGGACCAGACCTCACCTCAAATACAACACAGATAATACACACTCTTTGTGTTGTAATTAGCCAGATAAAACTGTGAGGTGAAGACATATCAAGACTAAGCAGCAGGCTACTGGAAAAGAGGAGAAAGCAACATCAGTCAGTATGGTTAGAAAGTGCGCACGGTAAACTTTTTTTGTCATCTACATGAGGAGAGCCTTTTTCTCTCCTGAACTAAACCACCACATGCTGTACCTTATCTGAAAAAAAAAACTCTGCTTAACCTGCAGACATCCATCTGCCAGAATCTTAAGCTGCAGACATCTCCAGGAGTCACTCATGCAGGAAGAAATCCAAGAGATACCGACTTCTGTGGGGCAGACTGCGCCAGCATGTGTGTGTGAGCGTGCGTGTCTATGTGTGTGTGCGAGAGAGTTCAGCTGGGTTCTTAGGGATAGTGTGTATTCCAGCAGTCAAGGCTCGGGCTCATTTCCTTGTAATAACATGCACTTGACATCCATCTACAAACAGGGGACAAAGACCAAGGCAAACAAGGCCAGGTGATAAAAGAGCAGCCTTTAGGTGGTTATGGGACTGTATGAATGAATTAAGAGCTGTTTGGGAAAATAAAAACAAAATAGTTGGATGTTTGGAGCTTGTATAGATACTCTTTAATCAGCTTTCTCTTTTGAGTTTAGTGTGAACACATTCGTGGTTAAGAAAGGACCTCAGGCTATTTGACCATTTTAAAACATTTCAGAGGATTTGCTGTTACTGGTTTCCTGATTTTCCTGATTTTTTCCTGAAGTTTTTCTGTTAATTCAAGCTCAGTACAAGACTATTAGAATGTCCAGTGTTTTTAAGGAGACGCTTCTCAACTCTTTTTGGTAGCATAAGCCTTACAAATTAAAAAAAAAAAAATCCTCGTGCCAGTACCAACTCAATTTACACTAACAAGACACAGAATTTTCAATGATGCCACGCCGCAATCTTCCTCACTTATTTTCGGCTAACAAGCTTCCTTGTGTCTCACTCTGTGAAGTAGAAAACAGTCTTGACCATCTCATTAGGAGTCACATGCCCTCTAAAACTGCACATCTGGCCATGTTGTGTAATGTGCTCATTTTGAGGCCCACTAACACAGCAATCACCACCCAAACACAAGTCTCGTGGTTGGCAAGAACCCTTGACATTGCTCCTTTTAAGCACTAGCTAAATTAGTCTTTCACAGCCTATGTGTTTTTCACCCACAGGAAGGGTCAATTTAGGCCAAAGGTAAAAATACTCACTACCTCACTATGGTTATTTGAGAAGTAAACAGAGCCTCATTTTCCAAACACAGACACAAACTAATGGAATAATAAGAATATCTGGGTTGATTTTTTTGTTCATGTTATATCTTGATGTTAGATATAGTGGAGGAGAAACTAAAAGCTCCTCAGCCCGGGTTGTGAGTAACGCCACATCAACTGCCTGGAGGTGATACAGTACATTTTCCCCAGATGTCTCCCAGCCCCCTGACCAACAGCCCCCAGTTCCCTACAGTGCCAGTAAAAGAACTATTTGACTGTAACTTTAAAGAGCATGCCTATCTAAAAAGGCTTCAAGCTGTGAGGGTGGAGGTTTGTGGTTGCCTTCAAAGCAGCCAAAGTGATGCTACGCCAAAAATCTATCTTATGGTAAAGGCACACTCACATGTGTAAACTTGAAAGGTGGCTGTAAAAGTTTGTAGTGTGCTGACGCTGTACTTTTGTTTTTGTAGGTGTTCTGGGGGGTGCTCTACACTACAACTCTGACGGGAAACACGCTCAGCGCCTCGAATGGAACAAACATTTACAAAGTCGTGTGGCGGCAGCTTTGCTGATAGACATTTTGTACAAATTCAAAATAGTGGACTCAAATACAGTACTTCAGGACCCTGACTCTTGCTTCTTGAGCTGATTCAAATTTATCCTTTTGAGTTCTTTAGGATGTGAAACTAACAAACAAAACTGACGACAGAACGTCATGCCAACCAATGAGCACTAAACATGACTGATTAAAATAGGATAATAATAATAACCTTGTCCTGCTCTCACTACTAAACACCTCGGCAAACCTACTGACGTTATTGTGTGTCTGGGACTGCCACAAGAAAAGAATGGAAATGTTATCATCACCCAATTTAAATCTCCAGAGCTTCCCTTCACACTACATCCAGACATGGAGCCTGCAGGGTTACAGCAACACATGTCAAACAGGAGATGCAGTACAGTCCAACACAATGCCAACATGACATAGGAGTTAATTTGTAATGCCAAAAGAGCAACTGCAAGTATGCCATGCTTTCATAAGAAATCAATCATCCAGCTCGAGCCAGGAACTACCCTGCTGGATTACTATACAGGATGAACATAGGTGACTTAAGCAAGAGTTTTTACTTGAGTTATTGTTTCAGGCAGGCTGAAGAAACCTTGTTTTATTTGCGATCAGATGACAGGACAAATTCATCAGTCTAAATAAGCTGCTACCTCTTCACCCGGTCAGTTTTATTACAGTGCACCACTTAAGTGTGATCACAAAATGTTATATTAAATCTAAACTCTGTTGAGTAAAATAAGTGCTTTGTGTTTGGTACATAATGTTCTGCACACATTACATTTACTTTGTCTTTTTTTTTTTTTTTTGCATGGGTATAATTTGGTCCCTATCCTCCTTCTCTGCACCAGGTTACACAATCGAGCATGATTACTTGCAATGCACACTGCAAGCTTTAATATTTACATTAGGACAGAAAGCAGGAGTAGTAGATTTGAAGCTCCATATGCTGTATGTATGCATCACTAAATTAATCAGTATTAGCAGGACAAACACTCTTACTACTCTCTGTTCATTCAGTGTCAGTGCAGGCCTGGGATGTACTGATCGCAGACAAGGAGCCACAAGTACAAGAATATGCACTGTTTATTTGTGTGGAAATATAACCTGTAAGTGCTATTAAACAGCCTTGCTTCTGCTGTTGCTCCTACTCATCTGCTGCTTTTGCAGAGTAAAGTAATGTAAAAAGCATAGTTTAGGTAGGATAAGAGTTGAGGGATAAACTTTAAGCTGCCTTACATATTCTCAGACTATAACAAAAATCTGAAAGAAACAAACAACTGATATATTCTCAATGTTGCTTTTCATTTTAGTGTATGGCCTTCTGAATTTAAATTATCGCTCTGTATTTTTTGCATGTTTAAGTACAAGTATTTTTACCTCCTTTTGTTTTGTCCTTCCAGTCCTCCTTGTTTGCTCGAACAGAGACGATGTATATTTTAAACCCCATGTGCCTACAAACAAAGAACAGAGATAGCATGTTTAAGTGTTGTATGATCAAATGTTATACAGTTCAGATATTTTACAGGAAAATTTGACAGAATTTCGGTGATTTCCACAAGTACATATGTGGGTTCCACTTTTTTGTAAACTCACAAAACTTACACAATTTAATTGAATGATAAAAAATGAGCATGTTTTTTTACTTGTGGAGGTTAAAACTGACATGTTCATTAGTGTACTTTTCTTATAAACAGCAACAAAATACTGTGCTGTGATCAGAAAGTCTGCAAGGCTTTAACATGGCAAAAATCTTGCAAAACAGCATACTCTTATTACGTAAAGATTGTACCGGTTGCTGCATTTTTTAAAATAGCATAATATAATTATGTTTACAATAACTTCAGCCAACGGCTTTGATGCCTTAAAATGTAATAACCAAGACAAGGAAATGCTCAACTACCGAGTTTGATGATGAAAAATATATAGGGTAAATTAAGTTCTATTTCTTCAATTATTATAACTTCTGAGGGCCTCTAATACATATTATTGCTTAGTTTATTTATGGATGAGACAGAAAAATAATAAAAAAAAAATAGATTTTTAACACAGAATTAGGGGGCTACAGTCTCTCATTTGTTGGGTGTGCTGTTTTCCTTTGTTTTTAATAAGTCAATTGAGGTAACTGAATATCAATGTGTTTGCTGGCTTGAAAAAAACAATAATTTGAGAGCTCTTGAAATGGCTGCCTTTTTCTGAGGAGCTGTCTAACCAATAAATAGAAACTGATAATAACTGTGAGTTGCAAACCCTGGACCAATCTGTAAGAGTACAGAGTTTAGGTCAAAGACTGTACAGATGAGATTTAAGATGAGAGCCATTCCCCACAGTATCAGTAAAGGAACAACTTTCGATGGGATGTTAGTGAAAATAAAATGACAAACCAGTAAAAATTTGTTTAAAAAGATCTTCCAGTTTTTAACAGATTGGGTTTTAATCCATCTAGTAACTTGTTCATTTGCTTTATGGATTTGAAATTTATTTTTACGCTATTTGAACTCTGAAAGTTTCTAGCAAGATGCATAAAAGGCTGGCTTTACCCAACGATTTCTTTTGGCTGGAAATTTCTCACTAAAGGACATCATTTATGGACTTGAAAATTATTAATTTAATTAAGTAATGTTCTCAACATATAAAATATTATGCACGAATCCACATACAAGAAGTAAAACCCCAAACTCTAAAAATTTTCACCATATTTTAGTCGAACATAGAGGCCCTTAAAGTCATGGACAACAAAAATGTAAAGACATTTTAAGGTTTTATGGTGGGGATACATTTGCTCTTAAAGTCATTCATTTCATTCGGATATTATTTGGATTTGGATATTAATTCAATTGTTTTTTTTCCCCCTTACTGTCTGGGACATGTACATTTTGGTTTTCTTTGAATGTAAAAATCATATATGTGCAATCTTAGTAAATAAAGGTGTAGCCTCAGACATTAGTAATGTAACGGTAACTTCATCTGTACTACAGACACAAGGGGAAAAACAAAGTTCACGTCAGTTTTCCCGTCTGAAACCTTAATTAGGAAAGTAAAATATCAGTGAGCCAGTTTTAAGCCTATCTATCATGTAAGAACTGCTTTCAATATTTGAGCAAATTGACCAAGTTTATCACAATGAAGTTACAAAAATACGCTAACAAACACCATGAAGTTAGAAATGGAGCTAGCTAACATTATGGCTGCTAATGAAGTCAAAATTTGCCCCATATGGAAAATGGACTGTTTCTGGACATTGAACATTTTCTTTACAACCTTCAACTTGCTAACCCTCAAATACACTTTGACATTTAACTCAAACGCGACACATATTTGACTTACCTTTTATGTAAATTCATCACAGCATCCTCACCTTTTCAGTCTCACATTTGGCGCCGTTTGAGCAGAGCTGGGTCAACATCAACACTTCACAAATCAACCGGCAACAAACGGAGCAGATCCACAGGAAGAAGAAAACCTTCATCGTCCAAATGCAGCAAAATATGTATTTCTGACGCCTGTGCTCTAATATTTAGCCATAGTTTAACCAAAGTTAAGTTCCAGCTAATTTTGGAAATGCATTGTCTATAATACAGGGATTTGGTCTGCAGAGGGGGATGGCCTGATTGTGAGCAGAGGAAGACACAGACAGCTGGTAGGCTATATGGCAAGGAGGGGCTTGTGTTTTGAGAGTGTGAGAGAGAGAGCAAGTCAGAAAGTCAAGCATCATCTCCTCTCCCAGTGCACTCTCCTCATTTTTGAGATTTGTAAGAAGATGGGGGGGGGAAATCAACAACGATATCACCCTTGTTGTTTAGCATTTCCGGTGTAGCTTAAACTGACTTCCACAGACATGCATCTACACATTTTATTTACTCTGTTGTCATTAGTAATAGTGAATTTCTGCTTGTTTTCAGGAGATTTCTACACCCTTAACCTCTTATTTCAGGTTCATAAAACTTATTTTCTTGGAAAAACAAGTTAATTAACTTTTTTTTCTGAAGATTTAACAGGTTATTCCATTACCACAGATTATTTTTTCCCATAAAAAATCTAAACTTGCAGAATTAAAATAAATAATAATTAAAATAAAACTTATCCTTATTTACTGCCATTGCCCATGCAATGAAGTTAGTTTTGTGCTTTTGCAGCTCTGGGATATGAATTAGGATCATCTAATGCTAGATCTTGAGAAAGTAACTGATATCAATTTGTTGTCATAAGTCAACCATGATGCAAGCACAATTGTGGCTCCCATGAATTACCAAGTAAGTCTTTGTTGTTTGGAAAACTCTAGTTCTGCCAAGTGACAGGCAATATATTTTTCAAGGTTATTTCTTTCACCCCTGTGGATCAAACATGTGGATGACTATCCGATGACATAGCTCTATCCACTCAAGACTGTTTTACAGGTGCTGAAAGTCAACAATAAAAAATGTATGACTTAACTTTAGGATGCAATTAACATGACAGAGCATAACAAAAATATGTTGTATATATAAAGGTTTATTCCCTGCAAGGCTCCATGGTTTCCTCCTTATTTCATCTAGGTCTGGCAGCATAAACACACAAAAGAGTTGGTCATAAGTCACGGCTTTGTAGGAAGGGCAAAGACCAGAGCTGTAAGACAACACATATATTTTTCTCTTTGTTGTCCTTAGATGGGGCCTGAGACTGAGCAGACGCCATCAGTTCTTTTCATCTTCTTCCATCAGGCTTTGGATACACATCACGGATTTGCTATCAAGCCCTTAACAGAGGGGCACTCCATGAATATTAAAACATAAAGGTCTGTTTACTTGTCAAAGAGAACAGAACTTAGCCTGCAAAAACGGCTGTATAATATCATCTGACTGTGGGTCTGGTGGGAGCTCAAAGTCCAGGAAAATAACTCTGAGCATGAGCTGCTTGTGCACAAACTGAAGATGCCAAGTTATGAGATGAGGGCAATTAACAAGCAGCAGGTTTATAAGAGATGCTCTGTTGTTGCTTTGGGTAAATGATCCTGAATCTCTTTCCTTACTTTTGACGATGCCATGTGGAGACTTACCTTCCTGTCTACATCATGTGAAGATATGTAGTGTAAGGGACTGGTTAATAGTCGACTGTTGGTCCACCCCCTTGTCTCTACCCATGGGGAATTTTAGATTGATAGAGAGGTACCAGCCCACTCTGGTTCGCTGGTTATTTGATGCAAGGCTAGTTTGAGGTTGTGTTTGGTCAGATTTTAAACTAAGATCTTGTTGGTTTGGGTTTAACTATTTTTGTCTTTACATTAGCTGCCAATAGCCTCTGTCTTTTTCTTGACTGTCCTTTTTTAACATATCTTTAGGAAATGCCCTAACCAACTTAGTATCTGTAGTACCCTCTTAAAACATTGGGCTATATCGTTCTATACAAACATTATTCTTCAATTTGCATACCCACAAGATCAACTGTTTACACACTGGGCGGTCTGCCACAGCTGCTATTGCTTAAGAAGATACAAATATACCAAAGCTTCTCACAAGGCATGAGATATTCAATCTCAAGGACCAGCAGATACAGTTCAAGCATTGCTTCCCGTGTAAATGATGACCAACAAGTGATGGAATCTTAGCTTGCCGTTTATCTCAAGGGCAGAGACAAACCCTCTCAGGCGGCCCACCCATCCTTCTACTTTCCATATCCATTTGTTCCTAACTGTTCCTCTCTGGGAGGGCCACAGCTCAATGCTATTTGCACGACATCTTTGGCATTGTATTCTTTAACTATCAGCAGAAGAATCAAACAAGAAGGGGAAACACTTTCAACCTTAATCAGCCTGATAGGGTTTTGGCGTAGGAAGTCTACATCCTAATTTAGAGCGACCTCTTACAAGGCTGCAGTCCTTTAACTGTGTTATCTTTCACCTCAAAGGAAGTAATTGAATGGAGAAAAATCAATGAGGGTATCCATAAAAGCAATCATCGCAGAACACTGCCAATTTTGAGCATTTGGACAGTTAAGTGTCTCCAGTTGTTGGTGGAGGGGAGGCCTGTATCAACTGGGATGTCTATATTGACAGTCATGCAACAGCAGGCGGCGGGGATGTCATCGACAAGTTTGAGGCACTCAAATACAATTTGTCATCATTCTGTGCGGATGGATGTTAATTGGATTTTCTGTCCATTCACTTATCTCTCGAGGTCATTGTAAATTGGGTTGAACATCAAGTTATCTTTTGCCTATTTGATCGTAACAGACAGTGTTCACTCTTACCCTAACAATGCCTGCCTTGATATGACCTTAATGAAAGGAATCGATAATGGTGGGATTGAGCTGAGAGTTGCAAAAGTCCAGAGCAAACAGATGGGTGAAATGCCTTTGTCAGACTGAAAGGAGTAGACAATAGAAAGGCAAGGCAAATATGGGCTTTAAGTGTGACTGTGCAGTCAGCTTTTTGCCAGTGACATTGTTGTTACTGGTCCTGAACTGACAACTGGGAGTATAATGGTAGGCAGCAACAATGACACAAAATCACCCAAGGGATAAAGTGACAGAATAAATCAGAGAGAGGGAATCAGATGTGAAGAGAGAACAATGATGCAGAGATAGGATGAAAAGATGGACACATGAAATGTCTTTATCTAGACTGACAGAAGTCAAACCAGAGAGGATTAAGGGCAGCACAAGGAAATGGTAAAAAAAAGAGGTTAAAACAGAGACAATGAACCTAAACGGTTAGATATCTTCTCCAGTAATAAGAAGGTTGAATCAACAGACTGCTTGGTCGACTTCAACTATATCTCACTCTCATATTGTAATGTGGAGCATGTACAAACCTGTCATCTCAAGAACCACAGCCTTGAGCCTTTGCTGTCATTTGCTGTAAGAGATGTTTCATGTGGTCACATCAGCCAATGTTTAAGCCAAAGAAAGCTATGGCTGTTTTAGACATGTGGTCTGGTCAGTTTATTATTCAAGTACTGCACAACCAGTCTGTTAGTCTGAAAGTTTGGTGTAGTAAGAACCTATAAATGTCTGTTGCTGCACAGCGCACACAAAGGTAGTTTTCATTTATTCATTTATATGCTACCTTGACGCCATCTTCTGGTCAAAAGACTTGCACTGAAATACAGGTCTGCACTAAAAAGAGGGGGTTTCCAAGCCTCTAAAATAACATGCAACCACCGGACCCAAGAACTGGACAGAAATAAGGCACTTTTGAGAATTTCAAAAAAAAATCTAAGTTAAAAAAGAAAGGTGTATTCTGGGCATGAAACCTAAGCCTGATGTTGGACTGGACAGACTTCAGGTGACACCAAAACCCTTTTTTGTGTGAAGTCAAAACCAAACACAGAGTTCATGTCAAACCTTACATTGGGCTGATGACAAAAGCTAAGCGTTGAGCCATATCAAAACCTAATGTTGAGCTGAAATCAAAAACTTGATTTGGGTTGATATCTGTACTTGGTGTTGGACTCAAACCAGATGTATGGTCTATGTAAAAAAAACTGATGTTTTGCCAACACTGGGTTGATGGACCTAGGTTTCAACCTTTAGTTGTGCTGATCTTTAAACCTGATGTGTGGTCCATGTCAAAATCTTTTAACTTCGGCCAACATGGTGTCCAGTACACTTCACATTGGTTTTGAATATTATGAGTACCAGTGCTGCTAAGTTAATTTCGCGATGACATGTTCTATGAACCAACTCCAACCAACAATTTTTGGCCGGTGTCACCCCCCACCCCCCAACACCCCCAAAAATTGATTGTTTACAGATTTATTGAAATGATGAATGATTTAAAGCTGATCAAAGAATAATTTTACATTCTACAGAATAACATTGGTTCAGTTAACTCTGCAGTGCCTATTCTTTCAACAGGAATTGGCTACATATTGTCTATCAGCGTTTGCATGATACTTCATCATTTTTTGAGCATTATATACAGTTTAATATCAGAAAACCTTAAGAACACACACTGATTTGGAACAAGGGTTGGTGGCTGATGTTAAGAGCAACCTTCATGAACCGTCTTGATTTCTATCATATGAACAGGGAGAAGGTTGATACATCATCTAAGAGAACTAATTTGTTGATTGTTTTCTCGCTGTTATGGCATCCTACCATGTGACAGCCCAAGCTTCTGATGTGCCCAAACCTACTGTCCTAAGGGTGGGTCTTCGACACAGAGATCCAAAAGGGAAAGAACAAGGTTAATTTTGTCCTGCATCCAAACAGCCATGGGGATGTTGGCAGATGATTTGGAAAACTTGCACAACATGACAATTTGGCAAGACTACAGGCCATGGGTGACTGTCTCTTAAGGGTTAAACCAAACAAAAACAGTCAGATTATTTTAATAAACTATATTTACTTGGCTGTCACGCATAGAGCAGGAAATTTGAGCAGCGTCCAGTGAAGTGTGACTGATCCTTGTCTTGTTGTTGGTTATCAATCAAGAAGTGTTATATTGGAATAAATGTACCTGATTCTCAACATTTAAATGAGTGTACAAACTGGAGCAAAGCAGTATGACATGATAGCAACATCTGAGCTTCCTGCCCTGACAGTGACCTCACAAGAAAATGGTCATCATGTGAAACTGGTTAATTACAAGCCACTTCTTTCCAGTCAATTTTTGGTCATTCTTACTTCTCCTGGATATTTTTGATGGATGAAAGCTTCAGTTTTATTTCTTTTTCACCTGTGTTTCATTATAAGCTGATAGGAGGATCCCCAACCAAAAACAGCCTGCCCTGTTAAATGAAGTTTGGACATTTTTGACTTTCAAAGCAGATGAGAATACCAGGGTCTGGTTGTCAGGTTGGAAACAAATAAATAAATGAATAAATAAACAACACGCTCTTTACATGTTCAGGACAAAACCAGCAAAAAAAAGCCACTTTGTCCACAGGGGGCACCAAAATCAACACAAATCAAAAGTCCCTCACAGAAGCTTTATACTTGAAATGAGTTTTCTTATTTTAAAACTACTGTCACAAAACTTCTCCATTCAAAACTCATGGGTCAAAAGTGCTGCATTGAAAATGTAACTGGATCTCAGCCAAATGCTTGAAAACAAGAATAGTTTCTCATCTATTTCAATCCTCTTCCCAGTGTCCCGGTAACCGGTAACCTCTCAAAGAAACTCTATCAGTTTATATATACTTCTTTCCTAAATTATACGTTTTTTTTTCTTTTTTTTTTCCAGATACTTGTTCATCACTTCAACTCTGATGTCTATTTACTGCATATTATCAAATCTCAGTGCTACTGACCATCTTTTATCACTGACCCTGGCACCTTTTAGTTTTTTTCTGTCTGTGTCCTCATCAGCGGTCCCTTAATCCTGCCCTTCTGTTTGCACTTTGTCCTTTGGCTGTCTGAAGTCCTGCAAGTTGAGAAAGTGGTTCAGATGACGCTCTTCACTTGGGGTCTTTTGTGTCCTCCTTTCTCTGCTTCTGCCTCATTGCTAATTCAACATGGCACCTTCTTTGAGGGGATGAGTTGTATCATACGATGTTTCCTCTCCTTGTCCCTTCTCCTTAATCACTCCACATCTGCTTTCTAATTTGTTTGACACCGCCTTGACATTGTCATCCCCAAAACCAGTAGCTTCCACCAGTGACTTCAACAAATTCATACCAGTGAAGTTCAAATTTTCACCTTCAAAAATGGCTTGAGAAGGTCCTTTACAATGAGAATTTATTGGACTGTATGTATTCAGCCTATAATTAATTTTTCAAGAACAATACCTTGCACTTTTTTTGTAAGACAGTGCTGACACTATCACACCATGTAAATGATCTGCTGCTTGTGTCTTACTCCTCTAGTGTTAAAAAAAATTGCCAAAAATAAAAAATAAAACAACAAAGAAACTAACAACTCTTTCTGAAAAAATCTAAATAGATTTTTTTTTTCCCAGCAAGCCACTTAAGCGCCCTCTAGCATCTACAGTGCCAAGATATAGCTCTGCCAACACAAAAATGGGGTCATCATTATTTGATCGCTTAGTTCCTGCAGTGATTGTCTGTGTGGTTCTATGAGTTATACCCTCCTTCTCTCTCTGCCATCACAGATAGGAAGTGTTTTCCTTTTCTTTTCCTTCTGCTTTCCCCCTGCCTCAACCTTGCACTGTGGATTTGACCTCAGGTAACTTTTCAGGATGGTTATGGTGATTCAAATGCATGCTCTTTCTTGGATCAGAAGCAAGCTCTACATTCCTGTGAAAAGAAGCCAAGTAAACAATGCCAATCTGATCTAAGCCAGATTATTGGCTGGTTTCCTAAAACCGAAATAGCTGTAGTGATTCTTAATCCTTGTGAGTTTTCTCATCTAAACCCATTTCCTCAACCTGTTTACTATTTCTCCTCCCTGAGTTTCTCATTGACTCACCTTTTTAACCAGGCTTTTCACTGATTGCCTTTTCATATTTCTCTTATTGCAAGTGGTCATTTTAATCAAAATTCTTGATGTTTCTTTTTTTCTTTCTTTCCTTCTAATTCAGATTCAAATTCAACTGTATTTGTATGGCACTTTTCAGACAAAAATGTAGTTCAAAGTGCCTCACAGAGGCTAGAAACAACAATTAAACAACAATAATACCCAACCCCCCCACCCACACACCCATCCCTGGACTCCCCCCCACACACAGACACATACCCACCCTCACACACACACACACACACACACACACACACACACACACACACACACACACACACACACACACACACACACACACACACACACACACACACACAGAGTGAGAATTTAAGATATATTGTTAAAGAGACATGGCCTGACACTGAGACATTGTGTGAGGAAAGAGTTACCTTTGGGAAACACTGTTATTAATTATTAAATAAAAAAATGAAAAAATAAATAACAAATAAATGGTAAAAAAAGACTGAAAACTTGATGGACTAAAACAAGAAAACTAAATAAAATGAACAAATAAGTAAGAGCTCTTTACCATATAAATGGGGTAAAAGAAGTAAAAACCTCTAAGGCAGAAGTTAATATCAGAAGTTAATCAACCTAAAATTAAGTTTTCATTTCAGGCCTATTAAGGGCACCCTTCCTCTGCTGGGGCCCTGGGTAGTCAATCCCACTTTTAACCCCCTACGACCCCCATTGGTACTAGCCATAAATTCCTTGAACACCATTCATAAGAACCATACCCTTCGAGGCTTTTAATTTGAATGGTCACGCCGGATGTGTGTTATCCTACGCTGGCTGACTTGACGTCATGGCTTAAAAAGGGAATACCCTCAGTGTTGCTTTGGGAGTCTCCTTTAAAAAATCTTGCCGCGTCACTGGGATGCGGTCGCCGGAGCCGGGCACCTCGCCTACCATCCCCGCGTATGTCCCCACCGTCGGTAGGCCTTATTTTTTGATTTTACCGCTCAGTCTTTCTTCCTCTCTCGTGTTTTGATCTGTGTGATTTTTTATGATAATCTGCCCTTACATTCATGCGGCACGATGTGACCATAGACCCGGTCAGCCTAATGACTCCTGAGCCGCAGCTTATGACTTTCAGTAGTAACCTCTCTCGCGTAGAAATAGCTCTGCAAGGTTATAATTAGATGGCTTAGTTTATAAATATATGCACTATTAATAATGTAGCTGCCTATGGGAGCAGGCGCACGCTCACTTGTCACTATGCTACAGTGCAGCCAACCTGCAGGTTACAGGACGCTTACTTTGCCAAGCACCGAAGCAGAGGGTCTCATGTTATAGCACTGTTAGGAAAGTGATATTTTACTTAAAATGCATTCAAATATCCCGTCGAGAAGCTACCCTGATTACCCGTAATTATGAAGTTCTTTTATACATTTGGGGGTATCTTGATCCCGAGGAATATATACTTAGGCCCAATTCTGAAATTAAGCTGCACTAAGCTATGGGCTAATGCATAAAGCTAGGGGTCTTCTGCTAAAATGGTGGGCTACACTTGGGTAGTTTACACAAAGGTCGTACAAGTCAAAAACTGGTAATGACTGGTCTGGCTTGTGAACTCAATAAAGCATTACTGATCAAGTCAGGTAGTGCTTTGTACTTGACGGTTAGTCCCCAAGTTTAATGGGGGGAAAGCTTGACTAACTTTGAATGAAGTGAAAACACCGATGGTAATAAAGTCAATGCAAGCACAATGTAGAAAAATATTACAACATTTTGATGTAGAGGGGCCTACTACTTTGTATATCACTAACAAATCCTGTAACTGCTCACAGGAGTGTGTGCAGAGGCATGGAAAAGGGTGCCATGTGCCCTCTTGAAATCAGATTGGCCACCCATGGTGCCACTCCAATGGTTATACACCAATTGAAACATATTTAAGAATGCCATATCCCATTTGTACCACATCTGTTCTGCCAAATGCCACACACAACCAGTCCCCCCTATCCATGAAAGTATACAGTATGCTTAACTTTGCCCCTTTTTAAAATCACAACTTATGCATGATAAAGAATTTAACTGTCAATTGGTAATGGAGTTTCTTTGGCTTTTGTTGCCAGTCTCAAATGGTCACTTGAAAAACAGGCTTTTTTGTACTTCCACACTGGTTTTATGTTAACACTGGAGGTTGCCACTTAGCTAAAATAAACTATGTGTTATGTTGCAACAGGCTGCCTGAAGTTAGTTAAAGGGATACTCCGGCATAAAATTAACTTAGGGTCAAACAAACCGTAACACCGAGTTAGACACCCCCTCGAGAGATGAATGTTGCCAACTACTTGCTTCTCTAGTTATACCAACTGTACTAACGACCACACGTTAGCAATACATAGCGGTCTGAGGAGCCATACACAATCCTCCACCAAAACGCCACTCTAGAGCCACAAATAACGCTCAGAACAGCACCTAACTTCATCAACAGTTCATATAGGGTCCCAGCCATAGCACTAGCCACCACACATCTTTTTAACTTTGCTTAATTTCTTTAGCAAAGAGACTAAACAAAACTCATGTACTCCCTTCCAGCAGCCGCTTGTTTGTGGTGAGACCTCGGGCCAGTCCATTACGGACTGCTGCGGGGTGACGCAGCTCAAGGAAGAACATTTCTGATCATTTCTCCATGGAAATGCAATCAGACCGAGACGCTAAGGCAGAAGAACTACCATGTCTGCAGTGCAAAATGATTAATATGGTGATTATTACTTCAAGGAAATGATAAAGTAATGATCATAAATGTCATAAATTGTGCCTGCTATGTTTTAAAATATGCTAAGATTGGTAGATGCCATGAGTTGGTGGAAGACTTTTTCTTTTTTTTTTTGTGCAACACTAACCACTAAGTATCTGTATTGTATTGTTATCAGATTTTACTTGGTGTTTATGGTAGGGCTAATCTTGTAAAATAGTACCACTCTTGCTCCGTTACATGGATCCCCTCAGGCGACATTTGATAGAATACACTAAAGCCATGAGATTGCAATCTGAGGTAGTGATCCATGGCCATGAGATAGAGATGCATAGCTACTTGATACTCGAAGTTAATAATATTTAACCATTATATAACTAAATCATGGCATTAAGAAAATAATGCATGGTCACAGTTTAAAACTGTAAGTCATCTCAATGCAGAGGCAGAGCTTTTTTTTTTTTAGCTTTGGTAATGTGTAAACTTATGTGTAGACCACCCTTTTTATGGGATATATACAGATGTAGAATACCAATTTGGGATAGATTTTTTACTCTTTTTTTTAACTTAAAATAATAATAATAATACAACCAGCACAGTGACACAAGCTACTTCAGTTTGGATTGATGGATGCTCATCTCTCATAAAATCAGTATGTCTTCACTACTCTCTGGATATCATGAACTTCAGCAATGACATAAAAAAACTTTAATGCATAATTAATGAACAAAAGTTAATGTTAGGGATCATGAATACTTAGGGCTATGATTTCTTACATCTGGCTCATAGTGGCTCTAGCCTTTCTGTCTCATATTCTCACCCACAAGTGATGTGCAGATTCACACACATCTTTTTAGCTCTAATGTTGCTATTTTTTTTACTATCATAAAAGAGAGACAGCCTTTTTTTGTTTGAACTTCTTTTTGACCACGTGTTTTAAAGCTAGATATCCTTTAGATTATTGTGGCTCATGAAATAACAGCCATAAATCCTCTAAACTTTGGTCGAGAAGTGATGTAAGACCAAAAAATGAAAGCAGTAATAGCAGCAATGAGGTATTTTTGTTGCTGTAGTTTTTATGGTCAGTTTTGCATAACCATGCTAAGGCCTGTTTGTTCCCCTTTTGGTAAAGGTATGCTCTGACATAACATCTCCTTCTCCAGCGATGTCACAGCACGTCTGTAACACTGGAAGCTTTGTGCAACAAATATATCAGCTATGTAAATCTGGAGTTGACCCAGGTTTAAGATGCGTTAGATGTGTACAACCGCCTGAGTAAGTGTTTCCTCAGTCTTGAAGGAATGCAGAAATGTCTGTGTACCCATGAGATTAGGAAATGTCAGACTGTGTGAAGCTGCTGCAGTGACTCCAAGAAAATCATTCCTGTACTGTATATTTTTTAGCTTTTTTGAGCATCCTGTTTACTTTGGCACTCAAATCATCTCCTTTCCTTTACTCTTGTAAACATGTTTCTCCTATACAGCTAATGGCTCCATTAAGAGTATTTATGCATTTTAATGTGGCTGCAGCTCTGGTTTATCAAGCTCTGTTCCCACAGGTTCATGTCATACTGCATGTTATCTTTGGAGATCAGCTGTTACCAGACTTTTCTGTCTTTCTTCTTTTCTTAGTGACAGTCCAACCATCATTTCCTCCACGCACCAAAGATGTCCGCTCCGTCAAAGCCAGCCCTTGCAGCGTCACAGGAACGGCGCTTCCTGGTGTTGTTTGACTTTGATGAGACCATCATCAATGAGAGCAGTGATGACGCTGTGGTGCGGGCTCTGCCAGACCAAAAACTCCCTGACTGGCTGATAAACAGCTACAGGGAGGGGCACTACAATGAGCACATGCAGAAGGTCTTGGCTTACATGGCGGAGCAGGGTGTGTCAAAGGACTCCATCCATTTAGCCCTGGTGAAGATCCCACCAACACCTGGCCTCCTGAACCTCCTCCAGTATTTGCAGAACCATCGGCAAGATTTCGAGCTGGTGGTGGTATCTGACGCCAACATGTTCTTCATCGAGACGTGGTTGGAGCAGGCTGGGGTGCGCAACCTTTTCCAGAAGATTTTCACTAACCCAGCTAGTTTTGATGCTAGCGGTCGACTTGTGCTGCTACCTTTCCACTCCCACTCATGTCCCCATTGCCCTGACAACATGTGTAAGCAGGTGATCCTTAGGGAGTATCTGGCAAAACGGCAAAAGGAGCGCGGTGGTGCCCCCTTTCAAAGGGTTTTCTACATCGGAGATGGAGCCAATGATATATGTCCCTCTCTGGCTCTGGGGCCCAGGGACACAGCGTTCCCCAGGAGAGAGTTCCCCATGCACAAACTGCTGCTTGAGATGCAGCAGTCTCAGGCAGCTGAGTTTCAGGCTAACATGGTTCCATGGGTCAGTGGCGAAGACATAGTGGACTGCCTGAAAAGAATGATGGAGGAGAGATGAGACTGGAGGGTTTAATGTGTGCAGTGTGCTTGTAAGGGTGGGTGAAAGAGGGGGACAAATAATGTTTATTGAGGAAGCAGGTAAAGCATGATGTCACCCAAGCCACATTTTGTGCACCCTTTAAAATTAGTGTTGATCACCAATTTTAAAAGAACACTGAGTAGCTTTAATAACAAAAAGATTAAAAGCTAGGGCAACAAGTCTGAAGGCAAATGTTACCCCCAATTTTCACCGCATCCGGAACAGCTCTGATCCAGAACGGCGGCGATTTTCGCTGTCTGCCAAGTTCTACCGGATCTGTTGATGAGGTGAATCTCGTGGTGGATTACGGACAGTGTTAATCACTAGAACTCACAAGAACCCGCAGATTCACGTGCAATCGCGCAATAACGAGTTGTCTCTATAAAGACAGCCACATATAAGCAATAGATTGTGTCCTTCCAAAAGAGGAAATCCACCTCGAGACTTCTAAAATCAACATCTCCTTATCCATGGTGTCATTGGGGTGAAATGCTGTCTAAAAACCTTTCACTTGTTCGCAGCGAAACGGACAGAAGCCAGTGGAAATTGACTCATTAACTTGAATGGTTATGATCAGCTACGACAGGTAGATACGGCCTTTTCATAGCCGTTTCGGATGCTGTGGAAATTGGGGGTTAGAGGTCGACAAATGAAGCTTGTTCTTAGCATAGAAAGATGAGAACGTGAACGTGGAAAAAATTAGCATATTTCACCTAACTTTACCCTTCCTACTTGTTTTAACCTTGAATGAAGCCCATAATTATGAATACATTTTAAATATGTATGCTCACGCTAATAACGAACAATAATGGAGGTATGCACTGCAGTATTGATTATGCACTAGTTCTTTGTTTCCAAGTGGAATCAAAATGCTGAAGATCTTGACCAAAGTTGAGTGTAGTGTGCTCTGCAGTAGACTAAATCAAACGAAAGAGTATTACTTCGCAATATAAAAACAGGATTCACGTTGAAGTTAAAATACGCTCTCAGCTTGAAAAAACACCTAACAGGATGTTTAAAGCCTTGTTGATGGACACACAAGAAGGATCAGATGTTATAGCGCTGCCTGCAACAAAAGACCACACGTGTCACGTCAGGTTGGGACAAGGACGGCATAGAACAAGGATAAAGTAACCGAGACTGAAGCACATTACCTGTGCTCTCCTCTCCACCCACCTGTCACCGATACCTAATCTTGATTATACAACCGTAACCTACACCAGCATAGGATCCAAAGGGAGCACTGTAGGCACAAGCTTGAACTTGAGCCCTACATTATTCTCTGAGCCGGAAACAATGACAGAAACTGAAACAATTTTTGATTTTATTGATATGGTTATAGACTGACACTCTTTTTACCAGTAATATGGAGACTCCCAGTTACATTTGCGTGTATTAAAACCTTTTAAACTTTGAGAAGATCTCTAGTTAGTCTGATAATGTATTTGTGTAGGAATGTACTCCCATATACTACAATGATATGGGTGAGTTATGTAGTATCCGCATTTTTGGACTCTTTGCATTATCAACTCAACATGTAACCTCATTTTGCCTCAGTGAATCATGACAGGCACTGAAAACCACTTTTGAAAATATCAATAAGGACACTTCCTTTCATAGACATGGTTTACAGAGACATTCATGTTCTTTCTGCATTCAGGAAATTATCAAACAGGAATTATTTTTCCTTTTTGTGTGTTTTTTTTGTGATCCAACAGTTGTCTTGATACTACTTGGGCATAAACACAATTTTTTTTTGTCTATTTAAAATATGTACCAATGTGTGTATAATGGACTTCATTAGTAAATATAGGCAATAGATAACATGAATGAGTGTAGCTACATTTTCTTTTATCCTTAATGTTTGAAACTATACATCCATATCCACATATTGTACATCTTGTTCATGTCATTACAGTCGACACAATATGTCTGGTGCTGATTAGAGGCTGTAAAACAGATGAGTAATATGAGTTTTATTAGTCATGAAAGCCTTACTTAAAAAACATTACACTGTAAAAGTGCTGGAACTTTCCTTTGCCAGTGTTTTAATTTCTCAGGGACATAAGAAAAAAAATGTTAATAGACTATCATAACATCTATTTATCTACCAAGTATATAAATGCTACTATAAAGATATATATATATCAATTTTATGACTGAACAGAACAGGTGTTCATGAGATGTAAAATTACAGCTTGAGTTTGATCCTGAAATTCTTTAAGAACAAAATGTAACTGATCTCTGTGAGCTTACCCATTATTTTATTATTCTGAAGAGATTTAAATTTGTTTGTGTGTGTGTGTGTGTGTATCTGTAAAACTTCTATGGACTTTGTGCAATAACCAATAATAATGTATACTCAAGATGACATAAAAGAGATTTCAGATTCAGTTGAAAATAAAACTTGACATTGAGATTTTCAGGGATGAGAGTTGAAGACAAGATCACCAAACTAGTGTTTTTAATATAACTTTGAAATGGTGTTATAGTACACAACAACCAAATAAAATAATGTGTTGTTGCTCTATTGTTTCTCTCTTTTTGAGGTTCCATGTATTGTATTGTGTTGTATAGAGGGTGTGAGTTTATTTAATCACTATCCAATTATGTGTGTAATGCATCAGTGCAAAAGGAATATAAAGCCATTACCTGATTCATCTGTTTCTTTAATGACTTTTACCTCTGTGCCTTTTAACAACTACAGTAAAAGTTGATTTTAGAGGTAGTTTTACAAAAATGACATGTTTTATCTAGATATCATAACTCCTCCATTCCCTATTGGCAAATCAATGCAATAATCAGAAACCATTACCAACTAGGCTTAAAATTTGTATCCTGTTTCCTGCACTTTGCAAGCATAAGTAACATCCTAGACATCAGAAAATGCATAACCTAAATTTCAGACTTTGTTAATTATAAATTAAACTATTTTAAAAGCTATGAAAACCTTTATCAGACAGTCCTGATGTGATTAAATCAGGTTATCCTGGAGTATATTTTCCTCTGCTACCATTCCTAGTTAAAAGTTAAATATAATTTTTTATTTACTTGAGAAGGATTGCCTTCAGCTATCTCTCTGTACTTCACATTCAGGACAAGGCCTCTCTGAACACCATCATTGATCACCAGTTATGTAATCATGCCATAAAACAGCGCTTCTTGATATTAATGTATTAATTGGATGGTACAACAAGGCTTGTGAAGTAATATTGCAGGCCAACAAATTACTTTCTTAGTTGGATATCAAACAGCTGTTGTTCCCTGGTGGAGAATACAGGTCTGAAAAACACTACTGGTCACTTTGGTGTGTGCCGGATATGTCCATCTAAAAATAAAGGGAGGCATTCCTGAGTCAGCTGTGGCGACATGGACCAGACAATCACCCTGCAGACAGCTGAGGTCAAACAAAGGACGTCACTATGTTTCCCAACACTGCCGGTGAAACTCTTACTTAAGAACAAGATAAACCCAATTCCCGCTGACTTGTACAAAAAGGGAAAGATAAGCAAAAAAACATCATTTTAGCTTTTCCCCCTGTCCATAACCCTGATCGTCAGGTTAGCTTTGTGCTAATTTGCATGGATGTTCATTCAGTAAAACACATTAATCTCTGATTCATTCCTCTCCCCAAAAGTCTCCAAAGTGCCCTTTTTCTCCTCTAGATTGCATTCCCCAAATGCAGATCTGCTTGTTGTACTCAAAAAATTAGTAAATAAGTCTTAGAGGCAGAGCCTTAAGTTATCAGAGTCCCTCCCTCAGAGTCAGGGTGCACAGGACAGATACCCCTTCAGCTTTTAGGATCAGGCTTCAACTTGTACCTTTTGATAAGGCTTACAGTTGGGGTGGGGTCAGCCTTTGGAACAGCCTCTGGTTTTACACTTAAACCACCAGAATGAAAGGCTGCAAAAGTGCTTGCACAGATTCCTACATGGAGTGACTATGCTGACCTGAATTTTAATCACTGTCTGGGTGCGGCGTGAGGTGTTTTTGATGCACTTCTGGTACAATCCAAGGTTGTTGTTGTTGTTGAGTTATATTATTGCCATTTATTGATGAAATGAAAAACAAACAAAAAAAGACATACGTCCAAATTACTACGATGATGATGTTCGTGTGCTCTTCCCTTTCCCCAGAACACTGCTTCACCTGTGTCCCTTTGTAGCATTTACCTGCCCATTTACCTAAGGTGCCCCTTGTGGTGATTATGCGAGTAACAAAACAAAACCCAAAAAATAATAATATAGATAAAATAGCTCATACACTTCACTTTTGTACTATTATAACAGGGGTGTACATTGAAATAGCAGTATGTAAGAGCCTTTAGACTATCAAGAGCTCCATGTGTCCTCCTCTCTCAAATTATCTGTATTCATCATAATCATATAACAAACCTTGCATTTACTAACTAGTTACACACATGTACTTTCCTTTACACTTTCTGTTCCATCTTCTTGGCCAGGCTGATGGCTGTTAGCTCTCTGTCTGGTTCTGTTCGGGGTTTCTGTCAGTTAAAGGGAAGTTTTGCTTTGCTACTATTGCGAATACTCAACGAAGCAGAATCCCATGTCAAAATGGAATGTACGCATTAAGTCTTTTGCCTTAATGCGTACAGGTCAATTATTTCAAAACATGCTAATCAACTTGATAATCAGCTTTAGCAAGGATTAAATAGTCTCTATATTCAAACTGTAAAAAAAAAAAAAAATCATCTGTAATAATTTCAACTTCACAACAAGATGTCAGCTGAAATATATTTAAAGTGCAGGGCACTCAGGAGTCACAAGGGCACCCGCATTGGTCACCCATGGTCACGAGGTGATCATGGGAACTTCCTTATAAAGTTCAGCATCTTGGGTAGAACAGGAGATACTTAATCTAAGCAGACATTTTCGGTAAAATATGATTCTCCTGCACTGATATGAACAATGTTTGATGAACAAGAGCTCAAAAGTATCTGATTCTTATCATGCTCATGTCCGACTCAAAAAAAAAAATTGGCCAGTTTTGTCTCCTAAATTGTTGAAAATGGTTTACTGTCAGGGTTGTTGTACTTTTTGTCTTCTTCTCAAGCTCAGAAGAAATACTTTTTTTTGCACAGCAGAACAAATGATACAGGTGAGGCATAGTCAATGGTGTACACAGGTTTTTTATATATATTATGAGCAGCCTCATGTTTGTCCTGCCAACCTATCCATCTCCTTTCATTTTCATCTTGAAGCCACATCTCCCTAATCATAAAGTTTTAATATCTTCTCCTTGGCAGTGGGTGAAAGCTTTTGCGATGCGCTGCCTTCACCCTATTGTAAAAGCTGTATTTGTAAGCAAGCAGACAGATAAATACAACCCTTTCCAGGCAGGGTACATTCAATTCAGACATGCCTCAAACATTAAAAATAAGACTTTGTATGACCTTAAAGTTTCCAAATATGATTAAAAAATAATAAAAACTTTCTTAGGAGCCACAGATCTCCTTTAAAACAAACCATTTCATTAAAAAACACATGAAAAAACTATCCTGCATGCACTGGTCTGTAAGAGTCATGGCTATCTGTTTGATTGTTAACAAACAAGGACCCCTGCTGGTCAATGTGTGCCTAACCGAGAGTGAAAACTAACAACTTTACCTGTACTTCAATCACAATATAATCAATATCATGGTCACAAACTCAGAGAAACAGACATCAGTGATAACACTTTAATATCATAGACAGGTTAGTGCCGCAACAACACAATACAAGTGTGCATAAAGTGTGTATACAAACAAGAAAAAGGCAGCATTTTATATCACAGTCATGATGAATGCAGTGACACATCAAATTAAAAGACTTGTTAATTAAATTCAGTGAGTAATACGCTTCTTTAACACAAAAAAGGCCACAACATTGTGATTATGGATTACAAAAAATTCATTTAAACAGCTAAAGTAACTTCATAACTGTATGAATCTTGGTTTAAATGCCATTTTTGGGCCTCAATACCATCCTGTAATGATCCTACTTTTCCTTTCAACATAAACAAATTTAACAGCATATACAGGGTAGTTTGTGAAGATGTAAAAAGAGGAACTAAAGCAGATTTTTCTGGCTGAACAATCAACTTACTTAATTTTTTCCTTTAAAAAAGAAACAGGCCACAGTTCATTTTCTTTTACAACATTGTGTAAAGAATCTTTGCTCAAAGGCACAACTTTTTATAAGACCACTAGATGTCCTTCTCTGCATGGGAAAACACTAATAACATATACACACAATATCATTGTTGAATTATAACTGGAAACATGACATGTTTCCATTTTCTTTAGCTTCTTCTGGCACTAAAGCCAAATACAGTTTTGTCAATATAAGCCATTAAAGCAAACTTTTCATTTTAGGGCAAATTTCAAAGAAAAAAAAGGAGAACTTAGCAACTAAAATGTGTTTTTTTTTTTTCTTGAAGTTTCCCCAACGATATACCTGCCCATATCATTTAACAAGAATTTACTGTGCTCAGTAGTTAAACTTAACTGATACTGGGTGTAGTACTAGTTAAACTGAACAGCTCCAGTCCTTACCCGAAATCCACATCACATCTTACTGCCTACCTGGAGATGGAAACCTGGCCAAACTTAACAATACTTTTCCAAATGACAAAAAGAAAAGAAAAAAAAAAACACCTCAAATGTAAATAACATAAAGCATCATCTGTGAGAGTTTGTTACAACAGCTTTGAAGAAACTGAAAATGGTGAACACTGAAGAGGAAAAAGGGGAGGAGGAAGGCTTTGAGAGAGACAGAAAGCAGGAGTGTTTGGGAGGGGAGAGGAATGTGGAGAGGCGCTGTGGTGTCGAAGGAGAGGAAAACTCTCTCTGTTGTGCTTCGGCAGCATCTTCAGTGTCACAGCATTGAATTACACCCACAGCTGGACAAAACATTTAAACCTAAAACTTCACTTTGTAAGGCCATTCATTAAAAAAACACAAAAATGTGAAGAAATGTGAATACTTGAAGCTTAATAGCCAAATATTAAGCCGTAGAAGCTTTGATAAGATATACTTTGAGCATAGAAATAAAGTGCATAAAGCAAAGCAGTTTTTCTTCATAAATGTTTAACCTTTACTTGCCGTCCATACAAGAGGGAGCACAAAGTAATAATGCATGCTTAGCTGCGGTATTGTAAACTTTGAATCATTCACCTTGATTATTTTGAATTTGAAAAAGCAGCTAATTTACAGGACAGAGACATTCAAGGCCTGCCAAATGATTTATCTCAAGTTCAGCGTGACATTGTTTGGAAAGAAAACCCACAAGGGACTGCCAAGGTCGGGAAGTCCCGCTAATTGTTATTCACAGTTTGCCTGACGGTGGAGGCTTTAAATTTGGCACTCATATGTGAGAAAAATACATCATGTAACAATCAAACCAGAATACATACCAACCTTGACTTCCACTGAATGATATTTTTTAAACATTTACCGAAGAAGAAAGGATGTAAAAAAAACAAAAAAACAACACAATTCTCATGACAGCAACTGAATGTAAGCTTAGCACCACAATGTATGAAACTACACTAAACTTACCCACCACTAATGCCTTTCTAACAAGTCTTACAGTAATACAGATGAAGCAGGTTGTGCTAATGTGTTTACAGTTAATTCCAAAATCTCATGAAAGTATTTTGAAATTATTCAAACGGCTTTTTCCATTCGACATATGACATCAGTTTTTCCCTACTTTCTATTATGTAATTTCTAACTACAGGTTCTGGATAAGAATGAATTATCTGTACTTGGAGTCTGGATTTTCAGTATGGTTAGGGGGGCTGTGATGTTTGTAGAATACGGAGTGATGACCAGTCACATATCAGCAAGTTTTGGTGTTACAAGGAAATAGTATAGTAAGACTCTAAATCTTCCATACAATCTGTGATATTGACAACGTGACTCACCTGACATGTTATTTATCTCTAGAAATGGATATCTAGATGCAAGTGCAGCTAGCAATCTATTCTGGTAAAAATGTTAACCAAGGCAAACATTTTGCTTCTTATTGTGTTGCAAAAGCTAGTCAGCGTGAAGATTTCCTGACTTCCTGGAATGCATCAGAAACGTTCAATCCGACCGCTCAAAGGCCATTTGCTTCCTCTGAGGGCAGCTTGCATTTTTACTTTTTATAAATCTGCGTCATGTTATTTTGACAAACTCTTGAAGTGCAAGTCAAATCTTTTTCAAGCTCATGTAACTGGAGGAAGTCTGTGAAAGTTACCATTTACAGTGATGCTGAGAACTGCTACAGCCAAATGAACAAGTGCTACTCAGGAGGGCGTGATGAACCAAGAAGATTAAAGGAATCTGTTTTGCAGGCAGATCTGAAAGGAAAAATTTGGCGTCACAGCTGATCTGAACATGGTTGCCTCAGACAGACTTTGCCAAAGTCATTCAGCACTAACTGCTAGCTAATCTGAAAATAGAGAGCAGTTGGCTATTGTTCCAAAAGACTCATATCGTTGCCAGCTGATAACCGATGGATTACAGGATTGATTGTTACATTATGTTACAATTTTGTGTGGTTGATAAGCTACTATCATTGTGACCGAAACCTCTGAAGCAACACTGTCTCCATTCAAATACAACTTTCCAACAAAGACATGACACTATAAACATATTGCACAACAAATTCTTCATAAACATTTGGAAATACTGACATAGTCAACAAATTAATGGCACACTGCTTTTCTTCACTTTTCTTTCCTTTTTTTGGTGGTTGAATACTTGGGAAATCATTGAGGAAGTGCTTGAAAATATCATTCAAATAAACACTCTTACTCAATTTTCCTCTGCTTTAACTTCCTCTGTGACCTCTTCTTTCTGCTGGGCGGGGGCATCTTCATTTTTTTCCACATTTTCTACCGGTTCAGGGTTGGATTTTGGCTTCTCTTCCTCTTTCTTGGCTTCAGGGAGAAGAATGACTTTCCCGATGTTTTGGCGTTCATGCATGCGCTTCATGGCTTCAGCCACCTTAAAAACAACAGGAAACAGATCTATATTTTTAGATGTATTCTTGTTATAAATAGAGTGTGATTGTAGTTTACATCCCTCACAAACCCTCCTCACAGTGATTTACTAAAAACAGGAAAATGTTTTGAAATTATTTTTCCTCAATTCAAACTTCTTATGCTCAAATTAAAACTTTCTTTAGGACATTGGGTGTCTTGCATATCCTCAAATTTGATTAATCAGAAACAGCAGGATGCCCAACATAAAGAAGAAGATGACTCGTGGAAATGCTGGTAATCTACTAAAAGTATTTTTGCCATTAGTGACACACACTTCCTATTATTTTCACTCTGAGCTTTTGTCTGTTTCCTGCCTTTGACACAGCCTGGATCGTCTTGCATCACACCCCTTTCTTTCCGCTGAGTCTTCAGAGAAACTCATAAAAAAGATGTTAACACAAGTAATAGGTACCATGGTGACAATTTCTGCTGTAACCTAGCAACGGCCCTTAAGGAGCAACCTATGCAAAAGGGGCATGTTGGTTTGATTTTTTGCCTTAGTTTAAAAAAAAGGGAATGTGATGAGTTATAATGACTGATCTTAAGTGGATAGGACCATGAGGAAGCTTTCTTTCTTTCTTTTTTTTTTTTAAATACACCCTTTACTCCTTTTTTTAAATTCAAAACTGTGAGTTTAAGGCAACACTACTTGTTTAAAATTAACAAAAACAGCAACGATTCAGATGAAATGTTGAGTTATATTCCTTTCAGACAAAAAAATAAAGCTATTCAGTCATGGAGATACCATTGTTTATTTTTACATTTTGCCTGGAAACAATTAGTCAAGCTCTCTCCCTGTCTTGTGCTATGCAAAGCTAACAATTTCCTGAAAGTGTTTGTAATGTAATACAGCAGATTTATCAATCTTCCTATACAGCTTCAAGGATGGAAGAGATGTGTGCTGAAATAAAAACACCAGTTTTGCTTCTAAGTGATGTAAAAAATGGTGAGGGTGCTATCAGTGCTGGTTTCATAGTTTACATGAAAAACTAACCTCCTCAAAGTGGTAGCACGAGTCAATCCGGGGTTTAATCTTCCCCTGCTTGTAGAGCTCCAGCAGCTTCATCATACTGCTGCCGAAGAGCTCCTCATCTTGGATGTAGCCCAGGTGGAAGCCACATACCGCTTTATTGGCCTGCATCAGCTTCATAGTTGAGAGAGAGAGCTGGTTGTACCAGGTCTTAGCCATGGCCAACAGGTTCTTCTTCTGGCCCGTAACGCAGTTTGCAGCACCTCAAAACAGAAATGAAACAGGGCATGGAAGTCATATTATTAAAAAATTACAATAGGAATAATTTCTAACTGGTCTTTTTAACGGTTTGCATACAGTTCCATAAATTAGGATCTAAGGGAAGTGGATTATACTTTAAAATAAAAGCACAATTTTCCAATGTAGTAAATAGAGCAACCTAAATGCAAGACAGCAAAAATGTCAAAATAAAAGCACAACAAGCAACTGTTTATGATGCAATCTCTGTTAAATTCCCACTCCGATTTTTTTTTTACCATTTAAAGTTTTATCAGTTGTCTTTAAGTTGTGATTATGAAGTTTTTACGTTACGTTCACGTTACCTGTGTAATTTTCAAGGGCTTTTCTTCTGCAAAACTCCAGTAGCTCATTAGCAATTCACCTCTGAGTCGTGGGCAGAGACAGCGCTGCTCTGCACACTCCTCTTCACACTCCTCTTCACACTGGCTTGCAGCCTGACATTGCCGGTGTAGTAGAAGTGGCAGGTAACATAGGAGCTATTCAGCTCTTGGACACTCATGTCTTTAGAGACACGATAAAAGCTAATATCATAATTAGCTTTCTTATGAGCATTTCAATCTGCTAATGCACACGCTTGTTCCGCGATCATCCTCTCTACTTTTCTGACTGTGGTCTGCATAGTGGGGCTCCGAGGGCGGAGCTTGGATTTGCTACGTAAGAAATCTTACTGAATCTGAGCCTGTCGTTTGGGTCTGCCAGAGATTCACAGAGATTTAACTGCAGAAATTCTCAGAAATGCCATTTGGATTTATTTTTCTCATATGTCCTGTAGCACCAACAAAATGCCATATAAATGTAGACCAGAAAAACATGATTTTCATCGGAGTGGGTCTTTAAAGAAGTTTAAGTTACACGGTCAGTGATGTGGATAAATCATAATCTGCATCACTGAGGTAAAAATCTGATACATGACAGCCCTACTGTACCATTAGGTGTAAAATAAAACAAATACAAATATGTGAATGCAGATTTAACAGAGGCACCGAAGCAAGTTTTAGTTTTAGTTTTTTTTACGTTTCCAAATGACTTACCAAAAACTATAAGCTGGCCCAAAGGTTTCAACAAATTAAAACCTTTCTGGGTGTCAGAACCGCCAAGCGGGTCAAGGACAATGTTCACCCCTGTGACAAGACATACAGAAAACCAGCAGCACAGTGGACAAAAAAAGAAAAATTAGTAACTTTTAAAAATTTTAGGGATCATCAGATTCATGTTTTTGTCCTACAACACTAACATATTATGTAAAAGGTGTTGTGTATTTCTTTACCCTTTGGGCTGATTTTGCGGATCTCTTCCACATAGTCTTTGGTTCGGTAGTCGATGGGGTGAGTCACCCCGCCCTGAGAAATGGTCTCATGTTTGGAGGCTGATGCTGTACCGAACACAGTCACATCTGGCACAGTTTTACAAAGCTGTGTGACAGCGATACCAACACCACCTTAAGACGAGCAGACCAGCACAACAAAGAGAAATGAGAGTACAGGAGGTGCATAAATCACCTGACAGCAAACAGCTATGAGAGCAGAGATGACACAGCGCTGATCTCATCTGCAATTCACAATACACTTCTTGCATGACTCATATACCAACTTTATACCCGCCTTTGTTCAGTCCTTCAACATTTAATACTGTAAAGTTTTGTCCTTAGTTATTTGGCAGCAAAAATTACATTAATCCATTTGTTAGAAAACCCAACTACCAGCTAAAAGCACAGCATGCTTGTGGCTTTCAATCATTCAGTTATTTTTCACTCATTTTTAGCAGCTTGATGTTGTTCAAAACTATTAAACTTTATTCAAAATCCTTGTTGAAACACCACAATTTTTAAAGATATTGATGTATTCCATTAGTATGTTTATATAAATGTCTCTTTATGGTAACATGCTGACTGAAACCATACAGACTTACTGTAACTGCCAGACTCACAGAATAAGATGATTCAATAACCTTTGTGGTAAATGAAAACAGCAAACATAATCAGAAGGAGGTAAAGGTCAGAGATGTAGAGAAGATTAAACCACAGCAGTTGAAGGTTTACATTCAGCTATGCCACACTCATATGTACAGGGGTTCCTGACATGGTTTTAGTGTGGGTGACACATTGTGAAACAGAGGAGCAAACAGGTGAAACAGTCTCCAGTCATTTCTTGTGTCTTTGCCCTTGTTCTGCAAAAACCGTGAGATGTCTTTCACAATGACGGCTGATCGCCCGCCTGTGCAGCTTCACAGTAATCCTTCCTGCCCTCCTCTTCACCCCGGCCTCATGTGGCTGATTCATACAGGTCAGCTGACAGCCACCCGCCCACTCAGCTCTGAAACACGGCCTTTGAGAGCGAGGATGCAGGAGAGCACCAGTCTGTGATGCAGCATGATGATAGAAACTGACCTCCGGACTTTGAATAGAGACTGGTGAATAAACGCTGACCTATCAGAGAACTTGAAACACTTGAATGCTTTAAATCCTTAATCCTTTAGAGAAAAGAAAATATAAATCCCAACACATTAAATAACACTGTTTAAGCCCTGTATTATATAGTGTGAATTTTTTAATGTTAAGATTTATCCTGTTTCTTTTTCATTGTCTACAGCTGAAATGGGCACAAAAAAAGCAGGACAGACAACAAGGTTTTCTTGAGACTGAGACTGATGAAAGGTGAAACATTTAACCATTTCCTGTATGGAGGCTATTGAGATTGTGCATTTATTTTGCACAGCCACTCACTGTTTGCAAAAATGCATATATTAAGAGTTTGTCCCCTCTGTGCTACTGTAGAAACATTGCAGTGCTATGCATAAGAGAAGTTGTCCCTATAATGACATAAAATGCTCATGCTTGTTTCTGTTTGCCATGTGAAGGCATCAATATATTGACATACTTATGAATTCATATTAATATGTACTGGGTCTGTTTTAATTCTGCACACTACACTTTTAGGTCAGCAAAGAGACTAACACTCAAAAGACTTCGTTTAGTCTGCTCCACCAGGACTGTGTGGGTGTGGTTTGATGAGATTTCACCAAAAGAAGCATAACGACCAAACACCTGTTATCAGATCCTGACTCAAATGTTGCTCAGTCCTGATTGGTGCACGTCAGTGTGCGACTCTCACCCACTTCAAAACAGAGAAGAAGATCACAGAGAGAAACACATGTGCAGAAAGATCATAGTGTGGTATAACCGCTATGGGAGAAACTGTGAGAACTATGATGTACTGATATGATGTACTGTAGTATCACCAGGACAGGGTTCTTTCAACATCTGGACACACATACACAGACAAACACAAAAACTAACAAACAAAAAAACATACACACACAATCCTCTACAGTCAATGAGAAGTAATTACTTGTTACTCTGTCTAAGCCTCTCCTCGAAATGTCAGGTGTTGCCAAAGCAACCACACCTGTTAATGATCCTGTTTGCCACTTTATGAATAAGCTGCTATGAGGACGTGACACACACACACACACGCACGCACGCACGCACGCACGCACGCACGCACGCACGCACGCACGCACACACACACACACACAAAGACACGCACACTATATCTGTCATCTATGAGGGAATCATTTTCAGCGTAGAAACATGGCTGCATTGAGAGGACTGATTAGTGACCTAGAGTTAACAAGCCGTGTGAGTTACCAGGGAAACCAGGGGCGATGTAAGATAAGAGATTTACGTGAATCTGTCCAGCCATACATACACAAAGGGGCCCACATGTAAGCTATGAATCATGTTTACAACCATAGTTATTTTTCATTTCTCTTTTTAATAACAGACTGTTTGAGTCCCTTTCAGAATAAAATGTCAGAATAAAGAAAATTGGGTAATTCGTTTTTCATTAAGAGTTACACCTTCATCATATTGCTTCTATCTTCCCAACCCCTAATGTTAAAATATATTTCATCTTTAATTCCATATATCAGAGAAGTTGTAAATCCACCTAATCAAGCAGCTGTAAAAATCAAACTTTTGTTTTGCTGCCTATGAAAATGGATCGTTGAATTACATAAGTATTTTACCTTGACTATCATCATTGCCAATGCAGCTTAAAGTCTGTATTATCCATCTCCACCTTTCTGCATCACCCTTCATCATGATTTTTTTAACCCATCCAGTCGCAACAGATGAGAATAAATCAATAAGTCTGGTCCTGCTTCAGGTTTTTCCTGTTAAAAAAGAAAGTTTTCTCTTGCAACTGTTGCCAAATTCATGCTCATTGTGGACTGATATTGTTTTCTTTGTTCATAATATGACATAATTCACAGAGGATGTGCTCGTTTTGCAAAGTGTTGTTATAATTGGGTGTAAAAGTTTGATTGGTTCTGACAAAATAGGTTTGTAGTTGATGCCACTAACTCTAAACTGTTTTTGCTGTTCCATCGTTCATGCTTTTTTTCCCACGTCAAAGCACACAGACGTCTGAAAATAATAATGAACAGGCAAAACTTGGAGGAAATTAGTTTTCAGATTGTTGGCAAAAGTTTTGAGTGAAGTCATTCAGATTAAATCAGCTTTCTTACTCGATTGTGATAAACACCTGATTCTGATTGATAAACTGAACTCAGACAGTATCTTATCTGTTCGCTCTTGGGTGAGTTAAACAGAACTGATTTTATATAAGTGAAGTTTGGGGAAAAAATTGCGCTGTATTGCAATTTATCTTCTTTTACCTGCTGCCATGTGGATGAGAACACTCTTCCCTGGCCTCAGATTGGCCATCTCAAACAGCATCATGTAGGCAGTGAGGTAGTTAATAGGCAGAGCAGCACCTTCCTCAAAGCTCATCTCCTCAGGCATAGGGAAGGTGCGATTGGCGGGTACAACCACTACTTCCTGCCACATGCCACTGCGGTCAAGGGCAATGACTCGATCCCCCACCTGATAAAGGAAAGAGGAAGAAAGGGAAGGCATGAGAAAGGTTACTGAGGGAATATTGCAGTGGGTGTTTCCAACAATCAAACAGTTTGTGTATTGTTAACAGTATTTTGAAGTTTTGCATTTTTATAATGGCTCTAATGGCTCATCCTGCACACCAAGCTGCATTTTGAAACTGTTTCTAGAATCAAGTGATCATCAACTTCACCAGACTTTATGCATATAGAGTTAAACTGTTTGGGGTAACATTTTCACATGGACCCAAACTATCGGATTCAAACTATTTAACATATTGAATATCAACACGTGGATCTGGCTCCTGAAAATATCTTCTTCAAACTTGTAGTCAGAAAGAGTCAGACTCAAACTTTTTATTGCTTTTTTGCAACAACAGAACTGAACCTCTCAGATGTCCTGTTTTCTAAATGCTTGTTAGAGAAAAATAAGCATGTCCACATGGTCTGGTGTCAGTCAGGTGCATCAAATCCACTCTTAAAAATCATTTAAGCAACATTTGATGCGTTGCTGTCCATTCAGAAAACCAGCACGGCATGAGGTAGTCAAAAGTTGTTCTTTCAGTTCCAGTTAAAACTGACTAACATGGCTGCTTTTTGATATCTTCAACTTGTTTGCATTTTTAGTGACAAATGACTCTTGGAAAGTTCAAAACTGTTTTCGAAGAGGTGGAGTGTTGTCATCGCCATCGCAAGACATGTAAGGAAAAAATGTGATGTGTGTGTACTTCAAATTTCCGGAACATGCAAAGGGGCCAACAGGGAAATTCATTCACACTTTATGTAATGTAGACATGTTGTTATATCAGTATCAGCCGTGCTGTGAAACGTGAAAAAATGAAGGAAGGGTACAGGAAAAACGTCTGATCTGATTGTGAATGCTACACTGCTTCCTATTAAAACAACCTCTAAAGTGCTGAGCCACACCCACTTCCTGCCGCACACAAACCCATGACAATAGATACAGATACACACTCACACACAGATACACACACACACACACACACACACACACACAAACAAGCTGTATATGCAGTGGGATATCTCTACAGCTCTAGTTTTACAATTCAACTTCCCTCTCGGGTGAAATGCTTCATCGTAGGTTGATTAAATTTCTCAACTCCTGCTCTTATGAAACACAAAGCCCTGAATGCATGAACTTAAAAATGCCTGATAGTCAGTTTGAAAAAAGGCTGAGCTCAGTTCCTGGACAGCTGACATGAACTGAGGTGAACGAAGAAGATGTTGAATGAAGAATGTGTGGATTTTAGAGTGGTGCAGTTAAACTACATTGACACCAACTCTTAAAAACATAAACATAGCACAATAAGGCATGTCAGTACTTGCTGCATGTTTTATTTACAGATTTATTTATAGCCATGAGACAAGACAAATACTTCTTAATAACAGTGGAGACAAAAGAGAGGGAGCATGTTGATATATTTGTTTGACTGGAACTACAAGTACAGAGGCCGAGGTGGAGTCAGGGTGGAGCTGACTTACGCTGCTGAATTAATGCTGGACTTGAACTTCCTTATAGCACAACCAGCCAGCTTGATCATTTTTATAATTATTTATATGAACTTAAAATGCTATTTTCTTTAATAAATGAGTGTTCTAACAGTGGTCCTGAGGTAAGTGTTGTGATTAAAGGTCTAGTGAGAAACTTTTGGTTGGTGTTGACTTTGGTGCCCCCTGTGGACAGAGGGGAAATTCTTCTCTCTTTGCTGATTTCGGTCTGTATGTTTAAACAGTGTTTCCTAACAAAGAAACCCATCAAAAATAACAGTCTTGACACTGATGTTTTTGTTTACTTTGGTGGAGCATATAAAAGCATCAGTATTCAGTTCATTCTGTTTTGTAACCAGCTAAAAACTCCTAATAGGAGACTATTTCCACACAAACTGCACATTCACAACCTTTCTAACTCCCTTAAAAAGAGAGTTTTCTGCATTTCTGTCCTCTTAAATGTGTTGAAGCAGAGTGTGAAAACAGTGATATAAAGTAAGGGTAGGGTCATGAAATCACCTCAACTTAGCACCTGCTTCATTTAAATGCACTTTGTAATATTCCACTATGCGCATAGTTCATTTGTCAGACTTTACACCATACACACCTGCTTTCAATTAACCAGAAAGCATTACCCACTGCCTCACATCCTCTTATCACACAACATCAAGTTGATGAAAAAGTTGATTTGCAGAGCAGATGGTGTTTTTTTTATTTTAAACCACTCCGGCTGGAAACATTACGACTCCAATCCAGAAAAATATCAATCAAGCGGTGACACATAATCGCTGGCTGTTAAGGCATTTTGTCTGAAAACATCTGTGACAATGTAATGCTGCCAGTGGAATGTAAAAAGGCAAACTGTAACGGGATCCTACATCACACATCTGCTCTGTCTGCTTCTGAGGACACAGACACACCCTCCTGTCTTCATCTGGGGAGAGCTCACTACAATCAAACTTGATTCCAACAGTATCAGCCCCTCTCTCTCCGAAACACTTGGCTAACCTTTCTATTATTACTATCTACTCCACAGTGCGTCTCCAAAAACAGCCCCACCCAGATTCTAACACTGACCTCACCAAAATCTCAGTGTCTTCAATCTTCACTGTTTAGTTTCTGATGTTCAGCATGTTCAATTCTTTCCTCTAATGTTGGCTTTATTGTGTTTTTTGTGCTGCTGCGACTGGGGATTTGTGGTGTCTTGGTTTTGCTGCTTCCCTCTCAAAATAATGAAGGACTGGAACGCACCACTCCCCTCCATAGATTTGTTCTGTCCAAAAATGTGGACAAGGCAGAGGAGGAATGACAAACGGGTGGGAAAAGACTGTTTTAAGTGGAGGAGGAATAAATTCCATATAAATGCAGGGTGACAGAGAGGAGCTTCAGTCATACACATATGTAAAGGCCAAGATAAATCCAATTTACTGATGAAGGACTGACTGTGAGACATCTTAAACGATCCTGATTTTCAGCCAAGCTTTACTGACACAGCAGGTCTGTATGTTTATTGTCTAATGTCCTTTCTTCTCTATTACTGGGATTATATGAAGAATCTAGTTCCTGGGTGTTAGTTGAACAAGAACAGGAATATTTGGAAAGTCACTGAGGCTTCAGAGACCACAGAAAAATCAGCAAGAAATAAATCATTTGTAGCCCTGTTTTTGTTATAGCTTAAAAAGAACAAGTTCACAAAAAGGAGCATCTCAAATAGGAACTGCAACTCAATGTAAAAAAGCTTTTCCTTCAATAATAACAAATCACAACAGACAACAAAGGTCTTCATCCATGAGCTCTGTGGCCAGTGAATGAATCAATAATTCAATAATTGAATTTCTTTTTGGGGATCAATACAGAACATCCATAAACATGGCTTTACAAACACACAGGGGCAAAAATGTACATCAGAACAAAGCAAGAACCCAAAATACAACATAAGTCAGAGAACTAAAAATGAGCAAAAAGACAAAGAAACCAATACCAAATACCCAGTAATAGTGACTACAACACCACAAGGACCCCAGAGCTGAAAAACAAAAAACAACGATCAAAACCCAGGCAGCATATTGCCTCAACAACATAAGAACTCGTAATCAAGGAAACACATTCACAGATTGAGGTCAACTATAACCAATCAAGTGGATGCAGTTCCTTTAAGTTCCACTTGAAGCTGTATCCAAAAGCCAAGGAAACCCTGTCAGAGCTCCATTGATACAGCCTCCACAAGGCAACCTCCGGGCTCCCGAGAAATTAAGTTTTTAAGCCGATTCGGAGGCATGACTGACTTGACTGACACACACTGTAGTCATTTACAAGTCGAGTTAAAAGCCTCTGGGAGGTTGACCAAGAGCTAGATTGAGTCAGCATTTCCTTATGGCGGCTGCCACTAATAGGCTTGAGAAACAAACACAACAGTGAGTGACGTCACTGAGGCTATGTCCAGTTATTATACACTCCATGGCAACTAGTATGGCCATCTGTCTTGTACACAACTATGCAAAGGCTTTCTGGGATATAAAGGGAACAAAAATGATTGGACATTTTTCAAATTTTCCCACGTTATGAGGAGGGGATGCATTATTTTTTCTCCTTTGTTTTTCCAGGCATTTTTGCCTTTGATGGGTTGACAGCTGAAGAGAGACAGGAAATGTAGGGAGTAGAGATTAGACAGCACAGGGTTCAGGCGGAAAGTCGAACATGTTTACAGTCTAGTACAGCAAATAGCTTTGGCCTTTACATCTTTTTTTACTTATATGTAACAACTATGAGGGGGGATATTTTTATCCCTGGCTTGTTTTGATTGAAAAACAGCCAAGAGTTTTGCATAATTATGGATAATTAGGGGCATTGATAGACAGATGGGTGTATTGTGTTTGTTAACCAGACAGGGAACAAACACAAGTGATAAAAACCTTTTAGTTTAAATACAGGATGATTTATTAATTAAATTCCGCCATCTTTGTTTCAGGAAAATAGTGGGGCAACTACTGACACAAAATATTTCAAACACACCCTTGGTTAAATAGTTACTAGTCCTGCTTAGCTCAGTGAATGATTAATGTGTTGTTATGCGGCAAGAATAGCAGATAGCTGTTCAACTTTGTTCAGTCCTGATCTTAAGTCTGGATGAAAATGAGGCAAACAACATCACATTTTTTCTGAGGCCTTCCCAAGGTCATCTGATGTTCACATCTGCACAAAAACAATGAATGTACCTTTTGTGGGCCTGATGACACAACAGAGAGGATTTTGAAGTCTTTTCTTACTTATGTACGGAGCCCCTAAAGGGACATGGATGGACTTTTTTTTTTTGCGAGATCTCGCAAAAGTATTGCGAGAGCTCGCAATAAGTATTGCGAGATCTCGCAAAAGTATTGCGAGCCCTCGCAATAAGTATTGCGAGATCTCGCAATACTTTTTTGCGAGATCTCGCAAAGTTCTGTCCTACTTCGGTGAACCGGAAGTAAAACAGACACACATGATGGAGGAGCGTACACATCATAGACATAATAAAAGGGTAGACCCCGCTGGGGGTGCTGCGCAGCGAGAAATGCGGCCGCCATCTTGGTCAGGTCAAGCTTCCCATACGCTCCGGTCAATCATATTCATTCATTCATTCATTCAGCGATGCCGGAGCACTGTGCGGCGTATTCCTGTGCCAACAGGCGGACAGCAGAGAACAGGGCTCAAGGAATAACTTTTCACAGTTATGATTACACGTTTTTTCAACATTACACTTGACTGTAGAGTCATTTGTAGGCCAAAGAGGAAGACAGTGGTGCAGAGTGAGGCGGATGACCGGACCAAGATGGCGGCCGCATTTCTCGACAGCGCCCATTCGTGGTAGCGGCCGATGCGGGGTCTATCTTTTATTATGTCTATGGTACACATCATCCGTGCTCTGTTGCTCCTTCTTCTTCTTCTTATTATTATTATTTTAGGCTTATTTTAGGCTATTTTAGGCGTGTTTTACTTCCGGTTCACTGAATGGAGAAAAAACTTTTGCGAGATCTCGCAAAAAGTATTGCGAGATCCCGCAATACGTTTTGCGAGATCTCGCAAAAAGTATTGCGAGATCTCGCAATACTTTTGCGAGATCTCGCAAAAAAAAAAAAGTCCATCCATGTCCCTTTAGGGGCTCCGTACTTATGCATGATACCCAAGCACGTCTGAAGTGAAAAGCAGCTTCATGAAGGCATACTGCTGCTTTTTGTCCTCTTTTTCGTCCAGGTAGCTTCTGGTGAGTCACTTATTTTACCCTCAATATGTGGCTGTAAATAAACTCTATACATAACAGGTGGAGGCTTTGGCCTCTGATGCTCTGGGATTTGCCCAACAACATTTCAAGAAAATGTGCTTTCACTGCAGGAAAGAGCCACCTGTATGGGCTGCAAATAGATCTTTAGCCTTAGTTTCCTCTGTTCCATATAAAAAGCACAGGCACGGCGAGATCTGGATATTTTAGAAAGAAGGTCCAGACACAGAGAGTATAAGTAAACGTTCTCTGTAATCTACCTGCCATGGCAAATCAGAATTCCATAAAAACTTGACCTTTCAAAGTGCTTATCAGAGGCTCGGTAAATACACTCCTCTGCACAGAAGAACGCACAGGCACTTCAAGGGCTCCCTGTAAATCAGAGCACTATCTATTTCTACACTGTTTTTTTTTTATCAAGTGGACAGAGCACAATATAATAGCATAGGAGACTAACAGGGGGTTCTATCAAGGGAATTCAACACTCCTAAGTCCATATGCCACATACTACACAGAGACATTTTTAAAAAAGGAACTATGAAAATATTGGGCTTATTCTAAAACAGATCTAAAACAATACAACATGATATAACACCAATCAATAAACTTTTTCCCTTGAGGGTAAATTTGGCTAAGACTCACGTGTCATACACACTAAATAGAGAAGAATTTCCAGTTCATCTGCTTTAAAGCTCCTGTGAGGGACTTTTGGTGAGTGTACATTCTGGCGCCCCCTGTGCACAACGCAGTCCTCTACATGTTTAAGTAATGACTTTTGATAGTCAAATGTAGCATTCATTGTAGGGATGCACCGATCCACTTTTTTCACCTCCGATACCGATACGGATACCTACAGTTAAGTATCAGCCGATACCGATCCAATACAGAAAAGCCACGCTGAATAACCTTTGTTGTAACCTAAGGTTTTATCAATGCCCCTCAAAACATTTACTGCACAGGTATTGCAATTGGCCGTCAAGCTTGTAGGCTGAGGTATTGTGATAAAGTTCAAGATAGCAAAACCCTTTGCTCGCTCCATTTTGAAAACAATGTAGGCATCTGCTTAATGTATTTACTTGTAAATGCCACTCTTGGCGCATAGCATAGAGTTAGACTGAATAAATCAGCCCCTATGCATCGGGCCCATTGTCACAAGAAACGATCTAGAATTTTCTTGAGTATCGAGAGGGATACAGATATCAAATATTTGATCGGTGCATCCCTAATTTATTGTTATGATTAAAACTCAGGGCTGTTTCTTCAGCTGCTCACCAACACCTACCCTCCCACACCAGTTTTAGATATTAAACATTAAGGCGCAAAAATCATCTATATTGTTGCTGATGGTCTTGTTTGCTTTTGTATATCATGAAAAGGCATCAATGTGAATTTCAGTCTTTTTCATACGTCAAAAACACTCCTCACAGGAGCTTTAATTGCTGTAAAAGTCCCACAATGACTAGTTTTCTTTGGTTACAAAGAGGAGAAAATGCCCTTTCCAGATGTGGTCCGAATAGAGGGGGTTTTCAGGCCAATGTTTTCCCTGCAGAGACAAGACTTACCCTTCTTCTAAAATAAACAGTTAATTCATGACTAATCTCCGGTGCCTGCTCTTGTTTAAAGATCTTCTTGTCTCCTTCACTTAAATTTCCGCAAAAGAAATGTACGACATAAAGAAAACAATACTTTTGCATTTTGAAAGCGGCGTATCATTGCAGAAAACCCTTGCACTTTCCCCAGCCCCCTCATAAACCATCTCAGGTTCTATGAGCGGACGTTGTTTATGTGCACTGTGACATTTTGTGGGTGTGAGTGCTCTCCACAGGCCTGTACTCACTTTCCTGTCCTTAACATCCTCTCCACAAGCCTCGATGACCCCGCAGCCCTCCATCCCCAGCGTGACGGGCGGGGCAGGCAGCAGCTCGTACAGCCCCTGCTTGCCCAGCAGCTCGGCAAAGTTAAGCCCGCACGCTTTGACCCGCAACAGGACCTCTCCGGGCTTCAGCTGCGGTGGGCTCAGCGTCTTCACCTGCAGCTTTATCTTGTCATAGCCCCCGTACCCGGTAAGAACCAGAGCCCGACAGGGGAGCGGCTTCTCCTCCTCGGCTGCAGCTGCGGGGCTTGCCCCAGACTCCTGCGGTGCCTCCGGGGCAGATGGAGGAGGCTCGTCGGGCTGCTTCTCCTGTTCAGGTTGTTGCTGCTGAGTTGGAGTCTCCTCACCAGACATGATAAACACTTGTGATGATGTGCGCTCCGCAAACTTTTCAGATCAACAGCTCAGCCTATGAGGGCGTTTTAGTCCGGACTAATGCACTACTATACCCGGATACTATCTGCTCTCGAACAGATGTCACTCTGAGAGGAGAGTCTATGGTTTGTAAACCTAAGGTTAATGATTTGTGGTTGGTTTCCTGTGTGTGAGCTGCGCTCAACAAGTGACAATCGTCAAAGCACCTGTGTGTAGCACCACTTCCGGTGCAGATTTTCACAATAAACAATAAAGTTTACTGCTCCAAATACTCATTTTATTAATAAAAAATGGTTTTTGTTTAATGAATTGTCATTTCAAGTCTTTGTTATTTAATGATTAAGACACAGAAGAAAAGAGATGTCAAAAACATCGGAAAGAATTACTCGTTGCTATGGAAATAACAAAAGGAAGCACGTTTGAACGCGTGTCCTTTAGAGTTTCTGAATCAAGCACACAACAAATATATTTTTAATCATTTGGACTCAAGATTTGGTTCCATCAAATAAAAAAAACCAATACAGAAAGAGTTTACACCTTTAAATCCCAGTTCAGGGCTAATGATGGTCCTCTTAAACCCTGCTGTGATATTCAGATTAGGAGCATACACGCGCTGGCATTGTATCTCTAAGTCGAGTCAGTTAATTAATTTAATTGACTCGTTTCCTTTTTTCCTTTTGGCTGATGGATTTTTATTTTTTTACAACTTAATGTGAATTAAATCTAAAAATGCCTTTATTTGAAAACGTAATCTGAAAACATCCGGGTTTCTCTTCCTGATTATTTTGAATTTGACTCATCTGGAAAAGTGACTGAGCCATGTTGTTGGCCAAATGTGAGTCAGAGAGCTGTGGGCAGATTCAAAACCCGGACACTGAACTATTGGAGCTGAAACTGGGATTATCTGAGGGAACAGCTGGAGGAAAGACGCTTAACCTGATTTGGGCGGATCGAAACAAAACAACAAATAACAACTGTGACCGATGTGATGTCGGTTCATCAAATTGTAGCCTGCCTCTTATAACTTCTGCATCATGTAGAAAAGACATTTTCAACACCCAAAAGAGACGGAAAACAATATTAACTCAAAATCAGGCTAAATGTCATTTATGGAGGCCCTGAGCATAGGTGCATCCATATGTTATTTGACCCAAACTCTAAAAACTACATTATAAAAATTGAAAAATAAATAGACAAGCATATGCCTAAGTAAATAAAAACTCATAAATGCATATAGTTAAAAAATCTTAAAAAAAGAAAAATGAATTTATATCTTACTTGGGCTGTTTTTGTATTAATGAGTCATTCTTATATTTTACATAATTTATCTCATAACCTGGCATCATGCTGCCATTTACAAGAAGACCACTAGTGGGACAAGGTATGTTTATTTTGTCTTATCGCAACCCTTAACACAAACATGAGTCTGCAGTCCAGTGTTTCAAGTCATCAACTACCTGGAAAAAAAACACCATTTACTAAAAACTGTGACAGACTTGTTTGGCAACCTCATCTTGTCTACAAAATATCACTGCTGAAATTGGGCACTTTATAATTTACATAATAAAGTGCTTCTTAAACTGAGGTGTTGTTGCCATGCTTAAGTACGGCACACATGCTCATGTTTACCAAGTTTTACAAAACAAAACAAAAACATTCAAAACAATGTACTAATAAACAAATGCAATGCATTGACACTGTAGCGTGTGGAGGTAATCCTCGGTTTGACCAGAAGATGGAGCTAAAAGACTTAGAAGCCACTCAGGCCTTCTCTCCAGCCTCTGACAACAGCTTATTTGAAAGTAAATAATGTTGTCAGATATAGCCCACTGTGAGAGAGATGTTAATAATTTCATTTTTAAGAGGGCCCAAATGCTGGTCAACCTAGTTGGCTATCTTAAATGAAAAGGTAATAAACGAGCGTTTTTCACAAAGCAAACAGATGTCGTTTGATTTTCGGGGGAAAAAAAACAGAACAGCCGACAGGGTTAGTCTGATGTATGATGCTGTCTTTTTGCTATAACACAGTATTCATCAGCCTAACACAGTTCTGCAATCAGGGCCAATAATGCTGATTAATAAACTTTGTATCAAGCTGCGGATGGCCCAACTCTAAATGCGTCGACAGCTTTTATTTTGAAAGACATGACAGGAAACCGGTTTGTAGACGCTCTCTGACAGGTGTTGTCGGAGTGCCTCAGTTCACCGGTGTGTCAGAGCAGCGCAGCCCTGCTCAGAATATGTAAGCGAAACCCTCCTCGGACCGTGGGACTGAAGTTTGTACTTAAAGTGAATTTCATTTTTCTTTTCTTGTGACTATCAAAACTGATCTCCGACTCTCTACTAGTTTGGAGCTAAATGACCAGCAGACATCGACACGGAGACACTCAGAGATACTCGGGGCACGATGGAGAGCAATAAGGGATTACTTCGCTGTAAGATTGTGGTGGTCGGGGATGCTCAGTGTGGCAAGACGGCTCTCCTCCATGTGTTTGCGAAAGACTCATACCCAGAGGTAAGAGACTTACTGTCTTATTCAGATTAACACATGAATGATGACTGCGGTACAAGTGCGTAAAGTCCAAGAAATTACAAGGCATGGAAATACTCTCCACTAAGTCTGACATTTACAGCGAAATTCCAAACGCTGCTATCATTATTACATGTGCGAAAACTGACTGATAACACAAAGAGGTTACTGAATCAGGATTGTTTGGCTCTTATCTTGCGTATAAACCGTGAGCAAAATAAGACACGGACGGCGCCAAGAGATGATTTCTACGATTGGAAATTTATTTGATCATCGCAGATTTTATGTCTTACTCTACCATTATGTTTAAATAGAGCCAAACTTTGTTTACAATCCTTATCACAGTCAACTGTCAAGGAAATCTGTGGTGACATATTTCTGAGTGCGATGCGCAAAAGCGCGCAGAGCGCATCTGTTGGGGCAGTCTGTTCAGTAAATACTGAAACATCGCTGGTTTGAACACAACAGCTACGGAGCCGAACTGCCTGATCATTCAACACCTGTTTATCTGTATTTCTATTGCAGCACCGAGGAACTTAAGAGTTTAAAATCGCTCATTAAATGTTTTTCATGAGATAATCAATAAGAAATTCAATACACTGTTCAAGGAGCAGTGGACATGTTGGACAGTATCACCTTACAAGCTGAATGGGTGCAAAGAACTTTTTATATCTTCAGAACTTAGAGGAAGATATTCTACTGATAATAAAAAAAGACTATATATGTCTGTTATTGAAGCAACATAGGTGGGATGACTTACTGGTCCATACTGGTTGAGTTGATTTTGAGATTAAACCTTTTAACCATTGAGGAGAGTGAAATCAAAGCTTCAAAAAATGAAATCAGGTCAAAGCTCAGAACTGGCTCCGTCTATGTTCAACATCACACAGTCTCTTGTGCTTTTAAAGTTAACAATTAATGAATAATATCCTTTCCCTACCCTGGCTTCAATTAAATCATTCATTGTTTACAGTACTCCTTTGAGCTCCATCTAATTTCAGCCACACGTGTCTAATTTCAGAACTATGTTCCCACGGTGTTTGAGAACTACACAGCCAGCTTTGAGATTGACAAACAGAGGATCGAGCTCAACATGTGGGACACTTCAGGTAAGATGCATGAGTGGTTTGGTTTGATTCTGTTAAGTGACTATCATACCAATGTGATGAGTAGTTGAGAAACTTACTTCAGGCTCTCCGGATTGGCAAGTCTCTGTATCCTGAGAGCATTGAACAACATCCAGGCTCTGAGCCAAAATGATTAGCAACCACAGTGCAGCCTGTTAGGAGTATTACATGCTTATAACTAATTTAATACTCGCTAAGATGCACCACTTTCACACACAGAGCTTGTCTGTGCTCAGCCTGTGTTTGTGTAACCCCCATCCAGTCGTCATTTCGACACTTGTGGTCTGTAGTGAATGGCCACTTAAAAGTCACATCAGCTCTGTGAGAGGATAAACAACTTTTCCATTAACACTTGCTTACTTATATTTTGTCTGTTGAATGTCTGCAGTTATGTCCTCTTTTTCAAAACAAACAAAACAGGAATATAATAATTAAATAAAGCAGTTTTGTGTCGAAAAATTGGTGAATGAGCTGCACATTTTGGCTGGGCTTTGGGGGCTGTGAGCTGAGCTGCAGCTACCCTTACTCACTAGCTGAATGATATTCTTCTTCCAGGTAAATATCGTGAAAATAACTGTGATTTAATCCAATTAACTGAGAAAGTTAAAATAGTTCAACTTTGCACTGAAAGGACATGCAACTAGCAGGTAAACTTAAGACATGATATGGTGTTCAACAGAATTTTTAAAACGGAAGTAATCATTAAAGCTTCATGCTGAGCAGGCATCAAAATTCTGGGTCAAGTAAGGCTAGACAAGCACATATGACTACAAGAAGTTACAAACCAGCACCATTACATCTGTATGCAAAAAATATGGCAGAAAATTTTGTTTTTGTTATTTCTATCCAAAAAAATATTGATTGGAGTTTTACATTCACTTGCAGGCCTGTTGAGCTACTGTTAAAAACCATTAAGTTCACTCCAGTCCAATCATTAAGGACTGAGTTTTTGGGTTGCAAACTTTGCACTCTGCATTTTAAAGAGGAGACTAGAAAGTTTGTAAAGCAGTCAGATTCTTTCAGTCTCTGCATATAAGCAAACTTTCTCCTTTTGTTAGCCTTTAGGCCATTTTGCATTTCAATCCCACTTACATAACAACACCCTAAAACTTGTTCTCACACAGCCGCAGAGAGCAGCTTTAATGTGCAGCGTTCCATTAGCCTCCACCCATGCAGACAGAAAGACCAGCTAGACGAGCTGCAGATTAAGAGCAGCAGCTGCTGGAGCTGGTGTTGCCTGTTGGTTTACAGTGGGTGAGGCTGCTTGACTGTGTAAGACTAACACCCTCTGAAATTGCAGGTTGTTTCACAAATAGACCTTTTTTCTCAATGAGCTGATGAATTACAACTTAATTTAAGGCGTGCTGAAACAGTAATTACTCCACCTGCTTACGGAATTTAATTCATCACCTGGTGGGAAGCATTCATGACTTTAATATGTCACACTGCTGGCATTTTTTTCACACAATAGAGACGGGTCATAGTGGACACAGCACTCACAGGTGTGACTGTCTGTTTCTGTATGAATAAGATTTCAGGTATTTTCTCACCAAAGTTTGGCCAACAAATGTATCCGAGCTTAAATTTGTGAATGAGAAAAGGAGGAAGTACTTTAAAAGGAGGATAAACACCAGCCAAAGGGTGTTTCACAACCTGTCAATCCAAATACTGAAATTATTCATGTCTCTTTACTGATTTATAAAGTCATGATAACTAATTTATGGCTGTTTATGTAATAATTTGCAATAATTAAGAAAAGTATGCCAAATTGTACTTGTACTCACACAGATTAGGGTTATGAAAGGAACTTCACCATTTTAGATTAGATAACTCACTTTCTCGCTGAGAGTCACATTAAAAAATTAAACCACTTTCATTTCTGCAAATAATTGAGTTGGCTTTTATTTATCATCTACAACCTTGTGGTGTGAAGAGTGTAAGATTGGTGTTTCGTACACCCAGCCACAAAATATTTACTGTGGCACATAACATAAATTTGATCACTTTCTTTGCTGTAATAAATAAGGTTTCTATCAATGTTAGTTTAACCTGAGCTAATCCTAGATTTCTGATATACTGCATGTTAAGACAGGACTTTATCAAAACCACACAATGTCACACAAGAAAACAATGACAACCTTCAGACCTAACGAATTAAGGAAATTAAGCAAAAAAACATTTTGCTAGTTAGCATCAATCTTTCTATCATCAGACTTAGCCAGGCTCATTGGTTTCCCCCTCCTACCAGTAAAAGCTAAGTTATTTGGCCACAGCTTACACTTTAATGTAATCATGATGACAGAAAAAAGCATGAAATACAAAAGCAAATTTTATTTAGTTACTTTCTTTTTATTGTATTTCTGTCAAAACACTGATTTTAAAAGATGTAGATTATGGTAGGCTAAAAAAAAAGTCTGACCTAAGCTCAGCTGGCTGCCTCTAGCTCTCTCCATAGGCAGAGAGGAGACAGGTTCATTGCCTCACAGCATCCCTGCAAGCTACTTCAGGTCCGTGTCTAGAGACAGGTACACTGACACCTTTATCAGTATTACCACAAGTCCCTCTGGTACCTGACTTCTCCAAGTATAAGGACTAAGGGGGATTACACTCAGCTGGCTTTTACACAAGACTGGTTTCATGTATACTACTGTAACAGTTGCTGTTGAGTTGCTTGAGTTTTAAACTTCTGTTCATACATTTTCTTTCTTTTATGCCATCTCCATTTTGTTTGAGTAAGTACATACTGCTGTTTTTTGTTTGTGTGTCTGAGTTTATTCACAGGCATGTGAAGGCATGATTAACAGACGCCCACTGAGATGTTTGTTTGTATTTAGTTTGTCCGTGAATGTGTTGGTGCATGGCATGCTCGTGTGTGTGCGTGCGTGCGTGTGTGTGTAGTTGGCATGACAGCAGGTGATCACAACTAGTTTGAGTGAGGCTGTGACTCAGATATTGAACGGGCATCATGGGAAAATCTTGCTTTTCCATCTCTTGATTTCATTACAGTTTAATTTGTAAGATATGAAGCATAAACACAAGCTAAAATCAGTGGAAAAGTTGTAAACATGATTAAATTACTGTGAAATTTGGATTTATCGCAGGCAGAGTCGTACCAAGTGGAGGTCAATTTAATTGTGCAAGTGGCTTTTACCAAAACATATTTATCCCGAGCAGCTTAAAACCCCCAAAGGAGATGTATACAGATGATAAAGAAGCGCAATCTCATCATGGATTTTAAGATATAAGACCACAGCTCCAGTGTGGTTCACAGATTAGAGGAGAAGGAGCTGAGTGTTACTTCGTCTTACAGAGAGGATAGAGTGTTAGGCAAGGTGCCAGAACAAGCCTCCAAGCTGCCCTCTCATTGTGCAGAAACAAACAGTGGATTTAATTAATCAGGCTCTCGCTGTGTGACCAAACACTTGCCCCTTGTCTGCTTCATTCTTCATCTTGCTTCACCACCCACTGCCTCACCAACCCCACTTACTTGTTTTCACACTCTCTACCTCATAGGTTAAACTCTGTCTCTCTCTCTCTTTTTTAAGCCTGCCAAACTTCATTCCCCTCTTGGCCTTTTTCTGTTTACATCCCTGCCAGACTTCATTTCCCACCCAATCTTACCAACAATCTTAATCTCTTTCCTTTTCTGTCTTTCATGTGGCATTGTGTTTGAAACTGATTTAAGATTAAGATAAGTCAAGTCAAGATTCAAAATGCATTTCTGGTCTCGGGAACAGCAGTCCACAAGACTCACCTCAAGGTCCATTTAGATGCTGATCTGGAATTTGCTTTGATCATATCCTATGATCTCCCTCAGAAGATAAAGTTTTCAAAACTGTCAGTTTGACATATCTACAGAAGTGTAGACATTTAAATGTCATTTTCTGCTGCAAAAGCATCCAAAGCTTTTATTAGAAATGGGCACCAATAGCAACAGTTCTTGTTCTTTAGTTTTCTCATTGGCCGAGCTCGCAGTTTTATGAATTAAAAATTGACAATAAAAGTTAGAGCTGGGAATCACTAGTGACCCCACGATACAATATTATCAGGATACTTGGGCCACGATACGACATAATTGCAATTTTTTACATTTTGCAATACAGTGAGTATTGCAATGCCATATATTGCAATTTATACAATTTTTTCAACTGTTTAACTAATTTGGCATTTGTCTTGTCTATGTTTATCTTATATACGCTCTATTTTATTTTCATGTAGCACATCTTGCAAACCTTATTTGTTGCACTAACTTTCTCCTGCTCTATGAAGTCACCTCTGCCAACCTCACTAGACAAACTGTTGGTTTTATTTTTCCATTATCATAGATTTGACTTTATATTGGCAATTAATTTGAAAAATTGATACTTGGTAAATGAGACAATATGATATATCACCAGACAAAATATCGCGATACTATGCTGTATTGATTTTTTTCTCCCACCCGTAATAAAAGTAGTAAAAATTGACCTCATTTTAGTGCTCTACCGAATGCTGTACAAGCAACTTTAAATGAGGGTCAGTGGGGGAAACAGTCATAAGATTTGGCCATGGTTCATGGCTGCAGTATCACGTAACTACATCCATACACAAACATCCAGCTCCTTGAAGACACCTACCACACTAGCTTCATATTTGTGCAGATGTTTCATCAGCGGTGCTAGCAGCAGATAAACTTTTTTAAATACACTGATTCAAGTGTTATTTGTTTACACTTGCAAACACACACCAACATCGTCTGTGTAATATCAAAAGCCGGCTGGGAAGTGCTTAAAATTAAAAAACATAATTTCTACTCATAACAAATGACTAAAGTAATAAGTCAGATTCTCTCTCGTAAGAGGCTCCTGCTGTATTTTAATGTGCGGCGGACCTTGTGGAGCCATTAAAAGACAATTGTAAGCTCAAATCACCATAAAACAAAAAAACTAATTTGTCTCAAATTGCAGGCATTGTTAATTATGATGACACAGCAGTTGTGTAGTGAGGATTGTTTGGTCTCCAAATGGCTCAGATAACAAATCTAAGAAGTTAAAATCTGTTCCCAGTAGACTCTGTGTGCTTGAACAAAGTTTAGGAGCCTTTGAATTGCCGTTCTTTGCACTTTTTCTCTTTCTCGCTTTAATTTTATTCATTGTTTTTTATGTCCACTCCAACTGCTTCAGTCTTTTCTTCTTTTTAAGTTTTTAACAAGTCAAGGTCATGAGCCTCCTTGTACCAGGGCACTGCCCCCTCAGCACTCTTGCACTTTATTAGCTTAGCTTGCGTTTTCTTTGTCCGTCCACTCATCTGTCTTCATGTCCTTTTTTGAATTCCTCCTCTCTCAGTTTTTCTTTTCACTTCCTCTGGAGAGTTGGTGCTGCCTCCACTCTTAAATCAGTTTGTCCTGGCAGTTAAGAAATGTGAAGTGACTCTCTCTCTGCTCTTTCTTTATTAACAAGCTTACTTAATTGATGCTGTGCCTAAATGATGTGTGTCACAGGGTCCTCAGAAATCACATTTGGGAGGTGAAGCACAGAAAATGCTGTTAAAACTATATACTGCTGTCTAACAAATGAGTGATTCCAGTTCTGATGACATTCTGTGTTTTCTTATCTACTCACACACAAAACCTAAAAAACGGCAGTATGATAACACAAAAGCATTCAAGGTTCTGAACCTGAATGGACACCTTAATTTTTTTCATTTATATTTTAAATCCAGCAGTAATGATTGCCCTCTCAGGCATTGTTAGAAGAACTTAAGATGAAAGAAACTTATTGTTCACAAGCATCTCCTCAATAATAAACCAGTTTTCCAATGTGAGGCATAAAAGGTCATTAATTAGATTAACACATCAACTCTAAGAGTGACCTTTACATTCTTAATGACTCGTTTGATGGTAATTATGAATATGCCCTAAAATCACTTTTTTTTCTGGAATCCAAGGTAATTACACATCATGTAATAATAAAAAACTTGGCATTAAAAAAGGCCTTGTCCTCGTTCACCTTCTAACTTTATGAGCGTGCATGTGAATGACTTGCCAAGCGTGAGAGTTTCGAGTTAGAGGTCTTTTGGTACAAGAACATGGCATAATAAAAGGATGAAGTTTTTTCAGATAATGGGCGAGGGGAGCTTTTGTCAGAGGTTATTTAAAATGGATGATATGTAGGAGGGTACGCACTCGCTTCTTTCCTGTCTAGAGTCTACTCATGAGAAATGATTGTTTTTAAAATTAAGGGGCATTTGAGAGTCATTGTTATTTTTCACCAACACAGTCATTGTTTTTCGAGGTCCAGCACCCACTTTGTGTGAATAAGAAATGAACTAGCACCAACATTAGTGCCCATGGGCATGTTTTTCTTAAAATGAGGGGTGGCACATCACTATTCAGAGAATTCAGAAACTCTCTGAAACATAGACCAGTAAAAAAACACAAATCTTCAGCCATTAAAGTCCCACTTAAATAGTTTTTTTTTTCTTTTTTATTATTTAAAGTGTTCTCAGTGGTCTTTAAATTGTAATTATGAAGTTTTTAGCCAAAATCACATTATCTGTGTCATTTTCAAAGGCTTTTCTTCTGCAGAGCTCCATTAGCTCATTAGCAATTCACTTCTGAGTCATGGCTGGAGACAGCGCTGCTCTGCACACTCGTCTTTTCTCTAGCTTACAGCCTAACATTGCCAGTGCAGCAGAAGTGGCAGGTAACATAAGGGCTATTCAGCTCTTGGACACTAATGTCTTTGAGGGCATGATGAAAGTTAATATCATTATTAGCTTTCTTACGAGCATTGCAGTCTGCTAACGTACACACTTGTTTCATGATCATCCTCTCTACTCATTGGCCTGCGCCTGCATAGCGGGGCTCTGGGGGCGGAGCTTGCAGTTGTGACATAGAAAATCTCATTGTGTCGGAACCTGCCGTTTGGGTCTGTGAGAGATTCACAGTGATTTGAATGCAGAAATACTCCGAAATTCAATTTTGCATGTACTTTTCTCGTGCTATGTCCTCTAGCATCAGAAAAAATGCCATATGAACATGTAGACGACATGTACTATCTAAAGATCAGATAAGGATGACAAATTTATATTCCACATTTAATGCAGCTAACAAACACTCCTAGAAAAGCCAACATCCATACATGTTAGGAAAGGGGACCAGCTGCTCTGTATTTTGAGGTCTACGGTTCAATATAATGAAAAAGCCACCCTGATTGATTTGGAAATGACTGCTTTCTGGATGTTTCTCTATAAGTCTGACATGTAACAGTTTTCTTCATGATTCAGAAAAACACAGAACATAGCAGAAAAAGTCTGAAAGTGTTTTCCAGTCATCTTGCCTGAATTCATAAGGAATGAGTGCACATGACTCTCGCTGCCATTTCTTTTGAATTATGAGTTTGTATCCCTCTGCGGCACTGACAACAAAGAGCAGTTGTTGTTGTTGTTGTGGCCTGCAGCAGTCTGCTACTACAATAACAAAAACCTCAAAAATATGGTGGTTTCACAGCTGAGCATGTGAAAGTGTGAAGAAAGAGTCAATAAAAGAACCGGCTCGACCTGCAGAGTCGCACCTTCAAATAAAGAGCAGCGCAGGAAAGGAGTGAAGTTTGCCGTCTTGAACTCTGTCCCTCAGGCAGCTTCCTGCTCAGAAGAATGTCACTTTTGATACATCCTTGAGGGCAAGACAAGTCAATAAGAGCACCTGTGTTGTTGTCGCACAATAACACAGGTGCTCTTTCCGTCACCTAAAATTGTGAACGCCTCTAATACTGCCTAAAATGTAGATGTAAATATCAGCCAATGTGCTAGTCTTTGCAACAATTCTTTACCAAATTTATGACCCCAGATTAAAATCAGCTAGTTTTTATAGATCTTACAAATTATCTGCCAATAAAGGAAATATTTTACTATTGAAATACTTTGATTTTATCCAACAAGAGCAATGCTTGTATTGGCTGAACAAGCACAGCCAAAACAAGCTGAAAACACAGTCAAAAATTCATCACCTAGGTGGTTAACACGACTGCATCTTACAAAACAAGTACAGAGAATATGCCACAAGTATTGCAAAATGAGGACTTAAGACACCATCGTGAATATAATATAAAATAGTTGCTGTTGCTAATTACTGTTTTGAAGAAGTGAAAAAATAACTGATTGTTGTCATTTATTACATCATGTTAGCAGATTGAGGAACAGCTAGAACAGAGAACATAACATTAGTTAAAGTTATTAGTATTTTCTTCTCCAGACTAACAAAGTAAAAATCATCAAGCACTGATGAAAGTGGTTACATGTTAAAAATCAAGATCTCTCCAAAGCTAGTGAGTGATTTGAGAGAGAAGTTTGGATCCATTTTCATAGGTACGTTTCAACTCTGTCATATGTTCTCTGAGAAGAGAATAAGACAAACATATTACCCACATCACACTGATACTTGATTGGCATTCAATATCAAAAATGTAAATTCCAGGTCTGTGAAACAACTCTGTATCCATCCATCTGAAGCTGTCAGACTCTGGCTGAGATTGCCTCAACAATCCATCATTCATTCATGAGCAGCTTTTATGACCCCAATTACATGTTGGCTGCTTGAAAGCACTACCCAGATGTGCTCTGAGTGAGCATGTGTGTGTGTGTGTGAGTGGCACCTGGCTCCGTGACAGAAACGAACAGAGAAAATAGCTTGATGTGTTGAAGTGCTTCAGAGGCTTTGGAGAGAGGTACAGATAGCTGGGGAACAGGGTTTCCAGTCCAAGTGTTGATGTGTTTTTCTTTTTTTCTAGTGAACGTGTTTGGTTGTGTAGGTTTGAAGGAGTATATGAGTATGTGCTTTTAGGGGTTATAGGAGTGTGAGGATACATACAGCACAGGGAGAAGAGGATGAAGTGTCAGAGTGCTGGGCTCATATTTGGGAGAAAATAAACTGGATCTGGACTTAATAAGCGTTGTAAGGTTTTCATGGACAAGCTTGCACCCCTGTCATACTGGTCTAATTCTCCTCTGCTCACCCGGTCCATGACACAACCATAGGGTACATTGAAAATCAATGGTCTGGATGCGTCTACACTCACTTTCTCGGGGGGGTGACTGGTTTCTCGTCTCTCAGACAACGGTGAAAGTGTAACTGAGCAGTCTGTCTGAAAGCGACAGAAAGTCTGGGTGAGCATAGTGAGCACATAAAACTAACCTTTCAGACCATCCTATGAATACAGATGGTCACAGGTATGGTCTCATGTGAAGTGGCAACCCTGAAGTGGCCACAGCGTTTAAGATGTAAGCAGTTTTGAGGTAAGGCGATGCTTTTGAAAGAGCAAAAAAGTCCGTGTAGGAAGGTCTGATTGATTGATTTGCTAGCAGGATTATGAACTTCTGTAACACCCTTAACTTATCATCATTGGCTTTGATATCGTATGAATTGGCCCACTTGCTTCCACACTTGAGAAATCCTGGTGTTAATGAAATCTTGCTATCCTGCTATCATGTTGGTGCGATCCTGTTAAAAAAAATCATTGCAAATTGTTTTTGAATGTCTTGGGTTTGATGACACAGTTCCTCTTTGCTTTGTCAGACTACTTTGGCCTAACTCCAGCTTGTTCAAAATGCAGCAGCAACAAGGACTGGTCCTACATCGCACTTCACTCCCATTATAGACTCCACACACGGGCTGCCAGTAAGGTTCAGAATTGATTTTAAGATTCTTCTAATCACTTATAAAGCACTTCAGGGCTTGGCTCTTGCTTACATTTCCAAATTACTAAACCCTCATTCGATTAAGCAGCTACTTCGGTCATCAAATCCAACCCTGGTGGTCATTCTGTTTGCTGATGTCTCCTTCCTTATTGTACAAAATTAAATCTGTTGAATAATTTGAATCATTTATGGGAACTCCTCTTTAAAGTTTAGCTTTATGTTTCTGTTGGTTTTGGCGCCTCCTGTGGGTGAAGTGGTACCTTTTATCTCTTTGCTGATCTTGTCTATTTAAAGATTATACCAAAGTATTAAAATATTCCCAAAACGAGGATTAGGAGATTAGGACAATCACAGAATAGACATTTGTTTTAGTTGAGATAGTGAAATGAAACAACCAACAACAACAACAACAAAAATGTATTTTATGAGGTGAGCTTTGCTTCAGCACAGGCACACACACAAATACACAGCACTCAATGGGTCTATCCATCCATTTGAGACCCATTCTTTCCCTTATCCATAATTCAAGACAAAGCTATGACCACTCTATCAAACCCTGGCCCCTTTGCCAGTATTGAGAAGGCAGGGTGGAGCAGCAAAAACACTGAAGACACGTTGGACCTGTGTATTGTAAAAGCTAATGTCTTCAACTTCTGTTTTGTTTTCTATTAGCATCTTTGTTAAAGACGCATATCATTGTTTTTCAATAGCTCCATGCTACCTCCCCAATCTAAAAAAGCATTCCCCTTGAGTAAATTGGTGGCATAGTCCTTTAACTTTAAAGGGAAACTTTGCATTTTCAAGTGTGGTTGTATTGTCAAAAGTAAGCGTATATGCCCACGGGAGATGGGTCCCTTTATCGAGATACCTGCTGGAGAACTGGCACTACTGAGGAGCTGGTCTATCGGCTGCTACAGATGGGGTCAACACAACTTTACAGTTAAAACTGAAGAGAGACAGACTGCTTGATTTGTGCTCTACAGGGTGTCTTTAAGTTTTAAAGCATTTGCATTGCATGATTTTGCAAGCTGATTATAGAGGCTGTCACTGTGGGGAAATATTATTCCTGTATTTCACACAGCATTAGCATGGTAACGGAAAAATATGTGGTTCTGTTTCTGCTCTGGATGAGCTTCAAACCTGGAAACTGGCTGCTTATCTCTAGAAGGGTACGGCCAGGACAAACAGGTTTCATAGAATAAATGAGCACCTCTGCTTTGTGACAGCAGACAAAATGTCATAAGAGGAGATTATTAATGACTGTCTCTGACATCACAACAAGATGTGATTGTGTTATTTCTGAAAGACGCAGAGCAGTGAGTAGTGAGAGGTGTGACAGTCTGATTGGTATCTGTCACCCTACAGCTTTGAGTCTGACTATCAAAAGACATTTCCAAAAATATATCAGTTCATGTTTTATTATAAGCTTTACAGATTGTTACAAAACAAGAAAAGAGACATATCTCCGGAGTGTTATGAAAACTGCGAATGAGATTTACCGTATTTAACATAAAGGAGATAACACAGCCCTCTTAATTTATAATTAAGGAACCTGCCCGTTGGGGCTCATTAACAGTTACTGATAATAAAAGCCACCACTGAAATAGCTTTTCTTCCTCTAATCCAAACTTACAATGAAGGCTGAAGGTGGACCAATGTGGCAGACATTTTGACAGATTTCAGAGCACCATGTCAGGCAGTTGCAAAACACCAAATTTATCTTGGAAGAGCGGTGTTCATCCCTGCAGCAGGGCTCAGACACTTGTAGCTGTTTTTGTGACCTCCTTAAAGCACTTTTTGATGTTTCCTGGTTCATGTTCACATTCCAATCAGTGATAATATTTACAGATTTAGGAAACGTATTTATCTATTAATCATCTCCCTGCTTTTTTCTGTTGCATGTGGAAAAATAATGACATTTCTATGCTTTTGAATGACACATTTTACCTAAATTTTACCAGTTGATAAGTAAAAAAATAATATAAATAGCACTGAAGTACTTACCACCTTGGAGTTGAAATACAGGTGCAGCTAACGAGACCGATATCAGCGAGCTACTGCAACACAACAATTGGCTGAGCACTGATTTGGAGAGTGAAAGTTACCGCAGACCTGTGGATGAAAGGGAATTAAAAAAAGAGTTAACTGGGTTGTAAATGACTGCAGGCAGGGTAATGTTCAGTTAATTTACATGTTACATAAAACAAAGGATTTATTGTTTTAGACTGAAACTGGATGTTTAAAAACATGTAAGTTCATGAGTCTGACTGAAATTTAACTTCTCATCATCAGACTAACATACCTGGATCGTGTGGTTATGGATCAATTTTCTCTGTCATGTATATGGCTTCTGCCCCAGCGTTCACACTCGTGGCTTTGAGCTCCAGGTTGAACAGCATGAATGCCTTGCTTAGCAGTGGGGTAGGAAACAAAACCTTGATGGATGATACAATAATGTAGAAAAAGACAAAACTGTTTTATTGTATAAACAAACAGCACAGAGCTGTAAAAGTGACAGTTTTTTCATCCTTAGACGTACGTCCTATTAGCCCCTTGCTAACATATCTTGCCAACGGTTTTGAGAAGTAATACATCAATTGATGGACAAACCAATAGTACCAAGCCGAGAGGGAGCATGTCTCTACCTACCGCAACAGATGCGGACATGCTTCTTTCGCTAAATCCATTCTTGCCTGGTGCTTGTAAACTGTGACAAAGAGAAGAGTTCAGTTGAATCGCCTAGTTGAGCTTTAACCAAACAAAACTGTGCATATAAATGTACTGATTGTGGGGAATCGAAGGGGCGTCGTCAGGTTGATAGGTATTTGTACACATTGTGAAGATAAACTTTTTGAAATGCAAAATAATGGAATTTTAAAGATATAACCAAAAACACAATGAACTACAACTGGCTATAGAAATTCTGCAATTAATCATGATTTTAATAAGTGATTGTTTGATTGCCCAAATGAAAGTATACATCCATAAGGTAAATCTGTGACTGTCCTGTTCTTGACAAAAAGCCCATTCATTGATTGTTAAAATTAAGAAAAATATCTCTCCAACCAATTTCAAAGTCAAAAAATATAATTGCCTTCCCCAACAGAGGTGCCAATTTCAGCAATTTTATTCCAGTTGCAGCCTTATTTTTTTCAATAACAAAACTAGTGCCGACAATAAAGTTTAAAAAAATCAGAACAGCTCTTCTAAACCGTATCATCCAGAAAGCAACATTTTTACAAAACAAACCCTCTCTACACAGCCCCAGACTCATCCTGCAAAAAGCTACACATGAGTGGATTACAAAAAAGCTACAAGAGCGTTTAAAGACAAGGTGCTTAGCCATGTTTTTTTTTTTTCCTTTTTTAGCAAACAGACGTGAGAAGAAAGGGAACGCTGCTTTTTGGAAGTTTCAAACATCACAGGCATGACAACCCCATGTAGAGTCACAGCATGGTGCTGCTTTTTCCCAGACTGTTGTGCGTCACTGTGTCAAATGCTGTACAACAGCCTCATATTTAAGTCATATTTGACATTTTATAGTTGAGTATTACTCACATACAAGCATTTATGCATCTTAGTTTGTGTTCGTCGAAAGCTAAGGCAGAATATTTTGATTTAGACCAAAATTTGTTGATGTAATTTCAGCTTTTTCCTTTCAAATGTATTTTTAAAAAACACCAAAATGAGTTGTAAAACACTTGACGTGTTGCTCATATTTTCCTTAGAGATAGCTGAATACATGCAGCACTCTGCTGTCTGAGTGGCTTTTTAAGTTTGTTTTCGATCAGAAGCTCTCAGACAGAGACAGATGGGCTGAAGGTTTTTCATGCTGCCGTTACACCGGCAGGAATCTTCCCATGTGAGGCATCATACTACAGGTCCCCGGGAGGGTCAGAAAAGCTCACAGATCAATACGCATTAGCTGCTGCTCAAACGCTGAACACGGATTAGTTGACATCATGGAACCTTGAGGCTTGCACTGCAGACAGTGTGTGTGTGTGTGTATCAGTGTGTGTATGTGAGTCATTCAGTGTAAACTTGTTCTCATTATAAAAAGTCAAATAAGCACTGCAATTATCCATTATTTGATCCAAGCATGAATAATAAATGTGAAATAATGCTGCAGCCTTCATCTCCTCAATCTCTTGTGTCGATGCATTAAGTATGGAGCATGAGTAATATTTGGGGGTTGGGTTTGTTTGACTGACAGGTGAGCCTGTTGCAGCTGTTTGCCAGAAGGCTAAAGGTATAACCCTAACCTTAATGCTGACACCATATTGGGAATGGAGTCAGCATTTCCAATATGGTGTTCATCACCAGTGACCTTCATCTGAGTTTTGCAGTCTTTGGTTTATTCTGATTTAAGAACGGAAAAAAAAATCATGTTCCCGCTTAATTTTTTTTTTATGTTACATTTATACAGCTCAATTAATTCCTCTATTTAAAAATAGGTATGGTAGGTATCTGCTCTTCTGAGACAGTGAAGAAAACAAGGGGGAGGGGATGAAGTGCAGAGAGACTTCAATCTCAGCAGAGTCTCGTTTGCTTGTTTATTCTGGCAGGAAGAGGTATGAAAGAACAAAGACAGACTTGGAAAAAGAACAAACAACCATATAACTCCTGAAGAAGTCACGACTAACTTTAATACGGCAGAGAAAAGAAATCAGTTACACTCAATATAGACTGGCTTATAAAAAAAACAGCTCACGTTGTCTTCATGGGCAGCCAATCCTAGAACGAATTAAAGTGAAGTGTTTGTACCGCACATTTAATTTGACAACGCTGGGAGATGTTTCAGTGATAAGACTGATCCCTGGTTGTTTTATTGCCTTGACACAGGGATAGTTGCAGCGTGTGCAACTTGTTCAGACCTAAAGATAGTCAATAAAGTGAAAAATCTTAGTTTAAGAACAGCTGTGATCTGTTGTTCAACTCTGTAAGTTGACCCAAGTTTTATAATCAGAAGAAGCAGTCATAGGTGCTTGCTCCTGCTATAATTTAAAGTTAAAAATGGTAAACAAGATGCATATACAAATCTATGGTCTTTATCCTTTTAGTACGACAGAGTATTATGGCCACATTATGAATAAAAATGTAATGCTGTGTTGTCAATGTCAATGCTGAGGTTTTGGACACTACATGGCAAGACACAATGCATGACGGGATGCCCACCACTGGTGAGTGACCATCGGATGGTCACTACATTTTGCAGTGCTCTATGGGAAATTTTGAGTCGCCTATATAGGGCATTGGAATTGATCACTCCGGTTTCAGACACCCCTCAAAATGGCGCTAACCCCCATATAGTCATCTATATAGGGGTTAGGGATCCATTTCGGACACAGCCAAAGACTTCAAGATTAACGTCATTAATTTACGAGAATAAAGTCATTACTAACAAGAATACAGTCGTAATAAAGTAATGACTTATAAGAATGATATCGTAGGAAAATCATTACTTACGAGGATAAAGTCTTAGTAAAATTAATACGTACAAGAATAAGGAGAATAAATTACGACTTTATTCTCGTAAGAAATGATTTTATTATGACTTAATTCTCATAAGTAATTACTTCATTACGACTTCATTCTCGTAAATTAATCTCAAAGTCTTTTTTTTTTTTTTACTTTAGTGATTTCAGTTGTGTGGGCAAACGCATTTAAATGGTTTAACATATTCTGCAAAAATTCTTCTAGCAGCTGACCAAAACACATGGCACTGCTGTATGATTCTCTATAGTTCTAGTGTACTTCTAAAAGTGCTTACACAGCAGCTCTGCAAATGACTTCTTTTACTGGAACCAATCCTGTTAGGCCGGCAGTATTTCATAAATACAGTTTGCACAGCTTCAGGTGAGCTGGGATAAAGATCTGGTGTTGTTTTTCAGACAGTCAGGAGTACAGCAAGCACAAAATAATGGGGGAAAAAAACACTCTCTGTGACATTCAAAGAGAAAGGGATTTTTTTTTAAGTTCAGAGAGTCTTTGAGAAAACACTCCGGTGGACTTCTATGCAGACAAAGACTCAAACTCTTTGAAAAGATTGGTTAATCACAGCTGCAGTTAAATGCAGAGGTGAGCTGTCAGTGTGGAGCTGAGCTGCAGCTGTCTGTTCACTGATAGAAACCTGCAGACGTTTTATGAAGACTAATCAATTTCAGTCTTTACCCCCTCTCTCCTTTTACTGAATTAATCATCCTCATTTGCGGCGGATGTTACGACTTGATCTGCGCCGACAAAGGCTGAAGCAAAAGTGAGATTTGTATGGTGGAGTGCTGCTTGTGTGGAACCCAGGAGCAGGAATCAGTCAAAGAGGCAGGGCGAAAAGCTGGCTGTGGCCTTTAGCTTGACATTTATGACCACAGCAGCATACATGTACACACGCATGTGTTTGCTTTGGGGGTTATATTTTGACAGATTGACATGCACAGGGATAAATATGGTAGCCTTCTGCACCAAAAGCAATGCACCTACAAAAAATATGCATTTTTTTTTTGTTCCAAGAGAGGACAAGGATTTCCTAATTTTGATAATAGTTGATTTTTTAAGTGATCAGGATTAATCAGGGATTTATTTGTATTGTGGATGTATATCTACAACATACAAAAGGTCATTAAAACTAAAAAGGGAAGTAGAAAATTAGAGTAATTCAAATCAATGAGTTAAAAAATGAATATCAGTACTCTGAGAACAGAAAGAAAACATGACTCCATTACGAGAGCATTTGAATCAGATATTTTTCAACTGTTGGTTGTCTTTTTGTCCGTTTTTATCTTCTACTAACAAGTGGAAGTGTCTTTTCAATCCCTCCAAAATAAAAGCAAATAAATCCAAATATGAACTTAAGTAGACTAGGCAGTAAAAATGCAAAATAAAAGCATAAAAAAATCACATTTCTATGAGGCAGCCTCCTCTAAAGCTTGAGCTTAAACCTGTATATCCTGAAAGAACTGTGAAAAGACCGAACTGTTAACTCAGTACAATGAATTGTACTGCATGTTGACATGTTGCTATGTCCTCGTCTGCAACACTCTGAAATTTAATGCTTAGGTCTTCTTAGCTTGAGCTACATCAGTCATATGGAAGGAGTTTGTTTAGTGGTTCAGATAAATGGAAATATTAAAAGATGTTGCCTGGCTGATTTTTGATTACACACCTCAAGGAGGATATTTGAGGTTGTTGAGATGACTAACAAGCTAAAGTCGAATGTGGTTTTGCTGCTTAAGCCACTGTTTTATGCCATGAATCTTTTAGCACTCATCCTAGTCTTACTGAAACTGAAGTTTTTGAGAGAAAACTAAGCATAAGTGAAAAGAATTGTATTTTTCTATTAAAGGAGGCTTGTTTGAGATAACTTCCATTTGTGAGGCATTAAACTTTGTTGCCCTGAATGTGCTGTTTGTGTGGCAGTGGCTCCGTTCATTTAGTTCTATGGGAATTTTCTGACAAACACATTTTTTGTGAAGTAGCCAAAGCCTTATGTGTGGCGACAAAAGCTTGTAGTGTTGGAGACAAAGGGGGAAATGCAGAGGGAATGTTGTCCCCTCTGGATAGGAATGCGTCCCCTTACCCAGGTCACAATACTCAATTCAGCGGGGGCCCCTGGCAGAAAAACATGCCATTCTGGACTACCAGGTGACGCTTTGTGTGAGCCAGTCATTATATCACTGTCACACGTCCGTCTGTCCACTTATTCAAGCCTGTCAGACCAACAGACCCAGGGTTTGTGGTCAAGGCCTCGCTGCTGGTTTCAAAAGCGACGAATCACACCCACTCATTGTCATCTGCAAAGTGGCCTTGTTCATGGTAATTACATTTAATCATAGTTATTACAGCTGAAGGTGCTCCGTAATGATCCACTTTGTGATAAAAAAGTTAGCTCTTTAGAAGAGGAACTTAGCTACAGTACATACCATCCACCTGAAAATGTCACTCATGTCTGTGTGATTTTCTGTTGCCCACAGGTTCAGCCTATTACGACAACGTGAGGCCGTTAGCTTACCCTGACGCGGACGCCGTGCTCATCTGCTTCGACATAAGCCGTCCGGAAACACTGGACAGCGTGCTGAAAAAGGTTAGTGTCACATCAGAGTCTGACGGTCTTTAGGGTATATTCTTTCTCCTGTCAGGACATGAGTCTACCGAAAAGTCTTAAAGGACAAACTTTGATATTTGAAAGTCCCACTTATTACATAACACTCATACAAATGTGCATGCAGCTGTGTTTGTACAATCTATACTCTCCACAATACATTTTATTTCATAGAATAAAATGTGGGTAACACTGTATATGAGGGGACTTGTAATGAGCTTTAATTGATCATTAATAACATAATAAGCACTAATAAGATGCTCATTAATATTTATAAGCATCAACAAGTGATTAGAAAAGCGTAAGTATCACATTGTTTATAGCACACTCATAGGCTCTCATTATACACTTCATATAACAGTTCATATACCTGTCTTAAACATCAACAAGATTTGACAAGATTGAAAGCTTATAAGCAATAATAACTTAGTTATAGTTTTAATAAAGGCCCATACAGTTATTTTGATGTTTATAAACATTAGATTAAGATTTTAAAGCTTTGTACTATATTGTAATTGTTATCAAGTTTTCTGCAAGTGTGTTTAAGTATGAAACATGAGGTTGTGTTGTGCTGTGTATCGCCCAGGTTAGTCGATTTCTGTCCTGCTAGTTGTTTTAAAGTTTGTTGCCACATGAGGCTTTTTTCCCCAAGTACAATCCCCTGATTAGATCTTGACTATCTCCTGTATGGAAACAGACTGTGGGCGTGCTAAACAGAGTTTGGGAAAAGATAGAGAAATCACTTTAGTTAATGCTGACTCAGAAGACTATTAATATAAATGGATCAGTTTCTTTATTGATTCAGTGGCTCATCACAGGAAAAGTAATTTCATGACTCATAAAGACCAGGTTTTGATCATAATATTTGCGATAGTCTTCAAAAACAATGTAGTCTTTCTTTATTCCCTACATATAACTTTTTGATAAACTAATTTTCCTTCCATAAAAATATACAAGTGTGAAGTATATGAATTTTTTGGAGCTATTTCTCTTAAAGAATCTACATATTTTGTAGTGTCGTGTTTTAGAGACCCTGCAAATGTGTATTTTTATCCCCTGCTGATAAACATTTGTGTCAAGAACATTGAACCTTTGATTTTCATGGGGTCAGCACCGTCATTCATCAATGACATCATCAGCGTCAGACAAAACTCAAATCTTTCATGGTGGACGAATTCTCACATACAAATGGAGGTCCATTTGAGAACTAACTTGACCCCTGACCTCAGACGATGACCTCAGGTTTCCACAGTTGTAGTGGTAAATGATGTGATCTCACAATGCATACACGGGATGCCAAAGTGACATGTTGAAGGATCTCTATACAAAAATCTATCACAATGAAGTGCTGAAGTATGGCAGCGTGCCAGCCTGTGTTGTTTCCATTTACTTTTGCATTTTTTGGCTAATTTTGTAGCTCGTTTTCTCTGTGAGCTTCTCTTTTTAGATAATGCCCTTGTAGTCCATGCCAGCTTTTCTTCTGCTATTTTCAGACAGAGCTTCAGCCTAACTACCTCATGTGCCCTTCAGTTGTTGTTTTTTTAATCTTTATTTCTTTTATTTTCCCCTTTGTGTCTTAAGTCCAGTCCCTCTTCAGCTTCTCATTCAAATCTCCTGTGTCAGAGCATCACCTTAAAAAAAGGGCGACACCATCACCCTTTTTTAACGCTCCAACACTTGCTTTGCTGTTGGCGACATTTCTCTCACCTTTTCCTTTTTTTTCTAACTAACTAGCAGCCCTGAAGTATCCGTACACCACATTTTTTATCTTTCAAACTCTCTGCCTGTTTGAATAAAGAGATATCAGATTCATGAAGGGAATGATGAAAGCCGCAAACAAGCCTTTACTGTTCAAATTAAAACTGGCCAAAACTTTGTACTATCAGAGGCTAATACACAAACTCAAATTAGTAGCTCTGCATGTGAATGAAAGTTTATATAATTGTAAAATATAATAAAATATAAAAGTTTTACCAGTTATGAAGTTTAATTAAGATAAACATGGCTGTCAGTATAGAAAACAGAACATTTTAAAACCAGCTGCCACTGCCATTGGAAGAACAATATGTATGTTTATTGAGCAGATTGGTACCTTGACAAGGTGAGCAGGGCCCTGAAAATAGCAGAGGTATAACCATAGAATGTATATACCATGGAAAACTTGGTTCCGCCTTCCGCCAGTACACGGATTTGAAACCAAAGAAAGCTCTCGGTATTTCCACATTTTCTTCCCATTTCCTGAAACCGGCATTGCACAGTAGCATTGTACGCATTCTGCGGGAGAGTTGCCAAAAGTTGTTGTGATGACGCTCGGCTCAAACGGCGTATCCCCCGGGTGAGCTACACAATCCTTGTACACCCATAGGCTGTATCAAGTGTCAATCATAGAAAATATGAACCCCCTAATAACTTTTAAAAACTGAGCTGTACTGAAAAAAGGACTTGAGCTCAAACCAGTCTTACAATAATTACATGTCAACATCGCAAGTGGGAGGAGAAAAATATATATTCTGTTTAATAAATTTCTAAAGTTTCTCCACAACTTCATAAGGATGGCTGGTGGAGGCGGGATTTATGACTTATACTGCAGCCTGTCACCAGAGGATGCTGTTCTCGGGGTGGCTTCACCCAGCGAGGAGGCAGACGGCGTCCATTCTATACAGTCTATGGATATAACACTGCACTCACTTCACTTTACCCTGCCTATTACCTAGCTACTAAGTTTATAAATCTGTATTTTTCACAAAATATTTATTCTGGTGTTCTCACATTACCACCTCTGGAAATAGTCAGTAAATCTCAAGTCTTTGTTATTCATGAAATAAGCCAGCTTTGCTGTTATTTTGCTCAGTAAGTTGAACATTTCCACTGATACCAAAGAGAATCAAGGGGACCAGGATCACATAAATCAGAACCTCACCAGGTTGGGTTTTCTGCTTTGTCACTGTCAGACTCTGTTCATTTATAGCAACGTTATGCTTTTTAGACAGACCGTTGCTATGGAGCTTTGATGACTTAGACTCAAGTTCACCACAGCTGTCCAAGAATTTAGGAGAAGGTCAAATGATTCACTTGGTCTTCTGAAATACTTGGAAACTACTTCTCAAAAATTCGTCAACAAAATGCAAAAGGTTAAATAAATCCACATCACCTTCTCCGACTTGTATTGTAGTATTTGATTTTACTTTCATTACTTTCAATACTAAGTGCTTTTCTTACTAAACTACAGTTAGCTTTGAATTTAGACTTTGCTATTACTCCACTAAATCAGCCGCATCTTTGCTAACCATACAAGTGAGTAAGCAGCAGAATACAGTAATTGCCTTTTTAGTTCCTTCATCCCGTGTGATGTTCAGTCGAACCACTCACTTCATTAAATCTCTCTGAGTTGTTAGCCGTGTTACAGAGGTCATGAACTCAGCGTTGTTAGTGATTCAGCATTTGGTTTTGATGAATGCGTTATGAATGTGCAGTCACCGGTGAGCTGGAGTTTCAAAGTCTGCATTTTCTCTCCTGCTAAACCAGACTCTCTGCTCCAACAGCTCTCACTCCGCTCTTCATTCTGTACAAACCTCGCACTTATTCTTAACATTAACACAAACAATAAGCCGCTCTTCCCAGGGCTCCTTTGTGACTCATCTAAATTGCTGCTTATTACCAGTTGGGCCTATTGAAAGGCAACAGCTCACTCTGCACAACAGCACAACACACCGGAGCCCCGACGGCAGAGATACACACATCCAAAAAAAAAAAAAGAAAAAAAAAAAAAAGAAAGAAAGGATCTCTTTGTAAAGGAGAACAAATGGAGCAAGTGTGCAAAGTGGCTGCCTGCGCCATGGTGTGAGGAGATAATCACTGGAGCAGCAGAGACAAAGAGTTTAATGGTTTGAGTCATGTCAGTCAAATGTAATGAGTGTTGTCTGTCTCTGTCTCTCTTGCATTTTAACCAAAAGCATCATCGTGCTTTGAGCTCATGTTGTAGTAACAAGCAAAACAGATGTATTGTGTTGTTTCTGTATTTGTTTTAACTTGTGTGCAAGCCCGTTTCCTGTGAACTGAAGCTAACTTTTTAAAATGCAAATGGCTTGTACAAGAGTTTTCTCAATTTTAGGTTTAGCTTCGACATGCAGGGGCTTAATGTTAAAAATGCAGAAAGGAGATGGAGGTGTGGCAGTTTGGCTCCAGGTGTGCAGCATAGGAGACACATTTAGACTCAGTTTTAAGATAACATGTCACGAATGCAGCATTTCCAGAAAGGTTGTGTCTTTGCTGCAAAATATTTGCTAATTTACATGATCTAGGAGCTTGGCGTGCTAATGCTGGTGCTTAAAATGAAACAGGGAGTAATCAATATGTCATTTTAATGTGATTTATGACACTAAGGGAGTAGATGTGTTTAACGGAACCCTTAGGGCACAGTTTTCCAATACTTCGGATTTGGACATTGAGCAGCTGAAAAATTACTACATTTGAATTTGAAATGAGTGACTCCTTAGTAAGTGTCTTGTGAAAGAAGTCTGGTAAATATGTGACTGTGTGTTCAATCTGTAGAAACATGCAGTATGTGTACCACAGTGTACAAAATGTGCCTTTACAGAGTTTGACAGGTGAGTTTGTTCGAGTGAATTAATCTTGCTAAAGAAAAAAAGATCTCTCAGACAAAGTTTTGATTTCAGATTTTTCAGGGAGGAGTTCATTTCCTTTTTCAAGGTTTGAGGAACATTACAAGCCGTGTACAGGAGTGCCATAACAGCATTCATCAGCGTATATCTGACCTTTTGTTTTACAGCAACACATTTGTTATGTTCATGCCCCTTTTGGCGAAATGTGAATATGATTAATGACATGTCCTTATATCTGTCTCTTTACACACAGTGGCAAGGTGAGACGCAGGAGTTCTGTCCTAACGCCAAAGTGGTGCTGGTCGGCTGCAAGTTAGACATGAGGACAGACCTCAACGTCTTGAGAGAGCTGTCCAAACATAGACTTATTCCTGTCACCCATGAGCAGGTAAAAACATGTGTAGAGCAAACTAGAATCTACTACGTTTGTTTGCTTTTAGCACTGATTAGCACAAACCATCCCAGACAAAGGACACCCATTTCTTTCATGAGTTGTACACATATAAACAAAACTTTAGAAATGAATTTTGAGAGTGACATTTGCTTCAGATCGTAACTCCAACAAACATGAAAACACAGGGAAGATAAAATAGCCAAGACTGAACAGAGAGAGAGACTAACAGCCGGATGTGTGATAATGCAATTGTTTTGTTTGTGTCTTGAAGCGATGAACAGTGGCATGCATGAATTTTAATAGGCTATTTTCATGTAAATTTGAATTCTTGCTTCTTGGCAGCCTTTGTCAACATATTAATATTTTCCCATACCTCCAACAAAGCAAATGTAACCACTCTCATTTTCCTGTCAGTAATGACATCAAAATTGGTCCATCAAGCTCTGAGAAGAGTTTCTCAGCACAAAGTTATTCTTCACTAATCTAAAAGAAACATTTGATCCCGGCATGAAATCTTCCCTGAAAGTGTGACAGACTGACGTGATTATTCAGCTTAAAAACTTTCAGCCGTCCCAACTTTCTCAAACTTAAATCCTCACATTTGGGACTTTACCTTGTTTGGTTGAATTCAGTCCTAAATGAAAAACTCAGTCAGCACTATACAGCTGCTCTAATCCAGGAGCATGTCTCGTCGTTTAAGCAGAACCAAAATTTCACAGAATTTGTCACGACTTTCAGATTCAACAGCACAGAAAAACAACAGTGATGAAGTTTCCCGTTTTGTGCCTCTTTGTGTGATTATGGAGTGAATCCTCAACCTAGTAAGCATCTGAGTCTGAATTTGTATCCATTAGCTTTATAGTATTGAACAAACGTAGACTACAGTATAGGTTTTGCAAATGGCTAGAGTTGGAAATAAAGTCATTTAGTATCCCCAATAGGGTAATTTAAAGGACTGAAATCAAACTTGAGACTTAAGCCACTTGACAACTGATGTGATCTCTGGAGGGGAGGAGAGCTCCCACTAGAATGAACAGCATACTGACTGTGTTACTTCTGCTGTAATGGCCCCAAGGTCCTCAGATAGTCTTGAAGTGTCTCCATTAATGTGAAAATAATGGAGCCTCCCTGGAAGCACATCTTGAGCCTTTCCTATGATTTTAAAGGAGAAGTATTATTACCACATCCTGCTGCGAGATCCTCCTTTAATGTGGAACATCCAACACTGATCGCTGACAGTGAAGAAGTTTTATTGCTGAAGGAGTTGATAGAGAATTCCAGACAGAGTAGAGGTCCGACTGAATAGACCCCTGGCTAATTTCAGCATACAAATAACCCCAGAGTCAGTGTGTTTTTTTGGTAATGGGTTGACAAAATAAAGGCACCATATGCAAGTTAAACCAGTCCAGATTGGAGACGCTGCAAAGCATTACTTGGAATAAGCAGAGCCTTAACTCTCGAGTTTTACAGCTGCACAGAGTGGCCTTGAATATTTCATGGCTGTATGCGGTATCTTAGCTTTCTATATGCCCTATCTAGCTATCATACCTCTGAGATTGTATGCTTTTATTAAGGCAGGGTCTTCACAGTATGAGATCAGCTACAATAGTCTGGATAAGGAAACAACATATGACAAATGGTGGTAATAATGAAGCTCTCGTGAGATGTCTCGCCACCGTTGGCGCTTACTGTAAATGTACTCACAGTATCATATGGTTTGCAAAATTTAAGTGTTGTGTTATAGGAATGTTTACTTTTCATGCTATTCAGGAGTAAGAGCCTTCCAACCTTATTTGAGAGGTTCAACGTTGTTCAAGGACCTTCAAAAATGCAAAAAGCATCATTTCCACCACATGACCCTTCTGTGGCTTTTCAACACACAAACACAATTACCTTGGCATAGCTCTGAGTGGCACCGCTCAGCAGCGCTTCAGCTGAGTCACCTGCTTTCAGACAGCAAACAAACAAAGCGAGGCGAACAGCCGGATACATGTTCATATTTTAAAGCTGCAGAGATTATTTTTGAGGGTACTTACCAAAGAGACCCTTATCTCTATGAGTGAGGACCCATAAAAGTTACTCATCAATTAGTTTCTACAGGTTTTTAGGTGCATTTTTGGATAATTGAAACAATTGTTTTAATCCTGCACGGTTTTGGGAGACACACAAAGGATGCTGCTGATAACACACCATCATGTTTATGTCATATCCTAGATGGCAGGCGAAGCAGAGTCAAACTCTATAATGACGTGTTTTGCTTTTATATGTCTGCCTATGTGTAATTTAACATGTTCAAAGTATTAGCCAGACATCTGAGAAGGAAACTTTGGTAACACTTTATTTGACGCCCATCTCGCTAATATGAATATATGCATAATGTATCATAATCACGTTATAGCACAGTATAACTATAGTTATAGACACTCATAAATGATCATAATGCTTTATAGCAATAATCATAACACATTATAAACCATTTTATCATTACTTACACGGTCAGGTATTATAATGTGTTATAACTGTTATCAACGGTTGCATTGCATTATCTATGTGGGCATTGTCAGTGACACTAACACTTATTAACACTTATAACACATTACAATACCTGACCTTGTAAGTTATGATAAAATGCTTTATAATGTGTTATAATTATTGCTATAAAGCATTATAAACATTTATGAGTGTTTATAACTATAGTCATACAGTGCTATAACGTGATTATAATGCTTTATATATATATATATATATATATATATATATATATATATATATATACATACATATATATAATGTGTTATAGTGATAGGCGTCTAATAAAGTGTCACCAAAACTTTTCCGTAAAAAAAAAAAAAAAAAAAAAGTGGCTGTATGGCTTAACACATGCAGCCCAACCCACAAAATTTGGAGAAATTTTCAGGAGTTTAGCGCATGTGGGAAAAAGCTTTAGTACACAATTCAACCTTTTTGAAAGCAGCAGTTGCAGCCAGAATATCTACTACCAGCCCTGCATTAGATGGTAGACAAGTTAGCGACTAGTTGGAGATGTGGTGGAGACTCTGTAAGTTATGTTGCTCTTGGAAGTTGGTGGAGACCAAAAACAAAGGGTAAAAGATTCCAAATCATTCAGGGCAAGAGGATGGATGTGGATGTGGGGTTTTTCTCTTGACAGATCCTTATTCTATATTTGTCTCTCTCTCAGGGGACCAATTTGGCGAGGCAGATCGGTGCCGTGGCTTACGCAGAGTGCACCTCCAAGTATTCGGAGAACAGCGTCCGCGATGTTTTCCACGTCACCACACTGTCATCTGTGTTCCGCATCCACCGGCCTCAAGTCAAACGTGCTGGATCACGACGCGGCCTGAAGCGGGTCTCCCAGCAGCCACCCCGGACTGAGATTCATGAGCAGACTCCTGCTATAAGAAAGGATCGGGCCAAAAGCTGCACACTCATGTAGGACCAGACTCTATTAGCAGCCTGGCCCGCACATGAACTTAATTTATTGGTGAATTCTTGTCAGATTATTGCACTCCATAAAAGACAATGTGATGAAAACAAGAGTGAATGCTATCCTGTGGAGTTCTTTAAGGAAAACTCTCCTTGTCGTTTTTCTCTGTGGCCATGTTCTCATCAGGGGAGGTTATTGTTGTGGCAAAAGCTTTCTTTCTTTGACGCTTTACTTGAACAACTTGACAAAAATGGTCATGGATGCGAACAGGAGGTTTTACAATGAAAGATGAAACAAGGACAGAAAAAAGTGAGTGTGTGCAGACCTGAGAAAAAGTAACCAGGTGCTGGTCATGACCTCTTTTATGTTGCTTCCTGTTTTGAAATGCTTTTCTTTCTTTAAGTGTTGACGTAAATGAAGCACAATATGATGCACGCTAACTTTTCTGAGTCATTCGTAAATGTCAGCAGATGAACTCTGCTGATCCACTTCATAGGAGACGTTGAAAAGAAAATCTGGGTTGATAAACGATTAATGAAAACTGTGGACTGAGATGACACTAATTTTCTTAAACCACAAGTGCTTTTAAGATTGAAATCTGAATAATCACTTACCACATAATACCGAGGTGTTGTGAAATTAATATTGTTCTAAAAATGCACACTGGAAAGAAAATTCATGAAGGGAATAAAGGGGACTGTTACATTATGTTGTATATGAGATGATGAAAATAAAAAACATTTGCTCTGCTAAGTGTTGGAACAGCTTTGGTACAAACTCACTCATGCGCCACAAACTCATTTAACTGAGATTGATCCTGAATTAGTGTGGAAAACAGTAAACCGTACAGTGGGAGGGCTTTGATTCATTATACTTTTGTCTTGGCCAGAATGTTTCTCGCTGCAGCTCAGATCACTGGAGCAAAGAGCCTGCTAGTTTTCAGCTCTCTCAGGAAGACAAGAACATTTTCTCCTGGAAAAGCTTCTCTTTCTGGGTAAACATTGATTCTCCTTTGAAGAAATCCATACTGAATCAACAGCACCAAAGTAACAGGAGTAACTTTACTAATGAAAAATGAAGTGATAGAGCTGCACAAAAGAGCTTATCATAAATGAATTAAATGACAAAAACATCCTCATCAAGTTTTTGGTTCCTTCATGTCTGTTAGAGCAAATAGCAACAATAACAGCAGCAGCACCCAAACATGCAATCATCACTAACATACTGGTGTATTTAAAGCTCCTGTGAAGATTTTTCTGACATTTATGAAACAGACTTGATTTCATATTGATGCCTTTTTATTATTCACAAAAGCAAACAAGACCATCCGCAACAGGATTAAAGATTTTTTCCCCCAATTTTTAATCCCCCAAAGCAAGTGCTAGGGTACTCAGGAGGTAGGTGTCAGTCAAGCAGCTGAACAAACAGCCATGTTTTCACAATTTCCTCATAAAATATTTACAATAGGTAAATTATTTGACTTTAAAAAGTCATCTGTATGCAGTTCTTTCATTTTTAAAGATATTATCTAAGCATGTGGAGGACAAAATAAGCAAAGACTCAAAAAATTGGCACAGGAGTTCCTCACAGGAGCTTTAAGCATTTTTGCATACTTTTATTGAATTAATTTTCCCCATTTAGCGCCAAAAAAGTACAAGTATAAGCCATAAACTTCAAAGTGTATGAGAAATTTGCAGTTCTTCATAAGAAGGATGCTAGATCAAGTGTCACATGATCATTTAAATTACTGCAAGTCATCCTCTTGGGACCACAAGCGCTCACAGCAAACGGCTAAAGTTTTTAAATAATTGACATTTTTTTCTTTCTGGATTTCTACTTCCTTCAGTATCAGATAAATGGAATCTGAACTGAAGTTTTCAGCAGGGAGTTCAGATCAGCTTAGTTTTTGGAGGCTGCAGTGTAACACCTATTCAAAAATCCTGTCGCCGTAATGTTAAGGATTCAGAGACAGTTTGAAGGGCAGCACAGTCTTACATCCACTGCTATGTCTTTTGATTTTCTGATAACATTAGATTTGAGCTAAAGTGATGCATTGTTCACTTTTGAACATAAACAGTGTATAAATGCATCAGCAACTTTCTGTCATATAAGAACTGCAGCTGGTTAGCTGTACTCACATGTTTAAAAATCACCAAAGAAAAGAGCAGATCTTAAAAGATTTTACTACTGTTTGCTTCAGTCAAATTTTCAGTTTGATTCATTTACCATCGTTATGATCTCCCTTTTTAGTCGTACACATAGTACACCACCATGTTCAGAGCAACACTCAGATTAGCAGTCAGACAGGGCAGTGCTGATCCAAAAAGGATTTAGTCTATTACTTATGAAGTTATAAAGAAAGCTGTTGTCTGATTTGGTCTTGTGTAAGACAGTAAGAGACCACACTATCATGTTTTTTCTATTTTGAGAAGCTCTACAGACGTGACATGACAATACAATGCCAAACTCACCCAAATATTTTAAGACCGTTGTGTTACAAAACAATAGCTTTTTGTCACCCTTTTGTTTTGTATCAGAAAAATAAAAAATAAAAGTCACATTATGTTGTTATGAAAATAGCTAAACTATTTATGAATTGTCTCCATCCTCTTTCAAAAAGGTCAAGCTCATTTCCTTGAGATTGCTCTTGATACTGGCCAACAAGGAAAATAACCTTTTCACTGTAAATCAAATGATTGTTTTCATGCTAACATTACTTTTACTCATACAGAAACTGTGAAAGGATATTCAGAAAAACCATATTAAAAATATTTAAAATGTATACAGCTGTACAGGACTGAATCTTACAGTCTGACCTTTAACAGTGACTCTTGTTCCATTTCTTTCCCACTATCACGGACGAGGCCCTGCAGCAAGTCGCTGCCTGTGTGAGCAATGGAAAAGTGACATTTCACAGCCTCGCTGCTGTGCTGCCACACAGGGTCATACCACAAGCCGGAGGCAAGACCAAGACTGGTCTCCAGTCGGGTTGGAAAGGATGTCCACATTGACCGAGTTGCAACTATGTAAACAGCATATGACAACCTTTGCATAGTAATTTCATCCCAGTTGCCAGTGGAGGTTAATATTCGCTGGACATACATACAAGAAACAGTTCTCCGCAGTGAATAAAGTACCAGCATAAGCAAAATTATGCTGTTTACAGTAACTATCCTATAGACAATAAGCTGATAATCACATATCCAACCCTGAGATTTTTTTGGGCCTCCTGCCTCTTTAGTACCTGTGGATCATTGTTGCAGACTATGAATCTACATGACTGCTGCTACAACAACTATCATCAGTCTAAACAATATTTGTCAGTGTAAATCTCAGAGCTACTACTTTATTATCTCCAACTGATATGCTAATATTATTCAGCTTCTATTACAATAGCATGGCTTCTATTTGTGTCTCCTGTCTGTTATTTTTGTCTGTATTTCTCTTTCATTGTCTCTTTTCTCTCTCCCTTTCCTCTCGTCCCTACAAAACGATACTCACCAATGAGTCTCCAAGGTTTCTGCCAAATAAAGCTCCTCGTTGCCGCTGTTGCCATGAGCTGTCTCATTGTGGATTAATGTTAGGCTAGTATATCATGAAAGAGTACAAACAAACCAGTTAAATCAAGTTAGAGTGGAAACTTCTTGACAAGCGTGACCTCAGCCTCAGGCGCCGGGTCAGCTGCGTCTTTGGTGGCCGCGATGTTTGTTGAGAGTATAAAAAAATGCCACTTTGCAGTCTCCATAGCCTTTAGCTGAAGTGAGCAAACACTTTTAGCAAACACTCATCCCTCTTGTCCTTGCAGACACAACTGGCTCAATGACATCTCATTCAGCAGCTAAGTATAGCAACACTGTTGAGCAACTGCAGAGAACACCACGGCCTGAGTTCTTTTTTTTTAAGGATTTTAATAGCAACAATTTTTTTTTACTGTCAGATTCCTCCCACAAGAGGATTTGGGAGCGAAAAGCTGAAATAAGAAGATGAAAAAAAAGAGCTCCAAATGGGGACAGGAGCTTAAGATTCGTAAAACCATGAGGAGAGGAGGGATATAAGACTACCACATGGACAATGCTGTAGTCGAGAGGCGCGACAATAAGTCGATTATTGTGCAGGTCCTGGAATTAAAAAAGACAGGGATGAGTCTTCAGTGGAGAAGTGGGGTGGATTTAAAGAAGAAGGAAAACAAAGACAGGGATGGTTGAAAATCTCAGTTTATCCAAAAAACTGGAAGAGTTCAAGTCAATAAAAGATGGTCACTTAAATTTTCCAGTGAAGGAAAATCAGAGTAAACAGATTCAACGTGTGTGAATGGTTTGGTAGAAGTTAGGAAAGATGTGAATAAAGACTGGACTGTTAACTAGTGAGGTTTTCTTGTTTTATTCTTTGTGTTTGGCTGAGTTTGGATTGCAATGAAATTCAGAGCAGACATTTGTGTTCCCCAGGTCGAAAAAACTGTCTTGCCAACCCCGTGCCTAAGCATCCAACAACAACCCAATGTCCAAAATCTGAACTCTCCTGACAACTTAAAACTGATCCCAGTTATCACTGTTGTATTATGCTGAGATATTTTAACACCAAAATTATAAATAATAGTTATATATATTTTAAAATGGATGGCTTTGTGTTGCTGCAAACAAGATGCCAACTTTCCCATATGTGCAACCATGATGTCAGGCTGGTGGATAATCGAGCCTGCTGCAGGGGAGATTTAGTTTGAGTTGGCCAGCCAAAATATCGGGCTTAAAATATCAGCTAAGAGACGAAAAAATAAATCTCATTTTAATGGGCAAAAATTAACTGATGGGTCTCATACATAGAAATGTGCATTTACAGCCGGATCCCAATAATGAAGGAACTCAAGGTATTTAAGAGCTCAAGATATTTTGTTATGTTATGTGAAAGCTACAAGTTAAAACTTCAACTTGACTTTCAGCCCCATATTAATAGTTGATTTATAGGTATATTGACCAGAAAAGCCCAAAATGACCAACAACAAACAGATAATCCGGTTAAAACTTGCATTAGTTTGTCCACATAAATTAGAAGTGAACTCGTTTGATAAAAACAGAAAAACTTTTCAGAACTCCATCAGGGTCATGAGACACAAATCACCTGAATGACATTTAAACAGGATAAGTGCAAACAATAAACCTAGAAAAACAACCAATCCAATATCACCACCTGTATGCCAGCCAATGTGACCACTGCAATGCAACTTTTTTTTTTGTTTTATAAAATCTTTCCATTTGTGAGGGAATTTAATGACTTTAAGATTTTTTCGTGTATTGGCCGTTTATGAAGGCACCACATTTAAAATTACCCTGTAGAGGATTAGTGGTAAGCTTTGTAAATCAGCAGTTTAAAAACACATTCCCCAAAAGAGGAGGAGGACAAAAGAGCCATAGCATGTGCTGGTACAAGGATGACTGCTGTGTGAATGTGTGACGAATCTTCTGACTAGAGTAATTTTCTCTTAAATCTAGTTTCACTGAGGATTTTAAATCCATGACTTCAAATTTGCATTGAATATTCTTGCACTTTAAACATCTTTTGAATGTAATAACATGCTGTATAACCAAACAGCTCGTGCATTATGTCTGCAGAAACATCTTTGAATATTTTATCTTTGTCCCCCTGCGCAGATTGTCCTCAGGCTCACACTGTGGTATATCTCACGGACACCCCAACGATCAAGGCTCCAGCAGGGCTGATTAAATAGACGATACCTCAGATATTTAGACAAGTGTTTCTCAGTCTTGTTCCTCAGGATTTAAGGGGCCGCTTTTCAATCTAAGCATCTAATCACAGAGCTTTTAACTGGAATGTGAGCCTAATGTTTTACAGAGAAGTAACAATCACCCTAACAACAACTCCCAGGTTTCAAATCCAGCTAGCAACCTGCATAATCGGTCCCTCGTGAGAAGAGGCAGTCATTCGTGCAAGATGTGTAGTGATACGCAGGGAATTTGAAAGTATAAATGTATTCATAGCACTTTACATGTGAAATTAATATTACGGTTTCACTGCAAAGGAAGGAAGTGCGTTGATGTACTTCAGATTCAGACAGGGATCTATCCGGCTGAATTGCTTCCCGACATTATTATCATCTGCTCCATTATCTGGATACAAACACACTCCACAGGGGGTCCGTTTTTCATTTTAATTCCACTATAAAGCAGCAGTGATCAGTGACCACCAATGCTCAACCCCTTCTGAATCTTTAATGCCTTTTCTGCTTGCTCAGTGTCAGCGGTCATAAAACTACCCCCTAATGCTCTGAGGAGGGAAGATGGCTGACAAAACTGCTCAATTATCAGTTCACTTTAACTCAAATCTCTGCTTTTAACATCACAAGAAAAGGGAATTAGGTGGAAAAAAGAGCAGCGCTGAGCATTACAAGCCGCACAATAGCAGTGCCAGGGTAATGGCTGCCGTGTCAGTGGGAGAGAGTGAGTCATTAAAAATGCAAGGCCCATTTAAACAGTATGTAAAATCCAGCAGATTAAATATATATGTGCCCTGTGTCCGCGAGGGCTGAGGCATTTCCTTCTGTTCTCTCTGCGTAACAATGAAGGCAGTGAGACGAAGAGAAAGCATGTAAACTTGACAGAAAAAGTTGCATCAACAAGCATGTCTACGGCACATACACACAATCTGAAAAGAGAGCCATGTTTAAGACAGGGGATTTTACACTGCAGGTATGAGGAGTAAACAACGCCTCAGTGACCTTACTCTCATCAACAGAGAAAGTCAAATCAGTATAATCTTGCTTGAAATGCAACCAAACCGGTAGACTGCGACATTGTTCCCCTTCTCGTGACCCCAGTTGTGCATGAGTACTCAGGAGATGAAAGACTCGTTTGGGTTGCAGCCAAAGGGCAGACTAAAATAGTGTTAAGACACGTCCGTGAGCTTCAGGTCAGCAGCTAATGAGGATTACAGCAGCAAAGTGTGAGAGCAGTCGGGATCATCATAGACGAGGGCTTTCATTATTCACAGCAGCTCGACCACTGAGGGATTACATGCATGAGTACATCATGTACACAAACATCAAAATATTTGGAGGAGCTACAACTTGAATGAAAGCACAACACAGTTTTAAGAGCTAATTGTCTTTTTTCCAACAAACAAACCCCTGTGTTACAGGTTTGTTATTGGCCTTTGTGCATCTGAAATGTAAACTAGATTAAATCTTTGGATGAATTATGTGTCCAACACAGCTGACACCTTCTAATTGTTCACTTTTCCAGGTGTTATCTTGTAGGACAAACACATTATTGTGGGATTAGAGCAAATTTACACCATATGTCCACTACTGACCATGGATGACCCAAACAGATGAACTTGTCAGGATTTAAAACACAATTAATCAGAACATTTGCCCTTGAGAATGAGGGTCACAACTATCTGGGTCCAATGACAAGTGAATCAGGCAATTACTTTTTCAAGTTTGTGTCCAATAAAAGTCCTGAAATAGGACAATTTTACATTGTTTCTCAGAGTCTGAGAAAATATTAATTGCTGAGCTTCTCTGTAAATGTATAAAAAAATGTAAGATAACTGTCATTGATTAAAAAATAACAGTAAATCATTCATTGAAACGGGCTGGAGCCTGGGAGTTATTGTACATTTTTGCCTGCAGCTATGCTGGCAGCATTGTGGGGCTTCAAGGCACAGCAGATCCTTGATCTAAATATCAACGTAAGGGTTGGTACAGGATGATATTAACAGCAGGCTGAACACGCAGACTCTTTAAAACATCGACGCAGTCGAAGTGACATCACCGGTTGGTGTCTGAAGCTGTGTTAGAAAGCCAAATCAAGGTAGAGGCCATATTGGAAATGTTGTTTTGATTATCTTTTATTTCAGCCCAGACAGATTTAAAGAGGTGGACCTGAGGTGGACTTTTAGTCTCCTGGCATACAGCTTCAGTGATCACTCATGTCTGAAAAATCCAAAATATTCACTCCTCAGTAATTGTTTCGTGGACTATCAGATATCATGAAAGCCTTCACTAGAGTAGGTTAATTGTACAGAGTATTGTTATTTTATTTTTTATTTAGGTTTATTTAGGTTAATGCTGTAAATATAATCATCACATTTTTAATGTAAATATTGTTTATTACTGGGATTTTATTTAAATTATTGGTTATTATCTCTTTTATAAATCTTATGTTCAATGGCTGATACTGGGACCTCAGTAGCAGTTTCGTTCCTTCTCTTGCAGACTGTAATGACAAATAAAGCTTCTTTAAATTCTCAAAATCACACAGTATTTCAAGCACTGATTGACTGACAGCACTGCCAACCCAAGCCTTTTCACTGACGTAGCTGGAAATCTCTTGAATGAAGACAGATCAGCGTATTTCCGCATTGATTACCTCGTGTCAGAAAACTTGATTTATGATCAGATTCCTTCAGTTCTATTTAAATGAAAGTGCTAACCAAACATTCAGTTTTTACTTTGTTTTTGTACTTTCTCTCATCACACTGTTGACTGCTTTCCCATCGCTTGTAAGAGACGCAGAAAAAATCCCAAGCAAACACTAAATAGTTCTCCATAAGGAAAACAGGAAAAATCACTCTGTGTGTGCTGAATTTAGCTGGGAGGCAAAGAACTGCCCTCAGGTGTTTGAAGCCAATCTGCTTGTACATGTTTGCATACACGTACACAGATGTGAAGCTTCAGAAACAAACAAGCTCGCTGAAACGTTCCAGATGGCGGAGCAGATTGTTTTGTGCTAATTTCCCCTGGTGAAAACGTTTGAACAGAAATATCCTCCATGATGAGATCTCTCAGTCCACGCAGAGGACATCACTACAGCAACCTACTTTCTACACGAGACCCCCATACATACACATACAGACACACGCAAACACACACTTTCCTAGTTAGCGTGTGATGTAGAGTCTATGAATGCTAAAATGATTAAAGTGAGTATTTTCTCATCTATGATCACCAACAAATAGACACTTCCCTTGACTTTATCATGGGAATGGATTGAATTGAAATCTTTATATTTCCCCAGAGGATGGAGTTCACTGTCTGGATGATGCATTTTAACCCCTAACATATAATTCCTTTTACTTTTTAGATGCATCTTGATAAAATTAGCTTGACTTTTTGATATACTTGCTTGTGCCTACAAAAGAAGATTAGGGCTACATGAAGAGAAAAAAAAAAACAATTATAGGAATGAGATTAAAGTCAAAATTTGGAGATTAAAAATTGAAATTTCAAGATTAAAGTCGAAATTTCGAGACTAAAGTCAAAATGAATAAAGTCGAAATTTCGTGACTTAAATCGAAATTTCGGGGTTAAAGTTGAAATTTCGAAATTAAAACTGAAATTACGAGATTAAAGTCACCGCAAATAAAGAAAAAATTTCATGAATAAAGTCGTAATGTTGAGATTAATGATAATGAATCAACAGCATTGTCGCTCGTCACTTGACAGCATGTCCACTGTAAAGCTGTACTTTAAGATTGGATTTAGTAACAAGGAAATCCTTGCTCTTTTAGCACACAAACACAGTATGGTCATAACTATTCGGACTCTGAAAAGACTGTGCCTAAGATTATGATGCAGATGTAGGGTTATCGATGGTTAATCCTGCGTGCTATACAGTGAAGCTATGTTGTATCTCAAGATACAATATTACAACTGATCAAGCAGATGATCCTGAAGGCGTGGAGCGCATCCGAGGCGCAGGCATTACCGAAGCTGAGGACCCAATGAGTTCTGCAAATGGATGGCTATGACAAATTTAAGCCATGCAGCATTTCATTTTGACTTTTTTAAATTGCGACGTTAATCTCGAAATGGAAATGGAAAAAATCTCCCTCCTGTAATTATCTTTTTTGTATTCTTGTGGCCCTTATCCTCTTTCGCATGTACCACTGAAGTTCAAACTTTCCATTTCATTTCAGGCAGAAAAACTAACCCAATTTCATGCAAAAAGAAAAAAAAAACTATAACTGCGCTGAACTCCTAGTGTTTGACAGCTCGTGCTTGTACTATTCACTATTTGACTTTGTGACATTAATGGCCATGCCTGTGAGAGCAACTTGGGGTTAAATGTCTCAACCAAAAACACCTGTAGACTGCTGGAGCTGGGGACTGAGCTGACTCTTGACCCAGAAACTCTTCCTGCTGATGAGCCAGAGCTACTGTTAAAGGCTCATTGGGCTGCTAACATAGCTTTGAGCTTAGGGTATGTTAGCGTTTTTAATTGACCTTTAAGAATAATGTTACAGGCACAGCAGTTGAGTTGTTAGTATATGACTGTATCAGCCTTTGTGCCTTTATTCAGAGAGGAAAAACCAGATCCATTCAGCCAACTGTACAGTAAAAGGACAACATGGTGCTGCATTATGAGGCTCTGCTCTGTATCATGCTGTAACACCACCTCCCAAACAGAGAAACAGAGCTGAGTGAACGCTCAGCTGCAGCTCAGCACTGAAAAATCAGCTGACTGGAGGAAAGCAGCGTCCTGGCGCTGTGGCGTCTGGCACCGAACATCTGGCATTCAAAAGGCCTCGGAGCAAACGTGCTGACATTACTGTTTCGTGTGGACTCTTTCTCTATTTTCAGCCACCTGGTTGTTGTCTTCATAATGAATGATACTGAGTGCTGCAGTTTTATTACCACTGTAACTAAAACCCTGTAATACTAAATGTAAAGCAGATATTAGTAATGATTTAAAGATAATGTCAGCATGCTTGCAGTGTAAGATCAAATGAATGAAAACTGCAGATAGAGAGCAGGGCCTTGAAAGTGTTGTTGCTGGAGGCTTATTTTGTACATTTTCTCCCCAAATGTATTAACAATAATCCAAATTTTGGCCTCATAAACACTTTTTTTTTTTTTAAACAGAGAACTTGTTTATGTTGTCAACTTCAACCTTTATACCAGTATCTGTGTGGATGACATGAGGCTTGATCCTTCAAGTAAAGTCATTCCCTTCAGGCGTAAATGCTTCGGGCTCATTCTGCTTGAATATTTGATATTAGCTGCAAGATTAATATGTTTTCCTACAATTTCTCTGCTCTCAAACAGCCCCCCTCACTCATTTCCTCATTGTTCCAGTGGTTTACGCTGTCACAGACATGATTTCCCCTCGACATTAGTTCTGGTTATTGCATAGATTATAATCACTACTGTGCAAACCGCAAACACATCCCCAGGGATGTGGAGTTTGTGCTATAAGTAGAAACATACATAATGAAAGAGGTATGTTTTTCCAGATGTAGAAAAACATTGTCAACATATTGTAAGTGGTTTCATTGGTTATGAATGTGAGACAGAAATGCTGAATTTATGAATGAAATGTGACATCTGCAGATTTAATCTTTGAGTCTTATATAGTAATGATGTTTCTACTCTTATTGCTTGTATTGGACAGAGACTGACAAAGGAGGGTTCAGATAAGGTAGGTTTAAATCACTGTAATATTATAATCAAATGCCAGAGGATGTTTCTGTAAATTAAATGTGATTAAAACATGTTTGCAATGCAAAGTCACCAACATTAGAGAAGCAGTTAACAATAAAATCAAAGCCAGAAGCCCTTAAGCGATGTTTGAAGAGAACTGAACAAATTGATGGATAATACTACGGCTGTACAGAATGAGGTCAGTGAAAAGTTTGAGTATAATTTAGTTTGTCCATTGGAGTACTCTCAGGGTACTAAAGTTGCTGCTGAACTCAGACTGTAGCTAATGTAAACATCGACTATAACATGCAAACCTGGAGTATTTTTAGTGCTTCTCTTTTTATAAGCATAAACTGGGGATATTAGAAGAACATGTAATGTCAGATGATAAATTGACAGTGCAAACGGTGAAAAAAAATCTGATTTAAATGTATACACTACAAACCACCAGCCTACCTCAAATTTGATCCAAAATGAGTCAAGATCTTCCATTAAAATCCTTCAATACATGTGAACAGCCAGCCTTCTCAGTGGTAACCCTCTGAGTGTTACCCTCCTAGTGGGGAGGACTTCAGGTTGACATAACTTTATATGCATGTTATACACTAAACTAATATATATGTGGTTTGTTTACTGTTTTAACAGTAAATGACTGTAAAATGAAATATTATAGTATTCGAAAAAGTTTTTAGAACTGTATGGAACAGAAACTGAAAAACAAATCAAGGTTTTTAGTTTGTATATGATGATGTGACAATATATTTATTCTTCTTTTTTCTACCACTCTCTGCATACAGGTATGATGGGTTTAAAGTAGGGGTGGGAGGAAAAATTCGATACAGCATCGAATCACGATATTTTGTCTGATGATTTATGTTGTATTGTCTTATTTACCAAGTGTCGATTTTTCAAATTAATTGGTAATATGAAGTCAAATCTATCTAGAGGTGACATCATGAGTAGGAGAATGTTAGTACAACGAATAAGGTTTGCAAGATGTGCTACGTGAAAATAAAACACTGTGTAAATAAGAAACATAAAGGAAAGACAAAGGCTAAATCAGCTTAACAGTTGAAAAAATTGTATATATCACAATATACTGTTTCGCAATAATCACTGTATTGCAAAATGTTAAAAATCACAATAATATCATATCGGGGCCCAAGCATCGTGATTATATTGTATCATAGGACCACTAGTGATTCACACATCTAGTTTAGAGAAAAAGTGATATACTATTCAGCAAATTAACCAAGTGGAGTGCTGGTTTGACTCTTCAATTTCACAAAAGGGAAATCCCCAGTAGATGAATCAGTAACTTAAATGACATTTACGTGCTGATGTCTTTTTGCCGCACTATCTTCTGCAGTCATGTTTCTATCCAGCTTCACCCGTTAAGCACGCTATCTTTTCATGGTCTCATAATCTCATTCACACAAAGGCTAGCATTGTGCGCAACAAGAGAAGTCGGTTTTGTACCGTCCAGTTTCATTCCAGCAAATCTCTGGTCTTATTTCACTCTCACACAATGACTGTTCAATTATTCAAGACAACTCCGTACAGAGCATGTTGCTGCATACAAGACGCATTCAGGACATGCACAGGCTCACTGCTATGAACAGATAGCTGCTGCAATCCACACAGGGCTTGTCAACAATAGTTGTACAATCACAAACATAAACAACAGAGTACAGGGCTGACATGAGTTTGTTTGAAGATGTTAGATGTGACAAGACACCACGAGCTAAATACTATAAATGGTTCTCTTTGAACCCCAAAGAAAGACACTGAGCCTGTGAGGAGGTTTAGAGTCAACATTACCTTTGTTTGCTCCTAAAAGAAGCTTGCCTCAGCTAAATCTACTACCCCAAAATTTATTCAAATATCATCTTTTAAAGACTCACATATTTTCACACTGCCCAGGGTTTAAAGTTTTGATGAGGTGAAAAGTTCCTTTACTTCTCTGCGTTTAGATAATGAAAGGCTTAAAGTGCTATTTTTACCTCATGGAGATGTTGGTGTTTTCAGGGTTTTTGTTTCTAATGATTTTCTTGGCTCTACAGCAACAGTTTTAATCAGTGAGTGATTGTAGAGGATTATATATCTAGAAATACATGACATTTATCCGCATTATTCCTTATTACATGAGCTATTATGAATGAGTTATCTGTTGTTGGATGGTGTTCTTTATGTCTTAAGTTTCCTGGTGTTTCCTCCGAACTTGCGTTTCCACCGTAAAAAAGGTTACATGTCTGACATCAAGGAAAAAAAGAAAACTATTTCTGAGTTATCTGTGAAAACTTAAGAAGTGCAAAACAAATAAGAAGACTCTATTAGATTCTCTCTGTTGAATTAACTTTATATACATCAAGTCAAACACACTCAAAACAAAGTGTTTTTAAGTTATTAACACACATGGATGACAGTCTAATTACAGTTCTGGACATTTAAAAGAGGCAATGTAAAAATCTGATGATAACAAGTGGATTAACGGTTGCAGGTTTGAAGTATTTGGCTTCTCAGTTTATGTTGTGTACTTGTTATAGCTTTGAAGGGTGTAGGTTGCTACGGTATCCAGCAGCCAACCACGTGTCACAACTGTAGCTCTTTTAGAGAGACCTGTGGGACAAAGAAGAGATTTCTTTGTAGTCAACAAGAAAATGTTAATAGAAGAACTGTAAACACATTAATAAGATATTTCAAGATTTTGCTAGATACTGCAAGATATTTTAGTAAACATGTCCGCATCTCTGCACTGTCACCTGGTCCCTTTATGTTTGCTGTTAGTCCCAGCCTGCACACTATTGACAGGAAGCTTATCCTCACGCTGCTGACGAATGACTAATACTAATACTAATAAAATGACCATATTAGTCAGAAAATTGGATAACACAGGGAACACACTGCAAGTAAACACACTATATTATGATCTACACATTCTCTGCGGGGTCGATTCTCAGCCACGGCTATTTGCTACCCTCTGATTTCCTATCCCCTCACTCCCAAATCTCTCTTTCTGTCTCTTCAAATAGAGGCAGAAATGCCCAAAAACACAACTTGGAAAAAAAATCTCTTGAATTTGCCTTTCATTACTATTGGCATTACTTCACATGTTGGTCAGTCCTCATTGAGGCCATCTTTTTCTGAGCCAGCTTTGTGTGCAGGTTTTGGAATCAAAAATAACAACAATAGCCGTTTTGGCTGCCAAGGAGGTCACCTTTTGTCTGACAAGCATTTTATAAAAAATTCAAAATTCTGGTACTTTCACAACTCTATTTCACACATGTATGAGCTCCAAAAACATCAGCACAATTTCCTTAATCTTGCTACAGTTTTATAGAAAAAAAAATTGGCTTTTATGCTCCTATTGAGAGGATATGTTAATGGACAGAGCAGGAAACATGGAGAGAGAGTTGGGGGTGGTACATGGTCAAGGGCCATAGGTTGATATGGAACCCCAAGTACCTGCTGTATTGGGCACAAGATTTAACCATTAAACCAAACCGCTTTAGTCTTTACTTAATGTAAGAGATTGTTCATATATTGTGAATTAAGTAGCAGATCTGTGAATCAACATGTCCAAGATCTGTTTTATATGAACTTCGGAGTGTGAACAATAAATTAAATGTTGTGATTCAGAAAATTGTTTAAAAAAGCTATGTGATTTCAATCCATTTTGCAGAAAGAAGAGGATAAGGGGGGGCTCAGAAAAGGAGGGTGTAATGGGCTACTCGATTACCTGGCCTATGAGTGCCAAAGGACGTGGAAGAGGAAAAGCTTCATTAAAAATGCAGCAGAGCAAATGAGGGTGCCAGGAGAAGGTTGGAGGAGGGGGGTGAGACTCAGAGCCGCTTTCTTTCGCTTTCTTACAAACTGTCAGCTATCCGTGCGCTCCGGCAGCCTCTCTTTTCTGTAGCTGAGTTGTTCTGACATTTTCCCCCTCGCTCCAGTCTGACATTTTCTCCTGGCCATTTCTCTGCTGCAACACTTCTTTCACACTCGTTCTCCCGGCGAGTCACTCCCCTCGCTCTTGTTGGAGGTACCTGTCTCATTTTGGCTGGCAGCATCTGCCATTTCCCTGCTGAGTTATCCTCCAATTGGTCCTCACTGACATAGACACATTCAAATCTGTGTATTTATGGAAAGACGTGCAGAGACATGCTCACCAGAGGGAACATCTTTGCTCATGTGACACATGTATTCAGAACTTATTGACCAATTAAAGTTAAAGATAAAAATATTCTTAGCTTCTAGATAGAATAAAGATATTTTGAGGTTAGTTTTGATTGATTTTTATTACGGTGAGCTATGGTCGTCTAAAAAAAAAAGGATCATCTCAACACTAGCCTGGAGCGCCACCTCTGAATAGCTTCACCCATCTCATCGTGTGTAAAGCCATTTAAAAAAACAGCGCTGTGGGCGCCGGTTATCCAAGCATGCCCCAGAAAGAGGCTATAGTCATTGCTGCAGTGGTCCCTGGTTTGACTTCCAGCCATGACCCTTTGCTGCATGTCTCCACTACAAACATTTGCTGTTTCTCTTTAGCTGTCCTATAATGAAGACCGAAAGGCCAAAAAAAAAATCTATGAATGAATCTTTTAAATCAGAGTTTTAATTCCCGGCCTAATTATCAGTTTAAATAAGGACAGTAGAGGGGGTAGTCGGGGGCAATATGGTTTTGGGCCCACTTACCCCATTAATAGAGTCCTTATACAGAAAAACAGACATCTTATTTTGTACCGTAGGAAACTGTATATGTGTGTATGTCAAATCATATGTCATCAGTTTCTTTTCTCGAAAAAATCCCAGTATGTACCTCTGATGTGAAGTCATTTTCTCAGGACTCAGGAACCAGCTGAACTTTTTCAAACTAGCTAACATGACCGCAGGGGAAATACCTTTATATAAACTTATTGGCAATTTTTCTATCATGCAGAATTCCTGTCTGACTCCCTACAAGTCTTTGCATGAGCCACATTCAAACCCCTAGGTGAAACCCTGTATGAGTTGTGTCATCAGCCTCTGCTGCTGCTGTTGGTCTATTTCTGATATTCATGTCTGTGTGTGTAAATATGTGTTTCTGCAAATGAGGGAGACACTGATCAAGAAACAAAAGATATATGTGTGTTATAACAGAACCGGGTATATATGACATGGTGTCTTGAGGGTGAAACTCACTGCTGTAGCTGGATGATGGCGCCCCTGATCCCGGCTGTATGATGATCAGATGATGAGGCTTCCATGCAACAAAAAAACAACATCATTAATAACCATCTCAACTACTGCCTGCCAGATTATCATCAATCAAAGTCTCCTGTCTGACACTTGCTGCTTCATAGCTTATTGATAATATTGTATTGATTATTAGAATTAGAGCTTTTCAGCATCTGACAATATCTTTAATTTATAATGTGACATTTACTCGACAATGCTGTATTCATATGACATTTACTCAACAATGCTGTATTCATATGACATTTTCAGATATAATGGTAAACATATGAGACTGTGTTGGGAGAGTTTCCACTTTACTGACTGCTGAAGAGTCCTGATGGAAAACAGATCGTTTATATCGCTTTATTGTGAGAATCTACAAAACCTAATTCCATTGGAGTTGGGAAATGGTCATAAACGTAAATAAAATCAAATAGGTGCTTGATGAGCATTCCTCAAATTGCTCAGTAATTTTTGCTAACTTCTTTGTCACGTGTTGCTGCCATTATATTCTAAAGTTAATGATTATTTGCAAAAAGACAATAAAGTTGATCAGTTGGAACAATAAATATCTTGTCTTTGTACTGTATTCAACTGAATATAGGTTGAAAAGGATTTGTAAATCATTATATTCTGTTTTTATTTACGATTTGAACATCTTCCCAACTTCATTGGAATTGGGTTTTGTACATCACAGGCATCGATTGAACTTAAAACACTTGCACATAGATTTCTGCATGTTGTATGAGGATACAGACCCTGTTGGTCACTGTTAGCTTGCTGATGTTTGTAATTGCTACAGCCTCTATCACCATGCTCATTCATTCCCTCTGCTTTACTAACACACGCGTGCTCCTCTCTCGCAGTGCTCTCTTTACTTCACATGCGGCGCAATAGTTTTATTGTTGTAGAGTGTTGATGTGATACAGCAATCCTCCACTTCACTCATTTTTGGTATCTGCACATCTTTGCCAACCCCCACCCAATTTAGCCATCAGTATTTGAGATGCTTCAGTCAGGAGCTGTATTCACACATGCATGCAGATTTCCTGAAATTTTTGAGGAGGGCTACATTTGTGAGCACAAACACAATAAACAGCACTCTCTTGACTTTTCCCTGTAGAGTTGGGGTAAGCTGATGTAAGAATGTTGCAGAAAATTTGACATTGTGTGAAACCAGCACAAAACAGGATGAATACGGATATGAATACACAACCATCTGTTAACATGTAGCATTGATAAAAATGCAAAAACAGTCATCACAGGGGGGCAGGTCAAGACACCTGTTGTCCAAGGGTAAATCTGGTTCATTTTGCAGGCAGAAATTTTCTGGCTTTTCAGAGGCATGTGAGAGAGGGTGGACAAATGACAGAAAACATAACTTTTCCTGCACTGGGCTGTGATGTTAAAGATCTGAGAATTAACAAATGAACATGGAGTATAAAAGAATATAAAGGTGAAGGGGCTGCACACTAACAAAGTCATGTCTCAAGTACTGATCTAGTCTGGCGCGGACACCTTAATATTTTTTCACTCTAGAGAGGCACTTACCTGTTTACTGTCAAGGTGAAGTGGATCTTTGACCACAGCTGCTCCACAGAGCTCCACCATCCACTCCATTTCATCTGCAACATTCAAAACATGCACAAGGTTATTGGAAGTGAGTGCTGGCTGTGTTTTTTTTTTATCACGCTTTAATATAAGTTCTTCTCTTTTAGCTCTTTGACCTCTGGGAGGAGATGGAGCAGCATTTACAGCTCAGACTTCCTTTGGTCGTCAGGATGGAAAACAGGTCAATATGTACAAGTCCAGTCAAGTCGATAAAATAATCTCCCTTGAGCTTGTTTTGGAACTAACTTGTTTATGTTCTTCTTTTCATATTAACCACCAAATACACCCATGTTAAGAAAGCTTAATCCACTTTCAGTATTTGCATGTTAAGCACATTACCTCAACATTTAACATCCACCAACATAAGCAATTCAATAATGGATGAAATCCCATCATGTTGAAAAAAATAAATGACTCCATCTTCATGTTTGTGCCATGTAAGAAAAAGTCTCAGAACTCCCCATGCTCGCTAGCAGATGTCGAGCCATTAGCAAAGCCTCATCGATCGGGCAGGCAGCGGGAGGATGCTGCTGGAGCACTTTCAGAGCCCCAGGAAGAGGGGAACCAAAGAATGCTGCCTAGAGGGTTTTTTTTAGCAATGGCTCCCCTGAGACCCTCACCCATGGTCTATCTATCAGTCGAGTCGTTCATGCTGGAAGAACAAAGTGATTTAAGTATTTGGCATGAAGGGCAACTTCTTTAAAACTTTGTCTTCAGTCATTTAATCATTTGAATTGAGTCTGAGTTGAAGCTGTAAGACCTTTGTGTACAGTGCACTCTAGAGTCTGACAGATATAACACTTAACCTGGAGCATTGGCTGATATTGATCTAGCACAGACATAAATCAGTATATGTTTTTATTTCTAGATGAGGAATCAAACTCTGACTCTGACTGAAAATGTAAGACAGATATGATTTTACATATTCGTTATCATACAAAACATTGAGTATTGTATGGTTACAAAATACATCAAGCTCAACAGCAGAGCTCAGGTGTTTTAAAATGTAAAAAATATCAAAGGTTTTTAAATAAAAAAAAGGGAATCATTTCAAAATCAATCCTTAAATTAATGATTAGGTTACATACCTACATTAGCCTAGAAGGTCATAGAGTTTCAAAATACAAAATATTTTGGAAACTCAAATTAACTTTGAAAACAAAAGTAGCCAATTAGTAAACATGATTTAACTTTGTCGACCCAAAGACTTTTTGAAATAATTTTTTTAAAGAGAAAAAAATAGAAAATGGAATTGTATCTTTCTACCTGAAAACTATTTTTCTTAGAAAAAAATATTTTTGCTGCACATAGAGTGTTTTTGTTTAGTGAATGCAAATTTTCTAAGTTTACAATATATTGTTGACTATATTTTGTGAATACGTTCAATATTTTCGTGCTGAGTAAAATATTTGGGTGTTTTCCATGAATTTTTTTTTGTAGCTTTCCCAAAGTATTTGTGCCATTAACCTTTTTTGTGCCATCAGGACCACCGTACATAAAGGCTTGTTAATTCAATACATCAGACACCATCTGATAGTATGTTGTGGATTTTTACCCCCTGAAATCGGTGCCTGTAATCAAACAGACACCTTAAAAAGCTCCATATGAAGACCGTCATATCAAAATTTAGGTTCATCATTACTTTGTGTCTGTATTGGTGCAAAGTTTAATATGGCTCTTTGTGAATAGTTATGAGTGTAAGACCAGCTAAAGGTCTTTGGCAATAACTGAGGCCAGTTTTTACTTTCTTGTTAAATCAAATCTCCCCCGACATACTGAGACCATGGTAACTGCTGCGCTGTATGACAAAAAACCTCACCAAATATCTCTCACACAACCCTGTAGACTGTATTCAATCCACCTACACAGCTGAAACACCTGCCATTGTTCTCCAGTCCTCAAATGACAGGGGTTAAAGAAAAACCCAGCAAAGGTTTCAAGCTGCGTCAGTCAAAGCCTGAGTGAACTGCCCTTCTGTTTTTGTTGTTATTTTCTCTTCTTTAAATGCAAGCTGCGTGTCTATTTGAGTCCTGCAGGAAACAGACATCAATAACGGTGATGAATATGTGTGCTTAGGCAAAGTAGTTTTTGACTATGAAAACAGAGCGGTGCAAACAGCATGAAAGCTTCATCCAAAAGGGAAACAATTTCATGACAAAAAGAAAATCTGAAGTATTTTCTTTGAAAACAAATGCTAATGACCAGTGAAAGATGTTTTTGTGAGGAGTAATCAAAAACATTATTCTGAAATTTCTGTGGTGTTGGGAGTGATGTTGAGACAAACATAAAAAAGACAGAGCAAATTCTAGTAATTAGAGATGGCTGTGGGCACTCATATCTTTTCTAACAACATACAGAACAGGGTCTGAAAAATTACAGTTTAATCTTCCCCAGTGAAACCTGGCAAAGCAAAAACAAGAGCAAATTATATTTTGCATAAAAAAGGAACAGAAAAAGAACATGTCGATTTTCACCTCTTTATTAGAGCAGACTCTCCAGACCTCTTAGTGTTATTGTCTCACAGGGTTCAATAGATAGTGTGCGCTGCAGCCCGGCAGATAAATGAAACAAATAAAAACTCACCTTCGTGACTTGGCTCACTACAGGAGGTCTATCTGCTGAGCTCAAAGCAATCAATATCTACACTTTCCATGCTGAACCGGGGGGCAAGAAATTCAAAATGAGCTCTTTGGGTTTTTAAAAAAACACAAAATCATGAATTAAAAAGCTCACTCGAAAGTTGAACGGCACATAAAAAGAAAACCTTTACCACAAGAGTACAAAACATTAGGTTGCATGAATTTAGATACCATTATGTCATTGACTTTTAAATATGTTTTTTAATTAAACAAAAACTACTGGTTTGGTTTAAAATGTATTTCGCCTCTACCTGTTGACACTGTGGCAAAAATTTTTGTTTCAATTTTTGTCTAGTCGAGAGTCAGGAAATAATTACAGACAGGGCGCAGATGTGAGGGACCACTGGGCCCCAACTATTTCTGTAAATTCATCATCCTGTAATCTAGGCAATGGCAGCAGAGCTGGTGAGTGCAGCTCTAAAAGTTGGTGGTGATAATTACCAGTGTTGTTTGAAGTACCAAACAAATATACTTGAGATGAAGTATAGTTACCTTACCAGAAATGGCTCAAGTCAAAGCAAAAGTCTCCCATGAGAATTCTACTCAAGTCGAAGTCTTAAAGTATATCACATTCCCTCTACTTGAGTATCAAAAGTACTTAAGTAAATGTACTCCAAGTAAAAGTCAAAGTACGAATAAATATATTTTTATTTTTTTGCAAAAGTCGCTTATGCCCAAATAAACTCACATTTCAGGTGGGTGCAAGCAATAGCTTAGAAAAATAAATGAACACACACAAAGGGACACACACACACACACCACTTACAGTCAAGAAGGAACTCAGGACAGAAGTTGGTCATGACAAGAACCATCGAACAGACACTGGATATTTAGGTGGGTGAAAGCAACTGCACAGCCTACAAGCAGCTGCGGACATGCTTAAGTGACTGATTGACGATGATCAAGCACAATGCGAATCAACATTAGGTAAAAGGGAAAAAAAGGTTTTTTCCCCCTACCTGCTGTCATAGTAACAAAGTAAAAATAGTAGTAGCAAGGAGGCTTCTGTGAAATGTAGTGGAGTAAAAGTATACTTTTATTTTTTATGTTGTCAAGTAAAAGTTAAAATCGCTGGCACAAAAAACATCCAGTAAACTACAGATGCTTCAAAATTATACTCAAGTACTGTACTCAAGTATTGCTGCATACTTATTATACAACACTGGTAACTACAATATTCACAGTTGTGTCATTAAAAGGTATGTTTAATGCAAAACCAGGTTGTCTTGATGAAATGTTGGGGTATATGTGAATCATAAGGAATAAACAGTCTAGTATTTTTTTTTAGATTTTTTTTGTATTAAAATGGTCAATTAATGTGAATTTACTAACCGAGAAATTTCTGATTAGCATAACCACCCATACACGATACATTATACTAACTTAGCATAAGCACTATAAACAAGAGGAACAAACCCACCCAGCTCTGTCCATGTGTCTCTAAATTCACTTTTTAGCCTCTCATGAGCTCACACACACCTTTTCTGTCATGCAACCAAAACAAGTTGTCAATTCCAGCTCTGACAGAACTATTTATTTCATGGGAAGAGCGGCTTCCTACAGCCTCACCTAGTTTCTTAGCAACCTCAAGTTGCCGGTAAAACTTGACTCTGAACCAGTGGGATCTGACAAACGCATGGTAACTTTTAAATCACACTCTTAGTGAGAAAGTAGACATGTGCTTTACGCTCAGATATCATACCGTTTCCTCAATAATCAAACCTAATTGATGAGACTCCTGTTTGTTGTTAAAAGGGAAAGTCAAATTTGAGCATTGCTCTGGTTTTTGAGAGACAGAGAATCAGTGTAAATGTGAACTGCATCACTCACTGACGTATCTCACTAAACACTATCATTACAAAACTCTTAATAAATAAAAACAGTGCGTACAGTAAACTTTTAGAGAATGTGTTTACCTGTAGTCATGTCTGTAAAGGTCCCTTGGAAGCAGATCTTGTAGCCCTTCATAAGCAGCTAAAGGGGAAAAGAAAAAGGACAAATACAGTTACTTTCTGTGAGACATTTGCACAAAAATAATCTTTATCCAGCTGTCTAAACCTTCAAATGATGTTAAATATTACTACAGGTGAACCAGCAAAGGCTGAAACAATTCACCAAGCACATCTTTACTATCTATCCTCACTAAAGTGTGTTAAAAAAAAGACTTTAAGACCTCTTTGTAATACAGTAAATTTAGCGATGAGCAGAACAGTGAGAAAAAAACACAGAGGTAATATCCCCCTTTTAGCACGCCAAGAAAAACGACCCGCCCGGCAACACAGACACATTGTTTTATTGCACTCAAGGTCAATAAGCTCGCTTGAAATGAGAATATAAAACAGTTTCCTTGAACCGTGGTAACTACCCGAAAGCAAATGTGCGTCTCCTCTCACTGCCTCACATACAGTGTGTGGCTGGGTGGAAGTGTTTTGAAGATAAATGTCCGAGCAGCTGGAGGGAGAAATACTAATTTCTCACACCTCCATAATGATCATTAGCCAGAGGTGCTTGCTGAGATGAAAAAGTGTTTCTGTTACTGATTTTTAATTTAGACAGCACCTAATGTCCTTCGGGAAGTATTAAAGTGTGTGATAAGGCGCAAACTGCACACACACACAAACACAAGCTGTTTCTCTGGCTGATTTCCTGGGCATCAACATTCAGGTGACAGAGTTCTGGCTCTTCATTTAACCCAAGTCTGTTTGTCAGAGCCGAGCAGGTGACAGAAAGTGAGTGCGAACAGGACAATCTGTCTGGCTCTATCAAAGTGCTGCTGCTGCTGTGTTGAAGGCATTTAAATAAGCCTGAAATTACAGACTAATTCAATTAGCAGAGGTTCTTCAAAGGCAGGGATACAGCCGACATGACATCCAGCCATTTCTAATTTTCCCCTGTCAGTGGGAACAGAACCGTTGCTGCTGGCCTTACACCGGGAGGAAAATTACAATTACCTTTTAACAACATGGCCTGAGCTAAGAGGATGGTGCAATCGGAGGAAATATGAACATATGCTGGGACTTACTGGACCACTTTATTTGATCTTCTTCACAAAATAAGACCTTTATTTGGGGTCAGACACTGTGCTCTCAGTAACTATGGAAAATTAATGTGCTGACCTGAAATTTTCAGTCTGTCCCTCCTCTGAATTAGCGTTTTTAAAACCTTATTTTTATCATTTATGTTTAATTTAATCAGATACTTCACATTAAGAGACAAAAGGCTTTTTCATAAAGAAGGTCTTTGCAAAAATCAGCATAAAAATATTTATCTGAGATAAATCACAGAACTATATATATATATATATACAGTACAGGCCAAAAGTTTGGACACACCTTTTTATTCAATGCATTTTCTTTGTTTTCATTACTATTTAAATTGTAGATTCGCAAAACTATGAATGAACACGTGGAATCATGTGCTTAAGAAAAAAGTGTGAAATAACTGAAAACATGTTTTATATTTTAGATTTCTCAAAGTAGCCACCCTTTGCTTTTTTGATAGCGCTGCAAAATTTAGCTGTTCTCTCAATGAGCTTCATGAGGTAGTCACCTGAAATGGTTTTTACTTCACAGGAGTGCCTGAAGTATCCCTGACAAGGTACTTCTGTCATCAAGACCAAAGGATGGCTATTTTAAAGAAACTAGAATATAAAACATGTTTTCGGTTATTTCACACTTTTTTTATTAGTACAAAATTCTACATGTGTTCATTCATAGTTTTAATGCCTTCAGTACAATCTACAATGTAAATAGTCATATAAAAAAAAAAGAAAAGACATTGAATGAGAAAGTGTGTCCAAACTTTTGGCCTGTACTGTATATATATATATATATATATATATATATATATATATATATATATATATATATACAATGACTATTAATCAAAGACATAAATCTATAAGTTTCTAAGAATTTTTTAACTCAAATGCACAGAAATTACATAAAAAAAAAAAAAACTCCAGTTCCCCCAAATTTTGGAAAGTTCCAAAACTTTGACAAAATTCTCAGAAATTAAAAAAAAAAAAAGTTCATAAAGGTTTCAGAACCAGGAAAATTTTTTAAAAAATGGAAAATTTTTGAAGGAAAATGTCACTAAAAATTGGGGGTGGGAGAAAAAGATCAATTCATGTAAGTATCATGATTTTTTGTTTTACAATTTTTAAATAGATTTTTATTCTCAAAATTGATTTTTTTTCCAAATTTAAGAATAAATCTTAAAAACTGATTTACATGTGATATGTATTTTTGGGGTAAATATGGTTCCTGGAATAGTCAGTACATAATCATAATCGTTCAACTGTGTCACTGGTGTTAAAAATGCAGACTAGAAATCAAGAAAATCATAGAATCGCAATTTAAATGGAATCGGCATCCAAAAAATTGTAGAAGAATCGAATCAGGAGAAAAGCATATCGTCCCTGCCCGACTAAAAATCTGTTCAATTAATCCTTGTTCGTCCACGGTTTCAAGCATATAATGTGTCAATCTTACAGAATAGACTGATGACAACCATGCAGAAAAGATGAAGCGTAAACATTAGACATTGTGATAAAGGCCTTCAGCAGCTTCAGGGGAATTAAATGGCGACCAAGCAGTTTGAATGCACATGTAAAGCTGAAGAAGAGCCTCTGAAAAGGAGACTGTGTTTTTTAGTTTGATTCTCCAGCCTTAAAATTACTCTCTAATTCAGACACAATGTTCAAAGATCTGAAAAAAAAACAACCCTTTGTACCTGTGTTAAGCTTTGCCTATCAATGCCGTGCTACAGTTTCTCCTCGATTCACCGTGTGTATGTTTTAAGTATCTGCACCTCTAATGAATGAACAGAACATGAACTCTCCACTGCACCTGGTTGTGTTTACCTGCCCAGGGACACTGACGCTAACAAGCTGGTCCATAAATCTTTGATGATTCATATCGATATAGAGTAGCTAATTAATTAGGTGGAGGTATAAAGAATGAAGTTAATTGAATGCATAAGCAGCAGATATTTTATTTTCAGCGATGAGTTCTTGATGTGGTTTAAAAACGACTCTTTAAATGTTGCTGATGCAGTAGACCAGAAGTGAACAGGAGACACGTTTCTTAGAGTATTACCTTCACACCTTGCTGTATGCAGTTTGTAGTGTTTGAATGTGACTCTGTGTTGACGCAAAAGTTACATCTACAGAAAATACTTGAAGAGGTTTCACAGCTTTAGCTGCTGCAAAATTCGGCTGCACGCATGCTGACGAAGACCAGGAGGAGAGGCCACATTACACCAATTTTAAAGTCTCTGCATTGGCTTCCTGTATCTTTTAGAATAGATTTTAAGGTTCTTTTATTAGTTTATAAATGCCTTAATGGTCTTGGTCCTCCTTATTTATCTAATTTGCTTTTACGATATGAGCCCAGTAGAGCCCTCAGGTCTTCAGGTAGTGGTCTTTTAAGAGTCCCCAAAGATAGAACCAAAACGTGAGGCATCGTCTTATTATTATGGCCCCCGCCTGTGGAACAGTCTGCCTGAAGACCTGAGAGCGACACCTACAGTTCATATTTTTAAACGCAAACTCAAGACCTTCCTTTTTAGTCTGGCTTTTAGATGATTTTTGTTTTACTCTTCTAGCCTCTCTTTTAGTCTACCCTTTTTATCTTGTTATTTTACTCCACTTTAGTTGCAGAATAATTATTTTATGTTTTAATACTATTTGTTTATTTTCTTTTATTGTTTGATTTAAAAACAGTTTTATTATTAAATATTTTATTATTATTATTTTATTATCATTACTATTTTATTTTGTTTTATTTTCTATCATTTTATGAGTTTCCTATATCTTGTCATGGTTTTATCAGTTTAGCTTCAGCTCCAGTGTTTCCCCATTTTAGTTTAAGATAGCGTTTCCTTGGTCCTCTGTGGCTTCCTGCTGAGCCCTGACTTGGTGTCCCAGTGGTTTTATGTGTATGTGTGTGTGTGTGTGTGTGTGTGGGTAGTGGGGTCTTTGTTTAATGCGGGCTTGGAGGGTGGGTAGGGTTTTGCAATTTGTATTTTTTTTTGTATTTTATTTGGTATCCCCTGATGCTCTCCATCTTGTGTTCTTTAATGTACAGCACTTTGTGATACAGTCCATGTATGAAAAGTGCTTTACAAATAAAGTGATTGATTGATTGATTGATAAGGGTGCGTGAGGCTTCTTGATGTAGTGACCCACATATATCACAAATTGAGTCTCATGTTATCTTTGGACACCTACAAAGCTTTATGAGCTTCCTTGTCCCGTCAGTGTTATACTGTGTGTTTTGCTGTATAAAAAATGTGAAAATTGGAATGCAAAAATCCAAATAGTATATAGATTTTACAAAATTTACAAAAAAAACCATGAATAACCTTTTTTTTAATTCCAAACCTCGACCTGGAGAAACTGAGATATTTACTGAAAAGCTATTGTAAACCCTTGAGGTGCATGAAAGTGGAAGAAAAGCCCTCCGTAAGAGTTTCCAGTGACCTCAGCTCTTATAACTCAGATCAAATCAACACTATAATGGAGCTTATGTGTTCGGTTCACAGGAGACTTACGTTACTTTCCTCAGTGGTTCGAGATCTCAGGGGTCCCTGGTGGTTTGGTCCATTAACAACATCACCTCTCACTTCAAAAGGGCTCTGTTGGCAAACAGTGAGACTTAAGTGTTTATACATTGATCCTAATCCTAAATCCTGAAGGTATAAAACTTGATTGGGTGCTATACGATTTAAAATATGTAAAACAGTTATTCTTGTGTTTAATAATAAAAAATGGTGATAGATGCTAATAATATTTTTTCTGCTTGAAAAAAAAAAAAAAAAAAAAACTCCTCAGAGCAGAACGAGCATCCTTCAGTTTGACAGAGTTTATCTAATAACTGTGCGATGTCCTTCAGTACATTCACTACATGATGTATTAAGATGCTGGTAAACTGGCCTGCATGCCAAAGAAAAATGCTTCAAATGAATAGAGATATTAAACAAAGTCAGGTGAAGGATTAGACTTGCATGGCTCAGAAACAAGATGCAGGGATTACTCAAGCAAATGGATGGCAAATAATTTATGAGGTATCACAGCAAGCCAAATGGAGGGATTCATCATGCAGCCTTAATTCAACATGGAGAGCACAACAGGCGGGCATACCTCATCTAAGAGTTTCTTTTGCTTGAAGCTCTCGGATATCCCTGTAGGGAGGAGCAGAACCTCATGAGCTGATTGTCAAAAGCAAAAACTCTCCTGGAGGTCTTATTATGTAGCACTGTTTGTATGTCATCTAGCCCCCTCGTGGATTGACCCCTCTACTCATGTTGTGTTTGTGTTTACAGATATTTACATGTCAGACTTACACTGGAAGCCTACTACCCACTTCCTCCCCGCAATGCCGAGGAAGTACTTCAGTGTGCGCTCACAAACCAGCTGTTCATCTGGAGGGGAAGAAATTGCAGATGTGTGAAAAGATGCTGAACAACACAAGAGAGCACAGACGTAAGGATCCTCATGCAGACGAAAGAATAAGTTCAAAAGCCACTTAAGTTGACCATAAAGAGTGACCTTAGTTTGTGAATGTGATGTAAACAAACTTGAGGTTTAATACTTTTTGTTTAAAATAAAAGGATAAAAAACTAGAGGACAGATACTGAGAATATGTGGAAAACAGTAAAAGACAAAGTTGAACACTTTTATGTGATGAAAAATAAAGCACAAAAAAACGGTAACAACTGCTGCTCACTCTGCTGAGAAATTACTTTTTTTACGGTCTGATCAATTATGCTCCTAACGTTCGAACACATGGGTGAATCTTGCTCATAAAAATACAAAAATGATATTCCACACTGATAATAACAGACTTTCAGAAATGTGTTATGAGTCAGTGCAAAAACAAGCTGAACTGTTTTTCACATAATGTTCAGTGTTGTTTAACTGTGGAACTAATCTTATCTATTGGCACTGGCTGATCTTCTTCTTAAGTGTGCAGGATCTGCTCTCAGAATTTCTGTATGTTCAGTTTCCTCATTTCCGTATACAGTCAGATTCGAGTCAGATTGATCAGGTGTGCAGGTGAAGCCAACAGTTGCCCAGATCGAGTCATGAGACACGTGGAATATACGCTTTGTTTATCGAGTTAAACTAGAAGCCATATGAATTCGATGTTAGCAGCTGCCTAGTCTATAGTCTAGCAGCCAATCTCTAGTTTACGTGTAAAATTGCTTTGATTGGTTCTAGCCTCCAGAGCCATATTGGTCTTGGCTGGTTGACTCTTCTTGGTAATGGAGGAAGTGTAGAGAGATTCCTTTAATGTCCAGCGTTTGCCTTAAAGCACCAAGTTCTTGGTAGTTTCTGCAAAATTTATGCTTATAAGGATGCACAATATAATAACAGGTAAATTCTAGTAGCTATAGGAGAAACTTGCTGCTCTTTTCAATGAAACAATAAGCCTAAGTATAGGTCTCCGTATTGGTATCAGCCTAAATGAGTTTTAAAATACGGTATATCTGAGATCTGCAAAAATTCAATACTGTGCATCCCTGATAGGGCTGGGCGATATGGTCTCAAATCAATACCACGACATATTGAGCAGTTCACTTGGATAACGATAAATGGACAATAACTACTCCACAAGCTGCTCACCCCCTCCCACATTTACTTCGTCTACTTCAACCGCCGCTCCAGACGCTACAACTTTTGAACCGTCTTCCATCTCCTCACCTGTCTTTCCCTCTTTGTTACAGACTGGATGGGGTGGAATCATGTCTCTGACGTAGGACAGCGTCTTAAAAGGAACATGAGACCATAACCTTCCTACACACATCCAAAACCAACTTTTATTTATCTATAAATTTTTTTTACACTAAATATACTGACATGGGCAAAATGACGTAGGTTATTGTCATACATTTTGGTATCTGTAAACTTTCGGTTTATTGCCCAGCCCTAATCCCTGATGCATGTGATAGGACCAGAGTAATAAGAGGCTGAATCAGACAAGAGGTAAACATCAAACATTTCTGTTTTACTTTTCATTTCTGAATGCCTAAGTGAATTAAAGATTCAATTTTAAAGTTGATTAAATGAACAGACTCTGACAGTAAATGGCCTTACAGGCTTGAACCACGGCTGATCTCAAGGGTCAGGGGTTATCTACCCCTGAGGAAACATACTCATTATCTATTGATTTGTATTCCAGGCAAGAGTCAAGTGTTCTTCATTGTTACTCCTCCAACATAATTACGAATAATTACTGCATTCAGTTAACAGCAAGAAAAGGACAGCTCCTGTTCCTCTCCAACCTTTAACCATAGAGATGAACCAGCGCGGTGTTCCTGTATTTTAGTTACCCAGGAAACAGCTTTCATTATAGAAAGAAAAGTCTTAAACAGTGACAGTTAATATGGTGCTTTGGAGACAGCAGGCTGTGAAATTAAAAATAATCTATCAGAGAGGGTAATTAGCAACAAACGGATGATTGGAGGAGAGCCTGAGTGGGTGAGAGAGAAACAGGAGCTTATCTCTGAGGGGTGCGTTTAAAAGACGCACAAAACAAGCTGGAACTTCAAGTTCAAAGAAAATAATGTACTTGTGGAAATTTGAATGTTCCTGCCAGAGAAGATATTTGAAAACAGAACCTGGAAAGACCTCAAGTGGGATTTTGAAAAGCTGATTGTTCTATTATGCATGAAATATTCAAGAGAGTCCTGTGGATCAATGCAGCACTTATAACAACATTAACTAAAGAAATATCATTACACAAATACCATCTACATGAGAGTGTGCTGGCTAGGGATGCAGATTCAAAGTATTTTTTCCTGTGATGGATGTTTGGAAACAAACGATCACCAGTTGATTACTCATTAAAACATACACACAGATTTCCCCCATGAAAAAAAACACATATTTTCACATATTTTTCCTTAGCAACATAATGGATTAAACTGACAATATTGCATAGCAACAGAACAAAGAGATGTTGTTTATCTTTGCCTGATTGCAAATGGAACAAAAAGAGCTTTTAAGTACATTCATACCTAATAGTTACTTGATACCTGATTAATTGTTCCCTGGTACTGACCTGTGTGCATAATGATGTGGGTCACCTCTCTCGTTACCTGGGAAACCACACGGGCACCAACTCTCTTTGCAAACTTCTTCACCATTATCTGTGAGAGACAGCCTGTGATTGGTTACAACGCCCAGGTATGGAGAGCTCTAAAACACATATTTATTGCCTGAATGGTTGAACGGGCACCTGTTCACTGCGGCCTAACCCAGACGACACCAGCACCATTATGGCTTTACTACTTTCCTCTGGAGGCGTGCTGTTTTCTTTGTCTTCTGACGGAGAAGCCTTGTTCTTTAATGATTTGGTTGTTGAACTTGTGATAAGTGTCTCGGAGGCTGCGGTGGTTTTTACAGCCAGCAATGAGTGCATGGAGTGCTGTGCTGCTGTAGTGAAAAAACAAAAGAGTCATCAGAGTAAAGAAGGAATCAAACCATCTGTCTTTAGAAATAAAACGATGCATATTTTGGTTACCTTTAAACTAAAAATTTAGGCTTTTATACACATGAACCTCCTTGTTTCTGCTCAATTCTGTCTAAAATCCAAACTTAACTTGTCAAATAAAAGCATTTGAATAAATTTGCAGCCTTACTTAACTCTGCAGTGCTCCCATCCTGTACGCTGACCCGTTTGGCTTCAGGTGGTCTCATGCCGGGCTCCTCTTTGTTTTCCTGAATGGCTTTCCTGCAAATAAAGACATGGAAGGAAATGCCATGATACGGCTGTAGATGACAGATACTGCATAGATAGGCTGCAATAATCCAGGTTAGTATCAGGGTAGATTAAAGCAGCTCAATATTTATTGATTATGTGCTTAATTGAGTTTGTGTCATATGAGCACTGTAATAGTATGAAGGTGCCTGTGAGGAACTTTTTTATCCTGTACAAGAGCAGGAAATGTGTTTTAACAAAAAACACACCCTGCATCCTTTTGAGAGTATCACGTATTCTTTCAGTGGAAATTTTCAGGAAGACTTGTTCTGCAGCATGTTTTTAGTTGTTTTATCTGACATCTACACCAGGGAAGCTGTTTCACACGTTAAAATGAAAAATGTTGAGATAAAAAGTCTTATCAATTGGTCCATCTTTTTTATATTTGTAACTCATCAAGAAAAATCTCTTTTAGTTTCAGTTCGTTTCATAAGCAACTACAAACTCCTTAAAAGAGCTTTCATGTAGGTGATTAAGGAAGTCTTATGAGTCATTTTTTTAAATCTTCCAGCCTGTGCTGATACTTTTTAATGATCCTTTTCGCTTTTTCTGTCTGAATTAATTTGATTTCCTCAAGTTCAGCTATTTTCTCTCATTTGTCATCTTCTATAAATTGTTATATCTTCTCAAATACAAACAACAACGTGATATCGCCATTCTTTATCAACCATCTGCAGAGCTGAACTCACATTATTGGTCTCGGCATTGGCCGCTAAAAAACTTTAATTGGTTGACCCCTGATCTATTGTTCAAGCAATGTTCTGTAGAAGTCTTTTTGCTGGTTCAACAATTCACGCACTTGAGCCATTATGACATATTCCTCAGTGGCGCTGTTTGAAGCTTTAGCTGGCATGGTCTGGTCTTCAGTCAAGGCCTGCTCGGCCCAACGTCAACAAGAGCCACAAATCTTCACAATATGTTAGAAATGTCCACAGTTTTGCTTCAGGTAATTGATTTAACTCCTCTTAATTCATTCAGCAACAAAATCTTTAAGTTCTAGGCCTGATTCACCAGATAACTGTCGGATTCAATCCAGTCAGCCAGCCAGTCAGCACTGTGCTCCTCTCACTCTCATCTCTGATTTCTTCACCTATCCTCAGCTGATTACTGCTCCAATCGGAAGTTTGCTCACCTTTCAATGCACACTTATGTGACATAGTCCATTGTGACTATTTTTCTGTCTTAATTCATCAGTTTCAAATGCATGACTTTTATTAAAACCTTTGTGCAAGAGCACCATTTCTGACTGAAGGAACCTTAAGTACTTTCAATGTCAAAGGCTGCTTTTATGCACACGAAACGTTTAGGATTAGACAGGTGGCAAACTTTAAAAGATGTCTGAACTGACTTTACTCTCTAATTTTGAGTGTAGGTTCATTTAAGTGAGCTGGAAAACATTGGGACCTGCTGTTTTTGCTGCAGCTGTAAGTATAACAAAAAAGGGGACATTTCACAGTAATAGGAGAAACCTTTAAAAGTTTTGCTCTCACTTTGTTCTATAAGAGACAGAGAGAAACAAGCCAGACTCGCAGACACTGAAAGTCAATATTTGGAGGTGAAAACTTCCCCCAAATCTCCCTCCTTCAACGCTCTAACTATGCAACAAAACTCACTTGTTGCTTGTTTCAGGAGTCATTAGACTTTTACTCAGTGTGAAAACACATGACGCTTTAAGTCTCAAATGCAGCCATGAGTAGTGAGCAATAACACTAAAGACTGAATCGTCTTGTTTATATGTTTGAAGTCACTATCCTCCTGCATTATGCCTCCTTTCAGCAGAGCAGCAGCAATTTAAACTCTTTTATTTCAAACTACAATCACCCCCTCTCACCAAGCAGTCACTTTGCTGCTAACATCCATCTGTGAAACTGTGGCAGGGATGGGAAACTTTTTGTAGATAAAAAAAAAAGAACACTAAAAAACAAGCTGGAGGAAAATCAGAGAAACGTTTAAGAGAAGAAGTCACAACACATCTATTTACAGAAAGAACAAAACACAGGAGAACTTCAATTCCTCCTCCAGAGACACAGGAAAGTGAGGGGAAAGGGGAGATGCTGTTTTTTTTTCAATTTCTGATAGTCCCATTCTTTCAAATGGGTACAAAAGAGGAGTGAGATGAATATCATCAAATCCCCCCCCCAAGGCTTTGTGACGATATATCACAGCGTGACACTGGAATAGAATCAGGCCAAAACAGTCAGAGAAATATTTGTAACAAATGACCTGGGACAAGTCATCAAACTTGTACATTGTATTCTGTTTTTATTTACGATGATCACAATTTCCCAACTTCAATGGAATTGGGTTTTGTACTTTACTGACTCTCTCTCTTTACTTTGTTTCTATATTGATTAGCCATCGTTTTTCACAGGCTTTGGTGCTTTTCAATACTACTAAATGAGATTATATTATTTTAAAGCACCCTATCATGAAATGTATTAAGAGTCAAAAGTTTTGACAGTCAAAGTTTGCAAAATATAATTTATCTTTTTTACTATACATTTTACTTTGTTTTGCTTTTGGGACTTTGGGAGCATTCTGAAGTACGGCTACAAAATTTTAAATGTATTATTCAACCATAAACGGAAGAGAGGTCACAGTGATCTTGACCTCTGACTGCTGAAATCGAGTCAGAAAGAGGGTCAAATAAATCAAAATGTTCCTCTCTCTGGCTGTGGAAACACAATCGAGCACGCTGGGGTTGAGCTTAAACCATGAGAAAAACTCAAAACTGTTGCACTCTTGCATTCTGACAACACTGGGAGTAAAAGATGAACCAGAACACTAAAACCCAATCTCAAATTACTAGTTTAATGACCTTTTTATCAACAGATTACATCTGCTCATAATCATTTTGTTTTCTTTTGGGTTTACTTCCTCCCTCAAAGGCTCCTGAAACATCGACGTCTGGCGGCGAGTCAACACTTAAATGACCTGCACTGAAGTAATAATGGCTCATTGAGAACTTGTCAACGCTAACTACTCTCTCGAACTTCTCCAGCTTCCTGGTGGAGCAGATGCTTTTTAATTTAGAACTTGTATAACTAAGACCTTCTGTGCTTTCATCTGTTGTCTTTTTCCATTTCTCCTCCTCTCTCGCCTGGAGGAGTGCACTTAGAACCCTGTGAGGAGAGAGGTTGGGGGGGGCGCAGTCAAGCAGGAGAGATAAATTACTGTGGCAACACAAGTTTCCCCTTTAAGTGCTCTAAATGACATAGAAGACGCAGCCTGTAATGACTTTCTTATTCTCCTCAGCATAAGCAGATTCTGGGTTCATTAGTGAGATTATCCGCCTGTCCTCTCCAGATGCATCATCCTCTGAGAGCCACACGAGTAACACACACACACACACACACACTCAAAGACACACTTACTAACTTTCTCCTCCACTTACAGACTCAAAGAGACCAATTACATGCCACTTGCTCCAGTTATTGTTCTGCTTAATATGCAGCTCCATTAAAGATGTATTAACAATGTATACAGGCCTCTGAGGAGAGAAACACACCGAGACAGATATCAATTCAGTTCATTTGTTATTGAAATCAGGTGTGACTGTGTAGGACCGTCACAGCTGACTGGCCCAGTGACCTTGAAAAAACCCAACTGCTTGCCGGGCTCGCTGTTTTCCTTATCAGAGGTGTGTCCAGATGTTTTTGAGTGGGGTGACCCAGCTTCAGCACCAGCTTACAGAGAGGGTAAGAAGAGGTATGGGAGCACACAAACACATGAATATCATTTATTTACCCTTTCTGTCCACACCAATCATATCTAGTTTTGCTTAAAACATTGAATTATTAAAGAGGTGTTACTTTCCTGTGTGCAACTTTTTAACTTTAAAAAGTAACAGAGCAGAAACATAGAAATCTACTAAGTAACAAGAGAATGAGGTTTCAAGAATTTCACACGCTAAATCAAAGCTGCTTATAAATGCATCTTTTCAAAACAAGTGCAAGAACACCCTGAAAATTGCATTATTCTTTAAAGCTCCTGTAAGGAATATCCAGCTTATGTCAATTTAGGCGCCCCCTGTGAATGAAGTGATCTTAGCTTATCTTGTCCTCCAAGTCAGCACCACCCAGCTTGTTGTCAGCACACAGTTCAAAAGCCAGAATTTAAAATGGTATCGAGGTGTACAAAATCCAACATCATGGAAGGCCTTGCATAAGGGATGTCCCGGTACAATATTGATATTGGATATCGGTCCGATATCAGGGAAAAAACTAATATCAGATTATATCGGCCTGCATCTAAAATCTCCAATATCAGCACTCTGATACAAGCTGTCCATTCCAGACTCTGCTCCGGCACCTCAATCTAGCAGCACCTAGATCTAACATGCAGAGCCCACAAAAACGCAACAACAGTGTGTACTTAGGTACTAACAAAGTATCATGGAGTAGGAGTGATGTCGGCTATGTGGCAGTATTTTTTGTTTAAGTCCGAAAAAGACGTTGCGGCGAATCAATATCGGTATCCGCCAATACAGAAGGCTACAATATCAGTATTGTTTCGGCAGTAAAAAAGTTGTATCGGGACACACCTACCTTGCATATTTCAGTAAGACAAAGCCAAAGTACTCTTTGCACTATCACAACAGCATGACGCCACTGTAGAGGAGTCAGGGTACTAAACTGTCCTGTCTGCCGCTCCGCCTTGTCACCAAGTGATAACAATTTAGTGCGTCATGAAATGAGAAATACAGCAAAGACCCTGAACTGCTGGGCAGCTGAAATCCTGTAATATCACACCACCCCTTACCCATCCTGTTTCTACCTACCCTGCCTTTTTCTTTGTCTTATTTGGGGGTCCTGACTATTTCTTTAAAAAAAAATGATCAGGACAAGAAACGACTGAAAGTCTTAAGTGTATAAATCTTCCAAATTTCCAATGAGCACATTATCTGATAAATAAATTTGGAGGACTGCCAGATTCTGCTTTGTCAATTTTTTAGGGATAAAAGTAAAACTGGTTTAAACTGTCCTCAATACCAGAGTGTTGATTAACTGTGACTTCATCTCCTTTAATCTTTTCCTGCTGTCTAAAATCAATGACTGAATTTTTTGAAGAAGGGTTTCAGGTAAGACGAGAGTGAAGGCTGTATTTAGTCATAATTTAACTGTGGTTATACACAGTGTGGGTTGATTCAGTTAGTGTTTTTCCAAAACAGGGGGGGCGATGAGGCACACATGAACCATTGTATCTACTATTTTGTGCTTGCAAAAGAAACATTGTGGGCTGTCAAAGGTTTTGTTTTAACGTGTATGTCTCATTTTTTGTTTACAACCTATTCACTCAAACAAGCGATTCTTTGGAGATGTTGCAATTCATCACAATCAAGAACAGTTCTTCTATCAAACATTTATTTAGACTGTATATTTTCATGTTTGGCTGTCAGCCCTGAGATAGTGGACGGTAAAATGATTTTTTCCAACAGATTTTAGAGTAGAGTTAAATCTCTATTTCCCCATGCTTACTCACCGCTCTGAACCTTGGTCTCCATCCTGGTCACATGAGGAGGATCTTTGAGCAACTGGGTCTGGTGACAAAACATTTATACTTCATTAACACTTAAAACATTTGAGAATACATCAATCATATTTTCAGTTTCTTTTATGGCCTTTTAAAAAGTTTTGTCCACACACCTGTGGTTTTCCTGCTTTGGTGGCCTTCTCGATCAGGACTGCCTTCCTTCTCCTGGAGCACCTCTGACACCAGAGCCATCAATTTCTCCAACCTCACCAGCTCCTTCTGCATTTCTATCTTTTGCTGGAAAAAGAAGGGGAACAAATTAAACATAAACTGTAATAAATTTCAAGAGTTAAAGAGGCGAGGATAAACAGCAATGCAGTATTTACTGAAAAAAACAAACACTGGCTGCAGATCTTATACAAAACAATCACAGCAGACAATCAGTAAGGACATTCATTTGAAGTTAGTCATTAGAGAAGCAGAATTGGTGCTTTTTCAGACAAACAGCACTCATTGTGGAGAATACAGGCAGGATAATAGAGGGAGATGGTGCTTATGTAATGTTTTAAAAGTGTAAACAGCTTTTGCTAAAACCAAATCTATCAGTTTGAAGTTGTTTCAATGCTTCACTGGGCTAATACTTTGAAATTCATCCTTTGAGTTTACCGCTCAAGTAACTGCATTGATTATTTAGACAGACACACAACACAATAACACCGACACTCCGTATTCTCTGATGTTTTTAATCCTGGGCTCTTTCTAAACCCCAGGGAGGGAAACTTGAACTCCCAGTCAAATACAGTCGACAGATAAAAGTAAGAGCGCAGGAAGATGGATGAGGTAGAAAACAAGAATCATCTCCTAGGCGGCATTTCCTCGAACGTAAATGAAATGCAATTTAGGAAGCTGCTGAGGGGGACATTTTTTACTGAGCGAGGTAGTCTGTCATCCAGGAAGCTGACAGCTGGGTTTGGGGGAAATGTGGTGGCTGCCCTCTCTGGGGCGTAACATGACGGTGCAGCAGAGGGAACACAGTGCAGGTAGGTAGTGCTGAAGTGGCCTTAAATAACATGTGTTCAGTATAATGGGAACACATCACTGTGGTCTAAAATATGCCTGTCTGAGCACATTTTAGTCACACAAATACATTTTAAAGGCAGAGTAGCTGCAACACAATCATGTTTACCTGAGTCACGAGGACGTCGCTTGAAAATTGAGATGACTCAACAGAAACGTTAAGATCAGTTACTGGGACATCACCTGCAGAGGAGGGAGAATCAAACTGTTTACAGTCTCAACACTGAACATTTTTTATTGACCACAAAAAGGAACAATTAAAAACAACAGAGCAAGTGCATCTTTAATCTATAACGTAAAGGACTCAGACTAATGTGGACCTATAGCTCAGAACAGATAATGTAGACTGTAGACCACATGCAGTGTAACATCAGAGACGTAACAGAGATGTCTTCACGGATAAAGTAAAAAAAGGCAGCCAATCATCGTTTGATCATCGCAGCTCTGATGCAAGAGTCACATCAAAAGGACATAATGTGTTTATCACATGATCATAAACCCATAGACTTTCTGATTTTCTGTGATTGATCTATGAAAAAAATCTGTGTGACATCAGCCCACCTACATGCAGAGGGAGACGGTGGATTTTTTTCATAAAGATAAACTTTCCACAACAAGGTTATTCAGATCCTTGAGGACTTTCTTGGTTATAAGATCCCTCTGATTGAATACTAAGGCCTGATAAAATTCAAAAGAAAGACATTGACCTTTTCCTAATCAAAATACTTGGATGTATAAAAGTCATAAACAAAGAATTGGCTGAAAGTGGAGCCCCCAAAACCAGCACGACTATTAAACAGAGCGGAGGAAATATGCTCCGTTGAAGGGTTGACTTATTATTCCGAGACTAAAGCACACACCCATGACAAACACTGGAGGAAATGGATTAAACACAAAGAGGGAAGGGTCATGTCCTTAGCTGGGCTGAAAACACTGAGAAAGAGAATAAAGGGAGAGTTTAAACCCTTTGGTGCATGTTGTCTCCACTCCACACATTTCCTGTCTCTGTTTACCTGTCCTGGCTAATTCATTCAACCCCCAAATAATAACTGTGCATAATACTTGTCTTCTTTTTTACTATTGACAATCGACTTACATTCTTCTGGGGTGCCGAACAAGTCCTCAGATCCTTGGCTGGAATCAGCACAGTCAGAACTGCGGCGTTCTTGTGGACAGATCAGCGGATTTGCTCCATCAGCAGGAACTTTCTCACATCTGCTCACAGCTTCATTTGAGTTATTTGTCTCAGCACAAGGCAGAGCTGATGTTCCTAAAATGTCCTTCAAAGCAGGCAACTCCTCTTCGCTAAAATCTGACTCAGAAGAAGACTCCAGCCTCTGAGTCCTTCTCCTCTTCCTGCTCCTGATGGAGGAATGAAGACTAAGTTCACCACTACCACTGGTTGTCTTTGCCTCACGGTCTATTTGAGCCGCTGGTAGTCCAAGGCCATCAGGGGTTAGAGAAGAATCCGTGTTGAAGAAAATTTCAGAGGTGTTTACTGATTTTCTTCTGCTTGTGGTAACATCACTTCTCAAATCGATGTCTTTTGGTGCCTCTATTTTCCCAACATTTCTTGTGATACAATCGGGCTGATCCTGAGAACTCTTAGTGGTCTCCTCATGTGTGACGGGTGCATAGCAGAGCCCATAATCCACCACTTGTGGCACAACAGAAAGATTCTGACTTTCTATTTCATGCGTTGCCTCTTTGTTGGGAGTAAGGGCGCTACTAACACTATTCATGGAGGCAAAGTTGCCTGCTTCATTATCCTCTCCTGGAGAAGTACTTTCAGGGATTGAGACCTCTACCACCACTTGGTCTTTTTTTCCCACCACAACAGGCCAGTTTGAGGGTGGTATCAAATCACTGCAAGATAAGTTTTCATTGTCTCTTGATGCAGATTCAGCACCTGAGCAAACATGCTTATTGTCCTCTGGTTTCAGACCCTGAACAGTTTCTTGCTCAAAAATACGGCCTCTTTTCACATTTGGACCACCAAGATAAAAAGACTTCCTCTTTGTGGCTTTAAAGCTCCTTAGAAGTTGCTCTGTGTCCACTTCGCTGTCGTTCCTATCATCCTCCATTTCAGCTCCGGCGCATTTAGCTTTAGAGGATTCCAACTGAACACTGTTTGGAAAATGGGATGTTGGATTGTCTAGTTCAGGTGTTGGATCAACCACTGATCCTTCAACAGGACTTGTAGAACTTGGGACCACCTGGACAGGGCAAGAAGTTTCAGCATTTGGTTCTTCTACAACTTGGCTCACATTGGATATCCTCTCGTTGGACTCCATGTTTTCTATTCCAGTTAAATCTTGATTATAGACACACCCATTTTTTTCAGCTACCTTTGTTTTGTTTCCATCCTGAGGTGATTCAGCAGCATCAGCCTGTGCTTGGCTTTTGTCATCTGATTGCTTTACAGCACTGCTCTGTTTTTTAGGCATACTGGCTTTCATGTTTGCCTTCTTGTTTCTTTCTTGGACTTCCGCTGTCAAAGCTTGAAGTCTTCTACTTTTCCTCATGCTCTTTGCAGGTACTTCCTGGTCTTCACTGCTTGGGTAATTCTCAATATGCACTTGGACTTCCTCCGACCTTGGTCTTGTAGGCAGACCGGTTTCTCCATTTTGAACTTCAACTAGGTCAAGAGGTTTTGGCACTCGAGCTGGCTTGCCAATTTTTTTCCTCTTGCCATTTTTCTTTTGCTCTGTGGTTTCTTGCTTTGATCCCTCTTGTAAATCTCCGTCAACCTGTTGCACAAGGTCATGAGTCTTTTTCTTTGATTTTCTCTCTGGTTCCTGTTGTCCTCTTTCAGACACTAAACAGGGAACCTCATCTACAACATTATCTTGGTCACAATCGGGCAAAGTAGTCAGTTTTTCCCCAAGTTTGTCTGAGTAATTCTTTTCTTCTACTGCCTCTGTCAGCACTGTTTCTTTGAAAAAGTCACTGCTGGTATTGTTTTCTTGTTCTGTCATTTGTTGCTCTTCCTCAGTATCATTTTTCATCCAGTCTTCTGGGCCAAGATCATCAAGAATTCCAATGCTTTTGTTGTCTCCTCTAACATTTCCATTTGTCATGGTGTCTCTGGTTTTTGTTGGTTCTGTAGAAAATTTCTGAGGAGGGCTGGTCCTTTTCCCTCTTCGCTCTCGTTTGTACACAGCCCCAAACACTTGCTCTTCAAGGCCTTTAGCACGATCCTCTTTCTGAAAGCACTCGCTAATATTATGTTGCCTGATATCTATTGTTGAAGTAGAAGAACAGCTGTCCGAGTCATATTTGTCTTCATCAGGTTTCTCAAATTCAAGACTTCCTTCAGCTGGAACTTTCATGAGCCACTCGGCTACTTTTTCAAGACTTTTCTTCTGTCTCTCCTCAAGAATCTTGTCTGGTGAATCTTTTTTCTTTTTCTTCCTCTTTGATGCCTTTCGTACAGGTTGTTGTTGAGTACACAGGGAGGCATTTTCTGAATCAGAGGGACACATTTTGCCTCCAGGTTTTTGGGTTGACTCTGCTTTTTCTACAACTTCTGACACTTCTGTTTCGGCTGGTTCCAAATAATCTGTTATTTTCTTGTCTGATGTTTGTGGAGCCCCCCCAAGCCCACTGTCCAAACCTTCATTTTCTGTCATCAAAGGACCAGAGTCCTCAAGCCCCATAAGTCTTGCGAAATCGTTTTGAGCTAATGGGAGGATAGAGCAATGACAGATATTAACATTAAACAGTGACACAATTGAAATAATCGTGATTTGACCTGAAATTGTCACTTATTATCACCAGCAACACTTTCCACTGCTTTAATATGGTTGCCTATAAATGAAAGCAAAACTTCAATACTACATTAATCCTCAAGATTTTACCTGCTATGGTTGAGGAGTGAGACTTTGGAAAATCTTCACTGTTTTCCACATTATCATTGACAGTTCCATCTGTTCCACCAGATGCCATGTCATGAGACTGTTCAGTAGCTGTGGCATCTTTGACTCTGGGTAATAAGAAAAGGTTTCCCAAGACTTTAAGTAAAAGAGTATTATTATAGCTTTTATTACTTGTGAATAGTGCCCAAACATCTTACCCTATTTGTTGTATTTCCTGGGGCATTCCAGTAAAGTCTGAAAGCATAAGAATACAGAATTGAAATAACATGTTGTTACCTTATTTACAGCTTAATAATAATAATAATGATAATAATAATGATAATTATACATTTTATTTATAAGTGCCTTTCTGGACTCTCAGGGACACTTTACAGAGTAAAAACGGCAGCATAAAAGCAATAGAGAAAACAAAACAAAATAGGGGAAAAAATGTATATATATATATATATATATTTATATATATATATATTTATATATGTATGTATGTATGTATGTATGTAAAACAAACAAAAACATGACAAGTCTGTTTGAAAAATTCCTTTAAATAGTCTTACAGTTTGTGCCACTGTCATGTTCATAGGCGTGTATCATATCCTGCAATCCAGCAACAAGCCTCTGAAACCCAGGGCTCTCCTGCAAACTCCTGCACAAGAGTCATAGATACTTGTGTCAAGACAATATTAAAGTTACTTTTTTTTGACACTATCATAAAAAGAATGTTTTTCAACCTTTTTGTGATCTTGGCTTTACACACTGGACAGTTTGTGCTGTTTCGCTTGGCGTTGTCCAAAAGTTTCAACATACAAAATCTGGCAAACAGGAAAACAAATACAGTAAGAATCAACATTCTATAAAAATCAATCTCTTGAAGAAAATTAAATCTAACTTACTTGCAAAACTGGTGGTCACACTTCGTAGATACAGGTGTGGTCATTAAATCCAGGCTAAAGATAATAAAAAAGGTTTGAAATAAGTAAAGAAGTGTCAAAACTTATCCATTAATTCACCAAAACAGAGAAAATCTTAATGATTTAACTCACCATATGGGACACTGAAGAGTCTCCCAGAGGACTGAAATCCCCTTTTTCACATCTGTAGCCATTGGAGTTTTCATGGTGATTTCTGCCCCTATTAACAACATAAAGTGACATGAAACCTGTAGAGGTCATATTTGATTGCTACGATCATAGGTATGACTGCAGTACGCGAACTTTTAAAATGGCATTTCGCACAAAAGAAACCACACATAAGGTCAGTAAACATAGAAAAAAATTATGTACTTTTAATTGCGATTTATCAGCAATAAACCATGTTTAGAGTATAATTTTATATTTAATTATTGGGTAACAAAAATTCTAACTACATACGCTATTAAAAAGTGCCCTTCCTGCAGTGAAATGATGACAATTAATAATTTACTTTGATCAGGATACTTTTATGGTGCAGGGAGAGTCTATTGTTATCAGGGTAGTCAGTTTTATTGCGTTATCTACAGGTAACTGAAACAATGGCAATAAAGGACTTTCACAACACATGACCATAAAATAATGTGTAATATTTAACTTAATGTGCTACACAAAAGTTAGCAGAGATTTAGAATGAGCTTGATAATGAGGATGTGTTATTTAGTGATATTCAAGGCATTGGAGATTGCTACAAGCATGTCAAAGTTGTTGATAATATCTTATACAATGAAACAACCAGCTGTCTTCTCTCGTGATATTTTTGGGGACAAAGCAGAATACAGTTATATACGTACACGTGCACGTCTCATGTAACATAATATACAGTAAAGTGAGATCTGCCAAATATTTAACTCTTACGGTTAGCGCTTATGAGGTCAGATGTCAAGGCATCCAAAAGTTTCATACAGTGACAGCAGCTTTAACATCAGTATAGCTGTAGCTGCTGATTTGTTTTGAGATGTTACACAAGTCACTAATCCAGCCCCCCAAAGCTTCAAAACTCAGGACAACTCAGTTAAATAGCTCTGCAAACCGACACTTACCTCAAAAGGACACTCAAATCTTTCCAATGTCCACTACCATAGCGCACAAATGTAATATTTCGTAAATTTACCTTGTTCTGTGATTGTATGCACCAATGAACACAGGTCACATCCGCTTCAGTTTTCCCGCAACTATTTTCTTCTTCTGTTCGTGATACAGCGCCGTTTGCATTTCATTTCACTGCGCCACCTGCTGGATCGGAGAAAACCACGCACCGCACTGTGCAGCGCGTGTCTGATAGTCGTACTGCATCTGGAGTACAGACGAAAACAAACAAACAAAAAGTGTGTTGTATCACGATTGAATAAAAAATAAGAATAAAATTAATAATTAATCAATTTACAACAGGGAAAACGAGCGTTTTTATCTCGAATAACTAGATCCAAAAGCTAGTATCGAGATAAAAACAACAACAATGGAAATAATTCATTATCAGAAGAAATTTGAGCAGCTAAATGTGTGCATGTCCGCTCAGGTCTACCGTAGCATCGGACGTCTTAATAAACGACTTCTTAAAAATATATTTTTTTACACATGGTGAACTTAACCAAAATTGTAAAACCAATGTATGAATAAGCGTAAGATATTCTGGATGGATTTTTAAATATTTTTGTTGTCTAGTTTGTATCACTCAAAGTTTAAGAGTACTTCATTTACATGTGACAGATACACTTCTTCTAACATGCACAATGTGTAACTTTTATATTATTAGAATACTACACATTCAAGCACTTTAAATGCATTTTTACGTGTTATTACTTCATCTTTACGTCTTGCTTGACTTTTTGATGTCTTTATTGGTTTTAATGATTAAACATTCTATAAAGGCGTAAATCTCATCAGGCCCCTTTCAATCCGACGTCATTTCCGCCGTAAACAACAACAAGGAAGTGGAAAAGGAAGTCCCGAGGTGCAAAATGTCACAGTCACGCAAAATATATTAGATGCGGGTCTTTTTGTAGCGTCACTGTGTACAAGTCGACATAATAATGCGATATACTTGACTCTTTACCAGCTAAAGTGAGTTAACTTTATGTGTATTTATGCTTGCTACGTTCTGCCTAGCCAGAGAGCTAAGGTTAGCTGATCACTTCAAGTAAAGCTCTTCTGAGCGGCTGTTACTAAGAGGTGGTGTGAAACAACTTTGTCGAAATTCTGCTATGCTGTTGGATGTTTCAGTGCGTTAAATAAGCTGTGTCTGATTTGAAACTCATCTATTTGTAGTTTGCGATGGAAGGCTCTAAATCGTCGAGCACAACCATGCAGGTCAGCTTCGTGTGTCAGCGCTGCTGTCAGCCGCTCAAACTGGACACATCCTTCAATGTGCTCGACCGGGTCACGATCCAAGAGCTTATCGGTGTGTATAATCACAAGGATCGATCATTGAATCGCTGTTTTGAATTGCTCCATATGTCCTAAACTGACTGCTCCTTTCTCCCCCTCAGCTCCCCTGGTCACAGTGACTCCCAGCAAACAGACAGACAGCTCTGAGGGGGAAGCAGCACCAGAGGTAAGACAGTGGGGTCAGAGTCAGACATAGTGATGTCTGAATAACAAAGATAGTGGCACAATGACGACTAATATATTCTCACTATGTATGTTTAAGTGGGTTCATAACAGCTGATTTGCTGTTTAAAATGCATAGGGGAGAGTGGGGTAAGTTGAGCCACCCCTTGTTGCTTGTAAATGGTAAAAGAAATTGATCATGTGACCAAATATTTAGGAGATGGGCATCAATTCATGGAGTCTGTGAAGGTTAAAAGCACATGGGTGAAGGGGTTAGACATTTATTTCCAAAAAAAAAAAAATTTCACTCTTTCAGTGAATTTAGTCTGTCATAAATTTTATTAGAATTGTGTTCAGACCAAAAAAGATCATTTTAGATTTGTTTTATACATCAATTGTGGTACCTATGAGCTTCAACATGAGGTCAAAAACCTAGTATAAAAGTCCACCATTTTAGCTTAGAGGAATAATAAAGTCATAATTGTAGTTCTGGGGTAAGTTGAGCCAGTGACTCAACTGAGAAAGTGAAGAAGTCTGATGAGAGAATCAGAGTTTCTGTTCAGATTGTTGAAGTGTTACTGTTTCTTTTCAAAAATACAGCTGTGAATGTTCTTAATCACTTAAACAAAAAGGCTTTTTAGCAGTTATATGCAATAATAATATAAATATATATATATTATACCTACTGAATAGAGTATAATAGATACAAATACACATGAATGTGAAGAAGTGACTGTTATTTAGGGAGAGAGAAGGTGAGGGAGGGCTGCAGTGGAGAGTGGGGGGTAGTAGGGATACGGCTCAACTTACCCCACTTCTATGGTCAACTTACCCCATACACAGGGTAAGTTGACCATAGGAGACTCCTTTTTTGGCATGCTATATTATCAAGACAGTTATGTTTACACTCATCCTGTTGGTTTTCAGGGATGGACAACATCTTGAAATACATGCAGATACACTAGTTAGAGACAAAACTATGATTTCCTTGATGTAGTGATCTGAAATATGAAAAATTGCTCATCTTACACCACTCTTCCCTACTTGTTGTACATACATGTGATGAAACAATGCTTAACCCATTTTTGATTCTGGATAAAATTCAATAATTATGCTATTTACAGACAGAGCAATTCACTTGACAAAATTATTTCATATCTGAGTGACATAATTTTTCTTCTAGGAAACCTTTGTAGAAAACAAGCAAGATGGAGTGTCAAGAAAATACATTCCTCCTGCTAGGTGAGCATTAAAGTCTTTCATATTTAGGTTACAGAGTTTAATACTCGTTATACTGTACATGTGATGATTGCTTCAAATCAATGTTTATTCTGCAGAATGATGTCAACAGAGAGCGCCAACAGCTTCACTCTGATTGGAGAAGCATCTGATGGTGGCACCATGGAGAATCTCAGCCGCAGACTGAAGGTAAATCCCACTTTGACAGATCACAGATACAATAACCATGTTGTTTTTGTCTGGTCAGCTAAGATGACACAACCCTGTCCCACACAGGTGACCAGTGATCTGTTTGACATCATGTCAGGCCAAACAGACGTGGACCACCCACTGTGTGAGGAATGTACTGACACCCTGCTGGACCACCTGGACACCCAGCTCAACATAACAGAAAACGAATGCCAGAATTACAAGTGAGTTAAGTTTTAGTCCGTGAGAGGCCTGATTCTAGATATTGGAGTAATAACTTTATCTGAATGTGATTTCAGGCAGTGTTTGGAGCTGCTCTCACACCTGCAGGTGGAGGACGAGGAGACTCTCCTGGCAGAGCTGCAGCAGCTGAAGGAAGAGGAGGAGGCTCTGGTTCAGGAGCTGGAGGCTGTGGAGGAGCAGAGGGCAGGTGTGGCCCAGGACCTGGCTGAGAGCAGGATCCAGTCTCAGCAGCTGGACACAGAGGAGCTACAGTGAGTGACTCAGGAGTGCAGCAAAAAGGATTTAACAACTACCAAGTACATGAAACAGCAGCTAACAGCTAACCCTGCCTCTCTGCTAAAAGGTACCAAAAGGAGTACAGCGAGTTTAAACGTCAGCAGCTGGAGCTGGACGATGAGCTGAAGAGTGTCGACAATCAGATGCGCTACTGCCAGATTCAGCTGGACCGCCTGAAGAAGACCAACGTCTTCAATGCCACATTTCACATCTGGTAGGAATCATACGCATAAACAGATGCACACATTGTCAGAATAAACAATGAGTTTTTCTGTCAACTCATCAACCAGGATTTATGAAAATTTAATACAGCCTCTTGGAAAAACATGAATCGTTTTCAAATTTTCTTTGAGGTAGTATCTGTGTTGTATGTTTCCAGGCACAGCGGCCAGTTTGGTACCATCAACAACTTCCGCCTGGGGAGACTCCCCAGTGTGCCGGTGGAGTGGAATGAGATCAACGCAGCCTGGGGGCAAACAGTGCTGCTGCTGCACGCTTTGGCAAACAAGATGGGGCTCCGTTTTCAGAGGTACACACACATACACACATGTTTAAAACTTCCATACAGCATTGTGTGTTATTTCTGGTAAAAGTGTGTTTGTTTATAGAGGCTTTTTCACATTCTAACACAGTGTTTCTCTCTTTTTAACTCTTTTTACATTCGTTCCTAGGTCTTGTTATGTGGCTCTTTTTCACATTGTTTTAGATATAGATTAAATTTCTCACTTATCATATAATTGCTTTTCTACTTCATGGTTTGATACCATGTACATTTTCATCCTTAAGTTCACAATTCTTCAAGCTAACCTAAAATGAAGCTCAAGAACCCCTTCTCTCTTCAGGTATCGTCTTGTCCCTTATGGAAACCACTCCTACTTAGAATCTCTGACAGACAAGTCCAAGGTAACGACTGCATTATTATTATTATTCCAGCTCTCCAAACTTAACTCAAGCACTCCTTCAGGCTTCAATCCGGGTCTTTCTTTTCCTGTCTCCTCTTTGTTCAGGAACTCCCTCTGTACTGCACCGGTGGCCTGAGGTTTTTCTGGGACAATAAATTTGACCACGCCATGGTGGCCTTCTTGGACTGTGTGCAGCAGTTCAAAGAGGAGGTGGAGAAAGGCGACACAGGCTTCTGCCTTCCATACAGGTTAGAAACCCCCCAGAGAGGAATGCTTTCAACAGTTTGCCCCATCCCCATAAAGCATAGCAGCCATTTAGGATGAAGCTGTAAATATTCATGAAGTTTAAATGCCGTTTTTTTAACCATTATGCCTAACATACTCCAAGGGGTCCGCACTTGTAAGCCTTAATTATACAAATGAGCCAAATAAGGGAAATTTGGGGCTGTTTTGTTTTTACGGCCGCGTGAATTATTAAAGCAGGACCTCTATTATATCCTTTACTAAAATATGAACAGTCCATCCTTAAAAACTGCAACACTCTTTAGCTGCACTGCTGCCCTGAAGCGTCCTTTTGTTCTCCCCCTGAGCCTCATTATCCTGTTAGAACAGGGGATGTTATATCATCTGACCAGCAAATAAGGGATTTTTTTTTTACCATGTTCTGTTGATTCATAATTGTCACCCTCATCTTCAGTGGAATTTTTTTGAGAGTTTTGGGAAGTTTGGAAGAATCTTCAATGGAAATCTTATATATCATTTCGGCTGTTGAAAGTTAAGGGTTGAGTTTACATCAGACAAAGCTCTGAAAGACTCTGTTCCTTCACAGAGATACTTGATGAAATTTTGGTTTTGATGGATGTAAAATGTATCCAGCCAGATTGAGAATCTGTATCAACCAAACCTGATGAAACAGTCTTGGTGACTTAGAAAATCTCCAGAACTGACTGATTGAGAGACGTAGAAAAGCTCGATAAATAATCATGTACACCAAATTCTAGTGAAAGCCAGGTGATGCTGTTGGTATTGTAAATCAAGATTTTTTGAGAAGTGTTATTTATGTTTCCCTTTTGTGTCTCAGGATGGATGTGGAGAAAGGTAAGATCGAGGACACAGGAGGCAGCGGAGGTTCTTACTCCATAAAAACCCAGTTCAACTCCGAGGAGCAATGGACCAAAGCGCTCAAGTTCATGCTTACCAACCTGAAGTGGGGACTGGCCTGGGTCACCTCACAGTTTTACAACAGATAAACCTGCTGGATAAAAACATTGGTCTCTTTATATCATGTAGATCTTGTTCTGATGCTCTGCTGGAGGAAAAGAAATTTAGATTCAACTATTTTGCAATCTAGATCATGTATTTCTATGTTACAGGCATAAGGGGAATGGTAATTGTGGAAGCATAAAAGACAGGCACAAGTTGCTAAGTAAGCAAAGTTAGACCCCTGATATTGATCAATAATTAAAGATTTGCATTAGACCCTTTTTCTCTATAATGTACTTTTAAATATTTACAAAATGTACCCTTTTCCTAAGTTGCACTGCTCACCCTTGACCTCACTGAATAACTCTGTGCCCCAGTTCAATGAGCTGTATTACTGAAATGTTAACAGGCAATGTAGGATTTACAGTAGATTAGCAGAGTTTGACAGTATTTCATAAACGCTGATTGCAGTTATTTCATTTTCAAGTTACATTAGTGATGTGTCTTGGAGGTTAAAGTCAAACAGCTTCATGTTCACGCTCTGCACCGTCATATGGATTCATCTCTTTTTGAGTGAATAAACATTTTGTGTCATAAAAACTAAGTCTGGTGTGAAGAGTTTCTTGTCAAATGCATCTGGAGCATAAAGAAACCAGATACAATAGAAATCAATGATGTTAGTTGATGTTACCCAAAGTAAGAGACAGCACTATTAACCAAACTTTTTTAATGATTTCATTATTATTTCTGTTTCAATCTCAACACATCACTCACTCATTGCCAGTCCCCTCTTTTAATGTTAAAAACATTGCAGGGATTAAATTTCATGGAAAAATATGGACTTCAAAATTAAAATAAGAAGCTGACTTCCAGTTTTCCAGTAAATTCTTTAAAATAGGTCAAAAGCAGTAACTCCTCAGAATCAGCTCTCTTCTGTTTCAAGTCATTTCTGAACCATCAAATGGTTTTTGTGTCGACAAAGCTGGTCTTGAACTTTGGTCATCAGTCTCTACTTATTACTTTTACAAGCCCTTCCAAACCTACAGGGAGATATGTTGGAAAGTGACTGTTTTATAGTTTATGAAAAATACTTGGATAGATGATTCAGCTCAAGCAGAATGCAATGACATTTCATTTATGCTTTGACTTGTACGCCTCTCTCAGAGTACAGGCAGATCTTCCACACACGGTGACTTCTCTGCCGAACGTTTGTGCAATTTTTCAGGTGCTTTCACTATTTATCACATAAAGAAGCCCCTTGAATCGAGCCAGAGTTTTTGTGTTAGTGCATGCATATGGGCAGATCTTTGGGTTCTACCGAGCCCACAGCCACAGACTGGCCCTTCATTTATACCACTTGGATGATGGTGGTGGTCATGTTAACTACATCACCACTACAACCATTATTTTGGTTCAGTTCACACTTTTAGGATCCCTACATCCCATCATGCTCTCTGCTCTTTCATTGAGGGAGCAAAAGAGGAGTTTCGTCAAGTGTGGAACGTCTCCGCGTGGCTCTGTCCTCGCTGGAGGGGAGGGGTTTATTTCAGTTTGTTTTTTTTTTTCCCCCCAGCTTGCTTCAGTCAGAGGCGCTGCTGCTGTAGACGCTGGAGGTGGAGGGAAGAGGAGGTGCCAGCTGAGTGCTGCTGCCCAGTGCTTTACGAATATGTGGCATGAGGAAGGGGTCGCTGGCCAACTGCAGCACGTCCACACGGTCCTCCTTGTGATAAGCGAGGCAGCGTCGAATGAAGGCCTGCAGAGAGAGAGAAAGGAGAACAGATGCTCACTCCTCTGCACAGACTGTTTTCTGCCAATCACATTTGTTTCTACAATATTGAGGCCTGTCTATTCTCTTCATAAATGTCTAAATCTAAATAGCAGCTGAATCTTCCTTCTACACCTGGATCTGAGTGAAATGAGCACAACACCTTTGCTTCTGTGGTGACCACAGGTTTTGGGGGAAACTGCACATCAGTAGCTTTTAAAATGGTGTTTTCTTGAAGGATATCCTGCTGCGACTGATTATGACCAAAGGGCTGAGGGGAAAAACAAAAAAAGGACAATGTTGTTAGACTTTTGAGTTTCATTTTCCACCTTGATCAAACAAATCTGACCTGAAATGAATCCCTGCTCCAGCCGGCAGATGACTGTTTACCTTGCGTCCGTACAAACACTGGTAGAAGATGACCCCTACTGACCAAACATCCACCTTGTTGGATATTTTGGGCGGCTCCTTGCCCACCACAAAGCATTCAGGGGGCAGATACCTGCAGACACAACAATCACAACATTACATTAAAATAGGTTGACCTATATGAGCGCACCACCTCCCTTTGCTGCCGTCTTGTGAGGCCTTATTTGTTGCTTGGTTACCAAAGTGAAATATGTCTGCGTACCAGTAGGTCCCGGCTCCTTGTGACGTCAGCTCCATGCCGTCTGCAGAGCTGTAGCTGTCGTCATCCATGATCTTCGACAGGCCAAAGTCAGTGATCTTAATCTCTCCGCAGGCTGTGCCATTAACCAATAGAATGTTTCCTGCAATCACAGTCAACAGAGATGGATGAGTTCAAATAAAAGATTGAAAAGGAGTGATGCAAAGTGACCCGCTCAGACAGTGAAATCAACCTGGTTTGAGGTCATAGTGGATGATGGGTGGACGGATCTGGTTGAGGTACTTGAGGGCGTTGACTATCTGCATGACTATGGAGCGACCCTCTTTCTCGCTCATCAGCTTATTCTGTTTTAAGTAGAAGTCTAGATCATTGCCTTCGCAGTACTCCAGCACTGTGCAGAACCTGAGCGAGAGTGTACAACAGATACAGCCAGTAAGGTCAATCCAGTTATTAAACGTCGCACATGAATTTACAATATCTATTCAGGTGAGATTATTGTTCGGTGATTTACTTACGAGTCTGTTTCTAGTGAGAAATAGTCGTACAGTTTGACTATTCTTGGGTGGTCCAGCTCTTTGTGGATTCTATACTCTCTACAAGCATGTCTGAAAAAAAAATAGACAATAAAAATCATAAATAGATCCTTCTATGATGGGTGTAAACTTCAGGGTGTAGCATATACAGGGAGAACAAACATTCAGACTCACTTGTGGTAGTTTTGTTTCTTCTCCTCCCTCCAGTTTTTGTTGAGCTGATGGATTTTAATGGCCACATATCTCTGCTCTGTCAAGTCAAAAGCCTGCCAAAAGCATTATATGATCAATAACTGCTTTGATGACTATATACTGGTACTAATAAAGACTTGTGGTTAGCTAGTAGACCCACACTTACCTTGAAAACTTCACTAAAACCACCTCGTCCTAGTAGATACAACAGCAGATATCTTTCGTTCAGCGTGGGATGGTCTTTAAATCTAAAGAGATAAACATTTACTTAGGCATTGAGCGTTTTAAACTTCACTTTAAAAGATTCCAAGCCCCACTTTAGAAACTGGGACAAGTGAAACTAGTGATACATACTGGGAGCTGTCTTCATTGTGGATTCTTTTCAGCTCCCGAATGTGCAGGTTTCTAACTCGCTCCAAGTGCTCCAGCTCTGATTGGATCTCTGCCTCTTCCTACAAACAGTCAAACAAATCAATCGTCTAATTTTATCCCTGATAAACAGGAACAAGCAATAGCTGTTCTTGAGGTGAACTATGAAACGCTGGTTCAAGCTGTGAACTGGTACCTTTTTTAGATGACCGATTCGAAGTTTGAAAATCTCCTCTTGCTCGTGATATTCTGCAAGTGACAACCTTTGAGAAATGGAGAAGCAACAGATTTTGATATATTTTATACGCCACCTTAAGATCGAAAAAACAACAAATTTAAGCGTCGTTTCAAAGATGTATTTTTTCCTTGTTGTAAATGTAAGGCTTGTGCACATTGAGAATTCACAATGCAATGTGATGAGCTCTAATTAGGGATCTTACGCTTCATTCTCCTGGCCGATGCTTCGGCTCTTTCTCTTGTTCTGTTCCAGGCTGGGCAGAGGCGTGGAGGCCATGGATGGAGGTTTCCTCTTCCCAAGCAGCTTCCTCTGCCTCTCCATGTCCTCCCGCTGTGAGTTGATTCTCTCCTGCTGCCTGAAAATGTTTGAGAACAATCCCGTGTGAACACCCACTTAATTTCAAGTGGACAAAAACATGCACAGATGTTTGAGCCTGTTTGCATGCTGACTTGATGAGGTTCTGGAAGGCGAATCCATCTGTCCACTGCTCGGTGAAGGAAGCGCCGTGCCGAACGGTGGTGAAGTGGCCCAGACGCAGACGGTCCTGCATGCTCTTGTCCCTGCAGGCCATCTTCTCCTGTTTTGACTACAACAAAAACGATCATTCTGTAAAAAGCAGCTAAATTATGCACTAAATACTATCCTTTGACAGGCTGTTATCATTTCTGCAGCCCAATCACCATCACCAACACAACTTGCAAGCAACCATCAAGGTTATAATTTGCAAAAATTTTTCTCCAAAAGGAGAGGATGGGGGCACTTTGTTGTTTATTACAAACAACCATTGATTCAATGCACAGCTCCACTCACCTTCTCGATTAACAGCTTCTTGCTCATGGTCACACACTTATTAAGCCGTTCTTTGTAGCGTTCCAGCATCTTCTGCTGCTCGTCTACCTGCCGCCTTAAGTCACAGTTTGCCTGCCAAAACATGACACTACATAATCACTGTGACATCTCACACTGATTACATAAAGCCTTTGAGGCTGACAGGATGCAACAACAATCAGCGTTGGCTTTGTTTGCTGACATTTACACCAAGTCTAATTTGGGCTACAATGGTTTTTGAGAAATAATGAGGATTTTCATGATGAGCTGCAACCAGACAGGCACAGCTTATTTACCAGACAAGCAAGGGTACATTTGTCTACAATGGTAAGTGTTCATTTAAGGCGTTTTTGATTGATCTATTTAAAAAGATTAAAGTGTAATTTTTGTGCAGGATTAAACAAAAACTTGTTTTAACTTCTAATCTAACCCAGAAACTTTCTTCACGCTCCAAACCAAATTCAACCTGTTGTGGCTTTCATATAAAATTTTTGCTCCTCATCTCACCCTCAGCAGGTCGTCTATCCTCCCCTCCTTCTTCTCCAGATCAGAGTTCTTGTTCTTCTCCAGAGCTTTCAGCTTCAGCAGTGTCAGTTCTGACTGAAAACGGAGGGCGAAAAGCAACAACAGGTCGACAGTTAACATTTCTGCCTGATCATTTGATGCAGACGCCCTTTGGGCCTGTGTGTATCACGTTCATCACTTTAAAGTGTACCAAAAGGAGTCACTGGTATCTTAGTTATCACCTCAGAATTCAAAATGTTGACCTTTAATTAAGCCAATTAAAAAAAACTAAAAGGATAATTGGATGTGTGGTGCATGTCACATAAACTGTGATGTGGTTGGTTAAAGCCAATTAAAAATTGACCTTTAATTTTTGCAGTCGCAACTTCGGAAACAAGAGCTGCTTTTTCAATTGAGTGAAGAAGGGGTGAGGCTGAGTCAAAGTTTAAAGCTTTGTCAAACTCAGCTTAAAGGGAGATTCTGCTTTTTCTCTACAGACAGTAGAGGGACAAGTTCAGGACACAAAAATGTTTCCACTTCAACACTCCACTTAAGTTAGTAAAAAAGAAATGCATGTAAAAGAGGACAAAGACAACATGACTGGGAGTATACTGAAGAAATATGGTACAAGTTGATGTAGAGTAGGGCTGGGCAATAAACCAAAAATTTACAGATACCAAAATTTACAACAATAACCGTCATTTTGCCCATGTCAATATATTTGGCGTCAAAAAAATAAATAAAAGTTGGTTTTAGATGGTTGTAGGTAGGCGATGGTCTCATGTCCCTTTAAGACGCTGTCCTACGTCAGAGACGTGACTCCACCCTATCCAGTCCATACAAAGAAGGAAGACAACTGAGGAGATGAAAGATGGTTCAAAAGTTGTAGCAGCTGGAGCAGCAGCTGAAGTATACGATGTTAATGTGGGAGGGGGTGAGCAGCTAGTGGAGTAGTTATCGTCGACCATTTATCGTTATTGAGGTGAACTGCTCAATATATCGTGATATTGATTTGAGGCCATTTTGCCCAGCCCTAATGTGGAGCAGAGATCTGCATCAGTGGGCGCATTACCTGAGTGGCCTTATGGGAGTAGGAGTGTGTGGGAGCTGTCTTAACAGAGCTGCAAGAGGAGGAGTCTGTGTGGGCCGAGCCTGTGGACGAAGGACTACCCTGCTGAAACTGTGATTCAGAAAAACAGAGGAGAGAGACAGGTAGAGAGACACAACTTAAAATTCAGTAACATAACACGGATATTATAGGGCGATTCAAGAAAACAAAAACACATATTATGAAAGCTGTTTTGACAGAAACTTTTTAAGAGTGCAAGAAAAAAACAAACTGTTGTTGCTTTATGAGATCCAAGTGATTAAGAAAGGGTGGATAATTGCAGAGAAAAATCTCACCTAAGAAGGTGCATTTATGACTCATAAAACTATAAAGTTTTGTTATAAAAAAAAAAACTTGAACCTCCTTTTATTCAGGAGAATTCTTTTAAGAACAAATGGAAACAACAATGAAAATACCCTGACCTGCAAATCACTGCTTTGCCCAGATAGTAAAGTACATTCACTAAATAGAGACACTGCTAACACAACCCTTCACAACCCAGTGCCATGAAGTGTAATGCAAAAATGACGAGTGCATGATGTCCTAACCTAATGCATGCAAGTCTGTTACATTCTTAAAGATGCCTATTTACAGAGCCGTTATCCATCTGACAGACTGCGGGATATTTTTATTATTACAGTATATAAATCCTAACGCTTCATTTACACATGATCTTTTTTTTTAATTTCATTTGATTCAGGTCAAGATGGTAGTTATACTTCCAGATTATGAATACAGGCCAGAGCCCACTGGTCAGCTCAGAGTCATTTTTTATTATTTCAGTTCATCTTCATGAGGTTAAAAATAATTCATGATGCTGCAAAAAGCACATGTCAACCCTGAAGTTCATTCAGACTACCAGCCAGGGCGTACTGACAACACTTTCAATGATCAGGTTGATCTACAGATACTGTGCAGCTCCCCCCCATCGATCAATTGATTAGTTGATAAGTGGGTGGATTTTTGGTGGATTTTTTTTGGTCCACTACAGCCTCAGAAAAAAAGGCAATCAAAATCTCCAACATGATGATACTAACGCAAAAAACAGAGAAAAGAAATATTATTAACACGTGAGTAAGACTCTTGGTGAAGACAGTAAACCAGTGCAGTAAGTCAGAAAAATAAACAGGCAAAGCTGTAGTGAGAGCGATGGAGATGGATGCTGGTGCTCACCAGAGGATTAGACAGTGAGTGCTGTGGAGAGGAGCGCACCAGCATGGAAATGCCCCGGGCAGGACTGGTGCCAGAGCCACTGCTACCAGCGAACTGGCCACAGGGACAAGAGTGACAAGAGTGCAAACAAGACAGAAGGAAGGAAGAAAGTGATGAAGAACTACAGCAGCAGAGTCAGAAAGTGAGGGTTTAAATGTCACACTAAGGTTTAAGAAAGATCTAAGGTCTGTTAGGTTTTTACTCACCTCAAAATAATCACTGATTTTGTGCCCTCGTAACTTTCCTACAAAAAACAGGTGAAAACACAAAATGTAATTAGACTGCAGAGTTTTTACTCCGGTTTCTCTAATTGTATTTACAACTAAGATGAAAGAAGTGTTGATATAAAGCTAAAGAAAATGTAATAGTTCTTTATATAGGATGCCATGTTCGTTGAAAAATCCCAAGAGTCAGGGCAGATGTCTTACCCTGGCTGTTGCTGTCGTAAATGTCTCCTTTTCTCTTTCTGCTTCTCTGATCATTGCCTCTTTTCTCCGGTGTCTGTAATGGGCAGAGCAGAAGCAAAGCTTTGATTTTCATTTACCACATTAATGTAGAGACAAAGAACCCATGTTGAAAAAATGAAGTCGTGCACTTTTAAGTTTGAAGCTATATTTGCTCTTGTGGTTCAAAGAAACTTAACACCACAATGTCAACAGGAACACTTTGTTTAGATTTGTTGATTCACTTCTTTGCAACTGTTGCCTCAAACAAAGAAGTTCTCAGGTTTAAACCTGGGCCAGCATGTTTACCTCTTGCTTGTGAGGTTTTCCTGCCTGTCAAGACCTTTTTCTAAACAAAACACACTCTTGTTGGAGAGGGAACTACTCTCACTCGTTTCAAACTCTCATTTTGTCTGTTACAATTCTAGACAAATTTGTGACTCTATGAGTTTGTCCACTGGTAAATGGAAATGGATAACTCACAAACAGATGCTTGACCTGATTGTAGCCAACTGTATCACTGATGACAAAATGCTACATCACCAATAACAAAGGGACACCAGTAAACATCAGTTAGTGCACACATGGTCAGGAGGACCTTATGAGAAGGCCAACATTTCTCAAGAATTGGATCAACCACCAACACACCTCCACTTCTTTGTCACTGAGTGATCCAGCACTGCACAGAGACTGGTTGGATGATTCACTGTTGGCTGAACTCTGGAAGACAAATGCACACATTAGACATGACATATCAGTCTGTTGCTATCTTTTTGGTTATGAGAAAGGTGCTGAAAATTGATCAAATAAAAAAAGATATTAACACAACAAATTTAGGAGGAAATGACTGACAGAATCTTGGATCTTTTTGGCCTTTTCAATCATGGTGTTTCAATTACTTCTTTGTTACATCTAAAAGTCACGTCTCCTTAATCACTAAGTAATCTAGTCTAATAAGCCTGGAAGCTACAGTGGAAGTTTAACAGGCCTTCCAATGTTAATCTGCAAATCTTCAGTTAACATCCACTAGGTGAAATCAGACAGTGTCATGCATACCATTCACGGCCAGCTGCACAGCCTGATGAGACTAAGAAGAAACAGCAGGCTAATTGGAGCAGGAGGCTAATGCTTTAAAGCCTGCTGGCTTTCTGCTGATCAAGGTCACACGCATAGCCAGAAATGCTAGTTTTTTTATCCAAGCTTGTATACAACTCATGTCCAAATAGTGGTACTTCCAGAAAACATTTACTATATTACAATCGTCCCAGTCTTCAATCCTTCTCAGTGTATTACTACAGCGATCTGGCCAGCAAGCAGGCCTGACACTTCATTTCGGAACAGCACGCTATAGGCCGGGGCATGAAAAGAGTGATTGCTTTCTCAGGGAGTGCCATTTTCTAATGCTCAGTTCAACAGCAGGGTTGCAGCATCGTGCGCAGCCTGTGCTGTGAGCTTCAGCCTCGATGCCATTTCAGTGTCACTAGTCTCAGCTGAAACAAAGAGCTGCTGGCCAGCTCCCATGTCAGCAAAGACAGAGCTTGTCTTGTTTAGCTTTAGATCAGGGAGACACCGTCATTCCACCAGGGAAAACTCTGGACACTGAGCGCCAGTCAATGCTGGAAACAGAGAATACTTCCAAGCTAAAGGATTATCATACAAGAGAGCTGACAGGGTGCTCAGGTCCTTTTTTGTGTTTGTACACAAAAACAGTAGGGGTGAAGGGTGGTTTTCTGCAGGTAAACTTTGAGCTATTTTTTTTTATATTCCAAAATTGGTGTCAGCAAAGTCAAGAAGGGCACCCCATTAAGTTAGCAGCAGAAATACACAGATTACATTTCTTTTTGCTTCTATCTTTGGTGCATTACCTCTCTGGTTGTTTCTATTGAAGACAGCTGCCCACTCTTACCAACAAAACAAATTTTATTACATCATTTAGAGATGCAAACCTTGGTCACACCAACTCCAGTGAAGCGAGCCTCAAGCAGCTCCTGTCTGCGTGGATCCAGGCTTATAGCCTGGCTATGAAGTCCTTCCATCATGCCTAGAGAGAGAGATACACAAACAATAAAGAATGCCCGAATGTGGACAAGGACATGAGTGTTGATGCCATACTAAGTATGGCTGACATACAAACAGGCCGAAGAGATCTAAATATCTTGCATGATGTTTTTCTCATTTAAACAGGCAATGTGACACAATCATCTTTTTTATCCTGAGGTCCAACCTGAACACTCTAACTGCTTTTAATACAGTGATACTCCGTTGTACGCAGTATGTAGCAAATAAATGTCAGCCCTACGAATAAAGTTCATTATTTCTTGACTTGTTACGGTGAAATTGAATATCCAGATGCCAGCTTGGAAGTGAACAAACCAGTATGTGGACTGAGAGGGAGGTGACACCCTGTCATTTAACTCTGAGAGACATTGATGCAGAGGGACTTAAAATGAATCCCCTACAAGATCTTCTCACCTTTAATGCAGTTATAACAACTATATTAACTAAAGGGCTGAACTCCAATGGGGAATCCTTGCTGACAGGGAATCCAACAGCCAATGACTGTCTTTAATAAGACTAAATAGGATCAAATTGTGATGACAGTGCCACAAAAATGAAAGCATGCACAAGTAAAATTAAATAAATTGGTAGTTCTTGTCAGGGGAGCAAAGGTTTAAGTGAATTTAACTCGACAGTCTTCTGAAACCCTTACCACACATAGATGCAAAGACTGACAACCTCAAACCTTCATTTTAAATCAACCTTTATCAGCTAATCTGGTGTCCTTGTTTTCGGCAAAACAACCACTGAAATGTTTAAATTAAACCTCAGAAAAGATGCTAACCGCGGCTAAAGCTAGTTAACATAGTGAGAAATGCTATTCTGCTCATCAACACCTCCTCAAATTTTGACACCCTAACGCTGTGGCGCACCGTGAAGTTACCGAGTATCAATTAAAAGTGCACAATAAATCACTGTGAACAGTGGAGAAAATCACTTTATATCAATTCACAGCTGGTCTTTATGGCAGTTTTAGTTACCTCAACTACACAGCGTTAAGTAATCAAGCTAGCAGGCTAACATGGACGTTGGCTACATAAAGCTACAAGTCTCACCTGAAGAGCCCTCCGCAGTTTTTACTCCCGCTCCTGTGGCGGATGTTGTCCGTCCATACGGCGACAGCAACCTCTTTAACAACTGCCAGTCCAAACCACTTCAAATAAAGTTGCTGAAAAAAAGTTATCCATTTACAATTATGTCGAATTCAGGGAAGACATTAGTTAGCTTAGCTAATGCTAGCTGAGTAGGGCATTGTGGCTGGCTCCTGCTGGTGTCATCCGGACAGGAGGCCTTGATCCTCGGGGTTTCCTCGTCCGTCTTGGAGCCCCCGCACGGGCTAACCTGGAGCTGTCAATGCTCTGAAGCCTCTTAACAAGTGTTGTTACATTTCTGCCTCACTCGGTCTTTGTGTTGTCATTATGGTGCGTTGTAAGGTTCACACCGGGAGGAGAAGTTCAGTCCCCTCGTTAGTGTCCATTCTTCAGCTGTTAATAAAAGATCATTGCCCCCTGCAGAAAGGCCGCTCAGGGCTCCAGGGAGAGCTTGATGTGATGCTTCCTATGCGCCTGTTAAACAGATAAAATGAGCGCTCCTCAGGTCAGAACCTCCCCAAACACAGTCAGCAGAGTGCAGGCTTGGCCAAAGTACTAGGGGCCCTAAACTCTGAATGGCCCCTAGGACTAATCGATTAATTATGTACTTGACATGTACTTCTTGTTTCTTATTAATCTGACAGATTTCAGATTTGTTCAGGAACTTTCACCTTTTAAGGCAATTATTGTTATCAAGATTCTGCATTATTGTTTTGGATTTGATATGGCACCTAACCAATACCCCTGTCTTAAATTGTTCATATATCTATAACATTGTGTAGTGTTAAACTACTGATAAAACAGAGGCCACTGAGGCAAATCTAGTCAGTTAGGATCCCAAAATAGGCCATGGACCCTTAAACATCGGGGCCTGGCTGGGTGCTTAAAATTGTGACAAACACCAGGTATTACTATTTGTCAGCTGACACTGAACAACAAATTTCAGAAATCTGGGTCCTGATGGTCACTTAAAAATGTTGACTGGTCCAGAGTCTATGTGACCAGAATAATACTTAGTCTACTGTGTAAAATTATGAGAATTGTAATTTAAAGTGTGCTGAATGTATAACTTATTCAAATAACTTCTGAATGCATGACAGTAAATAATAGATAAGTCCAAAGAATGTGTCATTGGTTAATATTGTCCAGTTGCCTACTGGTAATTGGACAAATGGATCATTATGAAGAAAAAAATTAAACAAAATCAAATCTCCCTAAAGGTGAACTGTGGGATTAATATTGTTAGTGCCACTACAAAGTATAATGAAGAAGCAAGACAAAAGAGAAACTGATCCAATTCTGTCCAGAACACCACATTTTAAGTAAAAAGTATTTGTATATGTTGCCGGCAATACAATCAGGATGACACTACAATGGCTTGACAGTATTTGGTCCCAGCCTAATCAGTTTGACAACTTTTATGAGCAAATCCACTCAAATATTTGAATCCTACATTTTTTATTTCTGTGTCCATGCTAAGCAGTGCATGCTTATATATATTTGCATGCTTTCCTACTAAGACCAGTAGACTATAGTTGCACTTTGAGACCAGAAGATGGAACTAGAGCATTACAGACACAAAGCTCTAAACACTGTGGTTAGAGTGGAGTAGAGAATCATATGAAGTACAGTTTTTTGTCCACTATCTGCCTGCACCTCCAGTAATTAAATTAGCTAGTATAAAGAAACTTAACTTGGGCATTACTTTGCCTAAGACAATCCTTATTACCATTAAACTTGACCATGTCAGCCCTTCATGTCAAATGATAATTTACTTTAAGGATGCTAAGTCTCAAACAATCAAACATTTTTTATATGAAAAGTAATGTGAATCCCTGAGTTTTGTTAATTTATTATCATTTTTTCTGGGATCTACTATGTTTAATGGTGTAATAAAAGAAAGCAATGCACATAAAACCAATCAAGATTTTTACTCAAAACCACATTTCCAGCACATCATTTTGATACAACTCAGCAAAAACAAGTTGACAAAGCATTATTGGGAAAATTGAAAACAAGAAATAAAATGTCTTTGAGTGTTAAATCACAACATTTGTTCTTTGTCTTGATTCAAGGATTAGATCACCTACATCCTCCTTTTGAAAATATTACTTCCACCTAGTCTCAAGTGATGTCAAGTCATGGGGATTTGTACATTTTTTTTTCCAGGAAGAGTAAAAAATTCTGCAGCAAACTCTGGGTCATCTGTAAGACAGGCAAAAGACTACAGCAGATTTTGAAAAATAGTACATATACAGACTTTGGGGCTGTGGGTTAAGTTTATAAGAAAACAATAAAAACTGCAAGCATGGCTTTGCTGGATACTAAGAAGTCTCGGTCCATCATACGCAATCAAAAGAACATCTTATTAATCAGTGTAGCAAAAGTGGGTTTAAAATCCCTGACAAAATCCCTCCTCAGAATAATTTCTACATATTTACATACACAAATAGTCATTTATTTTTGTCTTGTGACAGTAGAGGCCTGCACATGTTTGGGTGCCTTTCCACAAAGGACAGTAAAAGTTCATCATTATATCCTTTGTCTTTGTTTGACAGTGTCAGTCTTTCCCTCTGTATGTGATGTTTGTGAAGGTGGACGTGGCTCCTTTGTAGAGGGGATTGTGTCCCTACAGGAGAAAAAATACACAAAAAAGAGAGATCACAGATTAATAAACAAGGTGTGCAATATGCCCTCTTAGTACGAGTTACACTTTCTTTACTAACAGAGCATTATACAAGGTCTCAGGTTTACTGGATCATGGTGTATTTTTTTTCATGTGCCAGTAAACGGCTAATTAGCCTTAGCTAATTTAAACCCAGCCCTTCCGGAGGTTGTCTTTTGTTCTGCTGGGAGTTACAGCAGGCCACAAAAATAATAAAAAACATCTTCAGCACACAAGAGTGAGAGACTGCATGTGTGGCCTTAAGTGAGCGTGTGAATAAAAGTGTTTGCAGACCAGACCAAGAAAGATGGATTGGGCAGGATCAAAGTCTGGTCTCTTTTCGAACTTTAGACTTCACTGTGACTTCAGTTTGACATGCACTTGATTTTTGTGTTACATCTTAAGAGACACAAAAATCAAGTGCATGTCTTGCCACCATGTGCTCAATTTACTGACCGTGTCCCACTTTGCTTTCGCACGCTCTTCTTCAAATCTGGCAAACTCTCTTCTGTCGTGAATGGTGACCAGCAGTTTCCAGATAAGCAAAGCTGCCAAGCCAAGGAAGAGGATGGCTCCAGCCACGGACAGAAGCACCACCAAAACATCTGGACCTTTGGGACAGTCTGGGTGGGGAGAGATAGAGATAAAGAAAGAGTCATGTGGGCACTAACAAGGAGATAAACCTGGAGGTAGTATGAGGAAGCCTGGCTAAATAGCACTGTTTGGATTATATGTGCTTTTACTTTTATATGCGCACAGCTTCTACACAGCTTTAGACACCTAGAAATGTGCATTTGAATTCTAGAGGATATCATGTCACTGTATTGACTCTAAATGGAAGCCTTCAACACTGACAAGAATAGAACAACTCAAGCTTTTGAAAAACAAACTAACAAAGACACAGGGGCCTTCACTGTGGCTTTGTCAGTTATCTATGATTAAGAATTATCATGCCAAAACAGCAAACAGAGGTAAACCTTGTGGTCAAGTTCCTGCTAAAACAAGCACTCCTAAGGTGATTTAATCTGAGGCAATAATACCAAAGAGCAGCAAGGAGGATGGGCTGAAGCGGATAATAGTAACTTCTGACAGCCAGACCATGACTCCCCCGCCCCAATGTGGTCTGGCACAATTCAAAAGGAATCTTATTTGTATATTTTGAAGAAGGCTGTACATCGACAGCTGACATAAGTCATTCTCAGAGTCACTGAAGAGACACATGCAGAACCTTTGTGGATCATATTCAACCATCACTAGCTGACACAGAAAACTATGCACTCAATTAACCACCAAAAATGTTCCTGGTTACACTGGATTGGAGCACTTGGACATGCAAACTTGAATCACTTTTAATAACACGATTCTAGCTTTCACTTTAAAAATCTGTTAGCGAGGTTTCATAGTTTCAAGAGCTTGTAAACAGCCTTATAAGTCTACTGTTTAGTTTTGCCTTTTGAGTGCAGGTTGAATTCATTTCACAGATAGTAAAAATCTGTTGCAAAAATTCAGATAGAAAGACTTAAAAAGGCCCTTTGAGGCGTGAAGAATAAAGAAATAGATACAGGAATAGTTTATCAAAATTTCTAATAACATATGAAAATACAAAAAATTATTCATGAGTGACTTTTTATAGGAATTAAAAAAATATATTTTGTCTGTTTGTATCACCAGTTGGGTCAGGTTGCTTTGTTGCTGGTGGGCAGTAATTCAGTTTGTTCGTCCAATTTTTTTGCTATTTAAGTGCAGCATAACAAAAGCTACAAACCCCAAATTGACATATTTGTGCAATTAAACATACAGTAGATCTTAAACATGACAGCCAAGTGTTACCTGATGACAAATGAAGAAGCAGCTAATTTTATTTAGAGTTGTGATCTGAGCTATCTCAATGCTTCTCTATTTATCCCACTTTAAGCTTTATATTAGCTATTACATGCTTCATCATGCTCACCAGCTGGTTGCTAACCTTGCCCTTTTGTTGTTAGATGCAGGGTGGCCAACAGAGAGGTTTTAGAGCACAACAGCCTGCTGTGGCTGAATAAGACACAAGAGCAGTGAGAGTGAGCTGAAACAGTAAAACTTAGGCCAGGAAACCAAAACAATTAGCTGACAGTGACTATTAAGCTCACCGTGGAGCTGGCAGGGAGGGTAACCCTTTGTTGGGTGGTCAGTAAAAGCACCTCTCAAGTACATCTTTCACATTGAAGAGACATCTTTCAGTGAAATATTTCTCATGACTGCTTTATCTTTGTTTTTGCATATTGAAGTGAAGTCTGGTAACAGTTTTCATCTGTCGTGCAAAAATGTCAAACGTTTACACTTCTAGCCACTATAGAGTTACAAGCCATCTGGTTTATACATGTGTGTACTGGTTTGTTTGCCAGTTTGGATTTCCATAGCTCTAACCCTTTGCATGTGTGTGTGTATGTATGTGTGTGTGTGTGTGTGTGTGTGTGTGTGTGTGTGTGTGTGTGTGTGTGTGTGTGTGTGTGTGTGTGTGTGTGTGTGTGTGTGTGTGTGTGTGTGTGTGTACTCTTCCAGACACGTGTGTGTATGCATTGTAAGGTAAGTGGACAGAGGATAGCTGGGTAATGTAAAGAGGCAACCAGGGTGAACTCTTACAGCAGACTTCAAAGCTTAGCTTCACTTCCTCTCCTCTAATTTATTTTCTCTGTTTCCTGCTCCTCAACTGACAATTTAGGCCTTGTGGCTTTTATTAAATACAAATCATGTCAGGCTGGTTCAAATCTGTGAAAACTACGTCACGACTAATAAACGAGAGAAATGCTAATAATTTTTTCTTTTCATTTTTAAAACAAAGATTCCCGTTCGCTTACATAGCCTCTTCTCATTCCCTCTTCTTGTTTCCTCTGGGGAATTTGTAGAGTCAGCTGGTTCCAGGAGGACCTGGGCAGCTGTTTACGACCCTCTTTGACACGACGGGGTGCACCATGTTCAAGGCAAATTTTGGTTTACCTCTCTGCTACCCAGTCGTGCCTTAATTAAACACACACACTCATTAAAGGCAGACCCAGGGACAGACTTTCTCTGCGGGCACTGCTGGTCATTAAAGGCTGTTTTACCACCCCACACTCTTTCTTTTTGGCCACTTTACAAGCAGATGAAGGGCACGCAGAGTGAGGTGAGGATTTGCACTAAGGTGAAGAAAACACATCCTTTTTATTTATGTTCTATCCATCAGTATTTCTCAGCTTGTGCCCCCTCACATATGATCCTTGTGAAAATAAGTCTCAAAGTCTTGTCTGTGTCTTCACCAACTGTTAGTGGGAAATATCTTATTCTGCAGCAGATAAATCCTTCACCATGATCATCAGCAAGTTTACAACTTCGTCTGTTTGCTGACTAAAGTTGCTAAAGCAGTGTTCAACATGTTTCTCTTAGCTTTTAGCCCAAAAAGCAGCTGACACCTATAAAGGGGCTCACAGGCTGCCAAATCAAAACAATCAGCCTGAAGACAATAAAACTCTTTAAAGCTACAGAGAAGAGCAGAGTTAGGGCTTATTCTCTGAGGTTTTCTCACCAAGGCATAAGTAATGGTAGCTGGGGTACATGCACAAACAGAAATTAATACCCTTGTCTGTCTTCACTGTTTGTCTTATGTATAATTTTTGACTTTGGAAAGAGTGGTCGCATGTAAATCTTCTTAGCTTATTCTCTAGAGACTTAAAGAAGGAAGGAGTTTATCAAAATATGTGCTACATTTAGATGCAAAGAAAACCAGCCTGTTACAACACAGCCTTAATAGTTGGTATAAGACTTGCCACTAACAAGGCAAATAGCAATCACATAAATATGAGGATTAGGCTATTGGGTTCCCCAAGGGTGGCCGATCCGATTTCAGGGGGCCCATTGCCACCCCTGAGCCCCCTCTTGATCTAGAGCAAACCTTTGTATACTATACTTTTTACACTGTGCATTGTCAGTTCATATAGATGGATCTCCTCACCTGGTTCTTTGACGACAAACAAAATGGATTTGCCACTGGAGTCCTCGTAGTACTGAAAGCGCTCCAGACAATCGTCCTCATCCTTGTAGGTGCAGTTCACAGCATTTGTGTCATGAAGCACTGCATGGAGAGAAATGGTACATCAGCAAGTCAAGAATTAGTTTTTCATAATTTACTATACAGATGCCCTAAAAAGCTTCAAAAACAAATATTTAATTCTTGGTTTTGTTCATAAGATATCGGTTACATTTAGTTTTTTCTAGGAAAGCTTCTTTTACATTTATTCATCCTTTATTCCTCAGCTTTCTTACCAACCCTGCGGCTTAGTTTTGGTGAATAACTGTATCATTAGATACTCAAAAACTCTTAACAACAGGTGTCTCACACTCAGTGCTATAATTCAGGGTCTTGCTCTTCTGTTGTTTCGCTAGATTTTACCTAATTCATTCACAAGCACAATTTCATCTTTGCAGATCAGAGAGCAGGTGTTGTCCTCATACAGCCTTCCCCTCTTGAAATGCTTACACTCCACACACTCCCTTTGAGGAGAAAAACAAAAACCAGGTCATCACAACATTACAGAGACCATGTATAACAACGGTGTGTGTGTATAGGCTCACTTCTTCATGGTGCAAGCATCAGGGCAGGTGGGGCATTTGTCACATGTGGCTCCATAGGCACCAGGTTGCGTGCATTCACAGGCGCCACACACACACTGGCCCCTCCCACTGCACAGCAGACCCAGATTGGACATACAGGTGTCAGTGCGCTTGGAGCAGTTACAGTTTTCACCCTGCCAGTCTGGTGCACATTGGCAGAAGCCACAGTTACAGATGCCATGGCCTGGTAGAGAAAGAAAAGTATAGGAATAATACTTTACAACAAATTGAGGAGGTGAGAAAATATTCATTTACAAATTCACCCTTTTGCACATTATGTGCGGCGACAAAACCACCAAATGTTGTGGGTTGTGGGGGTTTGTCAAAGCCACTGACATTGTTTACTGGCTACTCTGCAAAAGAGGGAACAAAGAGTCCATAAAGAAGAGGAGGACAGTGCAGCAAGTAAGATTCTGTGCCAAAATGAGGTTGTGGTTGGAGTTGGGTAACAAAGGGAAAAGGCTTGGACTGCTATGTAGTGGTTGACATGACAGTAATTTAAATTGTTGTGGATTATTTGTTTTGAAGGGTCAAAGTTTGTTTGGCTAATATTAGCACGAATTATGATTTACTACATTTGCCTTAACTACTAGTCATAAAGTTTTTCCTGTTTAGTAACATCAAAACAACTTGAAAACCATCTAAACGCATATTGTCAGTTTCAGCTGAATTCAATTTAAAGCTCCAGTAAGGAGTTTTTTGACAATAATGAAATAGACTGAAATTCATGGCTAATGCTTTTTTATCATAAGCAAAAGTAAACAAGACCATTGGCAACAAGATTGGTCATTGGTAAACTGTTATTTTAAATGCATGAAATTGGTGTGATGGGATTATGTGTCAGTGGAGCCCTGATTTACATTTTTTACATTTAAATGCCAAAGACATAAATCACATTACTCACAAATACCGGTAGGATGAGATTTTTTTGTTGTTGTTGTTAGGAAACAGAGAACAAAATAAGCAAAGCCTACTTTGTCCACAGAGGGCACTAAAATGGACCTAAGCCAAGGGTTCTTCCCAGGAGCTTTAAAAATGTTTTCAACAATAAGGCAGGACACATATTAAGCACTTTCATTTATCACTTCTTCCCTGAATCTAATGTTTTGGGAAACTTTGGGAAATCCACTGGTAATACAAAAAAAAGGGAAAATCCATGGGTTTGTCGGGTCAGCATAATGACCGTCTAAGCTTCTTAAGTGGTTATGACTGCATTAACCACAAACCTGTGTCATACCTTTGTGTATTTTCCTGTTGTGATGACGTTAAACTTTGAGAAGTTACATATAAGCTGGAGAAGTATTTGCTTGTTTGCTGTTAATCAAACATGAAGAATCCTAAATCATGCCAGCTGTAGCAAAATAGTTAACCAAGCTAGTGTGGCACAGCTCAAAGATTTGTTTTCAATCCTACGTTCAGAGTACATATTTTTCAGAATGAAGAAATATCTCAGTGAGACATTTCCTGCACGCAGCCAGATGCATTTGATTTCATACACTGGAAAACAGAAGTGGTTGGTCATGTTACTCTATTTCATTATGTTCCTGTGGAGTACTTTTATTTTTGGGCGCATGATTCAGTGACCGTGTGGGGGTAAGTTTGCCCACATTTTTTTGTTGTTGTTGGATTTATCAGTGTGATGTGTGTATGTGCACGCCAATAAAAGCGTGACAAAGCAGAAAACACAGAGGCCTCTATTCATGAAACAATGCCCTGGTAAACAATAAGACAGGAAGCTTCTTGGGACTACTCTGACAAAATAAAACTGAACCATAACCAGACTGTCATTTCCACTCGAACCCACGGGACCATTGCCTTTTAATTACACCCCTCTGTGGGAAGAACACAGACAACGGTCCTCATGTTGAACAAGGTATTTCCAGACAAAAGGAGACCATTTCTTTACACACTCTGAACATACCCACTTCACTCCAACTTGGCCCTTTTTCTGACCAAACATGGGTTTATTTTTAGCCTCATTACACCACATGAACCAGTGTGTAAGGGGAAAGGTATTTTTCATGTTAATCTATGGGCACTGGGGAATAGAGGAAAACATTTCTTTGCATGAGGAGCAGAAGGGGATAGAGTGGTAAATGACATGTAATCGTATGATGAAGCTATGAGCAGGAGTAAAGTAAACACTACTTAACATTACACAATAAACTACACTTAGCTGAAATATCCTCTTGCAATTTAAGTTAGTCAGTGCGTTTTAATGATCAACATGAATACACTGAAGCAAATTACAGATGAGATCCCCCTGGATTTTGGCTCTATCTTGACTCGGTTGCTTTATGAAGGGGAAATCTCACTTCTCTCTCTGTCCTGTTTTTTATCCTGACATCTTTACACCAAATGTTTAATTTTCATCGGTCTTTGTGGGGAAGTATGAGAAAAATAGCATGTTTCTTGACATTACCCTTCAACTATTGGACTTAGAAGTTGACTATCTGACTGGAGGTAGAAGCGAACAGCCAGCCTCAACTTCTCATAAATCTTTCTGTATATAGATTATATTTGACATATTAGGTAGTTTTAAAGTTAACTTGAGGTGTTGGCTGGTGTACTGTGTGCTCTCTGTGCTAACTGTGCTACCAAGACAACACGAACCTAGACTACACTAGCTGAGCTATGGTAAGAAGAGCGCTGCTAACCTTGTAATACCATCAAATAAATAGCCTTAGTTAGCAGCAAACAGTCAACCTCATTTAAAAAAGCAAACATCAAATGTTCAAGATTTAATAATGAATGTATGGCAGGTATTCAACTACAACTTTTGAATATGAAGCGATTCATATTTTCAAGGCAACAACTGAAAGTATTAACAATTCGTCCCCTCCAAAAGGTATGAAGAACATCCTGAGGATAATATCATGTAATTTCGCTTTCTAGCATACTGTCTCTTCTTAATCTCCAGAAAAACAAAAGATCTTCAAACTGCACAATAAAGCTCCTAACAATTACCAAGCACAAATCTCACTATTTCAATACCTCAACACATTGCATCTGACCAGGTAGAGCTACTGTCAAGATCTTTCTTTGTGCATAAATCCTGCTGAACTCTGGTACAAAAGCTTGGTCTGGCTGACACAAACATACAACCTGAGCTTACATTAACACACGTGTACATATCAAACCCTGCATTTATTGTGAATAGAGCCCACGTCCCAGGCAAGGAGGAGGATTGTTATTGTAAGTAATTCCTCCCAGATGGGGTGGGTGGCAAGTCAAGAGTGGTGAAGGGGACCACAAACCCCAGTGGCAAAGAGACAGACATTCTCTGTAACGTTACCACAGAGGCAGAATGTGTATCATAGTAAGTTGACGATTGTAACATGCTGTTTCTCTCAAATGTGTCTGATGTGAAATTTAAAGGAACAGTCAAATAGTTTCAGTTTCAGACTTATATCGTATTCCAACTTATAATATTGTGTCGTAGCATACAATAAGGTATCATTCAGTATTATATTGTAATTGTATCTGGCAAATCTCCCTGTATCCTATTGAATTGTGTCGTATCATATCAATAGTATTGTATTATGTCTTAAAGTAAATCAATCATATGTTATTGTATCATTCAGTATCACATCACACTGTATTACATTGTGTTGCATAATTTTATTTTGTGTTATATTGGATTTCATTGCATTGCATTGAATCATGCCAGAGAGAATGGTATCGAATTGTATTGTATCATATTGTATCCTATTCCAACGTGTTGTATCATTTCATCTTATTACATGACACACTGTTTCCTAGTTAATGGTATGAAATAGTATCATATCAAACCACATCGTAATAATCATATTGTATCTTATTGTATGGTATCATGTCTAATGTCTGTTTTCTTTTTACCTATTTGTTGCTACATAAATGCCTGGAATGATAAATATAGGACATCCACTTCTGGAAACCAATTATATTTTCAACTGATGTCAGATAAAACTTCACCTAATATTGGATTCTGAGTGAACCTGTGATTTTGACAGACCAAAAGACCCCCAAAATAGTTGATAGTTTATTCTTCTTGATATGTGACTTCCAGATATAATTCTGTTATCTGGTCATGTTTATAATTTTAGAGGATCAAATCTCACCTGAACATAGTTCTCCTTTGTAGCGCAGGCAGTTGAAGTCGTCACACTCGCACAGCTTTCCCCACACTTTCCCAAAGTCACTGTTGTGGCACACACACTGGCCGCACACACAGTCCCCTCGGCCGCTGCAGATGGCAGACTGAGTTCCTCCAGAACCAGCAGGTCCACTGCAGCGATCCTGCTCTGTGGGGTTATAATCCCCCTCTGCACACTCACAGTGTGGCCCCAAGCGACCAGGGTGGCACAGGCAGATGCCGCACTCAAAGGTGCCGTTGCCGTGGTTACATTTGGGGCTATTGGGCTGGGCCTTATTCTGGCACTTGCAGTCGCATTCAAAAGTGACGGTGATAGAGAGGGAGTCTTTAAAGCCTACAGGTTTTATGATGAAGGTTTTCTTCTTCTGTTTGGGGCACCCCCGAGCTCTGGCTTCCACGCTAAAAGAGACCTGGATGACAGAAGGGAATTCAAATTTGGAACAACAGAAAGATAGTTAGAGTCCTGTTTTTCAATGTTTTCTGAAGGTGAAGAGATTCTTGATCTAGTTCATCCTTTTGTGTACCACCCTGGTGTAAATGATGTAACACATGACAGTACTTCTGCAGACCAGTTTATGATGTTTTAATAGCCTCTCATATGGTGAGTATCGTCTAATCACTGTTGGCTGACAAAGCAAAAAAATGTCAGACAGGGAATGCCTCCAGATGTGTTTAGCTTAAGTAATTTTTCATTCGGCATTACACATCAATCTGGTAAATGTCCAAAAGAGGGAAGTTACCACATCTGGTACAAAAGCCATATATGGAGAAAATAAGAGGAGCTGAGGCAAAGAAAAAGAACTGAGTGAAAGCCAAAAAATGTCACCTGGAGTGAGAAGAGAACAGGGAAAGGAGCCGACAAAGCTGTGAGAGAGTAAAAATGCAAAGCAAAAACAATAAAAAGGGAGATATCCTACACTTAACAATTGTCTGTTAATAAAATTGGAGTAAGAATGTGAAGGAAGCAAAAGAATTAACTTTAAAGGACAAGCTGAAGGACAGCTCTGATCTACTTTTGCCTTTTGTCTGTCCTTTGCATCACTGAGGGGAAAACCCAACTTAAAACCATGTAAATAGAAGCAAAAAAAGGAAATGGAAAGACATCATGAACAAACCAACATGCAGTCTAGACACAATAACTGTCATTGGTCCTGTGTTTTTTTTTTCCAGGAGACAATATGTGTCAGTGGTAAAAGGGCAAAAATTAAAAATCATATACTACTGTGATTCTGCTCTGATAAGTCATGAGGTTACAGGATTGTAGTTTTGGGTAAATACATTCACAACTCTCTGAAAAGGGTCCAGAAACAGGTCTGATTGCTCATGTAATCAGTAATTTTATTTTGCTGTTTTCTTCTCTCCTCTGGTTTTTGCCTTTTAAAAAATAAAAAGAGACAGTATGCCATCTTCAAGCAGATGAAACTCTCTCTAATGTAGTATAACTTCAATTTTACAGTTTGGATAGGCCGTTTACACTTAATTTTTACAGTGATGCAACAGAGAGAATCCACTTTAGCAGGTCAGTAACCAAAAAAGGAGAAAACAGGGTATGGACTGACCGTGTCGCCAATCTTAAGGCCAGAACAGGATTTGAGGCCAGGGATGAGCTCTCCGTTCAGACATGTGGCATTAAAGGACAAGGACAGCTCCTCAGGGACACCCTGAAGCTCCAGCTCCACCTTCGAACGGATTTTCTGGAAACACAAAAGGACATTGAGGGAAATAAGAGACTGGGAGGATGTGTGATTGACATGTATCAGAAAGCAAAAATCTAGAGTAGAAGTAGGAGGAAAAATAAAAAAAATACATCAATTAAATCATATAAAATCTAAATGAGTCAAGAGTTAAATCTTCTTTTCTTTTAGATTCAAATATTTTTGTCCCACATATCATAAATGATGTTGTGCAGCAATAAAGCTACACTCACAAACACACAGACCATCTTTTTTTTGAACATCACAGAGATACAGCTACAGTTAAGCTCATTACAATTTTCACCTGCCCTGGTTTTTTTAACCCAAACAGACACTCAGCCAGGAGTCTCTACTTATGGTCAGCTTCAGACTGCGGCCACTGAGGAGGCTCTGCTGAGACTTTGGCTCGACTATGTGTATGACTCAAACACTGTGGGTGTGTGTCGGTAAACACATGTCATCCTCTGAAACACTGTCTGGTCCTAGGAGTGTATGTGTATGTGTGTGTAACACTTACAGCATAAGCCTTTAGTATGAGCTGAATAACGTTGCCTGAGTCGTTGGACAGTATTCCTACAGTAGTGCCAGGAATCAACTCACTGTAGTTCTACAAAACAGAAATTCACACAGACAGAAATACTGTTGATAATATACAGTCTGGAAACATGTGTATCAATATCTTAAAATAACTTACTTACTTACTTTTGTGAGTATCAAAAACTTCAAGAACCAATAAAACATTGTTTCACTACAATAAAAACCTCAACATTAAATATAAAAAATAACATATAATAGCAGCAGGCTCAAAAACACAACAAAACAGCAACAAAAACTAGCAGAGGATGAAGAAAGGAAATAATTTGTCCTTATTCATCATTTAAAAAGACCTTCATTAATATATATTTTGCCAATACATTCTTCCACATACAGCACTGTTAGTTTCAGATAACTGACCAGTGTGTTTTGGGATAGTCTAATATCTTTATATCCTTAATAAACTAAATGAATGAGGCCAATGATGATGCTGTAGCATTAACACAATGTTGCTATTTTTCACATAGCTGATGGATGAAAAAAGCAGAACAAGCACAAGGTGTCTTTGATTTCATGGTATGAGATAGTCGTGTCATACAAATCTTTACTGCCATGTGGCCCACAAATATTAGCATTAAAACACCTCATAAAAGCAGAAGTATGTCACACTCTAATAACCCAGTCTGCTCTCTAAATGACTCACTGGTTTGTTAAACGACTGATGAATTTATTTCACATCCCCTACACTTCATGCAAATAGCCATTTTCCTTTTAGTAAACAGTTAGTTTAAACTGTGCTCCAGTTTTGGAAAATGTGAGTTTATACCCTGCTGTGTCTCTACAACATAAAAAAGCTGGTTCAGTTTGAGTTTTTCCAGCCGCCTATGCAGGATCCAAGAACCTCTGTGTGAAACCAGTGAGGTTTGGAGGGCTAGAGCAGAAACTATTTAGTGTTCAAGATGAGATGGATACAAACTGGAATTTGTCATCATCTCATTTTCAGTCTTAAGACATGTGCTTAATAAACTGTGTTGTGTATTCGTCTTTGTTGTGCTGACCTGGTACAGAGGAACCACAGGGTTTGTGACAGCAAAGATGAGGTTGATGTTGTTCTCTGACATCTTCTCTGTGATCAGAGCCAGTGATGGGTAATCCTGTGGGACAAAGTGGGACAAAAACAGACATTTCCTCTGTCATATTTCTGTTTATTCAAACACAGCCTCGCATTCCCTTTAGCATTTGCACTAAACACAAACTTGTGCTGCACACTAACCATGGTGGTAGACATGCTGTACATATTTTCAGAGTTGAGGTGGCACTTCCCATCATGGGGCTGCACGATTCCAGATAGACGACCATCCAGAGCTACGTGAGTCTTAGCATCTGAGGTGAAGATCAAGAGGTGGGATGCACCGGGGCGCCAACCGATCTGTTCCTAAAACATCTCAAAATTAGCTTTTGAAAGAGAGATTTCAGGTGAACTTTCACTTTATTTTCCCCTTATCCTAGACACACCTGGTTGGATTGGTTCAATTAAAAACTTACTATCTGCATCTGTCTTTTTACTTTATTTTAGACCCATGGGTCCATTCATCATGAAAGAGCATGAGAAATAACATGTATAAATACATTAAATGGCAGTTAAAAAATAAGACTTATTTCCTGAGCAAGGTGTTGGTATGAACACATACATTGCACACAGCAGCCTGGATGATGGCATCAAAGCCTCCCTCTGGGGCATCTCGGTTCCTGGACACCATTTGCTTCTTCACCTCCTCTGTAAAGCGACTCACCTCCTCCGTCAGAGACAAGACGTGCTTGTAGCCAAACTGGGGCAGGCAGGTGGTGTTGATGCTGTCAGTGCGACAGAGATGAAGCTATCAGGTTCAGATAAGCTGCTCTGTTCATGCGTAGCACATTTAAGAATTTGTTACTTTCACACACAGGGTGAGAGGCTGTTTGTTATTAAGTGTGAAGGTTGAATACTTCACCCGCAAGGGAACATGACTGTACCTGTTCCTAAACTCATGGTAATCCATCAAATAGTTAGAATAGAATAGAATCAGGAGGATTCACCATCAGAAAAGGGTTTCTCTCATGATAATTAATGGGAATTACAGAAAAACATCTATATCTATTCATTCTTCTTACTAGGGCTGGGCGATAAAACGATAACGATATATATCAAAAATTAGTTTCCCTCAATATCAACATAAAACATGGTCAATATGCTTTTCAATCGTCGGCATTCTGCCATGTTTTAGTAGACTACGAATAGGAATAGCCAATAAAAAGGGGAGTTGCTCCGGGTCTGCTTCGTGCTGGATCACTCATGTGCTGAATTAGAACAAAGTAGCAAACAACTGCGTAGTCGTAGACTGCAGCTACACGCAACCATAGCACTTTAACACATGAAGTCGAAAGCACTGTGGGTGAGAAAAAAACAAAATGAGTGCTGCCCTCAGCAGAAATGCAGATAAAGGCTCAACAGATAATGACATCGTGGACAACACTGGCATGAAATTGTCGTTGGTGTGGAGGTATTTTGGTTTTTTGAGGTCGGACATGAAGCAGAGTAATGTGCACTGCAAATTATGTCGAATACATGTTCTCGTAAAGTCAGGGTATACCTCAAAATCTTTTTCACCACCTGAAGCAGTGCCACACGGCAGAGCACGCACAATGCAAAAGGTTACAAACCCCAAACGGAGCAAGGAGCCCATGGCACCTGTGTAGCCAAGACAGCCAACCGTTCAGTCCACTTTGTCTAGCACAACGACAAAACGTCAAAGACACACAAAGACCTCAAAGATGCAGTAGCTTATTGTATTGCAAAAGACATGCTACCAACAAACATTGTTGAATTTCATTTTTTATATCGTTGTAGATTTTGATATTGACTAATATGAAAAAAAAATATTGTGATAAACTTTTTCCCATATCGCCCAACCCTACTTCTTTCCCTATCTCATAATCTGGAGGTTTTCAAAGTAGATTCCCCTTATTTTAAGAATTTTCTTTTGCTCTCATTGCACCCCTCTTTCTCTTTGTGTTGCACACCAGCAGACCAAAGTTCTCCTCTTGTCTTATCTTTTATCCAAACATTCCTGGAGGCTGGATCACAGCAGACTGTTTGTTAGAGGGAAAAGAAATGACCTAGAGAGACGTTAAACAACCAAATCAACCTCAGAGGAGCCTTAAGGTAGAGTTACACCAGTTTGCACTGGGACACTCTTGACATCCGAGCAGATTACCTGCAGCTGATTCAGAGCAGCTGACCAAGCACTTTGGAGCCACAGTAAGCCTTTAACAAGTGCTCTGCCTCTTACCATGCATGAGTTTTCACTGAGGTACACTGTGTTTAAAGATGTCCTCACAGTAATGACATCACCTGCACAATAAAGCGACTTCCCGCAAACAGACATAAACAAGGAACCACATGAAAACAACATCATCTGGTAGGCCTACTATGTATTAGGAGAGTGGAGAGCCTCTGAATCCAGCTGAGTACATGAAAGATAGATAGCTAAATATCTTTTCTCTTACCTAAAACAGGGGTTCTTCACGGCCTCTTTGGGGGAGATGTACATATAAGGCGAGAGTGGCTTGTCCACAAAAGCCCCGAATCCCATGCGAAGGTTGCTGGTAGTGCGGTTCATGGCCTCAGCCAGACCTCTACCCAGAGTCCTCAGGCGGAAGAGATCATCATTCATGGAGTAGGAGAGATCCATGAGGTAGTACAGGTCAACAGGGTAGTCCTCTACCTGACGCACCTTGACTGTGAAGCGCTTTGCGTCATCTAATAAGATACAGAAACTGATGTTATTTCTACTGCTACAAAAGGCATGTAAATCCCTCTGATTCAGATGAAAAACCCCGTGTCTGACATGTTAAACCCAACCTGGCCTGAGGGTGATGCTGAGTTTCTGCGGTTTAATCTGGGTAACATCCTGTGTGGCCCCTGCTGCCTTGGTGCTCAGGGGACGGTCCTCGATCACCTGAAGTTTGCTGTTTGGAGACTCCATACCTGACAGAGCACAGCCCGCTGCCAGCAGGTTGCTTTTCAGATCACAGCGGGAAGCACCAGCAACACCCTGTCCAAAGTCCTGGGATTAAAAGGTCATAAATCAAATCCAGAGAAGCAGTCAGTTTCAGGAACTTCCACATGTGTTAAGAAGTACTTTGATTTGCAGAATATAATCAGAATGTTGTTTATTTACAGAGCAACCATCTGTGATAAAGCTGTATTGAGAGGTGGTAATGGATTCATTTGGAGGCTTAAAACCAAAAAATCCATGTAAGGTCTTAAATAAAAATTCCCTGAAACAAAATCTTTCAAATTAACCTTGAGTGTAAGACTAATTCCTACTTAACTGGGCTTCACTGGTTTACTCAAAGTCCAGCTATCCTCAGAAAATTTCAAACCTCAGTGAAGGGTTGAGCTTGTAAACGCCTAGGATGACTTTAACATTATTCAATCATTGCCAGTCTTTGGTGTGAAACAGGAAACATGACCACATCCTTGTAAAGTCACACAGTCCAGTCACTGAGTCTAGCATGCCTTAAATCACTTTTTTTTTCTTGAAGGACATGAGGAAAAAGTGCTTCTTTCATTCATTTCACCTGAACTTATTTTACCTTAACTATCCATGTGTATGAATTCTTCTCAGACAGATTACTAGTCTGGTGAGAAGATCTGTGCCACCCAGCTCCAGCTCTAAATGAAGTGGAGTGGAAAAGAAACCCACCTCTTGGAAACACCAAGCGCAGCTAGGGTGTACAGCCAGACACTGCTTACATGTGCTGGCCCCTCTGGTGGTGCAGACATTTGAACCTGTAACCAAAATAGGAGGAGTTATTCCTACAAAAAAACAGGGTCAATCTTCAGTTATGTTAGAAAAACAAGTATTATGCATCCTGATTTTTGCAAAACAATCTTCCCTTTTCAAAAATATAACAGTGCTTTGTCCAAAATTTTCTTACACTTTGACTCACTGTGTCTGTGATGACTCCTTGTTTTGGCATTAATAACACTAATTCTGCACTTTTCTTAAAGGGCATTTTGTATTTTTTTTAGCTGCCATGAGCAAACGTGATATGTTTGTCAAAAATTCATCAATAATCGCAGCTGAAATGTATCATGATATTATAGCGGGCAATGTATCAGGTCTTGTGTCTGATTTAGAGGTACTCTGAGATCCACCAAATGATGTCCAAAGAACTGGCAACTGCATGACACTGTTCAGTGATAAAGCCCATCTGAAAAGTTTGAGTTTTTATTTTTTTCTAGATAAAGGCTACACACCCTTGTACATTTTCTAACTGATATTTTTCCTTCATTGCAAGAAAAACACCCTTACTTAGCATGTTAGTTAGTAAAAGCAATTCATTATTTTATTTCACTCATTTTTTTTTAAATTTTTAAGTAAAAGCAGAGGTAAAATCTTCTAAATGTCTTCTTCTTGTTCGCTACTGGTGTAAAACATAACGACTTTGAAAAAGCAGACTTTAAATTTACCGTAAACTAATGTAATTCCAGTGAGGATGATAGTCCTTAAAATCCTTGCCGCCTGGAGAGCACCCATCCTGGTGTGGGCTCTCTGTGAGGACGGGGTCAGCCACCGAGCTCTGCTGATGTAGGGAGCTACAAGGAGAAAAGAAAAAAGAACAAGAAAAAAAGTTTCTTCAGCAATAAACACAGCTCCAAATAGAGTCAAATGTCTTAACACCACCCCCTCACTCCACTTCTACAGTGCTCATTATCATAGTCGGACATGAAGGAGGCGGGAGGAGTGCATCTGGAGAAGGAGGTATGAGATTTTATTTTGGTGGAGGGCAGGTCTGAGAGCTGTACCAAACATGTGACACACTGTTCCATTGTTATTTCATTCGCTCTGGTATCTCTGTAACATGGTTTTGCCTTCATATGTAGTGGGGATGTCTCGATCAATTCAGTTTATTATTGAAAATGTGGAGCACCTTCACAAAAAACAGCTTCAAGTTCGGATAAGTGAACGTCAGAAAAATAGAGAGAGGGAATAAATCAGTGACAGACAAGCTTGCCCTCTTAATTACAATGTGAAGGCATTAAAATTTGAAGCAACGCAGACACAGACTGTTAAATCACATCAATTTACATCATTAACGAAGACTGCAAAAAGATTGCGGCCATGGTTGTCATTCTGATATTGTGGCACTCCCCCCTAGTGGACAAAAGCGGAATCATCACTGAAGCACCAACAAGGTATGGTGCTTTGTCTTTATGCTAGTTTTTCTTAGTCGTTTTTCCTTCTGATTTGGGGAGTTTGTTTTAGCTTCTGTCTTGAGGAGAAACATCGCCTCATCCTCCTGATTTCTGACCAGTTTTTCTTCAACCATTTTTAAGTCTCTCAAGATGCTTATCGCCCAGGAGCTAAGAGTAGACTATTTTGTGAAAGAAGTATCCAGATGTTTAAATTAATGTAGAAAATTCACTGTAATCAAATATTAGAAATTGAAATTCTTTTTTTCAAAATATAAAATAAAAAAACAGAAGTAAAGTACACATGCTCATAAATGATCAAATTCAAACTAAACATTATGTAGCATTGCCATTGCAGGATATTTTTATTAGTACCTGCAATAGTATATTAATGCAGTTTTTATAATTGTGATACTATTAAATAATGCATAGAATAGCATTTTAATTTAAATTGTGAGCACCGTTGCGAGGTTTGTTTAAAGCTGCATTATGTTTATGTGGGTAACCATACAGTATATTTCATCTGATATGTAACATGAATGTAAGCAGCAAATACAGTTCCCAGACAAATGTTCTGTTAAGAGTACAACTGTGCAATTTCTTAGTACCACTTAAATTTTGTAGATTGAATTTATTTTTCTCCACAAGAAACATGCTGTGGTGGTTATCATTTTTCAGTTGTCATCATTATTAAAAGCTCCTATGAGTAACATATGTCATTTTTGTCCCCCTCTGTGGACAAAGCAGTCTTTTCTAGTCTTCCTCTCCTGTGCATGCTTGAGCAATGACTTTTAATGGAAAAATGATGCTACCAACTTTTGACAGTCTCATGTATCATTTATTGTGGACATGGTAAAAACAGAAACAAATTCCTTCAGCTGCTAAACCAGTTTTAAGCACTGAAAATTAAAAAATATAACAATCATCAGTTCTGTGACGGATGGTCCTGTTTGTTTTTGTATTTCATGAAAAGGCATCAATATGAATTTCTGTTTTCCTTCACAGTTCACAAACATAAGAACTACTTATAGGAGCTTTAATTTACAGTATATGATTAATTCTACGAGGATTTCTCTCATTAACTCTTATCTTTCTCTGTCACATAAAGATCATTATAACCGTGCACATCACAGTTTTGATTACACATGTGCATCAACTGGACCCACATTTAAGATTGCACTTTTCTTTTTGTCACTCTTGTCCAATCATAAGGACAGGGTGATAAAGAAATTTTATGGTAGATTCTAGATGATAACACATAAATAATGAATTGAGGGAAAACTTTTAAATATATGTCTTAAAGTAGCCCACTTACCCTGCATATGTTCGTGGAGCTAATGCTGTAGCACTGCCAACCTCCACCAGGTGTCATTTTCCTACAACATGTGGCCTGTGTGGACATGTATATGAGCATAAAGTTTTACTTCTGCCAGTGTATGGGTCACTTATCTATTATATTTGACTAATTTGTGATAATTTTCCCTCATAATTTAACTTTTGCTTTGTATTCTATTAAACATCATTAGTTTGGTGTTTTGAGGCCAGTTTAAGATTGGATTATGATACACTACAAATCTGTGCGACACAATGCAATTAGATACTAAAACGCAGGATACATAACAATGTGATTAAGTCAGTATCATTTGTTATATACTGACATATATAAGTGACATGATTCATTAAAATAAAATGGGTACAATACAATATGATACAATAGGACAAGATAGAAATAGATATTAGTTAAGAATTGAAGCAGAAAGTGAGGCAACAATCTGATACTGTACAATATATTATGACATGGTTAGATACAATTCAATATGAAACAGTAGCATATGAAACAATATAATACACTACAAAACAATACATTACAAAACTAAAATTAGCATATGCATATTGCTCAGTGGTCTGCCATCTGTCAGTGAATGTGGTGTAGATGGGTGATGTATGGCCTGTAATGTAAAAGAGCTTTAAATGGACAGAGGATGACAGAAAGCACTGTATGAAACACCTCTAATTGACTTTGTGCGTGGTGTTTTAACTGTTGTGTTGACATGGATTAAAACGTGTCTCTTCCTCCTGCTTTCTCTGCATCCCTCTAGGTTGTTCCTCCTCTTTTTCTTCCTCTTATTGACATCTCTCCTCCTCTTGAAGCTTTCTGTTGCTCAATTTTCCATGTGTTACTTTTCCTCTTGCTTCACATTTGCCTTTTCCTTCCCTCTCTTTGGAAAGGCAGTTGCACAACACTCTGCAAAGGAGAAAGCTCCTCTTTTTGCTCCGGCAGGTTTGATTGACAGCACCCCTTGCACACACTCCAGTGAGAGTGAGTGTGTGAGTGTTTGTGTGTGTGTGTGTGTTTGTGTTTGTGGGAGGGGTGGGGAGGGGAGGGCATGCATGTGTCTTGGCATCAACCTGTGTCTCAAGAAGTCTAATTGCAGCATTTGGTCTTTTTTCTCTTGGCCAGAAAGACATGTGTGCTCTCTCTCTCTCTCTCTCTCTCTCTCTCTCTCTCTCTCTTACACACACTTTTTACTTTGTGTGTATCTGTGTGAAAGCTTCTTTGAGAAAACAGAGCAACCAAATCAGCCCAAAGGTTGCGAAAGAGCTCTCACATTGATTCATCTGAGGAGTTCAAGCACACGTGCATGCTCTCTCTCACTCACACACACACACACATACACACACACACACACACACACAAACTCACACACACACACAGAGGGGTTGTGTGTTGACTTAGGGAGTTAATGAATGGATGATTGAGGGCTGCAGGGGTTGGGGAGAGCAGTACCGTGGAAACAACCCCTCTTTCCCAGGAAGGGAGTAAAGAACAAGAACTAGAGACAAAGACAGGGACAGAAGACGAGTGTCCCAGAGACAGAATGAAATTCAGATTGTGTGTGCAGAGAGCCAAGGGGGGCTGTGGGGCGAAAACTACTCGAAGCAGAGGCATTGAAAGAGCCAATAAAGCAAGTAGCATGTACTTGACAAGAACCCAAAGGGGTAGAGAGAGAGGGAAAGAAGCAGCTGTTGGAGGAGGAGAGTGAGACAAAGAAGGAGCAGGGGGCTGTCCTTAGTTGCTCTTCACTGTGAGGAGTAGATGTGGGAGGAGGCAGAGGGAGAGAGGAGAAAGAAGAGACCAAGAAAGAGAAAGAGCAAAGAGGGAGTAGGCAGTATGTTTGGTGTGTAATAGGAAAAACATTCTTTTAAAAAGTGTGTGTGTGTGTGTGTGTGTGTTTTTTGCACAGCCTCCTTTTCTCTCCTCTGCAAAATTCGGGGCTGAGGGACCATGCAGAAGCAGCAGCAGCAGGGGTGGACTCTTCTCCCCTGGCTCCACGCTCTCCTGTTGGGGGTGATGGGGCTCCTGGTGAGTGGCTCGGAGTTCCAGCATCACCGTTACGAGGACATGGTGCGAGCCCTATTTGCAGTGCAGAGCGAGTGTCCCTACATCACGCGCATTTACAGCATCGGGCGCAGCGTGGAGGGACGCCACCTCTATGTGCTGGAGTTCAGTGATAACCCAGGCATCCACGAGGCATGTGAGTAACACCTGAATTAAAGTTTGACAGTTCAGTATAGATGGATATGTTGGGTTGAGGTGAAAAGGCATTCGTTGGCAGACTACAAGATTTGAACTCAGAGCTGGCCAACACAGAGTAGAACTTTTATTAGACAAACTTTAATCTAGTTAATGTGTTTATATGCTGCCAGAGTACGCAAAAAAACTATGTAATTACACTTAATGGATCTCTTTCACTTTATTAATGTAGAAAGTGTTTTTTCCTGCCCTCTTCAACAGTCAAATGAATCATTACTGGATTTGAATCTTTGTCTTGATTTTAAAAGGTGCTGTTTCTGCTCTATGCATCACTCACCCCATGCAGTGGTGTCATGTTTTAAAAATAACAATCCAGAAAAAGCCAGGCTTGGCAATGATAATCTCAGTTGCTCATTAAAAAGTGCCCTTCCAGTTTTTAAGTCTCCATGAGCTCAAACCTCCTCACAGGAGCTTTAAAATTAAGTATGGGTTTAACATGCACAGGTTGTGTCACTGTTGGCCCATTTGTTTTGCACTTTTTCGCTGCAGGAATTGAGAGCATAGCTGGCAGGAGACTCAACAGTCTGTGGGGGCTCTGCTTTTTTCCCACAGGAGATGAAACACAAGCTTTCCATGTAGCCCTCAGAAGCTGAATTACTGTGTGGCTTTATAGTGAAAGGGGAAAAGAGGAGCTGTCCCAAACTGGCTTTTTTGATAAACATTAGGAATGGCAATCTGTGGAAACCCAAAGTGAAACCAAAACTTGAAAAAAACTTAACATCTGTGATTGATTTCTCATTTTTTTGCTTTCTCTAACCCCTGAAAACATGTGGGGTGCTATTCAAAGCTGAGCAGATGACACAGAAGTTCACTTTAAGTCAACATGACATAAACCTTGAACTCGCTCATGCAAAAGCTTTGCTTGTTTTCCCTCCTTCTACAAACCACCGAAATCTGGCTTCCAGGTGTTTGCTTTGCATATCAGTCACAAATTAAAAACCTCAACCTTGTCACAGTGTTTGCATTGAAAACAGGCCAAAAGGTCAGATTTGTTTTTGAAGGGTTTTCCGCTCTTTCATTTTACGTGGCAGCTCCTTGGAAAGAAAAGGATTGACAAATGCAGGGAATGCTTCTTTTTTTTTTTTTTTTTTAGGCTGGGGCTGAGCTTGCATTTTTATCTGCATTTGCACACGTAGGGGCTTCCTTCAGGAGAATAGAAGGATGTGCGCTTGTTCTGTTGCATGATGACCAAGAGTGAAAAACAGGAACTGTGCACTTTACGGAGGGGAGTGACCTCAGGTCTCGTCTAGGGCAACCTTCATGCACCCTTTAGGAAGTTCATGCCATTCACATGCTGCTGAGTTTGTGTATGTGTTCGTGTTTTCAAAGCTGCGAGCCAGAGCCAACACTGTTTTGTGAACCTGAGGCCAGTTGGCTCCTGCTTAAAGAAAAGGAGGTGAATTGTAGCACCCAAGCTGCCATTTGGGTTCCTGAAGCAATTAGTGAAGGGTGTTCATAAATTTAAGAGTATCTTCTCACCCCCGCATACCAAAACTCCTGCAAGATACCCTCAGCTCTACAAATGAACGGCAGAAGAGCAGAGAAATACCAATATACAGCATTTTACGCCACACTATAAGTTAATAACTATCCAGAAGGTACAATGTTTAGCAGTAGCTCTGTCAGCAGCAGTGTTTAGAGGTCCTGGTTATATCAACACTCAGACAGTGTTTAATGAAAGGACCCCTGGGAGGAGAGAACCTTATCCAGAGAGAAGGAGCCTGTTTGGATAGGTGGCTCACCCAATCAGTGACAGACAGTCATAGGAATGCAAGATGACCTTATCCAAATAATTCAATCAGATGTAATCAGACTCGTTCCCCAGAGTTCAACCTTGACACAGCCTTGAGCTTCCTTATCATGAATTTCTGTAAAAATAAGAACATTATGAACGCTTATTGTTTTGTAAAGGCAGAGTGTTTAGAAATGAGAGTATTTAGCAATATCTAGTGGTGAAATTCTGGACTGAAACAGCTTCCTGCTCACGCCTCCCATCAGTGAGTCAGCGGTGGGTGAGGACAGGATGCTGCTGTCATTTCTCATTTTTCATGTTAGTAGTATTAAACATCTCTATAAATATAAGTTACTTTTGCACACAACAACCACTCTCTTCTATATTGTCTGCCTATTTTGTGTGGCTGCTCTACTAAAACATATTTGTTACTAGTTTGTCTGTTCGGTGCTACTGTAGAAACACGGTGCTGCAAGATGGTGGCCTTTAGTGAAGGGGACCCGCTTCTATGCAGAGATAAAAGGATCAGTCTAAGTTACCAAAAGCAAAAAGTTTTTTTTATTTTAAATTTTAAATTTTGGTGATTTTACACTCATTCAAACCGAATAACAATTATTTCATTCAGTTTTTTTTTTACCAAGTCTGTTCTGCTTGTTTCTACACACTGCACCCAAAAAAAACTAGGAAGAACTATGAAGGAAAAGCAAAAAAAGCAACCTATTCTTACCTGACTTGATGAAGCCAGACATCTTGTTTTTTCTCTCTTTTTTAAAACGAAAAAAAAAAAAGGTTTCAAAGACTCAGAACTTCATGGATCATGTTTTTTGGTCCAGGCTATGGAGGCCATCAAGTTTCTTGTGCAGCTACAAATTTGAACATATATTTCAACTACCTAAAACGTGTTACTCACATTTGTACGTTGCTTTCCGCCTCACCAGCTCTGTAGTGATTAGTTTGAAGAGACAATGCATTTTAGAGCATGTAGGTATGACTGTTGGGCCCCGCCAAACCAGAAATGGGCATCAATATGCACAAATGTGCATAGTATGATCTCAAGACACACTCCATGGCCACAGCATGAGAGGAATGAGAGTATGCGGTTTAGGACACAGCCACAGCCTTGCTCGGTCTGTCATGGCCGGCAGCATTTGGCAAGCTCGAGCAAATGTTAGCAGTGTACATCAAATTCAGATGAAAGTGTGTTGTTAAAATGGTTAAAAACAAAGCTTTCTATGACTGCCATTGCAAATGCTATTAGGTTTTTGTAGCCTGAGGGTGGTAGCTGGATATTACAGCCACATTAGCATAACAAACCCAAGCTGCACACTTGTGGTTTGAGTCACATAGTGGGTTTTGTTGGAACACCATTGGTTTTGATTTGTTTAAATTGTTTCTGTCAGTATCCAGACTCAAGAATAATGGAGGGAAAATGTCTGTTATTGTTCTGTAGATGTCCTTTATACTGTTGGCTGGAGGTTACACAGTTTCTCGTAGGGATATTATTCAGTCTAATAAATACAATCAGTTAAACAGAAGAAATACAACTTACCCAAAGTGTACTGCATTTTGTGTCACCAAAGTGTAGTAATATCTGTGTATGTATGTGTGCGTGCTCAGGCACCTAGCAGCTCACTTTGACCTTTTGACCCTCATACCCCCCTTCACCTATTCACTTATTCCCCAGTGGAGCCAGAGTTCAAGTATGTGGGGAACATGCACGGCAACGAGGTGCTGGGTCGCGAGCTGCTCATTAAGTTCTCCCAGTTCATGTGCGAGGAATACAGGGCCGGAAACCACCGGATAATGAGGCTGATCCATGACACCCGCATCCACATCCTGCCCTCCATGAACCCTGATGGTTACGAGGTGGCTGCCAGACAGGTAATGTTCACCCTGACAATACATATGAACTGCAGGCTCTCAGGTGCCAAAGACAAATCAGGGATATGCCCTATGTATTTATTTTCTGTTGCAACCATCTGCCATTTTGGCAGCAATAAGCTCTCTGCCTTTTTTATGCTTGCAGGAAGAAATGTTAGAAATGTAAGGACCCCTTAGGAGAAGGACAAATACCAATGGGTTAAATCTCTGCACAAACATCTGACTCCTCTTGTAAAAATGTATATATGTGTACATATTCATTTACCAGCAGCCCAAAATTAACCGTTTCATTCCTATAATATATATCTTTTACTGTTTGCTATGTCTGTAATAATCCCATCAATCAACTTACCACAGGAGCCCTTAGTTTTTACCTGGAGGAAATTATATGGACCCTGAAACAACAGACACACATGCAATAGCCTTTAAAAACAAACACATGCACACAATCTTTTCCAGGCTAATTATATATCCTCAGGAGGCCAGTTGCACATGCTGGTGCCCCTCTTTGTAACTCAGACAACTTGAGCATAAAGCACTGTAATTTTTTCCATCAACAGATGTTGGGATGTAGCAAAGGTGACTCGATATCCCAGTATGATATAGAGTCCTAACTTGCACAGTTGGGATTCTGGGATTGGATTCAGTTTAGGACTTTTGCTTAATTCTTTTATTAATAGAGTGCAAATTTCTACCAAAATGAGAATGCCAAAAAAGACAAGACTGCAGCCATGCAAGCAGCTTTGTGAGTGAGCTCCTTGCTAAAAGTGAAAAGAGTAGACATTATCACAGTGACAATCTTAAGAAGTTGATTTTCAGCTGGGTTAATGTTTACTTTGACTGTTTAAGAAGTAGACACAGCCTCTGTGTCTGAAAATAAAGCTAGCCCATAAATACCTGTAAGTGACAGGTGCCTACCATGGCTCATCTTGCTTGTCAGAATATGAGCTCTGTCCCAATTCAGGGTAGGATCCTTTGAAAAACTGAGCCCTTGTAGCCTGTGTACACGAAAACTGAATGTTAATTTAATTGTGTGTTACAAAACTGCTAGAGAATTTACCATCTTGTTTTAATTGGTGTGCAAAAATTCACAAGATATGCTGGGCCACAAAGGATGCAAATGCCAGCCACATTAGAAGAGGCCTATGACATTGGACAGCCTTTGACAATCTGCTGTGATACCATTGTGCCAAATTTATGGCATCAGCTGGAGAAACACAAAAATAAGTTCTCCAGTGCTGCTTCAATCATATCGCAAAGCCTAGGTTGCAAAATTAGCTATTGAGTGATGATTCAATCCCTTTGTTTGGAGAATCCCACATTAGCTGCTGTTTATGTGTTGAGATTTTGTCTGTGTGTCTACAGGGTCCAGAGTTCAACGGCTACCTGGTGGGTCGAGGAAACGCCAGAGAGATTGATCTGAACAGGAACTTTCCAGACTTGAACGCCCTCATGTACTACTATGAGAAGACCAATGGACGAAATCACCACCTGCCGCTGCCTGACAACTGGGAGCAACAGGTCAGTGGTGCTGGAAATAACACACAGGACACACACAGCGACACTTATCTGTGTGTATGAGCTTATTCATGTATGTGCATGTGTGGCTGAGAGGGGCTGAGGGTGGGAGGAGGATGGCGCATCAATCCCCTACATTTCTCATGCTTGTGTGAGTGTATTTAATGTTTATATATGAAGTCAAATAATGAGAACTGTTACATAGCTGAGTTACTTGACCTAGACTTTGTTGACATGGAGATTGCTGTAGTGGATCAGATTCCACAGCAAGTTAAGCTTTTACCAAATGAAAAGAAACTGCCCTTAAAAATAAAACAATCAGTAGACCAACATGTTGGCTCTGTGGGTAGTCTGATCTATGTTGCGTACATGTGTGTGCGCCTATACTGTCTGACCTTGCTGTACTGGTGTGTTTGCTTGTCTTGCAGTAAAAACCAGTACCCCCTCATATAAACTTTGGGTGCTTTGGGTCAGAGAGGGGCTACTGTTCTTTGTCTTTGTACAAGGGAGTGAGAAAGCAGCCCTACCAGTTCCAGGTTTGCGCTCGGGGGCGGAACAAAAGTATTACTGAAAATGATAATTTTTTAACAAAGAGTTTGAACATACTATACTATAGACTTAAAGTGTCAGCCCGACATCTCTGTCTTTTGTCACTGCCATGAGAATCTGAACTTACCTCCCATACAGTCTCAGAATGTGGATGATACTTGCTAGCTTCATAATAGCCCTTTACGTCACTCGAAATAGCACCACATAACTTCCATGTGTTCAATTTCCAGTCTGTTTAGTGAAATTCCAACAGTACTGGATAAAGTATTTTTATCCTTTGTTGAAAAAAAGTGATCCATTTCAAGTTATATGGGGCTTTACTTTTTCATTGTCAAACAGAATGTAAAGGCTTTAATTTAAAAATGTGACTTAAAGCTCCTCTGAGGAACTTTTTGTTTGCGTCAATTTTGGTGCCCCCTGTGGACAAAACACTTCTTGCTTGCCTTGGCATTTACATATTTCACTTGTACCTTCTGACAAAAAGTCTTATCCTCCTGACTTTTGACAGTCAAATGTATCTTAATGTAAAAACAGACTGTCTCTTCAGTTTCTTGACTGACACCTACCTCCTGCAACTCTGAGGCACCTACCTCCTCTACTGGTGCGAGGAGGTAAGTGCCTCACAGTTGCAGGCATGGAAAATCACAATTGAAAAAACATCAATCTTGTTGCTGATGATCTTATATGCTTGTATATGTCCTAAAAAGGCATCAGTATGAATTTTGGTGTATTTCATTAACACCAAAATCTGTTCCTCGAGAGAGTATGTTGTAGAAACCGTAACATGTTTCCATCTGAAATGTAGTAAGGTTTAAAAGTACAACTAGTGAAATGGAAACAGTAAAAATAGTGTATAGTGAACAAATGCTTATGCAAATTAGAAACCTAGCAAGCAGGGCTCTACTTGTCTCTAATCTGTGGGAACTGTCTTTAATTCTCCAAACCAGCTAATGTTTTTGCAACAGTGTTTGCTAAACTGCAGTGCTAATGGAAAGAAACATTTTTCCACAATGTCAACAGGTAGAGGTGAAATGTAATAGTCTACTTTGTATATAGTGTATTGCTTTAAAATAACATGTATGATCAAGAAGACCCCGATGTTGCTTTTGCTGTTGAGAATCGATTACTGTTGTAAAGGGGGTTTGACCAGTCAGAATGGCGTATTCAACACAGCCAAGTAATAGCTGTTCTTGAATCTATCTGGTTACATAAATAAACATACTCCACAACTCTACTTTAATAACAAAGTACTTTCTTAAGTAATCAGTCCTTATTACAGCCAGAAGTAGTATACTTCAAAATAAAAGCATAGTTTGACCATGCAGGGAAATCGTGGTCTGGGGCACCATAGCTGCTAGAGCTGGCAGTTCTTCAAGTTCTTCAAGGGTCAATTATGTCCTTTGAATCAAAGTGAACTGGTTTAAGCAGCTTGGCAAGGTATAAGACACTAAAGCGAATCAATAACAGAATTAATTGTTTCATATTTATATAGTTTGGCAAGCAAGGTTCAACCATTGAGTTTTATATCTTTGTTCCTATTGTGCTGAGAAACTTAAACACTGGTCCTTCCTGTCACTGGCTAGCTGTCTACCCACATGACTGCCTCCTGAAAGGCAAAAACAAAAGGGTAACTGTGCCACTGTTATGGATACTTCTCTCATGCTGCTCAGGATAACATTTTCATAGGCTACATACTGCAACACATTTGCAAACTAGGCTTCTTTTTAATTTCCCAGCCGATGACGCTTTATGCAGAGAAAGGAGTGTATTTCTTTTCATAGCAAGTTTGATATTCTTCCAAGTAAATTCAGACAGAGAAAGCAAAGTCTTCCAGTGCAGATATAATTTTGATGGATTATTCCTCTCAGGAATCAGTTTTTCCAAACTTTCCACCTCCCACAGACCAACAACAGGGTCCATTACAGGCCCTGCATACAGTATTTCCACAGACCCCAGAGAGCACCATGGACTGCTGACATTTATTTGGCCTCCCACAGACTTAAATCGTATCATAAATTGTTTGTCAGTGATCCAGAAATAAGATGTCATGGCTCTCTCTGTTATCTGAGTTTTGTAACACAGAGGTATCACTATCCATAAATATATATATGTGTGTGTGTGTGTGTGTGTGTGTGTGTGTGTGTGTGTGTGTGTGTGTGTGTGTGTGTGAGCTAGTGAGTGTGTGTTGAATGTAACCCTAAACCATAGTACCAGCACTGACTTCAAAGTGTGTATAAAGATAGCCAGACAATAAACACCTGTCAGCTCTCACAACAAAAGTCTATCTTCTTGGTTACCGAATGCTGCATTCAAGGCCAGTAGTAAATGATCGTCCTAGATTATCCTCCAGCCAGGCCAGACTGTGTTAACTGTCCTACATACCTCATTCAAGGAGAAGTACTACTCTTAGTCTCCACGCAGGATTAATAGTTTAGAACATGGGGAATAGTTAGTGCTGACAGAGGCAATAAAAATCAGACTAAAGTGGAATTTAAAGATTTAAGATTAACAAAGTATGACAAAGAACGTGCCAAATAGTTTGACCTAGAAGACACAGATCCAGATCAGAAAGAAAGTGGGGAACGATGAGTAGTGTCTGTCTTAAATGAGATTAACTGAAGTGTTGAATGACAATGTTTTCTAAACACTGAGCCAAGGGGAAAAAAGGGCATGAAAGTTTGCATTAAAACAGCAGAAACAAGGATTCGTCCTGATAACTGGCCAAGTAGAGAAGCAAAGGGGTTCTGGGTGAAAGGAAAACCAGATGTGGCAAGTCTTCTGATGGTGTTTGGGGAATGTCTGGGATGAAGGGAAGGTTATGTACTAAAATACCAGTAACCAGACAATACACAGTACATCTGACAGGAACTATGACTGCACTGTAGAAACATATAAGCACCAGAATGAATATATGGACCAAAGGGAACATATTTAACTGAACCTACAGTAGTATCATGAATACTTTAAATACTGTAGTAGGTCTCTGCAAGTATATATGTCTGTACCTCTGATATCAGCCCCACCCCCACACACAAAAAAAGTTTTGAGGACTCAAGCTTTTCTTAAAGGTTTCTCATGTTGTCAATGTTTGAGTTAAAGAAACATGTATTTTTACATATTGAAATGTGAACTACATTGTAGAGCTGTTACATTGACTGCCCTCTACAGGTTGAACCAGAGACTTTGGCAGTCATCAAATGGATGCAAAACTACAACTTCATCCTGTCAGCCAACCTTCATGGGGGAGCTGTCGTGGCCAACTACCCCTTCGACAAATCGAGAGACCCCCGAATTCGAGGGAGGACCACATACGCCGCAACTCCAGATGACAAGATCTTCAGAAAAGTGTGCCTCAGTTAAAAGATATTTTCACATACCACACACGGTTCTCATCACTTTCTGCCATGTCATGTGTATATATATATATGCTAAAATATAAAGATGATTGAATACATGTTTGTTTGACAGCTGGCAAGGACATATTCATACGCTCACAGCTGGATGCACAAGGGTTGGAACTGTGGCGACTTCTTTGATGAGGGTATAACCAACGGAGCCAGCTGGTACTCTCTGTCCAAAGGTACGCTAATGCTCCACTTCTCACTCCTGTTTGGTAAATTATTAAATGTTTGTTGTTACCAAGAAATAGTGGCAGATGATAGTTTAGCTCATTTCCGCCTGTTAGTTCAAAATGTTTCCTTCTGTTTAAGCCTTTGTGATCAAGAAGTCTTTGACTGCTCCCAAGTAATCAAACATTGCTCAGAAAATTGAATACTCCTACCATCCCTATAAATCACATATTAAAAGTGGGGTTCTCTTTTACATGCAGAGATCCACTGTCTTCAGCACTTCAAAGCCTCCTGCATGAATGTCATGCCGGGAGTAGCTGGTGAGGCTCTGATTCCCAGAGTGGTCATGAACTCTCTGATTCCTCATGCTGTACCTCCTCTTGACTTTGACCTGTTCGCCTGCTTTGGCGCACACCAACAGCTGCACTCCAAATGACCTCTCAAATTAGGGGCATGAGTCGGTGAATGTCCTCAACTGCCTTGAGGACAATTCAAAGACTGTTACCGAAGTGGGTTGTGTGGTTTGAAGAACAGGTGGTCTGCATACAGAGCGTAGACTGTATCATAACTGGATGGAGTGTCGTTGATGTCAGCCATTACTTTGGTTAAGCAGAGTTTTGACAGATTTGACAGCTTGCAGACCAAAAGAGGCTTATTTCAAGACTTTCTGTTGTAATTTTCACAATAAGTAGTACCTGACAGGGTTTATTGGAAAACATTTAACATTTATGCAGAGGACAGAATCAGAAAAGAGATAATTTATCCTCTTGTCTATTTGAGAAGACGCAAGCAACAGAACAAAGCAGAGTTCCCTTCTAAGTGTTGTAGGGAGCTGTTGATTTTGGGTTTCCCCCTCCAAAACAATACTTCACCAGAAAACAACCATCTTTGCTAATTGTGCTTACTTTAATTTAGCCATGACCAGGTGAGTTTAAGTGAAATATGACCCAAACCCAGTGCTATTAAAATATTTGCTCTAAAACCACACCTAATAATGAATAATATACTACAGCAGTTAACTGAATGGATTTTACGTTTTTGGGTTTATTAGTCTGCCATGAAATGACAAAGACAGAATCTGTTACTAGGGTGTGGGTGATTAATACTATTTACTGGCATTGGCCTTCAACCATTACAGTTATATAAAGCTTAGGCACCGTCAAGTTGCTTTCCCCGCTATGCCTCATTCATGAGAAACAAGCTGTGTTTTGATATTGGATGAATTCTTTGCTGTAATGTTTTAACTTCGGCTGCCTTGAAGCTGCAGTACACCAAGTTCTTGCAAACAGTCTGGGCATGTTTTCAGGCTCAGCTCAGTTAATCCATAACACCAGCAGTAACAATACCCACTTCTCTGATCTGTAAATCCTGGTCAGGGCTGGTCTGGATTATTTTTTGGAATGTGAATCTTTTGAGCTTCTTCGGTTGAGTCATGAAAGCTTTTGATTTTGAATGAAAACACCCACAGTTGCATTTAGTCGGAGCACGGTATGTTTATTTTACAACCCCTTTTTGCTCCAAGTGTTATGTCACGGTCTATGAGGTTACATTTAACACCCCCCCCAAGTTTGGCTCCATGTGCTTTCCACTTCTATGAAAAGTAGTTTATTGCAAAGTTTCAAAGCCAAAGAAAATTGTAGTAAAAGTTCCAGTTAGATGTGTCACAATGGATTTTTGATCAATTGCAAATACAGAAAACTGTGGCTCATTATGACCTGGGACCCCCTGATACAAAATATGTTGTTTTTGTTTTTAATCTGAGTCTATTTATGTGTGTTTCAGGCATGCAGGACTTCAACTACCTGTACAGCAACTGTTTTGAGATTACCCTGGAGTTGAGCTGTGACAAGTTCCCTCCAGCATCAGCACTGCCAAGAGAGTGGCTAGGCAACCGGGAGGCCCTGGTCTCATACCTTGAACAGGTCAAAACACAAACACATAACATCTCATTATTTGGCAAAACTGCAGCCTTATAATTTCAAAATGAAAGCACATGAATACACACATCACAAAAACCCAAACACCAAGAATCATTAGTGCGATTTCCTGGCTTCTTGTTAATATTGGCTTACCTTCCCTGGATAAAGAAAGTCATAATGAGCTGTGCGAAAGTCACTGTAATACTAGTAAACTGACTTTTACCTTCTGCCAAGCATAAACAGGAGTCTTTGTTTAAGAACAAGATCTCCTTTATCCTTAAAGCCATTTTCCTCCAATAGAAGCAGGACTGATTAAAAAAATGCTTCCAGGCATTGTGCTGTTTTTTTTTTTATATTGTGAGTATTGCAAACTCTTGTGCCAGGGTTAGAAAGGTTCATTGTTATTGTGTTCTTTTTTATTTTTATATACAGTCAACAAATGGTTTAACTTGCATTTAACATTGTTTACAACTATACCCTTTAATTGCATACTTATGTTTGGTCAACATTCATTTCATATGATGTTCTTGGTTTGCACAAGGTCAAGAACAAAAGGCATCATCTGCAAAATAAATATGTTAAACTGGAATGTGAAAATGACTTAAATGTTTAAAAACAACTGAATCTGTTTGCCTTTTTTCAGGTGCATCATGGGATAAAAGGCATGGTTTACGATGAAAACAACAACCCTGTTGGCAATGCAGAGATCTCAGTGGCTGGAGTCAACCATGATGTGACCACCGGTAAGGTTTTTTTTTCTCTCTTCTTTTTGTTACAGTTGGGGATCAGTTAAGTTGTTCTGTGTTTTTCAGTGGATAGATTTAAGCCAGCCTTCACTCTGGAAAGAGCAACATCGCCCTCTAGTGTCCAATTATGAGAACACGCTTTGAAACTGAGACTGACCACATGCACAAAACAGAAATTTATAGTGATGCCTTTGTTTGATTTTTAAAGCAAACATAACAATCATTAATTATATTTAAACTGTATATTTCAATATGTTACTAAATAAACTGAAGAAACTCTTCTATTGTTACATTTTGAACTTTAAATACTCACATTTAATAATGCATTTGTCAGCTGGAAGAGATATTTTTGTCAGAGGACACTACTTAAAAACAGTCTGCTTTGTCACACCACCTCACAGTTATATATGGATAACAGAATAACAAAGCACAATCATCCTATAAATTAAACTAATGGTTAAAGCTCCTGTGAGGACAGATTGATAATTAATTCAGTGGCAAATGAGGCCACCTGCTGCAAAAAGGAAAAAAAAATTCTAGATTTTTTATTTTGACCCTCAAAAGACAGTAGGATGAGATATTGTCATCAGAAAAACTGGGGTCCTTCTATATATAATAACAAAAATGTGAAGTAGACCAGCTGTATGTTTTCATCTTCCATATTTTCTGATGTGCCCATTTCTAGGAGTGGATGGAGACTATTTCAGACTTCTGTTACCTGGTACCTACACTGTAACAGCATCTGCTCCAGGCTACGTCTCCTCCACCAGCACTGTCACAGTGGGACCAGCTGAAGCCATACAGGTGTGTTTTCACTGCATGTTTATGGACAAGGCATAACAGAAAAAGAGTGTTTAAAGCTGGTTGACAGTTTTTTTTAATGATCCCTCAAACCTTGTTGTTCTCTCCTCCACTCACAGCTTCATTTTTACTTGAAAACGGCACCAAAACAAAACCTGAAAGTGAAGCCCCACAACGGCAGGAAGAACCTTTCGTCTCACAAGGCCCCGCTAAAACTTGGCCCCAGATGAGACATGGACTGAATTTTTTTGCACATGCATTCACACATTCATTTTGAACTGTCATGTTAAACACACACATACAAATTATGGAAATAACTGACCATAATATATGTATGTAATGTTATCTCTATAGCCTTATGGTTATATATTTCAACCATTTGTGTTTTGTTTGTTTTTTGTTTTGTTGATAAATATAAACATTGTGTCCGATGTACTGTATTTATGTAACATTGTTGAATTGTATGAATACAGCTACTGTATTTGTCTGTATTTGTAAAGGCTTTTTTCTGTCTCTGATTTATAAAACCTGATGATAATTAAAAGTGATATACAATGGTGTGTTAGCAGTCTTTGTATATTTTGATTCTGCTTTGTTTGGACTTTTCAGGGGTCAGTGTATTCCCCCTCTTTTTGGCCTTTACCTTTGGACACCTGCGTTTCTAATTGACAAGTGGACAAGTGGCCCCAGTCAAAATCTCTACCTGCCACTGTCCCACAAAACAGGTCTCCCCCCTCTCTAACCTCAGGGTGGAAGTTTCTTTTCTTGACCTTTTCCTGCCTGTCTTCCTCATTGTTTTCTTTCTACTTTTCCTGCCCTCTTCCCTTCCGTTTTCCTGCTTCAACTTTGCACCGTCCCTGCTTTGGATTTGAGCCCTGCCTGCCTGGTAGTGCTTGCTTGTCTAGTTCTTCTTATTTCACCATTTTGTTATGTTTTTCGTTTAAAAGAACAGCCCAAAATGCATTGTTAGAAAAGTATTTATCTTCTGGCACACATAAACACCCCATCCTGTATTTGAACCCAGAATCTCCTCATCGAGGGGCAGAAGTCTTCCCTGCTAAGCCACCTCAATCTCTGGTGGTGATCATTTCATTTCACCCTTCCTTCAAGTGAAAGCTCTGGCTGGAGTTATATCTTTCCTGTCTCATATGTAAAGCCCTTGCACTGGCTTTGAACCCAGAGTCTTAGCATCAAGGGGCAGCAGCCTTCACCAAGTCATCTTTGCTTGTGGTTGCTCAAAGGCACACCTCAATCTACATAGTGAGAATAAAACTACTTCCCGGGATAGTACTATCCTTCCTGAGGATTGTACTACCTTCCCTACAATTTAGAAAATAAGACGGAAAGACAGAGGGAAAAAAGAGAGAGAAAAAAAAGAAAGAGAGAGAGGAGAGAAAAAGGGCAGCAAGAGGAAAAATAAAAAGAAAAAAGAAAGAGAGGGTGGGAATACTGCAGCTTCTCACTTCGAGCAGCGTGCACTGACTCTGATCTTATTTTAGAGTTAATCATAGTCAATTTTCTGACGACAGTTGTAGATCTTAATTATATCAAAGCTGATAACAGCTTTCTTTACAAAGTCACATGAAAACAAGAACAACATCAAAATCAGATCGTAATTCATTAGCACTGTCATTCACCCTGCCATTAGCTGGAGGCTAGCTTAGTATTTCACTGCTGAATAAATGCATAGCAATGCTTTGTGAAGGAGATGCACAATTATGCTGTACTTTTTAAAGTGATTTACAGTAATCAGAATTCATGTTAGCCATATCTGCAGGCTGGAAATCACATCCCTGATTTAGTATTTGTCACTTTTAATATAAAAATAACATCAGAGATGAGTATGAAAATAGTTTCTTCTGCCCAAAAAATCTCTTTTCAATTTTTTTTGCCTCTCTAATAATAACCAAAGCACAACCAGTTGTGGATTTTTGATTTTCATTTCTCTCTTTTCATTTTAGCTATTGACGTATGTCATGTATGCCACTAGACTAGACAACTTCTTCAAGATTGCCATGCTTTTGTCAGCAATTACGGAAAAAACAGGTACTGGTATATAAACATTTATATGTGTTGTACCAGAATTGCAAACAGTTAACCTCAAATAGAAATATTTTACTATGAGCAATTGAGATAAGTCCAGTGCACACAATGGCTGAGTACAATAATATCCCTTTCTTGTTTTTTACAACTCTGTCACAGCTCATGTTTCTCAGATTACGCACAACCCAGCGATTGTACAGCTGTTGATGTATTCTCTGCCTACAGAGCGTTATGGTGATGATCAACTGGCAGCAAATACTGAAAGACAACAACAGACCCACACACTGCCTTTGAATGAAAGTGGTCACTGTAAGGGAAGACAAAGCCAGTGATTCACACAGGGCCGCTGGTCTGGAGTTTTCTCAGCTGTAGTGCAGTGTGTGAATGCTGTGTGTGTGAGACAGAGACAGCATGCACTTTTATTGATGTGCAATTAGTTCGCACAAAGTGGCGTCAATGAAGCCCACCAGTGATCCTACAGTGTCAGACATCTCATTCTACAATGCTCACATATTCATTGACTCAGAGTTCATGGTGAGATTCTTTGACACTGGAGGAAGACGCTTTATCGGAAATGACGACACAACCAATCTGGATCTGAATGACCTAATATGAGGCACAAAATATACACTTTTCTGTTTAGTCACACCATTCCTACTGAATCTGCCTTTTCGGTTTCTTAATTTCATTGATATAAAATAAGATTTTAAGTCTAACAAGTCGTAAATGTGCATGTTTTTGAACTCTCTAGTATATTCAGAAAGGTGGTATTATGCTTCATGGTTAATGTGTGAAATCACAGTGAGATCAACATGAGGTTTGCTTAAATCCTGACATCAGCAGACAGTGAATCTCCTCAGAGGGGCAAATTTGCCATGTTATAAAAAGAAACCCAACTTTGTTGCAGGCAACAGTGAAGGAAGCTTCCAGAATGTTGAGCTCTAGAACGCTGGGGGCCCTAAAGGGAGAGTAGTATAAATGAAGCTTAACAGACAGAGGATGAAATGAGGATGGCAATGTTCTGCTCTCCATCAGCATGAAATGTCTCTCGTCCAATCAGATTGCTGGAGAGGATTTACGTGTTTTGTCATTTGACTGAACTCAGCGAGCTCTGGACTGATTGAGTTAATATTGATACTGTGAAACTGTGTTTGACTTTGGCTAATTGGACTATTTTGAAAAACCCAAAATGATTCGAAGGTTAACTCATGTAGTCAGACTCTATTAATGTCTTATTACATTAGCTCTATTACATATAATGAAAGTATAATGGCTATCACTTGTAAATGACAGCATGTCATGTTAAAATGAAACTTGTCCGTACGGCGAAGCAAGCAAGATCTGAATTAGAGTAAACCTGTCTTCATGTGTTTTTCACTGTGCCTCTCCTGTATCTTTTTCCTTTTCCGTGACAACACTTAAAGTCAAAAGCATCCAACTTGCTCTGTTTCCTGCTATTGTCCTGCACACACAGGATTACATATGAGGAAGCTGTCATTACTGCCGACACTGCAAAAAAATGGGCCCTGTGTTTCACACCACAACACCCAGCAGCAATAGCTGAAAAATAGGATTACCTAACATGTAATTCTTTAAAGTATGCCTATGATTTTCTCTCTCTTAATGAAGGTTTTCATTGTCTAAATGGTTTAAAATTAATGAGGAGCAGCCACAAATAGAATACAGGTTACACCCTCCTGCTGGATCTCAGTGAAACTTCAACTTTCTACACCATTTTACTGCTGAACACAAGTCAATTTTAGTTAAGTGAGTCATAGTGACACCAAAGAAAACCTCACTGAGAGATTATTCATTTCCAAACATGAATAGTGCTACTTCCTATAACTACTGTTTCAGAATTCAGCCTGGGTGGAGTGGACAGCTTAAACATGTTTAGGCCTGCACAGGAATGAGCGCATGAATTGGGGAAATGTTAATGTTGGTTTGGTCATTCTGTACCACAAAGGGGTTTGGCTTTATTTCTTGTCAAGTGAATTAAAAAGCATTAGAAGACATGTTGAAATAATGTACTGAGTTGGTGAAGTAAACAAAACTGTGAAATGCCACATGGAAAGTAAATACCTGAAATATTTTAAAACTATAAAGCATTAGCCTATGAAAAATGCTGCAAACATATGTTCCCCAGATGGGTCCAAAAGGAATGCTGACACCGGATGTTTCTTATATGCTGATACATTGTGCTATTAATTCATAAAGTCAGGCACATTTTTCTGAATGACCCCGTGTCCTCTGATGAAGACAATACTTTAACCTTGTGCTGTAGTCTACAACCATAAAGAGCTGACATCCTCCTGCATCAGTAAATCTAAAACTCATTTAAGAGATTGATTCTTGGCTGCATAAGCTCATTTAAATTGAGAGTCGTGAGAAGTATTTATGTTATCTGCAGTAATAAAGAAGAACTCAAATCCCTTTCTTAATTAAAACTGGACCTGATTCCTTCAACATAAACTGAAAATCAAGAAAATGGACTTAAAGCATCAGGTTTAGAGCTGGAAAACCTGCTTGATTCGAATCTAATTATATTGTGTGATTGGTTGATTGTATTGCTATAGTACAGTAAACTTTTCAGGCCAAACCTTTGGCAGTGCTGTGATTTATATACAGTTTATTGGATTTCATGTCAATTGGTTTTAAGGTTTCATTCATAATGTTGGGATAATTATGTAGCAGAAACAGCTAGAGGGGGAATAAAAATTACAAAATTAACCTCATCAACATGCGTACATGTACCTCAGAGCAAACTCTGACTTTTTTAGTCAGGCATCAGCCGAGCCACCTACAGCCCTGTGTGGAAAAAAAGTGGGTGGCGTTGTTGTATGTAGGCATGGAGAGGACGGAGCGACTCGGCTGCTGCTGTTTCTAATGTGATGACAGCTGATTGTACTGAGGCAGAGCAACGGGGCCGACGTGTCAACAATGCTGTCTTGAACCACTACTTTAATATGAAGTATCATGCCGGTGAAATCATGAATGTGCGCCCAACTCCGGAGCTGTGGGAGGTACTGTAGCTGCTCAAAAAGTTGCGTCGCGGAGAAAAAGCAACTCCGCCAACACATCACCAGGCTGGAGAAGTTGGATATCTAGTCTGACTGGATCTAACGGCTCAATCCCACGTTTTTCCACTGGATACAGATACTCAAAAGGTAAGAGAACACCCTATAACCTCATGTTTTTAATTTTTTTTTTGCCTTTTGTCAAAATAGAGGCATCTAACGCTTGTGAAGGCATGAGAGCGAGGAACACAGTCTAATGACAGAAATCTGTGGTTTTACACTTGTATAGCCATAATATTGGCTTCTCAAATAGCGACAAAAAGGCGATTGGCTGTATCGTACTCCTTTAAAAGCTTTGAATGTGACTTTTAAATTCTGACAGTCGCTTTGGGTGTACTTTGAACACATTTATCCACAGCGCAGCTTGAATACAGAGCTATCAAATTAACTGAGTCATGACGTGAGCTGAATGAGTGAACACAAGTGCTACAGACTACAGAATAATCCCCCCGCTGTCTGTCTGTCTGTCTGTCACCTGTGCCCGCTACTGTCAGTTGTTTCAGAGAGAGAGAGAGAGAGAGAGAGAGAGAGAGAGAGAGAGAGAGAGAGAGAGAGAGTCCACATCACAGCCCAGTCCACTGCACACATTAGAGGGAGGTAAATCATGTCAAACGCATGTGCCCACTTAATTTTGGGAGTTTTGACATAATTACTCTGGGGTTCTGTAATGTAATTTGATTTTAACATTACACAAAGTCATACTATTACATCCCAGCATGTTAAGATACAGTCTTTTCTGTAGGGAAAACACCTAACAGGGTGAAACAGTTATACACAATGCTCAGACCATAATAGGTTGGCCGATTTTCTAAATCAAAGCACATTATCTTTTATTAATGAATACACATTTTCCTATCCTAAATGACAAGCACATAATGTCTTAGACTGTCATTGACTTGTCCTTGATATAAATTCAGTTGTGATGTGCAGAATTTTAAAGTTTAATGTTGCTTCTGCCATGTAGATATCAGCAATGTCCTTAAATCTATAACATGACCCTAAAGCAAAGCATATCAGAACTTTTCCTTTTGACTTCAGACAGCTGGACAGAAATCTTTTGTGACTGGGTCAAATATTGTCTCCTTTAAACTTTTTTATTTCTCTATATGTTAAATTGTTGTATTTTGCCAAATGCAGAAAAAACAACATAGTGTGATTTCAACATTATAAATCAGCCACCAGCCAGTCTGCTCTTTCATTGTTGGTATCAATGTTGGTTTGCAGTTATGTTGTTATTTGTCATATCTTCATAACTGCTCTGTGCTGCTGGGGCCTAATTATCACCCTTAATGTGAAAAATGTAGTAGTGAAAGACTTAGTCTTTTCTATGCATCTGCATCTGGCAAGTTCCTCATGGATACCTTTGCCTCTTGAGTTACTTTCAGCCTTAATCAAGGATATCTTTTCCACTCCTGCTGCGCAGCTTTTGTGCTTTAGTGCCAATCCAGGATTTGGGGAAGCACATTTACACCCTCCACACGCTGAATTATTCAACATTTGCATTTGCAGCGGGGTCCTGTAGCAGCACTTAGTGACATAGAAACCTGAGAGGTTTGTGTCAGTTTGCATGTGTTGCAGGTCACAAACAGTAAAGAGTCAGGCAGCTTCAAGCAGAGCAAAGTGACCAGGAATGATCCAAATAACTTGATGATTCTTTGAGAAAAAAACAGGAACCTCCGTGCTTCATAGTATTATGTAATATGCCATACGTCACATTCTTTAGTTATTTGCTAGCAGCAAAGTTATAGCTGGTGTGGCAGATCGGGCAGGAAAATTCTGAGGTATTCAATGGAGTTTAACTGGTGCTGAAGAAGAGAGGATAAGTGAAGTGATGGATGATGTAACCCTGTCCTGTGACACTGACAGGATAGCAACCCGTGTACATCTGAGGTACACAAACTTGTGCTAATCACATGTCAATAACAGTGCAGGCGATCCATTTTTGAGAGCTGGTCACAGAGCTGAGTCTGACCCAAGTGCAGTCAAAACAGAGCCAAGAGCCATGAAAACAAAAACACTGTCTCTTCGTAAGGATATTCAACTTTGCGCAGACTAAACAAGAAGAGACCACTTTTGAAGCCAACTTTTCTGCTTGATTAACAAGCTGTTAAGCTTTCGTAATTCTCAACATGTTATGTATGTAGATAGCTGCAGAAGGTAAAGCATGTTGTTTACGTGGCCCAATAAAATTCGAAATGTTCCACACAAGATATAAACAACATAAATGAAATTAAGTCACCCCCCCCCCATACTTAAAAGAAACCACAGAAGAACCAAAAATGATTAAAAACAGGAACTGTATGACAGTAAAACAGCTATAACTATATTGTTACAGTGCTGTAAACAGTTTTCAGCTTTTATGTTAAAGAACCAGGAGTTTCAGTGAGCCTGCAGCTTTTGAGAGTTTGTTACAGACATTTGGGACATTACAACACCATCTTTGGTTTTGACCCTTGGAACAGAAAACAGTTCTGTCCCGGATGACTGGAGTGGTCTGGATGGTTTGCACTGTATGAAAATATGACTATATATTTGGGAAACCGAGTAGTACTTACAGCACAATAGTATTGTTTTCCCTGCAAGATTCAGTGCCAGAGTAGTCTTTTTGTCCTGGATGTGGTCTTGACGCCATGGTAGGTTGACTTTGTGACTTAAAATTTCAGTTCCTCATGTGGAATCTCAAGAAATTTTACATTCCTGCATTAGCTTCATTGTTTTAATGTGGAATTTGAGCTGGACAAGACTAATAGGTGGACGGCATATGAGGGATACCCCATGTATTGGTTTAACACTGGTATCAGAAATTGTAGGCCTTGTGTGTAGACACTGGCCAATATTTATCTGTATCTAGAAGCATAACTGTGGAAAGATATTACACATTTCTGCCAGTTCAGAGGTTTTTATTTGGCAAAAATGAAAGACAATGTGTACAGTGTGGGACTCTGAGAAAGATAAGAGTTTTATATGTTCAAGTATTTCTGAAGCTTAAAGCAATCCACGTGTACTTCATCACATATTGTCTTAACTAGAGTGTGAGTAATTCAGGCTCCATTCAGCTGAATTCCTAAGCAGTTAACCTTGCCTGTTTTTTCCAGGCTATTCTCAGTAATTTCTCCAAAGGGCTGATTCACAAACACTTATCTGAATAGTCTAGGTCGTGCCATCTTGCCAGTCTCTTGTGTATGTCCTTGATTCACCCTAAGTTCTCTAAAAGTTTAGGAAGTAAATGTGAGACCTTGTTGTATTCTGTTTCCCCTGAAAGCGGAGAGCGCATATTCCCCTCTACATGAATTGATCATGTTTCCGCAGGCACGTCATGGTGTGATTCCAAGGCAGAGATCAGTTATGTAACCGCTCACATGAAAACTATTAGGGTCGAGCCATATTTTCAGGCTGAGGCATATCCACGGGCACCTCTGGGGTCCTAGCAAGGAAAACCCTCCTGGCTTCCAAACAGATCTTTTGTATCCATAGCAACCACAGCCTCTTCCCCCCTGAGTTCAGACATCTGAGCTGTCCTCCTCACTGTGGAAATGTTTATGCAAAAGAACAGTTCCACCCTTTTTGTGTATATGTGTGAGGCCAGTGATGTTCAACATGTGCATGCTCAAGGAGGGACCGAAGAAACACATTTTAGAGGAAAAATTAGGAATGGAAAGAAATTAAGGGATGAAATGCGGTTTGAAGGATAACAGTCTCCGTGTGCTTGCCAAACTGAAAAGATGCTGGAAAGAAATTTAAAAGGAAATGTGAACATTATCACGGATTCAGTGCTTCGGATGAGCCAAAGAGAGGGCTTTCAGTCTTTTTCCAAGGGCCCACCCAGGGTTTTCCCCTGCATTCACTGAGCAGCTCTCGCAATAGGTCGCTCTGCAGAGAGAAAACTAAATGTAGGAGGAGAGTCAAATCCCCAAAACTACCATAAAAACACTTTTAGCTGTTCCTGAATTAAAGTGTTTGACCTGAGGAAATGCAAACAAGACAGCATCGGATCCAGAGGTGTGGAAAATGATTGCTTTGCCGGGCTTGTCCTGCCCTGACTCTGCCTTGTGTTACCCAAGAAATAAACTGCTTTGCAGGATCTGACTTGGCTAACCAGGGATTATTCTGTATTCAGACAACCCTCCCAGCATGCTGAATGTTTCACCTGAGGCCAGTAAAAAGAGTCATAATCTTAGCAACAACAAGACATGTGATCAGGTACATTTTCAGAGGAAAAAGCCTTAGTCAGACATTGTGAGAAAAGAGCAAGTTCACTTTCATGCATAGAGGCACAAGAAGAGATCAATACCAGTCTTGAATCTGTCTGTTCAGACCGAGGCAACAACCATAAAAACGGCAAAGTGAAGAATCAGCCAGTCGACCGTAAATTCAGTTGCACATATCTCTCATAGATCCACAGTTTGTTTAGATAAAAAAAAAAAAAATCTCAGAGCTGATCACTGAGATCAAGAGATGCTAGTTTGATGATTTTATCTTGCTTCAGGATGGAGTTTGGACAGCTGCATGAGCTTAAGCGTCAGTTTTGGCTTTGCTAAATCATGCAGCTACTGGCCGCAGATAAGCTCGATAAATTTTGCAGCATTGAAGGCACAATGTTCTTTAATTTTTACAGTTTTAGGACGCAATGGTGTTTTGCTATGGTAGATGCATGGTAGATGGGCCTGTCACTTCCTGGTTGTTGTTTTTGAATGTGCTTAGCATCACCTCAAATCTAAAGGACTAACTTGATTCTGTTCTTTTCAGGTTTTTCAAATGATATTGCAGTTGGGGTGATTTCTGGTTTAGATGAACAGCAAAGTTGTGAAGTCTGCATCTAGACTGTGTTGACATTAGTCAGCCTTCTGTTTGGACGATATTGGATTTTTAAACTTGAATATCAAGGACAGTTCCTGCTGTCTTCTGTTGTAAGCACTCTGAATTTATGGTGTTCTTGAGTCAAAATAGGCTTTGTTTCTGCTCTGGCTGTTGTCAGTTTTTTAACACAGAGCTCGCATGTTGGTAGACAGCAGGCCTGCATGTTTTGAACCACAGCTCTGTGTTTGTGTATGTTTGCATGTTTGCGCTTAGAGGGAACAGTTTAGCAGAGTCTGACATCTTCAGGCATCTGACTCAGCTTGCCAGATGTGTTCTTTTCATCCAGCTGGCCGAGGCCCCATCTCCCTGCCTCATCTGTATGAAATGTACTGAAGAGCCAGACGTCTTTCTACAATGTCCCGCCTTTTATTTGTTGTTCGGGGCAACAGCAACGGAACACAATGTGAGATCTGCACACATGAATATACTGAGTTTAATTGGAGGCCCTGATGAAAAGATTAGGAGAACTGTGGGATTGCTGACGTGAAGAGAAGACCACGGTCTGCAATGTGAGCCCAACTACATTTGGTATGTGGGTTAGAGCTGAAATGAGTTAGTGGAAAAATCAATTAAAGCTAATTTAAGTATTTTGGTGAACAATTTAAGTGGCTGGTTAAGAAAAATGAAAAATATTTGTAAGTTTCAGCTTCTAACCCGTGAGGATTTGGCTTTTTTTGTTTAATGTGATAGTGAAGGAAAACAGACGACTACTGTTTGGATAAAATAAGCATTTTTGTTACTTATTTATACCCACTTTAGTCGGTAAAGTAATATAACATAGCAACATGAATGAAGTGGTTGTGTCACGGTAGCTCACAGGGTCTGCCCGACACTAACAGATGGTTTGAAAAACCACATGACTTGTGTTGACAACTGTCTCTCTTTTTCTCCCTCCTCCTCGTCTCACATGTGCTGAAAGACTAGACATTGAAAGGCAAAAAAAAGCAACAGATGTCCCACAGTTTTTAATATCCAGAACCATCCACTGGCCGGTCACCTGTTTGGGAGGTGAATGTGTTTCGGAGGACTCAGCAGTCTGCATGTGAGGACTACAGAACGAGCTCCCAGTAAACAGCCTGTATCAAAAGACATCAGCTGTCATCCAGCACACTCCAGAAGGCTCTACCAGCCAGTGTAGTGTTTGTGTTTGTGTGTGTGCTAGTATGTGTGTGTGTGTGTGTGTGTGTGTGTGTGCGCTTCGAGGCACGTGCCAGTCTGCCACCTCAGTGTATCTGAATAGGATGAATGGCATACAGGCTGTGAATCAGTGTGAGCCTGGTCCTGGCAGGCAGACAGATAATGAGGCAGCAGCTTCTTTGTTGGTATCAGATGACCCTGTTCAATAAAAGGTACAGACAGTCAGCACATCTGACTTCCTCTGCTCTCTACTTACACTAACAGGCTGGTTTACTGTACTGATTGCTGTATCCAGGATGCAAACTTCAGATGCTCTGTAGCAAAGAGGAATGGACCACTTAAGACAGTGATTATTTCCATTATGATACCTTAGAGTACAGAATCTGTAAGAGCAGGACCAGATTTGGATTTGGAACCATAACCGTCCTTCAAATGGCAAAAAAATAGTGAAGATCTGTGTTCACTTTACGTGTTTATTTACACCTGTTTCTTCTTCAAATCTAATGCATTTCAGCATCTTTGTTGCTGCTCCCTAAGAACAAAAGGTACCCTGGGATCAGCTGTTTTTGGGTTGCTGCAAAAGCTGAAAATAGTTCAACTTTTGGAACACCCACATGCTGGACAATGACTCTTCTTCCTCACTGACCAATCAAAATAAAAAGGGGGCGGCACTTCCAATAGCATCTTGGTCTACAAAAACATATATCTATTGGACCTCCGATTTGTTTTTTCAGAACACAGTTACAAGATGATGAGCTGCTGCTCATGCCAGGACAGAGTTAATTTACATTATTTTAGTTTCCGTCTACAATTTTACCATATATGATCAAATACAGAGCACACAGAGGAATTTGAAAAGCATATTTCAGTTTCTACCAAGGAAGGCAGAAGTGAAATGAGACGACTTCCAAACCTAGCAATAGTTAGCGCCAGTGGAAAGCCCTGTGGAGTTTCTAATGAGAATAATTTAATTTAAAGCATGACCCATCAAAAATAGGGAGGTTTTAATTTGAATGTTGAGCTTTTCTTACGATTACTCACCACTGATGACTCACAAAAAGTCTGAAATAGTATCTACTGTGATTGGATAGCATTGTGTGTAAGAAAAATGAGGATTTCATGGCAGTTTATTTTGATTTTAACTTATTGTATTTGGCGTGCTGATACAGGATTGGACTGTTAGGGAGCTCTCAGTTAATAGATTGTTTTGTGACTCGGCAATTTACAGTTGGTGTGTCACTTTTGCACCCTGAATTGTGAGCTGCCCACAGGATCAGGCACATTTGGCTGTGAAAATCAAGGAAAAAGTCAGCAGGATCTTGCAGGGACTCCTGGGGACTATAGCCCAGTTGAGATTATATCATCTCATCCTGAATGCACCATTTGAGTCGAGTTTATCAAATGTCTCAGCAGCTTTCAGTATCTGCCAGTGCTGTAAAGAGGCAGTGCTCCACTTTGGCCTCCTGGGATTTCTCCCTGCTCAGACTACCTAAATTAATTGGATGTGTTTTTTCATTGGATTGATTTGCATTAAACTAAGTGAGTATTCCTGCTAACTGCTCTCAAAACCACTCATGTCAAAATGTCGGCAGACCTTCCTTTGTTTGCATTTGTCCTCGTACTTCTGTGCATGAACAGATACCATAATAAAGTGTGATGATGGCTTCAGGGCCATGTCTCAGGTCAGACAGTTGGTGCCTTGTCCCACTGTCAGCTGTGAGCTGTGTGTGTATGTGTAGTGTGTGGGTCAGCTGTTGATTTAGCTGTCTGCCGTAATCCTGTTACTTTCTCCAGGACGATGCCAAGTGGAACACACTGGTCCCAGTCACTTGGTCTCATCCAACCTCTGTCCCTAAGAAAAAAAAAATCCTCTCAGAACTTGCTGTTCTTACAAAAAAATAAAAACGTCTAAGTATCAGAAATTTACAACACACCATGTAGACACAAACGGATTACCCAACTCTTTTTCCTGCAGTTACACTACGCTTTTGCTGTGTCTGGTTGTAGTTTGTTTCAGGATGGTCATGTTTAGAGTCCTGCTCCTTATCAAACCTCATAAATTGTAATCAGAGACACACGCCTACATATGTAAGCGTTATCATGGAGACTGCCCAGAGTACACATCCTTAAATAGAGTATATAAAATCTTTATCTATGCCACCAGGAATGCTTAACTGCTCAAGGGTGTTGGAAGCTTTATGCAAACTTGCACTCACTTCATACATGTTAATATCTAGAAGATGTAATATTTACCATGATCACAACCTGAAGTAGTTTTTAATCAAGATAAATTTGATGACATTTGCTTTCAAGCACAATTCAAGCATAATTTTTTTACTTTAAAATCTGATCAAACCCTGTTAGGACTAAGGTATAGCTGTAAGACGTGTTGCCATCTTGCAGCTCTTGTATAGGTACTCCAGAACAGAGAGTAAAAGTCAACGAGGAATCACTGACACACTGACAGAGCTGCAAATAACACTAAGGAGCTTGTCTGGCTGGATAAAGATCTGAGGATTAACTTGAAGAAAACTACAGCAGCCAGCCCAGTGACTCTGTGCAGGTCCTGACACTGTCTGCAGTCACGTGTGGGGGAGGTTTGGTTTGCTGAGTGTAGGCTGGAAGCTCAGCTGTGTTTGGTTGGCTGGTGTGGACAAAATATGATGAGTAAAGTGGTGGAAAGTGGCTCATTAGAAAATGCCATGCTTAGTGATAAGTCCTTTTTTTAAACATGCAATTCATGTGCAAAAGCAATCACAGTTTACACATAGAATATATACTGTGTGTTGTTGAAGGAAATCTGCTTGAGTGCCTCCGCTGCCTTGTAGGAAGACAAATTGTCTTTGTGGTGTTCAAAGATACCACACGCCTTAACCTCAGTGATTTACAGGTAGTTGATATGTGCTCCTGCGCCTGTGTGCATGCCATGACACGAGCTACAAGCTTCATTTGATTAAATAGAAACACTGACTTTTTTTAAGATCCACATGTTGCTTCTTGCCGATTGATAGTTGCATCCGCATATTTTTGTATTTCCTTTTGAAACAGGAAGTTTCTGAGGGATTTACATCTGCAGTAACAGTGGCAATGAAGGCAAGACCATAAAGCACAAATACAGATGTCTCATATCTCCCAGGGTTATGTGTGGATCATATAAAAGAAAAGAAAGTGTCATTCATTAAAAAAAATCCCTCAAAGTGCTAATTACATCATATTTTTATGTTCACAACAAACTGATCAACTTTAAAATATCACTGAGAATACCTCAAACAACTTTTCTTTAGCGCTGGGTCTAAAAGCCGCATAGGGCCTGTGTCCACAAAGAGCATTAGTTTTCAGATGGCAGTCCCTGTATTCAACATAAAACTAATGCAGTTCAGCATTCAGTATCTTAAACCCAAAAATACTTGAAACCAACTGTTTAACTTGGTATTTTAACTTTTTTTTTAATGCTACTAGCACTTGACGGATCCAAATAAAAAGGGGGGTATTGAACTGATATCTATATGAAAGAGAAACTAACCACATCCATTTTGGGGGAGGTTTCCAGGTAAATTCCTTTCTTCATTTGAGGAAATACAAAGCACTCAGTGTATTTTGAAATAGATATGATGGTCACTACAAAGGAAGGCGGAAGTGCTGTAGGACAACACTTGTTACCTAGCAACACAAAACACCAGTGAGGAAGGGGTCTGGAATTGAGACACCGGTATCAAAAATGCTGTTTGTGGACTTATGTGCTAAAAAAACATCAAACCTGATCCATAGAAACTTTTATACAAAAGTGAAATCAATTACATGAAGATTTATGAAAAAAAAGACACGTGTTTTGGTTATTTTAATTCTCCTGTTTTCTTACATGAGTTAATCCGTGGCTTGGGTTCCACTCTGTCTTTAACACTGTCAGGTGTTAAGTTCACAACACCAAGTGTTAAACCACAACAGAGACACCAACACTCATTTTTCATTCACTGTTCTTTTTTCTCTTGCCTGTCCCTTTATCTTTAACATCCTCATAACCTGAACCACATACCCCCCCCCGACATGGTGACACTAGACTAGGTTTGGGTCCTGTTTGGCTCCGCCCTCGGCTCTATCGGCCCACTTAACAGAGGCTCCATTGATGGATGCTAACTACAGCCCTCTTCTCCCATTTCCAGTCTCTTTCAGTGCATGCGTCCCCACCTGTGGTTAGTCTGTCTCTACATAATGACACACGAGAGCTGCAGAGCTCCTCATTAAAGCATCTTTTAAACCGTTCTATGTGTTTGGTGATTCTTTGATTATTGAAATAAACATAGATTTACCACAAACAGGAATCATTTTAAGAAGTGTTATATTGCTGCATGGTTGCATGCATTATTGTTAGGCTTTTTGTTTTACAGCAGTTTGTAATGTTGTATATATAATTTACTGTAATTATTGTAACTATTGAGGTATTAGTATTAAAAGAGATACATTCTGTTGCTTTTTCAGTGCACTTGCTATTCTCCTGACACCCAAACATCTTCACCTAAATTAGTCCCAAGACAGTGCAGGGAGGCTGGGTTAGGCTTTAAGCATCTACACCCCCCCATACTCCCCCATTTAAACTGAGGACTTGGACACTAATTTTAGGAGGCAGGAGCTCATATTTGAAGAGCTTTAATATGCGAAACAAACATTTTAGTAGATCTCCTGAAGGAGGGAGAATTAAAGATTTTGTGGGACAGGAGTTAATCAGCAATAAAACCCACTCCTTGTCATGAACCCAGCATACTTTGAGCTGTAGTTCCTGCTCATCTCGACCCCTTATTTCCTCATGAGAAGGCAGAGAAACAAGAGAAGGACGAAAGAGAGCTGAGGAATGTCCTTCAGCCGTCTTTAAGTACAGCCGCCTCTTAGCGTTTCTCTTTTTCTCATCTTTTTTACTGAGGGTTTCTCACGCTCTCACTCCCCCTTGTATTTGGTGTGGTTTCTTGAAAGCTTGCTCCCTTAATCAGGCGTTTGTTGATCTGTATGCAGAGAGTTTTGAAAAGCGCCAGCACGTCCTGTTTACGATACAGACATGTTTCCATATGAAAAAGATCCCCATCTTTTTTGAGTTATTCAATGGATTTTAAGATAAAAACATTGATTTAATCATCTCTGTGTTTCTGTGCCTTTTCTTTTTTCTTCAGGTGATGAGTAATGGAAGCAGGATCGGTGGTGCGTGCTGTGTTTGAGTTCCTCCCCAGTGTCTCAGAGGAACTCCCACTCTTCACGGGGGATGTCATTGAAGTGCTTAGTGTTGTGGATGAGTTCTGGTTGCTTGGTAACAAAGATGGCGTCACAGGTAAGATCACAGATATCTTAACAGTTATTGATAAGCCTGTGAAGTTGACTGTTATTTGCTACACATACAGTTATTCAACTCCGGTGGGAAACAAAAAGTAAAGGCTGTAGCCTGTTGCAACAGCTTTGTATAAGCTGCATCTCTTGTTAATGTGTCCATGTTAATCCATATTTTGAAATTAGTTAGTTTGTAAATTAAAAGCCATGATTTGGTTGCTCCATGAGACATAGTTTCATCCTAACTAGGAGACAGTAACATCCAAACTAGCCAAACACTGTTGCAGAAATGATTTTTAGACTTCCAGCAGCTAATCAGTGAAAAGCTTTCCATTTGTGGAGTATTCATTCGTCAACTCTCATGTCTTATGTCTCAGCAATGTCAAAGTATGTGAAATTGACAGCATTATAAGATGACGATTTATCTATCTATAGTGTTAAACTACAACAAAAACAGTGGGGGTGAAATCTCAACAATAATATTATAATTTAGGCAGATGTGTATATAGTTGTGCAGAGAAACTGTCCTCACTTATTAAAAAGGAAGTCACTTTGAATTTTAACTGATGGAATATATTTCCAGGAACACATTACTTACATAAAACAGCAGGTCTGTATGCTTAGGGCTGTATGGATCTTACACCCACTCAAAGCAAGGTGTAAGATTTAAATAGTGACTTATGCTCATAGGGAAACTATCTCTGCTGATGCAACACTTAAAATATTAGTAGGGTATGGGTTCATCCTATATCAGATATTTAGTTAAACTAGGCAAAGTTTAAACTTAGGCACAGCTAATGCAAGCCAATGCTGGTGAATAAAAATTCCCTTGCACAGTGGGAAAATTTTCGCCTCCTAAGTGTAAGTTGATGTATTTTGGTTTTCTTGGCCTGACAAGGGTCAGAATCACTAAAATACACTCAAATTTTCCAAGAGGCAAATGTCGTAAAAATAGGGATGGGAATTCCCTCAGAGAGGAAGTGCTGATGGGAAGTTAGCTGGAAAATGTTGGTGATACCAAATACAAAAGAGATTACACTGTCTTTGTGAAAGAAGTCAATGAATTCAAGAGAATTGTGTGAAGTGTGTACTTTCAGGGCTGTCTTATTTGAACTGAATAGCAATCTGCTCTCTTCAAACAATATTGTGGTTTATCGTGTTAGATCAAGTCTGCCTATTAAGGTGTTACCTGCTACTTCCAAAAGTCAAACGAGGTTAATAGAGGTTTAAATTTTATTTATTCTAGTTATCTAATTGTGTCTTTCTTTGTCATCTTTTTGCAGGTCAGTTTCCCAGCACTTTCGTGGAAGAGGTCACCATTCCCAGCACCAAACCTGGAGACAGACTGTATGTTTGCATCAATGATTTCAGCTCAGCAGAGCCAGGCACTCTTCACCTGAAAAGAGGTACAGATGCACAAGAATTGATGACACATGGAGTGATAAAATCGTTTTAAACCTGTTTCTGTATATGTTTTCAGTGGATGTTTTGTGGGAGAAATTGGAAGTAAAACAAACCAGGCGCTTCTTATTTGTAGTGATTCTGTTAACTCTCATGGTTCATGTTTCCACATTTAGCCTAACGCTGCTTGTTGATGTCTCTGCACTCAGGTAAACTCTTTGTTTTGTGTTGTAGTGTACCTTAGATGTGTTACATACATTGTGACCTGACTCATTGCTTGTCTCTACCTTCACAAACAAAGACTCTTCTAAGTCTTTTAAAGCCATTTGCCTTCTTCTTAGGGTTTGAAGAGCTGTTGGGTAATAAACATTTCATTGCAAACCCATGGATCCCTCTGTTAAGTAGAGCAGAAGACATTTCTATGTAATATTATGATGACACAATAGAGGAAAATAAATCTGGACAGCTGTCTAAAGAGAAATTTACTGTAACAGCAATGCAAAGCAGTCGCGCAACACACTTTCTAAAACTCCCCACTAGATGTCCCCATACACCAAACCTGCTCAGACCATCTTCACTTGACTGTTTGTTTTTCTTTTACATTCCTGAACTGTTTCACTCAGTTGCAGCTCTTTGTCTGTTTTTTTCTGATTTTCCTTTTTAACACTGTCAGGGATACAGTGATGTTTGGAGAGATCCTTTACACGGGTAAAACTTTATGCTTTTGTCTCAGTGTCCTTAGGAGAGTCAGTGCTGTAGTGGTCCAAGTCATAGTAGTAGTTGAAGTGTTTTTCTCTGACACCTGCATCACAGCTGATTAAAAGATAAGATTTTTTTTGACATGACTGAAGCAGAAAGTGTCCGTTAATGTTAACTCAAATTTATTCTTTAACAGCAACTCAACTTTTCGGCTGCTTCATCAATGTAAATAAGTGATCAACATTTTAATCAATATCCTTTTCTCAAACATGCAGTTCATCGTGTTTTGATAAAAATCTGTTTAAATCAATGACCGACTTTACTCTAAATTTACAATTTTCCAGTTTGTTTTTGTTTTGTCACTGATAAATAACTCTTACCGGATCACAGGAAAATGAGGAAACAGTCTGTCTCAGCCACTCGAGAGTTTAAATGTTCATTTCCAGTATGATTTTTTACGGTGTATACTGGCCACGATCCAGTTGGTTCCAGACACAATGGGAGGTGGAGCCACAGGTCTTTGGAATGTGACCCCCATGACTCCTGAATGACCAGTCAACACTCCCATTATTCCTGACTCTTCTGATGTATCAGTGGCAGTGCTGACCCTTTTTTACAGTCATTAGAAATACAACAACACAGGTTAGCCTAGAGAACGAAATGATTTAAACTTGTGTGAAGTTACCAGACCGACAACAGTATCAGCAAAAATTAAAATACATAGTACTTGTTTGTAACTATTTTTACCGTATCAGTCAGATTAGATTAAGTTGATTGTATTTATTTTTGGTCTTTACTTTTGTTTTTTTATCAAGTATTTATTCCCATCAGTGCCAGACATTAAAAAAAAAAGAAAAAAAGGGAACACACCCACACCCAAGCTTTCCAGACACCCATCAGTCAGCAACAATGGGATTTCTGACAAATGCACCCACATATCTTTTTGTTTTTACCAAAACCTTCTCCACACAGCATTGGTTGACCTTTAGAAATAAAAGAAATACATAACTATGCAATGTTTATGTGAGACTAAAAGACCTGAAAACTTGAACTAATGGAATTTCCAGAATCTAAACTTGTACCTGCTAAATAACTTGTTTTCAGCTTCTTACAGGAAACTAAAACATTGTACAAGTTAATGAGTTTGTGTCAGACAAAGCAAGAACATGAAAAAAGCACACACTTTAGGTGAAGTAATACACAGAGAGGATCTTACACATGTATGTTCAGGATGTGTGTTTTGTCCACTTGAGCTTCAAAATTCATACAAAGCGAAGCTAATGTACTCTAGCGTTAGCTGTTGTTAGAAACAGCTCCTTCTACCGAGATCTACTTTGATTAAATAAATAATGTGTTTCTCTTTATTTCTTCTCTCTTTAGGTGATGTCGTTGTTCGGGAAGCGGGAGGGTCTGTGGACCCTGGTGACACCTGGCAGCGTGGTTTTAATGCCTATGGCATCCGTGGCCTCTTCCCTACATCATGTGTAAAGGAGCTCCACTTGTCCGGCCGCTCTAGGCAGCTGTCTGAACGCTCAGCCCAGGCCCAGGCTTCTGAGCTCCCTCCTTACGCACTAGGCCAAGCCCGGGCTCTAATGAACCTCCACGCTCAGCTGAACGAAGAGCTGGACTTCCGTGAGGGTGATTTGATAATCATAACCGGTCTCCCTGAGCCAGGCTGGTTCCAGGGGGAGCTGGAGGGCCGCCGGGGCATCTTTCCTGAGGGGTTTGTGGAGCTTCTTGGGCCTCTTAGATCTCCTCAGGAGCCAATGGATTGTCAGTATTTAAGCAACGATTCAGAACAATATAGCTATGATGATGCTTATGATGCAGGAGAGGTGACTGAGGAGGAAGGAGAGACTTTCCAGAAAGAGGAAGAGGAGCAGAAAGAGGCCGAAGTTGAGGAGGGGGAGGAGGAGGTGGAGGAAGAGGGTGGCGTATATGTAGTGGCACAGTATGAGTTTCGTGCAATGGAACCAGGCGAGTTGGACTTTGATACGGGAGATCGCATCAGACTTATAAGCACTTTGGAGGACGGTTGGCTGGAGGGTGAGATTAGAGGAAGGCGGGGTATTTTTCCTCATCGTTTTGTGAAAATGGAGGATAATGGTCAACAACTGACAGAGGAAACAAATGTTGAACCTGAAGAAGACAAGGACAATAGCTCCACCTCTGATTACAGCTCAGGCCAATTATGCCCCAATGGATCAGAGAACGATACTGACTGGAGTACTTACGAGGATCATACGGTTTGGGACCTGGACTACTTTGAGAGGACGGAGGAGCAGAGGTGGAAAAGCGAACACAAAAGCACTGACACTCAAGCTACTCACAAAAGACAAAATGATAGTAAAAGGCCTGATGCTCAACCACGTAGACCTTCTGCTCCAGTGCAGAGACTGCCAGAGAGGCTTAAATCCACTCCTCCGGCACGACCAAGACTCCCAGCACGGCCAAGTCTACCTGCACGCAACAACAGAAACCATAGTTCGTCTTCTGGTACAAGTAGATCCAGCTATACTAATGGCAACACTCAATCCCCACGTCCCAAACTGACCCATAGTCTTACCCTTCCTAGAATGCAGCATGGTTGGTCTAAAGACAGTAAATACCAACAAAGGGCTACGACAGATGGTTCCACCAACAATAATGGAGCTGCCAGTCTTGGCCAGGTTTTGTTTAACCTTGCTGAGGCTCATATGCAGAAGAAGCTATCTCGCCATGTTAGCGTCAGTGATGCTGATATTATGACTGGTAGCTCTGAAGCACGCCAACGTTCACACCACTCAATGCGTAGCTCCAATGGTTTCGCACCAACTTCTATGACATTAGATGCCCTGGCAACCTCAGCCGGTGACTTGGAAACCAAACTGTCCCAGCAGCTTTTCGAATTCGAGAAAAGCTTGACTGCTTCTTATAGTGACTCCAACATGAGTCCTGGTGCTCCAAGGGAAGCCTCTCCTCTTAATGACTCAGACCAGCAATCCCAAATCTTGCGGCACTTTTCCATTCTGGACTACAGCAATGAAAATGACATCATACGAGGCTCTTCACATTCCCCAGTGGCTCACCTCTTGCAGTCAAACTCGGCCAATTCCTCATTAGAAAGGCGGAGGACCCTTCGGCCTCCTCCTCCTCGTCCTAGAGTCATTCGCCCCCAAGCCCCACCTGTGTACAAACCTGCCCGCCCTCCCCCACGTCCCCCTCCTCGATTTCCAAGACAAAATACCGCTCCTCCATCTGATAACTCTCCCAACAGCCACATCTTCTACACCCCTGATGAAGTGGATACGAACATCTTCAACAGGCAGGCTGAGTTTGGTGACCTTGCAGCTGCTCAGGAACATGAAATCCAGTGCCAGCTGGAAGCTGAGAAAGAGCTGGAGAGAGTGATGGAGTTGGAGAGACAGAGACAAAGGGAAGAGGAGGAAAAGTACCAGCTGCTGCTACGGCTACAAGAGGTGGAGAATGACATGGAGGCGTATGCACACACAGCTGAGGAGCTGAGGACCATGCTAGAGGAGGAGGAGGATGAGACAGCACGAATGCAAGCTCTGGAGAATCTGGAGTTCTGCAACTACACCCTTGAGACGCTGGCCCTGGAGCAGCAGCAGCTTCAAGGTAAGATTGAACAGATGCACGGAAACCTTTATGTGAAAGTTTAATCAAACTGAGGGGATCAGAGACTTAGTCCTCTGATGGTTTTTCTCACTGAACTGCCAGAACTTAAGGTAAGAATTCAATCGAGTTTCAAAATAAGTGTTCAGGTCCAAACTGAGTTTCTAATTGAGTCTGAGTCTGAGTCAAGCGCTGGAGATTTATCTCATCAGTGAGGTTACAGAGCTGTGCCTACAGCACAAGCTTTCCCTCACCTCTCTTAATGGCACTCATGGATTCAGCTACAGTTGGCTTCACTGCCAGTTTCCCATAAACTCCAAATATAGCGTTACTTTCAGCCAGCGGTTTGTTTAAGTTTGAGGTTTTCCCTTTCATCTCTTTGATTTTTCCCTCACATACCAAACATGATGCACTGCCCTTGTTTGCATTTGCTGTCAAGTTTTTCAAAATACAGACAAAATGATGAGAGTGTTGCTATTCACAATTAGGGAGAATCTGAGTCCAAGCCCAACTCCTCAGCACCTGAGTAAAAGTCGAGGCATGGATCCTGTGTAAAAAATGTGAGGGGAGAAATTCATCCAGTTAGTTTTCCTGTTATGTTTTTGTAATCTTAAAAAACATAACAGGAAAAGTGGGGATCTGGATGCAGACAACAAGAAAAAACGAGAAGGCTTTCTCTCACTTGATGTCATGAAATTCCTTCAAAGGCCCGATGCCTGCAGGTCACTTTAAAGCTGTTTCAATCTACTGTGGACAAAAAGTAATATAACAGGAATTTAAAAACCATTAGTGCTCAGCAGATTTCCTCTGCGCTACTCTGACACACACACACACGCACGCACACACACACACACTTAGAGGAACACTAGTTATTTAAATTCCTTGGTACACTATGCAAACAGGACATTTGTATTTACCGTCTGCACTGAACAGCTGAAGAAGGCTTAAAGAGGGTTTATATCAACATGGTCTGTGTATTATTGTTGATGTGGATGGGAATGTGGAGGTCAGACTGAATTTTTCTGTCCCTCACTTTGGGTCAAAAACTCTCAAATTGAATTAGATATGAAATGTGGCGCCACCTTCTCCTTTGGTTACACAAAATGAAAAGAAAAGTAGATTTTCTCATCAGTTTTTTGATTGATCCCAGTGCAGCTAATTCATCATCTAAGACAGATAAATTAGTTTAAGCTCTAATTGGCTCATCTTTTGCCATACTCATACTGTCGTGCTGTCCAGTGCTGTCTCTGGCAGTCCAGCTCTCTGTCACATAGGTATGAAGTGCATTCCACACATCACAAGAGAGTAAGCAATGCACACAGGCCTCTGTCTTTTTTTCCATCCTCTCTCCTTCTTTCTAGTCCCTCTGTCTCTCCTTCTCTATCCAAATTTCCAGTTTTCTCACTCTGCACCTTTCATACTTTTCCCCCATCGTCACTTCCTTTTTAAAAAAAGAGTGTGGAGAAAGGCGACATTTGGTGTGGTTCTTGGTGGATTCTCGCTCTGTGGTTTGAGACGGACAGAGCAAGGCATGGCCCACTTCAGAGTGCGGCCCAAAGTGCAGTTGTGGCGAGCGGTGACACGGCCTGTGGCTCACCTCTCCACACTGCTTGGACTTATTCGGGAGCTCAGGTCCAACAGAGAGACAGGTAGGCTCATCTGGAATTAACGCAAATGAAATTTCAGGCGTTTGTGCTGTTTGAGAGTCAGTGTTGCTGTTTTTGGACATCATTTATGACTGATGAGAACAGATTTCTGCTGCTGTCCTCTACTTACTGGTTGATGATTATCAGACAGCTGTATAAAGCTCTTCACAGACTGGTTCGCATCTTTATTATAAGAATGTCAACAGCCTGAGTGTTGAATGTGTTTGAGTCAACCGGCAATTAGCAACAGATTGCTTGTTTTGCTCTGACGTCAGTTTGAAAATGATTAATTCAGTCATTTGTCTTCAACCTCAGTTTTGATCCAAAAGGAAATCAATCAGGGTAAACCTTTATTTCCAGCGATGTCAAAAGTGTTGAACTGCAGAAAAACAAATGGAAGACCTGGTGATCCATGTCGCAGCTATTGCAGCCATGAGCCTGTGCTGCATGTCTTCATCCTTTAAACCTGAATCTCTCAAAATGTTGACAAGCCTGCTGTCAGTTTGCACCTATTTAGCAAGACTTGTTATTTACCTCCTCTATTTAGTGTCATCTTCAGGTCTGTGGTGATTTGCACACTTCTAAGTAACGCTCTGCTGGCTTTTGTGATGTGGCAGCCAGCTGACATTAGTTCTAATAGCTTCAACTTTAAGCTTGCTCTTGGTGGTGTCTGGGTATTTTTTAAAGGTAAATGTGCCATTCAAAAGCAAAGTGGTGTCGTTTTTTTCTATCATAGCAACAGCAGGAAGCAAGATGATGCCGCAGCAGCTTGACTACGGCGTGCTGAAAGGTTCAAAATACCATGTTTTTCAGGTGATAAGGCACACCGAGCGCACTGTGAATTAACGTGTCTATATTCACACATAGGCGCACTGGATTGTAAGGCGCATTAAGCATTGGACGTTGATTGGTTCATTGTTGCTAGTGCGTACTCCGTGCACGGGCTGCCTTACATGAATGCACTTCTAGTTTAGACATTACAGTGAGGCAGTCTTGTAGACTGTTACATGGCCAATCAGGTAATGACACAGCATACAGTAATGCTCTGAATATTCATTGAGCGGAGTGGCAAAGTTGTACATTTTGACAGATTTTTGAGTGCGTTGTACCACATAAAATCAGTCAGTAAGCACAACAGGTATCCATACATAAGGTGTGTTGGATTAAAAGGCGCACTGTCAATTTTTGAGAAAATTTAAGGATTTTAAGTGTGCCCTATAGTCCGAAAATTACAGTGGCATTTTGGATCAGTATCATCTCAGTGAATTTGTTCACACTGACAGCCTGAATAGGTTATTTCAAGCCATAAAAAAATCTATGTTGTGTTTTATCCTTATTTACCATTTGAATAGTTTTGAATGAATGAACCGTCAGTTATTGCCTGACTTGCATCAATGTTTGACAGCAATTATCACTATGATTAACTATTTCTTCCTGTTACAAATACACAAAGGAACAATATCAGTCCTAACACTGCCAAAATTTGGTTTCATTTTATTTCTAACTTTTCACACTCTACATAACAAACGTCTGTTCAAGTTCCTTCTTTTTTAGCTAATTGAGTGTTTTTTCTTACTCAGCCAAGTTTCTCAACCATCAAACACAGATTATCAGACATCACAGTTGAGGCTATTGTGCACCCCTTCTAAGCTTGTCTTGCAAATGTAATCCCATTACCAAATGATTCAAGCTATTATAATTAGCTGCATTTCCTTTAATCTTGTTTGGCATTATCGTAAAATCTTATGTTTGTTCTCTTGATTTTTGTCCCATTCAGCATTCAGGTGATTATTTTACTGTTATCTGTCACTTAAATGTTAATCAATGGCTGAATCTGATCTTCATGTCTGCCAATGAAAGGAATCAGCTTGAGGGCAAGCTACAGGTGCCTCTGTAGGTCATGTAGCTAAATAGTTTCCATTTAAGTCTGACCCTGCAGAAGTTCTCACACCCTCTTTTCAAGTCAATAAAACTAGTTATCCAATCTCTGCTTTCCTTTTGATATTTGGGGCACTGTTAGATGTGGAAATAGAGTGAGATTGTGGTGAGATTTTTGAGGTTTCAGGCAGTCAAAACTTCTTGTAATAAAGGATGTTTGGTATGATAATAGTTAACACATTATCAGACATAGAAGCTTTTAGTTGGACTTGTTAATTGAATATTTTACTCCCTCGGGTTTCCCATGTAGTGATTAGCTGATAGAAAGAAGTGTAAATATCAGCACAGTTTCAGGATCTTTGTTGCAAAAGATGTGTTTGTCATCCTCTTGCTATTCACACACACACACACACACACACACCACACACACACACACACCACTCAGCTGGGAGTGTGTGTTCCCCGTGGTTTTGCAGGGTGTGTTCCTGAGTGTAACATTTGAAGACAATGGAAGCTTATTGTTGTAAGGCAGGGAGTTATTTCAACATGGAGCCTGTGCTGCACTGTGCAGAGGTTAGTCCCCATAGATGTGGAAAGAAGTGTTGAAGTTGAGCTCACAACATGGAAATCCATTGATCACATGACAGCAAAACACAGCAGAACTGATACTTCAAAACAGCCTTTTCTTTTTTGTGGAAAATTCAAATAGTACATACTTGAGAGACCGGTTTTTGTAAGTGAGGGGGAGTTTAAGTGTGCCATAGAGGATAGAGATAAGCAAGTAAGGCTGTTCTGTGTGTTGCTGTTTGGCTGGAGGATATGCACAGCAAAAAAACACAAATTTTACTGAGTGTATTTGTATAATTTCTTGTTTAAGTATCTCATCACACTTATGGAGATATACCCTATTTTAATTCTTTTCTCTTTTGTTTTTATAGTGGGGTTGTGTGAGGTACTTCTCAATAGTATGTGAATTACCCACAGGAGATGCCGTTCAGCTTAGCCCCCTTTGTCGGGAAACAGAACTGAAAACCAGCGAAGGCTGGGCCGTCAATGTTGCAGTCAGGGTCAGCTCTACCACTTTTTAGCTAGAGTCTGACCCAGACTCTTATGTCCATGGAGAAGCGCCACGCACATAGAAAAAAAATTCAGTGTTTTGTTGTCAGAGTTATGCTGTGTTTTAGCATTATTTGAATATGCACCACATACATGCTACTCTGCCTGCAGCGCACTGATCAGTTTTTCAGGTTTTCAAGTTGGGAAAGAGAAAAACATTAAACCTTTTGACAAGTAAAGAATTACAGCTTGTTTCTAAGAAACCTGTCAAAAAAGTTTGATTGCTGCATTGGCAGACATTGCTACTTGTTAGAAATAATTATGATATTATAAGAAAAAGGATAATATTTTGAAATAAGATTAATCTCTAGATTTGACAGTTCAACTCATACTGATCAATTTTGACCAGTGAAGTTTTTTTGCCAGTTTGTAATGCCAGTGAGTGCAATGCCATGCCACTTCTTCTAACCACAATCACCAGTCCAGTTTTAACAACTTATTTTAATAAACTTCTCAAGAAGATAATGTCTTGAAATAAGATGTTATATCTTGTCTTGTCAGATAAACATAGGTCATATGAAGTCTAATGAGATTTACACTTAAATCTGAATGAGATTAGAGTTTTTGCAGAGAGCTTTTGATTATTTGGAACCAATAATACACAAAACGGAATCCTTGAAACATGATATATGTAGTGCATAACAGTGATCAGGAGGAAGTCTCTTTATCAAGTGTATGCAGCTAAATACATCATATCATGACGTGGGAACTGTCATGTTTAAAGTGATGGGTTTTGTGCATTTAAAAAGAAATAGAGTGGTGTTTATTTTTTCTGTCCCCTATCTAATTTACAGCATGTGACACAAACATCTACCCACATAAATTAGCCATCACAGTTGCCTCTCTTTTCTATGAATGTTTATGTTATGGTGAAAGTGGCTCTTCTTCTGTCACATCAGCACCAATCTTCATCTCCAGCATCTCTTTGTGTTTCTTCTTTTCATCCTAAAGCTCTTTGACCTTCACCCTCTTTCGGTTCTTTAAACCCATCATTAGAAGACCTCCATCCGCTTCAGTGACACCACAGCTTTATCTATTAAATGCTGCTTTTGAGGATCTGTTTCAGCCTCAGGTTTCCTCCAGCTGGTCCTACAAACTGAGGGGACTTCTGGACTGTGAACCTTGCTCCTGGAAATCACATCTTTTTTTTTTTTTTCTTGATGTGTTGTTTGTTGATCAAGCACCTGATGGCTTTATTTACACAAGCTAACACAGCCGCTGGGAGGAATGTTGCATTTGACATTCCTACAGTAGACACACATGCACAAAAGCAGTTTCGGTTGTGCTCTGAGACTGAAAGATGAGATGTGCGACACTGATAATTAAACAGCCTTATGTAAGGAGAGAACAAGGTCTAAGTTAAATTTCTGTTAAGAAGCTGTGAGTCTGTGAGAAATGTTGGTTTATGTTTGTGCAATGCCTAACTATTCATTAATTAGCAATAAATAACATAAATACTACAACTTATCTTACAAAATTAAAGTGCAAAGTCTCTCAAAGCTGTTAAAGAAGTAGATTGTTGACTTCACTAAAAGGCAAGTATCACCAAAATTGATTAAAATTACCTATGTTGTAAACCTGCATAATTAACAAAGCTGTACACTTTAAGGACCAATCATTCAGTAACAGGATTTTTTTCTGTTTGCTTGTGTCTTAATTCAGTATTTTGGCCACAAATTGTGATATTTGGAAAGCAGTTCATTTAAGAAAATTTTAGTTATACTTTTAATTTTTTTACTTTATAGTTTGTTGGAGGAAAGGTCAGCGACTTAAGGCCAGTTTTCTCAAACCAGAAGTGAAATTTAACCCCAAAAAAACAAGTTCCATTAACCAATAAAACATCAAATAAAGTGGCATTAAATGTTTTAGTATTTTACAAACTGCGTTTGTGAGTGACCATGTTTTTCACGTGTATGAAAGAGTGTGCAAGCCCTTTAAACCTCTCCCTTTGGTGCCTGCCTCTTTCATGGGGAGTTACTAGGGGGGAGGGATATATTATACTCCGGCTTTATGAATAGGCTCAAGTTTTTTCTCACACTGAAAGATCGTGTCTCCTCTGAGAGTTGGGACAGTCCTCAACAATAGCTCATTGTGCACACCAGCAGCTACTTTTTCAGTCGCTGCTTTTGCTTAATCAGGCTGTGTGCTCTCAAAAATCCTTTCACCTTGTGTTCTCCCTTAATGTGGAAAAAAAAAAAAAAACGTCAAGAACTTTTTTTTCAGATTTGCAGATTTCAAATAATCATCAACTTACTAGATGGACATGGGTGTATTTTGTTGTAAACCACCTATGTGCTCTGTGTTATAGTGCAAAGACTTCTCTGATGGACTGAGGTGTTTTTATGCACAGTTTCAGTTTGACTAATAACATTATAGCCTTTGGACCAGTGCTCGAAGGTGGAATATGAAAGTTAGAGGCGGTTGTAAACAGGCAAAGTGTGATGCATTTGTCACCATAGGCTGCATGAGTAACCATGGAAGTTAAACCTACAGGAAATAGCAAAACAAAGAAAACAGGTTACAAGGAAGGATGGAGAATTGTTCATGGAAGTGAAAGAAAACATTTGGCTTCAAAGTCTGCCATCCCCTTAAAAGCAGATTTGCAAACTTGTCTCCATCTTTCATCCAAAGAAAATCTCTAGGCAGACTGTTTTCCTGCAAACAGAGCAACTGGCCAATTGAAATAATGGGAGGGGCTGTTAGGGCTAATCCTCCACTCATGTGACTGGACTGAATCATTAACCCAAGAAGGCCCCACCTTCACTAACCCCGCTCCCCCTCTCCCTCCCTGATTTGTTGAGATAGCTGCTGGGAGGGTACAACTTGGTTACACTCAGGGCTGGGAGGTGCTTGGGACAGGCAGTCCTGCTGAGGCAGAAGAGAGGAGACAGAGAAAACAAGTGAGAGAGTTACAGACAATATGCCTGACAGGTGGAGTCTCCCACGGCACTTAGTTATGGAATGCAGGATTTTGGAAAGAGGAAATACGCCACGTTGAACAAGAAACTGTATCAGCACCAGGCAAGCTGATTTAAACCCACGACAGCCATGAAGAGCCCTGTGGTTTATGGCAACCCAGTCATGTTTGCTCCAGTGGATTGGAACTATGCTGTCGGCACCCCGGTTAGGAGAGGGAAGAGTGTCGAAGAGCTTGGGGATGCCGGTTGGGCCAGAGAGAGGGAGAGGATGGCCCATCTGCAACATATACAACAACTCCACCAACTACAGCTTCAGCAGCAACAGGTTGGATATCACGGCTATGGAGTAGTTCCTCCCGGGCAGCCACAGGGACCAGTCATGGTGGCGAGTCCGGGTAACTCAGTTCCAGTTCCTGTGCCAGTTCATGGTGGCATGATGGTTCCTGTGGCTGGGCCAATACCACCTCAAGTGCATATGCCACCTCCATGGCCAGGACAATGGGACAACCAAGCCCAAGTTGGACCTGGCAATGTATGCCCCCAAAGAGAGAGACCTCCAGGACAAGATGGTTACTTCCACCCTGGTTCAGAGGATGGTCATCTTGATGTAAGGATATCTGAATGGAAAGGCAAGCATATTTTTTACCAAGGCCCAGAAGACTACACAACCCAGGACTATAGCAAAGTGCCAAAAGAAAAAGACTCCAGAACCCCTGAACGGTACAGCAATGAGGACCGAAGAAGGGAGGACTGGGTAAGAGAAAATGACTATAATGATGACCGTTATGATCAGAGGAGTCCCAGGGACATCGAGGAGTATGATCATAAGGACAAATACAGACACAGAGACCATTATGATCGCTATGATGACAGAGAGAAGCAACAATATGACAGCAGGAGGTATGGTAAACATGATCTCAGAGAACAGGACAGTTACAACAGTGAATATGAGGACTACTATGATCACAATTATGCTTGCAGAGATGATTACAGGGACAGTGATCGCTACTACAGTCATGATCGGGATTATAATGACTCAAGAAAGGATCAACATTACAGAGAAAAAGAGTACTATCAGCGCAAGAAGGAGGAGCGGTACGATGAAGAGCGAAGGCATAAGGACCAATACTACGACCGGTATGCAGAAGATCGGTATGAACGCAGGGGAAGTAACTACAAAAACAGGGATGACTATGATCGAAGAGGTGAGGATGGTTACACCCGTAAAGGAAGAGGCCAGTGCGACTCTGAACTGGATGAGTACAATGGTTACAAGGAGAGAGACCACTATGACAGGTACAGAGATACAGGTAACGATAGGAGAGATGATGACCACAGGAGGAGGGACCAGTACAAAGCAAGGGAGCACTATGAGCGAAGGAATGTGGACCACTACAGCCAAAAGAATCAGGACCACTATGAAACCAGAGAAGGGGATCGTCCTCAGAACAAGCCCAGAGACAGATATCGAGATTTACGCTCAATGTCTGAAGACTCACGATACGAGGAGTCCCCTCAGAAAGGTCGCAAGACACACTGTGAGGAATGGGTTGAGCAGCAGAACCAGAAGTTGGCACTCAGGGAAGTGCACTCTTTTGAGGATCCTGTTGTATATCATCACAATGAGGAGCGGGAAAAGGGATACGAGTCGAGCGCAGGGAGCATGGGTTCAAAGCGTCCCCGTAAACCTGTATACGTGGGGTCTCTGGATCGGAACAGCTTTTACAGGAAGACAGCCCCTAGCTCACTTCGAAACTCCCAGTTTGCCACAACCAGGAAACAAAAACAAGGTAAACACAAGGACATTGTCATGTGAGAGGAGGTATTACAGACAGTGTATTTGCACAGCATCAGGTCCTTTTAAGTTTGCGTTATCATTCTCAAATCTTAGGGGCACCTCAAAATGCATCCATCAAAAGTCAGATGAAAGACTGGTTCAAACAACTTCACAAAACAGATCTTGAAAAACAAAAGATTCAATTTGCGAGGGCTGTTGTCATTCCAACCCCAGTAGATAAAACAAGATGGAGAGGTCAGCAATCTTTGGTGTCTCATGCCTTATCATTGGTGACCTCCAGAGGTGATCTTCCAATCAATGCTGAGGGGTTTTAAGTGCTGACAAGCCAGACTCACCTCCTTACTGAGTGTGTGCTGTAAACTCTATGTGTGTATGTGTGTGTGAGTATCACCTATCACACAGGAAAGTGAGCTGTCAGGTATTTGAAGGTGTAGGAACCTGCCAGACAGGTTTTGTAGGGTCTCAGTTGTTGTTCCTGTCATTCTTCCGATCTGCTGTCTGCACTTTTCTTGTTTGCTGCTGAACTCTGCATCACTGATGCTATGTGTGCCTAAAACTAGTCCGTTCAGTTTCTGCATTTGAGTGTTTTAGTTGTTTTCCAGGGTGTCAAAAAAGTCTCTATTTTAATGAAAGCTGGTATCTTTGTATAGAAACTAGTTCTTCAGAGCCCAGAGATTGAAGCTGAAAACTTTCAAGTTTCTTTCTGTTCTTTCACTGATTAAATTTTAACTCAGCTGACTGAGTCATCCTGCTACAATAACAGCATGTTAAGGGCCTATGTGTGGAGGAGAAAGGAGGTCAAATGTAAAACTCAGACATCATTTTTAAAATAGCAAATTTAAGGCAAGAAGAATAGGTTCATTCTGTCTCTTTGACTATTTCAGTGGTAGTTTTGCTGATGTGAACATATTTGAGCCCATTTTAAAGCTCCCAGGTTGTACCTTTTATGTTTTTTTTCTGATCTTGACCTGCTAGAGGGAAAGTATGATTAAAAAAAAACAATTAATTCTGCTTTTTTTTTTTTTTTTACCAGTCACACTCACTGCAAAACTTTTCTGCTGAACAAAGTCTGTGTCTGCAGTGTGCTCCAATTCACTTTGACCAGCACCTACCCTGGCAGCAATGGTTATAGGCTTTAAAAAGGACTTTATACAATGACTACTGCTTTGTGGCTTCATATGGAGGCATCAGTATTAATTCCAGTCAGTTTTATATCAAGTATAAGTCTGGGGGTTTAGGTCTAATTAGGGTTCACTTGGGTTGACTTATCAGCAGTCACAGACTGAAACAAAAGAAACCATCTCACTAAATAACTCAAGAGTAGGTGTTCATGTGTTTGTGATTGTGTTTCCTGAGGAACCGAGGAAAGAGAGAGCGCTCTTCTGTCCGAGTTTATTGTGTCTGTAAAGAAGCAGGTGGCGCCCTCCATCCCCTCCCCCAGTCACCTAGAAACTCACACACGCACTGGTCAAACACGCACATACATACACACTGGCCTCCACCTCACTGCCTTTTCAGGAGTCCGAGTATTAATCCCTAGCGTCAGCATGGTGAGTGGATGGCGGGGGTCTGTCTGGTGCCAGGAGGTGGCCGGCACAAGCCTGACTCCTTCACTGCAGGACGTGTGTGATTGTGTGTGTGTGCGCATATATGTGTGTATGTGTGCACAAGTGAGGCTCTGCAAGGCTTATTTAAGAGATGACGCCATTTTTCAAAACACACACCACACACACTTGGCTCTTCAGTATCTTTTCAGCCTTTAATCTTGTTAAACTGTTTCAGCTCTGTCAGGGGTTTGCCTTGACTAAAGCACTTGATTGCATGGCTAAAAACATTACTGACAATCTTGTTGCAGCATTTATTGGGCTTACACTGAGGTTGAGTGACATTGAGGTGATGGACCGGGCTTTCTGAGATGGCCCTTAACACTATAAAAGGCCTTTGTTGTCCTCTTTAATCCAGTATTAGATATAAGACCTCTCACCACGGTCTGACAAGTCCTTGGAGGCCAGTAAATTCCAGCTACAAATCAATATTTCACTGGACATCCATGCAGCTGTAATAGTTTTGAGTATGGCACTAATTCTATTATGTTTATGTCCATGTAGAGTAATTCAAATAGACACCTGAACCTGATTGATCTTAGTTCAATAAGTTTACCTATTAGCTGCTATACAATTACAAGTAGTAGTTTCTTTACTCTGAGAAATGCCCTCTGTGGTCCTTCAGTGTTTAAGGGCCCTATGTGAGTAAAGCGTTGTCATCCTGCTATGATCTGGCAGCGTATGCTGTCTTGTTATCTGTAATCCTTGAACACTTGCTGCCATTGGTGGGCAGGGGGACTGAGGTGAGGTGGGTTGGGGGGTTTAGGAGTTAAGACTGGAAATCTTTAGACGAGAACTCAAATCTTCTGACAACGCTGATCTAAAGATGCCTTTACTCACTGCTGGCAGGTGAGAAAGACTGTTAGTGAATTGTGATTTAACATACTAGTCCAAACCCATCAATAAAAACCTCAGATATCATTTTAGTTTTTTGTCTGTAATAAAGACATTTCATGGAAGTTGCTTCAAATAATTTCTTGCAATCATAAATGTACCAACTTGCAGATTGTTGGGATTTTACCACAAGTGGTATAGATTGTCTTGTACCCAAAACAAGAGGCTTCAGATGCAGAACTTGTTTTTATGTAAAATACAATATTTCAAGAAGTAATTGGACAAAAGCTATAAAACTGTAGTTGCTGGTTTGATGAAGTATGTAGGGATTTACTTTCTGTTAACATGTGGGAGCTGTGATTGAAATGAGACTATATCTTTGACCCAGTTCACACAAACAGTACAGGACAGTAATAGTGACAAACCCCTGACTGTGAAGGAACTGAAGGAACTTAAATGTTGCCTCAGTAAGTGCTGGAAGAGACTTACTATTAGTGACGTCTCCAGTTTTTTTCCAGAGGGATGATGATGTTGGCCAAATTGGAAATGATGATGCAACATAGGTTTAATTGATCCAGACAATGGTAAGGAGGTATTGCCGGGTCTTAAAGCTACAGCATGACTACCTGTTGATTAAAACAGTTAGGCCTCTAATCATGCAAACTTCTGCAGAACTCTTGGCCTTTATACAGTCAGTATAAAATTTAAACCTGCTGTAAATGTGAAAATTAGCCAAACAAACCAAGAACCCTTGTTTGACCAGAGTGTAAACATGCTCAACCTCCCCCCTTTCCTCATGTTTAAAAAGCCCATTTCTCATTCATTAAGTGAGGACATGTTACTAGTGATGCACGATATGAAAAATTTCAACCGATACCGATAACCGATAATTTTCTTCTTCTCATGGCCGATACCGATAACCGATAAATTAATATTTTTACATTTATTATAATCTTCATATAATCTGCAGTTTGTGCAGGATGCAGTGATTGAAAACTGATATTTTTGTTGCTCTGGCCTATCTAGAACAACAAACTAAAGTTTTTGGCTCTTCAAATGTTTATTTTTTCCATGTCATCACAAAAATATGTGGTCATTAGCTATAAATAACAATAACAGAGCAAAAAGCAGAACTTCATTTGACCAAAACAGTGCATCCCCTGAACTGTTCAACAGAACTGTAGACTGTAAAGGAGCTATTATGAGACGTTAGGATTAGCATGCTGACCGAACTAACATCTGACGTCCATATGTCTGTGGTAAAACTCACGTGTAGTCCGTTCTTGTCGATCAGGTTGTGAATGTATGTGGCGACAATATCAGAGTGCAGGAAGGGACACATCCGAGAAGAAGCGGCGGCTTGGGAGAGTGTAACGTGGCTACAAGTGTGCTATGAACTTACGAAAACCCGGGTTCTCAACGACGGAAAAAGGCTGGTCGTCGACCGCTATGAATTCCATCACTTTGTCGTTAATGGCTTTAGCCTTTTCGCTGTCTCTTGAGAAGCTTTTGCAGTTTTCAAACGCCTGCTGAATGGGGACATCGATCCTCCGTAGTGTTGTTGTCTTAGCTTTAGTACCGCTAGCAGCTTCGGCGGCTGTCTCATAGTCTTTTAATACCGCTTCGCCGCGATGGCGACTTTTCAGATTCGCTATCAGATTCGCTGTGTTAATACTTGACGTCTTCATTCCGCCTCTCGGAATCCTCGCTGAACAGGTTTTGCATATAGCAGCTGTTGTCATCTTCTGCCACTGAGAAAAACGACCATGCTGGTGAAGACATTTTATTATCAGTCAGGTAGTGACAGGGGTCAGGCTTGGGACCTGCGAGTAAGGCGCGACGGGCGGCTACTCCGCCTGCAAACGTTACTCGTAATTTCATTAATATATCGGCTCTTTCTATCGGAAAAATGCACCTATCGGACCGATAAAAAATGACGTAATTTTCCCCCAAATCGGCCGATATTCTATCGGTCCGATAAATATCGTGCATCCCTACATGTTACGGTTATTTCTATGTGGATTTATACTTAAATTTCATTCAGATACCAAAACCTGACAGCGTCATTTCGTCTGAGCCTCTTCCATTAGTATTACACACTAAATTCTCCTCTCTACCCAAAGATATCTTTTATTATGTACTAACTTGGTGTCAGTGTTGCTGTATCACAGTCATATAGTGTATATGTTGCTTTGTGGTTAAGCCTCTTTGAGCTCTTAAACTTGATGTTTACTAAGAGAAGTGTTGATTTAAGCAATGGTGACATTAGCTGTGTGGGCTTATTCTTTAACATGTTCACACAATGATCATATCGCCAAGGTTAAAAAAAAAAACAGTGACGACTTTCTCTTGTATGTAAATAGGGGCGTCAGTGTCAAACACTGTGTGAACAGAGCCACTTAAAGCAATATCAACAGAGAAGTTATCCAAGATTTGAATGCTGAGTTTGTGGTATCAGTTAATATATTTTCTAATGGCTGCAGAATGTAGTTTTAATTATTAAATAACCAAGGGCTTATCACACATTAACATAAACAGAAACAGAGCTATCTTGCCTCCAGTGACTTTTGTGGCTTGTGCACACTCGTTTTGGAATAAATGACTGAATTTTCTCATATTCAGCCCTTTCTTTGTCAAATGCAGTACATAGATGCTGTAACTCTTGCTCCTATAAGTCTGTGGGAAAACCTTTGAAGCCCTCAGGCAGATCTTTGTCTTTACTTGCCTGATATTAAGCAACAAATATAATGCTGCCAGTTTAGTCATCTCATCTATTTCCCACACAGAAGTGACAGCAAAGATATATACCAAATCTATGATTAAATTGTCAGTTTCTCAGCAGTTTTTCATTGTAACCTCTTTTAGTACTTTTTAAAGCTTTTCTTGGTGCACCACTTGGTCCCATCAAAGCACCTGTGAGACTCAGTATATCCACTGATCTCTCCTTTTCCATTAACATGAAGACAGTGGAGCTTTCTTGTTTAATAGGACCCTCCGTTAATGATTTTGGATCCTCCTTAAGCTCTCTCTCTGCACATATGCAAAACTGATGGTCTCTTGAAGTAATTGGACAGCGTTTGCAAGAGAAATTAAACCAAATGAGAAATTCCAATGAAACCATTCATCATATGTTAAGTCCGTTTTTTGCTGTGCCACATTGTCACAGCTTGTTTACTGAACTTTTAATTAGCACATAGCTTTTAGCCACTTTGAAAGAAGAGGCGTTTTATCTGGTGATGGGCACTAAACACAGGGGGGAACAAATCACATGCTGAATGCTACATTTCATTACACGCCCTGTTCATGTAATGATTGGTGTGATTTGAATGGAGGGACATAATTACCAGGAATTCCCAACAATGGGCTATAAAGGTTGCTGTGAGAGTGTGCCAGGAGAAGGAATGTGACCTCTTGACATTTGACCCTATCAGAGATAAACAGGATGGTGTGTCACTAAATAAACGTTTTCTTCTTTTCCTCCTGCTGCAGCAGCAGCTGGTGATACAAATGTAGACCAACAACAACTGGTGAAAAATATAAATATTTTAAAAACTGCTAAAAACTGCATATTATAGAAAAAAAAGCTCCTTTGTTTTAGGATTATTTTTCAAAAAAAGCAGGTGAAGTTTCAGAATGATTCAGTATGAGAACCTTTAACAGTCCCAACAAATTAAAACCTCCTGCGCTGACATGTTTTCTGAACCTGCTCCCTGACTTGTGGGTTTCCAATTCATGTATCCAGTATTAAAAGCAAGTCATGGCTTGCGGGGTGTTAAGAAAACACTGCTGCTGAGTGTTGACATTCTGGTTAGAGAGCTTGTATGAACTTATTCTCAAGTATGTCCCAACCAAACACTCACGCTGAGGTGCACATGTGATCATTTGGGCAAAGCTGCTCCCTGCCCTCCAAAACTTGGCTTAATATGAGAAGGGCCCCCCTGCTATTTGTGTTTCCATGGTGACTGTGCACTCTCCTGTGAACTTTGGAGTTGATCACACACACACACACACACATACACAGTGCTGATTGTGTCTGACCTTCCTCTGTGCTGGAAAAACTCTCAACTTTGTGAGGCTTTGTAGCAGGTAGACCACAGATGAGGAATTCAGAACTCAAACTGGAGAGGATTGGTGAACATATTACCTTAAATAGAAACTAAAGAGTTAAAAGAAATCCCTTTGCAGGGGGGGGGATTGGGAGGATTGAAGATGTTGACTCATTATTTTGATAGATTTCAGCCTGTCAGAGGAGGAGATGGATCAGGTGTTAGTAGACCGTGAAACATGAAGCGGATCCTTCACAAAACTGGATTAGACTTGTTGCATGTTGCACATCACACTAATTATTATCCCAGATTACTCCTTATACAGCCCAGTGTGGAGGCCATCAGTACTAAAAGCTTGAGGCAAAAGTTTAAAAGTTTGAATATGTAAATTTGCATTCAGGTTGTTAAAAATGATAAATCCAGTTGTAACCATGCAAAGTTTACAAGAAAACATCAATCATCGCGGCATATGTAGATTGTTTTTAAGGAAATAATGCTGTTTTTGTATGTGTTTACATCTACCAACAGCTGTTAAAACTTACTGATTTCCTACAAAATGCTGATTCGAGGCACCTTCATACTCCTTAAGTGGAAACTTAAAAACATTTGGCATGAAGACAGGGTTCTGCTGCAATACAGTATTCTCCCACAATGCAGTGGACAAAGGAAACAGTAGAGCCTCCTACAGCTGAACCAGAAAAACAGTTGTGGGTGAAGGTTTGATGCTCCAAAAATCTTGATAAAAACCTCCAGTAAAGGAGTAAAGTCATAGAAACTTTGATATTTGGGGGGGCTCAGTGTTCACTTACTTAACACTCATCACTATGCTGTGATGAGTCTAGATTGGGACACAGTGTTGAAACATGGAAGAGCACAAGTCCAGCTCCAGGTTTTCTTTCAGCCATAGTGGTCACCCATGCTTATGTGTGTGTGTTTTTGTGTGTGAGTTTAATGACGGTGGGTTCCCATGCATTCTCATGGTAATCTGAGGTCTGGAATGGAGTTTTTGCAGCGAGACGCTCGGTCCTCTGCAGGGCTCAGGAGCTGGACTTCAGATTGACAATGGACTATCATAGAATGGGTGCCGTTGTTAAAAGCACAGTGTGTGTGTGTAGGTTTGGGCTGGTGTTTGTGGGTGGGGGATGCTCTCGGTTTTGAAGTGGTTTGAAGAAAGTTGCGGCAGCAGGTGGGTGAAATCTCATCTTGGCTTTTCCTCTTCTTGCTCTCGTTCTTGCAGATGCAGCAGTGAAATTATAGTTTTTTTCTGTTGTGTTTGAAAGCAAAGATTGTGCGAGGATAATTTAGTATTTTAATATCAAACAGAAAATCACTTTATATGACTTTTTAAACCAATGACACACAATATTTAATCTGATTGACTTTGTTAAACTCACCACTAAATGCACATTTTAACCACCAAATCTCTCAAAGTACATTTCAATACGCAACAATGAATGAATTCAAATAGAAACAAGATTTTATTTTATTTTAAGATGACTCAGAAATTAATTACAGCAACCTTTATGTTACAATGCCATTAGTCTTTGTGCAACCATACGCTATGCAGCCTAACCTATTCAATCCTCCCTCTTCTTTGATTTCCTCATAAACTTTGTTTACCTGCACAGTGACTAGGTTCATAGGTGTAAAGCTTTGTGACATGTCGACTACTCACGTCATTTTATTGTACGGTCAGGTTTACTCCCTGTTGTAAAAACTGTCCCAGTGTGCTGTGTATTTATAAATCCAAGCCTGCAGTTGAATATGACTCATGAGGTTTGGCAATGGTAATCAAGACGCTGTCACAACAGGAAATGGTTTACAAATTGTCTGACTCAAGCAAAAGCAGGAAGATCAGCTTTCCAGTTATGTTTCTGGGTTAAATTTGACTGAAAATTTGAACATGAACATTTACAAAGCAGTGCGATGTGTTGGTGACTCTTTTTTAAGTTGAAAAATGAAAAATTTTTCTTCCATTTTTGTTGAAATTAAACGTTAATTAAACTTAGAGGACAGCTGTACCTGGAAGCTGTGATACCTACTCAAGTGTTGTATGCTGTAGTACTCTTTTTTATTGGACTTCTGTGTGATCGACCAATATCTGAATCAGACTAGGTTCTTTTTTCACCTCTTGGCCGTGTCACCAGGTCGATAGACAAGCTCAAAAAAGTTTTGGAAAGATAATAGAGAGGGTGTTCAGTAATGACCTTTTGAACCTCATTAACACTGTAAGCTTCACCAGACTGTGGCCATCTCTCTGTGGGTTAATTTCTCTAAACTCTTAAATATGCAGATCCAGGTCAGTGTTTGTATGAAACTCATTTACTGACCCTCTCGCTGCCGGGTATGTGTACAGACACCCTGAGCCCCCTGCAGAGTGATGAACTTCGTCTTTGTTCCCATGAAGGGTTTATAAAACAATGAAAATGTTAAATTCATGACACACCATTTCAAGAGAATGAATATGCAATTAGAGTGTCTTTATTCTCCTCTAAAGTCTTGAATATTTTTGTCTGGACAACAGAATATCGAATTGAATTGAAATAGATTTAGTTTGAAAATGTGGGTATTTTGGAGGAATAATCACTCAACTCTGTTTTTTAATCATAAGTGAATTGGTAATCAACAGTCAGAAAAAAACAGCTGATTTTTGAGGTAAAATAATCTAATTTGACACATTTCAAACTTAATTTTAACTTGTAGAGACACTTTATTGTCTTGATTTCCTACTTGTGAAACGTAGACTTGTGTTTTAGCAGCAGGTGGTTGTTTGTTCTGGGTGATTAGCACCTCTAATTGTTGGCATCCACTCACAGGTGTGTGATTTAGTTGGTAGCTAGTGTTTGTTAATGGGTGTTACCTCTCACAGCTGACAAAGAGATACAGGTAGATCCTGTTTTATGTGCTGCCTCTAACACTGACACCAATGTCAGTGAGCAGCTGTGATTGTTTGTCCAATAGGATTATTTTCAATTAGATTTCCTCACTTGGTCAAAAATACTTTGGAAATGTTTCTCATTTGGTAACTGATGGCAGTTTGAAGTCTGTGTGTGAATGTAAAATGACAGTACCCTCTTCACAATAACTAGCAGAACAATGAAAAGTGGAATACTTCAAAAGTGGGTCATTTTTGCTCAACAGGTTTGTTTCTGTCGCACATGGGACGTGAAGTGGAGCATATAATGTGTGTGTGTGTGCACTGAGGATCAAACGTGGGAATAAGCCGATTTGATTCCAATTAAAGTCCGAGTCTTTTGTTTCACATCTCCCTTTTGTGTTGTGTATGACTTCTAAAACCCCATTAGTGAACTACTTTCTCATCAGTGAGGGAAACGCTCCAGTGTTGGTGGCGGCTGCTGTAGGGAGAAACAGTGCAAACAGTGAGCAAAGCTCTTTTGAGTCCAACTCCAGCCAAGTCACGTGAAGAGAAAGAGGGGGAGACGAAAGAAAGAGGGGAGAGAGGTCAGGAGGGGAGACAAAGGCGGGTGGCCCAGGGATCAAACATGTAAAAGTTTGAAGTGTTTCCTGAAATATTAAGATCTCTGCTGCAAAATTTTGCAAGATCTTCCATTTCATCTGAGCTCCACAAAGTCATGAGTCAAGTTTTGCAACGTTTGAATTTGCTTTTGTACGACTTGAATACAAACCGTAATGCTAAGGCTGTTTTGGTTATGTTTAGTGGAGCATGCCGGTATTTGCAGGAGGTAACGTGAGGGTAAGCAGAGTTAAACTTCATTAGCCTCTGACAGCATCTGTTCATGAGCAGAGGTGACGTCACCCTCATCTGTCGACACAATGCGGAGCAGGACGTAGACATATCAGGTCTTAGCACTGGATGCAAAACCAAAACATCCACCCTCAGCAGTGTTTCCCCCTCTTCATAGATGTATTTTTATTATTTTACTTTTTAATGTTATTGTCCTTTTTAGAGTAAAATCACAGGGGGACTATTTTTATCATGTTGCTATTTGGAGATGCTCCTACGTTACTTGCTTCTTGAGTCATGGCCAATTCCCCTCCACAAAGTTTCTAGAAAAACTTTATTTTACAACTTTTTTTTTCCTGCTTTAACCAGCTGAAAATGTATTTAGCTACACGTCATTATTGTTGGTTGTTTCTAAACAATAAATAACTTGAAACCAGTTGATTTTTGCGACTGGTAGGTAATGGTACCCAATGGTGCACTCACCTAAACTCGAGCGCATTCAAGGCCGTACTGGAGGCTTATACTGGTGTCAGTGATGGAGCAACTCTACTTTTTTACCTGAGCAGTTTAGTCCAAAGGCAGCTGGACTTGTTTGAAGTTCATGTAGCTGTTTTGTCATTTATCCAATCTAAATTCTCGAGTTTTACTTAGAAACTTCACCCAAGTGCAATTGAAAAAACTTGAAAATCACGATGATAATGAAGAATAAGTTAAGATTCAAATGTTAAAAAGTTTATAAATGGAGAAGAAGAGGATATCCTTTTACCCGTCACCTTATTTTCAAATCCTGTTTCTAAGATTTAAATTCAAAGCGTATCATCCCTCCCCAGTCCCGTTATCTCTTGTCCCTCAGCACCCCTCTACCCGCCTCTCCTTTACTGTTGGCTGGTCCCTGAGGGCCTGTCTGTCTGTGGTCGCTGTCACAGACCATTGTACCGCGCACAAAGACTCTGAGTCCACTCCAGTTTTAGCTCCATTGATAAAAAGCAGTGATGCATGATCCAGGCTCTCCCTCCAGTCCCAGGGGCACCCCAAAGAGATCAGCCCACAGAGGGTGATAGCAGAGACATTGATCAAAAGCTCGTCAGACCAGAGGAAGAGTTGAGGGTGGGCTAGTTGGGTGGGTGGGGAAGAGTATGTGTGGAAACATGAATTGGGACATGGGTTGGGAGAGTTTTTTTTTTTTCTTTTGTTTTCACTCTAAATAAACTCATTCACGTTAAGCCTTGCGTTTACGTATTACTTGCAGAAATTGCTGCATTAAAAAAACTTTGTATTAAAAATTCTGTATGAGAAGAAACAGAAATGAAGCTTATCTGTCCTCGTCTCCTTTTTCAGAGATGACACTCCTCTCCTCTCAGCCCAAACCCCTCGACTCCACCCCAGCCTCGGACTCCAGTCCCAGTGCTGGCACAGGCACTGAGGATCCCGAGCAGAGGATGCTGGAAAAGAGGTCAAAAGTCATTGAAGAGCTGCTGCAGACGGAGAGGGACTACATCAAAGATCTGCAGATGTGTGTGGAGGAGATCATTGAGCCACTGCAGAAGAAGCAGGTAAGAGTGTTGGAAACCTCACGCATCCTCCTGGCCTGGGTTTAGACTTTTTTTTGTGCGGGTAAACATATTGTGTTTTAAATTCACATAAATAACCAGTGTACTCTGAAAATTTGAAGCATTAGGACCCTTAAGTGATTGTCTCAGTATGATGTTTCCCTCTGGAAACAGCTGACTTCTTCTTCTCTGTATTTCAATTGAAGCAGGCGGTTAGTGATAGACAACTTGCAGCCAAGACTTCCTTTGCGTGCTCTGTATTGTTTGCAGTCCAATTAGCAGCTTAAAAAGCGACAGTGTTTTCTGAACAAAACAAAGCTAAATTTGGCTCTGTAGATATGTCTGCAGAATAAACACTGTCACGTCTTGGTTCATTGAATTACCTGGAAAAGCTCCCAATGCTTTGTTTCTGGTGTGTCTGTTTCACTGTGAATAGTGAGTTACACAGTCTGGAAACCATCTTTTTGCTGAATAACAGCGGCATGGTGCAGTTTTGTAAAAAGTCAAAATGTAAGAATCGTCAGGACTTTTTTTTTCCTGAAGGAGAAGAAAACAACTTTTGAAATGTTTGTTGAATAGAGGTTAGATTTATCATGTGAAGGATCCCAGGGAGTCCAAAATCCAAAATCCTGATAAAATGAGAAAGTCGCAGATTGTTACTTAAAGTAGAACATTGTATTTTTAATGATAAATTGTCATTAGATTGTAGAGTATTGGTTCTTAGCAGCTGCTTGTTTTTTACTTTTATACCAAAGACCACTGATAGGTTTTCGTCAATGATCCTGACCTTAAACATAGAAAAAAACAGAATACTACTATGTTGGAAATCCAGACCCCTAAATCCAGATTCTACATCTTTGAACCACTTCTTAAGCTTTTACCATTTGACAGTGCTTTTTTAATTTCTAATCGTCTGTGTCTGATTTTTCTAAGGTGAAGAATGTAGACTTTGATGGTCTCTTCGGAAATATCAGCTCTGTGATCGACCTGTCACAACGCCTGTTTGATTCCCTGCATGACAGCGACTCTATCGGTAAGGACCGTGATTTTTAAAAATTACACTTTTCCAGAGGAGTAATGGTCTCACCCACAATCCCTTTCTCTCCTCTCTCTCTGGTCTGCTTTAAACTATTACCATAAATCCTCCCGTCATCACATCTTATCAGCTGAGGAAGACTTTGATCACTTTTTTGAAAATAGTGAGCGTTGAAGGAAGTTTGTAGAGGAATGTAAGATTTAAGGAAGCTGGAAAAAGTAACCTCATGCTTTTGGGTCAAAGTAAAACACATTCAGTGTTTCCTTTCACCATCTGAAAACGACACTTAAGCTTCTGTCTGTGTATTTTGCACTCTCAGGAAAAGTATTCCTGGACTTTAAAGCTGAGCTGGAAGAAGTGTACAAGATCTACTGCCAAAACCACGATGATGCCATCTCTCTGCTGGAAAGTTATGAGAAAGACGAAAACATCCAGCGCCACGTGTTGGAGTGTCTGGAGAGGCTGAGGTGAGTCACCAAGTGGAAGGAAACACGGATCCCTGAAGAAGCCGATGTCTTAACACTGACTTGTGTGTTTGACTTGAAAATATTTCTTACATGAGTGAGCATGTTTGTGTTTTTCCAAGCATGAAAACATGAAAAGTGTGACTGGCCACTAATACGAGTTATCTGGTTCAAGTCAAACATTAACTTCAGAGAGCTGTTGTACATTTACAGTGTGTGGTGTTCAGTATTCATTGTTGCTTAAATGATTATATGAGATCCTTTTGAAAATATTACTAGTTCGACACACTTTGAACTTGTATTTCAGGTTGTATTTCAGGAGGGTATTTACTCTTGAGAGTCCACCTGATCTCTCGCCACTGTATCTGTTATTAAAAGTGGCTTTGGTCAAAAGTACAAGGCTTCCCTCATCTAGGCCGAATAAGTTTATGATGGACTCTCATAAACAGACTTTGCACTGTAATTCATGGGTGTGCTTTGATAAAGACGTGCTCCTGCTCTGTGTCATGTAGCGCTAAGTCATGTAGAGCACTCAAAGAATGCACCCTACCTGGTTTCACCTGACCAGTTTCGCCAGCCGCTTGAGTTGACTCTTCTGTGTTTCTGTAAAGTAAAGTTAGCAATCCATATTTGAAGATAAACACAAGCTGTGTGTGTTCGGAAAAAACAACAACAAAACCAGTTTCAGTGAGAGCTAACAAAAGAAAAACACTTCTGAGCTCAAGAGTGCACTTTTTTTGGTTTTGGTTTTACTGAATTAAGTCTTTTTCTGCCAAATTTACACATCCAAGCCAAGTCAGAAGAATAATACTCTTACAAAAGTGTGTGTCTGTGCTCGTTGCGACCTATTCAGCTTTAAAAAGGTCATGTTTTTTTTGCCGCCTTCTTGAATTGGCAAGTTTTACTGCCTGTCTGGGCCTTTGTCTAGCTTTAACAGAGGATTCTCAAAACAAAACCATAACAACGTGTAGGTGCAGTTGGGCAAATTATGGTCCTAGAAAGTCAGAGTTTAATTCACAGGATCTGATTTATTTAGTTGACGTTCTGCAGAATGAAGAGACACATTTCGGCATATTGAGCTCAGAGGTTTATAAATCCTGTCTTTGTGATTTTTCTATCTCCTCCCAACCTTCCCTCCAACAGAGCCATATACAGAGAGTGGTAAGTCTCCTCAAAGAGTGTTCACATGATTTCCAGCATGAGAATCATCTTTACTGCATGTCTCTTGCTCACTAACCCCTCCTGGAAATTACCTTTGTGTGTGTGTGTCTTTGTGTGTACATGGGTTTGTTTATCCATTGTGATGGATAAAATAATCATAGTGTGCGTGGAAAACTCTAAAAATATCTGTGCAGCCATTTCAACTTCCTTCCCTGGGCTGAGATGGACTCATTCATATTTTTTTGCTGTTTCTGTTTGCATGTGCTTGTGAATACTGTGTACTTTTGCTGAAAGAACAACAGTGTGCATGACCCCTCCTCATCCCTTTTTTTTCTGTGGGAAAGCAAAGTAACTCATTTAATGCCATCTTCTGGACAAAAGCTGCAACAGCACTTCAACATTATAAGAGATAACTATAAGCAGGGTTCCTCCTACGCAAGTATGGAAATAAATTTGATCAATTTCAAAGTCTTAAAAGTATGGAAAATATTTAAATATTTATGTTTCCAGACGATTACCACAGTTCATAAATACAGTTTTCTAAAATAGAAAAGTAGGTATTTCCAAAAATAATTCTAAAAATTAGGGTATGGAAAAATATGGAAATTTCAACTGTGTAGGAACCCGGTATAAGCAATCTTAAAAGATTTTATTTATAAGATCTTTATATATAAAATCGTAGTGAAATTCGTGTTGCAGTCAGAAAAGAATTGGTTGAGTTTCCTAGTTGCAGATTCTCTATCAGCTGATCTGGATTTTGAAAAATTCATGCCTAAAAATGTACATCTAACTCATCCAGCATCTTAAATTTATTTCTCATTGTAAGTGAAATTTTTAATTTAAAAATAAAGTCTAAGATGACTTCAAACACTTTTCAAATCTACAAATAAAGAGGCTTCATATTTTTTAAAGTTGAGTTTGTTGCAGTTTTTTGATAAGTCCATTTGATTGCATTAAAAAAAGCAAATCAAGATCTGATTTTGATTTTGCCCTTCCTGTCCTTTAAATCTCCTGCAAAATGTTCTGACCACCATCATCAGAAGAAATGTGTTTTTGATGATGCTTACAAATCATTGGGTTTTAAAAGCTTGACTTGATGACAAAGGGACTTGTGATCATGTGAAGAAACCTTTCTTTCTACCTGCTTTTGCTGTTTATAGTGAGGGATTTGGTTCTGATTGTAAATGATAATCAAAGTCATTCTGCTTGGTCTCCAGGGGGAAAACAAACTACATCAACCTGGGCTCGTTCCTCATAAAGCCGGTGCAGCGCGTGATGCGTTACCCGCTACTGCTGATGGAGCTGCTGGGGGCCACACCGGAGAGCCACCACGACCGTCTGCAGCTGACTCAGGCTCTGCAGGCTGTCAAGGAGATCAACGTCAACATCAACGAGTACAAGCGCAGGAAAGATCTTGGTAAAAAGTGCAGAGAGCCCGGTTGACTAATGTCTACTAGGTAATTCTTTTTACCAGTCTGAACTGTTTCCTTTCTGCTGTCTGTAGTGGTGAAGTACAGGAAAGGAGACGAAGACACGTTCATTGACAAGATCTCCAAACTCAGCATGCACTCTATCATCAAGAAATCCAACCGAGTCAGCAGCCACCTCAAACACCTCACAGGAATCTCCCCTCAGGTACATCGCCGCCCACCTCAAGCCTCAGCGAGCGTCAAGCACGACTAAAAAGTTGGAAATGTTTTCTTATATCTCTCTGTGTCTGTGTTATCTTGTCCCAGATTAAAGATGAAGCTTTTGATGAGGCAGAGAAGAAGTTCAGGCTGCAAGAGAGACTCATTAAGAGTTTTATCAGGGACATCTCTTTGTACCTGCAACATATAAGGGTAAGAGCACTTTCCCATGAATGTGAGAAACTTTCCCTCTCTGTCTTCACTTTATTTTTCTTTACCTGAAACTATTAAAAGCTTGCCAATGTGTCATATATGCACACAACTTTAGAAAATGAAAGGAATAGATTTAATTCAAGTGCATGGTTGTATGACAGTAAAATCTGCATGTGCCTAATGCATAATGTTATATATCATCGCTGTTGGATGAAAAACACGTATCTCCGCTTTTAGCGATCTGGACTTTTTTCAATACATGCATGGTCAATAATCTTCCCTAACAATCCATAACTTTGGATATCTAAATGACCAATGGAAAGACATGTTATAACATCATCTTTTCAACATCGAAAGTGTCAACAAAACGCGTATCTCCCGCCCTGGCCCTGTGTTGTCATGTCAGCAAACAGACCTTACACTGTGACAGACTCATTACAGTCCAGGGTAATGTTACACTAATGTCCTTACATCGACTGATGCCAACCTCAAACTTTTTTCTAATCATTACAGTGTTGCTTACCTGTACGTTAGATTTCTTGAGCTGAAGTTCATCCTCTGCTGTTTTCTCTCCCACACTCGGTTGTGGACACGAGTACATGTTAAATTGGGAGTTGCAACTCAACAAGGTTAACAACCAATGTGCTATGTGGAAATGTAGGACAGCCCGCTGTCATCATAATGGGACATAAACAGGATACTCAAAGCTTGTAAATAACTGAACATCATCGGAGCACATTATTTAAAAAACACACATGTCCACTATCACTCACAACACAAAGCACGTAAGTCTGTTTAAAATATCAAACAGGTCACTGATGACTGTGTAAATAAAGATTTTGATTGCAGGTCCTCATTGTGTCTAATAACACTATTTTTTGTTTATTCTATATGGTAGTTTATGAATACATTTTTTTTTATGTTCCTGAAAAAAACCAATTTTGGAGAGATGTGTTTTTTTATTGGAAAGCGATGATATGAATTTGCAAATAAAGACAGGAAACTGTATTTGGATAGTGTAAGCTGTAATTCTCATAAATTAAAGCAATATTTTAAAGATACAGCCATATTTTAAAATTACATGATGATGTATTCAAGCATGTTTTGCTTATGGACCCTTTTAAATAATTCCCTTTCCTTTTTTTTGTTCTTATAATATCTTTTTTTTTTTTAGGAATCCGCTTCAGTGAAGGTGTTGGCAGCCATCAGCTTCTGTGACATCTACAATGAACGCAGTGTCCTGGACCCTGAACGCTTTCAGAGAGCTCACCGCTGCATCAGTGACAAACAGTTCGCAGAGTTTGTAAGTCAATTTCTCTGTTTAGCCGTCTTAAGTTGTTCGGGAAAAAAAGGTAAATTGGAAACAACCTCTAACCACTCAATGTTGTCTGTCAACCTCAAACTTGAGCAGAAGGAGCGCACAGAGGCCTTAGTCATCAACCCGCTGACTCAGCTGCTCCTCATGTTCGCCGGGCCGCACAAACTCATCCAGAAGCGATTCGACAAGCTGCTGGATTACGACAACTGCAAGGAGCGCGCAGACCGCTTGAAGGACCGGCGCATCCAGGATGAGCTGCAGCAGACGCGCAACAACTACGAGGCGCTGAACGCGCAACTCCTGGATGAGCTCCCCAAATTTTACATCGCTGCAGAGGAGCTGTTCACCGGCTGTGTGCGGGCTTTCGCTCAAGCTCAGAAGGACTTCATGAAGACAACGCTCGGAGAGCTGAAGCCCCTCCTTCAGGTTGGATGGAAGATTATGTCATGGACATTTCTACAATGTGGAAGAAATGGAATTCAATCTCAACCGATTACTAACTGACTATTTTCTTGAACTCTCTACAGTTTTCTAGCAGAGTCAGCACAGAGGGTAACCTCATTGCAAAGTTTCAGGAAGAGTACGGGCGGGTTCTCCAACTTCTGCAAGGTTTTAGCTTCTGTCCTGAGAACCTGCCTCCCACCACCTCCTCAAAGAAGCCCTTCGAGAAGAAAACTCTGGAGAAGCAGAGCTCCAAAAAGCAACTGCAAGGACCTGTGAGTTAAAGACCTGAATTATTTTGTCCAAATTTTAATAAAGAAGAAAATGTGTATGTGTTTAACAAAATGTGATGTTTTTTCTTTTAGCCCAACTGCATCCTACAAACAGACGAACACCGAGCAAGACTTATGGTACGCTACGGGCCAGAGAAACTTTTCCAGGCAGAGAGGAACTTCAACGCAGCGCAGGATCTTGATGTCTCCATACTAGAGGGAGATCTTGTAGGTGTGATCAAGCAGCAGGACCCTATGGGCAGCAACAACCGCTGGCTTATTGACAATGGAGGTGGGTCATTTTTATTTGAACTTAAAACTCTGATTTAAACTGTCTGAGAGAAGGTGATTCAGCAAAAGAAATAAACAAATTTGTCTTTTACTTGTTTTGTGTTGCAGTCACTAAGGGTTTCGTGTACAGCTCCTTCCTCAAACCCTACAACCCACGCAGGAGCCAATCAGACGTTTCCATCGAGAGCCAGTCTTCCAATGAGTCTGGTTATGGAGGCTCCTCCCCTGTTTTCTCGCGCCAAAACAGCAACAGCACGCTGACCTTTAATCAGGACATTGCCACAGTCAGCTATTCCACATCTCAGCCTCAAAGTCAGTCATCCCCACACCCTTCACTGGACTCTTCCTCGTCTCGTAGGAGTCACCTAAGAGATGTACCCAACCCCGACTCGGTCAGTCAGAGCAATTCCATTAACTCCTCACCTCGAAACCCCTCAAAGCACAGGGAATTCTCCGACCAAACCCACCGAAGTTCCTCAAGTCACAGAGAAACAGAGACTTCTTATCGGAATTCAGGCAATCACAAAGATGCATATGATACAAGTTATACGAGTACGAGCAGCCACAAGGAGACGTCAGACCTCTCAGAGAGCGAGTCGTATTCCTCTCACAGGAACAGCCGCTCACAGCGCTATGGACACTCAGACAAAGCACACACTTCACACCAGTGGAGAAATGGAGAAAACAGCAGCCAGAGGAGATCTGCTTACCCACAAGATGAGTACATCGAGCCAGAACCAGAACAAGAACTTGATGGTCATCAGGTAAGATTTGTGAGACTACAATAATAGTTTTTGGTGAACTTACTCCAACACATCAAAAAAAATGCAAAAATTACATTTCTAAATTTATCTAAAGAGTTTTTATTGTTTGACAGTTTTAATAATAAAAACTTTAAAAATGGAGGATCGTACAAGTATAGGCTTTTTGTCTTCAAAGGCCACCATCATTTCACCACTAGGATGGTTGAGCAGAGAAGCGTTTTGATTCAGAATCACTAAATATTCACACTGCACCTGTTCACTGTTTATGGTTTTAATGAACTTAAGTGATTCATGCTATTTTTAAAAGTCAAGTAAAAACATAAAGTTTTTCATTTATTTCTGTGTTTTCAGATTTACTACGCTCTCTACTCCTTCGATGCCCGTTGTGCCAACGAGCTGAGCATCTCTGCCAACCAGCAGCTCCGGATCCTAGAGTTCCAGGACATGAATGGAAACAGTGAGTGGTGGCTGGGAGAGGCAGGTGGCCGGCGAGGATATGTGCCTTCAAACTACATCCGCAAATCCGAATACACATGAAGAAAACGGTTGAGGGGACTTCACCCGAGACTGTTCTTCCAACTTAAGGAGACTCACTCACTCAACGAGCAACCTGAACAAAGAGAGGAACCAGCAAGCTGGACACGCTGTGACTTTTTTTGAACATTTGTCATGGAGTTTGAGATTGAAAAAGACTGACTATTGCTGCTGACACTGCTCTTCTTAAAGTTAGCATTATATGCCCATATTTATAGACTTTTTATACTGTTTTTACTGACTGGAAATGAAAGCCTATCTCTTCTTGTTTCCAGAGAGAATCCTGTGAATTGCACCAGATTTCTGCCACATTTTCTGGGGCTGAAGACAATGAATTGTATGTTTAAAAAAAAAAAAACAGTTATTGGGAGATTGCAATGGAAATGTGAATGTTTTGGGTTCAGGCTACTTCTTAAAAACAAAAACCTGGGTATGCAGACAGACTGACCCAGACGCTGTTTTTTCGTGCATGTGGTTTATTGCACCACTAGAATGAGGCATGTAGAAAGCAGCATCCTCTTCAACAATCACAGTTTGAGGCACTTATAATAATAATAATCCACTGGTTTCGAGTTTTGAAGTGTCCGTGGAGCCATCACCCAGAATTTGGAGTGTTGTATGAAGCTAATATGGGTTATTTGATTGAAGATTAAGGGCAAAGTTGAATGGCATGTGATGTATGGTTTACAAGCACTCCCCTTTGAAACCAGGTGAACACAGTAAATACAGAATGACCTATTGAATCTGTCAGGAGGTGAGTGAACTTTGAGAGGGAGCACTCGTGGTCTGAACTTCACTCTGATTCTTCCACATATCCCCTGTGTAAATTATATATAGTGTTTATATTGAGAATATGCTATTGCTCCCACTGTAAATTGATCACTGTTTGAATAAAAAAACAGCTCAGCTGAAAAATCACCCTTGTCTCTGGAAAGATTTTTGTCATGCGTTTATGTCCTGTAAGCTCTGAGAAAAAGCTTCCCTCATCTGAGTTTGTTGTAAGATTTTTCTGACAATTTTCCTTTTTAAAGTTTAACATATTAAAAGTTTTACTAAATGAGTTGAAAAGTATACTGACCTTGTTAAACTGATACAAATGTTTTCTGCCTTTTCAAAAATCTTAAATTTATATTGAAGTTGCAGTGTTTCTAATCTGGATGGGAAGAGCATTTAGCTACATGCACTGCACAGAGGATTGTGTCCAAATACTCTGAATAGTTATAGCCTGTAAAGTTTGGCATCAGTTTGCTGATATTGTAAAAAAGTTGTATGAGTCTACAAACTGAGTCTTTCTTATATTTTGGCAGCTTTCTGGTTCTCCTCTTCAAAATGATATAAATTAACCCCTGACTAAAGCCCTGCTCTTCTAAACCAACGACTTAATTTTCAGTAAATTATAAAGCTTTTCTCAGCTACTTTCTCTTTTCTCTTTTCCTTTAAATCTTTCATTGTTTCCCAAATACTCTGCCTCTGCAGTATCTTTTGGTCCAACTCAACACCATGCAAAGTATTTTCAGAATTCTGCAGTATACTTGGTTGTCATTTTCATTTTCCACCTTTGTGTTTTAAATTAGCATACAACACATATTTCACAACAATGTGCCACACAGGTTTTGCTTTGCTATTAAAAAACAAGTTGCCTGGAAAAAAAGAGCTTTAAGTCTTTTAACATTTTAGAGAAAAATATGATTACAAGATACTGCAAAGAATAGTTTTTTGTATAATACCATCAAAATCATCCATTTGTTAATAGCAGTTAGAATCTTCTCTGTTTTATAGCCAAAGGGTAGTGCTATGCTGAATATTAGGAATTTACTTGTATGTTTACTCTGCATTATTGAGATTGATTTCTGCATGTTCTAAGACAGGAACGCTTCCAGACACTTAAGGTGGTTACTTAAGTGGAGCAATCCTCCTGTTGCTGATTAAGAAACATGGATCAATCTGAAAAGTTTGCAATCATTAGGACATTTCTACAAAGAACAAAACACACCAACTAACACCTTCCTGCACTTGTCTCTTCATTTGTCTGTCGATCATCGGTTCAGTTTTAATTTGCTTACAGTTTTGACTTGTGTAGACCTCAGCAGAAGTAGAGTAGAGTAGAGGTCAGAGGTCAAATAAGACTAAGATTGAATTCCATGTAACTCCTGACAAATCAATGCAGTTTACCAATGATTAACATGTAGGAGGGATGTTGGGGGGGCTCTGTGTTTGAGTGGGTTTATTTAGGACTGTGTGAGCAGAGGTAAACCAAAGATACCCTACATGATTTCATCATGGCCAGGGTCCATATGATCAGTTGCTCACTGGCTTTATTTATACAGCTGTGTGCTTTCTCTGCATTTGGACAGGAGTTTTTTGTAAGTATAAAAATTGAAAAGGAAAAGAAAAAAATAAGAAATCTCAATTTTGTTCACATTTTGGAAAAAGAAAATCAGCTAATAAAGAATTTGTTTATTTTGATTTCATCACAGATGATCACGGAAGGAGGTGGCACTGATGGTAAGGACAGATTTTAGTGAACCTGGTTTAAAAAACAAACACAACTTTACAATTTAAATGTTTACTTATGACTTTCTTTGCTTACAGATTATGAATACTATTACGACATAACCGTGGACGTCCCCGAAGAAGACTCAGCTGTGTTTGGTTTAGATGACTGGTTGTATGAACTCTTGGATGTAACAGGTAACACACCCTCTACTCAAGAGTGAATCACTTTCATCCTGCTCTGCACTGATTTCTCAAAGCCTTTGGGGTAAAACAGCATGTGAGGTTTGACTTTAAGAGACTGATTCTGTCCATTTTTAGATCAGTGTGATCCAAACCCGTGTTTGAATGGAGGCAGCTGTGACACTGCTGCTGGAGGATTCATATGTGTGTGCCCTGAACGTTACACAGGAAAGAAGTGCCAGACAGGTACAAAGTATCTGTGTGAACAGTATTTGTTTTATCTCTTTACTATGCTCAAACAGATCAGGTATATTTTGAGAGGCTTGATTATTGTTTCTCCTGTCCTGGTCTCAGCATTCCTTGTGTTTCTTAATCCCAGTTTACCAACAAAAATGTTGGGTCAAAGTCATATATCTTGGCTCCCATTGGCTATTTATTTACCATTGAAGTAAATTGCCAACTTCAGCTCCACAGATAAAAAATGAAATGATATTATACAATGTTTACATTATTACAAATCTAGGAGGGGGTAAATTATAAAAGGTGGAGATTGTTGTAAGCATCTGTTGCCCAACCCACACCTTCATACTCACAGACACTGAAGTGAGAGTAGGTGTCAGTGAAACAACTGAATAAGCAGCCCTGTTATCATGATGTTATGCATACAATTTCTACATTAAAAGATACAGTTATCTGTCAAAAGTCAATGGGTTGAGATTTTTTAAAAGTCGTTACTCGAGCATGTAGAGGATGAGGAACGCAAAGACCAAAAATTGTCTGAAAAACTAAAAGTTCCTCACAAAAGCTCAAAGTACAGATTTGATGTTTTTCAGTGCTCAGACTTTAGGTTGGACTTTGGGTTACAAGGTTTGTGCACCACAACACCCACTTATCTTGCACCATAGACATATAGTAGATCTGATTACAAAATTAGAACTAAATATAATTTTCCTGCTAAGCTCATTTCTGTATTTGCTGTAAAATTATATCTAAATTGATCAAATTTGGTTCTTCTGAAAAGGATAAACAAATCTGTGTTATACCTGTCTGCCTATCTGCACTTCATGTTTTACTTATGCACTGTTTTCGACATGTAAGTACTTTGTAACTATGTGTTTTCACAGCAACAAAGTTATCTTACTAATATTGAAATAAATGTGTTTTCAGTGAAAGATTATTGCAGGAACGTGAACTGTGGCCAAGGTAGCTGTGTCACCACATCTACTGCTCCATTCTATGAGTGCAAATGCAAACCTCCATACAGACCACCCGACTGCAGGAAAGGTCTGTGCTAAGAGGTTTTATTGCACCATTTTCTTGATTGTTTTGGTCTGTCTCAGTTGGCTTTCTCATTACATTACATGAACATATTTCCATTTCACATCAGACACTGATCTTCTTGTATGTACACAGCTTCTCCCTGCAGACCTAACCCCTGCCAGAATGGTGGCTCTTGCCAGAGAGGTCCCAAGCGCTCGTCCTTCCAGTGTGCTTGTCCTGTTGGGTACAGTGGAAAGTTCTGTGAAGTTGGTAAATGCACTGCTACTGCCCTTATAAAGAAGAATAAAAAAAAGGTATAAACTTTAAGAGGTCTTTTGCTACCTAGCTTAGTTGAAACATTGTTTTGTTTTTCTAGGGCCAAACGACTGTTATGAAGCAGACGGAGAGTTGTACCGTGGCATGGTGAGTGTGACTGTAGATGGAGAGGAGTGTTTGGACTGGAACTCTTATTTCATCCGGCAGAAAGGCGGAGATCCTTTCGAAGAGTATGCAGGCTTTGACGGAATTGGACCTCACAATTTCTGCAGGTGAGGAGACGTCTGGTGTAAATGTTGGATGTGTTGACTTTTGACATTATGTTCTCATTTGGTTGCAGTTCATGTGAGGTATGTTTCTGTGTGTACTCAAACTGTGTTGGAGACTTTTTGATGTTTTGTTTGACTGTGCATTCAGTTAAACCAGAAAGATTTATGAGAAGGTTTGAAGTTGTTGGTGTTGTTTATTAGTGTTAACACCACTTTTTTTAGTGCTTTATAGAGTTGGGAGTTAGTTGTTTAGGAGTTTCAGGTTGTGAGATAAAATGTGTTGTAACTTATTAAGGACATATATGCGTAAATGTATTTTTTTTAGGGTTGGTTAAAGTCTTCTTGTCTTTGTCCATTTCAGAAACCCTGATGGAGAAGATCAGCCATGGTGCCTAATCAAAAAAGACAACAATGTGAAGTGGAACTTTTGTCAAGTCAGGAAATGTTCTCCAGGTAAAACATATAAAAACAAACACAAAGAAAGATTACAGTTCAGGCTTCCACTGCTCCTCTTTACTAATTTTTATCTGACCTCCCTAGCTCCCACAGTACCGACCTTTCATGAACCAGATCCAACTCCAGCCAAGCCCACAGTCCCTGCTGCCCAGTTCTCCCAGTGCGGGAAGCCTCAGCCAGGCCGCTCTGCAAGGATCTTTGGGGGGAAGAAGTCTCTTCCTGGAGCTCATCCCTGGCAGGCATCCCTGCAGACCAGACCAAGAGGCTCCTCTGGGCCTTTCAGACACATCTGTGGAGGCATCCTGCTGGAGTCCTGCTGGGTGCTTACTGCTGCACACTGCATGTGAGATTTTCTTTTACTCCTTTATTAATTGGCTCTTTTTTTAACTTTCTAATTGTAAATTCAGGCATCTCTACCTTTTAATATCGCTAAATTTTCATGTTTGATGATGATGATGATGATTTCACAGCAAAAGCGGAGTTGAAATGCAAGTGGTTCTCGGAGGGGTGGACATAGAAAAGGATGAAGTATATGATCAGGTGATTCCTGTGGAGAAAGCCATTGTGCATGAAGAATACAGGCAGACTCCATTTGCACTCCATAATGATGTTGGTAAGATAGAAAAAAAGCAGTGAATTAAGGCATCCAATTCAAACCTCTGAGATGAAATGCGCTGATGGACTCTTGCATGTGTTCTTTGCCTCGTGTGTCTCCTGTGCAGCCATGCTTCAGCTGAAAGTCACTGACAGACCGTACTGCGCCAAAGAAACCCGCTTTGTGAAGACAGCCTGCCTGCCTAACATGAACTTCGATAGCGGGACAGAGTGTGTGATTTCAGGCTGGGGTGTGACCGAAACACGTATGAACCTTGCAATCTCTCTACAAACATCATGTTGTAACATATTGATCAGCGTTAGTTAACAGGGTCAGTAGTTTCAAAACTGTGGTTTCTGTCTATAAGCATTAACGCAATGAATTTAAAATTGTGTGCTATTTGGTCTTTATTCAGCACTCCCAAATCCCATAAATCCCATCCCTTTTGGAATTTATCACGATTAATCATTGAAAGTTGGGCGAGTTATGATAACTGGAAAAATCCACTTTTTGACAGTCCTGGATAACAGTAATTAAGCATTTTTTTAGACTGTGTAGCTTAAAAACCAAAAAGACAAAAGGAATAGCCCATTTATGAGTGTCTTAACTTTGGCAGCTCATGGATATTCATCAGAGTCGCCTCTAGCACGCATTTACATCGGGAAACAGGGTAACTATTTTCCTTTCAAACTGTGATAGTTAAGTTTTTGTCATTTTGCACAGAGCCCCTTCATACTGGTATAAAAGTACAACATAAAATATACACAAACTCTTCCACCTTGAAGCATACTCATTAAAGCTTGACTGAAGGTTTATGTGCGTGCCTTTGAGGAATAATGATATCATTTTCTTGATGCTGCTCTCCTGCTGTCTCAGAGAGGTACGGTACCAACCAGCTGCTCGATGCTCGGGTCCTCCTGATCTCTCAGGACAAATGCAAAGCTCCCCATGTTTATGGAGACTCCCTGGACAGCAGCATGTTCTGCGCAGGAAACATGAAAGGAGGAGTCGACTCCTGCCAGGTCTGTAAGACACATCACTTTGTTCTGTATATGAGGGTAAAACAAGGACCCTAATGTGACCCCCTTTCTCTCTACCTATAGGGTGACTCTGGAGGCCCCCTGGTGTGTGAGCGTAATGGGACACACTATGTTGTGGGTGTGGTGAGCTGGGGCGACGGCTGTGGCAAAAAATACAAGCCTGGTGTTTACGCCAATGTGGTCAGATTTATAGATTGGATCGCTCATCATTTACTCTCATAAAGATGCTCGAGGGAATAACATAGCAATTACTGGATACCTTATTTCAGTGCGACAATCTCACACTGCCAAGGGTTGTCTTTGTTTAGGTAAGCATAACTGCAGCATGAATAAAAACAATTAAAAAATGTACATTTGGTTTTCTGTGTCAGTCTTTCAAACCTCAAGCTCCTACATTTTACAGAATACTGCAAATAGTTAACATAATTTCAATCCATTTAAACCAGGACAGCCTGTACACATTTCAACCTTCCAAGCCGGGAGCGTGGCTGCGCATGTCTACTCGGAAACCCGGGTGCATCTGCGCATGTCTACCCTTCATGCCGGAAGCGCGGATACGTCATTTTGTAACATTCTGTAGTTTTTCAATCATTTCTGGAGTCGTTGCGAAACAAATCATCAAACCCATCTGCCTCTGATAGGCTAATAAAGCTTAAGTGTTTGGATTCATGCTCAGATCTTGCTACATGCTTCGTGAGGAAGGTAAACAATAACGGAGGCAGAGAGCAGCTTCGGAGGAGAAGCATCCAACTTTACACCCCTAACCCAACCTTACATCCCTTATCAACACACCCTGACCCTACCTTGCCTCGCTCACTGACACCCCCACATCACACCTTACCTCCCTTACTTACACCCCCTCAATTAACCTTATTACCTTTACCTAAACCCCCACATCACACCTTACCCCCCTTAGTACAACACTCATCCTACCTTACCTCTCTCATCTACAACCCCCATCCCACTTTACCTCCCTACACCCCCTCATCCAAATTTCCCCCTTCACCTCCACCCCCACAACACACCTTATTCCCCTCACCTCCACCTCCTCATCCGACCAGACCACCCTCATCTAAACATCCTCACCCTACCTTACCTCCCTCACCTATCACCTAATCCTACCTTAGCTCTGTTACCTGCACCTTCTTACCCTACCTTAACTTCCTCACCTACACCCTTTCATCTCACCTAACCTCCATTACCTACAACATCTGATCAAACCTAACCAATGTTACTTACACCCTCATCCCAGCTAACTTCCTTCACCTACAACCCCTCATCCCACCTTACCTCCCTCATCTACAGTACATCCACCCCATGATACCTTAACTCCCTCATCTAAACGCCATTATCCCACCTAAACTCCTTCACCTACATCACTGATTATACCTTACCTCCCTCACCCTAACCCCCTCATCCTACCTGAACACCCTTATCTACACACCCTCACCCAACCTTACCCCCCCTTACCTACTCCCTCTTCATCCCATCAACCCTCCCTACACTACACCCACCTCACCCTAATTTACCCCCCACCTTCACCCCCTCATCCCACCTTGCCTCCATAATCTACCCTCCCTCATCCCACCTTACCTCCCTCACCTACCCTACCTCATCCCCCACCCCCACATCACACCTTATTCCCCTCACCTCCACCTCCTCATCCTACCTTAACTTCCTTACCTACAACCCCCTTATCTGAATTAACCCCCTCACCTACACCCCTAACCCAACCTTGCATCCCTTATTATACCTGAATTTAATTGAAACGATACGAGCAAGTAGGAGCATCTGTTTGTGGGGCGGGGCTTGCTGGAGTAGAAAGGAAAGGGAAAGAAGGAGCTGAGTGGAAAACTGGTTGGGGTAGTGTTTACATTTGAGATTTCTCCCAAAAACTGGCACTTCCTCAGATCCTGCCTACCCCACCTTTAATTAAGTTATGGCCACTGATACTGAAATTGAAGCCAGGAGAAGTAAGCGAGGCCAGGAGGTTATTATACCTTTTTTCACCACTTAATTATCCCAAGGCTTTGTTATTCATGTGGAGCCAAGACCTTGTTTTCTTACATTTACATAATGATCTTGTGACCACACAGTGTTTTACACGCGTATGTTTATTATCTTTTGGCAACAACATATTTATGCCCCAGCAACATGTTACTATTTGTTGTATCCTTTGAACCATACCTCAATTATCTCTTGACTATGACTATTGTGACCGCAAATTAATCATCTTATGGTCAACAGCTCATTATCCCTGGGCAACAACATAACTGTCTTTTTTAACTTTATGGTCACATCTTAATTAAGTTGCCAAGTCTTATAATCTGTTTACTATCATTTAATTTCTCATGACAACAACGCTGTTATTTAATAGGACCACATTTTGTAATGCTTTGGTCATGAATTGGTCTTTCTTGACACTTTTGCCAATCAGTTTCCCATAGCCACATGTGTGACCATGAATCCATTGTTTTGTGCCCAGATATTGTTATCAAAAAGTGGCCATGCATCGCTTTCTTCTGAACACATCTTGTCTTTTAAATTATCTGTCACTTGGTGAAATCCTTTTGTAACATTTAAAGTCATTAGCACAACCTTTTCTCAGTTTACCCAGTGATTTATGTTGCTTTTGCCTCCAAATTACATAAGACAAACCTAAATGAAAGCTCCAATGTAAGTTCTAGAAATGAAAGATGTAACCATTTTCAGACTTATTCATGGGTGCTAAAAATATGACTAAATAAATGACTTGTATGGTTAAAAAATCAATGAGAATATTTTTCATATGTATTTTTTACTGATGTATTCTTATGTATTTCTTTACATTATTGTCTCAAAAAAAATTTTGCTTGTGTGTCTGGCACACAGTCCAGAGGCGTCCCACCGATATAAGATTTTTTATTTCTGCAAAGTATGGTTAAGCGGATACAGAGTTGAAAGTGTAATTAAGGAAAGCAAATGGGTTCAGAAAGGGTTAAATAGACAGAACCAAAAAGCACATAGGGTACAATGTCCTGAAACTCAATCACCAACTCCCACTCAATCAATGCAGCCAGCTAAATATTGACAGTGTTGAATTTGGTTGTATCTGTGTATTAAAGCCTTACACTATCACTGGATCGTCAGTCCTCTAGACTGTGCTCACACACAGCACCATGTTGTCCGCAGGGGTGCTGCTCATTGGCCTGTGTTTGCTGGGTGTTCATCAAAATGAAGCCATTGTAAGTTTCTCATCATTTTTATTAATAAACTATGATGATTTTTTTTGTAATGGTGCAAATACTGAGTTTAAGAAAAGATACGTTTTTAATTTGTCCTTTTTTCCCCTTTCTTTTAGTCATTTCCGGATGATGTCTTCTGTAAGAAACTTTTCTCCAGTTGACCTGTGTGGTTCTGAAAATTTGGAGTTCAACTAATTTCTGTGTTATGTAATCGCACATTGGATATTTAGATTTGATTTTTTTTTTCTTTTTTTATGCATAAAAAATGTAATTGCGAGCATGGTTTGAAATCCATATGTAAACGTTATAATCCAAATTATTTGGAGGACAGAACTATCATTTCAAGAATAGGGAGCAAGTTTAATCATAAATTATCACAGTATAATTTTAGGACTGACAGAATAATAAATGAAAAAATTGTTCTTAGTTTTATTGTGACATTGATTTTTTGTGATTCTATGTCCTCTCCTGCTTCATCCTGTACTCTTTCAGTGAACTTTAGCTTTGTGTAAACTCTGAGTTGATATTACTGTTATACTTTATCATCAAAGATATCTTGTACATTGAGTTATTATTGGTAGTGACAATGGTTCATTAAGTTGCTTTAACAGTCTTAACAGAGTGTAACTGAAGTCTTAAAATCCATGTTTTTCTCCCTTTTTGACCAACCAATGATCTGATCTGACTTTTAAACGCACACAGTTAATAAATCATATTATTGAAAATGTTGGTAACCCTGCTGCTTGTAGTAACACTCTAGTGACTCAGAGATCTCTGTTCCTCACAGACATAGATTATGGATTTGACACCACGGATGCACCTAACATCTACTACGATGTGGATGACTGGTTGTTCGACTTGATAGATGAGCCGAGTGAGTATCCTCATAAGACTGCATGTTCTGTATTTATTACTGTGTATGTTTTTACGTTATACCTAAAATTATACTTTATCTCTCCAGCTGCAGATGCTTGTCAGTCTAACCCCTGCTTCAACGGTGCTTCCTGCCTTCCTAAATCAGATACAGAATTCACATGCATTTGTCCTTACCCCTACGTGGGCAAGAGATGCCAGAAAAGTGAGCTTTTCCAACCTTGCTTCATTATTTTGTTGCGCACTTTCATACCACCATTCTGGCTGATTAGATGGTTGCAGGTCATTTGACAACTTGTATGATGATCATTTTGGAGTGCTTTATTTTAATGCTTATACACAAAGTTGATGTCTGGTCAAACTTTCACTTTTGAAAACATTTTTTTTACTGTACAGTGAAAAATATTTGTGCGAATGTCACCTGTGGCCATGGTAACTGTGTCGTCAATTTAAACAAACCTGAGTCATACGAGTGCAAGTGTAACCCTCCATACTATGGCCCTGACTGCAAATCATGTGAGTACCCAAAACCTTATCTTTTACAAAATTTGAGATTGATTTTTGTCAGACTAAACAAGGAGAACCATAAAGTTCCTTGTTGTGTTGTCAACTGTTCTGACGTGGAGTGGTGTTGTAGGCCCATCAGACTCTGATGGGATCCACTGTTTTAAGTGTTGCAATCATGTCTGCCAAGAAACTTTATACCCCATGATCCTAATTTATTATAAAAGGGCATCTCTGCAAGAAGTTATTACAGGAAAGTGACGTAAATAAAATGTATGGATGCCTGACTTGCTTGAGGCTCCAGCAACAGATAGTCTCCAAAAACTTCTTTTCAAAGGATGGATATCTTAAGGGGAGAACTGGGTAGTCAATTCTCTGAACCCTTTGATACAGCCTCGCAGTGATGCACCTTTGAATTGTTTCAGTGCCATCATCAGCCTGTGAACCCAATCCCTGCCAGAACGGAGCTACCTGTGTGAAAGGGGCCAAACGCTTTGGCTGCATATGTCCTGCTGGATATACTGGGAGGTTCTGCCAAAATGGTTAGTGCTGTCTAAAGGACCGATTCAGCCATCACACCCGTTAGCAGGAAAAGCCTGAAATGAACTCTTAGAAAAACACAAAAAGTTCAACGTTCACCAACAAACCAAACATCAGATATTGATCGATTACAGAAGCTCTAAAATACCACAGTCCTCAGCAGTTTTTGTGTGTGTCAGTGTTGTTTATGGTCCCGCTGCAAAAAAAAATCATTTTTAATTAAGAAAAAATCACACAAAACTAGCTCAAATTTGACATTTAATTCAACTTTGTGGGCTTCCTGTGAGGATTTTGTATTGATAATAAGAGGGTTTTTCAGACCCTATAAATATTTTGGATGCTTTTTTTTTTTTTTTTAAGTGAGGTTTTGTGTTGACTTTGAGTTTCTCTTGTAGCACCTGCTGACTGTTATGAGGGCAACGGGGAGTCATATAGAGGCACTGTCAGTGAAACAGAGGACGGACAGGAGTGTTTGGACTGGAACTCTTTCTTCGTTCGTTCACAGGGGGAGGATCCTATCACCATGTACCCAGACACTGGACTGGAGTCTAACAACTACTGCAGGTTGAGTCAAGAAAACATTTAATGGAAAAAAGATTATATAGCGTTAAACTGACATGGATTTTTCCATAGATGAGTTTGTGACCAGCCCTTCTTGGAAGAAAAAGCTAATGTACAAAAGCTGATTTGTTTATCATTGCTACATGTTATGATGTCCTTGTCACCTAAAACATGGACATCATAACACGCGATTGCAATATTCCTGTATTGTAAATTGTATTCCGTGTTTATCTCTGACCTTGCTGTGTCCTGTGTTTCGCCTATCTTGTATGTAAATTAGATGTGCCATCGCATGCTCTTGATTGGCTGCTCCAGCACACCGGCAGCCAATTGGGGGCTTGTTCCCGTAGTACTTTTTTCTTGCTTATTGCTCAGTTAAAGGCATGGTTGACGATCTGAGAAGCAGTTGAAAAAAACTGAGCCATTGAGGCAGATTTGAAAAACGTGTCCCACCCCCCACCCTCTGTGCTCCATGATAACTCCCCCCATGTACCTGTATCGCCCTCCCCACGACACACCCTCCCTGGCAGAGCAAGAAGCCAGCCGGCAGAAGATCCTACACTAGCCTCAAATAGAATTCAGCATGTCTGATTGCTAGTGACTAGTGGCAGTAAATGCCAGCTCTGCTAGCGAGCACTGTCTGCAGCTGCCTGGACAGCTGTTGTGTTGAAATTGCAGAGACTAATAAGAGTAATTTATGAGATCATGTGCCACTAAAAGGCAAAAACGAAATGTTATGAATATAACTTCTGTTCCCTGAAGAAGAGGAACGAGGTACAACACATATAGTATGGGATATCACGCCCTCGCATGGCCTGACTGAAGACACCTTTATTCACGCCTTTAAGGCAGATGATCTGTGGTGACGTCTGGGAGGCTCCGCCTGCACATATATACGTGTAACACCACAGTCATTATTCAGTTCGATAGCCGCTCTTCACCGAGCCTAGCTGCGCAGTGGGGCAACCTAGTGTTGTACCTCGTTCCTCTCCTTCAGGGAACAGAAGTTATATTCATAACATTTTGTTCCCTTTCAGTCGATTCTCTCGGTACAACACATATAGTATGGGACATATATACACGCCCCACAGAGCAGCCACCGAACCGAAGTCAAACTTCCAAAACTTTAGTGCACTGTAGACCCAGCAGAAAGGACAGAGTGAGCCACTGAAGGGGCTGTCCCATCCAAACAATAAAACCGAACAAAAACTGTGCGGTGATGATCAACTGGCTGCAGTGCAGATATCACTCACAGAAACCCCTTTAAACAAGGCCTATGAGGCTGCCATTCCCCTGGTTGAATGTGCCCTCACACCTTGGGGCAACGGAAGACCCCTGCTGCCGTATGCTAAGGAGATAGCCTCCACAATCCAGCGGGAAAGCTGCTGTTTAGACATTGCCTTGCCTTAGGCTGGATTAGCAAAACAGACAAACAACTGGTAACATAAACGCACACTCTGAGTGCGGTCTATGTAAGTGCGTAGTGCACGCACAGGGCACAAGGAATGCAACCTCCTCTGCTCCTCAGATGCAAATGGAGGACGGCAGAAGCTCAGTAGTTCAAAACTCATAGAGCTATAGGCTGTGGGGATAATCTTAGGCAAATACGCTGCATTTGGGCGCAATGTAACCTTAGATCCATCCAGAGTGAACTGGATACAAAAGGGATGCACAAAGCATGAAGGTCACCCACTCGCCAAAGCAAGTAGCAGTGCAGTTTTGTATGAAAGAAATTTCATGTCTGCTGACTCAACAGTCTCAAATGAGGTCCACCAAGAGCCCCAAGCACCAACCCTAAATCCCATGAGGGAACACTGGGTTTAAGCACAGGTCTCAGCCTGCGGACTCCCTTTAGGAAGTGCATAGTTAGAGGGTGAGCGCCTGGCGACACACCATCAAAGCCAACATGGCATGAAGATACAGCTGCCAAATAGACTTTAATTGTTGAGAAACAGAGACCCCTATCCAGCCGCTCCTGAAGGAATGTTAAAACATCCACAATAGAACTTTGAAATGGGAGTACATTTTGGTCCTGACATGCAATCTCTACTCTCTCACAAGACGACCCCCCTGGAGAGAAGGTCTGGCCCAAGGTTTAAGTGACCCGGAATATGTGTGGCTCTGAGTGACAGAAAATGAACACTGCACCATAGCAACAGAGAGTGAGACAGTTTTAACAGGGGAAGAGAGCATGTCCCTCCCTGTTTGTTTATGTAGGAAACCATGGTTGTGTTTTCCGTCCCGATCAGAACCTGATGGCCCGTCAGAACCGGACGAAAATGCCTCAGAGCTAATAGGATAGCTAATAGCTCCAGGTAATTGATGTGGAGCTTGCATTATGCTGGCGTCCACACACCTCTCACTGCTGCGCCGTCGCACAGAGCCCCCCGACCCCTCAGGGATGCGTCTGTGGACACCACCTTGCGAAAAGACACCCTCCCTATCGGAGATCCCCGTTGTAGAAAACTGGGTTCTCTCCAAGGGAAAAGAGCCGACATGCAAGACGGAGTTATCGTCAGCCTCCTCTGGAGGTGACGCTGCGCGCACAGCCGGTGAGCCCGAGTCCAGCGTTGAAATACTCTCATTTTTTTACAGTCCGAGCGGCACTACAGCGATCATAGATGCCATCATGCCTGTCAGCTGTAAAATCGTCCGGAAACACCGTTTGCGTCCCAACTGAAATTGTGCAAGGCAGCGGTGAAACGCAGCCACCCTGCGTTCTGACAGACACGCTAGGCTTGAAACGGAGCATATTTCCAGCCCGAGAAATGATACCTGTTGACTCGGAGTCAGTGAACTTTTCTGTAAATTTACGGAAAAGCCCAGTGTTTAGATGTGCGATAGGGTCAATGACAGCTGAGTCACTCTCTGGAGCTCGCGATTAGCACCCAGTCGTCCAGATAGGCTTAGATGCGCACACCTTTCTCCCTTAGTAGAGCCAATGCCGCCTCGACACATTTGGTGAATGTTCGGGGGCGAGTGATAAGCCGAACGGCAGCACCAGGTATTCGTAGGCTATGCCCTCAAATGCAAACCTTAGAAAGTGCCTGTGGTCCGGATGAATCGCTACGTGAAAGTAAGCATCTGTCAGATCGATAGTTGTAAACCAATCTCCCGGTCTGATTTCGCCCAGTAGCTGTCTGAGTGTTAGCATCTTGCACCTGTAAGTTCGTAGGTATTTGTTTAACATTCGCAAGTCTAGGATAGGACGGAGCCCTCCTCCTTTTTTCGGAACAATGAAATCGCGGCTGTACCAACCTTTGTTCGTTTCCGAAGCGGGAACAACTCATATCGCTCTCTTGTTCAACACGTTGTTTATTTCTTCCCTCAGCACTGCTGCTTCCTCTGCTACAACTGTGTGTATTACAGCGTGAAAGCGAGGCGGCCGGGCCCTGAACTGTAAACGGTAGCCCATGGCAACGGTTCTCTCTACCCACGGTGAGACTGCGCATGCGCACCACCGAGGGAGACGAACAGTCAGTCGACTGACCTCCAGTACTGTGGGGGAGGGGTTGTCGCCCTCTAGCGTGCCGGCTGGGAACAGCAATACTTTCCCGCCCAGACTTGATTGATTTATGATGTTTTGAGAACAAAACGGAACCTCTATTAGACTCGACGAACGCACATTTGTAACATTCACTCAGTGAACAACAGGCGCCATTACTGGGGCATGTGTGTGAGGGAGGATTGTGCTTGGGAAAACTGTGTTAAGGGAGTGCAGCGCCTCTCGGGACCGGACCCCTGAACAAACATTAAACGCGGCCTCTTTGGCGGCAAAAAATGAAGGGCGGCAGCGTCTCTGCCGGTTTGTGCGGATAACCCTGTTGTTTGGGCCTCGCATCACGCCTGGGGATGATGCTGCTCAAAGCTTCGGTTTGTTTTTTCCTCGGCTCAAACTTAGCCTGAATGTCGTCGAGGGACTGCCCAAACAAACCGCTGGCCGACACAGGCTCGTTGAGATAAACCGCTCTGTCCCTCTCCGGAAAGTCGGAGAGAGTCAGCCACAGGTGCCTCTGCGCCACCACCGTGGAAGCCCTGCCTCTACCGAGAGAGAGCGCTGCACAGCGGGACACACGGAGGATATAATCTGTGGCGACCCTAGCTTCATTGAGGAGAGGAGAAAGCGGACTGTCAGGAGGCATACGCGAGCCGAGTTCCGCCAGACACATAGCTTGATATGTCTGAAGCATGGTGACGGAGCTCAGTGCACGAGCCGTATTTGCCTGTGTCCTGTAAATTTTATCCAGCTGTGACGCTGAAAACCTGCAGTGCTTGGATGGGAGCGTGATAGGGGCTACCGACACCATGATTCTGGGCCGGGGCCAGATAAGCTGCCAGGGACGCCTCCATAGGCGGAGGGTTCACCAATCCAGCTTTTTCAGCTCCATCCAGGTCCAGAAACTGTCCACAACCGGGCACTGTGGCGCGGGTGGACAGCGGCTTGTCCCATGTCGAGGTTAGTTCTGCGACAAAATCCGGGAACATGGGCAAACTGTTCTTAACAGTCGTCGGTTCGGGTGGGAGAAAAAACCCAGAGAACCACGACGGTTTTTGAGCCGGTGGAGGAGAGGGCCATCCTACTTCCAGTTTCTCAGCTGCACGGCGGTACAGTGAGAGGAAGGATGTGTCATCCAGATCAACCGGCGCAGCAGCGGCGGCATACTGACCCGAAGACAACGGCTCCTGCTCATCCTCCGAAAAACCCTGCACGTCCAGGCCGATGTCCAGCACGTCATCGTCCTCCTGGTAACAAGCTAGCCCGGATAGCGGCTGGCCAGCGCCCTCGGTCGGGCCCGGCTCAAATCCAGCTGACCCATCAGCACACTCCACATGGTCTGCCCAGTTTCCAAATGAGCCTTCGACCAGAAAGTCCTCACTACCGGACTCGGGCGAAGCTGGGTCTCTGGACTCGGAGAGGAGGGGATCGTGCATCGTAACAGCGTATTTTCCTAGAATTTTCTCCACAAACTTGACCCGCCTTCCCAGGGTTGAGCTCCGAAGCCGGTGACAGGACTCACACGACTCGGGCTCAGTCAACGCCCTCCTGGCGTGGACAATACCCTGGCAAACGGGACGAGCCTCATGGAGATCCTTCTCGTGAAGGGAGAAGCCGCACCCCTGAGGACAGGGGCGAACAGAAGACTTCGCCTTCGCTTTCATGGGCTCAGCGCTCATAACAAGACGCAGAAGCTGAACGAAATTAGCACTCCGCGGATAGCCGTAGGCTAACACCAACAGGGGCAGTTAAGCTAAAAACGATCAGGCAATAGCCACAGACAAGACCAGGCTGAGCTAGCAGCAGCTAGTTAGCCCGACTCGGTGTAGGTGTTCTCAGCGAGGTGAAGAGCGTAAGAACTGAAGGATGACTGTGGTGTTACACGTATATATGTGCAGGCGGAGCCTCCCAGACGTCACCACAGATCATCTGCCTTAAAGGCGTGAATAAAGGTGTCTTCAGTCAGGCCATGCGAGGGCGTGATATCCCATACTATATGTGTTGTAATGAGTGAATCGACTGAAAGGGAACTATGGGCTCTATTTTCGTGCCTCGCCAGCGACGCGGCGCATGCATGGCGTAAGTCAGGTCCGCCGCGCCAACAAGGCGTCACCAAGCACAATTTGGTATTTTGGTGAGCGGTGCAGCCCGGCGTAAGTATCCCCCCTCCCTAACTCAGCTCCTCCCAGCGGCGTAAGTCGTAGCGAGGGAGGAGAGAGGGCGGAGAGTGGGTTTAACACAGCCGAGACCTGTTTTCACCAATCACATAAGCTCCTCTCCTTGCCTTTAAATCTGCCACCAGCGAGGTGTATTACTATTTTCATGAAGTAGTCAAGGAGATCAAGAGATGTCTGAAGACAGTAATGCCACACGATGGCGACAAAGGGCAGCTCCTCATCAAGTGTCGCTGTAAGCGCTGCATTGGGCGTCCTCCACACTCTCATACGAGCACAGATGGATTTGGTGTGTGTAATGTTGGACCCACTGGTAAGACAAACACCCTTTTCCACAAATAAAGACACTCACATAAAGTTGCTCATATTCAAACCTCACGTGACAAAGGTGGGTTGTGCGCACAGATCACAACATAAACTCCAATAATGGCATTAAAATCGGAACCATCTGTGCGTAAATGACGCATCGCGCTCCGTGGCCTGGCTCTTTCTTTCATAGATGTTGGCATATAAAATAAATTTGGCTCACAAAACTGAATATTATAATATTCGTATGTCAGCTTAAAGTAGATAACACATCTGAGCGCTGAAACAAATCATCTGTTCAGCCGCCACAGCAGCAGGACGGAGAGAGACGTGTCTTGGTCGAGCTGTGCGAGAGATAAGAGGAAGAGAAAGAAAGAAAAGGAGGGAGACGAATTACATATCTTGTTAACTTCATCATGTGTGTTTATTTACTAGATATTTAATTTAATTTGATGCGGTTTCAGCTGTGTTGATTCGGTCAGGTTGTGTGTCCAAACGCGTGCCAAACGCGCTCATCAGATCAGATATAGATCAGAATACATCTATAGATCTAAATGTATGTGCTGACTCAGATTATTAGTTGTTGATGATTATTTATTGCACTGAAATGTGCCTGACACTGTGGAAACCTGCCGGTGAGGCATCGGTGACGTATGCCAATACGGTCTACCAAAATACTAATAGACCAGCTGCACTCCGCCTGCGCTGAAAGCTGACCAGGTTTGAATCGGCGAGCTTTCAGCGCACTTTACACGCCGGTGGCGAGCACGAAAATGTCACTGCGCCCGCTGATTCTGTCTACACCTCCCCCTGCCACGCCACCACGCCCAGCTTGGCGGATCTCGGCTCGCCTCCGTGCGCCTCAGTCCACGAAAATACCAATTGGATGGAGAGGTGGAGCAGGAGATTGACCAAGAGGAGCTGTCCAGGACGGATGGCTCCCATTGGTCAATGTATTTGCAGCCCTGCACCTACTAGGGAGAACAGATTTTTTACATTCTTTTGTCTCTTCACTTTGTAGCACTATAGGACCGTGATCGCCATATAAACAAGGTTCATAATAATGACCAATCTCTCCAATCATCAACCTTGCCTTTAAGTTTTTTGTGTTGTCGTGGTATTTCTTGGCTGGCAGTTAAATCTTGGTGTGTCGGGAGGTACTTGTGTAGCGCATAGCTGTCAAGTATCCTGTATGTATAATTTCCATCTTTTATTTAAGGCTTATTTTTTATCTGGCCCAGACTCCCCATGTTTGACGGAGTCCCTGCCTCTACACATTTTAATTCGTAATAATCTCAGTCTATGAGGTATAACTCCTGAACATATCCATTTAACTCATAAACTCTATCCACTGCAGCACAGCAAATTCAGCTATTTGTAAAGAGTGTAAACTAGTTAAACTATCATTTGTCTCATTTTCCTTTTTGTTTTATTGTGCTATCTATATTTTAGGAATCCAGACGGGGATGACAAACCATGGTGTTATGTCAAAAAGCAAGGCTCACTGCAGTGGGATTACTGCAAAGTCAAAAAGTGCTCTGGAGGTGACTACAGACACACAACGACACATGTTTACACACAGAATATATACAATATATGTTTGTACTTTACGTCTGTAACTTGCTCCCTCTTTCCCAGGTCCTTCCCCAACTCCTGTCCAACCAGTGCCAGGCTCTACCCCGTTTTCTCAGTGTGGCAAAATAGACTTCGGGACCCAGCCCACTCGCACCAGCAGAATTTTTGGAGGCACCAAGTCCTTCCCTGGTGCTCACCCCTGGCAGCTTTCCCTACAGGCCAAACCCAAAGGCTCCTCATTTGAGTTCGGCCACATATGTGGTGGGATTCTTCTGTCGTCCTGCTGGGCTCTCACTGCTGCTCACTGCATGTATGTCTTGCACACCATTTCTTCACCTTTGAAACTCCCTTTGTTCTTTAACTTAAAGGTGGGGTAGGCAAGATCTGAGGAAGTGCCAGTTTTTGGGAGAAATCTTTAATGTAAACTCTACTCCTCCCAACCAGTTTTCCCCTCAGCTCCTCCTCCCCCCTCCCTCTCTGCTCCACCAAGCCCCGCCCACAAACAGACACTCCTGCTCGCTCGTATCATTTCATTTAAATTCAGATATAATGCAGATACATACTTCAAATAATTACATATGGGGCACAGTCAACGTGAAAGTAAAAAGCATTGGTGCTTCTGTAGATGCCGACAGACTACAAGCAAACTCAAAGTTTGCAGGACTTCTACAACTAGGATAAAGTGACATACTCCTGGACCTGAGTTAAACAGTTTAGCGGTGCTACAACATGCAGCAGGTCCTGTTTGACAAGAAACAGTTCTGTCACAGACACTTGGCTTACTTTGTTAGAGCGGTTTACCTGTCCAGCAGAGAGGTTACAGGGTCTGTAAGATCCAGTGGCGACTGCTGGTCTTTCAAGGAGGGGAAGCTCATTTTTCTGGCCTACATCATAATTGTGTTTGTTTATTTGTATGTAACAGAATAGAGTCGCCAAACACAGCGGCAGTCGTTTTTAACAAAGACAAAAGTCGCTGAGGATCGGTAAAGTCTCTGGAGCAGTTAAGAACAACGGAATGAATAACTTGGAAAATGCTCTGGTAGATGTTTTATTCTTCAAGATCGCTGATTCGCTTGTTTAGCTGTCAATCAAAAAAGGATTTCGCCTCAGACAGCTCATCCAATCATGGATGCAGAAGCTCGGAGTCCGGGAGAAAGTCGGGACCGCCCTCTCGCCATAGAACTCCAGAGACGCTGAGCGTCCGATGGGCGGGACAAAGCCCAGCATTTATCCAATGAGCGTCTAGTTTCGCTGCTGGAACAACCCACTTTGAGCTTCCACATTGAAGTCAGCAGAAGCTGGGCGTCCGGCTGTGTGAAGCGCTGAGGATGAATGAGAACGAAGTTGTGCAGAATCAGCTTCTTATCACACTGTGATAAGAAGCTGATTCTGAACAAAAGATGAAGACTTTCTAGTGCGTATTAGGTTAATGAAATGTACACACAGCAGTACGTATTTCACCACTTTTTTTGGGGGGTGACATTTTAAGGGAAGCTGAGCTTCCCTTGCAGTCTTAGAGCAATCGCCACCGGTAAGATCCCAAAGCCTCCCCCATACGCTCCATTGATGTTGACCCGGCTTTTTAGCTTTTGTCTGGTCTACCTCCTTTTTAAGCGCCCGTTATTCCGCCAGAGTCTCCAGTGTTTACTTTGTTTTCTTGTTTGTGTTGGCAGTCGTAGCCAAAGGAGGATTCAGACAATTTTCCGTACTTTCTGGTTGATTTCTGCTGTCCCATATTGTTGCACGCTAACTTTGTTTGGGCTCGTGAACGACACGGGGGAGAAGCATCTGCCACACAACCAATCAGCACTAAGGAGCAGTGTCTGCCTCACAACCAATTAGGTTGGGGGAGGCGAAGAATGGCTTTGTGGGCAGTCAGAAAGAGTGGGCCACTCTAAAAATTTTAAATGTTGACTACACAGACATAACAAAACACAGCGGTATCGTTATAATCCCAATGTCATCAATAACTAATAGCTATGGACCGATATTAAAAGCTTTTTTGTATCTATGTACACCACAAAAAAAGATGCTTCTTTAACGGAATCCTGCCTACTTCACCTTTAACTGTAATTATTTTCTTTTGCAGTTCAAATACCAATGAATTTCAAGTGATGTTGGGAGGAGTGAAATTATTCAAACAGGAGGAGATGGACCAGACCATCCCGGTTGTAGAAACTATTGTTCATGAGAACTACAGGGAGGCTCCTGATGCTCTTTACAACGACATTGGTTTGTAACATTAGAGTCAAAATAGTCCACATGCTTTAAGATGATGAGTCTGTGAAAAAGAAGTTAAAGAATTTAAAAATAGCACAAATGACTGATGTTAGCTAACAGGCAATTTTCTTTCCTGTGTAGCTCTTCTCAGACTCCAGGTGACAGACAGTCCTTACTGTGCCAAAGAAACCCGCTTTGTGAGGGCAGCATGTCTACCAGACCAGAGCTTCCCATCTGGGAAAGAGTGTGTGATCTCAGGATGGGGGGCCACAGAAAGCCGTAAGTACATTTCATTAAGACTCATTTAATGTCATCAGATTATTTAGTTAGACTCGACTGCATTTCGACTGCAGTCCCCTAGTTATGGTTAAGATGCAAAATCATTGGATCAAATATGATCAGAAGTACAGCTGGAATATGACCTCCTTCACTTGTTAACATTTTGGACTTTCAAACCTGCTCTGTGACGCAGACTCTGCTTAAAAGTTTGACTCTAACCATAGACTGTATAAAGAATGGACAGTGTCCACCTTCTATTGGGTGAAGCCACCCCGAGAACAGCACCCTCTGGTGAAGGGCTGCAGTATGGGTCATAAATCCCTCCTCCGGCAGCAAAGCTTATGGAGCTGTGGACAAATTTTAGAAGTTTATTACGCAGAACACAATTTTTTCCCCCTGCTTGTGATGTTGACATGTAGTTACTGTTAGACTGGTTTGTGTTCAAGTCCTCTTTTTTCTGCACAGCTCCATTTTTAAAAGTTGTTAGGGGGTTCATGTTTTCAATGACTGACACTCGATACGGCCTATGGGCGTACAAAGATTGCGTAGCTTACCCAGGGGATACGCTGTTTAAGCAGAGCGTCATCACAGCGACTCTCAACGACTCTCCCGCCAATGCGACTGTGCAAGTGGTGGAGTGCGTACAATGCTACTGCGCAATTTTGGTTTCAGGAAGGGGAGAAAAAAACGGAATTACTGAGAGCTTTTTGGCTTAAAATCCATGTACTTGAGGAAGGCAGAACCAAGTTGTCCATAGTTTAAACAGTTTATGAGTCCAACGTGAAAATCAGACAACACTGATGACTTCATGATCAATCTATGCCTCATGGATAAATCTATAAATTTATGCTTCATCTTTAGTTCTCTTTTACTTTTCAGAGAGATTTAGCACCCACCTGCTAAACGCCCGTGTGTTCATGATTTCTGACCAGAAATGCAGAACTCCTGAGGTTTATGGAGGTGTGCTGGACGACAGCATGTTATGTGCAGGGATTCTGCAGGGTGGCACTGACTCCTGCAAGGTGAGTTTTTTCATTAGTGTGAAAAAACTAATCCATTCACATGAGGTGGGACTGATGATTCAAGTGTTTTGAATGCTCTATTAACATTAGCCTTGGTGAACAAGATCAATTTATCCTCTTCTTAGTGTCCACTAAAAAAAGAGTTTCTGTACCTGTTCTGTTTCTATAGGGTGACTCAGGAGGACCACTGGTCTGTGAACACAATGGCACTCACTATGTTAGTGGAGTGGTGAGCTGGGGCATTGACTGCGCTCGGAGGAACAAGCCTGGTGTCTATGCCAACGTCTACTCATTTCTTGACTGGATCAAAAACAAAATGATATAAGCATAAAAATTATTTACAGGCGGGAAAGTTAAAAAAAAATCATGATACTCAGCATAGTTTGCCCTGGGAAAAAAAAGTTTATTTAACCAGCAATAAAACCAAGCATTTACTCCCAGCCCAGCTTTGAGTTAAAATGGGACCTGATACAAACTCACAAAGCTGAACCTGCCAGACAAAACGGAGGGCACACATTTTTTCATTCGACAATACTTATTCCCACTGAGCCTTGCAAAGTGCATTATATTAGCAGACTTCATTGGAGAACTGCCAGTTTGCAAGGTTTGTCTGAGCCTTGTCCAATGAAATAAAATAACATACCTTTTTAAAAAAGTGATGACCAAACAGCACACGGCATTCTCTGATCCAGATTCATGTTATTTGAACACATTCAAGATATAAAACTAAAACAAACCTTGTATTTGAAACTGAAAGACTTTTACTTTTGGCCTGATAAGTAAAAAAGTGAAGGGTCACCGCTCAGTCTGGAGAGAAGGTGCAGGATTAGCAGAAACTTTAAAGAAAAAAGAGAGAAACAATCCCCACACTTCTGGTCTGTTGCAAAAAGAGCTTTACTGAGGCAAGCTGTTGGTCTGTCTGGCAGAATGCCTTGATGAAGGTCTAACAGACCGAAAGCTTGCCTCAGTAAAGCTCTTTTTGCAACAGACCAGAAGTGTGCGGATTGTTTCTCTCTTTTTACTTTTCGCCTGATACAACCTGAATTCAGTACTCTCAATGCTCTCAATAGCCCAGTTGGAGATTTCAATAAAGTATCAAAAATACTTAAACCCCATCGTTTCTGCCTCTGTTCCTTTTTAGTTAAGCACATACACTGACAATCTTTTTATCTAACCTGGCAAGTCCTGTGTTGTTCAACTTATTCATTTTGACCACCGCTTTATGGCCACAACTTACTTAAGTTGTCTACATCTTATCAATCTGTGTACTATCATTTGATTTCTCATGACAACACCATACTTATTCAATAAGACCACATTTTGTAATGCTTTGGTCATGACTTTGTCTTTCTTAGCACTTTTGCTAATCAGTTTCCCACAGCCAAACATGTGACCATGACTCTATTGTTTTGTGCCCAGATATTTTTATCAAAGAGTGGCCATGCATTATTTTCTTCTGAACACATGTTGTCTTTTAAATCCTCTGTTACTTGTTGATGAAATTGTCCTGGAACATTTAGAAATTGTCTCGTAACATTTTAACTGATAATCTCAACCTTTTCTCAGTTTACCCAGTGGTCTATGTTGGTTTTACCACCAAATTATGCAAGACAAACCTAAATGAAAGCTCCAAGTACTAGAAATGAAAGATCTAACCATTTTTCAGTTTATTTGTGGGTGAAAGTATAATCAGTACAAAAACAATTTTGTGTTTGAAAATCAATACTTTTCTTATATATGTCTTTGCATCGTTGTTTCATAAGAAATTTTACTTGTGTGTATTAGTACATTGTACAGTGACGTACCTCTGATATTAGACTTTTTAATTCTGCAAAGTTTAGTTTAGCTGATGCAGAGTTGAAAGTGTGATTACGGAAAGCAAGGGTTAAATAGACAGAACCAAAGAGCACATAGGGTACAATGTCCTTAAACTCAATCACCAACTCCCACTCAATCAATGCAGCCAGCTAAATATTGACAGTGTTGAATTTGGTTGTATCTGCGTATTAAAGCCTAACACTATCACTGGATCGTCAGTCCTCTAGACTGTGCTCACACACAGCACCATGTTGTCCGCAGGGGTGCTGCTCATTGGCCTGTGTTTGCTGGGTGTTCATCAAAACGAAGCCGTTGTAAGTTTCTCATCATTTTTATTAATAAACTATGATGATTTTTTTTGTAATGGTGCAAATACTGAGTTTATGAAAAGATACGTTGTTAATTTGTCCTTTTTTTTTTTCCTTTCTTTTTGTCATTTCAGGATGATATCCTCTGTAAGAAACTTTTCTCCAGTTGACCTGTGTGGTTCTTAAAACTTGGAGTTCAACTAATTTCTGTGTTTTGTAATTGCACATTGGATATTTAGATTTGCATTTTTTTTTCTTTAAGCATAAAAAATGTAATTGCGAGCATGGTTTGAAATCCATATGTAAACGTTATAATCCAAATTATTTGGAGGACAGAACTATCATTTCAAGAATAGGGAGCAAGTTTAATCATAAATTATCACAGTATAATTTTAGGACTGACAGAATAATAAATGACAAAATTGTTCTTAGTTTTATTGTGACATTGATTTTTTGTGATTCTATGACCTCTCCTGCCTCATCCTGTACTCTTTCAGTGAACTTTAGCTTTGTGTAAACTCTGAGTTGATATTATTGTTATACCTTATCATCAAAGATATCTTGTACATTGAGTTATTATTGGTAGTGACAATGGTTCATTAAGTCGCTTTAACAGTCTTAACAGAGTGTAATTGAAGTCTTAAAATCCATGTTTTTCTCCCTTTTTGACCAACCAATGATCTGATCTGACTTTTAAACGCACACAGTTAATAAATCATATTATTGAAAATGTTGGTAACCCTGCTGCTTGTAGTAACACTCTAGTGACTCAGAGATCTCTGTTCCTCACAGACATAGATTACGGATTGGACCCCACGGATGCACCTAACTTCTACTACGATGTGGATGACTGGTTGTTTGACTTGATAGATGAGCCGAGTGAGTATCCTCATAAGACTGCATGTTCTGTATGTATTACTGTGTATGTTTTTACGTTATACCTAAAATTATACTTTATCTCTCCAGCTGCAGATGCTTGTCTGTCTAACCCCTGCTTCAACGGTGCTTCCTGCCTTCCTATATCAGATACAAATTTCACATGCATTTGTCCTTTCCCCTACGTGGGCAGGAGATGCCAGAAAAGTGAGCTTTTCAAACCTTGCTTCAATATTTTGTTGCGCACTTTCATACCACCATTCTGGCTGATTAGATGTCATTTGACAACTTGTATGATGATCATTTTGGAGTGCTTTATTTTAATGCTTATACACAAAGTTGATGTTTGGTCAAACTGTCACTTTTGAAAACTTATTTTTCTTTACAGTGAGAAATATTTGTGCGAATGTCACCTGTGGCCATGGTAACTGTGTCGTCAATTTAAACAAACCTGAGTCATACGAGTGCAAGTGTAACCCTCCATACTATGGCCCTGACTGCAAATCATGTGAGTACCCAAAACCTTATGTTTTACAAGATTTGAGATTGATCTTTGTCAGACTAAACAAGGAGAACCATAAAGTTCCTTGTTGTGTTGTCAACTGTTCTGACGTGGAGTGGTGTTGTAGGCCCATCAGACTCTGATGGGATCCACTGTTTTAAGTGTTGCAATCATGTCTGCCAAGAAACTTTATACCCCATGATCCTAATTTATTATAAAAGGGCATCTCTGCAAGAAGTTATTACAGGAAAGTGACGTAAATAAAATGTATGGATGCCTGACTTGCTTGAGGCTCCAGCAACAGATAGTCTTCAAAAACCTCTTTTCAAAGGATGGATATCTTAAGGGGAGAACTGGGTAGTCAATTCTCTGAACCCTTTGATACAGCCTTGCAGTGATGCACCTTTGAATTGTTTTTTTCTTGTTGTTTCAGTGCCATCATCAGCCTGTGAACCCAATCCCTGCCAGAACGGAGCTACCTGTGTGAAAGGGACCAAACGCTTTGGCTGCATATGTCCTGGTGGACATACTGGGAGGTTCTGCCAAAATGGTTAGTGCTGTCTAAAGGACTGATTCAGCCATCACACTCGTTAGCAGGAAAAGCCTGAAATGAACTCTTAGAAAAACACAAAAAGTTCAAAGTTCACCAACAAACCAAACATCAGATATTGATCGATTACAGAAACTCTAAAATACCACAGTCCTCAGCAGTTTTTTGTGTGTCAGTGTTGTTTATGGTCCCGCTGTAAAAAAAAATCATTTTTAATTAAGAAAAAATCACACAAAACTAGTTCAAATTTGACATTTAATTCAACTTTGTGGGCTTCCTGTAAGGATTTTGTATTGATAATAAGAGGGTTTTTCAGACCCTATAAATATTTTGGATGCTTTTTTTTTTTTTTTAAGTGAGGTTTTGTGTTGACTTTGAGTTTCTCTTGTAGCACCTGCTGACTGTTACGAGGGCAATGGGGAGTCATATAGAGGCACTGTCAGTGAAACAGAGGACGGACAGGAGTGTTTGGACTGGAACTCTTTCTTTGTTCGTTCACAGGCGGAGGATCCTATCCTCATGTACCCAGACTCTGGACTGGAGTCTAACAACTACTGCAGGTAGAATCAAGACAATATTTAATGGAAAAAAGATTATATAGCGTTAAGCTGACATGGATTTTTCCATAGATGAGGTTGTGACCAGCCCTTCTTGGAAGAAAAAACTAATGTACAAAAGCTGATTTGTTTATCATTGCTACGTGTTATGATGTCCTCGTTACCTAAAACATGGACATCATAACACGCGGTTGCAATATTCCTTTATTGTAAATTGTATTCCGTGTTTATCTCTGACCTTGCTGTGTCCTGTGTGTCGCCTATCTTGTATGTAAATTAGATGTGCCGTCGCATGCTCCTGATTGGCTGCTCCAGCACACCAGCAGCCAATTGCGGGCTTGTTCCCGTAGTACTTTTTTCTTGCTTATTGCTCGGTTAAAGGCATGGTTGACGATCTGAGAAGCAGTTGAAAAAAACTGAGCCATTGAGGCATATTTGAAAAACGTGTCCGACCCCCCACCCTCTGTGCTCCATGATAACTCCCCCCCTGAACCTGTATTGCCCTCCCCACGACACACCCCCTCTGGCAGAGCAAGAAGCCAGCCGGCAGAAGATCCTACACTAGCTTCAAATAGAATTCAGCATGTCTGATTGCTAGTGACTAGTGGCAGTAAATGCCAGCTCTGCTAGCGAGCACTGTCTGCAGCTGCCTGGACAGCTACTGTGTTGACATTGCAGAGACTAATAAGAGTAATTTATGAGATCATGTGCCACTAAAAGGCGAAAACTATCTGTTCAACAAAAACTCTACTGTCTCGGCGTCTGTTTTCAGGCCCAAATCCTGGCAGAGCTTTCTCCACAGCTCAAAGGATGACCCGATATTTATTCGAGTTAGATTCCTTGCTTGGTCACATTTCCTCTTCGACTCTGCCCTCTTTTCTGTCGGCTTGCGTTTTCTTAGCACTTGTGTTTTTTTGCGTCCTTCTCCATCACAGCTCCTGTAGCAAAGCTGCTACGCTACTTTTAGGCGCTCAGAGCTCCGAGGAGGGCTGGAAGAGTGGGAGGGAATGAGTCGGAAACACGGGAGAGGGGTGTGTCGAATACAGTGAGGTGATTGGATGGAGAGGGGGAGCAGGAGATTGACCAAGAGGAGCTGTCCAGGACGGATGGCTCCCATTGGTCAATGTATTTGCAGCCCTGCACCTACTAGGGTGAACAGATTTTTTACATCCTTTTGTCTCTTCACTTTGTAGCACTATAGGACCGTGATCGCCATATAAACAAGGTTCATATTAATGACCAATCTCTCCAATCATCAACCATGCCTTTAAGTTTTTTGTGTTGTCGTGGTATTTCTTGGCTGGCAGTTAAATCTTGGTGTGTCGAGAGGTACTTGTGTAGCGCATAGCTGTCAAGTATCCTGTATGTATAATTTCCATCTTTTATTTAAGGCTCATTATTTATCTGGCCCAGACTCCCCACGTTTGACAGAGTCCCTGCCTCTAAACATTTTAATTCATAATAATCTCAGTCTATGAGGTATAACTCCTGAACATATCCATTTAACTCATAAACTCTATCCACTGCAGCACAGCAAATTCAGCTATTTGTAAAGAGTGTAAACTAGTTAAACTATCATTTGTCTCATTTTCCTTTTTGTTTTATTGTGCTATCTACATTTTAGGAATCCAGATGGGGATGACAAACCATGGTGTTATGTCAAAAAGCAAGGCTCACTACAGTGGGATCACTGCAAAGTCAAAAAGTGCTCTGGAGGTGACTACAGACACACAACGACACATGTTTACACACAGAATATATACAATATATGTTTGTACTTTTCGTCTGTAACTTGCTCCCTCTTTCCCAGGTCCTTCCCCAACTCCTGTCCAACCAGTGCCAGGCTCTACCCCGTTTTCTCAGTGTGGCAAAATAGACTTCGGGACCCAGCCCACTCGCACCAGCAGAATTTTCGGAGGCACCAAGTCCTTCCCTGGTGCTCACCCCTGGCAGCTTTCCCTACAGGCTAAACCCAAAGGCTCCTCATTTGAGTTCGGCCACATATGTGGTGGGATTCTTCTGTCGTCCTGCTGGGCTCTCACTGCTGCTCACTGCATGTATGTCTTGCACACCATTTCTTCAGATTTGAAACCACCTTTATTCTTTAACTTAAAGGTGGGGTAGGCAAGATCTGAGGAAGTGCCAGTTTTTGGGAGAAATCTTTAATGTAAACTCTACTCCTCCCAACCAGTTTTCCTCTCAGCTCCTCCTCCCCCCTCCCTCTCTGCTCCAGCAAGCCCCGGCCCACAAACAGACGCTCCTGCTTGCTCGAATCATTTTATTTAAATTCAGATATAATGCAGATGAATACTTAAGATAGTTCCAAATGGGGCCCAGTCAACGTGAAAGTAAAAAGCATTGGTGCTTCTGTAGATGCCGACAGACTACAAGCAAACTCAAAGTTTGCAGGACTTCTACAACTAGGATAAAGTGGTATACTCCAGGACCCGAGGTAAACAGTTTAGCGGCGCAACAACATGCAGCAGGTCCCATTGTACAAGAAAAACTTCTGTTACAGACACTTGTCTTAATTTGTTAAAGCGGTTTACCTGTCCAGCAGAAAGGTTACAGGGTCTGTAAGATCCCAAAGCCTCCCCATACGCTCCATTGATGTTGACCCGGCTTTTTAGCTTTTGTCTGGTCTACCTCCTTTTTAAGCACCCGTTATTCCGCCAGAATCTCTGGTATTTACTTTGTTTTCTTGTTTGTGTTGGCAGTTGTAGCTAAAGGAGGATTCAGACAATTTTCCGTACTGTCTGCTTGATTTCTGCTGTCCCATATTGTTGCACGCTAACTTTGTTTGGGCTCGTGAACGACACGGGGGAGAAGCATCTGCCACACAACCAATCAGCACTAAGGAGCAGCGTCTGCCTCACAACCAATTAGGTTGGGGGAGGCGAAGAATGGCTTTGTGGGCAGTCAGAAAGAGTGGGCCACTCTAAAAATTTTAAATGTTGACTACACAGACAAAACAAAACACAGCGGTATCGTTATAATCCCAATGTCATCAATAACTAATAGCTATGGACCGATATTAAAAGCTTTTTTGTATCTATGTACACCACAAAAAAAGATGCTTCTTTAACGGAATCCTGCCTACTTCACCTTTAACTGTAATTATTTTCTTTTGCAGTTCAAATACCAATGAATTTCAAGTGATGTTGGGAGGAGTGAAATTATTCAAACAGGAGGAGATGGACCAGACCATCCCGGTTGTAGAAACTATTGTTCATGAGAACTACAGGGAGGCTCCTAATGCTCTACACAACGACATTGGTTTGTAACATTAGAGTCAAAATAGTCCACATGCTTTAAGATGATGAGTCTGTGAAAAAGAAGTTAAACGATTTAAAAATAACACAAATGACTGATGTTAGCTAACAGGCAATTTTCTTTCCTGTGTAGCTCTTCTCAGACTCCAGGTGACAGACAGTCCTTACTGTGCCAAAGAAACCCGCTTTGTGAGGGCAGCATGTCTACCAGACCAGAGCTTCCCATCTGGGAAAGAGTGTGTGATCTCAGGATGGGGGGCCACAGAAAGCCGTAAGTACCTTTCATTAAGACTCATTTAATGTCATCAGATTATTTAGTTAGACTCGACTGCATTTCCAAATATTGGGGTATGTGAAAAATCCAATTCATGAAACAAGAGATCAGAGCAGTCACTTAGTTAAGGTTAAGATGCAAAATCATTGGATCAAATATGATCAGAAGTACAGCTGGAACATAACCTCCTTCACTTGTTAACATTTTGGACTTTCAAACCTGCTCTGTGACGCAGACTCTGCTTAAAAGTTTGACTCTAACCATAGACTGTATAAAGAATGGACAGTGTCCACCTTCTTGCCAGGTGAAGCCACCCCGAGAACAGCACCCTCTGGTGACGGGCTGCAGTATGGGTCATAAATCCCGCCTCCGGCAGCAAGGCTTATGGAGCTGTGGACAAATTTTAGAAGTTTATTACACAGAACATAATTTTTTCCCCCTGCTTGTGATGTTGACATGTAGTTACTGTTAGACTGGTTTGTGTTCAAGTCCTCTTTTTTCTGCACAGCTCCATTTTTAAAAGTTGTTAGGGGGTTCATGTTTTCAATGATTGATACTTGATACAGCCTATGGGCGTACAAAGATTGCGTAGCTTACCCAGAGGATATGCTGTTTTAGCAGAGCGTCATCACAGCGACTCTCAACGACTCTCCCGCCAATGCGACTGTGCAAGTGGTGGAGTGCGTACAATGCTACTGCACAATGTTGGTTTCAGGAAGGGGAGAAAAAAACGGAATTACTGAGAGCTTTTTGGCTTAAAATCCATGTACTTGAGGAAGGCAGAACCAAGTTGTCCATAGTTTAAACAGTTTATGAGTCCAACGTGAAAATCAGACAACACTGATGACTTCATGATCAATCTATGCCTCATGGATAAATCTATAAATTTATGCTTCATCTTTAGTTCTCTTTTACTTTTCAGAGAGATTTAGCAGCCACCTGCTAAACGCTCGTGTGTTCATGATTTCTGACCAGAAATGCAGAACTCCTGAGGTTTATGGAAGTGTGCTGGACGACAGCATGATATGTGCAGGGATTCTGCAGGGTGGCACTGACTCCTGCAAGGTGAGTTTTTTCATTAGTGAAAAAAAACTAATCCATTCACATGAGGTGGGACTGATGATTCAAGTGTTTTGAATGCTCTATTAACATTAGCCTTGGTGAACAAGATCAATTTATCCTCTTCTTAGTGGTCCACTAAAAAAAGAGTTTCTGTACCTGTTCTGTTTCTACAGGGTGACTCAGGAGGACCACTGGTCTGTGAACACAATGGCACTCACTATGTTAGTGGAGTGGTGAGCTGGGGCATTGACTGCGCTCGGAGGAACAAGCCTGGTGTCTATGCCAACGTCTACTCATTTCTTGACTGGATCAAAAACCAAATGAAATAAACACAAAAATTATCTACAGGGGGGAAAGTAAAAAAAAAAAAATCATGATACTCGGCATAGTTTGCCCTGGAAAAAAATAGTTTATTTAACCAGCAATAAAACCAAGCATTTACTCCCAGCCCAGCTTTGAGTTAAAATGGGACCTGATACAAACTCACAAAGCTGAACCTGCCAGACAAAACGGAGGGCACACATTTTTTCATTCGACAATACTTATTCCCACTGAGCCTTGCAAAGTGCATTATATTAGCAGACTTCATTGGAGAACTGCCAGTTTGCAAGGTTTGTCTGAGCCTTGTCCAATGAAATAAAATAACATACCTTTTTAAAAAAGTATAGGGCATTCTCTGATCCAGATTCATGTTATTTGAACACATTCAAGATACAAAACTAAAACAAACCTTGTATTTGAAACTCAAAGACTTTTACTTTTCGCACAATACAACCTGAATTCAGTTCTCTCAATGCTCTCAATAGATCCACCCAGTTGGAGATTTCAATAAAGTATCAAAAATACTTAAACCCCATCGTTTCTGTCTCTGTTCCTTTTTAGTTAAGCACATACACTGACAATCTTTTCATCTAACCTGGCAAGTCCTATTTTGTCCGACTTACTTGATCCATTTCTTCTCTCATTCTGACAACCTCTCACAATAGTTTCAGCTACAGTAGCTGTGTTATACACAAGTGTAACTCCTGAGGCACACTCTTTTTTTGTCCTATAAATTATCCCATTAGGTAAAAATTAACACTTTCTAAAAATGAAAATCAGAAATGCTACAATCTACAAAGAATTTCTTAAATCTACGCATCCTCTATCGCAGCAGCTTTGCTTGACGTCTTCACTGCGTTTTGGAGGGCAGCTGATGAAGAAGATGAGGTGGTGCTGGACTTCTCCATAGACTTGAATGAGGTTGTGGTGGTGGTAGTGGACTTTTTCTGAACGGTCTGGATGGTCTTCTTCCTCTTGACATGCAGGACCTCCATGGCGTCCATGTTGACGTCATTGTGAACCTCCTCGCTGGTCTCCACGTGCTCTGAAGTCTGCTGATTTTGCAGCTGCTGCTCCATCTGCTGCTGATGATGCAACTAAAAGAACACAGCGGGAAGTTATCAAAGTTATAAAAACCTTGCTAGACTGAAAAGAAATCATTTCTTCTTCCCTGCTCACTTACCATCATCATATGCTGATACTTTGCGATAGCCTCGTCAGTGCTGACTCCCTCAGCTAGTCCGAGCTCAGCAGCTCTGCGGGCAAGCTCAGCCTTGTGGGAACCTGGAGGGGTCCAGCCCGCTCCTTTCATCCAGTTCAGATCAGACTTGTATTTCACCTGTAAGAAAATAGATATTTAGAAAGTTCAGGGCTCATTCTTTATGACTTGGCTCCAGAAGAGTATAAAGACCTTGGCACTCCTGTGTTTTGTTTTTTAGTGAATAGTAAATTTGTCTGGACTCAGTTTCTCTCAGCCAAACATGGGGCGACACACTTCGCTGATACTTAATACGCTCTCTGACTTACGTCACTCTGCAGCTTGTAGGCCTGTTTGGCGTGCTTCACATTGAGCTGCTCGGGGTCACAGGTGTAGTCATGCAGTTTCTGGCGGTAGGTGAGGTCGCTGGCCTGAGCCTGACTCTTCTTGGCAAGCAGGAACTCTGGCTGGTCTGCGTGGATCTTGTAGTGAGCCTGGTCCTCTTTAGACTGGCGTTTGTACTCTAGGTTGCTCTGGAGTTTGCTGGCTGCCAAAGAGTGCACCATCTTGGGGTCGTCTTCGACACAGCGCAGGCCAACCTGCTGACCCTTCTCTTTCAGATGTGATTCTTTGTAACGGAACTATGAAAGTAAAAAGACAGTTTTCTTGAATGCTTGAGTTTTACAGCTCAGTTAACTGTAGGATTAAACTACTTTTAAGGTTCGTTATCATTCATTTTCAGCTTTGGTTCAGCTTAAGTTTAATTTACTCTTTAGGAACGTAAAAAAAAAAGATGTAGAGGGTCTGAAATCTTGTTACAAACTGAGCAAAAAACTCACATCACTGGCGATATCTCTGGAGACCTTGGCGGTTTGGAAGGGGATAGCGTCCAGCCTGAGGTCATAGCCCGATGTCTTCACCTGCTCTCCAGACGCTTTGTAAACTTTCTTCATGGGAAAAGAGTGAAAGGGATGAAAATGTCAAAAAGTAAAGTGGGAATCTTTTTCTATGATATCATGAAAATAGTTTCTTCTATTTTAAATCATGAGTTTCCTCCTTACATCACTGATCTGCTGGGCGTTAACTTTGGCTCTGACAAAATCGGGATCATCTGGATGTAAGGTATATTTATGCATGTCATCATTCTTCCCAGATTTGTACAGCCTCTGCAGTGTGAAAACACAAATAAAACATGAACTGCATTGGTGATTTCAACATTTTTAGAACAACATCAGGTCTGTCGAGAACAATGAGGTTTAAAATGATCTGCTGAGTACATTTATCTTCCCTCCTCACCTCGCTGCACTGCTGATAGCTCATCTTGGCGTGGACGATGTCAGGAGAATCAGCCACTGAGGTGAACCTCAGTCTGTCTGGCTGCTGACGATATTTCTTCTGCATGGGAGAAGACCAAGAACACTTTGACATCAGCAAACACAGACGGCTGAGATGAGTGATGATATAACATGTTCAAACATTATTTGATGATTTCACAAAGTTGAGTTAAAAAAATTACTCAATAACGGACAAATTAGTTGCCACATCATCAGTTTTAACAAATTCAGTTCAGTCCAATATTTTACATTTTCAGCCTTATACGCCTTTCATCATTTTTTTTTTTTTTTGCAGAGCAACACTAAGTTTGTTTGAACTGTCTGAACTTTCTGTACCAGGGAAAGACAAAAACTAGCATAAAAACACAAGCACTGGGGCGCAGCAGTAGTCGTCTCAGCACATCCCATGCACTCAGGTGGTCTAGGTTCGATTGTCCCCTGTGGTGTCTTTCCTGCATGTCATTCCTCACTCTCTCCCCTATTTCCTGCTCTATCCATGATCCTCCATGTATCAAGCCAGAAAAGGTCTCCAAAAAACTAAAAGTGATTATTCTTTTGGTAAGGAAGCCCTCGGCAGACATGCATGAGTTTTATTTGCTTTGTTTTCCAGAGACAATGAATGATAACAAGTGATAACTCTTGTTTTCTTGACTCATTACTCTCAAAATCTCAAGATATTGTGTTTTCACCAGATCTTTATTTTCTCGTAATCTCTGGACAAAAATACTGTTATCTTGGATTTTAACAGAAGTCTATCTCCAAATCATGGGAGGATAGGGCTAAACACAACTTACTTGATGATAAAAATGAGATAGTTTTGCTGTCAGGTCATTAAATAAAAAGGCTGTAAGGATTTAGGGTTCAGTATCACGTGTATCCTAACAATACCGTTCACAACATAATGCATACTCACGTCACTGATAAGTTCTCCCGCCTTCTTTGCTGACTCCAGCTGAGGAGCACCCACACCGTCCCAGGCAACACCCTTCATGTAATTCAGGTCTGACTTGTACAGTTTCTACACACAGGACAATAAAACATGTCAGCCAAGTTGACTCATGAGATCCTCTTTATTGCTTCCTCACCCACACCTCTCACCTCACTCTGCAGGTTGTACGCCGTTTTGGCCCACTTGACCTTCATGTCATCAGGCAGCACTGTGTACTCGTGCAGCTTCTTCCTGTAGTCCTGGTCGCTGGCAAGGGCCTGGGCACTCTTAGCCGTCACCAGGTGGATCATATCAGGGGTGAGGTGGTACTGCCCGGAGGTTGTCAGGGCATCCTTTCGGTACTCCTGGTCGCTAGCAAGTCGGCCCGCCTGCCTGCAGTGCAGGAGATGTGGGTCGTCCATGACGCTTTTGACGCCGATGTGCTTTCCTTTTTCCAGCAAGTGGTTGTGTTTGTAGTTGTACTGCAGGAGACACAAGCACATGAGTGGGTTATCCCTAACTTATGTTATATCAAGGTGGATAACTCTGGCAACACTTTTTATTCCCTACATCACTGGCGATGCCTGTGGAGCTCTTGGCAGCCTGGAAGGGGATGTCCTGCATGGTGAGTTTGTAGCCCTGAGCCCGCAGAGTATTCCAGGAATCTCTGTACCTGATCTAGAGACAAACAACCACCAATCATCAACTTTAGAAATCAAAACACAGGGTAACTAAAAAGAGCACTGTCAGTCTCTGCACAGATCTCTACCTCACTGAAGTTGGCTGCGTTGATCTTTGCTTGAGTAATCTCCGGTCTCTCACATGTGATGGTGTAGTTATGCTGGTCGTTTACACCTTTTTCTTTGTACAAACGCTATAAGAAGTGATGGGACAAAAACACATTTCCTAATTTAAGACATGTACAGATAAAAAACAGTTAAATAGAAAGTTTGAGAAAAGATTTTTAGAATAGTTTCAAAACATATTATCTTACTTCATTAGTGACTTGCCCACTGAGTTTTGCGTGGACAATATCTGGAGAGTCTGTCACAGAGGTGTGCCTGAAATTGTAAGGCTGCTGACGATACTTTTTCTGTAAGAGAAGGAAAAACAACGTTAGTTTTCTTCATTTTTAAATTTTTGAATACCATTATTACTATTTCTTTAATTTTTTATCAAAACAAGGATAACTGTCCAAATGTCAAAAAATGACAACAAACGCACATGACACACAAGATATGTTTGCAAATAAGGATTATATTCAATTGATTCAAGAGCAAAACCATCACGATCTGCATGTACAGTTCTGTGGGTATGATCACACAGGTTATAAAAAGGGTCAAGCAAATAATAAGAAAAAAGCTGTCTCACATCACTGATGAGGTCTGTGGCCCTCTTGGAGCCCTCAATCTGCAGAGCCCCAGTAGCGATCCAGGCTGCACCACGCAGGTAATTCAAATCAGAGCGATACACTTTCTGTAACACAAATATTAAAAAGGGTCACGTTTGACAGCACAGTCAGCAAGCCGGAGAAGTTTTGCAAAAGTTTTCATTATAATTCTAAAGGGTAGTGCAGTTGCTTTGATGTTTGTCATGTGAAATATTCTAAATAAACTGTGTTTAGTAATAACACAAGTTGTCATCCATCTCACCTCACTCTGCAGAGCATACGCTCTCTTTGCCGCCTGCACCTTCATGTCATCAGGTAGTGAGGTGTACTGATGCAGGGTGAGCCTGTAGTCCTGATCGCTGACCAGAGCCTGAGCCTTTTTAGCATGAGACACCTCGAGCATGTCCATGGGGAGGTTGAACTTGGAGAGCTCCTTTGCTGAGTTCTTCTTGTATGTGATCTGAAGATGGAGGAAAGAAGAAAAAATTGATACACAAATCACTTTTTTTTTTAATTTTTTTTTTCTTTGCTTTGAACTTTTGTATTAATTGTTTTAGTCAGGGTCACTCACATCACTCTGTAGCTTGCTGGCATGGACAGAGTGAGCAATGTTTATGTCATCCTGCAATCCTTTCAGGCCGATCATCTTCCCCTTGCTCCTCTCAAACTCTCCTTTGTACTTTTGCTAAAATGACAAACAATTAAAATTCCAAATGCTGCAAAGAAATTAAATGCGTACTGTGCCGAATAGTAAGTAAGTAAACTGGCAGCTCTTTTTTTCGATGAAATCAAGCGTAAATTGCATGCTTACATCGCTGAGGATCTCTGCAGATGCTTTCGCAGACTGGAAAGGAATGGCGTCCAGACGCAGCTTGTAGCCACCGTCACGAATCTTAGTCCAGGATTCTTTGTAGCAGCTCTGAAAAGCAGATAGCAGATAAGAAACAGGTATCAGAGAGGATGGATCGATTAACTGTCTGATGGTTTACTGTGAGATTTTCTTACATCGCTGATGTTAATGGCGTTGATCTTGGCCTGAACTAACTCTGGCAGCTCTCCACTGAGTGTGTAGTTGTGCTTCATGTTTTCACCCTTTTCCCTGTACAGCCTCTGTGAAGACCAAAACAGTGCATCATTAATATCTGGTGATGTATGCCATATAAATGTGTTTTTTATGTAATGTGAAACCACAAGTACATGAGTTGAACATGTTAAATCTAGCTTGAATCTCAGTCAATTTGCATTATACATTTTGACAAGACCTGTCAATCAAAACATTAACAAGTAATTAAGTTAGATCAGATTGAATGCATCCTATTATATTTTGAGAGGCACATATGACAGCTGAACTTACATCAATGGCCAATTTGTTGCTGAGTTTAGCCTGAGCCATCTCTGGCGTGTTTTCAACACTGGTAAACTTCAGAGCGCTCACATCCTGGCGGTACTTTTTCTGCAGAAGAAAATTAAACAAGAACATGTAAAGGAAGAAGAAACCATTCCCAATATTGTGCACATGCATTCAACAAACAGAGAAGGGCAACATATACCTCAAAGTAATCATGCTAACTTATATACTGTAGAGTACCAAAGGAAATTGGTCATCTAAAAAAAACAACAACCCTTAAAATAAAGGCTCAGCTGCACGTTGAGAGGCTATAGATGAAGTTTGGTATTGCAAAGATGTGTCACAGAATTATTTCAGTGCACTTTAGCACCCACTTACATATTGAAAAAAAAATACCTGTCTAAAAATAGTCTGTAAGGAGGGTGTTAAAGTGTCTAGTATGAATTTAACTCAAGTGACCAAGTCCATAAACAGATAAGATATCAAAGGTCAGAAATTAACTCGACAATGCTTTTATCCATGTTTTCCATATATGCACACCAAGTACTTTAAAGCTTATAGGAAACTGGATCCTTCGTGTTAACGGAGGATGTTGAAAGTCCTTCCCTTGAGAGGAGTTGACTGGCAAGCAAGCATAACTCCCCTGATCTACCTCAATATGATTTGTGGAGCCTGTATTGATGATTCCTGATCCAATTTAATATGCAACAGCTTCAGCTGCTGCAGTAAGTCCAAGTCTCCTGTAATAGCTGGGTGAAGCCTGTGTTCTTAACCTAGTTTCTGGAGAGCAGAGATGGCCGCTGCTCTTTAAATACATTCTGACCTCAGTCATAAACCTACATACTGCATGTGCTTTCCAGCTATATGTTACACAATCATGCAAATCACTTTCTCATGGTCCCTGTGCTCATTAACCTACGGAGTCATACAGGTCAATTTCAATAATGGTTGAAACTATTTTCTAAATTTAGTATTTAGTCTAAAAAATCTAATATTATTTCCTGATTTGACTCTTGCATTCCAGCTGATACATTACCTCGCTTACGAGCGCCCCTGCTTTCTTTGCCTGCTGGACATCCAGAGATTTTGAGGCCTCCCAGCCCACGCCCTTCATCCAGTTCAGATCTGACCTGTACTGTTTCTAAAATAGCACAGATACAAATTCCACCTTCAATCTTTATTTTTCATTGCATTTAAAGGATTTTTTTGTACATAACATTCTTGTTTTTTTGTATATCTAACTATGGGACTTACATCACTCTGCAGTCCGTATGCTTTCTTAGCCCAGGCCACCTTCATATCAGTTGGAAGAGTTGTGTACTCATGCAGGATGGTCCTGTAATTGGTCTCGGTCGCCAGGTCCTGGGCCTTTTTGGCATGACTGATGTTCAGCATGTCCAGGTGAACACTAAGAGGGAGAACAATTTCATTCAGAAAATGTAATTCCAATATGAAGATTTTGGTTCACTAAAATCTTTCATCTTTATATTATTCTTGCTTGAGCATGAGGAATCCCTTAGATTGACCCTGAACTGAAAAAACTGAAGATGGTAGTTCAGATTTTGAATTTTTTAAAATAAAACTCTGTATTAGAGACAGATTTCATTTTAAAGCTCATTAACACATCACCTCTTATTTACTTGTAGCCAGTAGTTTATCAAGTTAGCTGTATAATTTAAGGATCCAATGATGAGTGGTGTCTGTGTCTATAATGTGAAATTAGCTCGGATCATATAGGATCAACACCAAGGCCTCACCTGTATTTGCTCTTGGTTTCTTCATAGTCTTTCTTGTAGTCGCGGCCACTCTGTAGTTTGGTTGCCAGAGTAGAGTGAGCCATCTGAGAGTCATCTTTGACCGACTTAATGCCGATCACCTTCCCTTTGTTCTTCTCATAGCTCTCCTTGTATTTGACCTGTCATGGGACAAGATTATTGTGGTTTTTCAAAAAGACTCTGCATTTGTATTTAGCTGCATTATCAAGTGATGAAATCGTATTTCATTCAGGTGTACAACACTGTAACAATTCAAGTTTGAATTTAAGTTTAAAACATATTTCTCCTCAGGCCTGAGATCGCACTCAAAGACAGATTTTGAGCGAAACTCACATCACTGGCCAGGTCTCTTTTGGCTTTAGCGGTGAGAATAGCGAGAGAGTCCAAGCTCAGCTCAAAGCCCTTTTCCTTCTGCTTCTCCCAGTTGCTCTTGTACACTTTCTAAAAACAAAAGGATGGTATTTAATACCGTTTTAAAATATGTATAAAACATGTGTCAGCATATAGTTCTATAGTTCTGTAACACACCTCTATTTGCACAGAAAGACTTGCATGTCAAACCATACATGATTTACCCTATGTAACAAACATTGCAGGGCCCTGAAGCCTGTTTAAACAGGTTAATTGTGTTTATGTCATTAAGGGGTTAGGTTGATTCTAAATGGTAATCTAATTTTTGTCTTTTCAGATTTGTGAAGAGACACCAGTTAACTTAGTTTGTGCCATGTGGAGGACACTCAGTGGAGTTACAATAACTCTAAATTGAAGATTTAATGTTGTTCCCAAAAATAATAAAGAGCCTCTACTTTCTGGGAACAGATTATGTTGACCTTACAGACGGGTCATATGGTCAGACCTGTATTATGATATGTGTTACTCAACTGTGTGTCACCCTCCTCAAAACAGCCCACTAAGTATTTACAAACTTCCAGTGAAAGTAAATGGACCTGACCTCGAAAACATGTTTTCAACTGTACTGTATACTTTTTTAAAATAAAATATGGATGGTAATCTAAAAGGAATATTATGGTTGTTTAGATACACCAATTAAAAACTAATACTTCATACTCAAAAATCAAATACTTGAAAAACACTAAAGGGACCAAACACTAAGCCCTGAGGAACACCAAAAAAATAAAAAATCTATATTTTACATTTTATCTGATCTTGCCATATCATAAAGCTCTTGCTCGCACCACTGTTACAGTCTGATTTGTAAAATCATAGAACAAACAAATAAACAAACAAAAAATCACCTACCCCACTGAGAAGGTCAGCATTAGCCTTTGCTTGTCTGAACTGGGGTTCATCTTGGGTCATGGTGTACTGGTGAATTATCTGCTCCGTGTTGGCTTTGTATGCAAGCTGTAAAACAGAAAGACAATATGACTTTAGACTGCTTCTTCTCAGTAAAATGTACATGAATGTAGCTTTACACTGAAGGCCTTACATCACTCTGCAGCTCCTGGCTCTTCTTGGCGTGTTTGATAGAGAGATCGTCTGCCACCTGAGTGAACTTGATGCTGTCTGCCTTCTGACGGTATTTAGTCTGTGAGGAAAAGGAGCAGTTGATAAATAAATAAATAAATAAATACAGTTCATTTTGAAACTGAATTAAAAGTCACAGAAAGTCCAAGTTTTGCGCACATCACTTAGCAGCTCTCCAGCTTTCTTGGCCTGGGTGATGTTCATGCATCCTTCAGTCTCCCAGCCAACTCCTTTCATCCAGTTCAGGTCTGAGCGATACTGGTTCTGGAGGAGGGACAAAAAGTGGAAAAACATGTTATGAATATTGTGCAGGATCACATGCTCTGACACTCATTGGTACCTTTGAGCCTGCAAGATTCAAGTCTTGGTGAAATCTACATAGAAAAATTTATATCACAGAATCATTCCTGTTATCTGGTGTTAAAACCTATAGCACCAGCAAAATGTTGTCACAGCTCTCTGTCTCACAGGGTTAGCATAGGGCTAGTTTCTGCTCCATGTCTCTCACCTCACTCTGCAGAGCATATGCTTTCTTGGCCTGCTGGACCTTGATGTCATCTGGCATGACGGTGTAGTCATGCAGTTTTGTGCGATATTCCAGGTCACTGGCGAGGGCCTGGGCCTTTTTGGCATGGCTTAGGTTGATCATGTCATGTGGAAGGCTGAACTGGCTCTGGTTCTCCTTGGAGCCCTTCTTATATTCAATCTGTTGGAAGGAATTTCAATAAAATAGTGTTTTTTAAGCTAGATTGCTGCTTGGTAGGCAAGTGGGAAAAATGTCTGCGAGTACTGTTGAAAGAAAAAAAAAAGCTTACATCACTGCTCATCTTCGCCACTTGTAGTGAGTGCAGAGTCTTTGAGTCACTTGTGTTGAACCCCACAGCTTTTTCCTTGTCCTTCATGTAGGTTTCCTTGTATTTAATCTTAAACACATGACCATTTCATTGAATAATCATATTTGACTAAACTCACTTAGCTATTTGCTCAGACAGCCCTCACGCAGTGGAAAAGAGTATGTGTTTACTTACATCACTGGCGAGGTCACGGGAGGCTTTTGCTGCTCTGACGCTCAAGTCATTAATGCCAATATCACAGGCTTTAGACTTGGTTTTCTCCCACTCTTCCTTATATTTGATCTAAAAAACATTGTATATTGTTTTATCTGAACATGTGATTGAGTCCCGTTGTATACTTAAAGTATAAAGGTAGAAATAGCTTCACCAAACTAACTTACATCACTGCACAAAGCAGCATTGGCTTTGGCTTTTTTGATCTGGGGCAGGTCCTGGGAGAGTGTGTACTGATGTTTGGTCTTCTCATAGTCTGCTTTGTAGTTGTGCTGAAAGACACATGGATAAAACTTTGCAGTCAGCTCTTTATTGTGCAGCTGAAAAACTTGTTTTACAATATTTTTGCCAGTTACTTACATTGCTGACGAGATTTGCATTTTTCTTTGCCAAAATAATCTCAGGTGTGTCCGTCACTGGGCTGTATTTGACCTGATCGATATGTTGCCTATAGTTCTTCTGCAATTCAAAAAGTACACAAAACAAATGGATCACACAAGAAGAAATAATCTCTTTTGGTTTGTAATTGGCTTATATGATAGATACTGTACTGTAAAAAAAGACACTCAATGACTCACATCTTTCAACGGGTCCAGTTTCCTCTGGCTTTTGTAGCCTGGTGTTTGGGTTGCTGGATAGTTATATTCACCCTGCTCCATTTCAACACCTTGTTTATAAGAAATCTGGAAATAACAAGAAGACTGTGTCAGGGCTATTGCTAGCATGGTGCTAATCTGTCTTCTATACATAAGTATACACTGGGGCTTGAAAAAAAATGAGAAATGTGTGTGTGTCTTAGATTAATACCATATAAGACATTTACATATAATTTGCATGATATTTGTCAGCTATGATAAGACCATGGGAAACAAGACTTACATCACTGGCCAGTTTTCTGGCCTTCATGGCGTGCATGGTCTTCTTATCGATTCCTGAGTCTTCATAGTGGCCTTTCATGTCACTGATATATTTCTCTTTGTACTTGTTCTTTAAAAAGTATGAAAAAGTTTATAAAGATTGATACAATTCATCATGGAGGACTCTGTTTTATTACCAAAATATTCACACATTTGCCAAATGATACATGAAGCAACAACTTCTTATCAGTTTGCTGTGATTACACTTACACTAGAAAAGTGTGTCACTTACATCACTTGTGAACTGGGCAACTTTCGCAGCATTTTGAAACTGTGGCGTCTCACAAAAGTTGATGCTGTGGCCTTTGGTGTTCTCCAAATCCTTCTTGTACTCCACCTGAGACAAAACATGTGAAGAATGACAACAGCTGCTTTGAAACATCTTCCAGTCTCCCCCTTTTTTGTTGATGCACAACCAGAGCTTAGGTTATGTGCTAAATTTAAAATACCTGACACTAATCACTCACCATCCCTGACACTTTTCCATCATAACTCAAGTGACACAGAGTGCCTAAATCTTAAATATGTGTCGTCCAGCTTAACAATGACAGCATGGAACCATTTAACATGTCAGTGCCTTAGACAGTCAAATGCCACACAAGAGGGATTTTCTCACCTTTTAACATTCATGCTGAATCTGAGCTGTGCAAGCAAACATAAAAAAATACCACACTGGTTGAAAGTTTCCCATTATTTCGGATTAGACATTAATTTTTTACGTTCTTTTGGGGATTTGAAGAGAAGATCTTTGTCTAAAGTTATCATTTTAGCTACTAAAATAGTGGTAATCCAACTCCAAGAACACATTTATTGGCAATTTTTCAGTCCCTGAATATTACCAATAAATGTGTTGTTGACATTAATGCAGATTGCAAGAGTACCAACAAAAGAAAATGACCCACATTTAAGTGCAAAGAAAGCTACTGGTGATGGGGTGGTGTAGGTCATGCCACCCCTGGTCCCCCATCTGGACAAGCCCTGTGAAGAAAGGCTCCTCTGTGAGGTAACTTTATTTTGACAGGGTGTCCTGTGGCCTTGAAGTTAAGCAGTAACCCCAGCGGGCTGGCATGTCAGAGATGCTGAAAATGCAAGTTGGGTGGCTTCATGTCTGCTGGAAACTAACGCACCACGTCTGATATTTCCAGCTCTAAACACACACACACACACCAAGCTGCATCATTTATCTCTGTTAGTTTCGGGATACTTATGACACCAACTTCTTTGAAATCGGAGGGGTAATTCACTAACAAGCTCACCTCACTGACAATCTTGTTGATCTTGCGAGCGTTCTTTAGAGCCAGATTGTCCTCGGATGTCAGACTGTGGAAGTGAGAGGTGCCCTTCATCTTGTTTAAGTCCTTCCTGTATTTGAGCTGCATGAGGATGAGAGATGGTTTAGTGCACATCTTAGGACAACATGTTGTGATTCTGTGTGGGAGATTACCGGTACTATTCACACACATGTCTACACACAGTCTAATTTAGTCAGAGTGGAGAGTTTAAAGAATGACGCCATGCAGTCAGGGAGGCTCTGCCATTGTTGTCTCTGGTCTATTCTTCCCCGCGATGACAGTCAGATGATAAATGAAGCTGAAGCTTTTCCAGCCAGACATTCTGCTGTGTTTTGACAGCATGTTCGACATGATGACACATGTGATAGAGGCTCTTTTTTTGACTGCACAACGTCGAGTGAGTTCACACCGAGTGAACTCACAAAAAAACTGAGATAGAGCCTAAAGACCTGGTTGTAACTCTTTTCTCTTTTACCTCTGTCTTATTTCGGCTTAACTGTCTTATTAGCTTTTGTTATACTTACATATTTTATGTTCTTATTTTTGTCCTCATGGTCTCATTTTATGTTGCAGGGTTCTTGGATTATCTGGGTTCCTTATGCCATATGAAAATGGCCTTTAATTCTGAGGCCTTGTTTTAACTGAGCTTTTTGTTTTTACTTGTTTTTATTTCCGTGTACCGACATTCTGTGCTGTATGACCATTTGTCAAAGCACTTTGTAAACCTCTGTTTTTAAAAGTGCTATAAAAATAAATTATTATTAGGGGGTCATTAGGGGTCATTTTTTTGCATAAAGACATTAATACTCACATCACTTGCGTTCTCCTGAGCTTTCTTTGCAAGGTAATAACCAGGGGTGATCATGGCTGGGAAACTTCCTTTACCTCGGTGTTGCTCATAATCCTCTGTATAGGCAATCTGCATCAGGGGAAAAGTCTCAGGTAAGAAGTGCGTCCGCCACGGTAAGTAAAAAATATTTTGTGATGAAAATTATAGATTAACTGACATTTATCTACTAGGTTGATATCTCTAACTATGAAAGGTTCAGTTCTGGTTCCTATAATTTACTGTCCATTATTATTTAAAGAGAAATAAAGGCCTTTTCATTTTAATTATGATAGGTCCTGAACAGGCTTTCAAGTGCAAACAAAATCAGCACATCACTCACTTGGCTGTAGTGTTCAGCATTTTCTCTGGCGTGAGCAGCTTCAGCTACAGCCACCTCTGCACTGGCTTTACCCTTAATCTCCTGTTCATATGTCTGACGATACTTTATCTGGTGAGACATAGAAAATGAATTTAAAAAATTATACAAAACATTGTGAAGGATGTAATCTAAGGGCAAGAAAGTGTACATTTTCACTTTGTCTGACTCACATCACTGGCCTGCTCACTGGCCTTCTTTGACATCTTGTATCCTGGTGTAAGATGTGCAGGGAAACTGCCTTTACCTTTCTGCTGCTCATACTCTTCTGTGTAGGCATACTGAGGGAGAAAAGAAACATCCACTAATGTCAGTTTTTCAAGTTAACGGAGTTGAAAATTTTAAAAATGAGCCAAAATGCTACTTTAAACCACCAGTTTTGCCATTAATATTTTGTCAAATTGATGTGAAGACTTAAGGAAGAGCTTACATCGCTGACAATTTGTCCTTGTTTCTTGGCCAGAAGTACCTCTGGAGGATCAACAAACGTGGTGTACTTAGAAACTCTCTCCTCGTGTCCTTTCTTATACTCAAGCTGCAGAAAAAAAGTATATTTCAGAAATTTACTTATCCACCAAAGGGAATTAGCTGATCTAAGTTGTGAGGGTTTTGATTTTTTCTGAGATGAGTTCAAAAAGAAAATAAAGTTAGCTAACTTACACTACTAGCCAGAGAGTTGGCATTTTTGGCAGCCTGGTAACCTGGTGTGATCATGGCAGGGAAGCTGCCTTTTCCTTTCGACTCAAACTCCCCTGTTAACTGCACCTGCCAATGAAAGCATAAATCAATCAGGGCATTAACTCAAATTTAGAAAAACCAAAGAGTCTAATTAGTGACACAGACACTCAAGTTTTTAAAACACAAAAAAGCACTTCTTAAGGTAAAAGAAACTCACATCACTGAGGGTCTTCTGAGACTGAGACATGGTAACCATCTCCTGGTTGGTCATCGTGCTTGAACTCCATGTCTGCTGGTGTGAGAACTCTGACTGTGACTTGAAAGCCTGTTTGGACAATAGAGCCAAATTCAGTCAGATTTAAATATTCTCTTAACAGGTAAGACTTTGCAGCTATAGGACCTCTTTATCTGATTTAATGGCTCTACTCAGTGTTGATGACAGGTGCCGAAAAAGAAACTGATCTGAAAAAAAAAAAATATATATATATATATTTTTAACCCTTACAAGATTTGATCTCATTCTTACCATTTGCCTCAAAAGACATGCATATTTTTTTAAATTGGACATTTTGGGCTTGAACTCCCTGTAACTGGGTGTATTGGCCAGTTGCTCTCTCAGGAGCTCACCTGGCTGGCCATTTGATTGGCTAGGCGAGCCCTCTCCAGCTCCATTGACCTCATGTCCTGATGGAAGGTGGACATAAAGCGTTCGCCATCCTCGCGATACTTCAGCTACAAACAGATGCACAAAGACAACAAGCGATAAGCCAAGGCCAGCACATATATTGCTAATACCCACACCAGACATGTGCCAAAAGCATCCAACCCGGTGATTGGACAGATTAATCAAAGCATCTCAAAGCACAAACAGATATAACCCTGACTTCAGGGCAAAGAGCAAACCTTTAGTCTATTCATAAGTTGTCATCTTTAAACCCAACAACCTGGGCTGAATGTTAATGAAGGGATAATATTAGCTTGCTGGTAAAAATAAATGGGAAGTTCCTCTTGCAGCACTGACTGATGAAACTCTGAGCTGTTTGCTCATGATCCTAAAGCTTTAAATATGTCTAAAACTAATTTTGGAATAGCTGCACTGCAAAGGATAAGAGGAACTTCTTTAAAGCATCATCGCTGAGGGGCTTAAACTAAAGGAGCAAAAATATTGTAACACATCGGAAATATGTGTTAGGAAAAATGTAAGTAAATTTAAAATGTCATATCTACATCTACATCTCGACCCACAATATGTTTTGAATCTATAAGGTAAACTATTATTCACACATATGTCAGTCTAGTCATCATAATTACTAATAACTATCAAAATCTTCAACATAAATTAAACATACCCTGTAAAGGTGCAGTGTATGCATGAACTTTAGTGTAATAAATGCAGTCAGAGCATTTTTGTGCTGATGCAAAGAGGGACATAGATTTGAGCGCAATATAATTACATGACATGAAACGTGGCAGCTGTCTGTCTTTGTTTTGTTCAGCTTATTTTGAAGAGCATAACTTGGAAAGGAAATTGGGTGAATCTTGCATTTATATATTTGGTAACATCATGTCCAGAGGGTGGCGATAATACAACCAGAATCAATAAGCTGTGATTGATGGCTGCAGTTGTTTTATGTGCAACCATCAATTGATGTGGTCCACTTTTCACATGAACCATGAAACATCAGTGAATCTAATGACAACAAAAGCTCTGCATATCAACCAAAGCGTGATCTTTTAGGACACCGTTTTAAGTAGACAGGGTTGAGGGTCACTCAGCAAGATCTAAAGTCTGCCCTCAGATCACATATCCACTACTTAAGCCCTAAAACACTCATGGCACACCACAGTAGCTGATGAGCTCGCTAGCCTACTGCTAATATAAGCATAAGAGCATTGCATGAACTGGTAGACACAGACAGACAGCAGCAGGTGGCAGGGCTGAGGAGAGGAAAGGATGCAGAGCTGTTTTTCCTGATGTATAATTTTAGCCCCCTGAAGCATAAAGTGGGCTAAGCCTAAGGGGGTTGTCTAGTCTCTGTCAGAGGAACAGAAATAACCTGAGCCACACTCTCCATTCCTCGTTGCTACCGTCACTGTGGACTCACAGCAGACGTCCATATTTCTACCTTCCAAATACTTCAGAGGAATAAGGGCTTATTTAGGTTGATGCATTAGTTTAGGATAAGATCTTGAATTTTCTTTTTTTTTTTTATAATTAGTTTTTATTCAACATGAGTAGAAAGGCAGAGTTACAGGTGTAATATTTCAAATGTTCATGGATCGTTTTTTCTTTTTCCAATAAAAAAAAGATCTTGAATTTTCTGACCATATTTATATCTGAAATGCAGAACTGTACATTAAAAGCTTTATCTAGGGATACAAATAGGAGTTATCAATGAAAAAAAATGTTATTGCAGCAAATATCAATTATCTCTGCATATGATAAAATTTACCTCTATGATCATTATGAAGTCAAGCATACGTGACACCCTTTAAAATACAATCCTGTTGATCCAAAGTGGCACAATGACCACTATGAATAGCATCTTCACTGTAAGCCAGTCATGACAAACAGATGATAAATGTGCATTTCAGTCATGGCGTAGACAGTGACTTATGTCAGCCCGTCAACAATGCACCTTGACTCAGATCAAGGCCAAAATATTTGGTTTCACGTTTCTGCTCGTGTTTTTTGGCATGTGACATCACCTTACCTCACTGCTGGCCTTGCTTTGTTTCTTTGCGTTGATATTGATGGGGGTCTCATAGACGCTGGTGAATGTGTTGTTTCTTGGATTGTGTCTGTGGCGATGAGATGTAAATACAGTCATTTATGTAATCGCATTATGTAATTGTTTGAATTAAAACGGATCCATTTTCAACCACATCGTCCTTAAATATACACATTTGATCACTTTGTATTGTACTTACACAGAGCAGTATGGCCTCTTCTTGTGGCTCACAAAGTTATTGGCGGTGAGAACCATCTTACAGACGTCACAATGAAAACATGCTTTATGCCAGTTCTGAAAGAAATAAAAAAAATCCTGTTACAGTGCAAGACCCTGATTTTAATCCCTGAATTTATACAATAACCTAATTTATCTTTGGCTGACAGGAAGTGTGTGACTCATGTAACTTCAGGTGCTGAAATAAGAGCGATCACAGCTTCATCTTCCAACAGGACTCGCTCCCAAGATTAGATTTTATATGGCTTGTAACATATATACCCCTTGCTGTTAGCGTCACAACAATCTCATAAAAGAGACCATAAAGAAGAAAGATTTTCAAATAAAGATTCAAATACGGCAGTAACCATATCAATTTACTGAAACATTGTACTGAAATATATTGTAGCATCCCGTATCATATTGTACTGTACTGTCCCATACCATGCTGTATCATATCCTTTAAAATTGCGTCATATTTTATTTTACCTTTATGTTGGAATCACTATTGCTAGTCATTTATTTTACAAGCACTCTGATTCATTTCTAAATCAACTCTTGACTTTAAAAGAGGTTTTAGATGTCACCTCATTTTACAAACCCTAGCTCTTCCAACCTTTTTGCTCGTGTTATAAGGTGATTAAAAATCCTTGATTTTGCAAGATTTAAATATTTCTATCGCTTTACCAAGTGATTTTTATCTAGTAGAGGATAACTGTTGTATTAGTGCTCAGTGTTTCAATTAAAAAGTAAGTAATCAATTTTTTTGGTTCTTTCAATACGTACCTGGCCTTTAATTTGATTTATTCCCCTCTTGTTAGTTTAAGAGCTGTCAAAACTATTTGGAATAAGAATTAAAGCTTGACTCAAACATAAGCTGAAACTGTGTCAAGATCACAGTTGTTCTGAGTTACCTGGTCAATGCAGTTGATCTTCTCAGCTGGGTAGACCACAAACCCACACCTGGCACAGGACTGCATGATGAATGCTTGTCCTTTTCCCTAAAGACTCTAAACAAAAAGTATCAAAAGAAATGAACAAGTTTGAAAAGTTGACCAAAAACAAGAGTCAGGCAGAGAGGCTTCAGTTTAGAAGAAGGGCTGTTAGCGACTCCCAGACTGTAGTGATCGTGCGTCTCTGGTGGAGGTAAACTTAGCTCTGTGTCTGTGGACTGACTCTTACTTGACACCATGGCCCATGGTGGACCAACCCCCTTCCATGCTGTTGGCCTGAGGACTGGCTGAGTCCAGCTGTCTGTCTGCAGGAGGAGAGTGACAGACCGAGTTCAGATGTCATTATGTATGTGTAATGATCCAGAGTTGGACAGTTAGGTCAACTTCATCCGGCCATGACACTACGACACAAAGGCGTAATAGTTTTACTTAGTCTTATTAAGCTTCATCTGGCAGGTATGATGACACATTAAAAGAGAGTGACTCTGCAATTGGTTTTAATCTGCTTTAAATACTGTGATTTTTAAAAGTACCATGGAATAGTTTACAGGAGCTGTTGTGGACAGTCATTAAGGAAAAATTTATACATTAATAATAATAATTAATACTTTCTCATCAAGTCACAAAAATTCCTCAAGATAAAAAACCCCCTAAAATTTAGGTTTTAAAAGCAGCATTTCTCATATATTCTTTTTAAAGTTCTGATGCTCATGACAGTGTAACGCTCATGTACCAAAGGATTAAGTATCTCCATGTTGTGGAACCTATACTGAAGTACAATTCATCGAAATGCTCCACAGTGCTGATTTTAACAACCCTCCTCCAAAACAGGTAACTTTACGACTTTATTCTTATATATTAATGACTTTATTCTTTAATAACTTTAATGTCAAAGATTTAAAAATTTTTTTTTTTTTTTTTTCTTAATGTGGCCCTCATACTCCATTGCATTTATTAGATTATTATACTAATAATTATCTTCAACACCCCCCAGGAAAATAATGTTTTTTCACTTAACTTTCTTAAATCAAATGTACTTTACAAGCTGTTGAAATTTAAGCAAGTGTGTGTAAAAGCCCCTGAACTGTGAGGGTTTATTTTCTTACAGCCTCCGACCGGCTTGACGCAGGGCTATGACGTGTAAAGCACCTCCTTGACATGACGCTGGGCGTACTTTCGTTTTCTTGACTTTTAAACAGGATCCGAAACTTGGCGTGAAATTAAGAGAAGTAAGACAGCCACTGTAAGTCTCTGACATTAGTTGTGCTGACAGAGATGGACAACAGAGTGAGTTACATACCCACATATTCACCCTTGAGTCAGATCTAAAAAAAATGTTTTGCTGTTGCGTATGTGTGTGCCTTTAACTATGCTAGCCATATACCAAGCTAACGCACGAGATTTATTTGCATAAAGTATTAAAATGGTAAGAGAAAAGCTAACTTTAGTTTTTGTTATACTGTGTTTTGACCGTTTGAACCATGTTGACGTTAGCAATAGTTTAGAGGAAGTGAATTTGTTAAAGTAATGGGGGAAAAGCTGTGGTTCATTGTTGTTTCCTGGCAGATTATACTGTATATTTAAATTAAAAAATGACCTTTGACTTGACTACAGATGGCTGGAGAACCCGCGGAGCTGAGAGAGCTGGAAGGTGACGTGGAGAAAGAAGAGGAGATAGGAGATGAAGCGGACGCCAAACCTGACCGCAGAGGACGATTTCTGCTGTTTGGAAGGTGACTTTACTATCAGTTCTTTTAAAACATATATAGACACCTCAAACATCCACTAAAGTTATACCAGGACGAATTTAGTTTCATTTAAATTGGGCAATATTATGCATGTTTTTCTTTAGCTTTCACATTCATTATGTGCCCATACACTTATAGTGTATCATAGTTTACAGCAGTGCAGGACAGCACAAAATTAATTGCTCTTTCTAATTCACCATCACTGGTTCATTCTGGTTATTTTGAATTTCAATCGTAGCAGCTTTCATGGATTATTTATACAGCACTGAGAGGACGGTTTATACATCCTAATCAAATACTCAGTCCTTCTGCAGCAGCAGTCTTAAATCTGCAGAGTCCCTCAACTAAATGTGTGTCTCCTGGTCTCTCACATTAACAGAGTTATTCAGAGGCATGAATGATGTGCTGTTGATATTTATTCTCATATACTTAAATGATAATTTGTCAGAGTAATAATCACAAATACAGGCTTTAATACTCATACAGTAAAATCCCTTTTGGGAATGAAAGTGACACTGCTTCCTCTTAGCTTTCTTAAAACAGTTCTTAGAAATATACAGCTTTCTTAAAACAGTTCTTAGAAATATACACTTAATTAGACACAGCACAGCGCTACTAATGCCTCATTATAATAGGCTGATTATGATAGGTTTTGGCAGTTTAGGGGGGTGATGTCCTCAAGAGGTCACTCAAAATTGGATGAATGATGAACATAGAGTCAGGTGTTATAAATACTCACATTCAGTGTCGTATAACTTACAGCATGGGTTCGTAAAATGATGCATTTTGTTATTCAAAAGAAACTGACATGAGGTTGAAACCTCAGTTTATACCAGTCTGACTCACAAGGTGGCACTGTGGACCTTTAAACTTCACAGAAACTGGTGATGAAAAGCCTGTTTGCTCAGCTGTGAAATAAACCTTATACTATTTGGAAAACAGTGGGTGAAATGAAACAGATATACAAAAGATAGCATGCTCATTCAGAAATAAGCATGTATCATAAAATATGTGCTATGTCTTGTTCAAGCTGTGCTAATTTGTTCTGCTTGTGTATGTTTAATCTGTGAGTTCTGGCCTTGACATAACGCCCGCACTTTCACACCATTTTGATGCTGGCAGATGATCAGCTACTCTTAGACTGATCAACGTTTATTAAGTGGTCTTTAAATATTACATTTTTAAGTTATTTTGGATTCAAGAGAGATATGTAGTAAACACAGCTGTATGAAATATGAGGAGAGATAAACACAAGGTACTTGTGCCACAGTGAGGATGTGCTCAGTGAGGACCACCCCACATTTTCACCCTCATCCCAGTGCTTTTGCATTACTAAAGAGTTGCATAGCCTACCAATAGCTATAAGCAGCGGCTGCAACTCTAAACATACAATAGACCTACACCAGACTTCCTTTACCAAAGCCCCAGGTATCAATAATGCTGATACTACCTACCCTTTCATTTGGCTCTTGCATGCCCCATTGTAGAATTAGAGGGGCAGCAAGAGCTAATGTATCACCAGTGTCGAAAAGTGGGCAACTTCCTGTACTTGCATTTTTCAAGTAAGGCTATTAACACTTCAGGGAGGTTCAGAAAGTTATCTTAGACATATGTGAGTAAAATTCAATATGCACTCTTTAATGTTATCACACATTTGTATTGTTCTTATATTGTGTAAGTCCTTAATTAGTTCAAATATGATTGTCTTTGTTTTATCTGTCGGTTTAAATTTTTTATGTCAGTTGAAACAAAAACAGATCACCCTGTAAAGGACTGAGCATTTTTCCGGAGTCAATTTTGTGCAAAGCAGTGTCTTAATAGTTTTTAGAAAGTTCCCTGTCTTGTACATCCATCCCTAAAGTCAAGGTCTTCTCAGCCTACATGTCCTCACAGGGGGATTCTGTGCCTGTCAGCAGAGGAGCAACCTGTTGCCCTGTCTGACCTCAACAGGCAGCGGGTTGTTGGGGCCATGTGTGAATAGGTCTTTAGAAAGCACTGGTGTGGTGGCGAGGCTGCTGACTCAGGGGGCTCACAGTGCGCCGCCCCCGTCCTCAGCACCCGCTGGCCCAGTCAGGTCTTCATCCAGCACAGAGAGCATGTCAGTATCCTAGCACACGGCTAAAAAATAAGCTGCCAGGTCTGGAGAAACATACTCTTTTGGGGGAAAATAAAGAAACGAGACAAAACCAACGCATTTCAGATGCAGAGTGGCGTAGCGCTTAATGACGAACCCAGGTAAGACAGACAGATCAGCTTCATATCCTCTTCACTGTCCTCCTACCTGCGCCTCTTTCTACCATGCCCAGCCCACAGCAGAACAGAGCTGCAGCTCTTTGCCCACCCTCCACGATTGTTTGGTACTGTACGCTAGCTCAGTGTAGAGGTGGGAGGGGGGCTTGAAAAAGTTCTGGATCACATGCTTATTAGAAAAAGGCAGGGCTGCCCGTGAGTGTTTGTGCAGAAGTCTGTGGCTGTGGATTGCTGTGTATTGTTCCCATGCTTGAGTAAGCTGATGACAAGGCTCTTCTGGAACGAGCCTGGATTTTCGGAGCCCCCAATGGGCCACTGTTGGCTTTGCTATCTGGATGGATCTGTTAAAGAATGGAAATATGACAGGTGTGTGAGAATTGCCACTCGTGAAGATTTCCTCTTACTCAATCTACATCAATGTGACCATGTTTCTTTAATATCCACACTTGGTAAAAATGTTGTAGTTCCTTCTCTAACACATCGCTGGATTACTGCAAACAAATTTGGCTGTGATTTTAATGCCTTATTTGACTATGTATGTACCCTTTGATTTCTGAGTAAGTGGTTCAGAGTGTTCTCAGTTTCAGTTGTGTTTATTTCATTATTTACTTTGTGATCAATGTTATTTTTCAGTTTGAAAACAGTTTGTCTTGAATGGCCTGGTCATACTTATTAGCCTTGTCTCATGGGCCAAATTGGAGAGGTGAACTTTTTCAAACTTTCAGCATCATGCGAGTTAAATTTGGATGACTTCCAATTTATTTCTTCATTTTTTGTTCTTTGCTGTGTTCATTAGTTTGTGGAGTTTTTTTTTCTTTTTTTGTCTTTGTTTTCTCAGTGTATGTTGAAATATTTCTATATAGCTACTTGAAAGCCATGTCGTTTCCCAATCATGTCATTCAAACAGAGCATTTTGAATGAAATCTAAGTTTCTCTCTCTCTCTCTCTCTCCCTGTTAGTAAGAAGAATAAGGATGGCCAGACGCGGGAGCAGGACTACTCTTCTGAAAGCCATTACAGAATTGTTTCACCAACATTCCAGTATAAGATGAGCCACCAGCGAGTGGGCAAGTGTATCATCATCAACAACAAAAACTTTGACGAAAAGACAGGTACAGCAGATGTTTTTTACTCACTGTATAATTAATTCAGTTTTGCTTTATTCACTGCTCAAAGAAAGTGTATTTTAAGGAGAGTGTCTCAACAGGGATGAATGTTCGTAACGGCACAGATCGAGACGCAGGTGAGCTGTTCAAGTGCTTCAAGAGCCTGGGCTTCGATGTCTTCATCTACAATGATCAGACATGTGAGAAGATGGAGCGTCTCCTCAGAGAGGGTGAGTAATCAACACCTCTGACATTATCTCACTTTTTTTTCTGTCTGCCATATTGAGATAGTCGTGATGTGTTAGTCTAGGGAAGCCAGAACCAAAACAACAGCTCCACCTTAATTATTTCAGATGGCAAACCTCTGTTAAAAGGCGTCAGTTATTCTGATCAAGTCTAATTGCTTTTCTGGTTGAACAAAGAGCTATGATGACCTGAAAGACTGAGAACAGACACAAAAGAAAACTCTTTGTACTAATACTCATTCAGCTCATTAAGAGGCCATGAATTCACCTTGAATTGTATGGCATACCAAACCAATTAATAATAAAGTACACTTACAGGTACAGCAGTGTGTGCATATTACATGAATATATTTCTCTGTCATTGAAATGATAAGGTTCAGTATTTGAAACTGTCTACAAGAGGTGTAGTTTAAAGTCTGTGGACTCAAGCAGTTGAAGTCAGACATACCTTAGTGCTTAAACAACAGAAGTTACACACATTATTACTCTGGTAAAGTCATTATCAGTTGATAGATTTAATGATGGTTGAAGTTTAGTCAGACTCTCAGGTAGACAACAGGTTGTACTGTTTGACAGACACTGGTCTCTTAATTACAGGCTGGTAGCTAAAGTTAGTGTGGTGTTCACTGAGGAAAGAACCTGCAGGTCCGCCAGAGAGATTTCCTTATGTCATGTACAAGTAATCTCTGAGGAGCACTCCTTTTTAATACAATCCACTCTTTTAAATCAGCACGTGTGTTTCCACGTGCCCTCCATGTGAAAGGGGGTCAGTTTCTTTTTAATATGATCCTCAACAAAACATTCAACGATAGTCTCTCTGTATATCTTTAGAATAGACATGGTAACACTATGGAAGCCCACCCTCTGAAAAATCTTGATGACTTTACTGACCTCTCTTCATTTCTATTTTATGTGTTCATATCACAGCTAAGGGGGGAAAAACAAACGTGATTGCTGGTGACAGTTTTTCCTCAGTCAGGTCCGCACAATCTCAGCCTTGATTTCTTTTTTACAACCACGCTTTCCCTCAAGCTACTTAAAAAACATACACCAAAAAGTTCAAAGTGGAGTCTGTTTGCATCTTTGCAATTACTGTGAGTGGAAAAGGCTCCATGACATTACCACTCTGTGGTTCAAAAATGGTGTTTCCCACTTCTGGGCCAGTGCTGCACTGCTCTCATTTTGAAGTTGATCTGGGACTTGACTGAACTAAGAGAGGAGTTTGTTTGTGTGTGTGTTTGTGTGTGTGGGTCAGCCTCAGAGGAAGACCATAGTGACAGCTCGTGTTTCGCCTGTATCCTGCTGAGCCACGGTGAGGAGGGCATGATCTATGGAACTGACGGGGCCATGCCCATCAAGACCATGACCTCATTGTTCAGGGGAGACATGTGCAAAAGCTTAGTGGGGAAGCCAAAACTCTTCTTCATCCAGGTACAAAGATCTTAAGACTTTGATTTGTAAATGTTGGTGTGATGTAAGATGTGTGCGGCCGGTATTTAAAAAAATGTTGCAGTTCATTTGTGTCCAGTTTGTGACCTCTGATCCAATAGTTGACAAAGTAAAAGCTGATCTTTTACAAGTGCCATTGGTTAAACTGGTGTTTCACTCCCCATGGAGAATTTAAAGTAAACTGTGTAGAATTTTGTCCCTCTCAGCTTGTAAACACAGAAACTCTTAATTGCTTCACCAGGTCATCGTTGAGAAAGCTACTCAGGATCACAATGAAATGTCATTTCATTTACTTCACCAGGCTTGTCGGGGTTCCGAATTCGATGATGGTATACAGACAGATTCAGGTCCGCCAAACGATACCCTGGAGACAGATGCCAACCCACGACATAAGATCCCCGTAGAGGCAGATTTCCTCTTTGCGTACTCCACGGTGCCAGGTAATTCATGAACAAGAACAGGTTTAACTTGATGTGTCTTCTGCCAAACTCCTGAAAAGGCTTTTACTTTTGTTTAGCTAACTTTCTCTGCTGCCAAACTTTTATTTTGTAGGGTATTATTCATGGAGGAACCCCGGGCGGGGCTCCTGGTTTGTCCAAGCCCTCTGCAATGTCCTCAGTGAGTTTGGCAAGCAGTTGGAGATCATGCAGATCTTGACACGGGTCAACTACATGGTGGCCACCAGCTTTGAGTCCTGGTCTGAAGACCCGCGCTTTAGTGAGAAGAAGCAGATTCCCTGTGTGGTCTCCATGCTGACGAAAGAACTCTATTTCAACTGACTGCCAGCCTAAATCACTGTACTGTATGACCCCAGAGACAGACAGACAGACAGACTGGCCGACCAACTGACGGACTGACTGACCAACTGACGGACGGACTGACTGGTTCAGGTATTGACTAAGTGGTCAAGTATTCAGGGATGACTCGGGCCTAGCAGCACACAGCACATTTGGAGCACATATGACACTTTGCATGTGTAGTTGGGCCTGAAAACAAGCACTCTGTGAGAAAACAATATTTACAGTGGCACTCCTCGTTCATCTGTTGACGGTGAAACTTCTTCCTCTTCTTCAGGTTATTCTTCATAACTTTGGCGTCACATTTGATCTTTCTTGACAGGCATCGTTTATTATTTATGTTATTCTTCCAGCCCGTAAAATTTGCTGCCAGTTTTTGTGGGTTTGGGGAATCATACCTGAAAATATGTCAGACCATTTTCCAGCCTTTGCTTAAACTTAAAAATAGACCAAAAAAAGTATTGATTTGATACCTCTGTCAAACTTATGAGGTTTTTAGAGACCTGATCATTTTTATTTCCTGTTTCAAAAGCAAGTGAAAAATATCTCTTCTGATTTCTGAAACTCTAAAAAAAAAAAAAAATTTACTTTTTTTTTTCGAATCAGAAAATTGAATCAGGCAGCTGAATCAGTAAACCTTTGTTTTGCCCAGATGAGCGTAAAAAATGAACACTAAGAAAAGCTGCGCCAGCTTTGCCTTGTTTGCCTGTCAACATTTCAAATATTTATAAAATTTACTGACACTTACACTTTAACTGAACTTGTCTGCATTTTTCACTTGTTCTTTTTGTTTTAAACACAGAAAAAAAAATCAGGCTTTGAAAACAGTCATAGATTTTTTCTCATTTCCCTCCCAGGGCTTCTGTACAACACCTCTGATGCATTTGAATAGTAAAACAAATCCTGTCACTGTTGCACTGAGTAGTAAGTAAAGAAAACAGGCGATAGTGTGCTTATTCAGAAGCTTTGATGTGTAAATTTACATAAATGTAATAGTTGTTTGTAAAAACAGCCAAGTCAGTAGATTAAATAGTGATTATTAACCTTTTTATCGATAAAGATTATAGGAGGCAGCTGCCTCGTTTGCACTGTGTATCTGGAAAATGGATCTGATTGTTTTCAGCTACCTGTCTTTTAATGTCTTCCGCTGTCAAAAGCAAGATTAAAAAGACCACTCTCTCCTCTGAGCATAAATGAGTGAAGATGCTTTTGCCAAAGACTCAGTGTCTCAGCCTTCCTAGCAGAGTTCAAGTTAGTAGCATTACACTGGCATCCTCAGGTTCTTTAATGTCCCATGAAGTGGGTAAATGTAATGTTAAAGAGTGTCATATACATATGGCTAGGGAGCTGTTATCTTTTGCTGTGTATTTCTTGATTTTATGAGATTTTGGGTCACGTGCATATTCTTTAGCTCACTCCCATTAAAACAAAGCTTATTTACAATTTGCCAGTTTTCTCAGCATGATGTTAAAAACTTAAATTCTTTGTTGTGCAACCCTGAGTAAATCAAGTCCATGTATGTCTAATGATATATTTGTCTTGATAGTCAGGGTTCAACAAATGGGTTAAGTCTTATCCCTCTTTTAACCTTAGAAGTCAGACATTCCTCTAAAGTATCTTTGAAAATGACAGGATGCATGCTGTAAAACACTAGCACCAAAAGAAATGTCTAAAACTGTGTCAGATATTTGGTAAATATTATACTGTTAAGCTGGACTTGGGCCCAAAGCACAAATGCCAAACCATTTCACTGTATATTAGTGTTGTACACTGTCATAGCAACACCACACTTTAGTTGAAAGTACTCAGCAAGTTCTTTCTTATTTTAATTTTAAATAAATCTTAATAGAGATCTAGAGATCTAATAGAGATAAGAGATCTAAATTTTAAAAAAAGGAAGTAAGACTTCATATTTTAAAGTAGTAATAAAGATGTATACTGTATCATCTAAAATACATTTATCTATATCATGGACATTTGCTAATGGTTTTTAGGACTTGCAATATGTTTGTTTTGATTTTTTTGTCCCAAAAGTCTGTCAATCAGAGGCAGCTATTACTGGTGGTAACAAGTCTGAAAATACACAATCCACATGTCCACAATACACACTCCCATTGTTGCTGCACTGTTTTTACATTTTTTCACATGACTGCATGTTTTGGTAACTGGGGAAGAGTTTAGCAATAGCATTGATTTGTCGTTCTTTTTAATATAGTTATAATTTTTTTACTTTCCACTCCTTGTATTTTGTTATTTTTTTCTATTTTATTTTATCTTGATTAAACTTTTAAATGGTATTATTCATAGTTGCCAGAAGTGTCATCAGTACTGGCCTAGGTTGGAGGCATGTACCATTCTACACCAAGAACACTTGTCCAATACAGCAACAAGTCTTGGATCCTCTGGACGCATGGATCTCTGATCAGTGATGTGGTGCCCACAGGAGTGTTTGCTCCACTTGTTTTGGAATGGAATTGAAGGAAGGACAAATGTAATTTAAAAGGATAAATTTTTAATGCTTTCCGGTGTTACATGCTGTTGTCCTCAGGAATATTTGAAAAGATTTGAAAAAAATGAATGAATGAATTACATTGATGGTATAATCTGGCCCGTTGTTTTTTTTATTATTATTATTTGGGGCAATACATAAAATAAAACTTTAAACAGAGGAATGCTTATGTAAACATTTTATTGTATTAAACATAAAGAAGCTATTGTGTAATGAGTTGCGTGTCTTTTATTCACATTTGGATCAATAGGCCACATTCAAAAGTTGCTTTTTTCACATACTGCTGGTGTTACTTTTTCATCCTTTATCAGTAAAGACCCACTGAGACCAAAATATCTTCCTTGGATGAAGTAAACAAGCTTAACCACACCCATTGCATGTCTTAAAAATACCCTCCAGTACTTCCTGTACTTATGAAAGTACCTCCGTTTACAACCGGGAATAACAGCTTAGATTTTATATGCAAATCATTTCAAATATGAAGTTTAGCAACACTGGAGTAATCCCCATCCTGATCTAAATCTTGGTTTCTGAGAAGCAACAGTTTCTTGTGTCCAAATGCTTTGCTGGAGATGAATATTATGTTGACTGAAGGAAAGACCAAACATTAAAGCTGGTTCCAATATACTACAGATTACCCATGATAAAGCCTAGAGTGATATAAGTATATCTAATGAAAACTAAACCAAGTTAGACATACAATAATTGACTTTAAATCACAGATTGTGATCAACCAAATACCAGGAAACTTGAGTAGTGCTTTTAATGTCTACCTTGGGATATGTGAATTAGGTAGTAATACACAATGATATACATTTTGATGGTTTGCAAATTAGATAAATGCTACAATGCTTTAAAATGTACTCATCCAATTGAAACATAAACAGTGTATTGTATTAAGGTATAGCCTACATTCATTTTCAATTTCAAACCAACAGATTTAAAAAAATTAGGACAGGGTTAACAAAACATTAGAAAATCGAGTAATCCAAGATTGAAAATACAAAATAAAACGAGGTACATTTTCAATTAGGTTTATTTGCAACCGGTTGTAACTATAGACTGTATATATACAGACACTATGGTTGTCACTATCATTGAGCACTCCTGAGGTAGAGTCTCTAAGAGGTAAATAAGGGAAGAGGTTCACCACTCTGTAAGAGACTGTGTGAACAAATAGTTAAATAATATCAGACAAGGTAGATTTACTAAGAATTTGAGGGTTTCATCAACTAAAAAGAACATAGCATCATTTAAAGACTCAAAGAGTCTGGAAGAATCTCTTCAAAATGGACCAGGCTAAAAAACAACACTGGACAGCGGTAATCTTTTGGCCCTAAGGTGTGATTGCATTAAAGACACTCATGTCCTTGTTCTGAAAATCTTTGCACAGGCTCAGATCACTTTAAAATCCATTGTCTGTGAATATGACTAATCCTTACACCTACAAACAGGGGTTGATTAAAACTGTACCAAGCAAATAGGAAAGCATATATAGACATGATCTACCACCATGGTATGGGTGGCCTACACATCTGGGAAGGCACCATTAATGCTGAACACTGCTGCCGTCCAGAAAGCGCCATATTCAAACCACATTTAGCCCATATTACAATAACATGGCTCTTTAGTAGAGGAGTCTAGGTGCTATAACTGGCCTCCTTCACTTGAAAATGTTTGGGCTAAAACGAACAACAAATTCAACAAAGCAGACCCTGAATTGTCAGGCAGCTGAAATCCTAAATCAGGCAAAAATAGGAGAGCATATCACTGTTAAAAATGAATTTGCTTCAGTATGAGGAACAGCTGTGTGTAACTGTTTGAATGACCTGAGACCCTAAAATAGAGACAGGCTCTTTAAAATTCCCCAAGGCAAATTTAGACCAGCCTAACACGTGCAGTAGTCGGAGCTGAAGCTCTGCCAAAAGTTAAGAATGTTAGATAACACGATTGATGCGCATGCCCTGCAGTGCCACGCATTCCTGACCATCTCTTCCTCATCCTGCCTGCCCTCAGGTGTTCCTGCCCCACCTCAGAGAACAGGAGCCGATCGAGATGCATCACAAATCTTGAGGGATTTCCAGTTTGTGCCTTCATTGTCATGGCCAGGACATAAAGCTTGATACAGGGTGTCGGTGAATGTCCCAGCACAGAAGCAGTGGAGAGGTGTCATGGTGTCTGCTCCGAGAAAACACACCATACCCCCAGGGAAGCTGCAGTACACCCCTATGCGGGTGAACTTTCTCCCCGCCAGCAGAGTCAGCTCATGTGGAACCCCTCCATGCCAGGCTGTGTAGTCTCCGTTAAAATATTCCACACACCAGGAGTCTTTGCCCCGGCCTAGCCAGGAGTCCTCCTCACGGCCTTTGCGAGGGATACTTGGGTAGGTGAGCCCCAGTTCCCAGTATGTCTTCCCACTCACCTCCACCTCCCAGTACTGGCGGCCCTCGCTGAAGCCTTGCTGGCTGACTACATTTAGGGTGGTGTCAAAACGACATTCAGTCTCTGGGACATCCTGCCAGGTGTCTGTATATGTGACTGAGTCACCTGCAGGGGAAATTATAAGCTTTGGGTGCGCCGTGTCAGTGTCAAGGACAACATCTGCGGCATCTGTGAGAGAAACATCCTAAAATTTAGAGTCCTAGTTGAAAGACAGACACTCATCACTAACAGCTAACAGTAACCTTTGACACAGCTCAGAGCGAAACTCCTTCACATGTCAATCTACCTGTCTGTTTGGGTGAACTCACAGCTCTGAAACAGCTTCTTGGTGACAGGGACCTGGGATCTGATAAACAGCAGCAGGTTGATGGTGAGACTGAGGAGCTGTTGGTTCTTGAACTCGTCCATTTGGATCAGGTCAGGGTCAGTCAACCTCAGAGTCTCAGATATTCTGATTTCAGTCAAAACCAGATGAGTCCTCATCAAATAATACTAATGTGACACATTAATGAATACTCTGTGTTCCAATACAAGTGAAAGTGAGAAAGTAGGACATATTTTATAAAGTTTTCCAATTAATCTCCAAGCGAAAATTCCTTATTTGTGACAATAATCAACCATCATATGTCAATGACTCATTTAACATTCAATCAAGTAATCTAATACTACCATATAAAGGATTGGTACAAAGCTGTTACTACCTGAAATATGAACTTACCTTTTTTCTGTGTCAGCACTCTGTAGAAGATATAAAAATTACGTTATTGCAGATCCTCAGAGCATCAAAATAAATTTGAGACAATATAACACTAAACTGATTTTACGCTGCATACTAAGCATGAAATCACCTCTTTGAATTGAATTACCTGAATATCAGTTTCTGACATTTGCTGGTCCAGTTCCTGAGTAAGGTGGTAACACTCTTCTATCCTTTCCTCCACCAACTTCTCTGCGGCCTCGTGCTCGATGTCAAGCTGGGTCAGTGTGATCCGAAGATCCTCATCCAGAATCCGCTTCATGTCCTCATACTTTTTTTGGATTTTTTCCTTCACCTCATCAGTCTTTTTCTGACGTGAAAAGGCCGGGAGAGTTTTAAAAATTAATCTGTCACAATGTACTCACTGACCTTCCTCAGACAGCAGACATCTCCTCAAGTGTCATGCTCTTAGTGGAAAGTCTGCAAGTGGTAAATGGTCTGTACTTGAGTAGAACTTTTCTTGTCTTTCAAGCAGTCCAAGTGCTTTCTTATACATTCACTCATTTCACACACATACTTTCATGTACTCACTGATGGCAAATATGCTTGAGTCTGAAAGGTCATACTCTCTGAAATAGATATCCAACTAATCTATGGTTTTACTAATTCTGCATTGATCAGTGGGAGAATAAAATCAATTAGGAGTAAAATCTGAAAGGAAATCTCACCAAACAACACGTTCACTCACAAAAACTCATCTTTAGTAAGGATAGAGATAACGTGAACATCCACCAGATCACTGGCATCTTTGACATTGAGTTAGGATGCCAAATTTTCATCCTCTGACAGGGATCTGTTGAGTTATTACACATTTTGATTCAATCCCTCAGTCATATTTGGGAAGCATTCGTACAAACAATATATACATTTTATGAAATAATGAAAATAAGTTTTTTAGAGTGCAGTAATCAAACTTCTTTTCAGTTGTTAGAGTCTTTGGGCTGAATGCAAAAAAGAGAGAGAATACATCACATTTATCAGAAAACAATTAGTTCCATTTCGTTTCTTATTCAAAAAACACAACAGAAAAATAGACCTACTGTTATCTCTGCCTGCTTGGCTGCCAGTTTCTTCATCCTGTAAGTGATAACATCTCTTTGTTTCTGCAGGTTCTGTTGGTTTCTCCGAATAGATTCCTTCAAAGCAATCAGGAAACACAAAGAAACAGATCATGAACCACAGACAGAAGGAGCAAATGCTAAGGGTTTGTTGTTAAAAAGTGGAAGCACTGACTCCATTCATGGCCTTTTCTCCTGCTTTACTATCCATATTTTGCTCAGGGGTGCAGATTAACCTCCAATAAGCCTGGACAACACCACCATGAGGGCTTTTATAGGACTGTCACATGTGGGAAGGCTGTGTTGTGGGGGAAGGGTGGCCTTTAGATTTCTGGACGAGCGCTCTTGTAAAAGCATGCCATGCTTTATTAAGACGAGAACATGATTCTTTACTTTAAAGACAAGAGCAAGGTTCAGGAGGAGAAGGGCAAACACATTATCAGACTTGAGGAAGAGTTATACCTTGTCCTTTTAGACCAAAGGGTTATATTTACACTGACCTGACACTGAACTTGATGTATGGGTGTGTTTATGCTCACGGCCTACATGCACCTCTCACACTCAAAGAAGTTCACACATCGGCTAATAGCAGTTACACAGAGTGATTTAGATGACTCTCTTAAATTTCTTGCTTGTAATGCTGATCTCCACAATCGTGACCTTTTACATGCTTGGCATAAATCATACTTACAAGCCCATTGGGAGTCAAATTCAGCAAAGACAACAGACTGCCCGCCTTTTAAATGGCAGCAGGTGAAGTCACACGTGCGTCATGGCAACACTGCCTCAGAATTTCACTGATCCGTCTCCTCCTCCATGTTTTTTCGGACACATTTACCGCAACACAACAAATTTTACTGACATGCCCACAGGCAGAACAATGAGATATAGCTGTAGTGCTTATTTAGGAGGGATTTGTCTGTCACCTTATGTTGTGTAATGAATGTAGTTGTGACTGTGCAGATTTATTATCTACGTCACATGTAAATCCCTGTGATAGAAAGTATTTGTTAACTTTTTGTGGTGCGTCCACAAAACATGTTTTTTTTATTGATTGAAATTTTATTGATAAGTTTAGCTAAAAAAACTAATAAAATAAACCTGATAAACATAAAACAGATTCAAATGAAATCGTTGACCTGACTTGTCCCTTGTTTAAAAAAACTACCCTCATTTGACTTCTTCAGATATCCAGTTCTCAATCATTAGATATCATAGTTGTCATCATTCTTCTTCTCAAGTCTGCTGGGTTCATCTTAGTTGTGTTCTTTTTCATATTAGCCTGTTGGACCTCTGCCAACCTGAAAACCTGTGAAATTCAAAGGCTCGCATGAAAGTGTTGCGGGGATAATAATTTGTCAGCCTTTTTTCAGAGGACACAAGTTCCTTTGAGGTACTCAGCATAGAATTTGTGCAGCTTAACAACTCTACAGGTAGACCTTAAAAAGTAATTGAAGCCAGGAACCAGAAACTCCAGTTCCAGGTATGAAGATCTTGTTTTTTTCCATGTGCAGAAGAGAGCTTCCTCATGCAGACACACTTATTGTCTCAGAGACTGAGGTGAGCTGAATCTCTCGGCAGGAGCTCCACAGGTGAGAATAATTGTTCCTTTTTTTCACCTTACAGGACAAGTCCATTCAGAAAGTATTGAGTTGTTTTCTTTCGCTGAATTTTAATGATTTCTGTGATATTAAGATTCATGTCCAACCACATGTCAACCTTTATTTGGCTCTGATTTTGAGACATAAGTTCTGTACATACCAACATGGTATTACATGGTATGCAGACAACAACATTAACATTAGAATAGAATAGCTTTCATTGTGATTATGTAGGTTTATACACAACGAAATTGGAGAGGCTTCTCTGCAGGTGTGTTATACTATAAATATAAATATGTTTGACGAGCAAACAGTCTTAAAAACAACTAACAAGTTTTAAAAAAAGACAGACAAGCAATCAGCGTAACTGAATTTCTGTGTGCTTATACTTGTTTTATTTTTTTTGTATTTGGATAAGCTGTGAGTTTGAGTATAACATCTTGATTGTTTTTATTTATACATGTGCTTTTGTAGCCTCAAGCAGTTCTGTTTGTTTGTTGTTTGAGCTATTTGTCCTGCTCTCATAGAGGAATGAGCCTATTTTTAAACCCTGTTTTTTTTTTTTTTTTTTTTTCCTAAGGTTAACTATTTCCTTACAGGTATTGTTGTCATTTTTGAAAAGATAAGACTTACAGATTCTTGTGTTATTTTGTCTAGGTGCAGTGGCATGATGCTTAAGAGCCAGAAGAGCATTGGTAATGTATTGGGCCTTTGTAAAATCTGACTTATTTTTTATTTGAAGGTATTTAACCCAGGTTTTGGTGCCACTCTATGCATGTACATCTAGTGTAATGAGTGCTAATCCATTCACTCACATTTAAAACCATATCCATTTTCTATTTCAACTTTTCATTTCCCTTTTCGATACATTTTTCTAGATTGGTGCCTGACGGCAAATCAGTTTATAGATTTCTAAAAACAAAGACCAGATCTAATGTTCAGATAACAATAAGCCTTTATTTTGTCCTCAGGCGGGAATGCGGTTTTCTATAGACCAGTTGGAGGTACTACCGAAATAAGAAGCGGATATCTCTACAAGTCACCTCCCCCAAAACGGTTGAAGGCAGAGGTGACAGAACTATGAAGTCATGTTCAAAAATACCCTGCACCTCTTATTCTTTCTGTTTCATTAATTATTTCTTTGTTTCCTTGTTCCGTACGCAAAAGTCATGGAAGAGGCGGTACTTTGTCCTGTTCAAAATCAGTGAACAGGAACACCAACTGAAATACTTCAGGAACCCACAGGAGAAAGACAGGCCACTTGGAGGGATTGACTTATCACAGTACGTCATTAATGGCCTGTTCTACTTTTCCGTCCCACACAATGTTTCAAACCGAGTCAGAAGTTCATCCATATAATGTATTCTATTGAAACTCTATTAAATACTGCTGTGATTTTGAGTTTCAATTCAAACCTGTGATGTTTGTGTCCCTCTTTCAGTATCTCACTATTGAATGTGAACCCTCAAAACCACCAGAGATGGGGATGGGTAGAGAAGAGTCTGAAGTGCTCTCCATCCTGCGTGCTGTACATCAAGGCTGCAAACAGGGACTACTTTCTTGTCGGGGACACCACGTCAGTCAAATGTTTTTTTTTTTTGTTTTTTTTTTAACACAGGAATTTATAACCTTATTACAAACTCCCATGAATTTTACTGCACTGTAAAAACTCCTGAGATGCCACAGTCAAGACAGATACAAAACAATGTCTTTTTAACTCCAACAAAAAATACCTGAGGCCTGATTTGAGTGATGACAATTCAGATTCAAATCAATGTAAAAATCTTACATCTTGACATTTAAATCTTAAATCACAATTTGTTACCAGTTTGGTTGCATTTATTACAGTTTCTCAGGATTTTTTTAAAGAATCTAAAATGCCTATGTCTTATGTGTTTGCTTTTTTTTTCTTTTTCTTTTGACTGTCCAAGAGTTCACTGATACTTTGATGAACCTAAAAATTAAGGTGTTGTTTTGTCTTTATGTTTTTTGCTTTTAGAGAGGAAGTGGATGGGTGGTTCTTTGACCTGTTTTGTGCCCTGCAAAATCGACCATACAAAATTATCAGTCCAGAGGTGCAACCCCATATCAGTATTTGTACCTAGTTTAGCATGCATGTCTTGTACTACTTGTTATTGTATCAACTAGTTATTATAGGCTTTCTTAGTATCAGTAACATAACTTTTATTTTGCATTTGTTATGCTAAAGAAGATTCCCAATGGCCAGCCGATGATTGTGGTAAATATATTTGTATATTCAAGAAAAAGTTGAAAATTTCAGTAGTTGAATTCAAACACTTCAAATAGCTTTGTGATGATATCCATGCTAGCTTGCTTGGCAAAGTGGAAAGAGATAGAAGTAACAGAAGTAATACCAGATTCAAAACCTTTATTTTATCTGAATGAGAGATTTAGAGGTAAGAAGGCCAAGTAGTGGTTTTTCCTGGTTGCTAGGTAGCAGTTGCTAGGCTGCTAGTGAAGATTCTAGAAAGAATGCTTGACATCAAGTGATTCACGAAACAGGATGGCCCGGCCAGGCTAAGGTTTTCCTGCTCAGAAGTAGGCTAATACCACACACAAAAAATCCACTTAACTTATAAATTTATGATTATTTTACTCATGCAATTATACACACGGGGATATTATCATTTGAAATATGTCTTTTGAAATGTTTGAAAATATTTTCTCTTAATGTCTTACAAGAACATCTCAAACCCTATCATACGGAGAAGTAGTGTCAGCGATGTGCCAGATAAGGTTGGTCCTTCACGTTCTTATGTATTTCAGTGTAAATTTGGCAAAGATTTCTGTATGATTATGGCAAAAAAAAAAAAAAAAAAAAAAAATCATAAAATTCCATCACAAAATCTTAGAAATTGTTTTTTTTTCTTTTTGCTATAAATGGCATTTCCATTTTTATTTAAGAAATAGCCCAACCCATACGATAGGTCCAACCAGGAACACCCACATTTGATGGGCTGAATATGCTGCACATTTCTGGTTGAATTTCAACCCTCAGTATAATGTTCATGAATGTCTTTTTGTTTCTCTTTCAGGAAGTGTTAAAGATACGATCCATGTCTGATCCCTTCTCTATTTGTGTGGATGGTGAGCCAGAGAGAGTAAAGGTACCACTTCTTACAATTTATAATATCAGCCGTTATCCTATGGTGTATTTACAGAGACTGAGATTGCCTTTACACCTTGTCATATTACTCTCCGATTCATTAGGATGATCCCAAAAGACGTAAATCCATGCCAGTAGATCCAGACTATGACTACCCAGCATCCTACTTCAGACAACAAGAGGTATGGCTGATTAGTATTTATGATTACACCAGTGATTTTAATCACCATAAATGGTTTTGTTGGTTAAATGCCCAAACTTAAACAAATGTCCTTTGTCTGTTTTTTCCTCTTTTTTACAAATGTTAAATAGCTTGGGGAAAAAGTTAGGACGAATGGCAACACAGAGTCATTGTAAGTATTTCTGATATAATATTTGTGTAAACATGATACACTGAAAGAGAAAATTATTTTTTGTACGTATAAGTTCAAGTGTCGAATGCTGGAATTGTGAATTTGAGTACTAAGAACTTTAATTTTTTTGTGTTTGTCTTTTTTTCATCCGTCCCTGAAAGGTATGAAACAATGGCGCAAGGTAGGCTGGCTTCAGCAGCAGCAGCAGCAGCAGCGTGAGTTAATTTTAAATAGAAAATATTATTGACAGAAAATGTTTTCTAGTAGCAGTGATTGACCATCAGCACTGAAAATTTTTCAAGTGACAGTGAAGTTGCAGAGGTCACCAAAGGCACCCTGATGAGATCTATTGACCTGGTCTATGTCAGGCATAAGACCCAGATATCCCCACTCCCTACATGCGATGAGGAGTCACCCATTGACGACAGGTAGATCTCAGTTGACTCAGAGTCATTCATTTCTCCCCTTTGTGTGTTTTTGACTTTTCACTCTGTTTTCTGTCAGTGGCCTTTGCTTATGGTGTTACATGTTTTGTCAGTGACCTACATACAAAAATAGCAGTCTCATCAGAGACCACAACCTTATGGGCTCAAACCCCTCTACTGACAACAGTGAGTGTGTTATTTTTTACAGAATAGAAATGTTGACACTTTAGAGCTTGTCAGGAATCTAAGAAAGGCAACACCAGAGCCTGTTTGTCAACTTACAACAAGATGACAATAATACCTGAGCATGTTGGCACTTATCATTTTTACAGATTTATACATGACTTTACTGCTGAAATGCTGCCTTGATGATGGTACTGATTTTTAAGGCTTAGTTTTAACTTGTCCCTATATACTTCATATACGAACCCCTGTCATATTTAGGCCACATCTATGCCATATCTACCTAAAAGTTTAGTTAGACCAAAGATAGGTTGATAAATATTAATGTTAACAAAAGTTTGCCATCTGAGTTAAATCTTTAACATGCTGTTGTTCCTTCAACACATCATAAAAAGAACTTTGGCCAAAATTATCAAGTAATGTTATCAAAAGTGAAAAACAACAGACAATTTAGAATAGTTTAAGAAAACCAAATGAGTCAAATCAACTAAAAACTATAAAATCTTTTTAATTTAGTTAACATAAGCCAGTGGTTCTCAAGTCCAGTCCTCAAGGCCCAGTGTCCTGCATGTTTTGGATGTTTCCCTGCGCCAACACACCTGATTTAAATGATCAGCTCGTTTTCAAGCCATTACAGAGCTTGATAACGGGCTAATCATTTGAATCAGGTGTGTTGGAGCAGGGAAACATCCAAAACATGCAGGACAGTGGGCCTCAAGGACTGGACTTGAGAACCACCGACATAAGCTAATGTAAGCTTACATTTGCTAACAGTTGCTAACTCCTATCATCAACTGGTCATACCAGTCCAGGTTAGACTGTAACTGCCAAAAACGTGAATACAGTAATTTGAAGGAGGATGGATTTGATACCTCATGACTCATCACTTCAGTTTACTTTTGATTGTTATTGGTACACCAATAATTTTCTGAAATAATCATGTCAACCAAAGGTAGTGTTTGCTGTGGAGAGCTACTGTAAGCTATGGGTCGGACAAGCTAAAGTCAGACTGTAGCTGGAAAAGATCTGCATGTAGTTATTTCAGAAGGAGTGTTTTTTTTTATTCATTATGATTCCACACTTCTATTTAGCTGAACCTGCTGAATATTTGTTGTCTAATGATCAATTGCTGCATCTTTAAAATGTCAGATATTTTAAAACTGGAGACAAAAGTCACTCAGTATTCATCATGATACGCAATTATCCTTTTGTTGAAATCGGGTTGGGAAAATTGTGCACAGGGTAGCAGACACACATTGGTGTTGGCTGATGTTCCTAACCAAATAAGGTTGTAACCAAAATCACCTGCATGCAGTGACTTGATAAAGGGTGCGTTTTCCTCTTGTGAATCACCTTTTTCTTTCAGAACCTGAAAACTTCCTGGTTTTGGTCATCAAATTAAATTCTTTCCATTTTAGGCTGCAGCTTGTCAAACAACACTGCTCACATGCCGAAAGCTTGTATCGAGGCCACTGAAACGTTCCCACCTTAAATGATTTGGCTTTAACAAAGATGTCCAATTTATTTCTTTGCAATATTGCTGTTAAATTATCATCTGTGCCTACTCTGCACTCTGACCAAAGAGACTCATTTCTCAAGTGCTGCTTAAGCCCTGGCTGTGATTTGGGAAGAATCTGCTTTCCCCATGCAGCTTCATGGACTATATCAAAGAAACAGATATATCAAAGAAAAATATGCCTTGGTTTAGTATTTTACAATGCTTATTCAGCCTGTATCATACAGCCTTTTATTTTGTTTTCTGTCTTGTGCATTCAGACCCAGGTTGTGCTTCTCCTCTGCTTTAGCCTCATGCTACATGGCACTCCCTCTTTTCTTGCTGAAGTAATCTAATACAAAACATGTTATATTTTCTTACGTTGTTTCTGCCTTTTTACAGAGAAAATCGATTGAGTACAGACTTCAGCAGCAGCTCCAGTGACAATGGTGCCATGTCTCCTGTTGAGATGATGGAAACACAAAACTCAAACAGACTGGACAAACAAAGCTCTACTGAAAGGTACAAAAAAAAATCTTTGAGCAAACAAACATTAACTTTTTATGAGAGTAAAAACAGAAGAAATTGTGTAATGATCTTAGCATTAGTGCTGTTGTTCAAAAGCGAAAGGAGAAGTTTGAACCCCTTGTGGGACTTGCCAAGTCTGTCTTCGAAAAAGCTTTGTAATGCTCACAGAAAGCAAGAGAAAACAAATCAACACGTTCAGAGTGACTCAGTTAAATAAATACAGAGAGGAATGGTGACATCAACACTGACACGTTGCAGGACTGGTTAGAGAGGTTTGTCAGTTTCTGCAGGCAGTGTAATGAAAGCAGAATATTAAGCAATGTTTGATATTTAACTAGAGCAGCTCAGATGAATTCACAAACTGTTTGAATTGCTGCAGATGTCAAGTTCCAAGTCAAAAAATATGCATAAAATGTATTAACTTTTAAAGCTTTTATTGCTGTTCTTTTGTTCTGTCAAGCCTTGACACCATCACCCCAATGGAGAGAGACTTTGAGATCAAGCAGGCAGATCTGAAGAAACACTTGACTCTAACAGAAGTGGATGGGAAACCATGGTAAGTTTGAAGAGGTCAGACTACTTTAAATTATATATGTGGAAAGGCATAACCACTGCTCAGTTTCATCACCAATGTCCAAGCAACCACCTCTGTTGTTGAAAATTATGCCGATGCAGATGTGTAAAACCTGCAGCTCCTTGATTGTCTACTTGTGGCTGACATTGAAAGCCTCATTAATATTCACGTTAAAATGCTCATTTTTACAGCTGACCATAAACATGTTCACAGTTTTGCACAAAGATGATTTTAGTCCAAAAAATCCTTTCTCTGATCATACAGTGGTTTTGTCTAAATCCTGGTACTTATCTCTGCCTTTTTTATTTTAGGCGCACAATACTTTCTAGACATCTGTCTGAGCAGGTCAACAGATAGCTTTTACAGGCTGCATACAAACAAAGCAGCAGGTGCCGCTGACCTAAATTCAATTCTGCACAGGATGTCTTCAAGCACAGTATGGATTTTTTCCATGGAAGAAAAAAATTAGTCTTTTTTTTGCTGGACCTATAAACATGAAGCCTATATGAGATGAACTGAAAATATCTTGACTGTTTCACTTCCTGTACTCGTAGAAGTAAGACAAACAGTGTGAAATAGGTTAAACTTATGTTAGATGGTGGCATACATAGATGGTTATAAATAAGATAACAATAGGTGCCTCCAGGCATGACGTCAGAAAAGGTACAGGCACTCACAGCTGAAGAAAGATTGGATTTATTGTGATCTTATTGTCAACGTGGCGCCTTTTCACACTGTACCCAAAAGTACAAAGAAACTTAACAACAACATGTCAGCCCATCTGTCAACAGTACAGCTGATAAAATTCTTTGCCTTGAGGGTGAAAAGCTTTCAACAGCTCACCTCTTGTCCATCTGTCTTTAACTTAACGCATCAAAGAAAACCTATGTAAATGATAATAATCCCCACAGATAAATCAAGTCTATTCTAGAGAAAAAAATTTTGGCTAATGAATCTCAAAAGCAAAATCTGTGTTTGTGTGTCACAGTGTGTCAGGGTGGACAGGTCAGCCCCAGTCAGTGTGTCTGTTTCACAAAGGAGACCAAATCCTTGCCATTAATGACCTGCACACCTGCAACGTGGACGAATTCAACATGTTTCTGAACAAGTCTCTGAAGAATGATGTACGTTCACATAAAAATGTCACAAATATACATACAGCTGTGTGATTTCCTGATAAATGTACAAGCAGATCATCTGAGAACACTATTTGTCTCTTCAGGTGAAAGTGACCATCCTCCGTCTGCCTGGATGTCAGCCTCTGCACTCACCAAACATTCTCTGCATTGACTGACTGCACACTGACATTTAGAGACAAAACAATCACTTCCACTGTATGTCAAGGTGTGTTTTAAGATTATTGAATGTACTTCCTCACTCAGGATGATGGGTTTGTTGATCACTGTAGACAACAAAGCGCCAAGACGAGCTCTTCCTTTTAATCACTTGCTAATTCCCCTCAAGATTTTTAAGAGACTGTATAAGAGGAAATGAAGGATATTTAAACAAATCTCACACCTTTTAACGCATACAGTATATCTTTTGAGTTAAGTGTTTTTGTGAAATCATTACCTTTAGTGCCAAATGTTAACTCTTCGTGCAAGTAGAGCATGATACATTCTGTGCACACTTTATTGTGTAATGTTTATACTTTAGATAAGGGTTTATTGTACTCAAAAGTTGTGTCTAGAAGGACACAAAAGGCACACAGTACAGGAGCCTGTTTCCCCATACTTTGTGTATGACGCTAAAAAAACAACACTCTCAGGACGAAAGTTCCTGTTCACAAGATAACATTTAATTGTAGAAAAAATGGTCTGTGAATGAAAATTTTTACTATATTTAGACTTTCTATGTGCGAGCAGTTTTAAAAAAAAGTGAATTTACTTTGAACTGTTCAAACCAAATAATGTTAGAAATACAGCAAAAAGATTGAAAACTTGTTTTTAGTGTAAAGAGCAAAAATTTCCAATGATTGTGGACATGAGTTATATCTTTTCTTAAAGAACCTTTAATGTGACCTCTTTAAGAGTGTGAATTATAATCATTAAAAGAGCTCTGTTGAAATCCAGCAGCACGGTTCAAGTTTAACACAGACATACAAAAATTACTCAAATCTATTAGTTGCTTGTCAGGGTCAGGACTTGTGGTAAATATACTTGGACATTAGGCTGCTTGTAGCTTTATTTGCATCCAATGGCATACGTGTAAATGAGAATAATTAGTATATGAGAAACTAAGCAAATTCCTCTTGCGAATTTTGACCCTTTTATATCAAACTATCATGAGGAAATATGTTTTGTTGACCTGCAGTTTTTATATAATTGTTTGCAAATTCTTGAATACCTAAAATTGTGATGATAACAATCCTCAAGGAAAACCACAGAGGACTCCAAAAATTGTGCACACAAGTTAACATCTGTGTTAAATAATATGAATATATGACAAGTGGAGACAGAAAAGGTCAATTAATGATATTTGTGTGTACACAGACACACGTACCTCACGCCACCCTGGCATAAGTCTGTTACCAAGCTGGGCCACCCCAGTCAAAGAAGTCTGACACACCCTCAGACCTGAATAATACATCATGCATGATAAGTGTGAATCCCAACAATGCTGGTGTACTGCACCTGTTTGCACGTGCACCGTGAGAACGTCTCTGTTAAACACGTGCTGCTTTCTTATTGTACTCTTAAGTCCATATTCAAGCTCGTCCTATTTATCTTGAAAGTGCTTCAGGGAACAATACAGAATCAAAAGGTGACAGATACACAACAACATGTCACATCATCTACGGCTCAGGGACAGTTTGGTGAATTAATATGCTGACAGAGTAGCGTTGTACCTCCGGCTGTATTTCACCTGTCTTTCTCTAATGCCAAGCAGAAATGATGACTCAGACAGCTGACATACTTTGCTGAAATGTAACTTTAATTCCAATCAGCTTTTCCCGGATAAAGGAAATTATCTACAAGGACTGCTCTCTTCAAAATCCTACAAACCAATTGGCATTTTTTAAAGTATGTCACAGACCAGTGTCCACAGAGGGGCAGGAATAAAGCTCCTCTCTAAATGCCACATCAAGTAATTTCATCTCACTTTGTTCATATACACATGAGGCTTTTCCCATGGTTGCATATCAGCCTTTCTGTTTCAAGTTTTAATGGAGCTGTTTATCAGATATGAGCTCTGAGGAAATAATCAGAAGGTTTAGACTCTAAGGCCGTATTTTTACTGTGATGCTCAAGCTGTGCTGAAATGTAAATACAGTTTATTTTAATTAAACAAATCATGTAACAGTGTGAATGTAAGATGCACTGGGGAACTGAATATGTATTGTATTTGTAAATCAGTTATAATAAACTTCACATGACTCTGAAGACATTTGGTTTATTTCCCTTTTTCTTGTATGTTAAATATTGCACAAATGTTGCAGACTACATTATTCATCGCAATCTTAATGGAAACCTAGCATTAAATTTGTTTCTGTATATTTTTTGCGAACTCCATAGAATTAAGTTAAAGTCAGTCTGTTAAATTAAGTCAGTCTGTACATTTAAGACAAAATGTACAGACTGATAAATATCTTAAGATTACAAAGGATTAAAAGCTATATATTCCTAATTAAAATAGGATCCCTGCCTTTGTTGACATGATTATCGTTCTGAATCTGCAACTCATAAGTGAACTATTGACCGACATGGATATTTTAGTATATATCATCTATGCCCAAGGGGAAAATGCAGTATACCGTCAATATAAGAACTGGCTCACTGGTTAAAGCAAAGTCTGGGAACAGAGAGCAAATCTATCACTCAAGTGGTTGAAAATTACACATGATTTAAAACCTAAAAGGTAATATGTAATTTAATGCATGGGGATCATTTGAAAACTGAAACTGCAGACGAACTTATTATTTATTGTTAGTGCAAAAACTGAATTAATTATGACCAGATCTGCATGCAAATCCTCAGGTGTACATATGATTTAAAAAAAGTCACTAGGAATAGATAGATAGATACTTTTTTTAATCCCAGAGGGAAATTCAAAAATGCCGTATACTTCACTGCTTGCACATCCTGGAACATTTTGCAGGATTGTGCAGAAAAACATCAACCCCTTCCAATGCGAAGATTCAGATTTTATCACCAACATCCTCCCCTCCCCTCGTCTGGCCCTAGAGATTGAACACACACAGCTCAGGCAGACGGGATAAGCTGAAGTTGTTCTACATGAAAGAGGAGATCACGCTGTGTCTCTGTTAAAGCCTGTTCCACTGAGATAGAGGTTTAGAAAGCTCTGTCTCTGCTGTCTCAGAGATAAACTACTGACTGATCTAAGCACACTCTCCCAGACACTTTTGCCTTTTTCAAACCCACTATGGAGCAGTGGTTGTCCTCCTTCAAACTGCCTGAGGAGGGATTGAGGGAGGTTATACACTTAGTCTTTTATACATGAAATAAATATGGAGATGCAAATGAGAATTTTAACTACTGACACTGTGACCTTGAAAACAACTTGTTTTGGGCCTAAAAGAGGATAAGGAATATCTGCGGTTCAATCTATACCTTCTTATGTAAAGCTGTGTAACGCTCCTCATATCTCTGTTTCTCAGTACATGGAGCCTGGCTGAGGTGAAATGTTTTGTTTACATTAGCATTATAACTGCACAAATGACTTTTTAAACATGACTTTTAACTTATTTGGACAGCACAAAACTTGAAATGCTTGGTAAATGGCTAACCACTTACCTGCCAGGAAGAAAAAGAGATGAGGTAATCAGGGCAGGGTGATTTAAAAGATATTGGGGTAAATGAAAGAGACCTCTTCCAAATTGAAAAAAAATTACAGAAAAAAAAAAAAAAAAAAAAACAGGTCACAGTGCTGATGATTTAATATTTCTAGTCTCAGTCAAGTGAGAATTGGTCCTTTTTATTTGGTACAAATCACATCAAACTGATCACTTCTTGTTTGATGTGTACTTGACCTACAAATAGGCTAAACCTTTGCAACATAGGTACACTTAAGTGTTTTCAATTTTAGCTGGATAACTTTCAAAATCAGTGCTACCACTTTTGACCTGGTGTTTAGTCATCTTGCTTATTTCTTAGATTGCTTGTAAAGATACTGAGCAGGCTAAAGTACAGTGAGTCAGGGGTGACAGTAGTTTGGAGCCTCTTCAGTGTGAGCAGGGACCCTCGGCTTGGCACTGGGTTGTAATGTTATAATAAGTATAAAAACTCTTCAAACTATATGGATCCGTGTTTTTTATCTTGACACAGAAAAAATGACAAAAGTGGACAAATGTTAAGGAAATTTAAAATATTTATTTTTCCAGCATAAAAATTTCTAATATTTAAAAAACATACTGATAATTTAAAGAGCAGAACTTAGAGTACATACTTGAGACAAACAGGGGTCACATTAAACACATCAGTTCCCATGTATAATACTCTAAGTGATAAGCTTATTTAGGAGTCTGCACTGGCCACTTTTAACAGACTTGAACAGTCATGGGTGAATTTAATGTTGGACACTTGAAACAGGACCTGTCAGTCTGGATTGAAATGTTAGTGTAAAAGGCTTCGTAGCCCAAGTCAGTCCACATCAACCAAAGGAAAAAAGAAAGCATTGAAATATACATCTGTTCCCTATGGTCATGCAGCATTTCAAGTTACTTTCTCTAATAACCAAAAAGCAGCAGAGGCTCACACTTTTCTCCGGGTATATAAATTAAAGTTTTGCTTTAGTTTCCATCATCCACTCACTGAAGCACTTTTCCATTGCCTTCCTGCTTGTCCAGCTGCCGATGTTGACTGTAGGGATGACTTTGAGGGGGTTAAGCCACTGGACAAAACGCTTCAACTCCAGAAAGCTGCTGTGTTCGCTGTACGGGATCCCTGATGGGGAAATAGAGGGAGCTTTAAATCCTTGCCTCAAGAGTTCAATTTAAATGTAAAAAATGCTAAAAACAATTTTAAGACTTTATTCCATCAACTGTGTGCTCTGATTATTACAATTTGCCTTATTGTGAGTGAGGGAACAAAGCTGGTGGTGAACTAGAGAGTTTTTGCAGTATGATTTTTACTGAACAGGAACTTTTTTTTTCCTTTGATATTTCTCTTTATAAACACACAAACTGAGTAATTTTTCTGTCTACAGTAGGGCAGAGGCAAAGTGTATGAAGCTTTTATGATCAACTACTGGGCACCTCCTCTCTCAGCCAACAGAGGGCACTGTAGGCTAGAGACAATGTGAATAACAGTGATTAAACATTCTGCTAAAAGAAGAATTGACAAGTAAAATTATTTAAAAAATCCTTATTTTTCATCAGAGTTTCAAGACTGTGTGCTGTAAGAGTCTTAAAAAGAAGGGAGATAATCGGTACCATATATGGAGACATTGCCACTGATCTGAGGCTGAATATCTCTCACTGAGTCCACCTGCTGACTGAAAGTCCAACCTGTAGGTTTAAAAGCCACCAGCTGATCGTACTGTGAAGAAAAGCGAGCCAAGTAATCCTGCAGTTTCTGGAGACAGAGCAAAATGTGAAAATGAGAATTATATGATCAAAAGGATCCATTACGTATCTTTCTGTTCAGCTGTAAATGTGAAAGGAATTTCAGTAATATTTTTGTAAGACCAAAAAAGGCTGCCAAATGTGGTCACATGTACCGACTTTGTTCTCACAAGACTGATGACAGTTTTGTAAGACAAAACCTAAGATTTGCATTTTCTTCTTACATGGAGTGACCCAATTAAGACATGGGACACGTGCATCAGATATTTATTCAGAATAAAACCATGTAGACTTGCACACACTTGTTCTACTGGTCTAATGTGTTCAATGAGGCGGAAGAAAAAGAAGAAGCTGAATGAGGTCAATCGTTCTGACTGCTCTCGTTGTCAACAAACACCACAGTCCCTAGCATTGCACAACAACATGCTACAAGTACAGTGAGAAACACTGCTGTTGCTACATGCTAGAAAGTAGGTTAAGGATAATTCGTGGTCTACAGAGACACAGCTGACTGACGGCTTTCTCGAAGCCAGTCTTGTCACGTAGTGCATAGTGATGCTTTGATTATACTGATTTACAAGAGTTGAGATGGTTCAACAGATGCAGAATTTAGGTGCTTTCAATTGTTGTGGGAAATTACAGCTTTGGTCTATTTCAGTGTCTGGATCACAGACTAACATATCGTCACCCTATTAAAATAATGGTCTAAGTCATTTTTTGACCCCCCCCTCCCGAAAATTCATTTTAGTCAAAAAATGACTAGGCCATTATTTTAATAGGGTAATGATATGAATAAACCATAGACTGTATATACTCTGGACAACTTGGTTCCGCCTCCCACCTGTATACAGATTTGAAGCCAAAAAGCTCTCGATATTTCCGGGATTTTTCTTCATTTCCTGAAAACAGCGCTGCGCAGTAGCGATGCGCGCATTCGGCTGTGCAGTCGCTGAGAGTCGCTACGGTGACGCTCGGCTCAAACAGCGTATCCCCCGGGTGAGCTATGCAATCCTTGAACACCCATAGGCTGTATCAGGTGTCAATCATAGAAAACACGAACCCCCTAATAACTTTTGAAAGCGGAGCTTCACAGAAAAAAGAGGACTTGAGCACAAACCAGTCTTACAATAACTACATGTCAACATCACAAGCAGGGGGGAGAAAAATGTATGTTCTGTGTAATAAATTTCTAAAGTTTGTCCACAGCTCCATAAGCTTTGCTGGCGAAGGCGGGATTTATGACCTATACTGCAGCCCATCAACAGAGGGTGCTGTTCACCCAGCGAGGAGGCAGACTCTGTCCATTCCATATACAGTCTATGGAATAAACACATGTAGGACAAACATAAACGTCCAAATAAATCGGCCAAATAAATGCACCCAAACGTAGTAGCATGTACATAAACTATCATGAGAGGTTTCCTTTTTTTCAATCCCCTTGGCTTCGAGTCCCACTGTGATAGACCAGCTGTGGGAAAATGAAACAGCTGCACCTACTTTGAAGTTGAGTTGCATCATGGGTAGCACATGGACCTGGGCCGCCTTCAAGTCAGTGGTTATGAGCCGTTTGACTTTCTCTGACTCTAGACAGCACATGGTGTTGTATTTATCTCTGGAGAGGCAGACTTTAGAGCCCAGGATCTCTGCAAGAGCTGCGAATGAAGCACAGCAGAGTCAAACATTAAAAGAGGTTTAGCCTTTTAGTTATCCTCACGTTAACCCCTGCTAAAAACCAGTACATCAACATCTCTTGATATCACTGATCTGTGCACAAAAGACATCTTTATGCTTTTGTTCTGTATCAGAGCAACTGTTACAACCCCAGTTATTCTGTCAACTCTGGGGTTACTTAACTCAGCTGTTGCCTCTCTCTGTTGTAGTTATTAAACAGATTTAAATGCACGTTGTTCACTTTGAGAGGACAAAACTTGTTTTTCAACCTCACCAAAAATGGAACAGACTATTCTTCATGCGTCACCAGTCTCTTTTCTCAAAACAGACTAATCCTCAATTCTCCACACTGCTCTCGTTTCAGAGACCTTTCATTAGAAGGAAAGGTCAGAATTGATGTGAGGAAACACGCTTTTACAGAGGAGGCGTAGAAACATTGCACAGTTGGTGTTTGATGTAAGGCCTTCTTTCAAGCTTCTTAAATTTGTGTTTTACATACACATACACTAAATTGATAAGATTGTCACTCATATAGCATAGACCCCAAAGAGCCCGATAATGTTGACGAAAATAAGTTAACAGGATTTCTGGATGTGCTGTTACATTCTTTTACTCATCATCCATTTTTAATGAGTCTACAAATAGTTGAAGACCTGAACCAATCAGTGATCAATATATTAATACATCTGCTAAACTATTCAACTGTTTAACATTTTGCATTACAGTGAGTATTGCAAAACAATATATTGAGATTTATTCAATTTTTCAACTGTTCAGCTAATTTAGCATTTGTCTTTCCTTTATGTTTGTCTTATTTACGCTGTATTTTATTTTCATGAAGCACATCTTTCAAACCTCACATATATTTGTTGCACTAACTTTCTCCTGCTCTATGAAGTCACCTCTGCCAACCTCACTGGACAAACAGTTGATTTTATTTTTCCATTGTCATAGCTTTGACTTCATATTGGCGATTAATTTGACAAATCGATACTTGGTAAATGAGACGATACGATATATCACCACACAAAATATCACAATACTATAGTGTATCAATTTTTTATCCCACCCCTACAGCACTGATTGCATTTTAAATTAAGACAGACTGATTTATAAAAATGTTACTATCATGAATTTCATGCAGCCCAGTTGAAGCAGAGAGTTCAATTCAGACTGAACACTCACCCAGAAAGACCTTCTCTTTCCCCACAGAGTAGGACCCACACACCACGAGTGTTCGTGGGTTGAGCGTCACCAGCTCAAAGGCTGTGCTGGCCGCAAAGCTGATGACTTCTTCTTGTCTGGGGAAAGTGTACTCAGGGCTGCAGTAGCTGTAAGGATAAGAGAGCTAACAATGAAAACCTGAGGCGCCTCTGGATGGACTGAACATTGTGTGAGGATGGTAAACTTCTAAGCTAATATTGATCTGCAGGTATTTGCAGTAACCATCCTTAAAAGGTCATACACACATATACACACAGCTAAGACAAGTGCAATATCACCACAGTCCTCTGTTTGAACCTCACAGGTACATTTAATTTATAAGAGACAAGAAAGGGTGAGTTCTCACGTGGTGTCCAGGTAAAGCGTCTGCACCCTGCAGCCGAGGAGCTCAGGGTACGACTCCATAGAGGGGTCAGCTCTGAAGTCTCCAGTGTGGAGGACTGTCTGTCCGTCAGGCAGGAGGAACAGCAGCATGGCAGCTCCTGGACAACTACAGAAACAGAGACACACACTGTGATCTAACATAGATTTGACTGTGAGGACATTCCAGGCTTTCCCACTCATTAAGAGATGCAACCGGTGCTTTTATTATTTAGCTTTCATGAATGAAAAGTGTGGTTGGTTACCCTAGAGCTGTGACTTAGAGAACAGATGGAAAGCTGAATAGCTTAAACACCAAAACCTCTTTCAGAATATCCCGAAGTTGCCCAGTAAGCTTTTTAACCCAGAATCTTTCCCACTAGCCCCCTAGTGTCACTTTGGGGTAAAGTCAGGGCGAGCTCATGTGAGAATGCAAAGCAATTTTTCTGAGATGGGTTGTCAATATTTATCGCTGCATGGTTGTAAAAAACTGCTGTAGTGCAAATCAATAGCAGAGGCTGTCAGTTTACTGGAAATTACAGCCACAGCAGCTACAGTCACATTTTACACTGAACAGTTAGGCACAAAACAGACAAACAGATGAAAAGAAAAGCTTTAAAAAACAGAAACTGAATCTTTAGTGGCTGAAACAGTGTTTCAAAACAACTTGGCAAACATTGAGAGACTCACTGGTTGGCATCCAGGAGGATGACTTTGACCCCCTCCACAGTGACGGGGGTGTTCATGGGAAGGATATGGAGATATTGTTCTGCCACCCTCAGTTTGCTCTTCACCAGGTTTCCTGTTATCTGATCAGAGGAGGCAGCTGTCAGTCAGTTTTAAATTGTGAATTATCTTGTATTATGTCCCTTTTGATAAGTGACTCTTCTGATCTTATTTCCTCAGCCATTCTGGTCAAACTTAAAGGGTATGAACTTCCTAGAAGCGCCAAAAGAGCACAAGCTTATCCGTGTTTTCGCAGATCCCAACACGTCAAATGTATTATTGACAGTTTCTGATAAAACAGGACTTCAATTCATTTTATTTTTATACTTTTTGGCTAATTAATTTTGTTTTTGAAGGTGCATCACCTCTTTTAGCCTGCAGCAACATTTTTTTTCTTTTTTACAATTGAGTCGAAATATGAAAACCCAACAGTCTTCAAACTTCATTGAGCTTAAAGATATCCAGAGCTGAAGGTTAATTTGTATTCATAGCTTTTAAGTGAAAGCTACTTTTTCCATTACCCTGATTTCATGCAGTGCAGAAAGATAACAAATGGCACAGGCAGCCATTGTGCCAATTATGTGGAAAGGAGCAGTCAGAAAGCTTTTTTAATGAAGGTGCAAATAAGCAGGAGTTTTTGAAAAAGGGCTTGTAGCCCCTTCAAAGAACAAATCCCTTCGTTATTATTCAAAGACGAGCGGGCCTTAAATTAGCACAAAAAACTGCACACGTTAAAACTGGCACATCTCTTTCTTCATAAGGAGTTGAAACGACAGACAGTTGGTGTGAGGTGCAGTGTCAGCTCATTGTTGGGCTAAAATGAAATCTGGGTCAAACACAAAACCTATGACCGGTTCATGTTACAATAAATACAATAAAGGGGCATGATACCATGTAGCGACAGCCTTTAAAAGGTTAAGACAGTGAAGTGACAGGCTTCAAATATGCAAGACTTTTTCACACATCAGAACCAAATATTACCCGATTCACAACAGTGGTTAATCCTGAACACAAACACCAGAGCAAATCAATGTGCGAAGAAGAGTAGCAGCACATTTCACTTCTGCTTGTTGAAACTGTGATGAAAATGTTTGTTTCAGTTGGCATTGTAATTTGGTAAATGCTTCAAATAAGTAGAATATCATGAAAAACTTCAATATTTCCCATCAGTTTTTAAATATTCAAATGTCATCAATTCTAACCTCATCACCGAAGCTACAATGTTTCTATCAAGCTTCTATTTCTATTCTGACAATTATGGCCTCAACTTTGAAAGATTTTAGAGACTTTCTAAGAATAGTTTTTTTTTTTTGTGAGTAAATCAGTATCAAAACAACACTAACACTGTGTATCTCTGTCTATGTTAGTGCACAAAACCACAATCTTAAAGGGGGACTGCTAAGGTGAGAGTTGTCTAGAAGAAAATCATCAATACTTTTCACAAAGATTGTAAATCACAGACGATCGATAATGAAATAAGCCTGGCGGCTCACAGATGGATATTAGGGGGGAGCTGACTTGGAGGGACCGGTCCGGCTGGAAAAAGGTACACAAGCAATGGGTATGACTGCATTAGAGATCTGTAAACCCAGAGTTTCCAGAGCCTGTGTTGAGTCAGGTGTTATCAGCTGGTCTTGGTCCAATGTGTTTTATTGAGACCAAAGTCAAGTTTATAACACTATGGAGATGCTGACTTTCTGTTCAAACAGGACTTAGAACCTACTGACAAGACCAGAACTAGAACCGAATAAAACGATAAATTATTATGCTGGATTGGGTAGCTGGGATTATGTTAAGAGGAAAATTACAGACAATCCTCAAAGGATTAAGGAGCAACAGTTTCTGGAAACATAAAGCTTATTGAGGATAAACACTTTTAAATAGTTTTTACTTGACTCACTCTGTTACAATAGATTGGAAATGTCCAGTTTTTGGTCAATCCCCCGTAGTGATCGGAGTGGAAATGTGTGAGGAAGTAGGCAGTGATCCCTGCGACCTCTCCATACCTGAAGGCGTCTATGACAAACTTTGTTCCTGGAGAAACAGTTACACAAACCTCATCAACATGATAAAACACAGAGAGAACCAAGAAACTTATTCTGCCATCTAAATCACCTCAAAGTATTAAAATATTTATTTTTCTGGTGAAAGTCAGATTTTAGGAAGATGACATGTTTGTATGGTGTCTGCACTTCAATTGAAAATTAATTCAAATATACACTATAGTTTTGACAATAAATTATATATAAGGCATAATATATATAAAAGAGTGATGGCTGGGTCACTTTTACCTGGAATTTTCTTGTAGAAGGGACAACGTGGCAGCTCCACTTCTCCATCGGCATTCACTCTGTTCCATCTTTTTCTCCACCCTCCTCTCTTTCCTCTCCCTGCTTCCCCCTGAGCATCACCAGCATTTTCATTATCCACAGTCTGTGAGGTCTCTACGGTTGTATCATCCTTACTTTTCCTTTCTCTCTCTCTCTTCTGTCGTCCCACTGTTGAATTCGAGTTGGTCTTGAGTCCATTTGATCCACTCTCAGCCTCTATCTCTTTCTCTTTCAAGGGCTTGAGGCCAAAAAACACTCCGATGTCTGTCTGCTTCAGACCTGAGGCCTGACCTGCCTTGCTTGGACCCCTCTGAGGTGGCATGTTCTGAGATTTTTGGACACTTGAGGCTTGGGATGAAAGTTCTTGCTCTGATTGAAGGTTGCTGTTGTTGAAATTATTCAGGTGGAGGTTATCTGAGCTGAGAATACTTTCCCTCAGGCGCTCTAAAACAATACTTTGTGGGGACTGAATGCTGCTCTTGATGGCACTGGTGGATTCACTGAGGGCTTCTTTTCCACCTGTGTAAGCAGAGGAAGTCGGCTGATTGGCGGGTGCTAATGAGGTAACTGACTCAAGCTGGGTGTTTAAAGAAGAAGGCTCCTTTAGCTGCACAGCTTTGGATTCCAAATTATCTATAAAATCAGTGAGGAGCTCATCTTCACTTGAGAAACCATCACTGAAAAGCTTCACTGTGTCTTCACATTCACTTTCAGATGCACTATTCATGAAGAGGGATTTTCTACATTCGCTAATTTTGTCTTCAGTCTCTGTTTGGAGCTCAGAGAGTGGAGAATAAGATATAAAATCCTCCGAGTCATGGGAAGGTTCACTTTTGGGTAAATGTTCAAAAGCTTGAGATTTACTCTCTTCTTTGACAGGAGTAGATGGAAGATCTGTTTTACTTTCTTGAGAAGAACTGATAGACTTCGGGCTTTTTGTTGAAATGGACCATCCTTTCTTTTTCTTAAAATCCTCAGGGCCGGGTGAGCGCAGTAACAGAAGTCCATTTGTACATTTGGATGGAGGTGTACTACTGTGATTGTTGTTCATAGAAACATTATTATCTGAAAAGGCTGAAAAACTGGGAGAACTATCCTGAGAAGACTCTAAAAAGGAACCATCATTATCATCCTTTATCTTTCCTTGGGGACAGGTGAGGTTGCTCTCGGCCTGCTGGGACAGACTGAGGAGTGCTGTGTCACTGTTGGCTCGGCTGTGGGCCAGGAGTGTGTGGTTGAATTTCTTGTAATGGTTTGGAATGGTGGAAGAGCACTGGAGGCCATCTGGACATTCTGTGTGATCAGAAAAAGAGTCAAAACAACTTTAATTCGGCTAAACGAAGCAGAGGGAGAAACTATGATCTTTGAAGTCGAGGCACAACCCTGATTTTACACGTGGGCTTACTCATCACATGAAAGTTAATTGACTTCACAATTATTTTTTTTGTTTTACTGCAAAATCTGCTGCAGTGCTAGAAGAACTTTGAAGAAAAAAGATTTTAAGGTTTTCTTAAATCATGCTTACATAGAAAAATCCTATTACAAACTGGGGAGGACTCAAAGTGTTCACCACTTAATAACAATCACATGTCATGTTTATGTGGAGGGAGTGATAGCCATCAACTTTTAATTTTTTAACCTTTTATCCCCACAACTATAAAGAAATAAAGTATGAACTAGCCAAAAACTTCCTAAGTATCACAAAGTTATTATGACACAAGTCTTGATTTTGTTCATGTAATTTCAATTTTAACTCTGCTTACTAAAGAATAATTGCATGTAGCTAAATTCACCAACACATATCCAAAACAGGAGTGGAATTACAGAGTGACTTACAGCAAAAACATTGTTATCTCAATAAAGTGATAGTGCTATACCTAAATGAAGACATTCATGTTAAAATGGTAATAAGTATCTGATTTACAGATAAGTAAACATCAAAATATGCTCCTTAAAAGTATAAGGTTTACATCATTAGACCACTACAAGAAACAGAAAGTGTGTCCTTTTACAAGGGGATATCTGTCCAGAGCGCCTCAGTATTTTCAACTAATTCTTGAAGCATGCAGTATGATAAATGCATGTTGGGACAGCAGTATATTTCTGTATTAGTATTTTGTCCACCTGTCTTCTATCATGTCTAGCATTCAGATCATTTTGTCAGGTTTTCTGACTGGGATAATATGTTATTTCATATTCAACTAATCAATCAATCAATCAATCAATCAATAGGTGTTTTTTTTTATCTAGCACTTTTCATACAACATGTAGCACAAAGTGCTTTACACAGAAAAAGGAATAAAAGAAACAAAGAATACCCAAATCTACCCCAACCCAAGATTAAAAGAATACCCAAATCTACCCCAGCCCAACCCCTCATTCCCATCCCACGATCTAATTGCAACAGAAACAGTATTAAAATGCATACATTTAAAAGGGCTTGATTTTGTGGAAACAGGAATGGGAATGTGCGCACTGAGGAGATGTCATTTTAAAACTCAAGATAAGGAAACACTGGAGGTTTATGTTAAAATCTAAAAACAATGAAACATAGAATGAAATTTAAGAAATAATGGATAAAATAAAACAAGTAAAAGATACTAAAATAAGAGCACCAAAATGGCTCCATAAAGGACGATCCTGTGATTAAAACTAGAATAGATAAATGCTAAAACACTTAAACACACTTAATGATATAAAACTTAGTTAAAAGCAAGACTACAAAGATATGTTTTCAGTTTGCTTTGAAAGTCATTAAGATGAGGTGCAGTCCTCAGGTCTTCAGGTAAGCTGTTCCATAGATGGCGGCCATAGTAATAAAAAGATGCCTCTCCTTATGTCTTGGTTTTAACTTTTGGTATTGTTAACAGAGAACTTCCTGAAGACCTGAAGGCTTGACCTGGCTCATGAGGGAAAATAAGATCAGATAGATAAGAAGGGCCAAGCCATTAAGAGCTTTAAAAAACAATAAAGCAACCTTAAAATCTATTCTAAACTAATGGCATAGGTTCATCATGATCACCGTGGACTATGAAATTTTAAAAACAAAGCTGATAGCATTACTGTACCTTCACATTTATCCCTTGGGGTGTCCAAACACTCAGCAACATGCCATCTCTGAGTCTGTACCACCAGGATTGAAAAAGGCATCTGACACATGGGGCAGAAGTCCCCAGAGGACGGCTCCTCTGCAGGACAGTCTGCTTCAACACTATCATGAGCAGGACATGCTTCTGAGGGGAGATGATTTGCCTCTATGCTGTCATGTCCATGGATACAAGAACTACATCCCCCACTTTCAGCTATATTGTCTGATGTGTCACGTGACTTGACAGAAACAGGAGAGCTTTTCTTCACAGCTTTTCTGGCTGTACATCTTCTTTTAGAGGCGGATGCAGTCGTAGATGGTGATTTCTGTTTCTTCTTTTTCTTCTCTAGAGGTTTATACTCCCAAATGTCATTTTCAGAGTCCTCCTTCTGTGACATTTGAAGGAAAAATAGGTCCTTGAGGTTACCCAACAACCTCGCGCAGATGTATGGATGTTTGGTAACTCCCAGTGTTTGTCAAGAATAATTTACATTACAGACTCAGAGCATTAACAACTACCAAGCATTGCCGAGCATTAACAACTCGAAACTATATTGCTACGTGTCTATAAAACATTTTTTATTCTAAGCATTTTCTGTGGTCTTTTTCACGCAATAACAACACTGTTAACGAATACGACTTAACGCTTGCCGCCACAGTAGAATAGATATATCAAGTAGAGACAAGTGAAGGATTACAACAGCAGATTCAACACACTGGGCCGCATTACAAGATCAAAAATATTTAAGTTATACACAGCAAAAAAAATTATTCTTTCTGGTTATTCGCCCTCTTACCATTTTATAAATTTACGATATGTTTAAACGATATTCGTTATACTTTTGTGTCGTAAGACGATGCTCGAATCTTAGTAGTACATTTACCTAGCTGGGAGGGTTGTTGTCAGAAAGATGGCGTCCCGGTGCAGCCTCTCCACTTTATTTCCTCTCCAAAGTCAGCTGGATTTGGATCTAGAAGAAGCCTCATCGCAACAAGATAAAGAAAACCTTGTAAACGAATATCTTACAAAAGTAGACGAGGGGAAGGAACTGAAGATACCTGATTTCCAGACAGGTTAGCCCTATCAGAAGCTCTGGTTTGCTCAGTCCTATGGTTAACTCTCCACAGTAGTTAAACAGTTAAACTGAAGTTTGCCCACTCTCCTTGTCCAGACATGTCCAGACCAGCTCCGAAATGCACGAATACTTAAGTGTTGGACTTATTTTCACTGTCGGCACTCAGTTACAATATATTTACAGTTACAGCTATATTTCTGAATGTTTTTTATCTGTATTTTGTGAGGGAGTTGCAGGGGTGTCCAGGGGATGGGCAGTATTACTATATCTCCCACCCTAAATCAGATTTGACACCTATGGTGCCGCCTGAGCTGCGAGTCCTTTCAGGGGCGGGGCTATTAATTGATAATAATTAAGTATTAATCAGCAAAACGGACTGTGCTGCAACAGGCTATTTTTTTGGTAATTGCAATGTCAGAAAATCGTTTGCCCTATCAAATAAAAAATAGGATATATTTGCACATTAGCTTTGTTTCATTACCTTTAAAACTTTTTATGTTAACAAATGTACTGTAGATATCAAATTTATGGTGACAGATAGGCAATAAGTGCAGTCATTTGGAGCGTCTATGCACGCACAAATCTTAGTTCATACCATAGACTATATATAAAATGGACATCGTCTACCTCCTCTCTGGGTGAAGCCACTCCGAGAACAGCACCCTCTGGTGACGGGCTGCAGTACAGGTCATAAATCCCACCTCCTTTAGCCATCTTTATGGAGCTGTGGACGAACTTAAGAAATGAATTACACAGAATATACATTTTTCTCCCCCCTGCTTGCAATGTTGACATGTAGTTACAGTAAGACTGGTTTGTGCTCAAGTCCTTATTTTCTGTGCAGCTCCATTTTAAAAAGTTATTAGGAGGTTCATGTTTTCATTATTGACACTTGATACAGCCTGTGGGCGTACGAAGATTGCATAGCTCATGCAGGGGATACGCTGTTTGAGCCAAGCATCATCACAGCGACTCTCCCGCCGAATATGCACAATGTTACTGCGCAAGTGGTGGAGTGCGTACAACACTACTGCGCAATGTTGGTTTCAGCAAATGGAGAAAAATACGTGGAAATACCGAAAGCTTTTCGGCTTCAAATCCATATACTGGCGGAAGGCGGAACCAAGTTGTCCAGAGTATATACAGTCTATGGTTCATACAATTACTTGCATTCATGAGCACTGTATTTGTACCACTTCATCAAAAGTAGACATGCTCTTTTTAGGTCAGCCAACAAACAGGGTACTTTCACCCAGCATTATTGATAGTAAAGACTCCCCCTGAATTCTTATTTCTCATCAAGATGAGAGCCACTTTTTCTGAACATCATTGTTTTTAAATTGCATTGTTTCCTGATCTGAAATGTGTTGAAACTGTGTAACAGCTCAGCATGTGAGTGGTTTTTGCCTAACACCCTCTATCCAGGTCATTGGCTACTTTAGTTTCTATTTTTAAGTTTTAAGTATTACCTGAAAGCTACCTTGTTCCCAGTGTTTGATTCATATCAAATGTTGGTAAGAAGCTTGTTTTTGCCCAGAATTTAGTTGAAAACTTCAGGTGTGTTCTGTAGTTTTTGTAACAGTACTAAATATTATGCATCTGGTTGGCCCACAAAAAGTAGTACGTAATATCTGTTACTCACAGAGTTGCCTAAAGCCAAATCAGAGAGAGACTGTGTCTCTGGTGTTTATAGTTAGGTCCTTTGTTGAATTATGCAGCATGTTGGTAATATCCCTTTGCACCAGTAGATGGGGATCTACAGTAGAACAATACACACCAGAACAAACAAGGCTTTGTGGATCAGTAAAGGGCCCAAACTAATCCTACTGACAATTTTTAGACAACACATCAGACACAAAACGTGTATTTTTGGGGTCCATTTTAAATGTTATTTAAAAAAAGTAAGTTAAACAAGTTCCCCAAGATTTTTGCTCATGCATGACAAACAATAACTGACACAATCTGCAGTCTGAGGGATAACTGACAAAGACAGCAATCAAGATCTAAAGATAATAATTTATGGTTTTAAACACTCCTGAAGCTATGACTTTTCCACAGTCTTTTCCTCGGTCCTGCAACTCTTCAACTATTTGACATGAAAGCATAATCAGGCCAGATAGATATATTCATAAAGTGATGGGCACTGTAAAGAGTTTGGCTCCACCGTGACTAAACATTCATTAATAGGATGACAGCATCATTTTCCACTCTGTGATTTGCTCCAGGCTTGGAATGGCTGAACACGGAGGGGCCTCTGTCTCTGAATAAGGAGCTGGCTGGGAAAGTGGTACTTCTGGATTTCTTCACTTACTGCTGCATCAACTGCATGCACATCTTACCTGACCTGCACCAGCTGGAGAAGAAGCACTCTGTCAAAGGTTTGGATTTACACTGGCTTCAAGGCAGCAGTCAACAGGGCTGTCATGACCTGAAAGGTGCTGAGGGATTAAACAGAGGTGTAGGTTATGGCAATGGAAAGATAACCATTTTTTTTTTTACCTGCAATTGGGAAGTAGTTCCCAAGTAGACTTGTCACCTTTCCATCACCATAAACAAGCAGAAACAAAGCCCACATTAAATTAGGGATCACTCTTTACATTAAATGAATTGCAATGGTCAGAAACTTGGCATCCACGTGAAATCTGCTGTTGCAAAGCACCTGCCTCCACCTCACAAGGCAAGGTTAGATGAGGTGGGATCAATCCAAGACATTTGGCAGCAGAGAAAACAGGCTCACCTCATGTTTTTCATCAGTCTATTTTGGTTTGTCAGGTCCTCAGATCTGCACATTTTTAAAGAGACAGAAGCTAAAACAAAGCGTTTCAGACAGAGGCTGAATTTGAAGACACCAGTGAAAACAAGGCTGTTTTTGATCTGAAAATCATGTAAAGCTATTAAAGAGGTAAGACAGGAAATAAAGAATACCCCCTCTCTTTAGGATATTTTAAATTGGCTCTAAATTGATTTTAGTTATCAAAGTTTATCGAGGAGTCTTTGGTGAAACCCTTCCAATTTTCAAGGTCCTGACCTTGGGTTCATCAAGTCCTTCATGCTGACTGCTTAATAAGGTAGAGTGACGTGGCTCCAGTTTCTCTGGTATTTGTTCAATTGGGAGCCATAGGGAGATTCCCAACCAGCCCATCAGCTGTTATCAAGCTGTTTAGTGCAGGTGATGATTTCTAAAAGGAGAAATCCCAACAATGTGGGCAAGAGACACTTATTTAACCCAGATAATGTCTTTTTGAATTTGCTAGGTGTTGAGGTTTGGCCTTTCCTTTCTTCCTTATCCTTAAAACCACAGTATAAGCAGCATGTTGGCATGGCAACACATCACTGTCAGCCTGGAATACTTCATCTTCAGGTAGACCTGGATTTTGCTTCTTCTGTAGACATCAGTTAGAGCGAAGAAATTGTCAGAAAAAGTCTATAACTCTGTCTGATACCAGGTGAATAAATCACATCAGGTAATGCCCCTTCTGTCAGAATAAGTTAAAGGTAGTCTTGATTGGGAAAGGAGCTTGTTTCCCAGGTTGCTATTGGCAGCTCTCCTCCAAGTTTTACTACAGCTATTTGAGTCTTTAGACTACAGGAAGGAACATTAAATAGAAATGAGAAAAACAAAAGATATGCCAGTGCAATTTATCATGTCTTTTATTTTAAATCTTGTCTTTTTGTTTTTATGACATACAAAGCGAACAAGACCATCAGTGACAAGACTGAAGATTTTTATGTCTTAATGTTTAAAGTTAGAAACCAGTGTAAGGGGGTTGGGTGGCAGCCAAGCAGCTGAAGAAAGAGCCTGATTTTACCATTTCCTCCTAAATTATTCACAATTAATAATACATTTGACTGTCAAAAGTCAGCAGGATAAGATTTTTTTTTAGGTGATACTGTTAAAGTGTGTAGAGGATAAAAAAAGCAACACTGTCTTGTCCACAGGAAGCACAAAAAACTGGCACAAACCAAAATTTGCCCACAGAAGCTTTAAGCTTTTGTTAGCAACAGGTGGCACAATTATCTAGGCCAGCCAACAAGTCCAAAAGCAAGATTATAAGTCAAGACTACGTGTCCATTCAGTCTTTGAAGAGTCAGCAGCCTGGCAGATCTTACCAGGGGAACACCTTTTCTAAAATATTGTATTTCCTGCCATGCTGCATCAGAGTTCGCTGGGGTAGAGAAGCTGTTGTACGTCAACTCTCCTTCTCTCCATTTTGGTTTCCAAGACAAAGAGGGCTCTTATCTGAGCTGTGAGGAGACAGAGACTAAATATATTTCCAAGCTGCAGAGTCACGGGGTCCATAATTGTCCCTGGCTGTACCGTCACTGTACAGCTCTTTATATAACTTCTCCATGTAGAGCATAATCACATCCGACTGACTCTGGCATCCTGCTGACCCGTTGGAGGGGATCATCTGAGGAAGCTGTATGGCTGTAAATTATGTTGCAAGCAAGGCAGGACGGAGAACACACACTTAGGCCACAGTGCCACCGTACATTATCTCACTCCCCTTATCTTTGGCACTGCTGTGGGTACATTCTGTTTGCTGCTCTGGTCAGTGAGGTGTGGGAGCCACCCCGTCCAGTCACTCCCACAGTCCACCGCCTACCCACCCATCGTCACCGCAATCTGCCAGTACTGTAAGGCTTGGCAGAGGCCACAGGTGACGAAACCCACCGCAGACAATATGAGTCTGAAGGCTTGGGATTGTGCTTTTAAACATATGTTGAAGGACGGCTTGATGATTTGAGTGAATGTGAAGGCAATTTTATTGAGGATGAAGAGCTTTTGTTTGTTGCTACGGGAAACAGCCTTTGGTGTTGAGTGCCAAAAAAAGCTTGATAAAAAGATAAAAGATGAAAAAGGCTTTGTAAAAAGCAATAAAGTGACTTAGAGTGCACTCTGTTTGTAAAATAAACTTAGTTTAAATAGTTTTTCATGACTGCATAACCCCTTCTGCTTATTTAAGGCCAGCAGTAGCTGTAAGCTCAACATTAACATCTTTGAGAGTATAAAAGACAACGTTCTAAAGCAAAAGCTTTATTCAACAAAATAGTTATCTAATAAAGACTTTTTCAGTATTGTTTTTTGCATTTAATCATCCAAAAAGTACTATTAAGAAAACTAATAAATGACTGAAGTCAGGAATCAGCTCAGTTTCTTGTCGTTTTAGGAGTTACTGTGTCATGTTCTTGTGTCTTGGTGAATTTAATGCCCTTGTTTTCCTGCTCTGCTTGCACTTTCACACTTCAATAGTGTGTAATGATTATCCCCTCTCAGTTATGGGGCGAGCAGCTTGAAGGATGCATCAGTACCTCCCTTCACTTCAGTAACAATGACTTGATTTTCATAATTATTATTGTGACTCTGGGTCGTACATTTTGTGAATTGTTCCTGCTGTGCAGCTCTGTCTCCTCCCCTGCAGAGTGTGGGTGTTTCTGTGAGAGCACTGCCCCCTACATCCTCTCTGAGCACTTCTCCTCCATTTGTGCATTCATATGAAGAGAGTCGGCCACACTGAGTGTCATCCAGAACCTCTGTGTGTGGAGTGAGAGTGCGCTGATAAACCCCCCAACAGCGAGTCTGCACTGATGCTGGCTATCTGACCTGGTGTAACAAGAGAGACGGCCCTGTGAATAAGGATTCATGTGTTTGACCTGCACAGACAGAAGCTACTTTTATCATGACCAAAATGATGCAATCACACAGACATACAAATCGATAAGTTTAGAATATAATCAGGATGTAATTAACCCCCTTTCCATTCTTAAAAAGTGCACGTTTCTTTTATTATAAAGTGTTTTATTTTTTAAAAGTTTAGATTATTTACACCATATTTAAAATGAAAAGATGTCTAGTCAGCTGAATGGTATTTAATTTGTGAACAACTTAGGTTGTGTGTGACCTGTAACCATGTTTACACTAAGTTCCTGTTAGTTTTAGATCTGACCTCTTCCACTTCTTACATTATATCATAATATCATATATTTTATCCCAGGCTGCAAATCTAGGCCATTTCTTGGCCTTTTTAAGTCATCATGATCTGTACTAAGGCTTACTCTTTATCTAATGATGCAGATTGCTGTCTTTTCCTGTTCAGATTGGCAATTATTAGCTTATAAACTCCCATTTATGCTCATTATTACTATAACCACTTTCCTATGTTGCACACTCCTATTGTACACAGCTCTCCTCTCTTCATCTATGGCCCTATACAGGTTATATGTCCCCTACTTAACACATTTTGTGTGATCCACATCTTGTTTGCACTCCCAAACTTTGTAACGCATCAATCTGAGCTCCTGATAATCAGGTAGTGCTGCAGCCTCATGGCCCCTTAACTGGGAAACCGCCCAGTATGCAAGGTTGCCAGTCCAGCACTGGAAACTATGTGTCTCTCTTTACTTTTCCCTCTCGAAACAAGAGGCAAAAACCTTTTGAGGTAGGGGCAGAGCACACACTCTACTGTGAAAGAAGGAAAGGGACCGCCTACGAGACAGAACAAGTGCAGCATGGCACATGGCATGATCAAGACCATGGCATGGTTAAAGAGACTGCAGAACTCTCTGGATTATCTTGTTTCTCTGATTGCAGGAAGCCAAAATCCTTATTGATTAGGATTAAAATCCAATCATTTGTCAGGGCCTTGCTGTCATGTTGATTGCCCATAATCCACAGATGGTAAAACAGCCCAAACCTGTTCCTTTTGCACCACTGGTATTGAGTTAAGGGGTTATCTATAATCAAGCATTAAGATCTACTTTGATTCGACTGGCATGTGGGTTTGCAGTAGCTGTTGCTGAAGCTCCACCTTTTTGCTTGTTTCTAACTGGGCCATTGGGAGATGTCACTGAGACAACGCTCATGTTTTGTGCATTCATTGTGTTTGAGAGGTGATGGTATGAATACTGCTATGCCATGCAAAGCATGTGTATTAATCAGGCAGAAATCTTGCTGTTAAAGACTGAAGCCAGAGAAGGGTCAAAAATTGTAGTTCCTTGAGTATCCACTTGAGTCTGTCTCCAAAAGATGAGAAACCCCATAGGGCCCTGAGTTCAAATAAAACAAAAAACTGAACATGTACACTACAGGCCAAAGGTTTCATATAATTTGCAACACAATAAACGTGACTATTGTGTACAGAGTAACTTATCAGAAGACATTTTGATTATAATTATTCGGTATTTGAGTTATTGTTGCTTAGAATTTGCTTTCTTTAAAGTAACCTCCTCTGGGTTAAACAACAGCTTGGCATATACCAGGCATTCATTCCACAAGTTTTCTAAGGTATGCTCCAGGGATCGCATTCCAAGCTTTCTTAAGTTCATTAAAAAGAGACTGCTGATTCGTGGGACGGGTTTTTCTGACCGATCGATCCAATTCACCCCACACAAGCTCAACTGAGAAAGGTCTGGAGACTGAGGGGGCCAAACCATCTTTTGAAGAACACCTTCCTCTTCCTTTTTGTCTAGGTTATCCTGACAGAGCTTGGCAGAGTGCTTAGTGTCATTGTCTTGCTGAAAAACAAACTTATAACCCACAAGTCTGAGTCCAGATGGAACAGCATGGTGCTGGAGGATGGAGTGGTACTGTCCCTTCTTCATGATACCCTTTACTTCAAACAAATCTCCTACTCCATCACCTGCAAAACATCCCCATACCATGGAACTACCACCTCCATGCTGAATTGTGGGTGTAACACATGGTGCTTTCAGACATTCACCAGTTTGTCTGCGGACATAGACTCTGCGTTTTGAAGCAAACAGTGCAAACTTGTTTCTAGTCATCATAAGTCCAATTTTTGTGAGCTTTTGCCCACTCATATCTCTTTTTCTTGTTCTGTGGACGAAGTAGTGTTTTTTTGCAGATACACAACCCTTCAGACCAGCCTTTCGCAAACGTCATTTCACGGTTGTCAGAGATATGGGTTTCGACCTTGTCATGTTGATTTCCTTCCCTATTTTTGGTGCTGTCTTTTGCCGATCTCTCTTACTGGTGACACTGCTATGTTTATCCTCTGCTTTTGTAGTAACTCTCTTTCATCCAGGTCTTTTTCTATCATCATTACTTCCAGGTTCCTCTAGTCTCTTCAGAGTGTAGTGGACTCCTTTGCTAAGCACCTTTAGGCGTTTTGCAATTTCTCTTTCTGTGAATCCTTCTTTCCTCAATGTACAAATATGTACTTCTGTTTCTTTACTCAGTTGCTTCTTTCTAGCTATTTTTGCGGTGGTTTGAACGCAGTTGAGATTTATTAGGATTTTTGTATGCAGACTCTCAAAAGCCAAAAAGTTGAAGTGAATAATCCAACTGTTAGTTTTTTTGCTTTTGCACTGAAGTTGTGACTCTTGCAAATGTTTTCAACCCTAAAACTAAGCCCTTATTATCTTTTGTTGACATATACTTAGCAATGGTCTGTTAACATCAATATATCTAAAGGTAAATGGATTAAAATGGTGCATTTTCATAAAAGCAGCATCTGATCATGGAGTAAATACATCCCAAAATACATAAAACTCATGCTGGATTTTAAAAAAAGCATTGTGAACAAAAACTTGAAGTTACTCCCAACTGTTCGGCCTGTAATGGCCTTGCTTCGGAATTTTTGACCTGTAGTGTACATATTTAATTTAGTCTCTGTTTTTTACATGTCCTTTTTTTTAGTTTTGATTGACTGGACTTTTGTTTTTCCACACAATAACAAATTGAAAAGTCCGTTTGGTATAATTAAAACATTAAAGCTAAAGGGTGGTTTTTTTTTTTGGAAAAGCTTGATTGATCAGAATTTCTCTTCAGGTGCTGTCATGATTGATTATTTCACACTGAAAATGTTACATCTCAGTGATTAATTATAAAGCTGTCATTTTTGGCATTTTCTTTAATTTTTTTTTGCCCCACCTTGACTTTGTTTATACAGATCATTTTAAATTAAGCAACATGATAAAATTGCATAACTCAGTGTGTTTCAATAAATAGCACCAGACTGGAAGAGGAACAGGAAGTAAACTTTATCAAGATATCTGCCAACACAAGAGAGTCTATTTAAAAGAGCAGCTTCACAAACATGTGTTTTTCCAGAGTTTGAACCCATTCAGTTGTGCAACACTTGAACATCAGTCGGCTTTTGTTATAGTTCATAAATTCTGAATGATTAGTCTTACTGTCTGTTTAATAAGCGTGGTGTCAGTGGTGTCTGGTGACTACTGAGAAATATTTGAGATAAACATTTAGGAGGCTCACCGCACTGGAACATTTCCACCAACTTATCAGAATGACCATCATGGACTCTTGAGCTTTTTTAGTAGAAAGTCACATTCATTCCCTGTGCACTACATGTGTGTGACTGTGTGTTAGGGGCATGTGCGTGTCTTTGTGAACTTATTGATCTTTTTTATGTAACTTGTTGACAGAAGTGATTTAGATGTAAGAGTTTTTCCCATGACATCTTGGTTGACACAATTTGATCTGTTTGTGGGTGTTTTCAGTTAATGGTACACATGTTTGTGGTGAAGAAATAGGGACTGATACTGATACTAATTAAGATATCAATTAAGCCAGTTGTTGAATCTGATACCAAAGGTTTTTTGCTTTCTAATTGTAATTCCTTATGCGTTTTTATTCATGAGTCATAAACTGTCTGACTTTGCTCTTTCTCAGAGAGGGTATAATGATACGGTATGATATGATACAATACGATATGGTACGGTACAATACGATTTGATAGGATACAATACAATACACTTAATGGTTCCCTCGGGGAAATTTGTCTTGGACTCCCTCAGTGATCCCTCACTCTGGACATTTTCTTTCATTTGTTTCTATTATTATTAAATTGATCAGACAACAGACACACACTGAATACCATTATTATTTTCAAGGACTGATGAACATTAAGAGGACTGATCTGGACCAGTACTAGTTGTTTCTGAAACCAGTAGACAGACTAGTTTTAATGAGTCTTGAATTTACTGAACTGTTATATTTTGTGGTTAAATTTGTATTTGTGTGTCTTTATCTCTTTATTCCTTCCTCAGACGGACTGGTTATCATCGGTGTACACTCAGCCAAGTTCCCCAATGAAAAGGTCAGTGTTTGTACTAGTTTGTTAGTGTTGTAATTGAGTTTTTTTTATTATTATGATTGCTTAAAATCAACATTTGGTTACAATCTGTGGAAGGGCAGTTGAGTGTGAAGCAGTTCCATCATTCTTACATATGATCCACTCCACCTTACAACCACTAGCATTTACCTCCACTTTAACAGCTCTGTACCCGTAAGAATTTTACATTGTTTTCCTCATTTATATTAATTTTGATCGGTATCTAAAGTTACTGTTCTTTTCTTTCCATTTTTACTGTTTCCTTGAAAAAACAAAAGCAGTTGATTTTATTGTAGTGCAAATATTATTAATTAAACACTCCTGGTTGTTTATTTTTGGCAACACTCAAAGACCAACTAACATTTAAAAATAAAACTCTTTTCCAGCTGTTATTCTTTTATTTTATTTTATTTTTTTTGCTCTTTGTTTTTAAAGTCCACATGAATTGAAATGTATTTTAATAGCTGACAGAGACTTTTTGAAGTTAAGTTTTGAGCTTTCATGGGTTTACTGATGGGATGGAACAGATCCTTATCCTAAGAGCACCTCAAAGGTGTACTTTTCATCTCCTCCTAAGTGTATTTTATCTTTCTAATTAATTATCGACCAAGACTCACAGCTCGTATTGATTTCTCTGTATTTGTCATCAACCCTTCGAAGGTCCTGGATAACATCCGCAGCGCTGTGCTCCGCTATGACATCTGCCATCCTGTGGTGAACGACAGCGAGGCTCTCCTCTGGCACGAGCTGGAGGTGTCCTGCTGGCCTACGCTTGTCCTGCTGGGCCCAAGCGGTAACCTGCTTTTCTCTCTAGTGGGGGAAGGCCATCGAGACAAGCTGATGCTTTTTACTGAGCTGGCGCTTCGTTACTACGGCAAGAAGGGGCAGCTAAAGGGGCACACAGTGGGTATCAAACTCTACAGAGACTCCCTGCCTCCCAGTGTCCTGTCTTTCCCCGGGAAGGTGGCTGTAGATGACAGCAGGAAGAGACTGGCCTTAGCTGACACTGGGCATCACCGAATACTGGTGGTGACTGTGACTGGACAGCTTGAACACGTCATAGGAGGTAAGAGAGAAGACACAGAGTGCAGACAGAGAGAGACCGAGGACATAGAATGAGCAAAAGATTACGACATATGCAAATTTCAATTATTCATTTAGTAAAGAATAAACAAATGTGATCTTTTTTCCTTCTAAGCTTTGCCAATACAAAAGAAAAACATTTCAGCAACACTAATATTTTTAGATTGCTCACATGCTTCAGTAACCCTCAGAGGAGCCACATGGTACTCTGTGTAATCCAAACAGAGAGGTTGGCAAGAGCATGCTGGGAACTGGCACTGACCTAAGTGTGGACATAATAAGGGGGAAAAAAACTGTTTTCTTAAACTGACCATTCATCTCTACATCAACATATGAAGAGAAGTCCTAGCATGTATATTTACAAAACAAACCTTCAGAATAACAGATTTAACTGTAAATCTGAAGACTTAAATATGGAGAAAAGTGTTTTGTTTTTAATTTGACTCATACATGAGGTATTTTTATGCTCATAAAACTTTTATTTTTATTTCTGTCCCAGGGCCTGAAAGTGGGAAACAAGATGGGGATCTCTCTGAAGCTTCCTTCAACTCCCCCCAGGGTGTAGCCATCAAAGGGGACACTGTATATGTGGCTGACACAGAAAACCACCTGATCAGAAAGGTTGCACCTTGATCCTTTCATAACTGCATTTTGTAGATTGAAATCTCTGTCTCCTAAGTTTTATGTTTGTGTGCGTGAAATTCAGATCGACCTGTTGGAGCAGAGAGTCAGCACTCTAGCTGGAGTGGGCTGTCAAGGCACAGACAAAGAGGGCGGGGCCATGGGACCTGAGCAGCCCATCAGCTCTCCCTGGGATGTGACTCTGGGCTCTGCCGGTAAGTACGTCGTCAGACCAGACCGTGAAGGACAACAAAAACATGCCCTCCTCTTTCCGCTCTGTCTGCCTGTCATGTCACTGCCTGCCACACAGAATCAGCCCATTTCTGCTTTATTTTCTATCTGAATGCTGCCATACAATCGATAAATACTTAGGGACAGGTCGGTTCCTCTCACTGAATTAGATTGACCAGACATGGACAGATAAGAGTGACGGAGAAGGAGACAGTGGCCACATCACTTAATATCTGAATTTTGTGGTAGTGTTTCAGTTTGACCCCAGCCTCATATTTTTCCCTACTCTCTCTTTGAGTAAAGGCATAAAGCACCCCAAAAAACACTCTTTAACAGAAAGCTTTGATCATTCGCTGCACTCACGATAAAAAAAAAAAAAACTGTCTTTTGCATTTTTCAGTCATAGCCATTACAGTCATTAATTAGTCAAATAATATTTGTGAACCTAAATGCAAAAAAAAGAGTGGGTAAAATGAAACAGACTTAAATCAAAGAATATCAGAATTGTAAAATCCAAGATTTTGGAGCTATTTTAAGAACTGTGAGATCTTATCCTTGTGGTTTTCCCAGGAAGCCTCTTTGGTTAAACCCTGTAATTCAACCAAAAGATTTTCGAGGACAAAAAAATCAATCATCTTAGCTTACAATACTTATAAACTACAAAAAAATGCAGAAAAAAAGGCTTTTTATTCTCTCCTAAAGTAGTCTAAGACCTCTTCTGAATGCTCTGTCTTTATTTCTTCACATTTGGTTGTGTTTCTGTCCTGCTATTTCTCTTCAACATTAACTGACTACATCTGTTATCAAAGGAAAATCTTTTTTTTTTTTGGACTCTCAGAAATTTTGAATGCCACATTTTGCTAACAGACTTCACTACCTGCAGTCATTTCGACTCAAAATAAGCACAGTGGAGTCTGAGTGGATGTCAGTTTTTAACACGTCAGATATGAGCTGCTTTGGCCTTGTTAATGTTTTGTAAATTAGAATATGGGATTTAAATATGTCTCTAGAATCTGTTTTAATTACCTCTGATTTCTTGCTCGGCAGCATAATAATAATAGATGATTAGTCATGCTTTATATCTGTTAAAAGCGATGTCAAATTAAGTTTCAGGCAGACACGCAAACTCAGTCGAACATTTATGTTAAAAAAGGGTGTCGTCTGTTTTTCTTAATACTTGTTCGCCTCACGTTGACATTGTTTACAGAGAGGCATGTAAGTGCTCCCTCCAGCCTGGGGTGCTGTTAAAGCCGTCAGCCTTATTTAAAGTCAAATCCAAGTGCGTGTGGGTCTGTCGTTGTGTCGTTGTGTACTCGCATAAATCAAACAAAAGATGAAAGGGTTGTTATTTGTTCTGCCTGTGGCCACAACTTTCCTCATCAACAGTCTGTTTATGTTTCAAAGTTATGCTGATTGATTCGTTCATCACAATTTTGAGCATTAATTTTACAAACGGCAGTGCTCTGAGAGTATTTTACAAACGCTGGGATTGAATGTTAAAGGTAATCAGTCTCTGTCAGATTTTCAGCCCAGGTTAATGGACCCAGCTGGCTGGTTTGCACATCGCCTCATGTTTTGAGAATATGGTATCAGACCTTTAACTCCTCTGACATTGTCCTCCAAGAGCCCATCCTCTCATTTGCATATTCATGATGTTATTCTTCACGATGTGTATAAACAACCAAAGGTGCCAAATCAAGAGGACTGAACTCCTTTTGAACTGTAAAGTGCTGCGCTGACATTGACATTGAGTCACCACAGAGCTGTCAGCTGACACTCTTCCAGATGTGACAAAGTGAGGCCAAGCTCTGTGCTGCATTAAAAATACAACTGAGACGGTGTATGTCCACGAGGGCTGTGTTTTCATCACCAGGACAGTGTTGTCTCGGCAGAGTGCATCTGAGGTGCCATATGGCCTTTTATCAGAGGAGCTGCTGTCACTTGAATCCGCAGAGCCACATTTCCGATGCTGAGACCTCAGCAAACAAAACTTTGAGAGCTGTTTGATCAGCAAAGACATATGTGTAAAATTGAAGGTGGGGTAGACATGATCTGAGGTAGTGCTAGTTTTAGGGAGAAATCTTGAATGTAAACACTACCCCTCCCAACCAGTTTTCCCCTCAGCTCCTCCTCTCCCCTCCCTCTCCAGCAAGCCCCGCCCACAAACAGACACTCCAGCTCGCTCTTATCGTTCCAATTTAATTCAGACATAATGCAGAAAAATACTTCAGATAATTACAAATGGGGCCCAGTCAATGTGAAAGTGAAAAGCATTGGTGCTTCTGTAGATGCCAACAGACTACCAGCAAACACAATGTTTGCAGGACTTCTACAACTAGCATAAAGTGACACAGTCCAGGACCCGAGGTAAACAGTTTAGCGGTGCTACAACATGCAGCAGGTCCCGTTTGACAAGAAACACTTCTGTGACAGACACCTGGCTTACTTTGTTAAAGCGGTTTACCTGTCCAGCAGAAAGGTTACAGGGTCCGTAAGACCCCGAAGCGGTCCCCATCTTTTATGCTGATGTTGACCCGGCTTTTTAGCTCTTGTCTGGTCTCCCTCGGTTTTAAGCGCCCGTTATTCCGCCAGAGTCTTCGGTATTAACTTTGTTTTATTGCTAGTGTTGGCAGTCGTGGCCAAAGGAGGATTCAGACATTTTTCTGTGCTTTCTGGTTGGTTTCTATTGTCCGATATTGTAGCACGCTAATTTTTATTGTGCTCATAAACATTATTGAAGGACGTTGAGCGTGCTTCACAACACGGGGAAGCAGCGTCTGCCTCACAACCAATCAGGTTTGGGGAGGCGGAGAATGGCTTTGTTTACGGTCAGAATGAGCGGACCGCTCAAAAATGTTAAAATGTTGACTACACAGACATAACAAAACACAGTGATATCATTATATTCCCATATGTCATCAATAACTAATAGCTGTTGGCTGATATTAAAAGCTTTGTGTTTCTACACCACAAAAAAAGATGCTTCTTTAACAGAATGCTGCCTACCCCACATTATATAGATTGATTTTTTTGAGTAAGGATTTCAACTCTCTGTTAATCAAGATTTTAAACTGAACAGATTGCCCAAAACATGGAGAATGAAGCCTGATATGATGCTCACCATTCTGAAGATGCTAACTCCACTCCGTGACGCTGAGGCAGACATGAAGCAACAATTTGCCGCCTTCCAATCTCTTTAGCCACGCCTCCTTTTAATTCATCACTCTTAACCTCAACTCTACATTTTACAGAAGTTCATCCCCAGATAGTTTTTTTTTTAAACTTTATTTTTATTTAACAAAAACAAAAATGATAGAGTTTACTTGTGAAGTCAGCTTTACTGGAAAACAGACATAGAAAAACTATTCAATTACACCCCATTCCAGCTCTAACTCTACCTTGTGGAGTGTGAGGCATTCATGAGTGCATGGTTATCAGAGCGCCATTCTCAACCAGAACAATGATTAAAGAAACAAGCAGCAACACAGTGTATACAGAAATAATAAAAATACGAAATGGAGCACAAAGATAATATGAGCTGAGAAGCACATATATGTAAATCACCATGACCAAATATTTGACTGAAGGATAAATAAGAGTTTTTTTTTTTTAAAGGTTGATGTGTAACAACCTGGCGCTCCTTCATGTAAAGGAATTTATTTCATTTTCTTGTCTTCATCGATAAAACTCACCATGCTTTACTATCAGCACAAATATTAGTCCTGCATGTCAATGGCATTGACAGTGACAGCCTGAATAAGTGATGCAGGGTTTTTCTGCTTCTCCACTGATACTGGAGTGTTTGTGTCTGAATGTGTTTGTTTGTTTGTTTCATTTGTATGCATAGGCGGTGAGGAAGATAACGTGCTGTGGATAGCCATGGCAGGGACCCACCAGATCTGGGCTTTGTTCCTAGCAGATGGGAAGCTGCCCAAAGGAAGGTGAGAGACTGGGACGTGACCACAGAGGCCACTCAGCAGCAGTATCATTTCAAGACCACTAATAAGTCATCTCTTAATTACAAAGAATTGAGGCAAGCAAAAACACTGTTTAACTCTTCACATAGCAAGCCGTTTCCCCTGAAGTCAATGAGAAAAACCATGTAATAATTTGTCAGGGACCAAAGCCAGCTTTGAGCTTCAGCCAGGACTTCCTTTTTTTTGGGCACTGTGTTGTTTTGTTGTTTTGTCAGAGCCAAAGCAAAATTAGCCCCTCCAGTTGTGTCTCGGATTACTTCTGCAGTATAAAACTGAAAAAGAAACCATAAAAAGACAACGATCCTTAAGTGATCATGCTCAATTAAAAGGCCTTAAGTTTGCCAGAATAACAAAATCATGACGCAGATTTCTAAAAAACTTTCAAACTAACTTTGTGAGGTCTTTCCTAAGGGGAAGAAAAAACCTTTAAATGCTACCCCTCCCTGTCATGAAAGGTAATTAACGCCGTTTTGATTAAACAAAAAAAGTCCCATTTGATTCTTTTTAAACTATTCAGCACTGTTTTTGAGAACAGCATATCCAGGGGTACTTAAAAAGTCTTACAATGTCTAAAATTCTCTTGAAATCTCATAATATGTCTTAAATATGATAACTTACAAAGTAAATTACAAATAAAAAACTGATTTGAAGTTAAGTAAAATTTTCCGATTTCTCTTTATGTCTTTTGAACTTTTTGGCTAGTATGGATGCAAAATGGGTCTTAAATCGTATTCATTACGATCTTTAAAAAAAGTCTTCAATTTGACTTGTTGAAACCTGTAGAGACCCTGTCACTATTTCTAAATGATCTTCTATCCTAAACCAGTGAGTCTAAGGCTGGAACCTGCATACGATGGGCTGGCAGCGGCAGTGAGGAGAACAGGAACAACTCTTACCCCCATAAGGCAGGTTTCGCTCAGCCTTCAGGTCTGGCTTTAGCCCCAGAGGAGCCATGGAGCTGCCTGTATGTGGCAGATAGTGAAAGCAGCACCATCCGCACGCTGGCACTGAAGGACGGAGCCGTCAAGCTGCTGGTCGGAGGAGAGAGAGACCCAATGGTGAGTGTGCAAGAGTGAATGATTAGATGGAGGATGAATTGATTTCCCACGTTTTTCTCGAATTCTGAAAAATATGAAATGATTGTTGAAGCTGATATTAAAGAGAGCGTAATGAACAGGTATAGTAAACGGCTACAGGGCTGCACTTATTTGACGTTATTATAATGACAGGGTTTATAGCAGTTGTTTTAATGGCCGTGTTTCACCAGTCAGCAGCATCAAAGCACCCAGTGTATCCCAAATAGCTTTAATAAAGTTCTCCTCTTTAATTGAGCCATAAGGTCCATAAATTCTCTTAAATCTGGTTAGAACTGGATTTTTCCAGACCATTTGGTTATTTCTGTAAAAGGGGGAATTCTTATCTAATAATACTGAAGACTCTGAATCAAACAGAAGCTGCAACAGAAGGCTGAAGAAATTGTCAAGTCTATTCCTAAAGCAGACTGCAAAAACTAAACCGCTAACCTCTAAAATAAATAACCTGTAATGAATAACCTCTAATGTAGAACCTTCAATGATAATACATCCTGTTCCTGGTCCAGCTAGCACTATCCATCAACAGCCAATGCCCACTGTGAAACCTGCATATTTGTCTCACACATATGCGTGCAAAGAAAACACTAAAACAGAAGAGAAATGTTGCATGAAGCTTTAGGTAACTCCTTTGTAATCAGAGGATTTGAAGGCCTAATTCCTCTCGTATAGAAAGAATTGATCAAATGAACAGCTGTAAATAAACACAGAAACAGTTTCTGATTTTGATTTCATGTGTTTACAGACTTTTCCTCACTTTTCATAGGCATGGTAGTTTTTCAGGGTAAGAGGATAGTCACCTTCTTAATAACTTTGGGAAGTTATTTAAGGGTTACTAACCGTCGTCTCTTTGGGAAAGAGACGACGGTTATTTAACCGAGACAATGAAACATCCAATCATAAACAGGCTCAAGACTGAAGCGGTAAATGTGCAGCTGAGGTGAAATGTTTTTCACTGTACTTGGCAAAACATTCCCTTCATGATTCAACTTTTTGTGAGTCTTTTCTGGGTCTGAGGATTTGCTCACAGAAACAGATCTGCGAGGACAACTTCTTTCGTCATATGTGGCATTGGGCTACAGTCAATATAGTGTTTAAAACGTCCAAAGAAACATCAGGACATTTTGGGTCTACTCGCTCTATTCATCACATGGTCTGTATAAGGCAGGACTGTTACACCTCATGAATGGTCGACTGATATCAGTTTTACAACAGCTGATACCAATCCCGAAAATTAATAAGCAGATCAGTCAACAGCCAACACATAAAGCTAATATCAAGTTGTTGGTTTTTTATTTTAATTTATTTTTATTCATTTATTCTTTGCAATTGTTAAAATGGAATTACTTGATTATAATAACTGCTAAGGCTGGGTGATATGGCCCCAAATCAATATCACGATATATTGAGTAGTACATCTCAATAACGATAAATGGAACGATTACTACTCCACAAGCTGCTCACCCCCTCCCACATTAACTTTGTCTACTTTAGCCTCCACTCCAGCCGCTACAACTTTTGAACCATCCTCCATCTCCTCACCTGTCTTTCCCTCCTTGTTACTGACTGGATGGGGTGGAGTCACATCTCTGACGCAGGACAGTGTCTTAAAGGGACATGAGACCATAGCCTACCGACACACATCCAAAACCAACTTTTATTTATTTTTGACACCAAATATATTGACACGGGTGAGATGACAACAGTTATTATCGTAAATTTCGGTACTGGAAAATTTTCGGTTTATCACCCAGCCCTAATAACTGCCAGTATTTCATGCACATTTAATACTATTGTACTATTGTACATGGTTATGTTAGCCAGAAACATGTTTCAGTGGATTTAGAATAAGTTCATGGCACATTGATGTCAGAGGCAAAATTTAACTCCATTATTCCATTCATAATAACAGAAACAATTTAAACTGGATCAGCTTTGATTTGGGATAGAAATAATGTGTCATCATTTGAAATGAACTGACTTTGACTTAGCGATTAACTAAAGTGAAAAGACTTGAAACAGTGGAAACTGGTAATATGTTTGTTTTGTGAATAATTCATAATAACCATGTTTTTGTGCAACAAGTTAAAGCTGTTTCTTGGCATGCTGTGGTGTCTTTCTAGAGTTTCAAGGAAACCAACACAAGCTTTGCAAATAGATTTTGCTCTCCAGCCTTACAGTGATCTCTACCAGCGATAGCAGTGTGAATGAAAGTGCTTCAGAGGTGTACAGGGAGGAAGATTTTGAGTACTGGAAGTAAGCCATGCCAGCTTTATGCAATGCCAAGCTAACCGTCTGCTGGAGGGTATGAAGGGTGTTATAATTTATCTGATACTCAACATTGAACCTTAAACTGAACTTGTTACAACCCCAGCTTCTAATATGCTTGCAGATTTCTCAACGGAAGCTTAAAGTAAATCAATCAGGAAAAGTGTTTATTTATTTATTTGTTTTTCTGGGTACTTCCTTACCAGGCGGCTCTGTCCCAGCCTGAAAAAGACATCACACTCTGTAGTGAAGGCGAACATGTGAGTTCCAGTGAACCCAACGGCGATTTGAGGAACTAAACAGATTTTTCCAAAAAAGCTGTTTATTTTTGTTTGGCTGCCACTCTCGCATGAACTCCTCAGTGACAGAAAACCATGTGATATCTTACACAGTTGTTATGTAATCGTTGAAAAAACTAAGAGACTATCTATTCCGGATGTTTTCAGCGTTTCTGAAAATGAATGTTGATTTGATTTTGTCGGCCTGAAACAAAGCTTTGTTTTCTTTTTGCCATTTTCAGAAAAACCATGACCTCAAAAAAAAAAATTGTTCCTCTCTATTTCAACGACCTTCTTCAACAGTGTTGTTGAGCTTTTCATCAAAACTTTTCAAGAATGACTCATCCAACTATTTTTGGCACAGAAGATAATGAGATTGAAGAGATGCTTGTGTTTTGGGTTTGTCCTCTCAAAAATGTGGTATTTTCATATTTCTTTTGCTTTGTTGAGTTTTCTTGATTTTTTACTCAATAGCTTAGTGTCTTTGAGAAGTTTTGAACAGCACTATTACTTTAATGAGAAGTGATTATTTTCAGTACATGAGGGAAGCTTTCCTCTTTTTTTTTTTTTTGTCTTTTTGATGCCTTAAAAGCCTCCCTTTCTTTTCCTTCCAGAAACAGAACTCAACCAGCGGCACTTTTTAAATTTAGACTGGATTTCATGTTCTTCGAATTTTGCTAATGTTAGGAAAAAATGTCACAAGTTGTAGTTTGAGCCTTCGTACTTTCTTTGTGTCTGTATCTTATCTCTCTTGACCACTTCTTTCGTTGAAACCAGAACCTTTTTGCTTTCGGGGATGTAGACGACAAAGGGGTCGGCGCCAAGCTGCAGCATCCTCTTGGTGTTGCCTGGTCTCCCGAACAAAGCCTGCTCTATGTGGCCGATTCCTACAACCACAAGGTAAGTGTTGCATGTCACAAGGCCTCAGTTTAGAACAGTAATGGGCTTTGCTCCTGTTATCATAGAGGCTACATGCAGCTTGTATCTTTTGATCTAAAAGCACACAGACATTGTACGGAACATGAACTCTTTTTTTTTTTTTTATCAGATCAAGGTGGTTGATCCAAAGACGAAGCAGTGTAGCACATTAGCAGGGACTGGAGAGGCTGGAGACACTCTTGGCCATGAATTCAACAAATCCTGCTTCAATGAACCCGGGGGACTCTGTGTTGGCGACAGTGGGAAGCTTCTTTATGTGGCTGATACCAACAATCACCAAATCAAAGTGCTGGACCTGACCTCCAAGACTGTCTCTCTGGTCAGACCTGTGTGTGTGCGTGTGTGTGTGTGCGTGTGCGTGTGTGTGTGTGTGCATTAGAAAAGCTCATTTCCACATATGAGGGCGCACTAAAGATTTTATTCCTCTGTATGTGATTTACTCTCCTAAAAGCTTTTGCGCTTCAAGCTTCTGGTTACAAATAAAAGACATTTAAAGTGCTTCCTCTTTGACCCCTCCAACCCAAACGTATATATATCTCTCTCTCTCTCTGTCCAGTTCCCCATCTCCATGGACTGCACAGACTCAGTACCTTCAAAGCCTTCAGGTCCCACCAAAGCTGCCAAGCTACCCAAATCAGCTCCCAGGAAAGAAATGGCACCAGTGACTGTGTGTGCGGGCCAAACTCTTGTCATGTCGCTCACACTATCTCTTCCAAAGGAGACCAAGCTCACAGAAGAGGCCCCCAGCTGCTGGACCCTGTCCGCAGAGGGTGAGACAAAAACACCCACACTGTTACAAAAGGCACAGATCAAAATGTTAAATTCAGATTTTCACATAAATTTATTTTTAGATGCACATGGAGGTCTGTTATTTAGTCTCATCTGTGGCTTGCACTGATTTTAACATCCAAATTCAAAGACTGTTTATTATGATATTGACTCGACAAAAAAGGCATCTCCTTCACGCCTCATGTTGAAAGTGAGGCTGAGTCTATCAGAGGTAAAGACGAGGAGAATTTCACTACTCGATGAAGGACCAAGACTGTGTGAGGAAATAGTTCAGCAATTTCAGAATAATCTCTGTTTTCAGCGTAAAATTGCAAAGAATTTGGGGAATGTCATCATCTTCAGTCCATAATATTGTCATGGAGATTCAGATTCAGAAAATTTGTGGGTTATGCTTTACAAAAGAGGCAAGCTCATGATCTGCATTAAAAACAGACATGACTCTACGGTGGGAATCACTGCATAGGCGCAAAAACACTTCTAAAATCGTTGTCTTTGAATACAGTTGATTAAAACTGTACTGTGCAAAGAGGGAAACAAACATAGATATTATCAGGAAACACTGGTGACTTCTCTAGGCTTAAGCTCATCTGAAATGGACTGAAGCTCAGTGGGAAACTGTCCTGATGAATCAATATTTGACCTTATTTATGGAGATCTGGAGGCTTTGTCCGTCCCTTTCCAGAGGAGATTACCCAGTCAAGGAGTGGCCACAGCATGGATAGCGTACACATCTGGCTAATCCTGAACAAGTAAACAGATTTTTAAGCAAGACCTTGCATATTTATGCAAAACAATGCCAATCTGCATTGGCTCCGTAGTAGACGAGTCCAGATGTCCAGATATCTCATCCATCGAAAACATTTGCTGCATCATGAAACAAAAAAATTCTGATTAGCAGAAATCCTTTATCAGGCAGAATGGGACAACATTTCACTCCAGGAACTGGTGTCCTCGGGCTCCCAAACATTTGCAGAGTGTTGTTAAAGGGAGAACTGATTCAACAGTGTAGTTAACATGCTCCTGTCCCATCTTTTTTGAAACATGCATTGAATCTGAAATAAGCATATCTAAAACACAAACACACACATGCAGATGTTTGGACTTTAGGGTTAAAGAACATGAAAATAGACTTTGTGTGGAAAGGTTGCTTTTGCTTCAGCCGTATACCCTCTGTAACTGATTTGGTCTATAATCAGAAATGATAAAAGGGGATTTTGCTGAAGCTTCATTCTCTGCACAACAAGCAGACTCTCTCTGTCACAGCATCAGTTTATCATTCTCAGCATGACTAGCTGAGCTCAGAGAGGGACAGTGAGTTTTTGGAGTTGACAATAAAAGATACGATTCAAACAGCTCTGAGGCTTTGTTCGCTGTTATTAAACGGGGAACCGACAAAGTCTGACCCATGGCTTGAGTGTGAAGTGACTGGAGATATCATGCGGTGTGTGGCCCATTCATTAGGTTTGGAACCGAAGTGTTTCCGTCATTCAGAGCGATGCTGCATGCAGTCAGTGGATATCAGTCGGCTATTTTTAGAACATTTTGATAAGACGACATGCCTTGGTTCACATAATTAGCTAACAGGCTATGTTACGTGATCCGCCGCTGTCCGATTATACTCAGTCTAGACTAATGCTGATCACATCAGAGCACAGGCAGGAATTTTAATGGATCAAGTTTAAACAGAACAAAATATCTAAATTGTTTTTTAGTTGTTTTGTTTTTTTAAATAGCGTTCCTGGGACTTCATGTTAAGCATCAGCTCCATTAATCACTGCTGGCACAGATTTGACACTCTCTCTGGCACAGAGTTTTCTCTCACAGTTGAAGTCAGAGGCTGTCTTTCACGACTTTCATTCATCTTTCAGCGGTCCAAACTCTTCAAATGCGTGTCTGTTTCTAAAAATATCCCTGTGTTTCAGCACAGTCATGTCCTCATTCTCTCTCTATTTGATTCAGGAGGTTGTTTGGGTTTCTGGCTAACGTTGTAGAGGACTCCATTTGGAACTGCTCAGACTTAAGATGGAACGCAGGAAGCACCTTGTTGCACTCAATTTCCAAAATTAGATGTCAAAGAGACATTTTCGTACAAACACAGGGCATCTCTGCTCTTTCAGAACAAAGCCCAATGTGCTCTTGTTTTTAGCAATGCAAGGAGTGTGTGTCAGGGGATGGCAAGGTCAGTCGGTCTGCCCCCCAACCGCTATTGGACAGATTGCCGCGATATCTTGTTCAGACAGCCACTGTTCTTGGAGGATAAATCTCAGGGATGTTATTGATTAGAAAACATGTTGTCCAGCTTTAGGAGGGCAGGACATTTTTATAGTTCTGAGCGACATATTTTGTTTGATGAATTGCCATGACATTTTCTAGTGACCTAGAGCACAATCATCAGGTCACATCTTACCTTTGTCTAGGCTGACCATATTCTGACTTCCTCTTTAACGCAGGGGCGGAGTCACGGAGTCGCAAAAAGTTAATTTTGAGAGTTTTTGGGTTGGCTCGAGTGTCTTTCAGGCGCTTTTAACTCAGTAACTTGTGTCAGTCACATGACACAAACTAGAAACAAACATGTACAAAACCGCGAACATTGGAAGGATTTTATGAACTTTCCCGGACAAACCCGGACAGCCCCCCATAAAGAAGACATGTTAGTGTGAAAGAGGACGTATGGTCACCTCTTATTTTCAACCAAACTTATCAAGGCTGGAAATATCAGAACAAATCATCTAATCCTGAAATTATTGAGGTGAAATCTCTGAATCTCCTCCTCTATCAATAATAAACAGAATCAACAGTGGTTCAAGCCTTTTTAGTCTTTATAGCACACAAAAAAACACCTGAAGTCGACCCACAGTTCTAAATGAATCATGTCTCTCTGCCTATTAACTGTTAATTATTGGCATTACTTTTTTTGTTTGTTTGAATTAAATTTAAAACTGTTTGATTAAAATAATAATGAATAAAAGCTTTAACTTTCTCTGAATTTGATTTTCTGGAATGTCGCTATCTCTTCATTTTCTGACTTTACTGCGGAATAGGAGCCAGTGCGGTAAGATGGATCACAGACAACTTGAGCAAGAGCGAACAGACTTTGTAGATTGGAATTAATTTGTGGTTCTTTATGGATATGATGTGTTTAGATTAAATCTTTGACTGGACTTAGATCTCGATTTTCGGAGACCCTCCGTGACACAGCAGGAGGGGGCTGTCAGACATTCAACAGTTTTTACCGTTAGTGTTCATTTTTGTTAGCGAGGTTAGCAACACATGATATAAGACAAAGAGATCATATATAGTGAGTGAGTTATTATGGTAGATTGTTACTCTGACATGGTGAGCAGGGCTCAGATGCATAGAGATTCGCGTGTTGTAACAACCTGCTCACCATACATTAACTCACTGACTGCCTTTTGATGACAGTTTTTTTTCCCTGTTTTCACAGGTAACGATTGGCTGCTGGGAGGCGAGGAGGTCACTGGTGACATCTTGGACCTGTCAAAGCCCCTCACCATCTCAACCAAACTTCCAGCTGATATAAAGGACTCAAACAGCAACCCAAGCCTCACTCTGAGTGTGTGGGTGTACTACTGTATGGAAACAAGCAACACCTGTATGATGAAAGCTGCCTCCTTCACCCAGCCTCTTCAAATAAGTGTCGACCACATAGATGGAGACATGACTGTGGTGTTTGCTCATGCTTTCTAAAGGCCACTGACAGTTCAAGTCACAGTACCCACTCTAAACCATCAGTTGTACTTTCTGCTAATTCCACCTCCTGTTTTTTAAGTCATCAGTAAGCAGAGAGCACAGGTTGTTTCTGACCGTCACTTCTGACAAAAACGCAGTTCATACAAATTGGATTTTCAGGGGAATTTAATTTCCGACTACTCAGAGGCCTTTACCTCGAAAACATAATGCATCACTACGGTTATTCATAAAGAAACAAATGGGTGCTTCCCCAAGGATACTCGAAACACTGCTCAGAACAACCACAGACAAAAATTTCTGTAGGAAAGTGTGAATTAAATTTGAGGAAAAACAAGTGGTTTTTATTTTTTAAGAGACAGTGATTCAAGAAGTTGCCTTGTGTATTTCACACCGTGACGGGACTAAGAAAATACAGACAAAAGATTTTTTCAATCTGTTTAAAAAAAGAGTATTTAATCTACAACTTCAAAAAAGTAATTTCCAAAAACATGAGTTCTAGGGAGTGTTGCTCTGCTGCGCTTCACAAAAGCATTGCTGTTAAGTGCTTGAATAGAGCTATGGACAGTTTTACACAACAAAAAAAGAGGGCCAGAAATCAGGAGTCTCCCTACAGAAGAGACCTGTAGCCAGGGGTTTGACATGGTAGCCTTGTTTTTAACTTCAGCTGTCTTTAACATTGTATACTAACACCAATAACTGACTATGATTAAAAACTTCACGTTACTCATAGCTGTGTATGAGACAATGTTAACCAGCTGTGTTTACAGATTTACCAACAGCTTTATGCTAACATCTGCAAACTTGATAGAAGTTTTGAATATAACTGAAACTTGAATAATCTCTTCTTAACTTACCCATCACATGGATATCAAAAACTCTAAAGAGGATCCTTTTAGACTCAGGTCTGTTCAATACAATAAAGAACACAAAGCTAAGATGTTGAAAAGCTTTGACCGGGAAATAGTTAATTTTTCATTTTCTTTCTCCTTGAAATTTGGACATTGCTCACCACATTTGACTTTCTTTCTCAAAGTGTGTGATGAAAAACAATTGTCCTCCTTTTTCTCATCCCTGACCCTCAGAACTCTACCATAAATCTCAATCCAGAGACAGATAAAGAAAGCAGAAGAAGACTGGTGAAACATAGAGGTCATCTCTTTAGAGACTCATGTTTGTCATATCATTTGCAAATACAGAAGTCTAGCGTCAGGGTATACAATTTTACAATTCTTTTTTTTTTTTATTTCCATATACTGCTGTGGTTTCTTTAGTGTATAGTTTGGATGGTGCCTTCAGGTGCACTAGTTCTTGCTTCGGTTAATATATTTGTGCACTTTTTTAAGGTTTCACCCATAGCTTTATGTGTCTTCACCCTCCCTGTATGGCTTATTTTACTTTTGTCTTGCATTATTTATGCCACAAAGAGCCTTTTTGTTTCAGTTCATGAAATATTGTTCTCATCTCAGTAATGAATAAAGTGCCTGTTCTCCTTTAGTGGTAGCGACCTCCTGCAAATTGATTACACAGACTGCTCACTGTGAGAGATATTGCATTAAGGAAGTCTTATTTAAAAGCTCTCTTTGCAGAATTGAAACACTTCATCTGCAGATGAGGAGATGCTCTGTTGATGTAATATGTTTGAAAATTTGTTCTGGATGTTGTCATTTTAGTTTTCAGAGTTATGAGCTGTCGTCAGAAATGAGCCTGAGAGTAATTTGATTATCATCGCTGTCAACATGTCTCACATCATAACTGTTCTTTTAGACTGTTTGTATGTGGTTTGGCACACTCAGACTGAATGCCTTGTGAGGAGGTGCTACTGTACGGATGGAGAAAAACTGATGATGTATCAAAGCAATAATAGTTTGGTTATGGGAAAGGTGTTTTATTCCCACAGGTTATTTATTTCAAATGAACTGCAGATAAGTTGCTCGCAGGATTTCTCATCATTCTGCTATTTTTGAACCAGAATGAGTTTGGGTTGCTTCCTCTGGACATAAAGTTCTTAATATTTTTTTCATTTATTCAGTTCTCATCTGGTTTCCTCTTGCTGCACCACCTTTTGGGGCATGATTTGTTCCTCTCTGGGACTCTGTGTGTTACTACTCCTCAATTCTGCACTTTAAAATGCAAAATAAACATTTTTATGGTCTAGTTTGTGTTTGAATGATGAGAATTGTTTTATTTCTTTATATATATATATATATATATATATATATATATATATATATACAACATTTTAGAGTCTGGTCTCTTCCCACTTAGCAGTAGATTAGCAATATTAGACTTGAGTTTTTTTTTTTTAACCTAATTTCAGCCGTCTAGATTCTGTATATTTTAGAGGGAATTTAGACGTTGCACTTTAACCCATTATTCCATAACTATTTATTTCAAATAGCAACTGTGAGTTGCATAACTGATCTCCAAGCACTAAACAAAATAATTATAATAGCCATTGAGCAATATACAGTGTTGTATAGCCCAGATTTAGACTTGGTCTACACTTGGTCTAATTTTAGACATCTAAAAAACTTTCATTTTTTGGACCTGTGATAGCCTGATTTTAGACCAGCTGTCTAGGCTAAAATTTATATATCTTTTAGACCAAGAAATGCTCAGTGGGTTAGCATAACTACATTAAGAATATAAACATGTTCAAACACATGAGCCTTTCTCTGTAGGATTTTTTTTTTTTACTTTTCAGGTGTGAACTTTCATAAATCTGATAGATGTCTCCTTTTAACATGATCCTCCGACTCATAAAATACAGCAAGTAGAGTAAGCACCATTTCTGTCACTAGAAATGTGCAAAGCTTTCACTTGTTTCAGTAATGACCACTTCGCAGGGGTTTTGGATATAAACAAGCTATGCATTATAAAGTTTTAAAGAGAAGTCTCTATGTCTAACCCAAATTCCAAAAAAAGTTGAGTGGCTGTGTAAAATGTTGAAAATCATTAAAAGTCTGCTTTCAACTTAAAACAGTGGAAAGACCATATACTGAATTTTGAAACTGAAAAATGTTACTGATATATTAAAAATATAACAGCTCATATAGCAGCTCATTTTAAACGTGATACCAGCTGCACATTTCAAAACCAGTTTGGACAGAGGCATGTTTACAATTGTGTTGCATCACCTCTTCTTTTAACAACTCTGTGTACATTTTGGAGCCGGCGGAGACCAGTTGACGTTTGGTGAGTGAAATGTCCCCATTCTTGCATGAAATAGGATTTCAGCAGCTCAACAATTCAGGGTTTCATTTTGTCAAGATGTACCAGATATTTTCAGTATGAAACATGTTGGGACTGCAGGTGGGCCAGTCTTACACCCTCACTCTTCTTCTGCAGAGCCATACTCTTGTAGTTTTGCATCCTCTTTTTCTGTGAAAATGCATTGTCAGGATGCCAGAGATGCTGTCTAACAGCCATGGTGCCTCCCCAGATGTATAGACTTCCTCCCTCCCCCTTATACAATATCCATGATTTCCAAAAAGAAAATCTTTGTGTTTTAAGATGAACTTGTGGGCCTTTATTTTCAAAGGACAGCTTAAAAGGAACTTGAAATGTGGGAGGAGAGAGGAAAGAAAGCCATTTGACACAGCAGCCAAACCCTTATGGAAAATTGTAAGTATAAAACATGACCAAAATTAGAAAGACCAAAACACAATGACAAAGAAATGAAAGCTGTCAGGACTGGACTGTATTTTTTATTTCTCAGAGATACCCCAAAAACCAAAGACTTACATTAATATCATCATTGCATTGTCCAGTATTTTTCTGTTGAAGTTGACCTTGTCAGCACAGGAAACAAGCCAAATACACAGAACAAACAGCCTCTCGTGGTAGGAGGAGCCATCAATCACCACACCTGATGTGATGGAGGACAAAAAAATAAAGAGATAAGGCTTTGGCTGTTTGTGTTTTTCTCACCGGGGTCAACAAACCCAATGAAAAGACAAGCAGTGCCTTACACCATCTCTCAACACCTTCTGACCTCCCTGCCCGGTCTCTGGCAGTCAGGCCCCGGACCAGTCTCTTGTGCTGAAGCATGACCTGTTTTAAAATAGATCAAGAGCGTGCAGCTGAATTTATTCATATCAAAAAGGAAAATTTCAAAAATGGCTGAGGACATAAACTTTGTTTGCAAACTAAGGTCACAGATAAGTTAGCTGAGGGAGTAAATCCAACATCGTGTGCTTTTTGCTGGACTTTTTGCATAATTGCATACCACTGGAACAGTCCACCTTAATTAACATCAGGAAATGGTTAAATGTAAAGGTGTAGAATTGTGTAAAGGGTAAAACTCTATTGTCTTTGCACTGAGCATTGATTTATCATAAAGTACCACAGCAGTTTTAACAACAGTTAAACCTACAACCTTGACATGGTGACATAATGGAAAATAGCAGCTGTGTTAACATATTTGTTGGATAGTACACAATGTTTTTAGACACCTCTCAAAGGGCTCTTTTAAGGTTGTAAACACTCCAGAGTATGCATTCAACTTTGTAACTGTGAATGGGGTTATTTTAAAAAAAAAGTCATCATCATCTCTCATCTGAATCTCTGACTGTGATCTCATCCCTCTGTGCTCCTCAGCTGCTCCTCTCGCTGTCTTTCTGACAGCATCGTTAACCCTGGCTGCTGTCTTTGCTGGCAGAGGCCACACACACACACACGCACACACACATACACACGTATAGACAAAGCCTCGATTAACATGTGCCCACTGGAAAAAAAAAGGCTTTTTGCACTGGCGCACTGACACATTCATAGGTCAGAACTGTAATTAAGAGGTGCCATTTCCTCTGCTTTCTTCTAGGGATGACCTACATAGTCATATGACAGATTAAAATAAATCCACATTTTAAAATTATAAGCAAACCTCTCAAATTAGCCTCAAGGATTCTGGTTCAGAATGATCAGATAAGAGCAACCAAGGGGAACACATCTTCTTTTAGTAGCACAAAAAGGCTTATATAAACTTTCTCAAGGGCTTGTAACCACTCTTATGACACTCATATGATGCATAAAGCTACGTTTAAGTGTTGTTGACCCTTTAAAGTGTGAAAGATAAGAGGAGAGATTTATGACTGGAGTTACGTAACGATGTTTGCATGGAATTTGGGCTAAAAGTTAAAACCATATGGAGGTTAAAGAGAGGGAAATTATTTTTTCAGGCGTTTAATATGAAATGAGATATTTGTGCTCTCTTCATTCTGGCTGAGTGGGCTCTATTAATATTGGATCTGCGCAAGAGATAAAATGTGATTACCTAATAATTTCAACCTGTGAAACAACGTGGGAAGAATGCTAAAAAGCTCAAAAGTTTTACGCTAAGGAGTCCCCTCACTTTACCTTTTCACATCATACCAGTTTGTCCTTCTCCTGCATGCGAGCACTTTGAAAAATGAAATCGGCTTTGACCTTTGACTTTGGCTGGTGTTGACATAAGAGGTCAAGCTCCCAAGTCAAGTTGAACAGGCTCCACTTCTCAGTATTCTGGTTTGTGCAACTTTGCATGCAGATATGTGGGAGGTAGCTGCTGTTCAACGGTTAAGAGTACTTTGTTGTCATGCTTTTGTAAAAGCGAGGGAACGATTGTACAATAATATGAAAATCTGAAGAGGTGCAAATGCTATAAATGTTGCCTCCAAGAGACACCAGTCAAGCAGAAGAGATGAGATTGTGCTGTAAGAGTCTGAGAGTGATATCTCTGAGGTAACTACACTTGATCTGCTTGAAATCCATCATTCATCCACCTGAATCTCCTGCCTTTAATAGTATCCGTCCCTGCAGGTTGGGTTTTATTTCTGAAGATTTTACAGTTGAAATTATATTTTGAAAGTTTAATACAACAAATCATATTTGTTATGGTTTACAGTTTACATTTGATCTCCCTCAGACATTCAGCAGACATTCAGCAGGGCAGGAGCCGGGATTTCAGAAGATCTTATGTCATGAGACCAAATCTTCCCAAGGCAGACCCCTGAGTCCAACACAAATATAATTCATTTCCCACACTACCAGGGGTAAACAGCGGTGGGCAAACATTGGCTCTACTTTTATTTTGATGATTTATTTGATTTGTTGGTCTAAAATAAGTCAAAATTTAAATACATATTTTAACCCTTTAATTACTTGTTTTTCCAGTCACACACACTGAACGTGTGTTGGAGGCTGAGTTTTGATTAAGTCGGTTTAAAATGATATTTGTACGTGGATTCAGGTCCAATAAAACAAGGGAATATTTTACAGCCAAGCACCCTTTGTAACTCAGAAAGTGGCCTTTCTAAAGGCTTATAGCTGGTTAATAAAACCTGAAAAAATGATTTACAAAGTGCCCTAAAGTTGATGCATTAACAGAAAGCTCTTTGCCACATTTTTCAGATTTCCTGAAGTAAAATTTATGCATGAAAAGGTCAAAACAAAGGGAAACAATGCCTATATGGATGCCACTGTTCAAGGATATCACACCATAATGAAGCTAGATAGTAGCAAGCTGTCTGTTTGTTCCTAATTCATGATATGCAAGTATTTGTAGAGTATCACAGAATCGCCCTGCAGCCTGGTGGCTCATTTCAGCCTCCTGACCTCCACATGATCGAGACTCCTTGAGGTCTACAACCCTGTTACGTCTCTGTTGACTCTAAGGTGAGCTCTGTTATGTTGGGTCAGGTCGTGTCTGTCCCTCTGGCTGTGGTTCATCAAGTTCACAAACACGCATGTCAATCGGCACAGAGAAAAAACAAAAGGCTTCGACTGTGTCATCGATCTTTGTTCATCACAAGGCCCGTGAAAGGCCTCCTCTTATAATGAATATTTATGTCCGAGTGTAAGTATTTGAAAGTCTTGCATTTCCATCAGAAAGGTGTTTTGAAATATGTGGAGGGTGCAGTCAGGTTTCATTTCTACAAACTGTTAAATGAGTCCATCTGTGTCTTGGTCTCTGTTAGTGTTCATCTTTTTAAATTTGTTGGCATCTGGATTCAAAGTCTAGAAAACTGTATGAATTTCTTCTTAACCTGTAATTTTAGATCAAAGCAGATGTCTTTGTACCAATCTAAGCACCAGTCTGATTCTCCCTGTTTCTGACCTGATTCTGCCTATTTAAAGGAAGTTCTCCTGGGTTCCTCGGGGTGAAAGAGAGTCTGGTCTATGACTCAAAATCTTTAAAAACATGGGCACTTGATGTTTAGAACCATGAGAGTCTTCAACCATTATTTGGCGCTCTAAAAGTAAAACCTGATTAAGTAATAGTTGAGGGATTCTAATGACCCCGGGTAGACTTGGACACTTTGTTTCTGTAATTCTGCACATAATGAATAGTCTGGCTGCAGGTCAATAGCTAATTTAAACTGTTTTATGCAATCTAGATGCAGATCTGTGACCAGTCCTGACCTCATGATCCTGGAATGTATTCTTTGTGTTAAAAATATAAAACGGACAAGTGGAATAACAAATCTTGTTTGTGATGGCAAGTGATAAAACTGGGAAATCCCTGTAGTTCATGATGCCATAGTGGATTGTAGATTTCCATATTTGGATTCTCATGTTCACAAAAATTGCAGATTTTGGGCAGACTGGTCACAAACAGTGTCAGGTAGTTTTTTTGATATTCTTTTTAAGCCAAAGTTTTATTGGGTATGGTGGCCGAGAACCGCCACTGCTGCAAATAAAAAAGAATGCAAAAAAAAGAAGTCACGATGGAAGTTACCGCTGCAAAAAAAAAAAGGAAGAAACCAAAGGCCGCTGCAAATAAAAAAGAAAGAGTGCAGATAAAAAGAAAAGCCACAAAAGAAGTTAATGACGCCCAAAAAAGTGGCAATGCAAAAAAAAAAAAAGAAAAAAAGTTACTTACTGCCAAAAAACAAATGAAAAAAAAAAAAAAAAGCCCCATTGGAAGTGCACTGCCAGGGACCAATAATGATGATGCACAGGTGTTTTAGGATCTAGGCACAGGAGACAACGGCGAGACAACAAGCAAAGAAGTAAGTGGAAAGGTTATTGTTTAATTTCACTTCGTGAACTTTTCATTGTGTCATGTGGTTAGGCCATTTAGCGCCTGAGTTGATATGAAGTTGAACTGGAGGATGCTGGTGTAGTGTTAGCATTAGTTCAACTTCATATCGACTCAGGCAGTATCATCATTATTGGTCCCCGGCAGCTCACTTCCAATGTGGCTTTTTTATTTGCATCCTTTTTATTTTTGCATCAGTAACTTCCATTATGAGTTCTTTTTTTTTTTTTTTTTTTTTTTTGCATTCTTTTTTTATTTGCAGCAGTGGCGGTCCTCGGCCACCATAATTGTGAATTACATGTAAAATATTCAAAAGAAAACACAACTATTTTGGGGGGGTCAGGAATCATTATTTACTCAATAAAGGTATAGGCCTTTTTATTTTGCCCAAAATCTGTGCCAATTCTGGCATAACTTTGGAAATCTTCAGGAGCTTCAAGAAAGAAAAGCAAACCAGTACAATAACAAAGAATTAATCATCACAATGTTCTTATACTATTTGGATCTTCTTTGAGTGCATATTTGATGAATAAAAAGGAAATCAACCCCCATATTTCCTATAGTGTCCTAACAAGAGATGAAAACGTTCAATACAAGAAAAAAGTGTAGTTTTACACCATTCCCTGGATGGATTTCATATATTTAAAAAGTCGTGGGGAATCAGGGATGATACTTTTACATTTTACATTTTATACAGACAAATCGCTGCAAAAAAAAAGGTGCCCAATATTTGACCATGTGCCTTAAGCCAAGTGTTGAATGTTAAATCCCTGAATCTTAAATCCAGGTGTTGTTTGCTCCATCAGCTTCATTGTTGAGAATTTGCTGAGAGGCTCTGATTGGTCCTGAGGAGCTCTGATGTCACCACCTGCTTTGATGTCCCGGCCAGTGCAGCAGCTCGCGCAGGCTGAAGCAGAGAGAGGAGCTCCAGGTGGAGTTGGTGCGCGACGGGGGTAGAGACCAGAGGCTGGTGCAGACAGACAGAAAGCTGCCTTGCACTTGCCTGGATGAACCCATCCTGGTCCGACACTCAGCGCAGCAGCCCGTCATGGGAGACGGTGGCGCGTCCTCGCCGGTGAACTTCCAGAATGGCTCCAGGAACGGAGCGTCGGACGCACCGGGCTCCAATACGGCCGCGTCCGAGCAGTGGATGGCAGGGATGAGCCTGGTGATGGGTTTGATCGTCCTGTGCATCGTATTTGGGAATATTCTTGTGATTATAGCTATAGCCCGGACTCAAAGGCTGCAGACGCTCACTAATGTTTTCATTGTGTCCCTGGCAAGTGCGGACCTTATTATGGGGCTGCTGGTGGTGCCGTTTGGCGCCGCGCTCGAGGTGCGCGGCTCCTGGCAGTATGGTTCTTTTTTCTGCGAATTCTGGATCTCTGTGGATGTCCTCTGCGTCACCGCCAGCATCGAAACCTTGTGCGTTATCGCCATAGACAGATATGTGGCCATCACGTCGCCTTTCCGCTACCAAAGCTTGTTAACCAAAGCTCGCGCCAAAGCGGTGGTGTGCATAGTCTGGGCCATCTCTGCGCTCGTGTCCTTCCTCCCCATACTCATGCACTGGTCCCGGGACAGCGTGGACACAGCCTGCTACGAGGACCCTGAATGCTGCGACTTTGTCACAAACAGAGCGTACGCCATCTCCTCATCCATCATTTCTTTTTACATTCCACTTCTAGTCATGATTTTTGTTTACGCCCGAGTGTACAGAGAGGCCAAAAAGCAGCTGAGGAAAATCGACAAGTGCGAGGGTAGGTTTCACAACACATTAACCGGCCTGACCTCCAAGTGCAAGAAGAGGCCGTCCAAGATCCTCGCACTCAGGGAGCAGAAGGCGCTTAAAACGCTGGGTATCATCATGGGGACATTCACTTTGTGCTGGCTGCCTTTCTTCATTGTCAATGTGGTGCGGGTGTTTAGCGCGGATATGGTGGACAAGGACCTTTTCGTGTTCCTAAACTGGCTGGGGTACGTGAACTCGGCTTTTAACCCCATCATTTATTGCCGGAGCCCGGACTTCAGGAAGGCTTTCAAGAGGCTGTTGTGCTGCCCGAGACAGGCCGACCGCAGGCTGCACATCAGCTCCTGCGACTTGTCTCGGTGCTCCGGTGGGTTTGTCACGGCTCTGGAGCCCGGCGCGCTGGGGATGTGGTCGGATTGCGGCACTTTGGATAACAGTGACAGCAGCCTGGTGGGGGGCGTAAAACTGTCACACTCTGAATCTCAGCTGTGAAGGAACATTAGGAACAAACTTTTCGTGAGATCACAAGAAATGTGGACTAAAACAGGCGTTTTCTTTTTTTAACATGAGGACATTTTGGGAAAGGTTTGCGCACGGGTCGTACCTTGCATAATTGAGCCTATTTTTATGTCTTTCAAAGCCATATTTGAAATTGAGAACCAGGGTAAAATGGGCATATCTTGAAAGTTTAGATAGATCATCAAATTCACCAAAAAAGCGACCTTAAAATGGAGTTAGGGGGATTGAGTTAAAAGATAAAAACAGCAGACGCAGGTACTAAAACATTCAATTCAAAGAAGTAGGTATGTACTTTTATCCTTTAAATTAAGTCTGGATGAAAATTGTTTCCCAAAATGACGCCTCAGGCGCACCGTAACTAATATTTAAGCTCTGGACAGGCTGAGATAGACTGTTTGTCGGGGTGACTGTACTGTAGTCCTGTAGTGCTCACAATGTGTTCCACCGTTTTACCTCACGGCCATCGACAAGTGCAATTTGTACAGCAGGTATTTGTTTATATTAAACATTAATGTAAATAAAAAAAGAAGTGTATTTATTCCACGCTGTCCTTTTACAACTCTGTGATTAATCGTGGGGCTGAATCCCACTCTCTTTGTACATATTAGATTAAGTGGTGTTTAGTACTGAAATGAGGAATTTGAGCCTCTCTCTTTGTCTTTCTCCTTTAAGCTTTACATGCTGTTGTCAGGTGGTGTGTTTACTCCTGTGAAATAAAAGGATGTTCTATTGTTAATGATACTGTTTGGGCTTTTTTTTGGATTTCTATTCCCACCTATACCTTAAACCTTATCACTTAAAAGCCCTAAAAGAAATAGTTTCACTCTGTTCTGTGTGCACGGCTTTCTTCACAAACAACCTGGGGAGAAAATGACACCAGAGGTAAACAGTACAGCTGTGTTGTGCAGGATTTGTGCCATTTGCTGGAAGTGTGTGATTGTTGGGCTGCTGGGAGCAGCTGGAATCTGATTGGCCCCTGTGGAGAGATGAGTCACTTAAGTCTGATTTTTCAACCTTAGATTTGATACACACCTGTGCTCAATTCGTTGTCATGATTGAAGTGTTCACATGTTCAATTTAATATTGCCATGTTCAAAAATACATTCAGTTGCACCTGTTTGTAAAGTACAGCCCAAAACTGCTATATTTTTATTTGCTCTGGACAGAGGACATGTTTCCATACATTTTATACACCCTATTTTCCAATATAATGATAACACTTCTGTAGGCTTTCTGGAAACCTCGACCCATTTATCTCAAAATTTTGGGAAAAAACTAGTTCCCCTTTTTAATTGAATAAGTTCCAATCTAGTTTTTGTCAGATCCCAACTAATTTTCTCTTTGATTCAGAAGGAAAAACTAAATTTTTACATACTGTACATCAGATAAATTTACCTCTTTATTTCACATGATTGGCTTATTTTCTCATGATCTAGTAAACAAACCAATGGGCTGGACTCTGTGATTGGCAAGACAATGACATAATCGTGCTGCTATTGCCCTCACAAACGAGGTGAGTTGAGTCTCTTTTTAGGGTTTTGAGCTTCTGCAGCTCTGGGAACCAGCTGAGATCTCATGAAAACAGCTGAAAGTTACCTGTTGTGGAAATAGAAAGTAAGGTGTATGCATGGCTACTCAAAGCCTCTGTACATTGTAAAAAAAAACTAAAGCAATGTTGCCTTTGGGCTTTTAGAAGGAGTGGATAATAACTTGAATTAGTTTGGTTCATATTGGTGTTTATATGTACATTTAACATCTGTTAATCTGTGCTCTTTGACCTTTAGGTTTGACAGCTTATAAACACTGGATCCTACTTTCACTGTAATGCAAGTAGATTTGGTTTTTCATTAGATTGATGCTAAAGTCTCTGTCAGAAGACATTGCATCTCCAGGGTTATATTTCCTGGCTGCAAACATATCATAAAGCTGTTTTCACGGGTTATCTTTGATCAAAAGTTTAATAAAAATGCTCCTTCAAGGTTATTAAAACTATTTTAACCTTCACTAGGACCAAAATGATAAAATAGCATAAGATCCAGCCAGGCTGAAATATGTCTTTGAGCTCTGTGTTTAGCTCTTCGAGTGATGTCCTCTTCAGTATGCTATTTTAATGTTTCATCATCCACTCCTCCTCGCTCTAAAAGCCCACAGAAATTGTTCTAATAAATTCGATGACAGCTGGTGTTATAAAGTGGCTCGTACAGGAGTCCCTTCTCAGGAATATCAGGAATATGAATTAGCTGTTAGCTGGACGTCTTTAAAATGCATCAGCATGATGCGCTGTGCTAATGATGCCCTCCCTGAGGGGGCCAAGCTGCACATCCTGATTAGACTGAAAAAATACTGAATGGATCTGAGCTCAGCTGTTTTTTCTCACGAACAGTGTTCGGATATGATTGGCTAAACTAATGCGTATGAATGGGACCCAGCTTTTTGAAGAAGAAAAAAAAAAACAGCAGCAGAGCAGAGAATCATTGTAGGCCTCTTGTTGGCAAAGACCCCTTTCATTTTTGAGCTTTGTTTGTTTGGCAGGGAGTTTGTGTTTTGGCAGACCAGCAGTGAGCTCACAGATGGAAAAGCTAATCAGCAAATTTAAGAATAACTGCGTGTGTATAAGAGGACAGTTTGTCTGCTCTGGGTCAATGAAGATGAATTGATACCAGCAGATCAATTTTACAAACTATCCCTTTAAGTAGCAAAATGAAGATATTAAATTATGCACTAATACCAAAAAAATATCCCCAAACCTTTTTTGTCTGTCTTTTCTGACCCAGTATGAAATATTTCCGATTTGTATAACATCTCAGGATAAGAGGATATTTTATAAGGCCTTTCACAATTCAAGCTGCAATCAATTCTACTAAAATATCTCTCAAATCTGTAATTTTAAAGGAGCAATTTGACATTTTTTAATCCGAACTAACAAAATATCAACATAAATGCAGAATCTACCTTTTTAGCAGGCAATGTATGCAGGGTTGAAATCCCTGTAGAGAGCAAAAGAGGTGAAACCCATAACTGTAATGTAATCCCTGAACACATCAGCAGTTGTTTGACAAGATTTTGCCATAGCTGCTAAGTATAAATAGATATCTGCACAAAAGTACTGCTGACAGCCATCATTTTTCTACTCTAGACTCCATCCTGAATTTGCTTGTCAAGCATGTAACATAAGCAATAGAGAGGAACTGGAGTCTTGGCCAGAAGTCTTCTATTGCTAACCTCAGGAAATACAGCACTTTAAAAGTGGCTGCCCCTAACAGAGGCAATACTGTCAGAGAACAAGAACTGAGGAGCCCCACTTTGATCTTTTGTTCTTTTTTTTTGGGGTATGTTAGACGAGAAGATTTCTACAATTTTGTAATCTGCACATCAAAAATGTTGCTAGTTAGCTTAGCAACCCCATAGTGATCCTGGGGTTGCTAAATGTCTGAACAACACACTTTCATCTCTTCCAGCTGAATGCTGAAATATGGTACTGGTTAATTTAAAGCTGCTGTGAAGAACTTTTGGAATATGTCGGTTCTGGTGCCCCCTTTGGCCAAAGTGGTAACTCCTATCATTTTGTACATGTGAATGTTGTGTTTTTAGACTTGACTTATCTTTTTGTCTTTAATCAGTGAAGTGTTTCTCTCACTTTAATATTTGAAATGGAAAATTTTAAAGATATATTTCATCAGCCTGTTGATGCTAACCCTCTCCCCCGCGGTTTCTTGCAGTCAAAATGTCAATCGCAAAACGATCAGGTCTTAAATAAGCATCAGAATAAGTTTCAGTCTATTCCTCAACAAATTAAAAACTACTTGAAGATACATTGGACTCTCTGATAATAATTCAAAGTTTCCTTATACAATCATACTAAAAATCTAAAAAATTCCAGTTTCTTGTCATAATTCGTCTTGTCTAACAATGCAAACGCATAACCCTGGTGGTAAACATGGTTATTTTTGTTTAAAAGATTGTTTTTCTGAGCTGGTGCATTTGGTTTCTTGGGCTTCTGGAGCCAGCTCCAAGTGGACACTTCGGGAACTGCAGTTTAGCACTTCTCCATTTTCATTTTAGACTTGTCATGTGACCCAAACTGTGACAACTTAAAGTAAAGAGACATCAAAAGCAGTTTGCTTCATTACAAGACTTATTAATGTGCAAGTGTCTCCATTGGAATATTATTTGGTTTAAAATGCACCAATAAAACGAGCACCAAACATGGCTTTACAACAGAATGCAGTAAAACTCTGAAAAGTTCTCTAATGTCCTTCCAGGCGTCTACAGGTGTATCATTTCATTCATTAATTACACAGACTGAACGTCTTGTCCAGACTGTGAATATTATTCTATCTGTCAACTGCCTCCTACTGCCATCTGCACTCCATCAAAGACCGACTCAAGCTTCCTAATCATCACAAAGAATTGGAAACATCCAGACCGTAACATTTCTTCTCCTCTATGATCTTTAAGCAAAAAAGCTTTTAAATAATCATTATCCTTGTATAAATACACTGCAAATCATAATTAAAAAAACACTTCCAGTCAAAACGTTGAAACAAACATGAGTCTCATTCAGCTCGTCTTGTGACTCCAAGAGTCAAACAAAGGACAGAAAGCGGGATTTTTCTCAACAGAGATAAGAAATTAAGCTAATTACAACAGATATCCAGCAGAAACATGATTATAAAACCATTATGCGACAAAATATGCAAATTCTGTCATTTTCTGTAGGAGGGTTAATCCAACACAGAGGGAAGGAAAGCATAATAATCTTTGGAAAACAGAAACGTCAGCACCTGGGGATAATTATTGCTGATTGCTAATGACCTTAGCTTATCAGATTCCCACCGGTATGCAAAGTCCAAGCAGAGGACGTACTATAATGAATAACTTTGTTGACATGAAATGTAATTTAGGTGTAAATGACTTTAATCAAAAGAGGCTACATTAAATGATGAATATGCATGTGTAAATAAGACAACATTTGGTTGGCCAGCCAAACCCACCAGCCCAAGCTGAGTCGTGGACTTAGAAATGAAGCTACGAAAGATGCAAAAATATTGAATAATTTTGGTGAGGGTTAAATGAAGTTCAATTACAAGCATAACTCTGAGGAAACCCTCAAAAACGGAACCTGTCTCTGAAGTAAATCATTAATAAAGCTAAGCCAATAAATGTCATGTTACCCAGTCAGACTGAAGTCTCATGTGATTTTTTTCCACTCTCACTCATACTGTGAGTGTTGCAGCTCCATGCCAGAAGCAGGTGCTGCTCTTCATGTGTCCATCTGTTTGGATTCCCGTGTGGAATGAGCGCTCAGCGGCCTCCATCTGCTCTGCCTTGGCTCACTTTAATTGTTGCTCATGGGCGATTGTGGTCTGTCATGTTTAACATTTGACTTTTGTGATGTAAACACATATACCTACATAATGTGGACAAGGAATGATGGCATAGCAGACAGAAGACTACAGCCACATTAAGAAACATTCACTACTATGATGCAACATTTGAAGAGATGACAGACCTAAGACACCTGATCCTCTTCTTCTTTTTCAAGCTGAACCTAGAGAAAATGAGCAAAAATGGCCACAAAATGCAAATGCATGAGCCTTTTTCGAACATTTGTCAGAGAATTGAAGTGAAAACAGTAAGACAAATGCTATCCCAACAGCTGGTACACAAGGTAAGATACAATCTTCCACTTCTTGATCAAAGGTTATCTACCTTTCTCCAAGCTTGAAGAGATCTGACCACCATTCTCACACATGGAAGTATTTTAATACAGATGTTTGTAGTTTGCAGAACAAACCTTTTTAGTTGTAAACAAGCTCTTTGTTTGAGGAATTGAAAACAACCATGTTTTTTGAGTGCTTCACAAAAACTGGGATGAAGAAGGTGGACTTTACACATAGAATTAGTGAATTTTCTGGGATCAAAGTTTCCAAGAGCTCAACCTGAGGCTGAAAAGGGAGGATTGCCCTTTTGGAAGAGTGCCAGCTGACACTGGGGGTATTTACCCCTTACTGTAAAAGCTGATGTATCACATCAGTCAAACATTACAGTGGTTAGAGACCCTCTTCAGCTCCTCAACTGTTCATGTAAACATATGCTGACCACCTTAAGTGGCAGAAAAAAACACCTAGTTTTCTCAGAAGATCTACTAACGGAGCTATTGGTGATAAATTTCCATTAAAAAAAAAAAATCAACTTGTTGGGTTTCCTTACCTTAGGATGGACTTTTTATATCCACGAGGAGAGCAGATCTCTGTCACATAGTTTGTGTTACTTCGCCACATTTTACATCCCACTTAAGAATATTAAGCAATTACAGATTCTGGTGTGAACCCCTCCCTTGCTCACCCCTCCCATTATTAAAGTCAGAAGTGGCCTTTGAGGGCAAGAAGATCTTGTGCCCCATCTGTCAAATTTCTACCAGCGATCAATGTCTGATAGTACAAATTATCATCTGCACAACACAACCCTTTTCATCTATTTTTTGCAAAGCCAATTACTATAAAAATGCACATGCAACACAAGTTTGTCCATTCTGTGGTACTGTAGAAAACGGGGGGAGCAAGATGGCAGCATTCGTATGATTATTATATTTCATTTCTCCTAAGTCTGTTTTGCAAGATGCAACTTAATACATATGCATGAAATGTGACTATTTAAGAAGTTCAGACTGAAATCACTTAATGCCTAAGGTTTAGGGTTAGGTTTAAGGGGGTTAGTCCTAGGTGTAAGATTAAATTAGTTATTCATTTATTCATCCCTCAGTGGGGAAAATTAAAATTGTTGACAGCAGCAGGACACACACCATACACTTTCACACATACTGGGTACAAAAACAAATCAATAGAGATAAAAGAACTAGTGTAAAATAAAAAGAGCAGTGCAAGAAAAGAACAAGAAAAAGTAAGGTTAGTTTAATCCCAATTCTTCCAGCATTAGAATAGCTGCAGAGCTGCTGTTTAACAATTGTAAAGTCGACATCTGCTGCTGGAATGTAATGAAATAAAAAAAGAGTTCTGTACTGAAGCCGTTCATGGAAATACTGAAGCACCTGCCTGTTGAAAAGGCTGCATCACTCTCAAGGCTGACTCTGTGCACTCAGCAGTGACCCAAGGCTGCAGCTCTACTCTGCCTGCTCCCCTTAGCATGAAGATAAAGAAGACAATAACCAGACTCCTATCAGTGGTGCAGCCTGTTACGTAACAGAGGGGAGTTCAAGTTTAGGCGTAAACAACAAATTTCATTCATGCATTTTAATCATCAAGTGTCTTCTGCAGCTCTGATTAAAAAATTACAAGCATGTTTCAGTGTTGTAACCAAGTAAATGAGTCCAATCAAATCACCACTGATGCTTCCGAAGAGGCGAGTTAAAATGATGGCATGAAATCAAAGCATTTCTGAGAGGCTCCACACAAAAGAGGGTTGATTTGTCTAATCTGCGGACTAGATGGAGTCATACATATTTCCAATTTGACAGGTATATTTCTGTACAAAGGAAGTAAGTGGACTGTAATTATGCTCATTACAGAGCCTCATTCATATTCATGTGTGTATATCTTAATGCTGCAGAGTAACAGCTCCTGTGTCATACTCTACAAAAATAGTCCAGCAAGGTCAGTTGTGTTATCTGCACACCCTAAGAGCTGCTTTCATGGCTGCTACCACATCTAAAGGACACCGGCATTGTGTTATGAATTCAAGGGTGGTCATCTTAGCTGATAGGAGAATCCATTATCAGAGAGCTAAAAATAGCAGCTCAGAAATCGGGCTTGAATTGGATACTTCAACCTGGTGTGTGTTGTTGAGCCCGCAGAGAAAATGGGAAAATTTCAGTCAAGCATGACAGGAATGTCCAAGGGAGCAAATGTCTTATTCCCCGCTAAGTGGTTTGGGATTTTTTTCACGACAGAAGCTATCAGCTGGTCTGTAGGTGTCTTTAAACGTCTGCACATGTGCAGGCGTGGGAATGAAGAACAGAAAAGAAAGAAACTGTTTAATTTCAAGGGTCCAGATGAGAGGATGAGTAAAGATATTAGATTGCTTCACAAACTGCTTGAGTTGCAGATTTTGTTCGGAATAAAAGGACGTGGTGACAGCAGGGAACTATGCCCGTGAAATTGAACTGAAAGCAGTTTGATAACTGACTCATTGTCGTTGAAAAGTGGCTGCACTGTATTTAATTGTCAGACCCAGAGTTAGAAGAAAAGATCAATGTAGCAGATACCTCAATTTTTTAAGTATTACACCTTCTTCCTTGTCAAATGCTGATGCTCAAATTGACAAAAATATATATATATATATTTGAGTGTTGGCTGTTCAGTCAGCAATTTGACAGGTTTACACGTGTGGCAGCTAAGGAAGTCTCTGGAGGTTACACACTGAATGAACTTGTCAAAAAGACTGTGCAGTGCCCTGGAGGTTGCCTCTTAAGGAAAAACAAAACTAAGGATTCATTTTCTTTTTTCCAGTTTACTGGCAAACAGTATTTCTTTTTTGTTCATTCAGAGGCTGGTGACTGCAGACGGCTGGTGGCTTGTAGCCAACAGCAGTTTGTGTTTTTTCTGAACAATTTGAAGTTTCTGAAAACTTACAATGAAAAGTTTCTGCACTTTTCAGAGATATTCTTTCTTCAGGTTTTTATGCATTTGTGAGAATTACCTAGTTTCTTAGTTTTCTCAATTTCCAACACAATTTTCCATAGGTTATAAAAACATTCAAGGTCTGCAGATGTGCTTAAAGACCCACTCTGATGAAAATCATGTTTTTCTTGTTTTTTATATGTTCAAATGGCATTTTTCCGATACTACAGGACATATCATGTGAAAACTAAATGTGAATTTGCTTTTCTGAGTATTTATTCATTCAAATCACAGTGAATGTTTGGCAGACCCAAACGGCAGGTTCAGAACATAGACTGTATATAGACTGGAAAACTTGGTTCCGCTGCAGCAGCAGCGTTGTGCACATTCGGCGAGAGACTCACCAAAAGTTGCTATGATGACGCTCGGCTCAAACAGCATATCCCCCGGGTGAGCTACGCAATCCCTGAATGCTCATAGGCTGTATCATGTGTCAATCAAAGAAAACATGAACCCCCTAATAAAACGGAGCTTCACAGAAAAAAGAGGAGTTGAGCACAAACCAGTCTTACTGTAACTACATGTCAACGCTGCAAGCAGGGGGGAGAAAAATTCATGTTCTGAGTAATTCATTTCTCAAGTTTGTCCACAGCCCCATAAGCTTTGCTTGCGGAGGCGAGATTTATGACCTATACTGCAGCCCATCAACAGAGGGTGCTGTTATCGGAGTGGCTTCACCCAGCGAAGAGGCCGATGCTGTCAATTCTATATACAGCCTATGGTTCAGAAACAGTGAGATTTCATACGTAACCAATCCAAGCTCCGCCCCCGGAGACCCACTATGCAGACCACACTCTGCCTATAAGGGAGAAACACAGAGGACGATCGCAGAACATGGGTGTGTGTTAGCAGATAGCAATGCTTGTAAGAAAGCTAATTATGATATTAACTTTCATTTCGTCCCTAAAGTATTCAGTGTCTGAGAGCTGAATAGCTCCGACGTTACCTGCCACTTCTACTACATCGGCAATTGCAAGCTAATGCAAGTGTGCAGAGCAGTGCTGTCTCCGCCCACGACTCAGAGGCAAATTGCTAATGATCTTCTGGAGCTCTGCTGAAGAAAAGCCCTTGAAAATGACACAGGTAATGGGTTTTTTAGGTAAAAACTTCAGAATCAAAGACCACTGAGAACACTGTGAGTAGTAATTAAACCGATTGGAGAGGGACTTCAGTAAGACATAAACACACATTCATGAACATGTGGGAAGGAATTTTACAAACACAGCTCCCAACATTGCTGCTTTTCTGTCCTCAATTGTTTATTAAAATAAATTATATGTAAATTCTTAAACCTTTTGGTTATGTCAAGCTTTTGATTTTACTGTCCTTACTGATAACTATTTCCCCACCCACAAGAACTACTGTATATATTGATGTTTATAGTACCTTAATGATGCTTGTTTGCAGCCTTAGCATGAGCCTCCATGTACTTCTCTACGTATGCTTCTGTATCTATAACCCCAGTGTCCTTACAAACTAGGTCACCAGCACAAAAACTAATATGGCAGGTTACAGAGGTAAGTCCACCCTGTAATATTCCCATGGCATTAAGTTTTAAATTATCTGCTTTGACTGACAGTGGCGCAGCGATGCACATGACCTCCAGTTGTGCTGACGCTGCTTGCTCTAGAAGAGACGATCTACAGCTGCAGGCTGAATTCCACAAAAAGAGTCAGTGTGTGAGAGGTCATCCCTGCGTAAAATATCCTCTGTACATTAAGTACACCTCCCTCCACCAGCAAACACAGAAACCAGGCCAACAGATGTTACTGCAGAGTTAAAATCAAAACACAAAGTCTGAAAACACAAGTCAAGACCAGTGAAGGACACTGAGGGGAAAGTTAAGACTCATCTCCTTTTATTCCCTGGAAACACCATATATACAAACATAATCCAGAATCAGTTCTTTTTTTTAAAAACATCTCGTAATTTTACAGAGTGACTTATTTACAAATGTATATTTATAATCACAGTTTGAATATTCCACAAAACAGAGCTGGGGGGCGATCACTGTACAGGACAAAAGGAAACAAAAAAACATCTGGTTTACTGTCACATTCATACTGATCATTTCTTCATATCCATACGGAGAGGAAAATGAGGATCTTGGCATTCACTCGCACAACGCTGCAGCATAGCTTCATTTCAAGGCTGTGGGGATGTGTGAAATCTCTGAATCAGCATTGTTCCTCAAGGTGACCAAATCAGAAGAAGCTTATCGGGCGTGCCATAGAGAATTATGGGGAATTAATGAGCAAATACCATGCTGGTGTTTTCGACAAAACCTTACGTGTCAAATGTGTGATGTGAAAAATACAAGGTTGCAGTTCCTAGTTTAAAAGGTGATCAAGTTTTAATGACAAGTAGTTAAAGATGGGATCTACAGGTTTTCTGTCTGTTCTGGTAGAGAGAAAGTGGAGGTACATCAAACAGCGGCGCCCACTGCAGCAGCGGGGAGGCTTTAAGGACTCTGTGACCTCAATCCAGGAAACTTTCATCTCTATTCACACAGCGAGCCATTTTAACATCGCCTTAGGGTGTACAGGAAGGGGATTGGCCCGAAACCATTCATGACCCATAAAAAGCTTGTTTCTAATTGGGGGGGATAGAAAAATAAGATGGAGGCTTATCATTTGTGACAGATTCTGAGGTCAAGATCAAAATGAAGAGCAAGGGACGTTTAGTTGTATTGACTGCGTGTCAGTGAGTCACAGAGCAGCTGCGCGGCGTACCGAGCTGCAGGTGTGCAGGTGCGTCAGTGTGGCTGCAAACTCTGGTCTAAATGCAAATTGTGTTTACCCCTGTGGGCGTAAGGACCCAGAACATGGTTTAAGTGGTAAAAGCCTGCAGGCCCTTATGGCTGAACCACACACGCCAGGTGTAAATGCATAAAAGTTCCAAATCAAAGGCACACATGCAGCCATGCGCGCACATTCACACAATCTTGACACTGAAATATTCACAACAGCTGAGCAAGCATAAAAACAGACATATGAAACACTTTACAGACACACAAACACGTTCACTCACACACGAAAAAAAGACAAGAAAATAAGAACAATAATAAAGGACCAAGATTGCACATTGTCCCTGGGTACATTTCTGAAGGTTCCACTGGCTTTCCTGAGCCACAGCTACAAATTGACTTCCTCTCTATTCTTGATTTACTTCATCTGATTCAGTGGCACTATAGAGAAGAATAAAAAAGGAGTGTGATATGAATAACATAGTATTGAGTCTTATCCCCACACAATTGTTTCATTTTTCAAAGAGTCAACGAGCTACATGTAAGCATGTTTGCACCCTCTGATTGAAATGAGGAATAATGATGATGCTGGCAGACATCTATCAGGGAAGGAAACATGAATCATGATGCTGAAGTCTAGTGACAATGCAAAATATCAACGTAAGAAACAAAATTTAGACTGAGGATCAAAACTTCTTCAATACTCAGTATGAAATAAAAATGGCTAAGTTGTTGACAAACTTAAATAAAAATCAAAATCAAAGCCACAAACAGACAAACAAATCACATTCAAAGTGGCTATTTTTTCTAGTTTTCATTCTTTCAATGATCTCATATTTGACACATTTTCTTCACTGTCTCACAGCTAAACAAAGGTAGACTTCTACACAGATGGCAGACTGCTGCTGGTCTGCATCGAAAAACAGTCTGTCTATGTAAGTGTATCACAGGTGTCACAGGCACCTCCGCCTCAGCAGCTCGCTTTTAAGTGCAGCGAAGATGGTGAAAAATGTGCAGGCGGCACTGAGGCCCCTGAGCCTGATTGTTTTGTTGTTTTTCACTTTTGCTTTTGCTTATGGAGAGCTGACAGACATTATGAGACGAGTACAGAGCATGCTGGGCTACGATCATCTTTGATTACTTCAAGCTTTGAGTCACGGTGAGGAGAAAAAAAAAGTCATTTTTCTACAGGTAGAATTTGCTTTACATTCATGATTATGGCATCTTCAGTCAATTTACAAGGCAGACAGTCCCAAGCTCCAAACAACAAGCTGAGAGGTTTTTTTTTTTCTTTTTCTAAATTTCATCTTGGCAATGCTCAGGAGATATAAAGGTTCGTCAGAGGAAGATTTGTTGTGCGTGAGGAGCAAAAAGAGTCGCTTCGATGTGGATGGAATAACGAAAGTTCAAGTAAGTTCAGATATGTCCTTTAAATGAACGATATCTACAAGGTCCTCCATGTATGATGCCTGAGGAGCTACTGGCACTTTCAACGTTCAATTTGCTCCTTCATATCTTGGGAAATGAGTTTTACGGTCCCTTCAAAGGCGGCTGTTCGGGGTTACTTCCTGATCCTCTGTGTCACTTCCTCCTCCCGTCCTCAGGATCCCTCTGCTGTTTAATAAGCCTCTCGATCTCGGCTCCCAGAGTCTGCAAACTCTCCTGTCAGAGAAACAAAAGACTTTCAGATTCAAATACAACATTAAAGTGACGATAAATCTAAAAGAGCTTTTGTGTCGTTTCTGTATGTCAGCAATAATATTCATGTGAGGCTCTGGAGAGACTGGCAGCAGATATTATTGAAAAATAACAATAAAGAATTCATCCATCAGAGTAAGTGTGGGGCCTTAATTTGCCTCTGTCACTGCGTTTTGTTTTATTGTGCCCGTGTCAGTCTTTTTTATGTTGTTTCTTCCTGGTTATGCCAATCATTTTTCATCAACAAACAACACGTCGCCAGCAGAGAGACTCCCACATCAGAACTTATTGTCCCATAATGACTTTTATGCAGTATCCTAAAGACAAGTTTGACACAAAGACAATAGGAAGCTGCTTGTTTGCAAAAATAGAAATATAATTATCGGAGAAACCGATGTGCCGACATCAACAAGAGGGCAGATCGCAAACAAACTCTCACAAAGCTGCAACAAGTCATGAGACATACAGAAAAGGGTGATTATTTTATACGTGCACATAAAGCATCAACACTTTTTTGAAGAATCAAACACACTTATCTAGATTTGTGTAAATATGTATCTCTTAGGAGCCTTTTAAAAACACAATATATTCCTTTAAGATGAGTTTGACTCTTTCCATTGGGGCTGTTTAATGTTAATAGTTCATTCATTGTGAGTGGTAGAGTGTAAATATTTACAATAAACATAACTTGAGAGTTTGATTTCACTGCAATAAATACGAAAAAGTATTTCATGTCAGCAAGCAATGCTCTCTAACTCCACATGGTTTAATTTTACCCAAGTATTGGAGGCCTGGGTATTATTACCAGCTCAGCCAGGTGTAGCTTTTACTCACAATCTGTTACCCCCTCAGATGTTTGGAGCCAATTTAAGAAATTCTTTTGAAGTTTATTTTGGATTCAGGAGGCCCACATTGGAAAAACAGGTGTTGTGTACAAGATAAAGGACAGCAAATAGACAGAAAATAAGAGCTAAAGCTTGCAAACAGTCCCACATTTGTGCGTTTGTTGCACTATGAGTAACTGTATTGTTTTCTTTATTTTACTGGATTTATCTTTGAATTTTAGGTCAGGTTTTTTTTTTTTTTTTTACTATCTTGTGGAGTCTTTTATCTTTTTTCTTGTTTTGCTATTTTGACCCCCTACCTCTGGTATTTATTTATTAAAAGCCATTGGGTTTCATACCAAGTCAAATCCTCTTTATATTAAGCAGCTTAAACCATATATTGGTAGTATGAAAAATGTTAAAATGTAGTCTACTTCATTGATTGATTCATTAATACTCGGTGCAGGTCTTATTTTCAATATGTCGAAAATACATACAAGCTGCACTGCACACTGAGTTTAGTTACAGCCATGGCAGCAAAAAGGTCAAAAGTCACTGATATTAGGGGTGCCCTGACACAACATTTTGATTTCAGATATGATACCGATATTATAGCCTTCAATATTGACCGATACCGATATAGATTTGACATTGGCACAAACTTGCGCATTACAAGTTTTTAACTCAGCTGCAATGTCTTTTTCGGACTTGAAAAAAAAATACTTCCACAAGGCCGACATCACTCCTACTACTTGCTACTTTGTTAGTACCTTAGTACAAACTGGTGTTGTGTTTTTGTGGGCTGGATCAGGGTGCTGCTAGATAGAGGTGCCGAAGCAGAGTCTGAAATGGACTTGGACTTGTAGAGTGCTGATATAGAAGATTTTAGATGCAGGCCGATATAATGGGATATTAGTTTTTTTGCTGATATTGGACTGATATCCAATATCAATATCGTATCAGGACACCCCTAACTGATATTGTTAGTTTAACTTAATGAATTAACCGGTTCAAACTCAATCAACACATCTTTATCCATCAGCAATTTATCACCATATAAATTTAAACCCCAAATCCTCCCTACCAGTATTCAAACTAAAACAGCACAAATAAATGTGTTTGTTATTCCCAGAATAACAAATGAGAAATTTTCCAACACATGAAGAAGACAAAACATTCAGTATCTAAAGTGACAGATATTTTCTCCACAAGTTGGAGCAAAGAGGAGAGCAGAAATATGTTAGGAGAAGACATCAGTTTGGCTTTGTGGTTAAAGCATACATCCCATATAAAGAGGCAATCATTATCATTGCAAGGGTTGCTGGCTCAGTGACACTGTGGGCTCTGCTGCATGTCTCTAGTCCAAACATTTAACATTACGACCTAATAAAGGCAAAACAGTCCAAAACCTTCCTTTAAATCAAGCCTCTAAGTCACAGGTGTCAAATTCAAGGCTCGGGGGCCAAATCTGGCCCGTGGAACAATTTTATCTGGCCCACGAGATCATATCATATTTGTATTATTATTGACCCATCAGTATGAGGTCTGCACATTTCCTTCAGGATAATAATGTAAACTTTAGCACTATTATTTAAAATGTCCTTAATAAACCATGAAAATCTGGGAAAGATTTGATAAATAGTCAAGAATGTGGGGAAAAATTGTGTTTTATCCATATTTCCAATTTTGCATCTCAAGATTACAAGTGAAATATGATTTGACTTTTTATTTTTGCTTTGATTTTTTTTCAACTCAGTATTTAGATTTAGGCCATTTTCAACCTTTAGATTCCAATTTTAAATTTTAAGTCATATTTTGACTTAAAACTCTTGATTTCAAAATGATATCATATATTTGACCTTTCAAACTTATGATTTCAACTTTCTCCTTGTGTGTTTGCTCTTTAAAAGGATTATTTTTCTATTTTTATTATCCTGGTTTGATCCTCTGAACTAATCTATTGTTTTTTTTTTTTAATCTCAGATTGTCTTTGAATTGATCTTTTTCACTCTTTAAATTTCCAAGTGGTTTATAAACATGGATGATTTTGTTATATATATATATTTTGAAAAGGAGGCTGACAGTTTGGGTGAAATGCCGACCCTGTTGGGCCCTCAGGTTAGACTTGAATCCAGATTATGGCCCCTGCAGTGGTTGAGTTTGACACCCCTGCTCTAAGTTATGGCTATCACTAATCTGTTTATATAATTTCAGCATTACATGTCACATTTACCTAAATATACTTGAAACAGTACACTTAATGTGACATTCTAATAAAATGATATTAAAAATTAATCCAAAAATACTCACATAAACAGCTGTGTGAGACAAATTGAGCAGTTCTGAGTGTTAAAAATTCCTGCTCCTTGGCTAATGTAACATATTCATCAAGGTTCGTCTGCAAAATGATCATGCATCAGGAAGTGGATGTTCACTCAGCACAGCAGAGCTACGTTTTCTCGTGGATAAAGTCGATTATCAGGCTGGCTGAATCCTCTCCTTCATTTAACAGTAAGACATCAGAAAATAGGTTCAGTTCAATTCAATCTCAATTAAATTACAGAGAGAGCCTCAAGTGCAAAAGCTACACCAAACTCAGATACGAGGAGGCTGAATGAGGATGAATACTGTCAAAGTAGGTTTCATTTAACTATTTTAGGTCATGAACTAGTAAGATGGAAAACGTGTCAGTGGGGCACAGCTTTTTTTTATTGTTTATTTTTAGAAACATCAATAATGCAGGTTTTGTGGTTTTGTTATGGACCAGTTTCCAACACGTCACCTCTGTAAAAAACATTTCTTGCCAGGAGACTGAACAATGAAGCTGTCCTCACATGACTGTAGGAGAGTTTCATTGTGAAGGCTGGCTGGGTGCAGACAGTGTGACAGAAGCATTAACTGACTTTTAAGGTTCGGGAGACACAACCCAAATGTCAGACGAGCAAGTGGACCGAAAGCAATGACGGGTTTGACATATCCGGTGACACTTAAATCCACAACAACACTGTCATATTATCAGGAGGGTATTTTATCAACATCCCAACATCAACATTTTTGTCAGCAGTGAAGCTGTTAAGACATCACAAAAGTGATGTTTTTAACCGGCTTGTTTGTGTTGTGCAGACTGTTGCTAGAAGATTAAAACTAAACAATTCTCCATTTCTCAGCATGCTGAAATGTTCACAGCCAAGAATAGGGCTGGGGGATATAACCTCAAATCAATATCACGATATATTGAGCAGTTCACCTTGATAATGATAAATGGATAATAACTTCACCTAAGGCTGCACGATATTGGAAAAAAATAATATTGCGATTTTTTCAACCCTGCGATATATATTGCGATATTAAAAATACAGTATTTTCACCAGATGACCTGAATAGCACTTAATGTTATGCTGCACTGCTGAAATCTTGAGGACAGTTAATCTGCTCTGATTTTACCTCTTTTTGTGAATGTTAGTAGAACGGCTTCTGTCTGTCTCAGAGATATTTTTAGCTTTTATTGTGCTGGGACGTTATTGTGGCGACAGATGAACACAGAAGACGTGTTTTGGTCGACATCATCCTTCTTTTAACCGAAATAATTCCAGATAACTGACTTTCCTTATCTTTTTGGCAACAAATCTTCATTTTCGGTGGTTTTCGCTTGTTCGTTGTTCATTTTGCGATCGTTGTTGTTGTTGTTGTTAGCGGTGTTGTGCCGAGAAACGCATGTCCTCCGAGAATTGCATGCACCTCGCAAAACGCGCACTGCTTATAGTAGAGTGGTCCACGGAAATGTACAATTTAAAACCCATACAGTTCTTATTTGTTGGGCTTAATAGTCATGAGTAAAGTTCCGAAAGTAATTCTCAGCGGACACACGTCTCCCTCCATGTGCAGAACATGTGCAGGGGTGGGTTTTCTCCTCCCTGATTTTGATTGACAGCTGGCAGGGTAGTCTGATTGGCAACTGAGAAGTGAGTCTGATTGGCAACTGAGTTAAGGACTAAGGCGATTGGTGGATCGCTGCACAGCACATGCAGAGTCACATGGAGTGTATCTCAGTCGGTTACCCTTGAAATTAAATGAGTTCATTCACCTCCAATATCGCAGGCTCTGCGATGTGACTATCGCACACACGTACATCGCGATGACGATAGTCAAACGATATATCGTTCAGGCCTAACTTCACCACAAGCTGCTCCCCCCTCCCACATTAACTTCGTCTACTTCTGCCGCCGCTCAAGCTGCTACAACTTTTGATCCGTCCTCCATCTCCTCACCTGTCTTTCCCTCTTTGTTATGGACTGGATGGGGTGGAGTCACGTCTCTGACAGTATCTTAAAGGGGCGTGAGACCATAGCCCACCTACATACATCCAAAACCAACTTTTATTTATTTATCTATTTTTTGATACAGAAAATATTGTCATGGGCAAAATGACGTTTGTTATTGCTGTAAATTTCGGTAGTGGTACATTTTCTGTTTATCGCCCAGCCCTAGCCAAAAATGTGTATTTTCAGGCAATAGTCGAGTGGTGGAAACGGGACTAGAAACTGCTTCTGAATGAGGAATGCAAACAATTGAGCCAGAGGTAGATCACTTTGCGATCAAAAATATCCTCAAAGTTTTACTTCTATGAAGCTTTTTCACTTTCAGATCTTTTTAAAAAGTCAAAAAGCTAATAATTGTACAAAAAAAAAGTTGCAGTGAGCAGTGTTGACGTCCTTCAGTGCATTAAATTGAAAGGTGTACTAAATAGACAAGAGCTGCTGTAGTAGAGCTGCTGTATTTGGTTGATTTAGGTTGCACAAGATGTCTTCATTTTGTGGCTGTCAGTGCAAACCATCACTATTCTGCATGAGCAGCTCATACACTGGGCAGGAGTGCTTTAGCACAAACATGTGGGGGATCTTGCAATCTCCTGGGCAGGTGTAGGTGTGAGGCTGTTCAGGAAACAATGCTTATACGATTCATTATGTAAGCACAAACTTGGAACCCTGGTGCAATACTGGCTCATATCTGAGATGTTTTTTTTCATCAAAATACATCATCATTATACCTTATATATATTCAGGGTTATGTGGTTAGATGCCAATATTCATTTCAACAGTAGACAGCTCCACTTGTCTACAAAGCGGGTTGGCCAGCAGCCAGTCACCGCTACAGTGCCAAGTATGAGATGAGAGATGAAGAGACATATTGACCAGAGTAGAGTAGCTCAAAAGTGGGACAGGTTACCCAAGACATTGATTCCTTTTTTTATAGAGACAGTTATGAATGCAGCAGAGACAGCCAACAATTGTCAAACAGCCAACAAAGAGTAAAGACTGAAGACAGTGTTCATAAAAAGATCATCTAAAAATGCATGGGTGACTATGGGACTTAAAAAAGGATCCAAGGTCTCATCATCAGACCCAGCATCTAATTAATAGACAGCAGGTTATATGAACTATTATGGCATTACAAATCTAGCTTCATCTAATGTCATGACCATAATTAATGGTCTGAAAAGGTGATTTCTAGTAAAATATGATGAGAACAACATCAACCTTCCTCTTTCTATTTAATATGTTTGATTGTTTGCTTCATAAAAACAACATGCAGTCTTCAAAAGGTCTTTTTCAGGGTCGTCATATACTCATGTGAATACGTTAACTACACAGATTACTCTGTGTATTACTGCAGGCTTTTTAGACGGTCAGTTTAAAGCAGGATATTCATGTGTCTGTTGCACCCGATCTGCAGTGTGTAGTGCAGGTGGAATAATGGGGCTAAATTGTTCCAGCTCTGATCTGCCCGCAGAGACAGTATAGGGGGAAAATAGTGGCAACATGAAGCATCACAGCTCGCATCGCAGGACGGACCTGTGTGTGCAAATGTGTGCATGTTTGTATGTGCAGCTTCTAGTGTGTGTTTATAAGTCGCACCTCTTGCACTTCTTCAGTGCCTTAACAAAATGTCAATAGTGCGCAGGAGTTTAACGTGTAAGCACAAAGGTGTAGGATGTCATGATACTGTCGCAGATTGGCAAGTCATAACAGTTGAGTTAACAAATTCTTTGGATTCTGATCAAATACCTATAATCCCAAGTTTACAAAGATCAGATTTGAATTGACTTATTTCATAAACCATAGGCTGATCAAGTAAATGATTTAGAGCCATATTATATCATCTATGTTGTGGTTTCAAAGTTTGATTATTGAACCTCAAAACATTTTCATATCGATTAGTTTTTCCATTAAAAAATTATATGTATGTAATGTTAACTGTGCAAATGAAAGCGTCTGTATTTTCAAAATGACATTAAGAATCAATAAAAGCGTATTTTCATTAATCTGATTCATCTGCAAACAGCCTCTGGAACAGCTTCAATTCCACTGAACAGGCAAACTCTGACTGCCTAAACTTGTTTTTATGCTGATGTCAAATGGTGCCTGCAAACGTCGTAAGTCAAGTCTAATCAGGCTCTGTGGCTCCAAGGGTGCTGCATGACACTGACACAGCAACTTAATTATCCATTCAGGTGGTCTAAAGTAAAACAATTACACTCAAACTGCAAAATCAGAGCTTTTTGAAGGAGACTGCCCCTATTATCGATATAAAAGAAGTATGCTGATTAGTTTGCTGACATTCTTAGCTCTTGATTTGAGAAGTTTGTTTTAAGCTTACCTTCAGTGTGATGTTCTTCAGCAGTGTGTCCTCCAACACCGCCTGCAGCTTCCTGTTGATCTCCAGCGACAAGTCCAGGGTCAGTCCGCTGTCTGCCGGGTGGGACGTGTAAAGCGATGCCATGATGCCTCCCCGTCTGCTCAGGTGGGCTTTGTTAATGTCTGATGCCTCCGAGGAGAGGGCCCCTGACTCCTCTCTCAGCACATAGCTCTGGATAATTCTGTGGGGAGCAGGAGGAGGAGATGAGTCCGACAGCATGTGTGGATAAAGGAAGAGGAAATTGAGTGTATTCATGGCAGAAACTGGGGAGGCACTGAGCAAAGAAAATTGAGAAAGTAGGATTTATAGGTGGGAGCACAGAGGGCTCCTATAGAGAAGGAAAACTGATTCCAGCAGGAGAGCAGCAGACGTTTTCAGAATATCAACCAATCAGGGTGGGGCTTGTTGAATTCTACATACACAGGGTACTTTCAGTCATTGTAACAGAAAAATAAAACTCAACCAGTAAGAGCAAAAAAAAAAAAACAGAGACATCAGAAATGCTGCAGAGTTAATCAACCACATGTCTACGGGATTGAGAATGTGTACATGTCTAAAAATGACACAAATCTTAAATTTTTACACACTTTTTCATCTCCACAATAATCTAATTTACCTCCTTTGAACCCCAAATCCTCCAGATTTACAAGTGTGTTCCTCTTACAGGAGTTAAATCCACTGAGCACTTCCTCTTTTGTTATCTTTATATTTAGGAAGCTGTTCAGGGAAGTGCACAGTCCTATAGTGAAGGTCAAAAAGCTCCTGAAAATCCCTCTGAGATGTGCTGCTAATCAATATTTCCAACCTGTCCTTAACCCACCTGAGTAGCTAACCTGAGGTACTAGCGATATATTCAGGTCCACACTGCCATTGTTTAGTTCAAATTCAAGGTGTGTCTGAGGGGGATTTTTAAAGGAGAAGAAGACAAAGAAGGTGGGTATCTGCAGGATGAGTTCTGTGCAAAGGGATGCTCCAGATCATCAGTGGGCTTCTGCAGGATGATTCCCACAGGGAGAAATCAGCATTTTTCTACACAGTCAGGTGGACCTGTAGAGCTGAATAGCCTAAATCCAGCAACTTAAACTACAACAACAACAAAGATGGAAACTATTCGAGCTACGGGAACATTTGCAACTATTAATACCACTGTTACATCTAATGCTAAACCAGGTCTCTAACTAGCTATTAAAACAAGATCATCAATTCTAAAAGGAACGAGGAACCATCAACCCTGAGGATATTTCAATCAGGGATGTCCCGATACGATATAGATATTGGTCTGATATAAAAAAAATATATAATAAAAAAAAAAACATTAGATTATATCGGCCTGCATTTAAAATCTCAGATATCAGCACTCCGGTACAAGCAGTCCATTCCAGACTTCCCTCCGGCAACTCTGTATCGGCCAATACTGAAGGCTACAATATCGGTATTGTATCAGAAGTAAAAAAGTTGTGTTGGGACACCCCTAATTTCAATTCTGTCATCATGTGTTTTTCTATATGGGTTGAAAATATTGCTCTTTGAAGACTGTGTGTGCAACAACTTCACAGATTTTTCTGAGGAATGGTGCATTCATTTTGAGATTGAAACCACCTGCCTTGACACGCTCTAAAAAAAATATCCAGACATTTTCCAGATCAGCCTCTGCATGTGTGAATGCAAACAGACGAATTTTTCATCTCTGAATTTTTCTGGACTTTTCCCTGCCAGACCTCAGAGCAAAACATCCACAAGAAGTTGAGGAGCGCAGGTGAAAGCCTGGAAAAGTCACGGAAACCAAGTTGGAAGAGAGTTGATGCTGTCCATGTTAGGGTTAGTAAAGTTACTCTGCTTTATGCTCTATACTGCTTGCCTCAGTTGTCTGTAGTTTGTCTATTATTGCTAAAAACATCCCCATGTTGTGCAGCCGCTCTTATAGGAGACACCTCCCCAAGCCTCCTTCCTTGCCCAAACCTAATAGAGTACATCGAGTTGTCAGGGCCTGTCCTGCAGGGATAATCTCCCATTGTGAGCTGCACCTGTGAACAGCGAGTTCCTGAAATGATCAGAATATGAACGTCCTGAATTTATCTTGGAAACGGCAGGAGTAAATGTGTAAAAGGGGCTTCAGTGACTAAAGAGAGCCTGCTGTTCAACTATTCCTGTTTCAAGGGGCTTTGTATTGTTGGGGAACAAATCTTTGAAGGGGTTGAAAACATGCGAGTGACTTCTCTTGTAGACAGAATATACATCATGCATAAATAGTAGATTGTGAATGAGTTTTTTTGAACATGCTAGTGGGCATGCAGCAGTCTGAGGAACCTGGAATGGGGAACCTCCAGTAAACACTTTTCTACCGGTGATAATATTAAGCAGGCCAACTCCAGGAGAAGGAAAGGAGAGGGTTAAAATCACAAGTCGTGCATGCACTTAAACCACTTACTATTTGATCTTTATTGTGGTAAGACTGTGATTGCGGCTGCTTTTTGAGCTGGTGTAGCGGATCTTTCACAGAACAACTACGCACTACATCGAACTCAAAGTTTGTGTTGCAATGTAAGCACTATAAATCAAAAAAAAGTCTATGGTGCACACAAGGAGAGGAAATGAAATGACACAGCAGCTACGTAAGCAAACAAAGTCCCCCGTCACCCACACATACACACACACACACACACACACACATACATGACACCTGGGCTTGCACAGACAGAAAATGAGACTTACCTCTGACTAGACTTGCAAGGGTCCATATTTGGACCCCAGTCCCATCACGAAAGTGTTTAGTAAAAACAAAAAAGTGACAGAAATTAAAGATGTGGCCACATGAGGTGCTTAGTAGCATGCATGGACCGGCGAGTAGAGTAGGGGGTAGGGATGTAACCAAGATGTTGGGGGCCAACTTTTACATCTTTTGAAAATGGTAAGAACTATTTATGGTTTATCCCTTTTCCTGTTTCAAGTTCCCTGGACAGTAAAAGTCAAAGACTGTATGAAAAGTTAGATGACACAGACAGCAGCTGCCTAAAAGTGGACTTAACTGTGAAAGAGCGCTGAAGATGGACAGGGACTATGGAGTAGAGACAAGGGGGGGACCTACAGCTAAAGTTTAAACCAGTAACTGCTGCAACCAGGACTTAACCACACTACACAGAACGCATGCTACAACCAGTAGGCTAAGCAGTCATAACTTTTCTACTTAGTTTCTTTTATTTTCCAATTAACTCGACTTTGACTTGAATTAATGGATGGAGTAGACTTATTAATGGAGAGACTTCATCACAATGGAAGTGGCACTTGAAGTATGTGTGAAATGGAGGTGGAAATTCAGTGTACATCACAACTCTTGGATGTGATGTTTTGCAACATACTACAATGCTGCCCTGGCTCCTAAGGGGCTACGTGTGTTGTTTAAAAAAAATTAAAATGCACAAAAAAATGTCATTCATGGGTGTAAAGAGCTTCTGATCGCTGAAATCCTACATTATCCTCATACTAATAACAATCAAAACCCTCTTCTCATATATCCTTTGTAAGTGAAGCAGTGCAGGCACTGGTTTAATTTGAAGTATCTCTAAAACCATCTGCCAGTGTGCCCAGATTTCCAAGATACCCTTGAGAGGATCCATTACAATATATCTTAACTGCATCTAGCAGATGTAGATCCATAATAGGCTGCACTAGAGTCTATATTGTGCTGCTTCGCTGTTTCCATTGATTACAAACCTAACAGGGTAAAAAAAGATGCACAACAGATAAATAGCCATCTACACCTAATCCTCCTCCTGCAGCTTTGTCCTCATCTGCTTTCTACCATCAGGGGTTCTAATTCAAGTCACAGATTAGGGACCATTAAGGCTTAATAGTCATAATAACCAGGTGTGGGGAAAAAAGGAGACACCATTGCCCTTGAAGGATGATGCCTCTGTTTCTGCAGGTTTTAGCTCATTTACTACAAGTACCATGCACTGCATGGACATTATAGTCAGTGACCTGATGATGTCTTTGGAGCAGCACACATAAATGTCACTTTAACACTCCGCCAAAGATTATAATCCATCAATTAATGGTCCATAATCTACATGTAAACTGCATCTAATTGAAGATTTGTCATTAGGTTAACTCAATGAGTGAAGAACAGCTTTTATGTAACAGAACTTTGAGCTCTGATTGGACACCTCTTGCTTAATTGCATGTTGGAAAATCGACTGTCTTGCCTGAAATAGCAGCCCTCACTTAGCAACTCTGTTTCTTTGGCAGGTAGAGGGTAAACGTGATGAGTAAATGGGTCTGATCCTAGAAAATAAAGAAAAACTACTCTGCTCACAAAAAAGTGATGAAGATTCTGTGACTTCAATACAAAAAAAAAATTATCCCATCAACTTTATTCCGCTAACAGAGACTCTCTAAGCTTCTGCTCCACATCTATGTCTCTGTCATTTATCTCCTGCTGCAGGCTTACAGTGAGTTCATCACCAGCCTGTCCTGGAGGGAGAGAGACAGAAAGGCAAAAAAATAAAAAGTACAAATTCACATCTACATTCGGGTTAAAGTAACCCCCCTTGCTTAGCTGAGATCTTTTACAGAAACTAAATTTAGCTCAGCAACCGTGGGATTCGTCCTCAATCCTAACTCTTGAATGTAGGTTGAGGCTAATGGATTCAATCTGTGCGTACAGCTTGAGGAACAAATGAGAAGCGGGATGATCCGAGAAGAATTAAGTCGCTTGACATATCTGGAAATGAGAGCTGAGGTGATGAAGAGCTCTGACTGATCAATAAAGCAGATTTTGCACATTTCAGTGGAGAAAATGTTTTTGGGTCTCAGAGGACGGGTTTATGTTAGACTGTAATACCCAACCCTAATTTCATCTTGGCACTGACCCACTATTCACTTCAGCCATTACAGGAAATTATGGCATGATTGAGATAGCTGCAGCCTCCTTCACACGGTCTCTTAAGTTAAGGATGTTTCCATGAATATAAATGGAGCATTATGGAGGATCCATACCAATAGATGGGGATCAGCTGGACTATAAATAGCTTGGGTTGAAGTTTGTCATGAATCAGAAATGCAGAGTTTGCATCATTTAAAAGCTAAGGCAGGGACACAGAAGGATGTAGAGGGCCATAAACTGAGTGTGTAAGCAGATATTGTCCTACAAGGTCAGCTAAAGCACGAAAACACAGAGGAGTTATGTTTTAATGTTTAGGAGAGAGTCCAAAAACACCCAAACTGCTTTACTTTTGATGCTTCACTGGAGGGGCTGTAAATGCTATCAAATGTTGGGATGCTGCCTCACTTCTATGTCAACTTCATCAACGCTGCACCATCGCGTCAGTGACCTACAATAAAGCTGCATTTTTAAAACCTCAAAAGTGGGAAGGGTCCTTTACACTCCTGGGACTGTCGGATCAGTCTAAATGCAGCAAAAGTCACATTAATGTGTTACAGTGTTGAAAGATGGTGCTTTGTTTTGTCACAGACATGCACAATCACCATCACCCACTGCATGCACCTGAAAATCAGTATGGAGGGATAGATAATGATGTGGACCAGGCAGGTGGCACCGATTTTTAACACCTTTTCACCATAATTTGATCATATTCATGCTCATTCAAAACATGGTAGAAAGCTCCAGGTGAATTGGTCATGAGCAGCAGGCCTGTGCTTTGTGACTATCAAAGCTTAACTATCACACAGGTAGCTTGTAGAGTTAAAAACTCCACAAGTCAAACAAACAAAAAAAACACAGATGGTTTTAGAAAGAGCTACTCAGCTGCGCAGGATCTGCAGATTGTGGACTTAGCTGGATAAAATGGGGATTGGCGCAGTTAAAACTTCTTTGTACTCAAGTGAATCCCTAAAAACAGACAGTGGTTTTTGCTCATACAGTTACATACCTTAAATACCAGTGCAACTTCCTTGATTTTATTTAACTTCTTTTAATCTGAATTAATGTTTTTACCACTGCCAAATATTTTCTTTACACTTATTAAATGGTACTTTTTGATTTTGAATCTTCTATTCGGGTTATCTTTCACATTTATGGATGAATTTAAAGGTTTTAGTCCTTTTTGAATATAGCTCTTGCAAAACTCATCCTCAATTGTCTGCTTTTGTCCCTATTTTCCCTGTTTTATTTGCTGCACTTTGGGCTTGATGTTGGTATGAAAGCTGGTGTATAAATGATAAAGCGAAGTTGTTTTCCTTTCTAGCAACTATGAAAACGTTCCCAGCACTTTTCCTCCTCTGCTCTCTGTGCTTTGGCCCATTCCACTCACTTTGTCTTTTTCCTGATCTCCTCCACCAGCTGCTTGATGTGATCTTCCATGAACTCGATTTTTTCTTGCTTGCGAGCCAGCGCCTTCTGCAGACGAACAATGCGATCCACGAGCACAGCCTTGTCCACCTCCGGAAAGCTGTCCACAACCACCACTGAAGGACCCGACTGGCTTTCTGGCGAGCGTTCTTCCCCAGCGTTGTTCCCACCTTGGCGAGCGTTCAGGGAGCCTTTGGAAGTAAAAAAATCGAGAATATTATCATTTCTTCGATCCTAATTTCACTTATTAGAGTTTGATTAATAAACACAAGTTTAAGAGGAAACCTTAACCCACCAACAGAAAAAAAGCTTGAGAAGAAGAATAAAAGACAAAGTTTTTATTTATGACTTCCCTGTATGTTAAATACTAACCAAATCCCGGAGTAGTACCTGAGGAACTTGAGCGGCTGCCCATACTGCTGGCATCCCGGTCACAACCTCCATTTTCCACCTGCTCCAGTCTCTTGCGAGCTGAGGGAAAAGAGAAAACAAAGAACTGTCAGCTGAGGTTATCAACAAAAAGCTTATGTCTGATACAAGAAGTTTTAAAGCAAATTTATCTATTTTTTCTACCTCAATCTTGGTTTTCAGCCAAAGAGAACAAGTACAGACTTATATAAATCAAAGGCAGACAGTGAATACTGCATTTCCACATTGTGAACAAACTCAGAATGATTTAATAATGCAAACAGAAGCCTAACACAGTCAAAAAAGTTCAGAAAAAGCACAAAGAAAGTCAAAGCTAAGCATCATGGCTTGACTGAACTTCATTAGTTTTCCTCAGTGAAGGTGTCTACCTGAATTAATGTAACACACGTTTGTCTTTGAAGAAGAGTGCAAGCCCAGCAAGCCTCTCATGCATAAACAAAGATTAATTCCACTGTACTGTAGTCTGTACGGCAGCGCTGATGATGAATAATCACAGGCTCTCTGCTGATATTAACGTCCTCTGTTTGGAAACTCAAAGTGAAAAGCTTGTGCATACAAAATGAGAGATCTGGACGTCACGCCCTAAGGTTAGCGTGTGTGTGTGTGTGTGTTCAGTATGCTAAGCAGGGAGAGCTGTTGGATCACTCTATTAATGATAGAGAGAAAAAAACATGAGCTTCCTATACACCTCACCCACAGTATATGCACACACGTGTCAGCCTGCTTTGAACTCCTGTGTGACCTGTAAGTAAACCCTAAGTGTGGAAAATTTCTCTGTCACGACGTTTGGTATCAAGTGAGTATAAATGGTTGATCAAAGGGCCACTTTAACACACCTGTGGATAAATTTAACTGTTTGATGCCTCGCAAACAAATAAAACCTCAATGTAAGTAATTAAAGAAAGTTTTACACATGACACTGATTTTGGTAGCCATTAATGACATCAAACTGAGGTAAATAAAGGTTTAAGAGTTTAATTTACTTTGTTGCAGTGTGTGTTTAGATCTCACCATATGTATATGTTTGTTTTTTTTTTAGCAGAGAATAAAGCCTCATTTAGATTAAAGATTTTTTAATACGTAGAATAATTTCTAAACTGATATCAAAAAAGCACTGAATATATCTCCTCTGAAGTCTAAACTAAATCTACCCCTGTTTACCTTTGAGTGCAGGATAAGTTTTCACAAGTTTTCTCTTTCTAAACCATTCTAACTGATCTTACACTTTATTTTGATTGTTTTAACGCTGCATTTTTTGTTTGTAATCTAAACACATTTGAATGAATTAGTTTAACTCGTTGAAATCTTTCACTCCAGCTTTTTAAATGTATTTGTGTCTGTTTAATTACTCTGGAGAGCACTTCAAATTGCCTCTGCATGTGAAATGTGCTGCACAAATTAAGCCGTCTTGCCTGATTGTCCTGTCAAAGAGAGGCGGCATCATACTTGCATAGCTTTTAGTGGTGCAACGGATCACAACACTCACGGATCGGATCGTTCCTCGGATCAAGAGTCACGGATCAGATCATTTTTCGGATCAGCAAAAAGCAGTTTTGTCTGTATATTAAACACTTAAATGGTTGAATTAAAATATATAAAAGTAGTGCATACGGCATAATATCTTCTTTTCAACATAATTATTAATGAAAAACAACTTAAAGTGCAATATATAGGCATATCTCCTTCCTTTAAAATGTAACAATGAACCAAAAATGAAGTATGTGCGCGGTGGGATATTGTAACGTGGCTCAAGCACTTTCAGCATGTTTTTAAAGCCCTCGTTTGCACAACTGAATATGGCCTCATGTCTGTAGCTATAAACACACCGATAGCGTTTGTGATAGCTTTAACCCGGTCGGATTGCGCAGGAAGAGGCTGCTTAAATGCTGCGGTGATGAGCGGTTGCTGGCCAGCTTTCGTTTTATCTCAGGTGTTATGACATAGAATGCACCCCTGCCGTAGAATGCACCCCCTGACGGGAGCGCGGTTTAAAGTACATAATGAGGCGAAATAATCCAAGTTTTTCTTACATTGGATGGATTCAAAAGCGTTTGCCTGTAATAATTTCATTCAGGCTATTCAAAGAAGCCAAAAACAACAGCCCTTGGAATATTGCTGTCCCGAAAATATAATGCTCTCTACCTGGACAGCTTTCTGTACAGTTTATACCCAAGTACACCTCTATATTTGCATTTTTGAGACACATAAAAAGAAAATGAAAGTTTGCTGCTCCATTTGACATGTTGTCATGATCTAATACTCGTGTTTCTTTAAATATGAGATCATTATCTCCACTTTAAGAAGCTAACGAGTGGAGGGGATGCAGGGGTGCGTTCTACGGCAGGGGTGCAGTCTACGGCACAACACCTGTCATTAAAACACCCGGGTGATGTCGCTTTCAAATGCGTGAACATGCTCGATGTGTTTCCACTGTCATATGGCTTTCTTATGCCACAGTGCCTACACACCTTCGCAGTTTTGTCCACTGACCTCTTTCCTTCCTCATCATAGTTGACAGGGAAGCCAAATTTTTTTTTTCAGAAATCGAACCGCGGGTAACGTGTGTGCCGAACCGATGACGTCGATCCGAACGGATCACGGATCAATGATGATCCGTTGCACCACTAATAGCTTTAGACATTAAACATGGCAAGCAGTTAAGTCAAAGCAAAAATTCAGTACAAACTACAGAGGAGATACAATAATGTGTAAAAGTGGATACTTTTAGTACAACAATACCAAAAAATAAAGTTTGCTTGCTTCCTGGTCACTTGAAATGCCTTCAGTGAAAACAGAATTACATATTTTACAGCTGATTACAGGCAAGAGGAATCTCCACGCTTGAATGTCTCTTTTCTTAGTTAACATAATGTTTAGTTAGGTGGGTATAAGCTTGGGACTACAATGTCTGTATGGTTTTCCTCCTCTGTATTTGGAGGAGTTACTGGTTGGTAGTTTTAGATAAGTGTGCACCAAATTGCCATGAAGGAGCCCCAGATATCATCCTGTGAGGTGGTTTCCTGACCTTGTGTTAGCTGTTTTGTCAGGTCCTTAATGTTGGCTGCTTGTTTCCTTTTCTGAGTCACCAGCTCGTCCCTCAGCTCTTCCACTCTGGTTTTAAGCTGGGTCACCTCAGTCTGCAGTGCTGTCCGCTCTTCCTGCAGACCTTGTACCTCCTGCTGCCTCAGCACCTCCTCCTGTTTCAGCTGTCGTGACTGCAGCATTAATAAAGACAAGGGGGGAAGTTGAGTTATGATTGTTTACGGCCATAACAGTGTAATAAGATATTGTGACTTTGTTTGCTTGGCCCCTAAAATCTCTGTGATGCAGAAAACTATCACTACTCAAGGACAGCGACTGTTCTGGGTCAGACAGCTCAGCTATCCTTACTGTGTCAGACAAAAACCAATCATCCAATCCACTCCACATTTGTTCCACTTTTTTAAACTCTATCCTAACGATAACTCTTAAGAATCCAGACCAGAAGTTCATTCAACATGATCCTTTTAAATCAAGTTAAAAAATAAGTCATGTTTCAGTTCCTCAGTTTACTCTGCGCAAACCAAGTTTGACCCAACCTTGTCATCCAGTAGCCGATTTGTCTCCTCCAACCTCGCCTGCAGCTCTGTGAAGGTGCTGGTCAGCTGATCCAGCTGAGTCTGGAGTGCGTTGCTCTCTGACTGCAGCTGGGCGTTCTTGCTGCTAAGCTTCTCGGTGAAGCCCAGCAACTCGGCCTCGCGCTCCCTGCTGCCCTGAACATCCCGCTGCAGGTCGGCCATCTGGTTGGTCAGGGCATCAACTTCCTCACGGAGTGACGCAACCTCTTGTTGATCGCTGTGTGACAAATAAAAGGATTGTCAAGATAATAGAAACGACATTTCTAGGTTTGGGTAAGCTGAATGGACCGATTTGGACCCAGAAAAGTTACTGATAACAGTGAGTCATGCAATATGTGTCAGAATCACAACCTCTCTTGTACTTTAGTTGTCCCTGGGCCAAAGAACTACAGGAATCAACTCATTATGTCCCCGCCAGTGACTAAAAATGTCGGTAAATTGTGGAAAAACTTCCTGCTGCTCAGTTGACAGCCAAAAAAAAAAACTTTTGCTCGAATCAATTTGGTATGGCGCCACCTTCTTATGGCACTCTGGCAGGCACAGAAAGAAGCATTTCAGTAATTGGAAAAGTTTCTCTCTCTCTCTCTATCAAGTCATGTGCACATGGCTGGCTGAGCTGCACACCCACAGAAGGACCTGACTCACTCCCTGCCCTGTGTGCTATATCTGTCACTGGCCTAGCTTTGAATCCTGTGAGAAAGGTACTTGACAAAATGAAATGTGAGGGGACAAGAACTTTAATACAGCCTGCACAGTTCTAGCAAAACTAATTACGTTTGAATGGTAAAGAGCAGACTTGAAGTGGACCTATGCAAATGACACACTTTCAACTGGGAAGAGAAACAATCAAAACCTTCACTTTTTAAACCAACCGGTCTTTGCATGTAACCAATTGCCACTTATTTACTTAATGACAGGTGTTTTTTTTTTCCATTCTAAAGCACACGCATTAAGAACCTCTGGCTGCCCTTTCAAAGGTTTCTCTTACATTTCTGTCATAAGATCCTACTTTTCAGAAGAAAAAAAAAACCCTTACAAAGATAAAAAAAAAAAAAGTACATTTGATGCTTCTCTGCATTTGGAAAAGCAGCTTCTCATTTTCTGCTTACTCCAGAGGTCAGTTTGATAAGACTGTTGTCGACTCAGGCAGCCACAGAGTGGACTGATTTTAATGAAATCACTCATTCACAAATTTCAAAATTATAAAGATGTTACAGCAGCAGCCACTTCACTCTAATAGCAGCTCAGGATTGTTATATTTTTGGACTGCTCTTCACTTTTTAGGGTCTGTGTGTGAAGCATATTGATGCTGTAATGAGCCGAGTCTATTCACTGATTCCACTGTTGATACTATTCTTTATAAAGATGACAGGCCAATGTGTTTTTACCACAAACCGTATTCTTTTTATTAATGCATCAGCTTTGTCGTGGTAGTCATTTTGCTGACCCGACCCTGAACACACCATGATATAACATTGTTATCTAATTTTGTTTGCTTGTCCAAAATCCATAAATAGGATTTTGTAACAGAATATTCCTTTGTCTTTTAATGCCTGCTGGTTGGCAATTCACTTTTTTTCAACAACTTGGTTATATATGTTTGTGCACCAGTGATTTTATTCGAATGACTCTTCCCCTCAAGATTCAGTCATAAGATCCACTACACTTGATAGCATAAGTCATAAGCATGAGTCATAAAACATGGTTAAAATGACACAATCTGATTATTACATGCCACTTACAACATGAAACTGAAACCTTCTTTTAAATGTATGTGTGTCTGATCGGTGTAGGTGCCTCTTTTTTTGGGGGGGAGATCATCCGGTCTGGATCCAACAACCAGTCAGGGTATTCTTGTAGGTAACAAGCCAATCACAGCAACTATGTACAGACTTGGATCGTTCAGCCTAAGAATAACTGACATTATCAGGTCTTTGTTTTGAGCCCTCTCTCATTTGGCACACATTAGCTGTTGCTTTTCAACTCTTTCAGGTTAATTTTTTTTCATATCAGCTGATAGTGCTTCTGTCCTCTCAGCCTGACATGACTTTCTGATAGGAACACACAGTGTGCTTGACAACAGTAGTCACGCATGTTTGGTGTGTCATTTGGTGGGAGGGGCTTAATAGGGTGATCCAAGGTTGAAGAGAGGGAGGAAAAACTTTTATTTTTTTCCACTGGAATGCTTTTATTGTTTTGTGCAACTTTAATCAGTGAAGAAGTTTAACATCAAACATAGAAAAGTTTTAAAAAAGCCCATGTAGTTGCTCAAAATACTTTCCTTTGTTAAATGCATTACAGAGTTTTAAAGCAGATGTTGTGTATAAAACAGCTGGGCATCTGTGAATGTACAGCATGCTGCTCTGCTCATTTATAACTCTCACTGGAAGCTCGACAGGCAATACTGATTCTATGGCGCATTAAATTGATTTTCTTCTGTACCCTGTGTTGGCGTGTACTATTAAACCCTCCATTGCTGCATGTCCATGGCCGAGTCCCTGTTAGTGCATTTCCTGCATGATTAGTGCATGTGTGTGTTTTTGTACCGTTCATGCTGCTCCTCTAGCGCAGTGATCTCCTCCAGCTTGTCTCTCTGCCGGCCGATCTCAGCTTTCTGACGGTTGATGATCTCTCTGTACTTGCTCAGCTCGTCCTCCCATCGTGGACGCTCGTCTTCCAGACACTTCAACTACAAGAAAAAAATAAAAATCAAAAGCTCAATGAGCATTTCAGACCTGCTGATGTTGCACATAGATTTTCAAGTATGTAACTGAGTAGTAAACCTTTGTGCGCAGAGTACTCAGCTCATCCATGCTCTCCTTGTAGCTTCTTTTCAAGTCCTCCAGCTCCTTGGCCTTTACTCGGTGTACCTGCCAGATATAATATTAATCAAATAGAATGTATTTCCTTCACTCAATGTCTGCTGAAAAAGCCATCTCTGCTCCTTAACTGTATAACCTGATTTAAAAGGAAACCCTGTTTTAAAAAAGGATGCTTCCCTGCTCTTTCTGATTGAGGGCTTTTATATGCTACCATTTCAGTGCAAAGGTTTTTTCCATCAGTTTAATCCTCAGTCACACTTAATGAAACATTTTTCTCTAGTCTTGGCACGAGCATCATTTTGTTACAGATGCATTTCCAGTGATCAAAGTCTGGCATTCACTGATTTTTATTTTGCTTTGGCCCTCATTACACATTTGAAGGCAAAGCTTATTAATGTTTTGTCTCATCTTTTCAATAAAGCCATTAATGGTCCCACTGTGAGTTGATTTTTTCCAAGAAGCTATTAGTAGCCTTTGGTATCCAAGACAACATGCCAGTAATAAATAGATGTCAACAAATTAGCCGCCAGTGTCCTCCATTCATCAGCAACCAATCCTATTTTATTTACAACCAACGCAGTCATGGAACATCAACAGTTTTATTTGCATTAATCATGGCTGAGCGGCATCATATTTTCAACATAACAGTCATTCTGAAGCAAACACGGGCTCTGACTGATTTTGAGGACAGCGAGGCAGAGATATGTGTCAATATGAGGTCATCAAAATAAGTTTAAGGCTACACAACACTATGGATCAAAATCGTTCATTTTTTAAGTGTGATTAAATTCATGACAAAAAGGCAAACAAAAGGTGATTTCAGTTTTAATTAATATATCAAAAATTAAACTGAGAAGCTTCTGTGACTTTAAGGCCTAATATTTCTGAAGCTTTAAATTTAGAATCTCCCTGAATAAACAAACCAGGCCGTCGAATGATGAGAAGAAACGTCTGTTTTTATTCTGGGTTGTTGTCAAGAGGCACAGCTTACGTATTGATTATTTCTAGGCCATTTATTTTTAAGTGTGATTCCCTACCGAACAGGGCAGAGAGAAAAACAGGCCACAGTGTTTGGACTGAGTCCACGTCTGTCACTGTGTGCATGCTTGTCTGCCTGTAGAGCTTATATGGCCATTTGTTACTCATTCCTACTTAAGGCAATTACACCTCTCAAAGCTATGAAAGCAGCTCAGAGTAGAAATTTTCACTAGCAGGGCTGGCATTGTGACAATCAATAAAAGGCTGATTAATAACCTGGAAGAATGGATGTATACAACTTGGAATTAATACCGAAGGTGCATTAGGGTTGTGTTTAGTCTCTGGTGGATTGTTAAACAGATGAAAATAGACACAAATTCACAAATAAAACGTCTGTAGACACGCAGCAAGCATGTTAACTGCCAAATAAACGCTAACCCTGCTTTTTCTCCTACATTTTATCAGGAAATTTCAGTACCCTCTCATTTGAAAACTCGTGTTTTAAGTGTGATTATGTACGTGCACAGCAGTAGTCACCTCTAATTGGTCTGTTTGCTCCTGCTTGTGTTTCTCCAGCTCTCCTTTGGTCTCCCTCAGCTTAGCATCCAGCTCATTGGACTTGAGTTCCTCTGACTCCTGCAGGAGGAAAAGAGGACAAGATTGAAAAATACGACAAGAATCGGGATGACAGAGGGAATTAGACGGTTGAAGCGGGCGTTAACAGATGGGCCGCCTTAAAGAGGAGGCGATCCTGGAAGAAAGAGGGATTCATTTATTATGCACAGCAGGGAAAATGAAGCAATTTGTAATGCTAATGAGAAAAGAAAGCATAATTAATATATTTGTCACAGAGCTATCTCGGGGCAATTTTGGTTTTGGTTCAGTTCAATTCATTATTGTGGTATCATCAGTGTCTACAGTGAAGCAATGCCCATTTGGAAGGGGCAATTATTTTGCACCAGAAGTGCTGCTTGTTTTCACTGAGAAACTCTCATCTGATTGGCTTTAAGCTTCATACTGAACAGCCTCTGGTCATCACGCAGGCCAAGTGTGTTTACTTTGTTTGAGTGAATGATTTGTCCATTATCTCCTACATAAAACATATTTAAAGAACAGTCCCTTTCCACCTCCCAACAAAATGATACTTAAAGTCCTTTTAAGACTTTTCATCTGGTGAAAAATGCTGCAGCATGTGTCTGTACCAGAACATGGAGAAGAGATCATTATTACTCACTGGTTTAGAGACAGACTAGGGCTGGGCAATATGGCCTCAAATCAATATCATGATATATTGAGCAGTTCATTTTGATAACGATAAAGGGACGATAACTACTCCACAAGCTGCTCACACTCTCCCACATTAAATTCGTCTACTTCAGCCGCCGCTCCAGCTGCGACAACTTTTAAACCGTCCTCCATCTCCTCACCTGTCTTTCCCTCTTTGTTAGGGACTGAATGGGGTGGAGTCACGTCTCTGACAGTATCTTAAAAAGGGGCGTGAGACCATAGCCTACCTACACACATCCAAAACCAACTTTTAATTATTGATTTTTCTAACACCAAATATATTGACATGGACAAATGACATTGGTTATTGCCGTAAATTTCGGTATCTGTAAATTTTTGGTTTATCGCCCAGCCCTAACGCAGACATCCTCTCTTTTCCTTGCTGGATTATGTCTCTCTCACGTAAGGGTTTCATTCACATCAGAGCTGTTTAGTCTGCTTTAAATAAACTCTAGTTCATTTTCCAAGATAGTCTGGTTTGTTTGAAGTGGCTCAAAAGCTAAAACGAACTCTGGAGCAGCAGACCAAACAAGTGAACGCTGATCTGGTTTGTTTTGAGGTGTAAAAGCAAAGCAAACTATTTTATAAACTGGAGGTAGGAAGTGGCATAAAGTGCAGTAGATCAATGTGTCGATACTGAGACCTGAATGCTTTATAAATTCAGTGTTGCTCCAGTGTTCATGTGGTGAGTAAGTGAGCAAAAGCAGCCTGATTGTTGGTGTTTTAATGGGACAATGTGGACACAAACAAGCAGTTATCATAAACCCCTGATGTTGTCTAGATGGTTTGGTTTGTTTCACCGAGTGCAGTGTGAAAACAGACCAAATAACATTAGTGTGGTGCAGTGTTGTTATTTCATCCCCCAACTCTAACTAAGCCCCCCAGACCACCATGAGCGAAAAAGGCCTCTAGTTTAAAAACGTCCCCTGGTTTTGCTGACTCTCCCTTTCAGTATTAATTCATGTCATATGACTGCACATCACTAATTCAAAAACTACATGTTCCATTTAAGTAATTGGTCATAAATTTTTTTCCCAGGAGTTTTTGAGCTCTCTTGTCCTATGGGCCTCTGTGGGTCGTTGCTACTGCAGGCCTGCTGCCAAACCATGGACCAGCCTGACGTACTCACAACAACCACTTTCAAAACTTTGATTTTCATCATTATACTCCTTATGTTCATCTTAAAGTTCCCAACTGCAAGTGCTTCATTAAATCTCATCAGTCTCCTTCATGTTATCTTCACTATAGATGTTAACGTTAATGTCAGACCAATGAGTCTTCAAACATTGCTGTCAACGTTGCTGACATATGGTATTAATGTTAAGTATCCGTAAAAAATAAAAACAAGCGTACAGTCTAAACCTGATCTTTCAACATAACATTGTAATAAATCAGTGAAATACTAAGTGATTAAGTGAATAGTTATTAAGGTGTGCAAACAAAGATGGGACCCTTTCTTGTCCTGCTGACAGTAAAATTCAAACTTTAAGTGCAAACTCCAACAAAACCAGACTAAATATCAAAATCCAAATGAGTGAATTTATTCAGAAGTTTGGTGGTAATTACTCAAAAAGGAGTGGGAGGAAAAGCATAAAAAAGGGCGATTTGGACCAAACTCAGCATGGCAGAAGATTCATCCACAGATAAATGCAAATTAGAATGACGAATATTCATTGATTTGTCCTGACCCCCAAAACTGTGAAGCCTGATGAATAAAAAGTTGTCTGAAATTTGAAGAGTGGCACACAGACAGCGGTGAGACATGATGATAAATGGTGAAAACACCTGTATTATTTTCTCCTTTAACATGATAACATTATAAAAAACTATGAAACAGACTTTATTTGCTTTAGTTTGATATCTTCCCCTGTTGCAGCCTTTGTCTTCCCTGATAATAAAACTGCTGATGAATGAGTGCAGCAGCTTCAATAATTCTTCGCAGCACAGCTCTTTACTACCATCATAAGGTTTGAATGAAAACTGCCCTCCTCCAGACACGATCAATGCTGCCTCATTTAGTTCGAACAACACCTTTCTCTCTCTCATTTTCCTTTGTATGCTGTTAGGTGATGTGGTGAGCAGGCTTGTTGAACTAATGCAGCCAAATATAGAATGAATGAATAAATAAATAAATAAAGATAAGCAAAAAAATAAAAAAAATAGAAATGACGATAAAGGATAGTGATTCAGCCAAGAAAAACATGCTGTCTGTCCACATTTTCCTATTTCATGCAGATATACAGTATGCAGTTTCCAAGACTGAAAGTAAGTTTGCTCAGACACAAGAATGTGAGATATCCATGTGGTAAATTTCACAGACCTGGTATGTTCGGATCATGTCCTGGCAGTTCTTGCGGATCTGCTCGGTCTCTTCTTTGGCCTGGGCCAGTTTGGCCGTAGTCTCTCTCAGTTTATCTTTACTTTCCTGCACATAGAATGATATAAACACACTTTCATGATACTAACACTAAAAAACAGGCTGTCCTTCTAAGCGAGGCCTGAGCCGTAATAATGGTTGGTAGAAAGATTCTTGTTTGTGACTACTTTTACTGGTAAACGCTTATGTACACATGAAGAGGGTGATTTACATGCACTCAGGTGAACCACACAAACAAAAGCATTAGTGATCTAGCTCCTGCGGCCTTGATCACCCACTGAGTTTTTCCCTTTTGTTTATAGCAGTGAATTTGTTTCCCGGCAGTTAAAAATAAAAGCAACATTTTGTAATAGACATTTCCAAAAACAGCACTGTTGTTAATGATGATTTCCTTGCAGGATCATTACTGCGCCATTTTCGGCCCATTTCATTTCGCCTCGAAAAATCACAAAAACACATCTAATCATGGTTTTTTTTTAGACTCTGAAGATGAAATGACTAAAAGAGGGATATCATTTATATCCTAGAAGTGCTTCGAAGGAGGCGCACAGCTCTGACAAACAACAGGCAGAGGTTTGGAGATTAAATGAGGAAAATCAACCAGAAAATGAAAGCATGTTCTTTCAAACTGATTAAGGCAATTGAAACATGGTGCTGCTGCTGCAACTTAATGTAGCTAGACACATCAGATGTATTAATGCATACATTCAGCCTTTCATGACCAGTACATAACTTGATTTTTATATGTCTGCAGCAAGGTCACTGATGCTTTTAAACATCGCCTGATAAGCTGGAGCCAAAAATGCATAAAAAAACAGCCCAGTAGTATTACCTTGTGTGCATCTGCCTCGCTCTTTAGTTTGTTCTGTGCCCATTTGACTTTAATCAGGTGTGAGTTGACCTCCTCCTTCAACTTTTCCACTTCTCGGGTCAGCCTGCTAATCTCCCCCTCCTGAAAAAACACAAAACCAAAACACTGAGATAGTACAGAGGAGCAAAGAGCCTTTAATCTGGGTGAAGATTTGTTTTTTTTAATCATGTTTATCCCTCTAACATACCACTGTAGTAAGACTGAAGCCAGAGCTGTTGAGACCAAGATAAGTTTGTTTGCATTAAACAGTAACAGCTACATCTTTTACAACCCAATACAAAACATCAGCAATCATGGGAAGCCACTTTCATAAATACACACGATTGAGTAGAATAGCTTCAAAATACATCTATAGAAGCAGCAAATTGTTTTGTACTCATAATTATCATCATCTAAAGGACAATGAGAGAAAAGTTTCAGTGGATAGATCATAAAAACAGTGAAGCTTTGAGAATACTTTGAGAATAACTGTTTCTTGAGGCAGTTAAAAACTGACTTGACTATTTACCTTTGCTTCGTATAGCTGCTGCAGTCGACCTTTCTCCTGAGCCAGCTGGTTTCCTCGCAGCGCCTGGCGGTCGACCTCTTTTGTTGCTTCTCTCAGCCTCTTCTCCAAACTCTCCTTATCCCGCCTCAGGTCCAGGGCCTCTTTCTCTCCCCGGACGTACTTCATCACCATGGCTTCCTTCTCTTGGCGGGCTTCATCAGACTTCTTGTTCACCTGAAACAATAACATTTTCATCAAGGTATGTTCACATTATTTTTCAAGCTTTTGTCACCAAATCTAAAAAACCTGTTAAAGGTGCAGTGGCACAATTTAGTGGCATTTAACAGACCAGACTTGGTAACAACGGAATACAATATTCTGAAGTATGTTTGAATTCACGTATAATCACCTCAACTTTGTATTTTTTTTCTTTTTTTGTCAACTTTGGATGAGCCTTTTACATCAACAGCACAGCAGGGCCACCTCACTAAGGCTACCACCATCATTGCACTGCCTGATCTCTTCCATAGCAAATCAGTTTTTTATTTAGTGAGTGGCAACACAGGATTTATCATCGCTGGAGGATCGAGATGAGTAAAGTGACTACTGTGTGCCGGAGAATATGACAGTATTTGACATTTTTGACAGTAAAGATTTGACAAATAGAGGGGAAATGTCTAACTTCCCTGTACCTTGGAAGCAGATGGCAAAGGAGGAAATGTGGTTACTCAACTCAGCTTGCCAACCTCAAACTGGACGAGAGAAAGTCATAAGAGAAACTGCAAAAATGAAAATGTTCTCAAGGAATACTTTCATCACTGATAATGCTGCTCTGCTCATTTTCTCGAATACACACTTCTGAATGAGTATAGTGTAAGGCAATAAAGGAGATGGCAAAAATGGTCTCATTAGAATTTTTGCTTAAAACTGACTCAGGTGATGAACATACAAGAGAAACAGATTCAGTAATTTTTGCTGATTTACTGTTTGAATTTTTTTAAGTTTCCAAATCTTTGTCAAAAAAGAATGCTGTACATGTTTTTATTTCCTAAGCATTGAACTTATTCAAGTACGCAAAAAAAGCAAAACACAAACGAACTCTGATCTTTTTGTCCTTTCATAATACAACTGAGCAAATCAACACTCTGAAAATCAAGGCACAGATTGATGCATTTTCCATACGAACACTTCAGATTTCAGTCCAGGTTTCACACTGCTGTGTTCATTCCTCGTGCTCATATGTGCCATTTCTTAGCCGTCAGTTAAGAGTTTTTATGTTCCTGTGGGAAATCTTTACAGCCTGTGTAACATGTGGACACTCAAGGGAGCAGAGGGAGAGGAAAACTGTAAGTAGCTGTCAGCGCTGCTGTGGATTACAGTTTAAAATTATGACATAATAAAAGTCGTTTTTTTTTTTTTTCACCAGGCGTCAATGTAAAGAGAGAAAGACAAACCTTAGGGGGTACAGCAGATTAAGACTGAGTTTCCATCATAACACAAGGCAGTTCTGATACTGGAAAAGGGGCTTAAAGGAGTGACTGGGTGCCAAATGTACCTTGCATTGCTCACTGAAGGGCGAAATTAAAAAATTGTCAAGTGTGACAAAACTGTCAAGAGTAAAAGGGCCCTGTGTGATTTTAGCCAGGTGTCCACACCTCAAGGATGAAAAATGTGGTCTACATTCTTGGCTTCCCAAGTGATCGAATCTGTTACAAGAGATTTGAGCAAAAACCTTGACTGTTCAGCTGCTGATTTGTATATTCACTCTGAGGCTGTCTTTGTTTTGGCTATTTTTAGCTTCAGCAATCATCTTAAAACTGAAATGGAACAATATTTTTCTGAAATTGGACAGAAGTTTACAACTGGCTGGGATTTTTATGAACTGGCAGTATTTTAATCTATAGAAAGATATACAGCAAACACAAAAGAGGGAAGAATTTATGCAGTAGATAGGAACGATTAACAAAAAACATACTGCAGGAAATCCTACAAAACACACCCAAGTGTATGAAGAGAAATCCAGAGCTCTCTGTCACCTACAAAATGACCAGAGCACAGAGGTTTCGTATCCAAATTGTGAAAGTTACAGCTGGTGCTTAGAGCCAACCTTGTAATCTTTTAGGTGCAACACTGTGTTAATTTATGGGTTGTCACAGTTTGACACCAACAGGAATCAGAGCTGTAGCAAAGCTGTGGTTTAAAATGTGGTCATTAACGGTCTGCTGTTCTTTTTTTTTCTTGACAAGAACCCATTAGCCGGATCTCTCTGTCCGCAAAAGCTTTTCTTTGAGCTCATGTCAATATATCCATGACACTTGAAGTGAATATCAGGTAACATGTAGTGTCAAAAATAAACCCCTAATTTGTTTTAATCATCTTAGTACAGCTATCACAATATACAGCTATAAATAAAAACTGATTTTTAAATATGATATGATGCTAAAGGTGAGCATTTGATAATATACTGTTAGTAACTGGTTCATTGTAGGGAGTGGTTGTGATTAATTTGCTTGTAACACTCCCGCTATAAAACACAGGAATGATGAAGAAGTGGCACCCTCCAAACGATACTCAGCCAATTTTAAAACTGGTCTAAGACTTAATGGGCTTTGAGACTTACATCCAAAAAATGGTATTTTTACTGTATTGCTAAAACTGTTTTTGTCTGGTGTCCTTGTAGTAGAACTTCCCAAGTAGTAATCTACTTAAATGGCAAATGCATATTTTCAAAACAAAAACGTCATAATGGGGAGGAGCAACTTTAATATGTTTTCACTAAAAACACAACTCTAAAGAAATGTGAGGGATCTCTTGCGAAGACTGAAATTCCTTTTTGGAGGAAAACGGATCCGGATATTTTAATGGTGTTTGTTGTGTTAAGTCCAGCAACAGAGGGATGTTGAAGCGGCCTAAAATAAAACAGGCCCAGACATGCAAATGAGGATCAGACAGGGTGAAACTAAGCTGCTATAACTAGCTTATCAAAGACTCACAGCATGTCGGTTCCAGTTTTACCTGTTCTAGCCTGAATGTCATCTCCTTCTGCACCTGCTGGAGGGCGGCCTTAGATACACGATCTTGATGGGTCAGTCTATCGCGCGACTCCTTCAGCTCCCTCAGCAGCTCCTCCACCCTGCCCTCCAACTGAAAAGACAAGGAGAGGAGTATACAGGGTAAGCAAGTTGTTGGGCAACATATAAGCCTGGGCCACACCCGGGTTAACCAGCAACAAAGGATGACACTTGACGCAAAATGTTTCAGGCAAAGAAACCTAGAACTCAAAAGTGGAGGGACTCAGTTTGACAACGTTCTCTTCCAAGATCTGTTTTTTTTTTTTCACAGCAAAATATGACTGAAATTCTCAAGATTACCAGGCTTAAAATAGTTCATAATTTCTAAGATTTTTCTTTAGGTTGTTGTCTGAAGTATAGCCTTACATTTATCTTACTCTTTCTGATTCCTGAAAATGCTTTTACAACAGATGTTGAATCTATCACGTCAAAACCAATGGGAATGGAAAAAAAGTAAAAGAAGCAAAGCAAACATCACATACATATCATAAAAACCTCTCCTACACGCTTAAGCCTGTGCAACACTTGAACAAAAGCTGTTTGCCATAAGGCATGACTAAATGACTATAAGTGTTCAATGCATACAGAAGATCCAATCACTAACAGAGATCTGCATTTGTCCTTCATACACAGCAGAGCTTTTAATCAAAGGGTATGTCACACAAACTAGAAGATGCTCTAAAAACACACAGAACTCCCATAAATGAATGCAGCCTCTCATGCATATGATGCACGCTGAATGCTCGTAATCAGAGCTCTGTGTTCCCTTTGCTCTCTCCTCTAGGCTGCTTTGTTTGACTTCCCTAATTACCAGCTGCACAGGCTGAGGATCCACATTTAATTGGAGGTTCATCGTGACACCATTTTTCCTTTGCTTTGTCCTTGAAAAGAAGCATCAGAGATCAGAGAGAACCAGCCCTTGAATTTCCCATATATTAAAGTTTGCACCACTTTATTTTGGAAGATAATAAATTCAAAATTAAATGTGTGGAAGCTCAGCAACTTAAAAGCATTTGTTACTGGAATCCAATTACAAATTCAAGGTATTCAGTTCACATATATCCGGTTGTTTATTCGGACAAATGGAAATTTAATAAATGTCAGTTTCTGGCCTTTACATAAAGCAATGTTGAATCAACACGACTTTACAACTAGGCGCATATTTACAGACTAATAAAGGGTCTTAAAGCCCTCTTGTTTGTACTCGTTTTTAAGCTTTTTCTCCACAGCTCTGAAAGCTTTTAATTTAACAGCAGCAATAAAAAAATGCAGGTGCCATGACGACTTTAAACAGAACTCCATATCTGGCTCAGGAAGACAGACAATGCATCATAGTAGAGCGCTTCCTTGTTGATAAAAAAACAAACATACCATGAATAGGTGGCGATTGTTTTCAAATAGGGATTAAATACAGCCTGGAGAGACACTCATGACAACCACTATTTCAGAATGTGCTTTCACTGAGACCACGGAATAGATAAGCTTACACCAGCTATGTTTATGCTTTAAAGTAGTCAATGATGAATGTATACTATACTATAGAGAACAAAACTTGCCTTTTTTATTGTGGCCATGTGCAGCTTTTCTGATTCTGCCTTCTTTTTCAGCTCATCCCTCATGTTGTCCTTCTCCGAACAGATCCCCAAGATCAGCTCCTGATGCCTTTTGTTCTCCTCAAGCAACCTGTCAACATAAATGTGAAACACACGGTCAACTTCAAAACCACATAAAGCCCTGTGGACTTTGCCAAAGGACATGTAAAGTAGGCTACGTGGGTTATTTAATTTTGTCTCAATGTCTGGGGTTAGACTACTGAAGATGGTCTCATACATAGTAGAAATAGCAGTGTACCTTTGGATAGCCTTCTCTTGCTGCGCATATTTGTACTGCACACATTTCTCGAAGACAACCATGCAGTCCTCTTGATCTTGAGGGAGCCCGTTGACTGGTGGGCTTCCTTTCCTCTCACCTCCACTCTCCCTCTCAGGCAGCTGACAAGACAACAGCTCAGACTCCAGCTCATCCAGCAGCGACTCCTGCGACAGTGAGCGCTGAATCTGTGATAGAAGCTTTCGGCTGCAATCAGTGTCATAGGGGCTCGACAGGGCTTGTGAAGGGGCTGTGGTGTTGGCGTTGGTTTGCGGGCTGGAAGCCAGTGAGGAGCTGACAGTGTCTGAGCCCGGAGTAGATGGGCCATTAGAGATCCCAGAGGTGGTTGTAGAGTCGGTGGGGGAATTATTGGAAGTGCTCTGGACGGAAGGGGATGATGGACTCCCTTCTGAAGCAGGGGATGGCTCTGTGGAACCATTCGTGGACAAGACTGATGGCTGCTCCATGTCCGGAGAGGTGGCATAAGAATCCTGCACTTCATCAAAAGTCAACAAGGTTTCTATAGTCCCTTCAAGAACAGACGGGGAGCTTTCTACCACATTGTTTATCATGGAGACTGAGCCTGCCAAAACTCCACTAACCTCAGTTGAAAGTGAAAGTACCCCATCTTTAACTGAACTGCTATCAGAACTGGTTTCAGCTTCTAGCTTGTTCATATCTATATTGTCCTGACTGCATATTTGAGCTTCCATTTTTAGCTTTTCATCCTCATCGACATCTGTCTCAGTCCTGATTGATTCACTGTCAAGCTGTGCGTTATCTTTCGCTTGACTGAGCTTCTCTGCCCCGTTTGCACTGTTGTGAAGCTGGCTCGCTGGTTGTGACCCCTCTGATGCAGGTTCAGCCTCTGATCCTTCCATCATGTGTTTATCTGAAGCAGGACCAGGCTTTTCCTTGGTCCCTCTCTGTTTCAGATCTACCAGAGACAAGGGGGGGAGGGCAGACACAGCAAAGAAAGAAGGACACTGAGTCAGCAAAGGAAAGACTAATAAGCCATGTTTCCAGAAATCATGTGACACAAGTTTTCCTGTGAACAATCAAAAACTGCAGGTGCTTAGTGTTCCTGTGTCGAGACAGGAAAAACCCTGATAATCCCAACAATAAGCCTCATATTTCCTCATGTTAGATCTCGCAGGATTTGCAAGTTTATTTGTTACCTGAAGGAACACATACTTCAGATGCCTGACATACACATACTCGATTGTTTTAAACCCCACAGAGAGGTGTGTACTTTTCAACACCTGTGACGTAGTGACACTTTGAGTCATGCAGCAAACAACATAAAAAATCCAAGGTGTTCAAAATTTTTACACAGCCTCACTCAGATGTATTTCTCTTTAAGATGCATCAACCAATGACTCAACATGTCAGTCTACAAGTATACAGTGACTGGGAAAATGCTGGGAAGATGATGTTGTTTGAATATTTTGTTTCAATAAGGAAAACATGATTTTTTTTTTCACTCTCTCAGAGATAAGAAATGTCTGAAGTCACTCGCAGCTACATATAGACAAAAAACACATTAACCTTGCCTTTTACACCTACAAAATAACAGAAAATGTAGACAATTGAGCAACCCCATTGTTAACTGTCATTAAAAGATGCTTTATAATGAAGGCCCTTTCCTCTGTTGTGTAAATCCCCACAGCATCCTCATGCCACTGCTTCTGCCTTGTATAGTTTTCCCTCTTACCCCTTTTTATCAATTTCAAAGAAATAAATCTTAGGATGCAAACTAAATTCCTTCTGTTTACCGTGATCTTACTAGGGTAAAATGTAGCATAGATACAGAAACACTGTCAAGCTTGACATGTTAAGCAGCTAAAACACACACAACGACGTTGATGCTGTAGTGACAGGTGTCAGGCCATCAATGCAGTCAAGGTAATCTAAGTAGTCGTTTCAATAGAGACACACTGCTGTTTGATATCTGTGTAGTTCGTAAGCAGCGGCAAATGTCCCACTTGTATTTTCGGCTGTTTTATCAACACATCGACGCTTAAATGAACATTAGCTCCACTAATGCTGAGCATAGCTCCTTAGCCGGTAAGCTAGCACCGACAAGATACAGTGAAACACACATTAAACAACACATATTTAAACAAAGAAATCTAAGAAGCAGTTACTTTAACACATTTGATGCTGACGCTTGTACTGACATATTGTATGAGGCCACCAGTGACTGAAGCTAGCTCGGCTAACAGTGGTAAGAGGCGTTAGCTTGCTAGGTTTAAAGTACAATCCGCTCAGAGTACAGTTAGCCGAGCTAACGCCAGCCCCTGACATAAACGACGGACAAGGATGGTTATATTTTCACCCACCGAATGCGACAACCACATGATGAAGCTCAATGCATAGTCATTCGCGACGATACTGAACTTTGAGTCCTCTGCTTTACCAGCTAATAGCCCAACAAGTCACTTTGATATGACACATCAACAAATATGGCCACTGCAGGAGAAACGATAAGGAGGTATGAGCCAATGACAGCCCGAGAAAAATGACGTAGCTTTACGTCAAACACGACAGGTATGAGTATATGCCAACTTCTTTCTTTCTTTTTCTTTAAACGAATCCTGTAATATGTTACACATATTTTCTATCAGTGGCGATTGCTCCAAGAGAGCAAAAATGTCACCCCCCCTAAAATTACTCCTCGGGCGAGCACCCCCCCCCCCACACACACACACACACAGACACACACACACACACACACACACACACACACACACAGTTTTGTATTATTATGTAGTATTATTATGATTAGAACAACAAAAATAAAATATTTCTCAATTGCAGAAATCCTTCAATAGAAAAAAACACAATCCTGAGGGCCATTTTGAGAAGGGCCCCCAGATCCTGAGGTTTTCTGAAGTGTTGAGGTTTACAAAAAAGATGCTATCTCGGCCTCTGTAGTAGATAGAAACAAAATTCAAAAAGTATTTGAGAGCTTATACATGTGGCTTTCAAGAAAGCTCTCTTTTAGTTTTGCGAACCTTCATCACATTTTTGAAAACCTTGAACAAACAAATTTAAATGAAATAAAGTGGCTGTATAAATAAAAGTATAGGCTCTGCACTGGAGAATGACAAATAATTTGCTTTCTGTTAAAAAAAGTGGCAGTCATGATAAAGTGTCCATTCAATACAAATGTAAATATAGAAAATAAGGTGTTGAAAGGGTAAACAGCTGCCCCAGTATAGTGCCACTACAAAAGCAGCTCTAAAAACTAGAATAAATACATGGCTGACAGTGTGTTCATCTCTGTTCTGACCCAAAGTCATGCAACACTCAGAAATTGCGATAGTGTGAGCCAAAGAACTCCATATGAAGAGTTTGTTCACACTGCTGGATAATTCCTCTCTGAACTGCTCTCCGCCTCCGTCATTGCTTACTTTACTCACGAAGCGCTTAGCAAGATCCGAGCGCTTTATTCGCCTATCAGAGGCAGACGGGTACGGTGATTTGATTCGACACGATTCCAGAAATGATTAAAAAACTACAAAATGACGTCTCCGCGCTTCCGGCTTAAGAGTAGCAATGCGCAGCCGCGCTACCGGCTTGGAGAGCTGATATGATGACATGCGTACACAGAGCAGAGCTGTCCCCGCTTCGTCTCACACATGCTGCGTCCGAATTGCCCGGTCGGATACTACATGCTACTGCTACATACTTCTGCTAGATCCTACTCCTACATACTAAACACGTTGGCCCAATTCGGACACACTAGACGAGCGGTGGGGAAAGACGACCCCCGCAGGCAGAGAGTAGGTACTGCGCCCGTGCAGACAGTGGTAACTGAAGCCCCTCATCTGCGGGCCTGGCTGTAGTACTGCAGCTGTGCAGTTTAATGATGGAATAAGTGAGCTTTACCTCCATGATGTCGCCACATATTTGCTCATAAAATGATTACTTGGGCAAATATGACACCATGACATGACAAAGAGATACAACCGCACATTTTTTAGGACAGTGTGTGAAGTTACATGAAACTTACATCTGTACTGCTGCGGTCCCGCCTGCTGCTGCTGCCGCGACATTGTGCGCGCTGCTGTGGCCAGCCGGCATTCGCGACACATTTAAAAAGGCAGAGCAGCAGGTGGCGCTAGCATCACATGCGCTTCTTCAACTTTTAAGAGGACGAAGAAGAAGCCCGTGGTGCATTTTGGGTCAGTAGCATGCCCGTAGGATGCACCGAGACCAACCTACAATGTGGGCGTGTCTAGTATCTGAAGTAGCATGCTACTCGCTCCAGTGGCCAATTCGGACATGCTAGATACTACTTCGACTACTACTTGGCAATTCGGACGCAGCTACAGTCTGTCAGCCTCTGTGCAGCAGCAAGCAGGGGCGCCTACAGCAGCGGGAGGGCGCCATTTTGACAACAAGAGTTAATAAAAAAACGCTTTGCAGTTAAGATTTATTATTATTATCTTTTATTTTATTTTTTTGGAAGTGCTCGTGTCGCCCCCCATGAGTCATGACACAAATGCCGCCCCGGGCGACTGCCCTGTTCGCCTGTGCCTAGAACCGCTACTGATCACAGGTAACCAGCACAACTTCGTTCTCATTCATCCTCGCAGCGCCTCAGTGCTTCACACAGCCGGACGCCCAGCTTCTGCTGACTTCAATGTGGAAGCTCAAAGTGGGTTGTTCCAGCAGCGAAACTAGACGCTCATTGGATATTTGCTGGGCTTAGTCCCGCCTATTGGACGCTCAGCGTCTCTGGAGTTCTATGACGAGAGGGCGGTCCCAACTTTCTCGCGGACACTGAGCTTCTGCATCCATGATTGGATGAGCTGTCTGAGGCGAAATCCTTTTTTGATTGACAGCTAAACAAGCGAATCAGCAATCTTGAAGAATAAAACATCTACCAGAGCATTTTCCAAGTTATTCATTCCGTTGTTCTTAACTGCTCCAGAGACTTTACCGATCCTCAGCGACTTTTGTCTTTGTTAAAAACGACTGCGTTGTGTTTGGCGACTCTATTCTGTTACATACAAATAAACAAACACAATTATGATGTAGGCGAGAAAAATGAGCTTCCCCTCCTTGAAAGACCAGCAGCCGCCACTGGTCCTTAGAAGGTTTCAACCATAGACTGTATATACAGTCTTTGGTTTCAACCATAGACTGTATAAAGAATGGACAGAGTCTGCCTCCTCGCTGGGTGAAGCCACTCCGAGAACAGCACCCTCTGATGGTGGGCTGCAGTACAGGTCATAAATCCCGCCTCCGCCAGCAAAGCTTATGGGACTGTGGACAAACTTTAGAAATTTATTACACAGAACATACATTTTTCTCCCCACTGCTTTTGATGTTGACATGTAGTTATTTTAAGACTGGTTTGTGCCCAAGTCCTTTTTTTCTGTACATACAACTATGTACATTCTGCAGTGATACAACTTGATGTAAACATACAATAAATGTGAAATATAGCACCTATGAAACAATTCACATAGTGCATGAATTTGAGTTTGCACTGGGTAAATATGTTTCTGTATATTCTACATTATAAACGTGGTTTTAATACCCAGTAATCACTCTATATGTCACTGACGCATGTATAACAGTAACACTACGTCAAGGTAAGAAATGATGAAATGATTATGATGTAACCCAAACTGATCTCTGTGTTTGTGCTCGTCTCTGCTGCTGGAAACCTACCACTCAGTCCTGGGTTTGATCAGACCTCACTCGAGATACTGAGCTAATTCTAGGGTTGACGACTTGGTAGATAAAGTATTGTAACGAGGCTCCGTTTTGATTATGATATACAATCATTACTTTGTTTACAGTGTTGGCATAGGTGTTTACCAAATATACATCACCATTCAGGCACATATTTCTTACATACCTCATTGTTGCTTTCCTACAAAAAGTCAGCCACACTGAGTCTCAACAGAGGTTTGCAGGGCCTGTGTTTGTTGTAAGCTTCAGTTTGATTTTTGTTCAGTTCAGGCCAAATGATATAGAATTAAATACCACCAGAAATCATTGACACAACAGTATGAAAATTCTCCATTGGAACTTTAAAGACATGGCACAAAGAGAGCTGAGTTTTCCTTATTTTCCCCGCTGGAATGGAAACAGAGGATAATTGCACGTTACATGGCCTAAACTGTGACAAAATTGAGCTGTCTTTAGTTTGCCACTTCTTAAAGAACAAATATGTTTACCTTGATTGGATTTAAAAGGCAAATGCTACAAGGATGACATTTAAAACCCATCCTATGTCCTGGTTTACCTGGAAATAATCTACCTCTCAATCTAAAGAAACACCACTGACAGAAAACTCGTTTGAGTCTTACTCCAATCCTTTGAGTTTAGCTAAAAAAACGTGAGTAAAAGTGTTGCGTTTATATTTTTATTCAGTGTACTAAGTTACAAAGGTCAATGAATTGAAGGCAAAATACACAAATAAATTTATGAAAAAGGAAAAATATGAGCCAAAAAAATTGAATGAAATTGTATAAAATAAAATTATTGGATAGATTTTAATTTTGTCTTTCACGCACACGCACGTCAGTCGTTGCCATGGAGACGGAAACGGGGTTATTTAAATCAGTCTCCTGATTTAAAAAATAAATATTCTAGATTCCCCTTTGCTCTCAAACTTGGTAAAGAGTTGCACTGAACTTTTGGCTGTGAGAAGCAAACTTTGGAGAAAGCGAGAAAGAGACTACAAACCAAATGTTTTTTTAAAAACAACCTACCGGAGAGACCGACGACTGTGCAAAAACCCCCGAGAAGTCTGAAGATGGCCTCCAGGAGACCTCCTCACCCGGACCACCTGCTGCTTGGAGGGGAGCTGATGGACGACCATCGTGCTGGTTCGCTAACTTTCACTTATAACGTCTTTTAATATTAAACTTATGAAGATGCATCGAGTTACTGGATTAATATGAAACTTAAAAGCTTCATGGGTGCAGAAATCTGAGGGATTATTTACTCTAATTGAAGAAAAGAACCCACACCGAGTGATCCGGGTTGATAAAAAGAACGTTTGAAATCAGAAAAAGAAGTTAGACTTTTACTCGATGTTTTTTTTTTTTTATATAACAAAATGACTTTTATGATGGCGATAAAATCTCAAATATCCCTGGAAAAAGCTGTGAAGTGTTAACAGTCAGTGTAGTGATTTAAAAACACACCTGGATCGTGTAGATGTTCACCTGAGATGAGTCTGACTGTCTGTTAAAGCTTTATTATTTATCCTGAGCTAACACAAAAACATCGAATCCTTTCAGTGTCAAAGTTTATGGTTTTAAATGAACTCATTTTCTGAAATAAACTGTCCTGGTTTGAATATGAACTGTTGTATTAAATGTTTCCAAGTTAGGCTGTGTGAAATAACGCACATGGAGCAGATAATCAGCATATTACATGAATTACAAAGCTAATGCTAAACTATAAATGGGTTTATCTACATGAGAAAATAAGTTCTTGATATAGTTTGATGAAAAATGTGTTTTTTTACATTTGTGTACAGCTGCTTATCGAACCTGTTTTTCGGAGCATCATCAAAACTTATTTCTTAAGTTATCCTTTCACCAAAGTTGGTTAAAACATTTTGAAATTATTTCTGATTCACTGATATTTGTTTTCTCAGAGAATATTTCAGGTCCGTGAACAGTAAAAATGCATAAAGTTACAGATTTTCTGCAGCTTTCTTTTCACTCGTTCTCTTACATCTTACTGAGTAAATTTGTTTTTGCAATTATAAGTTTAGTTTCCACCGTTTGATCATATTGTAATAAAATTCAGCTTTTAATTTGTAGCTCAGACTCTTCAACTTCATATACGTTAAAAATTTTGAACATTGTGAAAATATAACATTGACTCATTATATCAATGCTAATTAAAACAGGATGGTTCATATTTCTTTTAATGTGTTCATGGATCAGTTGATGTAGCACAGTTGTGAGAAGTTTATGTGAATTCAGATTTATGAGATTTTGTTCAGGTTTTTTTCTTCTGTAAGACAAATATTGTGAGTTACAGGAGACAGAATTTTAACTCTGGTTCTAAAACGTTCTGAATTTTCCTCATCAGACGACCATCCAGTGGAAGATGTCATCGTGGTGTTGGACGATATCCCAGGTGACATTGTTCCTATCTACATCTCTTCCTCTGATGATGATAGTGATGATGATGTTGTTGTCGTTTTGGCAGGTGGAGATGAAGGCAACAACCTTATTGAGGTTGTGGACTTGGAAGACAGCGACAGCAGTGAGGAGACTGACTTTAGCGACGACGGTGACTCTGACGACAGTGACACTGACGACAGTGACACTGACGACAGTGACACTGACGACACTGACGACTGGGACTCTGACATCACTCATATTGACAGTGACTCTGGTTACAGCTCCATGTCTGAGGAGGAGGAGGAGGTCGTCAGACCTGACTCCCCCCTTGACCAGGAGCTCCCACCAGACGACTTCTGGCTGGGATGGCGCCAACTGTCTCCTCCTGTTCCAGCTGTTCTTCCAGTCCCCGCTGGTCTGCCTGTTGAGCCACCTGCTAGTCCTCCTGCTGGTCTTCCAGGTGCACAGTCCTCTGTCCATCAGGGTCCAGAGGACTGTGCGCCCTCCACTTCAGGGCTGGTCTCCTCCTCAAACAGAAGCAGAGAGGAGAGTAGCCCTGAACAGGTAAGTGAAAAGAGGCAGAGGACGGGAGATGAAGATGACGATCCAGTTCCTTCAACTTCATCAGACCTCAGCTCCGGCACAGACAGCAGACTCTGTTTCAGTCTTCCCATACTCTCAAGGTGGTATGAGGACAGTGACTCTGACTGAAACAGAGGCTCTGTTTGTTGTCGGAAGGGGTAGTTGGAGGGGTAGGTATACACACACATGCTCAAACATGCGCACAAACACAAGTCACAATAAATATAATTATTGAGGATTTTTTTTAATAAGATGGTAGATGTCTGCAGAAAAGGTGAGTAAAAATTAATGCCAGTGATAAATATATTCTTTAAATTTGGATTCATTGAGTAATTCAGGGATGATTATTCCTTCTAACTCTGTTCTCGTTTCTTTTACTTACAGAGATGCAGCAGCAGACAAAAGTGAGCTCATAACTAAGCGAAACATTCACAAATCTGCTGTAAGTTTCTACCTCACTCACTGATGATTCGAAGATTATTTTCTTTACTGTGTTGCACTTTCATGATTTTTTTTAACCAAATGAAACAACGTAATTTACCAACAACTGAATCTGATTGTGTTGTTTTTTTTTTCTTGGGTACTGATGGCTGTTTCTGTCTGACCAAGGTAAAGTGATCATTGAAACTGATGCTGATGAAGATTTTTTGCAGTTTTTTCCCATGACTTTATAGTGTCATTATTTATCTGACTCCTGCTCCTGTTTGAACTTTACCAGGACTGACGATGAGGAGGAGAAAGAAGACCAGACATGGAGGAAAGAAGGTTCTGGAGCAGAAGGAATGGACAAGCAGAAGACCAGCTGCAGAGCGGTGGCAGCTTTTCTTTTATTGACTTGGTAAGTTTTCTTCTCTCTGAGACTATAACAGTAACAGAGGAGACATGAGGTCGTCATAAACTTTGCTTTAAAAATGTGAATCAGTACTGTCAGTGTGTGAGCATCTGTCCCTGTTCTGCTTTAAAGATCCTGCAGGTGGAGCACTCAGTAGCTCAGCTGTTTTTTGAGCATGTGGGCAGAAACCTTGAGCAGGACCAGACTCAAATTGGACACAAAAAGACGATGAAGAGGGTGAGACAAGACATAAGGAGAAGAATATTCTGGACCAGATGAGGAGGATGGATGAGCGAGAACCAGCTGCTGATGGGTGGAAGAATTTTTGTTGTGAGGTTGGTAAATCACCCCCCTCTGAGATTACAGCAGTGACAGTAAAGTTCATTTTGGATATGTGGATTACCAAAGAGGTCTTTGATACTATTCCAGTTTTCACAACTACTTGAACACTTCACTTTCCATCAACACAAAGATTTCAAAGTTGTCTTCAAGTGTTTTCTCGTGTTTTTCTGTCCTGTAGGGTTGGATTCCTCTCTTTATGGTTTCCGGAGGTCTGAGTAGAAGTGAACCAACAGATCATCCCAGGACCAAGACCACTCACTCACAGAAATATTTGGGCCTTATTGCATATACAAGTTTTGAATCACTTAGATTTAACATAAACAGGCTAATAAACTGTATGCTCACCGCAGTGTAAAGCCAGAAAACAGAGCTGACAACAAGCGTCCTATTATTGTTAAATTCCTAAACTACAAGGACAAGGAGCTAATCCTGAAGAGGAGAAAGGAACTGAAGAAGACTGCTCCTGGGGTTTACATCAACGAGGACTTTTCTGAGGCTGTAAGGCAGAAGAGACAAGATCGTATGCCTAAAGTAAGGGAGGCATGGAACAGAGGGGACATTGCCTACTTAAGATATGATCGCCTTGTGACCCATCCACCTAGGGAGCGAGGGGCTGTGTTGCCCCCGCAAATGTCCTCCACCCCTGAATGGAGTGGCATGTAGGACTCAGAAATGAGAACCTTCAGTTTGCTTTATTTATTTATTTATTTTATTGTTATTTTTTATTTAATTTCTCTTTCATTAATGTCTTTTAAACTACCAAAAAAGGGATTAAGGTTTGCTCACTTAAACATCTGTAGTTTAAAGAACAAGGTTCAAGAGTTATCTTCTATTTTGCACGAAAATGATATTCATATCCAGATAAGATAAGGAAAGATCTAGGTATGACTGGAATAGAAGCCTTATGGCTCCAAGTGCATATCCCTCATCTGAAACCCATACTGACATGTTGTTGTTATAGGCCACCGTGCTCCAACACCGAATATTTGAATAATATGTGCACGATGCTAGAGAATGCAGCTGACAATGACAGTGATATTCACATTCTTGCTGATATGAATATAGACTGGTTGTCCAACAATTGCACATTAAAAAGAAAGCTGAGCAATACAGCCACATTATGCAACTTTTCTCAAGTCATAGGTGTACCCACAAGAATTAATGTCAGTAAGAATGTAAGAATTAATGTAAATTGTGTTTTTTACGTTTGTATATTCTACTCTAGGATTGATGATCATGCTGTACGGCATTTTATGTTTGTACTTTAATATATTTCCCTGGACCCCAGGAAGAATAGTCTCCACCACGGTGTAGACTAATGGGGATCCTTAATAAACTAAACTAAACTGTATGTGCTGCATATTTGTCAGTCAAATGTAATTGAAACTATTGAGAATGAGATGTATGTAATAATTGCAATAAACCCAATGTGTTTTGAATGAATAATGACAGAGTTAAGTATCCATCATTGATAACTCCAATTTTGGCTGCAGCCACACACTCACATGCATGTTGTCTAATTTCTTATTACACATGCAAACCAGACTCTGACATCATTAGAAACACCTCAAAGAGTTTTGGATAAAATAATTCATGGTCAACGTAATGTGAAAAAAAAAAATCAAAATTCATCCCAGCAAGATAAATGCTGAAATGACAGCAAAAAAATTCATTTGATAGGACCTGTCCTTAGAAGGTTTCAAGTATACACCACACCATATGGATAGAGAAAGATGTCTTGTTTAGCTTTTAAATTTGTGAATGAAATAATCTAAAGACTTCCATCACTGATTATGCATGAGTTGTATTAGTTTCTAAAATGACTATGCGTCAAATAACTGATTACATTTTTTTATACTTGCAGGAAGAAGCGCTTAATATTTTTTAAATAATTGATATCCACCTGTAGTTGTCGTCTATTAACTTAAATTGATATTCACAAATTCCAGGGAATTAAGTGTTGCATGCTTAAGTTCTGAGGAAGCATCCACATACAAGACTCATAAATACCTTATCTCAATTAAGACATATGTGCATTGTCATTTTTAAAATGTCGCTGAGTTTTTTGTGGAGTCACCAAGTCATCTTCATACCATGTATTTGTTCTGCTCAGTTATTGAACCAGGTGCCTTCACTAATGAGCTCACCTTTCTGGCTGCTCATTTGAAGCAGCTGGTTCAGTGACAGAACAGAACAAATACATGGCATGAAGATGACTTGGTGACTCCACAATTCCCATCTCTGTAAAATAATGTATTAAAATTGAAATTGTTTAGATGATGTTTAAAAAATTCTCTACAGTTTTAAGTTACGGGGGGTATTAAGAGCACCATACAGAATATTAAAAAGTTTTATTAAACAATTTGCAATTATATTTTTACTTTTTAAAAATTTCAACCGTTTTCAATTGCTTCGATCAATGTTACGCGCACGCGCAGTCCTTTCGGATACACAGCCTGCGCACGTGCAACAGTACATTCTTTGGTAAGGGACAGTGCATTCAGGTACAGTACTGTCTGTGTATTTTAGAGCCTATAGCAACAAATTTATCCATATATTTTGATTTGGTATTCAATTATTTTCAACGAAACAACGTTATGACACGCTGTTGTTGTTAATTCCGTCGAATAATAACTTAATCATTAGCTTGGTACTAGCTTACCTTGCAAGCGAGCTAGCATGCCCACGGTAAATGTGTATTGAGCTAACTCGCTGTTTCCGCTCTGTTCGCGGTATCAGATTAGTATCAACAGTATTTTCTGCATTTTTAATGTTTTATTATTTCCCTATCAAGTGTCCGTCTAACATTGTTGACAGCTGACAACATGCACCGTCCTTTTGCTCCAAACACGATTCGCCCCAATTTGCCCTTGAGGAAGCCATCTTCGAGCCCCATGGCTCTCCCCTTGACAGCGGCGCCTCCCCCGAGGTTCGCCTTGGCCGATGCTGCACCGGTGCCGGTGACCCCGGTGCAAGGAGCCTTCGGAAACAGTAAATCAATTCAACCATGTCTTCAAGATTTGAAATAGTCAGTGAGAAAAGGGGGGATAAGCTTCTTCAGATTAAGGTTACATTGCTACCAACATTCAAAAACGTATCTTTAAACACGGTTTTGGTATATATCATAATTTTTTTCTTATTTTACTTGTCTGCTTGTCTTAATACTTAAATAATTATATGGGTTTTGAATGAGTTTGATTTTCTCTTTATGTAAAGTGCTAAAGTGTGCTTAATACTACTGAGTAAAAAGTGCTGTACAAATAAAGTCTGATTGATTGATAAAGTATAAGTATAAAATTGCACGATTTTCCACCAGATTCTTTCACCTGCTCTTTTTGCAGGTAGTTTGGCCACACCAGTTATCATGAATAAGTCTCCAGTATGTACCAACTATTACAATTTTCATTATGTCACCGATCATCATATCAATGTTTTGTTTTCAAGCTGTGATAATCACCATATTTCTCTCTTATTAGTCCTTACTGGGTGCAGCGCCACCTGCACTTACTGTATACTTCTGCAACTACTGTGGTCAGCAAGGTAATATTGTCATCATATCATCTTTTACATATGAGGTTGGTATTTAAAGTTTTGTTTTGCAAATCGAACACTGATGATTTGGGTGGCAAATGTTGGAACCTCACACTTTTTTTCAGTCTTCCCTTGTTTTAAGATTTGGTACAGTTTGCGGTTTCAAATGAACAAGCATTTAACCCACAGGAAATTTTAGATGCAAACGCTGCAAGATGACATCTTACTGCTCTGTAGCATGCCAGGCAGAGGACTGGAAGGCACACAGACACATGTGCAAGCCCTCTGATCCAGAACCTACCAAGTAAGATGGTTCTGTTTTGTGTTCCCTGAATTTTGTAAAGGTGAATCAATATGAAATTTCTCATAATATGTACCTTGCTTTTTGTTTTTAATCATAAGAGAGAAACCTAAAGAAACAACAGCTTCACCGGTGACTGGAGACAAGGTATGTCAGCCCGAGCCTGAGGTAAATGAAGTAATTGAAATTAAATAGTACGTTTTGATTGTCTTAGAAAAACAACTGTGAAGAATTTGCAACATATAAAATTATGTTTAACCCATGTTTTCTTTAAGCATGGTGATGCAACAGGCACTAAGAGAATCTACTTAGAAGACCTGCCTGTGACCAATGTAATAAAAGGAGCAGATATCCAGGTACAGCATACTCTGTTGTTTCAGCTCTAAAGACTGGCCTGACTTACATTAAAATTAACTGTTGATGCACAGTTAACCCTTTGCTGTGCATGTGTATGACTTTTAGGCCACCGTATCAGAGTTCTACAGTCCTGGCAGGTTTTTTCTCCTTCCTCAAAGCCCCGAGGTGCTTGAAGCTCTGCAAAACATCAATACAGAGCTGCACAAAACCTTCAGCAGCCCCTCAGCGACCACTTACATTCCCTGTGTTGGAGAGGTTTGCGCAGTGCAGTTCTCCATTGATAGGGTGAGCAGAAGTGTTCTCTTTTTTAAAAGGAAGGCTGGTTTGACCTTGCTTTGTCTTTAAATGTACCACTAATGAGGTTCTATGTTTTTTGCACAGAGCTGGTACCGAGGCCTGGTCCAGACTTTGGCTGCTGACCAGGAGATGGCTAATATCCTTTATATTGATTTTGGGAATGAAGAGGATGTCCCTGTGGAGAGGATCAAGCCACTGGCTGATAATATCAAGCGGTTTTGCCCATGTGTAAGCACAACTTAACACCATACATAACACAGTGCTTTTCATAAGTACCCATTCCCTTGAAATTTTTCATTAAGTGTTATGTTGTATAATCCTGTATATTTTATCCCCATATATTAATGGCCCCTAATTTCTCATGGTGATTATTTGTGCAAGGTGTTGTAAGCTCCACTGTTAAGCATCTTTTATGGCAATAAGGATGTGAGAATGGTGACGGGAGTATTCATCTGTTTCCCAGGCAATGGAGTGCCATATTACCAGCGTAGAGTCAGCTGGTGGTAACTGGTCCCAGGAGTGCTGCACTGCAGTGAGACAGATGCTAGTCGGCAAGATTATGACTGTTCGACTGGTGGAGACATTAGAAAATGGTCGCCTTCATGCTGTGGATATCCTGCTGTCTATGGGTAGGTTATACAAACTGCTGGAGATTTGTGACATGGAAACATAGGAAAAAGGTTTGAAACAGTTTAAGTTCACTGAAATAATAACCTTTTCTCTTTGCTCTTCAGGAAAGCAGTTGAGCACCTTCCTCATTGAGCACGCTTATGCAGTAGAAAAAACAGTCAATGTGGTGTCACCAACTGAGCAAGACATAAGTAAGGATGTTTCATGTGTACTGTAGTAAAGTGATACATTAGATGAGTCTACAGACAAGGACAGTGCACACTCTTCCAAAATATGTGATTAAAACTTGCCCAGACATGCCATTAAAAGTCATTCAAATGTTAACAGACTCTGGCTCAACACTTAAGGCTAAAACATGCAGGATGCGTATTTGGATTGTGGCAGCAGCAACGCGTATCACGCAGCAAAAAGGTTGCCATTCTAATCAATGCAGCAATGCATACATGAGGCATATCAGCTTCGTCGCAGCATCATATCGAGAGCAGCACTGCAAAAGTTATAGATTTATCAGTAACACAGAATAATCTGATGGTCAATCCCTGATCCACGTGGACCCCAACAGGACTTTTAATTGCTAACTCTGTCTGAAGGGAACAGCACAGCATCAAGGGACATAGTTTACTTTATTAAACACAAGTAAACCTGCAAAAATCCAAACTGTAAAATCACATTGTTTTTTCACTTACAGTAGAGGCTCAACAGTCACTGAATTATATCCAAATTAGCAGGAAATAGACCACAGAAAGGTAAAACAACCTGTTGTGAGCATGTTGTTTCCTCTATCCTGAGCCCAGCTGACCGGGGTTCCACTACACTGCTGCCACGCTCCAAATACGCATCCTGTATGCGATACCAAATGCTGCTCTACAAAGCAAATACGGAACCTGTAATGTTTCGCATTTACACTACATTTAGCATCAGCGTCTGTGAAATTGCTATGGAATTCTGATCAAAGAGTTTCGTATGAACTTCTCAGGAGAGTGTTTTCTGCTTTTGTATGAAACATTTTCGATTTTCTGCAGGTGCCAGAGTAAATCCATCCTTAAAGTACTTCACAAACTGCTCTGATGGGAAGGATGACAACACCTGGGCTCAGCCTCCTGAGCCACTGATTCAAGCAGTTGGTGACTCTTTCTTTGGGGTGGTCACTCACATCCAGTCACCCGATGAAATAAACGTGCAGAAAGTGGAAAACGCTGGTAAGTACCATTCTTTCTTGTACGTAGAGGGAAACTGTCAATACCTTTTAACTGAAAGTGTGTACGGTTTTACAGGAGTGATTCGGCAGTTGCAGTTGCAGCTGAGGGAGCACTGCACTCAGGTCCCAGCCCCACCAAACTTTAGACCTGCCCCTGGCACAGTTTGCTGTGCCCAGTTCTCAGGTACAACATTTAATGTAGATATTGATGGACAGCTGTACTTTTTGAAATTAAATGTGATTATACATTCTCTGAGTATTTCTTTTGTATCTCCCCACATATTAAACAGGAGAGTTTGTCATCAAATTACACCCCTGTACAAATCAGGAAAATGACTTTATATATAAAAAATACAGTGACTTATTATTAATGGTCAATCATTTTTGAGAACTTGACCGCTGACCTCTTTTTTCCCCGCAGAGGACAAACAGTGGTACAGAGCCAAAGTCCTGGCGTATTTATCAGAGGAACGCGTCTGTGTCAGCTACCTTGATTTTGGAAACTCTGAGGAAGTGGATTTAGGCCACCTGCGACCCATCAGTGCTGCACTGCTGTCCCTGCCCGTGCAGGCTATTCCATGTGGCCTGGCAGGTAGTTTACTCTCTGTGAACTAAATATTATATACAATTATATAATTGTTCTCTTTTATACTGTTTGCAAAATACTATAATATCATATACTGGTTTAGTCTTACGCATTACTTAAACCTCTCTTGAAATCAATCCAAGGCGCATTCTGGTTATAGGATCTGTGCAAAATCATTTACTCGAAAGTGTACACTTTAATGTCTTTGAGTCATTATTCTTACATTTGTGTCTTGGTTTTTTTTCCAGGAGTGCAGCCTGTTAAGGAGAGCTGGTCAAAGGACTGCCTGCTGGCCCTGCAGCGAACATTCTCCAGCAAAATGCTGCGTATTGAGATCCAGGGAGTGCACGAAGGCAAGGCTCTGGTAGCTATGATCAGTGAGACCAGCGATCTTCTGGGTAATGTGGCGGAGATGCTGACCTCTGCTGGATTTGCTGTCCCTGCTCCGATTACCCCCGTCAGTGACCAGCAGTCATGCCAGACTGCAAGTGCAGTTGAGGAACCACAGGGTAGGAAATACCAGCATTTTATCTCAACTAATTTATCACTTAAATGTCTCAATTTCTGTTTTTAACTCATAAAATAGTTGTTACAATTAAAAGAATATATTCCTCCATCATTCGGTGCATCCGTTTTGTTGTACTAGATATATTTTCATGTGCTCCTCAGTGCCTACTCCAGCTTGTGAGCCTCTGAAGTGGTCTCGTGCTGAGCTTCCTTGTGATGGCCAGACAGTGGCACTGCTAGCTGGTGTGGTGGAGAATCCTGGAGAGTTTTACTGCCGCATCAACAATCCAACAGGTTTTTTATTTTTCGTTTCTTCTAAGGGAAATGCATAGCTTCCAGTTAGGAATTCTGTCTTTGTTCCAAACCTAACTCATGAATTTTAGTGGCTGGTATGTTCATTCAACATCACACATATTAAATATAAGTCACTTTGGCTATGTTCACATTGGTGAAATAAAAGAAAAGTTCCATCTCTTTCCTGATATGTGCTCATATGTGACTAAGAATTAACTAAAAATGAAGAACTGCAGTGTAAATGTAGCCCATGTCTTTTGTCATACATGTTGTTGGCTCATAGTTGCACAAATAGGCGAGACTTTCTCTTGTGTAGCACAGTGTAAAAAGAATTTCACTTCATATTAAACTCAAGATAGGTATCTTGTGTTCCTTTCAATGTGAGAGTTGGTTGTGCCATTGAAAGAGATTCTTTTATAATGTGTGTGTTTTTGTTGGTCAGACAATCAGCGGCTGATGGAGCTCGGGGCGGAGTTGAAGCAGCATTGTGAGGCGAAGGCTGCACCTTTCCTGCCCAAAGTAGGAGAGCCCTGTTGTGCCATGTTCCCTGGTGAGACTGTCTACTGTTATTGATGTTTATGATTTGTAATTTAATGTATGTGATCATCAATTCTATCTAGTCTGGAGGGTTTTTTTAAAATGTAACAACTTAGACTCTCATCTTCGATAAAAACAGGAAGCTCTTCCCCAGTGTTGTTGATTAGATAACATTGAGAGTTATCCATTTCCTTCTTTTTGAGGCATAGTTGAAGTTTGCTTTTTGCTCTCCAGGGGATGGGGCATGGTATCGGGCCATGGTAAATGAGGTGTCTGAGAACAAGGTTGCTGTCAACTTTGTGGACCATGGATCCACCACGAAAGTAGAAATGAACCAACTTCGATCTATTACACCCAAACTCCTGACTCTACCCTTCAAGGCAATTCACTGCTCACTCGCAGGTAGTTGATGTTTGTGTTTGCTCAGTATGTGTTGCTTCAATCATTCCAGCTAATCAGACATGAATTTAGGTCCCTGTAGAGGGTCTGGGTTTTATTTTTACAGGATTTGCATTAAACTCCAGACATGGCCCTCTCTCATTTACATATCACCTTGTATTAAAATCCTTGTAAGCCTGAAAAAAAAGTATTTTTCCAATGTCACTGCCAAAAACTCAGGCTAAAACTTGGCCGAATTTGTTTGGAAAAAAATACTGGGCATAAAAAAAGGCTTAAAACATTGAAGCTTCTACAAAGCAGGTGGTTGTTTCAGGTGTGGAGCCCCTTGGATCAGAGTGGAGCAGCGAGGCCCTCCTGTGGTTCCAGACTCTGGTGGACGGCGAGCAGCTCTCGGCACGCGTCCTCTCTGTCGCCGAACAAGGTTACAGCGTGGAGCTGGAGAGCAGAGGGCAGAATGTGGCAGCCGCGCTAATTTCCGAGCAACTGGCCAAAGCTCCTGGAGGGCTTCCCAAAGAGACACACTCAGCCGCAGGATCTACAGCCAAACAGCAAGACAAGATAGAAGAGAAGGAGTGCAGCCAAACAGAAACGCAAGCCAGAGAGACAGCGACTGAAGGACAGATTTTAGCACGCACAGAAGGTCGGCTTAAGTCTCGCTGTCATAGAGATGAAATATGATTGTTTAAGAAGCTCAATTGAAATTGTGTGCCTTGTTTCAGCTCTATCTTTCCCAGTGGACTGGAAGACGGGGGAGCTGCCTCTCAATGAGATCTTTCAGCCTTATATCGCAGCTGTCATTAACCCATCGCACTTCTACCTTCTTGGTCCTAGCCAAGGTCAGAACCCCCGCAGTAGGTCTCTTTTCTCAGTAAAAGCTGAAGATTTGATGCATCCTTGTTGTACATGTTTGTTATTGCGCAGTGGACCAGGAGAAGCTTCAGGAGGTTATGATGGAGCTGGCTGTCTACTGCAGGAACACTCAGGCCTCTTTATCCTCGACTGTCCTGAAAAGACCAAGCCCCGGGGCTGCCTGCTGTGCCCAGTTCTCAGGTAAGGAGAAACACACAGTTTAACATCATTGTCTTGCTGTACAGTCTGGTGTGAACAGGTGTCACAATGTGTTCCTCAGCTAATCATTTTCAGACCATGATAAATTGAGTATGTCCTCTGTGACAATAGCTGCAGACACCAGTCACCACACAGAATCCATTTTAAATCTTGAGAGCAGGAATAATACCTCACATTCAAGGTGGCTACATTAATATTGATTGAGGCAGATGTAAAACCTGTAGATGGCGCTGTAAATGATCAACTATTTCTATGGAATAGAAAGGTGTTGAATTGTTAGCTTCTTTTTGTCTAGTTTGTGATTTCTCCTTTTTGTGAAGAAGCTTTATAATCTCAGATAATGAATTTAGTCGAAGAGAACAGCTAAATGTTGTAGTACTGTTTGGCACTGCATTACAGTCTACTGCCACTGCGAGGAGTTTGTGCGTGCCTTACATCATTTTTCTGTGTTTGAGGTGAACCAAACAGACATAATCAAAAACATCACACTTATTCAGATAACAAGTAGTGTTGTCCTCACACAGTTCTTGTCACTGCTGTAGACTGAACTTAAAGGAATGAACAAGCCCTGTTCCTTTTTGTTTTGAGGTGTTGTGGTGACCCCATAAAGCCACTAGGTGTCAGACAGGTGTTTGTAAAAACTGAGGATAAAGTCTCGAAATTCAGCAAAAGGTACCACATCCTGATCTAACAAAAGTGCACTAGAAACAGGTAACAAGTCAAACTATAAATCAAAGCTGACCATACGACTTTTGATTTGTGTTTGAGGATGTTTTGATGACAGAAATGCTTTTGACTTAACATAAGTGGACTAGTTTTCACATTAAATCACAGTCTGTGAGGAGGCACCATTCAAAGGTTAATAGATACTCTCAGCAGGGGAAAACCCACTGTGTCATTCCCGGCCATTGTTTAATGATTACAGGCAGGAAGTCTTTTGAGGACAGACTTTCTCATCATCAGCTATGGCTCTTTTTCACAGGCACACTCTGAAACACACACACTCTAAATTACCTTTGTCCGTGATTTTATACAGTTTTTATGTTCGCTCTCTGACTGAGCCCAAGACCCCTCCTGCAGTCGTTGCCCTGCAGACCTAAGCTGCTAATTTGGCGTCTGCTTGTAGAAATAATTACACAGCGTATGTGAAGAAGAGCACAGGAGCGGCTCTTTTTAAACACAGTATGCGGGTACAAGACTATAGCTCGGCATACATTCCACAGCTAACAACAGGGTCTGTTTTAAAAGAGTTGAAGCGCTCTCTGCAGGTTCTTGGCTGGTAAAATCTCATCAGTGTGTCAGGGCAGCTGTCTCTCTAAAAGCCCCTGTGCTGTGTGTATAGAAGGCTGGATTTAACATGAGTGTCACAACAGAGTATTTGAACATTTGGCATTGCTCAGAAAAGTACCAGAATACATGAAACTGTGATCTTTTAACTCCTTTTGTTCTAGCTGACAATAACTGGTACCGTGCGGTGGTCCTAGAGGTCGGTGACAATGAGATGAGTGTCGTCTATGCAGATTTCGGCAACTCTGAGAAGGTGCCGTTCTCCCGTATAATGCCCATCACTTCGCACCTCCTGCAGCTCCCCTTTCAGATCACCCGCTGCACGCTTACTGGTGAGAAGAACAATCATTTTTGTCCTGGAGTGTGTTACTGCCTCACATACCTCGTTGACTGTCCTCCTCTTTTTTTTTTCCAGGTAAAGATCACTTTCCTGCTGAATGGCCAGAAAAAGCACAGCAGATGTTCCAAAACCTGCTACTGAACGGTGTCCAGGCCACCGTTCAGTCTTTTGATGGCTCTGCTAATGTGCTCTCTTTCAAGCTGCCCACTGAGAGGGGCGGAGGTAACGTCACCTCCATGATCTTGGATGCACTTCAGGCTAAGAGTAACCAACAGACAACCACTACTGAGAAGACAGACCAAACTGACAGCAGCACATCTGCTACTCCAAGCACCAAAGCTGTACCCAAGCCCAAGTCTGTATCTGAAACACAAAAAGGTCCAGATAATAGAGTGGCAGCAACCACATCTACAGAGCCCACACCTGGGATAAACCAGCAGAGGACAAACATTGCTGCAGTGCCAGATAGTGGTTAGTCAATGATTTGTGCAGATATAGATGGGATTTAGGTCATAAAAATTCAACAACATCCAGATTTAGTATTTCTGGAAATGCTGCAGCTTATTCTACTTTTGCTGAAGGGGTTCATTCCTATAAAAATAGTATGGTTTATTTAGTCCATATCATTATTTTGTGAGTAAGTCTAAACGTGATGTTTCTCCTTTTTAGGAGACCCTGTTCAAAAGATTGTTGGACAGATGGAGCCTCCAAACCAAACTGATACCAAAACTAAAGGTATGTATGTTTTCATATAAGAATATGATCTGACTGCTTAAATAAATGGACTGGGAGCTCTTGTATTTGAGGCTTTTCTCTACCGTTTGCGTTCGATTGAGAATACATTTGTTTGCTTCTCCTTTTGAATCTCAGAATCTCAGACATCTGGCTGCTGCTGCTTGAACCTGACTACAAAGGTTAGAGATAGCTTCTCTGCTCTTTGTCTAATCCACTTGCATGTCAGGTTTGGTAATCTTACAAGATCCACTTACAGAAAAACTTTTTTTTCTTTTTTTGCAGATTGATCACCTGGAAAAGCTGATTCATTCTCTCATCAAGCAGTTAGCGGGACAGACAAAATAAGATTCAGTGTGTGACATAATAGATTTGTTCATCAAGTTGTTCACTACAAGGATAATATCTTTAGACTGTGTTAGGACTTAACCCGGGCTTTTAAACAGCTTCTCTTTTATTTACATCCCTTTATTCTGGCAGTTGTCATCCAGCATTTAATTTGTTTCTTATTTTTGTCAGTGTTCAGAGCTTTTAAGTTTTTAACTTGTGGTTCAATTACAGCTCCTTTTTTTTTTTACCTTAAATATTGCTCGAGGCTCTCTGAGTAAAAGACAAAAAAGCACACACATCATCGTTAAAAGTCAGCTGAGTCAGATCAGCTAAACTCAAGTTCAATCTCTAAGTGTATGTTTGTTTTTATAACTGTACTGTAGCATGCTGTGCTAACATCTGTTCCTTGGTTCTGTCTCAGTCACCTGTTCAGCACGACTGATCTATGTTTGACCTGTTTTGGTTTTATATAAAGGTCCTGTTGGTTGAGTTGTCCTGTGGTTTTGGATTTCTAAATTGGATATGTTTTTGTTCAGAGCCATTGTAAAAAAAAAAAAAAAAAGAGTTCTCACTTAACATTTCATTTGAGATGTAACATTGACATGCAGATGGAAGTGAACTTCCCTCTGCATAAAATTAGATTAAAACAGAGGAAATGAGTCAGTTAAATAACATAACTTTAAAGAGGTCCATTTTTTGCCATCGTTGGTATATCAGTTCCTCTGCGAGACCATTGGTTCATCTAATAAAACGAAGTTTTTTCTCATTAATTTTATCTACCAACATGTCTAGTCAACACTCAACTTTAATACTTAAGTGCAGTTACTAACAGGATATTTAAATTTTTCAATAAACCAACTTAATATCAGTTTGATTAAAGTTAATTTGGTTGATCATTAGACAAACACCTGCAGCGGAGTGATACAAATAGTTAAAAGTCCCAGCGTTATTGTGCTTCAATCAGTGCCTCTTGTCCAATCACATTACATGGTCAGTGGGCTCCATTTCCTGTTATTACTCCCCGTCTCCCTCCATGTCCCGTCTGGGATAAGAGGAGGACAAATTCGACCTGTCGCTGCAGGTACACGCTAAGTGGGCATGGCGAGTAGGTGGGGTCGCTGCACTCCTTTTCGATGCAGAAGGCTCCCGGCAGATGAGCAGAGTGCGGGGACAAAGTAGAGAGGAGACCCGGAGTGGACCGCTGCCTGAGAACACATTTGGGGATTTGTAACGAAGCAGCGCATGGTGAGTGGCACTATTTCTGTCAAAGAGAAAATAATTCACCTCTGGGCGGTACCTGTCGTAGCGAAGCATGTAATTGTCTCATGATAAGGAACTTTATCAGTGATTTGATGGTGTAAGTTACACTTGAACTATCAAAACACTACAAACTTTAAATTTGTTTGTTGACGTATTGCAGCGCAAAAAAATCACTGCATTTATGCAACTGTCAATCTGAAAAGTTAGTTATTGTAAAGTAAGGCTTATGTTTATTGACTGATTGTCAAATGCCTCCTGTGTAAAAGTGAACGGGCACAATCACTCTTATACAGTATTTGGCCATACCATTTTGGTGAACATTGTCCCGTATTTGTTCTTTAGATTTTTCCCACGTGGTTGACTAAGTCTTTGCACAGTTTAACATGTGGCCCACTTTTATATAATTAAGCACGTAATGAGGCTCCCTTATAAGCAAGTTTAAGCTCAAACAATTTAGTTGTCATGCGGGCTTAGACCCATCAATCTCTTTGGCATCTTGGGATAACCCGGGCTAATGTTGCATGTCAGGGCCATAACCTCTAACCCCATCTTAAACCTGTCTTGACCCTTGACACATTCAGGAGTGAGCAGATGTTTGAAGATAACAGGCTGAAAAACATGTAAAAGCATGACAGTGTCTGCATGACTTTGTAATACCTGCATTTAAGTCTTTTAATTTGGAGTATTTATCTGCACACAAAGATTATGTGTTCAACTTCCTGGTGGTTTGGGAAGTCCTACTTCTATTGCAGGCTGCAGGGGCTTTAAATCCTCTGTGTGTGGTTTTTAGCTTGTTTCTGCAACACATTCCCGTGATTAAATGCATACCAAGCTATTCTGAATGATACACTTGTGGCTTTTAATCACAGTCACCACAATGTGGAAAAATGTTCACACATTCCTTCTTCTGTTGTTTTTAAAGTGTCCACTTTGGGTGACTCACCCTGAAAGTTTGTGGAGTTGCACATCTCCTAGTAAAGGTTGAGGGATCTAAGAATTTTGTATGAAGTTGGTGCAAAAACTAGCAATCCTCTCTAATTACAGACTACAGAGAGGAGGCATTTTCCAGCCTGCATGCAAAGCCAAAGCAGACAGCACATCCATGCCTCAAACCTTCCTTTTATATACAGAGTAAGTGGAGGAATCACAGTTCACAGTTTTATGTTTTGATCCTTTATCCAAATCAAGTTGTGAATATCAAAATGTTGCAAGTATAATTTCTAGACTTTGATGTACTCTTAATTTCGGGTCCAGACTTTATGGATACACTCTGAATCCTGAAAAGTAGGAACATGTAGGACCTTGATTATGGGGTTTCTCTGGTTTAGCTGGAAACAGACAGGGCAGAAATGTGTTTGCTGACAGGGGGAAAATGAGGAAAATCGAAAGATGAGGGGCGAACAGATCCACAAGAATGCTTGTGAAGAAGGAGCCAATTTTGAGACAGGTGTGCGCTGTGTATGTGTGTTTTATCATAGGCATGCATGGCTGCTTCCTCCTACAACCACGTGAGTGTGTGTGTTCAAGATACACATTCATGGCCTCCACTGGCAGTAATGAAATCTCTTGTTCTTGCGAGGTACCAGTGAGTGCATAAACAGAGCATCAATAGCTCCCGGTGATGTTTATCTGCCCTGCGGCTTCTCACAAAGCCACTTCATGTCAGTTCTGCAGATCTATATCGCAGACACACAGACTCCTCTTAAAGAGAGGCTCCATCTTGCACACAATTCTATCTCTGTCCCAGGAATACACACACGTTTACTTGAAGACCACCACAACGTACACACACATACACACACAGGATATTATGGCCAAGCTTATCAGCCGCCAGAGTTAATCAAACCTTATCTGCAGCCCCTCAACTTGAAACCAGCATGAGCATATGGAGTGAGGCAGGCGGAGTTGTACATCCTTGATTTCATCCTGATTGTGCTTACGGAGTGGTCCACATGAAGCTATGCTGTTCATTAATTTCCCCTGAGTGAAATTGACCATGACAGCCTCAAGTCCTATATTTGTGGCTCCAACCACAGTACAACCACACACTTGTAAAGTTGACACAACATGGCAACAGTAAGTATCATTTTACACACCCTTAGCGCTCATTACATTCTGAAGATAATGTAAGAAATAGCAATGTTAGTTTACAGTAACAGAAACTTGTATAACCAGTCATTTAGTAGTAGCTGGGTGGGAATAATTTGGTAAAAATTGGAAAGATATCAGGCCATATTTTAAAAATAACGTTTATTACCTTGAGCTATCCAGTAAGCAAACATCAGACCAATTAGAGTCTGCAACATGGATTGCGCATTAACAGCACTTGTCCAATCAGCTTAAGGTCCAGCTAGCTGACAGGTTGGCTAACATGAAGGCTGACACACAGCAGAGAGAGCTGAAAATGTGGTTGGTGAAGTAGTACCTGGTCTGGTTTAAGGTGAAGGAACTTTTATGGCTCATTGGCTCACTTTGTGTTAGTTTCTCCATGGTATGAGATAACAGTTTGAGAATTAGACAATGTTATTGTGTATTTAAGAATTACCTCTTCTTTTAATATTAGATTTGTGGTCAATTTATCTACGCTAATAAAACCTCAAAGTGGCGGCTCTCTTAAGGTTAACTGACTCCTTATCCCACTGTAGACGAATAAAACTTATCTTTGCATACAGGTGGTCTGACGCTTTCAAGATCTTGCTAATCTTTCTCATCCAGACATAATACAGAATGGTGAATATACTGGTGTCAAGCATATGAAAAGAGAGTATCCCTTTTGTGCTGTTGAGTGTGTTTTGGTATGCACTAGTGGTTAAGATTATGGTGGTTGGCAAGCACTCTTTGTCCAGTCTTGTGATTGCTCGCCTTTGCGTTATGGTAAAATGTGCAAAACTAAAGCAGGCTGATATTTCCTCTCTCAGTGTAAAAGTAAAAAAGACTCTCAAACACCATCATCTTTGCGTTTGTCCAAGGCAGTACTGTCAGTCATCAAGTATCTCTTCCCTGAGCTCTCTTGAGAGGTCAGCTGAACCAACACTAAGTTCTTAAAGATGATAAGTGTGCACCTGAAAAGCTACTTGACTACTCCCACGGGGTCAAGTAGTCAGATATTTTGCTTACAGAAACCTTTTTTATCACTCCTAGCTTCCCCGCCTGCACAGCACTTCAGGAGTCGTCAGTCATCTCAACTTAAATATGAGCCTGTCTTTAGAAATGATAGACAGAAGAGTTCTTGTTTTACCCAGCATGAATATTTATGTTGAATAAAAAGTCTCACAATATATGGGTTTGAAAATGGTGTAACTGCAAAAGGTTGGAGAAAAAACCTTGACCTTCCATTTCAAAGTTAATGTTCCCACTCACCTCTGATAAAGGGTAACAAGTTGCTTAATACTCCTGTATTTAAAGAGGTCATTAAGTTGGTATCATCATAGATAAAAACTCCAGTATCAAGTTTTGTCTTAATGAACTCTTAGTTAAAACGCACTGCTTTGTTTTGGGCTATTTTGTTTTATTACATTTTTGTATCATTCCAGGTGTCCCAACATGCGCCCTCTTATCCATCTCAGCCTCTTCTCAGCGCTGCTTCTACTTCAAGGTCGGTTGGGTAATTTCATTATTGTTTTGGACTGTCTGTACTCCTTTAGTTTTCACACACTTCAGCTCAAGGACAGTGTAAATTATCTTAATGGAAAACTTTAGTGTACCAGTACATCTGTCTTTGGGGATACACAAGAAAGTCAATGTTTTGTTGTATAAAAACATTAGAAACAGCAGTGTTAGGTTTGCTTTGTTACTTGGCTTGATATTAATTTTAGTATAAGTATAAGACCAAAACTGGAGTAAAAGTGCTACTTAGGAGGCATTTTTAAAAACCGGAGGACAAAAGTTTTATGCACTTTATTGTGAAAAATGAATCAATATTACAAATACAAGATATTTACTGAAGCATCTAATCCTGATTACTGCGCTCAAACCGCTGCATGTTTCCAGACAAGTCTAGTTTTGCGTCACTTTTATTGCCGAACAATGTTTTGCCGGACCCAAGAGCGTTGGAATTTGCCTGAGGGGAGAGGTGTGATAGTTGTTAGCCAATATAATCTCAAGGTTGTTTTAAAAAATGACAGCTTTAGCACCACCTCAAGTATATATTAGTGGACATTTTAGGACTTTGAACTTGAACAAACCAGACTGTTTTACCTGTTTTAAGACACCCCTCTGTCCTGCTGTGCTGACAACACAGATAGTATTTTGCAAAAGTAATCCTGCAAGACAAATTGAATTTCCTTGACAGATGTGATCACTGCTTCAAGGAAATTGCCCATAAATCTCACAGATTATGGAGAGGCTTCTGCTAATTGGACATAACTTCATACATTTTCATTTGCAGCTGATATAGATACACTGACATTTTGCCAGAGGCATTTGGCTGTACAGACTGATTTTTTTGTTTAGAGCAGTGGGGCCTCGCTAACCACGTTTGCCAAGAACTTTCACTGTCAGGAGGACTTTCAGGGCCGAATTGATATTATAATCGGGGGATATAAAAGGGTCATGGTTGATAAAAAGTGTAGGCTGGAGCCTGTCATACGGCTGAGAGATTTCTTTTTTTTATTGGTTAGAATTATCAGCAGCTGTTTGAAGTTGTTTCTCTAGTCTACATGAAGATATCTCACCTTTTCCAGCTGATTAAAAAGAACTAAGTCAAAGTGAGGCCAACAGCCTGAAGGGTTGCAACAGTGTTGATGGGAACAAACCAACAATTACTCTTCATGTTCTACTTGAAGTCAAGGCCTGAGCTATTCCAGGAGCAGAAACTGACCTGTGTGGATATTCATGTCAGTAAGCACTTTTGTGACCTATCAAGGTTACCGAGGACAACATGGCCATGTTCACATGGGTTCCTGAACAAGAACTCACATGTCACTATGTGCTGTATGTGTCTGAATAGAGTGAAGTCCTTTCACTGAATGCAGTGAGAGAATGGTTTTTCTCCACTTGTCTGCCCACATTAGCTGTGAATACTTCATTATGCTTCACATAGTGGGTCAAGAGGGAGTCGGTGAACTGTTCGGGCTTTACGAACAGGATCCAACTTTGTAGAAATAACTTTAGCATCAGACGTTTATAAAAATAAAACAGTTCAATGTGCCTTAAGATTAGGGAAAAAGATCAAAATAAGGAGGATGATTTTGAATACAAGGATCAAGTGTCATAGAAATAACTAGATGATGTTAACCCAATTAAAAAATAATGAAGGACAAAGACAGAATGAAGATAGGATACGGTACCATACAATACAACATGATGTGAAAATACAAGATTATACAATGCAATAAGTGTTGTAAGTGGGTTCAAGTAAATTAAATAAAATAAAAAAGAAGCATGATAATGCAGAAACAAACACTGTTTTTTGTGGTGTGACAGTGAAATTGTTTTTTTCTGCTAAAGGATGTTATTAATAAAATAAGCATTATCTTCTGATAACTTTTAGTAGCTGTGAAATTTAGAATGTTGTGGCATTAAATTACTGATAATGGCCACAGGATACAATTGATAACGAGTGAAAAAGGGAAAAAACAGCAGTTTAACATTTTCAACGTTATGCACTGGATACAACAGGATATAGTGCGATGCAGTACAGTGTGATGGGAACAGATACAAAGGGATAGGACAGGACAAAATCAGATGCAACATGTTAAGTAAGGTAACATTAAGCTGTTACCTTACCTTGTTACACAACATTACTTGACATTACCACTTCATTGTTCCAATGTCACTTTACACTGCCAAGTTACATTATGTTGTTACCTTACTTACTGTTACGTTATGTTGGTACATTGAATTGTTGTGTGATGTTGTTGTATGATGTTATGTTGTGTTACGCTGTGCTATGCTATGTTATACTATGTTGTTTTGTTATCTGATGTGATGTGATAAGTTACTTTTTGCTGTTACGTTACATTATGCTGTTACCTTACATCATGAGACTTTATGTTTTAGGTTATGTTGCTACATTCTTATGTTGTTACATTACTTCGTTACTTAACGTTACATTACGTTATGTTTTCTTGGTAGCCTACATTATGCTTCATTACATCACAAACTACCAAAACTTACCATACTCAACAACTGAAATATCCCTCTTTGTGTTGCAGATGAACATTTTTCTTAGTTTAACTCTGTTTAAAAAAACATCTTTAATTACCTCCAGATTTTATGTTTTACAAGGAAGACAAATTTACATGAGGTTTTTCAAAAATCAACATTTTTGTATTTTAGGTTTTGTATTGTTGTATCATGTTTAGATGTCGCATGTTAGGACAATGCATGTGCACACCATTTTGTAGAAGGCAAAAGACATATGACAGATATCTGCTTTTGTGTTTCTTGTAGTCCAGCAGGTCACCTCAGTGCAGGAGATCCAAACAAGTCATGAGAACATCCTGAAGATAAACTCAGCAGGAGAAAGTGAGTACCAATATATCATAACTCGTGCAAAAGCTCCAACTATAACCGAGAAGCTTAACTTGACATAAAAGTGTTTCAGTAAAGGTCTAAGTAACCGTGTGGTTGTGGCAAAAAAGCTTTGGAAGAACCCCATTAGGTGATGATTGGTCTTATCCGCCTTGTACATGTGCCGCAAGAGAAAGTGACTACTTTCACACTGACAGATAAACGGACAGACAGACAGGCGGCACACTCTCCCTGTCTGTAATGGCCCTTTTCACGATCAGCTGCACATTCTAACATGACAGCAGCATACAGGTTATTTACACCACCAACAAGTACAAACATGCAGAGAGAGGAAGAAAGAGAGCTGTTGCCTGGTAATGGTTTTGTTAGTGTGCACCTTAGAAAAGAAAATTGAGTTGAAGCATGAGCCTTCATAATATGAAGGTATTATTTTCTTCAGCAACAGCCCATTTATTTCAAATAAGGATGATCCCATAATACCCATGAAGAAGACAGGCTTTACCAGAAATGCAGTGACTATGTTGTACTTAAAGTTTTTCACTATCTCTCTAATGTGTTTATCTTTGTGTGTGTGTGTGTGTGTGTGTGTGTGTGTGTGTGTGTGTGTGTGTGTGTGTGTGTGTGTGTGTGTGTGTGTGTGTGTGTGTGTGTGTGTGTGTGTGTGTGTGTTTCCATGGGAAGTGATGCAGTGCTCAGCAGCCATGGACATCCTGTTCCTCATGGATGGTTCCTACAGTGTTGGGAAAGGCAGCTTTGAGAGGTCCAAACACTACGCAATCAAGCTTAGCCAGGCATTAGATATCGCACCAGACAAAGTTTGTATCCCATCTGTTTTCTTTTGTTTGGCTCTTAGCCTTTTGGACTATTTTATTCATCATATGTAACTTTTTTTCTAGGTTCGAGTCGGCTTGATCCAGTTTGGTTCAGTTCCTCGTCTCGAGTTTGCTCTGGACTCTTATACCACCAAAAAAGAACTGAAAAAGCACATGAAAAAGGTCTCTTACAGGTGAGTTTCTGATTCATTGAATCTCTTTTTACAGGCATTATTAAAATAGAAATAGGTGTGTTGGCCCTTTTTTTATATTTTTTTGGCTATTTTATGAATTTCTCAAGAGAGAATAGGACAAGAGGACAGTGAATAGAGCAGGAAACCAGGAGAGTGTGAGAAGTGGGATCAAACCTGGGCTGCCCACTTGAGGACTATACCCTCTGTACATGGGGCCTTTGACTAGGGACACTAGGTAGAACAATTTTTCCCACAATGTCAACAGGCAGAGGTAAAATGAGCAGGAATCTTTTTCTGTTGGTTGATTTGAAATCATAACTGTCTTTTCTTTGACCGCTGAGGAATAACCGCTGTTGAGATGATTTTAACGGTTTTAACCAATCAGAATCTTGTATTTAATACAGCCCCATAATAAAACACAACACTAAAGCTAGACACAGGTATCAGAAATGCTGAGATCCTCCTGTCACCACTCTCTAGATTACAGCACAACACAGATTAGACTCAAGACAGAAATTTCCAAACAGGAAGGTAATAACATCAACAAAGGTTTCTCTATATGCTAAACATGTTACATGATCTTTAAACAGGATTAAGTTCAAATCCATGTTGACAACAAAACACACACTCACATGCATACTTCCTGATGCTCAGTGCTGGTGATGTTTGCTGAAAAGGGAAACAAATTAATTTCAGATTAGAGGGTATGACACAGGTGGTCGCTGGATATTGGATTGAGGAGGGAGCTGAGGAAGTAGAGGCCAAGTTTGTGTGTGTGAGTGGAAGGGGAGGGGGTAGGGATTAGAGATTTAAAAAAAGGCTTGAAATAATATCGCATCATGTCAAATAAAATTCGTATCTAAAAAAAGTTACAATTCTTTTAAAACACTTCTAAATGCTCTGAACTCCCAGGGGAGGCAGCACCCAGACAAGCCTGGCTCTGAAGTACATCCTAAGGAAAGGTTTCCCAGGTGGCCGTAACTCCTCCACAGCTGCCCAGATAGCCATCCTCTTGTCAGACGGGAAGTCTCAGGGCAATGCAGTGCAGGCGGCTGCCCAGCTCAAAGAGGCAGGCGTAGTTCTGTTTGCTGTCGGCCTTCGCTATCCCCGGTAGGTCTGATAGCAGGAGAATTATAGCAATAGCTATTAACTCTTATGGTTTACACTAATACATTGCGTTTGTTGTTGTTGTTTTGCAGGTGGGAGGAGCTTCACGCTATGGCCAGTGAGCCGATAGAGAGCCACGTGTTCTTCGCTGAACATTTCTATGATGCTGTCAATGGCTTGTACACTACGCTGTCCACCTTTTCTGTCTGTAACGCCACACCTACAGGTGCTGCACGTGCTATTTACCCCCTTATGTTCACTTATCTAGACCAGAATTGATCAAAGAGATCATTGCGTACTTAAAGGGATATTCCAGTGTTAAATTATTTAGGGTCAAACACACCATAACACCAAGTTAGACAACCCTTCAAGACATGAATGTTGCCCACCGCTTGCTTCTCTAGTTTTACCAACTTTAGTAACGCCCGCAAGACAGCAATATACATACAGAGACCTCAGGCCAGTCCATTACAGACTGCTGCAGGGGGACGCAGCTCAAGGAAGAACATTTATGATCATTTCTTTATCATTTCCTTAAAGTAATAATCACCATATTAGTCATTTTGCACTGCAGACATGGTAGTTCATCTGCCTTAGCATCTCGGTCTGGTTGCACTTCCATGAAGAAATGATCATAAATGGTCTTCCTGGAGCTGCGTCACCCCGCAGCAGTCTGTAATGGACTGGCCCGAGGTCTCGCTACAAACAAGCGGCTGCTGGAAGAGAGTAGGTGAGTTGTGTTTAGTCTCTTTGCTAAAGAAATTAGGCAAAGCTAAAAAGATGTTTGGTGGCTAGTGCTATGGCTAGGACCCTATATGTACTGTTGATGAAGTTAGGTGCTGTTCTGAGCATTATTTGTGGCTATAGAGTGGCGTTTTGGTTGAGGTTTGTTTATGGCTCCTCAGACTGCTGTGTATTGCTATCTTGCAGTCGTTACTTAAGTTGGTAAAACTAGAGAAGCAAGCGGTCAGCAGCATTCATCTCTTGAGGGGTTGTCTAACTTGGTGTTATGGTGTGTTTGACCCTAAATTAATTTTACACCGGAATATCCCTTTAAGACAATGTCAATTTTTTTTAATGAAATAGTGAAGAATGTCAAACTCTCATCCCAGATTTACCTCCTCCATCTTTACCTGCTCTTACTTTATTCTTCTTCTTTCTGTCCAGGTTGTCATGTTGAGGTGTTTCCCTGTGAGAGAAAGACACTTGAGACGGTGAAAGAGCTACTGGGGAATTTCATGTGCTGGAAAGGCGCCAAAGGTTATTCCCCAAACACATCTCTGTGTCCTCATTACAGGCAAGTGTACACAAAGTATGATGTTAAAAAGGCACTTATTCTGATTGCATGGTAAAAAAGGCAATAGGTTACAGTGTCTGGCTCTTGTATCCCACAGTAAAACACTGAGAACTTTCTGTAAAGTCACCAGCATTGGGATTAAGGTTTGACTTTCCTGTAATAGCTAAATCATGTGATGCAAACTCAGTTACAGCAGCAGGTGCTTCAGGCTGACAAGCATCTGTTAGCCTGTAACACACTGAACTATATTATCTTGAAAAAAGCAGGAGGGTGAAAACAGGCTCTCCAATTCTACCAGAAACTCCCATGGCATGTTAACACAGCTTTCCACAGTTATTATCACCGCTCATTACAACTTGACCTCAGAGAAATGGCCCAAAGCTGAGAGGAGCTCCATTCAGGCAGAATCATCACAAAATTCTTTTGTTTTTCCAAAACTGAAAAGCACTTTTTTCTTATACACAAGCTAAAAATGATCAGTCTATCAATAACAAAATAAGCACTGCTGTTTAAAATCACAGACTGTGGATGTGGTCTCACTGATGCCACTGATTGGACCCTTAAGAGTGGTTTTGAAACGTAACAAGGCGGGTTGCATCTTCAAACACCGAACTTAACCTAACTTTCAGTTAACCGTGAAACAGACTTTGGGGCGGGCCTTGAGCCCCCTGGCAAACACCTACATTACACCTGTCTGTCAGTCAACACAACCACTCCACTGTGGGGATTTATGTGGTCTTAAATATCTTTGAAACAGATGAGCACGGAAAATATTTAACCCTGAACACTCTGTGTACTTGAAACAAGTCAACTCTGCCTGTTTTGCAGGTACAACAAAGTGTATAAAAGACACCAGACGGTTTGTCATCGCACCATCTGTCCAGGTAACATCCTGCAGCAATAGTGAAACTGTTTTTTAGTTTAGTTGCTGTTACAGCTGTTCTGTCCTCAGTTTTTCATTATCTAGATCCGCCTGTTTACATACAGTTGTGCAGCTCATTTTCTTTTGTTCTCCATCTGCACCTGACTGTAGATCCATGTGACTCTCAGCCCTGTTTGAATGGTGGAACCTGCGTATCAGAGGGTCCAGAGGATTACCGCTGTGTGTGTCCACCCGGTTATGGAGGAGACCCTCACTGTGGTCTGTGCCTTTTTCACACTAATAGTCACAATAGTCAATAATATCTCCTTATTGCTTGAAAAGCATCTCTATGAACCAACTCAAAGTCCTCATCACTCCCCAGCTCCTGCTCTGTCTCTGGACTGCGCCGTGGACTTGCTCTTCCTGGTAGAGGGTTCCGCCACACTCACCTTGGAGGGCTTCCTCCGTCTTAAGTTCTTCTTAAAGCGCTTCCTGCAGACGGTGATCGGGTCTGACAGCCCCAGTAAAGTTGGCCTGGCTGTGTTCGGTGGAGAGACAAGAGTCGAGGCCCATGTGGGAAAGTTCAACAAAGACCTCAAGGGTCTCCTCAAGGCTGTGGAAGCCTTGCAGCCAATAGGAGGAGAGACCCTGACAGGCCAGGCACTCCGCTACGTCACGCGTCATGGTTTTGTGAGCGCGCCAGTGTTTGCTGACGTCCCAGATGATCTGCCCCGTGTCGTGGTGCTGCTCACCGCCACTCCTTCTGCTGATGAAGTTGTAGAGCCCTCAAGGTATGCTCGAGACAGAGAGATCTTCCTGGTCGGGATGGGGCCAGACTTCTTAAAGGGCCAGCTGAACAATATCACAGGGAATCCTCAGAGGACCATCACTTACTCGTCTCCAGAGTTCAGTGCCAAAATCCCTGAACTCAAAGCCAAGATCTGCAGCGTAGACACACAAGGTACAAACTACTGACTTTTCCTATAAACAAGAAATATGTTTAGAGTCAGTGTCACTTTAAAAGGACACATTATATTTGTCATTTTAAACTACTTTTTGCCACAACTATAGGTCAAAAATTGCATATAGTACCTTTAAAGTTTAGTACAGCCTGGTTTAAAAATGAAAACTAGGACATTTCTATGATCTTGGAAGTCTTCTATATGGTTTTATTCATGCTGTTCTCCTCTTTAAATTTTTTTTAGGTTGTCTTGGTCAGGCTGTGGACCTTGTCTTCGCTTTGGATGCCTCCGCTGGCGTTGGCAGTGAAAACTTTGTCACCCTCCGCGACTTCGTGCGCAGCCTCACCGTCCAGTTCGACATCAACCGGGACGTAGCTCAGGTGGCTCTTGTCACCTACAGCCGGAGAGCAACCACCGTCTTCAACCTGGATACCCATGACAGCGGCTCCGCCATCCTTAAAGCTGCAGCAGATGCCAACTACATGGGCGGAGTGGCTTCAACTGGAACAGCTTTGCTCCACATCCACTCCAGCGTCCTGACGGTGGCCAAAGGCGCTCGACCCGGAGTCAACAAAGCAGTGGTGGTTGTCACGGACGGGTCAGGCGGGGATGATGCTGTGGTTCCTGCTCAGAAGATCAGAGATAATGGAGTTTCTCTGTTTGTGATTGGCATTGGAGACGTGCAGAGAGAGAGGCTGCTGCAGATCGCTGGCTCAGAGGAGCACATGATCTCTGTGCCGTCATATGAGGACCTCAAGTATTTTGAAGACGTGCTGGTGCAGATGTTGTGTTCAGGTGAGATGACAGAGAAATATCCCAGAAAGAAAACTTTTCCGGGTTATTTTTTCCCAGAAATCTTTTACATTCAATCATCCATAGAGGGACAGATTAATTGACTCCTATTTATAAATCTGATTTAGTGTTTTGAACCATGTAGCAAGTTCTTGTTTTGTTGTCTTCCTATCAGAGGTCAAGAAACCAGTAAACCTGTGTAAGCCCAACCCGTGTATGAACGATGGGACATGCATACTAACAGGAGGGAGCTTCCGCTGTCAGTGCCAAGGCTTTGAAGGACCACACTGTGAAACAAGTCAGTAACTGCCCCTCTGTGCTCTATATAACCTCTTCTTTTCCTCTGAAACTTCAAACAATGACTTTGCAGTAACTCTGAGAAACATTCAAAGAAATTCAGACATCACATTAATTTATGAAAAGGCTGTTTGTACTTAGATTAAATTTAAATTTCTGGTTCATGAAGTATTACACTCCAGTCTGGACCTTTTTGGCAATGTACGACACTCACGGTAGCTTCTACCAATGAAGAAGTAGTCAATTCCTCAAGTCTGTCTGAGCTTTAAATAAACACACATCAGAAAAATAACAATACAGCTTAAAGATAACTGTAGACTGTTAACAACTGCCTGTCACATGGACATTACACGTTTCCAAAGAAGTGTAATGAAGTCAAACCTTGGTAGTCGCCATGCTAGAGGTGCTGACTCAACGTCACTCTCTGTGATCCAAGTACCAGGTAAAGAGGTGGAGTAGAGATCAGCCTAAGCCTCTTTGCAAACAGCAGCAGCTTCAGTACCAGGCTGAAAACAAAGAAGTTGTGCTGTTTTGACACGGGTGATAGTGGGGCTTCCTGGGCTGGCCTCTGGGACCCTCAAGTGGACACTCAAGGAACTTTTTATACAATTCACTGAACCACCTGTCAACTCCCCTGCTCATAGTGCTTTGGATGCAGTATTTGCTACTCCTAGATGTTTTCATTCATGATGCTAGTAAAAAGTATTTGGTCAGGAACTTTCATAAATAAAAGTCTAACCTTCAAATAAGTTTTTTTTTTCTTTTTCACACACTCAGAGACTTTTTCAATATGTCTGTCTGCAGGAAGCAGGAGGCCTTCATCCAGAGGAGATCGTCCAAGGCCGGCTGGTCTGAGGAGCCGACAGAAGAAGAGTCACCAGGAGCTCCTTCATCACTACAAACTACACCGCAGGAGACACACAGCTTGACACAGAAAAAACATCTTTTTCTCATAAAAAAGTCTTGATTGAACAATTTAAAAACCAAGGATGTACACTGGAGTACACTAAGTATTTCAGCTTGCACTCACCTTCAACAAGTGCTTTTAAACTGTGCCCATGTATGTCTGAACTGTTGTCAGCCTTCACTGTACTCACCACTGTCCAATCCTCTCATGCTTTAACTTGTAAGATGTAAACATTTATATCATATTACTTTGTTTATTCCTGTCTAGATGTAATTGTTCTTATTGTTCAATCAGCCACAAATCTCTCACCCCTCTGGAAACTGGACAGAAAATGCTTAATGTCAAGCTTACTGGTTTAAGTTTTATATATTTTTATATTCCTTAAAATGATTAAATAAATATGTGCTTTTATAGAGTTTTAAGTGTGTTTTAATAGTACAAAACCTAACTTACTCTGTCATTTTAAGATCACTTTTAATAAAGAAGATAGATCTCGTATTGGAGCAAAGTCAGTAAAGTGTCCATATTTAAAGAGTTTAATAATTTGGCTTCTTGAACAGTTAGCTTTAAACAGATGTTTGAAATGATGGGTCATTTAAATTAATAGCCAAAGGTCCATTTAAAAGCTTTCCATCTTTTAAAACATAGATCAACCAAAGGCCTCACTTCATGAATGTTTTACCGCTTCATTAAATAGCTATGACTGTAATAACTCTTGAATCCTAATGCTGCAGACCTCCAGTGTCCTGTCAGTATAACAGGCGAGATGTGTAGGCAGATGTTCGGCTAAAAGCAAAAACAGACATTTCCAAAATCAAATGTTGAGACGAGATTATTGTCAGTACATTTTTATTTGAATAAAAAGTGCATCTTTAGCTAGCAATACAAGCCAACAGGCTGAATAATGGTGTCAATATATTTACATCTTGGCTACCAGCATATATGAACCAAGCTACAATCTATGGTGTACAAAAGGGCCGTTTTTGTAAAAGAGTTTGTGTGTCAAACTGAAGTGGTCTCAAATGTTGTCTGGGCTCATTCCCATTCATTGTGCTTTTTTATGAGGAACAAGTTTGACTGGCCTTATAGGTTATAGGTGCATCCTCAATCAAACAAAACAGGGCAAACCCTCTCAAAAAGTTGGATCATCTGGTGGTTTTGTGTCTCTCTGCCTCTATTGTCTTGACAGAGTAGTGAAGACGATGAAGGATCCAGAGGGAGGCTGACGACAGAGGCGTGTCCAGACTTCTTTCATGGGCTCTGACTTCAGGGGTGGCATGAGATTTGTTATTTTCTCACTTGCTAAATCTTAAAAAGACTCAAATGATGTTTGTTCAAAATCATGATTCATAGATCTTAAATAATGTGACCTTGTTTGAACATTTTCCTTTTGGGCCCCATCTACAAGTCAGAAATACATTTACTGGCATTATTTTGGCCATAATTTATTTTTGGCAATTAGCATGTAAGAGTTGAAGCTGCAACTTTTGATTTTCTGATACCTCTTATACAACCTGTCTTATAATGTACATGTGTGAAGCATTTTTCTACCAATCAAGAACCTTCAAAGAAAAATGTGCTACATTTAACTGAAAAAAGCTACCGGCAGTCTGATATAAAACAGTCCATGCAGTTAGTTTTAAGATACTGCATTGACCTGAATACAAGACAACCCTGATCATAAGGTCAAGTTTTAAGTTAACTATTTGGGAAATGACTTTTTTGAAGACCAAATCTTGCTTTTATCTTCCCGGTACTTCAGCTCAGAGTGGTATCTGGTCTCAGTCATGAGGGGTACACTGTCTCTTTAGATAACTGATGCCATACACTGTCTTGGCGAGGTTTTTTCAGATGAATTTCAAAGGAAAAAAGTCTCTTATCGTTGTTCAAATACGGGTAATCTTGCCTCTAAAAAGCAAAACAACCAATCATTGTTTTGAATTCTGAGGTGGCCAACTAAATCTCAATTGGGGGCCCATGCCACCCCTGGCTGGCCTTCTAGACTGGTTGGTCATTTCACTCAATGGTCCTCAAACCCAACAAGTTGTGGTTGACCAAGTCAGCATAAACTTTAGACATCTGCATTCTGGATATCTTTTAGGTGGTGGATTTCTTCTCCCATTCCTGTTAAAACAAAAGATGGTGTTACAGTTATGTTTTAATTTTGTGTACAGCGAAGGGATGGACTTTAGCAGTAGTACTTCATCAGTAGCCAAGCACTTGAATTGAAAACTATACCACCTGTCCTTGAATGGTAATTTGCCATAAACTTTTGACAACTTTTCACTGTTTTATCTTTTTTTTTCAGATTTGGACTCCAAAAGATTGGTTATGATTAAAACTACTGTTTTATTTACAGTACTTATTTATTGTGCATTTTTGCATGCCACCTTCACATTAACGGTGCAGCCCTTGGCAAAACCACAATTAAGCAGCTAGAACACACACTTTTGAAAAGTTATTTGTAATAATTTTCAAAATGTTCTTGAAATGTTTCAATTAACAATTTCCTAGTTTGAGTTTAAATCTCAATTTTCTCTAAAATTAGCCAAGAAGTTTCGTTACATTTACTCAGAAACAGAGAACATTTTTACCTTTAGAGGACTTTTTCAATCATTAACATGACATTACAGCTGCTAACTCAGTATTTCTGCTTTGATCAGACTTAAAAACACAAGCCTGTCCTTTGATTTTTTCAAAAAGTAGGTTCTTGTCTAGTGGTGATTACTGTAAAAGTTGTTTCAAACTTCAATTCTAGAAATCTATGGTCTCACCTTGGCTTTCTGCAGGACTTTGCCTTTCGTGGCCATAATAGAAGCAGGTCTGTTCTTGAGTGCAGAGGCAGAGTTGACAGGAGAGGCAGGAGAGGCAGGATCAGCACTGACGTTGCTGTTGGAAGATTGGGATGATGAGGACGACGATGATGATGATGATAATGATGTCTGGGAAGCAGGTAGGGTTGCTGTCTTGGACTATAGAGTAGAGAGAGTAACAGGTAAGATGAAGACATAAAAAGAGGGAATGCATTTTCTTTAAATGAATCTGCCCTCACACTCACTGTGGGCATGTCCTGGAGGCTGCTGTCCAGTGTGGTTCCTAGTGTGAACGGTCCCGACTCCACCTTCTTCAAACACTCCTTCACTTCCATCAACTGCAGCTCCACTTCTACCCTGCGATGCTCCGCCTCACGGCACGCCTCCTCCTTCTGCTTCAGACGGGCTTCTAATGAGGCCTGTTGCTTGGGGTCTAAGGAGAGCAGAAAGGTGTCAGTCATTGCTGTAGACTTCATGATTGGAAGGTACCGCACAACAAAAACATCAATGTGAACCTTTGCAGGCGCTTAGCTCCTCTTTGGTTTCCCTCTTCTGCTTCTTCAGGTTGGCCAGGCTGCTTTTCACCTCCTCCCTCTCTTTCTCAAGGCGGTCACGGTCATCAGTGTAGCGTCGCATGTCGGCTTCTGTGCGGTTCTTGCCGAGTTTTACTTCAACTGCACCAGAACACCCTAAAATATGAAGTATGACAGATATAAATTCATACACAAATAAAAAGATATCATGATTAAATTTTTCAAAGACTGCAAATACATACCAAGAAGATGCTTTTGTCATGAGAAAAATCAACATCTTTATTGAAATATACAGTTAAACTTTGATGCCTTTGGGTGTAGTGGGTTTAATCTTCCACAAGAGGGAGCCATTGAAGTGTAACATTAAAACAGCAACCTTTAAACCATGTGTCCCTGTTTTTCATCCTCACCTATTGTATGTGACTTGGGCCGCAGGGGTTGAGGACTCTGAGGAAACCCAGATGCATTTGGCACCACCAGGCTTTTACTATGAATCTGTACCCCCGAGGAGGGGGAGTTGAAGACCTGTGGGATCTCAAGGGTCCTCTTTGGGGTCTCCTGGTTTTGAGACAAGGTCTTAACTGGTTGAGATTGTTGTTGTGGGGTATTCGGAGATGGGGGCCGCTCTAGTTCTGGTTTGCCGGCGGCAGCACTTGTTCCATTTAACGCAGGTGTTGGTTCTGGCTCAGCTGGGTTTGTTGAAGTTACCTGAAATTAAAAGACAGAAAACAAAGAGTTAAGCCGACGAAAGATAATAAAAACAGTTATCAGTTTAAATCCCTTTGAAGTACCTCATTATTTTGAGATGTTTGGTCCTTCTGGTCTTCTCCTGGGATTGAAGAATGTCCTGAAGTTTCTTTGGCAGGAGCAGGTTTATTTCCACAGGACGTGTGCAGGAAGGAGCGTACAGGGACCAGATCCAGGTAAACCCTATCGTCAGTATCCTGCTCTGAGTCCTTATTGTCCTGTGTGAAGGTTGCATTTTGCTCTTGGAGGTTGTTGTCCTCACTGTCAGGCAGGGCGCTCTCTTCAGCATCCTGTTATACATTAGAGGAGGAAGTTATGAAATGGAGAGTGGCCAAAAAAGAAGTGAGAATGAAAGTGAAATCAGTCACAGAGCATCGAAAGAGGTCAGAGAGGCTGCTTTAAAAGCTGAAAAAGCACCAAACCAACAGATCATTCTTCTCTGCTAAAAGACAGAAGTTCAATTTCAAGGTCTAGAGCTGCTGCTAATGACAAGACATGAGTTTTAACAACTGTTTTCATGTTTCCTTTGCTATATTTCACCTCTGTAACATAGTATGATGCATGCAGATTATTCTACAACAGCAGTGCTGTGGGATTACTTTCATAATCTACTGACAGAAAGCACTGGGTGGTTCATATTTAAACAGTTCAACTAAAAAAAATCAATAACAAACCTCTGGATCAGCTATGGATGCCACATCATCATACAGCTCATCAGAGTTGTTGGAGATGGAGGGTGGGGTGTCAGTGTAGGTGTTTGGCTCTGAATATCTCCTCTGCATCAAGCTACAGAGATACACACAGCACACATCATGTAATTTCTATCCAAAAAACTGTGCTGCTTAAAACAGACAGAAGAAATGATCTCACTATAAGGAAGTCTTGGCAGCAGTGACGATGTTGGAGATCCTCTCAGTGTTGCTGTAGTCATACGTCAGCTCTTCAGGGTCTGTCTTCGTCCCTGTCTGTGACAGCAGGAGGCCCAGCCAGTTGCCCATGTCTGCAGAAGTCTTAGCCTGAGAGAGAGAGAGAGAGAGAAAGGAAAGAAACAAGTGGAAGAAAAGATCACTTATAACATACCGATCACTTACAACATCATGAGTATAAAACACTAATGGTTTTTACTGCGTGCCATCTGTCACTTGGTATTAATGCAATGATTGCTACAGCATACTTTCCCAGCAGTTTATTATGTATCTGTCCTCAGCTGAGCTAAATTGTTCCAAAATAAAGTAACAATAACAAACCTACAATTAAATACAGCGTTAAGAGGATAGCAGGATTGTACAGGCTTCTCCTTTGAAGTTTGTAGTTAATAACCTTGATGAAGTTTTTCTATTCACCATTATGAAATAAATTATAAAAGGAAAGTTTCTGTAGAAAAGTGTGTCAGGCAGAGCCCTCAAGACTAAACATCAAATTCCACTGCTTATGACCAAACGCACTGTAGCAGGGTGGTACTGGAGACCTAATGAAAAAGGGCGTAGCATCAGTCCCTGAAATCCCAGTACGTCCACACCCATCACACACACTCATATACATACAGTCATAAGCACACAAAGACACACAGACCACCCCTGTGCGTTTACATACATTACTTGAGCTTAGTTTGATGTCAGCAGAAAATGATTTCCAAACATGGACATATTAGTATATTTTCTTAACATGTTTTTTTTAGAGAAATGCTGAGTTTGTTATTTTGCCTACCAACATTTTGCCAGCCCAGATTCATTATTAATGGACTTTAAGGTACACCCTTCATCTGATCCTGATACAGCTGTGTGCCCTGTGTCTTTCAAACACCTTGTTTGTGTTTTCCCTTTGCTGCCTTTAAGACACTAGCCACTGGTAGGCCCTCTGAGACAAATCTGACATATTTCTTTTAACAAAGTTTTTAAATAATTTGCACATTCCTTTCTCAAATACACCAAAGTCAAATCTTCAGTTGATACCCTTGGCTACTTCCTTCGTTCAAGATTAATTTTTGGCTCTTTCTCTATTGATAGGATTGATCATTCAAACAGCTCAGGGCCCACGTCTGTGTGCAGCTCCTTTACTCTGACATCTCTCCATTAGTGCACGCCAATAGGACCCATGTTTGTGCATTTTTGTGTGTTCCCTGTCTGTTGCATGGTCAACAATAGACTCTACTGATTAAATTGAGTTTCCTTCTCAAGGGTTAATAAAGTATGTCCTTTTCTTCCTCTTTGGATCACCCCCTAACTGAAGGCATGCATTAACCTATGGTAGAAAAACCATGTGAAAACACTCAACTATATGTATTTAATTTTGCAGCCAGCTTCAGAATTCAGAAACCTTTACTTTGAAACTTTGACACAGCTGTGCAAAGCGCATCATTCTGATTGGGCATTATATAAAAACAGTTAATTGCATGAGTCTGTTATTTCTGGAGAGTATACAGCAGATATAATAAAGCAGGCTGTTGCTACAGATGTCGCTCTCATCACAGACTAATTGGACTAACAGGACTGACTGTAATCATATTAATTCACATACAGAAATCTGAATAGTTTATTTGCTTTGGGAAACCAAGAAAAGGGATGAAAACAGCAAAGGAGGGGTTGAAGACACAAAAAAAGACTATGACAGAGAAATAAACAAAACTGTAGACATGAGGTAAACACCTGACAGAGCACATCATGGGATACAGCAGTATGTAGCAGAAAAAGACAGCCTTCATCTACCTCCAGGGTTGCGAGCTGTGTGCCGTCCATGTCGATCCTGAAGGAGTACAGATGCTCGGGGCTCGGGTCAGGCAAAACACTGCAACCCCCCAGGGTCACAGCTGGCTGGCTTACTTTGTTCTTGCCCTTGTCCTGGTAAAACCAAAGCTGCCCGTTCTTGATTAGACACCAGCAGGTCCGCCACTGGCTGTTCACCAACACATTGAGGTAGCCTGACAGAGGAAAGAAAAGCTGACTTCAAAATCTGGTATTTCTGCTTCTAGTTATACAAATTTTTCATGACTTTTTGGCCTTTTTTTAATTATTCAATGCAACAAAAAGAAGGCAGTTATGTTTCAAGAGCTCACCAGTGGGTATATAAATGTGCCTCACATCAAAAACATACTGGTACTTGTTAAACCAAGCAAACTAATAGGACAGCCAAATTGTAACCTTCATTTTAAAGGCTGCAAATAAGAAATACTGACATGTATAGAATGTACTAAGTAGGAGGAGAGGCCTTCAGCAGAGACCACCCACTCAGACAAATTCAAATGCAGTGAGAAATTGTAGTAGTATTAATATTTTGGGATTTTACAGTGATGATGCAACATGAAGAGTAGATCTGTACTGACCTGAGGTGTTCACACATTTCTCTGGGCTCTCTAATAAAGATGTTTTTTTCTTCCCGATGTTCATGAGGTTACTGAACTTGAGACCTGCACCGTACTTTTTCTTCACTATGAAGGGGAAGAAAGCAGAGTCTAAGCCTGATTTTTGAAAAAAATTTGCTGCTCACACTCAGATCTTGGAGCGCAGAGCCGAAGAAGCCGCTTACCATCTTTGTTGTCCGGCGTCTCAGCGTGACTGTCAGTGCTGCTGCCACTCTCCGAAGCTACTGAGTATCTCTCACTCAGATCTCCCTGGAAAGTCACAACAGTCCTGTCACTTATTTGCCATGAAATTTCCATTCACATCAGAAATACACATCAGTTACCCGAGCACTAGGAGCTCTTGGAGGACCTGATTGTGCATGTAATAGAAGACATCAGGACACTACCTTAGCCCTCCATAGTTTCTCTCTCACTGGATAGTACTTTCTGAAAGTACAGAGACTTAAAGGGATATTTCAGCGTAAAATTAATTTAGGGTCAAACACACCGTAGCACTGAGTAAGACTGCCCCTCGAGAGATGAATGTTGCTGACAGCTTGCTTCTCTAGTTATACCAACTTTAGTAACAACCGCTTTGACTAACTTCTTTAGCAAAGAGACTAAACAAAAACTCACCTACTCTCTTCCAGCAGACACTTGTTTGTCACGAGACCTCGGGCCAGTCCATTATGGACTGCTGCGGGGTGACGCAGCTCAAGGAAGAACATTTATGATGATTTCTTTATGGAAATGCATTCAGACCAAGGTGCTAAGGCAAAAGAACTACCGCGTCTGCAGTGCAAAATGATTAATATGGTGATTATTACTTCAAGGAAATGATAGAGAAATGATCATAAATGTTCTTCCTTGAGCTGTGTCACCCCGCTGTAGTCTGTAATGGACTGGCCTGAGGTCTTGGGACAAACAAGCGGCTGCTGGAAGAGAAAGTGAGTTGTGTTTAGTCTCTTTGCTAAAGAAATTTGGCAAAGTTAAAAAGATGTTTGGTGGCTAGTACTGTGGCTGGGACCCTACATGTACTGCTGATGAAGTTAGATTCTGTTCTGAGCATTATTTGTGGCTATAGAGTGGCTTTTTGGTTGAGGTTTGTTTATGGCTCCTCAGACCGCTGTGTATTGCTATTGTGCGGTCCTTACTTCAGTTGGTATAACTAGAGAAGCAAGCGGTCGGCAACATTTATCTCTCGAGGGGGTGTCTAACGCAGTGCTACGGTGTGTTTGACCCTAAATTAATTTTACGCCGTAGTATCCCTTTAACAATTGTCACTGATTTGGCTTTTTGACACATCCTGCATATAGAGTTGGTAAAGGCTCTTGGGAGTAATGTATTTTGGGTGTAAATATGATTAAATGCTCTTGGACCCTCTTCAGATATTGTCAAAGTAGTCTAACACCAAAAACTAGCATACCTTTGTACAGATGAGCCTTGGAGAGTCTGACATCGAGTGTTGAGCTTCACAGTTTTCTGTTGGCTTGGGGCTTATCTCATGAATGACCTACAGATCAAAATCATTACCAAAAAATAAGATAAGCTTTAAAAAAGATTCAGGTCCAATGATTGTAGACAGAGACACTGGTTGCTTTTTGAACTAGCTTACCCTGAGCCACAGTTCGGTCTGCTCCTTGCTCTGAAGGCCCAGCACAATGGCCTCCCCTCCCACTGGAATAATCTTTAGTTTGTGTTCCTTCCTCTTGAGCTGCTTCTCTTTGTAGACCACAGTGCAGCCCAACAGACTTACATCCAGCAGAGGTGTCTGCTCTTTAGAGCTCTTATAACACTGAGAGAGAGAAGTAATACTGACTTCACTTTGAAGGCTCACTGTAGGCAAAAGAGTCTAGTAACAAAAGCAAAGGACTGAGAAGCATTTCTACCATGCTTCTAACAGTGGCATCTGTGTTGATACAAGTAGTGTTTTAAAAATAAATCAAAATCCCTAAATGATTTAGCATGGCAGACAAAAAAATTAGAATTGTAAATCACTACATTAAATGATTCCAGCCTTCTTGAGGTTTCATACTGTGAAGTATTCAGGGGAATTCTTCTAGTCTATAAATATTAACGAAGCCTTACATAACAAGAGCAAGGACAGCATTTAAAAGCAGACAAGTACAAGCTACACCTACTGCAACAGATTATTTACAAGGCTTTTCATTAGGAATACATCACATATAAATAAGTGAAAATTAGTAAACACTTTTTTTTCACAGCAGTGAGGTAAATCCACTTATCTTATTTGCATTACGGTAAAAAAAGGATAGAAATTACGTTAATCTGAGTTTTTCAGAAAGTTAGATGCTAATAAGTCTACTCTTCTGATGTTTTTGCCTTAGTTTTAGATCTTAAATTAAAGGGAAATTAGCCAAGCTGGCATTACAACAGCTAGCTAGGCCTTGAATTTAAAAGGTGAACGAAAAAAGTAGACTTTTCTCGCTTACTTGCCTGTATATTTGCCTGTAAAACACACTTTACTGCTTCTCTGCTGCTTTTAAACCAACATGCCACATTATCCCACCACTCTGAAACAAACCAAATAAGTTCCACTTCCACTCTCCTGGTTGCTTGTTTTTTGAGTCGGTGGCCTTTTGTGCTTTTTTAAAAATATTATGTTATCAGCCCAAATGAGGAATGAACAGTTGTAAACTCTGGTATGCTCCATTTTGTTGTTTTAGAGGACTTGGATTTTCCATCCTAAAAATAAATGGCAAAACAAGGACATCGTGTAACAGCTAAGTTTGCGTAACCTTTTTCATTTTAGATTGAACTGATAGCATAGCGAGACAAATAGTATACCCTTTTTCAAACTCCCTTTTCTAAGACTGAAATTAAGGTTTTTATGGTCTTTTACCCACCAGCAGTCGATGATCTTTGATAACACAAAGCTGTTTGGCCCACTGGCCTAACCACTTCTTCCTCCACAGGAACGCACAGATCCTAGCGTCCTTCATCAGCTCTATGGACGCCTCTGCTGATGGCCACTGGTGCTGTGCCGATGGTGATTTCCCTCTGGTAACTTCCTCTTCATCGTACGATTCATATGAACTGCTGACTGCCTCCCCATCATCTAAGACACAAATTCAGATGTTCAGGAAAACTGAAGAAAATAGATTGATAATGGCATGTTAAATTAGTCTGATGACCAAGAGATGATGATTTTTTCTGGATCTTGATGACCTTCTGCAACTGCTGACCAAACATAAGATATTAAAACATTTATAAAGGGTGTAATGGAAAGAAAATTGGTAAGATGGGACTGATAAATGACTCATGAAGTTTGTGAACATGTAAGACACTGGCCATGCTGGAAAATGAGTACTGCAGGCTCAGGCAGATCAGCCCGTGCACATTCCTGCTCATGACTCAAGCAATCGCAAGACATGCAGCACAAAAACCAAACATCCAGAGACAAACAAGTAAATACCCCTATTGATAACAGCATAGACCACACTGTCAGAGTTCTGCATTCGCATCCAAGGCCCTGAGGTGAGGCCAAAATAGTCCAGATCTACACGAAATCAAAGGAAGGAAAAACAAACAAAAAAGAAGAAAGCGAGGAATAAAGAAACAAGATTGGAAAAAATGTCTTAAAATATGAATAAAGACAGGGGCCTAGATCACCTTTTAACCCTTTGTGAATGTATCATAACAGATCTTAACTTGCCAGTTGGTAAAAGTATAGTCTATTTGTTCAAATGGAGTAAAGTGAACCATAACATGCACCCTCAAGCCCACCACTTTTAAATATGCTACACTGCTGTGGTACAACACAAGTTTAATTAGTGCAGCAACACTGTAGAAACTTCTCACTGTCCTAATTATGAGTCATTAAAATAACTTTAATACCACAGCACAACATGTCATGAACTTGTGATGCACATTACAAGCAAAACAAGCTCCCTCCAGGTTGTGGTCATGGTGTCTGCAACACTTGTAAATAGCCACGGTTGATCCGATGATGCAGGTTTTGACGAGTGTTAAACCACTTTCTCAGAAAACAGACAACTTTCCCCTACGTTAGATCAGACTGTTTCCATTCTCTTTAACAGGTTAGTGTTACAGGTGTCATTTTTTTGTATTTTTTTTAAAGAACAAACAAAGGTCATTGGCTTTAGGTTGTAAAGTGAATAATTTGTCTCTCATGTAAATTCCCAGATTTGCAAGGTACGTCATAAAAGCGAGATACCAGTGTTTCCATGATGAAACAGCCTCACATGACATTTGAATTTTCCATTGATCTTAGACATGATGAAAAACGGGACTTGAATTCACAAGTTTGGTGGTCCTCAACCTGGATGTTGGCCCCTTACCCCTGTTATAGTTGATACCAGAAAGTTGATATCAGAAATTTCAGAGGACAGTGTTCAGAAAGTAGAACCATGTTCAACTGCAGCAACTAACAGCAGTGAGAAATTATGGGGGAATTTGATGCAGAATACTGAAATTTAAAATACAGGCAATTTCAAAACAGAGGTCATAAGTGGACAAAGGCCCTAAAAGTGAAAAGTTAATGGTGGACACAGGCCCTCAAAGAAAAAAGTTAATGGTGGACACAGGCCTTCAAAGTAAAAAAATAGTTGGAAAATAAAAGGTTGCTTTTTAATGGACTCCTACAGGATTTGACTTTTTTTGCAACCAGTAACATTACCCCCTGCTAGTCTTTAAAGTAATGCAGGTTCAGAGCTCTGCAGTGTTGAATTCACAATAAAGCTACAGGTTTTGTGTTTTTTTTTTCCATGTGTATTAATTTCATCTGTGTATTTAATTCAATGAAGAGCCCACATTTTGTCACAGAGAAGGTCAGCACTTAGTATATTTTCCTCCTGTGACTTATTTTACATCCAAACAAACATTAAAAAGTCGAACATTTTTAACAATCCACTTGAACTGGACCATAATGTGAACATTATAAATAGCATTGAAGCAGACTTCTTACCATTGAACGTTTCCTCATAGGGCTGAGCCTCTTCATAGTAACTCTCTGAATTATCAGTGGGAGCTGGAACTGCAGGTAAGGGGAACGGCTCACGACCCACCACACCCTGACAGATGATAGAAGGGCAGGAAAAAATGTTTTAATCTAGCAAATTGATTCAGGTTACATGCCCTCCAACCATAAAGCCTCCAAAGGAGTATATAAAACACACACTCAAACACAAACACACTGATATTATCAACATGTGTTCTCCCTGCAGGCAGATCATCCAGCTGTCATTGTAGGAGCAAGTAGGGAATTCCTCATGTAACCAATCCTTGTCTGACCCTGTGCACTAAACATTTATATGCTTGCCTAAAGGGAAGAGAGTGTGTGTATACATACGGAAAAGAAAAAGAGGGTGTGTATTTTAATATGTGTGTGTGGGCCCAGTGGCTTTCCTGAAATCAATCAGCAGTCTGGCTTCACTTCTGTCTTTCTTCTCGTCTCCTGTGTGGTGAAGAGCGTCTGTCTGCGCCTTTACGTAGTGCTGGGAAACACCAGACTCTCCGCTGTTTGGCTGCTTACAAGTCATCTGGAGGGTCTCCATTACTTTCAAACTTAATGAGTTACATGTTCGGGATAAATTTTCAAGACATCTATCATCACTTTTTTTCCTTCCCTTGTCATTGAGGCCATAATAATTTATTCACATTTGAAGCAACTGTCCTTCAACTACAGTTGCTGCCAGGATGCTTAAAGAGGTCCCATAATTTGTGCATTTTTCTTGTCTAAGGCTTTGTGGCACATCCAAGCAAGAGAAGATATGAATCAAGAATATGAGAGGGCAACCTCAACCTTTAACAGACACCTGTCCAAGAGACAGTAAAGTTAACTGGACTGATCGTGAGAGGTAATGTTGGTCTCTGAAGTGACTCAACCACTGATAGGCATGTCAACAGGACCAGTCAGAATAATGTTTATGAATGATATCTGTTTTCAGGTTCACACAGGGACAAGTTTGTGAGTCACATGGCGGTCTTCTCCCTAAATTTGTAGGAAATGGGGACTCAACTCAAACTTGAACCCTGGAAGACTCACAACCTGATTTTGGTGACTCACCTTCAACAATAAAATCCACATATCTGATGAGTGCTGGAAGTTCTGGAGAATTTTTGGAGACATCGTATCGCATGAATCATCCATCACTCCACGTGCCTCTTGATAAGACAACCTTTTAGGAAGTTATGTCATCAGGTGGGAATAGCATTTAGGAATTTTTTCACTGATAGACATCTTTTATCCCTTCATCCGGCAGGAGCGTCTCAAGCTATCAGATACAGTGTCTTTCATAGGTGGTAGATGGCAGATATGCAAGTTTTTTCTTGTACATAGGTAAACCAAGATGACATACCAGGTCAAAAAATCCAGTAGCTGCCTGTTAAGATGAAATCTACATTTTCTGTTGGGAATGGAAAGAAACACCATGACGCTGTAAGATGAATGATACAGCAACATAGCAGAGTGATTCCTCAGGGGCCAAAGTGAGAAGTAACAGTAGTGACAGATGTCACTCTGGGAGAAGTCCCCAGAGGACACATATACTGTACATATACCGTATATATGAAAGCTATATATTTGAAAACTTTTTTTCCCCAAGTGAACTCTCTGAAACCCCACGAGCTGAATGACAAAAAGAAGATTTCCTAACTACAACTAATGTTTCCTCCCACCACTTATCTGAGTATGCTGTCTGTGTTCCCTCATTTCACTGCAGCTTCCCCCTAAGGCTGTCATATTCTCTGCAAGATCATAGAAATATGAGATATAACCCTCAAGCAGAGGAGCTGAATATATTAGAAAAGCCATGCCTGAGGGAGGCTGGCTCTGCGGAAAAATATGAATTCTTGCAAAGTTAAGAATCTTTGAGTTTTTTATAAGATCAGACTTTGTTAAATTGAGTATGGAGATCAGTTTGATACAGCTAAAAATTATGCCTTTTAATGAGATTTCACTCTGAAATCAGCTTTGGAAGTCAGCTAATGTTTGATTCGTAGCTATGCTTTAGAAAGAAAATAAGCAGAAAAAGGCTGTTATTTATCATATTTAGGGTTTACTAACCTGTGGTGGGTCTTTAGATACAGCTGTTTTTTGATAAAATATTGAAAAACATAATTTCAGTCTGTTTATATCAAAATTGCAGACACATTATTTCAGATGTGTGCTGCTGGAGAGGGAATACCCTGTTTGTGAGCTGTTCCCCCGCTGTATCACATCACTGATCTAACATCACCACTAATACAGAGCAGATGCAGTATGTTGTCATAACGACTGGCGTCATGTTATGGTCGGCAGACAGTCACAGTGACGATGACTTGACTGTGTGATTATCCTGCATGCCAGAGAGCGGAGGAAAGGATCCACACAAAGAATAAGCGTGGGACAGAGATGTTATCAACGCGGTTTAAAGAAGGTGGAGTAACATCAGTTCTACATTATGGAGCTGTTGCGGATTTCTCATAATGCGAGTGTCAGCAAACATAAATGTCAGACTGTATCATGAGCTACAGTTTCTCAATGCAGAATGACGTAATGACAGGAAATAGTGAAAAAAAAGTTATGACACCAGATGTAAACTAAAAAGACAGATTTAACTCAAAAGAACCACTTATCATGACCGTATCGTGATTGGCATCATATTTGTGGTGACTGGAGGAGATATCCAGCCTGAGAGAACAAATAAACCTAGAAAGGCAAAAAAGCTTTTAATGATTAGATTTACTTTTTAAATACTGTACTTATTGATGCGTTTCTAAATACTGTCATAGGGTAGGTGTCGCACTGGTCAGTGTACACCCCCCGCAGAAAGCACCAAAATTAACTTAAAACAAACGTTTCTCACAGCAGCTTCAAGTTAAAAAATCATATCAGAGGAAACTTGTTTTTGTAAGAATGGTAGTTGTTGCCCGCTAGCTTAGTGTTTGAGGAATTGCAGATTAAAGGCACTTCATTGGCTTTACTTTTCTAATCATGCAACTACAACTTCTTTTATGAAATTAAAATTCACAAGATGCGCAAATGTTCTTAAAGCTCAGAGAAGTCACAACTGAGGACATGACAAAGGATAATGCCAAATAGCAAACATGTCAGCCAAAAAAGTTTTCAAAAAAAATCTCACTTTTGGACACGAAAAAGTGAGATAACCTCTTAATCAAAGACAAAAACCCCACGACTATTCCCTAGATACTATAAATAAGCTTAAAGAGCTTTTTCAGGTCCAAGCCTTGATAGAGAACAAGAATGGTGACACCATAAATCACAAAAACAAAGGAAGACATTAAACTCAGGAAAGTGACAGTAACAGTGATTTAAAAAAAAAAAAAAAACATGCCTTCGGGACTGTGTGTGACTGACCTTACTATTACACTTTTAGATTAGTTTGATTATTTTGTATTTTATTTTTGTACTTTGTTTTAAAAGTATTTGATTCAGATGATAGAAAATTCATTTGAAAGCTTGGGTCTGCATTAATTTTGGCACTTTTGATGTTGTCCTTTGCACTATTTTCAAAAAACTCATCATGTTTTCTTTTAACATCCTATGCATTTAACATAAAAATCTACCTTTTATGACACATACCCTGCCACAATGATTTTAGACATGCAAAGCTTTATAGACACAGTAAATCTTTCACTGATAGTCTTGTTTACTTTTGAAGGTCAGAGTGACCCATCAGTAGAAGTTAGTCTGTTTTGTAGCTAGCTTGAAACCCCTAACAAAAGCCTTAACTTATACATTATAAATAGAGGCTAGAGGGCAAATGCAAATTTAGAAAGTATGGATTTGACAAAAAGAACATTGCTGTACAACAGAATGTTATTTGATTTCAATTCTTTGGCAACAAACTACTTTCATTCGATCTAAATGTTTCCTAAAAGATGTTTTTAATATTATTTTACCCCGCTGCTAAAGTATACAGGTACAAAAGTTTAGGATCCATAAGGAGACTCAGGAGAAAAAGGGATTTTTCTTGGATACACACTGTAAAGTGAAGTGCTCTCACACAGACACAACAACATTAACAGTTTAAACTGCTCTACACTGAAAAAAAACTGCAGTTTCAGGCATCTGTTATTAATTAAAACAAAGAGCCAGGCATTCCAGAGCAGCAGCAGCAGCAACAACCCCCTGACCGCCCACCCACCCTTCCACTCTTATCTCTATCTTCTTTCTTTTTCTCTTTCCTTTTTGCTCATCTCTAGACAAAAATCTGTCCGCTGTTGTTTGGGCCAAAGACTGAGAGGAGATGGCAGGGGTTTACAGAAACCAACGACACAGGAAGAGGAAGAGTCAGGTGTGTCTGTAGATGAGTTTTTTCTCCCAGAAGTCTTTCGAATCACAGCAGTCACTTAAATCCCACATGCCACACACACTCGTCCTTGCCGTAGAAACATGGGGTAGGAGGAATGGATGGAGGAGTCAGAGCATAAATAACAAAGTGAAGGGGGGGAAGGAGGCTGAAGAAGAGGAGGAGGAATACGGGTGTGGTGGAGGGGCTTTGAGTAGAGTGGGAAAAAAAGGCCAAAAAACGAACAGTCAGAGGAACATGGAAAATCCCTGGTTCCCATGCCAAGAATCCAGCACAGTGAAAACACACACACAGAGACACACACATACTTAAGAGTGTATCTAAGAGCCTGCTGGGAGCTTAGAGCAGAGAAGAAGGTAGAGAAAATCAGCTCAGGAAAGCCAGACTCCAGAGGACTCCTCTTGACATCACTTTCAACATCTTTTAACACTTAAACAAAGTGAAAACTATCTAAGAATATTCCAAGGAATTAGCAAAGTAGGGGAAACCTGCTCCTCTGTATGATGGGAGGTAGTAAAACCACTCATGACACACATTTTGCAAAAACTATACTTATTTTTTCATCATTTTTGTCCACTTGGGAACACTTTAACCTTTCCTACTTGAATATTTTGGGTTCAGCATTTTGGTTTTCATTCGTGTTTATGAGGTACAAACATACTACCAATAAAAAAGGTAAAATATGCATGTAAAAAAAAAAAAAAAAACGTCATGTAAACAAAAATAAGATTGAAGGGGAACTGCTGGCTGATAATGAAATCATGAATAATTCAGTAAATACTTAAACTAGCCAATTATACGGTGGTTTTGATAATGACCAGTTGCGTGCAGCCACATAACCGCTCACTGTGCATGTCAACAGTTTTCCTTTCCCTGCCTGACGCTTCCAAGTGGCACAGCTGCTATCTATAGTCCCACTCTATTTTCAGACCATGCAGACAGGACGCAATGGAACCCTCACAAACCTTTATTTACCGTCCAGATCTCCCGGAAAAATGGCAAATTGACACTTGAGTCACATGCTGAGCTGTCTCTTGAGAGCCACTTATAGGAAGAGAAAAGACCTAGGGTTTAAGAGATCATGGAAGCGCCTGCAGGCCTGGGAGTCAACCAGGAAATTCATGCTGAGAATTCGACCCCTGAGCTGGAGTACCCGGCAGGCCGGGTGAGAGTGAGGGTGGAGGAGAGCTGGTTCACCGTGGAGCGGGCCTTGCTAGCAAGGAACAGCAGCTTCTTTAGCGCTCTCTTCCGCTCTGGGATGATTGAAAGCCACCAGGATGAGCTCCACCTGAAGGGGGGAATTCGTGCAAGGGGCTTCCTCATCACCCTTGCTGTCTGCAGGGGAGAGGTTCCCACCCTCACTGACCCGGATGAGCTTGTAGAAGCAGTAGAGTGTGCTGCGTTCCTGCAGGTTGCATGTTTGGAGCAGCATCTTTGCGACATCATCGATTCAGACAACTGCCTCTTGCTTTACCGTGCGGCTAACATCTTTGGTGTGCTCTCACTATTGCACAATGCTGCTCTTTTCCTTTGTGACACTTATGAGGATTTGAAGGAAGCAGCAGAGTGTGCAATCCCTGAAGAGCTTCTTCGATATTCTCAATCATTGTCTCCTACGTCTTTTATTGCGATAGGCACTCATTCCCCCTCCATGGAGCTGCTGCATGACTCCTTCAGGATTGTTTGTTACCTTGATGAACAACAGGAAGAGTGGAAGCATCTAACAAACCTCCCAACTCTCTGCAGCACCTCCATGGCTGGTGTGGCCGTTCTTGACAATCGGCTGTACATTGTCGGAGGAGTTTACGGTTACGGTAAGGACACAGTGGATGGCAGTTTTTGCTATGACCCCAACTCAGGGGTTTGGACGGCTCTTCCAGGTCCCCAGCAACCAAGATACGACTTTACTCTGCTTGGGCACGAAGGTCGACTCTACGCCGTTGGTGGTGAATTCCAGAAACGTACAATTGCCACAGCAGAAAGTTTTAACGTTGAAAAGGGAGAATGGACCTTCATTCAAAACGCACCAAGACCAGTAGCATCTGCAGCTTGTGCTGTTGCAAGACGGCGGATGTTTGTTTGCTTCTGGAAACCACCAGACACCACAGATATTTACGAATACATACCAGTGAGGAACGAGTGGAAACTTGAAACCACCATGATCAAACCTCAGAGCTATGGCCACTGCATGGCAGCGCACAGGGACAATTTGTATGTGATGCGCAACGGGCCATGCGATGACTTCTTGCGCTGTTTAATGGACTGCTACAACATCACGACAGGTCAGTGGACAGCCATGTCAGGACATTATGTCAACAGCAAGGGGGCGCTTTTCACTGCAATGATAAGGGGTGACTCTGTATTCACAGTGAAGCACATGTTAACCCTGGTGTACACCATCACTGGTGAGGGATGGAAGCCCCGCAGGCAAATGAAGGGATTTCCAAAGAGTGGTTCACTTTGGACGTGTTTACTCAGGCTTCCCAAGACTGGACCAGTTACACCACAGCTGGAGGCTGAAGGGAAGGACAGAGTAATGCCTTTGCCAGACACATCTGAGGGCTTTGTGGAAGCTTTACTGCAACTGTGAAACTACCGCACCAGTGAATACCAGTGCCGTGTTTTTAAAGTTACAAATATAGAAATTAAATGAGACTGGATGATTTTGGCGTTTCAGGGTGACACAAGTGTTTTTCATTTCAGTCCATTCACTTTCACATGCATGCACTTGTACTGTACACACACATGTGCTGACACTAAACATTATCCTGATTAGCAACAGCTGCTACTGTAGTTTATGTTAGTGGAGGCCGCTATGTGTGTGTGTGTGTGTGTGTGTGTGTGTGTGTGTGTGTGTGTGTGTGTGTGTGTGTGTGTGTGTGTGTGTGTGTGTGTGTGTGTGTTTGCAAAGTTCAAAGGAGCTGACGGGATGTTCAAAACCCCTCATTCCCTGAGTTTTTCCTGTAGTCACACTGGGCCAATTCAGGAGCCACCGGCTTTGCAACCGACATAAAACACATCGCAGCTCTTTCACACACTCTTGGATTCTAACTTCCCGAGGTTTTATGCCCCTTGAGTGATTAAATACCTGTTTCTATGGGAGAATTGATTTCACACAGCCTCAGGGCTTGTTGCTGTGAGAGTTGTGGGAAATGTTTTTTTGGCTTGCAAAACCACAGATTCAAAACCGGTACGATTCTGTGGTAACACTTCTCAATCCATAATCCACATAAAACTTTTTGAACTCTCTCATGTACTCTGTTGAGCTCAGCAGGTCTGGGGGTCAATTATGCTATCATCATGACCACAAGAACAGAAATGCCTCAAAAAAGCAGTGTAACAGCCCAAACCATTTCACATGTTACACCACACTGATGTAAAGAAGCTGGTGATCACTTACTGTTCTGGGGGGCGGCAGATCAGGAAGGCTCTTCTTTGGGACAGGGACATATTTTTCTGTTTTCCCATTGACCAGGGCATCCGATCTTTTATCTGGATCATGAGATCATAGAATTCAAAAGTCATTTTACAACAATCATCTCGACTCTGACATGAGTATAGATGTAAAACTAATACAGTAATATGAAATGCTACTGTACCACAATTACCAAATGCCATGCATACTACTTATTAGTACTTCCTGGTTCTGGCTAAAACACAGACCCTTCATTGTAACATTACAGGGACCACATAACCCAAACCAAGGGAAAGCATTAGCAAGAACTTTGGTTTGAAAAACACACACCACAGGAGTTGAATGAACAATGTTTTCAGTCAATTCTGTCCAGTTCTCTATAAATTTCACAAACCTTTCTAACTTTAAAGATCTGTTTTTCCAGGAAAATTCAAGCAAAATCATCTTTTATGCACAGTTTAAAGCAGGCTGATTCCCTTTTTGTCATTTTAAGGCTAAGCTAAGAAAGAGTTTGCTAATTTTTGCTTACAGATTGACACAAGGGAAAGCAGCTAAACTTTTTTGAGGTCACATGGGTAAACATGATAATCACCAGAAAGTGCTGGCTAGCGAATTTGGTAACCTTTCAATAAGGTTATTTCCCCTGCAGCCAGTTTGACTGTGAGTGTAATATGATGCCAGATTGGAAGTTATTCTAAGACAACATTTGACCATTTTTGAAAAGGTCTGCAAATATTTGTCAGCTTGTGAAGAAAGATGTAAAAATGTTACAGAGAAAGCCAGCAAAAAGTGCTGGCAAACAAACAGACAAAAGAGAGTAGAGTTTGGAATTTGACATTAAAATGACAAGAACATTTCTGCCAGTTCTTTTGCCAAGAATATTGTTTGGTTATCTTCACCTGGTTCTACTTGAATGGTGAGGGAAGCTGTCAGTAGAAAACAATAACTGAACTACACAGTATTTTACAGTGAAAAAAAAAGTGTTAAACTTTAAGCGCTTGTTACTTAAAAGGGAACATTTCTTGCTATGTAATACTTCAGTAACATTCTTTTCTACAGTATCTTCTTCTGCACTTTGGCAAACACAACAAGATTGTGTTTACCAAATAATCAATGGCAAAGTAATCTCAGTTCTCACATCTCACCCCCTCCACTTTCCAACAGTCTCTGCAGAAGAAAACATGCGGCTTTGCTAACGTCGCTGCTGAAAATATGTCTGTTCAGTCTAGTGCTCACTGAAACCACATTCTTCAACACTGTCCAAATAAAACAGGTCAGTCTCAGATGGTGAGAGCTCTGAAGAAACAGACAGGAAATGGGGGTGAGAGGAGGGGAGTTGGGGGGGGGGGGTGCTGCTTGTGGGAGCTCATTCTTATGTCTGTTATTCACTTGAATCATGTCAGATTGAGAAAGCACTGCTGTTCTGACAACAATAAACCATCAATACAAACTTTTTCCTTTTTCAATGTAGCCGTAGTTCACTTTTTTTTCACAAAGGACTTTTCAGTTTGAGAAAGCTCTGCGGTATCTACATGCGCACTTGTAGCAAGGACACAAGGAGAACAAAACTGAAAAGTACTTATCTCATACAAATACAGATTTTTTTTTTTTTATCAAACTTCTGTGTCAAAAAAAAATCAGTTTTTTTATGTATAATAATATTTAAGTTATTTTAAATGATAAAAACATTATTATTGAACAAACATAAAGTCCCAAACTTCACCTAAACATGAAAATACATACTCGAAAAAGAGCTCTGTTACTGTGTGAGGCTTTATATGATTTTGGCGATGACAGTAGTTAAAGTCTTACTTAAAGCCCTAAACATAGACTAGTAAATGATTCCTACGTTTATTGAGATGCTCCAGTAAAACACAATGTGTGTGTGTAATAAAGCCAGAGGCTACTTTAAGGCTGGTTAAACATAGCAATTCTCTAAGCTATATGCAAACATCAGCATACAGAAGTCAAGTCAATTCAATTCAAGTCAATGCGGACACTCAAAACAGTAAAAGGCTTTATCAAACTCTGACAGTTATACCGTCAGTGGCTCAAAATGATATATTAAATCAATAAACCAAATTTCAAGGTGGAATAAAATCTATTAGTTGAAGAATTTAGCAGTTTTTTGAGGGGGCAAGAAGGCATCAGTAAGTATCAGTATCACACTTCATGTAGGAACCATTTAAAACTCACACCTTTGTCGTCTTTTTCCTTTGCACCAACAATGACTTTGTTCATGTAGATGTACTCCTCATCAGCACCTGCACAGAGTTGACAAAATGTGGTTAACAGCCAACATTAGCACCATCAACCTTTTACAGCTATAACTTTGTGGATGGAAACCTGGCCAAGTATTTCTGAGTTAAACTGAGGACACTACAGGAAGTCACTGAAATACCACAAGACAACAAATAAGAGTCTATTCACAAAGTAACTTACATACAGCAGCAGCATAGAGTCAGAGCTAGAGGAGGCTTGTTTTTTCTCTGAAACAAAGTTACTCGTAGCCCTGATGGGAAATCTAACTCCACCTTAGTGCCAAACACACTTTCATCATCTTTTGTCAAAAGTCCAGGAGTAAAGGGGGACTCGACCCAAACAAGAGGCCTATTGTGCAGAAAGATAGGCTCATTACTGACACCCACCCTCACCATGGCTTGCATTTGTCTGACATTAGTCAGAAAGCTCCTTGCCTTGTTACAACAATAAAAGCACTGTGTCACTTTTATCTTTCAAGTTTTCAAGATTGTAAAACGACCTACACAAAGGGGCTGAAAAACAACATTTTTTTTTTATCTAGTGTGTCTGTAGTTTTATAGACAGCGGAAACAAGATAGTATTGTTTTTATAGAAATACGTTCTGTGATATGGAAATGAAATAGTGTGAAACTGGACTTTCATGGTCAGGTACCAACTAAATTCGACCTCTTCTTGCACTCACTTATCGTAACTCATGAATAAATGTTAGCACTAGCTTCTTCTAGACTATAAGCAAGATGATGAAACCTTGTGTCATACACCAATCCTGATGTAAGCTTAGTGAGAAAAATCCTGCTTTTGGTTTACAGCACGCCTCAGCATGATGGAGTAATTACAAGCTGGTGAAAACATTACATTGCCACATAAACAGTCTGAATGAATATCTTTTTATGCAACAATAAACTTTGTGGTTTTAGGCTACAGCTGGTTACTTCAACCTGAGATGGGAATTTGTTCTGGAGAAGTGGATCTTTTCACTGAATTATAAAATTTTTGCTGACACCAATCACGCCCTGAGTGGAAATCAAACAGAACTGTAACCTTGGGTGATTCTCAAGAGAAGGTTTCCTCTGAAACAGATAGCATGAGGTGAAACTAAACAACAGCAGTATGAAAACGATGTTTTGCCTCCACAGTGGAAACAGATTTTCCGGGGAACAGAGTTGAAATGCTATTTATAATCCGCTGCTCAAAGGAAGTGAACTTCCCCAGAGGATAAATGCAGCTTTGGAAAAATGATACAGCTTGGAGCCAGGAGAGGAAGTACAGAGAGACAAGTCCAGGACCTGAACATGGAAAAGCATGACTGCCAGTGTGTGTGTTGGTGTGTCAGTGTGCGAGGGACAGAGGAAGACAGGGCGAGAATAGCAAAACCAATATTGCCAGTTTGGATCAAAAAGTGACACCGAAGCCACCAGAGAGGGTTATAATTTTGTAATAAAGATCAGAATAAAGCGGTGAACTTTGGCCACTGTGGGTTCTGAGTATTTTTACCCTCTAGAGTTAACAACTTTTTCCTGCAATACAAGAGATTTCCAAAAAAGCATTAAGAATTTTTCCCAGTTTTCAAGTGGCCGAGGCATGGATGAAGCTCCATGTGGTACTGCTTCACATTGTTTTTCACAAACCTCTAGGCATCATAAATCCCTGCAGCCCAGCAGCAGTTGCAGTGTTTGCATGTCTCAGAGCCATTGTGCAAGAAAAACAAACTTGTCATTAGATGTTTGACAAGATACCTCAGCAGGCGGTGTATTACTTTTGATTAAGCAAAATATAGGATTGCTGTAAGTATAAGCTAATAACCTCAAACAATAAGTCTAAAATGCCATAAAAGTGTGAGAAAATGCTGTCAAAAATACTAAGCGTAGATCTCTAAGTCTCTAAAATGAGCCTAAGGGCCCCCAAATGCATTAGTTAATAACAGCCTGTAAGAGAATAACTATTATCCTGGTGGTCAGTGAGGGTTTAAAATAGCAGAATAATACCAGAGTAGTTTACATGATAGCTCCTTAAAAGCCCAAAGGTCATTGTAATGTACTCAATGAATTGTGGGAAACACAGGGAATGACCACATGTTACATACAGTGCCCTGCATAAAGGCAGACTAACTGCTAGTGGTTCAACCTCAAGAGTTTATACTGTCATGTCTTCATAAAAACCAGAATATTAAGAAATGTTGAGGGGTCAAGGTATTTTGTGGGGAAATACCGACTAAAATTTGCAACTTTAACTCTGAGGTACATTTTAACAGTCTATGACTGCTCATAACATTATATTACGAATACTTGATTTTGTCATTGTTATGATTTGCATTTATCAAAACAGTTGTGAAATTTAACATAAATACCCAGAAAACCCTGTTTTTCAGTCAAGTACAAAGCGCTCACCTGTTTTTCCTTATCAAGAATTCTGATTTAAGTGTTTGCTAATAAAGTTAAGAAACAATAAATTCAACAGATGTTACTTCTCATGTCATCTCCTGAATTAAATGCTAAAATTGACTGAGAGATGAAAATGGTATATCCACAATATCTACTGATCTAATTTTTTTTTTCATACCACTGGCAGTTCTGTAGGACTGGAGGAGATCGGAGAGCAGGCCCTTCTGGACAGTCGCGTTCCCACTCAGCGTCTCCTTGTCCAGGATGAGCAGGAAGTGGTGGAGCTCCATCAGGAGCTGGTCCAGCACTAAAAGCACAGACAGAAAAAAAAGAGTCTCAGAGGAGAAGTGTAATAAAATATCCTTTCTGTTTAATACTATTAGACATTTTTCTGCATGGAAATATTTTAAATTATTGCAACAATGGCTGTAGACCAAAACTGTCACACTCCCATCAAAGGAAAGAAAAAAAGAGCCATGTGTAATTTAAAGTCTGTGAAGCTTCAAAACAGACATATTTAGAATATTATGCTTTAATTTATTGCTGAGAACAAGGGACGAAATTGTCTTTTATAACTAGATTCAGCTGCTGGTTTGTTGGATTTTTCCCACTGCTTAGCTTTTGTGCTGTATGCCAACAATTTACATGGGAGAGACACTGCAGAGGTTTTTCGCTTGCACAGCTATAAACAATCCGACAGTATGTCACTCAGTCATTTAGTTTCTATCGACAGTTTCAAGTCTGTCTGAGGTTGTTTTGGGAGTTGCACGGGTTTAAAGAAAGGTCAAGTTCAGAAGAGGGAGGAGCTTCGGTTTGCGTTGGCGGGGCCACTGTGTCTGAGTGCAGCCCACACACATCCTTCAGGGGTCAGCGCTGAGCTCACAGGCCTCTCCTCTCGTGTGGGGAGCTCTTTGTGTGCCTCTTCACTGTCTCTTGGCCTCGTGAATAGACCTCTTGCTACAGTGGGCCTCAGTGTGGGAGCACTTCACCAAAAGACCAGACAGACAGGAGGGGGATGAAGAAGGGGGACTTTATTAAAGGAAAAAGGTGGGGCCACTATCAAAGGGGGGGTCATACTGTTACTAAACAGAGGAATCTATGAAATCCAAAATGCTCGCTCTTTCTAATCTAAGAATAATGATTTAGATACATGAAATTTAATACACAATACATATACTGTACGTGGCATAAAAAATGTCATAGTACTGGGGCTAAAATATCTTAAATCTTGAAATCAGTAAATCTAGACTCATGTGAGCCTGACATGGTCATGTTTGCAACTCATTCTTTTGCAACCTTTAATGCTGTTTCCAGGCCTTTCTTACACTAACTGTCCTTAATTTTGGTTTTGGAAATGAAAAAGACACTAGTAGGGAAGAGTGGGGTAAGATGTGCCATTTCTTATGTTTTTGTATCTGCATGTATTTCAAGATGTTGTGCATCCCTGCAAACCAACAGAATGAGTGTAAACATAACTGTCTTGATAATATAGTATGCTAAAAAATGTGGTCTCCTATGGTCAACTTACCCCATACACAGGGTAAGGGGCCCAATTTACGTGGGGTAAGTTGAGCCATATCCCTACCAACCCCCCACTCTCCACCCAGCCCTCCCTCACCTTCTCTCTCCCTAAATAACAGTCACTTCTTCACATTCATGTGTATTTTTATCTATTATACTCTATTCAGCAGGTATAATATATATGTTTTTTTTATTATTGTTGTGTATAACTGCTAAAAAGCTGTTTTGTAAAAAGCCATTTTAACATGAGAATGCCTTTAAGTGATTCAGAACATTCACAGCTGTATTTTTGAAAAGAAAAAGTAAAACATTTCAACAATCTGAACTGAAACTCTGATCCTCTCATCAGACTCCTTTACTTTCTCAGTTGAGCCACTGGCTTAATTTACGCCTGGCAAAATGGCTCAACTTACCCCAGAACTACTATGATGACTTTATGCGTCATCTAAGCTAAAATGGTGGACTTTTATACTAGGTTTTTGACCTCATGTTGTAGCTCATCGATACCGCTATTGATGTATAAAACAAATTTAAAATGATCTTTCTTGGTCTGAACACAATTCTAATAAAACTTCTAATAAAAACAAACTAAATTCACTTTCAAAATTGAAAAATGTTTTTTGGGAAAAAAATGTCTAACCCTTTCATTCATGTGCTTCTAACTTTCACAGACTCCATGAATTGATGCCCATCTCCTAAATATTTGATCACATGATCAATTTCTTTTACCATTGTCAAGCAACAGGGGGTTGCTCAGCTCAACTTACCCCACTCTCCCCTTGTAGGCATTTGAGTTCCCTGTGTACTTTGTGTAATCATGTGAAGAGCTCCACAGACTGACAGGTTTGCAATATCATTGTTAAAACTATGAGTCAACATTCTGTGTTTTTAGAGGGGAATTTTTTAAGAAAATATCAGAAATTGTATCCATCCTCTCTCCTAAAACTTGGCAACAAAGTGCAAATTTCTCAAAATGTCATGCTGTTATTTCACAACAACTTTTTTCTCTTGGGTCAAGTGTTTCACTCGCAATGGGAGAAGACGGTTCTAAGTTAAAAGTGACTCGTTTTTCTTCTGAAGATCAGTAACAAAAACTGGCATTCAAATGAGAAAATCATTTAGTTCCACTTCATATTTGAACTCTACATGTAAAATCCGGAAAAGGCACAACTTTTCTGAAAGATAGTAACAGCTCCGCTCTTTTTAAACTCTTTTAAAACTGTCAGCTAGTTAGTTTGAGCGGCTCCTTCCGGCTCATACTGATCACTAACAGGGCCTTGTGGGAGAGTGTCTCCATGCCCTCTCCCCTCCTTCCTACACTCCCACACATCAAAGAAGGGATTTTTGCAAAATAAGGTGTCAGACACCCCAGTAAGCCTTGCCTTTCAGAGATGACGAGAGGCTTTCTCAAAGATACAGCAAACTGGGTTGTTTTTAATGACTCCTGCTCAAGCTGAGTCAACTTCTGCTGAGAGGCCCTGTGTAGGAGGACCTTCAGCATGGAAAACATCAGTAGTTTGGACATATATAGACACACACATACACACTCACACAGAGAGGACATGTCCAGTGATTAAAATCAGCTTAAGAACGATCCTGAAAAGCTGTCAGTGACTCTTTGTTAGATGAAAATGTAATAATGATCGAACCACACACCTTCCCTTTCATTACATTTCCAGTAGTTGTTTAGCTGCTTATGTTTGGCCGCTCTGTATGAATCCAAACATTTTTCCAGCTTCTCCTCCTTGTGTGTTTGCAGAGATTGACTCTGATGGCCTTTTGGATTGGGGGACCCTGGGAAACAGAGTCAGCTGACAGGACAGGGAGGTCTGTCTCTGTGGGCTACAGGCTGGCCAGAAGCCCACTGCACATCTAGTGAGTGACCGCAGCCTCTACAACATAAACAGCTCATTTCTGTAGACTGTCCATGAGGAATCAGAGCGACTGGAAGACTTTGTTTTTGACAAAAGAAGTATATTTTTCTACAGAGGAGAATACAGAATAAAATAAAGAGGGCATTTGACCACATTAAGATTGTGTGAATGATAACATTTGAGGTTTTCTAACACCTACATCATTCATGAGGGGAATTTTTCTTCCTCGTGCCTGAGGTTATACTTCCTGCTTTCTTTGTTTTTTGTATTTGATTCGCCCTCACTTGAGATTTCCACTCACACTGCGTTTCCTCTATTACTTTGAGGAGTAGACAGATCAGTAAGGTGCATTGCAAACACTCAAAACCTGTCTGATTGTTTGGCAGAGTAACAATAAGATAACTTCTGTATTTTCATTAGGGATGTTTCAAAGTGACTAGCCCTTTAATTGAAATTCAAACCCACCCCATGTGACCAGCCGAAAGGTAAGCACACAGAAAAGAGCTAAAATTGATCATAGTTTATTCAAAAACATGAAATTGGTTTGCCAAGTTGGGCTAATGTTAGCAGAGCTAGCCCAAGTAGTCTTTGGTCCGTGCAGTTTGAAGTCCACACACGTATGCTGGTAGTGCATTACTTCAGTCCAATGATAATATGCAAGTTCAACACACTATTTGCAGCTTAATTCCATTTTTCCTTAAAATATGCTTCACTTCAAGATATAATCTGTTATCTGTCCTTGTTTTCATCTAGGTAGTAGAGTATTGTCACATTATGGTAGTCATAAAAATATGCTATAGCTCTGACTAGTGGTGTATGGCAGTTCAAAGGCTTGTACTCATTTAGGCCTACATTAATAAAAATATTAATAATTTGTTCACTGAACTAGTAATTCTGGTGACCACAGTCATCACTTAGTAGCACACACTCCAACTTTCTGTACTCAAAATGCTTTTAAAAAGACCCATTATGCTGATTGGTACTTAGATACAACCATGTGATGTTACATTGTTGGATGTCCGAGTGAAACCACAGCTCAATACATGAGATACAAAGATAGTGTCATAATCTACTGATGTGGTCATGGCTCATTTTAACCGCTCGTTTCAAGACATAGCTGTCATCAGGCTGCTCAGATGTGTTCATTCAATGCTAAAGGAAAAGCCCACCTGAAAAGTTCTTTCAAAGACATGCCCACCCAGAAGCCGGAAAAGTCTGTTCCACCGCTCCTCTTATTTCCTCTACTCCACACTTTGTTGATTCAGTACTGTATGTCTCAGAAAGTTGCTCTTAAGCGTTCTTTGGGTTGAGAGGGGTAGTCACAACTATTTTCTCTTCCCAAAGACGAAGAGACAAGAAAACAGTGAGAAGTTTCAATGTTTTTTGGGACAAGACATTGTAGCTGTTTATGCTCACTACTTCACTGCTGACCCGTTTGTAAACAAAAGCAATTACAAGATGGACTTTACTTGCATCTCAATTGCTGCTGACTTTGCTACTGCTACGAGAGACTTTCCAAAAGTCTCAGACTTACTATCTGTAGGAAAGTTATAACACCAGCTGATGTGTGACTGTATGGGGGGGACTAAATATGCACTGACAGCTAGCTTCAGATGTTCCCTCATCTTTTGGGTTGTTTCATGAGAACAAAGCTGTGAGAAAAGTAAAGCCCACAAGCTGTGTCTAACTTCATATCACTGGAGAAGTAGTCAAAATAGAGGATCTCAGATGGAAGCTGACTATTGCTTCAATGAACATTTCACACCTGCCAGTTTTCATGGTGTTCTTAGATAAGTAAGATTTCTGAGCCTCTAATTTTGCAAAGCTACTCAATAGGTGTCCCAGACTGACATAATGAATGGTGATAATGAGTATGTGGGTGAACTCTCTCCCTATGGGGATCCTAGGTGGCTAAGTCCCATCCTATGTATGGAAATATTGCACCACCCCTTTTTAGTTATATAGCAAATTAGCACAGGTACATTAAGAGGGCTTTTCCCACCAACTTGGTTTGCTTGTCAAATTTTGTCAAGCTTGGATGTTGGTTTCTTCTCTTTGGAAAACGGCCTCACGTCCCCAACTAAATACTAATATCAATCAGTCAATCAATCAAATTATATTTACATAGCACCAATTCACAACAGTCGTTATTCCAAGACGCCCCTAATAGGCCCTGTAGAGGGGGTTGTCTGTTACTTTCAGTGTTGTAGTTGGCAGCTCTGAGATGTTTCAGTCTGCACTTAATTTGGGGTTAGGTGAGGTGATGTGCAGATGTGATGGTGGCTGACCATGCTCTGAGGCTAGCTTTATACCATGGTAATTTATCTTTGCATTCGCATCCTGACAGCCACTGCTTCATTATTGATGGTGTCACTCTCAAAGATTGATGCAACTTTTTAAACTTTCAGAAAAAACTTTCAGTAAAAAGAAAATGCTGTGCAGAATGCATTGCTAGGCTACCACGTCAATAATAATAACAACAACAATAATAATTCTAATGACAACAATAACTAGAGACAAATGGACAAATATGCCACTTGAGAATAAAGCCTGTTTAATATTAGTTCCCAAAATCTGAGCTCTTATACAAGTACTCATCTCCATCTGTTTACCTCATCTGACCCTGCCTGTTTGACAGAAAAAAAATCCTTGTTCTTTCAGTTCTCTCTTGAATTGATTTTCATCAGCAATCTAAAAATAACCAACAGAATCCACAAATGTCTGTGAACACATGTCCATAAAGCTCATCCATGCATCTGGACAACAAATGACAGTGTCATTTCAAGTTTTAGTAGCCTTCAAGTGCAGCTGCTAGCCTCATGTCTGCTTTGTTCAGAGTATGATAAAGGAGGTCCAAATGAAGGACAGGTTTTGGTTTATATATCTTAAAAATCACAAAATAATCTGATTTAAAACCACTGGATCTCATAGAGGAATAAATCATATTAAGACCATTACAGGGGAAAACGCTGACATCTTGGTAAGGGTCATCTTAGGGCTGAAATTGAAAAAATAAGACAACACTAAAGAAACTCTTGACTAAGTCCTCTATGAAAAGAAGCAGGGAAATCTCAAAACCACCAATCTTCCTGTTTAATCCGATGAGAAGATGCTGGCTGCATTTGCTAGACAGAGCAAATTTAGCATGTTTCACTTTACAGTATTAACCAGACAGGCATGGCCTCTCATTTCAATTATAGATGCTTCCTAGTTAAATGAAGATGCTGAAATACTTCTTCTAAGTGGTTGAACCAGTATTGTAACATGCTTGAAGAAGAGAATCTGCCAGACAATTAGCTATCACTCCAATTAAAGTCTCTCATAAGGGCAACAAATATTCACTGAAAGATAATGGGTGTTTGGCTTGACCTTGATCCTCTTCCCTTGTGCTCAGGAAGCTTTCAAATTCTCCTAGATAGCAAATACACAATCAACTTTTTGCTGTTTTAATTTCATTTTACTTCTTTTTTTTAACTGAATATCTACAGGTCTCCTACAGTTTTGGAAACCAAGCAGACAACAAATACATTCAAACACCATCCATCTTTAACTGTCCAACTCTTAAAATAACTCCTGCACCCCTGTATATAGTTTCATGCTCTGCTATATTCCTGCTTTTCCATTCTTGCTTCGAGTATATGATTTTCTTACAGCCTAGGTAGGTGAATGTAGTGCTAACATGCTAGCATTGGTACAACATGCTTGCTTAAACTGATTCAACACTCTGAACCAAAAACAACTATTGCTTGATTTAATGGAATACATTTAAAAACTGCTGACTTGGCACTTCTTTTGGTAAACATGGGCCGATAAAAATGAGGCGTTAAATCAAACTAAACATGCTTAACTAACTACGAAACCATCTTTCTCTTTCCTAAGCAAGCATTTTGTTCACTCATAAAACTTGTTTACAACACAGCTATCACCATGGAGGTTAACTGGCAGTGTAATTGAATGTGATTTCATCTGTTTGGCAGCCTAATTGAGCAGCTGCCTCGGAGTCCCCTTTAAAGCAGCCAAGTTATCAGTCTGCTATCATACACGCTCAAAAGCCTAACACTGTTTTATCCATTTTCAATGGTGCAAAAACAAAATTACCAGGTATAAATGGATATGTTTGAGATAACCAAAACAATACTTGGCTCAGTTTGACCCATGTGCTGTTATGTGAAGAAAAAAAAAACAAGTTTGTCTTAAAACTGTGCAAAATAAACTCTCAGACTTCTAATATGAACAAAACTGGGAAGGGCACATATTCTAGTTGGCACTGAAACCAAGAGCATCTGCAAATTCTGGCCAGTTCCCACTAGTACAAATTTCAAGCAAACTTAGTGCAGGTCAGGCCAAACACAACCCTGTTTATTTAAGGAGTGAGCTAAAGGGTGATTGGGTAATTTTTGTGGGAACTAAGGAGACTAACACTTGTGTTTTGTGTCCTGTCAGTAATCAACAAACTACACTGTTGTTCAGATAACATAAATATTGAGCATAAACAAAATTCATGACGAACATTTGTACATTATACCAACCTAAAAGCCAAAGAAACTAAAGGTTTGAGTGAGAAACCCAGATTAGCAGACTACTTCTGCTGGTTTGAAGTACTTAGATGCGATTAAGTTCTTGAAACAACTGATCTTTCAAATTCTTACTTGAAAAATACCTGCAAATGTTTTTGACCCAGTGAATGATTAAAGGCTTCAAAGCTTTCAGAAATCATGTGACTGACAATAACAGAGCCACAACTCCACCTAAAAGAAGAAGTGGTGGAAAGAAGGAGAACTGGAACAAGTGATCAAATCTGACTGTAAAATCTTCTGGACAAGAGTGCGATTTATGAACTGCCACAGGTTCAAGTCCCTTCTGTCTGAACACACACACACACACATTTGACAGAAGCCGAGCATGTTTCTTTCCTTATCATTCTTATCTTATGACTCTTTCACTGTAAACCTTCAGAGGAAAAACTCAACAGGGAATTGACCTTTGGGTGAAAAGAAGTAACCCTGTATGATAAATTTCCTCTAACCTGGCCCTGTTGTGGAGAAAGTGGCAGATAACTGGCTGGTGTCAAGGCCTGATAAATAGGATCTACGTCTGATTTTGATTGGTGTTTGATGGATATTGGCAGGACAGGTCAGTCTCCTCTACAGCATGCTGGGTTCAGCTGTGGGGCAGGGACCGAGTGGACTTGGCTGAATTAATCCAAGCTGTGTTTGGTGTTATTGCCCTAGAAACTGAATAAAAAGGAGGGGTGTCAATTTGATGTATTCGGAAAAGAGTCCGGGGGATTGCAGCATATACCTCTGAAAGAAGTGGACGAAATGACACAATAAGAAGTAGAAAGTGAAAGAGTATGCATTTAGAGGTAAGAGGTGTCTTGCATAGAACTTTCCAAAGTACTGGTTAACTGGCTGAGTCAAATGTTTAATCTTCACAGGCAAAACCACCAAATACAATTTAACATTTTGAAATAGCAATAGAGATACTCGGGACAACATCACATTGAATAAGCCCGTGCAAAGGGTTTTTCAATCACTATTTATTTCTTTATTTGTTAAGCTATTTATTTATTTATTTATTCACTCAGGCTGGTCTTCAAAAGTCAGAAAATAACATGTGAGAACTGAGCCTAGTGGGGAATGATCCTGTCCTGCAATCCAGGCAATGGCAGCCTAGCTAATGAGATCAATAAATCCTCTTTGAATCAAAAACTTGTGTTTGCTTTTTTACGTCTTACGTATTAAGCAGGATAGTGTCTGGCATTGATCTTGGCTGATTATAAGGTTTATATTTGGCATTTGGACAATTATCTGCATCAGCCTTTTATTTTTCTAATAACCAATTGAATGAACTAAATAACAAGTGTGATATTTAGGCTCCACTGCAGGTTTCTCCTCACCTTGTGGGTCCATTTTCTTGCACTAGTTTGTCTTACCTGTCTCAGCCCTCAGTACTTTCTATGCTGGGTGCAGCTGTACTCTAAGTGTAACTGGTTCGCTATTAGCTTTTATATATATGATGTTAAATATTTCATTTTAAATAAAATATTGGCTAAAGGTTTTCAGGTTTCAGTTTTTTGATTGTTATCGTCAAAGTGTATCAGTTCTAAATATCAGTTATCAGTACTTTATACCACTACCTAAATCCAATATCTGTCAATCCCTAGAAAGACGCCCTTGTCCCAATTCTTCTATGTTTACTTCCCCCTCACAAGGTTGCTAACTGAGGCTTGGTGAAGAGCAAAAGGATGCCAAACATATAAAGTTTTTCATATATATTGTATATTAATATTCCCATGCAACATTGCCAGTTTATATTCTCATGGCATGACACACTTCCTATGAACAAGTGTCAATTTTGATCCTAAGCCAAAACACTGAGGTCAACTTTTTTGCAAGCCCCTGGATTCTGCTCTTTTGCACAGAGCCCTGCAAGTTTTGGTGATCTTGTTAGAAAGTGACAAGATGGAAGGATTTAAACCAAAGTCTGCACACACTTATTCCTAAACTGACAGCGTGAAGACAAAACAGACTATAAAGTTGCAGTTTGAGAATCAATAAAAGCCCATTTTCTGCTGTGGAGTTGCTAAATTGTCAAAAGTGGCCCAGAAATAAAATCTTGTTTTGAGGTCAGAAAGGAGGTCATGGCTGCAGATCTTATGAAGGAAAAGTGTTTTTAACACTGTGGGGGAAAAAAAACTTTAGTTTAGGAGGAGTTTGCGGTCTTCAAGTGTTTTACGCAGAGTCTGCACAATCCACTGGTTTTAATGCTACAAAAGCTTGTTGCTCCTTTTAACATGTCTTTGACCGGAGGAGAGATGATAAGCATTTGGATGAAAATATTATCTGCACTGAGACAACTTGAATTACTAATGAAGTACAGCCAATGCCTACAGATTCTTTGCACATTTCCTCTTTTTTTTATGGCAGATGAAACTCAGCTTTCCTTTCAAAACATACTTGAGGGACACATTAATCCCAGTTCAATATCGTAAGGGCTTCATAATGGCAACAAGAGTTAAGTAGCTCCTATATCACAGTGAAAAAGATAAAGAGGGCTAAGGCTCTGCAAAGATGACAAAAACATGGGCAGAGTCACAGCAAATACTTAAAAATCAGAGATAGCTCTGCATTAGCTTTGAATGAGTCACAAATTAAAACCCAAACATGTTTAAATAATGAAGAAAGTTGTAGAAAAGCAGTCATTATGAGGTTAAGTTCAACTTTCTCTCATGTTTTTCTCTTTTATCCTTAACCCTGCCAAAACTATTGAGTTGCTTCTGTATTCATCTCACGGTATATCTTTTTCTTAGCCTCTTCTTTTTTCCTCAGTCTTTAGATCTGTACTGTCTCAGTGATATCCAGACTTACGGCTTGGCCCTTGGAGAAATCAGGCAGATTTTATAGCTACAACATGCTAATGGGCTCTAAAGTCAAAGTAAATCTTTGCCTTTTTGTAGAAAGGGGCCCTGGTCTTCTTCAGCAGCCCAATGTTGATTAGGATGCAGCACATGGTACTGTAGTCCTTAGAGCTGGAGCTCAGGATTCAACATTCAGGTTGCTGATACCACTAACTTGATGTTTCTTTCCCTCTCTTTTTGTGAGAAAAAGCAATATAGAGGCTTGCCAAACAATACAGTAATATCAGAGTTTTTGTGTTTTAGCTATGTTAGCAAATGAAACAAGCATTTGTAGCTTCGATTTAAATAAACTTTAATGTCAATAAATAGAAAAATACAGTTTAAAAGAAGTCAAACATTTCTTAATTATGTCACATGTTGACGTAAATGCAAAGTGTTAGTGGAAAACAAACTAAGCTGACAGCTAACATGCAGAGCTGTAGAAAACTAATGGTTGACTCTTCAGCAGACAAAAAGCCTGACATTTTCCTCAGGGGTTGTGTGGAGACAAAAACGGGGTTAAAAATGTTGTTCACTAAAGCAAACGTTAAGATTTAACATACTGGTAGATGGAAACAAATCCTCAAATCAATGTTGATGTTGTTCTGTGTTCACGCTAGCTGCAACATTCACACATTAGCTCTCGTTTCTAGATGATTATGTCTCTGTTGTGACAAATAATGCAATATAAACAGGTGAAATTATATTATTACCAGAAAAAAAGCTAATATAATTGACTAACCTGTAGGCAACAACATGCTAAGTAAATTTTTGCAAGCTAACAATAAAATTAGTATTGTACTTTGCCTGGAAATTATATTAACTGCACAAACAGTAGCTAAAAATGATGATTACAAACAAAATTTATCTTTAAAAGTCCATCTCTCATAGTTTTTTTTTATTACACACAGAGAGATTAAAAAAAACCTGTCAGCCTTAGGTTATGTAGCAGAAAAGCTCACTGTGTCCAAGTTCTCTTAAAGCAGAATCCTGCTAACATCCCTTTCTATCTTCCTCTCTCTTTACATCCCCTCGCTCTAGAGGATCCCCATCACTGGCATAATGCATCATCTTATACCTTGAGGTATGCGCATCTAAACCACTGTGGGCTTTAACCAGTCAATTTTCAATTAGGATAATACAGTGTAGAGATAATCACATTCATGATTTGGAGGCCAAGCATGTTCTGGAGCTTTACAAGGCTCCACAGTCTTTGCTTGATGAAAAAAAAAAAACAGACAAGAAGCAGCTGCTGACAAATAAAAAGTAACTAGCAATGCCGCCTCAGAGTCACCCACATAAAAGCTTCTCTGCTTAGTTATTATCCCACAGATAAGCAGCCTTGAGGGCTGCAGGGAGAGTAAGGCCTAGTGAGGGGGCATGTGTGTGTGATTACAACAAGGTAAGCTCCTATTAAGTACTATTTCCTTCACAAGAGTACCTGGTGAGAAAAAAAAAACACAAAACACAATACAGGCTGATGCAGAGCTCCTGTATCCAATAAACAAAGCCATGTTTGATGTGCTGGAAACGTACAGGAGCAAAGACCTGGAGGGTGAAAAGGAGCAGTCTCACATGGTGCTCTCTGCCGCCACAGATCAGGGAGACTGTCTTTCTTTTCATCATTTTTATAGCCCAGTCCAGCTTCCTGAATTACCAATCACTGCACTCACTTCCCGTTGGCAAACAGAGCCCCTGACACATATACAAGTGAACCGGCAGACCCCATGCTGGACCTGATGGCCTACATGTTAGCTTGCTTCCACTGAGTTTACGGGAGGTCAAACACACTGAACCCCCTGACTTTTTCAGTCTTGTGCCATAATATCAGCAACTCCGAATCTAGTAAAACACCTGGATGCTGCCATCAAAGAGGTCTCTGATCAACATTTGTTAACATCCTTCTGATGCCTTGTCAATGAGCACGGACAAAAAAGACAGAAATCTTTGATATACTTATAAACTATTTATCTTGTGTGCCACGTGATACATGAATCCATCAACATACTGTCTTTGCCAGTCTGTCTCTCTTTGTCTAACAATTTACTTTTACAGAGTCAGATTATTGTTGGAGAACGATCATGGATGCTGGATAATAAACCATATTATTGCTCTTTTCTGCAAAGACGTGAAATCAGCTGCACAGAGAACTTCGCACATGCTTTACCCAAAAACTGGTGGCTCCATGATCACATGGAAAGCAAAATAAGCAGAGGCATGAGGTGGAGGGCAGTGATTGACAAGGATGGGAAGAAAATAAATATTAGGGAGGATCTTGCAAAAAAAGAAAACAAACATCTCCATTTCCTTTAATGGGAATTTTCAGGAAAATTATGGATATTCTGAATCATTTGTAGATTGTTTCTTTTCCTTGGCTTCAAAATGAAAACACATTTTTATGTTGGTGATTTGTCAGCTGATAATAACTGAATATGATTTTCATTGAGCATTGAAAACGCACAGATATAAGAGGCTGGGAAAAGCAACCAATCAACCACTTACTGAATTGAAAAACTGACCCAATCATCTCTTGGCTGGGTCTCTACAGTACTAATTATCCCTCAATACAGCACCAGGTGCTTTCTCTAATTTAATCTCAGTCTTTGGCAGAAGGTGTGAGAACCAGTACACATACTGAAACCTAAATTAATCAGGTTTGAGAAACACAGAACAGCACATCCAGAATACTAAACAATGCCTTTCCTTGTCATAGGCCTCCCTGGATTTTCCCATGTCGTCCTCTCCTTTACCTCTTCCACTGGTTGCCTTTGGCGGTTAGTGTCATATCAGAGCCCTGGTGCCGCTGAGTTCCCTTTTCAGCCACACACAGCGGCTCAGTTTCTGTATACCAGCTGTAGCACTATTGCTCTGTGTTGCTTCATATGCCCTTAGATCTCCTTTTCACTTACGAGTAACACAGTAATCTATTCATCCCACCTGTACTGCAAAACATGTCAGCCTTTCAGTCAGAACTCATGGGAACCTTTTAACTTTCTTAGCAGCACTTTTATGGTGCATTTTTATCTCACCCCCACACCCAACCTAAGAAGAAAATCTAATGTATTTACCGTGTAAAGATATGTACAGTGAAGTCTCCTCTTATTGTAAGAAGTGAGGTCATAATATTGCCTCAATGGGTGCTGACATAGTGCACAGGAGACATATTTTGGAGCCAAAGTATGAGTGCAAGACTGGTGTCACACCCCTTCCCCTAGCCCAGTGGTCCCCAAGGTTTTCAGTGGCCATTAAAAGATGTTTCCTAGTTTGACCCATTTCCCATCTGTTAAAGGGATATTCCGGCGTAAAATTAATTTAGGGCCAAACACACCGCAACACTGAGTTAGACACCCCCTCCAGAGATGAATGTTGCCAACCGCTTGCTTCTCTAACCGCAGGATAGCAATACACAGCGGTCTGAGGAGCCATAAACAAAACTCAACCATCATGTCTTCATGGAAATGTAATCAGACCGAGACGCAAAGGCAGAAGAACTACTGCGTCTGCAGTGCAAAATAATTATTATGATGATTATTACTAAAGGAAATGATAAAGAAATGATAATAAATGTTCTTCCTTGAGCTGCGTCACCCCGAAGCTGTCCGTAATGGACTGGCCTGAGGTCTCCATACAAATAAGCGGCTGCTGGAAGAGAGTAGGTGAGTTGTGTTAAGTCTCTTTGCCAAAGAAATTATGCAAAGTTGAAAAGATGTTTGGTGGCTAGTGCTGTGGCTGGGACCCAATATGTACTGTTGATGAAGTTAGGTGCTGTTCTGAGCATTATTTGTGGCTATAGAGTGACGTTTTGGTAGAGGTTTGTTTATGGCTCCTTAGACCACTGTGTATTGCCACCCTGTGGTTGTTACTTAAGTTGGTATAACTAGAGAAGCAAGCGGTCTGCAACATTCATCGCTCAAGGGGGTGTCTAACTTGATGTTACGGTGTGTTTGACCCTAAATTAATTTAACGCCGTAATATCCCTTTAACATGGAATGAATTGGCTTTATGCAGCCAGTCATGAGGGGGAGCTCTAAAAGTTTTGACTTTACCTTTGGGTGGCTGCTGTGCTGTCCATGTTTATACAGTCTTGCGTCCCTAGTGGACGATCAGATTTGGATTGCAGATACAACATGAAAGGTTAATCACCTCTGTATAGTCAAGAAAATTCACAGTTTAAAGTGAGGTATTGCAGCTCTTGAGGGAACTGCAACTTTTCTAAAAGGTATATTTTTTTTAAATGATTGATTGTTTTGTCAACCACATGCTTGACATCACAGGAATTACCCATTTAAATTCCTGAGGTCCAAATTTACATCCCTGAAGAGAAAAGATAGAGAAAGAAGTGCAGATAACTACAAACTCAGCATTTGGGAAGCCAAAACTGTTTTTTTTTTCATGAAAAATACGAAACATACACATTTATTTATCATTTTTAAAAGGTACTGTCTCATCAACCAAATGTTGAATCTCCTAATCTAATCGACCACATGGACAAACACATGATTGAAAGACCAATCCAAAGTCACCACTGCAATACTGAAATCCCCATAACAGGATAAACAGAACAACTCTGTGTTTGGCTTTTTGCCGCACTGTATTTTTCTGTGAGAGCGTGGGAGTAAACAAACCCAGCCAGTCAGATCAGCTGGAGAACAGGAATGTTGGAGCAAGATTCTGCTGATTCCATCCCAGTTAGATGTCCATTGTTTTCAGACCGTAAAACTGCTCTATCAGGATGAGTGACATTGATCCTGATAGAGCAGTTCAGGGTGATGAAAACACACAGTTGTCTTTTTTTTCCCCCAGATGGTCAGATACAGTAAGGTATGGTGCATTCATGGCCAAGAACTCTAGTCTGCATTTTGACTTAAACTCTTTGTTTATACCAATCAGGAAGTATTAAACAGCCTTGCTCATCCCTCATGAACAAATAGCTGCAGGAATTTCAGGAATGCCATGGGAACAATGTTGCAGCTATTGGAATCCATCAGTAGCCACAGTGTAAACTGTTTTATAGAGCCAGCTTTGAGGGGGGGATTTGAAAATAAGCCAAACATTTTTTTCTTCAGGGTGCTTTAAACTCAAAGGAGTTTGAACCTAGTTTGACAAGGAATCTGTCTATTTTTGTCAACTACTAAATAACCAAACCAGAGGAGCTTTCATCGTCATTATTGGTAGCAGGTGACCGATAACTCAGCCAAATTCAAAGTTTTGCATGTTCAATCAAATACAGAGGACTGTAAGACATCAAACACAGATAAATATCGTCTCTTGGTTAAGTTTATGAGCATGTTAGAATAAAGAAAAATCATTTTGTAAAGACTTTGTAAGCCCTCCAATGAACATCGCAGCAAACAAGTTGGAATAACGCCCAGATGTCATGTCAGCTATGAAACAGGGACAACCAAGAAGTCAAGATCTCTTCTTCTCTCATGTTCAATCATTAACATCGTTAAATCATCTTTTCTTACCTTTGTGCTTCTCCATTCCCTCACACGGACGCTCGTAGCTTCACCTCCTCGACTTCCTCCTCTCATATAAATTAAACAATCCACTCAAGTTTGCAGACAACTTTCTGGGTGATAATGGGACGGGTAACTTTGACAGAAACCCGTCTCCGTCTTCAATAACTAACTGACTGTCTGTCTGACTTACTGACTGACTGACTGATTGTCTGGGCTCGACAGGCTACAGAGTTTCTGACGGAACAACAGCGCTCTCCTCTTCTTCGAAGTCTGCTCTGCCGCACCTCCTCCTCCTCCTCCTCCTCCTCCCGTACACACGGAGCATCCACACTGCAGCTCGTTTTGGAGTGGGGACCTTCAGGTGGCCTGTGGGGTCTCCCACGGCTACCGTCACGCTTTAAATGATTGAATTATCTTATTATATATGGTTGTATATGCTCATTTGCAGGAAGTCAGTATAAGGGGGCATTTGAGGGTCTATCTGATTTAATATTGTCATGACAGAAAGAGCATATCTTCTCCCTTGTGCTTTTGTGAAAATATTTTTAAACTTGTTTTGGGGGGCACTAAGTAAGGTGGCCGAGAACCGCCACTGCTGCAAATAAAAATAAATGCAAAAAAAAAAAAAAAGAAAAAGTCACAATGAAAGTTACAGATGCAACAAAAAAAAAAAAAAACCGAAGCCTGCTGCAGATAAAATCAAAGAAACGGTGCATATTTAACAAATAAAAGCCACAACGGAAGTTAACGACGTTTTATTTTCATCAGTTCATCGTTTTATTTTCGAAGTCAGTAACTTTTTTTTTTTTTTTTTGCATCGCCACATTTTTCTGCACCGTCTCTTTTACTATTTGCTGCAGGCTTCAGTTTATTTTATTTTTTTGCATTGGTAACTTCCATTGTAGCTTCTTTTTTTTGCATTCTTTTTTATTTGCAGCAGTGGCGGTCATCAGCCAACGTAACTAAGTCTATGATCACTATTAGTCAGTTTTGAGACTTGAACCTGTGTCCATTAGTCTGAATTCAAAACTTCACATTTTCGACAGGTTCATTAGATATCAGCGGGTGATGTCACACTTTTTCTACACTCTATCTCAGAGCTTTGAGAGAACAAGGAAAGTGTGAATGTGAGTCAGGCATGATGGCTCAGCATGAATTGAGAACAAGGGTGGTCTGGCTTTTCTCTCCTCCAGGCTTCCTTTGTCTGTGTGTCCACGGCAAAAAGGACATGTCCTGTTAATCCAACAGGGGAATTCCTTTTGTGCAGCAGACCTTTGGAAGACCTGACTGTACGGCTGGTTTCAGGTCTTTGAGAATGAGACCTAAAGGATTTGGGTCATCATACTGTTGTGAATTTGTGCAATGAAGGATGCTTTCTGTTTTTGGGTTAGTTTATTTAAAATTTACCAGATTTTATTTTTGGGTCAACTTCAGGCCAAGTTTCTTTTTTTTCCTGCTGCTGTTTGGAACACAAAAAGCATTCCTCAGCTGTGAATCAGGGGTCAAGGGTCACTAACTCAACTCCAAATTAGCACCAATCTCTCTCTGATTCAGAGGCCTCTCCCATGTTTGCACACATACATACGGACACATAATGCACTCCTGAAAAGGGACCCCCCATTTATCCTGATTTTCCAACTAATCTAGCCTAAACCATCTCTTACTATTATGTCTGGGAATTTCCAAAGAAAGTTGAATCCACTGGCTCCACTGCACCTCCCTGTTGTTACAAGAACTTTTCGACCAAGAATGCAGGGAGCACTGACTGAAGACACCCTACACCTTGGAGAGATGGTGCCTGTTTCCCTGAGGTTTGCGCACCTGACTAAACTCTGAGAGGCTCTCCTGTGGATTTAGTCAAAAAGTGTTATGTCACGGTGCGATAATATTGTTCTTGGTTCATGTGTGATCAGGTTCACAGTAACTTCTGTGGAAAATAAACAGCTGCTCTTCAAAGTGTGTGCAGATGATTCATGTAAAGAGCTCATAAAACATTAAAGGGGGACTTTTTTGTGACAGTTTCAATCTCACCTGCCTGGTAGGTTTAGTTTGGAGAATATTAAAAAGGATTTTATTTCCTTGTCAGGTTTAAGCAGACAACACAAATTTGGAAAAAGATTTACAAAAAGCTCAGAGGTGCGGCTAAAATTGGGTTAGAATTTAACTTTAAATCAAGTCTGATCATCATACTCAAAAGACTTTTCCATGTACTTACTTATTCTCTTTTTAAGTTATTTTGCTAGGAACATGTGTAAAGTAAGTAAAAAGATCAGATTTAAAACTGCTGTAACTTTATAATCATGTTAAACTTTGTGATCTATATTTTTAGGAGACCAACCAAGTGGAATCCAACCTAGTGAACCTGGGATAGAAGTTTTAATGTTTTGTTTAAAAAAACATGAACATGTGCTAAACTTCTGAAAATGTTCACGGGTTGGGCGCGTATAAAAAAATGCTTATAATTTTAAGGGACAGAACAACTTGTGCAACAGGTAAAATGGTTGTTTCTATAAATGTTTTCTTTTGTTTTTTACTGGTGGCATCAGTACAAAGGTGAAAAACACTCATCATAGTGTGACACACGGCTTTATCAACTTGGATATCTTGTGTAAACATTACATCACATCCACCAAAGCATCCTGGCCATATCACACCTGAAAGACCTCAGTCCTCCCTATCTGACCAGGTAAACTTCCTGCTGTAAGGGGCATATATAAAAAACAACTTTAACGATAGATTTCAATGACAGGCTGATCAGAAATTTACCAGAAATTTTCAGGAGTGAATGTAGTATGTTGCCTGTATGGAAGGACTGGTATTAATTTTCAGAATGAGTTGACTTGTATGATCATATTAGGTATATGTGTGACAGGGTTTTGAGTCAGCGTTGGAAAGATTCAAATACAGGCGGAAACAGGCAAGATGGTGCAGAAACCTGATTTGTGATAAATAAAGGACAACTTAGAAGCAGCTAGTAGCAAGAAGAGAAAGGAGCAGGGGAATGACAAGAAAGTGAACAGGTAGTTAGGTGTAGGATTTTGACCACTGAAAACCACTGAAAACTTAATAATACACATTTGACATCTCCAAGATGATCATTCTTATCGGTTGTACTTTTACCAAACAACATGGCTGCAGTATAATCTGACTGCGGGTCTGAACCCCACTGTCTAACAGTCTGAAGGGGTCATATCCATATGCTGCTGTGCAGCACTGCCACCTGCAGGTGAAAGAGCAGATTTGTAGAAAGGACTAGTCAAATAACACTTAAAAACATCAACCTACTGAAAAAAAAAGATCAGAAAAAGAATATCTAAGTAAAATTTGGTATATTTTAGGGTTGATTATGGCTTTTTTTTGTAACGAATGAAATAATTTGTCCTTATTTTCATACTCTAGATGGAGTGGCTGGCATTCTTCCATTTTTGTATTAAAAGCTGGTGACAAAAATTAAGATCCACAGGGTTTTTTGCAACATGATTGAGCAGTTTCCCCCCTGTCTTTTTCATGATATAATACAAATTGTCTGAGGGCAAGTATCAGACTCCATTTGCAATTTTACCACCAGATTTCTCTCAGCCCTACCGTATAACTTAATCCAGATCAGTCCTGATCTGTCAGACTCCTTAACTTGACCATCTGTATCACCCTGTAAAGTCTCAGAAGTGCTGCTTCATGCTGAGGGTTGTGTAGTATTTGACGTTAGGGTGCAGTGAGCCTCCACAACATATGAAGAGGCCACTGGTGCTTCTTGTTACATTAAGAGCTGTGTTGCAAATTTCTGACTTGTGCAAGTAAAGCTAGTTGCCACTTTTGCTCACTACTGCAACCTCTGGTGCCTTGATTGCAATTTCCTGCTGCGTGTTTCATGCTTTTCTTTCCATTTGTGTAAAAAATAAATAAAATAAAACCAAGCTCTCCTTACTTCTGTTCTCAAAAACATGACCGAACCACACTCATCAAACCAAATTTAGCTTTTCTCTCCTCAAAAGAGCAGAGCACCCCTCCTCAAACCAAATGCAAGCTGTTATGTGGACTCTCTTCAAAACCAAGTCAAGTCACACTCTCGTCTCATCTTTTTTTGGAAACCAAGTCACAGAGCAGGGCCCCTTAAAAACAAAACCAAGCTGTTTCACTTTTACTTCTGAGAACCCATAGTCACAGAACAACATTACTTAAAACCAAGGCCAAGCATAGCTTTCTATTTTAAAAAAAACAAAACAAAACAGGCTGCAGGACATAACTTCTCAAAAAGAAAGTTAAAGAGTGGCACACATCAAAACCAAAACTAAGTTCATCTGTTTTTTCGTACAATTTTTTCTACCAGTTCACAAGGCAGTACCCTTCATAATCAAATCCTTACTTGCTCTTATTTTCTCCACAAAAACTTGGGAAAAAACCACTTCTATTTAAAAATAAAACCAAGTTCTACTCTCTTTACTTAGCTTAAAATCTAAGTCCCTGGGCTTTTTTATTGTCTGCTTTTCTAACCCAGGTGGGTGGTGGCTGATGAACAACACGGACAGCCAACTCTGTCTGGGACTGCACATGGAAGGACTGGCGAAAAAACTGAAGCTGGGAGGCAGATGTCTTGTGGCCATCGTTCGAAGGAGATGAGACTAAGCTTTGCCAGGATGGATGGGCAGGAATGTGATCACCTGCTGAGTGAACAGGCCCCCTCTGGAGGGTGAATATGCTCTGTGAGAACAGTAGAGAAAACTGCAATATACATAAGATGACTGACATACAAAAAATTCACCAATATGATCTTTATTTCAGAGGTGGTAGCCTTTCTACAACAAGTATCTCAAATAATAGCTAAAGGAACATTATGGTAAAATATCAAAGACAGTTAGAAAAGTTATCCTGAAATGTTGCTTTTTGTCACACATATTGTAGCAGTAGGTCTACAGACCCTGAGGCTGCAGATTTAGGACCACATTTCTGGGACCACAATTTTAAGTCCCTTGCTGTTTACAATGGCACCACCTAGTGCATTGGATTGGATGTTATATTCCAATCTATACTTAAATTCCCTAAATATTTACAGTGTGAAGTGCCTCAGGGCAGATGCCTTGGGCGATTAGTATTCTCTATATTTACTGTTGATTTACCTCATGCTTCAAAAACTGTAGTGCTACACCTTTTGCAGATGATACGACTATTTATTTTGCATCGGGAACACACTTCAGTCTGAACTGAAATAACTTGAGGAGTGGATTTATGAAAATAGACCTTTCTTGAATGAGCAAGAACAAAAAGTATTTTGTCTAGGGCCAGACATACAAATAATAATAATAAGCTCTGTCTAGCAATCAAGGGCGCAAATACTGAACAGGTTCAAGAGGTAAATTTGCGAGGGGTCATGCTTAAAAAGCTGCAAACATGGGAGAAACATAAAGCTAACACTGTTAAGAAAATGGGTCATTGGAATATTAGAAGATGTTCCCCTTTTCTTAACCCTCCCCAAAAGTGTGATATGAACACTACTTTTATCTCACCTTGATTATTGCTTACCAGTCTGTTTAGGTGTGGCCACAAAAGAAAGAAAGAAAGAAAGAAAGAAAGAAAGAAAAATGAATAGCACAAAATATCTGGTGTGAGGTTGGGTACAGAGACTACATGCTGGTCTGTCATGGCTTAGAGTGGACCAATGCTCAGAATGTAACCTGATGAATTTCTTAAGAAATATTTGTTTTAGCAAATAGCCAAGCTGTCTGTACTCTTGAATAAATTATGTGAGAGATAATCATAGTCATGGGACCTGGCAGGCTGAGCTGGGTTACACAGATAAGCAAAAGTGTACTGTGAAATTTATAGATCTATCACAATGTGGAATTGCTTACCACGAATCCTAAATGAAGTACCCATGAAGGCCAGTTTCAAAAGGCTGCTGAAGAAACATGTTAACAGCTTTATACGTGTTTGCAGTATCTTGAGTTGTTGTGCTATATAGCCTATGTTGTTTTGTGTATTTCTTATGCCGGCTGTACATGATATTTTGTTGTATTTTATATTCTTTAAGTGTGTTTTAGCTACTTTTTTTTGATGTTACGTTTTAGATTTGGAAGTGTAGCTACTGCATTAGTAGCAGCTAATGAAGATCCGAATAAAGAAAAAAGGGTCCTAAAGATGTGTTCCCAGAATTATGGCTCTGAAACTGCTTTCAGCTCTGGAGACATGATTTTGCCACAACCAAGACTCTGCTTGTCAAAACTTTCAAACTGTGAACAAGGGCTCGGACAACAAGGACAAAATGTCTCCAAATGGGGCTTAGGGGTCATAACTAGAAATCTTTGACCTGAAAAATTCAGGACACATCCGTCTTTCAAATGCCGCATGAAATAGTTTGGTGAGATTAAAGAGGACACTGTACCCTTAAATTGTGACCCTCCTCCAACGCGCATGCGCAGCTTGTGTTTAGTTTTCTCCAACCTGAGGAACTGTCTAGTGTCGTTGCGCTAGCAAATCCGTCGCTACCAGTTCTGGTTATGTTGTGAGAGCAACAGTGGAGCTTTTTCTCACTGGAATATGAGGAGACACCACCATACAGTGCTGCGAACTAAGTCCGCGCTCAAGGGTTCTTGAATTTCTCCGGGAATTGACCAATGGGATCAAGAAAAGTGTTTGCTTATACCCCCAGTCGGCAGGAGTAGCCCTCCAGTTCCCACATCTCCCCACATCCATGTTGACTGCGGCAGCCCTCGTACTGGGTCCAGGGCTACAAACGCCGTTACTCCTTTGTTCTTCCGCGGACAAACTCTGGCTAAATTGTGGCAGTTTGAGGAAAGGCTATTTCACGTTACATTGATACATCCCTGTTAGGGTCTGGAGGATTGTTTACGCGTTAAAATGGCTGCTGAAATGGCATTTGAAAGAGAGTGGTCTTGAATCAATGCAGTAACGTAACGTTACCAAGCAGAGGCCAAACTCAACATAAGCTACATGGACTAGCAAATAATGTTTTAGCTCGTCACAGTGTACAACGAGTTAGCTGCTTAAATAGCTTTCATGTTTATTTGTTGTGTTCGGTTTTTCCAACAAGAGGTAGGGTGAGGGGAAATCCTCCCACTACAAATCTATGCATGCGGTTGAACAAACAGCCTTTAGATAACACTGAGCTAACATTGAATTTCCTAGCCACTTTTTCCAAAGCTTTAGAAGCAGGCATAGGTAAGCCTTAATTTGAGTATGCATTACACTCAACGAATATGCAGGACTTCTTTGTTATAAGTGTAAAAGCCTGAGTAGCAGAGGCTTTCTCCCAAAGCAGACCTTCAGGCCCCGGTGTTTCACTCGGCTTGGTCGACCTGGAGCAGAAAAAATGGATCCTGGGGGGAAATGTAAGACGAAACTCTTTCTTTTTGGACCCAGACCAGTCACCCACAGCGATCTGCGGGGTATCAACAGATACTTGGTGGTCTATGTTTTGTTTTACTTTGTGCTGTTCACTCACGCATCCCCGGCCAAATCGTGCGACAAGAATTGTCTCTCTGGTAAATGTGTCAACGGATCCTGCATCTGTGACCGAGGATGGGTGGGAGACCAGTGTCAGCACTGCCAGGGCAGGTTCAAGTAAGTGGACGAGCATCCCATCCTTAACACTTGCTAATCTTAATGTGACTATTTTCTCATTCCAAATATCTGATCCCTCTTATAGCTGCTATTTCACACCAAACAGAACCACATAAACCATTAGCTGTGCATTAGCCCGACTAATGCAAGGTGAAAGACGTAAATAAATGATCTGATGATGGTTAGTTAACAGCTCTATTTCTGTATTTCACTAAAAGACGCAACTTTGGTAGACCTGTGGAGCCACAGAAATGAAGACTTCTCTATAAAGAGAGGAAACTAAGAATATGACCCACAAACGGTATAAACAATCACAAGAATGAAGACGATCTGGATCAAAAACTGTTGATTTCATCATATTTCTTAATGGAGCCCAATATAAAAACGTGTTTATTGTGTGAAAACATTTTCCAGAGAGATTCTGTAGATGATATCAAACGTGGTTTGTCCAGCAAAGTGATCCCTGATTCAGTAGTTGAGAATGTTCTCAGCACTGTTGGCAGAATATGGGGCTGACAATAGCTGACTAGGCTGTTTTTGACTTTATATCATACTGTTCAGCATATTTGAATAAAGTGATTTCTTGAAGGAAGCAGCGTAGAGTCAACTGGTGGGAAATTCAGGGGAAAACACCTATACAGAGAGTAAACCTGGCCAGTATTTGTTAACCTGTTGGTAGACAGCTCATCAGGAAATGATGTGCCATGCACGGCTGTCAATGGCCTGTCTTTGTTTGTATATGCGCTTATGATGAAGCTCATTATCATTATCCTTATTACATCAGTTAAATGCTGGCAAGCTAGTACACCTAACAGCTGAATCTGAATGGGTTCAGAGGGATTTTATTGTGTAGAAGATGCCACCTGTTGAAAAGACTCTTTAATTTGTTTTCACGGTCAAACATTTAATAAAGTGTCATCATGTGGAAGTCTCTAAGAAAGATCAGCAACATGCAGTTTATAGTGCATGCTCCAGTGATAATTTATTGAGGGATTTAATGTAGGATATATCAGCAGTGTGAAACATTATAAATCACAGCTCATCTGAAAAACAAGTATTACAAAAATGTAGTGCAGAAAGCAGTGGTATTGGAATTAACTATTAACTGCATAGTTAACTATTGACATGTTATTTTTAACATCAGTTTCCGTCTTAGCTCTTTTCACAGTCTGTGTCTCCACAGCAGTGTCTTTTTTTCATCCCAGGTATAAAATCAATGAGTTTGGCCGCAATATTAGTAATCCATGACACCAGGCTCCTTCCTCTGTATTTGGTACTGCCAACACTCTTGAAAAAGTGCTAGGCTTTAATAATGAATATTTATTTTGTGAACATAAAAGCAGTTGCTCACTGTTCAAATTATCCCAAACTCAGTCTTCTGAATCTGTGAAAGAATTTTCAATTGCATGTTGCTGTTCAGCCAAGATAAAATCAAAGTAAATTAGAAGAGTGTCAAAAAGCAAACATTATTTTTAGTACGTAACTGGAGATTTGGCATTTGTTTGGTATTTTTCGTCAAAAAGGCACTGAAACAATTGAAGTTGCGGATTAGATTTTGGTTAGTTGACTTAATGATTATCAAAGAAATTGCATGATCCCTTGTTAAAAATTTTCTCAGAAGTTGTCACTTCAAGTCTCTTGGCCAGCTGTGAGTAATTAATCTATGTTCACTGGGGATATTTGCATGTATCACCCACATTGATTATATGTATTCTGCCTTCATGATTTAGTTTTATGTCTTTATTGTTACTACTGCGCAAAAAGAAAGTGACTGAGACAGTAAAGGTGTCAGTGAGGCTCGGAAATGATAACGTGTGACCATGTGGCTTTGATTTTGAAGTGAACTGTTGCTGATTCAAAACAAGATCTTTGAAATAAGTTCAATCAGCTGTTGCTAAGTAATGAAGCTTGTAGTGGCTGTGAGGAAATATCTAAAACTGACCGATTGAGCCGTTACCTTGCAGCTCATGAGGCGGTAAAATAAATGCCTTTTGTTCCTTAATTGGAGGAAATGCCTGTTGATGGGTGAAAGTAGATGCCATGACAACCCCCCAAGAGAAGAAACAATTGTAAAAAGGAAAAGGCAGTGAAACCAGTGAGCCAGGGATAAATGTCAAACTGGCTTATAATTATAATTTTATCTTGACAGGAGCATCTAATTGCCTTTCAGTACACCTGAGGTGCACTCTGTGGTGCAGAAATGCATTGTTCAAATAATTACCATTACTCTTGATGTGTCTTTGGTTTTGTAATGGTTGTCATCAGATGTGTTTTCAGGGAATAAACTAACTCCCCTCGCCTGGAGGCAAACTACTGAAATGTGAGAATTCAGCTCAGAGGAATAAACATGATATCTATTCCACATAACCACCTGCACTTAGCAAGTTGTGGCTTCCCTCATGACACGTATGAAAGTCTAAACCAGCATTACGGATTAATTTTCACTATTTATAATGTGCTATAGTATGTTTGGCTGCAGTGACGCTCTCCTTAAAGCAGCATGAAAAATTCATCACTCTTGGGTGTCAGCATAGTGTTAACTCATCTCCGGCTACATGCTGCTTTTGTGTTCCAGCAGCAACATGAATCTAACTTCAACGGCTGAAACTGATCTTTACATTTAAATACATCTGTTTATGCATCTCAAGTGAATCCGTCATGATGGCTGGACAACTTAATTGTTACTGCAGCATTAGCACCGGCAATAAAAGCACATTAACAGTCTGGGCCTATTGCAATGAGCATGAGCTATGTGATATACTGTGTATAGGTAATGTTTTCTCTCACTCAGCGTTTTACTTGTTGATTAGAGGCTAGGGTGAAGTGGTTCTGTTTTCATACCATTTAGATGCAGTCATATGACTCAAACTGGCTCCCTTCGGTTAATTGGTGCCAATTTAGTGGGGACAATATTTGGATTATTTAGGAGAGACATGTTGAAAGTAATGCCTGATGTTTACTAAGCAAGTGGTTATATAGTGTATTGAAATCTTAGAATGAATCCTCCATGATTTTTACCAGCTCCAAATGATAACATTTTTGCCACTGTGTAAACAGTAGGGCTAGGACGATATAATTTTCTCCCGATTTGATTTTTCTACAATTTTTTGGATAGCGTTTCGATTTAAATTGCGATTCTGTCGATTTTCTCAATTTTTAATCAGCATTTTTTATCACCAGTGAAACAGTTGAATGATTATGATTGTCTACTGACTATTCTAGGAACCATATTTCCCTAAAAAATACACATCACATGTGAGTCAGGTTTTAAGATTTATTCTTAAATTTGGAAAAAAAAAAATTTTAACATAAAAATCAGTTTAAAAATTGTAAAACAAAAAATTGTGATACTTATGTGAATCAAGTTTTCTCTCCAACTCCTTGTAAACAGATAAGAAACATGCTAGACCTCTTAAAAGGTGCTGATTTTATATGGTCTGAGGGATGAGGTATCCCTGGGCAGCGCTCAGCTTCTCAGAGAAAACACACTGTTGCTATGGTACATTGATCAATCAGAATCAAGTATTTTGCAGGGTTTAAAAGGTGAAAAATTTGAGCAACAGCGGTGCACTCTTATATACGTACATACAGTGTATTCACATTTTATGTAGTTGTTATGATTCTGAAAAATGTAATCTCACAGCTGAATAATAAATGCTTTTGTTATGTTGAGATATTTTTCAGAGCGCCGTGACCCTCCTCTGCATATTTACGAGTTCATAACCCATCTTTAGTCCTGTATCCTCTGAATTTAAAGCAGCCTTGTTCCATTTTGTGAACCCAGCTGGTTCGTTTTAGACATAAGGGACATAAAAGGGAATACAATCCAAATCCTGGGTCACCCAGACCACCCACGATAGCCAAGTATGTATTTGTGGATCTTCAGTAGTCAGATGTAAAAGACTCAGGGCTGCAGTCTCTCTCTTGTGTCACGAGAAAAGAAAGCAAGGCCCGAATGCGATAAACAAATACTAGTTGATGATTTAAGTATTTGCTCCAAATTCAATGTCTTAACGTCTTGAGAAAGACTTCTGTCATTGATTTTGGTTCATTTTGAGTGTGATCACACACATTTCGTTGGGTCATATACCCATAGCTCTTTCTTCTTGTGATGTGGGACAGTGATGAAAGTCCATTTATTGTGATGTGGGGCAGTGATGAAAGTCTATTTAAAAGTCGTTTATCATCTGTCGACACACGTGGTCTTTTTATGGTTCGAGTACTTGTTAGAAATTGTTTCCAGGGTTGGACTTGAAAGAGCTTTGGCAGAGGAACAGCTGATTGGTTTGTCCAGTGACCTTGGGTTCTTCTTTTTGAGTCAGGGGGAAGTGAAAGCTGTGTGGTGCTCCACAGTTGGGCACCTTTGCCAACATTTAGAGAAGGAAATGAGGAATGACCCTACAGCAGATCATGTCAGATAACAGAAGTTTGTACTGTTGGTGTCTTTTCGTCAGGCTTGTGAAATAATAACCTTGTCTCCTACTTTTTAAAATGTTTTCATGCTTCCTCATCAGTTAAAAAAACCTTACAGCCAGCATTATTCAAAGTGTCCTCCATTAGGGCTGGGTGATAAACCGAAAATTAACTTATACAGAAATTAACAACAATAACCAATGTCATTTTGCCCATATCGGTATATTCGGTGTCAAAAAAATAAATAAAAGTTTGTTTTGGATGTGTGTGGGTAGGCTATAGTCTCATGTCCCTTCAGGATGCTGTCCTACATCAGGGACACGACTCCACCCCATCCAGTCTGTAACAAAGGGGGAAAGCCAGGTGAGGAGATGGAGGACGGTTCAAAAGTTGTAGCAGCTGGAGCGGAGGCTGAAGTAGACTAAGTTAATGTGGGAGGGGGTGAGCAGCTTGTGGAGTAGTTATCGTCCATATATCGTAATTGAGGTGAACTGCTCAATATAGGCCATAGCCATCGCCTAGCCCTACTCCTACCTTTTAAAATGTTGTCATGCTTCATCATCAGTTAAAAAAACCTTGTGTCCTCCATGTTTTTATACAATTATGAACACCACAGTGTCAACAGGAAGAGGCGAAATATGCCGCACTTCTTTAACTTATTGATTTGATTTGATTTTTGGGATCAGGTTGTCACTCGCAACACTTCACGCAAAGCTCCTGTGGGATACTGACCAATCAAAATCAAAGTGTTAAAAAACAAGTGTAAGCTTTTTTAAAGAAAAATGTGGTTGATCTTTAGTAAGATTCACTCTGATTTGAGTTAAGCAAGCAAAAATAAGTTGAGATCAAATTTTAAAATACAGCTATTGTGCTTTCATGCACACAGACCGTACAACCGTCATTAAGAGACTCATTTGTTCAATTACTGATCTGTTGTTTGACTTCACACTGTAAACACAGGGTAATGCGTAACTGTTGTGTTTGTAATGTTTCAGGTTGACGGAGCCCTCAGGATACCTCACAGACGGTCCAATCAACTACAAATATAAAACAAAGTGCACCTGGCTCATTGAGGGCTAGTAAGTACTTCTGTCAATGACTGTGTTCTGCTGAAGCTGAGCACACAGAGCTGAATTTAATTACACTGATTAAAGCTACTCCATCAGCTGTTCAGCATCCCTATTGTACCGTGCACCTAATGATAATTTTGTTTGTCCCTGTGTTTATCTCTTTTCTGATTTAATCTCAATATACGTCTTAATGGATTGGCCGTGATATCTGTATCTTGCAGTGATTTTTTTTTTTTCGTATGTGTCTGGGGAAGTCATATGTAAGTAGTTCAAATATCAATTCCTGTACTAAAGCACAGTTTTCTTTCTTCCTGTAGTCCAAATGCAGTTCTGCGGCTAAGATTTAACCACTTTGCCACAGAGTGCAGTTGGGACCACATGTATGTGTATGATGGGGACTCCATATACGCTCCTCTGGTCGCTGTTTTTAGGTGAGAAACTCCAAAGTATTGGTGCATGACGTATCATATTAAAATAATCATGTAGAAAAGAGTAGTTCTATTCTTTTCTTGTTATCTGTACCTCTTTTTAGAAATACTGTGTATGTGTATGGGAATTGTGGGATTGTCTCAACAGCTTGTTTTGAACATGATCCTAATGAATTTTCCGGTCCTCTCTGCAGCGGTCTCATCGTGATGGAGATTCGAGGGAATGAGACGGTTCCTGAAGTTGAGACGACTTCAGGCTATGCACTACTACACTTTTTTAGCGATGCTGCCTATAACTTAACAGGATTTGAAATATTTTACTCGTAAGTATGCAGGTCACACATTTAAACTCAGGCCAAGGTTTCTTTGCAAATGGAATTAGTCTTCTGTTCCCAGAGACAAGTTTCATGTGTTAAAAGTAAATGAAACTTTAAATTCAGGCTAGTCAACTGGTTTGATGGTGAGAAAACATTCAAAGTTATTAATAAGTTATTTTTAGTTATTCAAAGTAAATGCAATTAAAATTGTCTGGCTCTGCCTCACAAAGTCCCTGGACCATTGGAAAGTACCACGCCCTGAGAAGGGGCTCTTCTATGGGTTAGATCTTTGACCCTAGAACTAATCGGAGACCAGATTCTCACAGAGTTCATGTGGCAGGTCCCTTGATCCCGGGGAAAGTTCCTGCAGTTGAAAAGCACCTTTAGTTTGAGAATCTAAAAATGTACACATGTAAATCATTATATGTCATAAGAGAAAAAATCTACTGTAAAGAAAACTACTTGTAAGCATGTTCTGGTGAGAGTTAAGACTTTAGCCATTAAGTTTAATTCCAACCCCTATAAAGTGGCAGAGATGCTGCAGGCAGGTAGAGATAGTGACCTCAAGGCCAGAAATCTGTCCGAAGTGTGCTGCAAAAACTGCTTCAATAGCCCTGATAAAAATCAGAGGCCATTCATTTATGCCACCAAACCATGTTAAATCACCAAATCCCATTATATATTACACCACTACTCACTCTATTTGCGTGTCAGAATATGGGGAGTTTGTTTTGAGATTCTATTACAGATCTATCATCTACTGTATCTTGATGGATGATTCCCCATGTCAGATAATGGTCCAGGACTACCTCCAAACATATCTACATAGATTTCATTCTATGTGGTTAAAGGAGGGTGACAATATTTCGTTTTTAGGATGACTAATCCTGCGCATTCCTGTTTCTAAGGTTGCATTTCCAGCCCGCAACCACGTTAAAGCCTCTTTTTGTGTTTTTATCGATGTGTGTAATTTATCTTACTCACAGTTGATGATGGGTTCAATTCTTCACCCATAAATTCAGCACCAGAAATTCTGGTACAAGTGTTCTGTGCTGGTCTAAACTTACAGCTTCAATCCATTTTAATGAGCCTCTTTTTATCTCTCTTGTCTTTGCAAAACACAGGATGATACTCATTAATCTTCCTCAATGTAAAGCTCTCTCTCTTTGTCAGCCTAATTTGCACATACAGTGTTTGCTAAAACTGAACGTCTCCTCTCTGCCTAGGATCAACTCGTGTCCTAATAACTGCTCCGGCCATGGGAAGTGTACACCGGGTAACTCAGCTGCCAGCAGAGTGTACTGTGAATGTGACAAATACTGGAAAGGTGAGGCGTGCGACATCCCGTACTGCAGGAACAACTGCGGCAGCCCTGATCACGGATACTGCGACCTCACTGGGGAGAAGCTGTGTGTCTGTAACGACAGCTGGCAAGGTGAGCGCTGCCTGAACCCAACAGGTGTTTGCCGTGGCATGCTTTAGTTTCTGCTTTCTCACTTATCAGTGAAACACTGTTTTTATTTGTCTGTTTTAATTGTAGAAACCAAAACAAAACACTTACAAACAAATAAAAACATTATTTCCTCACATTGAAATCACTAGCAGATGGGGCGTAACAAACTTTTGTAATAACAGGTGGTAAAATGCTGCCACGCCTCCCCTGTTTTCTTATGTGACCATTATGAGGAAAGATATAATGAAGAATGTGCTGGCAAACAAGTGTGAACAGCTGTGTTGTGTTGTGTCATAATGCTGAATGGTAACATGTCGATGCCACCCGTGACAGTGCGTTATTATGAGCCTCCAGCTGGAGAGAACCAAACCGCTCCCATGTGATGAAACTTGGCAGAGTCATCAGTAGAGGCACGGTCCTCTTCCCCGCACTCCTTATTCAGCACAGTTTCACATTTTCACATCTCCCTGCCTGTCATTTCTGTTTAAGGAGTGGTCGGGTTTCTGTTTTATGTCAGTAAGTTTCAATGAAGAGGTGTGAAAAAATGTGCTGTGTGCTGCCGAATCGTTTCACCCTGAAAGGGAAGTTTGATGTGGTGAAAATGGTCCCATAAGACAGGGCTTGACACTAACTTTTTTCACAAGGAGCACATGTGCTCCTAAGTTGAAAAAGTAAGGAGCACACAAAGAATGCTAGGGGCACAATGAAAATTTATCAAATAATGTGTGTCTTATTGGTTGACGTAGGTACTATTATTTGAAATCAATTTAAGGTCTTTTGGTCACATGACATGGAAGCTACTGAAGAAAATGTTCAAAATTTGCCTTTAAATTAAACACACACATTTTTAGTGGATAAGTAAGGAAAATAAAGAGGTGTGTCTTATTGTCCGACCTTAGTACTATTATTTGAAATCAATTTTAGGTCAATTAGTCACATGACATGGAAGCTATGGAAGGAAAACTGCCTTTTTTGAGATCATCAACCGGTAATTTATTGATGGTCCCTTATTCAACACCTAACAGTGACAGCTAGGGTTTCGAGTAGATTTAACCATGCTGCTCTTGCTATTCCCGGTTATGTCCATTGGATATCCAACCTAAAACTAACTTCGCTGATGTTTAGATTTAACTGCGCTGTGGTTGCTATTCCCAGTTATGGAGAGTGAGAAGACACTGATAGATCTGCTGTGAATGTCCATTGAATATCCAACCTAAAACTAACTTCACCGCAGCATTTACATGAAAAAAACATTTGTCTCCTTTGCTGATTTTTTTTTTATGTGAACATGTGCCCTTAAATACATTTTACAATTCACACAAATCTATTTTTAGTTGCAAATGCAAGTGAAACTGTCGCACTGTTGAGCCCTGCCCTAAGATCTTAGAGCAACATCTTTCATCCTCAACATCTAAAATCTTTTGCTCTCCTTTCACCTCATAGGCCCGGACTGCGCTCTTACTGTCCCTTCAACGGAGTCCTTCTGGGTCCTACCGAGTGTCAAACCCTTTGGCACATCGCTTGCCAGAGCCTCTCATAAGACAGTAGTGCAGGAGAAGGTCATGTGGGTGGTGGGTGGATACACCTTCAACTACAGCTCCTTTCAGATGATTCTCAAGTAAGTCACAGAGCAACAGACTGATTTTGCTGGCGGAAAAGCGTATCACTGTTTGTGTGGTAATTGTCCAAAAATCCTGATAGTAAGAGGTTTTCTGATATGAAACTATTGAAAGAGGAAGCACAAAAATGCTTAGCTGACCATCACTGAATAAGACAATCAAACAGGGATTAAGCCCATTAGTCACTCATGAGAGCTCTTACATCTGCAGTGTTATGCACTGGCTGATCTCTATTTAGTAGAATATGAGCTTGGGCATCTGAATTTTCTGCATGGGAAGAGTTCTGGTCTGCATTTGTTGTACATCTGATGTCTGAGTAGAACTGGCCGATGATATATTTGGTATTTTTACAAATCTGAATCATGATGTTTCAATTTTGGCAAAATTTACACTATTTATGTATAACAAATGAGAAAACAGGTTTCTATTTTGGGCTCATGCCACCAAAGAAAGACAGAATGAAGCTTCTTAGTAACTATTTGCTGTGAGGCTGGGAAATGAATAACTTGGTGCTACCCTGCAGGATGTAACAGACCAAAAAAAGCTGCATGCCTTGGTGGAAGAAGTCTTAGCTCTGGCACTAACCATCAGCCACACTTGAATAACTATCTGGCAATCTTAGACAACGATTGCTGTTTTTTTTCCAAGATTGTAAACTGGATTTGAGTTCATCTCAGTGCGGTGTGAAGCATATTAGACCTCTGTCCTCTCTGCTCTCTGTCAGAGTTAATAACAAACAGTGGCTGTTGCTCAACCAAGAATAAACTAACAAACTCAGAAACTTCTTAAATAAGTGCAGATGAGAAGATGGCAAACAGATGAGATCTTCAAGAAAGGGAAGCAGGTGTTAAATTGGTCGTGTCATGATCAGATCGTGGATGATATTGAAGAAATATGATTTTTGGCTCGATTGAATGCATGTGGTGTACTAAACTTCCAGGTTTACAAATTAACTATTGTAAGTGAAACATCTGCACTCTTTTATCCAGAAGGCAATGAATATGTTCTCTGTTTGTCATTTTCATACTGATTCATGTTCTGCTGCTTTGCTCTGCAGCTACAACCTTGAGAGCGGCATTTGGAACACAGTTCCCATCAACAGTGGACCTGTGCCAAGATACGGACACTCACTCGCTGCCTACCAGGTAAACACAGATATACCTTTACCTCCCTGGGTACCCGGAAACTTAAAAACACGACTGTTAGCAGAAGGGTGGGAGGCATACATAAAAATAAAGCTGTTAAAGTCACCCACACAGAAAGGAAACCGTGGAAAGAAAAGTGCAGATTTTCCATGTAAACATGGGTGATTTAATAGAACTTTATGTTGTAACGTGTCTTAATATAAAAGAGAGAGAAAATGTTTTCTCTCTCATGACCATTTATGAATAACCACCAGCAAAAAGCTACTATAAGTCTGCAGTACCTCTCCTTTTAGTACTCTATAAACTGTTAAGTTAGGAAATGAATGTTTTAGCACCCTCATATTTCTCTTTTCACTTTTACTACAGTGTGTAGAAGCTTCTCAGCACGCTTGCTGAAACACTGCCGAGTTCTCTAACAAAGCTAAACTTCCAGTAAATCTCTTCTCTCCCTCTCAGGATGATATCTTTATGTTCGGTGGAAAACTGGAGGCTGGCTGGGCGAATGTGACGGACGAGCTGTGGGCGTTCAATGTACCCAGCAGGACGTGGCAGCGGAGAAACCCTGCGGTTGGCCCACCGGCTCAGGCTCAGATTTATGCTGTGGAGGGTCACTCAGCCCACTGTGTCCTGTTAGATGGGGGCGAGGCGGTCATGCTGGTTATCTTCGGCTACTCCCCCATCTACAGCTACGTTAGCAACGTTCAGGAGTACAACTTGAGTGAGTCACTTGAAGAGCCCACAGATAACATTTTAAACTCACTTACTGTATCGTGTTCATTGTGGGATGAAGAAGAGCTGGCTGTGCAAACAGAATAAAAGATTCAAATAAAGTTAGTGTAGAACTTAAGGGAGAAAAATGATATAAGAAAGTTTTTTGGTTGACATTGAGCCTCAGTACTCTTACCTCTTTATTACTTGGGTGCCTTTAGGCTGCATGATAGTCAGTTCCTGGATGCTCACTAACAGATTAGAGCTTTCAGTATACCAGTTTAAGATATAAAGTATAAAATGCTTTTTAAAGCAAAAGCTCAAACTTTTTTTTTTGTGTCCCATTCACACAATCCTGTCATTTCACTTTGAAGGACACACTAAATTGTCAAATAGAGTCAATAGCAAAGCTTTTTATTTGACTCTTTCTGAAAAAAGATGGTCATAAATCACTTGAGGTGCAGGTTTGATATTTTGTTACCTGAATAGAACCAGGCTATGGGTGATAGTTCTCTTGTCCTGTTCTGCGCCTGCTTCTATATACAGTTGTCCTGGCTTCTGTGTGCAAATTTAAGACCTGTTTACTGAAAATAAGATCATTTCATGACAGGACTGACCCTCCCGATTAGTTAAATACCTGGAAACATCCCTCAATGTGACAAAAAAAACCATATCCATAGATAATGTAGGCTTTAGGTAGGGCTTGGTGATTAACTGAAAATTTACTGATTCCGAAATTTATGACCATAACCGACATCATTTTGCCCATGTCAGTATATTCGTTGTCAAAAAAACAAATAAATAAAAGTTGGTTTTGGAAGTGTGTAGGCAGGCTATGGTCTCATGTCCCTTTAAGATGCTGTCCTACATCTGAGACGTGACTCCAAGTTGTAGTGGCTGGAGCGGCAGCTGAAGTAGACAAAGTTAATGTAGGAGGGGGTGAGCAGCTTGTGGAGTAGTTATCGTCCATTTATTGTTATCGAGGTGAACTGCTCAAAATATTGTGATATTGATTTGAGGCCATATTGCCCAACCCTAGCTTGAGAAACATAGTTCTTATCAATTAAACCCTATCAAGTAACTGAATGTGTCTTCTTCCCTGACTATTGTCCCTTTTTTCTCTGTTTGCAAGATTGTTTTTACACCTGAACTCGAATTAAGGATCAGTTTTTGTTGTAAACTAGACTGTTCTCTAAAAGACTAACCCCTGTAACCGGCCTTGTATATGGTACGAGAAACAGTTTTATAAGTTTGAACCGTAAATAATCTGTATGGCACTTATTTTGGGTCAGACTTAGAAAGAAGGATTGCGCTCACAGCAGCAACTTGTGCAGCCAACATGACCCCAGTCTATAACGGACTGTACTGACAGAGTTTTGGTTCAAATGGAAATAGCTGCCTGAGTATACAAATGCTTTGAATTGGTTATGTCATTGAAAAACCTACCAGAAAAACTCCCAAAACACCAGATTTCACAGCAGAGTTTTTGGATAGTAGAAGTAAGGCATTGTAGTTTTGATTCTGTTATCAGGGAGATGTGACAGTTTGAAAATGTGAAGATAAAAGCTTTGAAATTCCTGTGAGGTGCACTAAGTGGTCAGAGTTTTGAAGATGAAAAGCCCAGCTTCCTTGCTATGCTTCTAGCATCTGAAAATGATACCTATTAGATTCTTGGTGTTTGTCTTGATAAGAATAGGTCCTCTGGATTAAAAGCTTCCTGTGTGTTTGTGTGTGTGTCCCCTGCCAGAGTCCAATTTGTGGTTGGTGCCTGAGACCAAAGGAGCTGTTCCTCAGGGTGGTTACGGCCACAGCAGCACGTATGATGCTGCAAGTGGGAGTGTGTATGTTCACGGAGGTTACAAAGCGCTGCCTGCTAACAAATACGGCCTTGTCGATGACCTCTACCGCTATGACGTGAACACTCGGACATGGTAAACACACATTTGCTGCTTTTCTATTAAGGTCAAAGTAGTCTCTATGACACGGCTTGTGAAATGTGTCCTAAGCACACCTGTCCTGTCCTGTCATGTCCTGTTCGTTTAGGTTCATTATGAGAGAGAGCGGGTATCCACGTTACCTTCACTCAGCTGTGCTCCTCAGTGGCACTCTACTCATCTTTGGCGGCAACACGCATAATGACACATCACTCAGCAACGGGGCCAAGTGTTTTTCTGCTGATTTTCTTGCGTATGACATTGGTAAGATTTATGATCCATCTTACCATAATCTGAAAGTTTCTTCTTCTCTGACTTCTTTAGTCGTTGATTTGTATTTGTAACGATGCAGTCCTGTTTATTTCGTATTGCCCTAAACCAGTGTTTCAATAAATGTTATTGAAGTGCTTCATCAACTGTGCAGAAAGAGAAAGAAATGAACATAGATTTACAGACAGATCTGTCCCCTTGAGTTGACTTTCTTATGGTTATGCCTGTATGATATCGAAACACATCTTTTCATATGCTCTTGTGCTTTCTTTAGCTTGTGATGAGTGGACGCTGCTCCCTAAGCCAGACCTGCACCGGGATGTGAACCGCTTCGGTCACTCTGCCGTGGTCAGCAATGGGTGAGTCTCATGGAAAAACAAAGGGCACACGACACATATTTAAAAAAAAAAAAAGAAGTCAATTCTGAGGCATTAAGCTTTGATTCGGCTCCCTGTGACTGTCGCTCAAATCAATAACAAAATAGTTTTTTATAAGGATTGAAGTATCAGTATTTACCATTGATAAATGAAAAAAACATTGGTATAATAGTTACCAGGCTGTCTGTCTCAGTTAAAACATCCTTATGGAGCCTCTCTGGGAACCTTTAAGAATTTCAGCTGGACGATGGTGCCGGTAACGAGAATACCTTCAAACCATTTTCCAGTAACATTCTCAAATACTCTCCTGTGTCTTGGAAGTGGTTGCTTTGAAGACCAGGATAAAATGTTGTCTTACTGTTTGTATTTGTTAGTTGGTCTCTTTGGGCTCCTTCAAAAAATTCCCCTAGAACACCCTATTTCTAAGCTGCGTACTTGTCTTGAAATTTTCTCTTTGATAAAAATTATTTCATCATCAGTTACAAACCCATCAGATTTCTCCTTCTTTTAATCTTCATTGTTTTCGCTTCACTTTCCCTTTTCTTTTCCAGGTCTATGTATGTGTTTGGGGGCTTCTCTGGCATGCTGCTCAACGATGTGCTTGTCTACCGACCCCCCAGCTGCCATGCTTTCTTGGCAGAGGAGGGGTGTGTGAAAGCTGGGCCAGGGGTCCGTTGCATCTGGAGCGGCGGTCGCTGTCTCCCTTGGGAACCAAGCATGGCTAATGGAAGCCTCAACCCAGCCCCTTTCTGCCCCCCCAAAGCTGGTTAGACAAACACACTCCCCTCTTATACTTTTGCTTTTATTTACTGTCGTCTTCTCCTTTCTCAATCTGCTGAATAATTTCTTTCAGTCTCTAAATAAATGAGTATTCTCTATGTTTTATTCAGTCACCGTGGATGAGCGGTGTTACCGGTTTTCAGACTGCGCCAGCTGTACAGCCAACACCAATGGGTGCCAGTGGTGTGATGACAAGAAGTGCATCTCTGCCTCCAGTAACTGCACTTCTGTAAGTGGTCCAACAGGGGGAGCCAGAGCACTTTGAGTCTAGTGTTCACTCACACAGACGCACCTTTTTCTTGAGGAATTGACTGCTTTTTGTACAAAAAACAGATTTTTCCCTTTTAGTGAATTCCTTGTTTGAAAACTTTGCTCTGAAGTGTACATGAAGCCTCTTTCTGTATTTTTCAAATTTGCTTTTCTCTCGCTGTAGAACGTGAGGAACTTCACTGAGTGCCCGGTGAGGAACGAGCAGGTGTGCAGCAAGCTGGCGAACTGTAAGAGCTGCTCCCTGAATCTCAACTGTCACTGGGACCAGAACCAGTCAGAGTGCCACGCTTTACCCGGTGAGAGAGACATCACATCCCCCGCAGACACATTTCCGTACACACCAACACACATCACCTTATTGCAGGTGTCAGAATCTGATTTTCAAACCTAAAGGGAGTATTTAAGGTGACTCCCTCACAGGGTGTCTATGATGTACTCTTCATCTGATTTTAAACACACCATCTGGTATTTGCAGAGATGTTCTTTCAAGATGTCACCCTGATGTTGTTTATCAGATCTGACAGTATATTTACTTTGCCTCTCCCTCCACCCTCTCCATTCCTCTCTCTCTCTCTCTTCGTCTCTCCCTCTCTGTCTGTCTGTCTCTCAAATGTGAACTCTGGCTGAATCTGAAGAATTGGTGCTGTCACTTTACCCATGGTTTTCACTTCATGAAACCTTGTCTCCTAAAGGCTTGTAGCAGCAGAGGGAACTGCAGATCATATGTGTGTGTGTGTCTGATGCCCTGGAGGGAGCTGAAGCATAATACATTAACACACACATGCGCACACACAACACATGCGATCAGAAATATGTGTCTTCATGCAGACACAAGCACCTCTACGTGTACTTGTTGTGTTCATTCCTCCCCATAAACTCACACCATCTCCTCGAAGCAGATGATAGCAGCAGCCACCAAATCTGTTTGCTGTGATACACATACGAACAAACGAACACAGAGACACGTGCTAAATCCTCAGTTTTAGGTCTGCTGGGTTTGCTGCTGGCTGTCTTTTTCTCATGAATATTATCCTCCTCTGCTGAGCAGCATTTAACCAATGCTCTTGTTTAATGGGGCTTAAGTTTATATCTTTAAAGAAGTGTATAATGGTGGTAAAACCAACATGACAAAATGCGTAAACCTATTAAGAATTATCACTCTAGTCTGTTGCTCCCCTTGGCTTTAAAGTGTGTCCCAGCTTAATGTTTAGCTGTCAGGTTAATTACTGTTTATGTTACTCCTCTGGCTACCCTCCCAGGGGCATCATTTTATCCACAGCAAAGGAATTCTCCATGTTGTTTGAAATTTTTATTTTAGGATATCACAATTTTTTTTAACAGTAACAGCACTTGTTTATACATAGGTCAAATCTAACAAACAAGTATAGTGAAATAGATAGAAAAGCTGCACACTGACACAAGTTAAATAATGATAACGCTAATAAAAACAACATTAATCATGTTTACAGAATAATAAAAAATGTCAGTGCAATGAAAACTGCACCATACAAATAAGTCATGTGCCAGTCTAACTGAACCGCACTGAGCTGAATTTCTCAAAGCTGGACTTTTATACCTTGATAGTTTGGAGGATCAATTTTTCCTGTGAAAGTATACACTTTGATCAGACCAAAACTAGGGTTCTACATATTTTACACTGTTCACATGTTGGACTTTGACCGGGAAGTTTGCAAACAGAGCTGCAAGCAGGGGACCGAAAAAAACCCTCAAAAAAGAAGATGAAAGGAGATATGAAGTAAACAGTAATAGTAATCGTATAAAACTGTACCATATGGTATTGATCGTATTGTATCGTATCACACCATATCATATTGATCATATCATTTGTATCACACCGTATCGTATTGATCGTATCGTATCCTGGGTTAAGGGCAGTAGTCTAATTAAATCACCTTCCTGTAGCTTTATATTTAATTGTGCGTGCAAATGTACTGATTGTCCCTTTAAATTATTCTTTGGGTTCCTTTCAGAGTAAATGCTGTGGTAAGAAAATGGTTTGACTCCGTTTCTATCCCAAGGTCAGAAAATCAGTCAAAAAGCTTACGTTTTTGGACACCAAATGTTGCCAATGATTGTTCAAACATAGTAAATATGTTACCAATAAACAGGGATCTCCCTGCAACCGACCTGGACCTGAGCTGGAATCTGACTGTGCATGAAAATGATTACAAAAAACAAGTAGTAATCCACTGTGGACTGAAATGACCTTACTGTGGTGTTATTGTGAGTGAACTACGAGTTTCCCCCATAGCTTCTTCAGGTCCACCCATCACAATCAAGCAGGCATTCACAGCAGTGATAAATACACATGTTCGAGTGACCAATCAAGTGACATGTAACAGAGTTCATGGCATGTGTCAAACCATCATTGTATGGCTGAGACTGTTTCTACTTTTACAAAGAATATTTTTTAAGGCATACTGAAAGAAGTGATAATAGAGAGAACCAAATGGACTCAATAAAGCACAGGACCCAAGCTGTTGTTATTTGTATTTCCCTACAGGTAAATTTGACTCTTAAGGAGAGATGAGTCACCAAACCCTGCTGCACCTGCCCCTTCCCAATTAGCAACATAGGGACAGTTGCAGAAGCAATATTCTGTTTATTCTCTGTAGTACACTTCCTCTCAGCTAGCCACTAGGAGAATTTCTTCTTGGTCTAAATTAGTGTTTTTGTTCTTGTTCTCACAGTAAACTTATTTCAGTGTGCAGCGGTTTATTTCTTGTTTTTTTTATAATAAGTATATTATCTATATAATGATCAGACCAGGTTTGGTGAGCTCCATTGGCTGTAGGTGGGTAAAAAACGAAGAGTTTTCAGGATAGAGGTGGAAGAAGTCATCTGAAACCCAAAGTGACGCCTTAATTGATTCCAAACTTTTAATGGTGATTCAACACACATGCTGCACGAGTATGGGCCTGTGATGGGGGAGCCAGCAAGAGGAGACATGGATGCCAGTGCAGCTGATGCCACCTCTTTCTGAAGCCAAATGGAAAATATCTCAGCTTGTTTTGCAAATAGAGCTCAATAATCTTGGGATTAGGCGCCCTGGGGAGCCGTTTCCAATGAGGAGCCTTAAAAGCCACTGTACTCTAAGTGATCAGCACCTAACACCAGAAAAACAAGTTAAAGATAGTGGATCCGGATGCCAGCTATTTCCCTCTCGCCAAAAAAACCAAGACTTTGATCAACCAGCTTTGCAGACATACTTATTAAAAATGATTTTGTTCTGCAGTTTCTTAATTTGTAATCAGGCAACTGTTGACTATCAAGTTCACCATATCAATTAAATCAGAGCTTTATGTCAGCTCCCAAGTGGCTGAAAAATCAATTATTGCAAGTTTAATGATTTAATTTTCTGATAATAAGGAACATCTGTCTGACTTTGTGAGTTATGATTGAGGTTAAACTATCAATCAGCTGAGTAATAAACTTTAACGACTGGCTGTAGCTTTTTGTGAATGAATGAGCAAACACTCTTGAATGATATCCTCAGACTTGACACAAATTACTTACCTTATCTTGACTTTTTTTTTTTCCATACTCAGAGTCCACACATTTTTCCTAGAGTCAAGGCATGTTCTGCATTTTTGCTCACTCACTCCTCTTTCTGTCACCTCACAGCTCAGCAGTGCAGTGAGGGCTGGAGCCAGGTCGGGGAGGCCTGCCTAAGGATCAACTCCAGCCGGGAGAGCTACGACAATGCCCAACACTACTGCAAGAACCTCAACGGAAACATTGCCTCGCTCACAACCTCTAAACAAGTAGACTTTGTGCTGGAGGAGCTGAAGAAGCTGCAGCAACACGACAAGGTACATAAAAACAAAGTCAGTTTATCAAACAACTCGGCTGATATGTGTGAAAAACCAGAGGAAAATGATTGACAGACGCCAGATGGGAAGGAAGTTGGTCGGAGTTTCTCCTGATCAATTTCTCACACGTGGGTATTATTTGGTTTTTTGTCTGATTGCGGCCCTCTTTTTAGCGTGTGTAATTTTGTCTTCCAACTGTTTCTCATCAAATTGTTTCCCACTTGGCAGCGCCACAAACAGCACGGTTTGTCTCTGACTACACCGCAGTTCCAAGTCGAAAAACAATGCCAGGCGTCAGTGTCTGAGAAAGTGCGCCCGATGAATCAGCCTGTGATAATCACGCTTCACTTAGTTTTGTTTTCGCCTTGTTTGATTCATTTGATCTCTTGTAACACAGTCACAGATTCTTCGCTCTCATTTCATTTAACAAACCAGGGCCAGACGACAGGCTGTCTGTAGGAACAATCAGAGGCACTTAGAGAATCGAAGGCTCTGGCTGCTGCTGAGTCTGGTTGGCTTGTAGTTTTCTCTTTGTTTTGGGAACATTTCAGTTCCTTGCATTTAAAGAGTATGTGCGTAAATAATTAGATCTATGCTAAATAAATAAACATCACTAGATTTAAGGAGTTCTTTGTTGCAAAATCAAACAAATGACTCAGAGGAAATTCACTAAGACTGGATTGTGGACCCTCATATCAACAAACATTCTCACAGAGTTTTACAGGTTGCTTCTGTTTTTCTCTGATTGTAGAGATGAAACGTCAACATCTTCACTCTCTGCTGCCCAGTGCTTCATCACTTCAAGCTCTCAGATCAACCCAGATCTACAAGGCTTAATATGAGCATCTAATTTGTGAATATTGAGGTTGATTCTTGATAAATTTAATTTAAATTTCACATTTTATAAATGCCTCCTCTCTGGAGCAAGTCAGATAAAGGTTTAATAAAAGCAATGTGCACTGTTCTGCAGTGACAGCAAAACAGAGCAAAAATTAAAATCAGATTATGAATCAAAATCTGGGTTTTCATGTACTAGGAATGAATAAGTATTGGTGTTTTTGATGCAATTACAGTCAAAAAAATATAGCTGTGGTGTATAATTTGTCCACGTTGCTCAGAGCCTCTTCTTCTTTAATGAAAACTATATGCAAACACTCACCTGCTTATCTGGTTGCAGCCACAAACCCTTTTTGCGTCGACAGAAAATTGTGGAACCTATTGATGAGTCTGTGTCTGTTGTTTTCATAATAACATCATTTGAACTTAGTCCGCCCGGCTGAAACTGGTGTTTGTTTCCCGTTATGCTGTTTGGCGTCATTTTCCTGAAGGCAAATAACTCATCACACCTGTGAAATTATGTTTAGTGGGAGTTTAATGGCATCTAATCTTATATTTTCACTCTTTCCTCAGCGGCTATCTCCCTGGGTGGGTCTGAGGAAAATCAACGTATCGTACTGGGGTTGGGAAGACACAACCCCCTTCACCAACAGTAGCCTGCGCTGGCTGCCTGGCGAGCCCAGTGACTCCGGTTTCTGCGCATACCTAGAGGAGCCTCAGGTGTCGGGCCTCAGGGCCAATCCATGCACAGCAACTGCTCATGGCCTCATCTGTGAGAAAACAGCTGGTGAGAGACACTTGTCCTTCTACATTGTACGTTTAAAAAAAAATGTAAGGAAGAAAAAAATTGATCTTCCTTTTTTTTTCTAAAGGAAACCCAAACCAGAGCACCCGTCCCTCCTGTAAGAAGCCATGCTCGCTGCACACCAACTGTGCAAACTGCACCAGTCAAGCCACTGAGTGCATGTGGTGTGGCAGCGCTCAGCGCTGTGTCGACTCTACTGCCTATGTCATCTCATTTCCTTACGGCCAGTGTCTGGAGTGGCAGACAGGAGAGTGTTTGGGTAAGTGTTTCTAACTGAACTCAATCCAAATAAAGCTGTTCTGTTTATATAGTTTGGCATTAAGGTGGTTGGCATTAAGCTCTTGCAGATTGGCTTCTGTAAAGAGTCAATATTAATCACTGAGAGACAGGGGGAGAGGGTAAACAACTTCAAGTGGAAGGTGTTTGTGTTGGAGGGAAAATAGTATTAGTTTACTGTGATTGGCTTTCAAAGGTGGCTTTGGTTTGTAACGGTCAATTACTCTTGCATATAGTCGACCCAACTGTTAGATTTCCCCACCGACCGGGCTGCAGATGGAGTTTTTGCTGTAGGCTGGCTTGACAGTTTAAAGGTGCATCACATTAAAGAACTGTTACTGATAAGCTTTCTAAGTTTACTCTGATTGAGAGGACAAAGATTCTGCAGTCTTGTGAAATTTGTTGTCTTAGCTCAAAGGCGTGATAACTTCTGAATCAGATAAGTTGGAATTAATACAAACAGTACCTATTTTCTTTGTAAGTAAACAGTTCAGTGAATTTTTTGTCGTGCCAACTTGTTTTCCATAACATAAATACTTCTTACGACAAAGAAAACATGGTCCAGATTATATGATGATATGATACAGTTCCTTAAAAGTGAAGCCAAAACATTTGGGGCTCCCCTGACTGAATGCCTGAGCTCAAGGTCACGAAGCCTGCCTCCTCTATACCGACTGACTGGACAGACCTGGTTTTAATTAGTTTGAGCCATTAATACAATGTATCTTTATACTTAATGATCCTTCTGTTGATGTTTTTCACTCAGCTCTGTGTCTTGCATAACAATGAAACTGCAGGACCGAGTCAGTCTAAATGAAAACCGAAGATTTAATGAAGTACTTGACGGGAGCAGTCTTAACTGCTGTCGTGTACAGAGACTCATCAGGTCCAGTCTGTGCCTGAAAGAGACCGCCATCTTTGTTTTGGTCTGTTGACCAATCAGTTACTTGTCAGCTTACCTGTAAAGATCCAGGCAGAAGTCAGCCAGGCTGTGTCTCATTAGAGCGGGAGAGGTAATAAAGGTTTACCACACAGAACCCTTCAGAAGAGCTGATGGAATCGATTAAGAATTAGACTAATAATCAAAATCAATAATGGCATTGGTATTGATAAATTCTTATTGATCCCTTCACCCCTGTGTTGAAGGTTCTGTATAGTGATTTCTCCTCCACAGTGGTAAGCTGATAAAAGAGCTGCTTCCCCCTGAAGGCTGGTGTACTTGTTAAAGTTTGTGTTTTTGTGCAGCCTGATGTATGATTTACACTCACGGTGGTGTCAGATCGTAAATATATCTCCTATCAGTTTATACGAGTAACAAAATTGAGGTAGCTGAAGGGTGAAGGCTCAAATTCATTAGTGTCAGCTGGTGTTAGGTAACCCAGAAGTTTGTGTCTATGCTGATGTTTGTCCTGAGGAGTTTGTAGCTTTCAGTGTGAAGGACAGGGAAGTCTATTCTACAAAGTCGGTTCTCCCTGTTTGTTGGGTCTGACTTCGCACCTTCACTTTCCCCTTTAAAGTTTCCCTCACCACTTAACTTCTGAATTATCTCACCTTTCTAACTTCATTCCTCCTCACTTACAGTGTTAGGAGAGGCACGCTTTATGCTTAACACACTGCATAAATGCACTTTAAGCAGTAGACCCAAGTTATAATGCTGTGGAGTATCATCGCCTGCAGGGAGGCTTTGAAAGGGCAGACTGTGTTAGTATTTGTTGCTCTCAGTAAAGAGTGGTCTTATGTTGCAGATCAAAGTCTGGAGGAGAAGGAAGGAGTGTTGAGAGATGGTGGGAAGTAATTATTCCTGCCTTTCAACAGCAATTAAAATGATATCTACCTCACCATGTAATCAGAATACCTCTATGTAGCTGTATTTTAGCAGACAGAACACATTAACGTCACTCCCTGCAGTAAAGCTGTCCTCTAAAGTTCCAGGCATGTTTTCAAAGCTGGAATTTGAGATAGTGATGATGAATTGTTCTTGTAGTTGCCTCTAGTTAGTCACTGATTTTTTAAAGCAAATTTACCAAACATTTGTTGAATTCAAATTACACAGATTTAGTTCTTTTTGTGTGTTTTTTTCCTTCTATCCTCAAGTCAGAATATTCTCATGTAGGTCTTTTATTTGCAGAAAATGCGAAGTAGTTAGGAAAAGAAGAAAGATGCCATGCAGGGTTTCCCCTACATGCAATTGACCGCAACACCTTAAAATTAGCTTTTTTTTTAAACGTGGCTCCTCCTCGGACTCAAGATGTATCAATAGTATATATTATAGTGTTCCGCACCGCGGATCGCATGGAACGATCGTTGGCATTAGCAAGTTATCATTGGCGCTTACACAGCGGATAAATTAGCGAGTCTTTGTCAGTAATCTTACTTTTGTGCAACCCCCCCCAACACACACACACACATACACACACGCACGCACGCACGCACGCACGCACGCACGCACGCACGCACGCACACACACACTGTTTTCCAGACCCCAAATCATGCAAAGGACAAGAACATCAATGTTAAATCATTATAACACTGCTATTACTCTTACATTGTCACATTATTTTTAGGATACAATACACCAATATGATGCAGCTCTATTTTGCTTTGATACCACATGATCATTTTGAATGCAGCTTTTTAGACATGACAGCCCTGTGTTTTTACTTTATTTACTGTTTTTGATGATGTTTTAAAACAGATGTAACCATTAGAAATAGTGAAAAATAATTATTTTGTACCAATACAGTCAAAAAGTTCAGGAGCAGATGGAGAAAAGCTGTATTGTAACATGTAATCATAATCGTGAAAAGAGTAAAATAAATAGAGCAGCTTTTTACCGTGAGAGTCACAAAAGTTCTCATAGATCCAAAGGGACATTTTGCCATCTGTTGAACACAGGTTGCAAAGGAAAAATGTCAAGACACAGAAAAATCTGTTTCTTGTTTAAGTTGCTCTCAGATATTGAAGTGGTGCACTTGTCACTTTGATCAATAATCTTTGTAACCTCTGCGAGATCCTGAAAGAACATTTTGTAAACAGCGAGAACCCTGCAGAAACAGACTTTGACTACTGAAACTTCTACTACAAAATCCATCTTCTTAAGTCTGACCTCAAATGTCAGGTCTTACTGATGTCATCTGTGATTGAATATTGATGTTATATTTGTGTAAACATTCCTGGCCTGAGATTTAGGGCAAGGAACTCAGGCTATCTTAGCTTTGCTGATGAAAACTGTTTAAAATGGATGAAGCAGGGCTTGTTTTTCTGTGCAGACCCAGTATATAACAGCTCTAGGCATTAGATTTAGTTGTTCATTTTCACAAATATTGATTTGCTGTCAAAATCCCAGAGACAGATGATTTAGTTTTCGTGGCAGATTTTTTATTACGCCTTTCTTTGTGCTACAGCGAGACAAAAGTCTTCATCCAGCTGCTTCTCTTCCAGAACGTAATGTTCCTGTGAAATCTGCCACTTACGGCCTGTCGTCACAACAAACTTAAATGGCCTTACTTTGTGCTGATTGCCCTGGCGTTGTCATGGCTTCACATCCATTAGCAGAATGGCTGGAGATTTGTTTGACATAAAGTGAGGTAAAAGCACTCAATGTTTGTCTCCTTAAAATAGTAGTGGCATTCTTCTCCCCACCTCCCCGCCCTCTCCAAGTGTCAGGCAAGTGGTGATGCTGAAACTTGTCAAGCAATTTAGTGATCCTGAAAGTTTGTCCCACACGTACAAAACTGCATCGCTCCCTCGGGTTTCTGAATTTAGAGTGTGATGCCAATTCACCCTCCACATTTTAAGCCTCTTATTGACCCTCACCAACTTATTTTTTTGCGGCTCTGGTTTTCTGACAAGATTTCTGTTTCATTCTGTGGCTTTTTCCATCTCAATCACCCGCTCAACACCTGCTTCTTAACTGCTCTCAAACCTTTTGTTCTGACAGCTCACCAGATGACTAGTTTGTGTTTCAGTGCAAAGCACATAAATGCTACTTGCCCTGCAGGTAGTGTTGAAAAATGCCTTTGAAATAAAATCCTCAGAGCAGCATCCATTATTTTTATTTGCTGCAGCACTGGGTCTTCTTTTTGATGCAGTTTCTTTTACTGTGCATGCTTCTATTTGCTTCAACGTGACTGTTTTCAGAGATTTTTTGTTACTTCTTTTTCTTCCTGATGTCTGATACCAAAAATCAAAAAGCAAAGACTCTTCCCTTGCTGCCGTTTGGTTCACATTATCCTCATTCATTCTCTCTTGCAGATTTTGTCTTCCCTTTTGCTGTCCCGTTCATATAACATCAAGATTATTGTTTTGACCTTTACTTTTATTTGCCTCTCCTTGAAATTTAAAAAGCAGACGGACAGTTTGTATGTAACATGATTAGCGGTAATAACATCAAGGGCAGGCATCTGTTGTTGTCACATCATAATTTACCTGAAACTACTTTAATTTTGGGGAGTTTTATGGTATCAGATCAGTGCACTGAAGGAGATAGTAGCTGATAATCCGGAGCAGTGGTGCCCAGACATTTTCACATCCCCCTTTAAAGGATTAAAAAGCTGTTTTTTTTCCCAGCATGATCCTTCTTTCAGGGACTTTGTGAATGTTTATTGTCAGACTGTCACAAGGACAAACTGGGCTCATAAGTAATAAAAACAAGAACTAATAAAAAATCTCAGGTGTAATTTTTTTGTCTCTCTTTCAGCCCAGAACTGTTCAGGTTTACGGACATGTTCCCAGTGTTTGGAGCAGCCTGAGTGCGGTTGGTGCGGAGACCCCAGCAGCACAGGGAAAGGCTTATGCATGGAGGGCTCCTACAGGGGACCCATGAAGAGGCCGGCAAAGCAGGGCCAGCAGGGCCAGTCCCAAGACATGAGCTTGGAGCCCGGCAGCTGCCCCAAAGACAAAGGCTACGAGTGGGCCTTCATTCACTGCCCAGGTAAGAGATATACTTCCTGTCTATGTCACTGAAATTGCAGATCATGTGACATAAGTGCGTTGCCCTGAGAGTTGGTGTAGCCTTTTGACTGTCAAGTTGAAGATGATGAAGGAATCAGGTTACAGCCTCTCTATGCAACCTAACCGTCCCCCAATGACTCAGTGCAACCTTATTCCAGTGAACCATCTCACACGTTCATTAAGCACGCACAACCTCATCATGTAATATGATTTTGACTGTGAGACACAAATAAGGTATAAAAATCTTGAATTCAAAATCACATGTGGAAACAGCCACATGGCGTTTGGTTGCTTTTAGAGGTGATATCCAGACACACGCATTCATAGAATTCTAATTCATAAACTGTTCAAACTTCCTCACAGGAGTTTTAATGGTTTCAGCATTGTAAATTACAGTCATACAAAATCAGGCTTCCATATGTGCCTCATTTAGAGGGATTAAGAGTCAATGTAAACTGCTGGTTCCTGATAAATATATATCCTAATATATAGAGAGTGCCTGTATATAAATCAGTCTCACCTGACGACGGTTTATTATTTCAGATTTGTTTTACCTGCGTTCAAATAACTTCATTAAAAAGTTGGCAGCCATTAAAACTATTCTTAAAGGTTAGATTGATAAATAATAATTAATATGACATTGCAGACACACGCTCCTGACGGCTCTAATGGTTTTGTTGCTTTTCCAGGAAGCAATAACAAACAACCCCGGGTGTATATTCTGCTGGGCTGGTGTCAAATCTGAGCTGTTTATTCGCTACAGGGAGAATCATCAAAACCAAAGTGTGACTGTAGCACAAACTATTAAAAACTTTCTTTGTTAGAGAATAAGTGAAGATGAGGCTCATGTTTGATTGATTAATACAGACTAGTAGATATTATAAAGGTCAGCCCCTTATCCATTCTTATGATAGCGGCTGCTTTAACCTACTCTCTCTGTCTTTCTCTCCCAGCGTGCCAGTGTAACGGTCACAGTACGTGCGTGAACGGCAGCGTGTGCGAACAATGCCGTAACCTGACCACCGGTCCCCACTGCCAGACCTGCATGCCGGGTTTCCATGGAGACCCCACTAATGGCGGCAAATGCCAGGGTGAGTCCCGCACCACTACGGCAATAATTATTCAGCACACATAACTCTCTGCGGGTTTAGTTGTAATTGTTTTGTGGTTTAACCCTTTTGATCTGAACTCCATCATCTTGAACATACTCCAGCTCATCCAACAGCAGATTAGTGTGGAGTTAAAACAAATACACAAATTACAGTCTGTGTGTTTATTTGGACTGGGCCTGCTAGGTGTACATGATAATTAGACTTTTCGAGGAGTTTCATCTACTTACTGAATTTTAATCAGTGTACTGCACAGTAAACACACAGTAATGTAGCCTCATTACCAGCAGAGGGCACTGTTGTGTGTTGAGTTGGCTGTGTGACATTAGTTTGTCCTGTTTGATTAATGAAAATGTTGCTCCATATGTTGGTTTTATAAAGTGTGAGATGGAAAACAACTTAAGGGGAAATAGAAGTCTGGTTATTTTTGCAACTTTGTTGAAACAGCTTCCACTAGAAACTGGAAATGTCAAGATTAAGGATGTTTTCCTGATATGTGAGTGACTGTGCTTACTGGAGGCTGGATACTGTCTTGTTTTTGTTACTTATCCTTTGTTTACAACATGTGTCTGGATTTTAAATGATTACTTTTGCTCAAGAAAGTGCATGGCACGAATTCCAACAAATCAATCTGCAATGACAGCATTTTTATTTTATTTTATTTATTTTTTTTCTACAATTTGCAGGGTGCTGCATTCAGTTATTTCCTTCTGATTGAGTTTTCTGAATAGCACATGATGCAGAGATTTATTATCTGCGCCTCCTGCTCACTGCAGAATAAATTTTCTCGAGCGACGGCTGCCCATAATTTATACAGCAGTCTAGTTTTCAGAGCAAAAGCACATAATGTCTGCTAGATTTAATGTGGAGAATGGGTGTAAACATTAGGTTTTTGGCTAGGGGAGGCTATTTAACCCAAAATAAAATGACTGTATTTTCATTTGACAACAGTTCCGGCTTGTCTTTTTAGTAAATAAATTGACTTGAGATGAGCAATAGAGGTTCCCTGTCAGGCGTGGATTTACTGACACTTGTTCCTCACGAGGCATGAATAGCATTCCTGAGAAATTACATGGGGGCTATTGTCTGACTTAGGAACTACACACCTGGGAGCTTTATGGTCTCAGGTAGCACCCCCTGATGTTTAGGCTGTAGCTGTAACCTGTAAAGTGAAACTACTCTCTGCAAAGGGAATTGCTTTATTTGGTGCCTGGAGCCCAAATACCTTAAAATCATTATCTACCATAACGACATGTAGAGTAGTCAAATGGTTTATCCATCGTCACTGACTCCACGGCACTGCACTACTCTGGGAAAAATGCTTGAAGGAACTTTATATTTTTTAATTTACACAGTAAATAACATACAGTTGTGTTTAAGATGTTATCATGCACACGCCATAGAGAGGGTTGAAGCCAGGCCAGCACTGCACTGATGCCCGGAAATTAAACCAGCACTACAGACGCAGGGACAAAGATATCATCTCAAACAACCCGCAGAATTTGGTGATACTTAATTGTCTGCTGTGTTTTATTTCATTCCAGTTCACTGTTGGATTGTGTTCACTGAATGAAAGTGCCTTTGTATTAAAATTCACGGTTCCCTCAGACTTTTGGCTACACTGAATGAAAGAATTCGAAACATGTAAACATGTTAAACACAAGACATTTAAGGACACGTTTTCCTTTTTGTTAAGGATGTGTATTTGCTTCAGCCTTTCTTGGTTTTTTATTTTATGTGAGAAAAAGAAGAAGAAGAAGAAAATGAAGAGAAAAGAGAAAAGGAAGAAGAAGAAGAGTGTGACTGTTTGAGCGAATGAATGATGTAGCCAATGTAAAGCGCTTTGAGGGTCTCTGATAAGGCGCTATAAAAATCAGATGCATTATTATTATCATTAAAAAGATGAAAAAGAAGTAGAAGAAGAAACAGAAGAAGTAGAAGAAGTAGTAGAAGAAACAGAAGAAGAAGAGGAGGAAGATGAAGCAGTAAAGGAAAAAGGTAGATGAAGTAATAAAGGAAGAAGAGGTAGATGTAGTAAAGACGTTAAAGAGGAAGATGTAGTAGAAGAAGAAAAGGAAGAGAAAGATGAAGTAGTAAAAGAGGAAGATGAAGATGAAGAAGAAGAAGAAGAAGAGGAAGACGAAGAAGAAGAGAAAGATTAAGCAGTAGAAGAAAAAGAGGAGGCTGAAGTAGAAGAAGAATTTTATTGATCCCCACTGATGAAGGTGTCTTACTACTTTACATGCACAACAATCCAAAAAAAAAATCCTGAAATTTTTAGGTAGGCTGTATGTATTAGAGCAAACAACTGAAAACTGGAACCCAACTTTGTCTGGATTTTTCTATGCCAGTCCCTTGGGAAATCAGTTGCTTGAGAAGGTAGCAGGAAATATTCAGGTAAATTATCTTGGAGTGAGCAGGCAGAGGTGAAGAACCATTTCAAGTTGAGAACAGCTCAGTTGACGACACATCTGTTAGTCCACATCGAGCATTCATATAATGTGACATAAATGCAGAAACTGTCATCACAACATCAGTTTCTGATCAGCCACCTCACCGGGACTTTCACAAACTGTTGTGATGTCTTATCCTGCCTTTTGAGACTCACTTCCCTACCGAGTATCACCCTTTTGTCTAAAGACTATTCAAAGACACTATGAGGGACATGTGTGAATAAGAAACTCTGGAAAATTGTGAAGGCATAGCTACTGAAAATGTCTGGAAAAATTCAGGATTGCATTTGTGAAAAAACATTTGGGACAATTTTTAACCCTGCAGATTAAAACACTCTACTTTCTCAAAGTGATTCATACACCTGAAGACAAGTCAAGATTTTAAAATGAACACACCCTCTTATCTAATCTGATGTGAAGACATTACAGTGAAATTCCTGCATTACCAGCTGTTATTAATAAGCGACCAAACACTGGGTTAAAAGCAGTCCTGCCGAAATGTGCTCAGAAAAAGATGTAACACCAGGAGGGGAAGATGTGTCCACTGACCCTTCTGCCATCCCCCTTCTCAGTGTTTTAAAGCTTAGTGAACTGAAAGGAATAGGTCAGTGTTTTTGTACCACAAATGCAAACCTGAAAGGCACTCTGGGAGCCAATTCACTCGTCTCTCACACATCTATCGCTGTAGTGTTTGTATTTCTCACACACTCACGCCAACACATGCCTGGCGGGTATCGTGTTGTCCGATCTGAAATGTGGGGCATATTTTTCTCCATCATGGATCAGATCTTTGAAGTTCAGACAGTCTTTTGGGGAATATACTTGTTTACCGTCTTACCCAGATCGATATCAATTCTGTCTCTGCGTGTTCAGTGCAGCAAAAAGGATGTTTGTAGCATAGCTTAGCATAAACATGGCGAGTGAGTGGAAACAGCTAGCCTGTGAATAACACAGATTCCAGTTAAAATCAACATGCAGACTGATATCTGGAATCACAACTGAACAAGTGGACGCATATAAACTAACACTTGCATGTAATCCAAATTTTCAGCTTTCTTTAAAGCTAATTAATAATGTCACCTCCCCTCTGCTTCCTTTCTTGACCCACTCTCCCCCTCCTCTCTTCTTCTTCCAGCCTGCAAGTGTAACGGCCATGCAAATGTGTGCCAGGTCTTAACTGGCAAATGCTTCTGCACCACCAAGGGGATCAAAGGAGACCAGTGCCAGCTGTGAGTACTCAAATAACCATGAAAAACATAACTACCATGCAGCCTTGTGGTTTCATTTTATTTCATTGTAAACCATTTTCTTAGTTGCTTACTGCATTAGGATCAATAAAGATATTTTTCTCTTGTGTCCAAAAATGTAGATGTTGAGTTGATCAATGTCCCTGTTACAAAATATAGACTGTTTGATAATTAGAAACCAACCAGAAACCAGGGCTGCCTTGTCTCTGGTGCGGCAATCACCTGTGATTGAGTCAAACTACTCAGAGCTACTTTAAGGAAAAATGCATTGTGGATAATGAGCCTCATACAAATTGAGTACTGTTATGCATAAAAGGAGTGCTGTGGATTCATGATTTATGACCTGCCTTCATGGACTCAAAAACTGAGATTTATGTTGATTATTAAAAGGCACATTCTGGAGATTTTTAAGCAGGATAGAAAGACCCTTAAAAAAAAGGCAGAACAAGTCAACCCCCTTTCCTGTGGCGTGATGTGTTCAGGGTTTTAAATTCCTCTTCTTCGTCTAGTGGGTTTGGTAATTGTAAAACCTGTTTTTTTCTATCGTCCAGGTCATTAAGGTTGAATTGTGTAACACATGCGTAATGGGTATCCTCCATATCTGCTTTTTTGGTGTGTTGAACTGAACCTTTATCTCATCTGTCACGTGATATCTGTTCAAGAAACCGCTCACCTCATCCCTCACTTTGGTAGAAACTGAAATTCTTACATCTAAGCCACAACCTCTGATGTTGAAACTGAAAGTCAAAGCCAAAGCAGGAAGTGCAAAAAATAAAGCAAACAAACAAACTGCAGTTACTTGAGTTTTTACTTGAGGCTGGCTGCAAACCTAGATACTATATTGACATACGTAGCAGAAACAAAATTATTTACAGCTTGGTTGAAACGGTTTTGGACGCCTCTGCTCCACCTCTTTGCCCTCTGGTAGACTGATTGAAAAAGAGGTGGAGATGGCATTGTCAGTATGGTGACTGCCATCATTAGGCTCCCTTACCAATGTCGGATGTCTACTCAGGGCTGTCAAGGTATCAGATTTCCACTCCTTGATTACTGTGGTCATAAAAAATCATGATAACAATATTATTGCGTAATTTTAGGAATAATCTAATAGAAAGAGCTAATTGATTTTGAACTGACATGCTGCTGATAACTCAGAGAAATAAATAAATTATATATGTATTTTATTTTAAAAAAGTTGAGTGAATTTTGTATGTTTGACCATTTTTTAAAGCTAAATAAAGAGGTTTGGAGTTTTGAGAAAAAAGTCAGGGAAGTAAATCTGGGAATCATGTAACAGCACCTGCCACTGACGTGATTGATGATGTTCATGATGCCTTTATATGAGCATCGATTTCTGATCATTAAGGGCACTCCCTCTAACCTAGAGGCTGCAATGCTGTGATTTCTCTGTGGTGTGAAAACAAAGAACCATCACTTTGTATTATATTGGCCGGAATCTCCGCCTCCATCACTATTTCTGCTGACAAAGTGGATTCTTACGGTGTGGGAGGACCATCTCCACTTAGCTGTCTGCTTTCTGAGTGGTAAGCAGAATGAGCACTGATGGTTTTAATACCCTTTAAGCAGTGAGAGCTATGGAGAGGTCACAGACCGACACGGACTCACGTACACTCCCACTCACATACCACCATGAGGTTCCCTATTGGATGCTAAAACCCCTGTGTATTATGATGATATGATCATCACTGTCATCTAGACTTGTTTGAGCAAACTTTTTATGACATATTTAGATCAATCTGGAGCCTTTTGATGGAGCATTTTAAATCTGGTTACATTTTAGTCACCTCACACTGACTCAGACATCTTGAGAGAGCTTCCCACCTACGACAAAGACAAGATCTTCGTCAACATAAGTCACATATATCAGTCATGACTGCATCTAAAAGTACTTGGAGTCGTGCAAAATTGTTGAACAAATGAGATAAAGATATTCCTCTTGAAAAACTGTTAGTAACCCAGAAAAAGTAGAGAATGTGGCATTGGACTTTCTTATCATACTATTTTCATTGTTATCAATGCCGGTCACTTCCGTGATCAATCATCAGGCAGTTTCTTTGCAGTCCCCATTAACTGTCCACAGCTCGGAAATAACAGAACACCTATTGCCCAGCTGACATTGCTGACTCTCTCGACTACTCTTTCTCTCTGTCTGTCTGTCGAAGACAAAATAAAACTAACGCACATCTTTGTTAGACACCTATGGGACTTTACAAAACGGCAGTGTTTACCTGTCAGGTAGCAGTGATGTGGCTATGGCAGAAAGTAGAGCAGAGACACACACTCAGCTGGCAGGAAGAAGTAAGATTGTAGCAGCCAGCAAACAAGGTCCAACGTCTTCCTGCACATTCATGCAGAAGTCTTGGTGTGTAGATGTGCTTGAATGTCTCATTCATTAAGGACAAATTCATACAGATCCAAATAGTGACTTGTTGATCAGCCATTCAATGAAAACAATACTGGTAGAAAACGTGAACCTATTTCACCTTTGATAAGATGTTTTATTTTTGTTTTAGTGGTTGAACTGTGATTTATATTTTGGTTTTGATTGTACAGTTTTGTAGGTTTTTATATATTAATTCAGTCACAGTTAAACTAAAAACTGCTGCTGCACAATGCTGCTAGTGTTTTAAAACTCCATCTGATAACTTGAAATTTGAGAGTTGAACTTTTAAAGTTTTGCTTCTCTTTAGCCTGTTTTTTAAAATAACATGGATAAAACAATCATCTACTTTTACCCAACTTGGCAGTCCATCTCAAATCAAAACTTGATAAAGAATAGGCCAACTTAAAAAAAAAAAATCCTGGCAAGATGCAGGTAATTGTGATAGATGACTAGCACATACACTGCCCCTTGCTATGTAATTCTCTCCATGTAAACCATCTGTTGGCTTTGGATACAAGAACGCTTTGTGAAAATATATTTGACCTAACCCTTAAAATGTTCCCATTTTACCATAGGCTTTCATACCTCAAACGATGTCTAATATGAACTTTAATCAGGCGCCTATTTGTGCTTCTGAACACGTCTGTGTTTGGCAAATTTCTTCTCAGATAAATCATCAAAAGCACCAAAATCAAAACACCTCTAGTGATAGAAGCAGTAAGAGCAGTTGGAGCCAATAAAACAAAGTGAATAATCTGAGCACTGATAACCATCATACTGGAACATAAAAAGGAAGTTTAGCAACCAAGTTGAATCTGACAGCAATGACGTCAAAGCCTTGGAAACAAAGAGAAAGAGAGAGAGAAAGAGAGGGAGGAAAAGCTGAAGGGAAAGCGAGACCTCTCTTTAACCGTCCATGATTTCTGTTGACTTTGACCGTAAATAGATAGCGCTTTATGCTAATGACAGATCGTCACGTAAATTTAGTGTCACCAGATGGAAGCAGTGCAGTATGATGCGGTCCCGCACACTGTTAGCACTCTGCTAACTATGTTTCTACTCCACAAAATCAGGGAAGGAGTACCAAACAGGCCAGGCAACAGCAGGACAATAATCATCAGCCACTTTAAAGGAGAGAGAAAGCACCCATAGATGTGAAGCCAGCGATGGGACAATCCTGTGGCCCAGTACTGATTATGAGCTTCAAATTTAGCCAGCGACACAAACTAGCAGAATATGTTCTTAATCAGTCCCTTTTTCAGACTGTAATCAGATCAGTGTTGTCATTATCAGGAACTCCTATTCCAGTTGGTGATTTAATCCCAAATTTGTCTGCATTTTCACATTCAAACACGTTGGAGTCACCCTTTTCTTCAAGTGTAATCTACTTAGTGTCTGCACGTATTGACAAACATCCTGCAGTATGTTTGCTGTTCCCTTATTTGTAATGTAATTTCTGGTTTCTCATTACATGTAATCACTTTTTTTCTCACCCCCTCCCCCAGCTGTAACCCCTAAACAAAGACCTCCATACAAGGGTAGCCAACAGTATACACACATGCACGCTTAGTTTCGCACACACAAGCACCGCGGCAGACGATGCCATTAGGACTTTGGAATAATAGCCGCAGTAATGAAGTGAAGGGTGCATCGGTGCAGAATAGAATTGTTTTTGAAAACAATTGATGAGGTCCGTGCTGTGTTACAGCAACGAGTCAAAGCAACATTTCTTATTATAGCGCTCATTTAGTTGCATATATTATTCAGGATTCCTTGTTTGCTGGAGGTTAGAGCTACCGGAGTGTGTACTGTACATGTGTGCTCCAGCCTGCGTGTGTGTGAAGGACAATGTGTTGGTTCATGGCTCTTTTCATGAGTGTATGTATGTGTGTGTGTGAGCACAGACAAAGGTTCGTGCGCAGATCAAATTAAGATACAGGAGTGGGTGGAGGAGGGATTGCCTGGAGTCCCGATTTGTGCACGCATGCATGCAGGTGTAGATTAAATTAAGATACAGTGTAGAGGAGTTGCATCATACACTTCTAACATGAGCATGTGTACGAGTGCAAATGCCAAGGCTGCTGAATGGCCGCAGGAGTACACCTCCGTCCTCTGCACCACGGTGAAAGAGCACGCTGCCCTGTCCTCTCCTGTTTGATATTAATAGTGCGAGCAGCGGCAGTTGGCGCGTCTCCATAGCTCAGTGTCTTGCCCTCATTAGATCCCTCAGAGTGCTGATGCTTGTCCTTCAGGTTTTGCTGGTTAGATAAAGAGTCAGAAACTCTCTTGATAGCTGATGTAGAAGCAGACGCTAACCATGCAATGAGACTCTCAAATAAAGTCAAAGCTTCAATAGAAACTCAATCTGTATTTCAGTTGTGTCGATCCAAAGGCACAGTTGTTTAAAGAGTTGACAGAAATTTGGATTCAATTTTAAAACAATCATTTTGTTGCTATTCAGATCACACAACTCATTTTGGATTTGTCTGCCTTTTTCACAGGAAAGACTGAATTGGCTCAGCTTTATTGAGCTTATAGCTGTTTCCACAAAGCAATTTGTTTCACTTAAGTTCAGTTATGATTTGTGTTTCAATTGTCAAAAAGTTGGGACTGTTCCAGAACTAACTGATCTGTACAGTCTTACTTTTCAGCATCCTTCTCACGGGGCATCAAGCCCCCTGAAGGGGGAAGCTAGACACACTGCAATCTGTTGAATGAGAGAGAAGTGAGAAGGGGAGTTTACACTAGATTACACCTCTGGCATTGAGGTGGAGGATAAAGGACAGATATCTTAAAGAAACCTTTCCTGGAACCTGATGTTATTTAAAAATGACCATAAGATTGCCCAAAGCAAGCATGATTCATGACGACTTTTTTCCCACCCCCCCAAAAAAAACACTGTAGGCTCAATTTAAGAACTGAGCAGGGGACTTTGAAAAACCATTCAAGACACAACTTCAAAATAAAAGCATTTTGTGGGGACAAGTAAAACAGAGGGAAGAAAAGGCTTTTGAAATGCATTCTTTAAGTGTGTCTAAGCAATATTTTCCTCGCTTTTGACATAAATAAATACAGCTGGTACAAAGCCAATGTAGATGTACCCTTTTTTGTCTATGTCGGCTGAAATCTGTGCAAGTCTTTGAGAATAAATTAGCAACATTTTTATTCTCTAGTTTGTCAGCATGTGAGATGGATATAAGACACTGTGCTTATGTCATCAGTATGATCAGTCTGATCATGCAGCCAACATGCTTCCTGTTTGAGGCACTAGGGAATAGTTGACTAAGAACACACAAGTACGTTTAGGGTTCACCGTACCAATCTGTGCCAAACCATACTGCATCAAACTGGAGTGCTTGCCATAAACGCACCAAATCATCCAAATCTGGACTACTGCTCTCTAATCTAGGTCATCAGCAATCATCGCCTTTCCTTGTCTGACAGTGAGCTACATGGTCTTGGGTTCACATTGCACACCTCCTGGCCAAGGCTTCCATCTTCTGTCATTTGTGGTTAATTACATCTCCCTAAACAAAGACTTTTTATTTGTTTCTGTTGAGTCTTTGTTCAACAGTAGACAGTAAATTACACCGAGCCTTCACTGTGGATTACTTCAACTGTATAAAACCAAGAAACTAATGTTCTTATGTACTTGGAAATAAGAGGCCTCAAGTTTAACATCTTGATTCAGCTTTGTGAGAAGTAAAAACGCTTTGCCCAGTTTTCCACAAGATGACCACGAAACAATCTCTTAGAGTGCCTGTTTTTTGAGGGAAACTGGATTGATAATATCTGATGAAGAGAAATTTTGACACTGATTGGATCATGTGGCACAATATCAAACTGATTTGTTGCTAAAAATGAATCTGTTACTTTGAAATGGAATTTGAGCTGCGCTTGTATCTAGCTATCTCGTGGATATCTGTTTATGTGTTAGAGATGAATGAATTGTCATCAGATCACAGATTTAAGCCAGGATGATTATTGTGCATAACTCAACATCTATGTTTGCTTTGCACTTGACTGTTTGTCCTGCGCACACCAAAGCCTGCTGATGTCTGATTGGTTGATATTACTCAGACTGTGATTTTCTTTCTCCAGTTTGTCACTCAAGCAATGCAACAGTTTATGAAATATCAAAAAATTGATGTCTTTGTTTCTTACAAGATTTACCCCATGTTGTCTCTGAAATTAAGCCTGAATCCAGGGCTTTGGTCAGATCAGGTCCTGAATATTTATTTTGGATGAAAGTTATCCCAGTCAAACCTAAAAGTTTAGACCACCACAAACTGAAGGTTTTATCAGGATAAAAACCAAGACTGGGTTACCTGCCCAAACACTGATTTCATAACCCTTTTACTTTGAACAAACAGGCCCTGGTGATATTTAGAGTGTTAAAACACATCAGATGTGTTACCTCCACCCACATCTGACTGGCATGTGTTTGTGTAGTACCTCCAACAGTGGAACAGTCTGTCTCGTGAATCCAGAAAGCAGCAAAACAACTGATGTGGCATTATTTTTAGAGGCAGAGTCATCCTCAGTTCACTATAACATCACAAACAGCCACCATCCCCTCCTCCCCGCAGCAGCAGTCGTGTCTCACAGTGGGTTCGCTCCCCCCCTGTATCCTCAACAGAACATGAGATATCGACATTCAAACAAGTTTATGTGGTTATTTATAACACATAACACCTGTCAAATGAAATTGGTTTGATGAAAGTTTAAATCTGTGTGTGAAAGTGTGAATTTGAGGCATTTAAATACTGCAAATATACTCATTAGAAAGGGGGGAAAGACCACTGTTACGGATCGGTGATAAATAATTGTTCATGATATATTGTCAGAAAAATCCTCCATGATAAATATTTGCCATCTCATGATAAACACGATAAATGCAAGATGATGACGTAGGTACGAGCGACAGACTCACAGCCATAGCCCACACAGAGCAGAATGACAAACAAACATGGCTGATGGTAATGAAGAAGATGTTTCTGAGCAGCTCGTTACTGAACAAGGCTCTACATGAGGGATTTCCTTTAAGATTTGGGCTTAGACAAGTGCAATCAGGTATGTCTGACATCGGACAGTGGATCTGCTGCTGTTCACTCTATACACTAATAGTTTTCAACAAATGTTGAAAATGTTGTCACACTTGAGACTTTTTGGATGTCATTAGTTTTTTCCATAACCTACCACTTGTGGTTAAGTATCTTATTTGACTACTCCAACTGGTGTTCTCAAGACAAAATGATACAAAAATATTGTTTGGAATGGTAATATTTTTTTTATTTGGACTTTTATCGTTGTCGTGAGGATGGCAAATCTTATTGTGATAAATTTTTTAGCACATATTGCCCATCCCTCCTGCCATATGCTCCTTTATATCACCATCCTTCATACCCTTCACAAACTTTTCAGCACAGCGCAGACTTAAGAAAGGTATTTTTGCATCTCTTGCTTTTGCCACTACATATCTGTAATTGTGCAAAAAAATGTGTGTAAGGCTTTTTATAAGTTGTCCAAATAGAACTAGCCCATATACCCATACCTCAGAAATTCCATTCACATTTATGCACGAGAAGTCTTAATATAGGAAGCCTTAAGGAAATCTGTCGGTTACATCATCTGATAGAATTAAACTCTTTGAGAGCGAGCAGCAGTGATCCACAGCAAGGTTTAAGTTCAACTTTCCATTGTCAAGTGTTTGTATTTACTGTGTGTGTACAGTGAGAATGCTAGAGGGTTTTAAATTACAGTATTTATCTGCTCACAAGAATAAATTGGAAGAAAATGGAAGACAGTAATTGTCCAATTTTCACACCATGTTTAGCCCCAGGTTACAAACCTCATTAACTGGAGTTATAGATTGACTGGCCCCCGGCTTCCAGTCATATTACACTCCCAGCAAACACACAAACTATGACTTAAGCACAGGGTAAGTTTATGTAAAAATATGGAACAATACACTTACCATAAACTCCTATTCTGTCACCCTTGATGTTTTCTTGTTATAGAAACTGCAGTTATATTACTCTCGGCCCTTGATGTATGCAAGCCACAGCATTCACTGTATACTGTAATCAAAGTACATCAGAGGGAGCTGGCGACAAAAGCATCATTAGCAGGATAGAAATAGTGTGCTATTACGAGTGATGGTGCAGAGTATTGTCTTTGAATTTCTGACAGCCATGGAGTTCACATAAAGAGCTCTAATTATCCATGGATGTAACATTAGTCTCAACCAACAATTATTAATCAGGACCACATGTATCAGAGGTGGAGACTATTCTCAAGAACATGGATCACCCACTACACAACACCTTGATGGACCAAAGGGCCAATGGTGGTGGACGACTCCTCTCTCTTCACTGCAGGACAGAAAGATTCAGAAGATCTTTTGTACCAACAGCCATCAGGCTTTATAATTTTTTATGTAAATAATAGATAACTTTTATAGACATAGTATATGAGACAACTGACAATTGAATTTCCCTTCGGGGATCAATAAAGTTCTTCTTCTTCTTCTTCTTCCATATTCCAAATCTATCCTAGATCTTTTAGTTCTTTATTCTCATCAAACATAAAATTCCCATGAGGCCACAATGAAAAGCAGTTGAAGTTTAATTTCACTATCAAAGGTAAACAAGTTCTGGCTCAGAGCAATGTGAACATGCTCATCCTGAACTCTGATGAAGTCTGAATCCTGCGGCTATGATTTAATAAACACGGGTGTGAAACAAAGATAATCTCGCCCTTGGCTTGTCGTTGCCTGTTTTGAACTTTACATTCCCCTCTCTCAAGCTGTGAACCCCTCCAACTTAAATTACTCAAATCTGATTCTTTGCTTTTTAAAAAGAATTCACCATGATTTGTGGTTGGGTCGATTTGGTGTTTACACCCAAGTAAAGGATTATGTATCTTAAAAGAATCAAGACAGAATTATTTACATAAATAGAAATGTTTGCTGCAAGGATTTTAAGGGATTAAAATTTGGGTGCTTCTCTCAGATGGCAGATGCTGCTCTGTGACCAGGTTGTGCATTAAGTTTACCAAATCCCGCTGTGTTGCTCTGATAAACGAAAGTTTTTAAAGAGATATAATTAAGTTTTGCAAACTATCAGATTATTTTAGAAGAAGTTTGTGACTTGATGAGGCACCAACAGCAGGAGCTAATGCGCTGGCACTTGGCATACAGCGCTCCTGATAAAAGGTTTTCTTGCTCTCAATCTGTTAGAGCTCTTCTTCATCTTCTTCACTTCACTCCTCTCTGTTTTTCTTCTCTACAGATGTGACTCAGAAAACCGTTACCTTGGCAATCCACTCCGAGGAACCTGTTACTGTGAGTAATTCTGCACTGGACACAGAGGCGTGCACACTCGCACACACACTCACACAGACACCTTCTTGATTATTCTTGGCTATTCTCTCTTCGCTTCTCTCTCCACTTCTCCGCTTCCACTCTTCCGCTCAGGGCAGATGGAGCATTTTAGCGCTTTGGCACCAGGGGCGCATGTTCGTTGACAGAATGACTTGTCGTGAAAATGTCAAGTGCATCAGAAGGAGTGAGTGATTGAGCTAATCAAGGAGACGGAGGAGTAAAAACTCTCCACTCGTCTACTCAATCACCCACCCACTCATTCATTTATTTAGAAAGTTGACTGGATGGTCGTTTCGGTGTGAAGTGGGGGAAAAATGCATCAAGGTAAGGAATGCGGGAGAAAAAAGTCAACACCCGGGGCTGACAGGTGGTCACACATGACATATTTGTACTCAGCGTGTTTGTTTGCACGACGCGCCGTCCTTCACGCTGCTGCAGTATTCCTCTCTTTCAGCTCTCTGCCACTGACAACAGAGACTCAGCCAAGGCTTTCTCCCTTTTTTTTTTTTTTTTAAATGCCATCGCCCGACAGCCGGCTCAATGAGTGGAAGACAAGGACTGAAGCCCACAGCTTGCTTTAACCTCTGCCCTCTGCCGGGACTTTTTCTCAAGCTCTGTTATGCACTCTTGTAAACATGACACCCTGACTATCTGAAAGGCCATTGAGCACAGATTAACATTCTGTTATCACAGTGACGTTATCCAACTATTTCACTGTGTATCAACCAAGTTCTCGCTAAAATCCTGAGCCCACTCCTGTTTCCTGAACTCTCTGGCTACCATATAAGTACAAAACTATCTGTACAGTAAATCAGGAAATTCACTAGCATTTCAAATGCCACCTGCATCTGTTTGTGGATTTTGCAACTAGGGTTGTCCCAATATAACTTTTTTACTTCCGATACGATATTGGCACTTTGACTCTGACATCACTCCTACTCCTGGCTACTTTGTTAGTATCTTAGTACACACTGTTGTTGTGATTATGTGGAATCTGCATGCTACATTCCAGCGCTGCTAGACAGAGGTGCCAGAGCGGAGTCTGGAATAGATGGCTTGTATCAGAGTACTGATGTGGGAGATTTTAGATGCAGGCTGATATTCTTCCTTTGCTGATATCGGACCGATATCTGATATCAATATCTTATCGGTACATCCCTAAACCAAATAAAGCACTTAACTTACCAATAAAATGGCAAATAACCTTCAGATCTATAGCGGGACAGATTCTTGTGTTGGTTAAAAGCAGACACTCACATTCATTCTTGAATTTTCTCCCCCTCTTCTGGAGCCTGCATCTGTCAACAAAGCTGTCAGTAAATTTGATTTTAAAGATCAAATAACTAATTAAAACAGAACTTAAAAAAAGGAGGGTTGAATGTAATTCTGCAGGATAAGAAATTACTGTAATGACAGAAACATTAATTTGGTTTGATCATTTTAATATTGTAGTTTGACCCATGTTTCTTCTTGTAATCTTCTGTTTACCTTTGCTGCGGCCAGTCAGTATGGGGAGCTCAGTTTGTAAACACTTGTGGCAAACATCTTTAACATTAATTTTATGGTCTGAAGCTGACTAAACTTTCATAGAAGTGTGGGTGTTTTTCATGCTATGAGTGAACATAACATTTTCTGGCATTAAGTCAGGGAGCATTTCACCTTGAGGTCTACAAAGAAAAGAAACACCTAAACGTGGCGCTTGCTTTTCATGAGGATGTGTTGGGAATTGGTGAGGATTCAAAGAGCAGGCATGTCTGGCATCTTTATAACATAAAACCATGAAATTCACTTGACAGAGCAAAGTTGCAACCATGCTTTTGGATTTTTGTCTTTTTTACATTTTTGGATTTTTAAGGAAGGCTCATAGCTAAGTCAAAGCCATTCATTAATTGTATAAGTTAACCGATTTTTACAGTATTTAATTACCAGCTGAATGTCAAATTGAACGGACCCTCTTGGATATACTGAAGCTTCTATGACAGATACGTCCTTGCAGAGAATTTGATCATTGTTTTCTTGCAAACATCCATACAACCCTGCAAATACGATTGAAGACACGACACCAAATAAGAAATGTAAAAAACAAGATGTGTAAATTCACACTTCAACTTTGTTTTTCTCTCATAATGGCTGACCAACTTTTCCTTCCATTTATGGACACGATTGATTAATCATCTAATAATTAATCGCTGCATGGAGATCTTTGGAGCCTGCTGTCAGGGTCAGGTAGTAATAACTTGTTCTCTGCTCGATTGCTCCCTGATTGCAGCCTCAAGATTTGATTACAGACGTTTTGACCTCACTCACCATCAGTCAGTTTATTGCACAGAACCTCATTTTCTACCATGTCACACTGAGTGCATCTCTTAGTATTTTTGCTGTCATAATAGTTTCTAGTGTAAGCTGGCACTTTAGGACTGTGTATGTTCCTCACAAAGTTGCAACTCTTGATTAGGTTGAGTGTATTCTTGACTGAAAAAGCTTTTTTCCTCTTTTTTTGTTTTTGTGAACAGACAATCTCCTGATCGACTACCAGTTCACCTTCAGTCTTATCCAAGAAGATGATAATCACTACACTGCCATCAACTTCATGGCCTCACCTGAGCAGGTAACAGCTCCAGAAAGTTTTCAAGTTTGTCATGGAGTTAACTATAAACATTTCAAAGTTCCATTTACATGTAACGTTTTAAAAAGGTGGATTTTTTTACGCTTTCTTTCTAAAGGCGAACAAAAACTTGGACATGTCAATCAATGCATCCAACAACTTCAACCTCAACATCACCTGGTCTGTGGGATCAACAGGTACTGTCCATTTATGCCTTCCTTTTTACTTAACAGCCTGTTTGCTGTTGTGCCAGCAAGTGTGGAGTTTTACTTGTCAGATAATCAAGTAGAATAAATAACTATTATTATTTGGTAAAGTATGGATAAAAAAAGAAATGGAACCAAATGTTAATGCAATCAAAATTTGCATGTGTCAACATTTAAACGGCTTATGCCACAGATGCTCTTATAATTTGCAGTAAAAAGAGCTTTGTTATTTAACCAAGGATCTTATTTACACATTCCAGCCCGAGGAAGATGTTAGAATCAAAGACCTGTTTCTCCCAGGTATCAACGCCCATCCTGGGTTATTGGATTACAAGCTGGCAGCTTTAACTACAGGTGTAAACTCACCTTAATGCATCCCGAGGAGAGGACTGAGTAGGTAGTTCTGAATTAGATTTGACTCATGGCCCACAGATCTGAGGATCATTAAATAGTTTTCATATCACGTCATCACTTTACGCAAATCTGCAAGTCTGCTCTGCTTTTAATTGTTTTTAAAGTATAACAACGGTGAAAAGGGAAGAAAAGAAGACAAAGAAGAAGGTGAGCTCCATTCAGAAGTGGTAACTGGAGACACATTTAGACACGCGAAACAATGCAAAATATTCAAGGTCAGAGTTATCCTCTTGTGCTGCAACCACCCAGGTATTTTTATTCAATTTGTCAGCATTATCTCTTAAATTTGCAACTAAGTACAAACTGGGCACACAAAGTTTGTCCCAAGCCTTATTTTTAATCCACACTGCCACACTGGGATTGATAACAGGTTGACAAGACGCTGTTTGTATATCTGGTCTTCTCAGTGACTAAAATAAAGACTAATTGTTTTTTTGTTTTATGCAAATATAAAACAAAGTCACATGTGGTGCCATAAATGTCAAATAATATTGTTTCCGATCTGCCACTGAAAATGTCTGGCATTTTTGGAAACTCAGTTTATAAAATTTCTAAATGTTTTTTTCTGTAATTGAATTGGGAATATAGTCAGTTAAATTATTCAGTCTAGATTAACAGCATTGTACTCTCTGTTGTCAGTGTGTAGTGTGTCACTGTTGACTGGATGTTATAGGTCCCCTGAGGAAAGACGCCCAAGGACACTGCAGTGGTCCAGTGGCACCGTTTATCCCCCCTGCCCTCCCCTCAGTCATTGACGACTCTCTCTGTCCCAACAGCTTTGACATTTTCCAACAACTAAAACACGTTAACCCCCCCATGTCCCCAAACGCCACCTTAACCTTTTCGGAGCACTGTCATTAATATTTGAAGTTCTGTCCCCTTTTACCCGCAAAGATATTGTGTCTGAGAAGGAGCCTCTTCACAATCGAAGGGAGCGTGAGGCGCCTTTGGGTGGGAGGAGGAGGGTGATTTCAATTAAGATAAACATGCTCACGTAGCCACAGTCAAGCTGTCATTTTCACTTCTTTTGTTTCAGAGCTGTGGACTGGAATGTCAATTTTGAGAACCAGTAACACGAGGACGAATGAGAAATGACTTGAAACATTAAGATAAATGGAAAAAAGACTAATTTTAGCGGTTTGCTTTTTTGTAAAAACGGCTATAAAAATGGTTTATAAACAAGAAACTCTAAAGTTGTCATTTCAGTTATGACCGTATTTGATTCTCCTCAGTCCTGTTATCATGGCTGCTGGTGGTTTAAACCATAGACAGTGTAAAACATGGATGTAGTCTCTGTGACATCATCCATCGGTTTCTGAAGAGGCGTTTCGAAGGCCAGCAACGGTGACCACCATATTGGAAATGTTGACTCAAAATAACTTTTGGTTAACTTGGAAACTGAAGCAGCCACACTGTGACTAACTCTCCATTCACTCAGCTTTTCCCCCACAGTATGCCAATAATGTCTAGCCTTTAGACTTTATATTATCCTGTCATGTTCAAAGGCTGCAGCCCTCAAAGTAGAGGCCCCACTTTAGCATGTCATCTTCTTTCTCTTTCCTGTTTCGGACTCTACCCACTGATGTTTCTCTTGATGACAGCATAGGCTTTTATCACAACTTGTCTTGATTATTGTAATGCACTTTATTTTGGTGCCAGCCAAACCTCTCTGAATCATTTATATGACGTAAATATGGCCCCATTTCCCCCATTTTAGCCTCTCTTCACTGGCTTCCTGTGCGTTTTAGGATTGATTTTAAAATGTTGTTATTAACTTATAAATTTTTAAAGGGGCTTGCTCCGTCTTATCTCTCTGACCTTTTAAAAGCCCATATTTTATCTTGGACTCTCAGATCCTTCGATCAGTGTTTTCTGACTGTCCCGAGGTCAAGGATGAAGCTCAGAGCTTTTTCAGCAGCTACACCCCTGGAATACTCTTCCTCCCATGACTTTCCCCCTCACTGCCTGTTTTTAAATCAAACTTGAAAACGCACTTTCCTCTTTGGCTTTCGGCTCTTGAGAACTTGGATTTTAATCATGTTTTTATTGAACCATTTATGTCCCCTGCTTTTACTGTGATTCTGCATCTGTAGTCTCTTTTTAAATTTAAAATTTTTGATTGTTTATTTATAAATAAACTTGGATTGGATCGGATCAAATCCCATCCTCAAATAACATATACGTTAATTTTAGTTCTGAAGATGGGGATCCAGAATGTAACAATAAAGGAAGATTCCGGCTTAAATTTAAGTTATGGTCAAACACACCGTAACACCGAGTTTGACACCCCCTCGAGAGATGAATATTGCCGACTGCTTGCCTCTTTAGTCATACCAACTTCAGCAAAGACCACACAATAGCAATGCACAGCGGTCTACGTCTCCACGCGTAAACCTCAACCAAAAAGCCACTCTATAAACTCAAATAATGCTCAGAACAGCACCTAACTTCATCAACAGTACATATAGGTTCCCAGCCATAGTACTAGCCATCAAACATCTTTTTAACTTTGCCTGGTTTCTTTAGCAAAGAGACTAAACACAACTCAACCATTCTCCTCCAGCAGCCGCTCGTTTGTGGGGGAGCCCTGACGAATCGATCACTGAGCGCAGCGGATGATTTCCATGAAGTAATAATCGTCATAATAATCATTTTGCACTGTAGACGTGGTAGTTCTTTTGCCTTAAGGCCTCAGGCTAATTGCATTTCCACAAATTAATAAACATAAATGTTCTTTCTTGAGCTACGAAACTCTGCTGCGCTCAGTGATTGACTCGTCAGGGCTCGTGCTATGTGTTGCTATTGTGCAGTTGTTACTAAAGTATGACTAGAGAAGCAAGCAGTCAGGAACATTCATCCCTCGTGTGGGTGTCTAACTTGGTGTTATGGTGTGTTTGGTCATAACTTAAATTTACGCCGGAATATCCCTTTAACAGAAAACTCTCTTTAAATAGTGTTTCACTCTATTTAATACAATGAATTTAACATAAGTCTGTTACAATATTAGCTTGATTACTCAGGACATTCAACACCATTCTCTCAGCTCAGAAACAAACAGAAACTGACACAAAAGCATTTATAGTATATTAAAGGTGCTTAATGCAAATGTATTAGCCCTCCTCTGCTCTCCGTCATGCTGAATGCTTAATTCCTGCCTCAGAAGGACTAAATGCATTAGCAAATAGGGGTGGTATGGATGTAGATGATGAATATGTGCTAATGTGACTCAGTCGTGACCTATGGACAGCAGCATTTTGGTCCCTCTTCCAAGCTGTGCTTTTCTCCCACGTCTACAATTTAATCTGAACTGCATGTGTAATTTCACAATAAAGCTGTGCTGTTTTTATTAAGGTCAACTGGAAAAGGAAGTTTAATGCACTTAAGACATAATAAATGGTAATGAGAGCTCTCCTGCTGTCCGAAATGGCTTTACAGACCCAGTAATGGATTGATAATGATATGTTGCGGCTACTACAGCTCCTTCTATGTATGTCAGTGAGCTCTATGAATGTCTAAAAGCAGAGTGCTAAATATGTATGCTTTCCCTTTCCTCCAATAGCTGGAACCATCTCTGGAGAGGAAGTGCCCATCGTGTCCAAAACCAACATCAAAGAATACAGAGACAGTTTCTCCTGTGAGAAGTTCACCTTCCGCAGTAACCCCAATATCACCTTTTATGTCTACGTCAGTAACTTCTCATGGCCGATCAAGATCCAGGTGAGGACTGTGTTTACAACGGAGATAACACAGAGATCTAATTATCTCCCTGGTCTGTGTTATGTTGCCCTTGGTTTCAAATTCCTCTTGATGAATCTCAAACCTCTCATGGGTGAACAATTCATACAACATACATGCAGAGAGCAGAAGCAGCCATCTTTGCAGACGCAGAGCGCTATTGTTGTTCAGCTCAGGGTGATTTCAAGTGCACTTCATTCTAATTACAGATTTAATGAGCAATGGTTAGCGTGCATAGGTGCACAGCTGTTTTCAGTGGGTAACACAGAAGCACCATTAAGCCCTTTCTAGCTCTCCCTCTACACGAAGGAGACGGAGATTTTGATGTGGTGAAGGAGAGAAAAAGGCTAAACTAAACAGTCATCACCAAAAAAATGTTTGCTTTTTGACAAGAAAACAGATACCGATTTTACCTAAAGCATCCACGGTTTGCTTCTCGTTCGGACAGTGAGGTCAAATCAGCTAAAGGCCACAGAGGACTAATGTGATAGTGAGAGTGACTGAGCCGTGACTTCATAGGAGAAACAGTGAAATTAAGAGAGAACAGCAGGCGGTTACTCTTTCAGATGGAGGCAGTGCTATTTGAGCTGTGATTATGACAAACAAATATGGTCTCTGCACAGACAACATGACAGATGACTAACTGGTACAACTGAATAAACATGACTTCATTATGTGTCTGACTATTAAAGAAGAAAAAGGAACTTTTTTAATGTTAAATTAGAGGTTCAGTGTTTTTCAGAAATCTCACAGTTTAAGTTTGATTCAATTTTTGAAAGAAAAAAAAAAGGAGATAACTTTTCCACTCCTTGCTTAGTCATGATTTCAGAGCATAACAAATCACAGCACATCTCTCAAACAGAGATTCCGCCAACGTTAGTCATTAAAACAAAAAGAAAGTGATTTGAAAAGGACTATTTCTGATTTGCTTTCACATTTAATCATTCTGACACATACACTTAACGATTCAGGTAAATCTCCTGACGTATATCAGGATTCAAGTAAACTTGAATCATTTGCTGTGTGTATGTGTTTGTGAGTCAGCTGTGCACACTGCTGCCCCGGAGATGTGTTTCTGTAATCACATCACTGTGTCACAGTGAATCAAACGCCCTGCTCTGATCATGTTTTGGGACTTTAATGCGTCATAGTTCCCATTACTGCTCTGAGTACGGCAGCAGTGTTTGTGGCTCTGCTTTGTGCAAGAGGAGAAGAGGACCAGCACAGTGAAATGTGTGTTTATATCACACCTCAAATCATATAGCTGTCTGTTTTATTTCTTTTTCTGTAAACATCTGTACAGTGTGTTAAGAAAACTTTTCGTCTGAGTTTCAAGTGTTGTCAGAAAAAGCTCCGGTTTTAATTGCAGGTTTTGATTTAGCTACCCCCCCCTTTCACAGCAAAGATGTTTGGTTCACGGCGGGTTAATAATATCTTGGGGTCAGTCTTCATGAGAAGGCAGCTGAATAATTGTTTTCTATTAGATTTCCCTTCCAACACTCACTTATTTATCACAGACCGGCCTGAGCTGTTAAACCCACAATAGCTTCTGTAACAGGATAAGGTTTCACTTTCCTCCCAGCTTTTGTGATGCATTGTTTGAGCACAGAACTGTATGAGATAAAGCGGGATTTGAAAATGCTCGCATGAGTGTGTGAGATAAGCATAAAAACGAGGGTAAAGGTAGTAAGAGGTGGACTCTTTTGATTCTATTATCTGTCCACATTATTGTCACCCAAGAGGGCCGCTCAGTGTAACAAAAGTCCTCTCGTAATAGAAGTACATTCTCACATGATGCCATTGATCGAATGAGATTGATGACTTGGAATTAAATCAACCCCAAACGTATTGCTTTGACCTCACATTATGTGAAACGCAGGGCTCTAAAAAGGCAGAAAGACGTCTGTGTAATATGTGCTTTTTAGCAACATTTGCCGTGTCAGTGAGCATCTCATTTCACATCACTGATTCTCAACTCAAAAAGGTTGTAAAAGTCAAAAATGGGAGAAGTTTCATGGCAATAACGAATAACTTTTTTTCCTGTTACATGAATATGCACATGCTAACAAATAGAGATGCACCGATCCATTTTTTCTTATCCAATCTGATACCAATACCTGGGCTGAGCGTATCGACCGATATCCCTTACCGATCCATTACTAGTGTTGAATGAATGAACTGTATACTTTGCCCTGTGAGTGAAGGCATCAGGCTTGAAATTAGCCTTGTTAAAAAAAGATAACAAATTAACACACATAAATCTACTTAATATTATTTTATTAACAAATAACAAATTGCACATTAGCACACAGCAAAAAAAGAAAGACTTCCATGTAAACATTTAGTGAAAAAGGGCAGACAGACATAGAATATAGAGCCAACAGAATCGCTGTGTTGCTGTGTATGATATTAATTAAAAGAAAAAAAAAGACTAGATTGGAACACTGGATCGGCATCATTCATCAGATATCCAATTCAGTAAATGTGTCAATATCGGAGCTGATATCCGATCCAAATATCTGATCGGTGCATCCCTACCATCAAATACAGCGAAACTTAGGACTAGAAAAGAGGGATGTAGTGCGAAAATTTGCTTTATTTCTACTGTTATTGAATGGTGATTTATTTCAATCCCAAACCTAAGTGGCATCAAACATTACACAGATAAATAGGTCTTTATTCAACACTACATGCTATGAACCAGAGGGGTTTCATCCTGCTGCAGATGACATTGTGTTTGCGAGTCCACATGCTCTCAGGGCAAAAAAAGCCTCCCGAGCATCTACAGTAGATAATGACGCTTCACGGTAGTGTGCTCTATCTGAAGTGATTTAGCTGCCAGGACTGTGTGCGCAATCCCTCTTTTAATGAAGGTAAAAAGTATTTCTGGACCGTTAGTCACCGGAGATGCTGTTGACATCAATAAATTAATCAGCTCTCTTACTCACCTCAAGCAGAGATGGGATCTTGTGGACATTTTCAAAGAAAAATGAGTTTATTCTTAACTACAAAACACACATTTACTTTTAAATGAGAGTTTTTGTCACAAAGTGAAGGAGCTACTATTCTAAAATTTAAGGTAATTTGTTTTTTTCATCTTAAGCTTTGTGTCATTGAAGTAGTCTGTTAAATAGGAATAATTTTCCCACTTTATTCAGAGCATGGTTATCAGTTTAAGAGCATTTTCCACTTACTCCCTATGAAGTCAGCAAGAAAAAATAAATATTTGCTTTGCTTTTTATGTCATTGTGCAACAGTTTGATCAAAATCCTGGAATTTCTGTATGAAATTAGACCCTCGAAAAATCAGTGTTTCTTCCCTTGATTTAAGAGGTTGTTTGTTTATTTCTCAAGAGAAATTTATAACTTCTTTTTTGAGATTTTGCTAATGTCTCTTTGTTTTCTTCTCTCCACTAGATTGCCTTCTCTCAACACAACAGTATCATGGATCTCGTCCAATTCTTTGTGACATTTTTCAGGTAAGTGAGTCAAACGTGAACAGCCCTTAACACTCCCCCCCCAGTCTTTTGTTTAAACTCCTCTAAACGCTCAGCAGGCGGGAGGCATTGCCCAGAATCTGACCCTCCGCCTCTTCATCTTCCTCTCAGGCCTCTCAGGGCTTATTGAGTTACTCGAGCCTGTCTGTGTTAACCGACGACATGTAAATGCTTCTTGTATCTTCAAGGCACCAATTTTTCCTTTTCAAGTGGCAAATGAACTGCCAGGAACCTTTTAAATAGGTGCATATTGCTCTGTAAGTGGCATCTGAAGAGAAGGCAGGGGTGATCAAGATATGAGGGCTCTTAATGATTTTTCATGCTGAGCGCTTAGATGGAAATCTTTTCTCATTGAAATGTTTAAAATGAGTTGATTAAGTTCTCTCAAAAGCACAAAAAACGCTGAATATATTAGGAGGATGTGAGTGTAATTGGGAAATTTATGCCTTAAGCAAGGTACTGGCAATTTTTGTGAAGGGTTCGAAAGATCTGTAGTGATACTCTCCTCTCCAAGGAGGTCAACCACAAAGGTTTGGTTACTGGAGGGCTAATCTGAGCATCTGTAATCGGTAACACAGGGTCACTGGTGATAGGCTGAATATTTAACTTGTGACATGATGCTTAAAAAGAAAAAGCAATCCTCTGCTGTTGCTGCGAAGAACATTCAGCATCATAAAAACAGCTTCTCCATGAGGCGCCGTCCTCCTAAAAGCATCAAAGTTACTGATGCTGTTTGAATGTTTTAATGGTTTATTTTGACTCCTTAGGTTTACATTTGATTAGCAGTAACTGCTATGAATATAAACATGAAGCTACATTCAGTTGTAAATTTTGCCAAACATCAATCAATTAATCAATCAGTCAGTCTTTATTTATACAGCACTTTTCATACACAACCATGTTGCACAAAGTGCTTTAATCAGAAAAAGGCATAAGAGAAACAAAGAATACTCGAATCTACCCCAACCCAACCCCTCATTTCCACCCCACGATCTAAGGATCTGTGCGCACTGAGGAAACGCCATTTTAAAAGTCAAAATAAGGAAACACTGGAGGTTCATTTAAAATCTAAAAACAAAGAAACATAGAATTAAATCTAAGAAATAATAAATAAAATGAATTAAAAAAAAAAACAGTAAAATATACAGAAATAAGAGCACCAAAATAGCTCAATAAAAGACAATCCTGTCATTAAATCTAGACAGAGATAAATGCTAAAACACTTAAACAAAGTTAATGATATAAATTCAGTTAAAAATAGGACTAAAAAGGTACGTTTTGACAACAAAAAGGACTAAATGAAGCTTAAGCAACACTCACAGTTGATTGGTTACTGTGGAGGTTTGCATGTAATACTAGAAGTCCTGTCCTGGGAAATTAACTTGTGCTTACAAGATAATTTTCCTATCTTGAGCGCATTTAGCATTAATCATATTAATTAAGCTATTACCTTGTGTGCACATGATAACAACTTTCTATCATGTTGATTATCATGTGGACACCAGATAGAAAAATGACTACCTAATGGGATTTTGCAGGGCTTCATACAAGAGTAAAGCCAGTTTCATTTATTCAATCAGTGCCACTGGTGGGGACAGTTATTTCAATCCCCTTTTTGTCATTTAACTCATGCCGTAGTTTGTGTATATGTCGGCTCACTTCTCCCAAGGTGTGTGACCCAGGCTGTGATTGACTAACATATTATCTGTGTAGCTGTCAAGGTGGAAATAGAAGACAGTCTTTGCCCAAGGCACCTGCCCGTCACTGCCTGGTCGACAATAAGTTAACCTGTCACACAATCAGTTTATCTTCTGCCTCCATGCGGTCATATTGCAGTTGAATAGACAAATTCAGATATTTTTGCAAGCAATGCTCAGAAGGGCAGGGCTTTTTTTTTTCAAATTTAATCTGAAATGTGGCTGACAGCTGCTAGCATCATTTGCACAGGAAATAGGGTCAGAGCATGGGCAACAGGGGAATTAGTGGCCACAGTTTGGGTCTCTAAAAAAAGACATGTAAGAGCACTTCTTTCTGAAGCTTTCTGGTTTAATTCTAATGCTGGTGTTCGCTTGTTTAATCCAAACATCTTTACGTATGTCTTTATCGCTTTGCTTTGTTTTTATTCAAATCACACACTCTTTTCCTGCACCCTGTCCTTCCATTTCTCACTGACCCATAAACTCAAGACTAAAGTGAAAAGGCCCTTATGTAGTCACAGGAGGTTGTGTGTATGTGTGTGTGTAACAGAGAGACAGAGAGAGAGAGCTTGGGGAGTTTTGGAGGGCATGAACCTGCAGGAAATGTAATCAGCCTGATGACAAAATGTCAAATCAGCCCACAGGGTTTTTAGACCTTGTCATGTGAGATATAAAAGGTGAAGAAATGATGATATGGACGAGGAGCAAGCTCTTTTTTCTCCTGCTTTGCTTCTATTTCGGTCTTCGTCCTGCTGCTGACTTGCATTTTGGACTAAAAACTATCTCCACTGTTTCAGACTCTGCCACTTCATCATATCCCTTCCTCTGTTATCTTATTAAATCTGAAAAAAAAAAAAAAAAAAAAAATTGGTAACACTTTATTTTACGCCCAAATCTATAACGCATTATAAATAAATGTATAATGCGTTATAATCATGTTATAGCATTGTATTACTATAGTTATAAACACTCATAAATGATCAAAATGCTCTATAGCAATAATCTTAACACATTATAAAGCATTTTATCATGACTAACAAGGTCAGGTATTGTAATGTGTTATAACTTGCTTATAAACTTGTATAACTATAGTTATAAACACTCATAAATGTTCATAATGCTCCATAGCAATAGTCATAACACATTGTAAAGCATTTTATCATGACTTGCGAGGTCAAGTATGATAATGTGTTATAACTGTTAACAACTCACTAACAATGCCCACATAGATAATGCAATGCAACTGTTGTTAACAGTTATAACACATTATAATACCTGACCTTGTGAGTCATGATAAAGTGGTTTATAATGTGTTATGATTATTGCTATAAAGCATTATGATCATTTATGAGTGTTTATAACTATAGTCATACTGTGCAATAACCTAATTATAATGCATTATACATATATTTATAATGCACTATAGAGATGGGCGTCAAATGAAGTGTTACCAAAAACTTCTGCTGCCTTTAATTGAAATAATAAAGATTTCTGGTGTCAATGGTGGATTTTGAAAGGAGTTTGAATAACTAAGAGGCAAACATATTCATCTTATTCATTTATGGTTGAATATATTTCATGCGCTGTGGTCATTTATCTTTCAATATGTTGCATAAACAATGTAGAAACTGGTTATTTATTTCAAGCTACGGACTCTGTCGGGTTAAGTGAAGGTCAAATAAAAATAGCACAAGTATGTTTGTATCCAGTATATATGAGTTTATGCACAGAAGTGCCCTTGTGGGTCATATATGTGAAAGCAGTAGAGTCTTAAATATCTCAATTTTCTCCCATTAATCCCAGAGGGAATCACGAGTATTTCCTTTTAGAAGCCTAATGCCATGCAGACAGAGAGCAGCTATTGATATTATTGATTGTCCGCCCTTGTGGTAACTTAATCCTTGTGGTTAGTAAAAGAGCATGTAGTTAAAAGAAGATCAGTTTCCTGCTGTAAAAGGCTAGTTTTATCATGGTACCAAAGCTCAGTATATTTGGGGATTGCTGCTTAAAAGAAGAAGATAATAAAGATGGTAGAGTTTTACATCTGTCCTTGAAAATTTTTAGTAACTTAACAGGAGTGAATGAGGAATCTGTTTATGAAAAGCAAAAGGAAGAGCAAAGTGGATTTTAGCTTCTTTGTTGTCGAAGAAAATAACAGTGATGAAAGGCAAACATCTGTTTAAGGATTTCTGTCTTTATGGCGTGAAAATCTCAGGGAAGCCAATAAAAAACATCCTGCATTTAATGTTATCTTCAAAGGTGTCAAAGATAGAGCAAGATCTGAAAGAGTTCCCAGCATCAGCACTTCGGAAATAAATTCCATGTGTGATGTCAAAATGTTTGAACACAAAGTTTTCCAATCTCACTTATTTTTTGGCATGGTGGTCCTCGCCTTTTTTCTTAACTCTCTGTCTCTGTCTCTCTCTCTTTCTCTCTTTCTCTCTCTCTTTCTTTCTTTCTTTTTTTTTTTTTTTAAAGCTGTCATTTCAAAGTTATCACAGTCCTCTGAAGCTTTATCGCCTTTCCCAAAGATTTCGGTCAATTGATCCAGCAGGTGTGGACGGCAAATTGAAAGACAGTTAAAATGTCTAACAAATGGGCCCCCTGAAACCAGAGCTGGTCATGTGTCTCTGCTGAAATGTGCGTATTAGATCAAACTGCCTGTTTTAGAAACGTGGCATGTCCCTGAAGACAGAGGCTGGCTGGTCGGATTACAGCCTGTGTTTCAAACCCAAACCTATCGCCTCATGATTGCCTCTTTGTTCCTGGATATTAAGAACAAATACCCAGGAAGTCACCCTCTCTTTGGCACATGATCATCTTTACATTGTCATCTGTCACAGGGATAATGAAGTGGAGGCTATCAGCCATATTTCTCTATCACGTGGGCGCTTATATCATGCTGAATTTCCCTTGACTAATGATTTTTCTGTTGGGTAATTAATTGAAGTAATCGGCCAAAATATTCAGAATGGGATGAAAGATGAATGAGTCTCTTCTTCAGATGATGTCTGCCGCTTCATCTTTTTTTGTAAAGTTAGCAGGAAATTTATTACATCTGAGTCTACTGTGGGCTGGAGGTTGTTATAAAAAGCAGCTATTATGCTTTTGACAACAGAGGAATCGATTTTTCTCAGGATGCTAATATTAAGACATATGCCCAACCTGCTTGTGTCATATTTCTATTTACAGCTGTTCTCTGTCAGAGATGTTCCTTGATATTGTTTCGTCTCTTTTGTTGCAGTTGCTTTCTCTCGCTTCTTCTGGTGGCAGCTGTGGTGTGGAAAATCAAACAGACCTGTTGGGCTTCCAGACGGAGAGAGGTAAGCCCGTAAAATGTAGTTTGATGATGCATAACTTACACCATGGCCAATTTTTTTTGGTCAACTTTCAGTTCTTTTTTTGTAGAAACATAAAACTTGAATATATCGTAGTGTAGGTGTGACAGTGATTCCCTAAGTCTCTTTCATTCGTCTCACACGCCAGAAATCAAGCGGATAGAAAGTTTTCAGTATTTTTTGGGCACCATCTGTTTGTCTTGGCCCAAATACTTGGAGAAATTGTACTTTGAGAGTTGTATTAAAATGGTAACATATACAGAAAGCTTTTCAAAGCACACATCTGATCCATTTCTTTTTTCATACTCCCTTTTATTTCCATAGGATGCCTTTAACTTTAATTTGTGTCCAGGACAATTATTCGGTAAAATTAGTCAATTAAATTGGGGGTGTCCCGATCTGTTATTGGTCTTGGATATCCGTCTGATATCAGCAAAAAAACGAATATTGAATTATATCGGCCTGCATCCAAAATCTCTGATATCAGCACTCAGATACAAGCAGTCCATTCAAGACTCCGCTTCAGCACAACTATCTAGCAGCGCCCAAACCGAGCATGCAGAGCCTACGTAATCACAACAACAGATCATAATATTGATATGGGTATCAGCCAATACTGAAGGCTATAATATTGGTTTGGTATCGGAAGTAAAACAGTTGTATTAGGACACCCCTAAATAGTTGTGGTCATTTATCACATTGGCTGCAGGCCAGCTAAGTTGACTGTTGCGTAACATCAGGTCTCAGGAAACAGTTCCTCCTGTGCGTTCTCCCTCTCTCTATGTGTTCACCAGTTCACCTCTCACCGCTAAGTAAGTGCCTGAGTTAAATTAAACAAGATCATTTCCTTGTGAGACCATCATGACATCCAAAATTGCCTTTAGATTTGAGTTGAAAAGTGGATAAAATGGAGTCATAATTCATTAAGGTTTTTTAATAGAATAAAATGACTCAATATTAAACATTTGTAAATAAAACGTGAGTACAACACGTTTTGTCTCATCTAGGAGCATAATTTCTTCCTCAGTCAGTCAGTCAGTCAGTCAGGAAAGAGAATGACTCCTATTATTCAGTTCTTCATCAGGACTTCATTAAACTAAGTCTGGAGTTACTGTAGTGATTAGGAGGACACTGACGGTGCACACTAAATACTTTTCTTTTAAAACGTCCCTTGTGAGCAGGTAGACATGTTGGAAAACAACACTGACAGAGGGAGTACCAGCTAATTGTTTAGTTATATCCTTTGAGTTTAAGATGTCAAAAATCCAAACTGTGAGAGAGAAAGAAATCAATACATATAAGCAGCCGCAGTTCTCAGCCTGATAAACAAACTCAGTTCATTTAGAAGCTTTTAGACCAACTTTTGGGGAAGGACTGTGTCTGCTAATGGAAAAGGCGTCTTTGTGAAGTCCAACGTCCCAGTATTTGATCGATTATTTTGTCAGAAATAATTATAGTTTAAGGTACAGATAATAGTACCAATAAATTGCAGCGTAAAAGTTAAGTGCACAAGTGGGAAAAGTATAGCGAAAAGCAAATAGAGATACGGTGAATGACAGGAAGAGGATGGAATGAAACATTAATATTCAGTGTTGAGGGCCCAGAAAAGATGGGGATGAAAAGTGGGGAAAGATGAGATGGTTGGCAGGAGAAATTAAAAAAAGAGGGCGAGGAAGCTACTGTGCAAAAAAATTGAGGAAGAGAGAAAATGTATGTAAATTTATCTTGCTACCATGAACCCAATGCAGTCCTCACTGATTTCTGTGACTGCAGCCATCATTTCCATCTCCTCTGAGTGAGCCCTGTATGTTCCTCGATGCTGTTTGTTACTTACAGGCAGTAAGTCTAATGTGATGCCCATCCAGGGTTATAACCTGCAGTCGACTAATATAGCTCCCACTGGTTATTTCTCCTCTGGGAATGACATTGATAATCATAGGATCTGAATTTTATACCCTCTAATTGATATATGAAAGTAAACAAGAATGATAGCTACCGTGCCTGAAAATTATGCCTATCCAAAGAATTAAAGTCAATAAAAATTAATGCAGGCAGATGGGCTCATGTCATTGAAATTCTGCTCACTTTTACTGTCTGCCTTTGGCATTCCCATCATCTGTTTGTCGCTGCCCTTCAGCTACCAGATGAAAATAGATAAATGGAGAACTCCATCTTTTAATTCCAGGTGATTGAAAAGTTTTTCATCAAAGTAACTCTGGGTTAGAGGAAGTCTTGGAGAAGGAGGAAAATTAGCTTTTTTTTTGCCCTTGACACATCCCATAATAGATAATTTTTCACAATTTATTCATGTACACTTACTGTATATTTTATCAGTGCATTTAGTTCACACACTTTCTATATCTGAATCCATCCTGACGCTAAATTAATGAGCTTTTCTGCTGGAATTTACTACCAGCTGCTGTAAGGGTGAGATATCTCAGGATTGCCCAAAAATCCATACATTTTACTGAAACTTAACAGTGTGAGATGGATTTAATAAAATCAATACAATATCAAAGACTGTATATTTGTAGTGCACAGCATCATAAAACGCAAAAATAAAGTAACTGTTGTGTAAAGGCATTTTTAAATACTCTTAAGAAGTTGTATTTCCCAATTTTTGTCAAGCAAAGTAACTGTACTTCTATGATATCCATATCACTGAAGCATACTTCTATTTATAGACTGGCATGCTATCCTGAGAATATAAACAGAGATGAACTAGTTCAATGGAGCAGCATTTAAGTAATATTTATGTGTTTCAAATTTTTTAATACTTAACAAGATAAAACCACACATGCAGATAATCAGTAGGCTAAATAGAGATGCCACTAATACTTGATTGGTGGACACACTGCTCCTTATAGCAGGCATTTCAGGCCCACGCATGTTAAGACAATATCTAAGTCTTGCATGATAGTATTTGAGCTGATTCACCTCAGCTGATGTTGTCTGTAGGTGGCCCAATTAGCACATGTGACCATTTTTTTGTGAAAGCCTGTATACCTTTTAAAGCTGTAAATGAAGAACTGAAGAGTTTTGAGCTGGACACCACGAATGATTACAAACCCCAAATTGATAAAAGGACTCAGAATGAACAGGTTTCTGGAGAGTGAGACAGTAGTGAGACTCGGATCCAGCCAATTGACATGTGGGTGTATGGATCCAATTGACTGTGTGAAGGATTGACATTGGACATCCTTCAGGAAATCTTTGTTGGCAGGTGTAGATTTTTCAAAAAGGCAATGCATTACATATATGTTTTTTGTTTGTTTTTTTAGCAGAAATTACCAGAAAGGAATTTGGTATTTGACCAAGGATGTAAAGATGTAATAATAACACATGCAATCCTGGCACAGATAATGCTTATGTCTGAGTCCTACTTTAATCTCACAGAGCCTTTACAACACTATTACATTAAACAGATGAAGCACTTGACACCAAAGGTGCTGCTGTTTATTACAATAATTTAAGTTAAGTACAGGTGACAAGATCTAGTTCCAGAGGAGGGAAATGAAGAAATAAAAGACAACAGCTGTAAATGCCAAGAAGGAGGACAAAGACTGACCTCTTTGAAGCTACCTGTGGGGGGAACAGATGGGAGGGGGCGCTGACATTTCACGAGACTGCAACACAGAGATGTTTTACACACAAACGAGCGGCTGTGTCTAATACAGCTCCTCTCCCTTTATCTCTCTCACACACTCCAAAAACACACCAGAAACATATGTGCTGACCATTGTGTTAAAGTGGTGATTTGAACCGGCACTCTAAAAGCACCCAAAGCTAAAATTGAGCAGCAGTTACTACAAAAAAGGGACATTTTGTCTGGCATTGTTAAACGCACCATTGACTAAATCCAGCAGTCACTAATAAGCATCTGTTTATTAAAAGCTATCATCAGGCCTTAGTAATTGTCCTTGGTGTTGGTGATGGCTGTTGCCAGTGTGTAACTTCCTGATGTCAAATCCTGCCTGTTGGGAACAAAATAGTGGTAAACTGTATGTGAGGGAATAAATCACAGCTGTGTTTTTGAAACAAGTCGCTAAAGTAGATTTTTTTCTCTGGTATTTAAACTCATTTATCAAAATTTGCTGCATTCCTCAAGGATGACTGAGGATAAATGATGGTTACCTCAGTTTTCCCTAGAAAAATCAAGTGTTTGAGTGAGTTTTCTTCACTTCTGTAAGAGTGATGTCCACCATAGTCTGTTCAAAAAAGTGTTGCTGAAGGATGTTTTCTGTATTGTTTGACCTACAGAATATCAGGAACAGTAATTATCAAGCTTTGTTAAACACTTTATTTCAAGTAATACCCTTTTGAAACAGTCTGTTATTTCACAATAGCAAGGTGTCACCAGGGACAACTTTCAGATCAAATCCATCCAGTGCAATTCACAACCGCTTATTGACACTGTGACAAAAACATTAGTTCCTGAAAGCATTGTAAATTGCAAAACTTCACGGTGGATAACTTCACTATTTATAGAGATTACAAAACTTGAGATTCCTGATTATTTACTAGCAGAGAAAAGAAAAAGAGAGGAGGTAAACAGCACAGAAACAGTGAGACACTGTCTCAACACTTTCAAGAAGCGGAGCCATGCAAAAGAAGCCATATAGAGATCTGCTTGCAAGGATTTTGACCAACAATCCAGCAAATCATGTTGGACTTACATATCAGGAATGATTGCAATTCTCTGTGACACCATTATATTGGCAAGGTAGATAAGGATGATGATGCATTTAAGTTATAAAGTAATTGAAGCGGAAAAGCTTCCTTGATATTCCTGCAGTGATGGTTCAGAGTACTACATAATTAGCATGATAAATGAAACTATTTTGACTGACTCTAGTGTGTGACTCATTTCTGTTTTTGCTTGCATTGAAAAAAACGCAAGAACCATGTCTCACACGTCCCCCTCCGGACTTTGTGTAATCTCGCGTTCCGCTCTTCCCTTGAAGGGCTCAATAAGCAGTTATTGATCGCTGTAATAAGATTATCTCACTCATAAGCCCCTGATCACCTTGATTGTCTTGTCCAGTTGAAAGTTCCAAGTCTTATAACCCCTCTAGAGTAACACACAAAGGAGCACAACTGCAGCACAAGCTCAACTTAGCATGAAAACACTTGAAAGAATGAAAACTTTCCACCTAAGAGCCGAACAGCATCCAGTACTTTAAGATTTGGACATATGTTCTACAATTGTGTTACTTAAATTCCAGAATTTGACATTCTAAATATAGGAACATAAATTGTCTCAGTGACGGCAACTTTTTAACAAGGCAACAGTGGATGGGGCTTCTGAAATGCTAGAAACGAGGGTTTCCAAAGACCCCATTCTGCGATAAGTAAAGAACTTTTTGTGCTGTAAACCTTGCATTACTACTACAAAGGCTCTCTCTTCGGTGTTATCTGTGCTAATATATGGATTCAGCAGGAAGGTGCTGTAGGTAAAGGCAGTGATCTGTGCAGAGGACAAAGTGACCTGCTTGGGTGTATAATATGCACAGAGGTGGGATGACACTCACCCTTTTGTGAGAAACAAAACGTTGCATTCATAAGACTGATCATTCAGCCACTCGCCTGCCAAATTAATCAAGTTGCATAGCGGTGTGCCGCATGTCCGTCCTTATCAGAACAGTGAATGGCTCCAGCTTGTGTTCTGGACAAAATCAGTCTGTCATTGGACAAACGTTTCATGGTCCCACCGAGTTCACTGAAGCCTTTTGTCATTAACTTAATTCTCATTTCTTGTACCCCTCTCCTCCCCTTTCAAGGTTGTTTTCCCAGCACACATAGAGTAAAGTGCTACAACCGTGTGACTTTGACTGTGCTCTCTTATTTTGCTCTGCTGCTTTGAATTAAAGTCTTGATAAATAACATAACTGCTACCTGACATTTAGGATGAATGTTGTTTGATTTGGAGCTTTTGTGTGAGAAACCATCACAAGCTGTGAGCTGTTTTCTTGTTTGGAAACAGCTCCTCAAGGCCTTCGATTCTGCTTTTTTATCTTTCTGAAAAGGGCAAAATCTTTCATTGTGACCCGTGGTGGCCCAGCAGCTTAAATCTGATGGTTTTGTTGCTGCTGGTTTGATGTTTAATAGTAGAGATGTAACAACAAGCTAACACTGGCCCTCAGATTTAAAGTTTAGAAATCAAAACTGTAAAGAGGAAAATCAATAAGCTGATCAATCTCAGTTTTTCTCTCACACACACACATGTACAAAATAACTAGGGGCGGGAGAAAAAAATCGATACAGCATAGTATTGCGATATATTGTCTGGTGATATATTGTATCGTCTCATTTACCAAGTATTGATTTTTCAAATTAATTGCTAATATTAAGTCAAATTTATGATAATGGAAAAATAAAATTAACTGTTTGTCCAGTGAGGTTGGCAGAGGTGACATCATAGAGCAGAAAGTTAGTACAACAAATACATATAAGGTTAGCAAGATGTGCTACATGAAAATAAAATACTGTGTAAATGAGACAAAAATAAAGGAAAGCCAAGTGCAAAATTAGCTGAACAGTTTAAAAAATTATTGTGTCGCAATACTCACTGTATTGCAAAATGCGAAAAATCATAATAATATCGTATCATTGCTCAAATATCGTGATAATATCGTCTCGTGGGGCCACTAGTGATTCCCACCCTTCACCAAAACCCTTCTACTCAAAAGTAGTTAGCTGATGATGTGCTGTTTATCCTTGGGAGTAGTGCAAAGCATGCTGGGTAGGTAGCCAATGCAAACATGGTTGTCCAGCACTGTAGCTTGGTTCTTTGCAGGTGAGGTTTAGCTGCTTGTGAGTCAGCTAACAATTGAAGGTAACAGGACCCAGCACATCGCAGCAGATACATGTTTATAGTTTTTATTTTTGCACCTCATAAACAGCACTGGTAATACACTTGTATGTAATTGTGTGCACATGCAGTGCTGTCTTTATTCGACTTCACTTAAGTGCAAAGGAAGGACAGATAATGAGGCTGATGGTCACAAGCGCCTGATGTGCCTCATAATCTGAAGTACAATTAGATCTTAATGCGGCACACTTAAGCTCATCACAAATCCAATACCAATCAGTGATGTCCTTGGCACTAAAACGGCGGCCTGTTTGGATATTGATCAGACACGGCGTGGCTGATGAAAGTGTGGCACTAGTTGTTTTACTATATTGATTAGTGGGGAACAAAAGAAGCTGTTTTCTGTCCATCCTAGAGAAAGACATGGAGTTGCTTGTGGGCAGTAACTTAAACAGCACTTTTGTTTCGGTTACTAAACCTCTGGGAGACGTATCGCGTAAAAACAGATTGAAATTAACAGCGATGCCTTTTTACGACCTACAAAACTGAACAAGACCTTTAATCAACCAGGCTGACAACTTCAGTGTTGTAATTTTAAAAGCCTGTAATCACTGTGTCAGATCACACAACTTATATCACGCTGCAGAAACAGCTTCTTTTTCTCTTTTCCACAACAGATCTTTAAAAAAAGGGATGTTTTCCTGTTAAAAAAAGAAATCAGGTTTAGACTTCATTTTTATTTAGAAAAACACTTCTGAAGGCTGTGTTTACTGACAGAATTAATTCTCCTTCCATTTGTTGTGAATTATTGAAAGTAGTGCATTCCTTTTTAGGGCAACATCTGGGTCTGAGTGGCCCCCTCTAGTGCCTGTATTGCTTTACGTTTGTTCTAACACAAAGAACGCACAGAAGTATGATGACTGGCATTCACACCGTCTAAAACATACGGATACATTTCTGTTAGTTAGGGGAACACAAACGAGCCCATACACAAGTTCAGGACAAAATAAACAAAAATGTAAAAACAAGGTTCTGCTTTGTCCACAGGGGGCGCGAAAGTAACGTCCCCAGAATACTGATGGCTTTGAAATCATTGACTAATAACACTGCCGAGCTCTTTTAATACTTTTTTTTTTACTTTTAGTTTGTTTTAATTTTGACTAGATAATTTTCTTTAATTTTGTTAAATTTTCTTTATTTTGTTAGATACTGGCAGCATTTCTAGTTCGTAAAAACAAAAATGTGTATTTTCAGCAATTTTAATTTCTTGAATAACAATCATCAACCCTTTTGTAAGATGGTTAGGTTTGTGTTCTTTTGTGAGATTAAGATGGTCATCTTACTTCATTGAGTTTTCTGTATCTTTAGCACCATCAGAAATGTATCCTTTGTTTTTTAAATCAGTGTTACTTTTGAGTTTAACTCAATTATGTAATTAATTTTAGTTATGTATGGATTCTAATATTATTTTAGAGCATTTTTTAATTTCTATATGTGGGCAGTTAGCTATGTTTTATTAACCTGTCATCTGTGTTTGATGTTACAGCAACTGATGAGAGAGCGTCAGCAGATGGCCAGCCGTCCATTTGCCTCAGTCGCTGTTGCACTGGATGCCAGGGGAGAGCAAACAGAGCTGCTGCAGCATGTGGTCGATGTGAGTCCTCTTCTGCTTATTTGCTTAAAAAAAAAAAACAAACAAACACACACACACCCAAATAAAAAAAACACCCAAACAATATATGAGCTCGAGTTCAACCACAGCTGCATTTCTTGACCATCTTTCAACTGTAGTGTACTATTCACAAATTCTGCCATCAGTTGTTTTGAGTTAAAGCAATAACTGTATAATGCCTTGAATCTGCATTTCAGTCCTTATGCACTGCAGTTTTGTCCTTTTTGCACCAGCATCTGTTACAATCGGGCTTAAAAATGCTCCTCAGACATACAGAACATCACGCAGCTGGGTTGTGTCACATAAGTGGACCTTATTGAGCTCTTTTCAACCAGCTCATGCCCTCTACTCGCAATTGTGTGCCAGCTCTTCACCCACTCCCAACATCAATAGGTAATCTGTCACTGATGGGCCTTCTCCACATGTCCCTCATCTTTATATGAATGAATCTGCACTCCTGCAGACCTGCTGACTTTTTTTTTGTTGTACGTTAAAGAGAACACTGTTTTTCATGACAGTGATGTTCTGGAGACGTTTTTTTTCTTCTTTAAATAATCGTTAAAATATTAACTGCTCTTTTTTGTTGTTGTTGTAATTTGCAAGTGTATTGTACTGCTTTCCAATAGTGTGTGATTGTTGATTAATTCATCATCGTACCTTGCACATTCACATGCTCACTGCTACTTCACCTCTTTATTCCTCTAATGTGATCACCTCCACACAAAGAGAGAAGAAGTGCGGCTCTGAGCACACTCTACGTCTCAATGCCACCTGGGATAAGAGCGTAACTTAAAGCAATATTGGGAGCTACGTTCTCAAATTGACGTGGAAAGACCAGCAGTGTTTCCTCTGCTGGGGCTGTCTCTGTGTCACCTACCGCTGAGAGAAATAAAATCACTGTGGCAACCAGTGAAGAGGCTCTACATTAGCTATTAGTGCAGCGCTGAGTGCCACTCACTGTGCATTATGGTATCGTGAAGGGCGATGTAAAGAACAAAACACTGCTTCTTAGCTCCCTGAGTGCACTTTATTGTTGCACTTTTAAAGCGGTGAGGTTCAGCTTGAATCTGAAAAGGACCTGAAACTACTGCTTTGCCATGATTTAATTAAACTGTTCAACGCATGCTTGTGAATTGGAGGTATTTTTCATCTATTATTCAATCATTTATCCCAGCCCTCCCTTTACTGTGCAAAAAAACACGCACGGTGGTGCGGTGTAAGTGCTGCATTAAAGAAGAGAATTTGAATCCACTGGAGAGTGTGTCTGTTCAAAATGGCCCAAGCTGTTTTGAAATGATAACTAGGAAGAAACACATCCTTAGGCTTCTGCATCTTGACCCTTTCAAGATGCAGAATGAACCTTTGAATGCTACACTTTCAATTTCACCTAGACGTCCACACTGCTCTGAAGGCGTTTCAGGAAGAGAGTTATTTTTAGTTATGAAACACACGGCATGTCGTTTTTTGGACATAAACGATATCCATGCTTTCTTGTAAATCATAAGAAACGTGTGTCTTAATCTCACTTACCACCAACCAGGAATGTATGTAACACAAGGTTTAGGCTGCTGGTGGATTTTGCTGTGTGACACTGAAGCTCAGTGATCCATGTTTTAAGGCCTTCAAAGAGTCTGACATAAACCAAGTCTAGATGTAAGGTGCCAAAATCAACGCAAACTTATATGCAAAGCAAAGGATCATATAACATTCCCTGAAGAGAAATTCATCAGGGATAAAGTGGTGATAGAGCAAGCAGGACCCGTGAAACCTAAAATCCTCAAGTTAACTATCAGTGGGCCGTGCAGCATGTAAGGGATCAGATTATCCGGCTGTGTGGACCCCGTATAAAGGTTTGTGTTTCCAGGTCAACCTGATCCCACGTGTCAAATCAATCCACTGAAAGTCAAGCAGATTTCACCCCTGCCTGTTAGCAAATCATTACTTTTTTATATGCCTCCAAAATAGGCAAACAACATAGAGAATATTGAATTTACCTATCATTTAGGCATCGCTTTGGCAGCCTGACAGCCCATTACCACAAGTCATTTCCCACTCTTTCTTCCAGTTTTGTACTCTATCCAATGTCCTGTCCTCTAAAGAAAGGCGTAAAAACCCCAAAATACACTTAAAAGATCATCTCTAGTGTAAACATCGCTCTGAAATAACTGTCAGATCTGAAATATAAGTCGCACAGATATATCTTTTCATTCAACCCACCACTTTGAGTAGTTTATGGACTTGATTCTTGAACCATTTCCTCAAATGAGCTACCTCATGTTATATTGTTTATGTAACATGAATTTCTGTGAATAATTTAAGGATTTTTTTTATATTCCAATATTCCTCGCCAGCTTTTCAAACATAACTTTGCAACAGGGAAGTAATCTGTTTAGTTTCAAATGTGCAAATGCATATTTTGGACCACATACAGCTCTATCGCATTGGCACCAGCTGAAGGTGAACCATATGAATGAAACCAGCCTAATTTTCTCTCACAGAGGTTAATTGTTTAGCATCTGGAACCACTTAGTCGGTGGAAATAGTTGTTGATGTCAAAGAGGACACTCATGCCAATTTGTCTCACCAGCACTGTTTGTGCCTTTCCTTTGGACCGACCAAATCAAAATCACATAGATGATGAATACCGTGTAAAAATGTGATCCAAGTGTCTGGAGCATTGCAGGGTTATTTGGAGGTCCTTTTTTGTGAGAGCTGATTACCCAGGAAATACAACTCAGAAGCACCCAAATGACCCCTCGCACCTTTTCCAACACATGAAAACATTTCGGACTTTGCACTGTGATTGTCAGCACTGATCTCACTGCATTATTTAGTACCAGCAAGTGTTACTGAGTCTTTGCAGACCCTCCAGCTGGTCTGAGAGCGAATGAAAATAGCCTTTGGTACCCATTTTCTCTGTTTTTGGACAGTTTGAACCTCCCAAGAGAAAGACTTTGCTTTTAGTGACCAGGATGTCAGCAGCTGTTTAACAGAGAGCCAAATAGGGCGCGGACACTGCAAGCCCAGGCTTCGATGTCGCAGATGTCTCTATTGAATATGGCCGACATTCAACATATGGAACCACTAACGGACAGCTAGTGTGATTGATGACACCTGTCAGAAGGGGGGAAAGGAGAGCAGATACATTGTGTGTGTTTACGTGTGTGTTTATATGCATGGCTGGTTATGAATGACCGCACCACCGCCCTTGATTAATGCATAGAAGAAATTCAGACAGGGTAGACTTTGTATTTGGAAGATATGAAAATGGACACCGCAATTTTAAAAAGCTTTGATAGAAAAGGCAACCCTGTGATTGAAATGAAATGAAATGATTTATTAATATTTTCATTTCCTCTGCTCCGATGGAATACTTCCGTTATCCCAGATTAATATAGGAATTTGATTTTACAGAGAAAATGAGAAAGGGGTGAGAAGAAAGACGATTGTTTCACTTCCTCGCAAAGACAAATGTTTAATTTGGTGTGCTATTAGCAAAAACCTACACAGGGCAGTAAGCACACTGGCTTATTCTTGCATGAAAAATGTTGCATGAAAGTTTATCATCAGATGATTTGCCAGATGACATATGGTTTAGTAATATACTGAGAGAGAAAGGATGTCTATGTTTTATACACAGCTGTGCTTTAGCAACATATAAACCAGAATTCAAGCTCGTACTAATTTCTTTGGAACAGCTGTATGACTATTTCTCTGAGGGCGGCATGTATGTAACACAGATTGTTGTTTGTTCATAACATCAAAGTAGGTTAAATTCTTCCTCTTGTTTGTTTGTGGCTTACACAGATGCTAATTAGTAGAATTACACGTGTGTTCATGAAACGGCTGGCACTTTAATCACTCGTGTTTGTTTGCCAGGAGTAGATTGAATATGTGCTTTGCTGTCCTGAATGACCTGGAAAAAAATGCGATTTGAAATACAGTAAATTAATGAAATAAATTTTATTGCGATTTATACAATTTTTTCAACTGTTTAGCTAATTCATCATTTGGCTCTCCTTTATGTTTGTCTTATGTACCTTTTTTTTTTCATGTAGCACATCAACCTTATGTTTGTTTGCCATACTAACTTTCTCCTGATCCATGATGCCACCTCTGCCATCCTCACTGGACAAACTGTTAATTTTATTTTTCCATTATCATAGATTTGACTTCATATCAGCAATTAATTTGAAAAATCAATACTTAATAAATGAGACGATACAATATATCACCAGACAAAATATTGCAATGCTATGCTCTATCACGATTCATTTTTTTCTCCCACCCTCCCTTTAGTCTGTAACAGGGCTGCTGGATAAACTTTTATGCAACTTAAAACCTCTTCAAATCCAAAAAACTTTTCATTCTTTGAAAAAACTATGAGTAGAAGAAAAAAAAAACACTTTTATCTTTATTGTTTACTGTTAGTCTAACTTGATAACATTACTATTATTACATTATTATTATATGTTTTAGCACTAAAAGGGACTATGTTTCAACTCTTCACTTTTAGCGATTCGACTCAACTTTGATGATGATACTTAATGAATTCAGTGCAAGATTTCACTTGTAAAGTGTATTTACACAGGCTGCAGATCTAACATGTCATTAGGCAGTTAGCGTTCAGTCTTGATAATTGTGTTTTTTACGAGTGTAAGGTAGCCATCATCTTAATAGAAACTTGATTAATGCCATGTATGTACTGTCTGACCTGTGTGTTTGAAAGTCAATCTCAGCCTCTTCATGTCAGCGTATGTCTGTAAAAGTTTAGAGTAATTCATACCTGTATATGAAGTGTAATTGTAGCTTATAGATGATTCATGCACTTCACTCGTCATTACTGGAGGATAAAAATGGAACAGACAGTGAGAGTTTCATCAAAATTAGACTTTCTAACCTGTAAAATCTTTTACCTTTTTAAAACTTCCTCTCCAAAACAATTCAACTACTAATTAGCAATATTAGTTAAAAACTTTTATATTTGATATACTTTGTAGTTATCCTCTGGTCCATGGTTTCTGCCCCTACCTTGTCCTGGTTTCATTTTTCATCAACTGTACTTTAAATAATAATTGGAAACTATTCGGAAAAGTTGGGACTGTTGAGAAACAAGAAAAACAAGTCCACTCCCAAGTAATGAAGGCTTTTAAAAATGGTTTACACCGCCTTTAACCAATTAAATCTCATTACTGTTATAATAAATCAATAAATAATTTGCATTACACTGCTTTTAAATATTTACGTTCCTATTTTTCTTTGAAAATATTAATCTATTATCTGAAAAGTATAAGAAGTATCAATGCTCAAGTGTAACAGGAGAGGACTAGGTGATAAACGACCATTAGCAGCTGAGCTCATGTTCAGCACACTCACTGGTCTCTAGAGTTGCTTTTCTTTGACTTCTCATCCAGGTACTTTTCTTTTGCTTTCACAATAGTCCCATCTTGTTCAGCGTGTGGTTGGTTTATAAGGTGCTCATTACTAAGTCCCTGATTTCGTCAGCTTTTACACACTTTCCAGTCACCTAGTAACTAGAATACACACTGTAGTTGTAAGCTGTGACATTTGAAATGTCAAATGTAATCGGCAGTTCAATAAAAAAATGACACTTTATGATTCACAGAAAACAAATTTGCACTTATTTTTAATAAAGCACTGCACATTGACTTTTTTTAGTTATTTCAAAAGGTTGTTTTTTTACAGCTTAAATGTCTATGTACTTTTCACAATCTGTATTTATCATACATGACACATTAAACATGTTCGAATCGAGATCACTTATTTTAGAGTCAAATCTCGATGGCAACACGAAAATTAGCATCAGTGTTTGAAGTAAACAACTATATCCATGAGAAATTACACTTCCCAGCCCTGGTTCCCTCATATTTTAATGCATTGTTTGTGAATACTTGTTTTTACCATTTTGCTTCTGCTGTCACTTCTATCTCCATTTTAAATCCAGCCAGACACAAAGAAAATAAAGCCAATTCTATTCAGACATGTTATTATTCCCCAATTTCTATCCCCTCATCCACAAACATGCTGTGAAACCCTCGACATTCATTATCGGGATGACATGTTTTTCACGCCTCAGACAAGCAGTTTTGGCCATTAACTCAGAGGGCAGGTCATTGCCTCTACACACACACACAGACTTTCTATCTGACAGGGACAAATACAAGTGTTTTTGCCATGTTACACCAATCAAAGCAAGTGTCTCGGGAGGAGGGCGTCCCCGTTGTTCGAGAAGTTCATACCAGTTACTGTTGTTCTGCTGCTTCTCTACATAAAAAAACACATGCACCTTTTCAGAAAACAAGTATAGAAACTTTAAAGCTTGTTTTAGTCATAAACAGTTAATAAAATGTTTCTTTCTTGCGCTCCAACTTGAAACAACATTAAAAAACGCATATTTTCCTTCCTCTCAGGGTGCACCAAAACCTGTTGCCATGGAGCCGTGTTCAGGAGGGAAAGCCGCTGTACTGACTGTCCTTATGCGACTGCCCTCTGGGCCATCAGGCTTACCTCCACCAGGACAGTCAGGTAACACATACTCACATGTACCCCTCAGTAGTGGCTTCAGAAACCAAACTCAACCATCTAGAAATAGTCCTCACAGTCTTATATGGTGGCGTCAGTCGTATTGTCAATCTGTGTCAAACTTTTTTTGTGGTCCTATTCATCATGTAGAATCAAATGGTAGCCAGTCAGGAAGCTGGATGATGGCTGGAGAAGGGAGCGCAACAGTAGTGCAGTATCTACCCCCTTGACTCTGCAAATCTCTCACATCTTTGTAACCTATACTGTTAGCCAATGCTTAGAGAAGATCACGGGGAAAACTTCAGAACAACACACAGTCTCATGAAAACCAAAGTGAAAAGTGAAAGTGTGTCAAAATTGCGGAAAACTCCAATTTTTTTCTCCAGCTGCTGATTTTAGCACCGAATTTGTGCCCCATTTCCCCGCAGACAAAATAAATCTCAATTTTCAGTAGCTGCAAATAATTCTACCTGAAATTGGCTCTTTGTGTGTTTGAAAATATTTCACACACCTGTAATATCAATTTGATTTCTAACCATGGAAAACGATTTGTGGAAATTGCCAGTTTTTCCAACAACACTCTCACTTTTTTTTCCTGCTCTCTACAGGAATCATCGTTGCCAGCGCACTCATAGACATTTCACAGCAAAAACCAACAGATTTTAAGGACAAGTCGCAGGCTCTGAAGAACCGAAAAGCCCTCCCTCCAGCACACCAAGGCACCTGCGTCTGAGTCTGACAATCCAGTGGGTCCCCTTATTTTCTAACACCATCTAAGGCCAGATTGTTCGAACTCCGGTCAAAGGCTTTTTCGAAGGACAGACACGGTTTTCATTCAGCTGCTACCACTCAAGTTCTCATTGAAACTTGCCAAGTCTGAGGAGCACAACGGTTCCTACCTGTCCTGCCTCATCATGCTCTGAATTCCTTCTCCCAGACCTGGAACTACTATTCCTCCACTGTCAGGACCCAAATCCCTCCCTTCAGCTCGGACAGTAAACTTTTGTGAACAAGAAATAAGCCTGATGATCATTAAAAAAAAAATCTGATTAGAGGATCTGCACCTAGTGAAACTTCATTTTTCTACTACTCATATGAGGAAAAAGCAAAACCATGTATTTGGGTTCTATCAGAATTCAACAGCGTCAGACATACAGCAGATTATTCAAAGGAAAACCCTGCTGCCTCTGATTTTTTTTCTCCTTTTTGCTAGCCAACAAGTGGTATTCAACGGTGCTAAAGCATTTCATTTTTATAACAAGCCTTTGCCGCATCAACTAAATTCATTCTGCCTTCTAGGGTGAGCTAAACGCCCAACTCAGACTCCTCTCTTTGGTTACACCCATGACCACATGATAGTGTTATGACGTCTAATAGTATTATATTGCACCATTTTCACCGATTAGCATTTACTTCTTGGTTTTAGCATTTACTGTACATATTTATCATCCACCCAGCTGAAGCTAAAGTCTGTATTTTCTGTGGAATCGAACGTCGCGTAAGGGACAAGCGACTGCAAAAATTGCCACCAGCTGCATTTGGGAGAGAATCGCAGACAGGACGGAGACACAAACAAATCTTCAAACTAATGCATGAATAACTTCAAAACTTGAGGACAAAACATGCATTCTATTAGCAAACTGGAAGTTTCATTTGTTTCCCTTTTTTTTTTTTCTCTGTATGCTAGCTGTTAAAGAAGTTCCATAATGGGGAGAAATGCTGAAGTTCTGGTGACTTCTTTAATGTTATTTTGCTGTGCAACTCGGACATTAAGCTTTCAAGCTTGCCCTTGGATTGGCATGGTTTCGAGAGATGTCTGCTTGATAGACTAAGAGCAGAGACATTAAGCTCCTCTGGCTGTTTACTCGTTTGTTTTGTACGTTTTTTGTAAGAATCCTCTAAAGCTACAACTTTATTTCCATCCTTTGAGAACAAGGAGTTCTGTTACCTTTTTTATAATGCCTTGGCTTTCCATGAACTCCTACATGGGGGGGAGGGGCATGTTGATGTGCAGAATTTTCAAAGCAGTCGACCATTTTTAGCCCCGCCCCCTCGAGCTGTACAGTGTCTTGTTGGAACAAATGTGATTCTTTGTCACTCTTTCTCTCTTGAGATACTATGTGTTTGTCAGGTTTTTATGACAAAATGGCAAGAAATTCTCTTTGATTTTTGGCCTTGTCACCTGTTCCTATTATATCTATAAATTGTAAGTCTTTTGCTACACTTGTGAAAAGAGCATTTCTGTTAATATTTTGTTTTGATATTTAACAGATTCCTGTGTAATAGCACATTTAACTTGATTTTATTGTTGATGTGAATCGGTTGATTTAACGTTGACTCTTTTTTTCTTACATGGTGCATCTTTAAGGACTGTATGGGCATTGTCTTTTTTGTTGCAAAGTGTCCACTATGATGCATAAGGATAGTATGCCAGCTAATGTGTTTTTATTTTGTGTTTGTAGAGTAATCCTATAACAGTGTCATTACACAGGAATCAGGGTCTCACTGTACCATAAAAAGAAAAGATGATAAACTGCATATCAGTAATCTTCAGTGTATTTTAAGATGGACATCATGCCAGAAAATAAAAAACAGACTTGAACATTTTCTGCGTGTTTGTTCAGCCTTTTTCTCACATAGAGGGCTTATTACACCATTACTGAAATCTACAGCACATTTCTTATGTATGTGTCTCGTCTTGTTGTCACCTGAGGCTTCAACCTACACTTTGTGATTACATTCCCAAGATGGGTGTTCAGGATTTCTTGATTACCTCAGCTAAAGATAATTATACCTTCTGAAAGCACCCCAACGCAGACCTGAAGGCTGGTGCATATTGTACTGTTGATCACAAAGTTAACACAAGTGACTGGCGGGAAAATCTACTAAAGTGTATTTTTCTGCACAGGCTCTCTGCAAAAACAATATTGAATTTGATGCCGCAAGTGGGCAAAAGCTGTGAAGCCATTATCTACGAGGCTCCTCCCACTGACTGGTCACATTGGGGAGATAAACCCCGTCTCTTTCATGTTAACAAATGTCACATGGGTCAAACTTTGAAATATAGATGCACACCATACAAGACTTTTTCAATCAGTTTTTTATAACATTTCCTGACTTGTTATTTTTTTTGTTAATTTTTTTAAGAAGTTAAGATTTACTTAGCTGTTTCATTTTTAAATGAAGATTGAGTGACAGCTCTGTTCACAAATAAGGGTTCTTGCAGCAATTTTTTAAAAACTGGATTTAGGAAGAAAGGGGAGAATGGTGAGAGAAAATGTTTAAAAAAAAAAAAAAAAAAAAAAAAAAAAAAACAGGAGTCATCAATCTTCATAAGTGACCAACACTATACACTGTACTAACCTGAGGGATCTTTGACCTTGTACTGGTAAGTTTAAGTGCTGTAAATTTGTTTTACAGAAGAAGAGTGCAGCTCCAGAACCCAAATGGCCTTTGTGTATGCTTTTGCTCCACCACTGCAATAAGTCAGTGCTGACAGCGGTGGTATTTTAGCTTCTCTAACAATGAGATGCAAGGGACATGGCGTCATTTTTTTAAATATAAAATCAATTATTTCTTGTGTGTTTGCCAAACTAATAATCTTTACGATAAAATAACTTTGCTGGAACCTTATGCTACTTCTGTATGAAACCAGATACTCTACATTACAACAATGGTTTCCACTGGGAAATTTTCCATGAAATGGACATAGTCTGATCAAATTTACTTACAGAGTTCATAATTATAATTAGTTTGTATTTCTTTGAAGGCCTCAGCTGACAGATGTTACAGTTCAATTATACACATATAAATGTAACTGTAAATGTAACAAAGAGAAAATTGGAAGTCAAATATACAAATATTTTTCTGCTGAGTAAAAAAATTCTGACATGCTCATTTCAGGGCACATGCAAAACAATACCTCACATCTCAAATGTATTTTACCTTCAAGGTGCTGAAATGCAACCAAATATCTTTTGCAGCGTTGCATCAGTTTTAAAGATCAGGGTGAAGTTTTAAAAGTTTTGTCCTTTGTCCTTCCATGTAAGACCCCCCCAAGACTGCTCCTCTTCGCTACTAGAAATGTACATTTAAATAAGGATGTGAAGAAAAGGCGGCAGCGTACCAAAGAGCATCCTTGTTCATACTTGATTTCACTTACAGACTGCAGGGGCACTTGGAAAAAAGCCACTACAGCCTCAAGGAGTGTTTGCTGCATGAGTTGACTACAATGCTGCAGATGGCAAGAGAACTTACAGTAAAGCAAGTCTTTTATTTGTTACCATGGCAGGAACATGTCTGAGATGCATGGTGAGATGCATATATATTTTAGATACATATCACAGTTAGGCAATGTACATTTGAGACCAGCTAACTGCAGGAGTTTGCCTTGTGAGCACAGGCTGTTTGTGTGTTAAAAAGACAATCTGTATATACCCTGTGTACACTTGCAGCATGTCCAAGAGAAGTGACAGCTCTAGAGGTGACAGGTGGTCTAAAGGCTTGATTGTGCTTTCAATTTTATAGCACTTTTGGCTGCCAGCTAGCCATGCGAAATGAAGGCTGAGCCTGAAATCCACCACCAGTGATGTTGACAATGGACATGATAAAACCCCTTCAAAAAAAGGTGTATTAAAGCATATATTTAAAATTATTAATGAAAAACAGATACATGGAAAATAGGAAATAGAAAAGGATATTTAAGACACTGCATTAAAAAAGTCAGTAGATATAAAATCCTTTAACTATTTAGATAATAAAAATAATCAAAACATGAATGAGATTTTATGCTAATCTATGCCACTTATTTTATGTTTGTGTGCAGTGTTTTTGACATATAGTGTCCTGTTTGAGGATTTTCAGAATAAAAGTGGAGGTCATCAGACCAAGAACTAAAGCGTGATAAGCTAAACATTTCCAGAGTAATCACTGAACTAAACCTCGGTCACTGCTGGCAAACTCATATGTTGTGTGGTCCAACCCTGATGGTCATATCCTCTGGATTATACTTGAATGAAATTAAATAAAAATTGATTTAGTCAAGCCTGTTTGATGTTAAGTTACTAGCCAAATTATTAGGCTGTTAACCAAAACATTGAGTCATAGCTATGTCACCACACTTGGGGCTTTTTGTCACAAACATTCATGTCAGGAGAAGACTCATTTCCTCTTGGCCCAGCAGTCCTATCTAAAATGTGCAAATCAATGAGCCAAAATCATGAAGTACTGCAAGTTTCAATAACAACTATTTTTGTGCAAAAAAGTATTGATCATATCATATCGTATCGAGCGTATCGTGTAGTATTGTATGGTGTTATACTGCATTGTATTGTATAGTATATATTTTCCATATTATGGTATCATATCCTTTTGATCCAATCATATTGTATCATATCATATTGTATCCTGACCAAATGTGTTGTACCATATGATGACTTTATCTGAGGTAGTAGTATTTTTCTGGCAAAATAATTGTGTCTTTGTGTATAATCTTTGTATGTGTGCCCTCAATTATTGGTTTCCTCCCTCTAATTAATACTCAAGTAATCTCAGTCTAAAACAGATTCCTCTTTGTTTTCTTGTTCTGATGAAAAAAAATGTGAAACTTTGACCTTGTCTTTTGTCTACATTGTCCCAGTCTGCATGATAACTTTGTCAGTCATGCTACCAACCTGTCCTCTGGAAGTTGCATCAGTTGTTTGTGGGCAGATTACCAAAGGGAGAAGACATAGG